TGGTAGAAGAAGTGGTGGTGGGGTGGTGGTGCCAGTAGTGCTCCTTCTTGGTAGAAGAAGTGGTGGTGGGGTGGTGGTGCCAGTAGTGCTCCTTCGTCGTGGTCGAGGAAGAGACAGGGGCAGGGATCACGACAGGAGGCGTCAAAGGTGACAACCCCCGGGCCACTTCACCGGCCGGCATGGCCGCAGCAGTAGACCATGTCAAGGCAAGAGACAGGAGGGAGAGGTAGGCGGTGAGTTGCATCTTCATGGTGTAGGGGAAGCCTCGTTGGGGCAGTCGTGTAAACTGATGAAGACCCGAGAGGAAAGTGATGTGACGAAGTGGGGTGGATTGTTCCCGTCGAGGTTGCCTCCTTATATGTGTCCGAGCGATCTCCGCGAAGAGCACCGTCGACACATTCCCGCCGGCGAAGGGCATAGCTTGCCTCCCTGAAGATGAGATTCATGCTGCCTCGATAAGCGAGGTTTCACCACCGGTCTCGCAAGAATAGACCCTCACGTCTCTTGATCAAGTGCCTGTGCCTCGCTGCCCTTGGTAGTTGGGTGAGCTTCGTTGTAGCTGCACGACTAGGGACGACGACTGAGGCCGCGTGCTCACGGTCACCGGACATCGACGTATCGGAATGATGTGGCTGAGGCCGGAGTCGCCGGTATCAGCTTGGTGCTCATGTGCTTGCTCCCGCGTGTGAGTCAGAAGTTGCTTGTGAGTGCTGATAGCCTTGAAGCGATGGTTGCACGAGTAGGGAAGATTCCCGTTGGGGACACTTGGCGTAGGTGGGGCGAGGTGCGATCGGAGCGACCTGGGCGCAGTGGCAGAGGTCTCAGTACTGATTCGCGGCCGCGCAATCTGGAACAAGGGCGCGTCGGAGTGGAAAGCGGGTGAGACATGCAGAGCGCAAACAAATATATGACGAGATCGCTGATCTATCGTCTACAGCACAATCCCAGAGACACGGCCAGCAGCCCGATGCATCAGAGAGCCCTAGCTGCAACGAATGATGCGGAATCGGGGATGCGTGGCTTGAGGGCGTCAGTGCAGCAGGGACCCTCGCTATGATTAGGATTCCCCCAAGGGCATTCAACCCTTGCTGTGCATAACAATTACTGCACCCCACGGCCAATGTGGGGTCCAAATCGAGCCTGCCGCCGGCCTCCGGCGTACAGACGCTGGGAACGAGTTGCTCGTCATCGCTTCGGTCTCGCATGGCTCACCCGCACAGAAGCTCTTCCTTTCCAGGGTCTCACTGAGCCCGAAAAGAACTTCTGCCCTGGTTTCCATAGACCCGGCAAGACACCTTCACGCTCCTCGCTTATTGTTGGGAGGCCTTGACCACAGAACCCAACGCAGAAGGAGTGTCTTCTGACTTCCGTTGCCCCGAATGTAGCATTCGCACAAGCCAGGAAGTGGTGTTACAAGGCTCGCAATGGGAAGATCGAAGTACGCACGCCCCGTCATTGTGCTTCGTACGTTGGGACACAGTTGCGTTGCCTGACGGGTCCGGGATTAACCCTCGCGGAAAAATGCAGCAGTTGAATGCTGCCTTCATCGTCGTGGTGGAGCCAAGCACCTGACCAGCAATCCTTGAAGGCAGTCACCTCACCATGGGAATGGACTGGTATGGTTCCCACGCAGCAGGCTCAGCACTGCCTGGAGTCCGGCCCGGGTCTCAGCGCGCCTGTGAAGGTGAGGTCCAGTGTCTTTCGTAGTCATCCCGAGGCTCTGGCTGGCCCGCAGGAGGGACCAGACAGTTGCTCTGAGCCAGTGGTGTCCGTACGTAATGACACAGGTAGGCGATCTGCATAAGCAGGTCGATTCGCGAGGTGACGGTGATAAGGCTTCCGATAGCGGCTCACGATGGCCCGTCCCATCGACCGACGATGGTGCTATAGGGATCTCCGCTCGGTGCGGCTCCGAGATGGCCGGGTGCTACATTCGGCTCCGAAAGTATTGTGCAAGTCGGTCAAGCCACGCGAGAAGAAAGAATGCAGGGCAGATTCCTCGCAGCCACACTCCGGCACACGTGGTGAAATCCAGAGAAGCGCGTCACGCCTCTCCGCGCCGAAACCACCACAACGGAGGGGAGACGACCGCATTCGTGCGTTGCAAGGAGATGTTCGATGGCGGTCTTCACGGCAGAACTTAAAAATCATCACCCATCGCTGCCTTCTATTTCACTGCCATGCTGGCCAGATCTGTGGAGCAGCTCCGCTCCGACGCACGGGGACGATGCCGTCCTGCATTCCTCATTCTCCCTATCGGCGGGTTGATTCTCTGGCTGCACCGGAACTAGGAACCATCCAATGGAACGTTCAGACCTGATTCACGCTTGTCTCCTCTGCTGCATCTTTCCCCACCATCGACCTTCACATTTTTGCGAACTCACGCTCATCGCTGGTGCCTGGATGCACTCGCGAAGATCCTGCTAGCGCTAGTCGCAGCATACGTCGGGCCCCATAGTTTTCGCTCATCTCACCGACAATCTCCTCTTCTTGACGATTGCTGTCTTTGACAATCTCCTCTCGCTCATTATCTCTTCTCCTTCATCATCTCCTCCTTTTTCCCAACTCTGGCTGCTCTCCCACATCGACTGCGCCCCTCTCTTGGGCCACACGACCCGATTCGATATGCCACGCACAGTCTTGCCCTTGGCAACATTCCTGCTCTTGGTGATTGCAGCGCATCTGGCAGTCGCCCAACAGTACGTGGGATCATCATACACCAACTCGATGCCTCATGTCTCTGGAAGTGAGATTACTTTTTGGAACATAGCCGACGCCCAAGGCAATTCAACGTCTCTATTGAATTATCAGAGCTTGGGCGCCAATGGTAGTCGTCTGTCACCGTCTCAGATCAGGAAGGCCGTGATCTCTCTTCATGGTCTTCAGCAGGATCCCGACACTATCATGACTGGCATGCTTGCGGCCTTGAAAAAGGCTCACCTGACCGACAGTTCTGTCAGTCAGGACACAATATCAATGGTGGTACCCCTCTTTGCGAACACCGACCAGGCGAGTGAGTACAGGTAGCCCTAGCACACCTGCTGAGACTCCTAGCATGGGATACTGAACCTTGCATGCACTCCTTTGCGTAGATCAAGCATATCCATTTGTGAAGGGTGCAGTTCCCGCAGCGGCTGGCTCGACTTCTCAAGCTTTGGTTTGGACGAGCGTAAATTGGGCCGGAGGCTTCAACAATGTTTATCCGTACCAGCAGACCACAGTGTCTTCCTTTGCGGTCCTCGACCAGATGCTTCAGTATTTCGATAACAAGACGCTGTTCCCTTCACTCAATGAAATCGTGGTGGCTGGACATTCTGCCGGAGGTCAAGCCATCAACCGATACGCTGCCATCGGTAAGGACTTGGACCTCACGACCCCAGTTCGCTACTGGATCGCAAATGCCGGCAACTGGCTGTGGTTCGATTCGTCCCGGCCAGTGTACCGCAACCCTGGTTCCATTTGCAGCACTTATGATGCTTGGCGTGCTGGTCTCGGTAGCAACCTCGTTGCCTATAATAAGGCCTTGACCAGCCAAGGCACCGCTGCTGTTCTGGACAAGTGGCATTCGAGGTCCAAAATCTATGCTCGCGGTTTGCAAGACAACGGCGACGCATCTGCAGACTGTTCCCCGTTCGCCTCCGGTCAGAACCGAAGGGAGCGCTTCTTTGCTCAGCTCGAGACTTATCCTCCTACCAGTGATGACAACGTGGACTATGCCAATGTGGGACACGATGCTTCTGCCTTCTTCCTCAGCTCGGGTGCGCAGGCCAGATTCTTCTTTGACAACTTCGACGGAGATGGATCAAGATCCCCTGACTTTGGCGATCGTCAGCAAATCGGAGACAGCCCAGACCCCAATCCAGACAATGCGCCCCCTGCGCCCGTTGCAGGTCCCGGCTGGAATGGGACCTCCTATCAGGGGTGTTGGGTAGACTATTCGCCCACCGCGACGCACATCCTGCCCGTGGTCGCTAACGTAACCGGCCGTTTGACGCTAAATCGGTGCATTGTAGAGTGCTACAGCTCCAATTATACTCTGTCTGGACTACTCAACGGTACTAGGTGTCTCTGCGGCACAAGTCTCCCCGACGAAGCCGTGCAAGTCGTTGACAAGGCCTGCGGTGTTGGGTGTCCTGGCAATACGACGCAGATTTGTGGTGATTCGGCGCGCCTCAGCGTCTGGTCCGCCGAAGATCTGAGTCCGGTGCTATTGCGTGCGAGCACGACTTCATCTTCCACATCGACGGCGAAGTCGAGCTCCACTTCAGCAGGCGGAAACGCCACCGCGACCGATCCTACGGACACGTCCTCTACGATCACAGTTGCTACTTCCGCCACATCAAAGAAAAGCACCAAGGCCACCACGGCAACGAAGAGTACCAAGTCCACCTCGACGGCGAAGTCGACTTCGACAAAGACTGCCCCGTCTACCACGGCCGCGCGGACGAAATTCTCTTCAACAAAGGGTGTTACCACCTCCACGAAGGTCTCCTCGACTTCCAAGCAGAACACATCGTCCACAAAGGCGGCTACCTCGTCCACGTCTACGAAGAAAGCCTCTTCGTCCACCACGAAGGCCATTTCATCTTCAACAAAACCGACTTCGACAGCGAAGGTCACTTCGTCCACGGCGAAACCTTCGACCAAGATCACCTCTTCCACCGCCAAGATATCTTCGAGTGCGAAATCGGTGACTTCGAGCACCAAAAGGGCGACTTCCACCTCGAGTACAAAGAGGACAACGACGTCGTCGACTCGTCGACTCACTACCTCTTCCACAAGAAAGACTACTTCTTCGAAGAAGAAGACAACGTCTACGTCCACCAAGAAGCGCACGACGTCGACTTCTACACATAAGACGACGTCCAGCACGCACAAGTCAACGTCGTCGAAGCGGAAAAAGCTCACCAGTACGACGAGGAGGCTAGCATGAAAGCTGGACGAGCTGAAAAAGGGGGAGGAAGGGGGAGAAAGCCCTGACTACGCAGGCTCATGACTTCGACTAACCGGTTCGTGCACCTAGGCAAAGGATCTCCTGTTCTTGCTCGTGGGAGCAATGGACGGGAGCGCAGCATAACATTATTCCATGGAGAGGCCACTTTTTCGTTTTCGTTACCATGTTGAGCCTCCCACTTGTAAAAGGTACCTGTAAATTGTCATTGTCACCGTAATCTATGATCGAGGACGTTCTTTGCCGAATGAGGCAGTGTGTAGTAATGTGACCCTGGGTCGATGCAGGCACTGATGCAATGCCAGGCACCCAGTGGCCCGTGCACCCCCGCATGATCGGCTCGACCCCTGGAAATCACCGCACCACTGGTTGCTCTTCGTTATCTTCGTCCTTCTTCCTCCTCCTGCTCATCATCATCCATACTCTTGCCACCATGACATCCTCTTCAATCCCTCCCAAGGAGTCAGACCCAAACGTACTCACCTACAGTCTCGGAGACTTCACCCTCCTCTCCGGCGCCGTCATCCCAGACGCATACATTGCCTACCGCACTTTTGGCTCATCCTCTAATCCAACAATTCTCTACCCGACGTGGTACAGTGGTGACATCACCAGCGGCAATGAGTGGCTTGTGTCCACTGCCGAGCACCCACGAAGAGGTCTGGATCCAGAGAAGTACTACATTGTCCTTGTGGCCCTCTTTGGAAATGGACAGTCGACTAGCCCGAGCAATCATCCCTTGAGGCAGAACCTCCCGCCTGCGACCGTCTATGATAACGTGCGGGCGCAGCACCAGCTGTTGACTGAAGGCTTGGGAATCCATAAGCTGAGGATGGTGACCGGATGTGAGTAGATGCAGGCAGGGGTTACACAGCCCCACGAGCTTCCACAATAGCTCACCATTCGCTCGCCTCCTTACCGGTGTGCACCAGGGTCCATGGGAGCCGCACAATCCTATCAATGGGCTACGCAGTATCCCGACATGGTGGAGACTATTGCTCCTTTTTGTGGCTCAGCAAGGTAGGCACGGCAGATACCCTCACTACTACACGTAGCAAGCGCGCTGACCTGTGAGAGCCCTGGACTCATCTATCTCACTTACAGAACCAGCTTCCACAACCAGATTTTCATTGACGGTTTCACAGCGTGAGCGCAGCCAGTATATCTCCTTCTGAACGTTTGTTCGCTCATTCTATGCGACGTTCTGCTTTCATGCCCCTCTCTCCAGTCCTCTCCGGGCAGACCAATCCTTCGCCAACGGCGCCTACACCTCACAGCCCATCGCCGGTCTCAAGGGCGTCGGTCACGTCTACGCCGGCTGGGGCATGTCCCAGACATGGTACCGTCAGCAAATCTACACATCTCACTACGGACACAAGACTCTTCAGGAGCATCTGACGAAATTGTGGGAAGGCTGGACCTGCTCGCGCGACGCGAATGATATGCTCTATCTTGCCTGGACTTGGCTGCACGCAGATGTTGGTGCGCAGCCACTGTATGCTGGAGAGAGCAAGTTGGACGTGCCTGTGAAGGAGGGAGGGAGGATGGGGCTTCGAGGACAGCTTGACTTTGATCCCATTCCAGAGGATGATCAGGCGTTTGAGAGGGCACTACGGGGCATCAAGGCACAGAGTATCCTCATGCCTTGCAGACACGATGTGAGTCGCAACTTCGGCGCCTGTCCATTTCCATCAACCAAGAGTTTATCAAGGGAATTCAAGGTGACACTACTTCTTCTCTCCCCCTCCCTTGCGCACCTTTCACCTGATCAGCTCTACTTCCCACCGGAAGACACCCAGATCGAAGCTCGAATCATGGGTCCCAAGGCCCGCATGATCGTCTGCGAGAGCATCTGGGGCCACTTTGCCGGCAAGGGAGACAATGAAGAGGACGCGGCGTTTTTCGATGGACACATTGCTGATTTGCTCGAGTCGGTCGAGAAGGAGATGGGCGCGGAGGGAGATAAAGGGAAGATGTAAGGCGGTTCTCGGACAGATGGACAAGATAGGGACCTGAAATTTGGTCAAGATTGTGAGGGGTGATTGCCCGGCGGGCTAGTGTACATGCTCCTTCTTTCATCTCTTTGCTCAACTTTGCTGATACCCTCTGCTCTTCTGGCAACGTCTGGTCGTGCCATTCAACTCGAGCGTGCACGCTTGACAGCAAAATTGTCCATTTTCCCTCCAACACTCTCCGGCTCAAAGAGTAGCAATCAGCACCGCGCACAGGAAGAATTGGGAAGCGGTCCAGGCACAAATGGCCCAAGGCGCCGTCTCGAGGGAGCTGGTGTAAATCGTGCCCAGGAGCAGTGGAGCAAGGACGCCCACGGCGCCTTCGCTCAGAGAGGTAACGGCGACCCACCCGTCTAGACGACGCTGTGTTGCGAGAGAAGGGGTGCGCGGTGTCGCCTGGCTTTCTCTGACCTCCGTGCTGCCGTCGCCCTCTCCATCGCTCTCGCTCTCGCCCTCATTCTCAGCCTCGTCTTCCTCGTGCGAGAGAATCTCCACGGCATAATTGTGCACAGAGGGCACGGCTCCCACTGCGAGTGAGTTGGTGGCCGTGCCGAGAAGCACGAGTGTGGGCTTGCTAAGACCAATGCCGAGCGCCATCATGCCCCAGCCCATGAAGTCGATGAGGAACGACACAAGTCCGACCCACGGCGAAGGGTTCTCCCAAGGGAGGATACTCTTCGCCGGATCGTTCTTCGTTGCAATTGAGATGGTGGAGTCGCGAGGACCTCCGCTTCTCCCTAGCCCTGGCCGGGCTCGGCTAGCATTGAGAAGTGGTTCCTCTTCGCCACTCCTGCTCTTGTCTCTCGCTTCGCGCTTCCGAGCAAGCACTCTCCTCGTCGCCGCCAATGCCCAGGGCACGAGGAAGACGAGTGCGAGGAACTTGGAACCCCACAAGACACTGAAGAAGAGTCCGTTCTCTTTTGCTCCCCAGTGAAACTTCCAGTCGATGAGGAGCTGTACGTAGGAATAGGCGGAGAAGGCTTGGGCTACTAGATTGAGAGCCAAGAGGAGTTTCACGAGGGGGTACCGGTGCTTGCTGCCCAGGGAGGGAGGGTGGTAGCAGAGGATTTCGGAGAACCGGTGCCAAGTTGAGGTCAAGTGGGTGAGCCAGTAGGAAGGGGAGAAGTAGGACTCTTTTGGCTCCATCGAGGACGATGTTTCGCCATCGGCTCTATGTGACGGTGCCTCTGCTTCTGCCTTTTGCAACGTCTCGGTGAGGAAGAAGATCGCACACAGGAGCGCCGAAGCGGCTACGGCGATGCTGGAGAGGAAAGCCAATTGTAGAGTATCCCATCCACTCTCTTCTCCCAGTGCATCAGCCAATCTACCCAGGACTTCACCGACGATGAGTGGCCCCAGGGTACCGCCAAGGAGGAAAGCAGCCATAAAGTAGTTTATGTTGCGAGCTCGCGTCTTTGATGTGCTCAAGTCGAAGAGCGTCAGCAGACTGGCGGTAGTGACTACTTGATAGCTTCCCAATGCTGCTGCGAGTATCTCGGTGATGAAGAGGACGAGAAAGTGGGGTGAGAAGCCCAGGATAGACCGTCGAGACGAACCTAGGTGAGAATGCAGCTGGCTGTCCTGCCCACTACCGCCATCGGCTCGTAGAACCGAGTCTCTCGCGACTACAAAGTAGACCAGCTCAAAGAGCATGCTTGATGCAAGACCGAGGAGCACAAGCGCCTTTCTACCCCACACGGACCCTTTGAGCGTATAAAAGGTGATACTGACCGTGTTGATACATGCTACGGAGACCCAGAGTGCGGTGCCCCAATGTGCAGCCAGGGCCTGAGCGGGCGTATCATCCCTGTCGGTGCCCGATCCAGGCAGTACGGGAGGTGTAGCGGGCGGAGGCGGAGGCACCGTTGCATCGGGCGGGGAATGGGGTAGGGCGAGGAAAGCAATGTGCTGCGAGGCTAGTCGCTGGAAGAGGAGAGTGACGACAGTAGTGTGAAGACCGCTTGCGATGGTTGCGAGGGCGATGATCAGGAGACAGGGCCATAGAGGCAGAGGACGAGGCTGCGTACGCGCGGGTGAAGGTGGGGTGAGTGGTTCCATGGTAGGCAGTGCAGCAGCAGCAGCAGGAGCAGCAAGAGGAGGCGTTGGGGAGGGTCGAAGCTGTGTCTGCTCTACGAGCGCGACTCCAAGGTGATTGTCATGTTGATGATGGCCATGGTGCGGGATGAGGAGGACAGATCGGGTATCTTTGCCCCTTTTGTTGGTTGTTATCTCCTGTTAATCAGCATGGGTCCATCGGAAACGCCATTTTTCCCCGCGCTGCTTAGCCGAGGTGCTCAGCAGACTCGCTTTTAATTGGCCCGTGCCGTCGGAAAAGTCGGAATTCTGGGCCGATGATGGACACAGACCACCTCGCCTGCACAACATCGCCATGGTCACACTGTCACTTTGCATTTCTACCATCCTCTCACCTCACCAAGACTGTAGCAGCAGAAGGGTGAAGATTTGTACACGAGCTAGATATGTCGTCGACTGCTCAAAGCACGCCCGACAGCGCTCCACCGCAGCCGCAGGTGCAACCCCTGAAGCACGTCTTCAAAGAGGTCGATGGCTTGCAGATCGCGTTCGATGTTTACCTCGCTCCTTCCGCAACCAAGGAGCGCCCCTCGCCCGTACTGATCTGGGTGAGCAGACGATGTACTTCACAACAGCTCCTGAAATCCTCTCACACCCTTAGCTGACAGCCGCCTGATTCTTGTCTCCTCTCCCTCTCCCGGCAGTGGCACGGCGGCGGCCTCCTACAAGGCTCTCGCTCCTCGCTCCCCCCACATCTCCTCGCCGCCCCCACCCGGCACGGACTCACTGTCATCTCAGCCGACTACCGTCTCGCTCCACAGACGCGTCTCCCTGAGATTGTAGCAGACTGCAGAGATGCTCTCGCTTGCGTCCTCTCCCCCTCTTTTGACTCCCTAGTGACTGGGAGGGTAGATACGAGCAAGGTGTTCCTCTCTGGGTCTAGCGCAGGAGGATGGCTTTCTCTGCTCGTCTCCTCCTCTCTAGCTTTCGAGAAGATGGGAATCCCTCTCGTTCCAGGTGCCAAGGAAAAAGTGCGAGGTACGATCCCCATCTACCCCATAAGTGACATCACCCAGCCCTTCTGGAGAACAAGACAGCGTCCCGTCTCTTACCTGGGCGGGAGGGTGATCGATGGTCCGCGCGAGCTAGGAGAATTTCTCGACCCGCACGCACCACAGGTTGCCAATAGTGCTCCGGACAGTAAAAGGTCTAGTTTTTACCATTACATGATTCAGGAGGCTTTACTGGAGGAGCTCCTCCTTACTGGAACGGGTCTGAAGGGAGAGGATGTGGCGATTGCGCAGGGCCTCAACGAGGGGTCAATTACGAGCATGCCACCTACGCTAATTTTCCACGGGACGTAAGTAGGTCGTAGACTACTCCTGTCTGCTTCTTCCTTTTCCTTTTCCTGCCCTGACACTTCACGAATTATTTCTCCCCACCCTGACGCAGCGCCGACGATAAAGTCCCCTTTTCTCAAGCCCAGTCAGTCGCCGATGCCCTCCGTGCCCGGGACTTCCACGTGGAATTCGTAGTCGAGGAAGGAAAGGACCACTTGTACGACCAGGACCCAAAGGAGGAGATGAAGGAGATGTATGAGTTTGTGAAGAGGTTGGCGGGGTGAATCCAGAAGAGAGTGAGGAAGAGGGGAAAGAGTAGTCGCTTTTCCTTGAACATTGAACATTGGAAAGATTCGCACATTGCACACCCTCTTGATGGAGAAATCATCAAATCAACCACACCACATATCCTCACTCTGGTAAATGCAAGCGAGATGAAAATGTACTACATAAATAAAACAAGTTATGAGAGAGACAGGCAGGTAGGGCCATCGCAAGACGTTCCCAAGAGGAAGAAAGACGAGACAAGACAGGATGAGGATAGGATGGGATAGGATGAGACCGAACGGTGCCAGTGTGTGTGTGTGGGTGGGTGGGAAGAAAGGAAAGAAAGAGTCCGTGTGTATTCTTCGTGCGTCGCTGATCCTTGCCAAATAGGAGGAGGAGCACGCACGGATGTCGTGAGGGAAGTGGAGATCTTGGGAGGGTTGGCTTGCGTCGAGTCTCTTGCGAGTAGTGGAGGACGAGGTGGGGAGAAACAGCGCGGGGAGACGATGGTACAAGTACAAGTACAAGAGGTGGAATGTTGCAACGAGAAGGGTGGGCACGAAGACGATGGACGCCAAAGCACGCACGCAGGCACGCACGCTTGTTCAGCGGCTAGCGGCTGGCGGCATCGCTCGTGAATCCGTACTCGTCTGCCGTCACTGCTCCTCCTGCACTCGAAGCCATACCGCCCTCTGCGCCACTTGTTGTGCCGCCGCCGTATCCTCCACCGGCAGTCTGATACCCACCACCACTGGTGTATCCGCCAGCAGTCTGATATCCGTCGGTGTTGCTACTGGACATGTTCGGTGGGGCGCGCATCCCCAGTCCTCCGCTGCGACTGCCCGACGTCTCGTCGTCTGTGTTGCCGCTGGTAGTGCCACCGCTAGAGTCAAAGGCGCCGCTGCTGCCGTGTCGCATGTGTGCTGGCAACTCGCCCTTGCTGCTCTGACAGCAGACAAGCGGTGCTGCTCCCTCCTTTCCGCTCGGTGTCCTGAGCAAGCACCAACCGTCATCGTATATCCTCACCACGCTCAGCTCCTCACGCGACTCTGGTGTCAGGTCCAGCTCGTCAGAGAGACCAGCAGAGTAGGGGTAGATGGCAACCACTGTGTCGCCTGGTGCAATATCTTGACCGGTGTACTGGCAGCGGACCGAGGAGACCGTCGCACCACGGCCGTCTGTGCCAGAGGTGGCAGTCGAGAGCGGTCGCGAGTCGGAGCCTGTACCAGGTGCGCTAGGATCTTGTGTAGGCGAGTGTTTGCCGCTGGCGGCCGCTGCGCCGAGAGCAGCACCTCCCAGAGCACCAGCTGCGAGGCCGCCCTTGTCCTGGGATAGATTCCTGGACCTGGCCGAGTCTTGCGAGGCGTGATAAGGCTTCTCTGAAGGTGAGGAAGAAGAGGCAGCACGTGGAGCACCAGCAACCGCCGCCTCGTTCTCGGGCTCTCGCTGCTTTCTCTTGCGCCTGCCGCCACAGCAGCAGCACCAGATGAGAAGACCGAGCAGGGCGAGGAGGAGTAGACCACCGATGATAGATCCGATGATAATACCAGCCAACGCTCCCTTGCTAAGGCCATTGCCGCCCGATGACATGCCTGCAACGGCACCGTTCTGCGAAGTAGTGCCAGCGGGGACAGAGAAAGTGGGCTTGATGACTGCCGCGGCAGGGTAGCCAAAGGCAGCACAGCCCGACAAGTCGGTCTTGTCCTCGTAGCAACAGGATGGGACACTTGACTTGGAGGCTAGATCACAGTAGCCGCACAATTGCGCATTGGGTCCATCACCGAAGCCACAGTTGCCCTCGTTGCTGACTCCGAGAACACAGGAGGTGTCATTGGCAGTGTAAATGGACGACCAATCCGTACAGCTCTGGTAGTCGCTGGTGAGGGTGTTGTTTCGGGTGACGGCCCACGCTGGGTCGGTGAGGTCTGCCGTCGGTGTGCAATAGCTGGCATTGGCTACAAATGCGTACTCTGACTGTGAGTACTGTGTGCAGGTGGACTGGCACACCTTTGTCATTGCGGCATTGTTGTCCGGCGTGCATCCAAGGTTGTCGCTGGTAGCAGTGAAGATGCCACAAAGGACAGTCTGCGACCATTGCAGCGTGGCGTTGAGGAAACCGGATTGGTTACATTGCAGACCAGAGTGGAGCTGTGTCTGGCGGAATTGCTCGTATTCGGTGTAGTAGTTGGCAAACTGTGTATCAAAGGATGCCACGTCGGTCACGTCCGCGAAGAAGGGATATGCCGGTGTGAGTCCAGTGGGGTCAACGTCTGGGAGAGTGAAGGCAAGGTGGAGGTGAGAGAAGATGGTCAGTAAGATGGCCGTAGGCGGAAGGCGATGCGAATGCTGCCACTATTGCTATGCTCCTCTTGGCGACTCACATTGACCGGCAAAGGATGGACACATGGAAGATGAGTTGAGGGAGATACATGATGTACCCTGTGCTTGAACAGACGAAGGGCCCGTGGCGAGGAGCACGAGCATACTCCCTGCCAGCGCGGCGAGGGAGGAGGCCGTGGATGTGATCATAACCATTGCGTGGGAGCGATGGAGTGGGTGGTATATGTGGCACGGGTGTGTGCGCGTATAGGTGCGACCAGAGGGTATGATCGATCCACCGACTGTAATCGTCAATGGAGACCAAGCTTCAGATACTGGCCGGTAGGGCTACCCCTGTCCTCTCGAGGAGTAAGGTGATAGGTATACCCAGAAGGCGGCACGGCGATGCGGCAAGACGCCTAATAGATTAGACGGCTCGGGAGGAAATGGGCTGGCGCTACAAGCCTCGAGTGGCGTGAGAGAGTTTGCTCAAAAGGCGAGAAGTCTTCGCCGCTAAGGAAGTAAGTTGGCCGAGTAGTAGTAGGAACGGATACGCCGATGGCTAAACCTTGTTTCTTCTTCGCAAGAGCTTGGGCTAGAAGAGGCGGCTGGGTGGGTGGGGAGGGACGATGGTGCGCCTTGTGTACGAGCAGTGGTTCGCGGTAGCGGTATCGATGGCGGAGATGGTGTTGACGACGATGATGACGATGACGATGAAGAGAAGTGACGAGGAGTGGTAGAGGACGCGGATCAGGGCTACGGGTGGTGGTGGTGGTGGTCAGCGTAGGCTCGGGCAAGGGGGGGGGGGGAGAAGGGCGAGGGCAGGGCGGGGGGGGCGGAGAGGCAGACAGGCAGACGGGGCACGCCAGGCCAAGTCGCCCGCACACAGAGGGGAGCGCGGCGTGTCTCACTTTGGCGGGCGCGCGAGTTTTCCAAAGCGGCAGCCGAGGCGGCAGAGGCTGTCGGCGTAGGACCCAGGCATGCAGGCCAGCCAGACGGACAGGCGGACAGAGGCACCACGCAGGCGCGCAGCGTAAAGGCGTCCCTGGGGGGGGGCATGGCCGGGGCGCGCGCAGACTGCTCTGGTGCCTACGCCGTTTTCCGTGGTGTGGCTGCATGCGCCAGGTGCTTGCGTCTGAGATTGCCACTGGCACGTCACTGCTCCAGTGCCCCGGCCCCGAGATCGCTTGCAGGCAGCGGAATCCTCAGTGGCACCCGCTTATTTGCTCGGCCCTCGTCCCCCCTGACGCCACCCACTTCCCTCTCACTGCTCACCGGCCTTGCCCTCGTCCCACTGTAAGACACGGCCATGAACCATCGCGGTTATTTACGCGAGCAACAGCACCACAACAGTATCCCGCTCACCATCGCTGAAGCAAGCACCCACTCGCCTAGTCCCTCTCTCTTGTGTCCTGCTTCCAGAGTCTATTTTCACGACACAAACACCCGCAGAGAGAGACACACAGACACCCAAGCAAACAGATGCACCTGTTCCCTCTATTCTACCATCGGGTCCGTGGGGCGAAAGAGAACGGAACGTAAGCAACCAGAATTGAAAAGTTTGCCGATCCTGCGTCATGCTCCACAACTCACGTTTGCTCCGAGCTCCATGGGAACAAAGAAGGCTAGGGAGCGGAGAGCGGAAATCTAGGGTCAACGTAATGATGGTAGTAGCGAGGGGGAGGGGAATCGAAGGATGAAGGCGAAGGTTTCAGACCACCAGTGCGAGATCCCCTCCGCCTCTCGCTTGCTCTCTCACACGCTCGATCGCACTCTTAGGAGGCGATGTCGCAGTTCGCGTGTTACTAAGACTTCGCGAGGGGCTCGATGGTACCGAGACCTCGCAAGGGGCCTTCCCTGAAGATGTTCAAGAATCTCGCCAGGGGCAGACGCATAGAAGGACGTTGAAACCTAACCCCTCGCCTCTCCTTGCTGTGAAGATGTTCCATTTCAGCCCAGCGCAAATGGAAGCGCACTTCTGATCGGTCGGACCTGAGATGAGATGAGGTGAGACCTTCCCCGTGAAGATTGCTGTTTCAGTCCGCGGCTGATGGAAGCGCAGTTGCAACAGCCTGGGAAAAAACGAAAACAAAAATCGAAATGGAAGCAAAGAATGGAGCGATCTAGAAAGAAGGCGAACCTAGCCCTTGGCCCCTGCTTCTGCACCAGTCCACACACCTCACCGACGATGGAAGTCTTAGGGGGCGGAGAATTGGTAGATGTTGGCGAGATAGGGCTTCTGGCCAAGTGGCTCGAGCGTACATCTGTAGCACAAGGCAGATTCAGTCGTGGGGTGCAGGCAGAATAAACAAATCATTATGTGGGGGTACTTTTGGCACTGGGTTCTGGAACCAGTGTGTAGATGTGCTATACTCGCTGCCCTAATCAAATCACGTGCCACCAGCCCTTGCTTGAGCCTCGTTGAGCCGCTTCTCCCTCTCCATGTAGGTAGCCCTCGACTTGCGAATGTCCTCCAGAGTAATTCCAGCACTCTCGCACAAGCGCCTGAACAGGCCCGTCGCACCCTTCGGAGCCGCCTCATCACCCTCCTGCGCCTGCGCCTGCTTCTCCTCTCCGGAACCGGCAGTGGAAGTGAAACCAGCACCCTTGAGATAGAGAGCCTCCACTCCGTCCACCTCGGCCACACGACCCTGGTCCATGACGACGACAAGGTCGCTCCCGCCGACAATGGTATCCAATCGATGAGCGACGGTGATGAATGTACATCCTCGGAGCACCTCCTGCAACATGACTTGGATCTGACTATCCGTGTGCACATCTACCGAAGCCGTCGCCTCGTCCAGGATGACGATGCGCGATTGCTTCACCAGCGCGCGCGCAATGCTCACCAGGGAGCGCTGTCCCTGCGAGAGATTGGAACCGTCTGCTGAAATCTCCATGTCCAGGTGCAATGGACGACTGACGTTCTTGCTCTGTGACTCCCCCTTGCCTTCGGCTCCAGCTCCAGCTGGGGCAGTTTCGGTGTCTTGAGAAGGCGGTGCCGTGACCGGCATGTCTTTGATCGTGGCAGCAGATTTGGCAGCAGGCGCAGAGTCCGCTGTTCCTTCGTTCTCTGCGATGGTCCTGCTGTCCGTACTTTGACTCTCGTAACTCGTAGAACCCTCACCGTCTCCAACAAGCCTAGCTTGCTTCATCGCTCGCCAAAGGTCTACATCGTCGTGCTCCTGAAAGGGGTCGAGATTGTATCGCAGCGTGCCCGCGAAGAGGACCGCATCCTGCGAAATGACGGAGATCTTGCGTCGGAGCAAGTTCAGGCCGATGGTAGAGATGTCGACGCCGTCGATCGAGACGCTGCCTGATGTCGGCTCCATGAGACGGAGCAGAGCGGAAAGGAGTGTCGATTTGCCAGCGCCGGTCCTACCAACCACACCAATACGCTGTCCTGGCTTGATGTCCAGTTCCACTTGACGCAAAGCAGGTGGCAGCTCCGGCCTGTGAGAGGCAGTGAGCGCATTGAACTTCACCCTGCCTTCTTGCGGCCAATGGCTCTTCTCGAGCTCCTTGTCGCCTTCGAGATCATGACCCGCCTCCTGCGGCAGCTCCCTCGTGTAGTGCAGTAAGCGCTCAATGGAGTTCATGTTGTTCTCGATCTCGGCCGACTGACGGATCATCTGCCCAAAGACGGACTGCACCGTGACCATGTACGACAAGACGACTCCGCCGCTGGAAGAGGAAATGGTACCTCGCAGACCGACCACTAGAAAGGCCACGGCAAGGCAGAGGACGGCTCCCATGAAGTCGAGGCGCAGGTTCATCCAGCGCTGGCAGGCGATTGAGAGCCAATATGCACGATTCTCCGAATCGATGCGCCTGGCATTGTCCTCTTGGAAACTCGCCAAGGCGCCATAAGCTCGCACTGTACTAATGCCAGTCAAAGACTCCGAGAAGTGCTCATAGATCTTGGACCGCAGAACATTGTTCAGTCGCCTGAGCTCTCTTGCAGCTGGCCGGTAGTACATACCGACCCAGACGTAGAGAATCACCACCACTGCCGCAATGGCTAGGAAGTACGGGAGGATGATAGTGACTAGGATCACAGAACCAAGGGCCTGCACTGTCGTGGAGATGAAGAGACGCAGTGTCTCACCAACCACGTTGTCTACAGCATCGATGTCCTTGGAGAAGCGGTGAGTGATACGTCCTTGCGGAGTTGTGTCGAAGAAGGAAAGTGGTGCGTAGAGGACAGTCTTGCTTGCCCGAGCATGGAGGTGGAAAGACGTATAGTAGGCAAACAGAGCAAAAGAGGCGCTCATGCAGAAGAGTCCGACAGATTGACCGATACCTAGAGCAGCATACACGCCCATGTAGACTCCTGTCGAGAGCTGCGGAAACTGATCGCTCTCCCACCAGCTGAGCCAAAGAGGGCTGAGAATGGTCGCTACTTGATACATGACGATTGATAGCACGAAGAGAGGCGCGGTGAGAGGCGCATTGCCAAGAAGGATGTAGTCGAGGTATGTCCTCCAGGTGACTGAGCCCAAGAGACGTTCCTCCTTCTGCATCAGCTCTCGTGGCTGCTTGGCAGGAGACGTAGAATCTTGCGGAGCAGGCTGCGCAGTCTTGCTTTCTTCGGTAGCTGCAGACGGCACTGACGGCGCAGGGTTGCCCTGCTGTTCCGTCGCCTCATTGAGCTCCTGGGCCTGCTCTTGCTCCTCTTCGCTTTGCTTCAAGCCGGTCTTCATGAGCTTAGCAAATGGGCCGTCCAGGGCCATAAGCTCCTTGTACCCGCCTTGCTCCCTGATGGAGCCTGACTCTAGATAGACGACGTGATCCGCGTGGCGAACAAAAGCCAATGCGTGGGTGACCAACACATGTGTGATAGCTGGCCTCCCTTGGTTGCTCTTCCTGGTTCGGTCGGTCTCGTCGAGAATGACATTCTTGAAGACTTCAGCGCCGACGTGGGCGTCCAATGCGGAAAAGCAGTCATCGAGGAAGCGAAGGGGCCTTTCTTCTCCCGAGTAGACAGCCCGAGCCAGCGAGATTCGCTGCTTTTGACCTCCAGAAAGACTGACGCCCTTCTCTCCGACAACCGTCATATCGCCATCGACCAACATGGCAAAATCGCTGGCAAGGCAGCACTTACGGATAGTATCCTGGTATCGTGATTCATCGAATGGCCGACCGAAGACGATATTTTCGCGCACTGTGGCGCTGAGAAGCCATGCTGATTGTGGGCAATACGCCACGTCCCCGCCCAGACGTAGATCACCTGGGCCTCCCGGCGAGACCTCTTGCATATCACCCAGGAGAGCCCTGAGCAGCGAAGATTTTCCAGAACCAACGCCGCCCACTACGACCACCAGGGAGCCCCTCCGAACAGTCAGCTCGTCAATCTGCAGACGCACGTTGGAGGGCAGCCCCTTGGCCTTCTCGGAGCCATCGGCTGAGACAGGGAAATCCACGGTGTCATCGTGATGTAAAAAAGCTGCGTCTCTCACTTTCACCGCCTCGACCATTTCATGGTCAATGGGCGGGTCGGGACCTCGCAACTCAGCCTGCATGAATTCGCTGAGGCGCTCCAATGCGGCACCGGCATCTGCGATAGCGCTGAGGCACACGGGCAGCAGCTGGAGCGGTGTCCGGAGAAGCAGGAAGAAGGTGAGAGAAGAGAAGATGACTCCCGAGTCAAGGTCGTTACCGACCCCGACGTAGCAAACGAAGCTAACGACTGCTGCCAGCGTAGGGATAGTGAAAGAGACTGCAGTGTTGAGCGAGCGCAGAAGTAATCGCTTTCTCAGAATTGACATTTCTGAAGCTCGGAAGTTGCCAATCTTGCTCAGCATAGGGGATTCCCACGCGTACGTCTTGATGAGTCGGATACTGGCCACGGTCTCGACGACGGCCTTGATTCTAGCGTCTGTGAAAGGCATCGAGCGTTTCCTGAGAGCGAAAAGCTTCTTGACCATGACATTCTGCAGCGGATACATGACTGCCACCAGGGCAAAGCCAGGCAGAGCGCTGTAGCTCAACGAATAGATCATGAGACCTAGACAGACGGCAATCTGTACCATGCTTGTCCAGGCCATGTGAAAGTAGCCACAGCAGAAGTCGATCCGGCTGGCGTCTGCTGAGATGAGCGACATCATCTTCTCTACACCAAGTCCAGTGAGCCTAGCCCTTTCGCTGAGCTTGGTGCCTCGAAGGTAGACAGTATGGATCAGGGCAGCGCGCAGAGCGATGCCGGTCGAATACGAGCGGTAAAAGCCATGTACATTGCCGAAGACAGACAAGGTGAGAAGAACGAAGAGGCCTGCGGAGAGGCCAAAACCCCTCTTCTGGGCGTACGATCCTTCCTCTGAGAGGGTATCGATGATGGACCGTACCAGGAGCGGAGAGGTGATGAGGGCTAAATCACCCGTGAGTTTCATCAGCCCGCCGACCCAAAACCACGAGAAGATGACGTCGTTGAGGGACCACATCAAAGATGGCTTCACTTCATCGTCTTCCAGCTTTGATGCCTTCTTGAAATTGACAAGGCGCATCAAGTGCGAGCCGATTGACCGCCGCTTCTTGTACGGTTGACTCTTCCGCTTGGCCGTCTCTGCTTGTGCGATGGCGCTGCGCCTGCTCCATGCTTCCTCAAGTCGTTGCGAGTATTCCTTTGCGCTGCGATGCGAAGGCATCGCATATAGCTCTTCGGCGTTCAGAGGGCGCGTATAGCCGATCCTGAGGACGCGATGCAGCCAGGAGAAGGTGGCCAAGGAGTACCAGTTGGCCTCCATCTCCGGAAATGGAGGAAGCTGCGACGTGGACGCTGCAGATGGGCCATCCTGCTTCTCCGACACAGGTGTGGGCTCGCAGACAGGGTCATCGATGGGCTTGGTACCGACGAAGGGCACCTTGCGGTACCACTTTCTCACTGGGTATCGATCGGGCGAGTCTCCAGGACCAGCCTGAGCGAAGGTAGCCATCGCTCTGGATGGGCAGAAACAAGTGTTGTAAAGGACAGACGAGGAGGATGTTGGTCAGACGTCGGTAAGAACGAGCAAAGAGTGTGAGGATGAGTAGTGGTGGCGATGGGTCACAGAAGGTGACGCTGGCCGGCGGCAAGCACGGCAACCTATGCTTACTCGAGGACGGAGTGAGGACTCATCGAGTAGCGAAAGGAAGGACAGGACAGAGGTTGCTGAGGACTTCTTCGTGCATCACCGCACGGGTCATGACGGAAGTGCTCGCATAAGGGAGGGACGAGGGCAGCTGCCATGAGCTGCCTGGGTGTCGCTTCGGGGGGAAGTGCGTCAGCGGAAGTGTGACAGGAGCAAGAAAAATCCAGGAAAGGGCGACGTGGGGACTCGATGGTACCGATTCGAATTGGAAAATGCAGCACTGCGTCAGGGGATCTGAGACCCCGACTGCCTCCTCTGCGCCAAGTGCAGTGGGCCAGAAAAATCTCCCTGCCGCCGCCGGCGCGGTCCGGAGAAGCGAGTCGCCGGAAACACGGCACATCGGCAGAGGCAGACCAAGTATCACACTTAATCTGATTAAAAGGAACAGTGGAGGCACATGCCCACAGCGTCCCTCCCGGAATTAGAGACAGCAAAGGCAGCCTCGCCCCCTTGCCGCAACAGTGGTAGCCAACAATAGCAAGCGCTGCGCAGTTTTCTTACACGTTGAGCGGTACCTTCTTGCCAGCGTGTCTTTGCCGATCCGGTTGCCGCCAGCCTCTCGATGGTTGCTTCCTCCATCAGAGGCTGCTGCCGCTGACTTGATCAGACTTCGGCCTGGAGGAGTTCCGTCCTCGGGCGAAAAGCACCAGGGGCAAATTGGCTGGGCTGCCGTGCCTGCACCTCGGCCGTTGCGTGGATCCGTCGGCGATTAGCGGAGATCGAATTCGCTCGGAAGACTTCCACTTTCCCCGCCGCTTCTCCGGTGAAAGGTGAGGGCTGACGCACCTGCCCATCCCCCTTGACAGGACGAGGACCCTGTGGGCCTCAATGAGCTGACAGGTCGGAAAGGGAGAAAGACATCTTTTGGACCTCGCTCACATCATCGTACTATATCATCAAGGAGTGAGCTCAGATGCTCCTTGCGAAGCGGCTACTCGAGCAGATCTGATGTCTTGTGAGAGATTCGAGAAGCTCTGCGGTCTCCGCCATGCGGCAAAACGGTCCACGGAAAGCAACGATGCAGAGAATGCCCAGGAGCAGTACTGGCAGCCTCTCTTAGCTCGCCACGCTCCACGCTGTACCGCGTGGTCCCTGCCCGATCTGAGCAATGCCCGGAGCAACAACAGCAATGAGCTTGCGGGAGGATGTTCGGTCGAGAGACGAGTTCTGGCTGACCGCCAAGCTTTAGAAGGTCTGGCCCGTACCTACGAACTTCCTTCACCGGCAGTAATACTTCAGGCAGCTCTCGGCTGTCTATTCGCAGACTACCTGGAGCAAGGGACTGTTCTGATTGGAGCCAAGCTTTCAGAGCAAACGCAAGCCAATGGCCACCCAGACGGCCGCTCTTCCTCTCCTTTCCTTACATTGCCTTTGTTTATCGACGCTGGCCGGCCCACAAAAGATGAGCGAGAAGCTGGCGCAGGACCACATGGGGATCGTTCCGTATCCGCATTGCTTCAGGACCTTGCAGGGCAATGGAAGGCTCTCACTCGTCCCGCGCTGCGACAGATCTCCGATGAGGATCTCCGCAAAGGACTAGATTGGTCGAGAGAGCAGCCCCTGTACCCGGCCCTGTTCTCGGTGCACGACGACAATGACCTCGCTGGACAAAACTTTCGTGCCACACACAATTCAGAGAATACTACTCAAGTCCCCATGAGCCTCCGAGCCTTCATCGACAAGACCGGAACTCTCACGAAATTTGAGGTATCAGCTGCCAAGAGCTTCATGTCTCATTCGCAGCTGGATCAGTTCGCCAATCAGCTCACTGAGCAGCTCGAGATGCTGGTGCAGGCCGGCTGTTCTGCAAAAGGCGCGGACTTACCCTTGGCTAGCCTCACCGCCTCTCGCACCCAAGGCCTCTCTCTGCTTTCAGTTCACGGCCCTAAGTATCTGCACGAAAGCATGTCAACATCTTCCATCCGGCATCCCTGTCACTGGGTTCGGCATTACGCGCAAATCTTTCCCGACCGAGCAGCAGTTGAGCAGCTAGTCGGCTCTTTTCCCGATGATGACAATGAAACAGAGGTTCAAACTCGCAGTTGGACGTACTCTCAGCTAGAAACAATATCGGACAATCTCGCGGAGCTCCTGCTGGATCGGTTGCCATCCGAAAGCTCCTCCTCTCCGCCCGCAGTTGCTCTCTGTATGGGTCGGACTCTTGAAGCCTTCGCCTGCATCCTGGCCAGTATGAAGGCTGGGTGCCTCTACCTTCCTATCGCCGAGGATCTGCCACCTCAGCGCAAGAAAGAGCTCGTGTCTGACGCAAGGGCCGCTGCTGTCTTTGCTTCATCAGGCCTAGCGGATACTTTCAAAGAACAGAACGCTGCAGGAGATTCCCCTCATCCGACTCTTATCGTTATTGATGACCTTCCTGCCGGTATGGCAAACACACGCAACGACCCTCTCACCCTGCCGCCCGCTAGCAAGACGGGCTACCTCTTGTTCACCTCCGGCTCTACTGGCAAACCCAAGGGAGTCTCCGTCTCTGGCGCGAACCTATCCTCCTTTGTGGATGGCTATGCTGCCATCTTGACTTCGAGATCGCCACGTTCGATGAGGCTCACCGACAATGGCGGAGGACGCTATCTCAATTCGTCCTCGCGAGCCTTCGACCCACATATCTCACAAATGTTTACAGCGTGGAGAATGGGTTACGCCGCTGTGACAGGTGAGCGGAGTTTACTTCTAGAAGACATGATCCGGACGGTGAACTTGCTGGAAATCACTCACATGGGTGGGCTACCATCTCTAGTAGAGCAAGCAGGTATGACACCAGAGCAAGTGCCTTCGCTTGCTCTTCTGGGCGTAGGTGGAGAGAAGATCACCCCTTTCATCCTTGATGAGTGGGCATCTCATTGTGGCGGGGAGGACGGCCGGACGGTGATCAATCTGTATGGTCCCACGGAGGTGACCATCGGATGTACAGCTGCCGTCATCTCCCCTTCCTCTACACCGGGGAACATCGGCTATCCCATCGGCAACACGACGGCGTTGGTGCTACTCCCTGGCTCCGACACTCTGGCGTGGAAAGGTCAGGCTGGAGAGCTCTGCTTCGCTGGTGACCTGGTAGCTCACGGCGGCTACATAGGCGAGAATGCGCCCAAAGGCGGTTTCGCGACCGTTCCCAAACGACTCATCGATCCGCAAGCCCCGCAAGACCAGTCGCTCAAAATCTATCGCACAGGCGATGTCGTGCAGATGCTCGCTGATGGCAGTCTTGCTTTCCTTGGGCGAGCCGATGAGCAGATCAAGATCAGGGGTCAGCGTTTGGAGCTCGGTGAAGTCAATGTCGCTGTGCGTACGGCCGCTGCTGAAGCACGTGAACAGGTATTGTCGGCGCAAAACGCACTTACTGTGTATGTCAAACATCCGGCCCTACCATCTGCCCGGCTGTTCAGCCTGGTCGAGTGTGGGGGGCAAAGCGACTCTCAGCTGGCTTTGCTTGAAGACAGTGATACAAGGGAGGCCATCTCTTCAACGCTCAAAAGCAAGCTGCCGAGCTTCATGGTGCCCACTGTCGTCCTTGTTGAGCGTCTACCAAAATTGGCATCGGGCAAGGTAGACGGCAAGAAGATCAAGCAAGCCTTGATGGACGCACCCATAGATGAACTCCTCTCGGAGAGCCGCAGCCCTGCTGCAGGTGTAGTGGGGGAAAAAGCGCGCACTTCTCTCACGCCTTTAGAGGCCGAGATACTCGCAGTAATATGCGCTTTGTCTGGTTCTGAGGCTCAAGAAGCGTCCAAGTGGGCGCGACCCTCGACGAGCATCTTCGAACTCGGTCTCGACAGTCTTTCTGTTCTCGGCTTACCCGCCCGTCTACGTGGACCGCCGATCGAAATCACTGCTACTGTGGGGGAGATTCGAAAGTCAGACACCCTCGAGGCATTGGCCAAACTCAAAGACAGCAAGAAGCCAAGAGAAGAAGGTCACGACAGTGCAGAAGCATACGACCCCCAAGCTTTCGACTCTGCGACTCGAGAAAGTCTTGCATCTGTGTTGAACGCGGAGCACCTAGCAGAGATCGAATGGTTCAGACCTGCCCTGCCGCTACAGGAGTCGTTGTTGGCGCTGTCCAGTCTAGCTCGGCAGCGCTCAGAAGGCGTTTCAGACTTGCCATATGTGGATCATCTCACCATTGCTCCTCGAGAAGGCGTCACACCACAGGAAGTTGTCGAGCGGTGGCGGAACGTCGTCAAGTTTGAGCCAGTATTGAGGACGTGTTTCGTAGAGACTCCGTCAGGCGTCACTGTCCAATCAATCTTGCGACCGGAGGCCCTGCAGCTGGCAGATCTGATCAAGGAAGGTGAGGTCAACGACCCCCATCATACTGCTACAGATATCGTAGTCCACGCCGCTTCCTGTCCTCCCTTCCGGGTCTCGGTCTCGCCGTCTACAGGCGTTGCCCACATCGCCATCCATCACTCCATCTACGATGGGCACACAATGCCACTGCTGCTGCGAGACGTATACGGAGCAGCCTGTGGCCAGCAACGCCCCGTCAACAATCCTTACGATAACACTGTCTTGTCTTTCGCCGCTCGATGCCGAGGACCTCATGCAAAGGCTTTCTGGACGCAGTATTTTGATGGCTATGTAGCACCACAGCTTCCACTTACCGCCCGGACCAGAGGTCAAGAGTGTGGAGCAGGTAGAATCAAGCTATCTTGGGACGAGCACAGTGCTGCAAGGCTGCGAAAGATTGCCCGGAGCCCGCCCTACGGTACCACGCTATCTGGACTCTTTCAATCCTGCCTGGCCTTGATCTTGGCTAGGACTACGTCTGGTTCTGATGTGGTGATTGGGCATGTTGTCAATGGCCGTTCGGCTGGCGATATGGAAGGCTCGAGCGATAGCAGGCTGCCGACAGTTGCAACCGTACCCGTTCGACATCAGCTACGCTCTTCTGATGTCCAGAGTCCTTCACTAGCGACGATCGTGCGGGCTGCCAAAGCCTCTTCTGCTTCTACAATGGACTGGCAGCACACGTCCCTTCGCCTCATACAGAATGCGCTTGGACGCGGTGGGCTATTCGAGGTGCTGTATGCCTACAACGGAAAGAGCGACTCGGCAGATGGGCAGAAGGATGACAGGCCCTGGCACGCCATACAAGACGAAGGCGATGATTCAGACCCGCGCATTGACTATCCTCTCGTGCTGGAAGTGAACGAAGTCGGCGACGGCCTGGCAGCTAATGTGGCGTACTCTAGAAAGAACATCAGTGCAGTCGAAGCGGAGAGCATCGCGGCGCAACTTCCTCTGCTTCTGACCCTCGCGGAGGAGACGCCTGACTCCACCCTTGAAGACCTAGGAGTACCTGAGGGAGTCGTTGATCCATCCCACTCCAGGACGCCGTACCGTCCAGATCGTGATCTCAGCGACGATGAGCGCAAAGCACTGGACGTTCTCCTTGCCATTGTTAAGGATGTGAACCGCGACGAGGTGACACCGTACACCAGCTTCTACCGTGTGGGCCTGGACTCCATTGTTGCTATTCGCTACTCGAGAGAATTGAGAAAATCTGGCTTCAAAGGGGTCGATGCAGCGAAGATTGTGGAGAGTGGTACTCTGTCCAAGCTTTGTGGTACTGATGGAGCGGATAACGAATCTGCGGACTGCGAGAAGCCAGCCACCGTGGACGGCGGAGCGTCAAACCATACGCAGATGAACGGCAAGTACGAAGGCGACCACTCCCAAGGGCAGGATCCTGACAAAATGAAGGTCCCAGATTACTCTCACTTCTTTCAACCTTTGATGCCCGAAGATGCGTTCGAAGCTGCTTACGAGTGCACCCCGCTGCAAGCCGGGATGTTGACCGTTTCGCAAGGCTCTACTCAGTCTGCGTATCGCCAAGCCCACCGCTTGCAGCTTCGCGAAGGCGTAGACCTGCAACGTCTGAAGAAGGCATGGGAGCAAGTTGTCTCCAGCCTCGATGTACTACGCACCACCTTTCACCTCGATGAAGCTCATGATAAAGCACAGTGGGTCGGTATCGTCCACCGCCATGTCCCTTTGCGGTGGCGAGATACAGAGCTGGATGCGGCCGATGGTCAGCCTGGGTCTTTCGAGAGCGGTCCCCCAGTCGCAGTCGAAGTCGATTCGCGGACCTTTCTCGCCACCTTTCACCTGCACCACGCCCTCTACGACGGTGCATCCCTCCCGCTGATCTTCTCCCAGCTACGGAAACAGTACCGCCGCACCCCCCCTGCGGCTTCATCGACGCCGTTCCATATTGCTGCGACAGAAATCAGCGCTAGTCGGGAGGCTCACGAAGTGTACTGGGCTTCGTCGCTACGCAAGTACTCCTACGCGCCTCTTGTGCAAACCCAGGGTAAAGGCACAGTCAGTCGTCGATGGAGAGCGTCTTCTCAAATCGGCTGGTCCATTACTGCCGCCTGCCGCTCCCTCGGTGTGACACCGCACGCCATTTGCGTCTTTGCTTACGCCAAGGTGCTCGCTACGACCATACTACGCTGCCGCGACGTTGCCTTTGGTCATGTCTTGGATGGCAGAGGCCGACAAGTCCTCGAAGGGGATCTTGATGACAAGGCAATACCTATCGTTGGCCCGCTATTCAACACCGTCGCTCGTCGGGTCACATTTCAGAACTTGCTCGAGACGAACCAAGATGCTGTACAACGCGTTCAGTCGTCTATCGATGAAGGGATGGCGCGACAATCAGCTTCTCTAGGGGAGGTCGTCAAACAGTGGCGTGCGAGCCAGGAGAATAGCGGCGCTGCTCTGACAACTCGGCTCTTCGACTGTCTTTTCGTATTTCATAAGATCCCGGCTTCGCAACCAAATGCAGAAGACGAAAAGCTGTGGGACGTATCGCTCCACGGTCAGGGAGAGGATGATCTCGACACGGGCGAGGACGAGTACGAATTGAATGTGAGCTTCGTCGAGCAAACCGACGGGCGTTTAGACATCTATGCAAACGCCTCAAATGCGGCTGTTGCAGGCTCTTCGCAACTGAAAAATGTAGTAGAGGAGATTGCACAATCTTTGCAAGATGCTCTGACGCATCCGGAGGCGATCCTTGCGACTCGACCCGAACGCTTCTATGCACTCCCACTGACAAGCACGCCAGCTTCTGACACTCAGGCCGGCAAGGGCGGTACTCGCACCGATCTGACAGCGGATGAGGCAAGCTTCTGCGATGTCCTCTCGAAGGTGATATCCAAGATCAGCAAGCCAGACTGGCGGCGCCCATCAACAAATGTCGTCGAAGTCGGCATCGACTCGATCACTGCCATTCGTCTTGCTAGTGAATGCAGAAAGCATGGCGGCGTCCTGAGGGCAGTCAATGTGCTCACCATCCTTCGCGCCCAGACGGTAGAAGGTATTGTCAATGCAGCTACGGAAAAAGGTGCGAATCTATCCCTTTCGGGCACGGCAGATGTCAATGGGTCTATGTCCTCTCGTGACCTCGAAGACACGAAGACCCAGGCAGCCAAGCATCTTTCGAATGGAGGTCCGATACAGCTGGAGGATATCGAAGACGTCTGTGACATACTCCCAGGGCAAGCTCACAATCTAGATAATTGGTTCGCAACAGGGAAGCGCTTCTGGGAAGCACCTTGGGTATACTCCGTCGAGGATCAGACAGTATCCGCTGCACGCCTTCGAATCGCTTGGCAGAAGTTGCGCGAGCGTCATGCTATCTTGAGAAGCACATTCGTTGCGCTACCGCAACATGGCGTGACGAAAGATCGGGTTGCGCAGGTGACGCTCAAGCGCTCGTCCCCTGTTCTGAAGGACTTGAATTGGTCCGTCAGGTCAGTAAGCTCAGATGCGGAAGTCGTTGCGGCGACTTCGGCTGTGGTCGACCATTTCACGGCCAACCCATCGAGTCTTTTCCTTCCCGACGCTCATTTGACCCTCATCAAAGGCCCAGCAAATTCCGCCATTGTCATCGTGCTAATTCACGCCATGTATGATGCGGTCAGCATGCCTATGATGATTCGGGAACTCCGAGAACTGTACGACGATGACTCGAGCGCAGCATTACAGAGTGCTATCGATTTCGCTCCTATGGCACGGCGCATTGCGTCTCATCGATCACTCAGAGACGAGAAGAAGTGGTGGACCTCCCAGCTTGCCTCTGCAAATTGCACCATCTTGGGCAAGGGAGGCCATCGCGGAAGCGCTACCGCTCTTGGTCGACAGGTCTTCTGCCATCTACCGACGGCTGTTGCGGGGCTCTCTGCGCTGGAAGAGCGTGTGGCTAAGCATGTGGGACAAGGAGTCAACCTTTCGCACGTCGTCATGCTCGCCTATGCTCGTCTGCTTGCTCGAAGATTGGGCGAGCAAATCAATGACAAAGGGCCAAGGTCAAAGGATGCCGACGGTATGCCCACCTTCGGCTTCTACACGGCCGCCCGGGCAGGCGTCGCAGACTACTGTCCCGAAGCCGCCAATGCACCTGTTCCTCTGCTGAACGTCCTGCCACTGAGCCTCCGAGTACCAGCGTCCTCATCCTCGGACAGTGCGATCGCCGAACAGCTCTTGACGATCAAGCAGCACCTCGTCGAGCGGACAGAGTGGGAGCAGTCGTCCCTGCGGGACGTAGTCGAGTGGTGCGGACGTGGGACGCCGCTCTTCGACTGTTTCCTCAACCTGCTCTGGCATGGAGGCGGGAACAATGGGCAAACGCAGATTCGAGCCGAAACTGAAGATGGAGCTACAGAGGCTGACGAGGAGATGACAAAGCGTCAGCGCCTGGGTCTGAAGCATATGAAGCTGCCTGCCGCGGCTGCCTACAATCGGTCAGACGTCGTGCACCCTCTATCAAAAGCGGCCGTCGAATCGGCCAACGGAGCAGGACCGAAAGACGCCACTGCCAAGCAGCCCACATCGACGCTCGGTATCGCCCACGATACGTCCTACCTCGCCGCCGAGAAGCTGTACGTTGATGTGCGCCGCAAAGCGGACGAGGATTCGCTTGGCTTCGGACTCAAGGCTGACGTGGGATTCTTTTCGGGGGAGTGCGAAGACGTCGACGGGGCGCAGCGCGGGGTGGAAACGATTGCGCACGAGCTGGCTAGGGAGGTGCAGAGGATTTGCGACGAGCTGTGAGCAGGCATTGCAGTCGATTATGCGGTCGGCAATTCGCTGCAGGTTACTGCGACAGTAAAGCGGAAGAAACATCTACTTGTAGAAGGAGGACGGAAACAGTAACGCATAGAAGCATGAAATCTCTATATTCGAAAGCATGGCACATGTTGCCCAATTCGATCGTCGCGCTGTGGCTACTATACATCGTGTAACTTCGGATTGTCGCTTCGCCTGCTCAACCAAGCCCAGCAGAAGCCGTGTTCTGCATGCTGTAGCTCTGCAGCGCCCCAGCGCCCCCCATCTGCGGGCTCTGCGGCGGGGCAGGTCCCGTGGAGAGGGTCCTGGTGAGCCCGCCCCTCATGCTTCCCCACCCTTTGCTCAACAGCCCCGCCGCGCCCTTTCCAGAAGCCTTGCCAGCGCCTGCGTCCCGCTTGGCGGCCGCCTGCTGCAGCTCCTCCTCTGTCTGCTGCAAGACCAGCGGCCGTTTGCCCCTAGGTCGCTCCCAGGATGTGGTGACGCCATTGTCGTGGAGCACGATAAATCCCTTTGGCGAAAAGCGAATGGCAGCCAAAGGCGATGTCGAAGTGGTGACCATGATGTTCGTCGTGGTGGAGAGGAGGCTGGCAGAAAGCTGATGCGTCGCAATCGGCTGCAGCGTAGGGATGGCCGAGCGGGAGGGGGCAGGGTGGTAGATGTCAAAGGGGTCGTGCGTCTCCTCGCCATCCGCGCCGGCGGCGCTGCTGGTCGGTGCTTCGTTGCCGATGCTGTTGCTGTTGCCGGGTCGCTGTTGCTTTTGTGAGTAAGACCCTAGATGGATCGAGGAGGGTCGCTTGCCATCTGCGCCTGCTCCTCCGCCGGTGGCTTTGATCCTGCCTAGACTTCTACCGCCAGCAAAATCCCAGAGGCACACCTTGCCATCCTCGCCTACACTGCCAAAGCGGTACGTCCGGTCTCCTTCTCTCCATCGATAGGGGTCGAAGGCTACCCCTCTGACCCAAGAGGAGTGGCCCACGCATCGGGCTAGGAGACGCGAGGGGGTAGGCTGTGAGACGCCGTGAGCAGTCGTCGGCCGCGGTTGATAGAGGGACACAAGATCATCGCAGGAGGTCGTCAGGAGATAACGACCGTCCGTGGAGAACGAGAGAGACAAGAATGATCCGAAGTATGAAGAGTGAGAGGCGACCAGTCTGTAAGGGAAAGGCAGGCGGGTCAGCCATGAATTCGGGAGAGGCTCTCTCACATCCGAGCCGCTGTCAGTAGACTCACGCCTCGGATGACAAATCGATGATTCTTAGCAGCGAGTCCTCGCTGACGACAGCTATGCAACCCAAGTCCGGCGAAATGGCAAAGTCTGCAAGCGAACAAGGACATGGAGGACCAGAAACAGTTAGCCAGAAGTTCGGGGGGCAGTTTCATTCGCTTCGCCGCATCACTCACCATTGATCTTGCTTCTCGAGACCCTCCAATGCGTCACTGGATTCTTGTCCCACTTCGGAGCTTGCTGAGTCGTGTGTTTTGCTCCTCCAGCGGGCGCGACCTGCTCCTCTTCTCCAGGCAGGTGGGTCTCTTCCCTCTTCGGCGAGAGCAGACCTGCAGCCGTTTGTGTAGCCCCGCTATCGTATGAGCTGTATCCTTCCCCAGCGTAGTTGAGCCCGGCCGAGGATGCGCCATTGATCAACGCCTCGCTCTCGTGTGAGCCAGGCTGATGAACGAGGCCAGGTCGACTGACGATGATGTTGCGCCGCGGATCCCAGTCCACTACGCTCGCCGTAGAGGAACGCCGACCCGGGGTGTTGCCTTTGAGTCTCCAAAGACGAGGCGCCCAGCCTTTGCCGGCTTCTGCGTCTTCCCTCTCCCGGTCCCAAATCAGCATGCATCCGTCTACGTGGGCGCTGACGAAGAGTCCTTCACCGCCGCCCCCTGCGCCGGCTCCACCTGCCCCGCTCGCTCCTCCTCCACCGCTGCCACTCGCTCCAGTAGCGAATTGGGAAATCGATGGCAGCCACCGCACCTTGGTCACGCCGCTGTCCGTGCAGCATCCACCCTTGTTGAAGCGCGAGTACTTGAGGGCCATCAGGTCTATCCAGATCAGGTCTCCAGTGGGAAAGCCGACGACCAAGTCGAGTGTTGTAGGGGAGCGGGTAAGCTGATTGAGGTCGTGTGAGGATGGAGGAGAGGAAAACAGGATTCGAAGGAGGACCGTTGGCTGTTGCGACTGGTCGTTGACATTTGTCGAGGGAGCCGCACCTCCAGCGGGGCTGGGCAGATGGGGTAGGAACCACAGGAGGGTCCGGCCTCGTTGCGTGATGTAGAAAGGCGGCTGATGATGATAGACCCTCGAGCCTTGCGCTTCATCTTCGTCTCCGTCATCCTGATTGCCATGACGAGCATTGTATGCCTTCTCCAACGAAGAAAGGATGTCCTTCAGATCGGGGTGGACCCACGTTCGGATGATGAAGCTCGAATTGGATTGCTTGACATTGTTCTTCGGCTTAGAAGCGTTCTTCGCAGCCTTGAAAGTAGATGTAGGACTAATCATCCCTCCGGAGGCTTCACCTCTCAGATCCAGGGCCGAGGTCAGATCGAAAGGATCTCTCCCATTGTTGCTCGGCAGGAAGCCGTAGGAAGTAAGAGCGCTCATTCCGATCATTCCTCCCGAACCTCCCATGGTAGAAGACGCAGGAGCATCGATTCCTTGAGACACCATCACGCCTTCGATGGGGGGATTGGGACCCCTGTATGCCGATGCCGTCGAGATCTCATTGGCATTGTTGATTCCAGTCGCAGCATTCGAAGCCTTGCGAAGCCTTCGCCCTCCACTAGCTGGTGTATTGGAGCCCGTACCTGAAGCATCTGTACCAGGATCCTTATTCTTGCGCCCGCCGACGACTCCAACGCCAGCAATGAGAGCGCCGGTGAAGTCGCTACTGCTACTCCCTGGCGGTCCCCACCGAATAGAGGCCGAGCTAAGACTGGGCTGGACGATGCAACCTAGCTCTTTCCGCCAGGATGGGGGCAGGAGGGAGGGAGCCAGTGTATTGTACGGAGGCAGAGAAGTGACGTTCGCAGCGTTGGCAGCAATTGCCGTTGAGCCTGAAGGACCCAGGCCGCTTGCGCTATTGGAAGGAGAGACGGCTGCTGCCCCGGAGGAAGACGGCGTGCCGAGCATGGCCGTAGCTCCCGCCCTACCAGGTCCAGCGTTTGTGGCGGCGCCTCCCGCACCTCCCGATGATGCAGCACTATCGTGAGAGCTGGAGGCAGTCGGCATGCTGGCGGGGACCATGGCGAGTGGGATATTGCCGCTGATGGGCAACTCAGCCAGCGGGAGGGTGATGGCAGCAGCTGTGTAAACGCCCTCGGGCGCTGCGAAGGAGCCCGGGGGGATGTTGGGCGCCGCCATCTCCTGCACAGGCGAAGAGAGAAACGGTGGTGATAGCAAGGAGAGACGGAGCTGTACTTTGGTCCTGAAATGAGGGGTAGGTGTGATCAGATCCCGAATGCTTGGGGCGGCGAGGTGAGCAGTGGTAGTCTATCTCCTCCCGAGGTGGAGCTGTGGGCCAACGGAACGCAGCCAAGGCGGAACTTCCGATCCGCGTTTCCGCCATTGCCATGCCTCGGCCCCGCACCATTACCATCGACGACCGACGAGGGTCAGCATCGCAGAGCAGAAGGGGGATTTCTCGGCCAGGCTGACAACGTTCGCAGAGAGAGCATCACAGAATCACTTAGGCTTATAAACCTCTTCTCCGCTGCGAACCGCAAAATGAGCCACAGCGTGAGTGTGTAATAGTTTTCTATCGAATTGACACAAGACCCGTCATAGACTTCTTGCTCGCCGTTCAACCTGGACGATGTCTACTCTTGCATCTGAACATCATCTCCACCTCCTGCTCCACTAGCGCCTGCAGAAGAGTCGCCAGCTGCCCCTGCCTCAGCTGCCGAAGGGGCATTCACATTAGTTGCGGCCCTGAGAGCCAGCACAGGAAGAGGATGGGCATTGGGTTAGCCGACCAAGTCGCGACTCAGACATTGCCTAGCCAACAGCGCTCACTCACTTCCTCGTTTCCATCTTGTCCAAGTAAGACCTCAGCTCGTCACCCTCTACCACACGGAACTTCTCGGGCTTCTCCAGTCCAGTCAGTGCACGCTCTGCTGGTGAGAGATCTGAACCTGGGCCCACGACTGCAATCGAGACTGTTTGAGGGTCAAGCTGAGAGATAGAACGGTGATAGACCTGTCAGAAAGCCCATATGGACACTTTGTGGAACACTCCTCTACTCCTGACACTCACCTCCTTGCCCTGTTGCAGCGTCTCCCTCAAGGCGTACAGTCCATGTAGTACGACCTTCTCCAGGTCCTCCTCATCTTTGTACTCATCTAGCCTCCTCTCCAAGTAGGTCTTCGCGCTCTGACTCCTTGCTCCCAGACTCATTGCATGGTACTCGAAGCATGTTCCTACGGGCGAGAACTCGTAGAGATGAGGGCCCAGTCCGTCGTGTCCGATGATGAGGAAGCCCACTCCATATGGGCGACGTCCGGCTTCAATCGTGTTGAGCTGGGCTCGATCTGCCAGTGAGCCTGCAATGCGAGACAGGGGTAGAGGACGAGCATAGACGATCCGGCTGCTGAGGGCCAGCTGCCTCATATAGTTGCTTAGCACTCTAGCATCATTTGTCAATCCTGCAAATCCGATGCCGAGGTGAGAGTCAATGGAGAGGAGTTTCTGCTGGTGCGAGGCAAGCTCGGATGGAGCACGCTTCAAAGCTACTAGAACTGCGTGCTTCTTTGAGCGAAGGCCAACAACTGCGCTTCCTTGCTTTACGGCTTCGAGTGCGTATTCGACTTGGTGGAGGCGACCCTGTGGTGAGATGACGGTAGCGTCTGAGTCGTAAGAATTGCGGAACATGGCTGCACGAAGGCTGCAGGAAGGAAGTGTTGGGGAAGAAGTCCTCCTCTGAGCTGCGGTGGTGGGATGAGGTGGATTAGGGGATGACCAGAAGGATGCTGATGGCTGGAGGATGACTTGCCCGAGGAGCGTGGCCAAAGCGTCGTCAGTGCTTCCTGTGGGTGTGAGCGTGGTGGGCGGCCCTGCCTCTGCCTCGCGCGCGCCTCGGCTCCGCATCGGCCTGGCAGGTGCAGCCAGCCATGCGGGCCTAGGCTGCACTCAACTCTACCCGCTGGAAGCTCTCCTTCCCCCGCATTCCACCTTCCTGCCTTCCTTCCTATCGTGCTCCTTGTCCCTATATCCATAATGCGAGTGCTAGCAACCCTCCTCGTCGCCATTGCAGCCGTCGCGCCAGCCGCCGTGGCGCAGTCTGCCGACACGCCAGAGCTGAGGATCACCACGACCTTCCCGTCCAACCCGCTCTCCCTGGTCAAGAATGGTCAGGCCAACCGGGTGGTGTTCAACATCCAAAACCCACCGTCTCAGGATCGGGTATTGAGCTTGACTGGTATCACAGGCGCATGGCTGAACAACAAGAAGGCCGATGGCGAGAGAGGAAGGGTCATCCGGAATGTGAGCAGCCCGGATACGGAAGTGGAAGCAGCTACGATGCCAGATCAGCTCTGACCACGTCCTTACATTTCCTTTGCGCTTGCTACTCTTGTTCTGCAACAGATGACCGTCACACCGTACAAGTCTCTCTCCCTCCGCACAGTAGGTGGCAGGCCACTGGAAGTTCCGTTCGATTTCTACCCTGAATTCAAGCCTCAGACCATGGGCATCGACTTCTACCTCAAGGTCCTGGATGGCCAGACGCAGAAGACTCACACCATTCAGGCGTACCAGGGAAGCGTCACGGTCATTGAGCCTCCCAAGAACTGGCTCGACCCGCAACTCTGGAGCCTCTACCTCCTTGGCCTCGCCATCCTTGGCGGCGCAGCGTACTACGCTGCCTCCATCTTTGCGCCTGGACTCGTCGGCGCGTCTGCTACCAAGGGTGCCAAGGGCAAGTCGGCTTCGGGGACTGGTAGGTCGGGCGCTGCACCCGCACTCAGTGGCGCCGTCTCCTCGACGGGCGCCAGTGTGAGCGCAAAGGGCTACGATGAGGATTGGATTCCCGAGCACCACCTGAAGAAGAGCAAGGCTGGAGATGATGGCAGGAAGAGCCCTGTCGGAGGCGCCAGGAAGAGGAAGTGAGCTGAGGGAAGACAAGTTAGTGGGCTGTGGTCACAGTGCGGTGTGGTACGCGTGGCAAAGTTAGGGGTGGGCAGGCCAGATGCTAATTGTCGAGAGGCTGCAAGCAAGCATATCAGTTGGGGCCAACAAAAGAAAAGGAACGGAGAGCGATGGTCTTTGCAGCGGCCAGAGTAGGACAGTTTTGCAATCAAAGCTGTGTTATGCATCATCTGCTGCTCTGGACCGCGCTACCCGTCAAAGAAGCATGCTCCTTGCTGTATTATGGACACCACACCTGCCATCGCTGCCTCGCTCTCTTTGTGGTGGGCACCTCCCTGTTTCCGTTCCGACCAAAAGCGGAAAGGAGATTTTGAGTGACTTCCGATTTCCTTGCGAGCACGTCCTCCTGCTAACCTTCGCTGTCTTTGCCTGTTCCATTCGGCGCAGTCGTACGACGCCTGGGCCTCGCCGATGGCTCACTTCTACCCACATTGCGCCCATCTCGTCAGCTTGACCCTCTCGCAGTCCTCGTCGATCAAGTCGCTCATCTCCTCGCACTGTCCGCCGCCTGAGTATACCATCTCCGACCAGAAGCGCTACCTTGCAACGGTCATCAATACCCTGGCATGGCGGGAGCCATTGGAGGCCGTCATCAAGGCCTCTGCTATATGGGATGAAGGTAGAGGTGGTCTCGGTAAAGAAATCAAACGTGTGTTGGGTCAGACCTGGCGACGCTACCTTGAAGAGGACAACAAAGAGCGCGAGGCCGGAAAGCGGAGGAAGACTCCCCTCCCGGCCAAGGATGGCCAGAGCCTCAAGGACCGCAACGATCAGTACCTGCGCTTCCTTCTACTCGTTCTGGTACATGATGTACTCGTCTCTCCAGCCAAGCGTCTGTCGACCTCGCCGAGCTGGCCGCCCTCCAAGCTACTCGCCAGTATGCGGCCACGTCTGCAAGCCGAGCTTGTCAAGCTTCAGATCCAGCGGGGGAAGCAAAAGGTGCAGGAGCTGAGGATCGACTGGACGCAGGAAGGGGAAGATGGCGTAGTCGGTCAAAGCGAAGGCCGTTGGAAGAAAGGTCGATGGGTGAGAGTGAATACCAGGAAGACGGATCTGGCTACTGTCCTTACGTGGCTGGAGAAGCGAGGCTACACCGCTTCTTCAGGCGAGTCCATACCTCGAAGTCCTGCCCAAAAGAGCAGCTCTTCGCAAGATAGGCGGTACATCCTGCCGGGTACCGTCCATCCTCCGGACCTGATACTATTTCCCCTTGGGGCTACTTCGGAGCTTGCTAGCTCAGATCTGTACAAAAGCGGTGATATCATCTTACAGGACGCTGCCTCCTGCTGGCCAGCCTGGCTGCTATTAGGTGGTATGACTCGGAGTAGCGCAAGAAAGGCCCTGCATGTTCTCGACGCCACAGCTTCGCCGGGCAACAAGACCTCGCATCTCTCTGCCATACTCTCCCAATTGTCAAAGTCTGCAAGTCAATGCACGCTGACAGCCTTGGAAAGGGATGGTCGACGCTACAAGACACTCATTTCTCAGCTGACCCGAGCGGGTTGTTTGTCTTCGTCTTCCGGCTCATCTTCTCGTGGACCTGGACAAGTACAGGCATTTCAGGCCGACTTTCTTTCTCTAGATCCGGTGGAGGACCCGAGGGTGAACAAGGCTACGCACCTGCTACTGGATCCGAGCTGCAGCGGCAGTGGCATCACCGGTCGTCTAGATTGGCTCACCGCCGACAAAGCAACTTCAGCTGCAACGACATCTACGAATTCTCTTCAGGAGGAGCAAGAGGACGATGACGACGGTGAAGACGCCGTCGGGGAAGGCGAAGCCGGAGCCTCGACCTCGGGTAAAACTAGGCTGGAACGGCTCGCGGACATGCAGTTCAAGATGATCGAGCACGCCTTCAGATTCCCCTTGCTCAAGCGCTTCGTCTATTCGACGTGCTCTGTGCACCGCATCGAAGACGAAGAAGTCGTGTTTCGCGCCCTGGCCTCGCCCTTGGCCTCGGATCCAAAGGGCAGGTGGAAATGGGCGCTTGCTCCGAGGTCTGAGTGCCTCCCCGATTGGCCCTGGCGGGGCGAGTCCAGTCCCAAGTCGTCGTCTTCAGAGGCGGAGGAAGACCCGACATTACTGGACTGCATGCTGCGTGCATACCCTTTCAGCAAGATTGACGACGAGGGCGAAGGAGGCGTCCACATCAAGAGGACCAACGGCTTTTTCGCTGCCTCTTTTGTCAAGGTCTTTATCAGCAATGATGGCGAGGCATCAGGTATCGGACAGGAGCTGCAGGACAGCGAGATGGCACGGGAGGGCGAGAAGCGCAAGAGAGACGATGGGGAGGAAGAAGGGCAGGAGGAGGGAGCTGGAACGGGTGAGGTAGATGGGGCTCCTGCTTTGACGCTGAGTGCCGAGGAGCGCCGAAAACGAAAGAAGCGCGAGGCGAAGAAGAGGGCAAAGAAGCGAGCGAAGGGTAGGGTGCCAGGATCGATGGAGGGTGAAGGGGGCGGTGATGCGGTGCCACAGGTGCACGAGGGGAGCAAAGCAAGCGACGATGAATGGCTTGGCTGCGATGATTGAGTGAGGTCAGGAGGATCAGGGTAGTCGCGCAAGAGGACGCCTTCTACCAAGTACAGAGCTTCTCTTGATATGCATGACATTAGAGGAATCTCCCGCCACTCTAATCCAAAACACTACACTGTCCTCTTGAATGTCCTTCCCGTAGCCGTCTTCCTCTCCTTTTCGACATTCTCAGGCTTTGCCCTGTTGAGCACCTTTAGGAAACTGGCGACGTTGCCCCTCATCCTAGTGTGCATCCAGACTTTGGAACACTTGATGTGGAAGTGGAGGAAAGTCCTGAAGAGCTGCAGACGGGAGATTGTGGCTGCCATTGTCTCTGAGCTGGAGAAGTGGCGAGGGAAGAGAACTGTAAATTATGAATGGGGCAGCAGCGATGGTCAGTTGGCCGCTTGAAGCATTGCGAGGTGAGCTCTGATCGGCAGGCTGCTTACCAAAGGTCACGTAGCCCACATCCTCTCCCCTACTCAGGCCGGGTATACTGCGAATCTCCAGTGGCGGCTCGCGGTTGGAGTAGAGGACTTGTGGGGCATTCTGAATACTCGGCTGTCTCCTGGCATCTACAAATTCTTGCAGAAAGACTCTACCAAAGATCTTGTCCGTCTCCTCCTTGAAGATGGTAGAGAAGACGACGGTGACTCGATCTGCTCCTGGGACAATGTAGATTGCCTCGTCATCGCGGTAGGAGATGGTCATGATATCTGTGGCTCCAGAGGCAGCTTGTGCTGCTGAGGGGTCCTCTGCGCTAGATTCTAGGGATTTCTGTAGGGCAAAGGCTCGCTCGAAGGGAGCGGCCATGGCGTGACGCTTAAGGAGGGAGAGGGACTGGACTAGCGCAGCACGAGACTCTGAGGAAGCGAGGAAACAGCAAGAGTGGTACGCCAATCAATCAGCCGACATTTGGGGACGGACGCGCCGCTGTGGCAGCTTAGATGTCATTGGTCGCTCACCTGCATCTTGTGGGAGACTTGCATAGTCGATCTCCAAGCTGACCGAGTATCCTTCCCTGGGCTGGGGCAGGAGGTAGCTGCCGTACTCTCGCTTGAGCACATCCATTGCGCCCGCCTGTTCGAGATCCCTCCAACACTTGATGCCCATCGACAGGGACACGGGCCCCGCCTTGGATGATTCGAGGTAGTAGTGGACATCGTCAAAGTCGGTGAAGGTCTGGTCCACCGGTCCGGGCTCTGCGAACTTGGCGGTGAGGGTGGCCTGGATGAGGGCATTCTCGTCTTCTAGAAGGATCATGATGGTGAGCTGGTGAGGGTGTAGAAGGGTATATGAATGCCTGGTAAGCAGTCGAGGCTGCAAGGTGCAAGTGGATGGTGGCCTGGTCTACCGCTCCCCCGCCAGCTCGCACGGGGCCGATGGGGCGCAGGCAGGCGCAGGCGGGCAAGGACAAGGCAGGGCACAGGCACAGGCAGCGGGCGGCGCGTCGGAGCGGAGCGCAGTGGAGCACCAGCCATGGCTCCATGATCACCTCGGAAGCACAGAGACGCAGACAAGAAGCAGCAGCAGCAGCAGCACCACGAGTATTCTACTTTCCCACCCGACACCACCAAGTACCATCACACTTGCACACTCACAGTCTACCCATCATGGAGGCAATCGCTCAGTCTGTGAGTATGACAGACGCAGCTTCTGCCACAAGGGGCCACTGGCCAGATTCCATTCGACATGGTTCTCGGAAGATTGACCTCCGTCTTTCCCCTCTCCACTTCCACAGTTCACAGACTACTACTACACCACCTTTGACTCCAACAGGGCAGGGCTAGCTCCTCTCTACGTGAGTGAGAGTGCGGAACTTCTTTTGCCGCCGTTTGGAGATATGGCGTACTCATCCTTTCGCCCATGATCTTGCATTTTCCCCTCTTCAGCGAGCCAACTCCATGCTCACCTTCGAGGGAACACAGCTCCAAGGGGTAGAGGCAATCGTAGAGAAGCTCTCCTCTCTACCATTCCAAAAGGTGGAGCACAAGGTATCCACTAGGGACTGTCAGCCCACTGGAGACGGCAACTCATTGGTAGTCATTGTCACTGGAGCACTCATGGTAGACGACTCGCCTGCCCCCCTGAATTTCAGTCAGGTGAGTGAGGGGGCATGCAGCGAAGGAAATAGCGGGCGGGATACGTTCGGCCAAGACATCTTACCTGAGTTCGTTGCACTTTCTTATTTTCCGCCCCATAGACATTCGTGCTCAACCCAGAGGGAGGATCTTACTACGTCTTCAATGACCTCTTCAGGCTCAACTACGGCTAAATCAAAAGGTATTACTGGTTGTGCGCCGAGGGAAAGCAGAGATGTGGGAAAGGCTCCCGCGTAGAGAAACAACAGCTGGATATGCTTGACTTTGTCTGCAAACAAGCTGATCAGCTGCGAGGGAACAAGGCTGTGTGAGGTGATATCTTCCTGCAGCTTCCTTCCTCTATCTCCTCAACTTCAGAGACCATCAAATGCCTCGCTGCGACTGCTATACTTCAATCACTATCGTCATACAGATCCATGTGCACTTGCTCATCTGTCACCTAGCTTGCATTCGGCAGGGATATGTTGCCCTAGCTGAGAACAAGGGCGCCTTGAGTCGTACAGGTTCAGACATTGTCTTGCTCACAGCTTTCCTTCCTTGCCCCTTGTGCATCCCTCCTTGACATTGGCCGCACTCCACCACGGGTACCACCCCTGACTTGTCAGCTCCCCTAATGTCCCCTTGAAGTCCACTGGCCTCTTCGCCATGAAGGAGCCCACGCCCTCTCTCGCATCGCCATAGAGGGCACACCAGGCTAGGCCTTTGCTCTCTTCTAAATGCACTCCTTCGGGCGTGGTAGCTCCTCGCCAGAGCTGAGACTTGCAGAGGGCCACAGAGGTGACGGAATTCTCCTTTGAGAGGCGTTCCGCTAGCTCCAGCGTTCGTGGCAGAACCTCGCGAGCTGGATGCAGAGAGTAGAAGAGGTCCTCTATACTTCGATCCGATGCCTTGACCAGATCTCCTGTGAGAATCAGGCGGCTGGCTCTACTCCATCCGATGAGTCTGGGCAGCATGTAGCTGGAGACTGCGTCGCAGGCGATGCCCCTCTTGACAAAGGGCACGCCTACCCTGGCCTCCTCGGCACAGATGCGTATATCAGCTGGGAAAGTCATAGTGAGACCGATGCCCACAGCGACGCCATTGATGGCTGCAATGACTAGCTTGCGACAGGAGAGGATGGCGAGGACTAGCTGACCACCGCCATCACGATGCTGTACGAGGGGCGAGGAGAGAGCAGAGGAGACGCCAAAGGCGTCCTTGCGATCGCCGCCTAGGTCAGCCTGGGGATATCATTACAGCGGGGTCAGCTTCTAGTCAGCTCCTTGTTCGTGAGGTCAGCTCCGGCCACCACGTCATTGCTCACACCAGCACAGAAAGCCTTGCCCGCTCCAGTCAGCACCACGACCTTGACCCTCTCGTCCCGGTCTGCCAGCTCGAAGAGGAAGCTGAGGGAGTGGCATTGTTGATTGGTAAAGGCGTTCAGCTGCTGAGGCCTATTGAGAGTGATCAGCAGTACGCCTGCTGCGGGCTGAGGTTGGCTAGATGAGGAGGAGGGGAGAGAGGAGGAGGCCGCCTGTCCTAGAACAGCTGTGACGTGCTCAAAGTCATAGGCTGCATAGTCAAAGGTGGAAGGGTCCACTGCTTCGATGGGAGGATGAGGGTTATGCAAGATGGACATGGCGTCGTCACATACGACAGAGGAGCTGGAGGTATGGTTGAAGTGGATCGGCAGGTGTGGTGGGTGGTGTCCTGTGCCTCTCCGGCTCTCCCGCACCGGCCTCCCTGTCCGCCTTTCCGTCGCAGGGCCGATTGATTGTGGGGAAATGGAAATCCACCGGGCCCAAGCTCCACCGCGCAACCACGCACAGACGCTCACTTCATGCGCTCAGGGGACATTTCCATGGCCTACGGACCTACTTCCGCCCGCAAAGACCACCTCCCCTGTACCGTCGTGAGCCCGGCAAGGGCGCAAACGTCGCTCACACCATCTCTTCATCGCCATCCATGGCCCAACGTCACAGCTACACCATCAGATCAACGGACAGATAGGCAGCCCCCCGCATCGAAGCGGGCATCCGCTGTCCTTCCGAATTCGCGCAGCATGTCCTCGCCCAACGATCTAGAAAACACAACGCGGCTGCTCGCTTCACGGCAGGGCACTGCAACCATATCCAAAGCAGGGCGGAGATCTACAGAGAGCCCTGAAAGGCTTCGAAAGAGCCAGAAGACGGCAGGACCTTCTGGCACCTCGGCGAGAGATGCCTTTGCACCTAATGGAGATTCCGGGAAGGAGCTCAAGGTGGATGAGGAGGCCATTAGAGAGCTGAGGGGACTGCAGGAGGAAGCCGACAATGGCGGCAACGAGGATGCAGAGCAGGATACCCAGCCGGAGTCAGTGAATATTGACAAAGCTGACTCTACGGATGTGCATCCGGCTCCGGGACCTCCCTCTGAATCCGTTGAGCTTATCCTTGAGAAGGATACACCTGCCTCTGCTGGACCATCCCGTGCCCCGTCTCCCCGGCCGGCCTCGAGACTGCGGTCTGATGACTCTTCCAAAGCAGCAGGCGAAGATCGAGCTTCTCTCGAGACTTCGGCCTCTGTCGGGGATGGTACGCAGCATTCTAAATCCGCTACACCACAGCATCCGATCAGGTCCACTCAGCTGAGAAGAGAGCCTTCTGCAAGTACGTCACACTCACGGCCGTCTTTGCTCTCGCTGGGAAGTATGAGCAAACGGCCAGCAACGGCAGTTGAGCGCACTACAGTCGGTGTAGGTACACCGCCCAAACAAGGTGAGGGAGACCATCAAGATGAAAGCAACAATCAGAGCTTCGACCGTAGTTGCGACGTGGAAGACGACGATGACGACGACGAAGACGATAGCTCTGACGAAGAAGCGGAGCCGTCTCTCAAGTATCAACGTCTCAAAGGGACTGTACTTGACGTTGTCAAAAAGGACAGTATCAGCACGCTCAATGTCAGCGAGAAGTTCATTGCGCTCGGCACGCATGCAGGTATGATCTTCATTGTAGATTTTCAGGGAAGTCTCATCAAGGGCTTCAGGTCACATACTGCTAGTGTCCTGGACATTGACATAGATTCGACGATGGAGTTTGTAGCTGCAGCTGGAATGGACGGCCTGGTCTCGATCAATTCCCTGACCTCTGCCGAGCACTACGCCTTTGACTTCAAGCGGCCGATGCGGACCATCAGTCTTGAGCCTAACTTCGGACGGCGTGCGACTCGAGCTTTCGTCTGCGGAGGGATGGCTGGCGCCCTCATTCATCGAGAAAAGGGGTGGCTCGGCCACAAGGAGACGGTGTTGCACGGCGGAGAGGGCCCCATCTGGACGTGTCGCTGGAAGGGCGACTTGATTGCTTGGGCTAATGACAAGGGGGTGCGGATATACGACAACAATACCCGCCAAAAGATTACCTTTATAAATGCTCCTCAAGGCCAAGCTCGAGGGGACTTGTACCGCTGCAACTTGATCTGGCAAGACGAGCGCACGCTCACCATAGCTTGGGCTGATCAGATCAAGCTTGCCAAGATCAAAGAGAAGGAAGCCAAAGCGGGTGGTATCGTCAATGTCGGTGCCACCTCTCACCCGCAACTCCAAGTCGAGATCACCAAGATCTTTCAGCTAGATTGCGCTATCAGTGGCTTGGCCGCCTACGGCGATGACCTCCTTGTCCTTGCCTATCTTACGGAGAGCGAAGACGGTAGCGATGAAGAAGACGATTCGGATCCAGAATCGTCCCGCGCTTTCCGGCGTAAAGCCGGACAAAGACCTGAGCTGAGAATCATCGATCCAATCACGGGAGAAGAGAAGAGCTCTGACGTTCTCTCACTGTCTGGATTCGAGCGTTTGAACTGCAACGACTATCGTCTGATACCGTCGTATGAGGCGGCCAAGAAGAGCAATCATCGCGGGAGCAAGGACACCAAAGCTGATGTGGGACAGTCTCTCTTCTACGTCGTGTCCCCACGTGAGATCATCATCGCAAGACCGAGAGACCACAAGGATCACATCAATTGGCTCCTCGATCAAAAGAAATTCGAAGCGGCCTTGGGCCACGTCGAAGCGATGGGTGAGGTCGAAGCAAAGGCGCAGGGCTTCGATGCTGTCCTCATTGGTCGCGACTACCTTTCATACCTCACTGACGAGACCGGAGACTACTCGGCGGCTGCAAGGGTAGCCAGCAGAATTCTCGGAAAGGAGGCACAGGCGTGGGAGGAACTCGTGTTCCTGTTCCTCGAACGAGGAAAGCTCAATGCGATCATCGACCACATCCCCACCGAAGATCCCGTGCTCTCGTCGATCGTCTATGACATGGTCCTAGCTCACTTCCTCCAGAAAGATCTTTCAAAGCTCAAGGAGATCCTGGAGCGCTGGCCCATCGGTGTCTACAGCACACAAGCAGTTGCTCTCGCCATCGAAGACCGGCTTCAATCCTCGCCGGTGGCGAAGCGCCGCTCGGTGGAGCAGGAGCTGCGTCCCTGGACGGCCGAACAGGAACCGGAACAGACGTTGCTCATGGAGCTCCTCGCCGATCTGTACGTTCGAAATCATCAACCGGGAAAAAGTCTGACTTACTACCTGCGCTTGAAGCGCCCAGAGGTGTTTGACCTCATCCGCGAGCACAATCTCTTCCTCGACGTTCGAGACCAGGCAAGGCAGCTCATCGAATTCGAAGAGGCTATGCAAAGAGAAGCCAAGGAGGATAGGACAAGAGATGGCCAGAAGCCACTTCAGGCAGTGCAGCTGCTCGTAGATCATGTCCATTCGATACCCGTTCAGCGAGTCGTTTCACAGCTGGAGGCAAAGTCGGAGTACTTGCATCTATACCTGGACGCTCTTTTTGAACGTGATCCGCAGTTGGTCATGGAATACTCGGATCTGCAGGTGAGTGATGAGAGCATGAGCATTCAAAGACATATCATTGACACATCACGTCGCGACACCCCCTACAGATCGAGCTGTATGCAGATTATGGCTACGAGAAGCTGATGTATTACTTACGCGCAATGAGTAGCTACTATTCATTCGAGAAGGTTAGTGCGCATGTCACATGTGATGAGATCTTCCTCTAAGCAGCCAGGAATTGACAAAAAAATTGCCCCTTTCGCCACCTCCAGGCTTTCAGAGTGTGCGAGCTCCACGATTACGTCCCCGAAATGGTCTTCCTATTAGGTCGGGTTGGGGACAACAAGCGCGCCCTGAATCTGATCATCGAGCGTCTCAACGATGTCTCTCGTGCCATTGACTTTGCAAAGGAGCAGAACGACGATGACTTGTGGGAGGACCTTCTTCGTTACTCGGAGAATCGGCCGGCCTTTATACGTGGCCTGCTTGAGAACGTAGGAGCCGAAATCGACCCGATCCGCCTCATTCGACGTATCAAAGATGGGCTAGAGATTCCTGGCCTCCGGCCTGCTCTTATCAAGATTCTCCACGACTTTAATCTGCAGATCTCGCTACTAGAAGGCTGCCTATCGATTCTGTATCACGACATCCGCAGTCTTCAGGACGATCTCTTCCAGGGACAAACGCAGGCCCACTACTGCGAGCCGGAGACGATCACTGCCGGCAGCGCTGCCAGGGCTGGCGGAAGCCCTAGCGTCTGTGACGCCTGTTCGCGACCGTTGTTCGCCAAGAGTCAGCTCGGCACAGCGCTCGACTCGTCCTCGAGCGCGTCGGCGGCAGCCTCTTCCTCCACTACGTCTATTGTCTTCCTCTGCCGACACGTGTACCACCTTCCTTGCCTTCTCACAAAGGCGGGCACCATACCCAGTCGGAAGGCTAAGGGGGCTACAGACGGCGTGCGCGCCGTGCTGACGACGGCGACACAGGTGGCGTCTAGAGCTCGAGTGCTGAGCGTGCAAGGTGAAGCAGCAGCAGGTGCCTCTCACGCAGACGAGGCGCTGGCGAACATCGCGGATGGACCCAGCCTGCGGGCGTATAGGATGGAGGAAGACTTCAGGGCAAAGATCGCGTACAGTGCCAAATTGCGAGGTGCTCTGCGATCACGAGGCTGCCCAGATTGTCGGGCTGGGGCACAAAGTACTTTAGGAGCGGAGACTGGAGCTGTGCTCACGTCATAACCACCAATGAAAATGTGTATTACAGATGAGAGAATGTCAACGGCAAGGGTGTGAACCACAGGAATGGAAGGTAACGAGCCAGCAGCTATCCGCTCTCTTCGTCTGGATGACTACTTGAACGTCGCACTCCTGCCCGCCCCTGAAAGTCCTGTTCTGTCCTTGGGCTGAGGCAAGTCTGCGAAACGATCCGGTCCAGTGGGCTTGTCCTGGCGCTGCTCTCGGTCTCGTTTGCCCTTCCGAATCTTCTTCTGTCCCGCGGGTCCAGACGCGGGCTGAGGAGGAGGAGGAGCATCAAGGATAGACTGTGCGACCGAGTAGTCGAAGGGCTGGACATCAGACTCCACCGAGATCTTTGTCTTCTTAATCTGCTCCTCGCTAGCAGACTGTGCAGACCGTTCCTGCCTCGCTTTGCGCTTCTGCGCATTGGACCAACCGCTCTTGTCCTTCTTCTTCTGCTTGGACTTCTTGACATTCACGACGTCGTACCCCTCCATTGCGTCGTCGCCGGCGTCCGCAGACGACGCTGACGACGCAGGCGACTCCGCGCTCTCGTCCTCCTGCGGCGGCTGAACAATGCTAGCCGCGACCTCAGATTGACCATTGGCGGTGGAATCTTGCAACCCAATAGTATGGTCGTTGGAGACAAAATGAGTCGTCTCGTCTGTGGCAACGGGAACAGAGGTGTCTTGAATGCTGTCGAGCTGACTGCTACTTCCGACAACAGCAGCCACTGCGCCGACTACACTTTGCAAGGCGGAGTAGAGGGAGGATTGCAGCGACAGCGGCTCGATAGTCTGCTTTCTCCTCTCTTGGTTCGAAAGCTCTGGCTCGGTCTTAAGTTTGCCAAAGAGGGATGAGTGACTGCTCCGCATAAGGGGTCGATGCACTGACGAAGCGCCCCATAGGCTCTGTATTTGCCCTTCTGATATCACCGAAGCTGGCGATCTGACGACGGCTTGAGTACCAACCACGTCCGTCTCCGCACTTGCAGTCACACCCAAGTCCTCCTCGTCTGCCATTGCGGCAGCCCCTTCTGCCGCCTTTTCCATCTCTGCTTTCGCCTTCTTCTGTGCCAAGCTTTGATCTTGTTCCCAGGCTAGGACCTCCTCTTTGATGATGCGGGCGACTTCTCCTGCCCTCTTGCGGACAGGAGGAATACCGGGCGTGAACATGACCATGGCTTCCGATTTGGTCATCGGTGCACGCGAGGCGAGGTTGAGGAGGTTCTGTGCACTGAGAATGTACTTCGGACTCTCATCTTCATCCCTTGCGACGCCGTCGCGCCATTGATGCAGTCTCCTCACTAGACGTTCCGTCCGCCCCATCTGACTGACCTCCATTCTCAAGTCCGTGCCTCGAGCCTCTTCACCGCCCATCCTGCGCCACATGGATCGCCATCCTTCTCGTGAGTTGCCATACTCGTCCCAAACTTCCTTTGCGTACCTCCTGGCTGACGTAATTTTGGACCGGTTGAAGACTTCGTCCATTGCAGGCTTGCCACCAGTCGTAAGGATTTCAGCACGCAGACGATTGTAGACGTAGATGAGGGAATGGGTGTCGCTTCGGGCATAGTACATCATCTCCTTTGGCAGAGGTCTGATCCTCCAGTCTGCCAACTGATATCGCTTGTCAGCCTCAAAGTCGTAGTACCTGCTCAGGAGGTAGGCAAGACCATGCCCAGGAAACGACAGCACATTCGTGGCGTGATAGGTGTCGAAGAGGTTAACCAGATAGAGACCGCAATCTCTCTGCAGCCACAAGATGTCGTGTTCTGCTCCATGCAGGATCTTGACTTTGCCAGCGTTTGTGAAAGAGGTGTTGAGTCTTTCGGTGTTGAGGCGTACAGGATCAGCAAGCAAGTCGAGGATATAGTCGCCCCATCTAGTGGACAGCTGCATCAGGCAAGCAATGCCCTGGTAAGAGCGATGAGCGTGAGCTTCGAGATCAATTGCAATCTCTTTGACCCTGTCCTCCTCGAGATGCTCCGCCAGACGCTGGACGCCCTCTGCGGTGTCAATCCAGGTGAATGGGACCCCGCATACGCCCTCCGGTACCTCGGCAATGAGCGGAGGCGGTGGTTGAAGCTCTTCTTCTGAAGGCGGTTGGTATACGTATGTTGGCGGCTCAGAGTGGAGGATCTCGTAGAAGTAAGGATTTTCCTTGGGATCGCCCTCTGCGCAATACATGCCTTGTCTCACGGTACCTGGTTCAAAGATGGGCTCTCCCGGCCCAGGTGGAGGAGGCCGCCATGATTCCGGTACGATTGCGTTCGGCTTGCCAAGCGAGAGCTCCCTGTGCCAGACTGTGTCGGGCCGATTGTCTGGCTTATCGGTGAATCTGCGCTGAGGCGGCTCGATCTGGGCATTCAGTATCTCTGCGGGGAGCTTGCCCATCCGGGGCGGCGCCTGTCCATTGGACGCTGCAGGTCTCTGGGCGGTACCGTTGGAGGCGGACACCGATGCGGCGGAGGTAGATGCTCTAGGCGCGAGCTTGCCCGAGTATTCGTCCAGACAGATGTCTGCCTTCTCCAGCAGCCCATCTACGATCTCAGCGATCCTTGCAAAGGCTGTAGCCTGATCCTCTTCGTCTTGGGCTTCCTCTACGACTCCACCCTTAGTGCCGGCCTTGGCCTTGGCCTGAGCCCGCGCTGCCCATGCCTCGATGCTCCTGACCATGGAGGTGACCTCTTGGATGGCCTGATCGGCACGTCGAGACACATCCTTGTCAATGGACCTGTGAAAGGACAAGTCCGATGGCCCCGGAAGAGACGAGGCATGGCGAGTAGCCGCGACAAGGGCAGCTTGCAGTGCGGGCAGGTACGCGCTCAAGTGCGTGGCCGGGTCTGGCACGGCAGTGGGAGGATCTGGCCGCTGGCCATGAGCATCCTTGGTAGCCATTCCGCGCCAGACGGGAGGAGGAGGCAGACAAGTACGGCAAGGATGGTGGGCAAAGCAGGATAGCGACGATGGAAGGCAAAGTCGAAGAAGCGCCCCTCCTTCTTGGTCTGTCTGATGCTTTCCCACCCACCACCACCGCGTCTTTGGAGGGGCGGCCCCTGCCCTGCCCTGCCTGCCCTGCCTGCCTGCCTGCTGCCGCCTGCGTCTTGTCCCGCTCAAAATTTTGATTGGCCGCGCGGGAGATTTTGGCGGAAAGTGTCCCTTTCCGAAGAGAGGATCTTCTGGCCCGGCACTCCGCATCCTAGAATACCACCTCCTCTACCCTTCGTCATCACCACTTGCCACCCACTTCGACTCGACGGCAAGCCAAAGATGGCAAGGCGGACAGGCAAGGCACCCCAGGCTGCGGCCTCCTCCTCCTCATCTCACACCCGCCGCAGGGCCGATCACCACAGGGCAGGCGAGGCAAAGGGCAGCGCAGCAACCACCGGCGGCAAAGCAGCGTCTTCTTCCTCCAAGCCTAGAGGCATACACGACATTTACGACTTTGCAGTAGAGCAACACCAAGGTAAAGGCAAGGGCGCTGGTCGACACCTCAAAAGAGTCAAGGCGGGTAACAGTACAGACGATGCTGATAGCGACCGTCGTCAAGGCCGACGAGACTTCGATGACGAAGACGCTTCTGAAGAGGAGGAGCAGCCAAGGAGGGACCAAACCTATCTCGAAGACTCGGACGACGATAATGCCAATGCTATAGCTGAGGAAGACGATTCGGACATCGACAGTGATGAAGCATTCGCAGCCAGCGACGAGGAGCGGTATGAGGACGTCGACTTTGGAAAGTCCTCTAGCAAGGACCCGCGTCTGAATAGACATAGCAATGCCGTGGATGGGGAGGATATGAATGGCAACGTCGACGATGAAGAAGATGAGGAGGAAGAGGAGGAGGAAGAAGAGGGTATGGTCGATTTGAGCAAAATGCTGGATGCAGACGGCTCGGAGGATGCCGATACAGACAGCGGCGAGGAGGGGGACGAAGGTAGTGACGTCGGTGATGATCGTCTCAATGACCTGGCCTCTCGCTATGCGCAACCCTCCAACAAGCGGTCGGTACAAGACAACGGAGATTCAGTCACGGGTGCCAAGCGGCAGCGCAGGGTCCTCGCCGAACGGACAGAAGCTGTTCCCGAGTCAGACTTTGCGGCTCCATCCGGGTCCGGCTCGAACAAGCGAGCTCTTGCACTGGAAGACTTCCTCGCTCCACTCTCCAATGCTGCTCCCGGTACTCACACTGCTCTGAGAAACGATACTAAGGCCTTGCATGACCTTGGCAGTAGCGACAAACACAACCTCAAAGCATCACGAAGAGGCGGTGGGGCCCTGTCTGCGCCCCTTCCAGCAGTGGTCAGGGATCGCTTACAGAGAGCAGCGGGGTACGATCTATCGAAAGAAGAAGCAGAGAAGTGGCAATCGACCATTAAGAGGCTTCGCGAAGCTGAACATATATCGTTTCCCCTGCAAGGAGGTCCATCCCGTCCCAAAGCTACCACTGCGCAGATGTCGGCCACCTTCAAGCCTACCAATGCATTCGAGAACGAAATCGAACAAATCTTGCAGGGCGAAGGTCTGTCCGAGGCACAAATCAATAAGAGCGAGGAGCTGGCCATGCGACAGATGGACCCGGCAGAGGTGGAGCGCCGTCGAGACGAGCTGCGCAAGATGCGAGATCTGATGTTCCGCGCCGAGCAGAAAGCCAAGCGGGTCAGCAAGATCAAGAGCAAAACATATCGCAAGATAGCACGCAAGGATAAGGATAAGGAACGCGAACGCCTTCGCGAAGCAGGCGTGCTGGATGTTGATGAAGACGAGGACAATGAAGATCTAGACGGTCAGATCAAGGCTGAGCGCGATCGAGCGCAGGAGAGGGCTACTCTCAAGCACAAAAATACTGGGAAGTGGGCCAAAGCCACTCTGGGTCGCAAGGATCTCAGTGAGGACGTCGATGCTCGACAAGCTCTGAATGACCAGTTGCAAAGAAGCGAACAACTCAGGCGAAGGATCAAAGGCCTCGGCGACTCCTCAGAAGACGACTCCGATTCGAGCGATGAAGATGATCGCGCTCACGAAGACCCACGACAAGGTGCTCTTGATGAGCTGAGAGCCCTGGACAGCGCTGTAGACCGAACAGGCTCTGACAACACTGGTAAAAAGGGTGTTTGGAACATGAAGTTCATGCAGGATGCCCGCAATCGCGATGATGCAGTGGCCGATCAGGCTCGAGAAGAACTCGAAAGAGAGCTACGTGCGATGAAGGAAGACCGCGACAATACGGACGATTCTACGTCATCAGGAGATGAGACACCCATGGTGGGCAGGAGAAAGCTCGGCGGGCAGCTTTTACAACCTGAGAAGAATCGGGCAGCCGGCGACGGTGTGACAAGACCGTTGCCCAGCGGAGACGTAGACCAAGGGGAAGACTCATCAGATGAAGCTCTCGATGCTCACGCTGCTCCGGCACGAAGTCCCAACAGTCACTGGAAGCCATCTCGACCGTCGCTCGCTACTCCAGATGCTTATGAGAGCCCCTCAAGCAACCCTTGGCTGTCCGGTCAGGTGCGTTCTCCGGGCGCTGGCAAAACTCTTGTCGACAAAGCCAGCTCGACGGCTTCAAAATCTGCCAGAAAGCTCGAAAAGCGGAAGAGCAAAGCGACTCAGGTCAGGTCAGAGGAGCAGCAGGATGCACAACTGGATATCGATCCCAAGGCCATGCTAGGCTCTGGCGGCAACAAGACGAAGAAGGGCCTTCAGATCCAGCCTTCTGCACCTCCTGCGCCTTCTTCAAGCAAGATCAGCAGGGCAGCTCGCGACGACGACGGTGCTGATGCAGACTCAGAAGACGAAGCGGAGGATGGGGATGAGCCCGTCGAAGTCAGTGGGGGCGCGGCGCGCAATCGTAAGAAGGCCATTTCGCAGAGAGACCTCATTGCAGAAGCTTTCGCCGGCGATGATGTTGCAGCAGAATTCGCTAGCGAAAAGGCACGTCAGATCGAGGCAGATGCTCCTCGAGAAGTGGACACCACCCTGCCAGGCTGGGGTGCCTGGGGCGGAAAGGGTATCAAGAAGAGCCACAAGACGGGAGCAGCACAAGCAGCACAAAAGAAGGCAAACATGAAGTTGATTCCTGGAATGGACGCAAGCCAGCGAAGGGATGCGAATATGGCCAATGTCATCATCAACGAGCGGCGAGACAAGAAGGCTGAGAAGTACAAGGCAAAGGAGTTGCCTTACCCCTACACCTCTGCCGAGCAGTACGAGGCCAGCTTGGCTCAACCTCTGGGACAGGAGTGGAATACACTGACGCAGAACCAACGCTTGACCATGCCTAGGGTTCTCAAGCCAAAGCCGGGCGCTGTCATCAAGCCAATTCAGAGGGTCGGATGAGTATTCTGCATGATCTCCTCTGAAGTCTTTGTCGCACTACATCTCCGGTGGCGCCTCCTGATGCCCGGCGCTTGCTAGCTCTGCATATTGTGTTGTGCCCATCTCTGTCAATCTCGATATCATTCGTGCAAACTGAGAGAGCGGTGGATGTGGAGATGCAGGAGCAAGTGGTTATCTTATCAGCGACGGCGTCTCGCACTCGTAGATGTCACACCCTTTGTCCAGGCACGTACCGCAAAGAGTTCCTCGTCACCGCTGAAGATGGGGTTGCCGCCCAGTTGGTCAATCGTCATACCCTGCGCGAGGAGGAGGCAAGCACGAAATCCCGATCAGTCTCAACTCTACCAAAAAGAAAACACCTTGTCGCTTACGCACCAATGCATCCATAGCTTCCCTCATTGCATCACTCGTCTCTGCACCCTTGTGACCTTTGTCTCCGGCACCAAAGATCTGCAGAATTGGAACTTCGCTGCTCAGGAAGATCTTCTGCTTGCTTTCGTAGGCCGCATCAATAAATGTGATGAAGCGCCGTGCAACCTCGCGCTGATCTAGACCCATCTTGGGAATGTCGTGAATGAAGATCGTGGGGAACGTCCGGCAGATCTCAATATAGTCGGCCGCTGAGCGAGGCGTGCCACACAGCTCTTGAAAGGTAAAGCGAGCGACTTTGCTGGTAGACGTTGGCACCTTGACCTTTCTTCCCCACACCATCAGTTGTCGGTCATCGACCTCTGGATCCGAAGGGTCAGATGTAAAGGCTCCGAACAGCTTCTCGAACTCTCGCATACTGCTCTCCTCCACCGAGGAATAGTACACTTTCGACAATGATCGGGGTACTTTGCGATAGTCGGTACCCGAGTTAAGGTCCTTTACGATCGTCCGGGTCTTCAGCAGCTCAATGCAGGGTATGAAGCTCGAGCGCTGTATGCCGTTCTTGTAGAGGTCATTTGGGTGACGATTGGATGTAGTAACCAGCACTACTCCGTGTGCGATCATGTGATGCAGTAGCCTCCTGAGAATCATAGCATCGGCAATATCTGTCACCTGAAACTCGTCGAAGCAGAGCACAGTCGCTTCTTGGGCAAATTCCATGGCCACGTGAGGTATCGGGTCCACTTCATCTCCGGACGCTCTGCTCGCCTCGCTTCCGGCGGCAGACAGACCACTCATGATGGCAGACGATGCTCCGACCACGATGCCGCTGGGGCGATGGGTCAGGGCCTTGAATGTGTGCATGCGCTTGTGTGCATCAATCATGAACTGATGGAAGTGGATCCGACGTTTGTGGGTGATGTTGTCGGGAAGCTGCTCGTAGAAGAGGTCCATAAGCATACTTTTGCCGGTACCAACATCTCCGAAGAGATACAATCCTTTTGGCACCTTATCCGGGATTTCCAGAGTCTCGTCTTCACTCCTCTTGACACTTGACTGATCACCACCTCTCCCGAATAAGCGTGCGAACTGGCGCCAAATGGCAGACAAGGGAAGGCAGGAAGGATACGTCAGGACATTATGTGATGTGTCAGGCTACTACGCTTGCCGCCACCATTTGCTTCATGAGCTCGACACTCACAAGGCCGCGAGACTCTTCATGCTTGTGGCCAAGGGGCGCTCTGGCATCGGGTGGCTCGTAGTCTTTCAACTCGTCATGAAGGGATTGGAGCAGGGCGATGATAGAGCGCTGATGGTCATCATCTCTAAGAACCTTCGTAGATACCAGCTCATCGTAGCGAGCAGTGGGACCCTTGGCCGACGACGGAGAGTGGGCAGAAGATAGCTTCCGCGTGTGCGAGGGGCTGGCCAAGAATGGTAAGCGCCTCTGAGGTGCCTGATTGCCAGATTGACTGTGGTAGGAAGGCAGGGCTCGTATCCGGTGGCGTGTCACGGCGGTTGCGAAGCCACGGCTCAGGCTTCCTGAGGGGTAAGAAGACCGGGACGCAATGGCATCAAGAGGCGCATGGCGGGACAGAGATATCCTGCCGGTAGTGAATGCCGCCATCGAAGACAGGACAAGGCGAGCAAAGAGGCTCGAAGTGACGGTCAGTGGACGAAAGCTCGCTCCTTCCCGCATCGCCGGCCATTGGATCCGGTCCGGTTTCTCTGCCATCGCCTCGCAGCGCAGCCCGAGACCTCGGCCTTCGCCCCCACAACTCCGCGACGTTTGCTCCCACATGAGTCCGTGACTGCCGGCGGGGTGAGCATCCCCGCATTACCGCACGCCTCTTTGGGTCGCCGGTACCACACCTTAAACGTTACCCCGGGTCTCGTCACCTTCGCGCTTCTCCATCCTGACCCTACCTTGCAAATCGACCAAGTACCCGCTCTTCTGCCGTTGACGCTACCATCGCCACCATGTCGTCGAACAAGACCAGCCCATTGACCGAGACCTCCTCGTTTCTCACGCTGCAGCCGGTGCCAGCCCTGATCGGAGGCACGGTCCTGCTCGAGACTGGACGCACCTTCGATGTCATCCGACCAGACCGGGAGGCTGGTCCCAAGGTCCACTCAGTTGTGAGCTGTGGCCCGACAGAGGCGACCGCAGCAGTCGATGCAGCAGCGGCAGCGCTGCCAGCCTGGAAGGCTACCTCTTACACTGAGCGCCGAAACATCTTTCTCAAGGCTGCAGAGCTCCTGCGCCAACGCGCCGAGGAGTACACCAAGCTCACAGCAGAGGAGACTCCCTTGGACCTGGCTTTTGCTGGATTCGAGATCGGTGGCCTGGCCATTCCTCAGCTTGAAGAGACTGCAGCTGTCATTACACAAGCTCTCAAGGGGGAGTTTCCTCGCATCGATGCCTCCGGAAAGAGGGAGCTCATCCAACGAGAGCCCTACGGTGTCGTACTAGGCATCGTGAGTTCAAGGCTGAGAATGCTGCGCTGACCGATTCACATGCAAGCCCACTCATAATCGCTCTCCCCGCCTAATGTTCTCGCAGTCGCCCTGGAACGCACCTTTCCTGTTGGCCCTCCGAGCTATCTTGAATCCCCTAGCCGCTGGCAACACCTGCGTGCTCAAGACATCTGAGCACTCCCCTCGGACCAACATGGCTTGTGCTCAGCTTTTGTATGATGCTGGACTGCCCCGTGGCGCCCTGTCTGTCGTCCACTCTTCACCAGAAGACGTCGTCGAGGTGACGCGCACGCTGATTCGACACCCGGCCGTTCGCAAGATCAACTTCACGGGCTCAACGCGAGTGGGGCGTCTGATTGCCGCGGAAGCGGCGCAGGTCCTCAAGCCTTGCGTTCTCGAGCTCGGAGGTAAGGCGCCACAGATCGTCCTCGACGATGCCAACATTCCTTTGGCTGCGAACAATGCCATCGTCGGCGCTTTCATGAATGCGGGTCAGATTTGCATGGCGACCACCATCGTCATCATCGATGCTAAGGTCGAGAAGGAGTTCCTCGCTGAGGTCACAAAGATCTTCCGGGAGAACCGCGAAGCTCTTCACTACTACGCAAAAGGTCCTTCCCAGCAGGTGCGAGCTCTCTTCTCTTCTGCGTCGGCAAAGAGGGCCAGTGAAATTGTGGATGACACTTTGAAGCAAGGCGCTCAGGTCCACGCCGGCGAACCCAATGCTGTCAACGTTGAGAAGGCTCAGATCCCTCCTATGGTCATTTCTGGAACAAAGCCCGACATGAGGCTCTTCATCGAGGAAGCCTTTGCCCCTCTACTTGCTGTGACCTCTTTCACAACCGATGATGAAGCCGTCAAGCTTGCCAACAGGACCTCTGCCGGCCTTGCTGCCTCGGTCTACGGAAGCAACGAGACAAGGGCCCTACAGGTGGCAAACCAAATCGAGTCTGGCCAGGTACACATTAACTCCATCACTGTGCATGATCACCCAACCGTTCCCCACGGTGGTTGGAAGGAGAGTGGGTACGGCCGTTTCAATGGCATTGAAGGTATCAAAGAGTTCACTCAGACGCGAACGATCACCATGACCCAGCCATCAGCACTCCCGTTCTTCATCTTGTAAAGCCAAGTTTTGTCCCAGGATGAGCGGCCAGAATCAAAGTATGTGTGCCCTTGAGCGGTGTGATTTATTGCGACAGTCGAGAAAGTGGTGGCCGCCATAGCGGGCGTAAGAGTCAAGCAATGTCCGCTCGACCAAGGAGCGACGGTGTCCCGAAGGTCTGGGGACCTGTTGACCAAGGCTACTGTAGATTACGCTCCAGTCTCCAGAGAGGAATTTCGTGAGCTTGCTTGGTGGGGTCGGACGACAATCGGTCGAGAGGCTGGAGGTCATGTCTGGGCTTCCGGGAAAAACCTGACGCAGTCAAAAGCCTCGCCTCTCTCTCACAGGGTCCAGTGTTCGCAAGGTACATCGAGGAGCTCAGATGCCAGAACGACATGGGCCGCGCAGTCTCATTCCAGACAAGAACGCATCTTGCCCTACTGTACGATTCGTTGGGAAGCACACTGAAACACTGTGGTTGCGACTGTCCCGAGCATGGATTTGGTAGGCGCCATACTGTACAGTAGCGCCGCGGGTACTATAGATGATTACTGCCGTGAATATTAATTGCTAACGGATCCTTTTGCACCCGGGTGAGACATCTTCACAGTATCACAATCTATTCCTGCTCTTACAGGACAGAACACCCTGCAGACACAATTTTGACAGGAAGAACTGTGCCTAGTCGCCTGCGGGCCATCGTTTCCAGAGAGACTACTTTGGGAGCCACTCTTACATGGCTAGAGTAAAGGTACTGTACTGTATCGAAGGTCATGCTCCCTCAAATCTTTGCGCGCGGAAGTGTATGGTGAATCGCGTTGAAGCCCTATATGACGTACAGTACATCATTGAGAGGTTTGGTGAGACATCAAAGCTTCAGAACGGGCAGAACGTGGCTACGCATCCGAGTGTACTGTAATGTACTACAGTACAGTACCGAAAATTACAGTACTGTACTGTATACGTGCTGACTGCAGCACAAGACGGATGATACTCCTTTCGTCACTCGATTCTAGCCAAATGAGATCCAGGTTGGCAGGCTTTTGCAAAGTCTGGCAACCTGCCTCAGACTTTGGCCATCTGAGTTAAGATTAAGCCACACCTTAGCAGTGAGAGGGCACTAGAGCAGTGTCTGGCTGCCAGAATGGCATGCGCATGCTTTCAGTACTGCACTGTACTGAAATTCAGTACTGCACTGTACTAAAAAGCAGAAACGCCATGAAGGGGTAAAAAAAAAAAAAATTGACAGCAAAAGCGGTCTCATTCAATACTATATGCAAAGGTCCAGGTCTGGATCACTGCAGCGAGCGGCCTTTTCTCTTCTGAAAGGCGCAACGATTGTGCTTCGTAGAGAAGCAAAGGCTGCTATTGTAGTCGGACAAAAACACTTGTCCGATACTGTAGCAAACAGCACTTTGATGCATAAAACGCATACTGTATACGCTACTGTACTGTATTGTATTTCGGTCCGTACTCCGCGTTGCAATCAAGAGAATATGCCTTGTACTCTAATCATTTTGCTGCAGACGTGGTGAATGATGTTTTCAGTCCAATGGGTCGAAGATTGTGCGTTGCGTGATTTGCAAATCAAAAGGTAAAAGTTGCAGCAAGTGCGGTCATTGCGTCGGATCTGAGGCAAAAACATCGAACCGTCTGAGCAGGTTGTACTTCTTTTGTCACTCAATTCTAGCCGGATGGGCGTCAGATTCACCGCTGTGCCTAGATTTTGGCCACGACAGAATCATTCTGGCAGAATACTCATTCCACAGTAGTCGCATGATACTGCTTTAGTGCTTCAAATCTGCTCGACTGTGGCTTGACTTCAGACTCAGCTAGCTGAGATGCGAGGCAGGTTGCCAGACTTCCTGTCAGGCTGCCAATCTGAGTCTCATTTTGCGAGAATTGAGTGACGAAAGGAGTACTGTAGTCGGAAAAGTACTTCTGCAGGCTCTTCTACTTCAATTGCAAATACTGTAGCGTGACAGCTGAGTTTGAGAGTCTCCTTTGCGCGCTGAGGATACTGTATCTCGAAAGCCATGCAATGACACCCAGGCAAGAATGCTTCGATCGCCCGTTGCTGTGTTCCGGCTTGCAAGGATCGCCACCCTACAGTCCTGTACTCACAAGTATATGTACACATCAATCTCTCTGCACATCTCCATCTACGCTCACTCCTTTTGTTGCACAACAATAGCCAGATCAGATTCATTTTAGCAGTCTCCCTGGCGATCTGCTTGAGCAACATTTCAGTCCACACCAAGCACTAGAGCAGTATTTGACTGTCAAAATCAAATTTGCAGGCTGCCAAAAGTGTTTTGCGCTGGCTGAACCTGAGATTTGTGAGCCAATCTGGCGTGCATTCCGCTGTGTGCAAGTGACAAAAAGACTGCTGTAGGAGAAGCTGCTTTTGCGCACGACAGCACTCTGCAAACGTACCCCGCCTATTGTATGCAACGATACTGTACGCGAATGTTTGAAGAGGTCTCGCCCTTTGCCCTTCAAGCGTAGACATATGGGAACGAGATCGGCAGCTTGACGGTAAGTCTAGCACATTGCCTTGTATCGGGGCAATCCGTGCTGCAACCCAACCTTAGTGGAGACTGGAGCAGTCTTGAGATTTGAGCTCGTTTGCAGAAAATCTGTAGACCTGCCGGCCTTTGCTACGCCCTGCCAAAATTTGCTGCACTTGACCAGGCGAGCGACAAAGAGAATAAAGTACTCAATGTGCGGGTCTAGAACAGAATTACAATGCAAGATAACAGCTGAGACTTGCGTACGCAAAGATGAAGACATATTGTAATGTTCTTCGTCTGTATGGCTACAGTACAGCTGCACAGTAGGGATTGCGGCAACACTCAGGTCTGCGCAGTACAGCAGCAGGCAAAAAGCAACTGGACTCACCGGACAAGCTGCCCAAGGAAGTGCTTTTCTTCATCCGTCACTCATTTCATGCTACTGTAGGAGAGACGAGAACTGGGAGCTTGGCAAACATTGTGACAGTCTACCTGGGAAGTGAGCAATCTGAGCCTAGACTTAAAAGACACTTCAGCTAGCGTCATGATAGAAACTGCGCTGCCGAGAAACTTTGGCTTGGCTGAGTATTCAGGGGACGCACCTGGCAGATGCTGCAGCTGGCTAGAGCTCACCCAAGAACAGAGTGAACGGCCAATGCATGCCTCCATGGTACAGTACAGTACGTCAACATTGAATAGTACCCTACAATTCAGCAGCTCCGTGAGCGTCATACTGAGCTTCCTTGACCATACTGTACAGTACATCTTTCAGACAAAAATCTGCCTAGCGTCACCGCCTGACATGAGATTTGAAGGCCTGCCTTTTGCTGTGTTTGATGGTCTGCACTAGCCTTGTCACATCACTAGTGTGAGGCGTTATACCAGTTCTATGGCAACGAACGTGACTTTGTGACTTGTCAGCAATCTTTCGGGCTGACTACGGTGTACAGTAAACTGGCATGCTAGGCTCAACTCCAGCTGTTTAGGAGTACTGTCAGCAACGAGGAAGTACAGCTTGTTTTGTACAGACTAGCAGATCACACACTCCATTCACCTTCAAGAGCCTCACGGCAAGATGCGATACAGTATCGTACAGTACTGTACAGCACTGCATAGTTGCCGTAGGCGCTGGGGAGTACAGTACACGATACAGTAACTGGACCCATGAAGTACTCTCAGGAAGAGTTGCGGGTGCCCTTTCTTTAACAATCTGTTGAGAGCATCATGGGCATTTGCGATGCAGTATGGAGCTGCATATGAGCTGCGATTCGCAACACTGTACAGGACTGTACTTACACCCAACTTAAGGTGATGATCACCGACGTTGCTCTGACTGCGTTCTCTTTCGCTTGCGAGACCTTGCTGTGCTGCCATCTATCTCACTCGCCGGCGTCCAAGCCATCTGTGTCTGCTCACCAGCATTGAACATACGAGCTGCGCATTTGCGTCAGACTTGGGTGGTACGAAGGAAGGGGGGAAGGGGGGGAGGACAATGCCGTGTCAACAGGTCGGCCTTCGCGCATCGAGCTCTTTCGTCGTCCAAGGCCGTATCCTTGCTGAGTGTAATGCTGTATGAGTGTTTCGGAAGAGGAATCTGTAGTAAGTCATTGAGACCTGGTGCATGAACATTCACTCTTCTGGATTCTGTGCAGTGTCCGTGAGTGGGCGGGCCGGCGGCCACCTTTCTTGTAGTGCATCACGTCGGCAAAGTCCTCGCGAAGGTCTGATACTTCTTCCGATAGAGCAAACGGAAGTCCCTCAACCAGCAAGCCCAAGAGACGTTATCAAAGAGGGTGAAGAGCGGTCGAGAGACAGTCTCTCATATCTCTCATATCACAAGATAGCTCGTACGAAGCTCTTGCAGTGGGAGCTCACTTTGACGCATCGCCATTCAATTGACGACCGGCCGTCAGCAAAGGTCTCCCTACGGAACAGTCCGGAACGGTCCTCGGTACGGCCGCACTCCCATTCCAGGGTCCACACCAAAGAGAACGGACTCGTCACAGTGATGCGTAGCTGAATCACCTCGACAGAGCATCGGCCGAGGTTCGCCCTCGGGTGTTTCACTTGAGAGGCAGTCGGTATCCAGCTGCATGGTCGGCCAGCACCGCAGTAAGCTCAGCAGCGGCGTCATCGATTCCCGCAAGGCTAGGGAGGACTCAGTCTCCACTGCTAAGGCGGAGACACCACTGAATAGGACGCTAGCATCGAAGCAGAAGTCCTTCTCTAGTTGTCCTTTAGGCTCCCCTCGTGAGGAATAGGGCCACTGAGTGGGCATGTCTAGCGTCCCAGAATGGTCCTGAAATGCTTTGCTCCGGGTGCAGACCTCGAAAGCATTGACCTTAGGCTCTGATCACCAAGTCAGCCTTGCGATTGGACAGCAGGCTTCCATGATGCTGTCGAGCGTTACGGCTTGTCCACTTGCTGCCGTGCAGCCATGCTGACGACGCTTGTGATCCTTTGCCCGCACCGGCGAGCTGGCCAGCAGTCGGGTCCATATGAGCTATCTCGGTGCCCCTCGGTCATATATATGGATCTGTCGGAGATCCCTCTCGAAAGTTGACGACGACGACGGCCTCTGCGGAGCAGTTCCCACTGCTCTCCAAGCCTAGGCAGCGTGTACAGACCAGCGTTGTAGTCAACCTCCACCAATGCATCTCGCCCGCGCTCGCCTTCCGGACGCGACTGTGGAATCAATCACCTTTCCGCCAGCTTGCCTCCCTTTCCGTCGTCGCCGTTTCTCTCTTCTGCCCACTTATCCATACTTCGTCTATGGCAGGCGATTCTCCCATACTGGCCCTTGCCTTGGTGATAGGGACGCCGATCTTGCTGAGATATGCATCCGTGCTTCGCATGTCGTCGAGGCCCCGTCTGCGCCGCAAGATTTGGGGCCCTGCAGATGTCCTTCTCCTCCTGGTCACGACTGTACTGGCCCTGAGTCACGTCTGGTCCTTGTCGCCGTTTTCCACCTCTTACCGACAAGCAAGAGACATCTTCAGACTTACGAGCTTACCCATAGGAGCTCCATCTGCTTCACTTCGCAGTAGGACAAGCACACTTACTCCTCACGATCTTGGACTGCAGAGCTTCGCTGCTATGGCAGATCATGAAGATCCCAACGACGGCGATGCGATCGAGCGACTGCTGCACCGATTAAGCAGTATGGCCGGTAGAGTGAGTTCGGAAATGAAGGGCTCTTATCCGTTAGCGGAGAACATGGAATCGACCATCTGATCTGCTGTCCGTTCCGCCTTTCGCTGGTCAGCAAACGTACCTGCTGCTTGGGCCGGTCCCCCTCTTGGAGTGTCATTACTGCAAGCAGCCCTTGGATCTGACCTTGTACGCCCTAGTCAGGGTGCTCACAGACTATGCAATACACTTCTTGGCTTTAGGCTTCCTTACGTGCTCTTCTGCCTCAATGAACAGGATAGATCAAGGCTTCGCTCCTCTATGGAGACCGCATCCGATCGAAGCCTCGAGGCCCGTGCTGTCGGCATCAAGACTCAATTCACGACACTGGAGGGGGCCAGCAACGGTGTTACTCTCGCTACTCGTCAGCTTGGAGAGCGCCGTCACCTTTGGCCTGCTGGGGTGGGAGGAACGGCAGACCAGCTGGTGGAATCATGTGAGTTCGCGCCCTCTGTCCGATTGTTAGGCCTGTAGTCGCCCTTTCTCACGATAGTGCATGGGGACTTCCTCATCCTTTGTCCTTGACAGTGGCATCACAATGTGTTCTTAGTGCGGCACATCTTTCTGCTGATTCTCGTGGCTCTGATCTACCTTTACCCGACCACCACCAATCCCCGCGGCTCAGGTTCTCTACGGATTGCAACGGCGCTGGGAGCCACTCGCGATGCTCTGACTCGCACCACTTCGAACGTTGCTTTGGTTCGGGCGGGCAGAGATGCGGTATGGCAGGACACTCCCTTACGCTCGAAAGTCGTAGATTATTACGCTACGCAAGACAGCGACGTGGGGGAAGAGGTACTCGCTGAAGCAGCGCGAAGAGGTGTCCTGAAACCTGGCGCTCGGACGCAAGCATCAGGCCTGGTACTGACGAAAGTAGAAGAATTAGCTAGGTCTGCACCAGCGAGTGACACAGAAAAGTAGTGGACTGTGCCCGTCGTTGATAGGTAGCCACATGAATGAACAAATCAGAGTACATTGAATAGATCGCCAATCCGTCTGTCGAGCTTCTTCCCCCTCACTTACAGCCCCTTCGACTGCTAGGCATTTGTATATACATCTATTCATCACTCAAGCCGTTGTCCGAAGCATATTCGATCTCATCGTCATCACACACGAAAGAGCCGACGGAGTACGTGTCGTCTGGATCGTCGTTACCATGTCTGGTCCTCTCGGCATGGCGGGGGCCCTCGTGGCTATCCGGTGTGCTGGGGGGCCCATATCTGCCGCCGACGAAGCCACCCACCGTCTTGCGTCTGAAAGGAGTGGGTGCTCCTTGCGTCAGCAGGCTCTGCTGGTAGACGGATTTCTGATTGTATCCTCTCGGAGCTTGCGTGGGCTGGAAATCTCCTACGTGCTCGAGGTCGCTGGAGCCAGCCGAATCGGTGTTGGCACCCTCATCGTCAGAATCAGATCGGACACCACGTCGTTCCTCATCGGTGTCTCGATCTGCCTCGAAGCGAAAGAGTGCTCTTGAGGTAGGTGAATTGCCAATGCGCTTCTTTGGCAATTTCTGTCGCTTCCTCGCCTTTTTTACGTTAACTTCATGCTTGGACGCCGCCGTCTCTGCGAGGACGCGCTTCTCTGGCCGCACGTTACCTCCTTCGAGATCGGAAGAGAGCTCGTGGAATGCTCGCGATCCAAACTTGTTCGCCTTTCTCTCTGAGAGATCGGGTGTCTGGTCGGGTGAAGACGTGAGAGCCATCGGCTTCAGGGGCCTCCGCCCGTGACGATTGACTATGGGCGAGTCAGCGGCTTCCTTGTTAGATGAAGTCCGCAAAGCAGAGCGAAGAACACCATTCGCTGGCGTGCGTACGACGTCGACTTGATGGAGGTCTCGAGATTGAGAAAGAGATTCGGAGGACTCTGCGACGTTATGAACACCTTCATCTGCTCGCAACCCTCTTGCGTCAGACGTTGCTCCAGGACCTACGCGCTCGGCCGACTGAACGATTTGACGGTCGTGGGCAGCAAGCGAGGCGACGAGAGGATGAGCCTCGCGTCGTCGATACACTTCTGGGGAACTCTCACGACTGGAAGCGCGGTTCTCGACTACTTCTTGAGTCAAGTTGGCTAGAGCTTCCGAGTCCATGGTCCAAGAGACGTCAAATTCTTGAGAAGAGTTCAGCGCCTTGCTTTCCGGTTCCTGCCGTGCCCTCGACATTTGGTCAGCTATAGGTGGCAATCGATTTTTTGCCGACTCCAGGCCATCAGCACATCGTGTTGCCTCAACCACCTGGGGGACCGGTGAAGTGCTGGCTTCGTGTGGATGAACGATCTCTATATCGTCGCTGGACCAGTCATCAGACGATTCGACCGCAAGTCGTTGCGCTGGCCGTCGGACGCCGAGTCTCTGACCTCGTTTGCGAGACGACAGACTGCTTTGCATCAGAGATGTAGAGCTTTTGAGGTTGTCCGAGGGCTGCGGAAGAGCGCCAGCGTTGCGCTCGTCGTCAGAAGCATTTCTTTGATGAGCTCGATGGAAATTCAACCCCCTTTCAAGAGCTTCGTCGTCAGAATCGTCGGAAAGATCTTTTCGACGACCTTCCGCGAGGACCTTCCCTGAGGCATCGTCCAAGTCTTCATCATCGCCTTCTTGCAGACGGCTCTTGCCCTTTTTGGAAGTCAACGATGAAGCCCGCAAGAATCCCATGAGAGCACCTTCGGGTGCATTGCGCTTCACATCGGTCAAACGCTCCTTGCGTCGCTTCGCCTTTTCCGTGACTCGAGCGGTCTTCGCTGCGAGCGGCACCTTCTTGCCGATGAAGTCAGGCCTGAAGTCAGGTTGGTCCAACTCCTCGAAGGTGGGAATGGGCCGTATGCTTGGAGGAATAAGCCGAGGCACGTCATCAAATAGGGTAACACTGTGGCCTGCATTGATAGTCTGTTGCACCCCTTTGTAGGTGTCCTTTGATTTCTGCCAGATGCTAGACTCTGGTCCTTCAGACATGAGGACTACGATCCTCCCATCTCTCTTGCGACCCGTTCGACCGACCCGTTGAAGCATGCGAACGGAGTCTTTCACCGCCTCATAGCAGACAATGAGATCCACCTCGCCAATATCGAGGCCCTCCTCCCCTATCGAAGTGGCCACAATGACATTCACGATTCCTTTCTTGAACTTCTCAATGATCTCCTTTTGCTGCTTCTGTGTCAAGCCCCGGCCCTGTTTGTCAGCCGACTGGCCGATGAAAGAGGTGGCCTTCAATCCTTCATTAGCATTTAGCAATTCTACGATCTCGTGTACGCACTCTCGAAGGGAGCAAAATACCATGACCCTACTGGATACGTTCCCTTGCTGCTGCTCTTTATTGAAGTGAGAAATTATGGTGTCGACGGCAGCTACCATCTTGGGGTGCGCTTGATCTGGGATCGATGCAGCAAGATTCAAAATCTGCGCCAACTTCATCTTCTTCGCATCCTGCTTCTTCATGCTGTCGACTAGATCTTGCACTCTACCGCGAAACATCTTGATCGAAAAGACGTCGAGGTGGGCACGAGCTTCAGCCATCCGAGCGGTCTCTTGAATTGTAGCTCCCAGCCATCTCTTCTTCGCAATAATGTCTCTGCGTTCGGCATAGACAGAGCGAACACGGAAGGGATGAAGTGTTGAGGGGTCGGCGTTTGGTAGAAGACCATGCTTCACTAGAGCTTCACAATTGTCTTGCATCACTGCCAGGTAAAGATCACGGATGTGTCTGAAGTCATCCGTCATCTGAACGATGATCGTCTCTTCGTGCTTCTTGTGGACATATTGGCGTATGTCTAGCGCCTCCTCCGTCCGTAGCTCGATGAGGCTAATGTGGAGATTATCGATCACCTCTTGCACTCTCTCGGCAGTACTGCCTGGCGTAGCAGTCAGCGCAAGGATTCGAAAATAGGGATTGACGGCCTGGATCTGCGCGACAATATTGCAGTACGCATAATTTCCCGTTGCCCGGTGCGCTTCGTCGACGACGAGGCAAACGATATCTTTCGGATCCACGTCTCCTGTGCGCAGATCGTTATCGAGCGTTTGCGGCGTCATGTAGAATATCCTCTTCTCTTGCCATTCATCGCCTCTTCTGCTCCTGCTCGTGTTTCCGGTCATTTCGCAAGCAAGATCCCATGGTAGCCCACAAATGCCATGACAAGCCATCTGCTGTTGATTGACGAGAGGCCTTGTCGGAGCAACGAAGACGATCTTGCCTTGGGGATACCAGTGAAAGAAATTGAGTATGACAACGGCGGCGATGAACGTCTTTCCGAGGCCAGTAGGAAGTGCTACTAAGACATTGTCGTATAGAGCCCTCTGTACAATGTTGAATTGGTAGTCACGCTTAGTCATGTTGACTGGGTAGATGAATTTCTCAGCTGCCCTGCTATCGAGCTGCAGCTTCATCGAGTCTGGGGGAAGCTTGACACTCCCTGGCCGCAGTTGTCCTGAAGAAGCTTCTCGTCCGATGTGATGGTCCCGCTCTTCCCATTCTTCGACGTCCCAAGGATCCGGAAGGTCATCGCTCTCTTGCGTCTTCTGAAGACCCCCTGATCGCATCGGTTTCCGACATCTGCTTGCCACATCATCAGCCCTCTCCCACTGTTTTGTACGCTTCGCCCTCTTCGTACCAGCGTGCTCCACGCGAGCCTGAGAGGACATGACCAGGCATCCGGATGCTGAAGATTGAGCGACCTCACCAAAAAGGTTTCGCTGGACGTACTGTGTAGGCGGAAGAGGACCAGATGATGTGCGGATCAAGGGTCGTCCTCGTGAGGCTGAGGGACCCGCGTCCATCTCTCCTCCACCATGCTCCGGCCCTCGACCTGTATGCGAGTACGAAGCATTGCGCTGCCCTTGATTCGTCCTTCTGTCCCCGTTGCTTCCGTGGCCATTGGCTATCGAACTGCCGTGAACGCCTGACCGCTTTGCTACGGAAGGGTCCTTAGATCCCCATGCATTGGTCGAGGCATCACTCATCGGCGTATCCGCATTTCCATCAGGCTGTCCATTGTTCCTGCTTAGTAGAGCGCCAGCTACGGCGTCGATGTGCGCAATTGCTGACTCGTCGAGGTCGAACTCATCGAAGCTATCGGTATCGGCCTCGACAGTCGTCATAAGGCTCGGCGCACGAGCTGTGTCGGCAGAAGAGTCTGGTCGAGAACTCTCAGACACGATTGAGGTGCGAAGGTCTTCAGGCAGTCACGGGGCTGAGGTGCAGGCAGGCGATGACCTCGAGGATGGTGTAAAGTGGCGTAGTCGTCGAGGCTTCAAAGTAACAGCAACTCGAGAAGCGGCAAGACGCGTCGACGGAAGTGGGGCGGAGATGGACGGTGCAGAGGAGCGTTGGGCGGAAGTGACATGGGGCTCACACTCACTCACCACTTCCGTCGTCTTGGTAGGCCTGCTGTTCATCATCGTTACGTCCTCGGCTCCTGTTCCCATTGCCCGTTCGATGCTGCCATGGCGACAACGGAGCATCTGGAGTATGAACATGATCACACTCGGCCGGACAACCACCACATGACCCTGCCATCTGCTACGCCCCTCTCCCACTCTTCCCCGGCTCTGCGCGCAGGCGAGGTCTTCAATCCTTCTGATCTGTTGTGCTCTCTCCTGCCTGCCTCACTTGGATCACATTCGAAGCAGCTTACAGCTTACGACGACCAGCTGTCAGGAGAGCTGGAGACGGTCGTAGATGACGAGTACAAAGAGTTCATTGCGCTTGCTGCGAGACTGGGAGGCGAACGACAGCGGATAGACCGGCTGGCGCATTGGGCGGGTGACAGCGGGCAAGAAGGCTTGGAAGGCGTCAGACTTTGTGTAGACAAGGAGAGAGATGAAGTCATGGCTGCGCAATCGGACGTACTGCACTTGCTGACCAGTCGGCAAGCCATCGAAACGCGAAAGGTGAGACGAGAGTATTTGGGCTTTAGACACTGCATTACGAGAGATGCTGATCGCGCCCTACTTGTGATGCATCTCGCAGACGGATCTCAGGGCATTGCTCTCCTTCTCAGATACGGTACAGCGCCTCGAAGGCTTGCTGCTGATCCCGACAGGGGCTGAAGTAGCGAGCTCGTCTGCTAGAGCCACAGCGAACCCTTCTCCACGGCCTCATCACGGAAGCGCCTCCAGAGCAAGCGGCCGTCCTCACGAAGATGATGACGACCTCATCAGAAGAATGAAAGGGGAGCGACATCCAAACAATGAACAAAATGGAGGTGATCGCTCTTCATTAGAAGATGAGCTCGGTACATATGATTCCGATGCCTCGTCATCTGCTGTGAACCGTCGCAATCTGGCGAATGTCGCTCTGCAATCCGAAGCGATGCCAAAAGCTGCTCCGCAAAAGCAGTTGCACCATACAGGCCGCAATCTTGATCTCCCAACAAGGATAGCACGAGCGAAAACAACTTGGGAAAGTCTCGACTTCCTTCGACGAGCCGCTGCCAAGCTGCCAGCTCACGCGAAGGATGCGCAGATCCTTGAAGGCTCATCATCAGCGCTTTCGAACAAGGTCCCTTTTCTTGAGAGACACGAGCAGCGCCTCTCGGCTATTCAGACCACACTGAAGGGAGACCTACGCAGCTTGTTCAGTCGTCTCATGACACCTGGAGCTTTACTGGTCGAGATCGATGAGCCTGCCGGGCTTGTCTCAAATCCGAACAGTATCGGCGATCTTGATCGATGGAGCCGGATCGCGCCTGGTTTGTCGCAATCGCAGGCGCTCTCCGAGAAGATGAAAGAGAGAAAGACATGGATGATAATGCTTCTCGAGGCATGGACAAGCATCGGCACCGATGTCGAGACTTCTATCACTGAGGTGCAGGAGCATCTTTGCGAGAAATTTGTCGCACCATGGTGCCAAGACTTCGTACGTCTTGATCGAGATGTACGAAATACCCACTTTCGAGCGTTGGCGTCCTCAGCTGCTTCTCACCTGCAAGTAAATGGGGGCCCTCCGCTGCTACATACTGACGACACAAGAGACATGAGCCCATTCCTTCCGATGTTCAACACGATCATTCGCTTTGTCCACAGTATGCGTGGACTGACAGCTCTGCTCGAGTCTTTCGACCCGATTGGGAACCGACCGAAGACACTACTGTCTAGCGATGAGTCCAACGAGTCAGCACGGAAGCGACACAGCAGAATACAACCGTTCGAAGCTGTCATTTGGTCCAGTATCTCGACTGCATTGATTGGACAAGTCGGGGAGAGGCTGTTCTATGTCGGCGCACCGGATGAGTTCCATCGCGTGAGTGTCTTGAGCACTGATCTTTTTCTTATGTGTTCTGACCAGTAACTTCGCTCCTCCAACATCAGAATTATACCACCACACAAGATTTCCTCGATATCCTGTCTCATTACTGCCCAAGCGCAGAGGCCAAGAGAGCTTGGCGAGAACACCCAAGCTTTCTTGCTTTCATGAAGCGCTGGCAACTTTCTGTATACTTCCAAATGCGGTATCGCAGTATCGCCACCTCGTTCGAGAGCGAGCTCGCACCAATGCCACGGAGCTTTGCTACGCCGAAAGAAGCGCAGCCATTGCCGTTGCTCACAGCGACACAAAGTGCTATCGTTGCCTTTGTGGCGCCTTGGTCGCGGAGTGCTCATCTGACTCCACTGATCGCGAGACAGCTGAAGCTCAGCTTGATGGTCGTTGCAAGGTACTATACTTGGATGTGCGATCAGCAGATGCTCCTTACTAAGGTCGAAGGCCAAGTAGATGAACTCAATGCAGTCTCAAATCGACAGGTGAGTGAGCAAGACTGGGTACATGTCAATGCAAAGTGACTGATACGATCCTATCCATATGTGGCCACTGTAGTTTGCAATTTCTCAGGGAGGAGGAGCTATTCCATCTCGCAGTGCTACACCGGACCTGGACTCCCAAACTCTGGATGAACGCAGTCTTAAAGCTCTGGCTATCCTCGCCGCAGATGCCGTATGGTTCCGATCAGAGGCTGCTCGTCGGCTGAAGGAAGACATCATTCCAATGACCTCCTCCACCAGAGGGTGGAGCGAAGAAGCTTCGACTTTACCGTCTGAGATATCAGGTAAGGCAGCCAATTCGATAGTGCCGCTACACGCCCGCTTTCAAGCTAACATTTCGGTCATTGTCACGTTCTCACAGCTGCTCTTACTGATGCCTTTCCTTACGAGAGCAGACTACTACCCTCTGTTGGTGCTGCCATTGTATCGCTTCTTAAGAGTCGTTGTGCAGAGGCTCTCCGCCTTGTCCGCTCTATCAACACACAATATCGAGGGGGCACTAGCGGTCCCTCGACGCCCAACGCTGAATTGCTTAGCAGCCAGGTAGAGCCTAGCTACTTTGTGCCACAGATTTTCAGGCCCCTGCGAGCTTTCTTGGGCAAAGGCGACAGATCTGGCGAACAATTCATGACGCCCGGTAGACTGGTCGCCAAGGAGTATAGACTATCATGGGCGACTGAGGTGGTCGACGATGTGGCGATGCGGTGAGCAGTCGAAGAGTGCACGGCGACAAAAGCCAGCTTATCTGATCCTCCTGCCTTTCCGATCCGCGAATAGCTATGCCGCTTCATTGACACAGATGATACAGAACTACGAATCGCTCAGACGTCTCAAGCGCGGCAACATGACAGGAAGTGGTGGATTTGGAGGCTTAGCAAGCTCCTTTTTCCGAGGTGGCAGCAACTTCAGCAATCAGACTGCGCCGGGTACGAGCAACGGCGACGATAGCGAGTGGGTCCGTATGCAGGTGCAAATGCGAGTCGACGTTGCTCGATTGGAGCAAGATCTCAAGGAGCTGGGTGAGGTAGGGGTGGACATCGATCTGGACCGGAGCGAGCCATGGTCCAAATTGAGAGCTCTGGCGGCGGGACAGGACAGAGTGTGAGGAGGGAATATCATATCATCATGTCACATAGCGCAATAGAGGGCATTGGTCAGCAGTATCAAGACAGATGTCGTCATCAACGCAAATCTTACAGAGCGCTGATTAGTGCGAGCTGCCACTTCGGGCGTCAGGTCGGGTTGAAGATTTTTTATTGATTGCCAATCTAATTATAACGTCGTCTGCACTACGAGTGCGCATAGACAGGGCCGTGCCCATGTTCACTGCTGTGCAGGCTGTGGGAGAATCCATCCTCGCCAATCACGGGACTCTTGAGTTTATAGGGAGGAGCCAACACGATGCTGGCCTGTGATATTCTATTCGCCCTCGGATCCACCTCGGCCGTGTACTGCGGGATAGCTCCAGCGAGATAGCTGTCGTAATACGGCTGGTTCATCCCGAGGTCCTCCTTGCTCTCGGCAGCCTCGCTTGGCAGTGATGGACGACGAGGTGCCCACGGCTGCGTATAAAAGTCGCCATCCTCTCCGTTTTCAGTGATTCGTGCATGCTTGCGGGATCTTCGACACAGCCATGCGAGACCGCATGCAACTACGACTGCAATGATGACGGCGCCGACAATCAATACCACTAGCAGGACCGTATTATGTGAAAGGCTTTTGGAACCTGATGCTGAAGCGGCGACAAGAGCCGTTGCAGAAGCAGCGGCAGAGCTTGAAGCCGTTGACGACAACGGCGTCTGGGAGGACGCAGCGTTCGTCGTAGGGACCAGGCTGGTGGAAGATAGGCTCGTGAGAGTTGAGGATGTGCTAGGACTCGCAGTTGTGATAGCTGCGATGATACTAGACGCTGTCTGCGTGGAGCTACTGGACGTCTTGGTCTCTAGCGAGCTCGTCGACTTCGAAGTGTTTCGCGACGACGAGGTAGTTGAGGTTGTTCGGCTCGCCGAGGAGGATGTGGAAGTTGCATCTTCCTCATCATTGATAGAGACAACCTGGCCCAAGCGTGGCCCGACTGATGAAGTCGTTGCGGTGGGCCTGCTTACTGCAGGCACGGTAATTGTCATGGTGACACTAGCAACTGCAGGCTTCCTCTTGGCCCACAGAGCACGTGCCTGCACCGCATCTGCATCTGCTGAAGAGGTACTAGAATCTACCGCATCAGAGGCAGAGGCCGACGCTGTCTGCTGAGGCAGGAGATCATCGATGATCTTCTGCCCCAACCTTGGAGCCTTTGCACGCGCCAAGAGAGGTGGCTTGGATACAACGGTTGAGCAGATTGAGGTGTGCGTCATGCTTGTTTGAGTCGTTGAGACTTGTGTGCCTCGGCAGTATGTGTGGAGAAGGGGAGGGAGAAAGGTCGACCAGCGACAAGGATAGAAAGCACCCTTCTCTCGAAAGGTGAGTGGGGGCTTGGTTGAACAAGAAAGCGTCGATGAGAGCACCAGGCTCTGTAAACTATCAAAGTCTTCGACGAAGGGAAGGGAGAAGGCAAAACGGTATGAACAGATGGCAGAGAAAGGACGCAAAGACGCTTAATATTTTCCGACAAGGGACATGGCGCCAAACGCGAGCGGAGTCGACGCGTAGATGTTCGAAGATCACAGTGGAGCGCAGGGGCCATGGCCTTTTTTACGGATAAACGCCGGAGAGATGGTGGTATGCCACTTCCGCACCCCTTGCACGTCGCCCGATCCGATTAAGCAGCGCCAGCGTCGCCCTTGGTGATCCTGACGGTGTAGTGTTCTTTTGTATCGACATCCCTCAATTGCTTGGCCGCTTGCTCAGCGGTCAAATCTCTTTGAGGCTCTCCAAGCATCTCAAAGCCCACCTGTTATGCGAGAAGGGGTCGGTATAGCTCAGCAAAAAGTAGACGCGAAGGCCGCCTTAATGCAAAACTCACTTGAAACTTCTTGACTGTCTTGCTTCTGAGCAGAGGCGGGTAGAAGTGCACGTGGAATTGTGCCTCATCCCACTGCAGCTCCTCGATCTTCTGCTCCTCGCTGAGCGACGATGCCTTGCGAGGTGGCAGCGGTCTCTGGTGCAGACCCATCGAGTACGGGAACGAGCATTCGAAGAGGTTGTCGTATCGTAGCGTCACCTCCCCCATGATCGCGGCAAAAGATTGCACTTGGGCCGACGAAAACGCCAGCAGATGGTTCAAGTGTGCGGAGCGAGGCAGGACCAGGACCTACATCGTAATCAGGAGGCCGAATGTTAGCGAACGCAGTGCCCTGAATCGTCGCATCGAAGGTACTCACCTCGAAAGGCCAGACTGCCCAATAGGGAATGACAGCGATCCAGTCTTCGTTGCTTGCAATCACCCTCGGTGTCCCAGGCTGGTCCATTTCCCATTTGGCGTATGTGAGAAGCAGGTTCGGACGTCCGTTTACGCTCTTGGGATCCCCTTCCCTGTCATTGCTCGGATTCTGTGCATACTCCCACTGGCTGGCGAGCGCCTTACCAGGTTCTTCCGGCACGTAATCCAAGCTCCATACTTGGCCGTGAGGATGTGGATTGGAGCAGCCCATTGCGGATCCCTTGTTCTCAAATATCTGAATATACTTGACGAAGGGATTGTCTAGCGGTATGGAGGCGTAAGCTGCTTTCCAGGCCTCGATGATTGGTACGATATGCGTTGATGGTGAATAGGGGGGAGTGCTCAGGTTTGCGATGGTGAGGTTGTGAGCTGGGTTGAAGCAGATAACAAAGCACCTGCCTCTGGCGGGTTGGGAGCGTATCAAGGGGTGTGGGTTGATGTCTATTGCACAGCGAGAAGGAGAGGCCGTACTCAGGTCAGGTCGCAGCTCTCACTTGTCTTTCTCAATTGTAGCTCTAGACTCACCTTGAGGTCTACCAACAGCAGTCTCGGGCTTGAGTGCGGCGAAGTCGTTCTCAAACATCTTGGAGTGGATGGCAGCTCTTTAGCACCAGCTTTGAATCAACAGCTCAGTGATATGCAACACACTCACATGCGTTGAGCTGTACGAAGGCGTCTTTTCGCCAGTAGCTCGCTCGTTGCCGGGACAGAGGTAACACTTTGGGTCGTACTCAGGGAGCTGAGGTACCTCTGCCGACTCTTGAGCTCCTTGCCAGGGCCTCTTTGTGCGGTGAGCTGGTGGATTTCGCAGGGAGGGAGGGGAAGAAGGAGCTCAGAGGCAGGTCTAGAGCGTCTTGCAGCAGGCCACTCACGCGAACAGAGTACCCATGACCGCGAGAGAGGATTGTACCGTCTGTGGGTGTGTTCGCTTGGATCAAAAGGAGTGGTTTCCGACATTGAGAAGAGCTAGATTGGCGTTGCAAAGGGTGGGGTTGGATGGCGAGGAGGGAGAAAGGTTCGAGGGAGAAGGTCTGTAGTCGTGGAAACCGGCAAAGTGGGGCCCGGCGCTTCTTCCCGATCGCTCCGCACAGATCTCCGGTTCCGCGTGGCTTACGTTTTGCTGCGTGGGGAAGGTCCCGCGGGTGAGAGTGCTCATCGTCTTCTCCACCTTTCCACCTCGTCGTCGTCCTCGCCGTCATCATCTTGTGCCTGTGGGCGTCCCTATCGCTCCCTCCTGTGTGGCTCTCTTCTCCTTTCCTCTCTCCTTTGCCTCTGCTCTGTCTCTCCTCATCCGCCATCGTTTCCCATCCTTCTTTCTCCCTCCTCATGTCTCCCAGTCTGACTTCCTCCACGGATAGTGGCAGCACAATCCTTTCGTCGAGGTCATCTGCCGCCTCGTCGGCTTCCACAAACGGATGCTGGGCGACTTTGATGACTGGAGACATCTACATGCCAGGTCTGGCGTAAGTATCGCTCACGCATGCAGCGAGACAAGCTCGCAGCTCGGACGCGAAGACTGATACCCTGTGCTTTTCGTCATATCTCCTCTCTGTAGCGTCTTTGCGCATTCGCTGCTGCGAGGACCCCACGCATCCGCTTATCCTTTGGTCGTCATGACTGTCCGCGGCTCCTGCTCAGCCCAAGCCATTGAGACGGTCCGACAGCTGGGCTGCAAAGTGGTCGAGGTACAGCGCATGGGCATCCCCGGCGAGGCCAAACAACTCGCCCAGCATCGCTTCGCCGAGGTGTGGACGAAGCTGCGAGCCTGGGACCTCGAGGAATATGATCGAGTGGTCTTGGTCGACTCAGATATGCTGGTGAGGGCCAACATGGATGAGCTCTTCCACGTGGAGTTGCCCAAGAACGGCCCTCAAGGCAAGGAAGGCATCGCAGCCACCTTTGCTTGTACCTGCAATCCAGACAAGATCAAGACTTACCCTGCTACCTGGTGAGCATTCGTCGTAGGCGCTGGGCCTCACCTGTGTCGCTAATTGGTGCTGACTGGCCTTTGCTTCTGCTGGTGCAGGATCCCGCAAAATTGTGCTTTCACGCCTCAGTCGCACCCTTCTTGCCTGACAGCCCCTACGCCCCTCACGGCCGACTCGCCACCGACGTACCACTTGCTCAACTCTGGCCTCGTCGTCCTCTCTCCGTCTTCCTCCGTCCTCATAGACATGGCTCACGAGATTGCCTCCTCTCCAATCGTACAGACGTATCGTTTTCCTGATCAAGACTTTTTGGCTCGATTCTATCACGGCTCCTTCCGACCTCTTCCATACATCTACAATGCATTAAAGAAGCTGCGCCAAGCTCACCCCGACATGTGGCGGGACGAGGCGGCCAAGAACGTCCATTACATTCTTAAGAAGCCCTGGGACACGAGAGACATTGGCGGGGTCGATGAGGAGACGCACTCCTGGTGGTGGCAGGCTTGGGAGGCCGCTCAAGCCGACCGAGCAGGAGGGGTTACCGAGGAGAATTGGGTCAACTGTGTACAGAAGTACGTCACCGCCTTACAGGTGTAGGCCCGCTGGGCAAATCCTCCCCTCGGCCAGGGGTGCTCCGGTCCTTCCTCTTGCTTTGGTGCTCCGTCTCGCCGACCGTCTCTGACAATTTCGCAAGCGTCTCACATGTACTGTACAATAGTTCTATGCATCGCGTCTATCTTAATCAGCATTATGTAAATGAACATCTTGATTGGCTGATCGCAAGAGAGTGTTACAACAAGATCGCACAAATACAAACAATACCAGAAGGCCCAGAGGGGAACCACGATTCGCTCGGCCCTTTATGTGCTTGTCCTCGGTTCCGCTCACCTGCCGCCCATGGATCCTCCCCGTCCTCTGCCCCTTCCCGCCCAGCCGGACCCGGAGACACCGCCCAACCCAGCATTGCTGCCGGTCCCAGCACCTCCTGCCGGTCCGAGAGCTCCTCCTCCTCGTCCTCCTCTGTTGCCCCAGCCACCGCCACGAGGGAACGCCCCATGGCCATGGTGCGCGTTTCCACGTAGCCCCCCACGGACTGCCCCACCCGCACCGCCTCGAAAAGATCCGCTACTGGGGAACGGAGGCGAGCCAATGCTCGAGGGTCTATCGGCAGTAGGGCTAGTATTGAAACGCTCATTCGCTCGATCTACAGCTCCGGATGCAACGCCGCCGTTGGAGGAAGACGATGCAGCAGCTGCCGCTGCGGCTCCGCGTCCAAGGATGCTGAGGTGTCTTTGGGGCTGCACAGATGCAGGTGGTGAGCCACCTGCTTCAGAGCCGCTGTCGGCGGTGGAGTTCTTACTGTTTGGTTGTGCAGCTCGAGGTGGTCCAGGTACGTCCACTGGTGCGAAGCCGGCACTCCCGCCTCCTGCTCGGAGGGAAATTGCGTTACTGCCCGTGGTAGACGTGCTGACGGGAGGTGCTGGGGTCATAAGAGCTTTAGGTCCTTTAGGGGGATTGAAGGGCGCGGCTACAGCTGCGGTCGGCCCGGAAGGAATGTGACCCGGCGGTGCACTAGCAGATGAAGATGGTGCTGATGAAGTTGAGGCGGTGACACTGTTCCTGCGCAGAGCAGCAGGAGCAGCCGGGACTGGGCCCGCGAAGCCTGCGCTACTTTGTCGTAGGCCTTGTCCTTTGGGACTAGGAGTAGGCTCGTTTGATCTGCTTGCTGGTGTTGATAGACCATGTGTTGACAAAGCTGCCGGACCCGAAGGTGGCAGGGCCGGCGTTGATCCTGGTGCCAGTGCTAGTGATGGCGAAGGCAGCGCCGCTCCTGTCGAAGCGGGATGCGCGGCGGCCTGAGACGACGCGCTTGCTGACCTCGACATAAGAGGACTACCGAAAGTGTCTGGCCCAGGCGTTGTCAAAGGAGCGAGTGGCATATTGCCGGGGACAGCGAAGCCACCTTGCGGACTCCAGCCCCCTCGCGGCAAGGGTCCTGGAAGTGCGTGAGAAGATGGAGGACTAGCAGAAAATTTGCTCTGCGAAGGGCCCAGCGGCGGCGAGATTGCTGAATTGCTGACAGCACGATTTCCTGGTAGTGTGGCCCTAGCTTCCGTACCTACAGAGGCTCGGGGGGCAAGAGGAACCTGCGGAGCGGTGTGCCTGGAGGCGGTCACGGATTGTCTGGTTGACGACACTGGTGACATCTGCGATGAAGTGGCGGGCCAGGCAGGGATTGCAGGCTTTGAGATCGTGCCCGCAGGAGCGGCTGGGGGAGGACCAGGTGCGGAGGGTATCAAAGAATCGCTCGGACGAGGTGAAAGAGCAGTCCGCTCTGGTACTTTGAAAGACGAGACGGGTGACGCTGTAGCCCTGATTTCCGGCGATTTTGGAGAAGTCAACGGATGTCGCAGTGGTGGCGGAGACAGCACTGGTGGTCGTCCTTCGGCCGAGTCCGGCGCGGGCTGGGCGTCTGGAACACGCGGGGGAAGCGGAGCCGGAGGGAATTCGCTGAGACTGAATGTGGCAGAAGGACCAGAGCCAGAATCAGAAGGCACAGGCAAGCCGTAGCTACTAGTGCGGACTGACAAAGGAGGTGGAGGCAGCCGACTTGCAGAGGGGAGGACTCCAGCGATGTCGTCCGCCGCTAAGGGCGGCGACATAGCAGAATTTGCTCGCTCGCCAAGGGTGTAGGTAGTCGCAGGTCCGGTCGCAGGCTCCATAGAGGTAGCGGATAGCGTGGGCATAACTGCAGCTGCCTCGGCTTTGCGTTTCTCGGCCTGCTGCTTCTTCCAATCAGCCAGTGACAATCGCGCCCTGGGTTTCTCGGGTTCTGCAGGAGCCAGGGCGGGAGTAGCGGGTGTCACGCTCGCGAGCGGCTCCTCGACGCCTTCCTTCTTGATTTGAGGATCGAACAGGTCAGAACGCTGAGTCGAAAGCTCTTCTTCGAGTGGTGTCGGTGAAGTTCTTCCTTGCCAGATTCGTGCCTTATCATCTTCAACAACCTTCGTAGAGCTATCTACAGACCTCTTCGAGCTGCTTTTCCTCCTCCGAGCACCAGCGGAATTGCTCCCGCCCATCACGTCTGACGAGTCCAAGTCAGTGGAATCGGCATCATCGACTGTATCGATTCGACGACGCGACTGACCGGTGGAGGGACTTTTGGCTACTTCACCCAGCGTGGAAGACCTTTTCCGCTTCGGCCGCTGTACAACATCACGTTTCGCTACCTCTACAGCACGGCCGGTCTTTGTTGTGCTAGGGCGTCGGGTTTTCGGACGACCCACGTAGCCAGATCGGACAGGCTCGGATCCCGACGACATGTCTTCATCCTCCTGCTCACCGTTCAGGACTCCTCGGCGTGACTGACGGTTGACTTCGTGGAGCATTGCTGCCCGGATTGACCTTCCATTGTCATCGTCCTGCTCATTTTCACCGTTCCGTTCACCTTCAGAGGCGCTTGTAAGAGGCGAGCTGGGTTGGACACACGACAGCTTCAATCGCTGCCTCTGTTGCCGTTTCGACTTCTGACCGCTTCGAACGTCGTCCATCGCATCGTCCTCTGACGACAGCTCGCTCGAGTCGTCCGCATCGAAAGCAGCAACATCTTTTCGATCCTTGTGCTTCGTCAAGCCGCTCTTGCGCGCTGCTGCTAGACTGACCTGTCTTTTGGCCGCTTTCGCCGCTCTTGCCTTGTTCGTAGCAGCTGCTCTTTCTGCTTTCCTTGCATTGCGCCGATTCGTCTTATCCTCGCGATCAGGATCATCGGCCAAGATGTGGTTGGCTTTTAGCCGAGTACCGGCGATCCTCTTCTTGAGAGGTAGAACTGTGGGGAGATCAGAATCATCTCCATCAGGCTCGTTCGCTCCCAGCATCTGCAGAGAAAGACTATCGTCTGCGCTATCCAGGTCACTGAGGCCTTCCAAAGGCTCCGTAATGGAAGACACGTCCGAGACGACGCCTGGATCTTGCTCTTCATCGGTCTCACCATCGTCCAGTCTATAATCAGATTCGAATTGGCTCGCACCGTTCAATTCGTTGCTTTCGTCGCCAGGGGAGATGATTCTATTCGAGTGGCGGTGTGAGTGCCCGCGCTGTTGGATGGTCTGCGCGTGCATCTCGCTAGCAGCGGACCTCTGCTCGTTCCAGAGTCCTGCCCGATCCACAGCGTCTTTGATGTCAGCCTCCAAGACGCGTATGACTTTGCCTGGCTGTGTGATCCGTCCCGGCACAGTCCCGTTCATGAGGAGCAGGTCTCGTGCATCCGGTGTATCTTCGATGTCAGCAGAGGAAGGGGGCGTGAGCGGCATAGACAAGCCTCGCCACCATCTTCGGACGCCGACTAGAGGGGCGAAGGAAGGAGTCCTGATCCTTCGATGAGAGTTCCTGGCACTGCCTGGAATGTTGACATTCATGAGTCCCATGCCCTGCCCCACACGCAGCATCTGAGCTACTGCACAGTCCTGCTTTCTAGCATTGTGAGAGCTAGCGCTGCCACTACTTGAACCGCCCTGAGGGGTGGCGGATCCAATACAACTACAGAAGGAAGTACTCAAGAGCGCCGTTGTGGCTGAATTCATCTTCCGTGCAAACAATGTAGAAGAATAGGGAAATTCGCCTTTGTTCGCCATGTCAAGGGCGGTTACCGAGCGAGGCCTTGTGGGCGTCTCCAGAGCGGGATTCTGGACGAGCTGGGGCAAGAAATGCACAATGTGTTGATCATCCCATTCCCAGCCCAGGACAATTTCGTGTGACTTTGCAATATCCCGCAGCGCGAAGAGGCCGAAACAAATGTCCGGATCACTGTCTGAGGTCGCACCAGACGTTGCATCAGCACCCAATGACGCGAAAGCAGGAGAGCTGGCTCTGGATTCTCCAGAGGGAGTCTCTCGCTCGTGTTGGGCGCCCGCTTTGGTTTTGTAGAAGAGGATTGGGCGAATGACTGCATTGGGATGACAACCGAATCGCGCAAATCTAGCCTCTGTGCCGAACCTGCGGGCGTCGATGGCCAGACTGAGGGGTGGTGGGAAGAGGTGGACGTGTGGTTTCGTAGCTCCGATGCTATGGTACTGATTCGTACGATCGTTCCTATACGAGTCCGCTGTGGACAGCTCGCCTCTGTACTCGCTAATGAAAGCTCCTGCAGGAATTGCAGATTCGGCGAATAGGCCATGCATGACTGGCTTGGAGAAGGAACGTGATGCCGACCAGGATCGCGCTTGCTCAGTAGGCAATGGCGTGATGAAGAGAACATTTGTAAAAATGGCGGAGGCAGCGCCCTCCGAGATACCCTTGACGTACACCTCGCATGCGGCGTCAGATAGGGACGAGCTTCGAATGGCAAGTGGAACACACTCATTACTGGTCGCGCTGAGACCAAGACTATGGACACGCTTCTTGCCCTCCCTCGAATGTCCGGGGTCAAAAGGCTGCTGAGCTGTGCTGCCGCTGGCCTCCTCTTCAGCCCCCAACTCGTTGTCCGCCTCATCAGTAGTGGCAAGTGGCGCGAGCAGAAAGCCATTTTCATCTGCCTCAACAGGCACCGTTGTTTGATCTTTGTTGTCGTGTATGATAGCGGCGAGCGTGTCAAACACAGCGGTTTCCGTCACCATATTTCGACGAATGGGAGTGAATTCGAAATGCCAGGCCTCCAGCTTGTCTGCCGAATTGAGGAGATCCTCGTCTGCTGCCCGTTCTTCTCGGGCTACTCCAGCCGGAGAAGAGACGTTTGGGAAATTGAGGGCTCTGGGAGTTGAAGCCGACGTGGGCGTTGCTAAAGGTGTCTTTCGAGAACCGGGCTTTGGTCCGGGCTTCTTGCGAGAAGCTTTTGGGAGACCGTCGGTACTGCTTTGACCCTCCGGTACAATGAAAGCAGTGTTGCTCAGGTCTATACTTTGGCTCAGTTTTCGCGTCTTCGACGAGCTTGAGGCTGCTCTGTGGTGTGTTGCAGTGTTATGATCGAGCTCAATCGGAGAGGCTCTCGATGCTACAGTATTCTCGGAAGCTGGATCGACCACCGCTATAGCTTGGGCAAGGTACGCGGGAGATGCAGAAGAGCTGATTGCTTGAGGCTGACGTACACTCGTCTTACGGGCTTCCTCGTCCCTTCGGCGCTGTTGCAGAGCTTTGGCGAAGGCTACATCCACTGGACGCGGATCGCAGACCTCGCACAGGTACTCATCGGGTACGCTGGAAGACGACATGCCGAAACAGGCACAGTGTTGCCAAACGAGACAGCGGTCGCACTGGATAGTGAAGCCGTCGTCGTCGTTCATGTCGCAGATGCAGCGGATGACTCCCCCATCATCGTCCCCCTGTTCACGATCCTCATCGGCTGCAGCTGGCACTAGGACATGCTCCTCAAGCATGTGCGGCCCGGACCTTTCATTACTAACTGGAATAGTAGAGGCAGCGGCGACATTCATCGCTGAGGCTAGTCCAGGCTGAACCGCGACATTGCTAGAATCGTGCAAGCTCGATGAGAGCTTGTCGGAGGTGTGCAGACTAGAGTCATTGTCGTGGGTCTCGACGGTGTAGATGAGGTTCCGCGGATGTGAAGAAGACGGCGCCTCTTTTTCTGTAGCTAGGGGCAAAGGGGTAACTGAGTTTGGCGCTGGGTGAGGATCCGACTCGTCCAACGTTGCCGGTCCCACAGTCGAGGATAGCGCGGATGATCTTTGCGGGTCGCTGTGGTTCACTGACTGCTCGCCATTGCCAGACGAGTCCGGATTTGGGAGAGCATTGGAGGTGTGAAGAGAGGGAGAGAGAACTGCTTGCTGTTCCCGCTCCTCGGCCATCCGGACCGTCCTCAAAGGGCAGGGGTGAGTGTGGGAATGGCGATACAGAAGGCAGGCAGGGAAAGTGGTACGAAGTCAACGAGTGAAGCACCTCACGCGGAAGCGCAAGGGCAGTGTCGGCTCCGAAGCGAGATTCCCAGGCGGCGCACTTCTTCCACCCTTCCTTCCGCCCCAGGGTGCGACTCGCTCACTGTACTTCCACCGCCATCCGTCATCCTCTAGGCTCCCCCGACCTCAGGCCACACCTACCACCTTTGGTTGTGCTGTTGTCAGTCCGAGGCTAGTCTGCTCCTTTGTGACCAAGGAGGGACCCCCGGCGCCACCTTCGCGGTCGTCTGAGCTCGATCCGTGAGCTGTACAGCTCGCGTCAGCTGCCTTACAGCCACTCAGATCCGCACCTCCAATACCCACAAGATGCCACCGAAGAAACAGGATCTCAGCGGCTATCAATACTCGGCTCTTTCGGCTCAGGTCACTCAGGCCGACAAGCGTTTCATTGAGCGGAGAGACAATGAGCCCACCGGGGAGGCCGAGTCACTGCGTGGCCGCATCATCCAAAAGGATATGGGCTCTCGCGTTCAAAGAGAGAAGGTGAAAGATCTCGATAAGAAGAGGACCAAAGCAGAGGCAGAGGAGAGAACACGGCAAAAGCCATCCAGAAACTCTGCTGCCATTGGACCCGGCGTGCAAGGTCACTATACCGATGTTCTTCAAGCGACTGCTGATCTGGAGGGCCTACGTTACGCACCACGGACGGCTGAGACGAGGGATATATATGAGCTCATACTGAATATCGTCCATACTGCTCTTGGCGACCAGACCAGTGATGTCATTCGCTCAGCCTCAGACGCCGTTCTCGAGATCCTCAAGACCGATGAACTCAAGGATTTCGACAAAAAGAAGGAGATCGAAGACGTGATCGGTCAACTAAGTCCTGAGCATTTCGGACAATTGGTCAATTTGAGCAAGAAGATCACAGACTATGACCAGGATGACCGACAAGGCGCAACAGATAGTTCAGGGAAGTTCCTTGATGAGGAGGCCGGTGTCGCAGTTCTGTTCGACAACGAGGAAGAGGAGTCGGATCATGAAGAAGAAACCTACGTCGTGCGGGAGGACTCTGATGATGAGGATGGAGAACCGGGGCCTGGCAACGAAAATGCTGAAGCGGATCGACAACTGGAGGGCTCTTCTAGCGGCGAAGGAGAATTTGACGATGCCTTGGTCATTGGAGAGAGCTCTGGCGCTTCGAAGAAAAGCCAGAACAAGAATCGGGATGGTCTCGTCTCAGTCCATGAGATTGATTCGTATTGGCTACAGCGCCTGATCGCCGGTCATTATCCAGATGAGCGTGAAGCTACAGAGAAGGCAAATGAAGCCATGAGCATTCTCGCAGCCGACAGCAACATCCGAGATTGCGAGAATGGCCTAATGGAGCTCTTCGATTACGAGAATTTTGGGGTGGTGCAAACCCTAGTCAAGAACCGTGAAGCGATTGTGTGGTGTACCAAGCTCGGTCGTGCAGATCAAGAAGAGCGCGTCAATCTTGAGGTCTTGATGCGTGAGCAAGGTCTTGGCTGGATCCTCAAGGAGCTCCGCGGCGGTGGCGAGCACAAAAGTGGCGAGGCTCAGGCACGTCTCGTCCCAATGGATATAGACGATGCTGCCAAAGCGCGGGCCTACAAGCTTACAACTCGAGCTACTCTTGCTCCTGGTTCCACCGCGCAGCCTCGGAAGGCTGTCGACCTTGAGGCCATGGCATTCGGACAAGGCGGGCATCTCAATTCGAATGCCAAAGTGCGCCTTCCTGAAGGTAGCTACAAGAAGTCCGGTAAGGGGTACGAGGAAATCCATGTACCGGCGCCAGTTAAGAAACTGGTGCCAGAAAAGGAACTGGTCTCCATCGCAAGCCTACCCCACTGGGCTCAACCCGCCTTTCAAGGAGCCAAGAGCCTCAATGCAGTTCAGTCGCGATGCTATCCCATGGCTTTTGGTGATGATGAGCCTATGCTGCTGTGTGCTCCGACAGGAGCAGGAAAGACCAACGTTGCGATGCTGACTATACTGCACGAACTCGGCAAATGGCGAAACCAGTCGACGGGCGAATTCGATCTGACCGGGTTCAAGATCGTCTACGTAGCACCGATGAAAGCGCTTGTGGCGGAGCAAGCTGCGAATTTCCGTGAGCGCCTCTCTGTCTTCGGCATCGTCGTCAACGAATTGACTGGTGACAGTCAGCTCACAAAGCAACAAATTGCTGAGACACAGATCATAGTCACAACGCCAGAGAAGTGGGATGTCATCTCAAGGAAGAGTAGTGACACTTCATACACGAATCTCGTGCGCCTAATGATTGTGGACGAAATTCATCTTTTGCACGACGATCGTGGGCCAGTCCTCGAAGCTATCATCGCCCGGACGATACGGAGAATGGAGCAGATGTCTGATCCGGTCAGACTCGTGGGTCTGAGCGCTACGTTGCCCAACTACAAGGATGTCGCCACTTTTCTTCGAGTGAACCCCAAGAAAGGCTTGTTCTATTTCGAGAGCAACTACCGGCCCTGTCCTCTGAAACAGGAGTATGTTGGCATCACGGAGAAGAAGGCGATCAAACGCTTTCAGATCATGAACGAGGTTACGTACGAGAAGACATTGCATCATGTGTCACAGGGCAACCCAGTCATGGTTTTCGTACACTCCAGGAAAGAGACTGCGAAGACTGCAAAGTTCGTACGGGATCAAGCATTAGAGCAAGATACATTGACAAAGATGTTGCCACAATCAGAGGCAAGCAAAAGGATTCTACAGGATGAACTTGAGAATGTCAAAGATCCGCAATTGAAGGATCTTCTTCCCTATGGATTCGGAATCCACCATGCCGGAATGGGGCGCGCGGATCGACAGCTAGTCGAGGATCTCTTCGCCGCGCGCCATCTGCAGGTGTTAGTGTCAACGGCAACCCTTGCTTGGGGTGTCAATCTACCCGCACACACCGTCATCATCAAGGGGACTCAGATCTACAACCCGGCAAAGGGACGTTGGGTAGAGCTTTCGCCTCAAGATATGCTCCAGATGCTCGGTCGAGCTGGACGGCCACAGCACGACACCTTCGGGGAGGGTGTTGTCATCACAAACCACAGCGAGCTCCAGTACTACCTCAGTCTCCTCAATCAGCAGCTGCCAATCGAGTCTCAGCTCGTCTCCAAGCTGGCTGACAATCTCAATGCAGAAATTGTCCTTGGCTCGATCCGCAATCGAGATGAGGCTGTGGCCTGGCTGGGGTACACCTATCTCTACGTCAGGATGCTGCGCACGCCCACTCTCTATAGTGTGACAGCAGATTACGCTGAGGATGACCCTTTCCTGGAGCAGAAACGTGCCGACATTGTGCATTCTGCCGCTGTCCTTCTTGAGAAGTGTGGACTTCTACGGTACGAGCGCAAGACCGGCCTCTTCACCACCAACGAGCTTGGTCGAATCGCATCTCACTACTACATCTCTTACACCAGCATGTCCACATACCATCAGCATCTCAAGCCTCACATCGGACTCATCGAGCTCTTCAGAATCTTTGCCCTCTCAGAAGAGTTCAAGTACCAAGTTGTCCGGCAGGACGAGAAGCTCGAGGTCGGGAAACTTCTCGAAAGAGTGCCCATACCGGTCAAGGAATCTCTCGATGACCCCTCTGCGAAGATCAATGTCCTCCTTCAATCCTGGATCTCTCAACTCAAGCTAGAGGGATACGTTCTAGCTGCTGATATGGTTTATGTGACGCAATCTGCCGGCCGAATTCTGCGAGCAATCTTCGAGATCTGCTTGAGACGGGGTTACGCGCGCCTGAGTCATATCGCTCTGGATTTGTGTAAAATGGTCGAGAGTCGTCAGTGGGGTTCAATGACGCCTCTGAGACAATTCAAAGGAGTTCCGCCAGAGCTGGTCCGTCGACTCGAGAGAAAGGAATACCCATGGGCGCGCCTACGCGACCTCGAGCCAAATGAGATCGCCGAGCTGATTGGCGTTCCCAAGGCGGGCGTGACTGTTCACCGTTTGGTAAACAAATTCCCTCGCCTTGACCTACAAGCGTTCTTCCAGCCTATGACTAGGTCGCTGCTCTCCGTTGAGCTTACCCTGACACCAGACTTCCAATGGGACGAGAAATTCCACGGTAGCGCACAAGCGTTCCACGTTCTCGTCGAGGACGTGGATGGAGAGATCGTCCTCTTCCACGACACCTTCCTCCTCCGCCAACAATTCGCAGAGTCGGACCATCCGGAACACACCGTGAACTTCACTGTCCCGCTCACGGACCCAGTACCCCCCAACTATTACATCAGCGTCGTCAGTGACAGGTGGTTACAGAGCGAGGTTCGCATGCCCATATCCTTCAAAAATTTGATCTTGCCCGAGCGCTTCCCACCTCACACCGAGCTTCTGGATCTTCAGCCCCAGCCTATCTCTGCTCTGCGAGTCGCTGAAGCACAGCTCATATATGACAAAGTCTTCAGCAGGTTCAACAAGATTCAGACTCAGACTTTCCACTCTCTTTACGAGGGCGATGATTCAGTATTCGTTGGTGCACCCTCGGGCAGCGGCAAGACGGTGTGCGCTGAATTGGCTCTCCTCAGGCTGTGGAATGCCCCGGAGCCTCCTCGAGCTGTGTGCATCGTACCGTACGACTCCATGCAGGTGCCTCGGCTGAAGGAATGGAGCGAGCGTTTTGGTCGATACAAGGGGGGAAAGACCATAGTCGGTCTGACCGGAGAGATGAGTGCTGATCTCCGGCTGCTCGAAACGGCTGATGTGGTGATATCTACCCCGGAGCAGTGGGACGTTTTGTCGCGACGATGGAGACAGCGCAAGAACATACAGAACATCGGCCTGTATATCGCGGACGATGTGCAGTTGTTGAGTGATTGGAAGGTCGGGCCCACATACGAGGCGATCCTATCCCGAGCTCGCTTCGTTGCGGCTCAGACGGGCAACAAGACTCGCATGGTCGCTTTGAGCGTCCCTTTGGGTAACGCGCGAGATGTTGGAGACTGGCTCGGCTGTGGATCGAACAGTGTCTTCAACTTCTCTCCAGCAGCCAGGCCAGTGCCACTCGAGGTTCATCTGCAGAGCTTCAACATCCCTCACTTCCCGTCTTTGATGATCGCCATGGCCAAACCAGCGTACCTGGCTATCACCGAGTATGCTCCGGACTCTCCAGTCCTGGCCTTTGTGCCATCTAGGAAGCAGGCCAAGCTTACTGCGAACGATCTGCTAGCCTACGCGCTTGCCGATAGCGATCGAGACGGCGGCGAGAGCCGGTTCTTGAACATCGAAGCTGAAGACCTTAAGCCGCACTTGGATCGAATCGAAGACCGCGATTTGGCAGACGTGCTGGAGAGTGGTATTGCTTACTATCATGAAAGTATGTCAAAGGGAGACAAGACCATTGTCGAGAGGCTCTACAACGCAGGAGCAATTCAAGTCGTGATTGCAAGCAAGGAGACAGCCTGGAGCATCCCTCTCACAGCGCACATGGTCCTCATCATGAGTGTCCAGACGTACGACGGCAAGCAACATCGCTACATCGACTACCCCATCACAGATGTCCTTCAGATGGTAGGACGCAGTACACAGCTAGGGTCCGGCGATGAGAGCAGCCGATGCATCCTCTTGTGTCAATCCTCTCGCAAGGAATTCTACAAGAAGTTCCTGGCGGAAGGCTATCCTCTGGAGTCACACCTGCACCTCTTCGCCGAGGACTTTTTCAATGCTGAGATTGTTGCCAGGACTGTCGACGACAAGCAGGCTGCGGTTGACATTTTGACCTGGACACTGATGTACCGACGCCTACAGCAGAATCCTCAAGCTTACAACTGCCATGGAAGCACGATGCAGCACATCGGTGACTTCCTCTCCGATCTGGTCGAAAAGACTCTGTCTCAATTGGAAGACAGCAAGTGTGTTGCAATCGAAGACGACATGGATGTCAGCCCTCTCAATCTGGGTATGATCGCCAGTTTCTACAATGTCTCGTACGCTACCATCGATGTCTTCAATCTGTCTCTCAAAGAGAAGACGAAGATGAGGGGACTCTTGGAGATTGTCACGTCGGCAGAGGAGTATGAGAACATTCCCATTCGTCAGCACGAAGACGTCATTCTGCGCAGGCTGCACGATCGGATGAAGTTCAAGCTGGCTAAGTTGGAGCCAAACAACCCGTCACACAAGGCCTTTGTCCTGCTACAAGCGCACTTTGCCCGGCTCTCACTACCTGCCGATCTCGAGGTCGACCAGAAGGCGGTTCTGGCCAAGGTGCTCAACCTCTTGAGCGCCTGCGTCGACGTCATGTCCTCGAACGCGTACCTGAATGCGATTGTGGCAATGGAGCTCTCGCAGATGTGTGTACAAGCAGTGTGGGACAGCGATTCGCCACTGCGTCAAGTGCCCCACTTCACCTCGGAGATCATTGAGCGCTGCAAGTCCAAGGGTCTTGAAGACGTCTATGCTCTAGGTGACGCGCTGGGTGACATGGAGGAAGACGAAAGGGACGCTCTCTTGCAGCTCGACGCGCGCAAGGTGGCTGATGTGGCCAAGTTGGTCAACCAATACCCATACCTGGAAGTCGAGGCCGAGGTGGAGGATGATGCCAATCTGCGTGCCGGGGATTCGATCACGCTCAACGTCAAGCTCTCAACGGATGAAGAAGAAGACGAGTCCGACGAGGCTGGCGCAGCAGTCGAGGCCGTCTCGGCGCCCTTCTACCCGGGACGTAAGATCCTCAATTGGTGGATCACCCTTGGCTCGCCTGGCACGCGCAACCTCCTTGCCATCAAGCGTGTAGCAATGACAAAGACGAAGCTCTCCCTCAAGCTAGACTTTACGCTGCCCAAGGGAGTGCATGAGAATTTGCGACTGTACTGCGTTTCGGACTCGTACTTGGGAGCGGATAGGGAGGTGCCTCTTCCTACGCTGGACGTTGCTGAGGGCGAGGATTCGGATGAGGACGATGAGGACGATGCGGGCATGTCTGGAGAAGATGAAGACGGAGCAGCAAAAGATGGAGACGTGGAGATGAGTGAATAAAGGAACGAATGGCTTGTCTGTAATATGAACAAGAGGCAGAGATGGTTTGTCTGCAATCAAAATGAGTTTCATCGCATCAGCACTTAGCAAGTAAGTTTGACGAGGGCATGATAATGGATTAGCGAATCGCAAGTGAAAAAAGCGTGGGGCGCGAAAGGAACCGCACGACATTTGGGTATACACGCAACGTCTAGAAGTGGCGGCGACATTCACTGAACAGGCAAGGCCTGAGACTTGAGTGACCTGCGTTTCGGGAGCATGAAAGCGAGATACGAGCGTCAGTAGATCTGTCCTTCCAGTCGCCGCCACCACCAGCAGCAGCACCACCACCATCAGCACCATCACCAGCAGCAGCAGCACATACTCACCCATCAATCTCATCCCTCTTGACGACCCGATCAACCACCTCTACGGTCCTCTTGAAATCGTACCCCTCTGAATCCACATACGAGTACGTCTGCTGAGCACTCCCACTGATGCCCACCAGGGAGCCATTGACCTTGGCTGCGCTCCCCGCTGCGGATTGGCGGGTGCTGATGCGCTGGGTGGAGGGGTAGGGGAACCCGCTGCCGCTGCCGCTGCCGCTGCCGACGGTTGCGCTACCATCGACACTGCCGGTATTGGCGTGGGAGGTGGAATTGCCCCGTGAGGCAGCAAGAGGGTGCAGAGCCTGCTCGAGATGGTACTCATGCTTCAGCGTGGTATTCAGGAACCCTTCATCCGAGGTGATCCCAAATGTGAGCGGGTAAGAGTAGGAGTTCTCCAGGAAGGGCGCTCCTCCATGCGTGGACTTTTGACTCCCGGAGGCATGCTGAGTCACATCGTTCCGGTCAAGACCTTGCGTGAGGGTCTGTTTGGAAGAGAAGGAGGTGGTGTGCTCCGTCACCACCTCTAGGCCCTGTAGTGTTCCGGCGGGAGTGAGATGACTACTGATCTTGATTTTGCGGCCGCCGGGGATACTCTTGACCTCGCTCAGGATGGACCCGTCAGGCCCCGTGATATTTCCCTTGACCGACCCGGAGAGGACAAACGAGTCCTTGGTCGAGGCCACCTCAACGACGGGTGTCGACCCGCTGGTGATATCGCCCTCTTTGCCAACGACGACTTGCAGATTCCCAGAGACGAACCAGCTCTTATTGTTCTCTTCGTCCTCTTCTGCAGAAGCGACTTTGATCTCATACTCGTGCTCGCGACCATCACAGAGGATACCGAGGAAGGCAGTCAGATCTAGGAGGTACGTGGGCTGGTCGTAGCTCCCGAAGCCCGTCTGCGGGCGCCACATAAGGGGACTGATGCCTCCGGTAAAGATGACGGGGTACGGAGCAACTGCGCCTGCAAGGATCCCGTCGACGTACAGTCTCACCTCGCGATATGCTCCATGTGGGAAGCCAGCCTGGGCGTCCGTGGGCAACTGCTTTGTGATATCGGTATTGAGTGAGCCGTACCAGAATTCATCGTCGGCAGTTCCACTAGCGTAGATCTCTGCGACGGCTTGCATCGCATTGACTGGTATGGCAAAGCGGGCGACGGCCTTGTCACCTGGAACTGCCCAGTGAGAAGCCGACGTCTTGTTCCTCTGTGAGATAGAGTATACAAGGGGTGACCGAGCGGCAAGCGGGGTGGCCTTACTCTGAGCGTCCAATGCGCCGATAGCATTGATGGGCACTCCGACCTTGGGTGGCGCCGGCAAAGCAGCAGCAGCATCCTTGAGCTGATGCACCGTAAGCGACAAGGTGATGTTCAATGGCGCGGTATAGATGTCATTGACCACATTGGGGTAATCAAAGATCATCTCCCCCTCCTGTCGGAAGAGATCATAGTACCGGCTTACATCCTTGTGCGCTTCCCAAAGCACACCAGGAGGATCCCTCACAGGTTGCGCATTGTCTGTCCTCCAGACTTCCGTGGAATACCCCGTCTTGGAATTACCGAGGAAGATGGTGCCCAGACGGTCGAATTGCCTGCCTACGGCTACCCCGCGCTGTTCCAGTACGAGGGAAGTCCACTTGGTCGGATCTCGGAAGCCCTTTGGGATGAGAGAAGGAGAGTAACGCAGCAAAGAGGGCTTGTAGTAGCTGTTGGCAAAAGATCGCTCGATGAGTACCGTGGTGGAGGACTCTTGCTCGTCCGAGGGGAGCCAGCGAGGAGGAACATTGACTTCGAAGTTGATCAAGGGCTTGGCTTCGGCAGTGACCGCAGAAGCTTCGAGAGGGTCCTTCTGCTCATTCATGAAGGTCAGGTCGGGAAGTGTACTCGCAAAGGGGGAGGTGTGACCAAGGCTACCAGCTGCCACTTCAACCAATGGGTCCGCAGAGGATACAGACGCAGTACTGCGAGGGAAAGCTGCTGATACGGGTGCTTGGGCGCCGATGAGACGGGGTGACAGAGGCGAGGCTGCTTGGGGGAGACTCCTACCTTGGCCGTAGGAGGCAAGCGCTGCGAGTAGGAGAGTAAGCAACCCTGGTGACTTGACCAGGCTGCGCCTCTTCATCGCAACGTCGACTGCACAGGAAGAAGGGAAGGACAGACACCACATCAATCGCCCGCGTCTGTGCCCCGCAACGCCCGGGCCTCCTTGGTGGGGGCGGCGCACAGACCAGACTCACCCATATTTGGAGCTACGGTACCGTGGTAGAGTTGAGCCGATGGAGAGGAGTGGTGACAAGGGTATAGTCAGGAGTGAGAGTACACATCGCAGGCTGTGAGTGAAGGCCAAGGCGAACTCAAGGCACAAGTAATCCGTACATTAAGGGACCTTCGCCCAGGCACCAACCAGCGGCGGCCGTCCCTGGAGCTCGGACTCGGACTCGGACTCGGACCGAGAGAAATTCAGGCACCGGCACCGCCGCCTGTTCCTTCTTGACATTGCTCACTCGACACAGCAGATGCATTGGATGATATGTATTTCTTATTGATCTGGTGTGTAAGCTAGGCACAAGGTATGCTAATGGGCTGAACATGCGAGGCAATGGCAAAGAAGATGGAGATGCAAAAGGGGCCAAGGACATCTGCTGGGCTGCATGCATTAGTGGAGCATGGGTCGTGAGTGTGTGGGTACAATACATATGGACATGGACGTGAGTGTGGTAAAGACGATGATGGGGATTGATGTGAGTTTGAGACTTTGTGCTGGGAGGGGCGTGCCGACCGCCATCGGTCAGACGGGTCGCTCAAGGCGTCGCGTCTCAGGAGACTCGCCCCAGCCCCGGCGTGGGTAGGGCTGCCTCACTGGAAGGGGACGCAAGGAGCGGCATGCGCCAGGGGAGAAGGCATAGGCAGAGACGTAGTGATGCTGGATGTAGACTGCGACGACGGCATGCTGTCGTCTCCAGTAGTCGTAGTGGTGGTGACAATGGTAGTGGCCACTACAGAAGGTGCCGTCAGCGTCGTGTCACCCGAAGCCGCGACACCGTTGCCTGGAATCGAACTCAGGAGGGCAGTCGAAGACGTCGTGATCACAGCAGGCTTAAGCTTTGAAGACGGAGTGAGGCCATCGTGCATGCGAGACGCAGCCGCCTTGAAAGGACTGGCGGGTTGCACACTGTGTCTCCTGAAGCTGAGTGGACTGTCGGCAGTCCGAATTGGAGACGCAGATTGCTCGGAATAGTTGCGACTGCACGGCCAACTTTCCCTCTCGTCGTCATTGTCCATTGCCGTCCTTGCGTAGCGGCGCGGTGAGGAGGACGAGGTCAGAGAACTGGACAGACTGGTGGAGCGTGGTGCGTCGGCGACTCGGCCGGTCACTGAAGATTCGGTAGTTCCACGAGGTCTGTAGGACGCCTGAGAAGCCGGATCACTAGCGTCTGAGGCAGTCTCTGGGCGCTCCTGTGCCCGATGGCCGACTTCGGGAGCGACCTTGTCGAAGGTGGAGAAGCTAGCCGGGCGACGAAGATTCGAGTCGCGACTCGCAATTGCAATCGCGGCTACTCGATTGTTAGCAAGACTTGCATCGTCGTCTCGGCCGGCAACGTGTGAAGGCTGTGAAGGAGAGACAGATGAGGGACCTGGGCTAGCCGTTGAGCGACGATTTGTAGGTTCACTGGGCGGGAGGAGACTACGCCAGCTGTCGACTGGCCAGTCATCGTTGGGCCCCGCTGCGATGGCAATTGGCGGCAGCAACGACACGGAGCTGCTAAAACTGCCTAGACTACTGGAGCTAGAGAGGCGACGGGACCCGTCCATGGCAGAGCTGGCGCTGCTGGACTCGCCGCTCCCCTGGCGGATGAAGTCAGGTCGATCAGGGTTTCCGTCGTCCGAGAAGAGCATTGTGCTTTGGCGAGCATCAAAGCCCTCTGTGTCTGCTGCAAAGTAAGGATCGTCCTCGGGCAAGAGTGATCGCCACGAGTCAGGACTGGTAATTCTCCCTAGTGGACTGCTCGCCCTGTAGAGGGGGGTCCCGTAGTTCGGATGAAGCCTGGTTTTACCGGTCAAGGTCCGGCTAGGCAGACTTCTGGGGCTGTTCGAGTTTGCTGCACTGTCTGCAGAGGTTGCTAGAGAAGAAGGGTACGATTCGGTGTCCGTGTCGACGTCCGAGGATGGGTGCAGGGGTGACTCCACCTTGCGCTCCAGTCTTTCAGCAACTGTTGCGCCATCGAAGGGATTGTTGACTACTCGTGCTGCTGGCGTGAGCATTTCCGAGGACGTCGAGATCTGTAGTCCAGGCCTGGAGCTTCCTCTACCACTGATGGTCTTTGTAGATTCGCCTCGTGGGAGCATTGGAGGTCGACTGGAGGAAGAGGAGGAAGCGGCGAGAGAGCTCCAGTCTTCGGAGCTTCTCCCTAATTGCATCATGGCAGAGGTAATGTCGTGAGGCTCTAGCAATGGTGCTCGTGAGAGCGGTGCGTAGTTGGCAGCCTGCTGGAGGCTCTTGATTCCCTCACGAAAAGTCGACTTGCTCTGAAGTGGTGTGTTGCCCAAACCCAAGGATGATGCGAGGAATGGCTTCGGGCTAGTATCCGCTTGGCCAGGGAAGACCGCTCTCGACATCAACAAGATGGTCCAGAGGAAGCAGCTGAACTGCGATCGCTATGTGTTGTGACCTGGGGTAGCTGACCCCGTTGAAGCCGTTGCAATGGCAGTCTGGTACGTGGAGGTGAGGATGGAGGCCAATACGAAGCGATCGGGTGCAAAAGCGAAGGATACGCTACGTAGAGGCCAATTGTGATTCTTGTCAAGGATGGATGAGATGGCGAGTAATCAACGAATTGTCAAGTCCCAGCAGGGAACACCCTGAGGTTTTGCTTGAGTAAAGGGGGGTTTCTACGAGGGCAGGTGCGAGTGGTGAAGACGGAGCTGACGTAGTGTAGTGGCGTAGACGGAGGAGGGGAAAATAGGCCGGAGAGGGGGAAGGAGAAAGTGGCGTGGCTGGGGCTCGGCGCCTGGGTTGGCCTGGGTGCTTGGTGTCTTGCACTGGTTGCGGTGCAGTGCTACCGCGACTCAAGGAGCCGTGCCTAGGGAGCTGTAAGTGATCGGGGCAATGGGTAAAGGTCAGAAGCCGGCGGGTGACCCCAGGAGCGTAAGTCTGCTACAAAGGAGGCAGTATGGACACACGCCCGTCGGTGGCAGTGGCGCCATTGCGCCATTCATCTTCTTCCGTCTGGCCGTGGCTGCAGGGCCTACCTCTGTTGACTCTCGTGGACTTTGCCGTCGGAAATTACGTCACCGATCACGCAAGGCTCAAGCGGAGTGCCAAAGTAAGCTTCTGTCAAAGGAAGCAACGGAATGCCGCCCGGACGAGTCTAGGCCGTCGGCAAACGCCAATCCCTCCCCCCGTAGAGGGTAGAATGGCGCAGTGCAATCGTTGGCCGTATCGCGCCACATGGTCTCCCCCCCCTTTGTCCTTCCCCACCCCCGCACGCCCCTCGAGATGCCTGGCGCACATTGGTGGCGTACTCAACTCGAGTCTAAAGAAGTCCCTTGCCGTGCCGCACCGGCTCGCAAGCATCTCATGAGTGCGAACGGTCGCCTACTCAATTATAGCCAAAATGAAGCGGAGACTCCGAGGAGAAGGAAATTAGAGTGTGCTGACGAATCCTGAGCGCCAGGTATATGGTACATCTACGACCTCTGCTGAGCCACTCTGTCTGCCTCGCCTTGTCCGGGCCCACGTCTCTTTCGGCCTTCCGATTCTTCATCCCCAAACGTGTCCCTCTCCCGGCCCCTATTGCCGACCGCAGACCCCTTGCGTGATGTAGCATTCGTGACCTCCACCGGATCTTCCACCTCCATCTCTTCATCGGACCCCTCTGGAGAGGATGGTAGTGAACTAGTCTGATGGGGATCCGATGCGAGCGTGTAAGATGGATGCGATGTGACAAGAGATACGTAATAATGCTGTAGCAAAGCGCCCGAGCACTGAGAATTGGAAAGAATTAGGGGGAAGAGGTGAGGAGGCATTGTAGATTTCCTTTCTTTGCCATCAACTTCCTACTCACGGTCAATCGCCAATCGATGATATTCAAGAATTCCTTCTCGAGCATGTTGAGCTCGACCAGAGAGATTCCTCCAACTCGAGCATAGTGGCCTGTCGCGGCATTTAGACAAGGCACGTTAGAGGTCAGAATGCTGTATAGTGCAGCGCTGCTCATCCTCGTCTTCTCGCCCACTCACCATTTGTACTGAAAGCGTCGCACAAGGCCTTGCTCGCGCATACCACGGCCGCGCATACAAAGCGATGCACGGTCAAGCTACAGATGGTAAATCCTTTCATCCTCTCACATACCCTATCGATGTACACCAGCAATATCAGTGTACAGGCCTTGTCCAGCGAAGTATACCGAGCTATCCGGCGTAGGTACGAGTGAATGGTGATGGCCGGTGTCGCTCTCGAATGGAATCGCGTTAGAGCGGAGGGATGCAGCGGAAGCGTGTCGTTGTGCAGCATCAGCCGATTGAGCATGTCGGCTAAATCATCGAAAGATGGACAGGGAGCATTCTCGTGGTCAGAAGAGACGCGCATCACCGCTGAGCCGACGTTGCTCGACTCACCAACTAGTGCGACAATGTCGTCGGAATCAGCATCATCGACCAGGTAGGGAAGGACTTTGACATCCTCTCCCGCATCCTGCAAAGACGGCAGAAGTCCTGGCGTAGCCTGCTGGACTGCCTCGGGCAATGGGGCGCTCGCTGGCCCTGGCTCGCCAGAGGATGAGGATGCTCCGCCCGAAGAAGCAGATGAAGCTAAGACAGTTGAGTTCTGAGAGCCCAAAGGTATATGACTCGATCTCCTTGCACTAGACGGGTCTCCGGTAGTGATCGGACTGAATCCAGCACTGATCTTTCCGCTTCGGCTCTTGCTATTGCTCCTGCTACCACGCCGGCTGCCGCTGCTAGCAGCTATTGAGATTGAGGATGGAGAGGAATCGCTGGACAAGGCTCCCAGCTGTTGGACTGGGCCATGAGCACCCGGCGGCTGTCCGAACATGACATCGGAAGGTGATGCCTTGTACGCAGCTGTGCTGGTGAGGGTCGTTGAGCCGACAGATTTCGGACGAGGAGACTGAGGACTCGCAGTAGCGAATGGCACCTTTGAGTGCGGCGCGCCCATCACTGCGTGTGTGCCAGATGATGATGATGATGGTGATGAAGCATAGCCGTTCATGTTTGCGACTTGTGGGAGGGTGCCAGCGCCTACTGGCGCAGCTCAAGGCGCAAAGGAGGATGTAGGGTATGTAGAGTAAAAGATGCTAATGCGAAGCGAAGGCCGTGAAGAGATCGTGAAGAGCTAACCGGGATGCAGCCATTCCTCAACACCGTCTCAGAGAGGGTGGGCAGCTACCAGAGAGCCAGCTATGAAAGGGCGGGTACTGCAGACGTAGTGCGGACAGAAGGTGAGCCTTGGCCGCTCCGCATTCCCAAAGTGATTCGCTGGGCGCAGGTCTCGGCAAGGTGGTGAGCGATATCGTTGCTTATGGTAGGATGTCTGTACTGATTTGCGGCGGAAGATGCTCCAGGCAAGAGATAGTGCAGCAGATGGCAAGTCAGTGGGTGATAGCAGGGCTCAAGCCGGGAAGAATGTCACCCACGGGAGCCCAAGAACGTGCCCCCCACTCCGTCCGATCTCGGAACGGAAGGGGGCAAGTTGAACCGGCCCGCTTCGACACAGGAGGCGAAGGTGTACCAGGGGGATGGCAAACGCCTAACGAGGAGCACTTGTCTTCGCATCGAGGTGGGCGTGACGATATGATGGCTTCGTTGAGACATGAAAGTGTTCCTTGAACTCTCGGCAAGGTCACTGCACGTCGACCATGTCAGCTCCGAGTGTCACCCCCCCTTTGACGGCGTGGGATGCGGGAAGCCTGGTGTCTCAGCTTTGCCCCGCATCTCCACAACACATCTTCGGCCCTTTCACGCGTGGCAGAACAACACCATCCCTCACCCTGGCCTTCCTTTCTACCACGCCATTCCTCCTTCCTCCCGCTCCTTGCCTCTCCTCGTATCCGCCTGTCCACCATGGAAATGAACATTGCCTCTGCCCAGCGCATCCTCGACGACGAGAACGCTCGGCAAAGCAATGGGCAGGAGAGCGTACTCGATGGGGCCAGCGAGACCGCAAAGGCCGCCTTGGCACAGACGACCTCGACCCTCTCTGCCGGCGTAAGCATGGCAGCAGCGCCCCTGTCCAGCTCAGGCACTGCTGCTCCTTTTACCACCCAAACTTCCACAGCTGCACTCCCTGATTCTTCGCCAGCGCCTGTAGCCCCCTCTGAGCGCATTCAGCTTATCGATGAGGAGCAGAAGTTTACCCCCACCATGGGTGAGGCACTTCGAAGGTGGCAGCTCGAAGATGCAGGATTCGGCTACGATTTGTGTGCGGTCCTCGGTAGTCAGTCTACCGGAAAATCTACGCTGCTCAACAAGCTCTTCGGTACCTCCTTCGACGTGATGGATGAGTCCCGCAGACAGCAGACGACCAAGGGTATCTGGATGTGCCGAGGCCAGGGCATGAACGTCCTGGTCATGGATGTCGAAGGTACTGACGGCAGAGAGCGAGGTGAAGACCAGGACTTTGAGCGGAAGTCTGCTTTGTTTAGCATGGCCAGCGCAGAGTGTCTCATTGTGAACATGTGGGAACACCAAGTTGGTCTGTACCAAGGAGCCAACATGGGCCTCCTCAAGACCGTCTTCGAGGTTAACCTGGGACTCTTCCAGGCTGGCAAGTCAAGAAGCCATGCTGCCAAGGAAAAGACCCTCCTGTGCTTCGTCATCCGAGATCATATCGGTGCCACTCCGCTGGAGAATCTCCGCAACACCCTGATGGCAGATCTTAGGAGGATCTGGGACTCTCTATCGAAGGTGAGTGTGGGTAGAGCTGCTAATGCTTGAACACAAGTACTAACACCGGTCACCTTTTCATTCGCTTGATCTCTGCAGCCGGAAGGCTTGGAGTCATCTACCATCGAGACCTTCTTCGACTTTGACTTCGTGACACTTCCCCACAAGCTGCTTCAGCCGACCGAATTCGACTCACAAGTCGCTTCTCTTCGGACAAGATTCACGGATTCGTCCCGCAAAGACTTCATCTTCCGACCCGAGTATCACAAACGCATTCCGGCCGATGGCCTGCCCCACTATCTAGAAAGTATTTGGGAGCAAGTTCAAACAAACAAAGATCTTGATCTACCCACTCAGCAGGAGCTTCTCGCCCAATTCCGCTGTGACGAGATCGCCAACGCCGCTTTTGCCACCTTCGCCAACGATGTCAAGGTCTTCCGGCGGCCACTGGAGACCGGAGAAGTATTGGCGGACCTCGGCACACTAATGGGCGCACACCGAGGCAAAGCCATTGAAGACTTCGACAAAGCTGCTTCGAGGTATCATGCCGAGGTATACAAGCGCAAACGTCTGGACCTGCTCGAGAAGCTCAACAGCACACTGTCGCCGTTCTTCCTCGGTCAACTCAAGAATCTCCACAAGAAGGTCGTGGCATTCTTCAGGGCCTCCGTGCTTGAGAAGCTGCGGGGCGAGAACTACGATTTCTCAACGGTCGTTTCGTCAGAGCGCAAGAAGGCCCTCATTGCTTTTGAAACGGGTGCTACAGCCATCAAGCTCAAGGATACTGATTGGGCATACGATGATGAGTATGAGCAGCTCAAGCAGAGTGTGGACGATATCGCTGACCAATGTCGAGCTGAGGAGACCAAGAAAATGGTCCTCCAGATCGAGCGCATGGTCAAGAAGGACGTGGCTGAACCCACCGAGCTCGCACTTGCGAGGCCGAAGGCCGACATGTGGGATCAGATCCTCGTCGCCTTCACCGAGGCTCTGGAGAAGGCGGAGTCTGCGTACATGAAGAAAGCCCGCTCTTTCAACTGCACAGAAGAGGAGAATGTGAGAGCCCTGAGGACACTCAAGAGGCGGTCCTGGCTCTCTCTCAGAGCGAAGATTGACGAGCAGACGGTGGATTCGATCTTGATCAACAAGCTGCGGACGGCTTTCGAAGATCGTTTCAGGTACGACGAAGAGGGCGTGCCAAGGGTGTGGCGTCCGGATGATGACATCGACACCATCTTCCGCAAAGCTCGAGACGAGACGCTTGCCCTCCTTCCCTTGTACTCGAAGATCAAGCCACAAGAGCCCTCCCGCGAGGTATCTCTCCCCTCCACTGCAGACGACGCAGAGTCTGCCTCAGCAGTGGAGCGAGGTGAAGAGGAGGAGTTCGACTTCCCTGCCTCGCTCGTCGTCTTCTCCGAGACCCGCAAAGTGGAGCTTGGGAACCGGTTCAGGAAAGAAGCGGACGCCTACTACGTCGAGGCCAAGAGGTCTACGGTGTCCAGTATTGCTCAAATCCCTTACTGGATGTACGGCGTGATTGCCGTCCTCGGCTGGAACGAGTTCATTGCAGTGCTGTCGAGCCCGATCTACTTTGCAACGCTGATTGTATTGGCCGGCACTGCATATATGATCTGGTACCTCAACATGACCGGACCGGTCTTGTCGGTGAGTTATCTCTGCAAAGTAGTGCCGTTCTTCTGCACAGAATCAGCCACTCATACTCTCGTCCTTCTCTCTTCTTGTTCCTCCTCTCAGGTCGGCAGAGCCATGGGCCGCGAGGTGCATCGTGTGACCGACGCCAAACTGCGCGAGCACTTTTCTCAGCCCGTACCGCAGCCCGCCTTTCTCGCAGAGGGCAACAGGACCGCTTCATCAACTCAAAGGAGGAGCAACGTTACTACCGGCTCTGTCGACCAGGGAGAGGAGATTGAGCTGCAGGAGAAGAAGCTGGAGTAGACTCTTGAATTGCTGGCTGGAGGGAGGATTTTCAGAAAGTAGACAGCTGGGCCACATGCTCAGGAGACGCTATGTTGAGTGTCGTGTCTAATTTGACTTCTCACAATCTATCAATACCACAGGGCCCCTGTATCGCAATGGTAACATTGTAGCACGAGCTGATGACGAGGCAAGTGGCGCTTGCGGGCAAGCATCGGAGGTATGAGCAGCCCCAGGCGGTCGATAGTGTGAGAGAAGCAATCGATTACATGGACGGTCTGTTGGCACAGCACATGAAAAGCTCAGCTGTCGCAAGCGCAACTGCCTTCTCAAACAAGCATCTCCGTCAGCCAATCCGCCTCGCCCTCTGCAGGTTGAAAGTGCCACTGTGGCACGGCCTTGGGGCAGTGCGGTGCGTCGAGCCAGCGCTCAAAGGAGAGCTGTGCCTCAGTCTTCTCCTCACCATCACCGTTGCCGTTGGGGTTGGCACTGGAGTTGGCATGAGCAGAGGAGGGCGATGCGGACCAGGCTGGTGAAGAGGGCGAGGCAGGAGGGGTCGTGGTCGATGGTGTACCCGAGAGCAGGGAGGTCGAGCGCCGTGTGCTTGTTGGAGGACATTCAGACCCTGCCGCTGCCGCTGGTACTGTTGCCGTGAGGGAGGCACCATCCGGACCCTGTCGACGTCTGCGTACCGATCTGTCCGAGCTTCCTTCGTCTTGATCAGAGGCGAGACTACTCGTGCTGGAGGAGCGTGAAGTAGCAGGAGGACATATCGGTGTTGCGGCTGCGTCCAAGGAGCGTCGGAGAGCCGGGGATGATGCTCGTTTCTGGACGATGGAGGGTTGGAAAGGACCTCGTCGATTACCCAACGCGCGCCTTGGTGCCACAGCTACGGCAGAAGTAGGAGCAGAAAGGAGACGGGCACCAGTATCTTGGGGCAAGTGACTGCAACGTAGTATTGTATAGGTGGGTGGAGCCTCTTGATGTTGAGCTACGGTGTCGATGTATGAGGGTGGTGGGTTGGACGAGCGTAGGATACGCAGCACCTCGACGCTGCGAAGGAAGGAGTACACAAGTGGCGCAAGAGAGGTCAGCAAGGTGCCACTGATCATCTCGACGCCCTCCAGTCAGTACTCACGCAAAAGTCGCGACGTCCTTTAGCGCTCTCACATCCTCTCTCCTAGCCCTAATCGTCTTCGCCAGCTCCAGCAATGTCCTCTTCGGCCATCCTTCCCGACTACGCGTACGATAAGCATTAAGTTCCGACTGGTACACTTCCGTGTGCCCTCTCTCGGCGCGCAGACATGACCAGAGCCAGCTGTACAGTACTGCTGTGAGCACCTCTTCGCCGACGCGGGCGTGAAGGTGAGAAACTTGCGCACCGAGCTCATTCGAGGCGAGCTGGAGGGAATCGCTGTCCCGGGCCGTGGAGGTGGGGTGGTCGCGGGCTGAAGCTACGTTGTGGAGGAGGATGGAGGTCCAGGGTCAAAAGCGAGGCAAGGGCGTACTGGACGGTCTCTGTCGAGCACTTTTCACTTACCAAAAGCGCACACGGCCAGCTCGAGCAAGGCTTGGAAAGCAGACAAGTGGGCCAGTGGTGAGTTGAGAACCACGCTAAAGGTAGAGCCATGCAAGTGAATCTCAGCTGAATTGAGGCGGGGCATTGTTGATGTTACAGAAGGAGCGCTTACTTCGTGTAGAGAGCTCCGAGGGAAGTACTTCAGAGTGACGATGCTGCAGTGAGATCGAAGTGTGAGCTGCGTTGAATGACGATACAGAAGGATAGACAGTAGTATCCACGAGCTGCCCCTTATATGAGCCCACAACCCTCCCTCTCCTTTCAAGCCGCGAATCACATCCTACTCTAATCAAAGACGTCCCACCCAGGAACGAGCCATCACACTTTATTCCGACCCTAGTCTCAACTCCTACCTCTTACGCACGTCCGCCCTAGACCAACTCATGGAACAATCATCGAGGGGGCGCGTTCTCTCCACTCCGCTTTCCCTCTGGCTTCAAGACGCACAAAGTCGATGAGATCAGGACTTGACAGGCGGCTCGGACCCCCCTCCCCGCGGATCTCGGAGCTCGGTTCTCGGATCTTATCACGGGTACCAGAGGTCCGGACGAGCTTGGGAGTGCCAGCTTCCAATGCAGCGCTAGGCGGAGGTGCAGCTTCGGATGCCTACGCGCCAAGGTGCGCACGCACGCACGCACGCACGCTCGGTCCTCCTCCTCCCCCGGTCCACCGCGACGGATCGATCGGCCGGCTTAGGGAGCAGAGGTAGACAAGACTAGCGACAGAGGCGCGCGCGCGCGCGCGTGGGCGAGCTGGGGCCTTTGTCCTGCGTCGCTGGGCGTGTGTCAGACATTGATCGAGGGTAAGTCGAGAAGAGGAGCAATGCACTGCTCCGCTGCGCTGCGCTCGGCCCTCTGCGCCTCCAGTAGGTACCGGAGAGGGAGGGGATGCTGGTACGATCGGACCCGGATGCGGAAGCTCTTCTTTACGAAACAAGCATAGACATGTTGTTGATCACCTCCTGCGCTTGCCTTCATTCTCTTGCAGGTGTACCGTTCTTCTGCTCGTAATGGATGTATTGATCAGCAGATCGCCAGATCTGAACATGCAGAACACCTACGTCCGCCGGCTCTACGCCATTGTCGCTCCTCTCAGCCCTGCTCCGCTCTTGACTGTCCCGATGAGCTGCACGCCTTTGAGACCCTGCAGGACTGTATCGAGTGCTCGGCTGTCCTCCTCTAGCGTGGCAATGAGGTGGTTGAGACCTTGCTGCTGCTGTGCGAGAATCTGTGGAGATGGGATGCACAGGGAATTTGGGGGAATGTCAAATCGGTACGGTGGTAGGGTCATGTGACCCGCCCTGCCGCGATCGTACTCACATTGGCCACTTCTTCCACGCCGCGCTCATCGACGACTGCCCACTCAACACTGGGTTTCCTGCCTTCTTGCTCCAGCATCTCTCTCCGTGTCTTGACGGCTCCCAGCATGCTCCATAGCTCATTCACTCGTGCCCTTAAGCGCCCACTGGTCGCTCCAGAACCACTTCCGCCGAGTCCGCTTCCATCGCTGCCTCCAGCCGACTCAAGCTCAGCTTCACAGGCTTCCAGCTTGCTTCGCAGCGCCTCCTCCTCCTTGGTCACGCTCGTTCCTCTCAGGGAAGGGATGAGTACGTGAGACTTGCGCGCGATGCTGACGATGCGGTGATGCAGGGCTGCTTGCCTCTTCATGGCTGCCGAGGTCCGCACCGAGTCGCTCAGACTGTGCTTTTGCTCTAGGGCTGATATCCTCTCGTTGATCGTCTTGAGGTGGGAGGACTGACGTGTTGCCTCACCTTCCTGAGCTGTCAGTCGTGTCTTGAGGTCCGGAAAGCCAATGGCAAGGACTGGTACCAATCTGCAAATGAGGAGAAAGTACTGTAGGTCAACATACAAATTTGCCCTGCGCATGCAGTGACGCGTCTCACTCACCTCGTCCGGTCTGGGTTCTCTCTGCTAGCTCTCTCCCACAAGGCATCGTGAACGGGCCCAACTGCATCCTGCCTCCTACCAAAATTGGGATTGCTTTCGAAGGGACCTCCTCCACCGGCTCCAGCTGGTCCGGCGGGTGGCATGATGCCCTGCGGAATGTTGTTGTAGAAGTAGGTCTAGCAGTACAGAGGGAAGGATCGTAGTTGAGAGGGGAACAATCAGCTTGCCCATCTTTGACAGTTCAGTAGAGATGTTCGCCTTTGACTCACCATGAACCGGCAGGTCTGCAGGTTATTTGTGTCCCAAGCCAATCTAACCGCCTCCATCTTCTGATTAAGAGAAGCTCCCAACCGCTTGTCCTGCTGCTGGCTCTGCTGCTGCTGCTGCTGTTGTTGTCCCGAGGTACTTGTCCCCAGCTGCGAGACACCGAATTGAGACTGACCCAGCTGATTCTGCTGCTGCTGAGACTGGGATTGGTTCTGCTGTTGAGGCTGCTGCTGTGTCGTGCTGTTCCCAAAGGAAAAGCCGCTGGGCTTCGGAGCCTGCGACTGGTTCAGACTACTCGATGCTCCTCCTCCGCCTCCAAACAAGCCACTTCCGAAACCCCCGCTAGTGGTAGCAGTGGAGCTCTGCTGGCCAGCTTGCTGCTGTTGCTGAGGCTGACCGAAGCTGAAGCCCCCCGTTGTTCCAGTAGCCCCGCCAGCGTTTGGCTGCTGTTGTTGCTGATTCGAAGATCCAAAGCTGAAGCCGCTCGTGGATGGCTGCTGCTGCTGGGGCTGTTGGGGCTGAGAAGTCGATGCATTGCCAAAGCTGAATCCTCCCGTTGAAGGCTGAGCAGCTGTGCCTTGCTGACTCGTGGAGGCAGGAGCGCCAAAGGAGAATGCCATGTTGAGTAGATGAGGGACGATGTAGAGGAGTAAGTGACCTTGTCGGGTATGGCGGTGAGAAGGTCGACTCGCCTCAAAGCCACACGCTCCCACGCGCATCCCCTCGCCAGGCACAACTTCTCCACACCGGAACGGAGAGAAGCGACCTCCTTCTACGCCTTGACCAGCCCATTCAAGTCATTCGCTTAGATCCACCGTACCTTCCTCCCGCCCGTCTTGTCCACTTCAGCATGACCTCCTCTTCCACAACGCCCACAGTACCCCGCCTGGACACCTCCGACCCGCGTCGTTTCGACCGGGTGCGCCCCTTTACCCTCCCGGCAGAATGGCGCAGCGATGACCTCGATGCCTACGGGAGCCTCCTGGCGAGCGCGAGCATCATCTCCGGTGGAGCACTCCTGACAAGAATGCCCCATTTTGCTTATGTAGGATTGTTGTGTGAGTGGAAAGAGGAGGGCAGAGGATGATATGGTGTGAATGGCATGCAGTGCGACAAGAGGAAGAGATTGAGGATGAGGCTGGGTACTGATTTCGCGACCCTATTCCCGCTGTGTTCAGTCGCTTTGGCTCACATCGCCCACTACAAGCCCCTCAGCGTGAGGTCCAGCTCAGATACCACCGGCGGTCCCTACACATCCCTCGGGTGAGTCGTCCTCTTTCTTCAACCGCGCCAACAAAGACGACTCGTGAGCTCACCCTGTACCCCTCCTACCTCACCTGCCCTCACCTTGCCTCGCAGCCTCTCCCTCTTGTCAGTCGCAATGACCGTCTTCCAACGAGTGATGAACCCGGTCATCGAGGCAAAAGTGGCGCAGCATGCCTAGATATCTCCAGGGTGAGCGTGGACTATGGACGGATGCTGGAAAGGCAGGCAGAGGCATGGGATGACTCACGCACGGACCGGGACAGGCATGAGGCTTGATGAATTGATGGCGTGAAGTATACAGTGATAGCAAGAGTGCAAGTCAACAGGAGAGAAGCATATAGTGTACAATACAAAAAGTCGAACATCATGGGAAGTGGCCAGGGTGTCAGGCAGACCAAGAGCCCCATCCCACCACGGGCGCGAAATAACTATACTCATACAACGTCCCACTCGTCCGCCTCGTCCGACTGGACCGACTTGCCCTTTCCCTTGTCCTCCATCGACCCTTCCGCAGAGGCAGGTACAGCAGCAGCGGCAGTAGTCGCGGTTGCAGTCACGGTCGTTCTCCTAGGCGTAGAAGAAGAAGAAGCATACCGAGCCCCATCAGCCGAGCCTCTTTCCCTCCCTGCCTCGATCCCCGTTCTCCCCAGAGCAGTCCTCATTGAAGATGTCCGACCTTCTGTAGTCTGTACTTGCGTCTGATCTTTTCCTTTGCGACGCCCGCTCCGACTACTCCCGATTTCTTTGCCGTTGAAAATGACAGTGCCCGCGGACGCAGGTACAGACGCAGGGGCAGAAGCAGAAGCAGGGACCAAGTCGCTGCCCGAGGCCCGAGAGGGCGTGGAGGCATTGTCTCCTTTTCTTGCAGAAGAAGAGGAAGAAGAGACCTTGCTCCGCCCGCTGTCGATGGCTCGACTCTGGCTGCTCCTGTTCCTGGACTCGGCAGAACCATCCCGCAGCTTCTCGTTTCCACCCGCACCTGCCCCTGCCCCTACTCCTGCTCCCAGCGGCAGATCTCGCTGACCCGCAGAGTCTACACGCGGGCGCGAGGTCGAGGTCGAGGGCGTACCAGTTGCGATAGAAGATCGCACAGCGCCAGTCCCAGAAGTGCTGCCGCTACCGCTGGCCCTGGCGGCTTCCTTCTGTCCCCTCTGACGAAGAAAGTCCAGACTGACGGGCGAGGAAGCAACGTGGTTCATCGTCGTCCCCGTGGTTGTCATCGTGCTGCCCGCCTTGCTTGCAGCAGTCGTGCGTCGATCTGCTGGTGCTCCCGAGGAGCGCAATGGAGTGGTATTGGAGCTGGGACTGGCTATACTTGTAGAGGCTTGACCTCCTTTGGATCGAGCAGCACCAGAGCGGCTCTCCTTGCGCTCCACGGGCTGCGCATCGAGATTGAGCAGGCTCGCAGCTACTTGCCCAGCATCTACATAGCTTTCCTCCATTAGGGGTCTCGAAGCTATTGTAGCTGAAGCACTTCTGCGTGAGGCAGAGGATGAGGACGAGGGCGACGAAGGGGTTCCTCCCGTTCCTCCTGGCGGTGTAGCTGTGCCGTCATGGAGCTCGTGGAGCTGTAGCAGCTTGGAAAAGTCCAGGGTGGGGAATGTGAAATCGTGTAGAGCGGTCGAAGAAGGGGGTACAGCGAGGTGAGATCGTCTGAAGGTAGGAGGTGAGAAGGACAGTGACGTCAGAAACATGATCAACACACTCTAATCCCATTGCAACGCATTGCAACGCGCTCTCACTCACTTGGTGCCCACCGCATGAGCGGCTTCGTACAGCAGCCTCAGAGTACTTCCGCCAGCCTTCACCAAATCGATCTGAACTCCTTGACTCCAGGCAAAGTAGGCAGCATTGTATGCCAGCATGACGAGAGCGCGACAGAAGTCCCGAGCAGACGCCAGAGCTGTATCAACTTTTCTGCTCGTTGCCGCACCCGATTGCGCGTCGGTTGCTACAGCAGCTTCCTTGCCAGGGTTGCCGTGAGCTTGGAGGGCCGAAGCTCTTCCCCAAGTCTTGTTGTTGCGGCCAGGCAGCGTGACAAAGCTCTCTAAGGTACTGAGGGTCGAGGCGCCAAGGGACATCACCGAGGCTTCGATCCCTCGTCCAGCGGTTGATATGGCTGATTGAGGTGTGGCAGGAGCGCCAGAGATTGCGGCATAGGCGCTTTGACCGAGATGGAGCTTGAGGGATGTACTGTCGCAGGAAGAATCGACGCTGAAGTGATCAGTGTCGCGCATATTGGCCCAGCCTTCCATCTTATAAACTCACGTAGCTATTCCTGCTGGTGCCCAGAGCTCATCCGGTGTGAAAGACCATCGTCCGTTCTCATCAGAGGACATCCTGAAGGGCAGAGCCACCCCGCATATCGCAGCCATCGCTTGCAGTACTTGGCACGTAAGGCTCGCAGCTGTATTGATGTCGGCTCTTGAGAAGCGTCTGATGTCGGAAGAGGTAGGAAGGGGCAGAGCGAGAGGACTGGTGGACGGGAGGATGGTCCACTCCGACGAGAGACTATTGTGCGTCGGCGCCAACGAGCTGGGAGGGCTACCTACGGGCTCGAATGCACCTGGCATGAATCGTTCTCGAGCTCTAGCCAGGAGATGCGTACCGCTGTTTGTCGGAGGCGCTACAGAGTAGTAGCCGAGCAGCTGTAACTGCCGGATTTTGCGGGTCCGATTGAGCTCCTCGTGCTGTAGCTGGACCCTTCTACGCAGCTGCTGGATCTGTACCTCAAGACTTCTTCTGTACCCACCAGGTTGGGTGACCTCAGCCTCTGCACTGAGCATCCGACGAGCCGCCGTGAGGTAGCTTCTCCGCCTGGCTAGCTCGGCTCGCTTCGCCTCGACCTTTTCCCTCAACATTGCAACATCCCTCAGAGAGGTCTCAACATCAGCGCTCCGATCTGCGACCTGACCAGTGAGCTGCGACCAGCGACTTGAGATGGCTCTGCCGTGGTGAGACGCAATCGGATGAGGATTACGGGGCAGATCCGAAGGCGGGCCGAAGGGGTCAGGCATAATAGCGCCATCCTCCTCTTCCGTGAAGTCGTTGCCCAGTAGAGCATCCGTCATTCTCCTGCTAGCATCACGAGCAGTCGTGAGTCTCATCATGTTCGCACGATGCTTCTCCAGCTTGGCCTGGACACAATGCTGGCAGAGATACCATGCTGAAGAGACGCGGCACTGAGGACATGGGACAGGGTCTGCAACGCGGGCGGGACGATTGGCCGAAGCGAGGGAGGACCTGAAAGGACGCTTCACCACCGCTTCTGCTGCCTTGGGAGCGGCAGGGGCTGCGGAGCTTGTCGAAGCATGCTTCTTGACCCTCACGACCGGCCTCTTCTTGGATGATGATGGCTCACCGGGTTTAGACCGACGCTCGGAGGCGGTGGTTGTTGTGGCCACTGAGGGAGACACGGCGGGGATCCTGCCGCTCATTGCAGTATCAGCACCTGCAGACATGAAGTCAGGGTCAGCGTGGCAGCTGTAGAGAGGAGAGCAGCATCAGATACGAGGTAGGGATGATGCGGGGGAAGAAGGCAATTGTAGTGGTGATTAGGTTGGATGGTGGTGGAGTCAATCATTGGCCTCAGCGGAAGCGCACTTTTGCCGCCAATCAACAGCCGCGCTCGAGCCAAGTCACTCCCAAGACTGAGCGGAGCGGGGCGAAATCGATAAATGCGATCTTGGAGAAACAGCTCACAATTGGAGAAGTCCGCTTAAGGCAAAGCAGTCAGTGGATGAATTGGATCAGCTAGTGATGCAATGAGAACGTACACCGTGCAAAAGCGTCGGTCTACAATCGTACAGTCTGGTGGTACAAGCATACTGCAACAAGAGGGCGGAAACAGCTTTGGCAAGAGCGACAATTGAGAGCTCCTCGCTTACACACTTCCGATCAATGCACCGCACCTGTAATCAAATTAGGGCCCATTCAGCAAAGCTAGAAGCCCACCTGTATTGCCGTTCTGCTTTGGCGGTGCAGGACCGCCTGCAGGACCATTAGGTACACCCACATTCTGCTGCATCGGAGGCGAAAAGGGCAAGGGAGGCCCAAATTGTCCTCCCCCTCCGTTCTGTACTTCTGGCAAGCCAAGACCTCGGCCATCATTGTGCGGCTGCTGGTGGAATTGACCTTGAGAATGATGTTGGGAGGAAAAGGGAGGTCCCGCCATCGGCGGCATGTGAGCCATCGGCGGCATCGGACCCGGCGGAAAGCCAGGCTGAGCAGATTGGGGGCCATGAGGATGTTGCGGGTATTGCTGCCAAGGCGGAAAGCCAGAGTGTTGAATGTGCGGAGGTGGAGGACCTGAAAGGGGCATGCTAGGCAGGTGGTGAGGATACGGCACTGGCTGTGGGTACATGTGAGCTTGCTGTTGAAGGTTCTGGGGCGCTCCCCTACTTGATGTGACCGGTCCCGCGTTCAGCATGGCAAGTAGTGATGCCCGACCCACATCTGGCGAGTGAATTCCCGCGACGGCATGAGGTGGAGGTGGAGGGGACAAGTAGGGACCATTGGCTCCCCCTTGCGGATAGGTTCCAGTAGCTTGATGTTGATCGCGTTGGTCATGCATGACATTGAGAGGTGGAGCCGGGGGACCAACAACGTGGGTAGCTTCATGTTGCTGCTGCTGCCACTGCTGAGGCGCCTGTTCAAGAAAGCCGTCTCCATTTTGCAGCATCGCTAGAAGCGAAGCCTCCTTTGCTGTCTTCGGGATCGCTGTATTCGGTCGCTCAGCGAATTGACCGAATCCATCAGGAGAGTTGTGCTGATGCGTCCCACTCGCTTTGGCGCCCTGTTGGGAAGAAGGCTCAATATCGCCTCCCATCAATTGTAACAGCAGCGCCTCCCTCTTCCTTGCCCTCTCGTGTTCTTCTCCCAAATCCTGCCCAGGAGCTGGATTCTCACTCGCCAGCGCGGCCGGCTGTGCAGCAGGGGCATTGGGACTCAGCATTTCCAACAGTTTGAGTGTCCCGCCACTGCTCTTTGCCGCTCTTGGTGCTGGAAGGGGAGACTGGCTACTGGGAGCAGAGAGATGTTGGTTCTGCAACTGTTGTGCGAGAATTTGCTCAGGATCCGACGGCTGTGGGTAGTGAGTTGTTCGAGATGAGGCAGCAGATGCAGCTGGGCCGGAGGCTAGCACTGGAGGGACCACCGATTGATGAGCGTGAGGATTGAAGGTGCCCAAGGACTGAGCAGGTGGCGGCGCGGGCCGAGCATTCGAGCCTTGGAGCAGGGCTAGCAACGTCGCAGAGTCGCCATTTGACTGGGAAAGGGAGGAAGGTGCTGTTGTAGCTTGCTCAGCTAGAGGCTGTGCTGGAGCGACTCGCATAGCGGTGGATTCAGTGGATGCCATGGCCGATGACTGCTCCAAGTCTGCGCCTGGGATACCGCCTTGTTCAATTTGGACTCTTTTCTTGTTGTCACGGATCCATTGCTTCAATTTGCCGATGAAGGGTGTGACCAGGTAGAACTTCGCGCCAGCATTAGCGCTTGCCAGACCGCCCCCACCTCCCGCCTGAGACTGCTTCCATGTAGGCAGATCCGAGAGCTTGAACCAAGAGATTTTCTGTGGTAATGGAAAGACTAGGTGTGAGGCACAGATAGCCGCCTATTACTGCTTGATCACTGACTCACGCTGATCTCTTTCCTCGTTTGCGTCTCAAAGACGGTATCTTTCCGTACCCCTGGCACGATGTACAGCCTCATCTTTTGTTCCCTGACATTGAGCTCCATCCAGTGGGGGGATTCTGGAGCCAAGAGCTCAGAGCAATCGAAGCCTGTCTCCTCCAGTGTCTCCCGCACTGCGCAATCCCTGTGCGACTCAGATTGGTTGATCTTGCCTTTGGGAAAGCCCCAGGCCGCACTCGACCTCCATCCTTTTACCAACACGCAGCTCTTGAAGTCTTCCGAGAGCAAGACCGCGCCGCAGACGGGCACTCTGGTCTTGTACTTCATAAACTCATCAAATGCGGCCTCCAATCCGTAGGTCTGTCCTCCTAGGGCTGACAAGTCTTGGATTGTCCCGCTACTGTTGGCATCATTGTTACTGGATACGTACTGTCGGATGAGAGGTACAGAGAGCGATGCCGTCTGCAGAATGTAGATGGAGAATTTGCGCAGATTGAGAGAGGGAAGCTTGGGATTGAGAGGGCGTAGGAAGTCTTCGTAGAACCAGTGTCTGAGAGATCGTAGACGAGCGTGGCAGCCGAAGTACGTCAGGTGTTGGAAAATGCGGACCCTTTCTGTGCCATTCTTTCCCTCTCTACTTACGCCTGCTCGACTTGAAAACATATCCTCTCTATCCTCTGCAACTCCTCGCTGGGCAGATTGACGATAAATCTGGAGCTGAGGTCCTCCAAGACCTCCACGAAGCTCAGTGATGCCCATTGATTGCTGGCTCCCGATGATGCTGCCGAAGTATTAGCGCCTGTCATCTCCAGCAGAGATTATAGTGTCAGGCTAGGTATCAGCGGAAGCAGTGACCTGGTAACGGCGTTGGGCTGTCCTCTATGAGGAGGAGGTGGCTTGTTTGAATAAACTCGCAGGACCGGATATCGGGTATGGTGGTGGATCGAAGATGGCTGAACTGGATGCGACGAGGACGGAGGCTTATAGGTGAATGGCCGGAATGTTCCTCCCTTGTGAGGTGATATGGTTAGACAGTGGTGAAATGGTGGTAGACTAAGTTGTCTTGTCCCACTGCGTCGGTTGGAGGTCAGTGCATTCGCCTCGACTCGCCTTGCGTCCTTGCTTCCGTTCCGTTCATCTGACCTTGACTGCAAGCAGCGCTGACCTTTGCAATGCTCCTGACTCTTCTGGTCTTCGTTGCCCACTGCGTGATAGGACAAAGCAAGAAAGTGCGTCTGCAAGTGCAAGGAAGTGTGTATGAGCATAATGCATTCATCATAAAATCATGAGGAGGGATCTATGGCGGGAGAATGCACCATACCTGAGCTCAAGGCGGCACCCACCTTTCGATTGGCACGGCTGAGAGACCCCCGTATCCCCCCCCCACCTGGTCATCGGCCATCAGCATGCCTCCCAATGTACAACTTGTTGAGCCCCTCTGACTACCTGCGTCATCTCGATGGCCCGGTGCGTGAGTCTCCGAGGCAGCCGCTCCACGCCGCCGGGATCGTCGCGTGCGGTGTGCCTGGCCATTGATTGTCTCAGGCACAAAGGACGACGCCCCGGATTCGCGGGTGCAGAGCAGTGCAGAGGATATGAGGGCCAATGCTCACACTTGCTGAGCTCAATACTCTTCTCCTTTCCTACTTCACCCACTTCTGCCCCATTGTAGCTTGCTCTCAACCAGAATATACGCCGTCGCCATGTGCCCTCCCAAGTCATCCCTCGGCATCTTCGATCGGGCTCTGCGTACCGTAGGCCTGCAACGAGACACAGACTACGATCACGCCTACAATCAAGCCTGCCTCGACATCTCCCAAGCTGGCGGCGAAGACACAACAGCTCACAATCGAGCTGAGGACACCTCTTCGTCTTGCCATAAAGCACTCGTATCCCTCAACATCAAGAAGGCCTATAAGCCATACCCTGAGGACGATCCATTCTACTACATCAATGCCACTCCCGCTGCTCTAGCCGCTTATAAGCCCGGTCACATCCTCAGCTACAGATCCATCGAGCTGACCCCCTTCCCTGGTATCGACGGCACTAAGCTTAAAACTTGGCAGGTTGCTTATGTATACACCGACGCCGATGACAAGGCTGCTGTCAGTGTGTTTGTAGTCATCATGCCGAACAACTCCTCAAAAGATAGAATCTTACTTCAGCTCCCAAAGACGGATGCCGCCATCTCAGAGTGCCGAACGAGCTACTCATTGAGAAAGGGTAGCGCGGCTCGTTTCGCTTGTGAGTACGCTCGGCAGTCGCGACAACTCGAATGCGTCATTACCATTGTCTCACAACCACGCGCACCATACCTCTCATATCCTTGCTCTCCTCTTGGCTCCTCTCCTCTTGGCTGTACCCCCAACAGCCCTCTCAGAGTCGCCCTTCATGAGCAACTTTCTCGATCAAGGGTGGATCTGTGTCATCCCAGATGTGCGTGGCCTCGTTGCTTTGGTACCGTCACAGCTGGCACCGCTCACCCAGATCCCTGACCGAATCTGTCTTTCTGTCTGAATTATTACTTTTCCCTCAGTATATGGGCCAGCAAGATGCCTTCGGCAACGGGCCTCTCGCAGGACGATGTGCACTCGACGCAGCCCGCGCTGTCTTGATGTTCGGGGCCCTGGAAGTGCAGCCAGACGCAAAGCTTGCTTTCTGGGGATATTCATCCGGTGCTCAAGCTGTCGGCTGGGCCGCTTCTCAACAGGCTCTTTATGCGCCTGAGCTGACGAGCAAGATTGTGGGATGGGCGGCGGGTGGTCTCCCTGGTGAGTCAAAAGCGATAAGCGTTGTCATTCTCAAATCTGACCGGGTGGCGATTGTTTTTGCTATCGTAGTCAATCCACTATCTTGCGCATACCACATGAATGACAACATGGCGGCGGGCCTCATCATAGGCGTGATGGTAGGATTGGTGAGTGCCTTAGAGAGCGCTTGACCGGCGACAAGTGTGGGTCACCATAGTCTCATCTGCATCTTCACCTCTCGGACCGCTTGCGCAGAGCAACAGTTATCCCGCGCTCAAGCAGTGGCTCGAGGCTAGCCTCACCCCCGCAGGGAAGAAGCTCTACGGCAAAGCTGCCGAGTCTTGCTTTGGTGGCTTCATGTTCGCCTCATTCCTGAAAGATGTACTCGGAACGACGTATTTCAGACAAGAGAGACCTCTAGAAGAAGCACTTCCCCGCAAGATTCTTGATCAGCTCAATTTGGATCGACCAGAAAGTTCCGTGCCATCACAACCCATGCTCATCCTGGGCAGCTTGCACGATGAAGTTGTTCCCACTGCCGATCTGGACAATCTTGTCGATCACTGGGCCCAAAAGGGAGCCAGCATCGAGTATATCAGAGATAGACTGAGCAAGCACGTCACTCTGTGCTTCACTGGCTTCCCTCCTACCCTTCGCTGGCTGCAGAAGCGCTTCGATGGCGAAGAGTCGCACTCCAAGCCGGGCCAGCCTTATATCCGCACCGTCGATACGAGCCTTTGGCTAGAAGATGACGACGAAGACGGCAAAACCTCGCCCACCGATGAGGGAGAAGGGAAGGCCGATGCCGCCTTGAAAGCTTCGGCGGAAGAAAATCGTAGATCAGACGGTCAGTCAATGAGTGGGGGTGGTTCAACCACGAGTGCCCGGGCCCATACTAATTTTCCGGCACCGTCCTCTTCTCTTACAGTCCCTCAAGCCCGTCGCCGCCAGCTGAAGCAGACTCTTGCTGCTTTCAAAGACAAGGTGTACTTCTACTGAGACTCAGCGTGTCCGATCAGACTTTGCGATGCCTCATGTCTAGCATCATCTCCGCCCTTTCCTCTCCTGACCCTTGCCGGAACAAGGGTACAAGCTCTTCCTGCGGCACGAAGACGAAGAGTTCGATGTCGGTCTGTGATTCGAATGGCATCTCTCATATGCTTGTCTTAGCTTGTAACCTTGAGTGCCTTGACATGTGTGGTATTGGAGATGTCACCAAGCGTGTGGTGGTGAGCACCGGCAGCCATCCATCTTCGCTTTCCGCAATGGCCGAAATGAGCGTGGCGCCTTCCACGGCCGGCAATTCCCACCGGGCCGATGTGGTGACACAATCCTGTCCGCCTTTCCGGTCCTAGACCCTGATCACCACATCATCTGCATCCTCAGAGTTCCCTGAGCTACTCGGTCGGTTGTTCCATGCTCTTGAGTCGGGCAAGCAGCATCTCACGCCCAGGTCTCGTTCATGCCCGTCTCTGGCTCTTGACTCACGGCCCCACTCGCACTCTTACCTCACGTACACTCGCTCCCGGCAAGATGCCGGACTCTAACGATGGCAAGACGGGCGGCCCCTCGTCTGCCATTGTCCCCAATGCACTATCTAGAGTAGCAGGTCTCTCGCGACAGCTCTTTCCATCCAATCCCTTCTCAACAAAAGCTACCGCCTCTTCTCCTACTCATCTAGGCGACCTCAAATTGGGCCCCGATGTGACTCTCCCGGTGTTTGAACCTCATGATCCCCTCCGGTTGCCGATGCAACGGCTCCTCCTAGACTTAGAGAATCCCAACGTCCTATCTGATCTGACCTGGATGGGCAAGAAGTGGCAGCTCGGTCAAGATATCTTCCTCCTCTCCCCTCCTGGCCCCTACTCTCGTCGGCTGGCTCTTACCTTCGCTGCTCTGCTGCAGGTTCCATTTGAGTACGTCTCGATGCATAGGGACATAGGAGAATCAGAGCTGTTGCAGCAGCGCTCCTTGCAGGCTGGTGGAACTTTAAAGTACATAGATGGACCGGTCGTACGAGCAATGAAGGAGGGCTCGCTTCTGGTTCTAGATGGTGTGCAAAGGGCGGAGAGGAACGTCATGCCTCTGCTCAACAATATTCTGGAGAACAGGGAAGCCAACCTGGCTGATGGCACGCAGCTGGTACCTGCCAGTCGTTTGGAAGCCCTCAGAGGTGCTGAGGCTTCACTACCGTCCGACTCTGCCTCACAGCAGCGGGACAGCCGCTTCATACCGGTCCACCCCAATTTCAAGGTGATAGCATTGGGCTTGCCCACACCGCCTTACAAGGGTCTCTCCCTCGATCCGCCTTTCCGATCTCGCTTCCAGTCACGGTGGGTGGAGAGTCTGGTACCCTCCAAGGAGCTCGCTTCTCACCAAATCATACCTGGCCCTGACGAGGCGCCGGACACTCCGAGAGAACTGGCTATCCTCTTGGCTCGGCGCCTTCATGAGTTATCTTCTCTTGTCAAATACCACGACGCCTTTGCCCGAGGAGGCGACATCCTGCCAGAGACAGAGCGTCTTCCTACCATGCCCTCGACGATGCTTCCCCTCTTGGAAGACCTTGTCGAGCTCTTCCCGCCTGTCACGCCACTGGTACAGCCGCCGAGCACACCAGAGCCCGGTCCAGCAGCTGAGCGTCAGAAGGAGTACCCGCCTCCTCAGGACGGCGCTCTACAGGTAGCTGCCCACACCAGAGAGCAAGTTGAAGCTAGGGAGCTCGAGATGCTGTCGCGACTGGCACCTCCCAAGCCTGCTGGCCACATTGCCTCTGAGAGTAGGGCGCTGCTGGGAGCGGCTTGGCCAAATCTGTACAGCCTCGACAAGGCCAAGCGCAAAGTGGCGGATGACCTGCTTGAGAGCCTTGCACTGGATCATGGCATCGGAGCAGGAACTGGCCCCACAAGCGAGGGCGAGCAGTCAGGGTTTGGTCTGCTTGGCTACCGCCTTGTTGGTGTAGAGCGATTGGAAGAGACTCTGGCAAAGGTTCACTTCGAACAAGTAGCCACCTCAGGCAGAAGAGTTGAGGTGGTGGTACCCTGCGGCCCTTTGCCTTTCCGGGACGTACCCAAAGAGGGCACCACGTACTCTCTGAACGACGAGAGCGTTTACGTCACACCTCGCCTATTGTCTATACTGACGACAATGGCGCAGCTTCACTCGTTAGGACGAGACTTTGCTCTGCTGCCCTCGTCCTTTGCCACTTTCGAGGGCTCGACACCCCAATCCTCTTCCTCAACAACAACGGCCATTGCGCTATTCGGATCGCTACTGGGCTACCCGGTCGAGGCCGTCTGGCTGTGGAAAGACGTCGGCGGCAATGAGCTGATCATGAGAAGGGCCACGACACCCGAGGGTGACACTACTTTTGAGCCAAGTCCCTTGTTGAAGGGCGCACAAGAGGCCAAGATCGTCCATCTGGCCGGCATCGACGTCCTGGGTCCCACTATCGGCTCTCTTGCAAGCCTGCTGCAAGATCGCACACTCGAGCTGTGGGAGGGCGGAAGAGCTTCCCTGGAGCATAATCAAGCAGCAAGGTTCGGTGACGGTATTGGCAAAGTGGGCTTGGGTTCTCTTACCCCTCTCCACCCCGCCTTCCGACTCATTGCGACCTCTTCTTCGGCCAAGTCAGACTGGCTGAATGAAGAAGTCTCGACATTGTTCAGCTTCGTCTCTCCCTCCCCGATGTCCGAGGCAGAGGAGTGGGAAATCATCCTCAAGCGCTCGCAATGTCCTCCGGAGCTCTTGGAGCGTCTTCTTGCCTTCGTCAAGCGCTACAGAGAACTCTCGTCTGATCCTTCACTTGGTCTTGACAAATCCAAGAGGCTAGGCACCCGCTCTCTGATTCGTATGGCAACTCGCATTGCTCGTCATCCCAACACCGACGTGAGGGCCCTGGTAGAGAGGACTCTCCTTGTCGACTTTATGCCAAGGACCAGTAGGGAGCTGGTACGGAACACCTTGAGCGAGAATCGTCTCTTCGCGCGTGGATCAGAAGGAGCCCATCAATATCAACCGCCTGAGTTCCTGGCAGATCCGTGCATCGAAGGTGATCATCTAGTCTTTGAAGACCTCAATGCGGGCAAAGGTGACGAGCCAGTCAAACTGCCCGTCTTCAACGCCGCGAAGGAGGGTGACGAGGAAGGCTCAGAGACTCTTATACCCCACACCGGAGCCTTCTATGACAACCCTACGCAGTCCCTACTAGCTCGAGATCTTGGCATCGACTTGCAGACTGAACACCTGCTTCTGCTGGGCAACCAGGGTACTGGCAAGAACAAGATTATCGATCGCCTCTGCGAGCTACTACGCCGTCCTCGCGAGTACATTCAGCTCTCTCGAGACTCGACGGTCTCATCAATCCTGCAAATCATACAGCTAGATCAGGGTCAGCTGCTCTATCTAGACTCGCCTTTGGTGCGAGCCATCAAACTCGGCAGGATCTGTGTTGTCGACGAAGCAGACAAGTGCTCCTCGGCAGTCACTGCCGTCTTCCGAAGTCTGTCAGAGCGAGGACAACTCACGCTACCCGATGGTCGACAAGTCCGACCGCGAGGCTCGTCAGGCTCGCCGGAGGATATCATTGTCCATCCTAACTTCCGCGTGGTGCTTCTGGCCAATCGCCCTGGTTTCCCCTTTCTGGGCAACGAGTTCCTCTCGACGCTCGGAGAGGGTTTCAGTCCTTATGCTGTTGCGAATCCTGATTTGCAGAGTGAGATTCGACTGTTGAAACAGGCGGCCCCTTCAGTAGATGAGGACCTGATCAAGCGCCTCGATCTCGCTTTCCACGACTTGCGTGGTCAATTCGATGCGGGTACGCTCAACTACCCTTACTCTCTTCGAGAGCTCCTCCATATTGTCCGTCACATGGACAAGTACCCCAGCGAAGGACTGGTGGACGTCCTGCTCAACACGCTCTCCTTCGACTTGCATCGCCCGCAAGCCATGGAGGTAGTGGCCGCTGCACTACAGCGGAGAGGTCTGGATGTCAAGGGTCTGAGCATTGCAGAGGTGCGCGAAGCGAAGGAGGAGGAGATGAGAAAGGTCGTCGCTGCCAAGGGCAAGGTGGGTTTCGACCCTAAGAAGGCGGGGAAGGACACAGGTCTAGACAAGCCCAAAGATGGCAAGGTGGACCCGGAGAACAAGGAGCATCACGGCGGCAACACCTGGAGGGGCGGTACAGGAGGTCGCGACACGGCAGGTCTGGGTGGTCGAGGCGGGTATGAGCGTTTGGCCTCTGGACATCAGGTGAAGCAGATCTCGGACGAGCTCAAGAGGGATGTGCCTGATCACATCAAGGAGCAGGCTAGACAGATGGCGCGTGAGGCCCTCGCTAAGAAGCTCGCACAGGAGGGCCTGACGCAGCACGAGGCTGCCACGTACGAGGCCTACAAGCGGGAGCTCGAAGCGCCCGTCAACCACCTAGTGAGCGTGCTCAATGATCTACAGGCCAACAAGAAGGAGCGTGCCTGGCTCACACGCCAACAGGAAGGAGAGCTGGACGAGCGAAGACTCACAAATGCTCTCACTGGAGAGCGGTCCGTCTTCAAGCGACGGCAGGAGGCTCCCCCCGAGGTGGGCGCACCGACTGTGAAGCCCAAACGGATCCGTTTCCTTGTAGACTGCTCTGCCTCGATGTACTCGATGGGTTTCGACGGCCGATTGGACCGTGAGATCAAGACGGTGCTGATGGTCATGGAAGCCTTTTCCAAGGTGGAATCGGGAAAATTCGTCTATGATATCATTGGTCACTCGGGAGAAGCGCACGACTTACCCTTGGTCACCATCGACAAGATTCCCGAGAATGCCGGTAGACGTTGGAAGGTACTCAGGGATATCATCTCCACGACTCAATTCACTATGAGTGGAGATAATACCGTCGAGAGTCTCGAGCACGCCGTCAAGACGTTGCCGATCAAGGGAAGTGAGGAGGAAATGGACGATTATATCGTCATTGCCCTCTCGGACGCTAATTTGGGACGGTATGGCATCACTTCAAAGATCCTCGAGAGGGCAATGAGTCGCAACTCGAAAGTCAAGGCGGCAATCATCTTTATTGGTGGAGCAGAAGAGGGAGAGAGGGTCGCAAAGGACCTACCCGGGAAGGCACTCGTCTGTAAAGACCTCAAGAGCCTGCCTGTCTTGCTTAGCGAGATTTTGGTGAACATGGTGGGCAGAGAGTAGAAGAATATGGTCGTTTATATATGAGGAGAGGACCGTGTAAAGCTGGAACCTTGAATACGTTGTAGCTAATCTAGACCTGTATACCGATGCGGCGTAGAGAAGCAAGATGGACTCTCTCTACACTTCTCATAGCCGGCATGGCATTAAATGCATAGATTTTGCAGCAGGATTGATCTATTGACATACAAGGTCCGCTCTTGCCCGAACTCATCCTCACGAAATCGTCTGATCTTCCTGCTCCGCATCACTTCCTGCACTATCGTACCCATCATCATCGTCGTCGTCCTCATCTTCTTGCTCCTCTGCTCCCTGTCTGCCCTTTGTCCGGTTCCATTGCACAAGCTCACTCATGCTCACTCCAGACCCACCAAATATGTCCAATGCAGACCCAAAAGTCAGGTCTACTTTCCCGCGGCTAAGTCGATCCACGAGCTCCAAATCGCCCAGATGACGTGCACCACCGGCGTACGTCACCGCGACGGGACCAGTGGCTTTACCGCCTATACTGCCCCGGCGGGTGGGGGTTGACCCTCCTGCCGAAGCCGGAGGAGTGGGCCCGGCATGGTCTGGTATCCACTCTGCGAGCTTTGCAACGAGGTCCTGATCGATGCCTTGGCACAGACCTTCGACGTCTGCGGCGTGTACTAGGAATTCGGAGCAGTACTGTGCGAGCAGATGGAGAGACTCGGCATTGACTTCCATGTCTGTCAAGTCCTGCCAGCGATTCATCGCCACGACCCACTTGTCGCCTTTACGACGGCAGCTTACGTCTACCACGAGGCGGTCGCGTCCCACGAGGTGGGAGAGGGCTTGTAGTCGCTCGAGAGAGAATTTGGCGTCAGGGAAGAGGTAGGAGGTGACAATGACCTTGGAGGCGCCCTTGTCTAGCCATTCCTGTGCGTTGGCCTCTGTGATGCCTCCGCCGACCTGCAGGGAGTCAGGCCAGGCTCGAAGGGCTTCCACGGCCGCTTCGTCATTGCGTGGGCCAAGCTTGATGACGTGTCCGCCCACGAGGCCGTGCTGTTGGTAGAAGTTGGCGTAGTAAGCAGGAGAATGTGTAGCGACAAAGTTCGTCTTGACATTGTTGCCCTGGTCATCGAGGGTACCACCGACAATCTGCTTCACTTGACCTTCGTGAATGTCGATACATGGCCTGAATAGGCTCACGCGTCGTTGCATCTTCAATTGGGCATTTGAAAGCGACAGGCCCGCAGCCTTATCCGAGAGTCGCCTCTCCCTGTAGTATGCCTCATCTCTGTTTTGCCTCTCCTTGGCTTGATCCCAGAATTCGACAATGTTCTCAGCCATACCGTAAGCCTTTGGAACCATCTCCCACAGCTCTCCTTCCTTGACCTGAATGCCTGGGATCTCCTGCGGCTTGCGGCCCTGGCAGTAAGCGATCAGACAACGCAGCACCGACGACTGTCCAACGATGAGGACATCGCTGGTGGCTCGCTCTAGCTCGAAGATGATGGGCTCGAGCCGAATCGACAGATCGTGGTAGCTCTCTGCTCGCGGGTAACGATGCCCATAGGGATCTTTGATCTTCTTCTCCCATTCGTCGGGGAAGCGCTCGCTAATCTCCTCTGGTGTCAGGCCATCGACGACACCGGGGTTGATCTCGCTGAGCTGGGAACGCTCGATGACGCGATAGCCTTGGTCGGCAAAGGCGAGGGCAGTGTGAGCGGAGCGCTTTCGAGCTGATGTCCACACCTCCATTGTCCGTCCAGCCTCTCCCGGGCCTGTCCCAGGAGTGTGACCGCCTGGTGTCAGGATGCCCTCTTTCGCTCGCTGCACAGATGCTTCCGCTGCCTCTTCCCTGTGCTGCATCAGGAATTTGCAAAGCTTCTGGGCGTATTGCCAGCCGAGTGACGAAAGATCAGCATCGGCCTTGTAGAGATGGTCTATGAGCGCTTCTCCTGCTCGCGCAAAGTAGATTGTTCGTTGGCGATTGTGGATGTTCATCAGGAAGAAGACAATTCGGGACTGCAAGTAGCCCTGAATATTGTTGACGATGATCTGCTGGCCAACGTTGATGACCTTGATGTAGGGGAAGGAGGGATTTTCGATCGGCTCGTAGTACTGCTCATGACCCTTGATACGGTTGTAGAAGTCCTGAACCGCCTTTTCCTGGTCCCAATTGACGTAGTCTGGGCTGGAGATCTTGACAGACCGGACATTGGCCTCGATGATTGCAGGATCGTCGCAGATGGACTCAAGGAACATCACATGGATGCCTGCTTTGCCGAACTTCTCTCGAATACGATACCTTTGTGCTTGTGTACCATTGTTGGCATCGTACTGCGAAGGGGCAGGATCGGAATGCTAAGTACCCTCATGACAGGAGCGAATGTATCTCGGCTGTAGGCTACTCACGATGACCGACTGGCCCCCCGTTGCAAAGAACTCTAGCACTGACTCGTCGAACTCAGCCAGGACACGTTCCCTGAGAGCATCCGTCTCTGGCTTCTTGGGACCTGTAAGGGGAGGGATTCGATACGTGAGCATCGAAGCAGCGCTGCTCACTTTCCATCCCCCCGGAAGGCCAGACTCACCATTGATGAAGTCTGTAGAGCACGAAAAGAGAAGAGGCAATCAGGTCATACTGTCAGTCTGCGATGTCTCCGGAGGCCGAGAACTCGCATCTGCGCTCGTTGCTCACAGTCAGGCGGCAGATTTTCCGCTCCACCCAAGACTCTCCTCCTGTAGTCTCCAAGACTCATGGCGGTAGCCTTTACTCCGAGCCATCTCAAGTAGCGCTCCAAAGCATGGGCAAGATGTGTCTTTCCTCGAGCTAGGCGCAAGAGGCGTGGTAGAGGGGTGCAGACAATTCTGATGAGTACAACAAATTTGGGAGGCTGGCACGTGCTGCGACTGTCTCTCACCTGGTAGACCGACGGTAGCGATCAAGATCTTTCCACTGCGAAGGGGACGTGACGATGCGCGGAATGAATCAGTACATGGAAGACTGCCTTTCGCTGCTCTCCCCGTGTCGCCATACCCACGCATGGAAGAGCTGTGATGTCGTGCGTATCAGGAGCGATACAAGGGTCAGTATCTGTGCTTTATGCGAAATCGCGCTCACTGCTGCGATTGCAACTCACCTGTCCCGAAGCGGTTGTGTACAGGGGAGCAGCCATGACTGTGACAGTCGCTAACCGCGCGGACGTAGGTCAAATCGCTGAAGAAGGCTTGTAGGTACGGCAGGATCAGATAGGCTGTCAAGGCGCTGCGTGCGATACGGTGGGGGGAAGCGGAAGCATTTCCTCGACGCCAGGGCCGAAGCCTCAAGGCGATTGTGGAGACGCACCTCGAAGCGGGGAGCGAATTCGGAACGGAAGACGAAGAAGAAGAGCAGGACGGCAAGGTGCACAGACCGGCGTGGGATGCATGAGAAGATTGGAAGATCCTTCCTGGTAAGAAAGGGCCACCGCTCATTACTTATCAGATCCTTTGACCGCTTCATTCACATTTCGCTACCACCACTCGTCGATCCTCGCATACACTTCTGATCAGTATGGCAGCGCGGAAGCAGTTGACCTTTGTCACTGGCAACAAGAACAAGCTCAGAGAGGTACAACAGATCCTCGAGTGAGTAGTGCCAGTCCGCTCACTCCCGCTGCCCCCAAGGACCGGCTGATCCTTCACAGCCATCTGAGCTCCCCCTCTGACTAGCTCTACTCACTTCTCGTTGGAAATTCAATCTCTTTGTGACCCACAGAAAGACTCCCTCCTTCCCCTTTGAGATTGTGAATCGCGACTTGGACGTGCCAGAAATCCAAGGCACAACGCAGGAAGTGGCCATTGCAAAGTGTCGCGCTGCCGCCAAGATCGTGAGTATTCCCAGATCCAGCCAGCCAGCACTTACTTCTGTCACTCTATCCATCCATCGAAGGCGTTCCCTGACAGCTTCACTCCCCACCTGCTCCCAGCTTAATGGACCCTGCCTCACAGAGGATACCGCCCTCTCCTTCCACGCCCTCTCCGGTCTGCCCGGTCCCTACATAAAATCCTTCCTCTCCTCTCTAGGCCACTCCGGTCTCAATACTCTCCTCGATGGCTTCTCAGATCGTTCCGCAACTGCCATTTGTACATTTGCCTATTGCTCTTCTGCAGAAGCTGAACCCATCTTGTTTGAAGGGAGGACAGAGGGGAAGATTGTTCAGCCGAGGGGACCTAGTAACTTTGGATGGGATCCCATTATCGAGATTGATGGGACGGGAAAGACGTATGCGGAAATGGAGGCAGAGGAGAAGAACAAGGTCAGTAGAAAAGCGGGGGCGGGGAGCGAAGAGGATAAGATCAGCGTCATAATTGAAGTGACTTCCCTCTCCCATTTTCCTTCTTGAAGCTCTCACATCGTTACAAAGCCCTCGAGCTGCTCAGGGAATATCTCACAAAGCAGGGCTAGGGCTAGCTGGAAATGATCATTCTCAAGGTGAACACACTCTCGCCCACCCCCTCGTGGAATTTCGCTCCTTCATCCCTCTTGTCTCACTTCGTGAAAGCAATATAGAAGACTACACACCATCAAGCAATTATAGTAGTCGCAGTCGCCATCGCAGTTGCCCTTCGCCCTTTGTCATGTTCATGTTGAATGGTAGTGCTATTGAAACAAATGATGACCGTGATGATGAGAAGAGCAGAGGTAACACTAGATACTCAAAGACAAAGGAGAGGCAGACGACATCAACGTCGAGGTATGGTTTGAGGTTTTGACCCCCCCGTGAAAAGGGGGCGAAATGAACCTCTTTTGCCGAGAAGGAAAGGAGAAGGTAGTAGTGGGGTTGCAAGGAAAGGTAGGGGAGGGAGGGCAAGTCGACTGTCCGCGTTGAGAGGTACAGATCGACATCACGAGAGGGAAGAAAACTTATGGCCAGTGCATATCGCAGAGCGGAAGGAAAATACCTCTACCGGCTTTGCTCAGCACCGGACACCATCTACGAGCAGCGGAAGATACTCGGGAGATCCGCTTAGTATCGGTACCACAGGTTCTTGTAAGGTCCCTCGACGGGCAGGTCGAGGTACTCGGCCTGAACGTCGGTCAGCTTGGACAGCTTGACGTTGAGCTTGGCCAAGTGGGCTCGGGCCACCTCCTCGTCACAAGCCTTGGGCAGCATCTCGACCTTTCCACTGGCGTACTTGGTCATGCCCTCGTTGTTCTTCCACAGCTCAATCTGAGCCAGCGTCTGGTTAGCAAACGAGGCGGACATGATGAAAGAAGGGTGACCAGTGGCACATCCGAGGTTGACCAGTCGGCCCTCGGCGAGGAGGATGACGTGGCGGCCGTTGGCCATGGTGTATCGGTCCACCTGGGGCTTGATGTTGACAACGCTCTTGGCGTTGGCCTTGAGCCAGGCAACGTCGATCTCAATGTCAAAGTGACCGATGTTGCAGACGATGGCGTCCTCCCTCATGTTGGAGAAGTGCTTGCCGGTGATGATGTCACGGCATCCAGTGGTGGTGACAAAGATGTCGGCCTCGGGTGCGGCATCGTCCATGGTGTTGACCTCGTAACCGGCCATGGCGGCCTGGAGGGCGTTGATGGGGTCGATCTCGGTGATGATGACACGGGCACCGTAGCCTCGCAGAGACTCGGCACATCCCTTTCCGACGTCACCGAAACCGGCGACGATGGCGACCTTTCCACCCAGCATGACATCGGTGGCTCGCTTGATACCATCGACGAGGGACTCACGGCATCCGTAGTAGTTGTCGAACTTGGACTTGGTGACCGAGTCGTTGACGTTGATGGCCGGGATCTTGAGAGTACCCCTCTTCATGGCAGAGTAGAGGTGGTGGACACCGGTGGTGGTCTCCTCAGAAACACCCTTGATGCCGGCGAGGAGCTCGGGGTGCTTCTGGTGGACGAGCCAGGTGAGGTCACCTCCATCGTCGAGGATCATGTTCAGGGGCTCTCCACCGGGGAAGGCCTTGAGGGTCTGGTCGATGCACCAGTTGTACTCGTCCTCGGTCTCACCCTTCCAGGCAAAGACGGGGATACCGGCAGCGGCAATGGCAGCGGCGGCGTGGTCCTGGGTGGAGAAGATGTTGCACGAGGACCAGGTGACCTGGGCGCCGAGGGCAACGAGGGTCTCGATGAGGACGGCAGTCTGGATGGTCATGTGCAAGCAACCAGCGATGCGGGCTCCCTTGAGGGGCTGCTCCTTGGCGTACTTCTCACGCAGGGACATGAGACCGGGCATCTCTCCCTACAGGTGAGGAAATGGTGTGGAGCAGAGGCGAATGGGTGATGTCTGGTCAGAGGAACTGGCCTCGCATAGTCTCACCATATCTTCTTGCTCTCGACTACTCACCTCGGCGATCTCAATCTCCTTTCGGCCGAAGGCGGCGAGGGAGATGTCAGCGACCTGTACAGCAAAGGAGGAGGGAGGGGGAGCAAAGGTAGAAGTGGAATGTGTCAGCCATCTGGGTCATGGGCAGGAGCAAGGCCATGCTTGAGGGCGGTGTGTCCCATCCATCTACTGGCAAATCGAACTCACTTTGTAGTTCTGAGCCATTGTGAAGGTATGTGTGGATATATGGGATGGGTACGGGAAAAGGAACGAAGGGATGGGTAGGTAAGAAGGATGTACGTGGGGCGGCGTCTGTGGGTGTAGAAGCCTCGTGGACGACGAGAAGAAGTGAACTCCATTCTCCGCTTCTGTCCCACTGCCAGGCGCCTGGCCTTCGCTCCCCCCTTGCGCTCGTGCCCTCGTCGTCAGCGCGCGCACACACACGCACTCACACAGCAGGAACATCACTCACACAGGTCAAGAGAATTTCAAGGGCACACCACCACCTTCTTCCCACTTTCCGCACCATCCAACCACCATGACTGCCACCTCGATGGCCATGGCAATCCATTTCACATTACCTCTTCGTCCTGTCTGATCGCCTGTCAAGCTTTTTGTAAATGTCTCTTCCCCTCCATCTCCTTTCTCCACCCCCCTCCACTACACAAACGCCCCTAAAAGAGCCTATACAGCGCCCCCCTCTATCCTTCTTCCCTCTTCGAGGTGGGAAAAGGAAGAGGGGACCCCTCACGCAGTTATATGGCGGGACAATGTTGGGCTATAGCTGCCACTTTGTACCCCCTTGACCGGGGGTAATGGGCATTAACTGGATCGATAAACTATCCGCTTCCTTCTTTTCCTTAAAAAAAGAAGGTGGAGGAGGCGGCTGAAGGTATTCAGGACATTTCTTGAGCGGACCCGGTTGGTGTAAAGCTGAGAGATGGTGAGGAATGGAAAAACAGATTTTAACAATCAATGCTGGGACTGAAGATTGAACAAGTGTGATTTGAGCATTAAGCAGAGGAAGAAACAGAGCGATACTATAGTACAAGTCAGCAGCAGCCAAAAGGTCAAGCGCAAATATAGGACAGAAGAAAATGACGGTTAAAGCGAGGGAGCTGGACCAGAAGGGAAACACGGAGCATCGGAGGAGAGGACTGAGAGGAAGCCCTTCATCACTACTTTGCCAAGGGGTTAAGCCTTGGTCGGGGCTGCTTCGCCGTACTTGCTGGCCAAGGCGAGACCTGCCTGTCGTCCAGAGAAGATGCAGCCGCCCAGGAAGGTGCCCTCGAGAGAGCTATTGTGGGAGAAGGGAGATTTGGACATGATCGTCAGTAACATCTTCGCTACTCTCACGCGCGCCATCTCTCTTCTCCACTCACTTGTAGCCATGCACACCACCTCCTCCAAAGCCGGCCACTTCACCCGCAGCGTACAATCCCGGGATGGGCTCACCATCGTGGCCCAGCACCTGACTATCGAGGTTAGTCTGAATCCCACCGAGGGTCTTTCTCGTGATGAGGTTCATACGAATGGCAATCAGAGGTCCGAACTTGGGATCGAGAATCTTGTGCGGCTTCACACATCGCAGCTCCCCTTTGTAGCTCCAGGCGTTGCGGATCACCATGACCTGCGTGTCCTTTGTGTAGGGGTGTTCGATCTGTAGATCCCTGTCGGTCATCTCCTTTTGAATTTGTTCCAAAACCAACTTGGGACCACGCTGATCACGCTCCACGATGCCATTCATTCCCTCGACGAGTTCCTCCAGATTGTTGGCAGTGACCCAGTCCTCTCCATACCTCTGGAAGTTCTTGACTGGCTCAGGACCCCAGATGATGCGGCTCAGCGCGCCTAGGTAACTCTTGCCCGTCACGTCTGGGTTCTGTTCCGAGCCCGAGAGAGCCAGCTCTTTCTGAGCAATGGATTTGTTGAGAATGAACCAAGTGTGGTCGTAGCCCGTCTTGCAGATGTGCTTGAGGGTGCTGAGCGTGTCTGTGCCAGGGTAGCAAGGTGGTGGGAGTCGCTTGCCCTTGGCGTCGATCCAGACAGACGAAGGACCCGGGATGACTCGGATACCATGCTTGGGCCAGATTGGGTTCCAATTCTTCAGGCCCTCGGTGTAGTGCCACATGCGGTCCTTGTTGACCGTGCGAGCCCCAGCAGCCTCTGAGATCTTGATCATACGACCGTCGACGTGAGCGGGCACGCCGACAACGAAATGCTCGGGCACTCTACCGCTGAAGCGCTCCTTTGGCCAGGTTGCCTTGACCAGGTCGACATTGCCGCCGATACCTCCGGATGTGACCACAACGGCCCTGCCGCTGAGAGCAAACTGTCCCACAACGAACCTCGAGGATGGTGCGCCCCTCTCGACCTCGTCCGAGGATTCTAGCACAGAGCCTGTGACCCCAGTGACCTGGCCCTGCGAATCCGTAACAATGGCATCGACTTGATGTCGGTATCTAAATTCCACCAGGCCCTGTTTGTGGGCCACCAGTAGTGGTTCGCGGAAGACACGCACAAGTTCAGGGCCAGTACCCCAGGTGAGGTGGAAGCGTGGCACACTATTGCCGTGTCCACTAGCTACTCCACCTCCCCTCTCTGCCCACCCAACGGCAGGAGTGAAGCCCACTCCGAGGTCACGCAGATACTTCCTCTTGTCGCCCGCGGCAAAATCGAGGTAAGCGTCCGCCCACCTCTTGGCCCACACGTCTTCATCGTCCAGCCTGTCCCAGCCAGCAGAGGCGTACCAATCTCGCTTGGCCAGCTCTAGCGAGTCGGAAATACCACAGCGACGTTGCTCTGCTGAGTCGATGAGGAAGATACCACCGAGGGACCAGAATGCTTGACCACCCAGGCAGGCCTCATTTTCTTGCTCGATGATGACTACTTTGCGTCCGGCCTTTGTGATTTCGTATGCCGCCACTAGACCTGCTAGACCACCGCCCACGATCAAAACTGCATCCGGATCGGTTGAATCAGGAGCAACAGATGCTGAGTGGCCACTGGTATGAGGAGCGGCGCCATTGCCGTTGGTATGGCCGTTGCCGTTGGTGTGAGAATGCGAATTGCCGTTCATGATGGACCTCGTGGCCAGAAGAGGTAGGTAGGATTGCTGGCTGCTATAAGGGTAAATGAGCAGGGAGTGGATAGACTAGGCTACAGGAAGTTCTGACTGGCCCACAGCTCGTTGTCGTGGCCAGATGGATATAAGAGAACAGCGTCGATGAGACCAGTAAAGGTGTGGGGGAATGGGTATGGCAAAGAGGCAAAGCAAAGGGAAATCAGGGCAGATGATGGTGGGTGTGGGTGTGGGTGTGGGTGTGGGGTGCGGCCTCTAATTCCCCCCCGGCCCGGCTTCGGCTAATCGACTCGACTCGGCCCTTCGCGTGACCTCGGTCGGTCATCCAGTCGAATTCTGCCGCCGCCACAGCAAGCGCGGGGTAAAGTCCAAAGCCCCCGCACACGCCCCCGCGCCCGCCACTGTGCCGCCCGAGAAGCCAGAGCTGGACCAAGCTGCAACTCGAGGAGCAGGGCAGATGGGTCTTCCTTCCTGGACCGATCGATGGATATGCTCAGACACAGTTCCACACAAGTACTGGCTGCGAAATTAGTATAGGTGTATATCTGATGGATGATGTACTGGCTGGAGAATGAAAGCACAAGGGGAACATGGCGAATGGCGAGATGGGGGCGAAAGGCCCAAGATGGTCGTGAGACTGATACGGATCAAAGAAAAGGTATGAGGACAGAAAGCAAAGAAAGATATTCCGTGTAGAGGAGGGAGGGAAAGAGGTCTTAAGTCGAGGTCCGGACCGGGGTCGTGTGTGTCATGAGGGGTGGGGGTATATGTTGCCATCGAATGTTCGATAATGAGATGATTGTCTAGAGGTCTATGCGCCAGCTCGGAATGTGTCTGCACTCTTCAGAATCTCCGGCTCCTCATCTTCTTGATCCTCTGCGCCACTTCCTTCGTCGGCGAGTCCCAGCTGCCATTTCGCGAGTGCATGGCCTCGCTTGGAGAACTCATAGCCCTCGGAGGGATGGCAGAAGCAATGATGCGTGCCCGAGCTTGTGGGTCGATCGACACTCGCGGCGGCTCGCGGCTGTCGTTCGAGACCATCGAGTTGGGACGCGAGCGTCCGACGATGCGACCTTTGCAGCTGCGAGGCGTGGAAGGTCGAGCTCCTGAACTGTTGGGCGAGACGTTTTCGTCGTTGTCGCAGCTGGTATCGCTGCCAAGGATAGAAGCGATGCCTTGATGGGGTGAGGCAGATCGGCAGCTTCCCTTCTTCTCGAGAATGCTAACAACGGAAGACCTCTTGGCTTCTTCCTGAGCCTTGACATGAGCGATGAAGGGATCTTCCTCTTCGTCGTCAGCCTGGGCGCGATTCTTGACGAGATTCTGGGACGCGGAGCCGAAGCTCACTGTACTTGCTTCGGCAGATGGTGCTGTGGACGAGCTCCTCTCTTTCGTGACGGACTCGACGTCAAAGTTGTGCTCAGGCACAGCGGACTGTTCCGTGCTCCTGCTAGAGACGTTGTCGCTGGCTGCATCGGCTGCTGCCGCTGCCGCCAGATTCTTGATACTACGTCCGTGCTTCCGACCAGCTCGGCGGCCTCGTCGTGTCCTTCTGGGCTGAGCAACTTCGTCTGCTGCGCCATCTTCAGAAACGTCCGACTCAGCACTTACAGACGAGCCGTCGCGAGAAGACTCTGTGCCATCTTTCCTCCTGGGTACTCGACCGCGACTACGTCCACGCCCGGAGACGGCTGAGATGAGAGCGTCGAAATTGCGAAGCTGGTCCGGTAGGAAGCCTTCGGAGATGAGCATGCGGCCTTCGATCGAAGCAGGAGGAGAGAAAGTGCGAGCTTCAAATTCTTTTCCCTCCAACTTGACCACCTGCGGGGAGTGCACTCCGGACGGTGAAGTAACAGTCAGGACTGGCGGCCCACGGGGTCGCTCGGGCGATTCTTGGGGCTCGACTTCTGCCTCTCCCGGCAGTACGTCTCGGTAAGTCGTCGTGGCTCGCTGGTCTCTCAGTAGCGAGGCAATGCTGCCGTCACTCGGGAAGGAAGGCAGAGCTGGTACAGGGGGGACCTGTTGCTCACTTGCTTTCGGCGCTCTCTGCCCAATGGTGCTATGCCTCGTCTTGATGGCCGGCTTCTTCTTCTGGTTCAGGGCGCTCCGCAGAGCCTCGACTGACTTTGCGTGTCGCAGACCCCGAGCTTCCGGTCCTTTGAAGCACTCTGAATTGCGTGGAGCTACAGCAGCCTCAGAGCTGACAACAGGTCCTGCTACAGAGGCAAAGAGATCCTTTGAGACCACGACTGGGGCCGGGGCCGCTGACTTCAGCCTGAGCCTTGGAGGCGAGTCTACATCATCACTAGCTTCATTATCGAAGCTGACGGCCAGATCGGTAGGGCCTTTGACGGCAACCAGGGACCTCCTCCATTCTTCAATCGCAGCGCTTTTCACACCCATTCTTGCGAAGCCCAGATCAATGGTATCTACTTCTGGCGCAGCATCATTTGCAGAGCCACTACCGCTGCGTGAGCTTGTCCTGCTTGCCGAGTTCCGGAGCGAACTCAGGGCTGCAGCGCCTCCATCACAAGCGGAGATACCGACGCCAACGGAAGCAGCGTGGCCACCGCCTCGCAAATGGCCCAGAGAGGCCTTTGAAGCTAGGCGAGGCGGGCTCGAGGAAGACAAATTAGGATTCGCAGTTGCAGCGCTCTTGTAGCTCCTACTGCCTTTCCAGAGACTGATTGTGGACGACTTTGTGGCCAAGTTCCTCCTCCCCTGGGTACGTGGTGGTGATGACAAAGAGCGCTCGAATTTGGGCGGGCTTGAAGCCACAGCAGCAGTCTTACCGCGAGGGGTGTTGTCTACGTCGGATGAGGGTGCAGTGTTCTCTAGCTTTGCAACGGACGCCGGCGGAGCGGACGTGACACTGTTGCCAGCCTTCCAGAAGCCCGAAAACCAGCTGGAACTAGCTGAGGGTGCCCTTTCTCTTTGACTATTACCCTCGGCAGATACAAGCGGGCCGACGGAAGCAGCACGACCATCGTCGTACTGTTGTGCCAGACCAGAAGCCATACTGCTGCCCTTGTACTGATCAGGTTGTGCGCTACCTCCAAGGCGGCGGGTAGTGACTATGGGGCTCTCATTTGAATCGAGAGTTCCATTGGAATCTCTCTTCGACTTGGTGATGTCCACGAGTCTCTTCGGTTGTGGAGTAACGATACGAGTGTCCTTGTATCCTGCCTGCTCGAGCAGGTCTTGCAGGCTGTCAAAGCGATTCGCGTCTGGCTCATCTGCCCTGACCGCCTCCTCTTCCTCGCCAAGAGCGGGACCCATAGGGGCTTCTGATCGATTCAACGGTCTCATTCCCTGTGTACTAGGCCGCCGGGGAAAAGCATGTTGTTGTGCCTCGTAGCTGCTGCTGGAGGGGACCGCAGAGCGCGAGGCTGTAGTGTGAGTGTAGATTGAGGAGGATGAGCAGTGACTAGGTGTGGCGTTGGTAGGCTGGTAAGAGGAAGTAACCGGGACAATATGCCAAGAGTCAGTATGAAGACCTCTGCAGCCAATGAAGACGTTTCTTGAGACGACCTAACGCAATTGCTACACTGCGTACTCACTGCGTCTGCAAGGGCTTTCCTGTCCAATGCCATCTTGCTATCGAGTTGCCAAGATGGCTGTTTGCGGTAGGAGAGAGAAGGAGATCGAGAACGAGGTGCGTCCGTTGCGGGTACGGTAGCCTTGGAGGCAAGTCGGAGCGGTCTCCGTCTGACGCTAGATGTTGAGCTGCAGGTACGATTGCGAAATTGCAATTGAGGTGTTCCGACTTCGATTGCTCCCTCTGCGTGCGAGGCGTAGCTGCTCGGGATACTGGCAGAGGAACAGTCCGTCCCCGTTGTCTCGTGGATGTCGTCAAAGACTGAGGAGAAGGATGCTGACGGACAACGAGGACTGGCGTCTGAAGAACGAAAGGGGTCCAGCTTGACGACGCTCCCTTGATTGGAGCGAGCCTGGGATATCAGGGGTAAGGCTGGGTGATCTGAAGTGGATTGTGCGTGAGCAAGATGATGCGGCGGGACTATAGGGAGTGTGCCTGAGGATATGCAATTGAGTACTTGCGGCAGCAACAAGAAGAAAGAGTGAGTACTTGACACAGAGAGAGAGAGAAAGAGAGGATGTGATGGAGAGAAAAGCGTCAGAGGTGAGTGAGATTCACCAGTGAGTGACAGGCGGAGTGGCAGCGCCGAGTGGAAGCGTGATGCAACCCGAGCAACACAACCAACACGGACAAAAGCCACTGCCACATTCCGACGACGCGCCTCAAACGTGCAGCCACACCCAAAACCCAAAGCCCCGATCCGGCCAGGCCAGCCAACCTTACACCCGATTGCGCTTCATCTTCTTCACAGGTTTGGCATGCTCTGTTGAACGAATCGGGAGTAGCTTGCGTCTTGTTGAGTGCCTGCTGGACCACTTGGCTTGCTGGCTTTAGGTTCCTACCGCATTGCCTGAGGGGTCCACCTCATAATACAGAACCTGCCAGGCAACGCTAGACCCTCTGGGCGCCATGTCTCCAGCTCCTCATCGGGCACTCTCTCCATACCATGCTTGAGGTAAAAGGGCTCCGCAGATATTGTAGGAGCTGTGACAAGAAATGTCCGCATGTCGTCCCCGACGTCGGCAAAGACTTGGCGTAGCAGGGCAGTTCCGGCTCCAGTGCGGCGAGCTGCCTCTGTCACGACGAGGTAGACGAGTTCTGAATGGCGGGAGAAGTGACTGCGAAAGGTCAGCTGAGGCTGTCTCGGAGTCTGTACTCATAGGCATCCTCTTGTTCACCTTGATAAGTCTCGTCGCCCGTCTGCGAGATGGCCCGCTTCTTGGCCTTACCAAAGCCCTCTTGCAAGGCTGATCGCCACGAAGGACCAGTGTCTCCTACTGGCGGCTGAGCCTTGCGCGCTAGACTCTCCCACTCGTCCTCTGGATCGTCCTTGGACGAAATGGCCGTGCAGGCAATGGCGAGCAGATCGCCGTCCTTCTCTCGCTTGGCTACATATGCCCTAAATGGCTTCCCTAACGCGTCCAACTTGATGTACCTTTGAATTTGCTCTCTTCGAAATTGCACAATGGCTGGCGTGATTCCATTGGGGAAGAATTTGGATCCAAAATCGGTTCCAAAGGTGTGAGCGACAAGGTGAGCGCCTTGCTGCACTTCTGGACAGTCGACCGAGGTCAATCGTTTGATGATTACAGCAGGAGCAGCAGAGGGCAACTGATCGACCGACATTGCCGAAGTGGTAATCTTGTGTCGGCCAAATGGATCGGGATGGGGAGCAAAGACCTTCCGTAGTATTTACTCAAGACAGATGACCAGTGCTAGACATGACTCGCATCCGATTGATGAGTTGACTGATGGACATTCGGCCCAAATGTACGGCTGACTCGACTTCTTCGGCCGAGTCAGGCGAAATCGGGGGAGCGGAAAGGGGGCGGAAGAAGAGGGTGCAAGTCTGTTCCCCTCCACTGCACACTGATAGCTCTCAAATAGGACCTAGAGGGCACTGACAGCAAGAGGTATAGATGAAAGCGGTACTGCAGAGAGTCAAGGGGGCTTGTGTGCATGGTGAGGGTCAGATCTTGTTCCGATGCCGTTGCTGGCAAGCTATACTCGTGCACCTCTCTGACCGCCCACTTTCCTCCAGTCGATGGGAAGCTTGTGTCCAGCATCGGACCGGGCATCGTAGCCCTCATCGGCATCGGCACAGACGACACCATGGACGAAGTGGTTCCGCTTGCCAACAAGATCCTTAGTCTCAAGGTGAGTCAGTAAAGGGGGGTAAGTGACTCTTGGGATTCGGCGACGTCTCCTGACATTACTGAGACGCTTCTCCTCGATGCCAAATGCAGCTCTGGAACGAAGGACAGAAAGCTCCGCACATCGTCACGCCTTCTCATTACCCGCCATCTACAGGGAGCGCTGCCGGACCAGCTGCATCCATGGACCCTGCAGTAGCAGAAGCGCCGGCTGGTGATACGGCTGCGACGAGTCGCAAAGAGGAGGTGTGGGGCGGTAAGCCTTGGAAGGCGAGCGTGGTAGAGCTGGGAGGGGAGATCCTCTGTGGTGAGAAAACAGACAGCCAGATAGGCCTCGTCTCACCGAGAGCGTGCAAGCACATTCGACTTACCTCTGCTCCGACTCTTACTCCCTCTTTACAGTCTCCCAATTCACTCTCCACGCTCGTACAGCCAAGGGCACCAAGCCCGACTTTCACAAGTCCATGGGAGGCAGCTCTGCCCTGCCAATCTACCAAGCTCTCCTCTCCCGTTTGGGACAGGTGTACGATGCGAATAGGATCAAGGATGGCGCATTTGGGGAAATGATGGACGTGACGCTCACCAACGATGGACCGGTGACACTCATTGTGGATACCAGGGATTCGCGGTCAGGATAGACTTGGGCCGTGGAAGGTAACGGGTGACGGTCGTTTAACAAGTAATGACAATAGACAAGCAATCGACCTCTTTCTCTCTCCTTTGCATTCACTCCCATTGCTTCACTTCCATGGAGTGGGACTAGGGGCGCTGTACGTCAGATCCTTCTCGTCGTCCAGCAGCTTGCCACCCTGAACCGTGTCCTCCACCTGCCCAATCATCTTAAAGTCCCCACCTCCAGCTCCCGCACCACCAGGTCCACCGCGGGTGGAGAGCTTGCCCACGCCAAAGAGGGTATCGTTGTCCATACTGGCGCCCCCACCACCATGATGGCCTCCGCTGGCATTGCTAGAGGAGGACCAGCCGGAGCGGGAGAACGAAGAGGTGGTAGTGCTATTGGTCGTACTGAAGGTAGAGAGATTCTTGGAGACGCTCGATTGGACACTGCCTGCGGGGCGCGCTTCCTCGTCGTCTGATTCTTCGGATAGTGAGTCATCGTCTTCCGAGTCGTCCTGTACGAGGCAAGGGCGCGAGAGTCCAAGGTCAGATGTCTGCTTTCGCCTATCATGGACTGCACTCTGTTCCACTCTACTCACTTCGTCATCATCACCCGCCCTGCTGTGGGCAGAGGCAAATGACCCTGAAGGGCCTGCAAGCAATTGATTCGAGTCGTCACCGCCATCATCTCCGCCCTCTTCACCCTCGTCGAACAGCCTAGCAGCTCTGTGACCCGATGCGGCGGCAGAGCTTGCCGCGCTCCCTGGGATGCCAGCAGCAGAGACTCCAACGGGTGTCTTGTCCGTCTTGAAGGTCTTCGTCAGAGTCGGCGGTGTAGGCATCGAGTCCCTCCTCTTCTGTGGGCCCGCGGGACCTTTCTTGAGAGGCGAGGCTACAACTGAGTTGCTAGCTGTCACTCCGGTCTTGCCTGCCTTCAGGTAGGAAGCCGGGCTTGCTGCGTTGCCCGCATTTGCCTGCTGCTGCTGCAACAGCCTCTGCCGATCCCTGGCTACTGTGGACGGGCCCTCACACGTCCTCAAGACATCGGCAACGATGTGTCTCGCAGCCTCCTTCGCCGGTGTCTTGTCGTATCGACTCCTGGCTACCGAGAATTGCATGGTAACGGGCGGCGACATTCCAGGCGGCAGAGCAATGTCATCATCACTGTCATCATACCAGGCTTTGCTAGGATTCCGTTGCGGTGTACTGACTCCCGCACTGACTTTCTTGCTGCTAGCGCCGCCCTTTGATCGCACCTTGTTCGTCGCGAGGGGAGTCTCGCGCAGATCTGCGATGCCGTTCCATTTTGAAGATCCGGCGCCATTGGGATGGAAAGGATTTCGCTTGGGTTCGCCTGCCCCCGGTGTGCGTTGCCTGACGTCTGCCTTCTTCTGTTCAGCATTGAGCACCTTGTTCAACAATTTGGGAGTTCCATGATGGAGCTTGGCTGGACTGCGAAAGACGGAGGGAGCAGCGGACTTGCCCTTGCCGACCGTCATCCCTTTCGCGCTCTCTGCAAGACCGTTCACGTCACCACCGGCCGCGCCCTCTATGCCGTTCTCGAGTAATGCCCTCTCCCTCGCATCCTTATTAGCTCGGTGCTGGGCCAGGCGATTCTCGGCTCTGCTGAGAGTACTGTCGGAAGGCTCTGTTGCCATCTCCTTCTTCAGTCTATCGAACACCGAGTCAACCGAAGCCCAAGATGCTTCTGGGTCCTGATGAGGGGCGGGGCTGGCTCGTGCATTGCGGCCGTTACGGTAGAGCTCGTCCTCATTGAAGCTGTCATCCGCCTGAGAGTCGTTCGTGCGACGCCCCTTTTTGGGTCCCCCTGCTCCTCTTGGCAAGGGGCTCCCATCTTGGCTGATGGACTGATCATAACCTGGCGAGTCTTCACGCGTTGACCCAGAATTATCGCCGTACCCCGAGTGGTCATTGCCATCGTACCCTTGCGATGTCTCTCCTTCCTCTGAGCGCTTCAACGGCACTTGCGCAGCAGTAATGAAGAAGTCTTGCCAGAACTGAGATCATGTGATGAAGAAAGAAGCATCCACCTCTTCGTCAGCATGCACGGAGCAACTTCTGGCGCATGGGCCATCCCGGTCCTCAAGCTGTTCAACGCGTGGTAAAGTGCGGACTCACCTTTGCGCTTTGCCAAGTCTTTACGCTGTGCTGGCCATATACCTTGACTGCGGGCAGCAATTGTGCGGTGACCAGCTGATGGGCCCTGGCGAAGTTGGCATCGATCTCCTGCAGAGTGGATGTGATTGCTAGGTCGAGCTGCATGAGCTGATCCGAGACGGATAGTGTTGCATTGTCGTGGGGGTTGCCGGACATGCTGGATCCTGGATGATAGGAGGACGATGGTCCCAGTGTGGCTCGTGAGCTGGCCATGACTGGATGTACGGCCTGTCTGTGGATTTGATTGGTGAGAAGGTGGGGAAGGGAGTGGGTAGAAGAGACTCGGCGACGGAAGGGGGGTCGCGTCGAGGAAGCGTCGGGCGCACGACGGACGTCGGAGCTGAGTCTCTGCGCGCTGCACCTCAAAACACACACACACACGCGGGGACACGGAAAGGGAGGCGCAGGGCAGAGCAACAGGCGCGTCTGGGCGGGCGCCGTGTGTGGGTGTGTGCATCTCTCTGTATGCTCACTCGCCTCCGTACCAAGAGCATCTCACCCTTAGCACTGGGCACTCCACCGTCATGCCTTCCACGGCGCCTTCGCTGGCATCGCTGACCTCGACAATCCCTGGCTTCTTCCAGGAGGCACAGCACTCGGTCGCAAACCATCGCAAGAATGCCGTAGCACTCCACCGTATTCACTCCCAGTGCGCATCTGTGACAGAGGAGACCATCAAGGGCACCAAGCTGACCGGGGAGAAGGCTTTCAACACCACCTTCCTCGAATGTCTCAATCGTATCCTGCCCATCAAGAAGGGCGTTGTACAAGCAGACCGGACCCTCAAGTTCGTCACTGCCTACGTCTCATATGCCCAGGCGTCCTTCAGGGTAGCCGCAAGAAAGGAGGCAGGCCGAGATCTAGACCAGGCCGAGGAGGACGAGGACGACACGGCAGCAACACGATTTGTCACAATTCTGTTGAAGCATGTAGTCAAAGGCTTTACTGCCAAGAACAAGAACGTCCGGGTGAGATGCTGCCAGACAGTCGCCGTACTGGTCAATGGCCTCGAAGCGATAGAGTGAGTAAGTCCTGGTGTAGTGAACGATAGAGAGCCGGATCTGATTGCCGATTCGTCAAACTGCCGTTTGCATCGTAGCGACGATCTATACCAGATGCTCTTGAATGCCTTGCTACTACGTATCCGAGACAAGGAAGCACCCGTTAGGGTGCACGCCATCGTCGCGCTTGCCAAGCTACAATCAGGAGAAGAGGAGCTGGAGGATGAGGACGAGGACGAGGATGATGATGGATACGCATCCTCGAGTAAGAGTATCCTGCAACACTTGGTCAACACGGCAAGGCTGGACCCAAACGCCGAGGTCCGTCGCGCGGCCCTGTTCAACCTCCCCATCAACTACGTCACTCTTCCTTATATCCTCGAAAGGCTCAGGGACATCGATGCCACGAACAGACGATGTGTATATGTAGGCAGTCTCAATGGTGGACCTACACAGAAGGGCCCATTAGCTGAATTGTCGAGTGAGCAGAGTCATCAGGTGATCAAGACTGGGTTGGGAGAGAGAGAAGAGACGGTGTTCAAGGCTTGCAAGAAGCTGATCAATGCTTGGACGGACAAGGATGGAGGCGAAGCTATCAAGGTGAGTCGCAAGAGGCCAGTCGCAAGAGGCCCTCTGCAAAGTGCCAAAGATTCTATTGCTCACAGAACTTACCTGTCGTCATACTGCAGCTGCTCGACCGCTTCGATGGTCTGACCTATCCAGAGAGCACCATGTCCGCCCTCAAGTCAGCCTTTGAGACTCGACCGGGCCTGCTCGACACTGTCACACTTGATGATACCTTCTGGGCTAACCTGACGCCTAACACTGCATTGCTCGCTCGTACGGTGGTCGAGTACCTCAAGTCGCAAGGAAGACTGGGAGAGGCACGCCTCGAGGAGCTGATGCCACTGGTCATGGCTCTAGCTTTCCGCATGCAAGCAGTCTGGTCAGGTCTGATCCAGCTCCTGACGGATCGAGCAGACGAGGAAGACGCAGAGGACATGGCAGCCTCGCAAGCCTCTATTCTGGACTCTCTCCTGCATCTTGCCCTCAACTCAGATTACGGAGATGAAATCGGGAGGAGGAAGATGTTCACACTCATCCGAGAGATCATCTCCCATCCTGCCCTCCCGCGAGCTCTGATTGAGCCATGCACTGACGTTCTGTTAAAGCTGAGCGCTGGACAGAGGGACTTCGTGCGCATCGTGGTTGAGATTGTCCAGGAGCTGGGAGATGAAGACGAAGACGAGGAAGAGGAGAATGGAGAGGACGATGATGAGGCAGAGGTGGAGGGTCTTGTGAGTTGCCGCCCCTTTGTTTCAGTCAAAGGAGGCTCGACTGACACATCTCTCTTGACCACCACGCAGACACGAGGTCCCGTGCCTAGGCGTCGCAAATCCGTAGACGGGGAAACACCAGAGGTCACAGCTGAGAGAAGAGCAGCTTCAGACGGCAGGCGTCTTCTGCTCGTGCGAGCTATGTTGGAGCGAATGGCCAGCAACTTGCACGAGAACACTGCGATCCATGGTCTGATCCCTCAGCTGATTGCACCTGCCGTGCGTTCGAAGGATGGGCATGTCAGAGAGCAAGGGCTCTTTTGTCTCGGTCTCTGCTGTCTTCTCGATGCCAAGCTGGCCCTCGACACTTTCCCACTATTCCTCGATCAAATCCAGAGAGCTGAAGGATCGATCAAGCTACGAGCCACACAGGTAGTCTTTGACTGCATGCTCGTCCACGGCATCCGCTACCTTTGCTCAAGACAAGCTGAGGCGGTCGGTGGAGGTCCGGAAGCGGAGGCCTTGGCCTACTCCCAGATCATAGGCTTCCTCCTTGGCTTGCTCGAGGATGATGATGAAGCAATCCAGGCCGTCGCTGCAGAAGGGATGGCCAAGCTTATGTTGGCAGGCATGGTGGACGACGACGAGGCTCTGAGAAGCTTGGTGTTGGTTTACATGAGCCCTGAGTCCATCTCGAACCAAGAGATGAGGCAGTGCTTAAGCTACTTCCTGCCCGTCTATTGCTTTTCGAGCAGTACCAACCAAAGGAAGCTGCAAAGGGTGAGTCGCGGTCATCAAGGCACTGAAGGTACAGCCGATCTGCATGCTGACAAGCCTTTCCCTACAGGTCCTGGTCCCAGTCCTTCAAGTCCTCACTGAAGTCTACTACGAGGTAGGCCATGAGAGAGAAATGACCACCCCAATCCAAGTTGGCTCGCAACTCATCGACTGGACAGACCCATCGAAGGTAGTCAACTTGGCAGCAAAAGACCGAAGTCTGCACTTTGACGTGGCCATTGACCTTCTACAGGCGCTCTTTTCCCTTGAGGCAAAGGAAGAGAGGAAGACGGTTGTACAGCTGTTGCACAAGCTCACTCTTCCCGACGTCGAACATCTTGATGCTGCGAGGGGGAAGACGCTCTTCCTTCTTTGTGCAAAGCTCAAGGAGGTCTCGCCCTTCGAGGATACGACGACACGCAACTCCTTTGTCAAATTCGAGGCTACGTGTGCTACCAAATACTCTGCATACGCTTCTGCAGCCAGGGAAGCCGACTTGGAGACGGATCTAGATCTGGAGAAGTTGCGCGAGTTCTTTGAGAGCTGCGAATTGAGTCTGGCCATTGACGAAGGAGACTTTGCGAGGGCGTCGGTCGCTCCTGAGGACGCAGAAGAGAGAAGCGCACCTAGCAGCAGTAGGGCACGGTCATCGGCGACGACGGCTGCTAGGAAGCCTAGGGGAAAGGCGGCAGCGGCTGCGCCTTCTTCGCGAGGTAGCGCTGCTTCGGGCAGGGGTAAGACTAAGGCGTCGGCGCCTGCCAAGGGTCGCAAAGGAAGGTGAGTCAGAGTTAGGTGTAGGAGCTCGCGTTGCGGTTCAGTACTGATGCCGATTCTCGCTTCGCCCTCTTGATCTAACAGAAAGCGACCCACTACGAGTGAAGAAGAAGACGAAGGTGAAGAGGAGGAAGAGGACGAAGACGAAGACGAGGAAGAAGAGGAAGTGGTCTCCGTCAGCAATAGGCGTAGTGCAGTTCGAGGCGCGAATAACAAGCGATCCGCCCCCCGCTCTGTCTCCAGGGACATCGAGGACGAGGATGACGCGAGCACAGAGGCCAGCACGGCGGGTGGCGCCGAGTCCTCCGAGGATGAGTTGGGCTTGTGAGCTTCCCGTACTACACAAGTCAAGCCCGCCTGCGTTGCGCATTCGTCGTCTCCTCTATCCCTTTTGCACCTCTGTCCGTCCCCTCTTGTACTTGTAGCTGTACCGTCTGTCGAATCTGTTTCGGCGAACCAACCTTGTGCCTCACCGTCTGATACGTAAGAGCCGGGATGTCGCCATGAAGACCTCGATGGACATGAAGATTTCACATGATGTTGAGAAAGTACAAGAGTGCTGATAGACGCAAATAGGGAACTATCGAAGATCGTGCTGTGGCCAAGAAGACTTCGTTGAGGTCCTGCCCTCTCAGCTCCTCCTGAGCAGGTCAAACCATCCCCCGGCCCTCGCCACCCGAGTCGCTCTCCTCCTGGCTCAACCCAGATGCAGAGCTCTGACTTTGCCCCGGAGCCGATCCCAGTCCCAAGGTTTGCCCAGACCCAAGTCCCCCTCCCACTCCCCCTCCTGCTCCCGCGCCCCCAATTGCAATACCCAACCCCCCTATTCCACCACCTCCACCACCACCACCAGTGCGTGTCGAGACTGCAAATTTGTCATTGGCCGTCTTCCTGCGTCTCTTTGGCCTCTGTCCATCCAACTCGGCCATTGCGCCACCCCTTCCCACTGCTCCAGAAGAGACGAGGGGCCCACGACGGCCATTGGGTCTCTCCTCGCGCACGTCTTCCATCTCTTCTTCGACCAAGGCTTGTGCTTGCGCAAGGGCAAGGGCGCTACCTGTAGTAGACGACGGCGCTTCCTCGCCGACGGGAGAGAGAAGCGCGGTGTTGCTGCCGACGACATTGCTATTGTTGTGGTTGCTCTCGGCCGCTCTAGTTGATGGGCTCGACCCCGAGGCAAAGCCAGACGAAGGCGAAGAGCCGTGGCTCCCTCTCGCTCTCCGTCTTGGATGAGGTTGTGAAGCAGCCGTGGCCGTCAGGGCTGTAGCTGCAGATTGGAAGTTACTCGAATTACCAAAGGAAGATGAAGGGCTGGGAGGCATAGAGAAGGAGAATGCCGAAGTGGAGGGGGCAGAGATACGTCCTTGGACTTGAGGTTGCCCTTGCGGAGCAGTGTAGCTGCTAGGCGGAGCGCTTTGACGGGGTGTTCGGCCGGTAGGGACGGGACGTTGGAAGCGCGTCACTGGCGTTTCTGGTGCTGCAGAGGATGGCGAGTAGGCCACGCTACTGCTCGTGGCTCTCTCTTCTGGCTCATTGGACAGCTGTGATCTAGCGCTACTCTCTCTTGTCCTGACACTGGCGGCAGGCAATGAGGTGTGGACTGATCGCTGCTGGTAGCTACTTTCCTCTCTTGTGCCACTGCCAGATGCTTGCGGGTGTTGATCACCCTCTTGACCCTCGGCATCCTCATCATCGCTCTCACTCTTGATCGCCTCGATACGAGCCCTCAGATATCTAGCCAACCACCTCAACTCCTTGTACGAAGGGCTTCTCAACCCATCTCCTTCTGCATCATCGTCGAATGCAGTTCCGACACCACCTTCCGCTGCCGAGTCTCCCAACAACCGTCCAAGATCTGAAGAGGAGGCCCCTTGCTGGTGACTTCCAGCTGCACCAGAGCCGGAGCTCGAACTGGGTGGTTGGGCTTGTACGCTGCGTAGCACGACCAGATCAAGCATATCGCGCAGACCTTGCACGTAGCCTGAGCGATAGGTGCTCTGTGATGAGGCAATAGAGTTGCGGTAGAGATTGGTGAGGTGGAGAGCGGCGGCTGAGCGGCAATGCGGAGAAGGCGTGGGGTGAAGAGGAATGTCAATATCGTCGCCAGAACAGCACAGGCTTGTACTCATAGATGCCACGCAGATGGCATCACAAGCCCTCGATCTGATCCGAGCGACACTGAACGCGCTGCTGCTCACCCTTGAAGTCCGAGTTGAGCGTCTTGTCATATCGCTTGGTAGGTCCGGCGGGAGGTGGTCGCGACGAGTCCAGGCTGTCCCGCAAGATGCGGAGGGAGTCCATCCTGCCTAGGAAGATCTACTGTAGTGTCCGGAGCAAGACTTATGAGAATATTCGTGACGAGAGAAGAGCAAAGGATACGAACACGGCGCCCTCTATGGGGAGATGGTGGTGTGTTGGTTACCTGCGTGGGTATATACCAATCAGCCCAAGGCCAGACCCGCCAGACCAAATTTGTGGGTGCATGGCACTCAGCGCACAGAAAGCGGAACGGAACGCGACGCGGGCAGGATGGCTTCTACAATAGACGAATAGCCGGTGGGGAGGATGTCCCTGAGGTGACAAGCGCAGTCCACCTACCTCCGCGAAACGATATTGTCGGCATCATGGTAGCTCTGGTTGGGTCTTCATGGGACAGAAGGCATGCTTGGTGTGTACACTGTGTACAATGCGAGACTGACAATGACTTGGCAATTGAAAGTGCTGAGCAATAGCATGCGGCAGTGAAAAAATTGACATGAGGCATATGTATGTAGGAAACACCGGACACCCCTCCTTCATCCCGTATATCCGTCCCGCAGCAGTCCTTCCACCTCAGCCACCCTTGCGCCAAGACGTGGCCTCCTCGGCCTTGCTCCGTGCTCGACCAGCATAGCCCGACTCGCGTCCGCTTCCTTCTCCGGAGCTGTACGTCGTGCTACTGTTGCCGTCTCTAGGACGTCCTCCGCCCATGCGGTGGGGCGAATTCGACCCTGTCCCTCTGAAGGGTGCGACGAGACGGTCGAGAGTTCCGCGTTGTGTGGTCTTCTGACTATTGTCGTTGCTGTTGCCGTTGCCAGATACATTGCCACTGGCGTTGCTGTTGCTGTTGCTGTTGCGCCAAGCTGCGCCAGAAGCAGGAGGTCGGGAAGCATTCGGACCTTCGCTACTGCTAGTACTTCCACTGCCCCCACCGGTGCTGCTTCCACCACTACCTCTTCTTTCGATGGGCGTCGCAGATTTGTTCACTGCAGGAGCTCCGCGAGATGGGTGGAGGGGTGGTCCACTGCGATAAGCCGATCTGACTGGAGGCGCCGAACGGGAAGCGAGGGTGTAGTCACCACGAGGGGGTCCGTCGAAAGCATCTCTATCTCTATTAGATGTAGTATTCCTCTTACCCCGACCGATCTTGCCATCTTTGATCTTCTCCTGCGGATTGCCGTGCATTCGAGAGCCTTCACCTGCCCTTCGGTCGTAGTGCTTACTCCAGCCTTCGTCCTCCGTAAGAGGACGAGCAGGATACGACTCCATTGTCACTGCTGTCTCTGAAGTTTTCAGAGCATAGCGGCGCCGCTCATCGGCGTCGAGCAACCAAGGTGTGTGAACCAAGTCGGTGGGCAAGCCTCGCAGCGATGGGAGCCACGTTTTGACATACTCGCCATGGCTATCATAGTCTTTGGCCTGCTTGATGATGTTGAAGCGACGGCTAGCTCGGGGATCATTGCCGACTCCAGAGACATACTGCCAGTTGCCCAAGTTGACAGAGCTTGCAGCGGAGCTGAGGTGGGAACAAGCACGGAAATGCGTGAGCGGATTGCTTTTCGACTACTTCGACTGTACTTTCTTACTCACTCGATCAGGTAGCTCTCGAACAACTCTGCGCCCACCCGCCAATCATAGGTCAGATCATGAGCCAGATAGCTGGCTAGATTCTGGCGCCCTCTGTTGCTGAGGAAGCCCGTCTCACGAAGCTCCCGAATGTTGGCGTCGATGAACGGGATTCCCGTTCTGCCCTCTAGCAGACGCGTCATCTCGTGGGACGGAGGTGCGGTGGCAGGGTCGTACTCTTTCCAATAGCCGTTCAATTTCTTGTTGGCCTGTGGCGGGTCGGTGGCCAATTCGAAACCGCCCATGTGGTACAACAGATCGCCGAACTTTTCGGAGACGAAGTGGAAGTAGTCACGCCACAGCATCTCGAATTTGACCCAATAGATGTTCTGATCCTCACCAAAGATCGACTCGTGATGCCCGAGTACTTCCCAGATCTGCCTTGCGCTGATGCTGCCGTAAGCTAGAAAGGGGGACATCTTGGTGCTGTAGCCATGCCCAAGGAGATTGTTGCGTGTCTGCTTGTATCGAGCGACAGGAGGCGGATCATCCTTGCCCCAACTAGAACTCTGAGCCGACTTGCCCCGAACGAAGTACCAATCGAGACGGTCGAGGGCAGACGACTCGCCTCCACGGAAGGGAAAGGCAGAGGCATGGTGGCGGCGCTGTATCAGCTCGCTGCCCTCGAGGGTCGGTGGAAAATTGGGATCTTTCAGAGGCAGCAGAAGATAGCCGAGAATCTCATAGAAGGAGACCTGTCCAGGTACGATGCTTGCGTTCTCGAGGGTACGGGTTGAGAGGCCATCCACGTCAACCTCGTAAGAGACATCGAGCGAGTAATCTGATGTCTGAGGCAGCTGGGTCGGGAAAGGCTTGAACTTTTCCGGGCTGGTGTACATGGGTCGAACCATGTTCTCACCCAGAACTTCGACCTTCTTTCTAAAAGGCGTGAATACGTCCGGGGTGTCCTGAATGTCGAATGGCAGGTCCTCGGGATGAATCAAGGTTTTGCCAAAGACATAGTGCAGTGGAGTGTTCAATGCTTTGACGCGCTCCTCTACGACTCTCTGAATCCTCCTCTCGTCAGACGTGAATTCCTTCTCCATCCAAACAGCTTCGACCTCGGTCCCTTCGTCCTGGAAAGCCTTGATTAGGTTTGCGACTACGTCCTCGACGATGCCAAAGCGGACGCAGAGGTCGCTGCCACGCTCTCGTAGGCGACTCCGAAGGTCATAGACAGACTCGGCGGCAAAACTGGTGGCGGGCGTCGGGTATCAATGTGATGAGTCAGTACAGAAGGTCGTGGGACGGGCAGCCAACTCTTCCGGGAGTCTCAGGAGAGGCTCCCAGCCTCCAAGTCTTCGTGACTTACCGTGTGCGAAAGGCTCCGGTCTTCCAGAAGCCATATACCTTTGTCCTTGCCTCTGGACCCTTGCGCTGGTAGTCGGGGAGTCCAGAAAGTTCGTACTCGCGCTCGTCAAAGACAAAGACGGGCAAGAGGTGGGTGGCTTTGGACGACAGATCCGAGGGTCGTGGAGCGTGAGGACTACGGTAGCCGCCCTTCTGCAGAGCGTCCAAGTGAGCAAAGTGCCACAAGGGGTTGTCAGCGATCCTGAGATCTAGATGCAGAAGACATATCAACACCGAGTTGCCTGAAGAGGATGGGGATTTGCTAGAAGAGGCGGCATGACCAACGAGTGGCTGACTCTGCGCCGGAGGCATTGTCGCGTGCGTGTACGTCCCCTAAGGTAAGCGATATGAGTATGCTGAAGCTGCCGAGCGCCTAATAGGGCGACACTGTGCGTGTATGCTGAAAGGAGCTTGCACGCGGATGAGCCAGCAGAGTACCCCAAAGTTCCTCCCAGATGATCTCGGTCGGGTGAGGTGGGCACACTCAGTGGCGTGTGTGCTGCTTAGGTGGAGTGGAGGGGAGTGGAAGAGACGGGGAGAAATGCCAATGGCACCCGTAGGGAGTGACAGTGTGCGTCCAAAGGGGAAAGAAAGAAGAGTAATGAGACAACGCAGCTTCTGAAAGAATAGGAGAAGGGATAGAAGCAAGGAATGGTCTACTGGACGAAGCTGGTCATCTCCAGCATTTGCTCCCGAGGCCAGGCTGCTGCCGCCCATGCGACTCGGTTGCCTCCGATTCCTGGAGATCGATCGCCCACGAAATCGCGCAGGCGCAGGCAGGGTCTCACGCTTCTCCAACTCTTTCCGTTCCGGCGGCAAGCGCACCCCCGGCCACCCAGCTCCCCAGGCCCACCCGCGCCCTCAGCACGCACTGAGCTTCCAGGATCCTCGAATGTCTTCTTCCTCGTCAGAATGAGTCGTGCTCTATCACATCACATCGGCTCTCCTTCCAAGTGTCCCTTCGCCCTTGCTTCACAGTCCTGCCATACATTGCGCTATCCTGCCGATGTTTTGTCGCCGCGGCAGAGATCGAGGCGCGGTCTGTACGCGATGCCCTGCATGATCGATCTTCAGGGCGAAAAATAGAGCTCACCTCGCCTCGGCTTTGCTCACACGCACCGGTACACGGTCACCACGCGGACCATGCGACAACCACAGAAGGCCCACCTCGTCTTCTACTTGCCGTCCCCACACTTTGTCCTGTGCAGGGGCTGCTCGGTGCCGAGCATGTGTATCTATCTCTTTGAACAGGGCCACGTGTTTGGATGAGATCACCCCAGACACCGCGTAGGCCCCTCACTCGATCGTGTGCATTATGTTCAACCGAATATGTCATCACTCCATGGGTACGCACTGACGCAGGAAGGGGCCACTGGGGCCCGCATCTCACGTCAGCTGGTCGAAGTTGCCTCCGCCTCTTTGCGGCTCTAGCCTCCGCCGAATTGTGTGGTAAGCTCGGCCGGTATCTTGCGAAAAGAGGCCAGCAATTCTCCTTTCGGACATTACGTCGCACTCACAGTGCGAACCATGAGTGATCCACCGGCGCTGATGGCATTCATACGCCGCGGCGATTTGTCTTGGACAAGGTAAATTGGTCACAAGTGCATGGCGGACCACCTCGGGGTCTCCGATGTGATTTGCGTACGCAGGACGTAGCTCCCATGCGGAGAGACAAGTGGCTCGAGATGCCCGCAAGCAGGGCATCTGCCGTGGGATGCGGAGTATACTGTGGCGCCGCTGCCACGGGTTTGACCGTCAGCCTCGGCATAGTCATGTCCCACTGTTGTGAACCATCTCATCATTACGAGACACACATGCCCACCGCTGCATTTATTGGTTCGGTGCCGTCTTCAGCATCCACAGGCGCCATTGCCGCGAGGCTTGAGATTCGGTATCCGCCAGGGCAGATTGAGGCGCCGCTGCCCAGGCACACCAGGGGTACGGCCGTGGTGCTGCAGGCTCCGCCGAGTCGACGCGGCGGAGTAACAAAGCTCCGATCCCGAGCTTATCCACAAGGATTCGTCGCATCCGGTCATCCTTCGTCTTCATCAACAGCATTGACTGTCGCTGAAGGCCATGATATCCGCCCTTTCCGGCCTGGGCAGCGAGATATGGGCACCGTGTGGGCACCGTATAAAGCTCTTTGCAGGTGTACGACGATCAACAGGTATCGGCCCCCACTAATTTATTACACGCGTCTCTACTAATCCCTCACGGCCTTTCTCGCGATTCCCTCAGAAGCTAGCACCTTCCCCACGCTCATTTATTCGACTACTCTCTCCTCTTGCAGCTGCGTCCTAGACGGCGACCTGGACTGAGCAACTGCTAGCTGCTGGTCCCACACTTCGAAAGATCTCTCAGCTCATCCTGCTCATCAAGCTTCCCGGCGATGGCTCACCGAGACTCTATTCCGCCTCCTCTCGTGCGCAATGGCTCTTCCCCAATGCTGGGAACGAGCAACGCTGCTCGCTCTATGCCTAAAAATGGCAGCACTTCCCGAAGTCGAGGCTTGACGGTTGGCCCTTCTGCTATGCCTTCCTCGCCGCTGGCTTCTTCCTCTTTTTCAGCCTCTTCGGCCTCAAGTGGCTCAAGCACACCGCCAATGGCCTCTCGACGTATGTCTGTGTCTACACAGAGTCCTCTTCTCCGGGCGCAGGCCGCCCAAGCTTCGCCTGTGAAGTCGCGTCTGCGAGGACTATCGATTTCCTCGCACTCTCCACGTTCTGGAAGGGGCTTGATGGTATTGGAGGGCCCTGAAGAACCTCTAGAGGACTTCTCCGATTTTTCCTTCGGAGAGGCGCCCCTGTCAAATACCAAGCCCTCGATGGCAGCGACAAAACCCTCGACGCAAAGCTCTGCGATCTCTTGGTGGGGCCAAAGTGACTTGACTGTTCCAGAGCAATCGTCATATAGCTATGGTGGCCTCGAGGAGCCCCTCGGCAGCCCTGAGGCTCCCGTCGTCGACCCGCTATCGCCATCATCCCTCAAATCATTCTTCAACCTACCATCCCCACCTCCGACTATGTCTTCGGTGGCGCCTGATATGGCTCCCGACTCAGTAGTCGTGCGTTCGCCCCAATCTATCACCGATGGGGAGTTGCCAGAACTCATGGCAGATGTTGATCACTCTGTTACATCCTTATTGGAGAGCGATGACTTGCCTGACGACGTTGAAGACCTCCGAGACCTGGTCAAGGACCTACGAGCTGCCCTCTCATCTCAAAGCGTCCGTTCGACGACGCTCTCCAGCTCGCTGCAGGATTTGGCGCAACGGTCAGCAGCGTGGAAGCATGCTCTAGAGGTGGCTCAAGACATCAGAGTGCCAGCTATGGAGGCCCAAGTCCGACAGCTCAACGAAGAGAAGGCCAGACTCGAAGCACGTCTGCAGACTGCTGGACCCAAAGTGCAAGAGAGCCGACGCGCTTTCTCCCTGTCTGAAGTTGGGCCGGCGCACGATGTCCCCTTGAGTAACCTGTCAAGTCAGTCGTCGACCCCTGAGCCTCTCTCGGTCGAAGCCAACGGTGCAAGCGCAAACACTGCGATCTCCCCCGGACCCAAGGGTCCCCGTCTCTCACAGATCATGCAGGACGAGCTGCCGGCCAGCAATTTGCCCGTCCCTCCGGCCAGACGCAATAGTCTCTTCTCCCTTCCCGGTTCTCGGGCCTTCAGCTGGTCGTCTGCTCCTACTGCTCGCTCTTCCGTCGTCAGCACGAGCGGGATCAGCCCTCGCGAATCCGTCGCTGAGTCCAACGCGGACTCGACTGCAGAAATCTCCAATGCGAATATTTCGACTGCCGATGCTGCAACCGCAGCTGAGATGGCACTGATGCGCTCGGAGATGCAGCGCCTTCGTGCCAAGCTTGAGGAAGCAACAGAAGCTCGCAAGGCGAGCGACGACTGCCTCAAGGCTCTGAAGGAGTTCATAGGAGAAGGTGCCCCAGGTGTGCGTTCTCGAGCAAGCTCCAGAGGCTCGCTCACCGGCATCAAATTGCCGCCGTTGCCTACGGCCGACGAGGAAGACGAAGAAGAGGAAATTGCGACAGCGAAGAAGGCTAGCACTACCGACGCGTCCGCAGCGGTTCCTTCTTCGTCTGAAGCAGCACCAGAATCTGAGACTCTCGTCTCTTCCCTGACCAGCGTGCGATCTTCTTTGGGATCTCTGTTCGCTCGCTCGCCAAGTATCAGCCTTGGAAGCGGCCAATCTCTCTTGGGTCGAGCGAGCTCTCTCACGTTGGCGGCTTCGCCATTGGGTAAGACGGCCTCGACGGCCGCCGACAGCCAGGATGAAGAGCAGGGCGCGGGCAACAACGAAGTGCACGAAGTCTCGCCTGCGCCGGTAGCGCCGGTAGCGCCGAAAGAAGAGGAGAGCACTCCCACGCCACTCACAACAGCATCTTCAACATCGACAACCTCAGCAACACCCGCGAGCGCAGTCGCACCTACTTTAAACCGTCTCGGTGGCTGGTTCAAGAGGCCTTCCATCTGGGAAGCACCTCCCACTCTGCCGTCACTCCCTGGCACTGCTGCCGAGGCTCTCAGTGAGACTCCAGCCCAAGCGACAGAGGCATCCACTGCCAGTCAAAACCCTGATCAAGCTCAAGTTGCGGTCGCTGCTACCAGTCCAGAAGTAGCTAGGGCCGTCACTGACGTGACCGAGGCTGTAGTAGAAGTCGTTGCCCCAGCCCCGATGGTGCCGCAAAAGCCTGCGGAATCTCGGGTTGAGCCAGCTCCAGTGGCTGTAGCTCCTATTACTGCTGCAGAAGTCGTGGAGATTGTCTCACCGACGTCTCCTAAACTTGTGACACCTCCGATGGAGGTACGCAGCCCTACTTCTGTTCCGGCCTTGCCCCGAAAGAATTTGGCAGCACGGGCCAGAACACGCTCGCAAGTCGTGAAGCCTGCCGAGAGCAGTCTCGACGCTGCGAAGGAAGCACCTCTGGTGACGGTACCCCTGGATGGGTAGTCGTCGGAGGCTCTCCCACTATGCGCCTTGCGCAGACACTGACTCGTAATCAATTGTACCTAGCCTCAGCAATTTTCCTGTAATCAGTCCATCGCACGTCACTCATCCATCCTATCTTTCGGCACTTCTGCACCGATGCACACTCTTTTGACAATGACTACATAATTTCTGCGATCTTGCGTATAAGCCTGTGTGAACGTGACGGCCTCCACAGAAGATGGTCAGGGTCCGAGGACGTGAGCGAAAGTGCGTCTGCGTGGGCATTGCCGCGTGGTGCCTGGGAGAGGGCTGCTTCTGTGTGCCTGTCAGCTGTCGTCTGTCAACCGACGACGACGCGTGCGTGGCAGTGCGGCTGCCGGGCGGGCGGGCCGATGGGCGTGGAAGCTGGGCCGGGGCCTGGCCTGGTGCCGAGGCACAGCGGAAAGGGTCAGGCCTCGGGGAATGATGCCGCCGCCGCATCGGCACCACGCGCCTTGGCATCCCGCCCCCGCCCAGGGTTTCTCCTCTCCACAGCCAAACGTCATCGTCCTTGTCCCTTTGCAGCACGCCTCCTCCTTTCTCTCCATACTGATCCATACAGATTGCTTCACTTGCCTCTTCTAGCATCCTTCCTCTCATCCTTCGACTCGTATCCTCAACTTCTTTACTCATCCCCCCCATTGCTTGCGGTGGGGCTCTTTCCTCATTTTCTCTGCAAATACCTTGGTCAATCGAGTGTCTACATAGTCCTCTCCACTGCGTTGCATCAGCATGTCGTCGCCACCAAGAGTCATCTTCACGCTCCTGGCATTCTGCATCGCCTCGCTGGCTCTCGTACCTTCCTCAGAGGGCAGAGCCGTGGGTCGTTCTTCCACTTTGACGCCAGCATCATCGTCCTCATCCTTTGAAAAGCGTACACAAGAGCCCCGCTCCTTCCCAATCTACAAGAAGCGCAACGAGCGCACAGGTGACGAGTTGCTCGCCTGGGCGAACCAGCATAGATCCAATCTTCTTGCCAAGCATGACCGCAGCGGTCTCAGTCGTCGCCAGGACGGTCATGCCAAGCGGGCCGAAGGGTCCTCCTCTCTGACCAATTACGAGGACGACAGCACCTGGTATACCACCGTGCAAGTCGGAACTCCAGCCGCCGACTACTCCCTCGTGCTCGACACTGGGTCCAGCGATGTGTGGATTTCCTCGTCTAGCTACACCCCCGCGGACTCGTCGACCTTTGTCAACAAATCGAGCGCCTTCGACATCAGTTATGGTAGTGGCGACGTCGCAGGCTACGTTGCCAGCGAGACCTTCACCATCGCGCAGCACACAATCACAGGACAGACGTTTGCCGTTGCAACATCCGTAGGCTCAGGGCTGCTTGATGGTACCACCGACGGAATTGTCGGTCTGGGTTTCTCCTCGCTCAGCGTCGATGGAGCTCAGCCAATTTGGCAGTCGGCAGGTGAGACTGAATTCTCCTTCTACCTTGAAGAAGACTCTTCAACGTCCTCGACAACCGGAGGCAGTAGCGGTGGAGGTGGTCAGGGCAACCCCGGTGTCCCCGGTCGCAGGAAGCGTGCAACCAGTGAGACTGCCCCTGGTGGGATCTTCACGCTCGGAGGCGCAAACACCTCCCTGTACACCGGCGACATCAATTGGCTCACCGTCACCGAGGAAGCCTACTGGACTGTTCAGCTCGGCGGCATCTCTGTGCAGGGTTACTCTGCAGGTATTGGTAGCCTGGATGCTGCCGCCATTGACACAGGTACAACGCTCCTCGGCGGGCCGGACACAGTCATTGCCGCTCTTTACGACCAGATCCCGGACAGTGAAGCTCTCTCTTCCGCAGAGGGCTACTACAGCTACCCATGCGATACCAACATCAATGCCACAATCACCTTTGGAAACCAGCAGTATGCACTCAGCAGCGCAGACTTCGAGGTCAGCGAAATTTCAAGTGGCGTCTGCCTCGGCGCTTTCTTCTCCGTCGGTTCGGTGACATCGAGGAGTAGCCTGAATTGGATTGTCGGTGACGTCTTCCTCAAGGGAGTCTACTCCATCTTCTCTGCTGGTTCGACCGCACGAGTCGGCTTTGCATCCCTGGCCTCGGGCCTGAACAACGGTAGCTCTAGTACCACGGTCGCTCAATCTCAAGGCACCAGTGGCGCTGTCGGTACCTCCGTGTCTCTGCACACTCTAGCTGCACTGGTTCTCGTCGCCCTGGCAACCATTGCCTCTCTGTAGAACAGCTCTCGTAGTAGATCTAGCTCCCTCCGCTGGAGCTCGGACGCTGCCTATTTTCCCCCTTCCCCACAGTAGCATCCCTCATCTCCGTATTTGCCCCCGATTTTGGAAAGCATAGGACCACATTGACTCAGCATATCTTCCACTCCTCCACACAAACACACTGTACACTCCAATCTACACATCCTGTAAATATCAGCTTTGTCTCAATCACATTGCCTTTCTTTCCCTTCTGCCTTGGCCATTTATTCGTCTGAGCTCCTTGGCCCCGCTTTGGCGCCTCCACACGACTCGGTTGCTCGCTTTTAGTCTCTCCGAATCCCAATGATGAAGCCTTTCCGGCGGCAGCGACTAGTGGCGACAATCGCTTCCTCCTATGCTCGTCAACCATTTCAACTTACTCGCAGGCAATCGTTGGCTCCTTGCCTCTACATTGGTGATCTGCGCTTCTGCTTGTCTGGCCGGCCGAAGCTAGCGCCGAGAGAGCGGGATAGGCAGCTTGCTGCGCCGAGCGGCAGGAAGCATGACAGACGGCAACAACGCCTCTTCCACGTCGAATCTCAGTACTTTGCCTGTCGCTCTCTCCACCGCTTCTACCTCTTCTTCGTCGTCTTCTCGACCGCAAGCACCTCCTCTGTCACAGGCGAGTCCACTCAGCGCCTCGATCCCATCGCTGCGTCGCAGAGCTGAAGAAGCTGGAGCAGCGAAGGCTGCGACGTCGAGCTCGGTGAATGAGCGTCTGGCGCGAGCGAGACAGCAGGCCGCTCGCAGGCCGGTGAGACTTGTCGAAGACGAAGTCGAGGACAATGTAGCTCTGCAGGCGTGTGGAGTTGCTGGGAGTTCCTCTTCTTCCGCTCGATCTCGGCCTAGGGCCAGAGGCACCTCTACGAACACACCTGCCGCATCAGCTTCGGCTCGAGCAGGTCTAGCATACCTAGCTGCGTCTGCCCTCCGCACGCAGGAGCTCGAAGAGGCGAGGAGGAACACGGCGTTGCGTAGACAGCTGGCGGGACCTGTGCCTCCCAGGAGCTGGAAGGGCGAGTTCCTTGCCGGTGGTGCTGTAGCGCGGGCGAATGGAACTGGGGGTAGCTCGATGGGAGGGAATAAGCAAGGGGTGCGGCGGACAGGGACGCAGGTTTCGTTGGCTACAAGCGAGGAGGAGACCGAAGAGCAACTCATAGAAAGAGCACAACAGCGTCATCTACAAGTACAGCCCTGGTCCGTCTTTCATCCTCTCCTCCCTCCATGTCCCACCTACGGCTCAGCTCAGCGCGCCACGAGTACACTCCGGGACATCTGTCTTTCTCTCATCTTCGAGGTACTCGCCACACACACTTGCTCTTCGGGTCTGCTAGACCAGACAACTCGGCTGGAAATTGAGGAGGATGCTCCGTGGTTGCCGGGACATCTCAAGGAGAGGATCGTGGCGCTGGCTGCGAGGAGTGGGGCGAGGTGCGCAATGAATGATGAGGCGTTTGAGAGGCTGTACTTCTCGCCGTTGGTGTGGGAGGAGGAGGAAGAGGAGGAGGAGGCAGCAGACGAGCACGAGCACGAGGAGACGTCAGAGGCGAAGATGCAGCCAGAGGCGGTCTCAGACTCTGATGGAGGTGATTTGGACGATTGGGAGCGAGGTAGTGACGAAGTTGCTCAGCCTTCAACCGCCCTCACTCAAGGTACACCGCCACATTGCTGGCCGTCCATGGACCTGTCGTATGCCCAGCTGCGACCGTCGACCATGCGGAAGCTTCTGCTTGGTCCTACGTCAGCGACTTCTCTTCCTACGTTGTCGAGCAACGTCACGCTGCGTTACCTCTCCCTTGCAGGCCAGACTTCAGCCGGCTCTCCAAATCTCCTGGCAAAGTCGACTTTCAAGCTCCTCGCATCTTCCCTCCCGAATCTCGAGCACCTCTGTCTAGCCGGGCAACATCTCTCCTTCACTTCTTCCCCTTCTTCTTCTTCTCCTTCTTCATCGAAAGGAAGACAGGACGACCTTGCTCCGCTCCCCTGGGCAAGTCTTTGGCGTGGCTGCCGCAAGCTACGTCTTCTCGACTTGAGCTACACCACGGGCCTCGGATCAGGTGCAGCTGCGCTGGTCAAGAGCACAGTGAGGGAGAATGGCGTGACGCTACCTCGGCTGGACTACTTGCTGCTCAAGGGGAGCGATGCAGAGTTTGCCTGGTTTGCTCGCGGTAGTGTTGAGAGTAGGAGCGGTGCGGACGATGCGAGGGGAGTGCCTCTGCCGCTCTTCCTTACAACGTCTCACGCGAGACATTGGGCTCGAGTACGAGAGAAGCAAAGAGGACGCGCTGCATCTGCTCTCGCTCACAATACCTCAGCGACGGGCGATGCCCCTGCTCGAGATGCTGCGCTAGACTCTATCATCATCTTCAGCGAGGAGGACATCAGGTCCTCAGGTGCTGCCTGTGCCAAGCAGCTCACGAGTCTCGCGCTCCTGATGGACACATTCCGTGGGCGAATGGGTGGCGGCAAGGAGAGGTGGTGCGAGATCTGGATCTAGACCCTCCAGACGATGCGTGTTCAGATGAGATGACTGTAATGGATAGAGGGCCCTATTGTACATTGTATTACTATCATTCACTCCTAATTAGCGCTCGCTGGAAGCTAGCTCGTCTCCGTAGCAGTGCTCGCAAGCCGTGCAGACGTAGCTGTAGATTTGAGGCAGGGGGAAGGAAGAGATGTATGAACAGCGGTCAGCTTCCGCTCTGACTCAACTTCTCAGACGGAAGGGGTCATAGACTCACAACAGGATCATCCGATTGTGGATCCTCTTCGACTGATCTTGGAAGTACACGGCTCTAGTGGGAAGCGGAAAGATTGCGAGTCAGCACAGAGGCTCAGACTCCCTCTCAACCTTGAACTTCCTCGACTTACTCTGGATGACCACAGGCTGGACACTCAGAGTCATGCTTCCGCGGCAGAGTAGGGTCTGTGGCGATACTGTCGATGACTCCCGATTGTTCCTGGGCGAAAGAGGAGTTGAAAGGAAAAGCATGGGTCAGGACCAGTCTAGCACTGTCTAGCCTGCTCTCCCTCTACCATCCTCTTTCCCCCTGCGCTCACCTTCGTGACACTCTTTAAGTCATTCTTGAAGACCATGTTGCTCCTGGCCTCCTCCTTGTGACTGCAATTCCTACACGAGTAGAGGAGCACATGATTCGAGCGATCCACCTCAGGATAGAGGAGGTTATTGCTGAGAGGGTAAGGGATTGCATATCGTGGAGGTCAGCAGGAGAACTCCTATAGTTTTCATCCTCGGGGTGGATCAGAGGAGGAAGATTCCATCTCTGGCGACCCACCGGTCGGTCGCTACTCACCACTCAGCGCAGAAGTGTAGACTCTGCTTGTCCTTCTCCCTCTGACTCTGAGGATCCAGCTGCGACATGACGGCCCGGATTCAACAGAGGCTCTTATCTAGCTGGTATGCAGACTCAAGTGAGGCCGAGTGCAACGAGACGGATTTGAGTAGACACAGTACAGCCAAGGACAGAATGGTAGGAAGGTGGTGGTAGCCTAGACTTGGTCGCCTGTATGAGGCGCGCAGGCGACGGAAAGGGCCTTTGCCCAGGTATTACGTAAGCCGTGTTGTAGACTGTGTGGACGGACCAACGCCTGAGCGATGCTACCGCTCCACCCTGTATCCACTTGCTACCACTCTCCTCTGCTTTGTCTTGACTGTCCTTTAGCCTGGCTTCTACCTCGCGATCATGACTCATATCACACACCGTTCATAACAGGCTAGCTCTCATAGCGCTCCGGTGATGGACAGCCTGGCTGCTGACCTGCGGGAAGCCGCCTCGGACCTGCTCGATGTTCCCGCAAACAGACAGGCGAGGACGCCTAAGAGGCAAACTCAGGTAAATGACAGACCTCAGCGGCTCTCTCCTACAGTCTCTGAGGCTACCGGACTGCCTTCTGCCAAAGAGTCTTCCAAGCTAGTGCTACTCGATGCCAATGGAGAGGAGTACAAAGATCGCCGGGAGGGAAGCCGGGCGGTCATTCCTGGCATTGAGGATAGCCCCCAACTCGAAGAGGCGAGGGCAGAGGTGAGCCAAGAAGTTGACAGTGGACCACCGTGGATGACATCTTCCTCAGATGGTCCTTCAGCTTCAGAGCGCTTTGCCTCCTTGCACTCAAGCACACCGCCGTTGCGACCTTCATCAGCAGGCGGAAGCCGAGAGGCGCTTCGGTCCCGCTCAAGAACCTCTGCTTCGGCCACCAAGAGTCAATCGAACCTTTTCCAACGGGCGACTGCCTCAACTCCCGGCGTTGGCAATTCGCGCTTGGACGTTTGGCTCAACGAAAAGGGCGAGAGAGTCGTCAACGGAAAGGTCGTCGGTAGGCTGACTCTAGCTGGCACTAAGACTGGCCGCTCGCGATGGGAGGGGGACTCGGGCAGTCAGGGTCTAGATCTCTCTCTTTCTGAAAGGGGTTCTTTGGATGTGCCATCTTGGGACAGCAACCGAGGCGGAGAGTCGCTCGAAGAGCCCAGCATTAGCACACCCCGTGGCCATACCATCGATCTTCCTATCTCGGACTTCGACCACTCCCGCCATGGCAGTCACACCAAGAGCATCACCCCCGAATTCTTTATGCAGAGCTTTCCAAATCTGTCGCCAGGTCAAACGGAGCCAGCAAAACCCGTGATGATCATCGATCGTAGCCGAGCAGACATGCCTACCTTCAGCAGCTCCGGTAGTGATGTCGTTGACAGCTTCCACGATGCCAACGAGGATGCCCAGAGCGACCTTGCCTCATTACCAGGATCTTTGGAGGATAGTCCAGCCTCACTACAAAGGGTGGCTCAGATATCGCCTGCTGATACATCAATGCTACGTATGCCCGGAATGTCTTTGGGCTACCGGCGAATGGGCGATCTTCGCAGTAACCTAGCACTCCTGCATCAAAACAAGAGCGCGGCGCCGCTAGAGCATGCTGGAGAAGACATGAGCGGCCCAGGCACCGACGGGTCTGGTCAACAGGTCCCCGAGGATGGGCGAATCCTATCGCCGCCTACGGCAGAGTCTCCTAGTGTGGCTACAGAGCCAGGGCCGCTGACATTCGATGCTACGACGCAAGGTATAGCCTGGGAGCCCTGGGAGAGGACAGCTGGTCCGCTGTCCCCCAGCAGGACGAGGACCTCAGCTTCTCTGACCGGAGATAGACCACTGTTGGAGCGAGCCGCGTCGCTCTTCTCGACTCAGCTGGTCACGCCCCCGGCTGAGCGAGAAGAAGGTGGAACAAGTCCAGAACCAAGCCGGTATCCCTTCGCTAGTCTGGACGAACCATCGCCCTGGGCAGAAGCACATCGCAATGATTCTCCCCAGGCACTGGTATCCTCCACAACGGCCGCGGAAGATCCGCAGAGCGGAGACGATGGTGATGCGGCTTCCCTCTACTCACTACCAGCCTCAAGCATCACGGGATCTAATTCAGATGCAGCCTCCCGTCGCCCCTCTCTCCGGCGACGTACCTCTTCCAACGCCTCTGTCCTTTCCACGCACGACTCATCAGCCTCACCTTCCTCCTCACCTCGCAGACCAAGACGTCCCCGCTCCATGTCCAGCGAGACCTTCACACGGGACGTCGTAGTTCGCGCCTGGACCGAAGTGGGCTCCCGCACGCGTGGATACGTCACCTTCGAGGTGGTCCTCCTGACTGCGCAGAGCGGACTGACCATCAGGGCGCATCGTCGATACAGCTCTTTTGTCGCCTTGCGTCGCCAGCTCGCAGTCGAGGCGCCGGCATTTGCAGAACAGCTGCCGGCGCTACCTCCAAAGGATCTGATTCACAAGTTTTCGCCAAAGCATTTGGAGGTTAGGAGAAAGGCACTCAGCACGTGGTTGCAGCTGGTACTGCTGGACCCGCGATGGGGTGGGAGGAAGGCTGCGAGGGAGTGGCTTGTGGGAGCGGAATGAGGGTAGCGGAAGCAGGCAAGCAAAAGGAGGAGAAAGGAACACACACAAAGGGGATGTACTATAGGACGCCGAGGGTTTGGAGCGGATGCCGATTGGACGACACTCCGTGCTCTGTCTCTAGAAGAACGGGCCTGAATCGAACGATTTCTTGCACGATGCTGTGACATTGACATCTCGACGCGAAGATACACCACATTCCCCCCTTTCCTCCTCCGTGACTGCCCTTCGCCTTGCCTTTCAGTCCACTGTTTCAACTTCACTACTCCACGCCCCTCATCGCGAGCTCATAACCACCTTCAGCATCTCCGCACCGACCTTGTTCGCCTCTTCGAATCGTGGCTCAAAGAAGCGCGCCGTGTCTTTGAATCGCCATTCGTAGTGTTCAAAGTTGCCCGCATTGACCGCCTCTGCCCATCCTCTAGCCGCAACAACGAACTCGGTATCGTCCCCACGGAAAGTAGGATCTTCGACGGCTGCGCGGATCGAGGCTCGTAGACGGGCTGGAGAGCGAAAAAGGTACTCGCATACGCCGATCCAGATGCGGAAGATGGGCGTGGCTGCTAGCTCTAGGTGCGCGTAGGGATCGATTCCTAAGTGGTGCCAGCAGTCGACTATTGCCAGGAGGGAGAGGTGCGAGTTGGGAGGACGGACAGGTGGTGAGGATGAGTCTGTGGTCTGCTGCTCAGTCGTGCCCGCTGCTGGCTGATCTGTGCTGCTGCCATCGGTAGGTGGAGGAGGGGCTACCTTGCGGGCGGCCTGATGGAACTGTGCTAGCATTGCGTCGCTCATCAAGATCGGTCTCTGCTGCCGTGTGGAGGATGACGTGGTTGTGCCAGTAGTAGCTGATGTGTTGGCATCTTTACCCTCTCCAGCAGCGGCAGGTTGCTCATCGTCCTGCCAGCCAAAGACCTTGCGCCTCGCCTCGAACACCCTCCGCAGCATCTCATCGTGCCTGTCCGCGATCATCAACTTGAAGAGATCGCTGACACTCTTGGCGTATTGCGTCACCTGTATCCGCGCCGAGGGGTTGAGAATGGCAAGCCCGGCGTAGACATGCCACTTTGCAGAGAGGATGCGGATCATGATGTTGATCTTGACCGTCTCGATGGGTCCAGCCCACCTATCGGTCTCCCACGGGTAATCACCGCTACACCGCCATGCAGCTCCCATGGCGAGAAAAGCTGCATGAGTCACGGCTTGAGTATTGGCAGTGACGACATCGTGCTCTTGGTAGCTGAGGAGGACGATGCGTGACCCAAAAGCAGCCATGATTCTTTCCATCAACCTCATCTTCTCGTCTGGCGCTCGATGCTGGATAAGCACTAGAGGCTGGCCGGTAGGGTCGACCTTGGGTCCGTGAAGGGAGTGACATGAGATGATGTACGAGTCTGCAGGCAGATGAGCTTCAAAAGCTCTTTGCTCTGGTGCCTTGACAGACGTTTGCCCAGAGACGATGGCTCCCATCTTTGTCGAGGGCCCGTATTGGGCCACGACATTGTAGATGAGAGCAGCCTCGACCGAGTAAATGATCAGGTCGCTCCGCCGTGAGACCAGATGACCATCTTTGTATACATTGATGCTCGTGCCTGAGATAGGGGAAGAAGAGAATGGCTCATAGTGAGCAGTAGCAGACAGGAAGGGACAGCTCTTCCTTGCCCTGAACCAACCTTTGTATTCCTCCTGCAGCGATTCGTACTTTTCCGGTCTATCACAAACATTGACTCTGTAGTAGCACATGAAAGGAAAGGCATATTCATCAGCAACTGTCCATACTGAAAGCTCTTTGTCTCTCCTACTCACATCCAACCGGCTGCGTTGATCTTTGCAGCATATAGTCTGCCCATGTCTCCAATTCCGATGATGCCCACCTCGATCTTGTCATCTCCTTCGAGGCGATGGCGGCCGCTGCCACCTGCTAGCGTCATCAAAAACTGATGGTGAGATGTACAGACTGTCTGACGAATCTCAAGAGACGAGCTGAGTGCGCTACCAGGAAGGAAGTCTCTTGGTACGAGTGTGAGTAGCGTCCAGTCACAAGTCCCACTTCCGGTGGCGGAGTCTGAATCCCACAGGAAGCGGAAGCAAGACGGAGGTCAAGGTCTGCTGCACCTCAAGCTACCAGCCGTACTCACCACTCACGACGACGAAGGCGGAGGAAGACAGAGGAGTCATGGTCACAGCTCCATCATTGTCACATCACACATAGCATCGCTCGACGTCTTCATACCGCCTCACCATGGCTGCTGCAGTGGACGACGCAGGTGGTGTCGACCCCAACACGCCGCTCCCCACGCCCACCCGCTCCACGCTTCTCTCAACCTACTGGCGCGACCCCGAGTACCTCGCCTATGTTCCCCTCAACCCAACGACTGCCCTCGACTACTTCTCCCGCTCTACCTTCTTCGACCCCGCCTCCACAAACGAGATGCTACGGATGCAGAACATCGCCAATCCAGAGGCCATGGCAGGCGCCATGGGCCGCACAGCTCGGCAGCAAGAGGAAGAGTTGAGCAGGTTCGTGGGCATCGAGTTTGTCCTGGTGCACGCTAAGCAGAACAAGGGCAAAGAAGCTGCGGGAACACAAGGTCAGCAGGCACAGAATGTCGTTCCGCCGGGCCAAGGACAGCAGCTGGCGGATGAGACGTTGTTTGTGATACAGAAGAGGAGACGCGAGAGCCCTGCAAAGAGTGAGTGACACTGCGAGGAAAGCGGGAGGTCAAGATGGCAAGATGACAATTGCTGAACCCTGCATGTCTTGTTCTTCTATCAGCTCATGTGCTAGAGACGTACTATATCCTGAACGGAAACATTCACATGGCTCCGGACCTGGAGACCGTGCTCAACAATCGAATGGTACGTACCCTACCTTCCTTCAACCAGCTAGTCGACCCCTCCTGCTAACATCCTCGCCGCCTGGGCCGCATTCCCTTTCTAGACCACGGCCCTTCACTCGCTCCGAAGCGCTCTGAGCCTCGCCCGAGATGCGTCCGGCCGGCCTATCCTGCCACCTTCGGCCTCTGCAAAGAGCAACGGTGCCAACAAGCGCAAGGGAGCTCCAACGAGCAGCAGCGACGGCGTCAGAGCTGCTGGAAATGCTTCGACGAATGTGGGCGCAGCTATTGGGACAGAGGGAGGGCCTACGTTAGGTGCGGAGGCTACTGCTCTATCTGCTCGACACGGTGAGCCTGGCGTCGCTGGGCTTGCAGTCGAGGAGGGGGAGGATGCCGAGATGGTCGACGAGTGAGTTTCGAAGTACACTCTTTGAGCAAGATCGAACTTCAGTCATATCTTTCCAATCATGTAAATGGTATTTATGCAACGACGGCAATGGTGCGAGAGGTGGCTAGATGAAAGGATTAAGCTGCATGACAATGATTCTCCTTGGTATGGGTATAGAGTACAGACGTACGAAGTGCTGGATGACGTGCGAGTAACAAGGGCAAAGGGGCTGGAAAAAGTTTCAAAGGCGAAAAAAAGGAAATGTGAAGTAGGAGACTCTAGCAGAGGAGACCGCTGATGTCCATCTTCCTACCAGATGCCTTCTCCTCAGGGGCTTCCTCGCGTTTGTGCTCAGGTGCCGAGATGGCCCGCTTCTCGGACTGCAAGAGGGGAGGAGAATTTTCGATGCCCGGAGCAGAAGCAGAAGTAGCAGGTGCGGTATGGGGTGGCGAGCGCGGTGGGCAAGCCCTCGAGTAGGCTCGAGGTCGCGTAGAGCTGTCTGCACTCTCGAAGCCGAGACCAACGACGACGGTGGGTACTCCGCCGGAGATTGTGTCACCTCGTGGGCGTAGGACAGAGGGAAGCTGCATCGTCTTGGGGTGCACCGGGTCGGACACGATGGACGCCGTCGAGGTCTGGTGACGCACGGCCTGGGGCCTCTTGGCAGCCGAGTTGTGGTCGGTGTTGAGGGAAGATCGTCGGTGTGCACTAGCGGTAGGCGCAGGCTGGAGAGCCACGTTAGGAGGACCTCCCTCGAGCACTTTCGCGCTTTGAGGAGCAGGGGAGGGGAAGTACTCGTCGCCGGAAAATCCATTGGGACTTCTTGAAGGCAAGGGAGAAGTGTCGGCTCCACCTGGAGTCAGCAGTAGCGATCGAGAGGTGGTCGAGGAAGGATCGATGGTCCACCAGCCTCCCTTGCCCCTAGCAGCCTGGGAGTGAGCTGGATCACTAGAAGCACAGCTGTCGTAGATGTCCTGTGCGGTCCTGGCAACCTTGACGAAGGTCCTGTTCAGACTGAGATTGTGGCGCACGGTGTTCTGCCAGCCCTGAGAGTCGGGGCCATCCATGGAGTAGAGCTCTGGGTAGGCATTGGAGATCCAAGTGTAGATCTCACGCAATGTCATACGGCTCTCTGGACTCGAAGTGATGGCCTGTGCAATGAGAGAAGAGTAGCTGTAAGGCGGGCGACGGCGACGGCGGGTTTGGCTGAAGCGTTCTAGAGGTGGAGCAGCAGTAGGCTCCGACTGCGCCTGGGGATGGGAAGCGCCCCACGCCTGTGAGTGAGTGGGTGGTGAGAGACCAGGCTGCTGGTAGGATGTGGGACGACGGCCATGTTCAATTTGCAGGTGATGCTGATGTTGTTGCTGCTGGTCATGAAGAGATAGTTGTAGAGAATTGTTGTATGCGTGAGGAGAGTCGTTTCCACCGTATCTGGCGCCGGCGCTCAACATTCGACCGTCTTGTCCGCCGTGAAGCTGACCTTGAGGGTACATTGGAGACGGGTACACCGGGCTGGCATGGTGCTCTGCCGACCAAGGTGTGATGGGACTGAAGAGAAGAGGAGAAGGAGGGTAGGCGGGGGAATGGTAGCCGGCATGCTGATACTCGCCAGGGGCGGCACGGCCGCCAAGCCTTCGCTGTTGCTCCAGCGATTCCATGCTGGCCCGCTGCGTCAGCCTCGGTGCAGTCCGCGAAGCGCCCTGAGATTGAGGTGCCGAGCGGTGAGGACCTGCGGAGCCTCCTGCTCCCTGCTCAGCCAGCGTACTCGCTCTACGACGGAGAATGGCCGAGGGGGTATTATCACTGTAAGGCTGGCGGGGAGGCGAGGGACGAGTGGAGTAGTGAGGATGGCTACCCGCCGAGTGTGGAGGTGCATTGGCATCTTCGAGACCGATATGTGCGGGCCATGTCGGTGAAGGAGTCACGGCACCGCTCGTGCGAGCGCCGTAGGGATGATGTCTTCCAGAAACGGGTGCCATGACGCTGGGTATGCCCAACGGTGACACAAGAGAGCGAGGGCTCCGCTTGGTGTCCAGCGGCTTCGGAGGAGGGGCGCGGCTGGTCCAGCGATTGGTCCACGTGGGTGAGGGAACTCCCATAGGCATTCGTGGATGACCACTGTGAGACTTGTAAGGCGCGCCGGAATGACCATCCTCGTCGGTGTCCATGGTCTCGATGACTTCATCTGAGCTGGCGGAACCTCTTTGCCGGGACAGGGCGGCGCTTTGAGCAGCAGAGAAAGAGGTGTCATTGGCTTGTGTTGGGACATCATCTGAGGATGCCAAGGAGGCTGGGGAACCAGTGGGACTACGGCTGGGACCGCTGAGGGAAGAGATGGGAGGCAGTGTCTGACCAGCAGAAGCAGTACTGTGATGCGACTGAGTGAGCTGCTGAAGAGCATCCCGTGGAGAATGCGGCTGCAGCTGCTTGACGCTATAGGAGTGCAGACGGTGTGGACCGTCCATGGTACCGAGGGCCGGCAGGATCGGAACTCCAGAGCTCATGGTGAGAGAGCGATGCGAGCGCTTGGTATCTCAGAGGACCTGAGGTGAAAGCAGCTTGCTGTTGCACGATGAGCCAATGGGAAGACGAGCTGTGCAGCGAGAGGGGGATGTCAATGATGGAAGGGAGGAAAGATGGGTGTACCAGGTAGCTGGAAGAGGAGGACGAAGAGTGAGACTGAGGTGCTACTTCGGTCGGCCTATGGAAAAGGATGCCAACGGTGAAGCTGTGAGGGTGTGGATCGTAATGAAGGGGCGTTCGTAAGTCGACCTTGGAGAGCGGGCCGCCAATGTCAACAAGCAAAAGCGCCAGTGGGTTGCTGCAGGTCGAGGCGAGCGGTCTATGAACGGTGGTGGGAGGATGCGGCGAGGACAACACACAGAACAATGGTCCGGTCTAAGGGAATCAGGCGGCAGGCTCCAGAGGGACAATGTATGTTCGCTCCAGAGCCAGATTGCTCCAGAGGCAGAGTGTTCCAGAACCCTGTATTGATGAGTGTTTGGGCAGTGGAGTTTGGGTGCAGCAAAGTAATGTGGCTGAGCCAAGGGGGCGTTGGCTGCACGCTCTGCTGATCCGGGAGGAGAAGGGGTTCCCTTATGCGTACAGGCCTTGATGGGCGGAGATTGCTCTCCGTGTCTGACTTGCATGTCCTGGTCTTCTGGCAGCGGGGCCCTTGCCGAGACGTCTGCTCGCCTCCGAGGTGCACCACGACGCGCGCCGCGAGGAGCCAGGAAAAAAACTCCGTGAACTATAATCGTCCGACAGCACTTCGGCAGTCAATGGCCCGTTGCTCCGTGGAATGTCCGACCAGGCATGTCGACAGCACTCAATCTCCGCCCTTGCATCTGGAATCCCCCTTGCCCCTCAAAGCGGGGCCACGGCTGAGGTCAGCCCAGACAGCTTACCTGCCCCCCTCAGACATCCGATCTCCCCCTCTGCCACAGCTCTCAGGCCGCAAACAGCCGAGGAGCAGAGTCTCCAAGCCATCTCATTCAGATCTCGTATGATACATCTTGTCTCTCCCTTTAGGCAGTGTGCGAGCTTATGCAAACCCTCATCGCGTCAACAACTCCGATGGCACCAGGGACAATGGAGGCTGCAGGCGCGACAATGACCTCTTTGTGTCCCACGCACACTTGTGTCCCACGCATGTCCAGCTCCCCTCCTCGCTACCAAACGCTGCCCGGAGTCAGCAGCAGCCAAGCATTGGCAAAGCAATGGCGTCGACCCTTGTTTCAGATCTCGCTTCTAGCACGTCGCGACTTTTCGGTGAGCTGGCGTCCTGAACTTGCTCAACCCTTTACGGCCTGAACATACCGATGTTTCCTCTCGCCCGAAATCGCAGCTGGAGAGCAATCTGCGGAGTTGCTGCTTCTTGGGTCGACTCGCGGGGTGAGGAAGACGCGTGTGGCCGTGCAGTCTCCGCTCATGCGCTTCTTCAAACATTCCGAGCCTACCATCTGTCTATCCGCATGCGTGTGATTTGCGACGCCGCCCATATGCCTCTGTCCGGCCTTGCTTCCCTTCCTCGCATTCCTTGATGCCGCCTATTGCTTGTACTTTCCTCGTCCCATTCGGAAGGAGCGGAATCAGCGGGCGGCGCCTGCATTGGAGACCAAGGTTTGTCCGAGGTTTGCTAGAACTTACAGCGACTGTGCACCCCCACTGGCTTGCTTGCGTCAAGACGTACCGAGTGCACATCGCATGACCATGCTCAGATCCGCAAAAAGTGCTTGGCCATCCTACGCCCGGCAGCGAGACCGAGAAGGTTTCGCCCCGTCGTTAATTGAGTCGGTCGAGTAGCGAGCCGAGAATGTCAACCTACAGGCAGATCAACGCTCCATGCTAAGCGCATGTCAACGGCATCTGACATGTGAGCTAAGCGAGTGACCGCTTGGTATGACAATTCCCACGGAGTGCTTCATTTCTGTGGCAGTGCCCGACAGCTCTCAAGCGAGGTCTGCTATAGGCCGCCGGCAGTGCCATGTCAGTGGCCGAAAATTGCTCATGCCCGCATGGGCTCCAACTGACCAGCAGCGCTCCAGACTGTTTCGCTTCTTGAGCTAAATCAGCTAAGCGAGGAGGACAAGGTGGTCTTGGCCAAGTTTTCCCCTAGGGTGCAGCACAAGACAGCATTATCAAGCTCATGGGACATTTCTTGCTTGCAGGCGAGACATGCAACAAGCGGCCAAACACGGGATCTCGGCCAATTATTGGAGCTACAGGGAAAGAACAGGCTGTCTCACTCTGTCGAGAGGAGACCAGGTGACTCAGACATCCAAATCACAAGATTGTCTACTGTCACCGACGCAAGTGGTCAAGTTCATCGGGTAAAATCTGCCGGCCGAAACTTGACCATCAACAGAGGAACTACTGTAGAACACGTCATATGGATGATTGTCTCCGAGTGCTTCAAATTTCCCACACTCCGTGTCGCTGCTCCGGCGTCATTGCATCACCTGTCCAAGTGCCTGCACCTCCAGCAATTTCTCCCTTTGCTCTTCAACCATTTGGCTGCTTTGCTGAAGCTTTTGTTCATGGAGCTCCAGCCCCCTTTGACTCTAGTCCTCATCGACTGCTTGGGTTTCTCTAGTCCTTTACCCTGCTGCGAGTCCGAAAGTTTGTCCGCCCACATGGGTACCGGCCGAGTACGCTCCTTGAAGTTGGTGTCCGGTGCAAATTGAGGCCGTCTCACTTCCTCGACGGGCCGCATCCGATTAAGTGGTTTTCGTAGCTCCCCGCCTTTTGTAAAATACGTCGGATCAGGGATGCGGTCGCCGGGGACAGGCGTCCAGTCTAATCCCGTTGGTGCTGCTGATCCCAGAAGAGAGATGCAAAACAGCACGAGAAGGCCTGAAAAGAAAGTGAGAGAGAATGCGGATACCTTCATTTGCTCCTGCTGTTGTGTGCGCGTGTACGTGTGGAATAACGTGGTCAGAATGGCATAGCGCAGCTAGCCGTGCGAGGAGGTACTATGAGATATGAGCGTGTCGACCTTTACGGCAGCTTGTGTAGGACAGTACGTGAAAGATGATGGGAGAGAGGAATAGAAAAGTAACAGGAAGCCGAGATCAACAATGGCTTGGTGCAAGGGCGTTGCTTTTGCACCGCCGCAACGAAGCAGTGGCAGCAAAACAATGCCTATCACGCATTTGACATCAGATGTGCTCCGTAGTGTCGGTTGAGAGAAGCTTGCGCTAAGGCAAAAGCGATAGAATGGCGACTGCGACAGAAGCAAAGCGGGAGTACGCGGCCGAGGGAGCTATAGCTAGTGAGATCGTGGCAGGTGCAGCTGGCTGCATTGCTGCTCATCAAGCGTGTAGCTTAGGGCAATAGCAAACGGCTTGTCCAGCAACAGGGAGAGTCTGCTATTGTGCTCTTGATGCAGAGCTGTAACAGACGTCGGCAGCAATGAAGCATGGGAATGTCTCCCCGTCTGCTAGCACGGCGACGACTGAGCCTTTTTTACGATTGTCGTCGGCTAGGGCTGCGCCAAAAAGTGAAGGTATCGTATTGGTTGGGAAGCTCGACTGATATGTGTAATGTACAGAAAATGTAGAGTATGCGGTGACAGTATGATTTGGATATAGGAGGGACCCTCTGGCGGTCCAGTCGATGCGAAGATCATCATCGCTCGACGCGTTTCGATATTACGCTCTCATGACTTCTGTCCGTAGGCCATTACAAATTCGAGTAGCATACCTTCGTCTCGAATCTCATCCTCGAGCCTGATCAAGAAGGCATCGAAGTCGTCGGAAGTGATACCGATGCCGTTGGGGCCTGGGTCACCGCCAGCGGCAAGAAAGCTAGAGGACGAGAAGGGGGAGGCAGCTGTCAGCATGCCAGCATCACCCGCATGTCTAGCACTCCAGCATGGCAGAAGCAATTGCCCGGTGCTCACGGTCTCTTCAGTCCTACAAATGCTTTGAGTGCCGTCTGGTCTCCTCGCTCAATTTCCACGTCGCTCCACCCTTGATCCTTTGCTGCTCTGCCAAATGGAATGCAGAACCGCTGAGAGGCGACGTTACGGAGATTCGCGCCGGCCAAGTATGTCTCGAGGTGGTCACCAGCGCTACAGGTAGAGAGGGAGCGCGCATCTGGTGCAGTGTCAGCATGGAGTAGCGCAGATTCTGTCAGCATTTTGTGAGACTCACTACAGATCGTTGTTGACGAAGGATAGGGCTCGCCGAGAAATGCGGTTGAGGGCTCCGATGTTGCTCGAGGGACGTCCAGAGATCGTCGAGCCGTACGAGTAGCCTACAGCATTGAGGTCTGACAGGTGCAGGATGCCGCCGGGCTCTGAGAAGAGGAAGTGAAACGAGTCAGCGACGTCAATGACCCAAGTCGAAGGTTGCTAGACTCACTCAGGAACGCTGCCATGTTCCTCACGGCCTTCTGCCAGCCAGCCTCTCCCTTCTTCAGTGCAAAGACCAGCAGTCGAGCGTGCACCAGATCGTAGGAGCCAGCGAGTCCGACACCATGCCCTTGACTCTTGACGCTGGAAGCGCTTGCCGTGATGTCATGCTTGAAGACTCGGGGAGTAGCGGTGAATCCATCAGATGGCATCATACGAGCCATCCTGGTGTCCAGATCGCATCCATGGAGCTGCATACTGCGAGGCCTCTGTATGAAAGAGGAGCTGGCGAAGTCCCTGAGCCAGATACCGGTACCACAGCCCACGTCGAGGATCTTGCGAAAGCGATGGGTCTGAAGGTCAGGATGGAGCAAGTGGTCGTTGCAGGCTCGTCGGTAGGCGTGGTGCTGATCGTTGAGCCGTTGTGCTTCACTCGAGAGAGCTGGAAAGTGAAGTTGTCCGAGAGTAAGTGGTGGTTGGGCAAGGAGATACTGCTGCTGAGGAGTGGTAGTAGTACGGAGGCGGTGCTGATGTATCCGTTCTGGCAGAGCTTCAACGGGTCCATGTTGCTGCATATGCCAAGCTGGCTTGGTTGGTAATGGTGAGGATGGTATTGATAGAGGATTAGCAGGGGCAGTAGGATATGTTCGAAGGAGCTTACTACCGCTCTCGAAGGTGGCTATGATGGACTCTACGACAGCTCTCATCTTGCTAGAAGGGGATGGGCGAGGGCAGAGCACACTGGCTGAGAAGAGGGACGGGGCAGAGTGAGGGGATGCATCGTGATGGAGATGGACGCTGCTATAAGGCATTTGTCGCAGCTGTCCTCCTTCGCCGGGGGCATGCCAATGGTGGACATTCTGGGTGTTGCTGCCTGGGCCACGTCCTTCTTACCCAAGCCTGCCGCCCCGCCAGTTGCTCTGTCACCCTTCGCGATCGGACGGGCGGGGGGGCGGCTGGGCGAATGCTGCCTCGGCTCAGCTCCGGACGAAGCTCCGGACACCCAGGAATCAGACACCGTAGAGTGCAGCGGCAAAGAGGGAGGGTGCAAGGATGACTTGCATTGAGGAAGTGAGGGTTGTTGCTACAAGGGGAATGGCCGTCCGTGTGATCGCGCAAAGACGATTGATTACTACAGTCCCCAATCTATTCCCGCAAATTCATTCTTCTCCGGCCCTACGTCTGGAACGGTCCTTGAAGGACCGGCCTTCCTCCCTTCCCCTTCTGCGACCGTAGCCCCCGTCGCGATCTCGTTCGTCCGCATAGCCGCTCCCCCTTGCTCCGCGCGCCGTCGACGAGGGACCCGTTGGCGGATCCCGGATGTCCGCCCTTTGCGTTTCCCGCCTCTCCCTCTCTCTGGCAGCGGAGCCACTGATAGAAACCGATCGAACAGGAGGCGTGGCACTTCCCTCGGCCGCACCACTAGCAATGTCCGGACCCCTTCGCTGCTGCTGCTGTTGCGATCGACTGGCATCGGTTCCGACTGGCGACACAGGAGCGCTCATCCGGTCATTCCTTCCTGCGCTCGCAGTCCCTACATCACTGAAGCGATTGCGATTGACTCGCGCACGCTTCTGATCGGGACCATCCGGGGTTGCACGCTTTCGGAACGAGAGTGGAAAGGAAAAAGAGTCAACATCCGTCTTGTCCCACTAGACTTCGCGCTGTTGTTCACTACTCACATCATTGACGGGACTACCCAAGGGAGACGAAGGAGTTCCAGCCCTTTCCTGTCCCGAAAGACGATCTGCCAAGCTTCGCTTTAATCCTGAAGGGCTGTGAGCAGCCTCTGTCGCCTCGGCACCAGAGCCACCCATACTCCTGCGGCCCCTGTTGGGGTCGACTGCACTTCTGGACAAGTCGTCTCTCGATGAGGGCGGAGCCGTGGAATTCATGGAAGAGCTTCTAGTGGGTGGACGATCGATCAGGTCAGGCCGAGAAGAGGTGACTGCTGAGCTCGAACTCTCAGTGCGCAAAGCAGGACCACTTGGCGGATCTCTGCTATCCGGGTATCTGCCGCCCCGAGGGTAACGGTTATCCTGAGTATCATGGGCCGATGCGGTCTGTGGTGGTGCTGTATCGTTCCTGTCGACACGACGCCGCTTGTAAGCTGCAGCGGTAGCATCCTCGACAGCAGAAGGACTCGTAGCTGTCGCTGCTCGGGGTCCTTGGGGAGGTGCTCGGTCGTTGCGAGGTGCACCTGAATCACTCCTCTCAGGTTCGTCGCGAGGTCGCCTTGGCTCTGGTCCATCTCGACGTTCGTCACGGGCAGTCCGATCGCGGACTCGATCGCGATCAGAGCTGCTGCCATATCGGTCTCCCTCAGAACGACGCGCATCACCAGCCCTCCGCCTCTCCTCCCTATCGCGACCTTGCTCTCTCGAGTCTTTCGCATCTCTAGGCTCAGTGATGATATCTCTTGCATCTCGAGCATCCCTGTTGTCACGGTCACGTCGATCCTTGTGATAGTCTCGATCGCGGTCTTCACGCTCGCGCCGCGCATCTCTGCCACGAGCGCTGGCATCATCCTCAGCCCTTGTAGTCCTGGGCGAGGGCTCCCGTGACGCTGCGGACATCCTTGCGGATGCTTCGCTATCGCGAAGGCGTGATGGGGACGAAGCCCTGGAGGAAGTTTTGCTGGTGGAAGGGGCATGACGACCCCTTTCAGAGCCGGCAGGGGCAAGTCGATCTCGGACGCCTTGCGCTGCTGAGGTCGAAGCTGGGCTAGCGGGAGGATTCATCGAGTCAAGAGCAGCCTGACGAGCGGCTGAGACGCTAATTGGTTCAGCAGAGCTTGCCACCGATTCTCTGTTATCGGCTCTCGAGCTGCTGCTGCGAGGACCAGTGGGCAGCGGGCTGTCTGCCATTGGAGTGCTGCGATGTGTTGCATGGGATCCGGCCGTCTTACGATACTGATCATCTCCGCCGCTGCCTACCCGCTCCTCGTTGCTTCGGTCAGAATCCTTCTTCCTCTCCCGGTCTCGCTCGCTCTCCCTTTCGCGCTCCCGATCTCTTCCTGGTCCCGATGGTCGGGCAGGCAGCGAAGAAGCGGACGCGGGAGCTCTGCCGTTCGCGGGGCGCTGCGCCAGAGCCTCAACTCTGGAAGCGCGGGAGCCGTATGCCGCACTTGCATTCTGTTGAGACTGCCCCTGGGCCTCAGATGCAGCAGCTGCATTGGCATTGCGTCGAGCAGTGGGTTCTGCCGCCGGTAGAGGTGAGCGTGAGCGTGCGGGTGCTGAAGCAGATGCTGCTCGCTCTCGGTCAGCGGCAGGCCCACTAGGAGGGGCATTGCGGGGTCCTTGCGGCAACGACTCAGGGCGAGTGACAGTGTCCACCTTTTCACCATTCGTCTTCGCCGGCGCCGGAGTTTTCGAAGCAGGTGTCCTGTTGCCGGCCGTGTCAGCTACGACAGGTTGGGTCTTGATGTCAGCACTTTCAGCTTTGCTAGCCACGGCTGGGGCTTGTACAGCAGCGCCTGAAGGGGCGGCCTCCTTCTCGGCGGTCTTCTTGGGCGCTTTGCCTATCCACTCAGGTTGACGCTTCTTGAGTGTGGCCAACAAGCCCTGCCCCAGTACTTTCAGTGACCCTCGCGTTTCTTCCTGAGTCAACTTTTCGACGACTTGTATGAGATTTTGCCCATGTGTCTCAAAGAGAGGGAAATGGTGAGCGATCCTATTCATGACAACGATGGCGTTTCTGATTCGCATGAAGTCTCTTGAGGAGAGACAGAGCTTGAAAGCCGCCCTCATATGATCGTGCCATTTGCGTAGTACCTCTCTGAATTGTTCATAAGAGCACATTGCCTCCTTGGGAATCACCTCACCTCCACGGCGGTTGCCCCATCGCATCTGAAAGCCTGGAAGATTCTTGCCGACAACTTCCTTGTCGAAGAGCGCTTGACTCTTATACCACGGCATGAGGTCGTCAAGTACTACCTGAATGAATCTTGCATAACTGTTCGCCTCATTCTCCGTACACGTGAAGATGACTGGTGCGATATGCTCAATGAAGAGTCGATCGTACAGGGTAAGCGACGAGAAGTTGCGGGCGCCATTGAGATGCATCAGGCGAATGAACTTCCCTGCGAACATGGCGTCCGTCGGGGAGAGGAGAGCTCGAGGAAGAAGACAATACTGTATGAGATGCTGGACAAGATCCCGACGAGTCGTGCCGTCGTTGTCGGGAAACCAGTGATCCTTCTCTACGGCTAGACGTCGGCGCGTGCCCTGATGAGCCAGAGCCCTTGCTTTGAGTTCAGCGCGCAATTGCTCCAATGCTTCTTGATGCCGATGAAACGCCGCCGGCTTTTTAGCGCCATCGCCTGAGTCTGCTTCCTTAATGAGCTGCTGATAGACACGCATCTCTTGCTCGTAGCGTTCTGTGGGTACTTGAATATCTGCTAGCGAGAGCTGCCAGAAAGTCGCAAAGTACTGAGGAGTGAGGACGCGCTTCACGCCCTCGCTGAGAAGGTCCGACGCCACGTCGATTGCTTCTTGCAATCCAGCCCGCCAGATGTTCAGAGCCTTGTCTTTGTCGTCCGTTGTGCCTGTCGTAGGCGACGCGCTGACGGTGACTGCATTGCTGCTGACAGCACCCTCAATTGACTGATCGTTTGTCTCCTCTTCTTTGTTGACCACTGGAGAAGCTGTTCTAGCCTTGCTCGCCAGCAGTTCAGCCCGAAGTTTCTGTTCAGCTTCCGCGTCGTCTGCTTGCTTCATAGCATACAGAAGTCGGGGCCGTGCCAGGTGGAATGCAATGGCTGGTTCGATATCGAAGCGGACGCAAAGGGCCCTCAGATTTGGCACAAGCTCAGCATAGGCTGCCGGCTCGACCTGACTGTGAAGGAATTCGACGTACTGGAAGAGAACCTCCTGGCACGAGTCAGCCAGATTGCCAAGGTAGCGCAAATGCGCTTCCTGCTCTGGGACAAGGTGAACGCATACCTGCCTCTGCTGCGCTATCAGCAGTAAGAGAGCCACATCCAGTCGACTGTGACGCAAAGAGGCCATGAGTCGAGCGCCTGTCCTTCTGATTTGCTGACGGGCTGGTGTGCCGGGCCCAGCGTTGGCGGCCATCATCGCTTCCATTCTAAGAGATCTACCTCCACTGAGTGCCGCAATCTGCTTGTCTGCTAGGTTGGCCAGCGGCTCGATGCCGGACATCTTCAACACTAATTCGCAAACGATGACAAGATCCTTTGAGTTGTTGGCCTTGAGCTGATTGGCTATGTATTGCAACACGGGGAGTGGATCCATGCTGGCGTATCTGCGGTACAGAGTCCCTGCAAATGACGCAAGACTCTTGAGCCACAAGCTGATGTTGGTACCGTCTTGCTTGGTCCGCTCCTTTTCGGGATTGCTCAGAGCATCAATGAGGTTGAAGGAGAAGACATCGTACTCGAGAGGCGTTAGGTACTTCGCGCATTCCACGATATGAGGAATCATATTGTCGTAGACTTGTACTTGATTGAGAGCGACCGTGAAGAAGATGAGTGGATTGGCATGAGATGCCTTGGCAAGAGCACGGCCAGAAATCTTAAGATTGTCCTTGCTGATTCGTTTGAGGATACCTTTGGCTTCTTTCTCTGTCTCCATCTGACGGTAGCGCACTTCAGGACGCCTGTAGAGCTCGTTCTTCCATTCTCCGTACAGTGTGAAGCGCTCTTCATACGGCAAGACCTGAAGGAGACTCCAAAGCTCGTTCAAAAGACCGGCGTTTCCATTCGTGAGTGACAGAGCTGGGAGGAGATGGAATCGAATGATCTCAAGCCAGTCTCCCCGAAGCCGCGGTACCGACCCGTCCGGAGCGACTTCGCACATCATATTCTTCAAATGAGCTCTACCCAAGCGGCAGACATGCTGGAACAGGGAGACATTGATATGGAGGTGTACTCCGAGCAGGCGCAACAAGGGAAGCAGAATACTGCCGATGTCCTCTTGCGACCGGCATTGTGGTAATGACCGCATCCAGCTATCGCCAAAGGCGAAGACATAGCGGGAGTGCGCCGTGCTGATGGGCTCAATTGCGAGGGCAGTGGGCACCAAGCGAGGAGGCGGAGAGGGGAAGAGAGCCTGACGCTGCACATTGAAGCGCATCCTGGTGCCATTCAGGAACTCCTCAGAGAAGACGCCAGGAACTGCAGGGCTTGTAGCCGTTCTGTACAACGGCTCTACCACTACCTTCAAAAGGCGAGCAAAGAGCTCTGCAACTTCCGGAAAGCAGCCTACGAGCCAGGGGTACAATCCAAGGATGAATTGTGCATGTTTCAGCTCCCCTAAAGAGAGAAGCGCCTTCAAGAGGCCCAGGATTTGATTAGGAGGATTTTTGGTGACGAGCTCAGCTTCTTTGTCCTTGTCGGCGTTTCCTCCAGCGGCCTCTGCATTGTCGTCGTCAGCTAGTGGTGCTGCCATTGTGAGTGCGTTGCTGCGAGCGGACGTGGCTTTGCTCTTGAGTGCAGCATTGTATTCACTTTGCAGAGCCTTCATGCCTTCCTCACTTGGCGACAGATGATTCCAGAGGTCGGAGAACGAGATGACTCCTTCTTTGATCAGGAGTGCGCTCATCAGATATAGCTCAGCAGGCACCTCTTCGCGCGTTTCTGGCAGGCGATAGTAATCGAACTTGAAGCCCAGCAATTGAGCACAGGTTGAGTTGCTGTTTGTACTTGGGTCGACGATCGTATCGGCTATACTACTTTCGGGGCCATCGAGATCCATCACGTCGTCGCGAGAGCCGGCCTCCTGATCGTACTTCATATGACTTCTCCTCCTGTCCCGCGTCCAAGGAGAAGCCGCCACTAGCGATAGAAAGAATGGCCAATGGAGGGTGACGTTGCTTGCGAAGACGTCGAGTATCATATCCAAGACCCTGCTTGGGTCGAGATCGAAATAGCCTATGAGAGCCGAAATGTTCCGCATTACACCTCTTGCCCTGCGATTGCGCTGCTCCGGTTTCTCCTGCTCTACCACACGAGCGGCAGCCGAGTACCAATCATGAGGTTTATCAAATGGAACATCGTAGAGCGCAATCAACTCTGGACCCATTCCGCCCAAGAGCTCGTTGATCAGTCCTGAATAGCCCTCGTTCTCTTCTCTCAAGAGGTTGAACTTTTGTTGCTTGTAAAGATTCGACGTATTGATACGAACGCCTTTCTTGTTGAATGTCGCGTCGTCGCTCAGCAGCCCGATTGCCGTCAGCATCGGAATCTCAAGTCTTTCGGCGACAGAAGCTCTAGAGAGACAGCTCGATGTCTGAAGGAACGGGGGCAGTCGAAGTAAGCGCCTCCTTTCAGCATTCTGCGTGCCACACTCTCTTCAATATTCACCATCAAGTTGCGAACGAGATCTGCCAAGTTCTCCTTGGCGGCCTTGGCCTCGTCCGAGGCAGAGTTCCTCTTCTTGCCCTTGCCCTTGTTGGCTTCGCTTTGCTCTTCATCGGTCATCAACAAGCTTGCCAGACCGCCAGCCTCTGCCACCTCTCGTCTCAACTCGATCTCCACATCGACTGCCCAAATCACGTCAAGAATGATGTGAGCAAAAGGCGATTCGCTGTCCACTGCCGGAGGAGTTCCTGTCTGGACGGCAGGCGTAGAGAGTCGGCTTGGCCCAGCGCCATCAGTGGACACATTCCCTGCATGTTCAGACTCTTGCTCGAGAGTCTCCACTGCAGCTCGAGTCGGCGGAAGCGCTTCTATGAGTGAGATGAAAGCGGATGTGTTGAGAGAAGGCGCCGTAGCATGCAAGAACAGCAGTGCCTTCCATAAATGCACAAAAGTGTGAGGCAGAGCCGAATGTGCTTGCGCCTCAGTAGAAGCAATGAGGGCCGCGTGTCTGTTTGAGATCAAAGTGAGAGCGTGTAAGAAGAGGGCCTCCTTCGATCGATTCGGGAGTTGTTGTCTCGTAGGAGATGACCGATCCCTGCCTTTGACATCTCATCAAGTTGACTTGCATTCCTCGCCCACTGCCTACATTTCGGACACAGAGCTCCCTACTCGCCTCGCCTGCTCAAAGAGACTTGGTCCTCTCATGAGGCCGCACGGCCGAGCTTATGGCCTGAGCAGTCCTTGTCCGATGGGCCTGTTTCGAGTCGTGCGCTGCAGCAGCAAGGCAAAGCTTACTCGGCCTGTCCGAGTGCAGAGCTCGAGGATCGGAACTACGCGTTGAGATGATTGGCTGCATGACCTTACTCACAATCTTTCACGGCCCCCGGTATCCCACTGTGCTAGACAATGAGCCACAAGATCTGCTGCGCTCTGTGAGCTCTCCGAAGGCGCCGTCGCCATGACGGATGAGATGAGAAGAGGCGGAAGGATTGGCTGTGGGGTTCGAGAAGGCGATCCTGGAAGAGATGGCTTGGGAGTAGCCCATGCGTCATTCCGTTCCGGAAAGAGGTCGCGCGGGAGACGACCTCAGGCCGTGCACGGCAGCAAGGACTGAAGCGGTGGAGGACCCTGGGACGATCATCTGCGTCGGCGAGCCCGATAAAACATTGAACTATGGACATGGCGCACAGATGGTGAGGACTTTCCAGAGTTCGAGACTGCCAAGCAGTGGTAGTATCGACCTCGCTGCTGGCTTACACGACGCAGGTATCTGACTTCACCTTTGGAACATGTAGCCGTCGGACGCAAGCGCAAACGGGCAGTAGCATCAGGTCATCCTTCTGCCCATATTTTCTTCGTTGACAGCCCCACCTTGACGTTGCCAAGGGTCTTCATCCTTCGCCGTTGCGGCATCGAGCCCCTTTCACCGTCGAGGGCGCGGTCCGGGTCCCTGAGCGCGTTCCCAGAACACTGTGACAACCTTCTACAGATGAAGGTTACGCGTCGTCAAGAAGCGGCCGCGAACTCCTGAGCTCGGCCTATGCCATCTTTGGCATCACGAATGGCAGTGCTAGAGCGACATTGACTGTGCCCATGCTAGAGATCCCGGAGAGCGAGCGACGTACTCAGGAGAGGATGGCGCCCTTGCGGGGGGGCCGACGGAAGGCCGAGTGGAGAAGCGGGAGCGGAGTTTGGGAATGGAAGCGTCACAACAGGGCGGCGGCGCGTGTTGGTTGGACATTCTTCGACAAAAGCCACATTCCTGTCTGTTTACACGCCCAGGGCCTGACTGCACTTCGACGCTATCCTTGCTCCCCCATCCCCCGCCTCACTCCCCCGTCTCGATGCTCCTGGTCCGGCTCCTCCCTCCTGTCAACGGCAGCTCTCTCTCGCCGTCGCTGTGTCGCTCCTTTGTCTGATCTCATCTGCTTCCATCTCATCCTTGTCAGTGTAGATCATATTTTCAACTCCCGTAACGACCCAGTACCCACTACCACCACCGTCACAACAATCCAGAATCCCCTGCTCTCAGACTCCCCTCCTCCTTTACAAGCTTCAATCTCACATCCTATCCCGGTACGCAGCACCTCGCTCTGCTCCTAGCTACTCATCAGCCTACACTCTATTCTCGCAAACAACTCTTCGACATCGTTTCTCTCAAGACCAGCTATACTGGCGCTGTACTGAGACAGCCTTGGCCCACGTGCTGGCATACGCAACCGCCTCCTCGAGCAGCTGGTCTGAGACCTTTCGAACGGCATACGGGCTGCGATGCCTCGGCCATCCTCCTCCTCCTCACCGGCCGCTCAACCATCGGGCAGAAGATATTACTTTAGTGCCGGAGCAGTCGGCAGGGGTGCCCTCACCAGCGGCATCGTTTCTCCGGAGGCCACCTTTGGCCCGATTGGAAAGCGTGGCGGGCACAGAACCTCCGCTGAAACAGACACCGTTGACCTGGACCTCTCCTTCGAATTTGTAAGCCCTGCTGAGGCAGAGCAGAGTGACGCTGGCCACTCTAGCCAGAGCTCGCACCAGCAACTGTCCGAGACCGAAGAGTTGCACCGACGTCTACCGCAAGCGCAGCCCGTAGCAAGTGGCAGCCAGGTTGCCATGGGGGATGAGGCAGTGAATGCCGTATCAGATACATCCTCACCCTCACGCCCTCGAGGTATGGCAGCATCTATCTCTTCTTCGACCAGGAGGAAGCAACCTCCTGAGCCACTGACCTTCGACAGCGACAGCCGCAAGCAGAATGCTGCCCACCCTCCTCTCGGCTCGACACAGAGCACCACAGCACAGTCGACAGTAGTCAGTGGCTCACAGCCTCAAACGCCCAGCGATGCCACGCTCCCCAACAGCGCGGGGCCACCCAAGGGGAGGAGAAGAGCGGGGACGGTGAGCAGTACACCTCCCAGCGCTCCGCCGTGTGTACCGTTGCCTTCGGTCCCCACTGCCGAACACTCCGCTATCGGACCGTCATTTGCGGCTGTGAGCACGAGAATTGCTGAGCAAAGAGAGAGGAAGGCTCGACAACAACGTCATGACATGTCTCTGCGAGAAAGCTATTACTCGCTTCAAGGCAGTGTACCAACGGTCCAGATTCATGATGTTGCTTCTACACAAGCAGCTGAAGCTCAGACGAAGCCTGCACAAGAGTATGAGCCGCAGCGCTTTGCGACTACCTCGCGTGATTACCACTCGCAAGCAATGAAGGTCAACTACTCGTCGTCGTCGTCCCAATTTCCCGACTCGCTGTACAGCGAATCGAGCCCAGTATCCGTGCAACACAGTCTTAGCACACCTGGCACCCCCTATTCATCTGTCTTTGACGCTCGCAGCGAATCTGCGAAGATGCTGGTATCGCACAGCAACGCTTCCTCCTTTGCCAAAACGGGCAAAATGATCGATAGCGAGCTGATGACTGGCGTCATCACCGAAGAACCTGTCGAAGAACACGTCTCACTTTCTGTTAGAGGATTTGGCGATGGCCCGGGCTTGCCTCGCAGTCACACTGCTGAATGGCTCCAAGCCCAGCGACGGCGTGCTGTGTCAGCTGCAATGGATGACAGCGGCGAAGTCGATCCCATCCGTGGTAGCGAGGAGACTGCATCTTCCGAGTCCATGACGACTTCTGAATCAGACGTCTCTTCCTTACCGGCATCGGGACGGCAGCTATTGATTATCAATACTTCGGACAGCTCACACGAAGTGGATGTCGAGCTTGGAAGGAACGATGGCAAACAAAAGGGTCCATGGGCTGAGAGTCCGATGCTCCTTACCCCATCCAGGCAAGCGCAGAGTGCTATTGGCCTGGGTCTGGTGTTCGACACCAAAGACAGCAGGGGGCTGTCCGGCAATGGATTTGCCAACAACAACGTGCTCATTGCAAATCGGATGCAACTATCAGATCCGTCCCTCTTGGCAGGGGAGGTGACGCCTCAAGCAAAGACTTTCTCGAAGCCTCGTGGTCCCTTCTCTGAGAGCCCAGTCCCCACCATGAAAGCAGGAGTCTCGCTCGGCTTTGACGCAAAGTCCGGTGCACAAAGTCGGTCTCGATACAGCTCCATTGACGCAGCAAAATCTTCAAGCCTGTCACCGCGCATCAGAAGTCTCGCCTTGGTTGATCATCGACAGCAGTCTCTCGGTCAATCAGACGGTGCAAGCACTCCAGCCAGGCCAGGCTTCTTCGCAAGACGGCATACTCTCGGTCTCAACCCTCTCGAGAAGCAAAGTCGTGACGAATGGCACGAAACAGAGAGATCAGCCCCGTCCCAACTATCCCCACCGCACTCGTCAGCACCGACAGCTCCTCGCAGTGCACCTTTGCCGTCTACCTCCACTTTTGCATCGGGGGGCGAGACTCCTACGGTGTTCGAGATGAGCAAACGTTCATCAAAGCACGTTCGAAGGGCATCCCGTCTGCACTACGTTGCTTCGCCTGACTGCGACAACAGTGGCGAGGTCCGATTGGCGATGCCGACGCCAGCCCTGACATCTGAGCGACGCGTTGTAGTGTCTCAGTCGGGTCGCACCGCGAGAAGCTCTTCTGGAGGCCCGCCACGCTCTCGTCTGTCCTGGGGCTATGCCCCTCGCAGCGACATAGAGTCGCCCACACTGCCCATGTCTCCAACAGAGAGCAGCGCAGTCCCATCCTCTCCCTGGCTCGATTTCGCAGAAGATGGCTCCGGAATGGCTGCTACCTCAGCACGGCGCTCAGAGCTGTTGAAGAGGTCCGAGAGTGGTCGTCGTCAACCGTCCAGCGGAAGTAACGTTACTCATTTCAGCTCCGTCCTAGAGAGTGAAGGCGGCTTGCGTAGGCGATCCACACTGGAGAAGAAGAATCAGAGGACAACCCTGACCATACCTCCTACGGCGGTGATCAGGCCCTTCGTATCTACTCACGACCGAAGAGCGAGTGTCCACTCTGATGTTCTCGTTCAGGATGGCAGCCTTCGCCTTGGACACATTCAGGAAGACAAGGGTTTGCGGCAGCTGCGTCTTATGGGTGACCTCCCCCCTGAGGAATATGGCTCCCGGCCCATGAGCGTCTTCGTCCCCGTCCCAACTCTTCAGGCTCACCTTCGAGCCAAAGCTTTGCAAGAGCAGCAAGAGAGAGTGCAGCTTCGCACAAGGGCTGCGATGCATGAACCTCTACCGCGGTCACCACTAAGCTTCGGACATGACTTGCTGAGCTCGTCTGGACGCATGCTTGATTCAGAGCTGCCTTCTCGAACCCTATTCTTCTTGGGATTTCTTGGTATGCCCTGGCTCTGGCTATTGGGAGGGTGGGCTCTAAACAGCGACGGCATGCTGGGGCCTGCAGGAGGAGCCGGCAGAGGTCGAGTGGAATTCTACACGCACGAGCCCAGCATGCAGGAAGTTCAGCGCCAGTTGAGACAACAGGGTCAAGGACAAGGCGCGCTGCAGCGTCGCAGCAGGGTCACCAGCCGCAATCTGTCAGTTGCGCGAGGTCACCTGTCGACCATCTATACTGATGGTAACGATCAACGAGACTATGCTGGGGAATCTTTTGAGGTCCTCGATTCCGAGCATGGTCTCCACCGGATGCACCAAGAACGACGAGACGTGTACAACGAGCCATCCAAGGCTGCTCAAAGTCACTTCTCATTGGCAAGTTCCGATGGCTGCACGGGCCGTACCTCACCTCAGACTTTGACTTCAGCCAAGGTCGATCGACTGCCAAGAAACACCAGGCGATCGTTGGGCTCTTTCCTTAACCCTCACCCAGAAGTCGCACTCTTCCATTCTCCTGTCCGCTCCGTTGCTTTCAGCGACGGTCCAAGTGACGAATGGCATAATGCTGAGCAAGGTCTGCATCGTGGACATGCAAGCTTGAGCGCCCGCCGGCGGGCCCGTCGAAGCGGGGTATCAGGCCTAGACCACATCTCTGACGTCGAAGAGCCTGCCACCGATGTGACAATGACATTGGAGAGCGAAGATCACCGCTACTCTACAGGCCTGTCTATGGCTGACGACCGACGATACGAGCTACGCGACGAGGTATCTGTAGGCCATCTGCGTTCAGGTTCACGCACGACCCTGTCCATGCTGGAGGGCCTGCAAGGATACAGCTCAGCTCCTGCTGAGCAGGTAGCAGTGAAACTCACTGCTCGTCAGCGACTGGCGCTCATGGAGCGTTACGTGCTGCTGAATCGCTTCATGGCTATCACATCTACCCTGGCGGTATTTGCGGGCTTCGGCGTTGCCCTGAACGCAGTAGCGATGAATTTTTGAGACGCCTACGACAAGTGGTGTTGCCTAGCCGATATCTTCAACTTTCCGATACCCCTTCTGATGAAGACGATTCCCTTTCTACCTTCGAGGACGATGCTGATGAGTGGGAGAGCGATGCGGACGATCACGACAGGGACCTTGAGGAGAGCATGGAGGCCAAGCTCGAAGCAAGCGCATTAGACCATGGCTCTCAACATCCTCTTCAATCGGTCTCCGGATCTTTCAAGCGCCGCAAGGACCAGAATGCCATCACTATGAAGTTCTTTGCTCACTTCGTAACATTCATCATTGTCAGGCGCCCCAAACGTCGTTCACCACCCCCCTCTCGTACCCGCTCTCGTTCCTCGAAGCGTTTTTCCACATCTCCACAGAGTAAGCGCAGATCAATCATTGCTGCTTCGAAGGCCGAGCGTCGTAGGAGCCGCATCATCCAACAGCGCAGCAGCGTTGCCAGTACAAAGTCGAAATCAAGTGATGCTCATCAAGAAGATGTCCTCGTCTTTGGTGGTGGATCTACGATGTTCAATCTGTGGTGATTTGACTGGCTATCTCGATGCTCAGTATATACCTCAAGTGTACCAATCTTCTTCAACGTTTACCTTCTTTCCTCTTCTTTTGCCGGCTAGGCAGCACATACCGAGAAGGGCTTCGCAGCGCAATTGCAGCTGAGCACCCTCAACCCGTAGCACCTGTTCGTAGGCGGGTCTCTCTTCCCCTCTTTTCCCACTTCGCTTTCCCATCCTGTCGTATATACCGCTGCATTCTATATCCACGGACTCTTTCTGCCGCGTCGGGCTCTCTTTCTCATATTTCCCCCCGTCGTGTTGATGTATACCCCCTCTTCGTTTTCCCTTTATTTGCCTTTGGGCACGTTGTTTGTCGCGGCATCTAATGACCCGCATCTATTTAATGCCGAAGGCATTGTACCCTTTACTCTAAGTTGTTCTTGGCGTCGTCCGTACGAGCAATGCATCACAAGAGCATAACTTGATAGATCTTCCGGCTGAAAGAGGTTGCTCAGGACCTTCAGGCGTCGCCTCGCGGCGTGCGACGTCTCCTCACCTTCGTACCTTAGCATCCGCAACGCCTGTATGGCAGGCGCGGTAGCCTCCATGTCCTCCTCGCCTAGCTTTGTTCATCCTCAATCTGTCCCCTTTGCTAGCAGGGAGGGACATACGCAGGCACGTTCGTCGGAGCTCTGCCATTCCGATACCCAGCAGCAGGGGCGATCTCAAGACATCGTCGAGGCCTCACGTTGCCAGTCTAAACTTGGCTGGAGCGATAGAGGAGGTGCTGCTCCCTTTGTCCGTGCATCACCACCCATACCGCCCGGGCACCAGAGCTGTGCGTCGTTGGCGGTGGCTTGCCCCGCTGCCAATGGCCTCGGTTGCAGGGGCTGCTACACCCAGCCTTGCGCCTCCCCGCACACCACCACAGTCACCCCGACTCTCACGCCCACGTCTCCGCACAAGGAGCCGAGCCTCGTCCTCGAGCGGAACGCAGCTCCTGGTCATCCTCGATATCATCACCCAATTCCCGCGGGGAAAGGGGACGGCGACGCTTCTCACCAACCCCTTACTCACCATCAGCGTACCACCTCCGCCCAGTCCATCAAGGGCAGCCGACAGCCTTCAGAGCAACTCACCACACCAGCCGCTGAGCCCGCACCACGCCCTTACGAAGCGGATCCTCAGCGCTACACAGCCTCGGCCTCTCCCGTGCCAGCCGGTCCTTTAGCAGCCGCTTCCCACGGGAGGCTATTTAGCACAGCACCTCTTGTCAGGCGTCTACTTGCCAGGACAGAGCGGCCCCCATCGCCCAGCTCAGCGAACCAAGGACCGACACAGTCCTCACCATCGCCGACCTCATCACATCCGCCCAGCAGCGACCTCCTTCGCCTGGTTCGGAAGCACTCCCTCCAACGTAAGACAACCAGAGGGCAGGGATCGCATACATCGCTCATACGGCCACCTGCGATGGCCACATCGGTCGCCCAGAGCATCCCGATCGCCATCCCTCGCCCGCCCACTTCCGGTAATGATGACCGAGCAGATAAGAGTAGGAACTCTCAGAACCACTACAATGGCCTGGCAGCCTCGCCCAACAAATCCCTCATTCCGAGCTCGCTGAGAGCATCGGCAAGCTCGCTCAGTGGCGTAGTGCCCCGAGCCTCCTCCTTCACTACATCTGATTGCCATGGAGGATCTTACTCTCAATCTCCCAGGGCCAGAGCTGCTCCGGCCAACTCCATTCTGCTCAGAAGAGGCGCCGGACTAGGGCAAGAATTTGACCAGACCGGGCTCGATGTGGCGGAGACCGGGACTTCGCCCCGTATGCTTTTGCCGCCCGCACCCGTTGTTACCCACATCCCAGCTGTTCCAGTGGACGCTGCCGCTCAGAGGAAGAAGGAGCGCCGGGAGCGCGAGAAGCTCCGGGAGAAGGAGGAGCGAGAGCGTAGAGAGAGGGAGATCAGGGAGAGGGAATTAGAGCTGGCAGATGCAATCGAAGAGCAAGAGGAGAAGGTCTGGGGCATCCCCAAGAAGGCCTTCTACTTTGGTCTGGGCTCCGTACCTGGCGCCATCAACTTCAATGCCCAGATGGCCATGATGGCCGGGTGGGGCAATGGCAGTGGAGGACAGGGGGATTATATCCGAACGCCCAATGACTCTCTCACGCGACCGCCCTACAAGTCGAGAACTAGCAGTGGCTCCACAAAGAGGCCCTCATCTAGTCGTAGCGCCTCCTCAAGCACAAAGGCAGGCTCACAGAAAGCGAAACCCAGTCGTACGGCAGCAAAGAAGGAGGAAAAGGCAGCGGCGAACAAAGAGGCAATCGAAGCACTGCGCTCTTCCAACTCGAGCTACAACAGTGCATATACAGAAAGCGATGGCTCAGAGTCGGACGGTATCGATGCAGAGGAGCTGGCTGCGCTCAATGCTATCATCAATACCAGAAGGAGTATGGCTGCAGCTCAAGCTTTAGCCAGCGGAGAGGTGAAGCTGCCAGCGCCCAAGCGACCTGTACGACCATGCTTGGCAACTTTGCGGGCCGTCAGCATGGACACCGTCGCAACCACCCCTTCGAGTACCTCAGACGTCACTTCCCCTGACGTGGCGGATGACGCCGACGTGCCAGAGAGCAAGTCTCGACCGCCTTTCCGCAGGAACGAGTCGACAGAAAGTCAATTGGAGGGCGCAGGATCCTGCAAGATCCGCTTTGCACCGCTGCCTAGGCCTTCGCCGATCGACGACGATGTGGAGAATCTACCTCCCGGTGGAGAGTCTCTCATAGAAGGTCAAATCGACGAGAAAGGTCTTCCCCTCAGCGAAGCTCAAGCGATGAAGGCTCTTAGCTCGAAGGATGGCTCGGACAGTGATGCCGACCCCGGAGGAGAAGACGGGGATGATCTTGACAGCGGTGACGAAAGCGAATCCGATTACGAAGACGTCGACGAAGCAGAAAAGTGGCGACGCAGGATGAAGAAGTACAAGAGCAGATGGTAAGTCGCCTGGACCACGTGAGATCTGCTGAACAGCTCTTCGAGCTTTCCGATGCTGACTGCCGCTTTCTCGCCTCCATAGGTACATGATGGGGCTGCCTCCACAAGCATTCAAGAGCGAATATTATCGGTCCTGGAGAAAGTGGTCGAGCGACAATGCTCAGCAGCAACCCTCATCAAGGCCTGGCTCAGCCAGAAGCGATCGTGAGGACACGCCAGGCTCTGTTGTTGATAAGGTACAGACCTCTGCAGAGACTAAGCAGCAGCGTCGTCTGAGCACCGGTACGCTCGGTCTCATGAGCAGCGCCGAGATAGTGCGCAAGGCCGCAGGTGAAGTCCTCGACAATACCGTGCAGACATCGGCAGGAAGTCCTAAGCCTGCAGCGTCACCAGCTACTGACGGTAAGGCTCAACCGAGACGTGGTCGTCGCGGTCGTCGCAACAGTACTTCGCAGAAAGGCTCCTCGACCGCTCGCTCGGCTTCTGCTGGCTCAGCTGTCGACAAAGAAGAACGTATGCGACGACGTCAGCTCATCTTGGCAGCTCGGCCTGGCGGAACCGGCATGGTGACGCTCCCCGACGGGACCAAGGTCCGAGCGAGAAGAGTCGATGATGCTGCTCCAGACGGAGATGATGGCTACCCTCAAGAATGGGGCTTTGCAGGTCTTGCGAAGGCTCAGAAGCTCGAGGCCCCCGAAGATGCGGCACAAGATGACACGGAGGTGGAGCCCGATGCCACTGAGGGCGGAGACGAAGATGAGGTGCCACCTCCAAGGACAGCTTCTCCGACTGGAGCAGATGCACTCTCTGATGTCACGCCTCGCAACGCTAGTCCTGATGGCCAAGACCGTGGCGCTGAGTCCAGACTCAGTCTGCAAGAGCGTGTCAGGCGTAGGCACGAAGCAGAGGTCGCTGCGTTGGGAGCCGAAGTTTTGGCTGCTCATCGTAGGAAGGTCGGAGCGGCGAAAGAAAACGCAGCAGCAACAGGAACAGAAGCCACGACTGTCCCACCTGCATCTGACGCTGGAACTACCGAACCGGCCACTGCTACTCAGCAGAATGCCGAAGCAAAGAAGGAGGCGGTCAAGGCGCAAGATCGTCCAGGAGCTACGGTTCGCAAAGATTCTGTACCTCCTTCGAAGTACACTTGCCAGCCCTTGGCGAACATCTTCCACCGCCGACCAAGCAGGTCTACTAGCCCACAATCTGCTGCTGTCGCCTCGGAGTCCACAGCTCGTACGTCGGATTCGCCAGATGCTCGCGCTCAGCGACCCGAGAAGCCAGGTCGCAGCCGAAGCAAGACTTCCAATGCCTCATCGGATCATCTGCGGTCATCCATGGACGGCAGATCCCTGGACTACAATACGCCCCTATACTCTCCTATGCGCTCTTTGCCGCGCAAGCCTGACGCCAAGGGATACGCCGTCGTTCCTCTTCCTAGTCAGCTGGGTGTAAGACCCGACCGACCTCGAGAAGGCAGAGTGTGGGAATGGTCTGATGATGAGAGCAGCCTGAGTAGCGAAGCGGAGGAAGCTACTACGACTGCCAAAGGTGACAAAGGGGCAGATGGAAGAGGAGCCGCTGATGCAGGCGACCAAGATGAAGACGAGACTACCAACATGGACCTCAATGAGGAGGAGATGGCCGAGGAGGAACAGCGTAAAGCTGCTCACGCCAAGAGAGCCACTACATCCGCTGCCGGACTGGAGAGGATGCTTGTGAGGACCAAGAGCGGAGCTACTTCCACAAGTCTCGCTGCGACCAATGCTAGAGGTCTTCCTGCCGTCCAGCGAACGAGGACACTGGACGGCGAGTTGTCTGCCATTGCCGCTCGTGATCAGTCATCGCCTGCTCGACGCATTGCCAGCACTGGTCTTACGAAGACACCAACGCAATCACGCAGTGCATCAATGAGTGTACAGCCTAGTGGCGGCTTGTTGCCTGGAGCTTCAATTCCCTCCCCGACTCGATCCCGCAAGAAGACGTCTTCTCCTAGTGGATCCCAGCCACCGGGGACTCGCTCGCGAGGCGGGGAAAGTGCCGCTGCGCAAGCAGACTCGAGCTCTACAGAAGACGACCAGATGTGGTCTCGCAGCGTTCCCAGTGCGCTTGGAATGGGACAAAGTCTCTCCCCTACCACCTCTCGTACTTCTCAGACGGGTTCCGTACGAAGTAGCCTACAGCCTACTTCTCCACCACTTCATGCGCCGACTGCCTACTTTGGCGGTAGGACTTCCACAGAGCAACAGGAGAGGAGGAGGAGTATGCGAAAGCCCTCTATGGAGGGAGCACGAAGCAGAGAGAGGTCTGCCAAGAAACAGGCGGAGAGGGATGATGATGCGATGGATTATGGCTGGCCTAGTAGTCTCAAAGGCAGTCTTTACGATCGATGACCTGGGAGATGTCCCAGGTTCGACACCAATACCAAATAGGCAGATGGTTTATGCAGGCCTCGGCTCGGAACCTCCTCTCATGACTCTAACGACTTTCCAACGCAATGGTTCCCAGGAAGAGATGGAATCTCTTGACTTTCACCACTTATAGTACCTGCCATCTTTCACCGCTTCCATTCTTCACCTGCATTTACCCCTTTCCCGACGGCCCTTTGCATCCGACTTGCCTTGCTTGTGTGTACATACCGCCTCTCTTGAGATACCTTTAGCTTTCGATTCCCCAATGTCATTGTCCCTGAATGAATACGCGCCCAGTGCAATTGTTACATCTTATTGAGCTCATCTGGTCCAAAGCTCAAGGGAAGTAGCTCCTCTAGTGTCCGTACAATGACTCCCTCCTCATCGTAACAGCCTTGACCCCTCTTACTCTCCTCCTTGACCTCGCCCGCACTCCCACCTTGCCACTTTGCCCAAACCATCAGTATGGGCGTATCCAATGGGGCGAACTCCCGGATGAATTGCCGGCATATTCCACAAGGAGAGCAAGGATCGTTGGGCAAATCAGAAGAGACGGCAATAGCCCTGATGGCTCCCGTGAGTGGGTAGGAAGATGGAGAGTGAGAGGCTGAGGCTGGTTGCGTGGGAGAGCGGGTAAAACGAGTAGCAGAAGCAGTTAGGATGGCGGTACGCTCGGCACAGACTCCCGCGCCTGTGGGATGGGTAGAGATCAGAAAGTGAGCGGAAAGCTGTGAAAGATATCTAGTGGGAGTTACTGAGGCTCACCATAGCTCGCATTCTCTACATTGGCTCCCTGCACGATTGACCCATCGGTAAGCAAGACTGCCGCTCCGACTCTGAATTTCCTGAGTGAGGGCAAGGGCGAGAGAAAAGGAGAGGGGTCATTTCAGCTGGCAGTGGGGGAGGCGATTGTGGTCCAAGACGCTGTGCCTCACGAGTAAGGACTGTAAGACAGCGAACGAGCGTCTAAAGCAGACTGCAAGAGCGAGTGCCGCTCTTGCGGAGACAAAGAGGGCATGGCTACAAAGAGTGATGGAGGGTAGATGGGGGGATCGAGGGCAAGACGAGGAGATACGAGGCGATAAGGTGTTGGTTGCGTGGGTGTCGTATGCGGGTAGAAGTGCGGACGGGCCACTGCTCGATGCGATGCGATGCGATGCGAGAATTGTTGACAATCTGTCTGCTCTTCCTGCATGTACCCCGAGATGCACGGCGTGGCTCTGTCACCTCGCGCGGTCACCTGTAACGGGTGCAATTCTGCGATGTCTCATCCTCTGCGCGCGCCTTGTAGTTACCGCTTCCCTCAACAGAGTTGGATCAGGCCCTGCTTCCGCCTCGCTCACGCGTCGCTCGAACAGGCCCTAAATCGGCCAGTTGATTCTACTCTAGATGTTGCCCACCTCCGTGGATTTCGCAACGACGCAGCAGGCAGGCAACTGCACACTGCGCTGGACGGGTCCAACTGCAGTTGTTGAGGGGTAAAGGCAGGCAGCTGGCGAGATCGACTCTCTGAAAGCGCGAAGAGGCCTCAAGATGAGCCAAAGCTTTTTTTGCCCCCGCGTCCCCCAGTCAGTCAGTCAGTCAGTCAGTCAGTCAGTCCCTCGACGGAAAGAGAGGTGGAGAGACGCGACCCATCGACGGAAAGGAAGCAGCCCAGGATTCAGGCCTCGCTCGGCAAGGCAGCCACCCACCATCATTCATGGCTACAGCAGCACCACCACTTCATCTTTAGGCCGCAACAGTCCTTTTCAGCAGTGACATCCCTCACGCCGGCATCGAGACCGGATGTGGGTCGTAGAGGGCCAATTCGACGGCGGTGGTGAGCAGATCCGATTTCAGGGCGTTTTGAGCTTAACGACTCTTGTCTGATGTATCCAGTCTTACTGTCCTTGACTTGGCCCTCACAGCTGCCCGACGGAAGCTACTGAAGCCATACAAGACGTACAAAGTCGGCCGAAAGGAGCCAGCCGATCTCGTCCTTGCCTCCAAGACCGTCTCGCAGCTCACGACCGTCTTTGAGGTCGGTCCTTTCACAGAAGACGATGTGACAGGGGACTACAGCAAGCGGCCTACTCTGACATTGCGTAACGAGCATGAGAAGAAGGCTCTGCATGTCCTCAGAGCTGGACGAGGCAGCAATCTAGAAGTAGCAGAAGGGACTGAAGGCGTGGTTGATGAGGACAGGACCATCGAGGAAGTGGCGCCGGGAGCGACGTGCCACTTGAGCGAGGGAGACGATGTCTTGGTCACGAATAATATTACCATCAAGTGAGTCCAGGCCGAGGGAGCAATACCCGTGCGATACAATCAAAGATGATGCTGAGGGTATGCTTGCCTCTCTTGCAGTGTCAAATGGTACGGAGGAGAGTTCCTAGCTGGCTTCAAGACAGACAAAGACGTTGTTGCGTCCAGGATAGCCGGCTGTGCTCAGCTAGGTAGGTAGTCGAGGGCTCCTTGCCTTGCTCTCCGACATTCGCGCTGATCTCTGTGACCACTATCCAGGTATCCACCTCACCCGTGATGTCAAGCTCTGGGTCAAGGGCGCTTCTCATCTCTGCGTCGGGCAGGTCAAGATGACCCCGACTGTGCTGCGTGCCGTAGCTTCACTCGCTCACATCGTTACCATTGACTACCTTGACGAGGTACTACGGCTTGGCTCGCTTACAGGCTCCGCTACGGATCGGCCCTCCTTGGAGACGTCGTTCGAGCTTCCTAGCCCTGCCGACTACTTCCCTCAGTATATCAGTCCCGAGCTGTCTGCGGAGGAAGGAAAGCAGACACTGCAGCGCAATCCAGCGCGAGCTCAGCTCTTTGCAGGCACAACTGCCCTTATCATCCATACTGGAGACGAGCTCGACAGCGTGAGTCAGAAAGCTCAGAACAGCACGATGCCTCAGGTTCTGACCTCTCCACTTTCATTCCCTCACAGCGATGCAAGGTTGCCAATGACTACATACGAGCAGGTGGTGGACAGGCCGAGTTCCTCAGTTCGGACATTGCCAACCTATCGAGTGAGAGCGAGGCTCAAAGGACGCTCCTACCCTACAAGACCTCAGCACTGTCGTTCTTCTCCCGGACTCATCATGTTCAGAATGCCCCTGATGGTGGCCTTGTGGTCGTCGTGGTCGATGGAGTGCAGTATTCAGGAGATGAGCCCTGGTACAAGAATCTCGTCTTGGCCACAAGGAGCATGGAGATCAAGATGCCTGATGAGGGCATCACAGCTTTGACGCTTAGCCTCATCAAGTGTGATTCTAGAGACCGCCTCAATGTCACAGCTTCGCTCCCGGCTGGGATAGCAACACCGCCGCAGGGGGACGTGGATCAAGGAGCTCCACAGCCTCAGCTTAGTCCTACCGTCGCTCGAGAGCAGACCGAAGCATCCTCATCCATACCTGAGCCGTCGATGCCAATACCGACGGGAGCTACTGCGGGCTCCGAACCCCCAGCACCGACACCTACCGAGGCCAGACCTGAACACAGTCCTCCAGCACCGACTGCTTCTTTTGCAAGCGCATACACTCAAGACCCGGAGCCGCAGGGCAGCAAGAGGGGGGGAGACTTTGCAGAACCAAGACGACCTCTAAAGCGGAAGCCTCCCACCGGTCGAAGTAATCCTTTCGACGCTCTCATTGGTGGTAGTAATAACAATGAGATGGGTAGTGCTCCGATGGATACCCAAGAGCCGGTGGTCGCTGCAGGTCCCTCCAAGGAGTCCACCAGATCGGCAGAGGAGCACCCGAGTAGCAGCATCTCCACTGCTGCTCTGCGTCGGAGGACAAAGGATAGTCGGGCAGGTAGAATGTCTTCTATCTTCAGAGCATCTTACGACCTCGAGGGTCCTGACGCGACTCAAGGCAGCAGTGTCAGCGACGAAAGCTTCCGCAAGAGCAAGCCCTTCCGTGCACTGCTTGAGGAAGAAGATCATCAGGCTTCGCATTGTGCTAACGGTATTCCGGTCAACGGTGGTGTTTCATCAGACCCTCGGCGAGGTGACGATGTCGCTGCGACCCCACTGACCGCTCGACCTGCCGAGGGCTCGCGGAAGAGGCGGGGAAGTCACGAAGACGTGGCTATGGCCGAAGCAGAGACTCAGCTCCCTAGGAAGCGGCAAGCCGCGGGAGCAACGACCATTCAACGCTCGCAAAGAGGACAGGAACCAGAGCCAGAACAGGACGAAGAGGAGGAGAGTCAAAGTGCTGCCGCTCTTAGCAGGCGAAAGAAGGAAAAGCAACAGCAGCAAGCTCAAGGCGGCGTCATACGAGGCGGCGATGGTCCTCGAGGCAAAGGCCTCAATGAAGCTCCAGATGACGAACCTCACTTCTTGCAAGCCTTGGCGACGCACAAGAAGGGCAAGAGAGCCCTCGATGAATTCGACAAAGAGTTCAACAACCTCAAACTCACCAAGCCTGCTACTACAAAAGGGAAGGGCCCGACGCCTAATCCTCATACTTACGTAGAAGACGAAGCGTACAATGCTTGGAAGGCGACGGAGCTGGATGACTTTGACATGCCGGTGGGCAATTACGTACAGGTGGACTATGTCCCCCTCGTCTACAAGCGGCCCTCGAATCCTGCGAATTCAGAGAGCAGAAGTGAGTGGCGCGGTGTCCCCAACTTCAAAAAGTTCAAATCGAAGGAACGCGGCCAGCGCAAGCCTATGATCATGGACTTGACGGAGCAGCAGGACTATGGCATGGGCGACGAGTACCTCGAAAAGGTCAAGTTCGGTCTACAGGTCGCTGAAGATCCAAGAGATGATATGCCCACGACGAAGATGATTGGCTCTACGGTTCACCCAGCGAGGAAAGGTCCTGCGAATATCCTGGATGCCTTGAGAGACTCGGACGACGATGAAGACGACTATGGAGTCGAGCGGCAGAGGTCAACGGCAAGGCCGGAGACTAGTAAACGGTCAGCTACCCAGCCTGCTGCAGCGAAAGTCAAGAGAGCCGCTGCTTCTACATCTGCCCCGCAGCGGAGGCGACCAAATCATGCAGCAGTCCCCGATGATGATGAGGAGGACGAGGACGAGTCTGCTCTGCCCGACCTGCGTATCGCCAGACGAGTCGAGGACGCAGACTTTGACGATTCCCTCGGTGGCGGCGGCGGCGGCGGCTCTGGATCTCGTGACTACGCTTCTGGTGTCAGAGCCAAAGCAGGAGGGCGAGGACGTGCTCCTCAAAATCACCTGCAGCTGCAGGGCTCATCAGACGAGGAGGCTCAGCTGCCTCGTCAGGGCGGGAACGGAGCGACGAAGCGGAGGGCGATGGACTTTTCTGAGCCTGAACAGGTGGACAGCGATTCGGATGGCGGGTTTCGCGGATTCAAGGGGACGCAGAAGCGTGGTCCCGTCAAGAAGAAGGGTCGTATCTGAGATTGAGATCGTTTCAAATCATACCAGCTGTCTTTTGCTTTCGCTACGTGTACAATTCAAAAACAAGTCCAGTGGACTCGATGGACTCTCCCACCCTACATTCTGGCATCACCGCGACCCTGTCCAGTGACCTGCTCCCTGATCCACCACCAGACGTCCTCCATTCCAACCTCCTCACCTTCCCTCTTATCCTCACCCTCTTCTATGCGCCTGTCCCGTCTGCCTCTCTCAGCCTGAAACACATCTCCCGCTGCAACAATCCTGCCCCTCTCAAACCAAAGCTCTCTCCAGAGTTGCTGACTCTCCCGCTCACGTCCTTGTAGGATCAGTGCGGCCACGCGTGCATATCGAAGGGAGTGCGTGGCGACTTTACGTGAGCGCGGAGCGCGAGAAAGAGCTACTGGGCGGGCGCGATTGAGGGATGCGGCACGGAGGGGTTTCGGTTTGAGCATTGAGCCTGCTGAAGATGAAGCAGTAGAGGAGGAGGGGTGAGGAGGACCCTGAAGAGCTGCTGCTGCTGCGACTTTATCCTCCTGTAGATTGCTCTCGCTCTCCTCGTGCGAGCGCACCATTGCTGTGTGGTAGACCCAGGCGGAAGAGGCGTGCTCCCCTTGTTTGGCTAGAGTGAGGATGAGCCTGGCGACTGTACGGGAGCGGATACGGACCCGCTTCATGATCGCTCCTGCACTGGGCGCGACTGGCCTCGAGGATGTCGAGCCTGAGCCTACCGGCTCAGATGCCGAGTCGGCTCTTTGCTCTGCAGCTGCGTCATTCCCAGTGGGAGAGGGCAGACGAGCCCACGGCTTCAGCACAGCCTGAGGGTTGTAGTCAAATTCGGCATCGAGGCTCTCCTCGTACACCTTGAGCGCCTCTGCCAGTCGATCTTTTTGCCCAGCCGGATCACCCGGTAGGAGCCAGGCGAAAACTTTGAGACTCCATGTTTCTGAGTCGCCCGCTACGCTAAGGTCTCCCTCTAGAGTACTGACCAGATCAAGGATAGCACCCCGCCGCGCTTCGCCCCGCGTGCTGGGCGTCGTCTGCAGGGAACGTCCCATTGCACCTGAACCTCTTTGCGGCGATTCGACTACCAAGTCTGCGTTGATAGCGCTTTCTTCGAGGGGCACATCTGAGCCAAGGAGGCAAGCGAGCTCGTCTTCTTGATCGGCAGTGTAGAGGCGTAGAATTGGCCACTCGGCACGCGCACGCATAGCGCCATTGAAAGCTTGTCGCACTGCCTCTTCCGTCATGCGGACGCCTTGCACCGGCTGGCCGAGTGGCCGAGAAGCCCGGTAGGCGAGCTGTTGCCCCAAAGAGCGAGTGAATTGATCGAAGACATCGAGCATGCGCGTATACCAGACATGATCCCAGTCCTCTAGCCACTGAGACGTCGTCTGCATCAGTATGTTGCCAAATACTTCTAGCGGAATGAAGAAGCGTTGATTTGGAATGTCGTCGTCTTCTGCCTTTCTAGCTTCTCGCAAGGCCTCCTCGTGAGAGCTGTAGAGACGAGTCAGCTCTTCAACAAGACTGATGCTCTGCTCTGCAGACATAGCGTCTGGGTAACGAAACGCCTCGACGAATGCTCGGGCTACGGAAGCAGTGACCTGTGCACCCTGCTGTCTCATGTCTAGCACCACCCGCTTGATGATATGGGTCATGCCACCTTGAGCTAGCCTGCGGATCAGCAGTGTAGCCTGCTGTGGCTTCAGCGTCTGTACTTCACCCTCTGGCTGCATTGTCTGCCATTCGAGGTACATCTGAACTGCAAAGAGCAGATCCAGTTCTGACCCTCTGTTCAGAGATTCGGTCAACAGCCAGGAGAATTCGCCATATGAGAGAGGGGTAGCTCTGCGCGGGATACCCGCTTGCACCTGCTGGACAGACCGGAAGTCTGATAGAGCCCGCCGCGTAACCTTGATCCACAGGTCCTTGGTGAACATGTAGTCCTCGAAAGCCACGTGTAGCTTGAGCAAGGTGGAGTGTGTGGATGGGTGGATAGAATCCAGATCAGGGTCTCGAGCCAACAGTGAGCTACTGAGTCTTCTCAGCTTGTGTAGCCATTGCGCCCTGGCCTTCTCTAGTGAGCCGAGACGTCTTGCGGCCTCAATGGCCAAGCGCAAGGCTTCGGCCACGGCAAAAGTGTCGTTGAGCGTCTGCTTGCTGGTAGAAGGTCCGCTTGCTGGCTCATGGTAGATGTCCAAGAGAGTGTTGACGGCATCTTCTGTCAATTGCGCGGCTTGCTGCTTGGCTTCTCGAGGACTGCTGTGGTAGAGCTTGCTGACGTTGGCAGAGAGGCCTTGCATGACTGCGGACCGTATTGCGGCGTCCACTCTTCCTGACGCTTGATCAAGCTGATACAGCGCCAGAGCTGGCCGGACATCGCCACGCTGAGCAAGATCAAAGGCAATGACGTCGCACAAGAGATGCTTTGCGTCTTCCCTGAGGCTTGGAACGTCATGCTCAGGCTCGTCATCCTTCTTCTCGCCTTGAGCAGAGAGCAGAGCCCAAGGCTGTCGCAAAGCCCTTGCTGATCCAACAACATCTGCAGGTAGCAAAGACAAGAGCAACTTTCGGGGGGCATGAATCATCCAGGCGCTCAGGGGTCGCTTCCCAACCGCTATGCCGTCATCCATCGCATAGTTGAGGAGCTGCAAGGACAATGTGACTGCCTCATTAGGGTGGATTTGATGAGCTTGCTCTTCAGAAGAGAGCACGGCCTCGATCCGCCGCTTTGGAGAGAGGGCGAGCGAGTCAAGCAAAGCCTCTGTGTTCTTCGCATTGAGGCCGCGCAGGCTATGGGACCGTTGCCCCGCCAAAGCATCTGATGCGGTCATCTGGTCTTGATACACTCTCAAGGCGGTCTTGGGGCGGCCATGCACGGCCAGCTGATACAACAGCCGCTCCAATATGGTCATGTCCACCAGCTCTATGGTTGAACGCATGGAATCAAGCACCATTTCGAGGCCTTGATACAGTCGAGATGGTACGGACGGCAGCTGGACGAGGCCTCGTGCATGGCGGCCTGGGCGATGCAACTTTCGGAAGGCTTGTTCGAGACTAACGACCAGCAGATAGAGCAGACGTTGCTTATGCAAGCTCAGCTGGACGCCTTTGTAGCGCCTCTGCGCTACAATGAGGTCGAATGAGCTGTAGGAAAACAGTGCCAAGAGCCGGTCGAGTCTCTCGAGCTGAGAAGATGGCTCGCCTGCAGGGCTGCTTGCCACAGACCACCATAGCCTCTCTCTGATAGCCAGAGCATCCTCCGCAGGAAGCGACTGCTTCCAGTCGACTTTGAGCGCGTGAAAGGTCTCCCACGCCTTGTCGACGTCCCCAAGCAGCAGCGATGCAGTCAGAGGCGACACGGGATGGTCTGGAGGCAGAGAAGGGAGGTCGGGTAAGGTATAGTCTTCATCTGGCAGGTAACGCGACTTGTAGAGTGATGTCGATGCCTTTGCGTATGCGGAGATGGCATTGATTTCCTGCTCGCCCTTCTGAGGCGATGTACTGGGAAGGAAGTCCGGCCTGGAGTTGTGAAAGTAATTGGGACTAGATGAGGAGGTAGAGAAATGCAGCTGACGTCGGGGCCGCTCAATGGCGAGTCGTGTGACCTCTGCTCTGTTGCCTCTGTGCTCCCTCTGGACGTCATAGGAGCCACTGGCAAAGCAAAGCGATCTAGACAAGACCCTTGTGCCATCTGTAGTGAAGGATGCGCCGTAATTGAAGCAGCCTGATGGGTATTGGCGCAGCCAAGGGCGGAGGCCCATAGCCCGCAGAGTCGAGCCTGGTCCCGGAGTCGAACTTGTCGCCGAGGAGGTTCTATGATCTCCAGCAAAACATGTAAGCAGAGGTAAGCGAGATTGCCTGTTGACGATGCCAATGAGGATGTGGGTACTACCTAGCGGTGAGGAGACAGTCTGGTGCTTCCCCTTTGCCTGGCTCGCTCTGCCTTGCTGCTCTGGTTGGTACGGACCTTCCTGCCCTCGACGGAAAGAGGCGGAGTGGCCCGAGCCCGACGCGCGCAGAGAAATTTGGCAGCAACTTTCTTCTCGGCCAGGAGCCACGACGGAAGGAACACTTCGCGGAGGCATCTTGGCCTTGCCCTCACCATCCTCCCTCCTCACCATCTTCACTACCATCAGCCTACATCATGTCCGACGCTGCCACTCAAGACGTCAAACCGATTGTCAAGGCCGAAGAGAGCGCAGCTCCAGCCACAACGACCGCTCCCTTATCGGTCGAGGAGGCTGAGAAGGAGACGTTCCGACAGAGTGAGTGGAGGAGGATCCGGTGGTTTCCAGCCGGCTGCGTGTATGCTAACATCTACCCTCTGGCCTGTTACCCACAGTCGAGTTCTACTTCAGTGATGTAAACCTTCCCTTCGACAAGTTCCTCTGGACGCTCACCCGCCAGAATGATGGCTGGGTTCCCCTCGCTACATTGGCTTCCTTCAAGAGGATGAGGCCTATGCGAGACGCTCTGGGAGAGGAGGGCATTGCAAAGGTCATGAAGGCGTCTGAGTTCCTCGAGCTCGATGAAGAAGCCAAGAAGATCCGCCGCAAGAGTCCTATTCAGAGGCAGACCGATTCCTACGAGAGGAGCATCTACGCAAAGGGCTTCCCAGAGGAGACCGAGACGCTGCAGCAGGAGCTCGAGAAGTTCTTTGCTCAATTCGGTCAGATCAACGTCGTAAGGATGAGGCGAGAGGAGCTTGCCCGGCCGAAGAAGTTCAAGGGAAGCGTCTTTGTCGAGTTTGCATCGATGGACGAAGCTACCAAATTCCTCAGCAAGGGCAAGACAGATGAAGGCATCAAGTTCGGCGAGGCGCAGCTCTTGGTCATGAGCAAAGACGAGTACTGCCAGATGAAGATGAAGGAGAAGGGCATTGATCCCCAGGCTCAAGCGAAGAGGGCTCCCTCTGGCAAGGCCCCTCTGTCCAGGCCCGGAAAGTTCAACGCTTTCACTGAGCTTGCCAGGGAAGAGCAAGGTCTTCCGTCATCCGATGAGGTACGAGCTCAGAACGCTGCTGCCAAGTCGGCCCCCGGAGAGAAGAAGTCTGCTAAGCCCAAGCGCAGCGACCCGCTCAACTTCGAGTTCAATGACAAGATGCTCGTCACACGAGAGGACGAGACCGTCGATCCAGCTACTGTCGAGTTTCCGGAGCGCAGTGTCATTGCCTTTGAGGGCGCTGGAGAGAACGGCAACTGGCGGGAGCTCAAGGAGAGCCTGCTGCAGGTTGCCCCTACGTCATTTGTCGAGTTCCCCGCTGGAGCTACTTCTGGCGCTGCTGGATTCAAATCGTCGCTGAGCGACGAGGACTTTGAGAAGATCGTAGCTAAGGACCTGAAGATTGGCGACAAGCCTCTCACGTGGTCGCGAGTCGAAGGTAAGTGATCTGAAGGGGAGCAGAGACTGTGCGGAAAGGCGATCATTGACTGACCTTTACCGTTGTTGCTCCATTCCCGCATTCACAGAGGACCGAGCCCGACAATTCTACGTCGACCGAGCCAACTTCCGCGCCAAGGTCATGCTCGACAGGCGGGAGTTGCCAACTGGCAACGGACGTGATGGAGGCAGGGGCGGGCGTGGCGGAGGCAGGGGTGGACGAGGTGGACGGGGAGGTGGACGGGGCGGCAGGGGAGGTCGTGGTGGAGGTGGTCGGGGCGGCGGACGTGGTGACCGTGACCGCGGTGGAGAGAAGAGGAAACGTAACGGCGATGAGGAGTTCTTGGGAGCAAAGGGAGGTGGAGAAGCCCCTTCCCTCGCTAGCAAGAAGACGAAGACAGAGGGCGATTAGACCCCTCTCTTCTGAGAGAAAGAGAGAGGAGGTGATTGTCTGCATGCCTTGCCTGTATGTCTCCAGCTTGGATTGCCCACTGCTGCTCTACCAATTGTACAAAACCCTAACGTTGTCACATTTGCATTCCTTACTGACCTATTGTGTGAGCGATCATGGGCTACGTGGGATTGAAGAGTCGAGCGAGGTGAGGCGTGCGTGCGAGGCAGGGCTTGCTGCACGCCATGCGCCATTCTCTCTCCGATGCGAAGATCTGAGGCTCGATTTCAATTTTTACGCCTGCAAGATTTGAGCTGGACCCGTATCGAATCCTTGCCTCTTTGAATATCCTCTACTAACTGCATCCCGGTCGATTTCAACGGCATCATCTTTCTCCCCTATCAGTATTTCGCTCGCTTCGTGTGCGCTGCAACTACGGCCCCTATCATATTCAGCCTGCCCCTTGCAAGTGTGCAGCTTACGCCAGCTTTGCAGTCCATAGATCTTCTGTAGCCTCGCCTTGGTCTCGCAGCGAGAGCTCGACGTTGATACATCGACATTGATCAACCCTCCAATTCGAGACAAGCGGTGTCTTATCTGCTTGTCAGCTTCGCGAGCAAAGAAAGCTCAGCTAGAGCTGGCGCAGCGACTGCGTCCGAACACCTCAACCAGCTCCCATTCATGGCTGCGACAACAGATCCGGTCTCGAGCTCCAGCGAGCGAGCCTTCCTCACAAAGGGTCTCGACTCAACTGATCTAGCAGTGTGCCGGCAAGACGCAACGGAAGCCCAAGCCGGTCCTTCCCATCTTCCCGACAGTGATTCCGACCCCCCTTCTTCCTCCTCCGCCTCCTCTTCCACTTCGAAATGCGCTGCCGCCTCCAGCCTGATGGCTTCGGTGGCCACGACGGCGACAGAGGTGGAGCCTCAGGGTCCTTTTGAGGGGCCAGAGAAGCTCCTCGAACTCTGGTTTGCCGATTCACCCGAGCTCCTGCCGCGCCAGGCTCTCAGAAGTACCTTTACGATTCTCCAGGACGCAAAGGGAGAGGTAGTGAGAGGTGTTAGCGCGCCGGAGAGGGTGGGATTGAGGGCTGTTCCGCGACCACTGTGGGAGGAGATGCTGGATCTGGTCAAGTGCAAGGTGTTGAGCGTGATCGAAGGTCAGGACGTAGATGCTTATCTACTGAGGTGAGTCGCTACAGGCAAAGGAGCAGGCAGCTCCTCGTAAGCAGATCTGCTGATGCTTGATGATGCTGTATCCCCTGCTTTCTGCTACTTCAGCGAATCTTCGATGTTTGTTTTCCCTCACAAGATCATTTTGAAGACTTGTGGAACGACAACACTACTATTGGGTCTCAGACGGCTGCTCGAACTCGCCAAGTGCTCTTTGACTGGCCAATCTAGCTTTAGATTGCCTGAGGCGTCACCTGATACAGTCTGCCGGGACCTGGGTGCCATGGTTCGGCAATGCTTCTACAGCCGCAAGAGCTTCATGTTCCCTGAGCGGCAAAAGGGCCCTCACAAGGATTGGATGCTCGAGGTGCAGCTTCTCGAGGCCTTCTTCGTGGACGGCTCTGCATACACAGTGGGCAAGATGAACGGAGACCACTGGCTGCTGTTCATGTGTTGCCCCGGAGATGAGGAACGCACCAGTCGCTTCTCTCCTGCTATCGAATCTGCCGAGCGGCCCCTACAGCTGCCACTGCCGGCATCGGTGGATCTGATCAACGATCAGACATTGGAGATTCTCATGACGCATCTGTCTCCATCCTCGTGCGCTGCCTTTGAATTCCCAGAGGATATGGAGCTGCCGGCGCAGCCCGACTCGGACAAGCCTTTGGATCGAGGACATCTTCTCGCAATGGACTTGTCTGAGAAACTGGGTCTAGCGACTCTCTTCCCAAATACACAGCTGGATGCCTTTGCCTTTGACCCTTGCGGCTACTCGGCCAATGCTGTCATTCCTGCTAGCTCACACACAACATCTGGCTACTGGACAATTCACGTCACTCCCGAGGCAGACTCCAGCTACGCCAGCTTCGAGTCCAACGTGGCTCTACGGAGAGCCAATGGACCGGTCGACGATGACGACGAGGCAGAAGCGAATGGCAAGAGTGGCAGTCTTGCCCCACGCGATCTCCCCGCCTTGATCAAGCAGGTGGTAGACATCTTCCAACCGGGCAAGATGAGCATCACCCTCTTCACCTCTTCTCGGCGCGGTGAAGAGTCTTCTGTCACGGGCGTGGATGATGCCAGTCTACTCCACTCGTTGAGGTTGCCTGGGTACACGAGGCGGGATAGGATCGCGTACGAATTTGAGAGCTACGATCTGGTCTTTTGCCATTTTGAAACGATCTCGAGGAAGGCAGAGAGGTCGTAGTCGTACTTGGGTTCAGATGGCCGTGAGTCAACAGCATAGATGCACAACTTTCATATATCGCGTCCTGCCCTGCAATGCTCGAACATACCACCCATCTTGTTCTGCGTGGCCTTCTTCGCCCGCTACGTGCATGCCTGCATGGCGTGTGTGCTTCTCCAGGCCGTCCGTCTGTTTATCGGCGCCTCGCGCGCTTCGCCTTTGCTGCTATGCCTGTCTGCCTATCCGCCCCGCCTTTGCTCGCCTGCCCGCCCCACTGACGCCTCACGCCCTGCCGCACGGAAGCAACCAAGCAAAGCACTGGGCACCTTGCTTTTGCCCATCAGCCGCTCATCTTCACCAAAGTAACAGTCATCTCCACCTTCATCTCCACCTCATCGTCATCAGACACACGCAGCGGCTGACCTGCTCTCTGAGGCTACGGAGCTCAATCTCGCTCGCTGAGCTCACCGAGACCATCTCGTCCCACTGCCGCGAGTCCACTACATCTTCTCCCTTCCGCCTCCCTATGCCAACACTATTTTGAGCTCTACTGAAACAAGTCTGGGGCCTCAGTTGGCAGATCAGTCTTGGTCCTGTCAGGGTACCGGTGTAGTCTGGGGCCTCACGCCCAGCTCCCTGTTCGAGAAGTCCAGCCATGGCTCCTCCCTCGAGACAGGCTTCACCCTTGAGCCTTGGCAGCCTCTCCTCTCTCCTCGCTTCTAGCCTCTCCTCCAACGATGCTGTCCCTTCTCTCACGGACCTCAATGAGCTGGCGAAAAGCCTCCGGACGTACAAGTCTGAGCTCACAGAGAGGAGCTCAAGGATAGATCGCGAGAGCGCAAGAGTCTCGGCGTACGGAGCAAGCGCTGGCGGCAGTGGCAGTAGTAGCGGGAGCAGAGCAAGAGGACAGATCTTGGTCAAGTCTACCGATAGCTCTTTCCTACCAGACTCCAGCAAAGGGAAAGGCTCACCTGCTCCTGGCGCAATTGAAGGTCAGAGACCACTGACTGCAACACGGAGACAATCGGGCTCGGCGGCAACTCGGTCCAAGGCTCCTACCCCGACTGCTGCTACTCCACCTCCCTCGTCCATTAGTACCTCTGCTAGGGGCAAGAGCAAAGAGCCTGCAATCTCTGCATCGAGCAGCAAAGGCAAAGGCGTCGAGAAGCTGCCCTCTGCTAGCCAAGCGGGTGGAGGCAGCCCTGTAGCCTCTCCCTCTCCTGCTGCCTCTGTTACTTCCGCGAATATTCCTCGGCCGAGCGTCGTCAAGATCAAGCGGGAAAGGGATCGGAGTGCAAGTCTGCTTGATGATGTGCAGGCCAGCAGCTCTACTCAAGTTATCGCTGGGGACGATGTTGACGATGATGCTCCACCGAGTGGTCCGGGAAGGACATATGCCAAGAACAAGAGGATAAGAAGGTCCGGCAGTAACCGGCAAGAGTCTGCCCTTCGTGACACGGACGATGAGCAAGACGGAGAAGATCGCAAGAGGGCGATTCATGGTCGCAGCCCATCCGTCGGGTCGCCTTCTAGAAATACACCCGCCGGACCCTCTCAGACGAACGGAAGTCCGAGTGCAGGTCAGAGAAGCTCAGGCCGTCCATTAGGTATCAGATTGAAGCTGAATCCGCAACAGGCGCCCAGTGGAATTACAGCTCTAGGCTCAGCGCATCAGCCCACTGGCCTTCGCCCGGGAGGTCATGCCGCCAATGGGGGACCTGATGGCTCTGGCTTCATCTGGACATTGCCAGAAGAACCAGCTGCGCTTATACCCCAACCTCCGATCTCTCGCCCACCGAAGGCATACCCCACCCGGCCGGATGACGTCGACGAAGACTTCACAGCGATGGACTGGAAGGAAAGGGAGCGCCAGAGGGATCGGGAAGAGACGTACACGGCCAATGCCTCTGCCTCCGCCAGTCCAGCGCCCGGCCAGACCCACCTGCACAAGGAGATTCCAGGTGCAGCAATCAGCGCTGCTGCCGCGAACCGCGTTCGTAGTCAGAACCAGCAACAGGTGACCTACCTGGCCTTCCAGGCCTACGTCGATGGCTGGTTCAAGTCCCTTACAGAGGAGGATGTTGCCTGGCTGGGCAGGCAAGAGGATGATGCAGAGCCCTTTCAGATTCCCGAGATCGGGCGACATTACAAGGAAGTGTGGGAAGAAGAGGACGCAAATGGAGGCACTGGCGCCTCTCTGTACGGAGCGCCAGACATGACAGCAATCAACGGGAGCCGCAATGGTGTCCTCCACAAGCCCAAGCCTACTAGAGTTGGACCCTTCGATCCGAGACAGCTTGCTGATGAACACGCATTCGGCACATCTGCCATGGAAGCCAAGGGTGGTCCGTTGACGGAGCGGGTCTTGTCTCTCGTTCTTCCCACTCCGCCTGCCCATGCTCACTCATCGCAAGGCCAACAGCAAGCAAATGGCAGTGGAGAGCAGCAACAACAGCAACAGCAAGCGCCGCTGGTCAATGGATCAGCCTCTGCCTCTGCTGCTGCCCCTCCTGCTGTCAATGGGCTGGGATCCCACAATGAAGTCCCCAGCTTCTCCCTCCCACCACCCCACACTCAGAACATGGCTCAGTACGAGGAGCGTCTCAAGGCCGAGCTTCGCTTCCTAGACATCCTAGGTCCTGAAGAGGAAGTCGACTGGTCCAATCGTCAAGACGACGAGATTTCCGCCACCCTGCGCAAAGTCCAGGTCCTCCTGGGTAAACAGACGAAGATCAACACAGCTCGCAAGACGCGCTTGAAGGAATTGGCCGAGGGCAGGCTCGCCTACCAGGACTATCTCAGTTGTTTGACAAATGTGGAAAAGGTCATTGAGCAAGGTTGGTACAAGCGACAGAGTCTGCTCAAGAAGTTTGTCAGTAAGAAAAAGGGGTCCGCAAAGGCTTCTGGTTCTGCCACGGGTACGGGTGCAGGGGCAGGTGGGAACACGAGGGCGAATGCTGTACCCGTGATCAACGAGCACAACACCCGCTCCGGCACGCCCTCTTCAGCCAAGGACGGAAACTCGGCACTCAATGCAGCAGCGGCCCTCATGGCCAGTGTAGGGGGTGGCGGTGGCGAATCATCCAGCACCTCTGGCGTCCTTACACCCCTTGGCGCCACCCCCACTACCACCAATGGGCAGCATCCCTCCTCTCCCGCTCCTGGTGGTCTTCCCACTGATCTCCCATCAGGAGACGCTCCGCCCCCAGATCCATACGCAGCCTATAATGCCCTTGCTCTAAATCGACTGGGCGTACCTCCCCTGGCACCCACGCTCGTAGAGGCGATGCGCTCAAGGGAGATGCTCAAGAGGGCGTTGGAGCCCATTTTCCCTCCAGAGGTAAAGTGCGTGCCCAAGAGGAGCATCTATGAGGGATTGGATATTGGGAGGGTGGAGATTGAGGAGGAGTAGGAGTAGGAAAGTGGAGAGTGGAGAGTGGGAGAGGGCTACTTTGCTTTTGCGGATTGGCATGTCGTCACGTAGTCCATTGTCCATCTACCATACTATGCCTGTATTGAAACACAATGACAATCGGGAATCCAAGATCAATTAAGTGATGCTTCGAACCTTTACACGTCTCTCGAGCGTCCTGTAAGCACATAGAGAGAGAGAGAAAGAGAAATGGTTACATTCCCAGTCCTGTTGTGATACAACATAAAGTCAAGTCCCTCTCAGACTCTGTGAGCTGAGCTGCTCCCCGCTCGCGCTCCCTACACAGCTCCAGCAGCAATGCCAGCACCAGCGCCCGCGGGAGCAGCGACCTTGCCGACTTTCGCCTCTTTTTGCTTACGATAGTCGCTTGCGCGGGCTGTAGTGAAGCTCATGAGATCCTCAAAGGAGCGATCGCCCTCTACTCAGCGCGGTGAGGATGAGCAACGAGGAAGGAGGGAAAGGTCAGTGGATATTGTGACTCGCAATGACGGGGTCAGGTGAGGAGAGAGAGCGAAGGGTGTAGAGAGGGATACGCACTGTACTTTTCCACCATCTGCCCGTTCCTGTAGAGGAACAGGGAAGGGTACCCAGTAACTTTTTGCGATTCGCATACGTCTGTAGAATTTGACCAAGCGATAGAAAGACTTATCAGTAAGCTCCGCCATCCATGCTCTCTCTACCTTCCCCTTCCCTCCCGGTCCCTACTCACCTCCAGAATTTGCGCAATTGACCCTCTTGATTCTGAATCCCTCTTCTGCCCAGTGTTCCTGAATCTCTGCTACATTCTTGAACGTCGGAGCAAAGCGCTTGCAGTGTCCACACCAAGGAGAGTAGAATTCAACAAAGGTCAAATCGGTACTGATGCCGGATTGGAAGTCGTTTGCTGTGAGAGTGACCATGTGCTCGCCGCCGTCCAGGTCGCTTGCGCGCCGTGAGGTGGTGGGGGAGGAGAGGACGGGGCTGGGGCTGATGAGGAGGAGGAAGAAGCTACATAGGAGGAGAAGAGGGAGGACGGAGGGGAGTTCTCTGAACATGCCTGCTATCCTGAAGCTGGTCGATCGGGATGTGCGCATGGTGGAGGCGGAGGTAAGACTCGACAGTGAGGGGTGCTTTGCAAGGGGCTGTTGGCAGAGTCTCGGAATTCTTTGGTGCTCTTGGACGCAATCGGTGCTCTCTGTCCTGAATCTAGTGGAGAAGCGGTACAGCTATGCGGTACAATTCGATGGAATGCAGTGGCGAGTGAGACGGTAGTGGGTAGCCTCAAGGATCGCGATTGAGAATAACACGAGTGCAATCGAGCAACCGATCACTCCGCTCCGCTCCACTGCCAATCTCCCTTCCGTTCCGATGAAATTTTGTGTTCCCACTTCCGTTCACGGCTCTCCCTCATGCGCGGCTGGTACACTGGACAAGACAAGGACAAGGCAGCCCAGACAGGCCATTTCGGGGCAAGTGGGTGCGGGGTGGAACCCTCAAGGTCAGTGCCATCAGATCATTGACCGTCACAGTCCACTGGGTCCGTCTGCTCCGGAGGCCCAGCCCCGAGGCAGGGGGGAGCGTACTCAGCGGCGAGGGGTCGGTGTGCCTGCCGCGTTGAGTTGCGCCTACTGCTTCCGGCAAGGGGTGCCAAGGGAAAGCCGAGAGTGTAAGTGGACATGGTGCTGAGGGGCGGCCGTCGTCGTCGTAGTCCTGGAGCGCTCCTGACCGTGTTGTTGGTGGTCTGTGCCTTTGCGGCGGTGAGCTGAGTGGTCGGGCTGCCCTGAATGGCGAGGCATGACGCGGGACTGTGAGTGGTCCGTGTGCGGGCTGAGGAGTCTGAACGCAATTCAAGCAGCCCTGGTCACAAGACGCAGCGTGGATAATGCACTTGGCCCATGCACCGACGGCTATTGCTCTTTGCTTTTGGCTTTACCCCACACTCACTATTCATCCCCGCACACCCACACACACGCTCACGCTCACACTCACACACAGCCACCCCGCTGCACTTCACCAGAGGCGGGCAAGCCCATGGCACGCCAGCACGGCATCTCACCGCCGATCAAAAGCTGGGGTACAGACAGATACACCTCGACGGCATTCAATCACACTCGTCTGAAAGCGGACAGGGGACACGTCGTGTGAGCGGGGGGGTGGGGAGAGTCGAGAGCTGCGAGGGGCCACTCACCGTTTGGCCTGGGCTGCTACTGCTGCTCATCACTGGCCCTACCAGTGCTGCCCAATTTGGCTGCCCGCTGCCGGACACTTTGCAGCCGAGGCCAGGACGCACAGACGCCCCGTCGCATCATCCCTTGTCCCCCTCCTCGCCCGTTGCTCTCACCCAACCCAGGGCCCCTCCTCTACTTAAGGCAGGCACCATCGAGCCCCATTCACCTCTCCCCTCTTTTTTCCTCACTTCTTCATTGAGGTAACCAACTAACCCACCACTTTCTAAACCGCTTCACCGCAACCACCCCCCAAACAAACACAATAAGACAAGATGGGAAAGAAGAACAAGAACAGCCAGGTTGCCGCCGTTGAGGCTCCTGTCCGAGCAGTGAGTTTGTCGTCGTCGCTACCACAGTCGCTGCTCAGTCCGACCTTTAGCTACAGCCTCGCTGACCGCCGCTCATTCTCTTGCCTCCCTCGCCTCTCCCTTCCTCTCCCTCCTACCCACCGCACCACTACCGTTCCGCTCCTCTCCTCCACCTCGCACTTCTCTACTCACAGGGACCTCAAGGCGGCATCCTCTTCGAGGCCTCTGAGCAGGTACTCGACTCCACCCTTGAACAGACCAGGCTCGGACATGTTAGCAAGCCCTGGTCTCGACACGCATGGGAGAGGGCTATCCCCTGGGTACTCTCCCAGCGACAGAAACTTGAAGGTGTCGGTGGCTGGTCCCACGGACAGACTCAGAGGGTGAGTTGCTTGACCAATAAATGGTGATGTGGGACCTTGGACAGCGTTAGCAAGGGCCGGCATACAGGCTGGTCAATACCACTACATCACCGTCGACATCACTGACACCGATCGACACCTCTCACCCCTAACCACCGTAGACTGAGCTCTTCGTCCTCAAGAGGCTCGCGCCCAGTGGTGTCTACACCGAGGGTGAGTAGCAGACGCACTCCATCTGCCCTTCGACACAGATCACCTTACTGACCACTCCAACCACTCTCCTCCTCGCAGACGGCTACCTCTACGTTCCCATTCCCAAGAAGATGATCGACTTCATGCGGACTGCGCGGAAGAACAACGCCGCCGACAACGAAGACGAAGACAAGGAAGAGGAGTCCAACGACAAGAAGAAGGCTCCTTCCAGGATCTCCAAGAAGCGAGAGGCCAGGTACCACTACGACATGAGCGACCCCAATGTCTGGAAGATCAAGATCGACGGTGCCGACAGCGAGGAGCCTGGCAAGGTACCCAACGTCCAGGTCGATGTCACTGAGCCCCTCGAGAACATCTTCAACCTCGTCCAGTGCCTTCAGCCTGGTCTCCTCCGCCTCTTCGCTTGGAGGGAGAATGTCATCCAGCAGGGCACCCACGAGGTTGACGTCCGTGAGGATGCTGAGCCACCTACTGCTAGGCACCGAGCCATGATTGCCGAGTCCGAGTCTTACACTCGGGTTCTCCCCCCTGCCTACTGGTTCAAGCGAAACCGCGACGAGCTCTCTAGGATCCTCGGCGAAGGCTTCGAGCCTACCTTGAAGGCGGCCGAAGACGAGGATCGAACCACCACTAGGACCATCAAGTCCGTCGAAGAGAAGGTCTGGGAAGAAGTCATCAAGGTCCAGGAGAAAGCCGTCAAGAAGACGCAGAAGAAGAAGAACGCTACCAAGGGTGCCAAGGCTGCGGCCGCCGTTGCCCCTGCTGCCGAAGAGCATACTGCCTCTCCGGTCGCCTCTGCTGCCTAAGGCGCGGAGGTGGACCGAGGTGGTGTGTGCGACTCATCTCATGGCAATTCATCGTCGCCATCGACTAGGTTCAATGCCAGCAGCTGTAAGCGCGCGCCCTATCGACGATTGTTCCATGTTGCATGTCTCTGCACCACCACCTCAAGGTAGGCACGTCTGACTCTTTCGAGGAAGAGGAGGACGTAGAGGAAGCCAGAGAGAGAGGATGTCGAGTCTCTCCCAACTTTCTACGTGGTCATTCTTCTTTTCTGCTCTGTTCTTCGACTGGCTGGCTCTCTCTCGGATCTGACCCTGGGTGCAACTTCCACACCACCTCGCCACCACCACTCTCTCTCAACTGCAAGACTCTTTCAAGAGCTTCACTAACGACATCCGCACACACACACACACACTCTCAAGTAGCACTCTGAACATCAAGGGGCCTGAATCTGAGCGATGTCTCCAGCATCGCAGCAACATTGTGAATAAATTGTACTTTCTACGTAGGTTTTCCGAGTCACTCTTCATTGTCTCTTGTTCTGTCATTCTCTCTACCATCCTCTCGAACTTCCCCGCATCCCGATCATATAAAGTCCTCAGTCGTATTTTTAGCTACCTTGGTCCTACCCATCACACCCACAAACACACACACAGTGTTTTTTGCTCCCAAAGTGTTGTAATTGTCGAAAGTCGATGAAGATGTCAAATGAATGTCCTTACCCCTTTTGTCGTCAAGAGTGACTGTTGTCAAGACCTTCTTCCGTCGACGGTGACGGTGACCGTGACCGTGAGCACGGCAGGCAGGCAGGCAGGCACGCAAGCGAGTGATGTTCCGGTCCGTTTCTGTCGGCGAAGGGCCCAAAGGGACGAGGGAGTCGAGCCCAGACCGGCGCGGCCATTTTGGAATCTGAAATTTGACCTCTTTCCGCTTTGCCGCCCCTCCCTCCGCCGTCCGCCGCACGCCCGCCCGCCCAATTTCCATTTCCGTGTCGTGTGGTGAGAAGAAAGAGGGAGAGAGGGAGAGTCAAGTCAGTCAGTCTTGCTTGCTTTGCCTTGCTACCTGCTCGACGATTCCCTTTGGCTCTTGCTCTCGCTCTTGCTCTTGGTCTTGCGGTGCCTTTCTTGTGCCTCCTACTACCTCCTGTGGCTCTTCTTGCTGCTGCAGTACCTACGCTGGAAATAGCTACTGGTGGATCTTCATTGCTAGCTGGGATCACAAGCAAGCTCAAGCCCAATCTCACGCTCGAGACGAAGATGGTGTCCTTCAAGTGAGTTACTCCTCCCTCCTTCCTACCCCCAACCTCTCTCGGTACTACCCACTAAAAAGTTCCCCGCCTCTCTCCCTCCCTTCCCCACCCCCTCACCAGCTGTCACTCCTGCAACGATACTCTCAAAAAACCCAAACTCGACTCTCATTACCACTCACGCTGTGGAGCTCCTTTTGACTGTCTTGATTGCTCTACAACTTTCTACAGTCCAGAGGAATGGAAGAGTCATACGAGTTGTGTTAGTGAAAAGGAAAAATATGGAATGGAAAAGGGTGGTGGTGGTGGTGGGGCCAAAGGGAAGGGAGCAAAGGGTGGGAAGAAGCAGCAGGTAGAATCAGCATCGGCACCAGCACCAGCACCAGCACCAGCACCAGCTCCAGAGCCAGCACCGGAGCCACTTCCAACCCTAGCTCCACCAGCCACATCACCTCAATCAAGTTCATCCAATCCCCTCGATCCTTCTTCTTCTTCAAAGTCAAAGGATAGTCAAGAGGGTAAAAAGGAAAAGGAAAAGACCAAGAAGCGAAAGATTGAAAGTGCAGTAGCGGCCGTCGAGGTAGGACCTTCTACTTCTGCTGCTGCTATTGCTGCAACTGCTGATAATGCTACTGCTACTACTACCGAGGAGAAAGACGAGGGTGAGGGTGAGGGTGAGAAGAGGAAGAAGGCAAAGAAGGAAAAGAAGGCAAAGAAGGAAAACAGTTCCGGCTCGGATGGTTCAGCAACACCGGCAGCCTCAACCCTAAGTACAACTACAACCACAAATCCAACCACAGCTACAGCTACAGCTACAGCTACAGCTCCACAAGGTCTGCAAGGTCGACTCCTCAAACTCCTCACTACTTCCTCCGGTTCTTCTAGCAAAACTCCTCTTAGTCTAGAAGAGGTTCTGATTGCACTTGTGCAGGCTCAACCGGGGAGTAAAGAGAAGGAAGTTCGCAAAGAGCTATTGAAGGGAATCGAGGTGCGGCTGATTCCTGGAAGTGGTGCAAAGGATGGAGAAGTGGGAGAGGTGACGCTGGGTTGGCGGTGATCAAGTGAAAGGGGAGTTGGGGGATACTGGATTCTGAAGAAGAGATGACTGTATCTAGGCAAGGCAAATGACAGGGCACTCGATGTATTACAGTACAATTTGCGTTGCGTCATTCGATCCCCCGTTATCCCGTATCGTCTAGCCAAAACCTCTCCAACTCCTTCTCGATGCCTCTCAATCTGCCACGACCACCGACCGTAGGCTGTCTCCAGTCCCCCTCTTACTCTACGAAGTTCTCCCCAATAAGCCGGTAGACGTAGCTCCCCGGGAACTCTCCCGTATTGGTGATCAGTACATCCACCCCAGCCGGCTCAACATAGTCCCACTCATTCAACAGTACCTCGCGAGTTTGCTCTGCTGGACCGGACCCTGAGCCGTGACTGTAGCCAGAGCTGGAGGCAGAGAGGGGAATGAAGACTTGCGGAGGTTGAGTGAGAAGATCCCCTGCGAGGGGAGAAGAGATGCTGCTGCTGCTGCTGCTACAGCCTGCCCCGCTGAGGGATTTAGACCTGCTCCTGTCCCCTGTGGAGCCAGCAGCAGCAGCAGCACCCAACGCAGGGAAGGGAGCTTGTCCACCACCACCACCACCAGCGCGAGCTGCTCCTGTAGCCTGAATCGAGCTCCCACTTCCGCCCGCCAGGCCTACCCATCTCCAATCACCACAGATCTTGTGCAGACCAGCCAGAACCAGCACGGGCGTGCTCTGTGTCTTAGCCGCAATGGTTGCGGCTGCTGCGCCTGGTGGAGCTAGCAGCCCGCCGTTGGCTAGGACGGCGTGTGCAGAGAGGACCACTTTGGTCACGCGTGGCAGGAGAGTGTAGATGGATGAGTGAGGGATGGAGAGGATGCGGATGGATTTGGGGAGAGAGTGAGAGAGGAGGGTGGCTGATTTGCTGCGAGAGTGAAGGGGGTGGGACAATCGCTGGGAACGTCAGCGATCCTGGCGATCTCTAAATCCAGCTCGGAATGTCTCGACTCACGAAGAGCCCGCGTCTGTCACAATGACTGTGAATGTCCGGTCTCTCGCTGCTTGCTTGAGAAAAGCGTCCACTGTTGCAGAGTAGCCTAGTGTGAGAACAATCTCTCTAATGGCAGGCCATGGAAATGTGCAACGTCAGCCAATGGTAATCTCATAGCTCTTACTGTCCGCTCTTCGACTCACCCGCTGTGGATGTGATCCCGTGCATCCCGTGCGATGTTACTCCTGGTCGTCTCAATCTCATCTATCAGCTCCTGCAACACCTGTATCAGCAGTGGCTTGAGGTGGAAGGCATTTTGCGGAGCGGCAGGTGCTCTGGCCGTTCCGGAATGGCTGACCTCTCCATTTTCGCTTTCATCTTCGTCATCTTCCTCGTCCGAGCTCTCTACCGCTTCCTCCTCATCTTCTTCCTCGGCCATTCCTTCCGCATTCTCTCTTCCCTCATCAGAGCCCTCCTCGTCCACCCTTGCCTGTGTGGCAGAACGCTGGGAGGGGTGAGCAAAGGAAGAAAAGCCGATGTCGCTGGCCGTCATACCAAAGGCGCCCATTCCTCTGCCCAAAGCTGGCGTACTGGTGCCGCTATTGAGTCCACTGCTTAGACCCGATCCCCCCGCGTTCTGTCCAATGGGATTGTTGGCATTCTGCCCCGCCGTCACAAGGTCGGCAATGGAGAATGTGGACCCTTGGCCAAAGAAGTTGGAGTCTTGTCTGGAAACGAGTCCTGGTCTGTGCGGTGCGCCGACAGCTGGAGGTGAGGCCAGGGGCGAAGAGGAGGTATATGCGCCGACGTTGGAGGTAGAAGCGGTGTTGGGTCCGCTGCCGAAGAAGCTGCTATTCTGCCGCACGGGCGTTGCGTAGCCCGAAGCTGGAGGAGGTGATGACAACATGGATCCTGAGCGCGAGAGGGGGGCGGACTGGTCTAGGAGGGCGCCAGATTCTTCCGCTACCAGATGCAGGGTGCGTAGAGTGACATTGGTGATGGCTTGCTCTGCGAGGATTGGAGTAGTGAGGGGGAGTCTAAAGTCAGCCTCAGGAGCCAAAGGCGTGCACTGGCAGCGCAGTCTACTCACCACCCCGTCTTGCCTCCTGCAGCCAAGCTCCAGTGATTCGAATGGTATTGTTGAGCTCCTCGAGCACGGTGAAGCGTGCGCCGCTGATGACCCTCCTTAGTGCCTTTGCAGTTGCCAATGCTACGTCTGTGGATCCTCGCAGCTCGCCTCTTCGCAGGGAGAGGTAGAGCCCTCTGAGATGCTTTTGGGTTGGGCGATCCACTGCTGCCTGAGCTGGCAGTGGTGGGGGTGAGAGTAGCATCGAGTCTGTGGTCATGGTGGGTTGTGGGAGTGGTATGGCAGACGTCGTGGTAGCGGCTGTTGCTCTGCGTCAGGAAGAAGTGTGGGCCGTGGCTGCCTCTCCCCCGCTGCGCGCGCCCAGGCGAGTCACACGCTGCACTGGTGCGCTTCGACGCCCGACAATCTTGGCCGTGTGCCGCTTATCGGCGACTGCCTCGAGTCCTTCTTCTCGTCCTCCCCTCCCACCAAAGCCCCCTACTCCCTACACCATCGTCTCTACACCTTCGCCATGCCCCTCGGTCTCTTGGCAGCTCAGAGGAGCGCAGCAGGCCGCATCGCCTCGACGTCGCTCCGAGCCGCCGCACACCCTGCCATTTCCACCAGGGGATTCGCTAGCGCCTCCAACGTACTGCGAACCCTTCCGGGTGCAGCTTCCTCCGCCCACAGGACATCGCTCAGCCTCAATGACAAGGACCTCAAGACGCTAGCAGCAGCTCAGAGGGCTAGCTCGTCTAGCGCATTCGCAAAGGAGAATGCTTCCGACAGGGTGAGTCAGCTACCGGAGCATTCACCCTAGCAGCAAAGGCGGCTTGGCTGAAAGGAGCCGCTGACTCCGTGCCTGCCTCTGCCTTTGCACGCACCACCTCCAGGACACCATCACTCGACTTCTGTACTCCCTAGCTTCCAGGAAGGAGGTAGAGCGATACCTGCGCATCTTCTCTGCCGCCAACAAGTTCGCAGTCCTCAAGGTCGGAGGTGCCATCCTCACCAACGAGCTTGATGAGCTGGCCCTCAGCTTGAGCTTCTTGCACAGAGTGTGAGTAGGACCGAAAACATGTCGCCTCGAGATGTGGTGGCTCAAGTATCTTCCCATTCGACTCCCACAGAGGCCTGTACCCCATCGTCCTGCACGGCGCCGGACCTCAGCTGAACGAAATTCTGGAGAAGGAGGGCGTGGTACCAGACTACATCGATGGCATTCGAATTACTGGTGAGTATGAAGCCGATTTTGGGCGTCCCCTTCCACGCTGCTTCTGACTTCCTGAGCTTCCTCCCCTTGACCAGACGCCAAGACGCTCAGGGTAGCTCGACAGGTCTTCCTGGAGGAGAATCAGCGCCTAGTGGAGAAGCTCGAGTCACTTGGATCCCGCGCACGTCCCATCCCTCTTGGTACATTTACCGCTAGCTACCTCGACAAGGAAAAGTACGGTCTCGTTGGAAAGATCGAGAGAGTGGACAAAGAGCCCATCGAGAGCGCCATCCGAAACGGCTGCCTTCCCATCCTGACTTCCATGGCCGAGACTGAGGATGGACAGATCTTGAATGTCAATGCAGATGTCGCCGCCAGTGAGCTCGCAAAGGTCCTTGAGCCCCTCAAAATCGTCTACCTGAACGAAAAGGGCGGTCTCTACCACGGCAAGACTGGCGAGCTCATCGAAAACATTAATCTTGACGAGGAGTACGAGGATCTGATGAAGCAGGAGTGGGTCAAGTTCGGAACCAAGCTGAAGCTCCGAGAGATGAAGGAGCTCCTCGACCATCTCCCTCGCTCGTCTTCAGTAGCAATCATTTCGACGGATCAGCTCCAGAAGGAGCTCTTCACCGACTCTGGAGCTGGTACCTTGCTTCGCCGAGGCTACAAGCTCTTCCGTCACGACAACATCGAGGCTGCTGGAGCTGAGCGACTCCGCTCTCTGCTTCGAGACAATGACGAGGAGATCATGGACGGCCGCAAGAGCGTTGCACAGTTCTTTTCTGAGCTTTCGAAGCACCCTTACACCATCTACGGTGATGAGCCAAACGATGTCGTCGCTTTCGTCTCGAGGCCGCAGGGCGAGGTCCCCATCTTGACCAAACTCGTGGCTACCCGCAATGGCGTCCTGAATGGCGTGACTGACAACGTCTTCTCTCTTATCAAGAAGGATCACAAGCGCTTGGTGTGGACTGGAAGGGCAGATGACGAAAACCGAGCCTGGCATTACGAGCGGGCTGACGGCAGCTTCTCGAGGAATGGACGAAGCCTGTTCTACTACGGCATCAGCGACGTTGGCGAGGTCGAGCGTGTCCTGCGCTCAATTGAGGACAAGGGTCGCGTGGAGCGTGCCTATCTGCCTCTGCACGCCAGGGCAACAACTCGAGGCTTCCACACTTCCGCCCGAGCACAGCGCCCATCTCTACAGAGCAGCAGCAGCAGCGCATCCTCAGCCACTCGTGGCTATGCTACGGCAGTTGAGCGGAGTGGACCTCTGCCTGCTACCAATGCCGAGCCCAAGAGGGTCGCACTCATTGGCGCACGAGGATACACTGGACAAGCGCTGGTGTCCATTCTCAACCAGCACCCTCACCTCTCATTGTCCCACGTCTCTTCTCGAGAGCTAGCAGGTCGACCTCTAGCTGGGTACATCAAGTCCGAAGTGCTCTACTCCAACATCGGCGTTGATGACCTACGCAAGCTCGAGGAGGGCCGAGGTGATTCCGCACCCCCCGATGCGTATATCATGGCTCTACCCAACGGCGTCTGCAAGCCTTTTGTCGAGGCTGTGCAACAAGGCGGCAAGGGCAAGCATGGAGGACACGGCCGCATCGTCGACCTGAGCGCCGACTACCGTTTCGAGGATGACTGGACCTACGGACTGCCAGGTGGGTCTTCGATGCGAGCATAGATGAAAAGTGGAGTGAGCAAAAGGGAGCCGACGGGGGACGGGGTTGAGGAGGTGGCAAAAGGAAGTAAAAATCCGTCTTTACCAACCCTTGTGTCACTTTCCTCGCCTCTTGCCACTGCTGAAATGATAGCCGCTAGAAACAAAGCCCCGTTCATCGTCTGAACCGTATACTAATGGCTTTGTCCTCCTCTTCCTCCTCCTCCTCCTCCTCCGCCCCCTTACAGAATTGTACTCGCGCCAAGCTATCCGTGACTCGCGCTTAATTTCCAACCCAGGCTGCTACGCCACCAACACTCAAGCCCTTCTCGCTCCTCTCCTCCCCTATCTCGATCTTCAAAACCCTCCAACGGTATTTGGTGTATCCGGGTACTCGGGTGCGGGGACCAAGACGGGTCAGACAAAAGATGGACAGCCAGTAACGCTTCCCAAGATTAGTGCCGAGGATCTCCAGGGAGGACTGAGGCCTTATTCCCTCACGGACCATATTCATGAGAGGGAAGCTTCACGTCATCTTAGTCGATTGGGAGGATTTGAAAGCAGTGCCAATGCAGATCCAGCACTAAAGGTCGCTTTCGTTCCAACTGTAGGACCTTGGTTTCAGGGAATCCTCTCTACCGTCTCTGCTCCTCTGAAGCAGAAGCTTACGGCCAAGGAGGTGCGCAAGCTCTACGAAGACTTCTATGCGGGAAATGAGCTAGTGACCCTTTCGCCTACGGTGCCAGAGGTCAAGGATATCCAGCTCAAGCATGGAATTAGACTTGGGGGTTGGCAGGTCCATTCGGATGGGAAGAGAGTAGTGGTGGTGAGCACAATTGATAATCTGCTCAAGGGAGCAGCAACGCAGTGTATTCAGAATTTGAACATTGCGCTGGGATATGAGGAGTTGGCGGGAATTCCTACTAATTGATTAAGGAAGGATGGAACAGAGGAGGGCAGGGAGGAGCTGCGAAATGTAGACACAGGAATGCACGGAGGGGATGATTGAGGATGTGGTGAATTGTAAGAAGACCGGAGTCCAACGCACAATCATTAAACCAAAAGAAGATCAGATGACAGAATTTTCACACCTTGCGTACACCTTCACGTCAGTTCTTGCTCCATGTTCTCCTCGAGCTCGTCAATCATGTCGACGAGGGTATCCATTTGTGCGCGAGTCCACTCGATCGCTTGCTCGAGGATGGTAGCTTGACCTGTCGGATAGGGGCGGGATGCGATCAGCCAACAGCACTTTCCCTGCCCTCCTGAAAGAGACGTGTGTGCTCCTACTCACCTCTCCTGTAGATCGCAACCATCTCAAAGACTTCTGCCCTCACACCCCGTGGTACCCCACCATACGCGTCCACCTCCTTCTGCACCGTCTTGAACGCCTTTCGTTTCGCACAAAGCAACCCCTCAAGAGCCTCTAGCACCTCTCCATCCAGCCTCAAAGCTTCTAGACGCTCATCACTATCAGCTGTGACCTCCGGCGGCGAAGGTGGAGTAGCGAAATGGGGTCGTAGCAGCCAGGAGAGCTGAATACCAGGAGGCTCAGCGCCATGTCCCTCCCCCGCCGCTATGGCCTCGTCGATATCGGCCTTGATGAGTCTCTCCCTCAACTCCATTAGCAGACCAGCAGGTGCGCCACCCTTTTCGGAAGAGGAAGGGTGGACGATACGCCAGTAGTGCTTGCTGCCCCATGGACGCGCAGCTGCGAGAGCCAGATTCGGCGTACTTGAGCCACTGACGCTCTGCGTAGGCTGAACCGTCTCGAGGTCGGAGTCGGCCATAATGCCGTGCATGTCTACACCTTTTCGCTCCGTCTTGGTGCCACCTTTGCTGCTGCCGCTTTCATTGTCGCTGCCGAGTACGAGCGTAAGCTGATCGTCGGCCCCCTCTGGGAGGACGAAGCCGTAGCCGCAGAGGAACTCTTCGTTCGACTTGCCTCCGTAGCAATTGAACACTTGCTCACCAGCGGGGACGCGATAGCCTAGCTCCAGAGCGACACCTCTTCTCCGGTGCGTCTCTCCGTTGTCAACCTCTGGCTGCGCTGATGTTGAAGACGATGAATGCTTTGAGGAATTGAAGTTGGGGAGGAAAGGGTAGGTCCAGGTCACGGGTACACCGCGGGCATGGTTAAAGATGTCCATCCCTGGAAGGAGGACTGGTCCGACAAGGGAGCGGGGCACTTGTTCCTCTGGCGATGAGACCATTACAGGTGGGAAGGCACGACTGAAAAAGATTAAGCTTGCTCTCGAGTCAGCGTCGATTTTGGTAGATGCTGTGTTTGCAAGACCACTCACCTAGAGTATGCGGCGTAAGCCCACACCCATTCCTCGAAGACAGCTTCTTCCTGCTCTGGCTCGGCGAGCAACTTTGCTTGCCGCATCAGCTCGTCTCCTTCTGCATTGCTTCCCGACCCTTGCTCCTCTTCCCAGGCCTTGACGATCTCTCTTAACCAGCGCATAGCCTCAGCGAGAGACTTGCGATACTTTGCCCTGCGTTCGATTGCATCTCCATTCAGGGGTGTTGCCCGCAACAAGGAGAGCTCCGACTCGTTATATGTCGTCGGGGTGAGGATGGTGCGGGGAAGAGCATGAATGTAGGGCTGGTGTGTAAAGAGGGGTAGCTCTGCGTGCTTGCCATCACTGCTACTGCTGCCGCTTGTAGTCTGAGCCGAGGTGGCAGCTGCAGAAGAAAAAGAAGAGGAACCCTGCTGCTGCTCGAGAGTTGGGCCCAAGGAACGGGCGAGAAAGTGGAAGAGAACGATCCAATCTGCGGGTAGCTCAAAGTCTGGTTCCCTGACTTTCTCTGAGTTGAAGGTAGACAGAACCTTCTTGCGGCAGACAAAGGGGGAGAGGGCGAGCTCGCGGGGCATCTCCACCACTACTGATGCCTCGGGAAGGTCCGATGCTGCAAAGAGGGAGAGACCAGTGGAGGCTGTATGCTCGAAGCGCAGGTTGGGGTGATACCACCCGCCTTTGGAGAGGAACCATGCTTCGAGATTTTGAATGGCTTGAGCCTCCATCTTGTCTGAGAGATGGTGACAGCAGGTGAGGGTGGAAGCGGCAGGATGGTCGTCTGGAAGACGCTGCAGCAAGCGAGGTCGGGGAAAAATCTCGTACGGGAAGCGGAAAGGGAAATGGGAGGTGCAGCTGCTGCACTCCACATCCCCACCTTGCGTAGACGTCGGGACAAAGGAAGCTCAGCCGTAGCCGGATCTATCTACCCTGCTCAGTCTCCTCAGATCGCTGGTAGTGTCGTGTACCGTGACAGAGGCTCAGGAAGCAAGATGGTGTCCATCCCGGCAGAATGGCAGATCAGGGGCCTCAGCGATACGCGTGAGGTCATCAATGCGGTCTTGCCGGAAGACGCTCCGACCACAGCTAGTCTTGTGGCCGGGCCGAGTCTACCGGACCTGCTACTGGCAAACGACAAGGCGACTGCTCTGCTTTCATCAAGCAAAGCCCGCTCGATATGCACCTTACCTGCTCACGAGATCGTAGAAGCCATAAGGAACAAGGTATGTCGATCAAGATAGCGGCTGGCACTTATCGCCTTGGCTAAATCCCAATTTCTCCGACAACCTGTCTCAGCGACTCACTTCCGTAGAAGTAACGGAAGCCTTCCTGACCAGTGCAGCTATAGCACATCAGGCTACCGGCTGCCTTTCCGACTTCTTCCCCGACGAGGCGAGAAGGAGAGCTCAGGAACTCGATGCTAAGCAAGCCAGGGGCGGGACTCTTGGTGTGCTGCATGGCTTGCCCGTCTCGATAAAGGTGAGTGATGGGCTGCAGTGCAGAGGGACTAAGCAGAAGTCGTCTGTCTGACATACAGCAGTCACCATCGATCAGGGTCACATCTTTCTGACAGGCCATGGCAATCAGAATGGATTCGCATTAGACGTCTTGAGTCAAGAAGCCTTTGATGGACTTCTTTCAGATCAGGACAGTCCACTCCTCCGCAATCTTAGTCCAGCTCACATTGCTCTCATCAAGGCAAGAGGTCCCCGCATCTCCACAGAAGATGGCCTGCTAGCACGCATCTTGCGAGACCAAGGCGCCGTCTTCTACTGCAAGACGACGATGCCCCAATCGGTCATGCACCTCGACACGCGCAGCAAGCCCTTTGGCCAGACGATCAATCCTTACAATCTCGCGCTAAGCGCGGGAGGTAGTAGTGGCGGCGAGGCAGCGCTGGTCTCAGGCGGAGGATCCGTTCTGGGGGTTGGAACAGATATCGGCGGCTCGGTCCGTCAGCCGTGCGCAGTGACGGGCCTCTGGGGCCTTCGACCGACGTGTGGACGCTTGCCTTCGACGAGTTCCCTCGCGCCTACCCCGGGAAATTCGATGGTGGTCTCGACGATCGGACCTATGTGTCGCTCGCTGAAAGATGTCATTCTCTTCATGGCGGCAGTGCTGCGTGGTGAGCCTTGGAAGCTGGACCATAATACCTACCGCCTTCCCTGGCGCGGAGAGGTGGTGCGGACGCCGAGGAAGGGTCGTCTGCGCATTGGTATCCTGAGGCACGACGGGCTTGTCCGTCCCATCACTCCCATTCGACGCGCTCTCAGCAGTGTCACGTCGCGGCTCAGAGATCGGAAGGATGGCAGCGCAGAGAGCGTCACCGATATCGAACTTGTCGAGGTCGACGCAGGTGACCTGCATGCCCGTGCCTGGACTCTGATCCGCTCCCTCTACTACGTTGACGGTGGCGCCTTTACTCGCTCAGTTGCAGCCCTAGGCGGCGAGCCTCTCCTCCCTCTCACCGAAAAGATTCTGCAAGATGCAAAGGAGAGGACGGCGCATGAGATTTGGGAATTGACAATGAAGAGAGAGTCGATCAAGAAGGAGTACCTAAAATGGTGGAACGAGTTGCGGCTGGACGCGATGCTTTGTCCTGCCTCAGCTACGGTGGCTCCGAGACCAGGGACGATCAAGTACTGGGGGTGAGTACATACATGGGAGACAGGAGCGAAGGAGAGAGACTAGCGATCCTTAGAGGCCAAGGTGCGATACTGAGAGCTTTGCCTCTCCAAATATTTTCACGCTCATCCTCTCGCACAGCTACACATCCGCCTTCAATCTCTTCGACCTCCCCTCCCTCGTCTTCCCCACAGGCATCAGCGTGAATGCAGAGGCAGACGTAGCGTTCGAAGCCTCTGAGGTCAGTGACGCTCATTCAGCCTCAAAGGTCAAGAGGGAAAACACGGGCGACTGGGATCGCGAGAATGAGGAGGAGTACGTGCGCCATAGAGACGTGTACGAGGGAGCGCCCGTGGGCTTGCAGCTGGTTGGTAGTCGTTTTGAAGAGGTAAGTAATCCTTGAAGCTGCGCTTTCGAGATGGAGAGGTGAAGAAGTAGAGACGTGACTGACTGCTGACTGCATGACCCCACAATGACATGCGCAGGAGGAGCTCATACAAGTGATGCAGGTCATCGAGCGGGCTCTGTAGCGCCAGCAAAACTGGATTCTCTCATTCACTAGACGAGACTTGTATTGTTACACAGAGGGCAAAAGGTGACGCATCGGAATAGCATTCAGCACTCCTCAGAAGCAGCGAGTGAGCCTCGGATCAGGTAACCCTCATGGCTCTACACTAGGCCGATTGTAGTCGGAGAGCGAGGGGAAGAGCCTGCAGGAGAAATGTAGAGGAACTCACATTCATCAGCTTACAGGCCCGACAACGTCTAGTACCTTCTCTCTTACTCACCGCAGGGTTATCCGTCGTGGCTAGTAGCTGCACAGTACTATTAAAGCCCTTTAGTCCTTTACTCCACCTCGACTCCTGCTTCTCCAATGCCCGCCACATCTCCGCCCCCAGCTCCACCGGCTTGTCCTCGCCATTCATCTTGGCGGCAGACCAGGTCGATCCGGTCATTAGGACGTGGTCGTCTAGACGGGAGCGGTTGTCGTAGAATGTCCGAGCGGAGGACATAAGGCGGCCGAGGAACTGAAGAGGAGGTAGAAGAGAGGAACGTCGCTCGTCCGTCAGAGACTGTCGCTTTGCATCTGAAGCTCTTTGCTCTACGCAGCTACTCACCTCGACAAAGCGGACATCGGTCAGCATGCACTCCCTCCTACACTCATTCAAGAAGTCTGTATGATCTTTCAAGAATTGATCCACCGTCCTTGCGCTCTCCATCTTCTTCTCCAGCTGCGCCCAATTCGGCTCAATGATCTCCGTCGTATAGAATGCCAGGACATTCTGTACAAAGAAGATCATTCGATGGCGCAGCTTAAACACGCGCATCTTCCATCCCTCGAGCTCTGGATGGTCCGTCACACGCGTTTGCCAGTGCTTGCTTTGCTGCTCTTGCCATACATCGGCTAGCTGGCGCTCAGTCACTTTGAGCTGGATGAGAATGGTGTGCACGAACTTCCAGCGGATCATGTTCTTCCGCGATATCACGAGAGAGACGGGGAATTTGACAGTGACGTCAAACTCCAGTAAATCAAGTACTGTCAGGGGAAGGCATCGCTGTCAGCATACGGGAGGTTTAATCACTGAATGCGGGCTCCTTCGCAAACTCACAGACGGCGGAGTGATCCCTTTCCCTGGCCTTCATCTTCGCCTTGAGCGCGATAGCCTCCGCCGCATCAGCCTTCACACCTCGGGTATTGGCAATCCTCTTCAAGCTCTCGTAAGGATTGTCAAGCGCAGTCCCTACCGTCACGTCCTCTCGGTAAGGATCTGAAAATCCGACTACCGTCGAGCTGCCAAGGACCATTCCAAGATGGGTCTGCAGTCGATTCTTGACGCTATCACGGACGTGCATTGGATTGACGACCTTTCGCAGTTCCCTTTCTGCCTGCTCCACGTAAGAAGAGAAGAAGTCAGAGGAAGAGAAGAAGAAATAGTGCTTGAGAGAACGCAGTCGATCCACGAGGCTGTACTCGTCAACGAGGAGGTGGAGGAGCTGGGTATTGGCTTTCTGATAAGCATCGTCTATGCGTCGGAAGAAGCTGACAAGGCGTCGATGAGAAAGGAAGACTCAGTGCGTGTTTGGCAAGTACGGGTTACTTTCTCATCGTCGACTCACGAATGGTCCGTCAGTATGATCAGCGAGCCCTCCTTCTCCGCTGCTGTCATGCCCAGATCTCCTTGGTCAATCTCTGCCACTCCACTTTTAGAGACTGCACATTCCCTAACGACGTTCAGATATTTGCCGGCCAGCAAGATCTTACTCTTCCACGCCTCCAAAAAACTGGGTATCTTGGCACCGCCAGTAAACAAGCCTCGTCCCGTGAGAGCTTCTTCGTCCTCGTCAATCTTCCTTTGATATTCCTCTTCGTCTAGCATCTGCCTGTCCATCTCCCTGGCAGCAAGTATATTCTGGTCTCGCAGGGTATATCGCTTCTCCCAGTAGATATCTGAAGGATCCGTCTTGAGAGAGTCATACGTGACTCTGTGATCCTCGAATACCATAAATTCGTCGTAGGAGTCGACCAAGACGCCCGTCGAAATCCAGCCCAGCAGGATCTTGGCGTATGGCTGGGCTGCTTTATTGAACAAGTCGCAGAAAAGCTCATGAGCTCGGGGGTCTCCTGATTGCTTCTCAATCCTGTCCCAAAGCATGCTCAATGTCTCTCCACCCTTGGCAATGCCTCCGACGATGGCATCCTCTCCAGAGTCCTGATCGCCATCGAGCTGGAAGATTCTTTTGCGTTCTCGCTCCATCTCCTCGGTCGCTGCGCGCAGAGCCTCATCACCTTCGCTGTCCTCATCAGAAGAATCGCCGTCTTCCGAGTCCGACTCGAGGACGTCTGCGTGTGTGATAGCTGCAAGCTCAGAGACCAAGTCGTACACCAGCGAGAGGCGATGCAGCGTAGGGTGAACGAAGAGCCAGACTTTCTGCAAGGTGAAGAAGGGCGAGGTCGAAAGCTGCTGCTCGAGTTGAACGACGAGAGTCTCGTACTCCTTGAGTATGTCTCGGATCGCTGCGCAAAGAGCGTGCGTCACTGTACCAAAGTGTAGCATAGAGTCCATGTCGACAAAGGTAGAGATGGCCGAATAGCATGTCGCCAAGGGCAGTATCCGTAGCACTAAGTCCTTCAACGATGCATCTGCAGAAGAACGGCGGTGATGATTATTGACGGTCAGTCACACTCTTCGCGCATACTGCACATCGAAACTCACCAAGGGAACTGTCTACGGTGTACGTTGCGCCTCGCAGTTGGCAAGCTACGTCCTCCGGATCATATCCAGCCGCATAGGAAATGTACTGCCCCTCGATGCCCATGAGCACGAATAGGAGGTCTTCGATGATGGCAGCTTCTTGCACCTCTCTGGGCATCTGAGCTAACTCTGCCTTCGTCTCTGCTGCTGCAGGATCATCCTCCACTACCTCGCCGTTGACTCCGTCCGACTTTCCTTCGACCTCACCCGAAAGTGCTTGAGGTGGGGTTGGACGGGCAGCAGCCTTGCGCGGCGTTTGCGCAGGTACCCGTCTGCCCAGCGGGTTGAAGAGGAAGGATCCCTCGTGCGCAAACGAGTCGTTGGGTGCTGAAAGCGCAGGCCGATGGATCAGCACCACCCTTTAGCTGGCTTTGTCTCGACAAGTCTGACTCACCTTCCTTCTTCCCTTGCAGACCCTTCGCAGCTGCCATCGCAAGTCGGATGCCATCAGGCCCTTGTCCTGGCCTCTTCGTGAGTCCACCTGGTCCGCTCTCCACCCCAACTCCTTTTGCTTTCTTCAGCCAGTGGGTCGTCTGCTCCGTCGTTGTGACGAGCTGACTGTCTTTGAGAAGCTGACCGTCGACCAAGCGGTTGCTGCTCGAGGAGACGACGGTACGCCGAGGTCCGTCCCCAAGCGCTCGCTCTGCGTCGGTGTCTGGCTGGGCATTCAGATCCAAGCGCGCCAGTATATCTGCAGCTGCAGTTCCAGCTCCAGTTGGACGCTCCTCACCCTCTTCGGCGATTGGACTTCCTTCCTCGCCTCTAGTGGTATGTTGCACAGCGAGGAGCTGTTTGGTCATGCGGTCGAACTGTTTCGTGCTGAGAGGCGCGACGCTCTTGCGTTTGTACTTCTTGTGGGGCGTCACAGGAGGCAGTGATGATGTGGATGGCGCTCCTGCGGCCGAGCCTGCATAGGCAGAGGACGATGTGGCCCTCGACGACATTGCAGGTAGCCCGCGAGGGATGGGTGTGAGCTTAGCAGGGTAAGGTCGAGTTCAAAGGCTCACGTGTGTTGGATGGTACCAAAGGGCTGCGATATCAGCCCCGAGTCCTGCGACGTTGGTGCCAGGCGGAAAGGGAGTCGAGACGAGACGCGCCGCGCGCCGTGTTTCTTGACTTTGGCGGGGGCGGGCAGCATTTGCGGGAAGAGACAATGACGCTCCGCCCACTCCTTCCGCTCGCCCTACCCACACCACTACTGCTAGTACACCGCAAAGTGCCTCAGCACCAAGTCTTACTTCCCGATGGGTTGCGGCAATGGTGCAGCCAGCCTCCACGTGGGCAAAGGCAATCGGTAGTCAGGCTCACCCGGGGGTCCCCACACGATCTGCAGCCCAGACCACTTTTGACTCCATACCAGCAGAGGGACACCTGCTGCAGGACATCTTGCCAGGCCACACGCTGCTCCAGCCTCTACGAGACTATGGCATCGTCGACACGGCGGATATCGCCTATGAGTTCGGCCTCACCGCAGAATACATGAATCGGCAAGGCAATCCGAGCGCTGCAGTGACCCGAGCGGCATTGCTCATGCCGCCCACGAGCCCAGTCGAGCTCGCTCGCTTTCTCCAGGAGGTGCAACGCAGGCTGAGCTTCGAGAGGTCGATACCGCCTCCTTCCTCCATGCATAGCCTTTCGCATCATACTCAGACGCTCTTGAAGGGCATTCTGCCATCCTCCACAGCGTCACCACGCCGGGAGCTCAAGCCGCTACCGCCACCTCCACTGCCTTCTGCTGAATCCCAAGAGCTACAAAGGGGTGGCACACCGCTCGCCTCTCGAGCATCGACGCCCTCTGAGCGGAGCCGGTACGGTACAACGATTACTGCTCCTTCGTCTCCTGCAGAACAATCAGAGCTTGCAGTAGTCACAGAGCCCGTTGCCCCACTGCCGCCCTTGCCTCCGGCTGCGCCGATGCTCTCTGGACTAAAGGCCCTAGACGACTGCTTTGCGGATGAAATCGGTCTGCCGCCTGGACGTGCCCTTGAGATCATCGGGCCCACGGCAAGTGGAAAGAGCCGGTTTGGTCTACAGCTGATCGTGGAGAACAGAGTGGCAGGGTTGCGCATGAATAGGCAAAGGAAAGCTGGCGTAGAACCACCCGAGTGCGCCCGAGAAGGGCCGGAGCAGGAAGAGAGTCAGAGCAGAGAAGGCTTCGACGAGGTCCTTATAATTGGTGAGCAGCATAGTGGCCCCAAGAAGTACTTTGCTATGGTCAACGGACTGACTTGAAGGTTTCAAATCTTCCCCTCGCAGATACGGAAGGCAGCCTGACGCCTGACATCATCGAGGAGACAGTCTGGCAACGTGTCGAGCTGCTGAAGCTCACCGACCCCGAGAGCACAGCACTCTTTCGGGAAGTCCTAGACGGGATGCATCTCGTCATACCTGCCTCGCTGGCAGAGCTCATCGCGACCATACGCGTTCTGACTGCTTCGCCCACACCCGCAAGATCGGACCAGTCCAAGCAAGACTCAGAGCTCCCCGGCTCCCTACCCCCACTTCGCTCCCTAAGCGCAATCCTTCTCGACACACTCTCCTTCCACCTCCGTACCCCCGTCGAGACGACTCCCGAACGTCGCGGACGACGTCACGCCCTCTCCCTCCTTTCCTCCCTCCTGCCTCTCCTTTCAGCGCAGAACCCGCGCCTAAGACTGGTAGCTACGGGTCAGATGAGTCTCAAGATGTTCAGTCGCGCTGGAGACTTGGTCACCTATCGCACCCCTGGATCGATTGCCAGGATGGTCCCGCAGGTAGAGGCTCCGGGCGGGACGGGAGCGACAGGAGGTGCGGGTGGGGAGTATGTCTCAGGGATGGAGAAGGGGCCAGGCGTGCTAGGCGAGGGAGCATGGAGGATTCTCCTCTTTCGACTTGGAGAGAGAAGAATGGCGCAACTCTTCTATTCGCCTCCTCTCCCGCTCTCAAAAAAGGAAGACGAGGCGTCTGAAGGCGGACAAGGCGAAGATTCCTCTGGGATGGTTAGAGGTTCGCAGATGAAGCGAAGGAGGATAGGCGCACATGCTGACGGTGGACGATGGATCCCGTTTCGGATTGATACCCGTGGACGTGTGGTGGAAGAATAGACTGGATTCGAGATCCACATTTGGTTAGCACTCCAATACAATCCCAATCGACACGCTATCTATCAGTCTCGCACCGGCAGCACTTCTGCCTCGCCCTGCCTGTTCTTCTGTCACATCTCTGTCGTTGCACTCGATCAATAGAGAATAAAGACTACACTCCTTTGCCTCCCCTCAACTCTTCCCACCACCCTGTCCACCTCCTTGACCCTGACCCTGTCCAGGCTTCTGAAGGGCAATTGCCTCGATCATCGCTCCCCAAGGCATCAGTGAATCGGCGCTCCAGTCCATGTTGGCCAAATTTCCACCTGCTCCACTACCAGACGAAGCAGGCGACTCCATCGCTCCACCCACACTTCCAGATCCTGGATGCCCATGACCCTTGTGGCCCGTAGTGCTGCCACTAGCGCCGTTACCGTTGCCTCCATTTCCTCCATTGCCAGTCCCATTCCCACTGGGGTTGGGAAAGGAAGACCAGGATGGACCCGGTGTGAGCGTGCTCTCTGCAGCCGAAGAAAAGTCTCCACCCCAGAATGCGCTAAAGTCTGTAGCAGAAGGCATGCCCGCACCACTGAGATCGTCTGGCAACCCTAGACCCGGTCCATCGATGCCGCCAAAAGTCGTTGTGCCGTCAGAGGAGGTGTTGAGGTCATGCTCACCTGCAGAGCGACCAGGATTGATACCGAATTGCTCCAGTCCGCCTCCTAGTGAGTCGAAGATTGTCTGGGCTAGATTGTACGTGGAGGAACTTGGTTGGGCCATGGCAGAGGGCGTGCCGGTGGATGTGAGGATACTACCGGATTGCTGCGGAAGAGAGACACTTTTTGCCAACGAATTGGCTGGGACGAAGAGACCCGGCTGTGAGGTGACGTTGGATTGACCCTCGGCTGATGGCCGCGGCGCTGCAGCTGGCCGCCCAGCCATCCTAGCACGCTTGACGGCCTTTCTTGCGCACCAAGAAGGATCCTTGATCTTGCTCTTGAACAGACTGATGATTGCCACTTCTCGCTTCGAGCACTGATCCTTCTCTTCGCGCCTATTGTGCTTTTCGATGAATTCATCAAGAACTTGGACCAGCTCAGCGGCATCTTCCGAGTCTGGCTCGAGGAGCAGCTCGATGCCGGTGATGAGGGTAGAGCTGAAGAGCCGGTACAGTCCGCCCATGTGACGCGGTCTAGCCCTGTCCTTTGGCCATTGTACATCTCTCTTGTACTCCCTGCGCACTCTCCTATCAGCTCGTGCAGAGGCAAACGCTGCATTGCGAGATAACGCATACTTTTCAGAGTTGCGTAGCAAGTACGGCCTGTGTAGCGTGCACCGAACATAGTGGAACTCCACATTGATCAAGTATCTGTGAAGAGGTAGCCATGGGCAAATCTCATCGTAGGACCGATCGAAACCTTCCGTCTCTTCAGTCCGATAAGGGGCTGGCATATCGGCAATGAAGTGCTGCAGCTCTTCGTCGAGCTTGACCACATCACTGTAGCTGCGCAGTTGGGAGAGATTTTGGAAGTGCTCTGCTATCTTGCCCGTGATGATGGTCAAGGCATGACGTAGGGCAACGAAGGCGAAAATGCCTGGTGGACCGGGCTCGTGAAGGCTCCTTGCAGGGCCGGCCGCGGCGGTTCGGGGTAAGGTGTCGACATCGACGTCAGATGGCGGCAAAGTATCGCAGTGATGTGTCTGGATGGCTGGAGGTCGACCGAGGAGGATCGAGGTCGTCTTGTCTTGATAGAAGAGGAGGGTCCACAACCTACGTCGCCTCTCGGTGGTTCCAGCGTCGAGCCCAAGCTTGCTACCGTCTCGATGAAGCCCTATAGCCTGAGCAGCTCGAATGGCACTGCCAAGCATGCTCCAGCTCTCAGCACTTTGCCTACAAGTTATGAGGAAGCGAGCAGCGAAAAGCTGAGCCAGGACGAGGTCGATGTGATCAGCTCGAATGAAAGACGCTACGTGAAGACTCTGACGACAAGCGTGATATAGCTTGAGACTTCCTTTCTTGGCCTCCTCCTCAGTCGCTTGCGATTCCGGCTCATTGCGCTTCGCAATGGCAAGGATAATGAAAAGGAAGGACAAGAACGGAATGTGTCTTGCTCCATCATCACCAATCTCTTCTTTGGCCCTGCCCCATTTGAACGACATGAGAGCATCGTATGACTGGCGGAACGTGCCCTCGTGGAATGGCAACCGAGTAGCATTGATGTCTCGGAAGTATAGGGCGAGTAGATCATCGGTGACCTGCTTCGAGGGCAAGAGGGCCATGAGGTCCGATACGATCGAAGAAGGGGCACCTCCTTCTGATACGAGCCTTGCGATCTTGAATGAGGCGGGAAAGCGGGGCAAGTGGGCTCCTAGCTCGATTCTCTCTCCATTGATCTCTGTTTCCACCGCCCCACGGCTGACGCTGGGTAGTGCCAAGCCTCCGAAGTATGAGTCGCCTTCAATGCTGAGGCCACCCTCCAATGGATTCCTTCTGCTTTCCACAGCAGATCCAGGTACCTTGCGGCCGTCTTCGTCCTCGTCGATGCCCTCTGTCCTTCGCTCTGCATGGAAGAGCTCTTCCCTCTCGATGCCTCGCATCGAAGGTGGCCGAAGACGGAAGCTCTCTTTTGTGGTCTCTTCATCGTCTTCATCATCGTCCGCCACCTTGAGGCTGTTAGCAAGGGAGGCAGCTTCGCCTTTGGCCCCTTCTGTGCTCACATCGCCGCTTCTGGGCAATAAGCCGCCATTTGCTCTGGCTTCTGTGAGCTCCTTCGCCAGACTCGTCTGCGCCGTTGCAAGAGCTTCGACGATGTCTTCCAGGCGTGTGATTCGATCCCGGTAGTCGCCGTGCTCATCGCCATTTTCGAAAGGCTGCGCGTCAAAGCAAGTGAGAGCATAGTGCATGGTCAGTCGCCACCTTTGCACCCCGTCGCCTCTGCAGAAGAGAGCAAGCACTCACCCGACACGAGTCCCCTAGACCTCTCTCAAGACATGGGCCACAAGGATATTGGCGATCGCACTTGTGTTTCCTCCTGTGGCACTCAGCGCAAGAATAGTGTATCCGCTGTTGAGATGAGTCAATACACAAGAGTGATTGCAAATGTGAGCTCACGCGTCTGCCACCACCGGACGTTCAGCAAAGCTCAGCTTCATCTCACCTTCCTCTTCCTCTCCTTCTTGTTCCCCACGCTCGCAGCAACAGCGTCTGCTACTGTCTGAGGAGCCTTGACGCTCTTGCCTGGGCCAGTTCTCGATGGCCCAGCGGCAGAAGAGCTCGGGGTTGGCGAAGTGGAGAGGTTACGACGGTAGTCGCTCGTGTCGTTCTGAGAGAGGGCATGGACGGCCTTTGCAGGTGGGAATTGCTGAAAGTCGGGAGGATGTGACCACGGTGGGCCTGTTGCTATGCCGGGCGAGGTTGGAGCTGTGAGTCTTGAAGCTGCATTCTGGGAAGTCGAGCTTTGGCCGTGCCCCGTACCGCTACCACTTCCGCTTGGCGGGGATGCTGCGCCAGGCCAGCGGTTGGCGGACGCAGCCTTGTTAGAGTTGGAATCCATCGAGGAGGGTGAATGGAAGGTGGAGCAAGTACTTCAGATAGCTTCAGCGATGATGATGAGGGAGAACGATGGGCATATATAGAGGATGATAGATAGAAGGGATGTATTGGAAAGCAGACAAGGTGGGGCACAAGATGTTCCTCGCACGGAAGGGCAGCTGCACTCAAAATGCCCGCACAATCCTCGCCACGCCCTCACGCCCCATTCAGACGCCGCGCCAAGCCTCTCCGCGTGACGCTCTGGTACACCACTGACTCATACCTCGACAATCTCATCACGCTCACGACAGGAGATCCTCAAACGGATCCTTGGTCTTCGAGGCTTGCCGCGATGGAGTGCCTCCTGGAGTGGGAGTACCGTTCCGCGGCGTGGCATTTACTGGCAATTGCAGCGCACCCCAATCACCCAGAGGCGAGCTGACCCTGTCCAACCCAACTGGCGTGGCAATTCCCCCGGAAGAAGAAGCCGGCCGCATAGATGGAGGAAGCGAGACTCCTCCGCTGCTCGAAGGAGGCTGTGATAGCTTGGACGTATCGAAGAGATCAAAAGGTAGACCTGATGAATTCGTTGCCGGTTGTGAGGGTGTTTGCTGTGTTGTGGCATTGTCGCCGAAAGTCAGACTTGCGAAGTCGTCCATGATACTATTGCTGGCAGTTCCCGAAGCGTTACTAGCTGGGTTTGCGCTCTCGTCGTCGAATGATATCAGATCTGACATTTTTGCAGTAGGCACAGCAGCAGAGCCTCCTTTAGCCGGATCAATGGAAGGGTCGATGTGAACCTTGGCAGAGTAGTCTCCCTTCTTGAAAGCATCATACCGCTCGCAGACTTGATTCACTAGGTCATTGAGCAGCAGCAAGCGATCGATCTGCTCTGATTCCGTGTCTTCCTCCTGCGAGATCCACTTCTGCAGCCGAGGTTGTACGCTGCGCAGGTGAGACGCAATCTGATCGTAGCCATCTCCTCGCACAAACTTCTCTCCTTGTTGATAGTTGTCGAGCATGTCGTTGAGAAGGAACGCCCGCGACTGCACCTTGTCCAGCTCCTTGGCTGTCTGCGATGCATAGTCGGGTTTCCGTTCGGGCTCAGCCCCGGACATGATCTTCATCAGTTCCTGAGCTTGCTCTAGATCTCTCGGTGTGCCTCTTCTGATGAGCTCTTGCAGCTTGGCTGCCTGAGCGGCTCTGTCCTCCTCTTCCAGCTCTTCGGGGGTCTGTAGGTTGTTCTCTGGGTTCAGAACACCCTTTGACCTGGAGTCTAGGCTGGGGAAGCGATAGCCCTTGTACGTGAGCAGTCTGTGCATATCCCTGATATGTACCAGATCCTCCTTTCTCCGAGAATCGACGCAGAGCGTGTTCTTCCACTCATTGATGAGCTTCAAGATGCGGGTCTGCGCTGGCGATGGAAAGAGGGGTGGACGCTCGGGAAATCTCTTGACGAGCTCATTGAGGAATTCCTTGGTAGCAATCTGCAAGTGGAAAGGGTACCCAACATTCTTGACGAGATGATCAAGGAGGTCAAGAGCCAATTGAGAGACGTGAGGATGACGTGAATTGATGCGCTGAACAACGGCACTGGCAGCTTCGCGAGGGCTGTTGGGCGATGTAGGCAGATGAGGCGTGAGGTCAGCTGCACTGCAAGGGCCACCCTCTGAGTGCAAGTGGTGATGTATGTACTCACGTATTAGCTTGCTTCTGCTTGATATAGTCTGCCAGCTCCAGGTTCAGGGCAATGTTGGGCTGTGTGTTCATGGGGTCACAGCACCGCTCTACGTAGGACTGTACGGGAGTGATCTTGAGCTCTGGGTCGAGTGATCTGGCTGCCCAGTCGGCAAAGGAGGAGATTGCGCTCGCGGCAGAGGCTGATGCCGAGGCAGAGGACGACGAGGAGGCATGACCCCTAGCAACTCTGCTCTGATGATTGTAGGACATCGTGGGCGCGGGTGAGTGGTGAGGGTATACCCAGGAATGGCGAGGAAGCACTGTTGCTCGAAGGTGTTGGACGTCGTCCGTCGTCGCCCAGCACGCCAGGCAGCCTTGTTGCTCCGCGCGAGCCAGACGCTCCACTGCACCCAGGCGCCATGCAGCCATCTCCGCCGGAATACTCTACTCTATCGCACGACGATCATCAGCAGATCTTCGAACCTCCCTATCCACATCCACCTCTACCTAGCTTATCCTTGGTTCATGGTACTTTGCTCCTCCCGCATAGCCATATTCACATCTGCTACACGCCCTACATCAGCCTTCCCTAGACGCTATCTCGCCTCGGCAGACGCTTGCAGTCTCCTTCGTACGCGCCTCCACAACCCTGCCCAGTCTCTCCGGACCTCTGTACAAAAGCCAAAGCGAGCTTCCTCTTCTCTCTTTCCTCGCCACACCACATTCCCTTCAACCAAACACTTTGCTGATCGCACATTCTCATCTACTGTCGCAAGTATGGGAGCCGTCGCTACTGAAAGAGTCGATACCACCGCTCGGGTTGCTCACCTCAGGGCCCTAATGGCACAGCAGGAGGTCCAGGCCTACGTCATTCCTTCTGAAGACGCACATGCATCCGAGTACCCTCCCGAGTCTGATCTGCGAAGAGGCTTCATCACCGGGTTCACTGGAAGCGCCGGCACAGCCATCGTCACCACCACACCCCCTATCACCGGCGAGGCTGCGACCCAGGGCGGAAAGGGAGAGCCAGAAGCGCTCCTATTTACAGATGGCAGATACTTCCTTCAGGCTGCACAGCAGCTTCAACCCGAGGTCTGGAAGCTCATGAAGCAAGGCGAAGAGGGGGTACCTACTTGGACAGGTGAGTCAAGCATGGCATGGGTAGGCATCGATTGTCACGAAGCTCACACCTTCTGAACCCCGTGTTTCTGCTATTAGAATACCTCACAGGGCATCTTCCGCAGGATACCGTGATCGGCATTGATCCAGCTCTGTTGGCCGTGTCCGACTATCAGACACTGGCCAAAGACCTTGCCAAGCGCGGCTCCTCCCTCAAGTCGCTGCCATCGAACCTTGTCGATGAAATCTGGGACGCCATTCCTTCGAATGAGCCCGGCGCTCGACCTTCGGCGTCCAGGCAAGAAATCTTTGTGCAGCCCCTAAAGCATGCAGGCAAGTCAGTCTCTGAGAAAGTCAAGGAGGTGAGAGCAGACTTGGAGAAGCTGTCCAAGGACAAGGCCAAGGACGACGTCAAGATTGTGGGCTACGTGGCCACCATGTTGGACGAGGTTGCCTGGCTCATGAACCTCAGAGGTACCGATGTGCCTTACAACCCCGTCTTCTTTGGATTCGCTGTCGTGCCCATCGAGGGCAAGGGCAAAGCAACAGTCTACCTCGAAGGCAGCAAGCTGACTTCAGATGCCAAGGAGCAGCTGCAAGAGTCTGGCGTGGAGGTGCAACCATACGAGGCCTTCTATGCAGACCTGGCCGCACGCGGAAAAGAACAAGGCCAAGGCGAGAAGATGTTGGTGGGTCAAAGAGCATCATTAGCTGTCTCAGATGCTCTAGGTGGTTTGTCCAAGGTCCAGATCGATCGATCGCCAGTGATCGACCTCAAGTCCGTCAAGAATGAAGTGGAGATTGACGGCTTCAGGCATTCGCACATCGTGGATGGAGCTGCTTTGGCGAATTACTTTGCTTGGCTAGAGGGAGAGCTCACCAGTGGAAAGACGGTCAGCGAGTATGAGGGCTCAGAAATTCTCAAGGAGTTCCGAGCGAAGATGCCCGGCTTCAAGGGCGAATCTTTCACAACCATCTCTTCTACCGGCCCCAATGCTGCAATCATTCACTACAGTCCCAGTCCTGACAAGAGCACTACCATCGACAAGAGCAAGATCTATCTCTGTGATAGCGGTGCCCAATTCGTCGATGGTACCACCGATGTCACTCGTACACTTCACTTCGACCCCGCTGCCGAGGACCCCCAGACTTTGCAGACTATCAAGACGGCCTTTACCCGCGTGCTCCAAGGCCACATTGCCATTGACCAGGTCGTCTTCCCCAAGGGAACGACGGGATACGTCATCGATGCTCTGGCGCGAAAGGCTCTATGGGAGGAGGGTCTCGACTACCGGCACGGTACCGGGCACGGTGTGGGCAGCTTCTGCAATGTGCACGAGGGTCCTGCCGGCATCGGTACACGCATCGTCTTCAATGAGACGCCCCTCAAGGATGGAATGGTGTTGAGCAACGAGCCTGGCTACTACCAGGACGGACAATGGGGCATCCGTATTGAAAATCTCGTCATTGTACGACCGGCAAACACCCGCAACAACTTTGGAGGCAAGGGCTTCCTAAAGTTTGAACACATCACACTCTGCCCTATTCAGACGTCGCTGATCGATGCTTCTCTTCTGAGTGAAAAGGACAAGGTGTGGATCAATGCCTACCACGATGAGGTCCTTGCAAAGGTCGGACCTGTGCTAAAGGAGCAGGGCAGCGAGGGTGAACTGGGTCTAAAGTGGCTAGAGAGGGAATGTGGGCAGCGCGTCTAGAAAGAGGTTACAAGAAGAAGAACCTTATTATAGCATTGTCAGAAGAAGGAAATAATACAAAGAGTGATTGTGAACAATGACAGGAGTGAGGGAGCGTCTGAAAGGCCAGACAGACTACAGAAAGTAGTACTGTCGCAACTCCAACCCGCCCCTTTTTTTTCTTAGGTTCGAATATCACCCAGTCCATGTCCATCTACTCACTTCCGTCCAATCATCCCCTTGAGAGCTGCATCATACACGCTAGGCATATGACAGCTGATTAAATCCCTCGAGAAGATGACCTGGTCAAAGACGTTTTCTACCCTCCCTCCACGTCCACCTCCCTCGGCTGGGGCCGGACGCAAGATGAATCCACGCTGCTTTGTACCCTTGACCTTCTTGCGAGGAGTAGGAGAAGGAGCAGTGGAAGAAGGCACAAGGGCCCCTGCTTCTGCTTCTGCTACTGCCCCTGCGCTCGAAGTGGTACTCGAGCCTGCCGCTCCATCCTGCTTCAACTCTTGCTCCTGTTCACCGTCGACCAAAAAGTCCTGTCCTTTGAAAAAGTAGAAGAGCTGACCAGGAACAAAGAGTTCCACATTCCTCATGTTCGCCTCTAGGGTTCTTCGCAGCGCCAGGAAATCAGTCTCGACGGCCGCCTTGGTCTCGGGAGAAGAGTCGAGACGACCTGCCTGATGCTCAAAGGCGCGCGTGAGGAGCGCGGCGACACGCAACGGGGTAGAACGGTCCGAAGGGTCGAAGGGAGCTTCTCCATTTTGGGCAGCAGTGCTGGACGTGCCTCGTGATTGCTGCTGCTGTCGCTGACGAAGAGACTCCTGCTGATCCTCCCAGAGGATCCAAGCGGCGGCATTGCGAATGTCTTGAATGGATCCGAGGGAGAGACGACAGATGAAATCGTACGAGTAGACGTAGCTTGTGATGAGCTTGTGGCACCGCCTTCCAAGCGAGGCACTCATCGTCGCTGGGCATCCGTAGCAGTATGCGTGGAGCTTCCTTCCCGGTGGGAGACCGCTAGCGGTTGTAGTGAGAGTCGTCTCCGGGTTGGCCCACATGATCGCTAGCAGTGAAGCGACGCCAGCACCCAGAGAGTGACCAGCAATGTCGAGATTGTAGCCTGCGTTGGCCAGAAGGGCGGAGCGCACTGCACGATGCACCGGTCGATTGATAGCGCCGACGCCGAGGGAGGTCTCGTACATGCCTTCGTGCACCAGTGGTAGTTCCGACTGGTCCGTATCGATGAATTTGGCGGCACGAGCAGAGGTGCTGGCGTCTTGTCCAGGGAAGGGAACCGAATTGGTCTGCTGCGCCTCAGGAGCGGTCGACGCTGCAGGGTCAACCTCGCCCCTGGCAGCGGGATCTGGGAAGTAAAATTCCCGACTCTCGCATGTCAGATCGGCTGCAATGTCCCCCAGGCTCAAGCTTCCTCGCAGGACCAAGATGATCTTGCGGGACTTGTGGTCCGTGACAACGTAGTACCTCGGCTTGCTCGGACGAGGAATGCGTGGGCCAGTCGTAGGAGGCGCAATGGTCTCTTCCAGCACTTCGTCTGCAACGGGACGCTCCTCGCGGTACGACCCAGTCTGTACGTGCTGCCGCTCCAGCTTGCTGACGCGATGGAAGAGCTCCTCGTCGTGCTCGCCAGCGATGATGTTCAAGTACGAGTAGCTCTTAGTCGGGGCTTCACCAGCCGTCGAAGAGCCATTGGCATGCTGCCTATCAGCTAGAGAGTCTGCTCCACTAGCTCGGCCGGACGGCGTGCCAGGCGCAGCTCCGGTCGTCTTGTTGCCAGCTTCGGGATCATCAGCATTGAAGACAACGCTCGCTGCGTCATCGACACTTTCACTTCTAGCTCCAAATCCACCCGGCATACCTCGCCTATCCCTTTCTTTCTCCAATTTGAGGTGAAGACTCTCCCTATCTTCTTCGGGCAAGTCCATCATAGCAGCCGCTTCAAGGAATTGCTCCTCGTCTTGCTCCCTCGTCACTCCGTCAGCAGGGAGAGCTGAGCTTGATGAGAGACCCGAAGCTGGCGCGCTGGTACTGCTGGACGGACGAGCAGAAGCAGCTCGAGCCGCTTCCGCTTCTGTCTGTGGTAGCCTGCCGAGCCAGGCCAGAGCAGTTCCTCCGTAAACGGCTAGCACCATAGACGAATACCTCAGCAGGCCCTGCATTGCCTCCTTATTCGAAAGAGACTCTGAAGATTTGGAGGGAGCCCCAATGCCCACCCCCGCCTGACTTGACCCAATCTCGGCCCCAATGACCTCTCCACCGTCCTGATCGCTTGTCTCGCTCGTGATCCTCACTGTGCCTACGTTTGCGCCGGACGTGCTTGCCGCATCGATCCCGCCTCCTTGTGGTGCCCGACTAGCAGCAGCTCTCTGCTCCTCTTCGATTTCTATCCGAAGCGCATCTACATCAATCTCCTGCAGCTCCTTGAGCAGCTTCTTCTCGTAATCCTCCCGAGTGACCATCTGGATACAAATCCAGACGATCAGAGCACGTGTTACCCCGGTAGCGCCGAAGCCAGGGATACCGCCGGGAGGTAAACAGTCATCCTGAGCATGCCATTCGCGCTGCACTAGCTTGACAAACTGACCGAGCGCCTTGACTACCTCTGAACCCAAGGAGCGGCGGACGCCCTCGATACCAGTGGAGGCAGCACCCAGTCCCGCCGAGGTCAGAGCTGAGCCGAGATCGATTCCACCCACGGCCAGCGTTGTGAGGAGGTCAAAGAGGCCACCAACGGACTTGTGGGCGATGGTGGCTGCTGTCGGATTGCCAGAGCCAGGAGCAGTCCCGGCGGCAGCGTCGATGGCCATTGCCGGCAGCGCCACTGCCACTTGTGTGAGCCGCTTTGCGATATTTAGTGAGAGAGATGTGGCTTCCCTCGCGAAAGAGAAGCCTACAGACGATGCGGAGGAAGCTACGCCGAGAGTCTGTCCGGAGAGATTGAGCAAGTTCTGTAGCTCCCAGGGTCGTGTCCGGGGCTCAAGGGCCGCAATTTGCCGATCCACGTCTGTCCTAGGTCGAGCGGTCCTGATTACGCCGGCGCTAGCAGGCGCCAGAGCACTCCCGGTCGCGTCGCCATTTGAGACTATGTTCTCATCCGCTGTGGCGAGACTGGCATCATCAGCGGGCGAGGGACTCAAGAGATGGTCTTCGGGCTCAGAGTCTGGCAGCTCTTCGACGGCATGCTCTAGCTGGTCGAGGTCAAATTGCGAGTCTGAGAAGTCGTCTAGGGAGATGGTGCTGGCCTGGGTGTCGGGGGAGAGAGGAGTGATGGATGGCTGCGCAGGTGATGTGGACATGGTACACTCTATGCGGTCGAGAAGAGGAAGAGGAGAAGAAGAAGGCGGGGCAAGGGTCTATGTGGGAGGTGGACGGCCGAAGGAGGAGAATGGGCCCTTGTATGCTCTACGGGTGGCATATAAGAGTGCGGATGACTTGGTATCCTTCTAGTCTCTTCTCTAATTCGAGCCAGCTTTCAACCCGATGGAATACTGCCTTGTGTGGGGTGAGTGATGGAATGGTGGCTGAGTCGTCAAGTGAGCCCTGATTGACTGGCCTTGCCATCGGAGGCTTTCATGACGGCCTGCCCTCGGCGGAAAGAGCCACGCCACGCCTGTGCTGCTGCATTGCCCCACGTTCAAATCTTCCCGAACTTCAAGATTGGCTCGTGAGAAATCCCCGTCGCCGGGCCAGTGGAGGCGGAAACAGACACAGCCGCACCCCCCACGACACCGCACAAGAGAGAGAGAGCCTTGCTCAGGCTCATTCCTAGCACATTCAGACAGGGTTCTGGTAAACAATGGGCGTTGAGGCCCTCTTTTGGATATCATTTTGGGCCCCCAAATCTCGTCGAAGGTGATGTGCAAGTGGAGGTGGTACAATGACAATGGAAATATGAGACTAGCGATCGGTGCAACGAGTGAATGAATGATGAGTAGGTAGAGACGGTGGTGGTGGAGTAGATGAGAAAGGAAATCTTCAGCGATGCTATGGGTGGCAGACCAGGTGACCTGCGCCCACCTTGGGAAAGTCCGCATGCGACAATGAAACTCGCCAATGAGAGACCTGACAAGAGCTAGGGATGTTGAGACCATCTAGCAGGATTATCAAGCCACCTTCATCGTCGAGGCCTCACGGCCACATCGAACCTCCCTCTCCTTCAGAGGAGCGGGTACCCATCTACTGCAACCTCTATTGAACCCCGCTCCAGAGACATCTACAGCGCTTACTTGAAAGAGAGCTGAACGGGCTTCTCCCACGAGTAGTCGGCGTGACCGAAGTGACCGTAAGAGGCCGTCTTGCGGTAGATGGGCTTCTGCAGGTCGAGGGTTCGGACCATGACTCCGGGTCGCAGGTCGAAGTTGGCCTCGATCAGGGCCACCAGGTCAGCGTCAGAGTGCTTGGAAGTACCGTATGTCTCAACGAAGAGACCGACGGGGCGGGCAACACCGATGGCGTAGGCCGATTGCACCAGGACTCGGCGGGCGAGGCCAGAGGCAACAATCGACTTGGCGATCAGTCGGTTGATGTAGGCACCGGATCGGTCGACCTTGGAGAAGTCCTTTCCGGAGAAGGCACCACCACCGTGGGCTCCCCATCCACCGTAGGTGTCGACGATGATCTTTCGGCCGGTCAGACCAGCGTCACCCTGAGGTCCACCGATGACGAATCGTCCCGAAGGCTGGATGTGGAAGATGGTCTTGTCGTCGAGGAGGTTGGAGGGGATGACAGTCTTGACAATCTTCTCCAGGATCTCAGATCGCAGCTGCTCGGTCGAGATTGAGTCGGCGTGCTGAGTGGAGATGACAACGGTGTCGACTCGCTGGGGCACCATGGCACCACCGTCCTTGGCGTACTGGACGGTGACCTGGGTCTTCGAGTCAGGTCGCAGCCAGTCCATGGAGCCGTTCCGGCGGGCAACGGACATGGCGGCGTTGAGCTTGTGGGCAAGGACAAGGGTGAGGGGCATCAACTCAGGGGTCTCGTCGGTAGCGTATCCGAACATGATACCCTGGTCACCAGCACCGTGGTTCTCGATGTCTCCGTGGTCCAGACCCTGGGCGATATCGGGCGACTGCTGCTCGATGGCGACGAGGACGTTGCAGGTCTTGTAGTCGAAACCCTTCTCGGAAGAGTCGTAACCGATCTCCTTGATGGTGTTTCGGATGACCTTCTGGTAGTCGAGCTGAGCAGTGGTGGTGATCTCACCGAAGACCATGATCATACCAGTCTTGGTGGCAGTCTCACAGGCGACCTTGGAGTTGGGGTCCTGAGCCAGGCAGGCATCGAGGATAGCATCGGAGACCTGGTCACAGATCTTGTCTGGGTGACCCTCTCCGACGGACTCACTGTGTGATGGCAACAGGGGGCAGAGGTCAGCTCAGGACATTCCGATGGGTGGTGATATGCAAATTGGCCAACACGCTCTGGGACGCACGTGGCCGCGCTTTGGCCCTGCATGGGGCCCATTGTGCGACAAAGCGCCTGACATGCTGTCCAGAGCTCGAGTCGAATGATAGTAGCAAGCATCATGTACAAAGGTGCTGAGACGTCTTCACTTCATCCGCTAGAAGGCAAGAAGGCATCTTTGCCATCCACCCTGTCTGCAGGAGCCACCTTCAGCGCTACATTGCCTTGCCTTGCCGAGCCGCCTCGAATGATGAACGATAGCGGCGAAGCTGACACACTGTCTCTTTTGTTCAACCGGTCGATACGGTTGCTGTTCACCCCGCGAGGCCGGCCCATGCTTCGAGCCACTTCGCAGCTCTTGAGGCACGTTCGCACCTGCATGACTTCTTCCTGCTGGCTTTGCGGTACACTACCGAGGGGCTGAGAGCAACATACTCACGAGGTGAAGAGGAACTGTCCCTCGGGAAGGATGGCCTTGCCAGCTGCGGGGTTGTGCGACATGTTGGTGGAGAGGGATGTGGTGGGTGGTTGCGGGATTGGTGGGGTATTGGTGTGTGGGGGGTAGGGAAACAGGAAGAAGAGGGGGGGGACGCGAGCAGGAAGAAGCCACTTGGGAGGGCCAGGCGGAGTGCCAATCGGCCGAGCTGACGTGCTCGAGGCACTCAACTCCACCGCACAGCCAGGGCCAGAGGCGAGGCGAGGCAGAGGCCATCGCGCGGTGGTTCGGATGTCGAGGGAGCAAAGGCCAAGGACGCACTCGACGCACTCCGATGGCCTTTTTCCAGGCGCACGCCGTCGGCTGAATCAGAAGATCCTCACCAATAGGCGCAGAGGCGTAGCATATACTCAGACAGCTCGTCGCAGTGACAAGACAATAGTCACCCTCAGGCCACCTCTGCCTACCCACCACACAGCCATGAGAAAGTCAAACGTCTTCAGTCCAGAGGCAGCACTGCCCAGGATGGTAAGTACAGAAAGAGTGCAGCAATGCTCATCGCTGCAATGAGATGTGACTGACCTCGACTTCCAACACCTCACGCCTGCAGTCCTGGAGTGCAGCGAATCTGTACAACCTCATCGCTCGGTCGCAAAACCCCACACTGGCAGGGCAGACATCGTTCGTCGGGTCAACGACGGCGATGACCATGTACCAGCAGCGTTGGCGGTCCAAGCGACTCCTTCGAGGCTACCATGGTGACCACATCCCCGAGAGACGATTCAAGCGGTGGTTCCTACCCACAGACCTACCCTCATATCAGAACCCAGCCGCCTCTGGATCCAAGACACCGCGAGTCGGCGGCATGTTCCAGGGTGTGAGAAGGAATGTCAGGGAGGGAGGTGGTAACCCAGCTGAGCAGGAGGGCAAGATGCCCATTGCCAGTCTCTTCGTGCGCGAGGTCGAGAGGAGGCTTGATACAGCCGTCTTCCGGAGTTGCTTCGCTACTAGCATCTACGAGGCCAGGTCACTCGTAGTGCAAGGTAAAGTCAAGCTCAATGGTGTCAGAGTGAGTAGCGCAGAGGCAAGTGCAAGTCCAGAGCTATACCGCACCAGAGCTGACCAAAATCTCCACGCCTTCTCTCATCGGCAGCTCACCGACCCAAACCACCTCCTGCAACCCTCTGATCTCGTCTCAGTGGAGGCATCTTCAATACCCATGCTCAAAGCTGGAGCTCGCAAAAGTGAAACTGACAATAGGCACAATGAGAAGAGGCGAGCAAAGCAGAGCGAGAGGCGTGACAAGCGGAAGGAGGCAGAGGGTGAAGCAGCTGTGGCAGAAGGCGCAAGTGAGGGAGAGGCTTCCGTCGAGCCCACTACCGAGACGCAGGAGCCTGCAAGTAGCAGTGAGAACGTCAAGGCAACTTCAGAGGCATCATCTGCGACAGACAAGGCCACACAGGTGAAGACTTCCACATTCCAGCAGCAGAAGAGCGCAGCTCCACTCCCGCCAGGAGTCTTCCACTTCCAGTTGCCCCAATTCGCCGCGCCCCACCTCTTCGTCCCCCCTTATCTGGAGGTTTCCTTTTCCACCTGCTCCTTCATCTACCTCCGCCACCCTACCCTCCTCTCCCCACCCGCAAATAACTTCTCGCGGGGCGACAACGACCGCACTTCACCTCCAACGAGCACCTCGGACATCCCTTCTCCTTACCCAGCCAACTCCGAACTCTTTTCACTCGCCTGGGAGCACTATGCCAAGAATGCCCCTCGTGTCCGTGGGGAAATGAGGCGGACAAAGGTCGAGGCAAAAGTGGGACGTCATGGCTTTGAGACTGCCAGGAAAAAGGATGAATGGAACAGGCTCGTGGCGGTTAGGAGGGGTTGGTTGAGGGTGATTGGCGAGAGGGAAAAGCAAGGTCAGCGCACTGCCGGCGCTAAAGTCGTTGGTGGGAGGAAGAGGAGAGATCGAGTGGGCAGAACGATGAAGGCGAATCTGTGAGATGTACACATATGAATTCCCACTACTCTTTGTCGTGAATGGTCACCAAACTGCAAAACCCGCGTCCAAGGTTCGAGAAGAGATGGCTGGAAGATGATACTTTGTGGCCGAGGGGTGAAAAGGAGAGCAGTCGAGAGGATACAATGACTAGGTATTCCTCCGACCCATCGCACCAGCTCCATGTCCACTAGCCACTTCATCCTCCCCTCCCTCCCCAGCAGAAGCAGCAGCACTCGACACCGAAGTCACCGCATCCCTCACTGCTCCTCCCGCCGCGGCGCCCAATCCCACAACCAATGCCCTTCCCCCCGTCACTCTACCCGCCCCTGTTGCTCCTCCCCTCACACGTCCCAGTAGCGTTCTGGCCATCTTGAGAAGGAGGAGTGGATCGCCCCTACCTGTGACTTTGCGCAGGAGGAAGAGGAAGAGGGTGATGAGAATTCCGAGACTTGTGAGATCGAGGGCGAGGCGGAGAGAGAGGTTGAGGAGGGAAGCGAGGAGGGAGAGGAAAGAGGAGAGACGAGAGCGACGTGGTATGCTTCCTGCAGGACCTTTACCCCTGTCGTGCGAGCTGGAACCAAAAGACGGGACTGCTGCTTTGCCTCGCACGCCGTCTGCTCCAGAGCTACTTGGCGAGGTCAGCCCAAAGAGAACGCCTAGATCGTGCAGCGCATTCTTCACGGCACTGTAGGCGCTGCCATAGACTCCACTCGCATTGCTTCGCGTTGTACCACTTCGCACCTCGACTCGATTCAAGCGCTCGTGAAGAGCAGCAAGGGAGGCTTGAATGGACTGGAGCGCCTGCTCAACCTCTGCCTGTCCAGCCCCACCGCCACCACGATTCGATGGGGCTCCTGCAGACGACGCTGCTGCTCCCGCGTCTGAGGCTCGGTGGTAGTAATGGTGCTGCTCTACTGGCGGACGTGATGAGGAAGGGCCGATGCCACTGTAGAGACTTGCGCCCGCGCCTCCACCCATGTTGGAGTCAGAGCGAGGAGGAGCAGGAACTACCCGACCGCCTGGGCCTGTAGAGCTGTAGAAGCCGGGATTGGATGCACTTGGACGGATACCTTGCTGCTGCTGCTGCGAATGGTAGCCGCTTCGAGATCCAACACCCAGAGTAGATGTAGGGGCACTCTGACCCTGTCGTTGCTGCGAGATTTGTCTGCTGTTGCCTGCCGCTGGTCGAGAAGACGAGGCTCGCATTGCCCGAGCACGCGCTTCCTCCTCTTCCCGCTCGCGGGCCAGATAAGAAGTAGCATGCGAGGACCTTCCAGCTGAGTATGTGCCGTCATCGCTCTCTTCCTCCGTCCTTGCCGCCGTCGTCTCGTCCCACTGCGGTGTCGTGCTGGTCGGTGTTGATCCGCCTGTGCTTCCTCTCGAGGGGCCGACACGGGGTCGATCTCGCCCTGCAACAGAAGGTGGTTGGGCTTGAGCCGAGACTCCTCCCACGCTGCGAGCAGACACCGGCCTTCTCCTGTCACTCATGCCTAGGGCGGGATTGCGAAGAGAGCCAAGGCGATCAGCCATCTCTTGGGCGTGAGCGGCCTCGTCGTCGGTCTCAGTCTCTGAGTCACCTGCTGAGTCAGAGGGGAATCTCTGATGCCGCAGAGGCGCAGGAGCTGACGAGGCTTCCGAGGCAGTATCATCAGTTGCGAGAGCACCTGAAGGTCAATGAAAGGTAGGTCAAGAGGTGAAGCAATGATGAGTATTGGTTCCGAGTTTCTGAGTATCTCCTTGCGAGCACTGCCGCCTTCGCCTCTGACTCACCTCTCATGACCCTCTCTGCTACGTCTCCGGAGAAATTCTCCAGTTCCTGTATGAGCTCTCTTGCTTCTCTGCGATCTTCAAACTTTCGTAATGTCCTCATCATGCTCTCGACGTAGAGCTGCTTTGCATCGAGGGAGTCCATCCCTTCCCTCTTGCTCCAGGCATCCCACTTGGCCCTGCCCAGCATGTCAAGCATTCCGGGCCGCTTGGAGGTGACATCGCCCTCGGTTGCCTGCTTGTAGAGCGAGTAGAGGGCGAGCTTCTCTTCGTATGAAGTTTGGATGGGGCCAGATTTGGGAAGTGATTGGACTACATCGACTGTGCGGTCAAAAAGGGCGTCTATGACATCTGCACTTGACATGATGACGCAAAGGACCGTCTGTAAGGAGGCGGTCTCACGTCCCGTGGAAGATGCTGGACCGGAGTGTGTACCTTGCTTCAAGGAGCGAAGCGTGTTCGAAGTGACAGAGAAGGAAAGTGTCTGCCCGTTGTGTCGATGGTACTTCCCTGGTCGTCGTCGTCCTGCTCAGAGGTGAAGATGAATGTGTAAGGCGGCCCGAGGTACAGAGAATGGAGCGAGGAGGCTGGCATGGACCGGAAGTGAGATGTGTGCCCTTCCCGCCTTCCCCGCCTGTTTGTGGCCCCAATCACGCTCATCTCTCGCCTCGCCACGCCACGCAGCGGAAAGAGACTCGCTCCGGGAATTCAACCGGCCCCGTCGGCAAGGAAGCGTCCAACACCACCACCCGCCATTGCCCGACGCGACGATGGACGCTTGCAGAGGTGTGGAGCACCAGACTTGACCCACGGTCGATCATGGAGGGGAATGACATTCACCAGAGTCATCCCAGATTCAGATACTGCAAGTGTGTTCGTACCTCATATTCACGCGCTTCAACGATAGTCGTGAGAGCTAGCGCTTCGCCGTGTGTGAGACGTCCAAATTCCTCCGAGGTGATCCAAAAGCCGCCGTTGGGCCATTGTGTGCTCTGTCAGATCCTCTACACAGAGTCTCAAGCACTCGCCCGAAGACCCATCCGTACCTTGCGCAGCCTCTCTCAGTCGCCTTTGGCCTGGTGGATGCGCTCCACTCCACGCGGGGTCAATCTCAACTCCGCACACCTTCCCCGCACTCGGGTCGAACGGCCTTAAGACAGGACGACCATCTGACCCTCCTGCCCACCAGTGCGACCTCCGTCCTCCCTCACCTTCAGCAGCATGACAAGCACGCCGTCCTCGCATCCACAGAAGGCCGTTCACAGCCAGTCCTTGACTGATCCTGAGTCCTTCTGGCTCAAGGCAGCCAACGATGTCCACTGGCATCGACATCCCGATCGTGCTTTCGGCCCTTCGCAGCGAACCAGGGATACGGCCCGCCACGGGAGAGAAAGCGACGGGGTCTGGTTCCCTGGCGGGCAGATCAGTACCACCTTCAATTGTCTAGACAGGCATGTCTACCCGCCTCCGACGCCTCACTCGCCGCCTCTGACTCCCTCTCCGCACACGCCTCATCTGCCGTTTGACCCTTCTCTTGCTAAGCGGGTAGCCTTCCGGCACATCTCTCCACTACCTTGGCAGACAGTGCAGGAGCGCACTATCACTTATGGCGATGCGTTGGAAAACGTACAAGTCCTCGCCGGGGTCCTGAAGTCGAAAGGTGTGGGTAAAGGAGACGTCGTCACAGTCTACATGTCTGAATCGATCGAGACCGCACTGGCCATCCTGGCAATTACTAGAATCGGGGCCGTCTTTTCGGTCGTATTTGGCGGCTTCGCCAGCAAGGAGCTGGCAAAGAGGATCGAAGATAGCAAGTGCAAGATGATCATTACCTCGAGCTGTGGACTAGAGCCCAAAGGGGTGAGTGTACGGGGTTATCAATTGGTCTGCCCTGCATTGACAGCTGACAATGTTCCCTTGGTCTGCACCCTGCCGCCCCTGCCGTACAGCCTGTCCCCTACAAGCCCCTTGTAGACGAAGCACTCCGGATCTGTGCTTCCCGCCATGTTCCAGCCTCAGGTGTACTCTTTCAACGTCGTCATGGCATCCGAGACCACGAGCCTCCTGCTGTCGACAACAGCCGCAACGAGTGGGACTGGGACGAGGAGATGACCTTGACAAGAAAGGGAGAGGGCGGTAGGTCTCCGTGTTGGGCTTCTCATCCTGTCGCTAGTGAAGACCCGCTATACCTTCTCTATACCAGTGGCTCAACGGGCAACCCCAAGGGAGTCGTTCGATCGGCCGGCGGCCATGCTGTGTCTCTGCGGTACTACATCGAGCACATCTTCGGCATGAAGAAGGACGATTTGATCCTGACGACGTCCAGCTTCGGCTGGGTCGTAGGCTGCTCCTATATTCTCTTTGGCCCACTGCTGCTTGGCGCCTCCAGCATCATCTTTGAAGGCAAGCCAATCCTGCCCGACGCCGGTATCCTCTGGCGAACAGTGTCGAACCACGGTGTCACTCACCTCTTTACCGCACCGACTGCCCTTCGAGCAGTGCGCGGCGCCGATCCTGACGCCGCCTTCATGAGAGCTGCAGGGGTGAATCTGAAAAGTCTGCGCACACTCTTCCTGGCTGGCGAGAGGAGTGAGCCCGGGATAGTGGAATTGTACGGCAAGCTGCTGCGAGAGCTTGGTGCACCTGGAGCCAACGTCAATGACAACTACTGGTCTACCGAGAGCGGCAATCCCATTACAGCTCTCCAGATTAGTCCAGCTTTCGCCCCGCTTGTGGCGAAGCCTGGGTCGGCAGGAGTGCCACTGCCTGGTATGGACGTCCGCATTGTCGATGAGGAGGGCAAGGAGATCTCAAAAGCAGGGGAGATGGGCAATCTTGTCCTGGCTCCTCCGCTAGCTCCCTCGGCTCTGCTGGGTCTGTGGCACAATCCTGCCGGCTTTGAGAAGAGCTACTGGGACCGCTTCTCGGGCAAGGGAGGCTGGTTCGACACGGGAGATTCAGCTTACCGCGATGCAGACGGCTACGTGACTATCTGCGCTCGTGGTGACGACTTGATCAACGTCGCCGCCCATCGCTTAGGCACCGGTCTGATCGAGGCTGTTGTCACTGCACATCCGGACATTGTCGAGTGCTGCGTCGTGGGGGCCCCGGATCCAGCAAAAGGTCAGGTGCCCTTCGCTCTTGTAGTGGTAGCGCAAGATCACAAGGCTGATGTGAAGACGATGATGAAGTCGATCAACGACCATATTCGCCAGGAAGTTGGGCCGATTGCTCAGCTTGGCGCTGTCATTGCGACTGGCAAGCTGCCGAAGACGAGGAGTGGGAAAACGTTGAGAAGGACAATCAGAGCTATGGTGGAGAATGCTGCTGAGGGAAAGAAGGACCAAGAGGTGCCATACCCACCTACCATTGAAGACAAGGACGTCCTTGCGCCGATCCAGGCCTCTATCGAGGCTCACTTCGCAAGCGCAGGCGGCACAAAGGCGAAGTTGTGATTCGAGTGTATATAGCCAGCCCTTGCTAAGTCAATTGTGATGCTGTAAAAGACATGACTGCAAGAGTTGCCCGGCGCCCCTGTCACTACATCGCCGCTTGTGCCTGCTCAGTCCGATTCACAGAGCAATTTGACCCAAGGCAATGGTTCATGGCAGGCACTCAGGCACGTCAGGCACTTTGCGTAAAGCGGTCCGCCGGTTTCCAACTCCGCCAGGCGTCGCCAAAGTCGAGACGAGACGCGAATTGCTCGGCAACTTCCACTCACTCACTCTCCCTTTCCGCTCACACGCCTTTGCTATACCACACCATCATTTCTCCCCTACTGTTACGACACCTTACTCTATCAGACGGCCCTATACCCCAAAAAGTGGCCCAGACTTATACCCTGACCCATCATTCCCCCTTGCAATGATTCAATGACAGCTGCTCCCGTCTCTGCGGTCGATCGATCCGCCGCTATTTCCGCTGCTCCTGCTCCTCTCAAAGGACCCACTGCATCTACATCCTATCTCGTCTTTCTGCCCCCTCCCAAAGAGAGTAGGCGTCTGCTCCGGGACCGCTCTATCAATACCAATGGTTCTGACTCGCGGACCAGCGGCTCGGATGCCAAGTGGAAGCGTGGTCGCTCGAGACATTTCCGGCGCGGAGGGGAGGAGGAGCAGTGGGTAGAAGCGGATCGAGCAAGCGTCTCTCGCAGTAGTAGTAGCATACATCGCCGGACGTCCGCACACGTGAGACATACATCGGCAGCCTTACCAATCCCGAAGACCAGTGCAGCTGCCGTCACGCTACCGGCACGGCCGCAGGGCGATGAAGGCCACTCGGAGAATGTGAGACAGGAGGTCCTTGTACCCGCTGCTCAATCTGAGTATGTCAGCGATGGAGGTACGAGGTTCAAACCTCGCTCACCGATCATCTCTGAGAAGAGGAATGGATATCTCCAGGGCGGGCGGACACGATCTGCGCAAGACCCTCTAGTAGGCCACCCCCAATCCGATAGCAGCGAGAAGAGCCATTCCACCTCATCGGGCTCTTCCCTCGAGCTCACGCCGGCAGGTGAAGCGGCGTTACGCTTACGAAATGCGCGTACGGTGAATCATCAGCTGGCAGCCGTTCCCCTCATCGAGGTGCCCAACAATTTGTCGTACCTCATCTCGCCAGGGTTGGGACGTGGGACCGGGTCGGGCGTTCACTACTCGTCCCGGCTGGACGATGGAACATCCTGGACCGAGACACTAGTGACTGGACTCGCTGAGCGAGAACAGGAGCTGACTGGGGACATATCGCATACCCACCTCGGTAAGATCATGCGGTCTGGCCTCGGCGGGCACAAAGTGCAGTCTGCGAGCGGCAGCGTTGTCGTCTCTCCTGCTAGTAGAGTCGACGACACCGACGAGACACGAAGATATCGTCTTGATGAAGAAGAACGTGCATTTCTTGCCGGTCCATTTTCACTTGGCTCGACCTCCATTGGACTCGCTCTCAAGTGCCAAGCAGGCGAAGAACCTCTTCGCCATGCAGAGGAAGGCTTCTCTGGTGGCTCGCAAGAGAACATCTCTATCTCCCGCGCGCTACGATCTGAAAGTGAAGTGCGAGCATTGGAAATGGAGAAAGAGCGGATTAGAAGAGAGAGGGAGGAGGATGAAGATGGGCTCAGCGTTTGGCCTGCAGGGAAGGACAAGAGAGGGAAAGTGAGGTTCGTCTCTGCTCGAGAAGCGATGCAAGACCCACCAAAGGGAGAAACGACTTCATCACGAGGCGACATGAAGAAGCGCGGGCTGAAAAGAGGCCCGACGCAGGGGCATACAGGTAGTCAAGAGTCGCCTGGCAGCCAGAACGGACGGGCGAGCAACGCCAGTCAGACCGAAGAGGAGGAAGAGATTCCACTGACGCCTGTCAGGAGGAAGCGTTTGAGGCTTGAGCCGCCTACTCCTTTGCCTACACCATCTGCGAGATCCGACCAGGTCTCCAATATGGCCAGTAAAGCAGAAGCTCAAATCGCTTGCCACTGTCAATGTCAGAGGACATCCGCGACGCGTGGTGCAGAGGCTCAGAGCCGTCCGGGCGTTGCCGCAACCAGTCGAGCCGATGAAGCAGCTGCAGATCGATCTGGGCCAGCAAGCGCAGAGCAGTCAAGAAGTGTGGTTTCGCCCATCAAGAGAGCGAAATCAGACCCAAAGCCGATCAGCAGTACGCCTCTGTTGGCTCCTCTTGCTCCGCTCCCTTCATCCTCAGACCCGTCTCCTCGCAATCGACGGCAAATGAGCGCCTCAACATCTGCTTTGACGAGCTTGTCAAGGGTGAACCAGAGCGTGTGTCGCTTCAGCATCTTCACTCGGAGATCTGCCGATGCCTCTACCTCCACCTCGGCTTCTCGCAGCCGAGTATTGCGTAAAGAGAGGGACCGCGAGGTGTCGAGGCCCACGATGCATCCGACGCGACCAGACCCTGCTCGAGAGATCAGCGTCGATGCTAGCAGATCGGGCGACGCCTCGGTCTCGCACCAACGCAACAGGCAAAGGCCAGAAGCAAGGCATGACAACGACTCGGCGATCTCTCGGTCTGACTTTGTGCCCCCAACGATGAGGGAAGAGAGAGACGACTTGCCGCCTCCTCATACCCCTCGGGACCTCATGCCGGCAGTTCAGCCTCTTTCCCCCATTCAAGCACCCGCGGAAGGGAAGACGGCCGAGAAGAACCCCAGAGTCGATGCACCTTCGACGAAAGACCTCCGCAAGAGTGTGTCGGTGGCGAAGACAGCGTCGAAGACTGACAACATGGTGCCAGAGCCACCGACAATCGGAAATGTTCCTCCTCACAGAGAAGTGACCATCAGCAAGCCCTCGACGATGGCGGCGGCGGCATCTACCACGAACTTCCTGGACTTGTCGACCTCGTCATCAGAGAGGCCGACCACGTCGCGCCCACAACGACCTCCGCCAGTCCCAATACCGCCCTTGCGCACCTCGACCTCTACCAAGTCCCACGGGCCTTCCAAGCTCGCTCAGTCCTTGACGGCCGAGAGCCTGGATCGCTCTCTGAACATGGGCGAGAGCTGCGAAAGTGTAGGACAGAGCAGTAACGTTCGTGGCCAGACGATGACGATGACCGGTCTGGACTCGATTCCTCCTCCACCTGCACTGCACTTTGACCCTCGAGAGGTGACCAGTCTCCTCTCCATCCTGCGCAACCCTATCCCTCATCTTCCAGCCAAGCACGGAGGTTATGCAGAGCAGATTACCTCGCCGCGCATCGACGTGCTGGTGCTGATAAGGGAGATCGGGGCGCTCGAGGAAATCGGAGTGAAAGTCTTCAGCAAGGGCAAAGTCGTCGAGGGCAGGGTGGACATGATGGCACGCTCTGAGCTGGTGGTGATGGATGGAGAAGGCAGTATCAGTAGAGTGGTACTGTGGGGACACTGTGCACTTGAGTGGGCTGGGGCTGAGCACAGTGGAGATGCAACGGAGGAAGAGGAATTTGAGACGTCGGGCGAGCACAGCCACTCTACGCGGGCAGGTATGACGACGACTATGGATACAACGAGCTTCCGTGGGGACGAGACGACGACGTACGGTGGTGTGCTACTGCGCGATGCAGCACAGCATAAGTCCGCCTCTAAGTCCGCGGTGGTGCGGAAGGACAAGCACGAACGTCGGCCCGTGGTCGGTCCCCTACGGCCCGGAGACGTTGTATGTCTCTCCTCGCTCATCGTCTCTCCGACTCCCACCAAATCCTCCGGCCCACCTCAACGCGCCACCGTCACACGGGCACAGCCAGCCTCTGTGCAGCTCGTTGCCTCTGAGCGGACGTCTTCAAGGGCAGAGCTCTGCTGGCGATGGGACCTGCGAGGACGCGAAAAGGATCGGGAGCGGGGGCGTCGAAAGTATAGATTCGATGTAGCTTTGGCGGATTTCGATCGACGGTGCAAGGAGGTTTGGAAGTGCGCTACGAGATGGGACGGGGAAAGAGACTGAATTCGAGGAGCGAACCGGACCACATTGTTCTTTGTTGTATCTGTGCAATGATCCGACTGTATTAGTAGACTAGCATTGCGAGCGAGGAAGCGAGCGAACACTGACAAGAGGAACGGAAGGGGGAGCCCTGCCGACATCTGGGAGAAGGAGAAGGCCCGAGCGGCTCGGAGATTGAGTTGGGTGTTGGGCGCAGGAGATGCGAGGCGCGGCGAGGCGTGACGTGGAAGGAATCCCAAGGAAGAAGGCCAGAGGCGGCAGACAGGCTCACCAGCGCGGCAACAGGAGACTTGTACTCACACCTTCTGACCATCTTGTACATTGAGACATACGCTTCCTTCTCACCTCATAGCATCTCCTGCGCATATACTCACTCACTCGCACGCAAACACCTCGTACTCTCGCCTCATGAAGTCACACGTTGGTGTAGCAGCACTGGCATTGGCAGCCGTAGCCACTGCCTCCAATGCAGAGCACGTGGAGCGAAAGCCATTCAAGGTGAGCATCGCATTCCCATCATCCTGGGCTCCCAGACCACTCAGCTAGCAGTCAGCTCCACAGGCTTGACCCATGAACAAGGCTGACTCAACACCCGTTTGCCCTTTGCCTTGTCTCCCAACCGCCACCCATAGCGTACCAGCATCAAGGCTCCCTTCCTCGAACAATTCACAGAGGACTGGACAGAGCGTTGGACCCCTTCGGCAGCTACAAAGACGCAAAAGGGCGGCGATGTCTTCTCCTACTCGGGCAAGTGGTCCGTAGAGGAGCCAATCGTCTTCCCCGGCCTCTTGGGCGATGAGGGACTGGTGGTCAAGTCCAAGGCTTCCCAACATGCCATCTCCGCACCCTTCACCGAGGTGGTCAAGACCGATGGCAAGAAGCCCTTGGTGGTCCAGTATGAGGCCAAATTCCAGACGGGACTGAGCTGTGGTGGTGCATACCTCAAGCTACTCAGCGAGTCGCCCGATGGAATCCAGGCAAAGGAGTTCTCGGATCAGACCCCCTACACAATCATGTTTGGTCCTGACAAGTGTGGTCAAACGAACAAGGTCCACTTCATTGTCCGTCACAAGAACCCCGTCACCGGTACCATCGAGGAGAAGCACCTGATCGACACTCCTTACCCTAAGCTGGCAAAGACGACTAACCTCTACACCCTCGTGGTGCAACCCGACAACTCCTACGAGATCTTCATCAACCACGAGTCGAGGAAGAAGGGTACCCTCTTTGAGCACTTCCAGCCCCCTTTCAACCCACCAAAGGAGATCGATGACCCAGAGGACTTCAAGCCCGCTGACTGGGTCGACGAAGAGCGGATCCCAAGTCCCGTTGCTAGCAAGCCAGCAGACTGGGACGAAGATGCCCCTGCTGAGATCTCCGACCCTGACGCTACTAAGCCCGCCGGGTGGCTCGAGGATGAGCCGCTCCGAATTCGCGACCCAGAGGCCCAGAAGCCCGAGGAGTGGGACGATGAAGAGGATGGTGAGTGGGCTCCTCCTCTTGTGCCCAACCCCAAGTGTCAAGAAGCCCCCGGCTGTGGTCCCTGGACCCCACCTACGATCCCCAACCCTAAATACCGCGGAAAGTGGACTGCACCCCTTGTTGCCAACCCTGACTACAAGGGCGTCTGGGCCCCACGTAAGATTGCCAACCCAGAGTACTACAATGACGAGCAACCAAGCAACTTCACTCCCATGGCTGGTATCGGTTTCGAGATCTGGACCATGGACGAGGACATCCTCTTTGACAACATCTACGTCGGCTACTCTGCCGAAGACGCAAAGAAGTTGGCCGAGGAGACCTTTGACGAGAAGTTGCCCATTGAGCAGAACATTGAGAAGAAGACGGACGATGAGAAGAAGGCAAAGGACGCCGAGGAGGCAAAGGGGGCAGCCCTGGACACCGCCAAGTCCTTTGTGGAGAAGTACACAGAGGAGGCCAAGCAGTTCCTCGACGCTGCCAGGGATGACCCCATTGAGGCTTTCAAGGCCTTCCCCCAGGTTGCTGGTGGACTGGGAGCACTCGTCACCATGCTCCTGGGTATCGTGGCTGTCCTCGCCGGTCTAGCTGGCTCCAAGGCTGCCCCGGCGGTCAAGGACGCTGCTGCGAAGGGCAAGAAGAAGATTGATGCACCTACCACCTCTTCGGCAAAGGGCGTCACTTCCAAGACGTCCGCATCGGAGACGGCAAAGGCAAAGTCTACCTCAGTCACGGCTGCTGGCAGCAATGGCACTAGCAAGAGGACCGTCGTTAGCGCTGAGGATGACGAGGATTAGAGAGAGGGGTGCGTGGAGAGATCGCCGAGCATGCTAGGTGTAGAGGTGTAGAGGAGTTCAGTCGTCGCTGTTGGAGGAGCGAAAGGAATTGGTGAGAGCCGTGCGGACGAGTAAGAAGAGCCGGCTGGCTGGTTGACCGGTGAGGGACCCTGCGCTCGAATGTATTTGAGAGGGGAAGGGGGGCCTCAGAGCGAGAGAGAGAGGAACGGCTTGCATCCTGCTGCAAGTCGAGAAAGAAGCTCGCTGTGCTGTACGTCATCAGACTCAGACAAACACATACACACAAACCAAAAAATATCACAACGTTCCATTCTCCACATCGAAACGTCAATGGTCCGTTTTGAGCTTGCTGATCATTGGTATCATTTGCAGTGCGCCGTTCGTCCCTAGACTAGACCTAGACTAGACTAGACTAGACTATCCGCTTCCTCCCTCTCTCCCTCCCTCTCTCCCTCCCTCTCTCCCTCCCTCCCTCCCTCCCTCCCTCTCTCCCTCCCTCCCTCTCTCCCCAACTCCAACTCCAACTTCCTAGTGCCCTCCACCTCCATCTCCATCTCCATCTCCCGTTCGTGTCCTCAAAAATTCCTCGTGCATACGAGCCCAAGCGCTACGGGCTTCCCGGCGAGGTTGAGAAGGCTCCCTCTCTCTCTCCCTCGCCCTCTGCCTCTCCCTCTGCGTTGCACTCTCCCTCTGCCTCTGCGTTGCACTACCATCGTCGCCTTGCCTCTGACTCTGAGTACTGCCATCTCCTCCGCTCGGTCTTGAAGCTTGTACTGATCCTTGAACCCGACTGCGATTTCGATTGCGATTGGTAGTCTCCGTCTCTGTTTCACCGCCCGAGGGGTCATCCACCTCTTGATCTTCTTCTCCTTCTTCGTCTCCTGCCTCGGCCTGGAGTGCAGCCTCGGACCAAGGAGAGGGAGAGGAGGCAGAGGATGACGAGGATGCGGATGCGTTGGAATCGGCTCCAATAGCAGAGGTGGAGGCGGATCGAATGGCGAGTGTTGCAAGCTCATCGCATGGGTAGCCGAACCTGTCCACTTGTCCTTGACCTCGTCCCAGTGATTGACCGTGACCGTGACCGTGACCGTGATTGTGATTGTGATTATGGCTGTTGCCTGGAGCTGGGCTAGAGCTAGAGCTTGACCCAAATCCGAAGCCATAGGCGGCGAGAAGGTCCGTCTGACTGCTGCTTCTACCCCTGCCCTTTTTCGTCGACTTGAGCTTCTTGCCACCTCCTGCTACACCACTGCCCTCGACGCCTCCATTGCTTCCGCTGCTTCCGCTACCACCGCCGCCAACACCAACACCAGCTGCATCGCTCATGATTCTTCTCAGGTCCGCACTAGCCGCATACTCTGGGTTGCGTTGGTCCTCCGGTAGTGCTTCTTCGGCAAGGGAGGTTCCCTTTTTCTCCTGTGCAGAGAGAGAGGCGACGAGGTGGGCTTCAAGCTCCGAGAGGTGCGCTTCGATGGCTGCCGTCTCGCCTTGAGCGGCAGCGGAGAAGGCTTTGCCGAGTGGGGAGGAAAGCTGATCCTCTACTAATGGAGCGAGGGATGAGGAGAGGAGGACTGCAGGCGCCTGCTTTGATTTGCCGTTGCTCGTCGAAGTATCACCGACTGGAAATGCCTGAGAGGCATGTAGAGTGGGGTGCCTCTCCCTACCCTTGGGGAAGAGACTCTCCAGATCCGCTTCTAGCCAGCCATCCTCGTCCTGGTCGCTCTTTATGGCACGACTGAGATGGTCAAAGCGTGGATTGAGGATCGCGTCCCATCCCGACCTGCCAGGGCCTGCTCTTGTAAATGGCCAGCTAGAAGAAGAGGCAGTCGAGGCAGGTCCGAGAGCAGAGCGAGTCTGTAGGTAGGCAGGTAGGCGCAGGAGAGGTTGAGAGAGAGCAGCATCTGACCCACCTCCGGGACAGGCAGCAGTAGGATCGTCCCCGCTCGAGCCAACACCACCGGCCCCGCCTGCTTCGCCGAAGTTGTTTCCCTCGATGAGTCCGTTCCAGAGGGCGGCCTCCACCATGAGCTGACGCGAGGTACTGCCTGTACCTCCCACTGTTCCCCGTTTTGGAAGCGAAGCTCTTGGATGAAGCGTAGCAGGCCGTGTGGGAAAAGGGCGTCCGAATGGGTAGGCAGGATGGATCTCTGAGGGAAGGAGGTCTTCGCTCTGTGCAAGCTGGGAGAGGAGATGTGGCTGTAGGAGGACCTCTTCCTGTGACCAAGCCCAGGGCTCTTCACCACCCCAGCGATCATCTCCCCCTTGTACCGCGGCGGGATGATCCTCTCCACCTTGGACACCTTGCATCTTCAGATTGCGCATGCGCTTGGTGTATTCGGCATCGTTGTACGTCTCTGGGAAGCGGTATCCCTCTCCGCCGCCTTTACCACTCATCGTCAGTGGTATAGGTTCATGGTGGCCCTGCGATGATGACAGCAGCAGGGCCGTGAGTCGTGTGGAGTGTTTGAAGGAGGGCGCATAGGATGATGTCGGGTCTAGCGTGAATGGTGAGGGAGCTATACCCGCTGAGGCGGATGAGGAGGGGTCCTGGAAGTAGGAGGATGGACCTGGAGCCAGGAGCGGGAGGGCATGGCTGGGTGTGACGAGACGGCGTGAGTGCGAGTAGGACGAGTCGGATGGCATGGTCGATTGATGTTGAAGAAGAAGGTGAAGGGAGGGCCGAAGCCCGAAGCTGAAGGTAATGGATCAGGAGGATGGCATCCGCGGGCAAGCAACACCCAGAATAACAGACGGAAGGGCCCTTGGCGGCAGCGGAAGCAGCAGAGGGACGCAGAGGAGGAAGAAGTAGAGACAGGTAGCATTGGCGTGTCTTCTCATCCTTACAAGGTCGCACTCATAAGAGGAACCAAGGCACATCTCCTGGCACCAATTCTCACAGCCATGGAGACATACACCTTCCCCCACTTCCACCCAGAAAGCAATACCGTCCACCTCGCCCTCTTCCACTCTGTCAGCAACGCCCAGCCCCTCCTCTCTCAGATCATCAATGCCGCCTCTCTGCCCACGGGCCACCCGGATCAGATCAAGGTAGACTTTGCATTCATCGATGCGGGCATGGTAGTCAGTAGAGAGCAGGTACTCAATGCGGTGTTGCAGAGCATGGTTTGGAAGGAGAGGGGCGAAGAGGGAGCAATTGGGGCGGGCAGTGGAGGATTAAAGACAAAGACGATTCATAGCGAGGTGATCTGGAACCTCTTCCCTGGCAGAAATGTAAGTGAAAGTGGACCTACAGACGAAGTGCCCCTACTTGTTGCTGACTGTGTCTGTCGTATGCTCCTACAGATCTCCTCGTCCCTACGCGAAGTTGGTCTCTCGCCCAAGACCACCTCTCTCCTCCTCGTTCACATCTGCTCCTCTTCAAATCCCCAACCCTCCGAGATCCTCTCCCGCATGACCAATCTAGTGCAAGGTACTCTCGATGTCTCTGGTCTCTCCTCTCTCGAGCATCGAGCAGATGCAGGGGAAGGCAGCGCAGGGACGAATTGGAAGGAGCTCACAAAGTTGTACAAGATTGACGAGTCGGTGGATAACGAAGAGCGCAGGAGGGCAGTCGTGGAGAGTGCCACGGCTATCAAGAATGTTGCCGGTTGAGGAGCTGACGGGGACCTACCAGCTAATCTAACTCGACGAGGAGGAGTGGCTAGTGCAGCTCTCATATTTCTACACGCCCCCTCTCGATATCCATGGGCCCCCTCTCGGCGCAAGAATGAAGGCAGCAAACCGTCTGTCGGTGACTCTATTTACTCTCTTGAACGAGATCGATCCCCCCTACAGCAACCCGACGGCTTCATCAGAGCGCATCAGATTGCGTGCGGTCTCATGCAGCACGTCTGGAGTCTTCAATTGCGAGAAATTGATCAGGCGATGAGGAAGCTTGGAGATGTAGGACACGTGCATTGTAAGGAGCTAAGAGTACAAGGTGAAGGGAGGCACAACCACGGCAGAAGCAAGATGAAAGGATAGAGGGAGGGAAGCCAGAAGAGGGATGAACATGTAAAGGGAACGAAGGGCATACATGACGACGCAATACTACGACGACTTGCTCTTCTTTTCCTTCTTCTTTTCCTTCTTGTCCTTCTTCCCACTCTCGGCGTCCTTGGCAATACTCTCATCGCCAGGCACACCGCCATCGGACTTCTTTGCTGCCTTCTTTGCCTCTTTCCTAGCAGCCTTCTCTGCCGCCCTAGCCACCTCATCCTTGACATCCTTGTCACCTCCCTTGGACTTGCTCTTCTTGTCCTTCTTCGACGAGGACTTGTCCTTCTTCGAAGCCTTCTCCTTCTTCTTGTCCTTCTTCGATGCCGGGTCGGATGCACCTACTGCCTCGGGCATAGTCGCCGGTTCATCGTCGTCATCGCTGTCGTCGCTATCACTGTCATCGTCCTTTCCATCCACGTCCATCAGGTCTCCTGCAGCCTCCTCAATGGACCGCAATGCCTTGCTCATCGCATCGGCATTCTTCGAAGGGGGCTTGCCGCTCTCGTAGAAGGCCAGCCTCTCCTCGACTTGTCCGTTCATCACCTCTCCGAACTTCGATGAAGGTTGGTCAGAGAAGCAGTCGATCCTAGAGGCAATTGAGATCTTGTTGGCCAGGAAACGCGACATACGACCCTTGTTCTTTGGTGCTGCCCTGGCGATAGCCGAGGCATGGTAGATAAGACCGTACTTCGGTGTGTTGCCCTTGGTCTTGAGAGCTCGGAAGAGAGCCTTCTCTGCTCCGAGAATCTGCACCGTCGAGGCGGGGTACTTGGCCAAGTTGGTGAGCGATCCGGCGTGGGAGATGAGACGAGCGCCAATGATCTCGCCTAGCAGTGCTGAGAGGTTGGGTGCTACCAGGTGCATCTTCTCGATCAGGTACTTGTGCATCCTCTTACGGTAGTCGGCCAAGTGTACAACACGGTCGGCGAAGGTCTGAATGTTCAGCATGTCCATCTCTCCAATCTCGGTACCCATCGATGCGCGTGCGGCATCGAAGATGTTCCTAGCCACAGTCTCGTCACCCTCGAGGATATCAGTGATCTCCTCGATGTGGTCCTCTGTCAGCCTCTCCTTTGCCTGGATGAAGCTGGCAAGCTTGGCGTAAAGCATGTTGTCATTCACGAGCTTGACCAGCTCAGGAAAGTGCCAGCCATACCATTCGCGGACCCTCATAGCAAAGGTGTTGACATCCTTGTCCAGGGTGTCTAGGAGAGCAATAGCCTGGATGATCATGTTGTCAGATCGGTTCACGTTGAACTTGACCTTCGATCGCGAGTACGAGTGACCAAGACCGAGCTGAGCCTTGGACAGATCGCCCTGCTGCATGTTGGAGATGAGCTTCTCGGCGTGCAGTCGGAGACCTCGAATCAGCTCGAGTGTGGTGGAGCCAGTGTCGCAGCCGATGCCCAGCTCGCCGACGATGGCTCCAGCAAGACCTCGCTCAGACACACCGAGGTTCAGGCCCTTGTTCTTCTTGCCCGAGGGCAAAAGAACCTGAGTAATGAGAGCCTTGAGGTGGTCATTGAGCACACCTGCACAAGCGAGGAGAGAGGGAAGCGGAAGAACAGATGGTACCGCATGTCAGCTACGTCCAGGCTGGCGATACTCAAGTGACAACCTACTCACCTTCTGAGATGTCGAGACAGCTCTGCAGAGCATCCACTGCGCTCCTGAAGGGGCTGAAGGAGAGGAGCTTGACCATCCTGCCGAAGTTTCCGATGTCCAGCGCTGCCTCCTGCACTGCCGTCGTCTTTCCTGCAATCTCCTCTACCTGGGTGACCTGGAAGATGGCGCATCCTGTGGCACATTCGAAGAGGACGTGCGTAGGAGCTGACATGATGGTGGAGGTTGGTTTCCCTGCTCGAGGGATGTGTGGTGTTGGGTGGTATGAGGTGCGGTCGGGCGGAGGATGTACGAGCGATCTGTGAGAAGAATTGCTCTGCTCGACGCTGCCCGCCGAGTTTTTTGCGGAGGGGCGGCGGCGGCGGCGGGCCAAGTGTGTCGAGCTGCAGCGCGCGTCTCGGAGCCGCGTTGGGCGGACATGGAAGTGCAGCCCTGCACCGAGGGGTGACGACGAACCGCACAGACGTCGAGGCAAGGCAGGCACTGACGACGTCCACCAGACAGCCTGCCTTCGTGATCTTCTCATCCTCAGCTTCGTATCACACTCGACGTACAGCGCACCTCACATCGCTCACCATGTCGAGGAGCTCATACGATAGATATCTCACAGGTGGGTAGCCCCAAGCATGCTCATTGTAAAGCTCCTCGCTGACGCTTTCTTGCCGCCCATGCCTTGCTACAGTCTTCTCGCCCGATGGACGTCTGTACCAGGTCGAGTACGCCTTCAAGGCCATCTCTTCGGCTGGTCAGACTAGTGTAGCGATCAGGGGAAAGGACTGTGCCGTCGTAGCAACGCAAAGGAAGATTCCAGTGAGTAGCTCAGATCAGACCATTGGCCATCAGATGCGCTTCCCCGCTCACGCCAGGACATCTGTACCAACCTCCACCGACCGCTCAGGACAAGCTGGTGGAACCATCAACTGTGACGCACATCTTCAAGCTGACACAGGAGATTGGATGCATCATGACTGGAAGGATCGGTGAGACATCAGAAGAGCTGTGGTACGGCCCTCAGCCGGCAAGAAGCTCACATGGTCTCCTCCCTGCCGCCCCTACCTCTCTCCACAGCCGATGCCCGGTCTCAGGTACAACGTGCGCGGGCAGAGGCTGCTGAATTTAAGTACAAGTATGGATATGCCATCACACCTGACCTCCTCGCCAAGAGAATTGCCAACATCAATCAGGTCTACACTCAGCGAGGTGAGTCCGAGTAGAGACTGTCTCGGTCTCCGTCAAGTGAGCCTTCTGAAGTCTATTGCTGAGACTACCTTCCCCTCCCCTGACCTCCTCCTTTCGCAGCTGCCATGAGGCCCCTAGGTATCTCCATGATTCTCGTCGGTATTGACTCGGATCCAGAGCGAGGTCCTCAGGTGTACAAGATCGACCCTGCAGGGTACTACGTCGGATTCAGGGCCACTGCTGCCGGCCAGAAGCAGACGGAAGCCATCAACTACCTGGAAAAGCATTTCAAGAAGTCGTCTTCGGCATCAACTGCAGCTGCAGCAGAGTCCGAGACTGGCACCAGCGGCAGTGGGCTCGTCGACGCTTCGCCCGACGCGGCTACAGCAGAGGCAGAGGCCGTCTCGCGCAAAATGACCAAGGACGAGGCCCTGCAATTAGCCATTCAGACCCTTTCGACAATCTTGGCGCAGGACCTCAAGGCGACAGAGGTGGAAGTGGGGATCATTGGTGGACCAAAGGGAGCAGATGGGGATGACAAGAGTGATGAGGCTCAGCAGGAGAGGAGGTTCAGGACTCTGAGCGAGGAGGAAATCTCCAATGTCCTGGACGCAATCGCTGAAAAGGACTGAAGAGGAGCGAATCAGGTATGACGGGGAGTGGAAGGAGACGAGACTGGTCTAGCAATCCCATCAGCCTTTACGATCAATCGACATCATGGCGTGAGGGCAGGTTGAATGATTTGGAAAGCTACGACAGATGAGACGACAGAGAGGAAGACACTCAGTTTGCCCCCTTCTTTCTATCCTTTCTCTTCCTCCCAATCAAGCTCCCCAATTTATTTCCCAACTTGTCTCCCGCTGCTCCTCCTTCCCTACCAACTTTATCCGAAGCCTGCTCCTTGACTTTTCGCACTCGAGTTTCGTCCCTCTTGCTGCCCTTTGCGCCATTGCTACCAACGCTGGCGGCGCTCTTTGCTTCGCTTCCCCTTTTCTTGGTAGATTGGTTCCAGTTGGCCCGCTTTGGAAGCCGCTTGCCACGGACGTCCTCTTCTGCCTCGGGCTCGCCATCTTCCTCCTCTCCCTCATCAGAGAATGAGGCAGGTGCGGCAGTAGACTCCATACCACCACCACTACCACCATTGGCATCTCGAAGTGTCCTCCTCTCTGCATTCTTTCGATTTTGCTCCACCCGATCTTGTCGTGCCTTTACCACGGTGGCATTTTCGATGCTGAATTCGACAAAGAGGAGACCACCACGCTCTGCCTTGTCCACGGAACGGGCACCGGATTCTTTGAGCTCGGCTTGCTTGGAGAGGACTCGCTTGAGGCGGGAGGGGAGATCCTCACTAGAGCCGGAGCCGGGGGTGCTGCTGGAAGGTTTGTTCTTGACCTTGTCCACCAAACCCGAGCCCGAGCTCGAGTCCTTTTCGGCAATTTCTCCCTCGAGCTTCTTACGTAGATCCTCCAGCTCCTCAATGTACCACTCAATCATCAACTTCTGCACGTCCTTGTTTGCATTCAACCATCTCAATGCCCTCAGTGCTTCTCCGAAACTCCTCATTTCGAGGAAACCGAATCCCTTTGAGCGGCCCACACCCGTCATTGGGTCCGGTCGATCGATGGCGCGAACGATCTTGGACTGCACGACGGAGGTGGAGCGCTCCCCCTTCTTGGGCGGCTTTGACGCCAGGGAAAAGGTGCGATCGGCTAGCTCATCGACATCTAGATCCTGACGCTTGCCCTCGGCTACTTCGGCCTTGAAGGCTTTGATGGCGTGAATGGCCAGCCGCTTGAGCATCCTGTCGGTGCAGAAGAGGGGAAGTTGGCGGATCGAAAGACGCGTCTTGGAGATGTACAGGGAAGGATTGATGGACAGCTGTGAGCGCCTTTGACTGAAGGAGCCTAGACGCTTTTCAATCTCATTGGGGTTGGAAGCAAGCTGCTCCGCCATGGGGGTATTGGGCAGAGGCACACCTTCTCTCATGAGATGGGTGTTGCGCTTGTCTTGCTTCTGACGAGCCTTGATACCCGCTGCTGTGAGTGAGTCTGCCTTTTCCCTCTCCACAGCAGGAATGACGTTCAGGATGCGTCCGCGAATGTTAAAAGAGGCAGTCAGTGGTGCAGAAGGGTCCACGGTCAGGACCGAGGTCATGCTGAAGGGGTTCTGGCCCGCCTTGAGAGGTGGAGCGGTGATGCCGCTCCCCGCCTCTTGCTCAACGTCCCTGGCTCTTTGCAGGGCTTCCACAGCGGCCTCCTTGGTCCAGAAGCATACGAAGCCTGTTCCTTTGCTGCGCGGTGGGTTGGTAGATCGATCCATTGTGATGCGTGCGTAGCGGACGGCGCCAAATTGCTTGAAGAGAGTGAGGAGCTCAGGCTCGGTAGCTTCGAAAGGCAGATTGCGGACGAAGAGTGTCGTGCCTTCAGAAGGAGTGGGAAGGGCAGGCTTGACGTCCTCTTCCTCGTCTTCCTCAGATCCGGCATCGTCGTCCGATCCATCCTCGAGGTCATCGTCGTCAGCATCACCGTCAGCCTCCGTCTCTTCGCCATCCGTCTCCTCTTCCTTCTTCTTCCATTCATCCTTGGTCAACGCCCAGTCAACAGCAACAATGCGCTCTGGTTGAGCGGATTCTCTGACCTCCTTGAGCTTCTCCTTGGCCATGAGCCTTCCTTTGGACCCCTTGGCCGTCTTGGCGGCAATCTTTTCGGCTTCGCCATGGCGGATGGGCTTGCCATTGACACCTTCTAGAGCGCGAGCAGCATCCGAGCGTGATACGAGCCAGACAAAGCCGAAGCCTCGACCTTTGGTCTTCGCGGCAGCAGGAGCAGCAGGAGCAGCGCTTGGCGTAGACTTTGGCAAGGTATCTGACTCCTCAGGGCTGCTGGCAACGCTGTGCTCATCATCCTCGGAGGATGAGTCGCTACTGTCGCTCCCTGTCTCGTCATCATGGCTGTTGCTGTCCTCCTCCTCGCTCTCGTCTCCCTCTTCACTGTCCTTCTCCTCCGCGCCATCTTCGACCTTGATCGTGTCTTCGAGGGTCTCAACCTGGACGGCGGCCGGCTTTGATGGCTGCTGGCCTGTCTTTGGCAAAGCTTGTGGAATGTCAATCTTGTAGATGGGTCCGAATGGTAGGAAGACGGCCCGCAGGTCCGAAGTGGTGACGTCCCAAGGCAAGTTCCTGATGATCAACCGACTCTCCTGACTGATTCCTGCGACAGGGATGCTATCCACGGCTGGTAGGTGGGCAATGGAGCCATCAGCGCCCTTTGAGGCTTCTTCCACCTCTTTGCGCCTCTTCTCCATCCTTTCTCTGGTCTCTGGCCTCATCCTTGCATTGAGCTTGGCTACACCGTCCGCTCGTCGCTTGAGTACAGCGGAGAGCAGAGCGCCCTTGAAGGTATGTGCGTGAAGCTTTGTAACAGCAGTTGCTGCATGGTTGGGTGTACGGAAGATGACATGTGCGACGTCGGGATCGGGCTTGGGTCCACCTTGAGGTGATGGACCTGGGTAGATGACATTGTCTACATCGCCAATCTTCCTCGCTCGCTTGTATAAGGTCTTTGCGTCTGCTGGCGGCGTGCATGCCTGAAGACCAGAGAGGATCAATGTCCGCACAGCGTCTGGATCCTTGGATGCGGAGGATGAGGAGGATGGATCTCGAGGGGTAGCAGGAACTCTTTGCCCGGCGGGAACTGCAACGCGAGGCCTCTTGACTGGTGGAGCGCCTGCTCCTTCAGCCCGCTCCTTCCTGGTGGGCTTGTCATCTGCCCATGAGACGGCAATGGCTCTCTTGCCGTCGAGTTTCTTGCCTTGCAGCTCGGTCAGAGCCCTCTCTGCATCTTCCGCTACGGCAAAGGTAACGTATCCGACGCCCTTTGACTTTTTGGTCTCCTGGTCTGTCACTACGAAGGCTCTCTTGAGTGGTCCTACATCGGAGAAGAGGGTCTGCAGGTCGACTGAAGTGGCCGTGAATGGCAAGCGTGAGACGAAGAGAGTCGTATTTTGGCGGGCTGCAGATGAGGAGCCAGCGGCCTCTGCATCTGCTGCCTTTTCCCCTTGCTCCTCGAAATATCTCTTGGGAGGCATGGTGGTATAGGCGGGAGGTTGATGAGGGGCAAAGGAGGTGTGTGAAGTGAGGCTCGAGGAAGGACTGCGTCTCTCCGCGTCGTGCAAGGAAAGGGCCAAATTTTTCTACAGGCGCAAGGCAAAAGATGGCCCGGGAGTTGAGCCGCGCCGCGCCTCGTGGGCCAACGATCGCCTCTGTTTCCGATGACTGTCATGGATCCTACTGCACTGGCCGAGCCCAGATCGAGAGGACTCAGCTGCACCTTTGCCCTTTCATATGCTGACAGCTTGCAGAATGGCTCTTACTCTTCCGCTGACTATCGGCTAATCGTGGCTGATGGCGAGGAGGAAGAAAGGGTGGTAGTGCCCCAGTGTGGCTCCGACCCGACTTTTCAGCTGGCATGGCTCGGTTAGGCGCGGGGCGTGGCGCTGGGCGGGGGGATGGTCCGTGTGTTGCTGCAGAGATCACAAGGGTCCTTCGATTGACGTCAGCTGCTGAGTGCACGGCTGCCGCGCTGCGTGTCCACACTGCTCCCCCGCCTTGACCGTGGGTTCCATGCGCCCAGCTCCCCACGCCTCGGCTGCCTCTGGACACATCCTCTGTTCCCCTTGCTCTACTCAAGGGCCCCTTCGCTGGCCTCACCCTACCCTGGCCATCGCCCCCCCCCGCTCGCCCACTCCTTCCCATTTGCACAGCGTCGTCCCTCTTCGTCCTTACCATCCCTTCCCATCGACTCATCCTTCCAAGTCGCACCTCCCCCCAGCCATCTCTGCAAAGATGAACACTTACTTCGACCAGTTCGCATACGCCGTCGCAAAGAAGCACGATGGAGGCATCGGCATCCCCGAGCCCATCGACCCTGACCTGCACCAGTGAGTAAGCAATCACCACCCTCCCACTCCCACGCTTACCCATCTCACTCAACGCTGCCTCCCACCCTTCCACCTTTCCCACCTTCACAGCCCAGAGTCCATCACCAAGGCCGGTGAGACGTACCTATGGGTCGTGTTCGGTATCATGACTGCCGGCTTCCTCGGCTTCACTGCCCTGTCCCAGAAGGTCTCCTACCGATACCGAACCCTCTACGTCACCACCCTCCTTATCAATGCCATTGCCGCCGTCTCCTACTTTGTCATGGCCAGTGGCCTTGGAAAGACCATCGTCAATGCTGACCCACACAGCTGGAGCTCCGTCCGTGAGGTATACTACGCCCGGTACCTCGACTGGCTCTTCACGTAAGTCTATTGAGCACGCACACGCCTACGCGTTTTAGTCAGGAACAAATAGCGCTGACCACTTCACCACACCCACTCACCATCCACAGAACTCCTCTGCTGCTCCTCGACATCACTCTCCTCGCTGGCCTGCCAGTAGGAGAGATCATCATCGTCGTCATTGCTGACATCATGATGGTCGTCACCGGTCTCATTGCTGGTCTGCACCCATCCCTCAAGTACAGGTGGGGCTTCTACGGCATCTCTTGCCTCGCCATGCTCTTCGTCTTCTACGTACTCGTCACGTCGGCTCGCTCCTACGCGTTCCTTCGATCCCCCAAGGTTGGAAACCTCTTCAACCAGGTATCTCTTGCTCTCCTCGTCGTGTGGTCCCTCTACCCCGTCGTATGGGCCTTCAGCGAGGGAACTGGCAAGGTGAGTCGATGCACGGAGGAGTGTGTACATCCTGTTGCTGCGCATCAATTCGTACTGACACCTCTCTTGTCCTCGACGCGTTTCCTTTCCCCTATCGATAGTTCACTGCCGACCAGGAGGTCTTGGCCTTTGCCATCCTCGACGTCATTGCCAAGCCCATCTGGGGAGCTTGGGTCATCTTCGGCACCCCCGAGGAGGGACACGTCATCCTCCCCGAGTCTCTGGCCACCCCCGTTGGAAGCAACTACGGCTCTCTGTCCCAGGAGGCCCGATCTGAGGACGCTTGAAGCGCTCGCCCCTCAACGATCATCCCTCACCAGCAGAGCTGACAGGACTGCATCGAGACCTCACGGCACTCTCTCCCTGCGAGAACTTGGGAGCTGTAGGCCGTGGCCGTAGCAAGTCAACGAAGCTCTCCCTTTCTCTCCCTCTCTATCCCCTCTTATCTCTCACCTCCAACCCTCCCCAGCTTCTCCTCCATCTGCTCTCTTCTTGCCTCTTCTTCCCTGCCCCGCCCTTGTGGCATCTCTTTCCTCCACATCAATCCCCAGTCCTCGCACGGCCTCCCGCGTTGTTGCAACCTTGGAAGCGCAAGCGAGAGAAAGAAGAAACAGGAGACTGTCAACGAAATGAACCTCAACCCCAAATCCTCCAATATGATCCCCTTTATGAAGTTGAAATTGAAGTCGACGTGTCTGTCGAGAGAACGTGTGTGCTCTCTGCGTACTGCGTCTTCCGTCAAATTCACAGTGTCCGTGCGTTAGAGTTCTGGTTATACGTTAGACTATCAGCGAGGGACGTGCGAGAGAGAGAGAGAGTCAGAGAACTCTTTCTAGCGGGGTCAGTGACAATACAGAGGCAGACACACTGCACAGCACTTTCTACGCTACGGCAGGCAGTTGTACGGAAGAGAGGTGTAAAGTGCAGAGTATGTGGGGATATGGGTATGTACATTGATCTGGTGCTGGGTCTATAGATGATAGGGTGGTCTAGTGTAGTCTAGTCTAGTCTAGTCTAGGCAACAGGAGGTCTGCGCACCACCGGGTATATTCTAGCTGAGCTTTTGCAAGGGAGGCTAGCTACCTGCCATTGCGTGGTAGTGCTAGCGCTAGCGCTAGCGCTGTGGGGATAGGGTGATCCCCGTCTCGTTTTTTCCTTTCTTTGTTCGCTTTCACTCATCTTCCTCCTGCAACCACTTCATGATCATCTTCATTCCCCTTCCATCCTTCATGAGCAACTCCCCATGCGCCGCCTTCCAATCCACGACCATTCCACCCCTCTCCCTCTTGCCCTCTGCGCTAGTCACTTCTTCCTTGACTCCATATTCGAGCAAGTATTCCCTCGTCTCTTGACAATTGAGGATCACGTCCTGCCCTGCTAGGAAGAAGCGAGTGTGTTGCGGAGAGGTCAAGTTGGGAATCTCATCTTCGGGCCAGAGGATGTTGGAGGACCAATCAAAGTACCTCGATAGAGTGTTAGCAGTCCCAATTTCTCTTCCGACAAAGAATCGCAAGAGACGCTTGATGGAATTGTCTGCTTTGAAGTAGAGGAAGTTCCCGCAGACGTCGGGGATGAAGAGTCGGAAGGGGATGGGGTCTACGAAGCAAGAGCGGGCGATGCGATTGCCGAGGGACTTGAGGAGCCAGGCGTGAACAATTGTGCCCATGGAGTGGCTTAGCACTTGCACATCGCCGTCGAAGCGGAGAGTCTTCATTGCCTTGCGGAGACAGATGATCATCTCGTGGTGTCCAATCGGCTTGAGGAAGTGCGGGGAAAAGATGTTCTGGGAGATGTGAGGCTGGATGGGTATCATGATGGGGTGTGTCTCGGAGAGAGCGGACCCGGCGAGCTCGTCGATCAGAGCGTGGTATTGAGCCAAGCCGATGCCGAGACCGTGTAGGAAAATCGTGGGGCGGTATCTGCCCTTGCTGGCGGGGTCAGCCGCCTTCTCAGGCGACCAGGATGATGGGATGCTGACGAGGTAGGACAACCTGCCTGAGGTTCGAAGCTCAAAGCCTTTGTGACGAGTGGCACGATAGAGCGTGAAGCGAGACAAGCTCTGAGTGATGCAGTAGACCAAGAAAGGCCTGGCCTCCACGACAACGGGGCTAGAGGAGAGGGTGGGGAGTGCTGTTTAGCATTAGTGAACTCGTCTGGGCAAGATAGGTGGGCGCTACGACTACTCACTCAATGGTCAACCTCATGCTACCAGTCAACGGCTGATCTTTCGAGCCCCCTTCTCCGTCCAATTCTTCCTCCGGGCCGGGTTCACCATCCCTCTTCAGCGGGTATCTTTGCCCTTGTCTAGCTTCGAGCATCCTCCTTGCTTTACGGAGGAAGTCTAGTCTCGTACCGCCTTCGGCATTGGACCATTCTCCAGGCTCGGCGTAGACTTTGCGCAAGTTGGGGTCCTCTTCATCCGCCTCGTCAGCAGCAGTGCCATGAGTCTCATTTGCGATCTGGGGAAGCTCGTCGCCTGCCCGAGCCTTCTTGGAGATGTCAGAGTGCTCCGCCTCAATGTCCTCTAGATGCGAATTGAAGAGACTCCAGGCCAGCCAGTGACTGACGTCCCTCCTTGTGATATGCTTGTGAGATTCCTTCTTGTATTGTGGGTCGAGGTGGAACCACTTTGCCTGCTCCCTTTGAAATTTGCGAGCTCTCGGGTCGTCGGGGGTAAGAGCATTGGCTTTGAACCATGGCTCGGGGTCGTCTCCATCGGACCCATTGTTGGCCTGAGTCGCTTTCGAGTGGCTCTTCTCGTTGCCTTCCGGTCTGGTACCCTCCAGCTTTGAATTTGTGGCTTCTTTGATGTTGTCTTGCTCTACCTGCTGCCTGTGCGTCTCGTCCGCCTTGACCAAGTTGTCAAGTCCTAGTCCGCTCTTGAGTGCTCGTGCAAAGACTTTGCGTAGGAAACGGCGGCTGTAGATGGGCTGAGGGCCAGGACCTTGTACCTTCCTTACTAGATAGGCGTGGTACAGCGAGAAGACGACTTCGATGACAGACCAAGGGAACCAGACGTACCTGGCCATGAGCCTGAGCCATTTGGTCCTGAGAGCCGAGGGCAGCGTGGCAACAACGGTAGAGCTGGGTATGAAGAGGTAAGCAGCAAGATAGAGCCAACACACCACCGGCAGCGACCGGATGCTCAGGATTGCTAGGCGTACAAAGGTATCGGAGTAATCGAATGGGATGAGTGAGCCATTGCCCGACTTGAAGGCGGGCAGGCGTAGGGGAGAGTGTGCCATGGTGGCCAAGACGGTGCAAAAGTTGTGGTGCGTTCCGCACACGAGGCAGAGGATTAGCTACTATGCAATGAAGTGAAGCAACGAATGTGGGTAGAGTAGCGATTCTGGACTAGGGGAGCGAGATATGGAGGGAAGGAAAGGATGTTGGGGCGAGAAATGATGTCTAAACACACGAAGCTTGGCCTGGAATTGACATCATTTCCCGCTTTCCGTTCGCCCAGGCTTCCTTTCCGTGTGTGAAAGTCAGCCTAGCGCTCTGACGGCCCAGGCAGGCGGTACAGACAAAGGGAATGGTGCTAGTGACGGTAGACTTTATGACACATGACATAAATGTGAGATACCAACCTGGTACATGAATGAGCTTCCGGAATGCTGTGTCTCTTCACATGCAGGTATCTCTTCTTTACCGAGGGAAAGGAAGTACTTGTAGCAGTGGTGATAGCTACCGTAATTCTCGAGTCGCCAACAAGACTGTGCCGCCTCTTGACGCCTTACAACAACACAAGGAGACTCAAAGGAAAAGATCCCGCCGAACGCTAGTCCAACTAATGTGCTGCGCTGCTTGCTATATCGGCCTTGATCGTGTCCAACATGCCTAAGATAGTGGGTCGCCAAGTCTCCAAGATCCAACGCAGTACTCTTCGTAGGAGCAACTGTAACTACATCATCCTCGTCGGTGTGTCCACGTTACCGCCCCACACTCTAACGAGATATATATCCAGTTCATTGATGAAGATACCCGCCGTCCGAAGGTTGATTCGGCGGTAGTCAGCGATCCTCACATGGTGGCTTGAAGTAGAAGAGCTACTGGAGAGGTGACTGGATCCGCAACTGGAGCCACGACTAGAACATTGACTGGAGGCGCAAGAAGGCTCTGGTAGATCATCATTTTCACACAAGGAAGTCATGGAGTCACCACCGCAATCGGAAAAGGTGATGGGCCGACAATACTTCTCCCAGGCACGGCTGAAATGGGCCGAGCGCATGCCCCTGGAAAGGGTTCCGTTCCGATCTCGACGGGTCGGCGCCTGTGCCTGTAGCCTTGAATCTCTCGGACGTCATTGCACGGAGGCACGCGCATTGGGTTCCTCGCCCTCGTGCTGGGCGCCCATCGATCATCTCCCACGCCGGGCAGTGGGGCTCTTCCTTTCTGCCCAGCTTCGGTACCTTCTTGATAGTCTACTCACAACTCACCACCAACACCTCTCCCAACACCCTCAAACACTTCATTCACAATGGTCCTCTACACTGAAGGCGATGTCGTTGAGTGTGAGTATACAGTCTGCGCAAGCTCCGTCTGCCCTCTGCCCACGGCTATCTCCGAGAGATCTTGACAGATTGGGGGGATGTTCGAGATCCTCATCTTCGACAAGCCTCATACCTTCGGGCCATGGACAGCGCAACGAGATCAGGGGCTCAGCCAGAAAAGAACTCCATAAGGGCTTGTCCTCCTCCGTAGACTCTCCGCGATCATGCGACGCTACCCGATGAAGTGCTGGCAGCATCGAAAGAGGCCGCAGACTATGCACAAGATCACGTTCAATGCAGCAATCATTGTGCACAAGCGCTGACTTGCCTTTTCCTCTCTGACCTACAGTCCGACCCTTTGGAGGTGATGTCCAGACTGGCAAGATCGACAAGATCGAGACCAAGACCGGTGGACACGTGAGTCGAGCTTCATTGATCCAAGGCGTCAATTCTCCATGTGGCATGATTGCTCACGCATCCCCCTCACCTCTGCCTTGCATTCACAGGTCGACATCTTCTACCACATCAACGGCGAGAAGTACATCTCTGCTCAGTTGATCGGCAGGGTTCAGAAATAGGTCGTGGCGGAGGAGGTGCGGCCGGTCAAGCGACTGAAGCGCATCTGAGCGTCAGCGTCGGAACAATAGACGAATAAATAGGCTTGGCGATGGAATGTCTCCATCAAGGATAGTTGTCTCCTTCTATACACAAATGGTGTCAGACCCTCTGCGAACAAACAAGTGTGAAGAAAGGTTCAGAGTCCAGCTCCTTGTTGCGGGGTCGCTTGACTTGCCTTAGCCCGTGTGTCCGAGATCGATTGATATCTGCCCTGGAGCCATTACATGCTATCGTATCTTCAGACCAGCACTCCTTGTGTGCATCTCCAAGCTCTTTGCTCGGTCTAATGGTCGTGCAAGTGTGGCATTGTTTTCGATGCTCCCCCTCACCTGGCCGTCCTTTGCCTGCCGAGGGCCCGCACGCGCATGGACACTTTTTGGGCAAAGGACGGACAGGAAGGATTGGTCCTTGCGACAGTCACGCCTGTTCATGCTCCTCGAGTCTTCTCAGATAACTCGCAGAGTCGCCTTCTCTCCCCTTCACTCGCTGTGATGATGGACATCTTCTCGTCCAGTCGGCAAGATGCTGCCTCTAGCTCTGCTTCGGCGCCAGCCCCTGCACCTCTCCTACCCATCATCTTCTGCGGTCCAGGATCCAACCTCTACCCCCTTTGTGACCCTTCTTCCTCCTCCTCGTCATCAACAACAGAATCACTTCCCAAGGCGATTCTTCCCGTCGCTAACCGACCTCTGATAGCATACCCTCTGCAGCATCTGGCCTCTGCTGGCTTCAAGCGGGTACTCGTCGTCGCCCCTTCCACTCAACATCGGGCGATTGAGGTAGCTCTCAAAGGCCTTAGGCTGCAAGTGCCCCATGTCAGTGAAGGCAAGGCGACGGGCGGCGCCAAGGACAACAGCAAAGGCGGTGCGAATATGACTGATGAGACAAACATTGCTGTTGTTGATGGACTGTCCGCGGCTGTGACAAGCAAGGCCGCCGCTGCGCCTTCGGGGCCAAGTGCAGCGATGCGAGTAGAGCTCATCCCCCTGGGCCCATACGATGTGAAGGGGGCTGGTGAGATCAAGGGGGATGCAGGGCAGGATGGCAGTGATCAATTGGAGTTCAGAAGAGTGGCAAGACCCGGCACAGCGGAACTGCTACGATGGCTCGCCCACATTGGGAAGCTTGAGGTAAGTATAAGGGGAACGGCCGAGTCGTCGGATTTTGCTCAATCTTTTGCTGACCATGGTCGTACCTATCTCCATTGTTTCAGTCCGACCCTCTGGTACTCCCAGTAGACTTCATAGCCCCTTCGCTGCCAATATCGTCCTTCCTGCTGTCCTACTACTCTGCAAGCAACCCTGCACCGCCTACTGTCATCAGCCTCCTCTATGAGCGCGGGGCGGGAGAGTCTGTAGGCAGAGAGAGGGAGAAGGAAGCACCTCCACGAACGCTCGCTGCATACTCTCACGCTTCCCCCGCCACCTCGAGCTGCTCATCCTCGAGCTCATCCTCCTTATCAGACGGCCTCTCCACCCACTCCCTACTACTCCTGTCCGAGCTACCCTCTGGCTCGACGCTGGATGTGCGCCTTTCTCTACTCAAGGCACACCCGCGGACCCGCTTCAGCACCAATCTGCTGGACTCGCACATCTATATCCTCCGGAGAGATCAGATCGTGCCCTTGCTCAATGCTAGGAAGGACTTCACAAGTCTTCGAGAGCACGTCGTGCCCTTTGTAGCCAAAGCAGGCTGGCAGACTGGCTTGATCGACAAGGTCGGATGGGGTCAGCTCATGCGAGAGGAGGCAAAGAAGAAGCACGGCCGGTCGGGGTACGACGAGGTGGAAGAAGGTCTGGGCGATGTTTCGATAGGAGGGGAAGCGGGTGGGCTGATGCAATTGGCCTTTCAGAGGAGTTCACTTGCGCTGCCAACGGCATCGCCTACCCGGCCAGAGCACGATGCGATTCGGGCTGTGACGGTCGTCGCTCGTCTCGAAGACGAGACTGCCTCTGCCTCTGCCGCGCCAGTGCCAGAGCAGCCGTCAAAGGGAGGCAAGCGACAGGACGGGCCCGGCGCTTCCAAGGGCGGTAGTGTTCCTCAAGAGCCTGCCGTAGTGGAGCGCTTCTTCGCTCGAGCCAACACCCTCCCTACTTACCTGGAGAGCAATCGCTTCTTGCTGCGATCTCTGTTCACAATTGGCCAATCTCTCGTCGCGGCCGGTGGCGGCGCGAGGGGGACGCTACCTTTTCCTCTACCAGCTGTGCTGCCCAGCACTAGTACAACGGCGGCGGCTAGCACTAGTGCCGGCCTCTCCGCCGGACCCACCACCCACGAAATCTCCCCATCCGCACAAGTTTCTCCAGATACCTTGATTCCTCTTCTGGCTACCACTGGTACAGACGAAGATCCACGCGCCCTGCTGACCATCTCCGACCGAGCCTCCCTCAAGCGCTCCCTCCTCGCTGTCAATGTGCACCTATCGCGCAACGCCAAAGTCTCTGGCTCCATCCTGATGGAGGGCTGCTCCATCGGCGAGGGTGCCAAGCTGGACAATTGCATCGTGGGACCTGGGGCGCGCGTGGGAGATGGGTGCAACCTGAAGGATGTGGATCTGGGACCGGGGGCAAAGGTCAGTGGGAAGAAGGATGTCAAGGGAGAGAAGATTGCAAAGGGCGAGCAAGGAGAGGATGATGAGGAGAGTGGAGATGAAGGTAGCGAGGATGAAGATTGAGAGGTCTTGTATGTACCTTGGAGAGTGCGGGTGTCAGATGACGATCATGACATAGAGAGATACCAACAGGAATCTGTGTATAGTACTGATAGCGGCTGTTCGCCCACAATAGGTTGCTCGTACCCAGACTACGGTATGTGCTCAGATGAAGGCGATTGAAGCGAACAAGGAGAACAGAGGGATACTAGTATACACACGAACCAAGTAGGGGTTTGAGTTGCAATCAAAGCTTCGACTCTGGGAGCGAAGGAGGTACGTAATCGGAGATGTGCTTGGAGCGCACCTTTGCCAACTCCTCCTCGCTCACGGGTCTCACTTCGCTAGCGAGATCATACCCAAAGCGGTCCTTGTTGTGTCCGCCTTCCTTGTAGAAGGGAGGCTTGGTCAGAATGAAACTTGCTGCGCTTCCACCCAGGCCGACATTGTTAGACAGAGCGTACTTGACCTCCCTATCCTTGACCTGAATCGCTCCTGCCTCGCCACGCACTTGCAGAGAGAGGTACACTACGGCGGACACACCAGTTGCGCCCAAGGGATGTCCCTTGGATTCTAGTCCACCAGAAGGGTTGATGACCCACTTGCCGCCATAGGTGTTGTCACCGGCTTCGACGATTTTGTGAGCGTCGCCTTCAGCGCAGAGGCCGAGAGCAGGGTAGAGGATGAGCTCGTTGGCGGCAAAGCAGTCGTGGAGCTCGATGACTTGGATGTCCTTGGGACCTACACCGGCTTGCTGGTATGCCTTCTGAGCAGCTCGACGACTCATGTCTGCGCCTGCGAGCTCGATGCGGGACTTGTCCTCGTACAGACGCGGAGAGTCGGTAGCGATACCCATACCGGCGAGTTCAACGGCGCGATCCTCCAGCTTGTTCGCCTTGACAAAGTCTTCAGAGGCAACGATGACGGCAGCACCACCGTCCGAGGTAGGGCTGCACATGGGCAGCGTCAGCTCGCGGGTGATCTTCCTCGCCTTTGACACTTCCTCTGCAGAAGGAGAGGCTCGGAATTGAGAGTAAGGGTTGTTGACCGAGTGCTTGTGGTTTTTGGCAGAGATCTGCGCAATGTGGTCCCACGTAGCTCCGTAGCGCTCGCAGTATTCCTGTCCAGCAGCCCCGAAGATTCGAGCGGCAAAGGGGCCAAAGTCGTCCACCTCGTACTCCTTGTCGCCTTCGATCTCGAAGAGTTGGCTCATAGTACCTTCCATCGGGGGAGCACGGTCGTTCCAGGCTGAGCCCAACGAGCCGGCAGCCATCTTCTCAAAGCCCAAGGCGAGGGCACACTCTACCTGGCCAGACATGATGGCATTGGCAGCAATGGCAACGGCGGAAGAGCCAGTTGAGCAGTTGTTGTTGACGTTCACTGCGAGAGAACGGTGCGAGCAAGGTATTAGAAAGGTCAGTACCAAAGATAGGGACAGAGGACTGAGGGGAGGAGCGCCTGCCTTGCGGCATGCTGCGAATCCTCCCGGGGGGAGCTGCGCTTGCACTGCACCAAAGACACTCCTCATCAGAACCAGGGGAGCCCGAATACTCACGAACGGGGATCTGTGTGAGTCCCAATTGATAGAGGACTCGTTGTCCACATGTAGAATCGCCATAGCAGTACCCAACAGCTGCAGTCTCGACGTGGTCATAAGTTATGCCCGCATCAATGAGGGCCTGCGAGGTCATGCATTCTTCGAGTCAGCGCTCTATCCATCCTACTCGAAGACTGATCTGAAACAGCTTCAAGCTTGGGCTGCTCTCTTCTCTCTTTGCTTACCTTGACGGTAGCCTCAAGTCCGAGCTCGGGGTAGTCCCTCTCTCCTCGAGGCTTGTCGAACTTGGTCATGCCCACCCCGACGATGTAAGCTTTGCGTGGAGTATAAGGCATCTTGGCTGGCTGAAGGGTGTGTAAGGTGACGAAGTGAATGCGATGTTGAGGTCGGCAAGTCAGGGAGATGGAGCAGCGACTGGCAACCTCGACTAAATACTGAGCAGTCAAAGGTCCGGAGGTAAGCAAGCCTTCAATTGAGCGAGCGAGGTCCTGGCCTCTGCCCAGAAGCGCCGTTACCGCTACCTCGCTCGTTGGGCGCCACTTCCGTTGCCGGTCAGTCCGCTGAAACTGGGGAAGCCGGGCCGGGCCACGCGAGAGTGCGGGGTCGCGTCTCCACTCCGCTCGCCTGTCAATCGGGGAGAACGTCGAGGCGGTGGGCAAAGGCAAGTGTGGGTAGGTATCGGGATGGATTATATAGACGTGGAAGAGAGGGGAGTATAGACAGAACAGCAGGAGATACTGAAGTGAGCCAAAGCAATGGCGTTGTGGAAACAGGACAAGGAGCTGATCGTCTCCTCAGCTGTGAGACTGGCACTGCAACGTGCACATGTATGGCATCTTCAGCTTGCCTTCCCTCCTGTAGCACTGCTGCTACCAGCAAAGAGCCGCCAAAACGGCTTGATGATGATGACGGCAATGCAAAGCGCGCAGAGGAGAATTAGGAACAGCATACACTGTCCCTTTCCCGTCCTCTTCTGCGTCGCACTAGCCGTATTCAGCTCCTGCACAGCAGCGCGGATGTCGTGGCCCATGTTCTCGATGTTGTAATCTATCCGGTCGACGAGAGTACCTTGTGTGATGACGAGGGACTGTAAATCCTGAAACAGCTGGGACAGCTCGACGATGGACGTGGCGATGTGGTCGATGTCCTTGTTCCTCTGTTGAATCTCGGCATCTTGGTCGGTAGCGTTCTCTGATTCGATCAGCAGCTGGGTTTGGGCTTGCTGATCCCCGCCACGGAGCTGCGCCTTGGACATCTCCAGGTCCTCTCTCGCCGCAAGCTCCTCGTCTCGTAGAGCAGCAGATCCCCCGGACGCTCCCTGGCTACTGCCCTGCCGACTCAGACCGAGCTCGCCCAGGACCTCACGATGCCTAACGTCTTGACCCTTCAGCCTCTGCATGTAGTTGCTTTGCTTCTTGCGGAATAGCCCAGAGGTGGACTGGATACGCTGTGCCAGGGCCGTCTGCACATTCTGTGCCATCGATATCTCATGAGTGGACGCCTTGCCAGACCGGATCAACGTTTGCGTGGAGGCTGCAAGAGAGGCAATAAGCTTTGAGCAGCGGCGGAACTCCTTTGAGGTGTGAGAGTGAGTTTGGAGCGAGATGAGTCGTGAGCGATCATGTACCCCCGGGCCGCTACGCCTATTTCTCGTCCCGACGTAGGCTCACCTTAGTGATCTCCCCTCCCAGCATCTCAATTTCTCGCTCCTCTTTCGTCCGATCCACAAATCCAGGTAGCAGATTCTTTGCGTGAAGCCGATCCAGTTGAGTGATCTTTGGCTGCAGCTCATTGAGTATCCCGTCCACCTCATCCGAGACGTCCACCCACCTGGGCGGTAGCGAAGGTATGTCAATGGCGTGGGAATCCCGCAGTGGCTGAGATTGCCTCAGGAGAGCCGCCGTGTCCCTCTCGTCCTCCTCTTCTCCGTCCTCGTGTAGCTCTCCCGAGGCATCAAAGTACGCTCCGCCCTTCTGTCTCTTCTTCCCCCCGGCTCCTCCCTTGCCTCCTCGCAGACGATCGAGGCTCGTCTGCCTCGCCTTGCCCTTGCCTTTGCCGCCTAGAGCGCCCAAAGGATCATCGTTGCCGGTCAAAGAAGGAAAAGAGGTCGTCGAGCGAGCTGTCGACCTCGGCACGGAGTCTCGGTAGGAGAGGAAGAGGAGGGTACGTGATCTGGTCACTCCAATCAGGGGAGGCAGAGAGGAGGATGCGCCTGACCCGCCGCCATCTGACCCGCCATCGTAAGGCCCGTGTGGTGGAGGAGTGGCTCCGCGAGACAACGCATTGAAAGGGTGTTGCGGATGATGCGATGACGAGGATGAGGCAGACCAGAATTGAGAAGGGGTAGAGGAGCCAGACATGGTCGTGGGCAGTTGCTAGTCGTGAGGCCAGCTCGACTACAGCAGCGACTAGCAATAGCGGCTCAAGCAAGAGCTACCTGAGCGTCGTGAAGAGTCAGGTAGGCTCACAATGAGCGGGGCAGGGTATCAAGATGCAATGAAAGCAGGAGAAGCAGCTGTGCGAGGTATGCAGTTGGAAAGGCAACCTGGCCTCTTGGCGGCGATTTTGACTCTCCACTCAGCGCCGCCGCTGGCCAGTGCATACGCCTCGCTTCGCACACACGACGTGGGCTCACGGCAGGCCTCAGGCACATTGGTGAGAGCACCCTGCGACTAGGAATCAAATGGTCGCAGCAACTAACGCAAAAGTAGTCTCTAGCTGCACAGGAAAGGCAGTCTCCAGTGGTAGCGGCCAGGCGAACACTGGCGAGGAGGCACATCAGCAAGAGCAGCAGGCAGCGACACAACGCGAGGTACCTCATGAAGCCTCTGCAATAATTCAGTATATACACATTGGAGGGAACATGCCTAGCAGGAGAAATCAAAGCGACGACTGCTGACGTGGATTTGACAGCCAGACTGTCGCTAGACCTCTATAATGACAAGAAAGGTATGTGTGCCGATCACTTGCCCGAGTAGCTGCCTTGCTCCCTCAAACACCCAACAACCTCAGCAACATCTGGGGCTCAATCCTCCCGAATTGCGTTCCTTCGCCAAGGCGCATTGTTGACGTCATTGGCGGGTGTATCCACAGAGTCACTGTCGCTGGATCTCGACTCGACGTTGTGAGGGGCAGGGACAGCCTGAAGAGGTCATGAACACAAGACAGGATGAGGGTAGGTAAGCAAAGCGTTACGAGCTGCGAGTAGTTGCCCAGCAGACTCACCTTGGCAGTCATTGCTACAAGCATCAGCACCAGCAAAGCAGCAGCAATGCTTCGGATCGGTAATGTTGCCATCTGTGAGAAGGCAGCCCAGACGAGGTATTCAGTACACTGTCGACGACAACACAGGCTGTCTAACAGGGCCCCTTCATCTTCGAATGTCACTCACATTGGTAAGCAAGCACAGGTGCAGTGAAGAAGAAGCTCCAGAGGGCAGGCTCTAGGCAATATGAGGACTGACGTAGAGTACTTTTGGGAGCCGGAGCGAATACGGCTTCGAGAGGGTTAGGCTCGGGCAGGTGGAGAGGTGTTCAAGGGCTGGCTGGGAGGTAGTGAAGGCTAGATACCAAGTGGAACCAGATAAAAGGTGGGGGGGAGAGGTGCGCCGGCATTATGTAGGGGCGGCGGTGGAGCGGCTGCTCCAGGGCACTGATTGGTCCTCCTCCGAGGAAGGCCTTCGTGACCGCACTCCCAGGAACTCGATTGCGGCGGCGGGGCCGCGGAGGCAAGGGCCAAGCAGGCCCGAGTCTCCTCGCCGAGGAGCTACTGCAGCCGACAGTGTGCCCAGGCCCCCGAGTTGCTAGCAAAGTCACCACGGCGGGTCTGGGCAGTGTGGCATTCGGCATAGGAGGTAGCTGACGGCAATTGAGCCACATACGGCAAGGGCGCCGGGTCTCCCTCGAAGCAAAGAACGATCATTTACTTTAAGCCCAGGCACAAATCGCACCGCATTGCCCCGCTACGCCCCTGCGTTGCTCATGTAGTGGGCGCCCTTCGCCCTAGGAGATTGGCCCGCGGTGCCTACCGCCCTCTAGCTATCCGTTCATTGGTTGGCCACGGAAGCCGGAGTCCGTGTTTCATCGAAGATCCGAGAAGCGCCGAGCGGTGACTAGGATCGAGCACGACGAGATAGATGACTTCCAGATGCTCTGTGATGCTCTCTGAATTCGCTTGAGCGGTCGAGAGAACATTCTTTTGATGCTAGTCAAGACGATATGATGGCGGAATTCCGATTCTCGTCCTCGGCCCGTCTGGGAAAGACCGGTCGCAACGTATCGGGACTATGCCATACGCTGGCTTTCCTTCTGAAGCCTTGGCGAAATGAGATTCGGGCACCAACAATCTTGCCATTCAGAGTCTCCGAACCTAGTGCTGTGACCGCCGTCGTACGCGCCCTTCATGATCATGCTCGCGTGCGACATGACGGGGCGCGATGCATCTCGTTGAGCTATTTCTGAAATGAGGAACCTCAGGTATACCACGGTGTCGCTCAAAGTCGTTGATTGCGAGCCTACTGCTTGGGTACGCTCGGGAAGTTGAGCTCCTTGGCTCGACGCAGGGCAGTCTTCTTGTTGTAAGAGTCGACCCTCATTGCGTAGAAGGACCGATGCAGAGTGTACTCTTCATGACCCTTGGGGACAGCCACAGAAGGAGCTGGTGCAGGACTCCCTGATCGACTAGGTGAAGCAGACTTGTCTGATGTCGCAGCAGTAGCCGAGGAGATCGAAGAGGCAAGGTACGACAGCCAGCCTTGCGAATCTTCCTTCTTGTCCTTGCTGTCCTTGTCATCTTTGCCGTCCACCTTCTCCTTCTCCTTCTCCTTCTTCTCCTTCTTCGCCTTTTGTCTTTCCTCCCACTCCCGTTTGACCTTGTCAATGTCCTCTTGCGCGACCTTTTCGGGCAACCTTACACCCCCTGATGCGCCTGTAGCTGCGCTGTCTTTCTGAATCAAGGTAGCGAAGTGTCTATCTGTCAAGTGGGATGCGCAGACGTAGAAGAAGTCTTCCGCTGCAGCCGAGTTTGACACAAGGACGATGGGCGACGGACGAGAGCAAACGAAGCAGCTCTTCGGTGAAGAAGTGAGACGGCGAATGTAGTGATTGGACAGTCGCACGGGTGGAGGTCCAGAGGCAACAGATGGGCTGAGGCGGGGTGGAGAGAGAGCGGCTTGGCGAGGAGCCTCGTTTGGCAATGGTGGGGGCGGCGGTCCGTTGGGCAACGACATGTTGGAGGTGGAGCGGAGAAGCCAGCTCAGGAGTACGACGTGGGTACAAAGGGAAGCGTGAGCGGGTAGCCTTCCTTGTCTGTCTGGCTCGGGGCAGGTGATACGGAAGTGGCTCTGATGGCTGCCTCGGCCAAGAGACGCGCGCGTTGAGCGGAGCGTCCCCTCCTCCAGCTCAATTCCATGGGCGGTGGTGATGCTTTCCACACCATCAGATCATATCGCAACTCATCACACTGGTCATCCTCTACTGCGCCGCTCATTCCGCTTAGTACCCACGGCCATCTAAGACACAACGAACGGCACAGCTTCGAGCTCCTCACCGTTTCCAGCTCAGAGCGGAAGAGCGACGAAGAGGCAAGTCGCCAAGAGCAGTCTCACCAGAGCATCCGTCGGCACTGCCTCAATCACTTGTCCACTTGTTCGCCCGTGACTGAACGAAAGTGCTCGAACCTGGATCCCTGTCTCCACACATAGAAGTGAAGGAGGTTCCAAAGAGCGCAAGACGAGTTTGCTTGCCTAGAAGTTGAGCACTACTATTCGAACGGCCCCACCGTTACCATATCGTCCCGTCACAATGGAGGTACGTAGGGACATCGTGGGAGGGAAACCGCCTCCCAAAGACATGCTCACCCCTTATCTCCGGCCGCAAACGCCTTACTTCTCTTCACAGGCCATTCTTGACTTCAACCAAGACCTTGACCTCGGTCTGCTCGACCGAGTCGTCTCTGCGATGTACACTGGATCTGGTCAGGACGTAAGTGGCGATACGGCGTCTGGTGGCAGACGCGATGCCAACGATGTCAAAGCTCGGCGATACTGACTTTGCTTCTACTTTCCTCGACCCTGTAGCAAAAGATGGCTCAGCAGGTACTGGCTCAATTCCAGGAGCATCCGGACGCATGGCAGCGTGTCCCTGCCATCCTGCAACAGTCTTCCAACGCACAGACTAAATTTATCGCTCTCCAGATCCTCGACAAGCTCATTTCCACAAGGTGGAAGGTCTTGCCACAGGACCAGCAGCAGGGCATTCGCAACTTCATCGTCGAGATGATCATCCAAGCATCGTCAGAGGAGTCCACTCTGCGACGTGAGAAGACGTACATCAACAAGCTCAACACCACTCTGATCCAGGTCCTCAAGCAGGAGTGGCCTCACAAATGGCCCAGCTTCATCACAGACATCGTGTCCTCCAGCAGGACATCACTTTCCATTTGTGAGAACAACATGGTCATCCTCCGACTATTGTCAGAAGAGATCTTCGACTATTCAGCGGAGCAAATGACTCAGGCCAAGACGAAGAACCTCAAGAACCAGATGTGTGGAGAGTTTGCAGAGGTCTTCCAGCTCTGTTCGGAGGTTCTTGAGAAGGCTCAGAAGCCTTCGCTTATCAAGGCGACCCTCGAGACATTACTGCGCTTCCTGAATTGGATCCCGTTGGGCTACATCTTCGAGACACCGGTCATTGACCATCTGATCAACCGGTTCCTGGAAGTTCCCGACTTCCGCAACGTCACTTTGAAGTGTCTGTCCGAGATCGCTGGCTTGAGCGTGGGACCAGAGTACGACCAGAAGTTTGTTGTGCTGTTCAACATGGTCATGACCTCTGTCAACCGCATGATCCCGCCAAGCACGAGCATCGCAGCGGCCTACGACACATCTTCCGATTCCGATCAGGAGCTCGTCCTCAACCTGGCATTGTTCTTGAGCAACTTCCTCAATCAGCACTTGCCCCTCGTCGAGAATGAGCAGAACAAGGACGTTCTGCTCAATGCTCATCTGTACCTAATCAAAGTTTCACAAGTGCCGGAAAGAGAAGTCTTCAAGATTTGTCTGGAGTACTGGTCTAAGCTGGTCACTGGCCTGTACGAAGAGCTCAAGTCGATACCGATCGCTGGAATGGATCCTCTTCTCGGCCTCAACCTAGGCAATGGACATACGGCAGGGAACGGCGGACCTAATCTGCGGAAGAATATCTATGCTGAAATCCTGAGCAATCTTAGACTCGTCATGATCGAGAGGATGGTCAAGCCAGAGGAGGTTCTCATTGTGGAGAACGATGAGGGAGAGATTGTGCGAGAGTTCATGAAAGAGAGTGACACAATTGTCCTCTATAAGGGCATGAGAGAGGTCCTAGTCTACCTGACGCACTTGGACGTCAACGACACGGAGCAAATCATGACTGACAAGCTTTCAAGACAAGTAGATGGTTCAGAATGGTCATGGAACAACCTCAATACCCTCTGCTGGGCTATCGGTTCGATTTCAGGTGCCATGAGTGAAGAGACAGAAAAGCGTTTCTTGGTCACAGTGATCAAGGACCTGCTCGGTCTCTGTGAAATGAAGAGGGGCAAAGACAACAAAGCCGTCGTCGCTTCGAATATCATGTACATCGTCGGTCAGTACCCGCGTTTCCTAAAAGCGCACTGGAAGTTCCTCAAGACCGTCGTCAACAAGAACTTCGAATTCATGCACGAGACCCACGAGGGAGTGCAGGACATGGCCTGCGATACCTTTATCAAGATCGCACAGAAGTGTCGCCGACACTTTGTCATGCAACAGTCGGGAGAGCAGGAGCCATTTATTGACGAGATTCTGAGGACATTGCACAGGATCACAGTGGACCTGTCACCTCAGCAGGTTCATACTTTCTACGAGGCAGTGGGCTATATGATTGCTGCGCAGCCTAGCAAACAGACTCAAGAGCGCCTGATCATGAAGCTGATGGAGCTGCCAAACTCTGCGTGGGATTCTTTGATGGCTCAAGCCCACTCGAATGTAGACGTACTTGGCAACGCAGAGAACATCAAGATTCTCGCAAATGTCCTCAAGACGAACGTGTCCGCTTGCACCTCGATTGGCTCCTTCTTCATGCCCCAGATTGCTCGCATTTACCTGGACATGTTGGCGCTGTACAGGACTGTCAGCGGATTGATCAGCGCAAAGGTCGAGTCTGATGGCGAGATTGCGACCAAGACGCCCCTTGTGCGTGGTCTCCGTACCATCAAGAAGGACGTGTTGCGCTTGGTGGAGACGTATGTAAAGCGAGCGGACGATCTGGAGACGGTCAATCGGGAGCTCATCCCGTCGCTTCTCGAGGCCATCTTGGGAGATTACTCTCGCAACGTCCCTGCCGCTCGAGATGCCGAGGTCCTCAACGTCGTTGCAACAATCACTACGCGCTTAGGCCGACTGCTGACGGACAAGGTCGCGCCGATCCTTGACGCAGTCTTTACGCCTACCCTTGACATGATCAAGATGGATCATCTGAACTTCCCCGAGCACCGGGTTGCGTTCTACAAGATGCTGAGGGCTGTGAACCTCAACTGCTTCCCGGCTCTGTTGGAGCTTCCACCGCCGCAGTTCAAGCTCTACATCGATGCCGTCATGTGGGCCATCAAGCACACGATGATCTCGGTGTCGGACACTGGTTTGAGCATTCTGTTTGAGCTGCTCAGCAACCTGAGTGCGCAAGACTCGCAGGTCCTCGACTCCTTTGCTCAGAATTACCTTCTGAATATCACACAGGACCTATTGGCTACGATCACCGATGCCGATCACAAGAGTGGCTTCAAGACGCAGTCTGCCCTTCTCGCACGAATGTTTGAGCTGGTGGAGACTGGCAAGATCACTGCTCCCTTGTGGAACGTCAATGAGATCAGTGACCCGTCTATGAGCAACCCCTTGTTCATGAGGCAACACGTCAGCTCTCTTCTCAAGAATGCCTTCCCCAATGTCACCCCTGGGTACGTGGACAACTTTACGAATGGTCTGCTGCAGCAGTCGAGCGACCTGAATGCCTACAAGGTGCTGCTGCGTGACTTCCTGATCACCAGCCGCGAGGCCTCGGACGGTAGCAGTGCAGAGACGGACAACCAGGACCTCTTCCAAGAGGATCGGGAGGCGGAGGCTGCTAGGAAGAGGGAAGAGGAGCAGGAGAGGGCCAAAGCCGTGCCCGGACTGATCAAGCCGGCGGACATCGACGAAGAGTTGTGACTGGAAGATGAAGGGCCCCTGTTGGTGGGCCGGGGCAGTGGGGCGGCAAGGGAGGATACGCTGTGGGAAGATCTCCTCGGCTGACCTGGCGAGATGCCGGGAGTGCGACCAGCCCGTGTAGGCCGCTCTGTGCCCTGTTGGGTAGTTTTTGTTTCCATGTACGTGCGTTGGTGTGCTCTTCGTACTGTTCCAAGCAAGCAACCCTCTCCCCTCGTCTTCTTTGCCATGCGTGGCCTGCCGTCTGCTGTGTATCGGAGTATTCTTGTCTGCGGGGATGCTTCTGTTGGCCCGAGCGCGTGCGAGTGTTCTTTTTTGTGATGGGCCAAGGCTGGGAGCATCTGCCCGGGCCTGGAGGAGCCAAAGGGCCGGGCCCTGCCTGCCTGCACGCACACAGACACACGTAGGGACACAGGCACACACCACACCACACCACCACACCTCGGCTGCTGCCCTGCCTGCCCTTTGCTCCCACAACCACTGGAGCCATCACATTACATTGCATCCTCGCCATCCACTCATTCAGTCTGCACGCTGCTGCGCCTATCAGCCAATACCAGCAACAGCTCACAACCCTTCGACTGGTGTCGATTGGGTTCTTTGAGAGCTGCCCCACCCTGCGTCTCCAGCCCCTATACCAGCCGAAGCCATCAGACCCTCTTCGCGCCAACCAAAGACCACAGAGCAATCTCCACAGAAGGCAGCCAGAGGCGCTATCAGGTACGGTCTCACCTCAGCCATCCAGTCATACCTCACCTCCAGTCCGCCAGCCTTACCCCACCACTCAGTCACACCTGTCATGGCCTTCTTCAAGTCTCTTCGCAAAGGCAGAAAGTCCAGCTTCTCCTCCGAGGCAGGCCTCAACAATTCCCCCAATGGCAATGCAGGAAAGACCAGCCGATCTGGGCGAGGCGATGATGATGCAGCGAGCATGATGGCAGGTCCCACCAGTGCTACCAGCTCGCCTCAGCAGGCTAGACTGGGCCAGGGCGCAAGCAGAGGGGTCGTTGGTAGCCCGATCCAGGAAGATGGGCCCGCTGGCATCAGCGGTCTGGGCCCGGCCTCTCCTACTCTCAGTCCAGGAGGTGAGAACAAGGGCAGGGGCGGTAGAGGCTTCTTCACTAGGTCCAACAGCAAGCGGGATACCCTGGTCCTTCCCCAGCGAACACTCTCCTATGGACAGTCCGCCGCAGGGTCCGCCAGCGACCACGGCACGCCTGCCTCTCCTCCCTTCGAGACTGCCCCCGTATTGTCACCTTCCTCTAATGCGATCGCTGAGGCTACTGCTGAAGCTGCAAACCAACCCCCTGGAGGGGCAAGGCCGTCTGATCTCTTCGCTGGAAAGGGACTGGCCTGGGGTGAGGTGGACCTCTCGCCCAATGGGACGACTGTGGCCAAGACTCCCCAGCAGACTGATGATCTGTCCAATTTTCTCAAGGCGTGAGTAGCTTCTCTGATGAGAGCTATAATCATGTCTGAATGCTCACACTGCCTCTTCCTACAGTCGTCGTCAATGGGTCCCTACATTCGTTACCGGTGGAAAGCAGCAAGAAGACATCAAGCCAGTCTCGAAGCCAGATGACATAACGTTCTCCAATTTGCCTTCGGCTGGCAACGTCATGAGTCTCAGTGTGAGTACCAATTCTGTTGCTCACTGACAAATAACAAGGAATGCCAGCTCAGAATGTCCACCTCTTCCTCCCCTACAGGACCTCGATGCATCTCACAAGCGCAAGCAGCACCTTCTAGGCAGTGACTTCGAGACGACAGCTCTGATCGCTGCTTCGGAGAATCTAGCAACTTCCATGAGTGGGCTCGGCGTCTCACCCAGCACCAGCCGCTCTGCTTCTTCACCGCCCATCACGAGCTCGCCAGTAAAGCCTACCCCGATCGGAACTTCCCTCTTCGCGCCCTCGTCAAGTCATGGCAGGTCCAGCCCCGCAAGAAAGGCAGTACCGTCGCCCATCGCCGCCGAATCTACGCAGAACGTGCCGGCCGCCAACGCTGGTCAACTTTCTTCCTCAGGCAGCTCAGCCAAGCTCGTCACTTCTAACGGCAACAGTCATGACGCAGTGACCATGACCAACGGGACCAGCGAAGCAAATGCAAGCGGTGACGGTCCAAGTGCTCCTGCTGCTGAAGAAGAAACAACCTCAGCAGCGGCGCCGCCCGTAGTGCAGCAAGAAGCCTCCCATGTCGGGCCTACTGCAACATCAGTACCTCAGGATACGAGCAAGGCTGAAGAGAAGCCAGTATCACAGATGACCGCTGTGCAAGAGACTGTAGCATCTCATGACGGTAATGCCAGCGCAAGTGATCAAGCGAAAGTCGAGGCCGACGCTGCGCAGCCAGAAGTCCCTGGAGTGCCCGAGCCACTTTCTCAAGCAGAGGTGGCCTCCAGTGACGGAGCTAGTGGAGCGGCTGCTCCTGCCTTGACCTTCACTGGCGGCTATGGTTCGAGTTCAGCAGAGCATAGCAGCAAGCCTGATGGGCCGCACGAGGAGGCTGCCTCAACCTCAGAAGTTGCTGCTGCCCCCATGAGTTGAGAGTATATAGCAAGGATTGAAAGAGTCAAGTTGGAGACGGACATTTAGTATTGCGGCGATTCTTTCTTCCTGACTGTCACGACATAGCCGACCATCGTCACTATCGAAGATGGCCATCAAAAGCCGAGGGTTGAGAGGTGCCCGGAGAGAAAGAGAGCAGAAAGAGATGTTTCTTTAATCAGTCTAAATCTTCTTTCACTCTTCACTCATAGAGACTCCAAATACCCCGTCTCCTTGCCGCCTGATTGTGGTGGAAGTGCTCGTCTGTGCCCCGATTCTTGCCGCTGGCCTGGCAAGAAGAAGACGGCGTCATTTACAAAGGCTCTCCTTTCCGCGATAAGCGCTCAGCGACCAATGCTCTCCTCCGACCCTGCCGGTTGCTTGTCTCGCCGGCGTTGTGGAGGAAGGATCGAGTGCAGGGCGGGGCAAAGGGCGGAGTTTCCCCCCGTGGCCTTGTGTCTGAGTCATGATCCCCGCGAAGAGTCAGTCGCAGTGCAATCGCCGTCAGAGGCTTTTCAACGAGTTGCATCGTCACTTAGACGGAGAGACTGAGACTGAGAGAGCAAGATCGAGATTAGCGAGCATCAGCATCAGCATCAGCACCAAGCAAGGGCCACCCAGATCGCACATCGCTTGCACTCCCAGCCTTGATGATGTTCACTATCAGCACATCCCGCAATCTTGCACGACTTCGTATCTCTACTGGTCCCTCTCCCTCGTCTTCCTCGTCCTCGTCCTCCTCCCACTGTTTATCTCCTCGCAACATCTCTACTACTGTTCCATCCTCTACTCTGTCCCGCTCGCTTACACATCGCACAATCGCCTCATCTACGATCATCCCTACTTCTTCCTCCTCGTCGGTTCTTCGCCAACTTCGTTCTTCCACTCCCTCTACTCCCCTGACTCTGGCCTCCACACGCGGAATGGCTTCCTCTTCCTCGAGCTCCTATCAAAAGGTGCTCACAAAGTCCAGCATCAACCCCCATGTCCTGAATGTAGAGTACGCGGTGCGTGGTGCTCTTTCCAACAAGGCTAATGACTATGCAGGGATCATTGCCGAGGGCAAGCAAAAAGAAAAGGGTCTCCCATTCGATTCGGTAGTGACGGCGAATATTGGTAATCCTCAGCAACAACCCTTTTTGGCGCAGAAGCCCCTCACCTTTTGGAGACAGGTGGCCGCTTTAACAGAGTACCCTGCGCTGCTAGACGAGGAAGCGCTTCGTTCGCACTTCCCGCAAGATGCTCAAGATCGGGCGAAAGCAATCTTGGAAGACGTGGGTAGCGTGGGTGCCTATTCGCACTCAAAGGGAGCGGCTTCTATTCGCAAGCACATCAAGGAGTACATCGAAGAGCGCGATGGCCATCCCTCGGACGCGGAAATGATCTACCTCACCTCGGGCGCCTCGGGTGGAGTGGCGTTGCTGATGAGTGTGCTCATCTCGGGACCCGAGGTAGGGGTGATGATCCCTATCCCGCAGTATCCCCTCTACTCTGCTACTCTCTCCTTTTACAATGCCACGCCTGTGCGCTATCAATTGGACGCAAACGACGATTGGTCCGTAGATGTCAAAGCCATGGGAGAGGCGGTGGACGAGGCACGGAGCAAAGGCACCGATGTGCGAGCGTGCGTAATCATCAATCCTGGAAACCCTACCGGGTCGTGTCTAAGTGTGGAGAATATCCAAGACATTGTCCGTATGGCCCACGAGAAGAGTCTAGTCCTCTTTGCCGACGAGGTGTACCAGACGAACATCTTCCAACCCTCTACTCGGCCCTTTGTCTCTTTCAAGAAGGTCCTCAAGGACTTTGGCAAGAGCGAAAAGGAAGAGGAGCGTAGCATTGCAACAGACGTGGAGCTCGTCTCCTTTCACTCTATTTCAAAGGGCGTTTCGGGAGAGTGTGGAAGGCGAGGTGGTTACTTTGAGCTCTGCAACATCTCACCAGAGGTAGAGTCCGAAGTGTACAAGATGGCTTCGGTCAACCTCTGTCCCTCTCTACAGGGGCAGATTGGTGTAGACCTCTTGGTGCGTCCACCCAAGGAGGGTGAACCATCCTACGAGGTGTACACAAAGGAAGTGGGAGCAATTCACGATACGCTCAAGAGTCGCTCCGTATCCATCCGAGAGGCCTTTAATGCTCTCCCTGGCGTAGAATGCAACGAAGCTCAAGGAGCCCTCTATCTTTTCCCCCAAATCACACTCCCTTCAAAGGCAGTACGCGAAGCAGAAGAAGCCGGTCAAAAGCTAGACCTATGGTACTGCTTTAGACTTTTAGACGCAACTGGAATTTGTTGTGTTCCTGGAAGTGGATTTGGAAAGGAAGTCACCACATCCTCTGGAGAATCAGGACGAGGGGACAAGGATCGATTTTGGTTTAGGACGACGATTCTTGCTAAAGAGACGGATGCGTTTGTGAAGCGATTTGAAAAGTTTCATAGGGAGCTGATGAAGAAGTACGAGTGAGGGAGGGAGAGAACAAAGCGGGTCATGCCAGCCTACCTGTTCGCACAGGGAGGCAGACCTCCTGCCTGCACTGCCATTTAGGGATCTTGCAATTGCCATTTTTCATCTAGACGAATCATCCGACTGCTGATCTGCTTCGTTCGTATCTTGATTTGAAGCCTGTATTTCGCAAAGAAGAATTTATGCGATGTATTTGTGTAGTAGACATTATCGGTGAGGAGGCTGATGGGAGTACAACCAAGTAGAGGAGAGGTGGGAGATGGCCAGGAAAGGGCCAGTCTTAGCAATCACGCACACAGGCTGCGATGCTACGACCAGTCCTTTGCAATCTGCAAGGGAGATTTCGGTCAAGAGGTGTAAGTGGTGCGGTGGTATGGTCAGCAAGACCATTACTCCAACATAGTCTTCCCGCACCCTTATCTCACCTTGAAGGCCCACGTCCAGTCTGCGTAGACGGCTCCATCGTCGTCGACCACTCTGCAGTCATGGCGAGCAAAGTGTACATTCAGCTGGTCAGTGGCTCAATCCTCGCTACCCCATTTCCCGTTCCTCTGACTCACCTGCTCCTCACGACATTGGTCCCACTGCGGGCGAGCATCCCGCTAGGCGCCTCTTCCTGTACGAACTTCTTCTCATACGGCTCGTTACGAGGACCATAGGAGCCGATCATCTCCTCGAGCTTGTCCACTGAGCCAAGAAGGAGGGTGAACGACTATGGTCAGGGCCGGCCTCTTCTGCTGTGGCGTTCTTGGTCTCGCGACTCACCTGTCACACCTGCCCGCTTAACGACGTGTAGATACTTGAGACCCGAGAGGACATCAGACCCCACCCTAGCGTCATTGTAGGAAGGAGGTAGTGTCAGCAGGACCACCCTTCTCTCTACCAGAGAGCTTACATGACATCTGCCGTGCCCCTACTCACGAGAAGCTGATCGACACGCTATATTCCACTCCCTCCTTGATGGTGATTGGGTTCTTCTTGAGTGCTTCGAGCTTGTCCTTTGACTGCTCGAGGTTGATGCCAACTCGTCCGCCAGGGGCGGTATCGGAGATGAGGGCTAGCGAGTGGAGGGTCAGCTGAAGGATGAAGAGAAGGACAGTGTAGAGACCTTGAGCTCGGTACGGCAATAGTCACAGAGCGGCTCTCGCCCGATGCTCACCTTTGGCTTGGAGGGATCAGCTCCCCCACTTGCTCCGATGCCCAAGCTTGCCTTCCATCTCTGCCAGCGAGCGAAGGGGGGTTGGTCAATGATATAGCTCTGCTGATCGTCGGCTCTGTGCTTCAACCTTGTAGCTCTTGCACTCACTGCGAGTGACTCGTCATTGGCGTCGAGCTGTGTGTACTCGTCGAGAGTCTTCTTCTCTCCGACCTTGTATCCCTCTGTGGTGGAGGGCTTGAGCTCGTCATCTGCCACTGAGGCGTCTTGTGAGTGTGACATTGCAAAGGAGGGTCTAGGAAGATGGGAGTCTGAGAATGCTAGGGGTCGTCTGTGATTGTGATGTGGTTCTGACGGAAGCAGCAGGATGAGGGGCGGCAGCGTCTTGCAGGCGAGGTGAGGTGCAGTGAGGGCGAGTGACAGGAGTGCAATGTGTCCAGGGGAACAAGGCGCGCGTGTCGCGGCTGGGGTGATCGCTCCTGTGCTGCATTGGTCTGTGCACCGGAGTGCAACACTCCCTCGGAGCACGCCAACGAACAAAGGAACAACGGGTGTGGCCACCCAAGTTCTTAACACACCGCGGGGAGCAGACCAGGAGGATATCGAGTCGGGCCGTCACATACTTCAGTGTGGGCAACACGATGTAACCTCCCAGCTCTCTTCGAGTGGTAGGCAGTGCAGAGCAACGAGTGGCATGGGGGCCTCATCCTCTGTCGAGGGAGCAAAGGGCGGCAGCTTATTATCGCCGTCGTCCGCCTTCGTCGGGTGCCTGTTCCTTTGCTCAGGCACAGCTGCAGACCAGCTTCTTTCACTCTACGAAGATCACTCAGCTCGTTTCATTGTGTACCTGTCGTCCCTGCAAAGCATCGTAGGTACCGTCGTATCGGCAGACCTCCCTTTGACTGCATTGAGCATGACGAGCCTGCCTGACAAGCTTCCAGAGCAAGAGCGGAAGCGGTGCCAGCTGTGTCGAGGTCTGTGCAGCTTCCGGGATTCCAACGCTTCCTATGCTTTACGGGCAGCCAAGGCGCGGGTCAAAAGTGCAGCCGGCTCGGCACGCGCTTGGCGGCTAAATTTGCCGCGTTTCTATGTCCGGACGCATCAGGGCCCGGAACCAAGCTCTCGGATCCGCGCCACATCGTTTGTCCCGAACGCGCGCAGATTCGGTTTCCTTCGCCTCCCCATCTCGTCTCCCCTCACCAGCAGTGGTAAAGCCCTCGCGTGACCAGCTGTTCAGTCTGCTGCGGGAGCTCACCTACGACCTTCACCTGGATTCCATCAAGCCGAGACAACGTTCAGAGATCAACTCGATCCATTGAAGTCCTACTGATCTCTCGCTTTCCGACACAAGACGCGCATTGACATCCATCTAGCTCGCGAGGGACATCTCGCTAGGGGTAGCATCCGCAGGCATGCCGCAAGAGGGTGAAGCAATGCCTGCGGCAGGGGAGACCACAACCAATCCTCCAAGTCAGGAACTTGGGAATGTCAGCTCAGCTGCCCAAGCTAGTACCACGTCGGCTGCATCAGCGCAGCCGACCGCCTCTGCACCCAGTGCCACTATCGAGACTTTGGAGGGGCCATCCGCAGCCGGCAATGTAGCCGAAGGTACTCCACCCTCGAGCGAGCCGGGAGTTCAGCCCAAAGAGATTGCTAAGCTTGCAGTCGAGCCAACCAAGCCGCTTGAGACAAGCCCATCTATCGTTGGGCAAGAAGTGGCCGCGAGCGGGAGTGCAGACCATCCGGATGCACCACCGCAGCCCGACTCCGCTGGGACGGCAGATGCGGCTCCATCAGCCCCCTCTTCCAACTTCGACCTGTCTGCTTTTGGCGAGAACAGCCTCGAAGCCATCGCTGCCGCGCAGATAGCAGCTGGTTTGGGCGACTTCGACTTCAGCAGCGGCGCCGCAGATGATAACCCTCAGGCGGACGCAACAACGGCGGGCGCCAACAATGGTCAGAGCACAGCAGCGCCAGAGGCCGCCAGCGGAGATGGTCAAGGACCCACTGCAGCCAACAGGAAGCCTGGACAGCCCCAGGCGGAGCTACTAGATGAGTTCATTAGCTCAGCCGACGCCACTCAGGGCTCCGGCAACACCACGACCTCTGCCGCAGGAGCTCAATCTACGACCACCCCAGCCACCAGCGCACCTCCCTTGAGCTTTCAAAAAGCATTTTCTACATTCACCGACAATCCTCAAACAGCTACCGCGACCACCGCTTTCAACAAGGGCGCCCCAGCCGCAGCAGAAGGAGCGCTGAAGGGACCGGCATTAGGGGAGACCTCGAAGCCAAGCGGCCCTGCCCCGACATCTGCTTCCCCTGCAGTCGGCACCAGCACGGCAGTCAACGGCTCGACTACCGTCCCTGCCGCAGCCGCAACGTCGGGAGCGGCCTCTTCCCGTCCACAGCCCCTTGCGACGCAGACTCCGTCCGGCAGCTCTTCTCCCTCTGTCCGTCCTCCCGCGGCGAATGCGAACGGAATTGCTGCGCGACCTCTGACAAATGGTACAGCTCCACGTCCGATGCCACCTTATGGTCCGGGCAGGCCTCCGCCGCCACGCCCGGGACCACCAGGTTCGCAGTACACCCCCGGCGGTGGCCCGGGCGGCCGGCCTCCACCTTCTGTCGGAGGAAGACCTCCAGCCCCAGCTTTGCCGGCTTCTGCTCTGTTCTCTCAAGGACCGCCTGGGATGCCGAGCTTTGCGGCTCTGTTGGGATCATTGGGCCCTCAGGATCTCGCCATGGTGGCTCATGCAGCTATGGGTCTTGATGCTAATGGTGACCCCTTGCCTGGAAATGAAGAGTCACATCGTGCTCTCGCCGACGCGATGCGAAAGCTGCGAGAGTCGGCAGCCGTCCGACCACCACCTCACATGTTCCGTCCGCCTCCTTATCAACAGCAGCATTACCAGAACGGCGTCCCTCTACCACGTCCTCCCCCTGGTCAGCCTGCTTCCCTGCCTCGACCCAGGCCCAAGATGATCAAGCCGAGACCTATGAAGCCACCCAAGCAGCCACCTCAGGATGCTTGGATTCTCGCAAGAGCTGCATCCGAAGGCGGTAGCATCGACGCTCTTGGCAAGACGGGAGATCCTCTACAGGACAAGTTGCCTCTGATCGCAGGACCGAGACCAGATCGAGCTCCTCCGCGAGGAGGACCGCCACCCGAGAAGCGGTTCCAGTGCTCAAAGTGTGATCGAGCTTTTGCTAGAGCCTACAATCTCAACACCCATTTCGCAACTCACGATCCGGACCCGAATCGTGCAAAGCCGTTCCCCTGTCCCTACCCGTCCTGCAAATCGGAATTCAGGTCTTTCTCGCGAAAGCACGATCTACAGCGTCACATAGCTTCCACTCATGAAGCTGAGCCGGAGCCCATCATCGAGATTGCTGATGCAGAGACTGGAGAGACGATTCAGTCCAACCTGGCCAAGCTGGGGCTGGGCGCTCCTGGTAGAAAATTCAGGTGCGAGTGCGGTCGAGCATTCGTGCGAAGGGACGCTCTGAGGAAACACAGCTGTGAAGCAATGAGAGGCCAGTCACTAGCTGATCTCGAAGCCTCCCACTCCCCTTCGGGCGACCCACGAGGCCGATACCTCCGAGGCGAGGGAGACGAAGCAGATGCGCTTGCCCGACGTGCTGCTGGCCTCCCTGCGATCTCTGGATCGGGTGCTGACTTGGGCGGAGGAGTCGACTTTGAAGCTCTCGCTGCTTCGTTCGCGGCTGATGCTGCTCAAGAGATGCAAGCTGCTCAGGACCACGCTGCTAGACGCGGTGGCGATGACGAAGATGAGGAAGAGGACGAGGAAGAGGATGAGGATCCAGATGATGCCATTGCCAACTTTGCATCACAGCTGACTGCCGGCGCAGCTGCTGAGCTGGGTCTCACGACCTCGGCAGAAGGCGAAGGAGAAGGTGACGAGGGCACAGCTGCAGAAGATAAGCCCAAGACGCCCCAAGCTACAGGAGACAGCAGCCGAGAGGCAGCACCTGCAGAGGACAACATCGACGATGCCGCAGCGCAGTATATTGCCCAGCTGCAGTCGCAACTGGGAGGAGACGATAGCGCGTCGGAAGTGCCCGGCATGGAGGGACTGGTAGCTTCTTTGAGCGGTGCACCCGCGAATGAGCAGCAGCAGACGCAGGAGCAGGCTGAACCTGCTCAGCAGCACAAGCAAGAGGAAGGAGCGGCTGACCAGGGCGGTGCGGAACAGCAGCAGCAGCAGCTCCAGCAGCCATCAGGAAAGAGATCCTCTGCCGATGCTGCCAACGATGCGCAGGATGCTGCTGCCTCCCGAGGTGCCAAGCGCGTCAAGAGGGAGGACGAGGAGTATGATCAGCTTGCGGTTGCGGAGAGTACGGTCGAGGCTCCTGCCGCGCTCGGTGCGGACACTAGCATAGCGGCTTAAGATGAGGACTCGGTATCGTCTTCTGATTCATTAAATCACACTACCCTACTATCCTATTGCTTCCTAGAATGATTTTGAAATTGTAGATTTCTTTACCCCGTCATCTTGTATAGACTTGCTCCGCGCCTTCCGTCCTTTGTAATTCCATCGTCTCACTTCCATTTCAGTCCGCCCTCATGAGTGTTCCTCTCGGGCATCAGGGGTCGTGTGATCGAAGAATGCGTGCAGGGTGCAAGGATAGATGACATTTCAAGGAGACGCCGCGCAGAAGAAGACGAGTAGAGGAACAGGTACACACAACGCCATACGACTGAGGTAGGATCGGAAGAAGGTGTGGAGCTCCTGGCTGGCACTCACTGTGGAAGAGAGCTGACTGCGCTTGATTGGAGCCGGTCCATTTTGATGCTTTGCGATGCTCACCGCTTTTGTTTTTTTGCTTCTCCCTTTTGTCTCTTGCGCAATCTCCACCTCGAACGCTTTTCGGCACTTCAGCATGAGCAAGAGGGACTCACGATTGATAGGATGGCGCGGTGAAATGGAATCCTCGCTTGCTGCATTACATACCAGTCGTTCGATGGCTCCAGTGGTGCAAAGGCCAAAGCGCGAGACAGAGGGCAAGGGCAGGGATGAGAGGGTGATGCTGCTCGAGCACGAGTCTCACAGGCTTCTATGGATCCAGTGCTCTCACGATTGTTGCCTCGCGTTATATCCCTCCCACTCAATGTGTATCTCTCACCTAGAAGAGATCCGCAGCCCTCGCTCTCCTCCCAGCAGGTCGACTTGGCGTCCCCACGCTGGCGTCACTCTGCGGCACTACATCGCCTTCCTTCTCATCGTCCTTTCTCTCCGCTTCAGCTTTCCTCTCCATCGATGCGGCTTCGACTTCTCTCGATGCAGTTTGGTCCTCACTGGCCTGATTGTTGACGGCCGCAAGCGCTTCGGCCGTGTTCGCCTCCGGGTCGGAGGCAGGAGGCGCACCGTTAGGTGGCACAGCCGGGTAAGACTGAGCTTGGAGCTGAGGCGGCGACGAAGAGGATGCGGCGGGGCCAGCGGGCATGCCTGGCGCTCCATCCAATGCAGGAGGTGGACGTGAAGGGGCTTGAGAGCTAGGTTGTGGTGGTGGAGAGCCAGCGAAGTGAGCAGGCGGAGGCGCTGCATACGAACCAGGAGGTGGACCGCCATAGCCTGCCGGTGCCGGTGGTGTTGCGAAGCTGCCTGGTTGAGGTGGCCTGGCGGGAGGATATGGTGGACTGCCGGCACCGGGCTGCTGGAAGGGCGCAGCATACGGGCTCGCGCTACCCTGAGCATTGGAGGCAGGCGAGTAAGCTCCGGGAGGCGGTCCAGCTTGCCAGCCTGGTGGAGGCCCATAGTACCCAGGTGGGGGTCCGGCCTGCTGCATATGTGGGGGATATGCGAGGTTAGGTGTCTGAGCCACGGCCTGCTCCCCCTGTTGAAGCTGCTGCTGCTGCTGCGGAGGGTCGTCAGGGTCGACATACGCATACTTGCTCGAACTCGCTAGCTTCTCTTCAGGACTCATCGTCTGATTAGTATACACAATTCTGGTCTTGTCTCCTTTGCGAACAGCGACCTGATGTGGGCTCGGTTGAGGCGTTGTGATATTTGGCGGGGGACCACCGTACTGTCCAGGACCCCATGGCCTTGGCGCAATGGGCGGGGGAGCCCCATACGGTGCTCCAAAACCCGGCGGAGGGCCGTTCGGAAAGCCGACAGGAGGCGGTTGAAACATGGGAGGTGGCCGGCTATACCTGACAGGCGCGCAGTAGGAGAGGGAGGTAAGATCAGCAGGACCCCAAATTGCAGAGTGATGACTTCAAGGACTCACTGATTTGGATAGCCAGGCGCGAAAGGAGGAGGGGGACCAGCCGGCGGCGCTCCGAATTGGGGCGGCACGCTGCCTGGAGGCGGAGCCTGGCCACTCATGAGTGCCTTGTGAGCTTCGAGCTGTGCTTTGAGCTGGTCAGGCGTGAGCGCAACATTCTCGACCTTCTGACGCTTTGTGCCGGGCTGGCCAGAAGGCCCGCCACCCATGTTCCCGTTGTTCGCTCGCCTGGATCTCCACTCTGCCAGATCTGCCTCCGGAACACCGACCATACCGTAGATCTCAATATCGAACGACTCGCGGCCAGGCAGGGCATTTTCGATTCTGCGATGGGTGGAGACGTGCAGATTAGTGTCAGAATCCAGTATCAATCTAGAAAAGACGGACATTCTTGCTGTAGAGGTATGGTACTTACTTTGTCGGCTCCGCCTTGTGGACCTGATGAAGATGGACCGTCAAGCCTCCAGCTGTATTGAGACGCCTCGGGCAATACGAGCACTTGTAATGCTTGGCCTTCTGATGCTGCAAAAGCACTGAGATAAAGAGACAAGACAGGTGAACAGGTCAGCTTGAGAACTTGTACCGCGGGGGTCGGGATTACAGCCCAGCGACGTACCCTTGTCATCTTCGAACTCGCGGCTGGGAGGGAAAGGCATACGGCGCTTGTCAGCGTCATGTCAAAGAAGCTGCCTGATCACATGACCACTCACTCGCAGTACCAGCACCAAGCTTCGAGTTGGGGTGCCTTCTTCTTCTTTGCCATTGTGAATGTATGCAGTGGGCTGGGTGAGCGTATGGATGGTGTTGGCGGAAGGAACGGAAGGAAGGGCGTGCCGGGCGACGACGACGCACGTCCAGACGCACGGAAGCAGCGTTTGTCACGCCAATCAAGGAATTAAAGTGGCCTCACCGGTCCTGCCCAAGTCCCCTTCTTTACCATACCAGAACCGCCTTTGCACTCTATCACGCTGATTCCGAAGTCATCGTAGCCTCAATCGTTGGGTGGCAAGATGGACAGGCGCGGTGTCGCATCGTCTCGCAAGCGACCTCGGATCGCCTCAAGCCCTCCTCTTGACGCCGCCCACCCAGGTACTCACACCGACGAGAGTCCCACCGAGCCAGCGCCCGGCATTAAACGATCAAAATCGGCCTTGAAGAGAGAAAAGAAGAGAGTTGAGGCTTCGGCTCGTAGAGAGGCTCAGGGACCTTCATCCGCACCCGTAGCTACCCAGAGTAATTCCAAGAATGGCGCGATGTGCCGCCAGACCATTGAACCTGCTTCTGCAATGTCAGAGGCCGAAGCTCTTACGGAGGACCTTGAGGGGATCAGGGGGGAGCACATCGTACCTGTACGCAACACTAAAGGCAAATCTCAGAAGAGACACAAAGCTCCCAGACAAGACGCCCTGACCCCTAGCACTTCTGGAGCTGATCAGCTGCTTCATTCGGACCCCTCCGCCACCAATGCTACCTCTGGCCAGCTAGGGAGACTCAATGACTCCTTGGCAGTATCTCTCGGGGGCGCTCGAGCTGCAATGAAAGCCAGGGACATGGAAGCGGCAGCAGCAGCAGCGGTGGCGGCCGACAGAGAGCGTGAACATACTTTGACGAGAGCCAGAGAGGAACAGGAAGAGGCTAGCAAGCGGGCTCAGCAGCAAGCCCTCATAGATGCCCAGGCTTCGCTGAACCAGCTCCGTACGGAGTTCGAGCGACTACAAGAAGAGAACAGAGCTAAGGTTAGTATGACGAGGGGTCCAGACCTGTTTCTGAGGTGCCATTACTGATATCGCCCGCGTGCGATCTTATCTACCCCCAGGATCGAGTGATGCAAAGCCAAAGCTCAGCTCTCTCATACCTGTATGGCCAGGCTTCATGCGCAATCTGCCTCGAGCTAGCCTTCCGCCCACACGTACTGAGCCCTTGTGGTCACACTTTCTGTGCCCGCTGCTTGATAGATTGGTTTCAGCGGCCTGCCCAAGGCGAGGTCGTTCATATTCCCGCCTACTTCAGCGAAAGTCAGAGAAGAGACGAAGAAATCGCTGCTACGAGGCGCAGGAAAAAGATTTGTCCTCACTGTCGGGGTGACGTGAGAGGTACGCCTGCCGAAGTCTGGTCCATCAAAGGCATGATCGATCGTCTAGACTTGTCTCACCGAGCAGGGCACTTTGTGGTCGAGGGAGGCGCTGTCAACCCACAGACTGCTCAGGAAGAACGGTATTCGAGGGGTGTTGATCTAGGCACCGGAACTGCTATATGGGAAGACATCTTTGACGACAGACGACCACTCGAAGCAATCTACGACGAGGCTGAAGGGATCTATCGATGCCCCAATTGCACTGGCGAAATCGTCGGCATCGAATGTTGCTCCTGCGGGGCCATCTACTCGGATCTTGAGCCAGACAACTTCGAAGACGGTTCTGGGGACGAGGAAAGCGATGATTCACACGCTTCTGGTCTGCCTGAGCTGTATGAACCTACATTGGCTGCAACAATGGGATTGTACGATCCGCACCCTGCAGGTGCCGAAAATTCGGATTATCCATACGAAGACGACGAGGAGAGCTCCATCGGCTCATTCATTGTCGATGACAACCCGGCCGGTGAATCTGCCTCTCATGATGGCGACGACGACGACGGAGACGAGTCTGACCTGAGTCGTATTGAGAGAGAAGCTGAAAGAGTCGCTCGCTCTGCCAGCCGTCGATATGGCTATTCTTCAGATGAAGGCGCTGGAGAAAGTGACGCAAGTGACTCAAGCGACTCGAATTCTCACGCCGAGGACGATGCTGGTGCTGCCATACTATCGCACAGAGGAGGTAGGGGAGGGCAGCCACTTCGAGGTGCTGGCGCCAGTGCTCACTTTGCGCGCGGGCGACAGCGAGCTGCCATCGTGCTTGATTCAGACGATGACGATGAAGCAGCTGAGCCAGAGAGCGTCAGAAGTGCTGCAGCCGCGAGATCCCATCAACCAAGATCTTCCCGCCAACGAGTACCACTCTCTTCTGATGACGAGGACGAAGACAACGACAGTGACGGCAGCGAGAGTGAGAATGGCTCTTCGGACGCCGGGAGCGATGTCAGCGTCTCCAATGATGTCGAAGATGCTGCAGACGCTGACCGCTGGCTGTCCTACGCAGGCGGCGATAGCTCGGATGATGGAAACAGCAGCGAAGAGGACTCGGACGATGACAGCGATTAGACACTGCGCGAATCAGCCGCAAGCTTTCCAAATAGGAGGCGGACGACCCACACCATCGAGCTTATATCTGGCTCAGGCGAGCTCTTCATCACAGCTCGCAGACCTCCCCCCTTGACGTTTTACCCATTCACATGATTTCGCCTTCTACCCCGTGTACTTGTAATCACCTCTTTGCGCTCGTCTCACCTTCTGTTCTATCCTACGACCCATAAAACGAACTTCCCGCCTAAGCACTCGCTCTCCCCGGTTTTCTTGCTTTTGCGTGTTTGACTGGCCTCAGCGAATGCTTGAGCACCGCTTCACCACATGTAGGACTGTCCTGTTGCTGCCAGTAGCACCACAGCATCAACGTGGCTGCCACCTTTACAGTTTTGCCAGTCGCATGTGGTCTGAAAGGCTTCACGCGAGTTGCTTCGTGGCAGCAGCTTCCGACCTGCTCGCAGAAGGCGCCTCTGTGGACCAAAGGAGATTGTGTACGTGCAAGAGGCCGGGCCTCGACACCGAGCGCACGTCGCTGCCACTTCAGCTGGTCTATTGCGGTAGCGCAACAGCAACTGACGTTTGCGCGAGAGAAAGGAGATTCGGACAGCTCTTGTCGCACTGATTTACACCGATGACAGTCAGGATGAGTTGACTTTAGCTCGGTCAATCGCATGGATGGCAAAGCAAGCATATAGCCGCCACCGGACTAGCCACCTCTTTCGGAACAGTCTGCAGCAGCAACGGCGCGCCGAAGCAACGCTAGCAGTGAGTCAAGAGATAGCCTTGTCGTGTGGTATTGACAGGTGACAGCAACGGTGGCGCTTTTGCAGAAGCAATGGCGCAACAGCAAAGAAGTAGCTACTACTGCCGGAGTGATTGAGACTTGCCCGAGAGCATGGCTAGTGGACAGCTATAAGAGCTTCAGCTTGCGCTGTCCTACCGGCTGACGTCCCTCTGAGGTCAAAGATCCACTACTTCCCACTCGGTCAAGTGTCTGTCCACCTCTCCTTTGCGTGCTCTGCTCGCGCAAGAAGCACAAGTTTGAGTACCGCCGAGCAGCTTCCAAAATTCTGGAACCTCAAGAAACGTAACTACAAGCTGGACTTTTGGACAGTAGGATTGGCAAAGTCCGCATCTGCAGAACTTCTTGCTCTACATAGCAAGAACATATCAACAAGGACGTCTCCACTTCTCGCGCAGTTGGTCTGCAGGACTTGTCCATCACAGACAGTTAAGGTCAGCTTTCAATAGTGTCGAGGCTCCTCGAGTGTACTGACGCTGCCGGTCTTCCCCTGGGGCAGACCATCTCGAGTCGCCAGGACCACCTTGGCGAGACTCCTCCATCTTCCCTCTATCAGCTGACTCGCCTCTCCCCGCTTCATCCGGCAGGTCAGTGCAACTAGTCAGCGGTGACCTTACCGCTACTCAGGGTGGCGTGAGTGTAATGTCCAGTACGTGGCCCTCGGCCGGACGCTGAGCTTATCAACCGCTATTTTGCCACCTTTATTGTCGTAGAAATAGCTTGACTTCTCGAGAACTCTGTCTTGCAACGCTGCAACTTTGAAAGTAGGTCGTAGCTGGGAGGAGTTTCTGCGTTGACACCAACCCATCCTTTCTTTCCGGCTTCTTGTCGAAGGCTGCAGGCTCGGACTAAGACAAGCGCGCTTCCCTTGCAAGGATTGCTTCGACTCGTCGTCGCTCAGTACGTCGTAGCCGTTGAGGAAGCAAGCTGCTTCTGTGCAGCTCCTTTTTCTACCTCTCCTTCCTTGATCCTCAAGCTCCACAGATCAACTCAAGCAGCCGCACTACAGCTACTTCTAGACACGGTGACGTAGTCCCTACGCTGTTGAAGCTATATAGCAGGGCTGACTCTGACCTCTTCCTGTAGCAAAGCCTATTGTCAGGTGCAAACGGCATGAAGGCCATCTCGCCATCTTCAGTCGTGCCGCCGGTGCGGCCCAGCAAGAGCGCCGGTGCGGTAAGCGGCTCTCACGCCACGCAGAAGCGGATCAAGGAAAGTAGCAGAGCTGACGCGAGTACTAACAAAGCCTCATCCAAGAAGGCAGATGCTGGCGTGCGACGAGTCCGGTGAGTAGCGCTGATAGATTGATGACCTCGAAGGCGGCGAAGCGGAAAGAGCGGGTCCAGAGCCGGTTGCTGCAGGGGCGGCGCCTTTTGCTTCTGCGTCGGCGCCTGTGCGTCGGCGTCAGGGCAAAAGTGGCGCGCCTGTGGAGGGAAGCGGAACAAAGGGAATGCCGAGGCAGTGGGTCTTCCCCGCAAACACCGTACCAACCGCACAAGAGGGTAGGACAAGGCGGCACAAAGGAGCCTGATGACAGGGGTAAGCAGACGTGATGTGGATGGTGCAGGATGGCTTGTATCACCGGCGATATAGCCAGGACAAGAGGGAGCTGGACAAGGGGAGCGGTAGCAGCCGTGACCTGCCCATTGGCGCTGTGAGGCGGGCCACAGGTATATATCCCTGACCATCCTTCCAGAGCTGCATCGATACTCATCCCAACTGCTCCTCTGCCTCCCCCTACCACCTTACCCATTCAACTTCGCCATGGCTGTCACGACCTTCCGCTACAACGTCCCCTCGTCCTCAACCTCGCCATGCCCCTCCCCAACACGACGTGAATCGGCGCCTCCTGCTTCGCCACCTGCGCCACGACCGTCACAACAACCCTCGCGACCATCACGCCCCTCCGACAACCTGCCTGGATCAAAATCACAACATCCTCAAAAACACCAATCGAATTCATCCGTGGCATCATCCTCGACTTCTACATCCTCTGCTGCTGCACCTTCTCGCACCAACGACGCCTCCGCCGCTGCCGCCTCCGCCGTGCCTGGCCCATCGAACGCTCGCGCTACACAACTCAAAAAACTCATCAGCTTCAACGTCGGATCCCGCTACAGGGTCTGCGATGTCATTGGAGAAGGAGCTTATGGAGTGGTGTGCTCTGCCATTCACCGGCCTTCGGGTATGAAGGTCGCCATCAAGAAGATCCAGCCATTCGAGCACCAGATGTTCGCTCTGCGCACGCTGCGAGAGCTCAAGCTGCTGAGGTACTGGCAGGAAAGCGATGTGTCCGAAAACATCATCTCAATCTTGGACATCGTCCGACCGACGAGCTTCGACGCCTTCAAAGAGGTCTATCTCATCCAGGAGCTCATGGAGACGGATCTCCACCGCGTCATTCGCTCGCAGAAGCTGTCAGAGGACCATGCTACATACTTCACGTACCAGATCCTGAGGGCTCTCAAGTGAGTTGATCATAACGGGTACATGCTATTGGCTCGGCTCATGGTACTGACCGACTGATGTTTCTTTTCCCTTGACAGAGCCATTCACTCCGCCGATGTCATTCATCGGGACTTGAAGCCATCCAACCTTCTCCTCAATGCCAATTGTGACCTCAAGGTCTGCGACTTTGGACTCGCTCGCTCAGTGCGGACTGCAGAGGCCAGCTCAGGATCAGACACAGGCTTGATGACCGAATACGTCGCCACGCGCTGGTACCGAGCGCCAGAGATCATGCTCACCTTCAAGCAGTATTCCAAGTCCATCGACATCTGGGCCGTGGGCTGTATACTGGCCGAGATGATCAGCGGACGCCCTCTGTTCCCCGGTAGGGACTATCACGACCAGCTGAGCCTGATTATCAACGTCACCGGCACCCCCACTCTCGATGAGTTCTACGCCATCAACTCGCGTCGATCCCGCGATTACATCCGAGCCATGCCCTTCCGCAAAGCAAAGTCCCTTCGCGCCATGTTCCCCAGCGCATCAGACAACGCGATCGACTTCCTGGAGCGCACCCTGACCTTCTGTCCTAGGAAGAGGGCCACGGCAGAAGAGTTGCTGGCTCACCCTTACTTGGCTGCTTACCACGATGAGGAGGACGAGCCGACATGCGAGCCTATGAGCGCTGAGATGTGGGCTTGTGACGATAAGGCGCTGGCCAGTAACAGCACCGAGAAGCTCCGTGAGCAGCTCTACGACGAGATCGTCCATTTCCAGCCTCTCATCTGATGTCAAGGAATAGAGGGAGGGAGACGAGAGATTACGGTGGCAGGACCTACCTGTTGAGTCGCGGTGGCAGTCATGAGTTGTTCCGTTCCGTCCGTCGCTACAATCGACCATTTCAGTGTCGAAATTCACGGCTTCTTATATCCTCGACACTTTTTAGTCAATCATATATCCCCACGAAGCGCAATGCTTCTTCAGATTGATGCTGCAGCGAGAATGATTGTGCTGGACACGTCAATGACAGGTGACACTAGAATTCAATTTGAGCAGTTTACGATTCGGCAAATCTGGCCCATCAGCGCGTCGTAAGCCGACTCATCTCTTGCTCTAGCTCCTCCAGATTGCGCTTGAGAAGCACCACATCGGTCAGCTTTCTCTCCTTCTGCGCTCTGCTCAGGAACGATGCAATCTGTGTATGTTGCTCTTGTAGCACGATGAGCTGATCCTGCTCGGCTGGAGTGAGAGACTTCTTGCCCGATGCCTTGGGCGAGGATGTCCCGCTGGTATTTGGTCCTTTCTTCGATGCTGCTGTCGACGAGGACGCTGCAGACGCCGCATCGAACTTCGGCAGAGATTGAAGAGGGAACATCTACATCGGCAACACAGTAAGGCAGAAGTGGTGAGTATGCAAGTGGTATCCATACACTACTTGGCAATTGCAACTCACGTTCATTTGCAGGAAAGCAGCAGCTTTGCGATCCACACCGTCCTTGATCCGCTTGAGACTGTTGTTCCCGCCATCTGGAAGGTCTCTAATGCGGCGAGCCAAAGCATCGTAGTTGGCAAAGTTCGCTAAGAGCTGCTTCCTGGCTGTAGCAGCGTCCCGCTGCAGCTGAAGCAATGCGGCTCGAGACAGAGTAGGTCCAGATGCCGATCCTCTCCGCGAGGATGGCGAGGAAGGGGGAGGTGAGCTCCCGTTGGCGGCAGACTCCAGACCTAATGTCGAGCTTGTATCCTGCTTCTGTAAGCCCATGACTAGCTCCTGAAACTCAGGTAGGCTCTGCTCGATCTCCTTTTGCAATACCATCAATTGGTCGTATAAGCGAATATACTCTGGCGCTTCGCCCTCCTCTAGCAGGTAGTGGCTGCGCAACACGACGGTCTTGCATTCCCTACAGAGTCGAAAGCCGTGCTGAGAGGCCTCAAGAACGCTCTTCGAGGCGGCTGTAGAGGCCTGGCCAGGCTTTGACTGGGAAAGGAGAGCTTCGAGGCTGACCTCCGGCGGTAGATCCTTGATTGCCAAGAGCGCTTCGCCTCCAGATCCCCCCACAGCGCTCGCAGCAGCAAGGGCCCGCTCGTCTTTGATGACGATGTTCGAGCATTTCGATGCTGGCTGTCCTTCCCTCTCATCGTGCATGGGCATGGCGCCCGGAGGAGGATTGGCCGATACCTCAGGGCTGGCACACACGACCTTACCACAAGCTCGGCAGTGATGCTTGCGTCGACCAACTCCAAATGCCTTCGTGCATAGTGGACATGCGTTGATGCTGTCGTCTGGCTGCCAGGGCACCAAGGCTTGCTCCGCGGCTCGAAGATTCGAAGACCGTTGCAAAGTGGTCAAGAAACGCGAGTGAGGCGCCAGCGTGGACAACAGAGATGACGAGAAGCTACTCGAGGCCGGTATTGTAGTAGTTGAACTCTCTGTAAGAGCAGGGTAGTGGATAGCCAATAACTGGAGCAATTGTGGTAAGGGTCGTCAGTGTGACGTTGTCGCACAGAAAGGAACGCCCATGACCTCTAGCTTACCTTCTCCACCCGGCGTCTGATCCTTTCGTCCTCTCTCTCCTGGTCTTGAGCTACCACCAAGCCGCCACCTCTTTGTTGTTTCTTCTTGGAGCGCTTGAGGCTTTTGGCCTCTAGGAACTCTGGCAGCTGGGATCTCGAGACTCCGCGAGGCTGAAAGCTTCCAGACCGCGAATTTGCAGAGAAAGGCGGTGCAAGTCTCGAGGATGAGCTCTTCTGCTGCGCTTGCTGCTGAGCTGCATACATGGCGTCAAAGCCAGACATCGAGCTGCTTCCGCCATTTCGCGACATCGTCGTTGGTGGAACGGGTGACTGTGCTCGGGAGGAATAAGCGCTGCTGCCCCCAGAGCTCTCCCCGGCGGTGCTCATGCTCGGACTCCCGCTACTGCTATGATCCTGAAGCTCCCTCATCCGCAAAGCCTGCGCGGTGGAGATACCCTTGGCCACAGGAAGCTGAAAGCTAAAGCGATCCAGGTTGGTAGGCGCATTATTTGCGTTCTGCGAGCGCCCATTGGCGAAAGCGCTCTGGGCAGAGCGTTCCCCGTTCAGCCGGGCTGCTGCGCCATTGGCCTTTGGTGACGCAATGTGCGGGGCAAAAGCTAGCGGGGATGGTGGGACAGAGGACGCAGTACTGCGTTGATCTAGCTCTGCAGCCGGTGAGGAGGATCTGACCGTGTCATACCGCTGAGGGGTAGAGGTCTCTGTAGCGCCTCTTAATGGCGATCTTCTGGAGGTTGACGGAGGAGGCGCTCGTGCCAAAGACCGTCCCTGAGTAGCCGAGGCAGCAATTTGACTGGTACTAGAGTTGCCAGAGGTAGCCGGCGGAGCCTTACTCTGCAGCTTCCTCAAAGGAGGGGGCGCATCAAGTGGATCATGCTGCTTGGTCAACGGCGAAGGAGTGGTAGCGGTAGCGGTCGCTGGAGATGGCGAAGGTCTTAGGATGGTAGACGAGCTAGCCGACCGCGCTACGTTTTCGCTTACTGCTTTAGCGTCTGCTCGACTATTATCACCCGCAGATATGGCGAGAGAGCTGGGTCCAGGACGAGGAGGTATGGAAGGCCCCCCTGCGCTGGGCGTGGAGATGCTGGATCGTGCGCTAGCAGTGCGGCGGTGAGACTGGTAGGGCTTGTACGCGACTCCAGGCGATGAAGACAAAGGCTGCTGATTAGGAGCAGCCATGACGGTCCGCCTGATGTGAGCCGATCTTCGCCCTGCGTCGCAGCAGCGCTGTGAGGATTGATGGTGATCGGGTATGACGAGCTGGGGAGGAGGCCAAGGACAACCTCACTGCAGCTGCCTTCGCTTCCGTCGTTCCGTGCGTGCGGCGGTCAGATCACCTTCAGAAAAAGATCAACCATCACTTCGCTCCATTTCTTCGATCGAACCAATTACAGCGCTCATCTCACTCACACTTCATCCATCGCATTGCGGCGATGGCCAGCGATGCATCATTCGAGGTGGCAGATGCAGATCCGGCCATGAGCGGCATGGACGTAGCAGCGGCCGGAGAAGACCGGTCTACGAATGGTGCCTCCTCGTCCTCCTCTCTGTCTCCCCGCGAATACACTGAATGGGTTCGCTCGGCTGAGCGCAAGCTGCTTTCGACGGCAGCTTCTGGGACGCTTCCCACGGACGCTGCTCTGGACGCGTTGAATCGTGCCATGGAGGCCAAGAGGGATAGTCTGCTTCTCAACCGCCGTCAGTGGCAGATCTGGTGCGCCGCGAGCCTGTGGGACCTCTCGGCTAGACAGGCAAGTAATGCTGCTACAGGGGCTTCAAATATCGTATCGGATATAACAAAGCTGCGTCAGGTACTCCAGCTCCATGAGGCCGCCACGCGTTCCTCGAATGGATCCGCACTTGACCTGGCTCCTTTCATCACCTACGTTCATCTGATGTTGCATCTCCACTACGCCTTCGAAGAGATCGTACCGGCTGCAGCTTTCTGGGAAGAGGACGCTGAAGAAGAGAGCATACATTGGGCAGTAGAGTCTGTGCAGGACTTCCTGCAGGACTGGACGGGTCTACCGGGCGCTCCAAAATTCCTCAATTTGCGACACGGCGGAACCGGTGTGAGGATGATGATCGGGTACGAGAGAGCTTCAATACCTCGAATCCCTACTCGTAGCCAGGTCAGAACAGCAGGTGTCGAGGGAGAGTGGGAGAGGCTCCTAGGAGAAGACGCAATCAGAGAAGCAGTTCGCGAAGCCAATACTCGAATCGCTGGCGAGGTAAATTGGAGCCATCTGCTCTGGGATCCTCTGCGAGACTTCGAACTCGCACATCTCGCCAGGAACAAAAGCCGCGAGAAGGTTGAAATTGTGAAGCAAATCTTCGTTGCCAGGCTCCGCGTACCGCACAGAGCTCACGAAGCTACTGCTCAAGTCTTCTCGTCTTTCATCTCGCAGAACATGGCGGCTAGCGACTACGAATCCACCATGGCGTCTTTGCAAAAGCCTTACAGCAATATGAAGACTGCGTGGGCATCAATCGAGCGATATGAGGATCAGATACGAGCTATGACAGATCCCAATACGAGTGAAATCCACTGGTCGACGTGGAAGACCTACCTGCGGACTGCAGCAAGCTCGAAGAATGCAGACCAGGACAGGGTATCCGCTCTCTTCGAACGGTGTATCGCGACGCTGGGCCTGCCGCCTAGTCTGCAAGATCCACAGCTCGAGGAGCATCCGCCGATAGAAGCTTGGGAGGCCGAACACAGCAAGCAGAGATACAAGCTGGGGAGGGAAGCAAGACAGGCGCTGGAGAAGACAGAAAGAGATGCTCAAAGAGAAGCATGCAGGAAGCGAGAGGATGTGTGGTCCGACTACATCTTCTTCCTGACGATCAGCAAAGCGCCCGCTTCGCAGATGCTCGAAGTTCTGGAGCGCGCTGTCCGGATGCTGCCCGCATCAGGTACGCTATGGGCTGCCTACCTCCGTCACTCGGCCCGCCTGGGTCGCTCGGAGGCTCACGTCGTCGAGACCTTCACTCGAGCTCTGGAAGGGGGCGAATGTGTCGCAGACGATCTAGTCCGGCAACAGGATGGGGTTGAAACGAAGGACCACATGGTAGAGCTGCTAGTAGGAAGGGTAGACGCAGAAAGAGAAAGAGCCGCGATAGCTCTAGGTACAGAGCAGGGATGCACCATCCCTCAAGCCCTTGCTCAGCTGCCCAAAGACTCGAATGCATTCTCTCAAGTCTACGCTCTGATGATGGCGACCCTCGAGATGCCCGCTGATCGACCGGCAGCTGCCTCGGACAAGCAATTGAGATTACAGAGGCTCGCAGCCGCCTGGGCTGAAGGGGGGATGGAGGGCCTTGCATCTTTGGGCGAAGCCATCTGGGAGACGGCGTTGCGTCAGCAGCCTACAAACGGACTCGTCTGGCTAGAATCTGCTGCTCTGCAAGCTCGACTCGGCAATATTCGGAAGGCTCGGTCATTATATCGCCAAGGCTGCAGTCGCAATGGTGTGACCGACAGGAGTCAGCTGATGCAGCAGTGGAAGAACTTCGAGCAAGTGTACGGCGGCGCAGAAGATGTGACTAGGCTCGATGAGAAGCTGCGGAGAGAGAGGGACAGGCAGTGGGAAGAGTGGGCACAGTACGCGCAGCTGCAACAGGAGCAATATGCAGCCTACTCAAATAATGCCATTGGCGGCATGGAGATTGACGGCGCAGAAGACGGCCAGCAGAGTCTCAAACGAGGTCATGAAGACGATGAGGGTGGCAGAGACACAGTTGCCGAATCCACTGGAAGGATCGCACAAGCATTACAGCAACCGGAAGGAAGCACAAAGAAAGGCAAGACTACGGGGGACGACCAGCCTAGCAGGTGAGTGTGGCTGACAATGACGCTCGCGCAAGAATTGACAGCTGATTTCGCCCCAACATCGCCTCATTACTGCTACCCAGAGATCGAGAGAATGCCTCGGTGCTTGTCTCTGGTATGCCCATTGACGCCACAGACGTCGATCTTCAACGTCTTTTCAAAGATTGTGGACCGATCAGAGAAATCAGTGGCCCCCTTGCTGTAGCAAGCACTGACCCGAGCCAGCCATACTCGGCTGGGACTGTCGAATTCATGGATAGATCATCGGTACCTGCAGCTAGGACCAAAGATAAGAAGAGAATGAGAGGGCAAGAAATCAGCGTTTCGCTAGGATGGGAATGTACTCTGTATGTCACCAATTTCCCCGAGGAAATGGACGATGCGGCGATGAAGGAGCTCTTTGGAAAATACGGGCCCCTCTACGAGGTGCGCTGGCCGAGCAAGAAGTTTGACTCATCGCGAAGATTCTGCTATGTCCAATATACCACACCGGTAAGTACGCCATACATGTGAAGACAGCCAGGATCACACACCTCATCCTGACACAGCTGCTATCCCTTTCCCTGTTCAGGTGGCTGCTCGAGAAGCACTAGTCCTTCACAAACATCAGCTTGCCCCGACGTTGGCTTTGGAGGTCTACCTCACCGATCCCAACCGTCGCAAGCAGCGTACGGATGCAAACGCCAACGATCGCGAAATCTTTGTGTCTGCAATTCACAAGTCTTGCCAGGAAGAGGACATCAAGCCTCTCTTTGAAGCGCAGGGTACTGTTGCAGGGTTCAGAATGCTCTTCACGCCAGAGGGAAAGGCTCAGGGCAAGGCATTCGTAGACTTTGCCACGCCTCTGGAGGCTCAAAAGGCTATCGCCGAACTGAATGGCAAGCTTGTGAAGGGCAAGGCGATCCGTGTGCAGCTAGTAGATCCCGCAAAGGCCACCAAAGGCGGCGCTAGCAATGGCACGGGCCCTCCTGGTTTCCAGGCTAGAGCCATCAAGGTCTGCGGTCTGCCCCTCAACACACAAGAGGCGCTGATTCAGCAATTCTTCGAAAAGGTAGCGGGCGGTGTCGGCAAGGTGAAGAAGGTCGAATGGACTGCAGGTGCAGAAGGCCGAGGCAATGCGATCGTGGAGCTTGATGACCCCTCGACGGCTGGTCGATTGACGATGCTTGGTGAGGTCGAGTACGATGCATCTCACCGTCTCACGCTACTTTCTTTGGAGCGGACAGGCGCGGGTCCTAGGCCATCGCCGGGAGGCCGTGGGGGCTCCCCTGCATCTTCTTTGCCCGCGTCGTCCTCACCTGCGTCCTTTGTGCCTCGTGCGGCAGGATCCGCTCGAGGCGGTGGCAGAGGCGGTCGTGGAGGGCGAGGCAGAGGTGGTCTAGGCTTCGTCAGACCTAGTGCGTCCTTATCTCAACGTGGGGCTGAGAGCGCAGGCAGCCAAGCAATGGATGTGGACGCTGGAGCGCAGACTCAGCCAAAGGGACAGGATGCATTCCGCCAGATGCTGAGCGAGAAGCGGTGAAGCTCTGCACGGGCAGTGCCTTACATTCGATCTTGCATGTTGCATTCCTGCAGAAATAAAATAAATTTCATGTGTGATCAACTATCAAAGCGGCACTGATCTCATGATTATTCAGCCTGAGTGTGGATCCCCCGCTGAAGGGGGGATGACGATTTTCCCAGCTTCGGCACGCTCTGGCTGGGTTTGGTAAAGCGATCTCTCATGAGGGACACCACTTCCGTCGCAATCGAAGCCGATATCTTACAAGGAGATCGGTAAGGCCATGTGAGAGGTCGAATTGGGGTCCCTGCGCGTGAGATTCTCGCGCCCTGGCCTCGTGGGAATATGGACCAATGGCCGTCCGTTCATCTCACCCACATCTTGCAGACGAAATCTTCCAACTTGTGCCGACTCCGAATTACACTGCTTGGGCCAAGGAGGGGCGTGAGCTCTGCTGCGATAAGTCCTTACCAATCCAGGGTTCTCACGCACATTTGATAAAACGCGGGCGTGCGCCTGCGTGCAGGCATGTGGAAGCTTCCGCGGAGCTCAAGAAATTCTCGAACGTGAGCGCGCTCCGCGGACCCCAGCGTTCTTGGGCACTCGAGCCGTCGCGACCCGTCGCAGACACATGACCGGGGGCCCGGGTACCACTCATTCCTCTACGCTGGCACGAGGAGACTCCTGAGTCTGGCCTTGGCCGTCAGATCTCACATGTGCGCCACTTGGAGACCCGCCACGTCGAAGGATTCGGGGTTCGGCAGCGGGCGTCACGACCGACTACGTTCTGTTTTCAACGCCTTTCGCCAAACAACGCTTTTGCCACCGTCGTCTGCGATCGTGGGTCGCCCGTCGGTAAGCGACCTCTGAGGGGAGCAGAGGAGAGGTGGCTTCCGCGGATGGAAGTCACTGTAGTACTGGGTGCTGGTGCTGTGGCGAGGCACGGCGTCGGTAGGGGTGGATGGGTGGAGGCTGGCAGGGCAGCTCCGCCGGGAAACGCGCCTGAAAGGTTTATTTGTGGGCGCCAGAGGCAGAAGCGCTTTCCTTGGGGCGGCAACGCAGCCAAGGCAGCGGCGACTCCCGGCACCCAGGCTTCTGCCGGAACTAGTTTCAAACGCCGCCACGCACACACTGCGCCGTTTGTGCCTCGCACCTTCCCCCAACAGTATAAGACGTCGGAAGCAACGCTCAACGTCGCCCTTTGTCACCTTATCGTCACCACCATCTCCACCTCACCCTCCCACCTTGACTGATCACCCCCGCACCTCACACCTCACCTTCATCACCTCCAATATGTCGTACGCTTCGTCCGACGAAAAGGCCTCCGGGCTCAAGACTCCTCCTATGGACCAGCTCAGCCCACCCGCTTCGGATGCTTCCGACGATGAGCGAGTCGCTGTGCCATCCACTGGCGGCCGCAAGAAGGTCTCCAACAAGTGGGAGAAGGCTGACGGTGTCAAGCACGCCGACGGTGCCATCCCTGACGACTACGTGACAAGGACACTGTGAGTGTGCACCGATTGCTATCGACGCCCGTTGCGACGTTTCAGATACTGACCTCTGCTCCCGCCACTCTCCTTCGCAGCGAACGTGAGCCACCCCTTCCTCCTATCGAGTGGAAGAATGTGCTCAGCGAGATCCAATGGGTCTCTGCTACCGTCCTCACTGTCACACCTCTCCTTGCCATCTACGGCATGTTCACCACTCCTCTGTCGTGGAAGACCTTCATCTGGTCCTTCATCTACTACTTCTTCACCGGTCTGGGTATCACCGCTGGCTACCATCGTCTGTGGGCCCACCGATCATACACCGCCTCTCTTCCTCTGCAATACTTCCTTGCCTTCATGGGTACCGGCGCTGTTCAGGGCTCCATTCACTGGTGGGCCCGTGGCCACCGTGCCCACCACCGTTACACCGACACCGACCTCGACCCGTACGGAGCTCACAACGGTCTCCTGTGGTCGCACCTCGGATGGATGATCGTCAAGCCCCGCCGCAAGCCAGGTGTCGCCGACATCTCTGATCTGCGCCGAAACTCGGTCATCAAGTTCCAGCACAAGTTCTACTTGCCGCTCATCCTTATTATGGGATTTGTCTTCCCCACCGCCGTCGCCGGTTTCGGATGGGGTGACTGGCGCGGCGGCTTCTTCTACGCCGCCGTCGCACGTCTCGTCTTCGTCCACCACTCTACCTTCTGTGTCAACTCGCTTGCCCACTGGCTCGGTGAGGCCAGCTTCGACAACAAGATGACTCCTCGAGACCACTTCATCACCGCTCTCGTCACCGTCGGTGAGGGCTACCACAACTTCCACCACCAGTTCCCCATGGACTACCGTAACGCTATCAAGTGGCACCAGTACGACCCCACCAAGTGGTTTATTGGCTCCATGAAGGCACTCGGACTTGCTTCGCACCTGAAGACTTTCCCTGACAACGAGATCAAGAAGGGTCAGCTTGCCATGCAGCTGCAGCAGGCACACGAGAAGCAAGAAGCCCTCTCGTGGCCCAAGAGCTCTAACGACCTCCCCGTCATCTCTTGGGATGAGTTCAAGGACGAGTCGAAGAACAGGCCTCTGGTCTGCGTCGCCGGCTTCATCCACGACATTTCCTCCTTCCTCGACGAGCACCCTGGTGGTCGCCACCTGCTAGCTGCTCGTATCGGACAGGACTGCACCTCTGCCTTCAACGGTGGAGTGTATGACCACAGCAATGCAGCACACAACCTGCTCAGCATGATGAGGGTCGGTGTCCTCGACGGCGGCTACCAGCTTGCCGAGAAGGAGAAGGTGGAGGGTGAGGTCGAGAAGTCCGAGATCAACTCGTCGCTGCTCAACGATGACTTGGCAGCCCAGGTCTCTGCACGCAAGTCCGTCTCATCCAAGGCTACCGCTTACGTTGTTCCCGGTCAAGCCTACCATATCGACAAGCGCGCCGAGCTCAAGGCCAATGTCCGCGACAAGTCTGGCAAGGTCGGTCGAGTCTTCTAAGCTAGTTTTTCGTTGTCCCTTTTTTGTCCATTGTGTCACCGTCTCCACTCTTTCGACAGCTCTACTAGATTTTCTCAATAGATGACTTGTCGCACCATGCGCTATCCCTCACTTCAGCCCCGCCTCCCTTCTCATCATGTGTATCATTTCCGTCTCACGCTCATTTTGTTCATTGGCTCTCCAATCTCCCCTCCTGCAACGATCGCGACATGACATTATGGAATACAAGTCTTCCTCCTGCGACCATTTTGTGTGGTTCCCTTATGAATGACGTCTCGTATACGACCTCAAGCCGCACAAGAGCAAAGCTGTGCGGTGGGCACGTTCCCGCCGCCGGACGCCCACTCGCTGCCCTGCGCGCGGGGCTTTTTCCTCGTCGCCCCATTTCTCATCGAGCCCTGGGCGGGGCCAGACCTCCGCTGATACGGGCCCCCGTGACTCCTCGCCGACCATAGATCAACCCCACAACAGTCTCACTTGCCCTGCAAGCTCGATAGACTCTTCGAGCTCTAGTAGTAGACTACAGTACCACTCCTGCTGCCCCCGGCTGTGTCTTACATCCTCGATCGGGCCTTGCATCCTCCTCGCCTCGCCGCCCCTTTTCATTCGATATCTGCTAGCATCGCATACAAAGTCGCTTCTATCAGCGTACTTTCCCCTCTAGCCAACTTATGGTTGACCCTAGTAATATTGCCTACAACGCTTCCATTCTGAACGGATCATCTACCATCTGCCGAGCCGCTTTGGTTCTCGGTGGGTTCAACCTCATCCTCTTCCTCGACTCCAGCGACCGACCGCCCTAAGGAGCAAGAAGCAAGCCTACCATCAACAAAGGGAGTACAATCCAATCTGCTTTACTCCTACAAGTACTCTGAGGCCATTTCTCACTGCATCATTGCCCTCAGCCATCCGTCAGAGCCTTGTAGCCAACTGATGAGCGTCTCTGGAGAATCCCACCAGACCGCGCGCCTCTCTCACCTATCCCCCTGAGTGACATCCACACCACGGCATCGACCTAGCTCCATCCTCTCCTCAAGCAAAGGGCTGCAAAGCGTTCTTTAGATACGAGTCAATCATCTTCCTTGGCGTCGTAGCGATCACAGGGTCCCAGGACAGCCATGAACATCAGACTCGGCTCCCAGTCTCGAGATCTTGGGTCCGACGGTATGCCTCACCGTACAGAGTCTCCTGCGACCGTCGCGACGGACGGTACATCGCTTCCAAACGGGAGACAGCCTCCCAAACGGGTTGGCAGCTTTGGCAAGGGCCTTGGGATGGCCCTTGCGAACGGGATGACCAGAGCGTCCGGAGCGGTTGGAAAGAAGTCGTCCTCTGGTGTTCCCCCGGCGGCAGCAGGCTCAAGTGCGGCTTCGACAGCTATGGCCCCGCCTCCAACTCCTGATGCCTCGCATCTGTACAACTTCTCATTGCGGCTCTCCGAACTGGTCAACCAGTCCCTTGCTTCTACTGTTCCGCAGAGTCAGCCACTCTCGAGCGGTATGACCAGCGTGACGAAACACGCTCCTGGTAGATCTGCCATCCCATCTATCGACCAGATCGTCTACGAGGGGAGGCATCTGCCGAATCGCGCCAAGATCCAGGAGATTGCTCAGACCGTCGTTGCAGAATTGCAGTACGCTCGGGGAATCGACGCATACCTCCTACGCGCTGTTTCAAGAGCTGCCCTCAAAGCCCTGACTCTCTTTGCTACTCGTATCGATGGGCTCCTCATTCCTGTAGCAAAGGATCCGACTTCCCTGATCATGCCGACGACAGCCAAGGAGGGCATCCACATCTCACCGGCTCTCGAATACAATCTCGGGCTAGCGACGCTGACATGGATCGTAGAGGACGCGCTAGAGGGCTGCATCGAGGGCGAGCACGATCGGGAGGGCATGCCCAACTTCGTGTCTGAGATTCTGACTCCAGTCCGCAAGAGGATGGAGACTACCATTTTGCACATCATCCAGCCGGTCCTCACTGGCGTCAAGACTTCTTTGACTGCTTCTTTGCTCAAGTCGGTACGACAGCCCTTCGCTTCGGGAGGATCTCCGGCAATGACGCCAAATCTCGGTGTCACGGAGCCTGTACTTCCGCCCCTCTCACCAGTCAATCCTCCTGGCAGCGCCGTAGCATCTCCAAAGGGTGTGGGCTTGGCAGGAGATGCGGCGGCAGGCAATTGGCTGAAGGAGCTGCAAGGAAGGCTGGAAGGCTCTCGCAAGCTCCTCGTACCGCGCATTGAAGCAAGGACGAGCGACGATGGGGAGGGTTGGTTCATCTCTGTCGCAGTGCACGTCATCTGGAAGGCGCTCTTCGTCATCACTGCCAGACCGATTGAGCAAGCTGCGTCTGCCGCTGTCCCAAGCAGTGCCGCTGCCACGCCGAGCAGAGCCTCAAGCTTCTGGGGAGGTGCCAGTCTTGGGCCCCACCAACACCTCAATGAGTCCAAGCGAAACCCAAGCCCGAGTCAGATCTCTGCTGCACTCAAGAGTGTGTCCAGCGTGGGAGCTTCACGTCATCGAAAGTCGGACGTCAACTTGAGTGGTCTCGTCTCCCCAGGCGCGGCCGATGCTGCCAACGGTGGCCGGACGACACCCTCGGCAACATCTGGTGCGGACAGTCTGACGACACCGGCGCTTGCCAAAGCTGGTCTGAGTCTGGCGTCGACTCCTGCTGTACACAAAGCCGTGGCAGCTCAACTGAACGACCTTCAGGCGTTTCAAAAGATGGCGCTACGCTTCTGCAAAGGCTTCGTTTCAGACAAGGCGCTCAGCGCTGTTGCGGCGGAGCTCAGTCGTGCCGATGCAGACGAGGAGATAGAGGAAGACGCGCAACTTCAAGAAGAGGACGAGGAAGATGAGCTTGCGCGCCAAGCATTGGCCGAGGCCCTCGAGGCTTTGAAGAGCACAATCACTGTCATTCAGACTATCGACTCCAACGTCGAGGGGCTCAAGGCTACCTTGGACCGCGGCGTCGCAAAATCACCACGTGGCGGAGCCATGCCTGTTGACGGCACCGGTAGCGGCACCAGCGTAGCACCTGCTGCTGCGACTGTTCGGCACCTCGAGCCTACGCAGTACCGTGCCCTTAAAGCTGTTCCTCCTCTGCTTCTCCTGCACATTGCCTACTGCCGTCTGCCTACGTCTCTCAAAGGCTCTGCGATTGGCGTCTCGGGCTACCTCTCCTCGCCTCCGGCCCTTTTCGGCATCAGCTGGGCCGAGTATGAGAAGAGCATTGCAGGCTTTGTTGGCGGTGGCACTTGGGCTCAAGCTGCCGTACAACGGTGGTCAAAGGAAGTACAGACTCTTTGGCCTACGTATCAGGCCCGGCGAGCTGAGCTGGTCGCCAAGAGGCGTGTTGCGTCCGGAGAAGCGGGTCGAAGAAGCGAGGATAATGGGGACGATGAAGAGCAAGTGGGTGTGGACGACAACGCTACCGTTGAATGCATGCCGGTACGCATCGGAGGCAGCGGGATGCAAAGTGTTGCAGATGACTTTAGCACGACGCCAACACCAGCGAAGGGCGCTGATCTTCAGGCATATCGCGAAGCATCGGATCACCGCGCTCACTCTTCCGCCATGCTCCTGGACGCCTCTCAAGCCACCCCTCGAGCTGTGTCAGACCCTTCCCTGCACGGCGACCCTCGAGCACTGCGCTTCTCTTCGAGGCCGACAACAGCTTCGGACGGAAGGGGTGAACCTTCAAACTCCAACGAAGGAAGCGTCGCAAGCTCCCCAGCTCAAAGCCCGAGGCTACTCCCGGCTGCAGCAGGTTCTGGAGATGAGGACTTTGTGGACACAATGGAGGGCAGTCTGAGCGCACTGGCGCTCGACTCGCCAGCAGCCTCATCCGCCGACATCTCAGGCCAGCAGCCAGCACGGTACAACAGCACTTCGGCAACCGGCAACAAGTTGCAGCAGCACATTGAAAAGTCCAAGTTTTGGAAAGCATCGTCTTCGTCTTCGCTGGCGTCGTCTACCTCTTCCTCGGCGGTTCCGGGTGCTTCTGGTACCCACTCTCCGCCTGCCACTTCTCCGAGCCTTTCGGCTGCAACGACTAGCTCTCCACCTGCTACTGCCAGCAGTAGCAGCAACAGTGGAGCGCCTACTCCCGGTCCAGCATCGAGAGGCTTCCATTTGCCTCGGGCCTTGACTCGTGCCAGCTTCGGGACCAGTCGTCCCTCTTCCCCCGCGGGCTCGCTCCGCTCCCTTGGGGTCCGGTCCCGCTCCTCTCGCAGGGCAGAGACCCTCTCTACCACCACTGGCGGTCCGAGCGCCATGGAGGAGATGCTGGATGCAGAGTTGGCCGAGCTTGACAAGACCATCGAGGCATTGCGCTTCTTTGCTCGCGTCCTTGAATGGGCCGCTTGGTGCAGCGGAGTGGATGTGAGGGTCAACCTCGCTGCGTGAGGTGGTCAGAGACATTGTGAGCGGGCTCAAGGGTCCTGCTGCTGTTCCCGTATTTATCAAGCGTCGCCATCGTCTCTTTTTCTTATCTGCATCACTATCACCATCATCATGTTCGAATTTATAGAATGTCATTGTCTCAGCACATCTGCATCGTGGGCTAAGACTGAGCAGGGCGCTGCTGGCCGCGGGCCATCTCTTTAGCTACTTCCGCCAGAGGTGTGGCTCGTTTCCGATGATAGCATACCCTCATGGATCTCCTTTCGTCTTACGTCTCTCCCATCGTCTCACCTCTTGCATTGCGGTCGTCTTTTCAACGCAAATGTCCCTCCATGGACGAGCGGCCGACTCCGGGCTGGACGAGGAAGACGACGAGTACGGCCATGCCTTTGACGCTCCCATGTTCGCCGGCAGCGATCGAGGTCTAGACGGCCGACCTTTGGCAGATGCATACTCAGCCGGACGACCTCCTGCAGGCTTCGGAGCCTCACCTGGGAGCTCTCTTTCTGGAACTGGCTCTTCCTACTCCTCGAGAGGCAGCAGCAGCAGAGGTCCGCCTTGGCAGCGTGTAGTGGACCGCTTCCAATGCCTACGGGATGACCCGGATTGCCGCAATGGAGTGATCCTGCATGCAGGCCTAATGCTGCTGATCATCATCCTAGCCTGCTCTCGTAAGATTCTCGTGGCTTCACCTCCTGCAGCAAAGGATGCCAAGACTAGTAGTGGAAGCAGTAGCAGCAGCAAGAGCAGTAGAAAGGTCAGCAAAGCCAAAGTGCATAGCTTGATCGTCTACCCGATCAAGAGCTGTGCGGGCGTCGAATTGCAGGAGGCACATATTGGCAGGAAAGGACTGGAGCTTGATCGCAGGTGGATGATAGTACGGAGAGGGAAGGTCGCCGCTGGTGAGCAAGGCAAGTGGGACAAGATGAGCTTGAGAGAGGAGCCGAAGGTGAATTTTGATCAAGAGGGGAATAGCGAGGCAGGCAAGCCGCACTTACATAGCTTACTGATACCAACACCTCTTATATGTAACACCTTCTCAGCTCACTCTCATCCAGCCAGGCATCGAGTCAGATCATCTGTCTCTCTCCATCTCATCACTTGCCCGCTCGGACCTGCAGCCTATCAAGATCCCACTAGACGTAAACCAGTCATGGGCCACTCTCCCCGCCATCGAGATGTGGGGCGACACAGCTGGCGGCCGCATCGTACAGTGTCTCGACCCTTCAGCCTCTCTGTCTCCAAGCTCCTGGCTCTCGTCTTTCCTCGGCTACCCGGTTCATCTCATACAATTTGATCCGCAAGGTCCCAAGCGGGACGCCTTTCCCTTCTACAGGCGGCCAGACCTGGTAGACGAGACAGGCTCGGAGATGGACGAGCTGAGGAAGCCGAGGGGGATCGAATTTCAGGACGAGTATCCGCTCCTGATCGCAAGCATCGAGTCGCTGCAGGCTCTTCAAGAGCAGATCAGAGACGCCGTCCTTGCTTCGGATGAGACGACGGATGGAAGGGGCGGTCCACGGGTGGGTGGTAAGCTCTTCAAAGCGGAGAATTGGAAGGAGAAGGTGACCTCTGCTGATGAGAAGACGGCTGCTCCATGGCTGAGCATGCTGCGCTTCAGACCAAACATCGTCATCACTGGCGGCAGTGCATCGGGCACCAGCTCAATCGAGCCCTGGGAGGAGGACAAGTGGACCATGCTAGAGATCGACACATTCGCTACTACGTCCAGCTCTGCCAACGACAGCAAGCCTCCAACACAATCTTCCTCGAGCGCTGTACCGCTCCAGCTACACCTCTCAGCACACTGCGAGCGCTGTCTCCTCACCGCCGTCGACCCCATCACAGCGGAACGAGACGTAAGTATTCCCCTGGCCTTCCTGCGTCGCAGTCGCAATGAGGTCAAAGTCCACCCGCTTGGGCCTGATGGGTTACCTCTAGGCAAAGCGAGCATCGTGGCAGGCAAGGAAGGGAAGAAGGGACCTTGCTTTGGAGTCTATGGTGTGCCTGCTGCTCCTGAGGAGAAAGCGGGAGCAGCCAAGGGACAGGGGCTGGTGAGGGTTGGAGACGAAGTGAGATGTTACTGGAGATCGAATGATGGGATGGGGGACTGAGACACTTATGGTGGAGAGTTGGGAACGAGGCGCATTTGCACGCTTGCGACTGGTCTCTTGGGATCACCGTACTGTCACGCATACCTCAGGGTGATAGAAGCGATATAGAAATTGTACAGCTAGACATGATGAAATCGTGACGAGTAGAGAGGACCGGGAGACACATGCTATGCAGGGGCGAGCTCAACGAAGATGAGCCGGGAGCATCATGGAATCCGTCACCTTATCACCTCCCGTCTCGTCCAGACTCTCTCCATCGTCATCTTCGTCATCCTCGTCCTCGTCCTCATCCATGGCCACTGCGTCGGCCTTGGCTGCTGCTTGTCCCTCTTTCCTGGCAGCATTCGGCTTCTTCACCCTAGCGCTCTTCCGCTCTCCTGGTACAGCCTCGTCGTCCTTGCCATTAGCCTGCTGCACCAGCAGCTGTTGCTCTGGTGTCAGGCTCAGCTCCGTCACGCTCTCCTTGGCACCATCGTAGTAAGCCAGAGGTACGATCCTGAATGAAGCTTGCTGGATAAGAAGATGCTTGAGGATTTGGGCGGAATTGGTATCGATCCTCTTGCCCTCCTTGCAGACCACAAACTCTTGCCTCAGTGTAGGCACTCCCCTCTTGAGCTCTGTAGGCATGCCCAGCTTCCTCAGCTGAGGCTCAAGAGGACCTGCCAATGTCTCAGGAGGCTCAGAGCGGGCCATGATGGGTCCTTCGGGGAGAGTGACGCTCTCTGTTGCCAGGTTGCCAGTGCGAGCATAGTCTTTCCTCTCGTGGGTGTCAAACCAGTCTGCTACCTCTGCAGGGGGCGAGTCGGTGAACAGGAGGCCTACAGAGCCGGACAAGCGCTGTGAGTGAGAATGTTTGAGAAAGCCGTCGGCGGCAGTCAATGTCTATCGAGTCTACACTCCGTTCGAGGCAGGAACTATGGCTGCCTCTCGTGTTCCTTCTACTGACCTGAGAAATGCCTGCCAAGCCCTTCTTGAGCTCATGCTCCGTAGTCTCTCCCAATGCCTTTGCCATGACTCTGTTCTTTCCAAAGAAGATCCTGCTTCCTGCCCAAAGATTCCTGACCTCCTTGAGGTAGTTGTTCCTCATGTTTCCGATTGAGAAGAGCCATACGTAGGCGAATTCATCCGAGGCGGCTCGGAGGGAGTCGATCAGGGTCGACTTGTCTTCCTTTGTCTTCCTGGAAGTCCTTGTCAGGGACACCAGCTTGGAGCGCTTTGTTCGTGGCATGTCGGATGAGGTATCAGAGGGTTGAGTAAGCTGCTAAGAGCAAAGGTGAGAAGAAAGGGAAGGAGTGGTATCCGCCTTGGCTGCCTTGGCGGTGGCCTGCCTGCCTGCCAATGGCTGCGAGGTGGAATTTCTGGACGCCTCGCTTTGCCAAATTTGCCGCGCATTGACGGACGCACGGGCGGACGACGAATCCCTCCAGGGCGGAAAGAGACACGCCCACGTCCGGGGAGCAGGTAGCCGTGCATCGTCCATCCTACGCCCTCTTTCCTCCATACAGACAAAGGCTCATACGACAACCTAGACAACGACGGCAAGCTACCATCGACCGTAAAAAAGACTGGACCTGTAAGCAACTGCCGCGGGGCTCGAAGTATAGTGAGTCAATGCATACTGACGAGACGGGGGGCGAGCTTACAGCCGGACATGGATAATGGCCCAGCTACCATGCTGGCCTCGCCTCATTTCTGGCTGCCGACCTCGTATATTCGTCTGACCGACCAGACACTCCCCCTTGACCCGCAGCAAAATGTCTGCAGCGACAGCTCCGGCTGCTCCGGGCAGTCTGGGGGCATCAGACCCCCTCCACTGGCCCACCTCATCTAACCAGCCCCCGAAGCGCGTATGCTACTTCTTCGATTCGGATATTGGTAACTACCACTACGGACCTGGCCATCCCATGAAGCCTACCAGGATTAGGATGTGTCACAGCTTGGTGATGAACTACGGACTGTACAAGAAGATGGAAATCTTCAGAGCCAAGCCAGCTACGAAGAGAGAGATGTCACAGTTCCATACCGATGAGTATGTAGAGTTCCTCAGCAGAGTCTCGCCAGACACCATTGAGAACTACATTCGTGAACAGGAAAAATTCAACGTCGGTGACGACTGTCCGGTCTTTGACGGCCTCTTCGAGTATTGCTCTATTTCGGCTGGTGGCTCAATGGAGGGAGCGGCGCGACTTTCGAGAGACAAGTGTGACATTGCGATCAATTGGGCAGGAGGGCTACATCACGCTAAAAAGGGTGAAGCGAGCGGTTTCAGCTACATCAACGGTGAGTATCGGCAGATGCGATTCTCGGTACTATCGAACGGTCCGGACTGACTCGATCGCGTTCCCGCGTTACAGACATTGTGTTGGGAATCCTGGAGCTGCTCCGGTATCATCCAAGAGTCCTATACATTGACATTGATGTTCATCACGGTGATGGTGTCGAGGAAGCCTTCTACACCACTGACCGTGTCATGACATGTAGCTTCCACAAATACGGAGACTTCTTCCCTGGTACCGGCGAAGTCAGAGACATCGGCCTCAACAAGGGGAGATACTACTCGTGCAACTTTCCTCTGCGAGACGGCATCACCGACGAAAACTACAAGTCCATCTTTGAGCCCGTAATCAACCGCATCATGGAGTTCTATCAACCCTCAGCAATCGTGTTGCAATGTGGATCTGACTCTCTGGCGGGGGACAAGATCGGTTCTTTCAACCTTTCCATGAGAGGCCATGCCAATTGCGTCGAATTTGTCAAGTCCTTTGGTCTACCATTGCTCCTTCTTGGTGGTGGAGGATACACCATGAGGAACGTTAGCAGAGCCTGGGCTTTCGAGACCGGACTCGCCGCCGGACAGGAGCTAAATTCTCAGGTGCCCGTAAACGAGTACTACGAGTACTTTGGACCGGACTACAATTTGGACGTGCGGCCTAATAATATGGAAGATCTCAATACCCGCGAGTATCTCGACAAAATTAAGATTCAGATCTTTGAGAATCTTCGCCATACTGCTCACGCCCCATCGGTTCAAGGTCATGTCGCTCCAACCATGCTTCACGATGATGCAATGGACGAAGACGAAGACAGGATACAGGAGGGAGATGACGCAATGGACGTGCGGGCGAGCAAAGATCAAAGGAGACGGGATCGGCGAGTACAGAAGAGTGGCGAGCTTAGTGACAGCGAGGACGAGGGCGAGGGCGGACGGAGAGACCGACGTGACCACGGGGAAGACGGTAAAGATAAGAGTAATGGCTCGGGCGTCACCCCACCTTCGGGGGATCCGGCGAAAGTGAGCATCATGGCACCTCTCCATGACGCACAGCGGCAAGAGAACAACAGTCCCGTGGAGGGGCAAGCGCCTCTGCCGTGAGCGCACGTGAATATGATTAGCTTTGCAGGTAATGACCCGACAGTACTTCCCAGCCTATTCGCATTCGCACGAAAGGTTGATTGACAAAACCTCGCTTCTGTCAATTGAAAGGAGCTATTTGACGCATTGGCCCGGCTCATGGCGTGCACCCTCCAGTGTTGCCTTAGTACCCTATTATACTTCTCGCTTAACCTGCCGTCCGGACAAAGCGGGAGAGGCTCTGCTTAGATTAGACCTCGGGATGCACCGTGTTCTCAGTTCTCTCAATGTCCCGACGAGCCTAGAAGACCGTGCCCTGATAATAGAGTTGGGTGTACGACCGTACCCTCTGCGGGGCTGTATCAAGCTGCGTGGCCATGGGCGGCCACTTCGTGGGCCGTATATGCCTGTGCTGGACCAAGCTCAGGTAGCTGAGTGATGCTCGCTCGCCGTGTCGCTGACAAATCAGAAAAGGTGTCGGCCGGGAGAGCCTCCACTAAAGACCCCTGTGGCTGAGATCCGCTCTCGATCTCATGAGGGCGGCCAAAAGAGTGGCCTACCTAGCTCAATTCCGTCCTTGGTTGCACGGGCCTTTGCGGCGGTGCTCTGGCAGGTCGCTTCTTGTCAAGACGGTACAGCAGTTCCGGCGTCTTTCTTTAGTTCATCGGCGCTCCGGCATACGAATAGCAACTTTTGAGAGCGGCACGCGTCCTCCGCCCCCCCGCTGCATATGCTTCTCTCGGCGAGTCGTCCGCGGCGGAGACTGTGAACGCCTCCCTTGGCGATTCTTGTCCCTGACATCCCGCTGGTCCCTGTTGTAATCTTGCCCCCCTAGCTGTGAAAGTGGTCAGATAATAGCAGCGGCGGGCCATGGTGGCGCTCCGTCTGTGGCGAGCAGATGCCGAAGGGATCTATTGCTGTCCGCCAGGCCGAGGTGTCAATCGATTCGACGCCGTCTGCGTGCCTCTGTGCTTGGCGGGGTCGTGGGGTTGTATATAATTATAACCGAGTCTCAGGCGGCAAGAGTTGTGTGAGGTCCATCCACCTCTTACACTTCTCAGCTGCCCTCGTCGGTTTCTTTCGGACTCGTCTGAGGCGGCAACGGCCGTCTTTTTTCGGGTTCGGGCCGCGGCGGCCGACGGCACCATCGGGCCCGCTGAGCTTTGAGCGTGCATCTGCCACGGGCCGAACATCGGGCTTCGGCAGCGTGGTGCCACACTTCCGCTGCACTGGGAAGGGGGCCAAAGAATAGATTCCAGGCCAGGCAGCGGACAGCCAGCCAGCCAGCCAGCCAGCGCCTCGAGGTAAGGCGAGTCCGACAATCTCGGAGCGGCGGCCTAGCGGGCTGGCACCGCCGAGCAGACACCGAAGCAGATTGCGATCTTGGCCAAGAAGTAACTCATCTGTGCCGAAAAAGCTTACGACCGTCGCCCCGCAACTCCCGCTAGCGAGGCGGCCCTCTGTGAATGGCTTCAAGCCATAAGGTGACATCTCGCCGGCACAGGAATTTTGGTCGCCGCTCGGCCCTTGGTAGACTTGTGAGACTCGCCACTGTCCGCCCATCCCTCATATATCTCCACACAGAGGGGCGCACTCGTACGCCAGCACTTGACCTCGTTTCTACTCCTTACTTGATCTACTGTTCTCGCCATTCCCATTGCAGTCATACACGTTGCGTGCGAAGAGAACCCAAGGCCAGCGACAGCATACACTTTGTCCCATCTCATCCTCACTCTTCTTCCATTGATGTCGCATTTCCAAGCAGAATAACCCCGCCTCCCCTTTGTGACACATACCGAGTCACTAAGGTACCCTCCACGCTGGTCACGCCGGACAGCATGCAGCGATCTTCCCCTGCTCCGTCTCAGCGACGTCCTTTATCGCCTCGCTCAGCCTTGCGTTCTCTTCAAGACCCGAGCGGCAGCTCTGGTACCGCTCACGAAGGCTACCAGCCCAGCCGCTCGGGTGAGCCTCATCCAACGGCAGACTCTGGTCCTTTGCTACAGCGCTCAGGCTTTCGGCCGAGCTCGTCTCCCGATGATGCGTTCAGATCACGCTTTACAGTCTCCCCTACTACCCTAGGTCCAGGGGATCCTCCGACGGTGGCCTTCGGGCCCTCTCATTCTTCTGGTCCCCGCCCTCCCACCTCTGCAACCTTTGCTGGCTACCCGCAAGCTCATAGGCAGGGGACTATAGAATCTCACTCGCATATGTTTGCTCCAGAATCGGTCTTTACCGCTTCATCCCGACAGGCGCAGCGGCAGCATTATCTTCCTCCCGCTGCTTCTCAGCTGGCAGAGCGCCATGAAGCTGGCCCTTTGACACCTTCCTATGCTTCGATGTACCCTCCGGAACACCCGCAACCATTGTCAAGGTCATTGGATCGAAATTTCCAGCATTCGCATCAGTCTCTGCCTGCACTGCCAATCATCACGGGGCCGCTCAGGGCCTCTCCGCATGCTCAGAGATACTCCAGTGGTCAGCGCTACGAGGACGAGAGCACGTCAGCATACTCTAGCAACACGCCGCGAGCTGTAAGTGACGATCATCTAAGCGTTTTTGCTATCTGTGCGTCTGCTCACACCCACTTCACCACCTCTTCACTGCACTTATCTCACAATTGCTGGTCTGCCTACCCACAGTCTGTCTCTACACCTGGACTCGCATCGGCGAGGTCATCAGAGAGCCAGTACAGTGGTCACTCCTTTTCCAACGAGCCCTACACTCCGCAAGAGCTTTTGATGCCCGGACCACATCGCCTCAGCTCGTCTGTTACCCAGCGTGCCTACTTACCTATGCCGCCTCGGAGGCCGAAGCCTGCTCGATCCTTCGATGACTACCTCGCTCCTCTGAACCAGGCGAACTTCGGCTCTGAGGCAAGCTCGCACAGCCCTGCTAGCATGTCATCGTCCTCGAGGTACTCGGTGCCCAACACTACCTATTTTCAGCTCTCGCCTCCCCTTCGTCAGGCATCGCGCCTGTCTTCATCCCCAGCTTCCACCGAGGGGTGGATGATGAATCCTCGAAAACGGTCGCCGGCCTCTGCGACGAACCCGCCTACCACGCTCCCACCCATGATGTTGAGTGGTGGCCCGTCTCCGACTCGCCGCTATCAACGAGAGGAAGAGCCAACGCTCCCTTATCGCTACTCTCGTCCGTCGAGCGACCAGGAGGGAGGAGGGCAAGTCATCTCGGAACCTGTCATCACTACCGTCAGCTCCGCTCCAGCCCTCTTGACATCGCTGAAGCGACCGCGAAGATGGACAGATCAGGCGGATGAAGGAGATCGAGGGAGGGCTCGCTCTCCACCGACATCCCCATCCCACTCTTCATTGCAGAGGCCTCGAGCCCAGTCTTCCGACAGGGCAAAGCGAAGAGGCAAGGCCACTGCCTCCCCACCCGAGATGAGCAGGTTGAGTCATACAGAGGTAATGAATCGACTCAACAGGAAGATGCGTGAGCGTCTGGCCATCAAGGCAGCATCTGCAAGCCCATCCTCCTCACCGCCTCGCGCTTTGAGCATCTCGGGCCTCACAGGTCCAAGGGAATCAAACTCGCCTTCGTCTACGCCATCCACGAGTTCTGGTGCCCCTGCTAGTGCCTCGCGCACCTCGGAACCTTCCCCTCAGAAGAGGCAGGCTCAGTCGAGCGAGGCCACAGGGTCTCACTGATCGGAAAATACCGACGAGGACCACGAGGACCAATGCAAAAGGCCTGGACAGAAGGACAATGTCCTTTACCTGCCTCCATCTCATTCTGCACTACTAACTCCCTCGCACCGCATATCACGTCACCTCAAGCATAGGCACTCTTTAATTCGGAACCAATACCCAGGAAGATGGCTTGGCTTGGCTTGGCTTGGGCCTCGCCCGCCTCACTACTGTGCCAACATACGCACTTGACATCTTTCATGCTGCTTTCTGTCTTTGTCATCTCTTTACCGTGGTCTACTTTGAACCCTCTTGCTTTGGTCAACTCTCGTCATCTAGGTCAGCACTGTCATCTTACCCAATCATTTACCCTGTATCCATGTTGTTGTATGGGCCGTCTTGCTCTGGTCCTCGCAATTACTCTCGCATTGTCCCTTTTGCACCCTCTGATAGCTCCCTTTGACTTTGGAGTGATGAGAAAGTTCTTTGCAAAGTGAGAAGTATGGTACAACATGTGGATGAATCGTGATACCCCCAATCGACCTCAGTTCTTCCCAGCCAGGTATATCCTCATTGCTGCCGCCGAGTCGAGGGCTGCTTTGAGAGCTGTAGGAAGTCCGCATGGGTCAGAAGTCAGTCCCTGCGAGTGTCACTTTGACTGAAGGCGCGCAGCTGGACGTCCTTTTACCGCCTTCCTTGACTCACCTATCTTCTCCGTCTCCTCGAGACCATTGACAAAGTCGACCATCTCTGCGCTCATTCCCACCGAGGTTCCGAAGCCAGCCTTTCCACCTCCACTGCCTCCCCCGCTACCACCCGAGGATGATCCACCCCCAGATCGGGAAGATCCGTCGCCAATGTCAACACCGCCTGCGCCTCCTGCTCCGCGCGAAGCAGAGGCGAGATGCTGAGCTGAAGTGTAAATTGTAGGTAGACGGGCGGAATATGTCTGGAACGGGGGAAGGGGCGAGAGAGGATTGGGTGGCTCAGGCGTGAGCTATCGGCTGCGCAATGATCTGTTCAGCCATAGTGGCCACGACTCACGCTAGATAGTAGCTCCATGATCATTTCCGAGTCCATGAGTCCACCCAATCTGGAGCCCATGGCATACCACCAATTGGCCTGGCCTCTAAGCTGCACGCTCTTCGGACCAGCATTGAGCGCATTGCGCACCCGTTGTGAGTAAGGCTTGGGCAAGGACACATCCACACAATCCTGCAACACGAGCCATTCGGCGAGCCAATAGGGTAGCTCTACGCGTGTACCCTTTGTGATCATCCCTTCTGCCTCGTATTGCTGTCTTGACGAGGCGCTCGACTTGCTCAGGGAAGAGGACTGCGAGGCCTGCTCCTGCTGTGCCTGCACCGAAGGGTCGCCCCGTAGATGGGCTACACCGGGTACATCGATCTTGAAGTGGCAAGGGATCTTGGTAGCATCTGCCAAGATGTCCGAGATGGACCAGTAGGACTGATCCATCGAGACGCCGGAGGGGGAGGGAGGATGTGCTCAGAGGATGGTGTTGGTTGGGTCAAGGGGCTACGCAGGAACGCGCTTGGCCTTGGTTGGGTACAGAGGCGCGTAAAGGGGCTCGAGCGCCACGCTTTGCTGCAGCGTCGTGAGGGCAAAAGCCAATTCGAAGTCCGCCTGCACTCTTCCCGTCAAAGCGTCGTCTTTTGGGCGGAGTAGGCGGGGCAGCACGTTCTCGCAAGCACGCCTCGGCGATTGCAAGCCATCGTCACTGCCGCCGACGCCCAGGACGACAGACGCCAAGAGACATCGTTGCCATTCTTCTTCTTCTTCCTTCTACTCCTCACTTCAGCTACTTCGTCCAATCTCTTCTTCGGCGCGCTCATCGTGGGACCCCGCTGCAGTGCGCTCAAAGAGAGAGAGAGTGTGCCTTGTTCTCACGCCCGCCGTATTGGCCCGCTCAAGCAAGTCGCAGCACCACGCCTGGCAGACACTTCTTTCAACCTCAAGCAGCACAGCCTCCGGTCTCCTCCGATCTGTCATCGCTGCGTCCGCGCAGGTGGCACCTACTGAGCGCTAGGCTTGTATGGAGGATCGTCATAGCCAGGTACAATCAACCTCACCCTAGCTTCGGAAGAGAATTTCGGCGCTTCGGCTAGTTAGCCTCCGCGTCAGCCTCCTCGTTGCACCCTCCTTCCTACCCTCGCCCTCCTCCCTTGCCTGCCCATCGAGATGAAGTTCGGGAAGCAGCTGCAGAGCAACCAGATCCCTGGGTGGAGCGCGGCCTACCTGGACTACAAGTTCCTCAAAAAGATCATCAACTCCCTCGAGAAGGGCAGGCTTGGAGATGCTGCCCTCTTTGCTACAGGTGTCAGACCAGAATATATCCCTGAAGATGCCAACAGGATAGATGCTGATGGGAACGCACAGATTTTGCCCAAGGTCGAGGGGTCAGATGAGCTGCAGGCTCACAAGGCTGCTTTCTTCTTCAAGCTGGAAAGAGAGTTGGAGAAGGTAAGCCGATGGGCGTCTGATGGGTAGCAGATCTCCGTGAAGCTGGCACACTCTGACTCATGTTCGCTCTCTGTCTTTCCTTCTCCACAGATCAATGCCTTCTACTTGCAAAAGGAAGCTGAGCTCAAGGTCAGGCTACGGACGCTGATCGACAAGAGGAAACTGATCATGTCAAGGAGGGGCTCAGGAAAGCTTTCCAAGGAATCGCCAGCTTTCTATGCTCTGTACGAAGGCTTCAGATACTTTGAGAAGGACCTAAGCAAACTGCAACAATTCATCGAGATCAATGCGACAGGTTTCAGAAAGATTCTCAAGAAATGGGATAAGAGGTCCAAATCGCAGACGAAGGAGCTATATTTGGCTCGCCAGGTGGAGGTCCAGCGTGAGTAGAATTATCCGATGGTACCCCCGAGGTTCGGAGCGAGAGCTGACGCGCCCGTACTACTTGCTCGATCTCTAGCTTGCTTCAATCGAGAGTTCATTGCAGAGCTCAACGACATTGCTGCCGCTAATCTTTTGGAACTCGAGAACCTATCCGAGCAGCCTTCGCTGACTCTAAGTGGTAGTCGCTCTGCCAGCGCGGACGGTCCCTCTGCTCTGAGCTCCGAAAAGCGGCTAGACTTTGCTGCTGCTCACAATGAGGACATCGATCTGCTCACTGATCTGGAAGAGAACCTCAGCGTCGCCATCAAGGCCGGCAGGCCGACCAAGGCGGCCGACATGATCAGGGTTGCGCAGCAGAATGAAGATGCCACCAGCGTCTCGCGCGTAGTCTGGCGAGCGCTTCTGCACAGCTCCCCCGATGCTGTGCAAGCAGCTCTGGATGCGTCACTGCCGGACTTCAGCTTTGTAGATGACATCAACTCCAGGACGTGCCTTCACGAAGCCGCTCTAGCCGGGAATCTGACTCTTGTTAGGGCAGCCGTGCAACACGGGATTGATGTGGGTCAGAGGGACAACTATGGCCGCGCGGCAATCTCCTACGCTGCTATGAATGGTCATGCCGATGTATGCACATTCCTCCTCACCCAGCCTGGCGTCGATGCTGCCACTGCTGACCTGGATGGCTTCTCACCATTGGTCCTAGCTGTCATCAATGGCAGGACAGAAGTCTTGCGGATACTTTTGTCTCACGGCGTCAGTGTTGAGCCCCGAGAGATCACCGATCTGATCCCATTGGGTCTGGCTTCACAAGCTGGACATGCAGACATTACCGCCATGCTGCTGCAGAGGGGCGCCAAGATCACCTCGAATCCGGAAGGTCTGACGCCGCAAGCCCTTGCAGCTCGCGAGGGCCACGTCGAGTGTCTTCGTCTTCTCATGCAGGCCAAGGCAAATCCTGACGCTCCCGAAAAGGGAACGCTGTGGACACCTCTCTTCTTTGCTGCAGAGAATGGCCACGCCGATTGCATTCGGGTTCTCCTGGAGAGTCAATGTAATATTGGAGCCCTCGACGAGAAAGGCAAGAACGCCATCTTCTATGCCGCTTGGAAGGGTCATATCGACTGCCTTTTGATCTTGTTGGAGGCCGCCAGTGCTACAGAGCCGCCGGCAGACATCACGATGGCTTCGACACCGGTCTCACAAAAGTTTCAGGGGAACGGCGCTGGAAAAGCACCGCGGAAAAAGACTCGCGCAGAGGAGGAGCTGGATGACCTCGATGCTGAACTCGAAGCAGATGGTATCCCCTCCCTTTCGCTGCCCCCTCCCATCATTCCCTTCCGGACGTACGGCCACAACTACCTGGACAAACGATCGCTCGTGACAATAGCCTTGACTGACTCTTCAGTGAAGCTCTACAAGCACCACGACGCGCTCGGCCTGGATCAATTCTCGACATCGTCTGTGAAGCTGGTGATGACCTCGAAACCGGACGCAAGCGCTACATATATCCCGCACAACATCGTGCTACCACTAGCCGACGAGCGCGAGGTCTTCTCCTTCCAGGTGGAAGCTCTCGAGAAGCTCTCCATCGAATGGGAATTGAGACCCACTTTCGGATCTAAAATTATCGGCAAAGCCGTCGCATTGCCTTCCTCTTTCGAAGGCATGACAGATCGAAAGCGCTTCGTCTTGCCGCTGCAGGACACCTACCTCAGGGTGGTGGGCGAGATCAACTTCGAAATCGACTTTGTGAAGCCCTTCGATGGCGTGCAGCTAGAGATTGGGGGAAGGGTGGAGACGTACTGGAAGAGCTTGCTACCGGGATCAACCTCGGCTTCGGGCGGAGGCGTACGTATGACACCTACTGGTGCAGAAGGAGAATCTGGTAGCCTTACCTCGCCAGCAATCAACACGCCCCAAGCGTCTGCCTCGATCATAGGATCCATCGGAAGCACCTCTGCTCTGGTCCCCGCAGCAGGCTCGGCATCGGTAGTCACTGCATCGTCCCTCTCAGGCGACTACCTGCGTCTAGTTGTGCAAGTGACGAAAGACGGTGTGGCGGTGGTCTATCCCGCCTTCACACTGCCCATGACTGGTCTTGATGTTTACATCGGATCAGTGACCGGCGATCAATATCTCGAATTTGCTCAGTCCACCGGTCGTCTGTTGAGAGTGCCAGGGCGGCAAGCAGCGACCATGGGTCTACGAGACTGGGTGCAAGCACTGAAGGGCAAGATGGTTACTCTGGAGGCTCTGCTGTCTGTGCTGCCTGCTTCGATTGGTATCGACCTGAACATCCTCTACCCCTCATCGGCGGATGTGCGGGGCAATCCAAGTCTGCCCAAGATCGAGGTAAACCACTTTGTCGACACGATTTTGCACGCAGTCTACCGAGCCGGCACGCACAACCTCACTCAGAGCCGTAAGATCCTCTTCACCTCGCGCAGCCCCACGGTGTGCACTGCGTTGAACTGGAAGCAACCAAACTACGCCGTCTTCTTTGCTTCGGATTGTGGGCTACAGCGCACCGCCGAGGATGAGACTGTACTTGCCCCTTCGGACCGAAATGAGCCGGACCCGCGCAGGCTGAGCGTAAGCGAGGCGGTGCGCTTTGCGAAGAACAACAATCTTCTTGGGCTGGCCATTGATGCGACTTTGCTCAACAGTGTACCGGAGCTGGTACAGACGATCAAGGCTGCAGGCTTCTTGCTGATCACCATTGGAACCTTTACCCAAGGAGGGGAGAGCATCAGTAATGGAGCGGCCCCAGCAGCGGGTGGATCTGGGTACAGCGGCGATTCGACACCGGCCCTGGCGGATGCGACCGTAGATGGTGTCATCGAGGACGGCATCCTCGTCTGCAAGAGCTCAAAGGTCACCGATGCTGTCTTTGTCTGAGGGATGCCGGCGCGAGATCTCAGTAAATATAAGATCTGCATCTGAGATTCTTCCTGCCTTGCCCTCTGAGTACTATGTATCACCCTTCAGCGTTCCCTGACGTTGTCATTCGCCCACCAGTGTCCCTCTTTTGCCTCTGATCGGACGTTCCAATCAATGTCTGAATGTTTAGATAATGTCATTGTTCTCGAGCGCACATCCAAAACAATCGCTCCCGCATCCGCACCCTCTGGCCCCCCATTCTCAGAAGCGGGCAGGTCTCTACTCATCGTCTGCCACTCCCATGACCTTTCTGAGAATGTCCTCGCTAGAAGACCGATCCTTGGTCTTTTCCTTGATGTAGCCCACGAGCTGATCCAGCGGCACTACCTCTCCCTTTGAGTCTCCCTCCTCCGAACCTTTACCCCTCTGCTCCTTAACTCTGACCGTCCTCTGCTCCTGGTTCCACTCGTCCGGCGCGAGGATCACGGCGTAGGGTACAGCATCGCGGGCAATGGAGGCAAACTGAGCGGGGGCCTTGGGCTTGACCTTGTAGCTGTACTCGGCCTTGATGCCAGCGGACCAGAGGAGCTGCGCGACGTGCATACGCTCCTTGACCATACCCTCCTTGCCGAGGGACATGATGAAGCATTCCGTCTCCTTTGAGCGTACCTCGGAGGAAGAGGCATCGGCTCCTTCCTGCTCCCGTAGCTTGGCCAAGCGGGCCATCATGATGGAGAAGACGCGCTCAACGCCGATGGACACGCCCACACAAGGCACCTGACCAGCGCTAGGCGCCTTGCCACTGGCGGTAGCTCCCGAGCCGGAGAACATGCCGACAAGGTTGTCGTACCTTCCACCGGCGGCGATGGATCCGACTCCCACGCTTGCCGAGGCATCGTCGTCGTCTTGATCTCCGGCCTTCTTCGACTTCTTGCTCTTCTTGGAGTCACTTGCAACCTCTCCAGCGGACCCTGGCTCCTCGCCTGCGGCAGGCTTGGGGGGTGGAGCGCTTCCTTCGGTGACTGCTTCGTAGATGATACCAGTGTAGTAGTCCAGGCCCCGAGCTAGACTGAGGTCGAAGGAAATCCTCGGAGTCACCTCGAGGACGTCCAGATACTCGAACAATACCTTCATCTCTTCCAGTCCCTTCTTCGCCGATGCATTGCTTGTGAGCTTCTCGTCCTTCAGCAGCTCCTCCACTAGCTCCCGACTTCCCTTCTTGCCGACGTATTCTCCGATCTGATCTGCCGAGCCCTCGTCTAGGCCCTTTTCCAGCATCTCCTTCTTCACTTCGGCCCAAGGTGACTTGTCTAGCTTGTCCACTGCGCTGGAGATCGTCCTGATCTTGTCCTCTGGCACACCACAGACAGCAAAGAGCCCGTCTAGGATGGCACGGTGGTTCAGCTTGATGGTAAACTGCCTGATCCCCAGAGCCAGCAGCGTCTTGGTCAGGATGTGGAGGATTTCCGAGTCTGGCAGCAGTGGATCATGGACACCGGAAATGTCAAAGTCACACTGGTAGAACTCCCTGAATCGACCCTTTGCCATTGCAGGCTGGTCTCGCCTGTAGACCTTGGCGATGTGGTATCTCTTGATTGAGCCGTACTCGGATGGGTTCATCGCGACGAATCTTGCAAAGGGAACTGTTAGATCATATCGCAACGAGCAGAGTTCTCCTCCTTGGTCCTGTAGATCGTAAATAAGCTTCGAATCCTCTCCGTACTTGCCGCTGAGAATCTCCTTGAGCTCGAAGACGGGGGTATCGATTGTGACTCCTCCGTGAGTCTTGAATACCGCCTCGATGACCTTGAAGATGTGGGAGCGCAGAGACATCGAGAGGGGGTCCCAGTCTCTGGTTCCTTTGGGCGTCTTCAGCGTATATTTGACAGGAGCGGATGCCGCTGCCTTGTCCTTCTTTGAAGACGACGAGCCCGACGGCTTGCTGCCGCTCTTGGCAGCAGTGGATGGAGCGCCGCTGAGAGACAATGAGGCGACGCTCTTCTTGAGGTCAAGAAGGAGAGCCACTTGCTCGTCGACCTGCTCCTTGGGAGCGCCGGATGTCTTGAGAGACCGCACCTTCTCTGCTTGCGATTCGAGCTGAAGCTGGAGCTCCATTGGACCCAGCGCTGCAGTGGTCATCGTGCGAATAGGCAAGGAGGGATGAGGAGAGGCAACAGCGGCGCTGCAAGCTATAGGTTTGATAGTTCGTGGACGCAGCGATGGATGGCAAAGAGCTCTACGTGATATGAGCGCTGCTCTGAGCATACAAGGGGCTTGGCTGCGGGTCGTGAGTCAGAGGGAGGGAGCAGCTTCTGTGTTGAGGTCGTCGTTGTACGGAAAGGAGGCAGGCAGCGACGCACGAGGCTGCGCGCGACCCTGGCCTGCGCGGCGGAGTTGAGATGAGATTCTGGGTGCCGACGCCTTTCCGGTGCTACTTCCGTCGATCTCGCTCGTCCCCGCCAAGGTTGATCGCCGGTGAGCTATACGGGGCCCTCTCTCAGTGGCTGCGACCATGACGCTCGCTCTCACGTCCATGTATCCTTCCATTGTGTGCTTTGGGGACAGTCAAGTGATTATATGCAGCCGTGAGGAAGCACATCCGCATGAGTTCGGTGGCACTCACACTCAACACATTGCTCGTGAAACAGACACAATACGCAAATGGTCCCGGCGGCTTCATTGCCAGCCTTGCGCATGCTTATCAGCGGAAAGCGGACGGTGGGTACCTAGTAGGCTGGCTTTGCCGCTGACACCGAGTCTGAAGCCAGCTTCGTCCTCTTCTGACAGTGTTCAATCGGGGTTTCAGTGGCTACACGACCCGCCAAGGTGAGCACAAACTCGTTTGGTGACCCGTCCCATCCGCACACGCTTACAACGCTTCCAACGCAGCTCTCTTCGTCGCACGACAGCTATTCTGCCAGTCTCCGCATGCTGCGATCGTAAATGTCAGAGCTGTGATCATATGGCTGGGGTGCAACGACTCGATACAGAAGGGGCAAGAGCAACATGTGAGTCCCAGCCTTCACCAAGTGGACGAGCTCGTTGTGCTGACTTGCTGTTGGCATCAGGTTCCGCCGGAAGAATTCAGATCCAATCTGAGTAGCATACTAGATATCGTTGCTGCCGAGCCCGCGAACGCAACCTCGGCCACTTGTCCCCCTCCTTACATCCTCTTGCTGGGGGCCACACCTGTGACCCAGCGCGCATTTCACGACAACAAGGCAAAGCAAGAGTACATGACAATTGTCGGCGAAATTGCCCGAGATGCACGCTATAGCAGTAAGGTAGACTACATAGACATGTACTCGTTGTTCACAACTGCAGCAGAGCCAGTAGCAGACCTGCTGGACTCGGACGGCCTACACATGTCTCCGCGAGGCTACGAAGTAAGTTGCTTGCAGACGAGAAGGCGATGGAAAGGGAGATTTGTCGCGCAGGCGGTCTGACGCTTCAGTCACTCTCCCATCTGTACAGGTCATCTTCGACGCAGTCTTCAAGCAGCTTCGTCAGCAAGACGGTCTCGAGCCCAGTGGCATGCGTCTGCAATTCCCTGATTGGAAGTCGTTCGACACTGATGCAACGGCAGAGCTTTGATGTCGGAGGTATCGCGCTGTCGAGTCGCGACACGCAGCTTATAGAAAAGGGGCCGTCGAACACGCTGACAGCGGTCGACTGGCCTGTCGCAACCGGATCATTGTCAGCAACATGCCCGGCGCCTGTACTACCTTGAAAAGATCCTGTGAACTCTAGAATATGGCCGGGGCGAGACTTGACAAATGCATTCAGTTGTCCCGTTGTTGCCACTGTGACATAGGTCACATCGATACCTTTCTCCTCTGCAATACATGCTAATCAAGTCAGCTACATCGGAAGCTACCCCGACCGCTTGACGAAGTCCTCGCTATGGGATGGAAATTCTACCCGCGATGACCTGTCAAGGACAATTGTCTGATGTTGACCAGTATGAAAAGTATTCACTCGCCACCAGTACGTCACTGAGGGTGTCCAGGATTACTGCTTTCGGCCCATCCCCCACCTCTGCAGGCCAGTATTCCGGAAAGTGACCCATCAAGAGGAGCGGAGTCAGAAATCGGCCCCACTTTCGAGAGCCTACCCGGCCTTTGCAAACGAGATGCTTATGTATTCGATAGTATCCGGGCTAGCCGAGAATGGTACAGAACGTTGCAGGGAGCAACGCAAGGCATGTCAGATCGTCAGTGCGAGATAGTCTACCCTCCATGAATCGTCTGCTCCAGAATGAACGGTCGCGGAAAGTTCGGCAAGGATAGGAAAGAGGATAAGTTGGCCGAGCAGCAACATTGGCAAACCGGCTCTCGGCCTGGACCCTCGCGATCATCGGTGTTCTGCCCGTCACAGCCGAACCAAGAAGGGCAGACGTGGGAAGGTGTCGCTGTCAGTGTTGGACTGTAGGGACAATTGTGGCTCGGGTTGTAGCCCATCCCTTCGGAGCCATGTGAGGCAAGGGGGGGCTCGGGTCAGCAGCGATCAGCCAAGTCACAAGGCTCGACGCGTCTTCACGTCCGGCGGAGTCAGGCAAACGGAACAACACTTTTCGCCGCGGGACTCATCTGCCGCCAGGACACCGGACGGGGGGATTCAGGGCTGCAGCACCCTGCGCTTCCCCCTTGCGTCGCCCTTTACGCTTTCCCCAATAGGGCAAGGCTGCGAGTCCTCCTCTCCTGCTGACATTGAGCGGACCGATCGGCTCAGATTGATCGAAGAATACCTTATGGCAAGAGGTGCAAGGGACGAAGGGGGCAACAACCTCTGCAGGATGATCATCAACGACGCCATCGTGTTTTGAAGGAGACCCATTCAGATCAGACAAACACCGGTGCGAAACACAGTCTGGCGGACATTTGACAAAGACACAAGTCAAGTCTTGCAAGGATACAGATTGGAATGGAAGTAATCAGCGTCTCACGGGCTTGCGATGTGTGCGCAAGGTTCTGTCTGTCGTCGCGTCCTCTCACGATACAAGGTTCTGACCTCGGTTGCATTGTCAGAGCCGCACGACTTTGCTCCATGATGCAGCTGAGGGACGAGGCAAGCGAAGCCTGGCCTAAAAGGGGGGGCGGGGCACAGGGCCAGAAAGGGAGCGGCGTGGCCCAGGGGATGCTGCATGAAAGAGGGAGAGCGACAATTGCCCTTGTTGGTTCCGAGGCCAATCTCCGCCCAGGGCCACCTCCGCCTTCTTCCCACCTCGGAGATCAAGATCATCACGGGCTGACCCACACACACACACACACACGCCCTCGACCCGACTGCCCCTCGCTCGCCCCCTTCTCCGCTCTGCAGTGCCTCACCTTTGCTACAATAACATCAGATCCTCGTCTTCATCTTCCTCCCTCGTCTACACTAGCATCATTCTACTCTTACTCCTCCTCCTTCAGCTCCTGTTTCCCCTCGTCAGCATCCTCGCGCTTGAAGAGAGACTTGTCTTACGTCCAACGCGTCTCAAGCCATCGTGACTAGGCTCCCATAGTCACTCCTCACTGTCCTTTCCTTGGCCCTCACGTCAATCCAAGAAGCATCGAGTAGACCTCTTCGCGTCGGCTCCTCACGCCCTTTACCAGCCGCGTCTGTCTCATAGCACAGCCGAGCCCAGCTTAAACTCCCTCTAGCACTCCTGCCTGTCGAGACTCTCGCTGACAGGCAGCCTCGATCATACCACCCACCACCCCCGCATCGCGACACGCGCCCTCCTTTCGTCAACATAGTCAGCATGAGCATCAAGTCTGAGCAGCTGACAGAGCCCTTCGGAGGGTTTGACTTCACCAATCCCTTCCCTGGAGCTGCAGCGTCTCATTGCAAGCAGCAACAACGCCCATCGGGCGTCTCGCGCGGACACTCGCGTACCGAGTCCTCTTCGTCGCGGAGACATAGCATACATCTTGACGGTTCCGATCACAAAGTCGAGTTCGACCTCAACTTCCTGTCGCAGGGCGCAGACAAAGCCACGTCCAATGACGACTTCGATTTCATGGCTACTTTCACACACCAGGACCAGTCCGAATTTCTGCTTTCTCCGCCGCGGATGACCGTTAGTCTCTCTCAGGGAGCCGCGACCCTGGAGACTCCTGGCAATCAGCAGGCCAAAAGGCATAGACTTGCTCCTTCAGACGCCATTGCTGGGGATGACGGGCATGCAAGGATGTCGAGGAGTGTCGGCAACAGTCCGAACCCAGATATGGCTTCCCTGGTGCTTGAGACACCTCCTCCGCGGCCTACCGGACAAGTGCAATCTTTCCTGCCTACATTTCACGGAGACTCGCTCGCCTCTATGATGCACACCCCTCACTCTAGTGCCGCGACGCAGACGCCCTTCTCTGCCAAGTCGACAGCCTCTTCCTCCTCTTACATGACGACACCTTCCCTACTAGACAGCGCTTCCTCCACGGCCAGCGAACGGTCAGTGCGCCGAATGTCCATTGGCATCCAGGACGGCTCCCCAGGTGTGCATCGTGCAATCCCAGGAGGTCTTCTGGGGGCTCGTAAGCGGCTAGGGCAGTACCCAGAGCCGCCAAAGTCCGCACCTCCCGTTGCCCCTCTGAACGCGATGCAGGTTGCACAGGACGCTGCGCGTCTGCAACATGGCCACCAGGGCAAAGTCGAGACACCCGAGAAGGGTGATAAGGCTAGCTTTGGCAAGGGTGGAGAGGTATGGCCAGATGATGTCGAGGTCGCTTTCTGGGAAGGTGAGTAGTCGACGCGTCGCGGACCATGCACCGTGAGCAATGGCAAGCTGACCCTACTGACTTTCTGTGATCTTGATGCTCAGCTCTCCGTCTCATTCCTAAGCTGGGCCGTCGAAAGGTTATCGTCAACGGCAAGCCATGCGGCCGCAACGAGCTCATTGCCGACTACATCGAGCGGAAAACGGGCAAGCTGCGCAGTCGTAAGCAAGTGTCTAGTCACATTCAAGTGCTCAAGAACATCAAAAAGGACGATCCCGAATTCCAGCATCTCATCGCCGAGCCCGTCACGGAGGAGGACTTCTACATCCCCGCCGGCGGAATGATGTATGCCCAGACATTGGCTGGCTATGGGTACGGCGGTCTCGGTGGACCCATGCCAATGCTCAGCGACAGTCCCATTTCTGGCAACGGCCACTTGACGCCTCACTCTCCATACCCAGGCTACAGCAACATGCCGTCACCCATTGGCGGCCACTCCCCCAGCTATGAAGCACCCCTCTCCGCCGGAATCACATCTGCATTCAACAACCTCGCACTACCCAGCCCTGGCCTCCCTTCTCGTTCCAACAGCACCTCAGTCGCACCTTGCCCAGTGCTGCCCGCTACGTTCTCAATGTGGGCGCATTGCTCCGATGCTGATGAGATTCATCTCTACACCTCGCTCAAGTACGACTCAATGGACGGCCATGCACAGCTGCCAAAGCTGCCACTGGACCTTCCCAAGCTTGCGGCCTACCGCTTCCCAAGGCTCCCCGAAATGTACCAGCAATTGCCATGTCAGTTCCTGCACATCGCGGTACCTATGTCCATCGCTCGACAGGACGCCCTCTTGCCAAACTTTGATCGCTTCTCGACGCAGCTGTCCCTGACTAGCTGCTCGGATGCCAAGCTCACCTCTGTCACGACCGTCTACTCGCATGGAAAGCGAGTCCTGTCCCTCGTTGAGCCCCTTGAAGCGCCACGCAAATTGACTCGCAACAGGCACAGGAAGAGCAATGCCGGTTCCGACAGCCGACAAGAGGGCAGTGCATCTCTGTTGCCCAATGCGCCGCATACGGAGAGCGAGATCACTACCTCGCCCATTAGCCAAGACGATGTTCCTGAGATCTCCTTCTCAGCCGCTGATGCTCCAGCGAGCTCACAGGGTGCCTCGCCTGCAGCTGGGTCCGCTGAGCACCGCTTCTGCCACCAGGCGCCCTTTGCGACTGACTTCTGGGCTGACTTCCTGAGCCGCAACCATCCTGTGCACATCAACCGAGGTCGCGGGTCTCAGCAGTCTTTCTGCAAAGAGCCCTCGGAGCGTGCAGCCCTTGGTATGGCCGTCTCCGGCATTACCATTATCCAGGAGCTCGTTGATGCCAACAATGGTACTGCAAGGGAGACCGAAGGCTCTCAGGGTTCCTTAGTGAATGTGAGCCCAGGCAGCTCCATCGGGGACGTGGTCCTTGTTGTTGCGTGGGAGCTCGAGTGTGTTGAGGCACTTGGCGGTCGACCGGGCACACCCACTGTGTCTCTGATTTCCGAGCCTTCCCAGAGGGTCTCGCCCATGATGGGCGGCGCCGGTCAATCGCTGGCCCTGCCACCTCACCAGCAGTTTGCGGGCTACTCGATGGGCAATGCTCAGCACCAACAGCTTCGTTCGCCGATGCCCTCGCCTCTCCCCTTTGGCCAGCACCCTCAGCATTCTCAGCAAGTCCATCTCAACTTTCAAGCTCCTCATCAGCCCCGACAAGCTCCTCCTTCGCGACTCCAGCATCAGCACCAGCCTGAGCAGGAGGGCAGTCCCATTGGACCAACGCTGCTTCGCAAGCGAGGACTCTCGAACAACAAGCCCAGTCTGATGCTCAACATTCCCTCCGCTCAATCGTCCCATGCGATGAACCGGTCATCTAGCCCGCACGGGCAAGCTAGCCCTCATACCCTAGCCTGGGGTATGATGCAGAGGAACGCGATGTACGGGCCCAACAGCCCCATGACCCCCGCCGCCGCTCTCATTGGAACGCCCAGCATGCCACCTCCCTTGCCTTCGGAGGAAGACGCAAAGGCTCACCGCGAACGTCTGAACCGAGCCTGGGCTGCTTCTGCAGGAAGCGAGCAGCGCATCAACAACAATGGCTTTGATGCGTCTCCGTTGCCCACCAGCACCTTCGGCACGCTCCCCAACGTTAGGCCACAGGACAATCAGACGGACGAGACTATCGCTGCGGTCATGAAGAAGTTTGCACTGGCCTACTCGCAGCAGTCGACCCCTCAGCCACAGCCACATCAGCCATTGGGTCAGCAGCAACAACCCACGTACTTTGACAGCATGCCCACGTCCAGCAGCGCTACTTTCAACACTTCCCACGAGACAGGTGCGTCGGCTTCTGCTGGCTCTGGCAGCCTTGGTCTCAGTTTCGATGGCGACTTTGACAGCAGTCACTCCAGCAACGGCAGTGGTAGCATGCTGGACATGAGCATGGAGAACGATTTCCTACCTTCTCACGACCACTCTCATCCTCAATACCATTCGGGAACCCAATTCAATCATTCTCAACAACCTCTAGGACCCGTAGCTCAAGCTCAACAACAACAACATCTTCATCATCAACATCAGGAAGATCACGACACCAAAGACTTCATTGACGACCTTCTCAAGAAGATTGGCATCCAAATCCCTAGCGTGGGGGAGAGTCAGTAAGGCGATGACCACCCTGCATCCCATTCAACCACGTCTCAATGCAACGCACAGCCAGCCGTCACGCTGCTCCTTCAAGTCGGATCTCTGCCCCCTCTTCGTCACTCTTGCATCGCTCCGCTTCCTATTCTATCGCATCGCATTGGTCTGCTCCTGTTCTCTACCTTTCCCTTCTCTTGTAGCTCTATACCTGCACCCTTTTTTTTTTCCCCCCTCTGAGCTGGATCCGAGATCCATCTCCACTCTCGCTCTCGCTCTCGCTCTGGAATCACTTCTCGCTCTCCTTGTCCGTTCTGTCGCACAACCTCCTCCCTCTCCCAACCTCACCTCAAGTCGCTCCTTACTGTTCCATTCCACTTCCATTCCACTCCTCTTCTGTCTGGTCAGTTCGATGTCGCTTTCCCTTCCTGTCTTTTTCTTTCCCATTTCCCATGCCCCCCTTTTCTTCTTTCTCTCTCTCACACACACTTTTACGAAATCGAAATGAAAACGAAGAACTTATGAATGGATGAATGGAAATTTCTTTGCTTTGCACGCTTGTCACTTGTCACTCGTCACTTGTCACTCGTCACTCGTCACTTGTCACTCGTCACTCGTCACGCTTCTGGTCTGGTCTGTCTGTCTGTCTGGTCTGTCTGTCTGTCTGTCTTGCCCTATCGTGACCTGCCCTATCCTGCCCTGCCCTGCCCTGTCCTGTCCTGTCGGTTACCTTTGCATACACACACGTCCTCCACACGCCCTCAGCCTAGCGCACGAATCCGAATCCGAATCTGCTCCTTCATGAGAGATTTCCTAAATAGATGATATGGGTGGTTGATTTGTCGTGTCGAATCAAGAGGTGAGCATACGTATGGATGAGACCAACGACGATGAGAGAAAAAGAGACAGTAAACTCTTAGCCCATATAAATTCTGATTCTATTCGAGTGACAGTGTATATACCGAGTCCCGTACCTAACAGGAATTCAAAGTCGAAGCTTGAAGCATGAAGCAGGGAGCGCTCCCTTGCCCTTGGCACCTTGCCTTTCCTGGAGAGCTGCTCATTCCCTACCACTACTCCTGGCTCCCACCGCCCCCTCTTCCCCACCAGCAAGATCTGCGCTGCCCTCATCTCCATCCTCTTTATGAATCGACCCACCCCCTCCTCCACTTCCCACCCCTCCCGACCCAGGAGCAGGGGAATCCGTCCCGCTCCCACCCACCAGTCGATGGTAGCTCCTTCGCTTGGGGTCATTCTGCCGCTGCTTGAGGTGCTTCTTGCTTGCATTTGAGGGTTGGACCACCACTACGGGGACTGGGGAGCGAGAGAGGATGTCGCGGGAGGAACCGCCAATCATGGGCCCGCCGAGGATCTTTTGGAAGGTGGAGACGGAACGACCTCGTGTGCCGATGGTGAGGGAGTCGGGGCGGTACCTTTTTGCGTCGATGGGAATAGAAGGGGTAGGTGAGCACTTGTTAGATAGTAAGAGAGCCGCTCGGAGGACTTACATGTGGATCAGACGGATGATCGTGCTTGTTACCGTCCCAGCCAGGAATTCAACAACGATTGATATCTGGTCGAGAGGCGAGGTAAGGCAAGGTCAAGATCGTATGCGAAGATGATGCAGAGGTTTCATCTGAGGCTCACCTTCCGATCTGCGACCTCTTCATTGAGCATTAGCAGCTTGGCCATTAGCTCCTTGGCATCTTCTCGAGCTTGTTCCTGGTCGATCTCTGTGCAAAGGAGGGCAGAGCTGAGATCAGAGTCATACAGGAGCCGAAAGATCCTCATGGGGAGCTCTGACTCACCATCTGGATCTCCCTCGAGGACGGTCACTGTCACGATCTCGTCGTTGTCCTCGATCTGATCAGGATAGTGATAGAGTGAGTCAGCTTTTACCTCTTCACCTGCCAGCCAAACTGGCTCTTTCCTGACTCACCAGACTCTCCATGAGCCACTCCATTGCCCTCTCCGAATACGCTTCCTCATCCACGGCACACATGAATGTCCTAGTATTCCTCGTCCTAGTATAACCATGACTCTTCACCTGCAACGTGAATCCGAATGTCCCCGAAGCCGTCTCGTCTGCATCTACCATGGAATCGAACCCCACCCTTCGCTCGTAGCCAGGCTTGATATCTGCGCTTAACCCACCTGAAGAAGCGGTGCGACTGTTCGAGGGTAGCGCTGGTCCTGCCCCTAATCTACCGCCGTAATTGGGGCGCGAGGGACGCTTGAGGATGCTCGATGGGCCAGTGTGAGAGTAAGTCTCCTCCTCGATTGAGGATACGCTCCCCCTCTTTCCTGCAGAAGGTGCAGTAGAGCCATCATCTGGCGTCTGGCTAGTCGAGGGGACCGAATCTGAGCTTGCCCTGCGCAGGTGAGCTGGCCTAGAAGCCGGGTGCAGATCCGAGGGTGCTACATGCTCTGGATGACTACCGGAGCTAAAGTGGATAGCACTCGAGGAGGCCGAGGCGGGGCGTGTACTATTGGCGCTGCTGTTGACTAGACCGCTGAGGTGTGGTGTGCTGTGTGAGGTTGCGAGGCCGTCTGGTGTTCCTGGTCTGGAGGCTGGGTGGAGGGATGAGGACTTGAGGATGGAAGGCAGTGCTCCTGGCGCGGGAGAGTGTTCGGGCGATGTTGGAGGAGACCTTGTGTGGTCATCAGAGCCGCTGAGGAGAGGCGGAGCTGCTTCAGTCTGTTCCATGCTGCGGAATCAGACGATGTGGTAGACCTGCGTACCGTAGCGGTGGGAGTAGAGGGGACCAGGTATGCTGTCGTCTATCACTGCTGCCATTCGTCCAGCCAAGGCCAAGAAGCGCCGCCTCCCCGCACGGCGCCCCGCCAAATGGCTGCAGCGCAGACGAAGCGGAAAGAGGAAGAAGCAGCCACGGCCAGAAGCACTTGACTCGCAAGACACTGTAGACTAGAGAGAAGGGCCTCTGCTCACTCTTCTCTTTCCCCCCATATCAAGCATATCAGCATCACAACATGGCCTCATCATCCTCATCATCCTCTTCCTCAGGAGCAGAGGCAATCGCAAGGAGAGCCAAGATCGCATTCGAAGAGGCGCAGAAGAGGCTGCCTGGTGGGACAGAGGCAGATGCAGCAAGGGCAAGGGCACTCGCTCAGATCCGAGTCGCACTGGAACAGGCAAAGGAGGAGATCAGGGAAGCAAATGCAAGGGACATGGAAGTGAGTGAAAGAAGGTAGCAGAAGTGTGTTGGAAGAGGTAAGCTCATCACTTCGCCCCGGTTTCGTATGAGCAGGCAGCACGGGTACAAGTCTCAGCAGGTACCCTCACCTCCTCGCTCGTTTCTCGTCTGGATCTCTTCAGCAAGCCCGGCAAATGGGAGTCGATGCTCCAAGGTGTCTCAGAGGTAGCTCAGCTCCCCACCCCCCTCGATGCCTGTACCTATGCTCGCCGTCTGGCAGATGCAGACCCAAAGTCTGGTTCAGGCGCTCTAGATCTGTACCGCGTCACTTGCCCCATCGGCGTGCTGCTGTGCATCTTTGAAGCTCGTCCAGAGGTGATCATCAATATCGCTTCCCTGGCCATCAAATCTGGCAATGCTGCTATCCTCAAGGGAGGTAAAGAGTCGAAGCTCACTGCAGCTGTCATGTCCAGAGTTCTGGCACAGGCATTGGGTCAGACGGAGTTGCCTGCCGATTTGATCCAGACGGTGGAGACGAGGCAAGATGTGGCTGACTTGCTTCATCAAGATCGATACATTGACTTGGTTGTGCCAAGAGGTAGTAATGAGCTGGTGAGGAGCATACAGAGGGAGGCCAGAATGCCCGTCATGGGACACGCAGATGGGTTGTGTGCGGCGTATATTCACGAGAATGCAGAATTGGAAGGAACTGTTGGAAGCATCCTGGACGCAAAGGTGAGGATTCAGGCCAGAGAAAAGGCTTCGAAAGCGCCAGCAGCAACTGACGATCAATCCTCTCTCCTTTCCCCTCTAGCTCGATTACCCTGCAGCATGCAACGCAGTGGAAACGTTGCTCCTCCACCGTTCCCTCCTGGATCCATCCCATCCGAACGCCCGTCTATGGCCCGCTCTGGGCCAAGCTCTCCTGCGCTCCAAAGTCACACTACACTGCGATGCCTCCTCCCGCGAAGCCTTGCTCGCCTCTCTTTCGGGGGACGCCTCCCCCCTGTCCTCTGGGGTGGTGGAAGCAACGCCCGCAGACTTTGATACGGAGTTCCTCGATCTAGAGCTGGCAGTCAAGGTCGTCTCTGGGCCCGAAGAGGCAATTGACCATATCAACACGCACGGCTCGCACCATACCGATGCCATTTTCTGCAAATCCCTCTCTTCTTCCCACTCTACGAGCTCAAGTTCATCAGCCTCAGAGCACGAGCACCCAATCGCAGCACTCTTCGCTCGCTCCCTCTCCTCGGCCAACATCTTCATCAATTGCTCCACCCGCTTCGCCGATGGGTTCAGATACGGCTTTGGAACCGAAGTTGGAATCTCTACCGGACGTACACATGCGCGGGGACCAGTAGGACTAGAAGGGTTGGTGACGTACAAGTATGTCGCCAGGGCAGAGGGAAAGGGAGTACAGGCTGCGGGGAGCTTTGCGGGCGGTCAAGGGGAGGCGAGGAGCTGGGCGCATACGGAGATTGCGAAGAGGTATCCGACATTCTGAAAGCAGAGACACAGCTTGTGACAGGGGCACGATGTTTCACTTGTAGGAGGGGGGTATAGAAGAGCTCCTGGGTAACGCAAATATAGAGACGATGGTATATAAAGCAGCGTGCAGACCAATTACCCGCCGAGCACGCCTCTTCACGCCATCCGGCCCGCATCAGGCGCGTCGTGTCCTTGGGAGCGCTGTCGCACAGATGGCATGCCCGGCATCGCGTCCGGCATAGGTCTCGAAGCAAAAGACTGGCTAGGCGTGCTCACACCGCTGCTGAGCCCCTCGACGGGATACACCCCTGCTACATCAGCGGGGCCTGGCTTCTTCTCGTCCATCAGAATATACTCGGCCGGGTCACTCGTGGCGTCTCCTCTACCACCTTCGTCGACATCGCCCCCCTTAGCGGGTCCGCTCTGCGTAGCTGGAGAGGGAGGCTCCACCATTGCCACTTTGGTCACGGGGCCCCCGCTCGCCGGGTCTCCCGCTGGGCCAAAGATGTGCAATTCGGCAAGAAAGGCCTTGAATGCGCATATCCACCTGTTACGTCTACGGGCTTTGAGGTCCGGATCCTGCCAGTTGCTCTTGTACCGTATCCCAGCCGCAACGGTCATCTTCGTCTGATCCCCTAGAGAGGTAATGGTAATGTTCAGACCTGGGAGAAAATCGCGACCTTGCCCTTCGAGCCAGCTGACCATCTTTGCCCGCAGAGCTTCGAGTTGGGAGAGCGAGGTGGAGTAGGCTAGGTCGATGGAGAATTGCTCACTGCAGGAGCCGGAGCGTCGGTGATTGATGATGGCCTTTTGAGCCAGTTGGGCGTTTGAGATTTGCACGTATCTGCCTTGCGAGTCGCGGAAGGTCGTGGAGAGGAGGTACATCTCTGCGACGGTATAGCTGACCAAGTTCGCGCCACAGACGTCAGAGACATCTACCGAGTCTCCGGTACTAGTCGGAGGGAGAAAGGTAATGGGCAGGTAGGGTGAGCGAGCTGTGGGCCACTGAGACATCTTGACCAACTTACTCGTAGGGATGCTTGATGATGAGGAGCACGATAGCACCGAATGTCTCGGCAGCTGAAGCCGAGAAAAGCCAAGAGAGACCTAGGACAACGGCGCTGAGAGAGGTGACCAGATTGGCAAAGGTAGTACTGAGCATAGCGGCAATCTAAATACGACGACACAAAGAGAAAATGTAAGTATCAGTGGCGTTGCTTTCTCACCTGCTGCTGCTGAGGCTAATGTGCTCACCAATACCGCTGCCAGCAAGACGTAGAAGCTCATGAACGCCTTGTCCAGACTGTTCACCGCCGAGTCCACATCATGCATTGAGTCAATGAGGGTTATCCTGGCATGTCTCATCTCCAAACAGCTGCTCTCCATCTCCTCGTGCGTGATGCTGCCATTACTGTCCTTGTCAAGCGTCTCAAAAGCCGCAGAGGCTGTAGTGGGATCTGGAAAGAAGCCAGCAAAGTCCTCAGTACTCAAGAGCCATGGTGCAGAAGGATCAGTAGGGTCCGGCCGTGAAAGGGCCTGAAATAAGCGATGGGCGAACTGCAGTGGGAGAGCAAGTGTATAGGAGGATGTTAGGCGGCTGCCGCAAGAAGCGGGGCTAGCTGACTCACCTTTCTCGTCTCGCCCGCGGAATAGAAGGCATTCAACACAATATGCTCCGCAGCGTCCTCGTCTGCGTGGTACTGATCGGCGACAAGACCAATCGCAGCCGTACCCAAGACGGTATATGTGTCCCTGCGTCGCTTCTTCTGCCCTGGGGTCCAGTCAGTGAGGTTCGGCGTCGCGCTGCCCTTCGTTTGAGAATTGGCGCGCGAGAGGTTGGGGGTACCGCGACGACCCAGCTGACGCGTCTGTCTCCACAGGGTAGCCAGAACAGCGATCTGGAATTGCGACAGAGCCACTCTGCGGAGGGTAGACATGTATAAGGCTCATGAAGTGTCAGCACCTGGAATGCACATAGTGACAGGCTTTTGCGATATTCACCTTTGCGAATAAGTGACTTGATGGAAGCTGAACGCGATGAGATGAATGCCGAGCTTGAACAAGAGAAGGAGGACTGAGCAAAGCATCACACCGAAGAAGAAGCGTGAGATAGTCACAAGGAGCTCCGTCGTAGAGTCTGTACCAGTCGCATCATTCGTGCTGATGTAGGTAATCGTGGAATTGCTGTTGTTGAGACTGCCTTCAAGGGGATTGGCAGCGCTGTTCGATGCAGTAGTCGTTGGAGTCTGATAGTGATCCCAGATCAGAGTCAGCCAAAGGGCGTAGACGAAGATCGATTGAAAGACAATGGCAAGGTAGCCCTCGCAAGCGATGAGGTAGTCAGGGATGCGCCGTACGCCATAGTGGTACGTGATGCTCGTAGGCCCAAGGAATCGCTTGAATAGACGTGGGAAGAAGCCAGCGACGGCTCTACAGACAAAGCCTCCTACCCATATACAGCTGAGCCAGCAGGACCACCAGAATGTACCCGTGTTCCAGACCGTAGGTCGTGCAAAGTTGTTTGCAGGTCGGGCATCGTATGCTGCAAGGGCGACAATTCCGGGCACCCAAAGGAGCGCGGTGACGGGCAGAACGTAGGCTAGCCAGCGCGGGATTGACATGCCTTTGGAGGTAGCCATAACCCAGGAGAATGGCTGGGATGCGAAGGTGAATGAGGAGCTGGTCAGCGGCAAGTTCACCAACTCAGGGATGCGAAATCGCCTGCTTGCACAACATCGTAGACTCACCCCAAGAGACTGCTTCGAAACGTCCGTCATCGGACCATCAGCCGCCACTCGCACTACAGAAGGCTGGCCTTGGTATCCAGCCTGCTTCATCAGACTAGCCCACTGCCATTGTTCGCGTCCGCCGCCATTCCTAGTATGCCGAGGTGTGTCCGCCCTCGGCTTCTCATTTAGATCCTCGCCGCTCGACTGAGCAGGCGAGTCTCGTCCAGATCGATCACCGCTTCGACCGCGGTTGCTTCGGCCAGCTGTAGCAGAGGACATGCGGACATGTTGAGGGAGCGCAGAGGCGGGTTGATCTGTCGTAGGGCCGTAGGGCCGACCAGGCGGTAGGTTTTGCGTTTGTGCAGTTCCAGAGGGCACCTCACCCAATGGTTGGGCAGGCGCACTCATCGCAACGAGGAAGGGAGAGCCAGATTGCAGGCAGGTGGACAACTATCGAAGCAGGGCTACAGTCGTCATACGATACGGTTAAGGCCAGGGAGGCGAGCTGAGGTGGCTGTGTAGCCAGCTGAGGAGCAGGGGTGAAGCCGGAGCGTCAAGGTGTTTGGTCTGGAAGGCCTCGGGCTTCCGCACCCAGAAAATCAAAGTGGGCCGAGCGAGAGCAACGGAAAGGGCTCGCTGAGCTCGGTCAACCAAATCAGACCATGAATGGACACCACACAAACAGTCTGACAGACGAGTAGATTGAGTCAGAAGAGACTGAGAGGTGGTCTGGCCTCGAATATGAACAAAGACTGGCCCTTCGTAGAGCTGTCATCACGATCTGAGCTGATCTTCTCCAACTCCCACTGTGCCATCAGCAAAGAACTTCTTCTGCTCTCCACACACTGGGTTGATGCATCCTGGACACCTGATCTGCATCTGCCTCGACGTTCTGCCCTGGTTCCACGTCTCCACTGCGCCGCTCCTGGTCGTTTCTGTGGAAGTGGTACCGTCCATGGTGTCCAGATGCGAAGCGGCAATGTCTGCTAGCGCCTTGATGAAGAGGGGGTGGTCGTTGAGAGACTCTGCTCGCTTTAGGGTCATGCCGTGCTCCTCTGCTTCCTCTACCAGCTCTTGGTCGAGCTCGTAAAGAGTTTCGATGTGGTCCCTGGTAATCGGAAGAGTAGAAGCAAGCAGTCAGCTCTCCATCAACGCCTCCTGGTCAGTACGACTTTCACTCACTGTGTGAAGGCGATCGGCACCACAACGGCGTCCTTGTAGCCTTGCTTAGCCCATCCCTTGACCGTATCGCTCGTCTGAGGTCCGAGCCAAGCGGAGGGACCAACCTGACTCTGCCAGGTAAGTCGGTATGGGTTCGACCAGCGCAGTCGGCTCATCACTCCCGCCACAGTGGCAGCCACTTCAGCTGGGTATGGGTCGCCTCGTCCAGACACGATTTGCATGGGCAGCGAATGGGCCGAGAACATGATAGGGACAGTGGCGCGAACGTCCTCGGGATACGTGTTGAGTACATCCCGCACTCTTTGTGTGAAAGTCTGCGAGAGAAAGAGGTGCAATAGCGAGATCAGTATGCGCTCGCCGTCGCTCCCCTCTACCGAATTGCGTGACTCACTTCGATGAGACCCTCGTGAGTCGGCCACCTGTCGATGATGCTCCAGTCGATGTTGCCCTCTGGCGCTCCCCTCTCCTTCCTCCTCATGATCTCCCGGTACAGCTCATTCAGGTTGCTGCCAGTAGTACTGCAACTGTACTGTGGATACTGCGTAAATGCCACTGCCCTCTGGACTCCATCGGCCGCCATCTCATCCAGAGCTTCCTCTGTCAGAGGCCTAGCGTAGCGGAAGGCTACGTACGTCTTGTGAGGCGCCGTCTCGGGATGAATCTCGTCCAGCAGCTTGCACATCTCTGCACCCTGCAGCTTGGTCCACCGTAGAATAGGGCTGCCTCCTCCGATCTTGCGGTACTGCTCCACAATCTTCGGTGTCCGTCTTCCAGCAATGAGAGGAGCGAGACGCTTCTGCCAGGGTAGCTGAATAAGGTCTCGGTCGTGGAACAGGCGAGAGAGGAAGTCTCCAACTTCGGGGAGGGTGGTTGGCCCACCCATGTTCATCATCAGGATTGCAGTGGGTGGACGAGTGGGAGTGTGAGTGGCGAGAGAGCGGGTGAGGGATGGCGAGGGAGTGGCCGAGCTGGCGTTGGCTGCTTTGCTAGTCGTTGCTGAGGTAGTGGCGGTGGACGGGGCCGTGATGGAGGTCGAGACCCTCCTAGAGGACGCCTTCGAGGCGGTAGCAGCGAAGGCTGACCGCGGGGCAAGCCTTCTGACAGAAGACGAAGCTGCCATGCTTCGGGACAGAGAAGCCATGGTGACGATGGCGTTCAAAAGTGGTGGTGATGAGGAAGCGTAAGAATGGTAGAGGCGAGGAAGAAGTGGAAAGCTGGACCCGGCTGCGTCTGCAATCGCAATGCCAATCCGTTCGCCGACGCCTTTCCGGAGTGGCATGACAAATCACCACGCCCCGCGAGCCCAACACCTCACGAACGCAGACACGCTACAAAGAGATCGACGAGACAAATTCAGAGCTAGACGCTCGCAAAAGACCTCGCTGAGAGGTCCCTGGTATAGTTGCACAAAGCACAGCAAAGTGACGAGAGCAAATAGTGATTGCATTGATGATGGGTTTATGGACATTCAGAGACTTTGGCATTTGACCCGCCTAGCAGCGGCATCTTTCTTGATGGGAGGACACAGTTACGCACAGCTCATACACCGACCTGCCTTCTTTGCTGCTCCCCTGACCTTCGTCCATAGCGACTCCTTTTTCTGCACCAATTTTGGCGAAGCAGGCGGTGGAGGCGAAGGCTTCAGCCAACTTGGTGTACTCAAAGGTGGGCTCCAATCGGGGATGGGGGTCCCTACTACAACGTGATGCAGAGGTCCTCCGGGCGAAGATGGGTCAGGACTTGGAGGAGCTATTCTATGCATTACTTTCTGGATGCGGTTGCGACTTCTGCGACGCCGACGAGCTTCACGGATTGGAGACTTGGGTCGAGGTGGCGAGTAATTCAATTCGGGCAAACTGTGGAAGGACTTGACAGAAACGGGAGAGGTAATAGAGGAGCTGGGCGAGTAGACGGGAACGCTGTCGCCACGGCCTGCATGGTAAAGATCGCCGTATGCTCGGGTAGCGAGCCACACCGTTGAGGAGAATGCGTCCCCTGGAAGAATGCCCAAGATACAGAGAAGGAGCAGGGTCAGATGCCACTGCCAAGAAGTTGACATGACGGGTCTTGAGGTATAGGGTTGTCTAGAAGAAGATCAAGCATTCGTACGAAGAGGTGTATGGAGACGATCGAGGCGAGAGACCAGCTCTTAACAAAGAAGATGGGTAGTGCGGTGACAGACCAGAAGTCAAAGATCCTGGTCTTATTGTGGCGCTATTCGAAGGCAAGCGGGGTATCAGAGGCGGTTGCTGCAAGGTAGCTGCTCCATGGGGGCCGGAGTATTCTGGTCACGGACGGAGGGTCCCGTTTGGTCCGAGTCGCACGCCCCAATCGCCTTCGTACTTGCGCAAGTGAGTCCCTACGTATCATCTCCGCGCAAGCGCTACGAGTGCCAGAGGCAACAAGAAGCACAGACTGGATAGCACGAGCGCAATTGCGAGCGGAGCGACGTGGTGATGCCAAACGGGCACAATTGGTCGCAAAGATTGTGTCGGCGGGGCTTTCGGTTGCTGCCACCGACGGGCCAGCTCGGCAAGTCATTTGCTATTGCGGTTGGGATCCGGTACATTCGGCAGCGCTACATTGAAGCGTCCGAAAAGTGAGAGTGTATGTGCCTGTACGGGCGAGACTTCGACCTGGAATGGAGCATACGGCCGCGATTCTGGGGAAGAGGCGTGTAAGGGTTAGAAGATACTCCGATCATTCTCGTCGCCAGCATGAGGTCACTCACCACCGTCAATGGACACAAGGCCTCCTTTCTTTAAAGTCGCGTCCCCACTTGCCAAGCGAGGCGTCACACGGTAGGCCTCTACTTTGAGATAGACGACTGCAGAATCATAGACCACTGTGCCGCTCTCTGCATCGTTGATTGCGCGTAGTTTGGCGGCTCTGCCACCATCATGAAGAATGAGGGCAACATCGACAGTGCCATCGCCAGGAAGTGCAAAGGGGAATTGCATGAGGTCTCGAGAAACGAAAGGTATCTTGCCGGCATAGAGAGTTGAGACCGGCGCTGAAAGGCGAACCCACGTCTCTGCGGGCGGATCAACAGAAGGCTGTGGCGAGCCTGCAGACTTCGATAGAATATTATGGGGCCAGGACGGATCCAGAGCGGAAAGTATGGGCAGAGGCTTGCCGTCCTCCTCCAATTTGTCTGTCACCACGCCATGCCGAAGAGCAGGCATCTCTGACGCCAACTCTTCGCGTGTTGATGTACCATTCGTCTCGATCGCGTCTTCACTCCATTGACCTCTTTCGTTGAACTTTGTGACCTTTTCCCTCATCTCCTGCTTGTCCTTGCTCCCCTTTCTGCCGAGCTTGACATCGATGTCGATGGGGCACTTCTTATTTGCGATGACACCTTGTATGTAGCCCAGCACGAAGCGAGTGTCTCCCATAGCTCGCAGATGCTCGGTACCCAGGTCGATGTCGGCCATGAGGCCAATTGCCTGACTTACCAATGAGTAGTACTGGTCGTATGGCAAATCAGGAGCCGAGGCAAGGGGTGTTGCCGTTGCGTCTGTCTGAGCAGTAGAGGGCTCCACTTCCAGATTCGTAGCTTGAGTTTGACTGACTGCGGAAGGCGTCTTTCTGGACAAGCTCTTCTTTGATCGATCGACTGCCTTTGGCTGAGTGACCACACAAACGTCCAGCGGCAGAGACCTGCCCTTGATGGCGTTGAGGGACGCAAATGCCAGGTTGAAACCATGCTCTGCGCCTAGCAGGTTGACAGCGAGCGCGTTCCCACTGCCAGTCGGGATAGGGCACATTGGCATCCTGAGCGCCTGGGCCGCATCGGCTCGGCGTGCAAAGCCATTGAGTACCTCGTGCGCGAGTCCGTCTCCGGATACCAGGACCACCGCATCATACTGATCGAGGACGAGTTCTTTGGCGATATCTGTACCGTGGTTGACCCGTGCGGTGACCTGTACATCGAGCTTGCAGCCTGCAGCTTCCAGGATCGGTCTCACTCTTGTCTGAAACAGCTGACGCGCTTTGCCTGGACCTCCAACTGGATTGACGAGGACTTTGAGTCGACGATACGGCTTGACATCCCGATACGACCGAGCCATGAGCTCCTCAACCCACTGAAGGGCGGAGCCTGCATCTGTTGAAGCCCTCGCCTCGATTTTGAGAAGCTTCAGCTTCTGACATGGACCTTCTAACTGGTGGAGCAGGCGCTCGGAGCGGACTTTCGGCGTGGTGGAGCCTGTAGTAGGGCCAAAGGACCTTTGGACTGCCGCCACTTCGCTTGCTGCTGACTTGACCTTGCCAAAAGGGAGGAGTGGATTTGACTGATGAGATGGTGGAGCCAACAGCCGGATGAAGAGCGAGCCCCCGTCCGAGTCTTCGACGAAGGAGGCGTTGAGCACTAGGTCAAGAGGTACGCAGGTGAAGGCCGAGCTCGGGTCTACGAGAAGTGCAAGGAGAGACGCGGAGGACATCAGCCCGTGAGATGATTCAGCTGACAGGCGAACTTTGACTTACCATTGACGTGGGCCTTGCTGCTGCTACTGCTGGTACTGCCGCCGGACTTGGTGAGCCAGAAGAGGGATTGGTCGAAGCTTAGCGTGGCTCGGCTGCCCTGCAACGAGACCGGCAACGATTGAACGGAGGGCTCTGATCCCTCCTTGCCTATTGCGACAGTATCCGTAACCGTCGCTGCTGCCATACTGATAGTGCCGAGGGTCGGCGAAAGGAAACGGGGAAGGTCAGTAAAGAGGGGGCGAGGTCCGGATCGCCGTCAGGATGGGGACTTGGGCCAAGCGGAAAGCGGAAGTGGCGCGTCGTCGCGCAAGACGGAAAGAGGACCGACCACGAAGGAGCCGTGCGTACGGAGGATCTGAGGAACATGTTTCCCCAACAGCTTGTCTACCCTTTGCACACGAACAGTTATCATGAGCGACAAGCTGGAGCGGTAGAAATATTTTCGTGAGACAAAAGGCAGTCCTGGAACACTCAGATCGCCCGAAATGCGCTTTCGTACGACCTTGGTGGACATCAACACCCTCACTCGCATCATCCAGACGATTCACAAGGTCTCGCCCCGCTGCTTGATCCGCTTAGAAGGCGAGCACGTCCGCTTCATCTGTACTGCAGAGGCAGACGGAGTGTCCATATGGTCTCAGATCTCCGTAGAGTACTTCTTCAAGGACTACAGAGTCGAGTCGAATTACAATAATGAGATCAATTTCGAGATCAATACGGATACTCTCTTGCAGGCATTGAGGTCTGCTCAGAATGCTGTGGATGTCATGATGAGGCTCGCAAAGAGGGACAAGGAGCCTCTGTTGAGCTTCGCGATCGCCAACATGGTGAGTCGCAGTGCGTTGCGGTGGCAACACATGAGTCTGAGCTTTACCATTCCGTTGTTTCTCCTCTTGGCCTGACAGTCCTCCCGCGGTGTCCGTCTCGAAATCGTTCAAGACATCCTCATTAAAGTTCTTCGACCTGCCGAAGCAGGGCGCATCAAGGAGCCTCTATGCCCAGATCCAGACGTCCACATCTACCTTCCAAAGCTGTACAAAGTGAGGACAGTCGCCGAGAGGATGAAGGCAGTCTCAAGCACCATCATCATCAGCGCCAATGGCAACGATGAATTTACAATGTCCGTAGAGGAGCCGGAGACTGCAATCGAGTGCACCTGGAAGAACTGTGGGCATCCCACGATCGCAGGTGAGTAGAGACAAACAGACGCCTCGCCTGTCGTCGCGTTCGAGTCACACGTGCTGATGTTTGCTTCTACTTCTGCTATGAAAGGCGCCGGAGCGCAGCAAGCGGACCCTTCACAACGCTTCAGCGTAAAGCTCGAGGCAAAATCTCTACTCAAGTTCCTCAGCAGTCACATTGTCGAATCGAGAACAGTGGCCTGCATCTGCTCAAACCACTGCGCGATCTTCTACGGTGAGTAACGCGGACAAGGCATCAGCAAGGCGCTTAGTTCGGTGCTGACAGCCTCTTCCTCGTTCGGCTTGTCTCTGCTAGTGTACGTGGGAGACAGCCGAAAACCTTCTGGCGTCCTGACAGTGAGTATGAGCGAGTGACGCGGTCACGGAGAGACTCCCAGCTGACCTATCTCCTCTTGCTCTATCTACCCTTGTAGTTCTTCATGCCGCACGTATCGGATGATTGAGCAGAGCACGACTCGCTGCAGTACCTGTCCTCCATCTCCTGTCGTATTAAGCCTGACCTGTGCGCCGCGCCTCGTCAGGTGTCGCTTCGTCTGCAATTTGTTGTATCATAGACCCATTACTTTGCACTGCCCGCGATGTCACTGCGCTCCTGATCGATGCTGAGAGAATCTTGCATTGCTTAGGTCTGCGACGCTAGTATTTACTTCTTGTCTGAACCACTCTTCTCTCCCTCGCTCCCGCTATCGCTGTCGATGAGACCCAACCTCATCACGCCTCCCGTTGCCCTCTGCTCGCCCTTTTCACGTTGCTCCTTTGCCTTCTTGATCTCGTGGTGGATGTAGTGCTCCTTCACTTGCTTTGCCCGAGCGATCTGAGGGGAGACAAGAGATGGGGCGAAGGGCGTCAGCATGGTTGTTGTTGGTCTGGGCGAAGTGAACTAACTCCATGCTTCTAGGGGAGTCATGCTAGTGGGCATAGGAGCGACCGCTTCCCGCTCCCAGTCTACTCCCTTGGACTCCCTCTGTCCACCACTTGGCTCGTCTCCCATCTCGATCACCCGTTTCACGCTAAGCCATGTTTCTACCAACATCAGCTTCCCTGAACCAGCTGCTGCCCATCATCGATCATCAAGCCCTCTCCCCAGCTTCCGACATTTTATCTGTCTGATGCCCCACAACAAATCTCTCTGATACGCTCGCCTACTCACCTCCTTTCCGTGATGCAAGCACTCCAGGTAGTCGTCCTTCTGAGGTACACACTCCGAAGGGTGATCCGCGACAGAGTAGCACTTCTGGAACTCTTGCCAGAAGGTGAAGCAGCGCGAGCGGCCGCCGGTAAATCCGAAGCCGGACTGTGGGGTGAGGAGGGTCAGTGGAGAAGGGACAGTGAAAGCGATGCGATTGGTGTCCACAGTGGCGATGAATGATCGAGGAAAGGAGCAGAGGCGGGAAGAATGATTGGGCGGTCAGTACCTCGCTATGGCTCGTTAGATGGTGTGTCCCCCCTAGAGGCCACGCCCAATGGGGAGCGCGAGACGCTCTGGGCCCCGGAAACCACGTTTCATGCCTGGTCCCTCCAGCAGCGACTGTTCGCTGACACTCACAGCCATGATGTGGAGAAGGAGGGTATGGAGGTGTGGGGATATCGGGTCAAGACACAGGCGGACGGAAGGGTGGTTGGTGGGTTGGGATTGGAAAGCGCCTGGCAGTGGTCCAGAGGCGGAGCCGAACGCCAGTTCCGATCCGCCTCAACCCCGCATGGCACTCGGAGAGACCTCGCGAACGGGATGTTGACAGATAAGGACAGGAAGCGAATACTACATGACAACCCGGGACGAAAACATCTTCGGCTGTGAAAGAGGAGCTTGAGGGTGAACGTGACCGTGCAGCATCTTGATGACCGATTGAGTAGACGGTTTTGCGCAACGAACTGACGTCGGGTGCACAGCAGAAATGAGTGAACGGCTCCAGACTTCCTGGCTCCACTCGATTTACGACGCGCCTTTCATGCTTGCGAGCTGCGATACCGTAATCGATATCGGCGAAGCGAGTGCCTTTGATTGAAGTGGCTGGTTGATGTCATTATCGATCGCTGGAAAGCACGACTGGCAAGGATTACGACGGACGAGATGCAAAGAATACAGTACGATGCGGCGGGCTACTGCAAGGGTACAAAAGATACATGGACGCTGTCCGAACGGAGCACTGGCAGTGTTCTAGATGGCGTTGCTAGCACAGGTGAAGGGTGTGCTGACAGACCCTGCGGCATAGTCATTGAGGATCTCCTGCACTGTGGCATAGATGCCTGGTCCGGTGATGAAGGCTCCCACGACGATGAGGAAGCAGTTCAGTGCCGTCTCTGCCTTGCGCAAGAGCGACTGACCCTTCCAAAGCTGGCCCTTCTTGATGTCGAAGTACGCGAAAGCCCTAGAAGGAGGCAGAGAAGAATGGTCAGAAGACCTGTTTACGATTAGCTTACATGTCCCTCTACTCACCAGAAGATGAACCCAAACCAGCCGTCGAACAAGGCCGACATCAGAGAGATCAGAGTGCCAAAGAACGGAATCGCTTCGCCAATGACCCATCCGAAGGCCCAAAGTCCGAATACGATGGTGATCCAGCCGGCCCAGCCGACGAAGGTATTGCTAGCGTAGTGCTTTGTGCCTCCGAAGATTCGAGCAAAGACCATCTTTGCGGCGGTACTGGGAGTGGTAAGAGGGGAGGTCGGGCAGACAGAGATCAGCCTATGCCTTGCTCTAGGTGAGCTGCGTCTGCAGGCGGTCAAGTCGCTCACCTTGCATAGATGATACCAATGATAATCGTCGTGGGCAGCACGAAAGAGAAGGCAATTTTCTTGTAGGTATCATCGAGTGACGCCACTGCTGGTGAACCAGTGTACTGTCCGGCGTAAAAGTAGACTACTATCCCGCAGAGTGTAAACAGCACGAACTCAGCTACGGTCACGGCATATAGTGCCTTGTGGAAGTCTTCAGGATGTGTGCACTCGCTGATGAAGGTAGGATACACGATTTGACCTGTCCATGTAAAGATCACGGAGAGGCATGCATCGAAGCCAGCAACGAATGTGGTGCCGGGGGGAGCAAAAGCCGTGATCCTCACAGGCTCTCCTTCGACAATGCCGGCAGGTTGACGGCCCTGAGCACCAGAGAAGGCCATGGTCAGAATGATGGCGATGAACATGGTGACTTGAAGAGGAGCAACCGCGGTCCAAGGAGGGGAGAAGGGAGGCAAGGGAATTGACAAACGCCAAGGTGTTTGACAAGCGGCGGGTGGTCAAGGTAAGTAAGTGGGCTCTCCCAAAGAGAAATGCTTCGAGGCTGCGACGATGTCACCACATCGTCGCAGGAACCTCTGCGTGATCATGTTGGGGAAGTCCAAGCCTCTTGTGCTAGGCAAGCAGATGTGGTCATAAAGGCGACCTGTCTCTGTGCGCCTTTGTAGACAAAGCGGTGGAGTCCCGGATAGCCCTGCCGTTCCCTTTCCCGCCGTTACTCCAGCGCTGCGAGCGTTCACCGTCTGCCATTCCCCATTGGCCCTTTACCTTCCGCCTTTCTCCTGGCTGCTCCCCTTCTCCCTCGTTCCTGACGCAGGCTCCAGTCCGACAGCAGCTTTGCACGACGCCGCACTCACCTGCAGAGACCATACCCATGACGGCAACATTGTCGAGCTTTCGAGGGAGCGTACCGACCGCGCAAACGAACATGATTAAGATGGCTATCCCAACGGTGCAGACCGATCCAGGACTCGCCAAAGTGTTGATGATTTCAGCCCCTGTCAAGGTATGGAGACCCATTAGGAAGGTGTTGTTTAGGACAAGAGCTAGAAAGGTGAGCTCGTAGGCGATGCGAGAGCCTCCAAATAGCTGCTTGCCAATGTCTGCAATGTGCAGCAGGTGAGGGTACTTGAGACAGTACTTGTGCAGCGTGAGAGATGTGTAGAGTGTGCTTATTCCGAGCAGCAGTACCGTCAAGATTCCTCCCGCCATGCCGAGCGTTGCGAACGCCCCGGGAAAGGAGAGGATAGCAAGGCAGACGTACTCTCCAAACAATAGTCCAGAGGCCTTCTGCCACGACATACTTCTGTAATTGATTTCTCCTGATTCTGTTCCCGAGTGGACAGAGTACACATCGGTCTTGTCTCGAGGCTGAGCGTTGATATCTCCCGCAACGGCCTCATCCTTTGCTGCCGGTGTCGTCTTCTTCTCGCCCTCGGCAGTCCCAATGGGGGCCGCCTGTCCGCTGTTGGAGCTGGCCGAGTCAATGGCAGTGGCATTCTCTTCGTCTTGCATCACAAAGGAGCGAGGTTCCGCTGCGGGTGAGCTCGCATCCTTTGGAGCCCTTCTGATTCCAAGAGGCATGGCTGATGCGGAAGGTGCCTTGCGGGCCGTAAGAGGGGTGGTATGGGGTGTTGTGTATCTAGACTACTTGGGTCATATAGAGTTGCTCAAAAGGTCCTAACAAGAATGTTCAGACAACGATAAAGGTGAGGTTGAGAGGTGGAGATGGGAAGATGAGACGTATGTTGCGAGAACCGCTCTATCCAAGCTCAAGCGCTGCTGCAGCAGCTCGTCGAATCGCAAATGTCAGCCTTCAGGCACAGGCGATCCGGGGTGGGGGTTTCGTTACTGCACTGCATCCTTGTGTCCGAGTGTGCTGCTGCTGCTGCTGTCTTGCATCTCCGCCGATTGTCTGGGCCAGGTCGGTGATGGATGGATGACCTTGGCGTTTGGAAGTAGGGTTTGAGGAACGACGGGAGAGGAGCCCTTCGCAGCGGAGCGGACCTCTGATGCGGCGGCACCCTCGCCGCCCGCCGCCGCCGCCGCCGCGCCCCTCTATCGGCCCCTTTTCCCGATGGCCGGCCGAGCGGTGATGTCAGAGGGACAAGGACGGGCGCAGGAACGAACGAGGCCACGCGACGCACCACTCTACTCTAGTCGCCGACGTCCCCGCACGGCTCAGCCGTAATACCGCTAGGCTCACCAGTAAAGCACACGCTACGAAGACATACTCTCTCTCACAAACATGTCCAAGGTGTCGCTGAGCTCTATCCCAACTGCCGCTGCGCTATACCAGGCTGGGAAGCTCAAGGCCGCGGCGGGCAAGTCGCAGCAGGCATTCGCAGGCCTGGCAGATCGCATCGGCTTGTGGCAGGGGTGAGTACGAGGAGCAGGGCGTGAACCGAATCTGTGTACACAACGCTGACGCCTGTCTCGCCATATCACTTTATCACTCTATAGAGACATTACAAAGCGTGAGTAGCAGCGCAGCTGTGCTCAAAGTCGTCATCTACTGGACACTGATGTCCCTGTCTCCATCCTCTTTGCAGTCGACGTCGGGGCAATCGTCAATGCGGCCAACACCAGCTTGCTAGGCGGAGGAGGTGTAGACGGCGCAATCCACCGAGCCGCCGGCAAGGACCTCCTAGCTGAGTGTCGTACCCTCAACGGCTGCGAGACGGGCGAGGCCAAGCTCACACGCGGCTATAACCTCCCGGCTCCCTATATCATCCATACCGTCGGCCCCGTCTATGCCAAGACGAAAGTCGAAGCTAGTCGAGAGAAGCTCGCGGGTGCATACCGCAATAGTCTGCTGCGCGCTGCTGAAAAGGGAGGAGAGATCAAGACGGTCGCCTTTCCCAGCATCTCGACGGGCGTCTATGGCTACCCGATCGAGGACGCTACGAGAGTCGCACTAGAGACTGTGGGGCAATTCTTGCAGTCCGAAGATGGAGCGGGATTGGAGAGGGTGATATTCTGCACCTTTAGCAAGGCAGACTATGAAGTGTACGAGAGGGGCGTGCCGGACTACTTCCCGCCTTCTTCGTGAAAGCACTGCTGTCCATCTCAAAAAGGCGCAACGCCGACGCGGGAAGATCTACAGAATCGTAGTGGTGGTGGTGCAAATGTTATTGATACAGATGATAGTGGGTCCGCACGTGGCTTCCCTCCGAACCTTCTCCAGGCCTCCGGCTCTCAGATGGACAGCGCGTCGAACCCCTCTGCCACCTCCTCGTGGTACGAATTCATGCTCCTCTTCCTCTTCGACTCCTTGTCCCTCGCTCCCGCATACGCCTTGGCACCTTTACGACTGCGAGCTCCCCTCTGCCCAGCAGCTGCAGAAGTGGTAGCGGCAGACAGCGCCGAAGACTTCTTCTTGTTCTTAGACCCCTTGACCTCGCCAGAGGATGTCAGGGGACAGATTTGATCCGCACCGATGTACGCTGAAGGCCGATCGCTCGCACGCGTAGAGCGAGGGGAAGAAGACGAGGAAGACCTGAAGGGTGTCCCGGTACCATCCATGGCCAGACCTGCCGAGGGGTCTGCAGGGGCAACGCGGCTCCATTGACCCCAGCCTCGCCTCTTGATCCATTTCCTCCTTCCAGTAGCCTCGTCTCGAGTCTCGAGCAGACTCAGGTCGTCCTCGCCGTCCTCATCTTCGTCCTCGTCCGCTTCCTCCTCTTCCTCCAGAGCCTCGCTAGCCTCGCCCCCCTTCACCCGCCTCGACGGAGCAGCCATTTCGACGGGATCTTGACTCCACAGGTCCGCCCAAGAGCTTTTCCTCACTTCGTGGTACGTCTGCTTCCCCGCCGCCTTCGAAATGGTATAGCGCTGAATCGAGCCATTGGAGTGACAGGCATCAAACGTCACATGACCGCCCTTTTTGATCGGAGGCATAACGATGCGCGGGAGCGACGGCACCAGAAGCGAGACTGCCGAGGCTACGTCAGATGCAGAGGGCTCTGGGTGACCACTGGTAGACGCATCCAGATCCTCTGGCCGAGCTTCATTAGTAGCCAACAACGCCGACAGCCAGTCTTCGTTGTGCTCTGCTCCAGTCGTAGCTTCGGCTTCCTCGATCTCTGCTTGCTCTGCCTTGGCCGAATCTGCTGCTTCGGCGCTGGCTGCCCAGACGTCTGCACCGTCAGTGTTCGTCTTGTGACCTTGCAATGCGGCAGCAGCGGCTCGCTCTAAAAGGTCCTGATCTTGTGGGAGTTGCTGCTCTCCCGCCTCGTTCTCTCCCTCTCGCGATGCACTGAGAGCTTGTTGTAGGTCAGGTGGAAGCAACTTGAAGAGCTCCCCTGAAGGTGAAAGATCCCCTTGTAGGTCCGTCTCGCCTCCCTCGATGTCTACCACGTCTTCTGGCAGCCGGCGAGGCAAAGAGTCGCCCCTTCTCACCTCTTCGATGGGTCCTCGACGAGCATACGGCACGGCCGCTTCCACACTCTGCGCCGCTTCGCTTCCCTCCTGCCTCAATGAGTCCATAGTAGGCCTCTCCCCTCGCTTGACCACGACGTACGCCATGCGAGCACTGCGCTCTTCCCTTCCACCCTTTTCCCTCTTTCTCCGTCTGTCCTCGCTGCCCAGATCCCTGGACCAAGATGGTGGGAGGTACCGCACAGGGTGCAGGCAAGAGTCGAGACCAACACCCGAAGCTCGGTGGTGATTGGACGGACCAGAGCGCTTGGCGACATCCGTGACTGTGTCGTGGTCTAGATCTAGCAAGAAAGGGTGGAGAAGCGGACACGGCCGATCATGTGGACACGGGGCGACTACGTAGCAGCCTCTGCCCGTGATACCCTCGCCCACTGAAAGCTCCTCGGTAGACACCCTGTCGGATGCCTTTTCTTCGATGAATTCTACGCCTCCTAGCACGAGCTTCTCTCTGGCCTCTCCGTCATCGTCTTCAGCAGACGTTGTAGGAGGGGTGACATCTTCGACTTTGGCCTCCTCTCCCAATTCTAGCAGCAGCGCTCGAGCGCTGGCAATGGCTGCGAAACCTCGATCGGTGCCTTCCTCTATGAGTACGATTGCCTCGGCTCCGCTGTTCCATAGAGAGCGTACATGCTGCTCTCGGGCAGAATCTGAAGAGAGCGACAGCAGCTGATACGCTGAAAGGCTCAGCGTGCTTTCTTCTGACGCATTGAGGTCCAGCTTCCGTTCAGAAGACGGACGTTGATACCGCACTCCATGGCTCTTGTTCGCCTCGAATTCAACTGACGACGGTTGAGCTTTGCGTAGTCGAGAAAGTACCGAGGGCTCACTGGAAGCAGCATCGAAAGTGAGAAGATCCTCGGCAGCTGCAAGCAGATGCGGTCGGCTATCGTTACCAGACCATTGCTCCAGTTCCGGCCAGACTTCAGCCGCTGCCCATGCTCCCTCGCCAACCGCACAGCCACTTTCTACTACCCTCTTGGGCGCCCATCCTTGGGTTGCACATCCTTCTCCTAATGCGTAGGGCAGTGGCCGCGCGAGTCTTTGAGCAGTCGTCTTGAGCACCTGGTGAATGGTAGCATACCGCTGGGGAGATGCAGTGGCGAGATGCAGCAATGCCGCTCTCGAGCGCTGGCTCCTCTTCTTCATCTCCGGTCCCTCTGCGTCGTTCGCCAACGTCATCTTGACGTCCGATCGTAGCAGCTTGGAATCTCCCCCGGTCACCATCTCTGTCATTGCCTCGCGCAGATTAGGGGGCAGCGTTGCGGGTCCCCCTACATGCCATAGGGAAGCCAGCCCGACAGGGCTCAATCTCCTCTCCTTGGCTGTCTGCAGCGACTGCTCGGCGAGGAGGGTCTTCTCGACTTCGTCCACGGGGGGCCTTGGTGTTGCCCACGTCAAAGGAGACTGAGGTGTGGCTGGTGGGCTCAGGTCAGCGTCCGCTGATGAGACTTGAGCGGCGAAGTGGAGCTGACCTTCTCGCTGCGACAATGGGCGAGGGGAGGCATGGAAGGCAGAGGAGCATGGTAGGCTGCGACCCCGCGACGTCGCCAAGGCTGAACGCAGGCAAGTTTGCCCGTTCCTACTGCGAATCATCATCCTCGCACAATGAGCTTGTGGGGTAAAGAGAGACAACCCATTTGTAATACGAAGAAGCTTCGCGCCGTAGAGTGACTTCTGACTGCTGCCCGCCAAAAATTCTCAGAGCCCCGACGCACTTCCGTCTCGCATGGCCTGGTGTGTGGAAGTCAATCATTACTCCTTCCTCTTGTGCTACTCTCTTACCTTCCACACCACACCTCACTGGCAGCTGACAGCTCGCCTCTCGGCACCTTGTCCCTCGTTCATTGACAAGCGGCTCAGAGCAGCCTCGGTGTGGCCCGTCATGCCGGCAGCAAGCTCTTCGTCCTCCGGCGCTGGAGGGACAAAGATGTCGTCTACGGAGAAGAAGATTCACCACATCGCGCTCCATGCTCGCAACAGCGTGAGTGGCAGGGAGCGCCTAGGAAGTGAGCCAGAGCATGATGACTGACACCCTCACCCCCCCCCCCCCCCCATCCATCGCAGACGATTCTCGTCAACGACATCGGTGACCAGCTTGGGCTCGATGCTAGCGAGGTGATGCTGGCAGCAAACTCCCTGCTCAAAAAGGTGAGCAAGGAGAGGTCCCGGACAAGAGTCCTCCTCCTCCCCGTACCCTCAGAGTGATAGACACTAACCAGAGCATCCATTCATCTGCACATTTTCTCTCGTCTTCACAGAACCTCGTTAGCATGCAACACACCGATCGAGGCATGCAGCTCCTGGCAGTCTCACGAAGTGAAGCTAGCATGATGGGGTCATTGGCCCCGGAAGAGGGCATGATCTACAAACAGATCAAGGACTCTGGCAACGAGGGTATATGGACCAAGGCCCTCAAGGCTCGAACCAACCTTCACCAGACGATCCTCACGCGAGTCCTCAAGGCACTGGAGAATAGACAGCTGATCAAGGCAGTCAAATCGGTCAAGAATCCTACTCGGAAGATCTACATGCTCTACAACTTGACGCCTTCCGTAGAGCTCTCCGGAGGACCGTGGTATACCGACAATGAACTAGATGTCCCCTTCATCAACGGTCTTTCCCAATTTTGCCATTACTACATTCAGCAGCAGACGTGGCCCGATGGTTACCAATCTTCGCGTCAAAAGCTGTACCCAGCGTCTCACACCAACAGGCTCCCTACTGCGCCTCGCATCCTGAAAGAGCTGAAAGACAAGCAAGTCACCAGTACTTCATTGAGTGTGGGTGAGATGCAGCAGTTGCTGGAGACGCTAGTCTACGACGAGAAGATCGAAAAAGTGCCAATGCCAGGAGGGACCGTAGACCCATCTGCGCACGAAGCGACCGTAAAAAGCGACGATGAAGATTCTGACTGGGGCGGCGGCAAGAAATCAAGAGACAATGGCGCTTCATCACGAAGCAGCAGCAAATCTCGCAAAAAGGGAGACAGACGAGCGGGGGGCAGTCGTTCGCCTACTTCAGGAACGGACTCAGGATCCGAATCATCGAGTGGATCTAGCGGTAGCGATGATGGACGAAAAAGCAAGAAGCGCAAGAGGAGCGAATCACGCAAAACTTCAAGCAAATCGGCGAAGAGGTCGAAGAAGTCCTCGTCCTCTCGAACGTCTAGGAGCTCCAGAGATCGATCTACCTCAGCAGCCTCGTCCGGTTCGGAGGAGGAGAGCGACGATGACTCTATCCTTAGCGATGATCGTCGCTCAAGCAAGGGTCGATCCTCCAAGACCAAATCTGACAGCACCAAGGGCAGCAAGTCCCGACCTACGGCCAAATATACCGGGCCCGAATTTCTTTCCGACGAAGATGACGACCAAGATGTGGACGATGAAGACGTCAGTGGAGGAGACAACTCGTCCTGGGGCGCTCAGAATTGGGTTTACCGAGCATTGCGACCGGTGGAAGTGCCTCTAGGCTTCACCGAGACCCCCTGTGCTCGATGTCCGGTGTCCGACTTCTGTCGGCCCAGGGGCCCTGTGAACGCAGAGGACTGCGTCTACTACGACGATTGGATGGACGGCGCTTGGAGCGACAGTGAAGAAGAGGAGGAGGACGACAAGGGTAGGATCCGTGCGCGAGAGAAGAAGCAGCAGCAGCATGCAAATGGCACGGCCTGAAGAGACTGTGTCCACTCAGCCTGGCGGCCCTCTCTGGGCTCGCAGAAAAGAGCGAAAAGGCGTCCTCCATCCACAGCGACATGTGTCGAGCTCAAAGGGGATGAGGTTCCTCGAATTCACCACCCAATGTAATACCAGACATTTCATCATCATCTTCCTGTGCCCCTCTGAGTGGGTATGGCTGGACCTGCGTCGCGTTGAGCGTGGTGTGGAGCTGCTGCCTTGGCGTGTGGCTGAGCGTGTAGGCGTGTGTGCGTGCTGCCGTGCCTCGGCTGCCCGGCCACCGCGCAATCGGCCGGGTGGCCAGTGGGAGACGCCTCGCCTCGCCTCACCTCGCCCCGCCCAGATCATCATCGTCACCCGCTTCTTCCACCTGCCAGCTTGCCTCTCCCCCCTCCTGATCGATAGTCTGACTCACGTCAAGCAGTGTTCTTGGAAGAGTCTGAGACACAAACATCGTCAGACTCATCTCCTTGCTACCGATTTGTCGGATCACCGCCGAAGCTGACGTAGCACCAGTACCCTTGATCGAAATACTTCACGTCCCTCGAGACTCAGGTCCCCACCCCTCGCCTACATCTTGCCATCCTCTCTTGGGCCTGAGCAGGATCCGCTCACCAGCGTAACCTTATTGGATCGGCTTCAAAGGAATTACCCATTGTCCTTGTGCTTTAGTTATCGGAACGCCGAAGAGCGGGCGCCAAAGTCAAAAGACCATCTTTCAAGGAGTAGTCACAGGAGACGTGCTCAGTCTTCTCTGATTTCCGACCATGGTGAGTCGAGCACACGCAGATCACAAGTAGGCCTCGTCCGCATCGGCTCGAATGCCAATGCGCAAAATTTGACCCAATGCTGATCCTTCTGCTCCACACATTACCTCGCCATAGGCACACAATTTCGATCCCGCAAGCGCAGTCGTAACGCCTGTAGATGATTCGCCGAAGCCAGCAACGCCGATGGAAGTGGATGAAATCATTCCTGTCGTAGACGGTGAGTCAATAGGGTCGTTGGGAATGTCAAGCAGATGCGGAAGTGGCTGAGACAGACAGCTTATCGTCAACTACATGTCCGGCTGTATCTCTTCGTACCCCGCAGAAGCCGCCTTTGGAGCTAAGCACCTCGCAGATCTTGGGCAGGAAGAAGACGACTTCCGAACATTTCATTGGGATGTGACAGAATGGGATAGGCTAGAGAAGAGGATAACGAGTCCGGTCTTCGAGTGTGGTGGCCACAAATGGTGAGTCTGCAATAAGGAGTTCACCGGAGATCCAAGGAGAAGAGGAAGCTGACACTCAAGACCTCCTGCCTGCTATGCTTTCCCTGCTGTCGTCCAGGCGTATACTGCTGTTCCCATTCGGCAATTCGAATGGTCAGCCGAATGACATGGTCTCCGTATACCTTGACTACGCAGATCAAAAGTCACAAGAAGGATGGCACGTCTGTGCCCAGTTTGCCCTCGTCATCTCGAACCCATACGACCCCAGAATCTATTCGACAAGCCAGGCTCATCATCGCTTCACCGCCGAGGAGATGGATTGGGGCTTTACAAGATTCAATGAGCTCCGCAAACTGGTGCAGCCTGGTGTTGGCCACTCGAGGCCGATCATTGAGGCAAACCACGCCAAGATCTCAGCATTTGTGAGAGTGCTCAAGGATCCCACTGGCGTCCTTTGGCACAACTTCATCAATTACGACTCGAAGCGAGAGACTGGATTCGTTGGACTCAAGAACCAAGGAGCCACCTGCTATATGAACTCTCTGCTCCAGAGTCTCTTCTTCACAAATTACTTCCGTAGAGCAGTCTACCAGATCCCTACTGAGAACGATACGCCCGCCGAGAGTGTGGCTCTTGCGCTGCAGAGAGTCTTCTATCTCCTGCAAAGCTCTGACCAGCCTGTCGGAACAACGGAGCTGACCAAGTCCTTCGGCTGGAAGTCGCTCGATTCTTTCCTGCAGCACGACGTGCAAGAGTTCAACCGAGTCTTGCAGGAGAAGCTCGAGACTAAGATGAAGGGTACTGCCGCAGATGGCGCAATCTCAAGGCTCTTCGTTGGTAGAATGAAGAGCTACCTGCGCTGTGTCAACGTCGATTACGAGAGCTCGCGGGAGGAAGACTTCTACGACATTCAGCTCAATGTGAAGGGCATGAAGAATTTGCAGGAGTCCTTCCAAGACTACGTTCAAACCGAGATGCTCGAGGGCGACAACAAGTACCACGCCGAGGGCTACGGCTTGCAAGATGCCAAAAAGGGAGTCATCTTTGAGAAGTTCCCTCCTGTTCTGCATCTTCAGCTGAAGCGGTTTGAGTACGACGTCGAGAAGGACGCCATGGTCAAGATCAACGATCGCCATGAGTTCCCCATGCAGATCGATCTCGGAGCGTTCCTCGACAAGGAATCTCCTGTCCGCGATCAAGATTGGAAGTACAACCTGCACGGCGTTCTGGTACACTCTGGAGATCTCCACGGAGGCCACTACTTCACTTTGATCAAGCCGGAGAAGGACAGCAATTGGCTCAAGTTTGACGACGACAGGGTGACCCGCGTTCTGGAGAGGGAAGTATTGGAGGACAACTTTGGAGGAGAATACCCAAATGGCCACCTTGGTCAGGCTGGCGCTCGAGCTCCAGTGCGGGCGATGAAGCGCTTCACCAACGCCTACATGCTCGTCTACGTTCGCGACATTGACTCTGATGAGGTCCTCAAGCCTTTCACGGAAGAGGACACACCAAGGCATCTGCGAGAACGACTTGAAGAGGAGCGCTTGGCTCTTGAGGCACGGAAGAGGGAGCGGGAGGAGCAACATCTATATCTGACGACCAAGATTATCACCGAGGAGACCTTCAAGTCTCATCAAGGCTTCGATTTGGCCACTTTCGAGGAGCGCAACCTGCCCGCAAGCGAGCTACCCTCTTTCCGAGTCCTGAAGAATGAGCCCTACATCACCTTCAAGCAGCGTCTGGCACAAGAGTACTCGCTGCCGGACAATTCCTTCCGCCTCTGGGTGTTAGTCAATCGTCAGAACAAGACGGTGAGACCTGACACGGTGGTCCCCGAGAATGACCCTTCCCTCACCCTGGAGGCTGTCCGTGATCGGATGGCATCGAGGCAAAATGACCTTAGGTTGTTCCTCGAGCCATTGACACCCGAAGTCCGTCTCAACGATCCCAGCCCTCCTTTGATGATCTTCTTGAAGTACTTTGATGCTTCCAGGCAATCTCTCGCCGGTGTTGGCCGGGTCTACGTCCAGCGCAATCAGAAGGTGTCGGATCTGATTCCCACCATCAATGAGTTGATGCGCTGGCCGCCGTCAACGAGCGTGAGGCTGTACGAAGAGATCAAGCCGGGTATGATTGAGCAAATGAAGGGCAAGTCGACGTTTGCTCAAAGCGAGATCCAAGACGGTGACGTGATCTGCTTCCAGGTCGAGATCTCGGACAAGGATGCGCAAGACTTCGAGATGCAGTCGCTGTACTCCAATCCCATCCAGTTCTACGACTTCCTGCAGAACCAGATCAAGGTCCTCTTCAAGCCTCGCTTCGACGACGTCGAGTACAAGCAGGAGTTCGAGTTGACTCTGAGCAAGAAGATGACATACGACACGATGGCTCAGAGGGTCAGTGACCGCCTCAAGCACCCGCCTCTGATGTTCCGATTTACCACAGGCAACGGGCCGAACGGAACGCCCAAGACGGTGCTGAAGAGGACGGCGAACCAGACGGTGAGCGAGATCGTCTCGCCCAGCTACTTGCAGGGGCAAGCATCTCTCCTCTACTACGAGCTTCTAGACATCTCCATCGTCGAGCTGGAGACGAAGCGGAGTCTCAAGATCTACTGGACAGGAGCTCACAACAAGGAAGAGTCAGCACATCCCTTCTTGTTGCCAAAGACAAGTCCCATCAACGATGTTGTCGAGCAGCTCAGCAAGGTGGTGACCCTGAGCGCAGGTGGAAGTGGCAAGATTCGTATCTTTGAGGTATCCAACAACTTCAGGCAACAGCGAGAGCTTGGCGGAGTCGAGATGATCGGCAACGTTCCCGAATCGACTGAGCTCTTTGCAGAAGAGGTGCCGGTGGAAGAGCTGCAGGCAAAGGAGGAAGACAAGATCATCAACGTCTTCCACTTCTCGAAGGACCTGCACCGGACACACGGCGTGCCCTTCAAGTTTGTGATCAAGCCTCGGGAGAAGTTCTCTGAGACAAAGGTCAGACTGCAGAAGCGGCTGGACATGTCGGACAAGGACTTTGCCAGGTTCAGATTCGCCCTTGTACAATCATCTACCTACAAGCAACCGGCATATCTCGAGGACGCGGATGTCATCTACGACCACAAGTTCCTGCCGGACGACGTCTTGGGACTGGACCATGTGGACAAGACTGGAAGGACGGGCAGGATTGGAGCAGCGGCAGTGGATCGGGGCATCAAGATCCGGTCTTAGCCGCGTGCACACAGCGAAAGCTGATCTACTTGGCGTGTCCTTTCTGCGCCATGAGCAAGTCGAGCTCGTTCTCTGTTGTGTCCCTAGACTCCTTGTACCACTCTTGTCCATCTGTCGTGATTCGATCCTCGCAATCCTTTATTCTCTCGACCCTGACTGCCTCCTTCCCTGCGACGTCTCTTTCTCCTCCCTCTGTCAGTCTAATTGTAGGGAGGTGGTCCCCAACTGAGATATCCGTGAGAGCCTTTGTAATTCCCTGTCTCCGACGACGCTGCCCCTCACTTGCCATGCATGTTGAGATGACATCGAAGGAGCTTCGGCCGTTCGTATTTCAGCGGACTCGGTCTGGCGTCGCGGCGGAGATGCGGAAGCAAAGCTCGGACCTTCGCGAGTCGAGTTGCTCACAGGCGTCTTTGCTTCCTTCCAACAACGCAGCAGCGAGGCTGTACAGCTATCAAGGAAGCACTTGGGCTGCTGACTCCTTCAATCCTCTTCTCTCTCTCTCTCCACCCTGTCTACAGCGACCTCTTGTGGCATCAGATGCGGCTGAGCGCTCCCACATCTGCAGCTTCTCTGTCACCTTGGCCCTTCCTCCCCTCCTACGCCAGAGCGACCATGGTAGCCCCCTCGTCATCATCCTCCTCTTTCCCTGAGCTCAAGCGAAACTCCTCCCCATCGAATGCTCCCGACATCCCACGCATCTCCTCTCCCGATTTGGCAGCTCTTGGCAGCTACCGTGGTGGACCCTCTCCAGCCCTCTCGGTAGGAAGCGCAGCAGGCAGTCTCCGCCAGAGCAAGCGTGATCTGATTCGATCCAAGAATCCTCCGCCTCATCATGTCTCCAAGCTAGAGAATGTTATTGGAGCATCGCATAGTGGTAAAGCCAAGGTCAAGCAGACAAAGGAGGCAACGGAGGAGCACACGGGAGGAGCGATTACCACCGATGTGGGCATCTTGGGAGACGATGTGTACGACGAGTACCTCTCCCCAGCAGTGGCATACCTACGGCGATGGCTCGTCTGGAGCTTGAGAAAGGAGACGAAGTTCCTCGCTTGGCATCAGCCGAAAGTGCGGACCCCCTTCTTAGACCGGTACTTTGTGTACACCTCCCTCTTCGGCACCCACTCCTTCTTCCTCATCTTTCTGCCCACGGCCTTCTGGATCGGCAACCGATACTTTGGTAGGGGACTGGTGAATACGCTGGCTTTCGGAGTCTACTTGTCATCGGCGATCAAAGATCTCTTCTGTGTTCCCCGACCATACTCACCGCCTGTCACAAGGTTGACAGTAGGCACTACGCACCTGGAATTCGGCTTTCCCTCGACTCACTCGACAAATAGTGTGGGTACAGCTCTGTACATCTACCTCTGGGTCCTCTCCCTTCGCGAGCGACCAGACGTTGTCTCGCAGTCTGTGGCCACTGCTCTCAGCAGTAGACTATGGGAGGTCGGGCTGGGCTTCTACGTATTTAGTGTAGTGTACGGCCGCATCTACGCCGGCATGCACAGCATGATGGACTGCTTTGCTGGCTCGACACTGGGAGCCGGCATCACACTGGTGCAATGGTTCGGTGCGGATTACATCGAGCGCTTTCTCGAAATCGAGGGCTGGACCGTGCCCCTCGTCCTCATTCCTTCCTGCTTGTTCATGGTGTATGTGCACCCTGAGCCACTAGATGACTGTCCCTGCTTCGAAGACGGTGAGTTGACAACAGCGCTGAGTGAGCATGTCTCTGTGTCACAAAGCTAACAGCACTCTATAATACTATCCCGAAAGCCATTGCCTTCATCTCGGTTGTGCTTGGCGTGTCCCTGGGCCGCTGGGCTTCGCTGCGATGGACCATGTTCGGGAAGCTCGTCGAAGATCCCTTTGCTCCGGGACGGGCTGCAGCAAATGCAACGTTGCAGTCATCAACTACAGCTTTGGACAAGTCGACAAGTGCGGGTCGTTCGCTACTGGTGTTGGTCCTAGGTAAGTCTCAGGATGTGGACTGTTCCAAGGGTAGAGCGTCGGTTGACGGCCGCTCTTCCCCACCCGCTTTTCCCAGGTATCGCCTGCATCTTCTGCGTTCGCGTGGTCATCAAGACGGCATGCAAGCTTGTCCTGCCATCGATGTTCCGCTTCGTCGATCGCTCCTTTGGTCTCGTCCTACCACGTCGCCACTACGTCCCCTCGAGCGAATACACCGACGTTCCAATGAACAACATTATCCGCTCGCCATCCTTTATAGACATCCCAAACTCCTTCACCCCGACAGTCACGCCTGCTGCCAATCCTGGACAGGAAGCCAGCACCTCGACTGGGATCCTTGCCAGATTGGCAGCACTGCAAGACCAAGGACGTTCGCGGCCCGACTCTCCCGTGAGCGTGTTCAGCGATGACGACCTCTCGAGGCCGGGCAGTCCAGACAATCACAACCTCTCTCTTCCAGCGGGCGGCTCTTCGACAGGAGTCAAGCAAGGTCTCTCCCAACCTCAACAGCGTTCGGCCATCTCGCCTCCCTCGAGGTCCGGTGCTACTTCGCCCTACCTGCAGCAGTTTGGTCCTCCGCCCAGGTCCACCCTGTCTGTACCGATCACCCATCCCGTTGGTCAAGGAGGAGCAGAATTGCCTTCAGACAAGGTGGCCAATGCCATTGCGGGTAATCTGAGCGAAGATGAGAGGAAGCGACAGCTGGCGCAGGAGCAGGGGCTAGTCACCCACTACGACATTGATGGTGAGTATATGAATGAATGAATGAATGAATAAGAGAAGAAGAGGGGGAAACTCTATGTATACAGGGGGAGGGGAAATGATCCACTGACTGACGCTCTGCTCCTCCTATCTCCTTCGCTTGCCCTCCCCCTCGCAGTCTTGACAAAAGTCTTGGTGTACAGCAACATTGGCTTCTTTGCAGCGAGCATCATCCCTGCCTTTTTCGAGTATGTTGGCCTGTCAGAGCCGTAGTGCAGTCTTTAGAAGTGTGTGCAATATATACCATGTTTTCTCTCACAGGCAGAAGCCTGCGAGGTACGGTATGGCGAGCCGCTAGCCTCGAGCTACATTCATCTGACCAAGGTAGCATTGCCACCCTGCGTTGAGGTCGCCTTGTGAACCTGTCGTCTACAACTTCGACCTCTCACCGCCCGATTGCGACACCCTAGCCTGATCATCACTCTTCTGTGCCTTGCTCCATTCCCTAAACACCAGTGTGCTAGGCGCGACTCCAAACTCCTTTGAAATACTCTCCTCCACGCCAAGCTCATTAAGAATCACCCTCGCAAGGGCAAAGTGGTGGATCGAGTGGAGCGCAATAAACCATACTTCCCTACCTAGTGTCGAGTGGAACTCTTGCAGGATTGGCGTAGTAGCTCGTAGGATGAGGGGACGGTCTAGAGCAGTCCCGTCGGGAGAGTCGAGGAGGGAAGAGATGCGGTGTTGGGTACGTTCGAACTCGGCTAGGGCTTCGCTGGCGGAAGTCTCGATGGGGAGGGAGCGAGACCGGCGGTCGTAGTCTACAATAGGAAGACCTTGCTCGCTGGTAGAAGAGGAGGAGGAGGAAGAGGATGAAGCAGTGCCGCCGCTGCTATTTGCGCTGTGCTCGTCGAGTGCGTCGAGGAGAAGGCGGAAGTGGTCGAGGACACTGAGAGGTGGTTCGTGAGAGTGTGTAAGTTCCAATGCTCGGAGCAAGGTCGCTGTCCGGCTATGCGCATTCGTCTCTCTCAGAAGGCCCTTCTATCTTCCCCAGAGAGGCCACCAGTCCTCCACTGCTTCCTCTCGAATACTCACTGTCTCAAATGCTTCCCCACCGTACTCCCCGCCACATTCCTACTCTTCACAGCCAGCTTCTCATCCCCCACAATTCCCGTCCGCAACATTTCCAATGGTTGCTCTAGAATCTGCAAAGCACAGGAACGCATCGCTTCTTGAGCTTCCAGACGAGTGTCGGGAGAAGTGGTGAGCTCGCCCGAGGAGTTGGGCTTGGAGGAAGAGGCGGCACGACGGTGGTCCAAGGTGTAGTCTACGGCATTGTTGGCAAAGGGAGAGGAAGAGGTGGAGGAGGTCCCGTCGGGAGCCATTGTGGGTGGGTGAGTGAGTGAGTAGGCGAAGAAGAAAGTACGAGTTTGACTCTGGTAGGAAGATGTAGAGGAGTAGAGCGAGTTGCGTAAGATGCGTCGAGTGTCAATGCTCGCCGGGTGTTGCGTCCGCATGACAATCATCACAATCGCGACAGGCTGGACCCGTGCGTGCAATTCTCAAGCGGAAGGGTGCCCGGCCGGTACAGACTCCGCGAGCAGAGGCCGGGAAGCGGCTGACCTTGGCATTGCATGACAACACCTCCAAAGTCAACTTGTCTGACGCAGAGCTTCGTCGTAAGGAACAGCGATCACCTCTCACGTAGGGTACAACATCAGGCACCTGTGCAAAAAACCTTCCCTCACGAGCACAGAGCCGACGAGGGCAAAAGAAATGACCACAACGGGACTCGAACCCGCAACCTCTTGATGTCGAAAATCGGTGATCTCTCATCGTAGTCAAACACGCTGCCATTACGCCATGCGGCCATCGATGAAGAGCGTGTCCTCACTAGCAATGCATATACACGTTGAGCCTCAGCCACGCTGACGTGATCGTACTGTGAGCGTACCCTCCTTCACTCGACCTCTTCATCAGCTGTGTAGGTGTAGTATACATGACAAGGGCTTCTATGCGCGAATTCCGACAGGTGCTCTCCCCCCGAGCCTCCTCGTGTCTACCTCGCCTGACCTCCAGTGCCATCAGCTGCGTGCGATGAACCCCTCACAGGGGCCGATGCTCCCCCTGCCGACTCCCTCACCTTGCCCATCGGGTTGCTCGCTGCATCTTCTGCCTGCACGGTCAGACGGTCGTTGCGGTTGGGCGGGTCTTTTGGGGCTGTGCCTCTGAAGGAAAGGTAGTAGACACGGGAGGGAGGCTCTTCTGCGTCGGACTGCAGGTACAGGGCGAGGGATACGGGTGTGAAAACAATCAGGCGAAAGTTCAATTCGCGCACTCCCCCCTTGACAGATCCCTACGATTTCACTTACCAGAACGACATGCAGAGAATTGACGCTAGCAAATCTCGCTGCGAATCTGCCTAGTGGGTACTCCTGTACCCTCTCCTCCGCCGAAGAAGCTGCTTGGTCCTGCTCTCGCAGCAAGAAGTCGGCTTGAGGTAGACCGGAAGATGGAGTGCCCGTAGATGTCGAGGGAGAGGAGCCTTCGAAGACATCTTCCAGGCCCAGTCCGTTGGGCCGGTTGACGTATATGCGGAGGCGCTGATGGAAGATGGAAATCTGACTGTCAGTTGTCTGATTGAGCTGATCATCGACCGGGACGCCAACTCACATGAGGTGCTGTCTGACCTGCTCCTTGATTGATGAGCACGGAGGAGACTTTGACTGGGCTGCCGAACGGTATGTTGATGACAAGCTGCGAGGGGAAAGCGCTCTGTAGCGTCAGCGGCCAACCCTTCAGCTCAGCTCACTGCGCTTGGCTCACATGTCCTGCCTCTAGGCTCTCCGTCCATACGCCCACATCGCTCCTCCTGTCCCACGGCTTGATACAATTCCTCGCAGCGGCCGATGGCGAGCCTGCTGAACCCCCGCCGCGGCTGCTGTGGTGAGCAATGTTCGATCCATACACGCCAGCCAGGAAGATGGACGAGTAGAGGGAGTGTGTATCTGTACTTGAGGATGCAGGAGCCGATGAAGACGTCTCCGGTAGGTTCGCCTGAGACATGCTGGGAGTGGAAGGCTGCTCGAGCGAAGTCCTCTTGCCCTTGCTTCCTCTAAGCTTTATGTACAAGGTCACTGACAAGGGACTCGTCATCCCCCCGCACGAGCTTCGGAAAGAGGGAGCGGAAGCAGACGTTGGCGTCTGTGCGCCAAAGAGGAAAATCTGCCCATGCCATTCTTCCGCCTCCTATTCGGCCCGAGTGACTCACGATAACTTCTCATCACCAAGACTGACAAGTCAAGATGAGCTATACCGGATCTCCCTCTACTCATATCACGGTAGGTGTGCTTGCCCTACAAGGCGCCTTCCATGAGCACATCGTCCATCTCTCCCGCGTCGAGGGCGTGACCGCGGTCCCAGTGCGGACGCCCGAGCAACTCGCTTGCTGCTCGGCCCTCGTCATCCCCGGAGGCGAGTCTACCGCCATCGCACTGGGCGCCATCAGAGGTGGTCTGCTGGAACCTCTTAGGGAGTGGGTCCGCACGGGTAGGCCCACTTGGGGCACATGCGCGGGCATGATCATGTTGGCCAGAGAGGCTACCGGGGGCAAGAAAGCTCAGGAGCTTATCGGTGGCTGGGACGGCCGAGTCGGAAGAAATGGGTGGGGTAGCCAGGTGAGTCTTGCAAAACCATCAGTCCCATGACAGAGTCTGGCGGTCTGACATACTGGCACTTCGCTCTCATCACAGATCGAATCTTTCGAAACTCCACTTTCAATACCGGCCCTCTCAGGCGAAGAGCCCTTTCCCGGAGTCTTCATTCGCGCTCCAGTCGTAGAGCGCCTCTTTCGAACAGAAGAGCTAGCTGACCTCGCTCCGCGAGAGCCAGCGAAAGCGGGACGGAGAGAGGGCGAGGAGCTGGAAGGAGTCAAGCTCGTTCAGGGTCAAGAGAGTGGTACCTCGACCCCGTCGGACAACCCAGCGGCTATGCCTCTACCCAATCTCGCCACATACACGAAGGCAGAGATTTCGAGCCTGCCCACAAATGCGACTAGGCTAGCAGTGGCCCCTCCCTTGCCCTCTTCTTCTACGCCGCGGCCTCCGATCGAGGTGATAGCAAGGCTCCCTGACAGCGTCAGGCCGACGGCGACTTTACCAGGACCGGACGCTGACATTGTTGCACTGAAGCAGGGAAACATCTTCGTCACTGCCTTCCACCCTGAGCTGACCCGTGACAGGCGCTTGCACGAGTGGTGGGTCAGGGCATGTGTGAGAGGAGAGGAGATGAGCAAGAAGAGGTGACAGAGACCGCTTTAGAGATCGGATTAGAATGCATGAGCCCTCTTTTGCTGCGTTAGATACTATATCCGACTGCCCTGACATAGACTGAATGTAGTGATCATTCGAAGTCAGCCGAAGAGCAGAGCCAGGGGCACACAGAATATTTGTATTGCCAGACTGAGACGATCGTAACTATTCTCCGAAAAGCTGGAGGCCGAGTTGGACGGGAAGGGGAAATACAGTCAGCATCTATGCAGGAGAGAACCGAGAGTACTTCAAGTCAAGCTGTCAAAGACCGACTCACCTTCTGTACACGCTTCAGTACCGAGTCCTTGGATGGGTCTGTTTATTGTAGCCAATAATCGCATGACGGCGTCAAATACGATCCTGGAAAACTCCCCGTATGTCACTGCGAACTCACCATACGGGTGCTCCTTGCTGGGAATCTCTAGCAGGGCGGGGAACGCTTGTGAGTACTTATCCACCAACGGCCTGATCTTCTCTGCGATGTGCTGATTGATAAGTAGGATGGCAATGTCCTTCCTCTCCTGAGTGAATGTTGTGAAGTGGGCCTCGATGTCTGAGGGAGAGGTCTGATACAACGCAAGTGGAGAGCGGTGTAGGACAAGTGTCAGTCATAGCGTGACTTGCAACCTCGATCTCTCGCTCGTTCTCACCTTGTTGTCGACGATTGCAAAGTTCTTCGACTCTCCATCTGCTTCCACCTGCCCACAACCAGCCAGCAGCAATCCAGTAGTGGAGTCCTACAGCAGAGGAGGGAGGGAAAGGTCAGAAGGTTCACTTAGCTGCAATGACACCTGCCGCTGCCCTGGCTCACCTCGTCACAAATGGACGCAATGAGCGTCCTGTTGGCAGCCTGCTGTGAGATGGACATGTTCGAGGCGAGGAGGATGACACTAGACGATCGGATAGCACGAGGTGACGATGTAAGGCGTACCGGATCAATCTCAGATGGGGGATGCTGCTCCGTTCCGCCTCTCCACCTCTGGCCCTGCGTCTGATTCGCGCATGGCCCGCTTGAAATTCTCCCCTTCCGCTCCTCGTTTCTAGAGAACCTCGCCAAGGAGCATATTCTTACCTCATTTCTACTTGCTCCATTTCACCCTCCCGTCGTATTCGATGGGTGTCAGAGGCCTCGCCACTTTGGCCAAGAGCTATCAAGCGGCCATCTCAGAGGTCCTCGAGTTTCCTGTAGCTGCTGCTTCCTCCTCGCAGCGGAAGACGACGACACTGTCCATCGATGCATGGGCCTGGGTCTTCGAGGTATGGGCCAGCCACTTTGGGGAGTCCGTGCAAGGAGGCAATTACGCGGATCTCATTGAATTCGTCAAGGATGCTGTCACAGCTTGGAGGGCGTGCTCTCTTGAGCCCGTCTTCATCTGGGACGGACCAGTACCACTGATCAAGCAATCGCAATATCTAGACCGGCGAGCAAGCATTGCAGCAGGCAACTCCGCCTTCATGCGATCATCGCAAGCTTCTCGGTCGTCAAAGAGGTTTCAACTGGAGTCCTATCCTTTCGTACCGCTCCTCGCCCAGGCTGTCAAGGCAGCTCTTGCCGACGAGGGCGTCACGTCTGTGATAGCTCAGGCAGAGGCAGATGGAGCGGTCGCAGAGCTGGCTGACGAATCTGGAGGTCTAGCAGCTAGCCAGGATTCTGACTTCTTCATACTCTGCTCAAGAGGGTCGGGTAGAGGAAGATATACACAGATTGACTCCTGGGAGTACATGGTCGAGGACAAAGAGTCGTCAAATGGGCATTCGAGCGTAATAGAGGCACCTAGCTCAGGGTCGGTAGGAGATTCGGATGGCTTCGAGGCGGTCACGAGCAAGCGAAGGAGGAACAGATCAAAGGGTTCCATAGACGCATCTAGCAACCAGAGAGGCTCTGGTGCCCAGTCGCTACCGTATCCGCCCGTGCGTGGTCCGGAGTCGGAATCGAAGCTCATTGGCGTAAAGCTGCGAGTCTTCTATCCACAGAAGCTCGCGGCTCAATTGCGGGTACCTGCTGCGCTCTTGCCCCTGCTAGGTGCGGTAGCCGGAAACGACTACACGACTGCGCTTCAGGACACGGTACTCTTTCGTCACCTCCAGACAGGGCCAGAGAGGATCAAAGAGGCGGCTGAAGTCATTCAGAGGGAGTGGATACGGACGATTGGAGGTCCGGGAGCCGGCAAGCAGGTCAAGCGGGCAACAGTATCCTCTTCTCGCAGTCTTGAAGCTAGGCTGGCTGCCAAGAGCTTGATGGGAGCAGTTCGTGAGATGGACGACGATGCCCGGAGCGAATACTCCGACGCCTCCTCGGCTACTGCCACGCCTGCCCAAATGGCAGCGTCGAACAGCAGTCTTTCAAACGCTCCGGCCCCGCCACTGGACCCTGTCCGATATCTGGTTGGCGCCGTGGTCTCATCGCTTCTGGAGCGGGCAGACGTAGCGACGCACCGATCTTTCTACGTCTCCGAGACCGACAAAGAAGCCTGTATTGAGTCTATTATCGAGAGCATGGCGGCATACTCGCTGCTGACCAACGTGAGCGCTTCTCAACTTGATGACCCGGCGGGATTCTGGTCCCGCGTACTTCCGGGAGAGGAAAACAGAAGAGCCTTGCAGCGTTACCGCGATGCCTTCGAGGCTGGCGCTTTCTCAGAGCAAATGGTCTCTGCTATGGCATCTCGAATGGTCGCTACGACTCTGGCACCAGAGGATCCAGATCAGAGAAGCATTCACGTGGGAGCAACGAGATCGATTCGCAGATGGATCTACGCCATCATCTTCGGAGTGTGGGGCATGGATTGGGCAAGAGAAACCATGGCAGACCCTACTGCAGATTTGAACGGCAGTGAAGGCGAAGGAGAAGGTAGTAGAACAGCACCGACACCGTACCTCAGGTCGAACGGACCCTACAAAGCTGGGGAGCGGCCTGACGATGTCATCAGCGTCGACACCGAATCCGAAAGCGAGAGTGAGGGCGAGAATGTCGAGAGGGCAGGTCCTTCTGCTCCTGGCTCGGTCTTCAACGGCGAGGACGATGATGGAGACAGGGACACCTATGCTCCACCCTTTGTCAAGCCTCCTCCAGCTGTCAAGGAGTTTGTGCGAAAAGGGGACCGCTTCGTCGGCGACTTGGTAGAAATCGTCAAGCTGGCGGACCTCCTGGCTCAGGACGTCGAGAGTCTGCCGCCTGCTCTCGCGGAAGTGCACGCCCAGTACCTTGCAGCTCGTACAGAGGCAAAGCCTAGTCACGCTTCGGCACCGGAGCCTACCTCAGATCCTTTGCCGGCCCTGGCCCCACTCCTCCCGTCTCGCACCAGGCTGGACGTCTACCGGCACGCTCTGCAGTCTGCTGGAGAGGCGATGAATACGGTGCCTCTGTCAGTGCTTCCTCTGGCTGCCTCGCTGAAGCACATCATTGGCACGTTGGCCGCAGAAGCAGGCGAGAGCAAGAAGCGGCTGAATTGGACCCTGGTTGAGGTAACTTCAGCTGTCCTCGCTGGATGTCATGTTGCGGCAGTGCATTCTGCGCGCCAGGGCAGAAGTGGTACCAAGACAGAGCTCCTGCCAAGATCTTTCTGGGTGCAGCCGACATCGCGAGCGATTCATGTGGCCTCGACCCTCCAGCTCACGTTGGAGACGGCCGACTCACTGGCATCCGCACTCCTCCTCAACACGTCTCCGTCGCCCGGAGACGACATTGCTCTGCCTCCTCCTCATGTGCTCTTCGACGGCCCAATCTTCCATTTACTGGTAGCTAATGAAGGCCGGAGGACGAAAGAGATGAACATTTCAGACGAGACACAGAACTTGGCAGAGCAGGTCTTGCAGGCTATTCTAGCCAATGGCGCGAAGGAGGACCTTGCGATCAGCGCCGAAGAGCTCAAGAGGCTGAGGAAGGAGAACAAGAAGAAGGCCAAGGCCTCCGCTGAGAGCGAGCAGGGCGGGCTCCATCCTGCTGCTGTCAGCAACGGCAAGAAAACCAAAAGCTCCACTCAGGGATCTCAGAATACTGGGAAGAGCGGCAAGAATGCATTCGAGCTATTGATGGGCTGAGACAGGGCTCCCTAGAGCTTCCTGTCTCGAGGGTATAGATGTAGTATTGTAGACGTCCCGACTCATTCCTGTACCGTATCATCCCATACTTTCGATACCAGCATCTAGATTTCCAGACATACCCCTACCACCGCCTGATCCTCGCATGCCTCCATCATCCTCATCTTCGCTTCCTCCATCAGCGTCCATCCCATTATCAAGGGTGTATTCGCCTTCGAAGGCGGCATCATCGTCAGCTTGTCCTCTGCCTGGCTCTCTTCCTCTCCTGCCTCTGCGCCCTCCTCCACCTTGTCCATCGGCCATTTCTGACGCTTGACCCTCAGTTGTGTTTCCAGGTGGATCGCTAGATGTCGCGAAGTTGGTGACGGGTGCTTCGCGCTCTTCGGCGTCGAGCTGGTCTTCGTGCGTTGTGCGGCCTCGGCCAAGGACGACAATGCTGTTGCGACCATACGCCAACAGGGCATCGCGCTGGAGGGATATAGCGACAGCATCTTGGGCATCAGTCGAAGCTCTCTACATGTAAAGCCTGGAGCATCGGGAAGCAGGTCTTGCACCTCGGAAGACTCACGTAATTTTGCCTCTCTGCCTCTTCCTCGTTGAGATCCTTCTCCTCCTCCTGAGTGACTCCACTGCCGCTCCAATGCCAGCCGCGTTCGGCAGCCTCCCTCATCCTGACATCTTCTTTACTCCACCGAGCCCTCCACCGGTCTCTCGCACTTCCCTGCCTCATAGCTGGCCCGGAGGCCAGCCTTGACCCACTGTTGGCAGCAGCTCTGCTAGTGCCCTCGCCTGGAGGTAAGAAATCAGAGACGAGCTCCCTGCTCGCTCTAGAGGGAAGATGCACTCCGCTAGCATGATACCATTGGGCTCTGGCCTGTGAGCTCTGCTGCAGCTCTGCGAGGTACACCTGCGTCCGCGCATCGTAGGCAGAGGCAGAGGCAGCTCCCGCCCTTCTCGGTGGGGATGCAGGGCGCTTGGGAGGAGGCGGAGGAGGATGAGACCAGAGCGTTGTATACGGCGGGAGGTACGAGGCCGTGTATGGCGAGGAAGTCATGATCTGCGGCGACTCCCGTGGTAGTCTCGAGGGAGGCTGAGCGTTGGTATTGCTGCCTGCAGTCACGAAGATGCTCCCGGCCTGCTTCCGTCGCGTCTTTCAGCGGAAGTGGCTTCGGAAGGGCGCACGCACGCATTTGGCTCCATCTGCCCGTACCATAGGTTCTTACCTTCGTATCCAAGACAAACCTCTGCATCCTTACTGTCATCCTCTTCACTGATCACATATCTGCCAAAGGCTCTCGCTGCTCTGCCGACAGCGTTCAACGAGCTGACTGCAGGCTTCATTACGTGAGGGTCCCATCGGCGCGTGTCGCGTTTCCTCGCTGCTTAGATGGACCCTCGCTTCCGAGTGCCGTCCCAAGGACCACACGGCCATCCACACCATCAGCAGCAAAGATCGGGCTCAGTCTCGTCCACTTCTGGCTCCTACTACCCTCAGCCTCTACCTCATCATCGCTACAATGGAGATGGGTACGGGCCCGAGACGCCGCGACATGATCGCTCCTTCCTCGATCCACGAGCCGAGGAGCAGAACTACACTCGAGGGGGCACATGGTCGACGCCGAGCTACAGGAACCCTGCAACAAGAGTAGGTAGAGAAGAGTTTTTTGGAACCCCACTGCCAGATGTGAGTTCACGGAGTCACTCTCATCAGGCCAAATGCTCTTCATTGCTTAGTGCTCACATCTTTTCCCATAACCGGCAGAGGGTGAGCCGGACATTCGACCAATTGTCTCGCCAGTATCGGGAGGGGACAGGCAGTCGGGCGGGCAGTGCTATGCCTCCTACCAACCTTCTCCAGACAGCTTGGAGATATGACTCTTTAGGCCCTTCGGCGTACAACAATCGAGCCGCGAGTGTACACATCGGAGCAGGTCCTAGCGGGCCCGCGCCATGGTCTCCGGCGCGGCATCCCAAACCGGTCATCTCAGAGTCTACGCTCAGTTGGCTCAGAGATACTGATGATGCACAGCCTAGATCAATACCAGCCGAGGTGCACGAGCAGGATGTCGCAAGGCAGGGCAGGGTGGACGACTCCGTTGAAGCACCTAGCAAAGAGGCAGCTGCGACTAGTGTGTTCTTACCCCGGAGACAAGAGCTGGTCGAGGAGACGACGACCGCGCTCAGAGATATCGAGGGAGCCGGAATAGGCAATCAAAGTCACGTTGAAGAGGGTCGAGATGCGGTCCCTGAAGTGCTGCAGCAATTAGATGAAGTAGGACTGCAAGACGATCTTGTGCTCGAGCAACAGCCAGCGGTGGACGACTCCATCGCCGAGCTGACGGCGCCAAGTCCACCTGCAGTCCCCCAGCGGAGGAAAGGCACCGCGATACAGAAGCGCGATACGGCAAGCCGACCCGCCGACTCCGATCCTGTCGAAAGTAGTCAGATAGCCGCTCCATCAGCGTCTGCACCAACAGGCCCTCCACCTATACGACTGGAGAATTGGAACTTGACCATGGTAGACTGCAAGGAGCCGCCGGGGCAGGTCGTCCGCGCACGCAAAAATGCAGCATCCCTGGTGCGCTGGGTCTACGTGCAAGGCATCAAGACTGAAGCAGAGCCACCATTGCCATGGCGGACCTCTGTCATCGCACATCGAGTCAGGCCTGACCTCGTACAGACATCGTCGGGCTCTACTTATCAGCTCGTAGGTCATCTGGATCGGCAACAGACCCGAGGCAACGGCTTCTCCCAAGAGACGGCAGATGCTTTCGAGGCAGGGTTTCCGGAGGGCTGGATAGACGTGCTGGTCAAGGACCTCGGCGAGCTTGACACAAGGCAAGCCCTTGCCCACCTTTCCTCCTCCCGACAAAGCCCACCTCAGTCGCAGCCTCTACCTCCGTCGAGTCGCAAGGCACCAGTATCCACACCAAAAGCAAAGAAGGCGAAGACTACTGCTGCCCCTCGATCTGTCCAAGTAGACTCAGCTACAGAACCCCCGGCATCGGTACCGCGTCCAGACGATGACGACATGATGGACTTCTTCGACGATGACGTCGCTCCGGACGAGCTGACGATACTTGCAACACCCAAAGTTCCAGCGGCCGTGAGGAAGGCGGCACAGAAGCGTGGCAGGCAGTCAACAAACGTCGATACATCCTCGCTGGGCAGAACTTCCGGAGGATCGGCCAAGAAAGTCCGTATTGGTGGTGTCAGTGAGGGTAGGCAAAATCTCCATGCACTTGAGGATGACAGTGCTACTGGAAGCGAATCAGATGAAGAGGGAGCTCACCGCAGGGGCGTTGCAGCCTCACGGCAGGAGCAACGCAGCGGCAGGTCTAAGGGAGGTCTACGCGCCGCAGCAAAGGTTACTCCACCGGGCAGGAAGGCCGCAACCCCTCGGTCGGGCAATGCGACATCGACCGCTGCTCTCAACTCAAAGCAGCGTCAAGTATCACGGGAGCTTCTCAACTTGGGTCGCTCGCCATTTGGAATGATGAAAGCAGTCAAGTACGCAATTGCACAGGCCTCACCTGATCCACCTGCGCCAGTCTCTGCTGCTAGATCTACCGCAACCACGCCGTCACCTCACAAACAGCGTCTCTCCTGGGGCAAGGGGCCAGAGGACACAGATGATGACTCGGACCGCAGATCTGGGCGTCGCTCTTCCGGACGCGCCCGCAGGGCACCAGATCCAAAGTGGTGGATCGTCTCACCTGGCGTCATCAAAGTAGAAGCCGAGGAAGAAGACTTGAGCCAATCTTTCAATCAGAGCCCACTGAGGCGCAAGCAAAAGATTGCCGTCAACGATGATGGCTCTCGGTCCGATGCACAACACCGAGAGCGGCAGCAGCGGCGCATCACCGAGAGCATGAGTCCTGTCAAGACAGCTCCACCACTGAGTGCCAAGAAGAAGCGCAGGGTGATTGAAGATACGCCAGAAGGAGAAGACGATGTGCAGCAGAGCGGAGACAAGGAGGCGCCACGAGCAAATGGCGCCGCTCCGCCTCCTGCGTCTCCCTCGCAACCGATCCGCCAGCACGGGCGCTCACTTGTCAAAGCAGCTGCACTCGCCAACGCAATCGACGAAGACGATCTGCCTGTGCCAGCTCGTCTCCCTGGCTCGGCAAGTAAACTGGTCATGACTCCTCAGAAGGCGTTGGTCGATGATGAGGCGGCAGAGGATGAGCTTGCAGCTGCTGAGGCTACCGATGCACCGTCGGATTTGGTGTCTAGCAAGCAGGCTCAGGCCTCGCCTATCAAACTTGCTTCTCCCCACCACGAGTCCCCAAGGTCATACCACACTCAGGCCCTCGCCGCGATCACGGCGGATGAATCCTCTGACCTCTCGAGCTTATCCTCCTTGTCAGATGAGAATGGAAAAGCTTCTTCCGGGAGCAAGGAGAAGGCAGGACCTCCATCCCCGTCTCAGCCTGTGATGGCAGCGGGTAAAGCGCCTTCGAAACAGGTCGTGGCCGAGTCTGACGATGACGAGGAATGGGACAAGGCCGTGTAAGAGGGTCGGATGCCGGTGAGAGTGCTCCTGCAATATGCAACTTATTATCGAGGACCATCGCACACCTCTCGTCATTGCTGTTGGCTTGTTCTCTTTCGTGTAATTGTATGCTTGTCACCACGTTGTTCCTCAGCCTGATGCCGCGTGAGAGGCGTAGAGGCCCTGCCCCATTTGAGCCCACGCGATACGCGCAGCCAAAGCGGAAAGGCGAGGCGATCCTTCGTGGACCATCGCTCCTTCCACCCACTCCTTCCTGCCATCTTCATAACACTCACCCTCCTGTTCGGCGCTCAGTCTCCTTCTTTTCGTCCTCGTCACCGCCTAAAAGAGAGATGCCAGGCGTATACGGAGGCGACGACGTCTCTGCCATTGTCCTCGATGCCGGCTCCAGCCTTCTCCGAGCCGGCTGGGCAGGCGAAGATACGCCCCGGATCGTGATCCCCTCCTCCTTCGGCTGGCTCCCCGACGAGTCTAATGGCACTGCCAGTGAAGCTCCCACCAGCACGGCAACCGAACAAGCCGCGGATGGTGATGTTAGTATGGCCGACGCTGGCGCTGAAGCTGCTGGCGCGACTGGTAACGGAGAAGCCAATGGAGGAGAGCAGCCAGCCACTTCTACTGCTGCTGCCCCTCTGAGCGAGGCGATGGACGCAAGGACGAGGATCGCAAAGTATACGGCCAAGAAGGTGGAGGGAAAGGGCGGCAAGAAGAGGAAGTACTACTTTGGCGATTCGGGTGTGAACCAGTGGAGGCAGGGAATGGAGATCAGCCCGACGGTCGTGGATGGTGTTGGTGAGTCTTCGTGTAGCCTCGAGAAGGGGACTCTGGTCGGGCCACTGACGCTGCTTTTCTTCTTCGCAATGTCATCACCTCACAGTACAATCTACTCCAGACCTCTTCCACATGCTCAATTATGCTCTGGACAATCTTGGCGCAGATTCGGCAGAGCACCCTCTGCTTCTGACAGAGGCTGCTTGGACTCCCCGGGAGACGCGAGAAGAATTGACGGAGATGGCCTTCGAGGGTCTGGGCGTTCCTGCGTACTATCTGGCCAACTCTACCGTCTTGAGCTCGTGAGTGCCATTAAGGCAGACACGGCATCGCTTCTTCTTACTGACGATTGCCTCCTCCCCTTTGTCTTTGCCGTTAACAGCTTCTCAGCAGGCAAACCCTCTTCGCTGATTCTCGACGTCGGCTACTCCTCCGTGTCCGCCATCCCAGTCGTCGACGGCTTCGTCATTCGCAAGGGTATGAACCGTCAAGCTGGTCTGGGCGGAGCAGCCGTCTCTCGTGCCCTAGCCTACGACTTTAGGAACCCACCAGCCAGGACACCGCGTGTGGGCGGACCCATTTCCGAATTCGTGCCTACGTACCGGGTCAAGAGCAAAAAGCCCGTTGAGGCTGGAAGAGAAGCACAGTGGGAGCAGAGGGAAGAGAGGGGAACAGAGGCGACGACGGAGTCATTCAGACAATTCCACGATGAGAAGCTCTTGCACGAAGCAAAAGAGTCGCTATCACAGTGTCTCGAGCAAGGTTGGGATGAAGGACAAGCACTGAGCCGACCCTCGAGACCCTACGAATTCCCCAATGGCTACAATGACCTCTTTGGTATCGAGCGCTTCCGCGCCTCCGAAGTCATGTTCGAGCCCTCTCTCTGGGACGGCGTCGAGGGTGTTCTTCCACAAAATTCAGCCTCTGCTGTCAGCTCTATACAGCAGCTCGTAGCCAAGGCCATTGGCGCCGTCGATGTGGACAGTCGTCCAACTCTATTGAGCAACATTGTCTGTGTAGGCGGAGGCGCTTTCCTTCCGGGTCTGGTGGATAGGTTGAGCTATGAATTGAGCAATCAGGCACCTGGACAGCGAATCAAGATTCACTCGCCGGGAAATTCAGTCGAGAGGAGACATGCTTCTTGGCTAGGTGGATCGATCTTGGCCAGTCTGGGCTCTTTCCATCAGATGTGGATTAGCAAGGAGGAGTATGAGGAGCATGGAGCTGCCATTGTGCATGCCAGGGCGCGCTAGACGGACGAGGCTGAGTATGTTCAGACGGACAGGTACGGACCTGGCAATGGGCAAGAATGGTTCAGCGCCGAATCGATCCGCCACATGAATGTCACAACACGATAGCTAGCAGCAGATCTTCTACGCGTGATTGCATTGACTCCTGCACAGCTCAGATCGAACACGTTCCTCTTCTTCCCACCACCTCACGGTGTCCACAACCTAGCCGTTCCATCCGCCCCAGCAGTAACGACCCACGGCTGTCCTGTGACCCAAGTCATATGCAGCACTCCCAATCCATCCGTGACCTCGTGTCCCTTGAGCACCTTTAGTGGTACGATTAGGGGATTCGAGTTGAAATCCGAATACACCGTTCCGTGGAATACATGCACGGTCCCATCGTCCGAGGCCGAGGCGAAGGTTGGGTACGAGCGGGAGAAAGCAACACTTCGTAGAGCTCTGGCGTGGTACCGAAGAGTCTTGTAAGGCTTGGTGGAGAGGTCTAGGTCGAACCAGCAAAGACGCTTGTCGTAGGATCCTAAGATCACATGGTCCCCCGATGGGTGCACATCGATGGAGGAGATCCACTTGAGACCTGGCTGGAGCGTCTTGATGAGACTCTGTGCGGAGAGGTCGTAGATACGAACGTAGCGCTGTGTGGCTACAAAGAGATGGGGCTTCGTAGGGTGGAAAGCGACCTTCTGCACTGAAGAACCCTTGGAGGCCTTTTTGAAGGGAGCTTGGGAACGTTGTCTACTCAATTGGTGGATCAGAACAGAAGAGGATCCTCCATCGGCGGAAACGGTGGTAAAGTAGTCGCCCTTCGCGTGCCAGGTCACCTGCTTTGGCGTACCGTTGAAGGTGATGTGTACTGCCACACCGTTGGAACGCTCAACGTCGCTCGGACGTGACCATTTGGCGGGAGGTGCTGCGCTAGCTGATGCCTGAGCCGTCGAGGATGAGGTGGGAAGAGCAGGTTGGTAGCCTGCAATCGCATGCTGGAAAGATGTCGTGCCAGTTGCCGAAGCCGACCCGGGACTGGTATGGGGAGGTGCGATGATCGTAGCTTTGCCAGACGTGACGGCAGCGATCAGGCTGACGCTCTTGTTCGGGCACCACTCCAAGGAGTGCACTGGGGAACGATCCCGCTCTGCCGAACCATAGTTGAGATCCCATACAGCAGCACACCGACCAATCTCTAGATCCCACAGTCGCACTCGACCATCGTCGGCTCCTGTTGCGAGCCACCCTCCGCGAGGGTCGACGGCGACACATCTCACTCGAGAGTTGTTGGGGTGGGGGTAGGTGACCGCACAAGTCGTAGGGAATGGCCTGAGCTCTTGTGGCGAAGGGAGCTTCGGCAGCAGCTGATCAGGGTCACTGATATTGAGCCTCTTCCGCTGGACACGAGGCGCCATGTAGAGGTCCAGACACCGCTCGAAGCGCTCTTGCATAAAGTCCTTGTAGCCCGGTACCACTCGTAGACCAGAGTGCTTGGCAGGCACAAAGGAAGTCTTGCGGTCCTCTCTCTCTGCCTCCTCCCACGCCTTCTTCTCTTCCTCTGTGAAGAGGTACTCGGCCGGTGGGTTGTACGACTCTGCCGTCGTCGGCAGCGGCAGCTTGGGAGCAGGCAAATGCATAGGGTGGTCTGCGCGAGGTGCATCTGCGTCTGACCAGATGTTGTAGATGGAAGCCTTTGACTGAGCGGGAGCACGCGGTGTAATTCTGCCCTGTCGAATAGCCCGGACGATCTTCATGACCTTCTTGTGCTCCCACTTGGAGGGCACAAAGCGCCGCTTCGGCTCAGGCTTGCCAGTCATTGGGGTGACCATCTCCTTGCCCTCGCCTGTGAACCAGTGGACTTGATCCTCATACGGGTCGTAGCTGCCATCTGGGATCTCTGCCTGCTGCAGACGTCTGATAATGTCCAGCTCCTCATTCGTCAGCTGTACATCCTTGCCTGTCAGCTTGTCTTCGACGCTCATCCATGAAGTTGGGTCCTCTACCGTTGCTAGGAATTTGTCGAGCTCGTCTCCCTTTGCGGGCCTCATCACCTTCCTGCCCTCGATGTCGTATCCGATGTGAGGTAGATCGTCGTACCACTCGAGCGGTACGTTGCCGATCCTATTGGGAGCGTCTTCAGTGCTGCTGTCGCTATCGTAGTCGGGCTCAATCTCAGGGTACACTCTCCGTGTCTGACCTGTGAGCTTGCTGCGCTGGAACGTCGACTTTGTGCTACCGTCTGCATTACGGTCGCCAAGAATGGGAGCTGCAGTTGCTGGATCGAGGCCAAGTTTGTTGAGCTTGTAGTCTTCTTCGCTGGGCTTGACAGTGGCTCGCTTGACCATGCCGTCGAGCTCTGCATCGATTTCTCCCTGCGTTGCTGCCTTTGCTGCGAATCGCGAGGCGCGGGCGTCTTCATCTTGCGAGTCATACTCGTCAGTATCCTCTGTCTCGGGCTCATCTACGACTCCATCTTCAAGGTCGCTGTCGGATACGTCGAAGGAGCCATGGTCATCGTCGTCTTCATCGTCTGAGGATGCTGCATCGATCTCTGGGAATTCCTCTTCCTCGTCGTCTTCATCGTCGCTAGCTTCGGCGCCTGCAGGGACTTTGAGCGCATCAGTCGTGGCTGCGACGTCTGCTTCTCCCTCCTCGTCTTCGTCGCTGGGTATTTCTAATTGAGCGTCCTGGGCGGCTGAAACGACGTCTTGGGAGGGCAGGTCAAGGGTCTTGCTGCTGCCGGAGCCCGATGCGACCCTCTGTTCGGGTCTCTTCCTCTTTGGCACCGCTGTTGCGCCCTTTGGCGGCATGATGGAGAGCGGGAGGAGATGGTGAGGAGAGTGGTGAAGTAAAGGTGATGTATGCGGTTTGATGGCTGGTGGTGTGAGCGAGGGAGCGAGTGGCCGTCAGGAAGAAGCGTCCATCGGAAAGGGACGAAATTCTGCCTGGCAGCCAAAGGCGGGCGGAGCAGTGGGCGTGGTGGGCGGGTGGGCGTGGGCGTGCGTGAGTGAGTGAGTGTGTGTGGCCCCGTGGTGTGGCTGCCGTGCCCAGCAGTGCGCGCGGCCCCGGTGGCTGGCTGCTCCCCTGATCTCATCGCTCCCACGTCTTCCCACCTCCCGCCGCCCACCACCCACCATCATTGCACACCAGATCACCTCGCCATACTCACACCGGTATCCAGAGCTCATACTCGCCTTGATCCCACCCTTCTGTAGCTTCAGGCCAATCCTCACAGCTTCACCCGCTTAGCCTTCGAGACCCCATCTTTGCACCACTGCCCCCTCCTTCGCAGTCCCACCTCCACCCAACAACCCTCTATCCCCAACCTCACATCTTCACAATGGCATCCGCACTCGCCTCGACCGAGATCAACCCCTTGTGCCCCGTGTACGCACCCTTCTTCGGTGCCATGGTGAGTGGCTCCGGAGGGTCTTGCATTCAAGCGACGGCCGAGTACAGTGCCTGATAAGATCATCTCCTATACTTGCCTCGTATCACAGGGTACCACAGCGGCCATCGTCTTCACTTGTTAGTCTCATCAAATCCCGCCTAGCACCATGCTCACACGCAGTCTGCTGATCCCTGTGACCCCTCCCTTCCCTTACCGACCCCTCCCTCTGACAGGTCTCGGAGCCTCTTACGGTACCGCCAAGTCCGGTGTCGGAATCTCCGCAATGGGTGTCCTCAGGCCCGACCTGCTCATCAAGTGTATCGTTCCCGTCGTCATGGCTGGTATCATTGCCATCTACGGATTGGTCGTGTCGGTGCTGATCTCTGGTGACATCAAGTCCCCCATGACCCTCTACGCCGGTTTCATTCAGCTCGGCGCCGGTCTCTCCGTCGGTCTCTCTGGTCTCGCCGCCGGATTCGCAATTGGTGTCGTGGGAGATGCTGGTGTGCGAGGAACCGCACAACAGCCAAGGCTCTTCATCGGAATGATCCTCATTCTCATTTTCGCCGAGGTGCTGGGTCTGTACGGTCTGATCGTGGCCCTGATCTTGAACACTCGTAGTCAAGACGCTCCTTCTGTGAGTACAGGCGGTGGCACTGGAGTGATCCGAGAGACGCCGCATACTCACCTATCCCTCTCCTCACGTCTTCCTTCTGCAGTGCTAAATCGAGCTTTCTCCCCCATTTGGTACGGCTACGTGGCTAGAGCGGAGTCATTTGCCTAGCGACTGCGACTCAGGCAAAGGGTTCTTCCTCTTCTCTGCCAGAAGGCAAGCCAGAACAACGAGGGGCGCCACTCGCCCTCTGTCGAGCCGTCTCACCAATCAGCCCCATGTAGCCTCCTCTTCCCTCCTCCCTACCTCCTTGCCTACATGCCCCATGCACAGAAGAGTCAGAGCTTCCCTCACCTCCTTGTCGAGTTGCTCCACCTCCCCCTCTGCATGTCACATCTCCCTCCTTTCGCCCGCCTGTCCTCTCACCTCATCTCTTTTCTCTCCTACTGTCTCGCGCACCCTACGCCTCGTCCTTGAAACCTTGTGGATCGATTGCCAACCCTCTCTCTCTCTCTCTTTTGTGGAGAATTGGAGTGTGCGGTGAAACAATTGTAGTGGAAAGAGAGAGAGGAGAAGGCAGGAAATGAAAATTCAATATGAATTGCATCGAATTCAGGGCTGATAGAAGTTAGAAAGAAAGAAAGAAGCAAGCAAGAAAGAAGCAAGGAGAATCAGACCCGTTGATGAGTGTGTGTGTCTGTGGGATATTGAAGGCACATACGTACGTACGTACGTACGTATGTGACTCCTTCAGAGTTCGCTCCGCTCCATTTGGTAAAAGTAAAAGTCAAGGAATTTCAGGAATGCGAGATCAATTTCACCGTTACACCGTTAGGGTTAGAGGGCAAGGGCAAGGAAAAGACAAAAAAGACAAGAGGAGGAGGAGGGGCGGGGGGGCGATCAAGGGATCAAGGAAGGAAATGAGGGGAGAGGAGAATACAAAGGAGGAGGAGGAGAGGTAGACGAGAATACGAAGGAGAAGGAGGAGAGTGGTGAGAGACAGGTAGATGTGAAGAGATGACGAAAGGACAAGTCGAAGAGCAGAGAGGGAGAGACAGAGGCAGAGGGAGAGGAGGACGCTTTCCTTCCATTTGAGAAAAGCCCCCTTCTAGTGCTGTGCAGCATTAGTCCTCGTGGCTACTAGACCTACCAGGACCGCTACGCCTGCAAATCCAATGGCGGCGGGGAGGGCTAGTTCCTTGGGTAGGAAACCAAAGAGTAACTCAGCATCGTCTCCCGTTGCCTTTTTCCTACCACCAACACTGGAAGAGCTAGAATTGGGACCAGCAGCAGTCACCTTCTTCTTTGGCTCTCCATCTGCACCGACCCCACGCTCTCCACCCACTTCTGCCTCGTCTTCCTTCTCTTCTTCTTCTTCAAGCGTCTGCAACTGCGCCTCTGCCGCCTCTCTGTTTCTCCTCTTTGCACCATTGGTCAAATCTTTACTCTGAGGCAAAGCGTCGGCCTGTCGCGCCGCCGCTTCGGTCCAACCCCTCCCACCCTGAAGGAGCAAGACGACACGGTCACGGTCCTGCTTTTGAGCGGTCTTGACCGAGTCTTGCACATCGCCATCGGCAGTCATGAGGACAATGTCATCCTCGTCGTCCTTGTAGGCAATTGTAAAGTCGTTGGGATCAGGAGGCGCGCTTGAAGAAGTGGCATCGCCATTGGCTGCAGCTGCAGCAGCCGTCGAGTCTTCCTCGAAAAAGGGGTCGCCGGAGAGCTTGATGCAGACAATCTCGCGAATCGTCTCAAAGTTGTCATATCGAGCTTGGAAACGGTGCGTCCTGCCAGAAGGAGTGACAAACTTGAACAGGTACGTTCCATCGTCGGCTTCAGGGCCACCTCGACCTCCAGCTCCCATGCCGACGGCCGACTGTCCGTCGTCTTTTCCGTCGCCAACGGCAGAGGCAGAGTCGTTGGGGTGCAAGTCGGAGCTACCGTCGGCAGCATAGCGGTTGGGGGTACCAGGGTGCTCAGGAGCTTCGGACATTCGGTGGCTGCCGCTGACCATGGACTCCTCATCGCCCACAGAGGCGGTCCCTGATTGACCTAGAGCCCAGAAGCGGTTCCACATTGGTCCAGCACCGCCAGCGCCTCCCTCGCCGCTGGCATCTTCTGCCATGGAATTGATCTGCTCCAGGGTAGCGTAGGTCAGCTTCAGCACATCTACGACGCCAACCAGACGAGAGTCGATGTCAACAACGGGCAGATTGAGGTAGCGACCGTCGTGCATCTTTCGCAGAGCCTCTTGAATGCTCAAGCTGGGAGGGGCGGTATCTGGGTGTGGTGTCATGACTCGAACAACACTGCACGACTTGGGGTCCAGTCCGGCTGCGATGACTCGCAGAACGACGTCCTTGCTAGTAAAGATACCAGCGATCTTGCCCTGGACGACACCGCCACCGCCCACAGCTCCCTGCCCAGGTCCTCCAGTGCTCTCCATGACACAGACGGCCGTAGTTCGGTGCTCCTTCATGAGCTTGGCAGCCTCTCGCACCGTAGTTCGAACGCTGACGGTGCAGGGAAGGGTGCGGCTGTCGAGGATGGTGGTGAGGTCGGGAATGGACATCTTCTGTCGCAGAGCCTCGACGTACTCCATCATCGCCTGCTGAGGTCCGGCAACACCACCTCCCCACTCGCTCTGTACTCCCTCGAGGGCGTTGTAGAGCTTCTGCGATGAACCATGTGCGCGTTCGAGCTTCTCAAGAGCTTCGTAGAAGACCTTGGCAATGTCCAGGAGACCAACGACGTCGCCTTCTTCATTGCAGACGGGCAGATGCCTAAAGCCACGAGTGACCATGGTGTTGAGAGCCTCGGTAGCCGAAGTGCTGTCGCGAGTAACCATAGGAGATCGGGTCATGATAGCTGAGACCGGGGTGTTGCGAGCATCAAGGCCTCCCGCCACGACCTGTCGGAACATACGTGAGACCGGGGTACGTCAGACCTAAGAAGCATGTCCACGATCGCGCCCGCCGTAGACTCACTCTGAATGCCAGGTCCTTGGCGGTGAAAATACCGGCGAGATGCTCATCATCGTCCACGACCAAGACACAGTCGGTTCGCTTAGCAGCACAGAGCTGACTGGCATCGGCGACACTGATGCTCTGAGGCACAGTCAGAGCAGGAAGAGGTCGGAGGGCTGAAACAGTACCCGCGACAGGGGCAGGGCGGAAACCTCCAGCGCCACGACGAGGTCCAGTTCCTCGGCGAGGGGTGGAAGGCTTGCCGGCCTTGCGGTTTAGGTCGGCCTCGATCTTTTTCCGAATAGCCTGGGGACAGCATGGGATCAGCAGACATTCTGTCAGCACTTGCTCAATATAGCTTATACTTCATGCTCATCACCTCACCTCATCCCTCTTGTTCTGCCTCTTCCTTGTATCAGTGCTATCTCCAGCGGCAGGCGAGTTCCTGAAGCTGGCAGATCCACTGAGTGAGCTCATCTTATCGTCTTGCGATGCTTGACCTAAGGGCGTGTTCTCCTTTGCTGCGTAGTAGACAGAGCTGGGGCGAGGAGCTCTGGGTGTATGGGAGGCTGGCGAGCTTGATGTATCGTTCTTGTGATCAAAAGCTCGAGTGGGTGCGGGGATTCGGCTGCTCATACGAACACGGGAGGGGGGGAGTGATCCAGCTGGACTGTGTGAGTGTGGCGGTCCGGAGGTGAGCAAGAACGGTCGATGCTGCTGCCTGTATGCGACTGTGCTCACTGTTGTCTCTGATCAAAGGCAGTATGTGAAGGGACAGGGAGGGGAGAGGGGAAGGCCTTGATGAGAAACGGGAGGAGCAGATGAGGGTGAAGCAGCCGCTCCTTGCCCGCGTTTTGGTTGATGTGTTGTTTGAATGAGACAGGCAGCGGAGTTTTAATTCGACGCTCCACGCCTTTCCGTTGCGAAGAAGCAGCAGCAGGCCGTCGTCCCCTCGCCCTCACACCCGCACCCGCATCCTCAGTCGTACAACACAGCTCCATCATTGGCCAATATCCACAAACAGAGTCATGGCAGTCAAGAAGCGGACCATTGGATCTGCTGCGGCCTCGTCCAAGTCTGGCTCTTCGGCCACCGATGCTGCACGGCTACCTCGGGGACCTCACACGGCCCAGCTGTATTTCCATCTAGCAGTGCACGGAACCCTCATTCTCCTCGCCTCACTCATCCTCCCCGCCCATCTCCTCTCGCACAAGAAAGACGAGACGTCGGACTTGGGATTGAGGAACTCTGTATCCCTTCTCTTCTCTTTGCCGGACACGCCAGAGAATGTCGCGCTGCTGAGGAAGACGATGTGGGGGGTAGTGCAAGCAGTCGGAGTAGTGCAGGCGTGGGCACTCGTGCGGTTCAAGAAGTGGTTCGACCTGGGTGTTGCCATTGAGCAGGGAGACGTCAAGACTGCCGATGAAGTGAACAAGAGAGGTTGGGGCAAAGGCTTAGAGGTGTGTAGTCTATGGGCCGGGGGCGCTCGGAGGGGGTCCCTCTTACTGACACTGCCTACCCGTGCTACATCCTTGCTCCCTGTGACTGAAGCTCATGACCCTGACCTCTGTGTCGCTGCTGGTCGCGCTCCTCATCTTCCAGACTCTGCTGGTTCTCTTGGGAGCTCCTGTATTCTCGTGAGTGGTTGTCGCTGGGGAACAGTGCACCGCTCATCCGCCGTTTCTGACGGACCACTTCCTCCTTGGGCTTTCCGCGCCCTGCAGCAACATAACATCAACCGTGTGCCTCTCGCTGGCTCTGTCTCTGACAATAGCCTTTCCTCTACAGCACATTGCGCCGTTCCTCTCTTCTACGCCTCTATTCACCTCGCCTTCTCCTCGTACAATTCGCCTCTATAGTCTCCTGTGGACGATGCTGCTGCTGCCCCTCATCGGAGCACTGGTGGGCGCAGTTCCCCTCACCTTCGATCATGGCAAGGCCTGGTTGGCATGGCCTGTCCCGCCACTGATGGGATTGTTGCTAGGAGTGGTGGTGTCGGATGTGGTAGGAGGAGTCAGATATGTTCTCACCCCAGGCCGAGATTGAGTGGTCCCCTGCAATGGATATTCGACAGCATGAATCCGACAGAGACTTCGGCCGATGTTGCGACCAATGTGGCCTCTGATCTGCCGAACCTGATCTCGTCTTGGCATCACGGCCTCGACGCCTGCTGCGATTGTGGGAGCAGTTGCTCGCTTCCACCCACTACCTCGGTAGGGCTTGGGTGTACCCTGTAGTGCGGAATGAGTCGCGGGGCGGAGCGTAGGCAAGGCCTGTGTGCAGGCGGCGCCGAGGAGTGGCTTGGCTCTGGCTCGCTTCCAATGTCTGCTTCCGGCGGTGCGCCTTCGCCCCGCACTACTGGGCCCGGCCGCATAACCTCACCTTACCCACACCCTCGGCTCCAATCACCAGACATCGGCGAAGGATCCCGTCAATTACCATTTATCTCACTCTTCATTCGTACCTAGACGCTACCACCGCTTTCTTCTATCACCGCTCTCTCTCCATCAGTCCCTCGTCGAGGCTGCGGGGGAAAGCTAGCACTGCTGCCTGCCGACCGGCCCGGCCCGTCCAGCTCAGCCCGCTCCGCCCTGACCAAAAATTACCGTCCAGCGCCTCCTCCTCTGGACCCTACGCCTGTGCTCGCTTGCAAGGGCAGGTGAACCCTCCAGCCTTCACCTCGGCAAAGGGGAGCGGATCCTAGAGTGTCGTCGCTTGGGAGATGGCGACGACCAGCATGGCTTTTGCCCATCTCACCGATTCCCCGCCTAGAGCTGGACCCAGCAGGCCTCCCTCGTCGGCCATGCGCTCCTCTTCTAGACCCATCGCTTCTCGTAACCCCTTTCTCGACTCAGAGGGTATGGCCCGCGCCTCCCAAGAGCTGCCTGCGAGCTCCAGCTCGAACTCCATCTCCAGCTCCAATGCAAGTCCATTCTCCAACCTCCCCTACCTCGCCTTTGGCACTCCACAGCATACTGGCTCCACTGTGATGGGCTCACCAGCGCGAGCACCAGAGGAGGGAGCAGGGAGCGCGGACACAGTCATGGACGACCGTGTTGGTATTCAAGAGACCGGAGGACCAGGCGTGGAGGACCTGAGACAGGCCTTCTCCATCGCCAGCATCAGTCAACGCAACTCTTCCATGCCCATATCGCCTGCCCCGTCACCTCGGACACGTCTGACCACCCTCGAGGAGGCCGACCCGCGAGGTCAAACGGTCCCCGCTCCTGGCACGCCGCCTCAGCGCAACTCCTCCATGGCCATCTCGCCAGCGCCATCGCCACGGACACGCTTGACCACCCTTGATGAGGTCAGTCCGCAAGGCCAGGCCGCTCCCGTAGTTGTTCCAGCCACACCGCCTCAATTACCGCCGCGGCGGGACCGTTCTCGATCGTCCGACCGGCTTCACAGCAATCGGGATGCCTCACCGGGCATGGTAGAGCCCAGCTCTAGCTCTTCGGAGGAGCTAGAGGAAGCGTCCCGCTCTCGCATCCCTTCTTACTCGATTTCCACCAACTCTCCGCTGGCTGGTGGAAGCGTCTCGTCTCAGATACCAATGGTACCGGGAACGGACTATCCTGAGCCGACCATTACACCCACTCCAGGTAGGCCGCTACTGAGGGACGGGAAGCTGATGCTTATGCCGCCATCCTGGGAGTCGTGTTCCAAATGTAAGTGGCAATGTGAAGCAAGGTTCCACGAGTAGCATAAGATTTGAGCTCACCACCAGACCGCCTGCCTCCACCCCATCGACAGGCCAAGGTACGGGCTACAAGCACGCCGACCCATCACAGCCTCACGACAGCTGCTGGCGGTGCTACGGGCGCCACTACACTCCTGCTCTGGTCACCTCCGCCGATGTACTGGAGCGTGCCATGCTCCTACAGCGTCCTCTGCCCATGTGTACCCGGCCAGGCGGGCTACCTCCTCCAGCTCTCCCTGCCTCGAGCTCCTTCAGCGGGCCATCTGGCCTAGCTGCTCCTCAAACTCCTTCGGGCCGACGAACCTCCTCTACCTCCTCGTACACTCCACCTCCCCCACGTCGCGTCTCCTCGGGGGCAATGTACACCTCGTACGCCTCACCCGTTCGCACAAGCAGCGCCGCCCCTGGTAATGGCATCGGCCTTAGCGTTGGTGGCCCAAGCTCGATGCAGCGTCGTCGCTCACCCCCTCGAGTGAATCGGGCTGCAGACGCGCACGAGGGAAGTGAAGATCCGCAAGGAGAGGCACCTCCTTCCTACGAAGACGTGGTCAAGGTGCCGCAGAATGTCCAGCTACCACCACAGAGGAATGGGGAAGGCCCTACTGGAGGAGGACCGGCTGGAAATGGCACGCCTATGTCGGGACAAGGACAAGGACAAGTACATGCTCCCCCGCCCGGCACACCACCACCACCTCTACATCGTCCCGTCCACCAGATCCAGCCCTTCTTCAGCGCACCATGGGGCTCATCAGCACAGCACTACCCTCATACACAGCATCTCCAGCATCAGGCCTACCCGCAGCACGGTGGCTGGCATCTGCAATACACCTACCCACAACCAGCTCCACAGCCCTTTACCTTTTCCCCTTCTACCTCCCATCCTCATGCTCACACTGCATCTGCCTCTCCCTCCCATGGGCTCGCACCAATCCATAGTCCCAATGGTGCACCTTTCAACGGTCCCAATCCCAGTCTCGGTCACGGTTCGGGTCCTGGCTCTGGCTCTGGCTCTGGAGTAGCTCCGTTAGTCCTATACCCCGGTGATCCTCGACTGGGTGGAGTTCTCTGTAATAAATGTGGTGGGAGTGGAGTGCGAGAGTCCCTCTTCTTTGGTGATGAAGCGTGTAGTCGATGTGCTGGTATTGGGAGGGTGAGATGAGAGGAGAGGAGCTGAGAGGAGAGGAGAGGAGCGGAGAGGAGCGGAGAGGAGGGGGGAGAGGTAAAGAGGAGAGGAGAGAAGTAGTACGAGGGTGGGGGGCGTGTCACACTCATACACACAGCATTATGTATACATTTTCATATGCCATGCATGCATACTCTTGATCACACACCCTAGGAAGGAGGACATCAATGTATGCTACTGTATAAGAGTCGATTGACATCCACATCGAATCCCATCGTATGACAGGGACAGGGCAATCTTACAATCTCGGCGCTATCTATCAGGGCTCTTTCACCTCTCCCACGATACATCCGCCCACTCCTACTCCCTTCTTTTTGCTCGTTCCCCCTCGCCCTTTCCGTCTATCGCGACAACATCAAATCGTCAATCTTGAGTAGCAGTGCAACCGTCTCCGTCGCGAGTTCAATTGCACTCGTATTGACCAAGAGTGGCTGAAGAACATTTTCCTCCAAGATATTTGTAATCTGTCCTTTACGAACATTGATTCCCGCCGTCCTCTCTCCAAGGGCGTGACGATTTCTCAATTCGGTGACAATGGCAATTGGGTTTAGACCAGCATTTTCTGCTAGGGTGGTGGGGATGATCTCGAGGGCTTCGCTGTAGGCTTGGAAGCAGTAGGATTCCATGCCCTTGAGGGTCTGGGCATATGAGGAGAGGAGGCGGGAGACATGCACTTCGGGCGCTCCTCCACCGGCGATGAGAGCCCTGGGGTGGCGAAGACAAGGAGGGAAAGAAAGGCGTTCAGAACATACATCCCCATCGAATTAGGTCCATCTTGCCGCAACTCACCTCTTCTTTACGAGACATCGCACCACACAGAGCGCATCGTGCAGACTCCTCTCGCTCTCCTCTAGGACGAGAGAGTTGGCACCAGTGCACAAGATCGACACTGTCCTGCCCATGTTCTTGATGCCTGTAATCTTGCACACCCGAGCTCCGCTCTGCTGAACTTCATCCACCAAGTCGGCGCTGGCCAGCTTGTCATCTGTGAAGGCCTCGATGTCGGCAATGGGCTTGGCGTCGAGCGTACGGGTGATGAACTCAATCTCGTCTCGCTCAATGTCCTTCACCACGAGGATCTTGAGCTTGGCGAGGAAGTGAAGGGCAAGCTCGTTGACGGCATCACGCAAAATCGACTTTTGCAGCAGCAGGACATTGCAGCCGGTCTTCTTGATCTTCTTACACATGTTGAGGAGGTATTGACGCTCTTCCTTGAGGATCTTGTCCATTTGGCGGTAGTCATTGACCACGATTTGATTGTCCATCTGTAAAGCGTAGAAGGGGAGCCTTGCAGTCAGATCACACACTTCTCGTCAAATTTCGCAACCCCTGTCCTTGTCTACTCACGTCTGGCTTCGGGCTGCTCAATTGGAATTGGCAAACGGCAATCTTTGCCTTCTCCATCCGACTAGGTCCGCCGCTTCCTGTGACCACATTCTGCTCCAACACCAGTCCACCCTCGATGAGCTCGGTGTCATCGATTGTTCCACCGACCTTCTTGACGATGCGAATATCCCTCAGATCTACAGACGCGCTAGAGGAGGAGTCTTGTGCTGAGAGCGCTGCCTTTGATGAAGGCGCTGCTGCTGAACCGCCGGGAGCACTAGCTGAGCTGGCGTCAGCAGAAGACTTGGAGGGTGCAACGGCCGAAGCGGCAGGGTCCAGCAACCGGGTCACGGCTCGCACGGCAATGGGAGCGAGGACGGAGGAGTACTGCGAGACGATCTTGGAGTTCAGACTGGTGCTTGCTGCCCTCAGGAGGCTCTCCTTGTCTGCCAGGTCCACTGGAGTGGAGATTTCCTCGAGGTACTGCACTGCCTTTGTTGCAGCCCTCTGGAACGACTCTGCGATGATGGTGGGGTGAATGCCCTTGTTGAGCATCTTCTCCGCAGCGCCCAACAGCGATCCAGCCACGACTACGACGGAAGTGGTACCGTCTCCCGCCTCTACATCCTGAGCCTGTGAGAGCTCTACGAGCATCCTAGCTGCCGGGTGCATGACGGCCATGTGCTTGAGGATGGTAGCTCCGTCATTGGTGATGACGACCTCTCCCTGGGGAGTCTGGATCATCTTGTCCATTCCCTTTGGGCCGAGAGAGGTACGGATAGCATCCGACACGGCCCTGGCTGCAGAGATGTTGGATCTCCTGACTTCATCTGGCTTGTCCTGGGCCTTGAAGGAGTTCTGCTGACGCGGCGCTTGGCCTGACATGCCGTGGGCAGGAGCGCTGGACATGGGTCCTGCTGTGGCCGACATGAGTGTAACGTGGGGATGAAGGGTGGAGGCGTGTGATGGTGAGTGTTGAATGTATGCCTTGATCTGCTCTGCTATGACCACAGAAGGTGTGAGAAGTGATTCTTCCTGCCTGTCCGTCGAGGAGCGCGCGTCTCTCTCGCCTGCAGCCACGCCTTTGCCCGAGCCCACGCCTACGCCCGCGCCAATGCTCCCGCCCTCCACCGGGCCTCAGCGCCTTTCCGTAGGGGCCACATACGCTACGCACGCTTACTCTCCCTCTACGCAATCACCTCATACCATACCTTGGCATACGCAGGAATCGCATCTGATAGCGCTCTTACACCTCACATAGCCTCACTGCGTCGCACAGCATGTCCATGGTGCGTCCAGATCCCAGCTGTCGCTTCAAGCAACTCCCTCTTGACAGCGCTGACGACTCCTTTCCCCACCCCACCCATGCTGCCCTCGGCTGACCCCACTCCTCTCCCTTGCTCACAGTTCGACAGCGTAGGCGGCTTCGGAGGTGGCTTTGGTGGATTCAGAGGGTTCATGGGGGACTTTGATAGCAGAGTGGGGGCACCAGCACACGCATATGAAGACTACTACAAGGCATATAGCATGGCCATGCTTCCTGGCAAGGAGAGATTAAATGTCAGCTACGGAGGAAAGAGTGAGTAGTACTGTCAGCCTGTAGAGTGGCGAGATGTACGCTGAGACCTGAGTGCCCCTACGTGTGTTATTTTGCTATCTTGCAGTCATCATGCCCACCTCGGCACTGGCAAGGCTAAGTAAGTAAAGGCGGGCAGGCCACTGCATCTCCATGTTCTCTATCTCTGACACCCGCTCTTGCTGCAAACACCATCATAGCTCAAATGGACATTGCATCGCCATACCTATTCGAGCTCAAGACACACAACAGTGACAAGAAGACTCATGCTGGTGTCATCGAGTTCATTGCTGAGCCAGGGAATGTCCACCTGCCAGCTTGGGTGAGTGGCAATCAGCAGCGCAGCTAAGCGTCTCTCAAAAGTGGGCAATGTAAATGACAAAGGCTCCTGACCTTACGCTCTTTCGTCATATTAACTTCTCAGATGATGCGGCAGCTGGATCTGAACGAAGGAGATCCTATCCGTCTCACCGGTACAACACTGCCAAAGGGCAAATTCGTCAAGATTCAACCTCAGACAGTCGACTTCCTAGAGATTAGCGACCCCAAGGCAGTGTGAGTAGCTACCCAAGGCCATTCACATCACTAGTCGAAATGGCTTCCTGAACGTTGCTCCTCCCACATTACCCCACAGCCTCGAGCAGGCCTTCCGGAACTTCTCATGCCTGACCAAAGGCGACATCGTCGAGATTAGCTACAACTGTCTCACTTTCGAAATTCTCATCATGGAGACAGTGCCCGACGCAGAAAGCATACTTATCATCGACACAGATTTGGAGGTGAGTGGAGGTCGTAGGTGGCACGAGTAGCTTTTCGAGCGAGAGTAACACTGACACCTGCCACTCCATTTCTCTCTGTCCCGCAGGTTGACTTTGCACCTCCCAAAGGCTATGTGGAACCAGTCGCAAAGCCACGACCGCCTCCCCCGACCATGGCCTCGAAGCTGAAAATTGACAACCAGAAGATCGAGTCCATTTCCGCCTCGGGCACATCCACACCCTCCACCAGCGGCAACGCAGAGCGAGCCGATGCAAGCGGCAGCGGCACCTCGCTCGGCGGGCTTGGCGGCGCCTTTAAGGGTCAAGGACAGTCCCTTTCGGGCAAGAAGTCCAAGGGCAAAAAGGACAAGCCCGTGGAAGCCCTCGACCCTTTTAGCATGATCCGTCGCACCGACCTCCCCCGCGTTATGACCAACGACACGCAAATCGGCGATCGCAAAGTCCCTGCTGCGCTGAACCTGCCCTTTGGTCAACTCTACTTTGGGTACGAGTACGTACCTCTTGGCGCTGCGGCTGCCAAGGAGGAAGAGGAGAGACAGAAGACGGGACAGCAGAGGATCGTCTTTTCTGGTGCGGGACAGACGTTGAGTGGGCGAGCACCACGGAGGAGAAGAGCCGAGGAGCCATCAGCGGCAGCAGCAGTGGCAGGTGCGTCTGGTCAGGCCAACGCAGGTGCAGCAGACGAAGGCACTGCAGGCGCAGGGGCGGCCGCTAGTCCGGAGCCATTTGGCGGCACAGGTCAGACATTGGGTGGAGGCGGTGCGACGACGAGGACGGGGCAGAGGAGTAGCCGTAAGCGGGAGAGGGGCACGGCTAGTGGACTGGGCAAGAGTAGGAAAGAGGCCATTGTTCTGGACGACGACGATGATTGATTGATGGTGATGATGGTCAGCAAGAGAAGGGTGTGAAGTCGGCTAGCTGGCTCTACGTGCGATCCCCATCCCCCCCTTTGCATTCGAGCACCACTTTTCCGTGGCACTGTAAGCTCATTCTCTTCTTCCTTTCATGCCATGCCATACCGTACCATGCCATGCCAATCCATGTCATAAGTTTTTACAACGCTGTGTCAAGCTCGAGTGCACACTGACTGATCCACTGAAAGACTGACCGTCTGTCTGAGAGACACGTACGTAAGCACTGCGCTCAATCCTCCAGCTCACTGCAGTGGCAGTGAGACAAGGCAAGGCAGAACAAACAATTGCAGACGCAGACTCCATCTCAGTCAAGTCAATGCAGACAGTCGATTCGGAATGAGGCGTGATGGTCAGCGGATCAAATTCTAAATGACGATTGAGAGTGTGGGTTGGGGAGAAAGAAAAAGAGAAGAACAAAACGGACGAACCATGTTCGAAAATGTGTCTGAGAAGCTTTGTCAGAAGTAAAGGAGAAGAAAAGGAGCGAGAAGGGAGAACAGAAGGCGAAAAAAAGCTTTGAGCATATGGTTGGGGGGTGGGGATATGTGCGTGTGTGGGGAGAAGAACGCAAGGGGAAGAATAGAAACATGGGAGGGGAGGCACACCTTTTGCACCAAGCAGTCCGTTCCTTGATCCTTCATCTTTGTTCTTTTACTCGTCTTCGACCTCCAGACGTTGTGTGATGCTGTACACGTCTGGCTTGCCCTCCTCGGCCTTCTCGTGAACAATGGTCAGACGCTGGATGTTGGTCATGAAGTCCTCCAACACCTGGTTCTTGACCGATCGCTGCCTTCGTCCGAGCCTGTCCAGGGCAGGGATTCGGTTCAGGACGAAGTAGACGACGGTGATGACGACGGTCACACCGAAAGAGTAGAGCCAGACACGGACAACGGTGACAACATCGGTCCAGCCACCGTGAGGAGCAGTGACGGGGTTTCGGTTGGGGGCACCCGAGAGCCATCCGAAGAGACAGAAGATAGTGGCCAGAACATCGACGGCGAAGACGGCACCAACCAGCTGCCACGATGGGAGAGTGATGGCAGACTCACCACCACCCAGACGAGTGACGAAGATGAGCCAGTTCTCAGTGAGGGCGACTTCGAGGAAGAGAATCTCCTGGGTGTTACCGAAGTTGGCAATGACACCACCGTTGTGGAGGAAGAGAGTTCCTCGGATGACCCAGGTACCAGCAGCGAGGAGCAGACCAAGGATGATGGAGATGATCCAGATCTTTGGCAGCTGCCACTCGACGGGGTGACGGGCGTGAGGAGCAGTGTCGTAGGCAATGGCAATGGTAGCAACGTCGGCGAACAGGGCGAGGAAGACGATCAGGTCGACTCGGATGACTTCGTCCAGGATCAGGATGGTCAGGACCAGGTAGACTTCCAGGTGGAGACACAGAGAGATACGGTACTGGATGTAGGCCTTCATTCGGTGGAAAATCTGACGGGCAACCTTGATCGAGGTGATGATGGTCGAGAGACCCTCGTCCAGGAAAACGACGTCGGCAGCAGATCGGGCAGCGTCAGAGGCACCTTCGACGGCGATACCACAGTCAGCCTTCTTGAGAGAGGGAGCGTCGTTGACACCGTCACCAGTCATGGCAGTCAAGTGACCACGGTTCTGCAGCATCTCGACGACCTGGTACTTGTGCTCGGGGAAGACCTCGGCGAATCCATCAGCAGCCTCGACGAAGTCGTGGATAGCAGATCCGGCCATACCACCAGAGCCAATCAGTCGGTGCGAGTCGTAAACCTTGGTACCGAGGGCGAGCATCTTGCAGGTCTCCTTTGCGATAGCGACGGCGTCACCAGTAAGCATCTTGACACCAACACCCAGACTCTGAGCCTCAGCGATGGTAGCGGCAGTGTCTCCACGGGGAGGGTCGAACATGGGCAGAAGACCGAGCAGCCTCCATCGGCCACCTTCGTTGATAGCGACACCGAGAGATCGGAAACCACGGCTGGCAAAGTCACCAGCGACCTTTCGGTAAACACCGGCAGTCTCAGCGTCGGGGTTGCAGAGCTTGAGAATAGCGTTGGGGGCACCCTTGGCGGCAATGTACTGCTGACCGTCCTTCTCGACTTCGGCAACGATACGCTTGGAGACGGGGTCGAAAGGAGTGAACTTGTGGGTGATCCAGCCAGATCCGAGCTCCTCGATGGCACCAGGGTAGTCCTTAAGGGTAGAGATGGTGACCTTGTCGATGGGGTCGAGCGACTTGATGTTGTGCGACGAGGCAAGAGCAGCGACGGCCATCATGAAGTTGACGTCAACACCCTCGGAGACGAAGGGCTCGTGGATGGAGAGCTTGTTGGCAGTGAGTGTACCAGTCTTGTCAGAGCACAGAATGTCGACACCGGCAAGGGACTCAATGGCAGTGAGCTTCTGGACAATGGCCTGTCGGCGAGCGAGGTAAGAAGCACCGACAGCCATGGTGGTGGTGGTGACACAGGGAAGACCGACGGGAACACCGATGATCAGGAAGATCAGGGAGTAGACGAGCAAGTTGTTGTCGGCGGGGTTGGAGATACCAGTGTTGCGGAAGAATCCACCAATCCAGAACATGAGGATGAAGACGACGACGAGGACCAAGAGTGTCGTACCGATGGAGTCCATGACCTTCTGGAAGTGTCCCTTGTCCTTGCTACCGCCGAGAACGAGAGCAGCAGTGCGACCAACGAAGGTTTGCTTGGCAATGTCAGTGCACAGGATGTAGGCCTTTCCTCGCTTGCAACCAGTGGTGTAGAAGACGGTGTCACCGATGTGCTTGTCGACGGCAAGAGATTCTCCGGTAATGGCAGACTGGTCACAGGCGATGATTGCAGGTCCCTTGTCGATGCCCTCGGAGTCCTCATCGTCACCAGCACCGCCACGGCGGGAGGCCTCCATCTTCTCCTTGATGGCGTTGGCCTGGCTCATGTCCTTGTCTTCGTAGTCTGCCAGAAGGCGTCCGTCGCATGGGATGGTCTTACCGTCCTCGGCAACGACGACGTCTCCGGGAACGAGTTCACGGGCCTCGAGCTCGATCTCGTGGCCGCCACGGACAACGGTGGTGCGGAGAGCGATACCTGCCTTGAGCTGGGCGACAATGTCACCGGCTTGCTTCTCCTGGTACCAACCGACGAAGGCGTTGAGCAACAGAATGGCGGCAATGACACCGAAGTCGATCCAGTCCTGCAAACCAGCGGCGAGGACGGCAGCAATTTCCATGACTGGGATGGGGGATGAAAAGGATGACGCGATGGGTCAGTAGGCTGTCGAGCGTAGGGCGCGTGCTAACAACAAGAGATGCTCACCGTACAGAATGGGACCAGTGAAGAAACCGAAGAACTTGAGGAGGAGGTTCTCATGAGGAGATTCCAGCTCGTTGTAACCGAATTGCTGACGACGCTTGGTGACATCAGACTCAGAGACACCGTGTGTCATGTCGGTCTCGAGCCTGTCATGGTAGCAGTGGCGAGGGAAAGGGTGGTAAGCAGGCTGCTATTAGAAGATGGAGGTACACAGACGAGGAAAGTGATTGTGGCCACCACTCTGGTGAGGGTGACGACGATGATGACGACGACGGTGGTGTCGGTGTGGGTGTGGGTGTCGGTGCCGATGCTGCTACCGTGACCTCAGCTATCTTTGGCCGGTGATGGGCGAAAAAACAGCGTGCATGCGGGTCTCCCGCCTGCCACTGGGGCGGGGGTGCAGGCACTGGAGCACTGTCCGACCCAGGCGCGCGGCCCAGAGGCAGACAGCGCAACGCACGGGAAGCGCAGATGCGGGCACAGGAGGCAAGGCCCAACGACGGACAGGAGCAGAGCGCCGCCCGCCCCAAGACCGAAGATCATCGCCGATGCAACGAGCCAGGCAGGCGAAGCCAAAGGGCCAGACAGCCAGCCAGCCAGCGGCATGACCAATACCAACGATGACACCGTCGAGATAAGAGGTGCGCGGGTGCAGGGCATGGTGTGCTCAAGCACCTTTGCCATTGTGGACGGTGTGCAGGAAAAAATGAGAAATGCATGGTGCCAAACGAGCTACTCACCATGAAGATGGCACCTTGGCAGCGACGGTCTCCTCTTCACCGTCCTTGTTCACACGGACTTCACGTGTCTTCCAAGGAGTCAGCATGCTGCGCTTCTTGATGATCTTGGAGCCATCATTCTCTTCCTCGTCACCTCCGCTCCTCTTCTGGTTGCGGATGAACTCGATGAGGCTGGCGTACTCATCGTTGGCGTTGCCGCCGGCTCCGCCCTTTTCTTGCCTCGATACCTCAGGTTGGGTGCCCGAAGAGTCCGACATGTTGGTAGCTTGCCTGTCGGTGTGGTGGTGGGTGTCGGTGTGTTGAGGTTCGTCGATGTGGTGAGATCCGTTCTGAGAGTCGAGGGGAGGTGCAGGTCCAGTGTGGGACATCAAAGTGCTGGTGTCTGCTTGGAGTTCCTCGATAAGGTGTAGTGGAGGGGGGTTGACGCCGACGACGAAGGTGCCTTGAGTGAGGCAGTCAGCCGACGAGGAGGGGGGAGGAGGAGGAGAGGAGGGTCCGGAGTAGGAGAGAGGGTGATGCTTGTGCTAAAAGATGGGGGAAGGGGAAAAGGTTAGGCTGGTAGCGATGGGTGAGGGTTAAGAAGGAAAAGAGGGCAGCGAAAACACTGATGGGGGGGAAGAGGGGTGGGAGAGGGGGGAGCCGTTGGGTGGATGGGCGGAGAGCGGGCACGGGCACGCAGACGGGGGTGCGAGTGAGGGGAGCGGAGGCGGGCAAGCGGGCAGACGGGCACGCAGGCGGGCAGGCGGCCGGCGTCAAAGCAAAGGCTTGCTGCCTGGGCCGAAGATCCAGCCGCCCGTGGGCGAAAGGGCAGAAGCGCCTCCGCGGATTCAGGCCCCGCCCTACTCAAGACTCGTGAGCTGCGTGCCCAAGGCGCCCGGTAAGTAACATCTCTGTTCCGGACAAACTGCAACCACAGAAGGATGATTTCTTCTCTCGACTCCTCGGACGCATTTCTCGAGGCGCCTCCTGAGCATCTCGCCGGCAGCTCGATGAACGCAGCGGCGATGATCCGATGCGACTTGGAGTGACTGTCAACCCAAGCCTCGGATTGACGTCGTGCCTCTTCGTCACACAATCCACGCGCCCAGCTCACATGTGCCAGTCTGATCACCGAACATTCAATTGCTCTCACTCAGACTGAATCACCCCCTGCGGATGGACAATGGGGGTGGGTGGGAGTCTCGGACTGCCAAGCCTGGCGTCAGGGCAGGAGTCTGTCGTGTGATGATACCAAGCCCGCCAATTAACTTCCGTGCCCTAATCGCCCAACCGACCCCTCCCCCTGACTTCCCCCCCTTATTGTTTCTCTTTTGCGGCGCTTGTGTCCGAAGTGTGGCCCCGCGGTGCCGCGTTGCCTATACTCCTTGGCTGATATGGGCACAGGGCAATGAGCCAAGCCAAGCAGAGACTGCAACGCATACCCAGCTCCCCTTGCGCAAGCCCCTCTGCCTGTGCCACCGGTGACTGACGACTATGATGAGCAAAGTCAATGCAGCGCCAGCTCCTGACAAGATTATCCATGCGTAAGTACCACAAGTCCCCCCCTTGCCGAAAAGTCATGCCGAGCCCGACAAGGCCGATTTGCAATCTCGCCCGCGCTTCGCAGACAGATCAGGCTCAGCGCAGCCGCGGGGCCTCGTCTGCGCTTGAGCGCCCCACCTTGTTCCACGCCCCCTCAGGGATCAGCCAAGCCCACACTACCGTCACTCGGCATAGGATGCACGCCATTTGTCAATCTTTCGGTGTCAAGGAGAGAGAAAGAAAAAAGAGGGGCGTCTGACCGCTTGTCTGCCTGCCTGTCTGCCTGTCTGCCTGCTTGGCTGCCGTCTTCCTTGCATTGATCTCGTGTCCGCAAGCGGCCCCACTTGCTGGCCTCAGGCGCGGAAATAGACTGCCGCCGCTTTCTGTCTGTCTGTCTGTCCCCTCGGCCCTTCGGCTCGGCAAACAATCGAAGAGCTGCCCTGGTCCCTGGGCCCGAGGAAAATAATCTGGACCTTGCTTGTACTGATGGGAAATGGCCTTCAGCTCTTCTCGTGCGTGAGGAGCCTGCATTTGCTCTCAGTCTACACATATTGACTGCTTGCGTTTGTCTCAAAGGCCGCATTGGCGTTCCTTCAATACGTTCAGAGGCATGACGCAACGATGCTACTGCTCTCCAATTGTCTGCCTGCCTCCGAAAGCCATTCTCCTGTGCAGGCCATGCCTTTTCCGCCTCACGTGTATTTACATTTACGTGTGTCCCCTGACCGGCCCCGAGTGCGTCGAACCATGCAGCGGCGATGATCGTCGTAGACTCATCTGTCGTGCGTGCGTGCGTGCGTGCGTGCGTCTGCTTTTGCGTGCAGGCAGCATAGAAGGTCGCGATGGAAGCCAAGCGGAAACCGCAAGAAGAGGCGTCGTCGGCACGCATAGACAAAGGCGCCCCGATCCCTCCCTTCCTGCCTGGATCTCCGCGTCACACAATTAGATCGTTGAATCAACGGACCAAGGGGTGACGCCAGATCTCACATGCCTGACAGCGAGACCCAGTGTGACAAGCGGTACAACCATATCCCGGATTTAACCTTAGCTTTCCACAGCACCTATCACGGAGGCTGTCACGTATGCTGCACGCACATACAGGTTTTCGTCACATCGGCCGGCCGGCTTTGAGGAGACGAGATGCGGCCGGTCAATGGACAAGTGTGCGAACATCAATTCTTGGCCGACCGAAGCCGAGGCAAAACAATTGTCCGAAAGCCGATGTACCTGGCTGATCGCGCAACGGCGTGAAGGCATCACCAGCAGCCCAATGCTCAAATCTCCACCGCCGGCGGCTGACTGTCAGAGATAACAACAACCACTGATCAACGGTGCCGTGACTTGTGGGAAGCGCCGGACCGGACCCACCCCGCTCCGGACACTTTTCTTCCGCCACTCTGCTGCTCCTTTCTCAGCACCCATGGGCACCCACTCGCCCGTGCTGATGACCTTGTCTCACTTTAGGTGCCTGCTATACCCTTACAGTCCCTCAGCCCCAGCGCCGATGATCTGATTTCCAAGCCCTGCTGACTCTCGTTGCAAACAAATTCCCCCACTGAGCCGGCCGAGCAGAAGAGGGGAAGAATTGTAGATGCAGCGGATCTGTAGCTGATCTGCCGACCTCACTCCTGCTCACTGTAATAGCCGATCGCCCGGTCTTTTCCCAGAACCGTGCGTTGATCTAACCCTGCTGATGTCCTCTCGATGAGGTTCAGGAAAGCCGTAGATGATTTCATTGACTGTCAACGAGGCGATCGAGAGAGAGAGTACATAGACTAGGATAGACGAGGCAATGAGCTGGGCGGACCTTTTATTCAGCGCTGAAGAGCTTTTGGTAAGCGTAGGGACTTCGTTGAAGAGGTAGAACACAAGCAGCCTTGAAATGACTCTACTCCCTGTCGTCGCCGCGACGAGGGGCAGGAGAGCGGCTTCGCTCACGAGAGGCCTCAACGTCCCTCTCTCGCTCAGGAAGAGGATCTCTAGGCCTCCTCGAGTCTGATCTGCCAGAGTCGTACTCGTCGCGCCTGGGAGGAGGGGATGCTCGTCGGTCGTACCTGTCCTCTGGGTAGTCGCCACGGGGAGGGTAGGCCTTGCGGGGAGGAGGGTAGTCTCGTGGTCCGCGGTCGTAGCCACCGCGGTCGTAACCGCCGCGTCCACTCTCGTATCCACCTCGACCACCTTCATAGCCGCCCCGTCCGCCGTCGTAGCCACCTCGACCGCCATCATAACCACCGCCGTAGCCTCCTGCCCTACCACCATCGTATCCTCCACCATAGCCTCCGCCCCTGCCACCTCCATAGCCGCCTCGAGAGGGAGGAGGAGCTCCGTAAGGCGGGTAGTCGTCGTACCTTCCACGAGGTGGGCCAGCCATAGGGGGAGGAGATGGGGCTCGGGCAGGAGCAGGGTCAGCTCGCAGCTTGTTGCCCCTCAGATCGAGACCTTCGATCTTGGCCAGAGCTCGGTCCATGTCCTCCTTGTTTTCGTACTCGAGAACACCTTCATCAGGTCGGACGGGGTCAACGTCTGCGAAGCTGATTTGACCTGCCTCACGTCCAATGTCCTTGAGGTCTTGCCAGCTCGTCTTGGGAGGGAGGTTGCTGATGAGGACTCGGTAAGCACCTGAAAGAAGCAGGCAATAGGCGCTGGTCAGCAAGCGAAGCCACCAATGTCATCCAGCTGGCTTCGATATTATTGGCACTCACCCCTTCGGATGCGAGGCGCGGGTCGAGCTCCATAGCCAGGAGGGCCGTAACCTCCTCGTCCTCCACCGTAAGGGTCGTAGGCTGCACGCTTGCCGCCCTTGGCATGCTCGACTTGAATCCTGTGATGGTAGAATAATAGTGGTGGCTGGTCAGCTGAGAAGCCAAGGCGACGCCGCGTGGTGCAGGCCTTCGATGCTGACTCACCTTTCGCCGAGCAATTCAGAGCCGTCGAATTTCTATAAGAGAGTGAGCCAAAATCGATGGAGGCAGGAAGATGAAGCCAGCCAGTAGCCAAGCATTAGTCGAGTCAGTACGGCGTCCGTTTCGATGAGACCGAGATCCAGGAGTCAAAAGCCGGATAGCAGATTTGGAAGCGGCCATTGCCCGGACGGCTTCGCAAGTGCGTGGATAGCAGCGACTCGTGCTCAACGAATGCCCGGTACATGCGAAAAGAGCCTTCCTCTCATTGTTCCGCCAAGACGCAGAGAGACCAGGGCAGCGCATCCAGATCGAAATCGATAGCTCCTCTGTGCCCCGGATCATGAATGCGGATGCGAAGCCAGCAGAAGCAATGGATGACGCATCGTTTCACGGCTGGCTCGAGAAAATCCACCAAGAGAAGATAGCAGACCATTCGATGTCTGTAGCCCATGTCAGGACAGACCACCGCCTTCACCATCGCCTTACAGCGCGCGTCCAAGATGCGTCGAAGATGCGACCCATATCTCGCCAACGTAGTCACGAAGGTGATCTTCAAGGAATCTGCCGGTGCCTTCCAGCTGTGCTGTCCTTCCGTTCCTTCGTCGAGTTCAGGGTAGCGTGCACTCCTTCAGGGCCATGAACGTACCTTGACGACGTCTTCTGCATCTCTTGCGTCTTCAAACTCGCAGAATCCGAATGCTCCCATCAGCTTGATGTCTGCCACAGGCTATGAGCGTCATGTGTGGAGGAGTGTGTATATAGTGACGGTCAGCAAGAGTGTCCCTTCTATGCCTCTCGTTCTGCCGCGCGCCCCCTGCTTGGTCTGGCTGAGCGCCTCGAAGGAACACTCACGAATCCTTTGAAGAGGTCCTCGACGTCAGTCCTCTGTACATCGGGAGGCAGTCGGCCAAGGTAGACTCGAGATGTAGCCATGTTGGAGTAGTGTGTTGAGCGTGGATGGTGAAGAGCGGACTACTGCGTCTTTGTTCTATGGCTAGATGGAGGGTAGGAACGCGGGGGAGGATGCAGACGAAGCCGACGGAGGTGGATCTGCCCGACGGATCGGAGGCGGACTGGATGCGCGCGGCGACGCACAAGGCCACCGATCAGCCACAGGTGGAGCTTCCCGCCAAGATCTTCCCTTTCCGCTTCCGAAGCCATTCGCATACGCTCTGTTCAAGCCTTTACTCTGGCAACCATGAGCGTACTGCTGGAGACAAGCTTGGGAGACCTGGTGGTGAGTAGCGAGAGTCCCGCGGACATTGATGGTCGATGCGCTGAACCCAAATCACTTGTGTCTGGCATAGCTCGATCTCGACGTGGACCGAGCTCCGAAGACGTGCGAGAACTTCCTCAAGCTCGCAAAGGCGTACAAGTACAACTACTGCGCCTTCTTCAGCGTGCAGAAGAACTTCCTCGCCCAAACGGGTGACCCTTCCTCCTCTGGCAAAGGAGGATCATCTATTTGGAACCTCTTGCCCAAGAACTCGCCTCAGTATGATCCGTCACCATACTTCCGGCCAGAGCGGAGTCCGCACCTCAAGCATCGCACTAAGGGCACGGTCTCCATGGCGCTCTCTCACGCCGGCAAAGGCAAGGCCGAAGACGATCTAGTGGCAGGGTCTCAATTCTTCATCACACTGGCAGACAACATCGAGTACCTCGACGGCAAGCATGCTCCCTTTGCAATGGTAGTTGAGGGTCAGGAAGAGGGGGAGACGCTAGACAAGATCAATGCCTCCTTCACTGATGACGACGGTCGGCCTTTGAGAGACATCAGAATCAAGCATGTGATTGTTTTAGGTGAGTACGCTGGTGAGGAGTGATGCAGAAGATTATGCAAGGTCTGTCATTCACTCTTTTGCTCTTGTCACACACTCAGACGACCCATTTGAAGACCCCGTGGGGTTGTCTGTCCCATCTCGTACGCCTTCTCCGACTCCCGAACAGCTCGCCGCCATCCGTCTCGGGGATACAGACGAGATTGAAGACAACCGTCCTGAAGATGAAAAGGAGGAAGCCCGGCGCAAGGCCGACTCCTCCGCCGCTGCTCTCACCCTTGAAATGGTCGGCGATCTGCCATTTGCCGAGATCCGTCCTCCAGAGAATATTCTCTTTGTCTGCAAGCTCAACCCGGTCACCCGCTCTGAAGATCTAGAGCTCATCTTCAGTCGCTTTGGCAAGATTCTCAGCTGCGAGGTGATCAAAGACAAGAAGACCGGCGACTCGCTGCAGTATGCCTTCATTGAATTCGACGAGCGGGAGAGCGCAGAGCAGGCCTACTTCAAGATGGACGCGGTCCTCATCGACAATCAGCGTATACGAGTCGACTTCAGTCAGTCGGTTTCAAAGCTCCACTCCAGATGGATCGAGGATAGGACAGGCAAGAAGCCACCTGGAGGACGTAGTGGAGAATCAGATGGTGGAAGGAGAGCGTTCAGTCCTCCTTCAAGAGGGTCTAGCAACACACCCCGGGGCGGTAGCGGTAGTGGTATGATGTTCGACATGGATGAGCTGGCATCGCGAGATTCGCACAGACGTGACGCTCCACCGCCTTCACGACGATACGATGATCGCAGAGACGATAGATCAAGAGGCGGCGACCGTGACTACAGAAGAGAGTATTCAGATCGTCGGCGAGGCGACGCATATGATCGGAAGCCAGAGCATAGGGGAGATAGGGATCGTGATCGGTATGACCGTTCGGCAGGCACTCGGCCGAGAGACGACTATCGTACCGAGGACCGGAGGCGGAGTGATCGCGACGATGGCTATCGGCGAGACCGGGAACACGCTCGAGACAGGGACTATCGTGCGCGTTCGCCGAGACGTTAGCTGATTAGGCGTCTTCATATGGTACATTTCTTTCTCTTCACGACAAATACAAGCATCTGCACGGCACCTCGTCCTCATGAGTAGTCCGGTCCGACCGGCGAGTGCGTCGCTCCGCTACCCGACCCACCACTACCGCCGTCTGTAGACGCCTTTCTGTAAAAGAAAGATCGCCGGTTTCCTTTTGCCCCTCCCCCTCCTGCTACCTCCCGCCAGGGACCGCCTCTACCACCTGCCGTAGCTCCTCTATCCCAACCACTCAACTCTTCCGCAATGGGCGTCCGAGCAGCTCCCTGCATCAGGTCTGGGTCAAAGGCCTCGCTGCCCGAAGACTGCTTTGGCCGATGTGTCGGGCCCGCCGTAGACCTTGACGATGGAGCTGCATCCATTGGGAGGCCGCCCAGAACCGTGAAGCTGTTGTCTGCAGTGGGCGGCAAAGGCGTGGTTCGTGCAGCATCCAGGGTCGTATCTTGGTCCTGATCGTCTTCGTCTTCATCGTCCGAGGCCAATGCAACATCGTTGTCGTTGTGCTCGCTTTCCCCTTCGTCCTCCTCCGGGAGGGTTTGTCCGTAGTGCCTGTTGCCGCCACCGTATCGAGCCCTTCCATTGGCATTGGGCATACCAGAGCTTGCTAAGACCCTCGCATTGCCCTGGGGTCCACGATAGCGTCCGTCCGCCTCAGTCATTGTGAGAGAGGCAGAGGACTCAGTGAGGTCGCCTGCGCTTCCCTGGTCGTCGGCGAAGAAGGAGCTGAGATCCTGAAGCTGGTTGACCAGGTCTCCCAGACCCACCCCCTCAATGGTGTCACCCGTGGTACCATCGACGTCACTACTCATACTGATACCAGCGCCGCTTCCACTGAGTAGGTAGTCTTGGCCATCCTCGACCATGCCATAATCTTCGTTGACAAAGTCGACCATCGACACCGGCGCAACGTCCAAAGTCATCTCGCACATCTTGAAGACTGCTTGGACATTGATGCGGGTCCGCGAGGTCAGCTCTTGCGGATTGGCCACGGCCCAGCCGCTGTCGTCTGGAGCGCCAAAGATTGCAGCATCGCTGGCCTGCTCTCTTCTGCGACTGGGGTTTCCCCACTGCAAGCTCATTCGCAGGATCTGATTCGCAGCAGGTCCGCCATGAATTGCGATAGGCTCATCCAGGACCTCCAATGCTTGAGCTGCAAGCGGCGTGGAGAGCAGACGTAGTAGCGGCATGAGCAGCTCCGACCCTAGCCTGGCGAACTCATCCGACCGAGTGTCAACCACCTGGAAGAAGATCTTCAAGACTTGCATCGTCTGGTTCCTCAGCCATTCGTGCTGATTGAGCGTCAAGCCGAGAAGAGACACAGCCAGCCGGGGAGCCAATCGAGGAAGGAAGTTGGCTCTCACGCAGTTGATGGCCTGTCTCACAAGATCATCCTTGGTCCTGAAGCGAGCCTTGGCTATAGATGAAGCAACTCTAGCGAGGTCTGCTTTCCCTCGTGCTTCGGCCAACGTGGCGATATCCTCGGCTAAAGTCAGGACAGCTTCATCCCTCGCCTGAGCTAAAGCATCAGTACTCTGCAGGAACCAAGGCAGAGCATTGACGAACAGGAATGCTAGCCGGTCATCGGGGGATGCGTCGATCAGCGTACAGTCCTGGATCTTTGCAAGACGGGAGAGGACCTTGAAAGACGTAGCCGAAGTGACCGAAGATCGGAGGCCTCTCAAGACTAGGGGCTGTATAGCGCCCCTCTCGCCCTCCCAGCCTTCAGGAAGCTTGGACAAGAGCAGGCTGATAACTTCAGGCTCACCGATGTCTAGCTTGTCAAGGAGGCCGTCAAGCATGTCAATGGCTACCTCAAATTCACCTTCATTGACAGTGCTCAAACAGGCAACGGCGGCCCAGAACGTCTGGCTAAAGAGGTGCTGCTGGTCTTCACTGTCGTCTGTCCACCTCACAAGGGCAGTGAGAGTGTACAGAATCTCCAGCGAGAACGACTGGATTCCGGCATTCGGATCAGATATGGTATTGGACAGGCGCCCAAGCATATCTGCCAGCATCGTGGGTGTTGCAAATGGTAGCAAGATCCGGAAAGCTTGGAAGGAGCGGCAGGCAAGGTGTCGGACTGGGCCGGAAGTAGCCCAGAACAGTGCGATGTTGCCCCACTGCTCCGCGAGGTCTGGGGCCAAGGGTTGCAAGATGTTGAGAGTCTCTGTGAGAAGGATCCGCATCGATCTTGGGGTCTTCATCTCGTCAAAGACGACCTCCGAGTCATCATGGGACCAGAATGTCCAATTTGTGCAGAGGTTCTCGACCTGCGCCTTGGCAGACATTTCGCCTGCCTGCAGAACAGCCACGGCACTCATAGCCGCCATGCTCCGCAGCAGCTGCTCAAACATGCCAACCACCTGCTCTTGCATGAAGGGCACAAAGCTATCGATCTGCACAAAGATGGCGTGCAAGAGGCTGGGTAGCTTGGTGCTCAATCGATCGGATCTTTCGTAGGTCAGCTCGCCAATGAAGAGGAGAGCCAATTGGCCGGGAGAGAAGACCATGCGAGAAGACGGCTCGGGCAAAACCGATGTCAGCGCCGCTCGGTATAGAGTCGCATGTTCGGCAGTACTTGTCTGCACCGCAATCTCGCTCTGTGGCACTGGGATCATCGTCGTCGGCTCAATGAAGGCACAGAGTTCGTCGAACATCAAAGGTCCTATGATAGTGTGTGAGAGGCAAGAGACGACTCGCTTGGCCTGCACAACGAAGCTGGGGGTGGGATAACAGAGCCCCTGCTCAACCAAGAACTTGATAATCGCATTAGCATTGAGAAGGATCTGCCCGCCTTCCGCTAGGCTTGCCCAGGCGTCTTGTATCTCGAAGTTGTGCTCATCTCCATGTTTGATCGTCAGGAAGAGGAGGTTGCTGAGGACCAGCATCGAACAGTAGGTCAAGCTATTGTCCCCACCAGCTTGCTCGGCGCCTTGTAAGAGGTCTATGCTCCTCAGCCAATCCGGGAGGAGGCCGAGCGTGGTCGATCTGCGCGAAGCATCGATCACGTTGAGCCTCAATGTAAACTCGCAGACCATAGCTACTTTGAGCGACGAGAAGTGGTGTGCAAGATAGGCGGACACCTCGCGCTGGGCACGAAGATAAGTGGCAGGTAGTGGACTGTTCACACCTACTTCGATGTCGTGCAAAGAGAGGTCTGGCATGTTCTTCTTCACGGTCCACTCGACGAGGGCAAAGGCTTTTCTGCGAAGTTCTGTGTCAGGATGACCCAATTTGGTCAGACCAAGGCAGAATACGTGGTGCAACGGCACCTCCACAGAGTTCAAGCTGACTATGCTTTCGCACAAACAAGCGAACAATGATTGTGGGGCTCTGAGCTTGTCGAGTTCGTGGAAAGAGCTCACGATGGCGGCGTTGACTAGTTCAGCATTGCTGGGATTCTGCTGCAGCACTGCGTGCAGAGCGCGTCTCGCAACGCCTTGATTGATCGGAGACGGTGATTTGAACAGCCCTTCCAGCCAGACCACTAACCATGTAGGCTCGAAAGGAGTGTTGGTCGTAGGCGTGACTTTATCCTTAATGGGCCCCATGCACATAGTCGCCATAGCGTCACTGGCGTGGAACGAGAGAGCCTGGGTCTCATCCCGCAGTGTGGTTATGGTGTGCTCTCTCTGCTTCTCGTCCCTCGCTTGCCCTGCGACACTCGCAAGAAGATTGGCCAGCTTCGAGGGGCCATCTCTCGCCGATTGACTGTAGGCGTACCAGTCTGCGAACATCCTGAACATTCTTAGACGCGTGGTAAATGGAAAGAAGCGATCGCACTCGTTTCGCGAGGCCAATCCTCTGTATAGATCCTCGACCACTCCACAGAAGTATCGACGAAGGAGCTGAAAATCCCAGTCTAGCTCAACTTCCTTGGCGATGAGAAAATTGAAAGTGTCCTTCACCCATCCAATGACCAGGTTCATAATGGCAGTATCCGACAAAGTGGAGTCCCCAGACATGTGAGAAGATGTCAGCTGAACGACGTGAGCGAGAGCAGTCCTGAGGCGGGTATGACGACGGGCGGATGCCGTAGTCCTTCCCATGGATCGATTGCGACCTCCCTCGTTGATTTGAGAGCTGACAGACTGCAAGGTCTCTAGGAGCGTGCGATACAAATTGAGGTTGATGTTACCTAGCGCCATGACTGCTGCTTCTCGAAATTTTGCCTGATCCGAGGCCAAGAAAGGGACGAGCTTCTGAAATAGGTCGCGAGCTGCAATGACCCGCTCTGAAGCGTCCACTTCGCCGCTTTGCTGCTGCCGCCATTGAGCAGCTGTATTGACGGCACCTCGTGAGCCCTCAGTGGAGGTTGTCGTTGTGCACAAGGCGAGGATGTACATCTTCCAATGCTCTGTCATGAGGGATTGGTCAGCCGGAGACGCCGTCGACTGTGACGTGGGTGCCAGTCCGAGCGATGCTGCTGGGGAAGCAGGGATCGATCTGACGGTGGACCCACCATGCATAGTTGGCGCTCGTGGCACCAGACCTGCAGCGATCCCGACTGCTGAGTCCATGCTGAGCAGTCTATTCGTGACATGAGAGCGAAAGACTGCCACAGTAGTGGGGAAGCGTTCCAAACAATTACGCAGAAAGCGCGGAAGAACATGCTGCCAAAGCGAGTGCTCTATTGACAGATCACTCTCGGCCAAGTCGCTGAGAGGGTTCATGCTGTTGTTGCGGTTCCACTCTGTGACCTTCTGGCGCTGATCGGCATTGAGACGTGAGTCGTCAACATTGCAGAACGTACGGCATGGCAGATCGAGGAGATGGATGATACGCGTCGGCTCGGCCACAGCAGGGAAGCCATCAACGCCAGGCGCACCCGCACCTGCGCGCACATCGCCTCCGGGCGTCGCAAATGCTTCATCAAGGATCGAGACGATTCTCAGAGTGCTAATCGCTAGCCGTCGAAGCGGTCGATGGCCCGAACACAAGAGCAGGAGACCATATGCCTCGACCTCGTCATTGATGGCCCAAGCACTGGTCCTCTCCATCTTAGCGTCGACACCTTGCTCTCCGTCAGCCTGGCTAGCCCTCAATTGGCCAAGCCAGATGTTGAGGAAATCCAGCCAGACCTTGACCGCTGCTTCCACCTTCGGTAGAAGCGAGATCTGGTGCGGATGGGTCTCCCAGAAGATCGTATTTGTGCGAAAGATGAATCGTCCAAAGCCTGAGACGACGGCAGCAGCGCCATTGCTACGCTGCTGAGCTATCCTCCTCAACGTTTGAGACGCTGCATCGCCCAAATCTGGGTCTGCACTGAACGTGGCGCGGAATAGGACAGAGAGAACACTTGCGAAGGGAATGCTAGAGGCAAGGCATCGTGGCCAAGATTCAAAGCAGGCTCGGAGCAGATCGACGTATGGTTGTTGCTCTCTTACGTACGCTACCGTCAACTTAGTTCTTGGGTGCTGCCGCATGATATGTCGCTCGTGATCAACCAGAGCGGCCATACTTGCCATTGATTGGGTACCTGGAATGGTAGATCCCACGCCATGGCTGACAGGTCCCCCTCGCAGGACAATGACGGATTCGTCGAAGACAGTGGTGGTAGCAACTTGGTGGTCGCAGATGAGCGCGATCTTACCTATCAGATCATTGAACTTGATTTGTGCATCCCCTATGTCCGGCTTGGGGGAACTGAAGCTGTCTGGTAGCTCGTCGCCCATCCCGTTGAAGTCAACCAGATCGTACCGACCAAAGTCCGCACTGGAAGGAAATGGTGGCGACTCGCCTTTGACGTGGGCGTCTAACACCATCATCACTGCTCGGATGGCAGCAATCATGCGCGGCGGCGTCAGGACATCTGTTTGCAGAGAGAGGGTAGATCCACTCAAGGCACTGTGGCGAAGAAACTCGAGGATGAGATCTCGACCAAATTCAAAGTGTCGATACAGTACCAAATGCAACATCGCAACATGCGGTGCGTGCGAAGTCTCGGCGCCGATAATGACAGCAGGTCTCGTAGCAGGGAACCACTGTCGGAAGAAGGCGCCCAGCCTTTTCGTTGTAGTGGTGGTGCTTTCTCGACATCGGAACATGTAAACCCAGATCAGTCTGAGAGCAGCATTCAAGACGATCGGCCTCAGATTACGATCCTTCAGTCGCGGCAGAGCTGACTCGAGGCACGTAGTCCAGCCCCAATTTCCAGCGCCGGCAAAACCTTGGGAGAATGTATCGTCTGACGACCCGCACAGCGTTGCGACATACAGAGGGTAGGCAATGGGCCAGTATCTTGGTTTCGTAGCCATGGTGTAGGCTCGAGGTCCTACAATATCCATGGCCTTTTGCCAAGTCGGATGATTGATCTCGGCCGAAGCTGACTGAGCCACCGGCAGTATCAGATGCGTCAAAGTCTCCGCATATGCGCACTTGACTCTCTGTCCATGCGCCCCAGCGAAAAAGCGGGCTATCGTCTCGAGGAACTCGGCCCCTTCTTCGAAGGTCTCCATGGGGAAGACAGTGATGGAAAGATGGCGCATCCCTAGAACGGCAGTTTCTTGAGACAGCTCGACGTTCTTTGAGGGCGGCAACTTTGCGCAATGCTCGAGCATGGAGATGAAGCGATCTCCGATCGGCATAAAGTATTTTTTGGAGAGCTCGCCGAGCAAACGTGATACTTCTTCGAACGCAGTATTCTGCATCATCGACTTTGGCAGTCGATTCCTTGAGCAGTCCTGCAACAGCTCAAAGACGTTCGAGAGGAAGCTGTTGAGGCTGCTTTCTCCGAGTGCTCCGGGCTGGAGTTGCTTACTGACTTCGATGAGGGTTCGGGACAAGATGTACGTGCAGGCCAAGAATCGCCGTCTGCTGAGAATGGTGGCAATGTCTTTGACGCCACCGCCGATACCAGAAGTCTGGGCACCGCCATTGCTGTTGCTTCCCGCTACTGCTGCTGCAGCTATCGATTGCTGGCTCGCATTCAGGTGTGCAGCTTCCGACATTGCTCTTCGAACGGTCTCTGCATCGACGGGACTATCGATGTGCATTGCCTGCCAGCTGAAGAGACTTTCCACCACCAGCTTCGGATTGCTCCGCGAGACATGAGCGATGGATGCAAGAAGAGCCTCGAATTCTTCGTCCACACGATGACCGAACGACTGCTCTAGCAGTGGTTCTGCTGACATGCCGTGATTGAGTACACCTTGTACCTTGATTCTTGTCCGCGTCAAATAGCGCGACATGAGGACATTCAGGGCATATTCGGATGGCGTACGCGGATTTGGCGAGCCGATCCCGTTGGGTAATGTACCGAGCTTACTGGGACCAGCAGAAGCAGAGCGGGCAGCAGCAGCAGCGGCAGCGGCCATTGGGCTGAAGTAATTCGGTCCAGTCTGAGAAGGGCCATTCACCCACCCATACCCTGCCAGATCACCATCCGACTGGTACTTCCCGTGAGGATCAAAGTGTGTTGCTGGGGATTGCTGGCTGTGGCCCAGGTCGCCTTCGAGGTATTCTCCCGAAGGGCGAGGAGGTAACAAAGCACTTTCGCTTTCGGAGGGTCTGAGTGGGAGAGCGTAGCTTGTGCCAGCATTGCTGTTTGTGTGGAACTGCTCCGGAAACGCTGGCAGGGGTGGCTGGGCAGGATATCCAGCCCCAGAGCTTCCAGTGCCTGTGCCGGCGGATTGCTCAGAGTAGAATGAGGCCTGTTGGCCATGGGTTCGATGTGAGGGATATGCGGAAGACGAAGATGCAGATGGAGGCTGAGCTGCTTGACCCTGGCTACGACTTTGACTACCAGAGACTTGGCTTTGACTTCTGCCGTGATGTGAATAAGGTAAGGATCCGCTCTTCTTCGGTGTCGTGCTTAGCGTGGCTACAGAGCCACTCGGTGCTTTGGAGAAAGACGGTCTAGCCGACGAGGCCTCTGCTAGCTGTGAGGATGAAGGAGGCGCATTGCCGCTCCCTCCACCCTTGATGGCAGCCTTGAGACTTGCGAAAGAGGTCTTCCTGGGAAAAGCCCACGGTCCGCTAGAAGCCTTGCCGTTCGGCTGCGTCAGCGCATCGCCTCCAGAGCCTTCTGCACCCATCAGACTTGACTCTCCACTGGTACCAGATCCTGACCTGCCATGAGACAGCCATGGCCGCGAAGGGCCTGCTAATTCGAAGGAGCCTCTGCCAAGATCGCTGCCAGACACCGAGGCAGCTGGGCCCGACACCGACGTCGTGGCGAAGGCCGGCTGAGGCAGGTTGTTGAAGATCTCATCGTCGTCCAAGTCTGGGATGGAGATCTGAGCGCCTTCCATCACGCTTCCAAGCGAAGTACGGGAAGCAATGGGAGGGAGGCGCGTCTATGGTGAGGTCCTCGTAAGATACTCTCGTGCGGAATTGTTCGTGAGTGGTCGTCGCGTTGTGCAAAGCACTGAGACTCTGACCACCTTGGCCTGCTACCAAAGCCCAGCTTTGATATGGAAAGGACGGGGTATAAGTCGCTCGGCCAGCGATGAGAAAGGGAAGGCCGGCGACATTGAAGTTCAAGGGAACAGAGTAGGAGCTTCGTCGCCTCCATCTCGGAAAGAGGAAATTGACCTGCGTCGCGTTTGGCGTGAGCGGCAGGCCAAAAGCCACACACACACAGCAGCAGCAGCTCACGCACGCCAGTGTAGCAATCAAGATTCTCTATAGGGAGATGAGGTGCAATACAAACACATGCGGATCCCAAAACTATCTGCGATGCAGAGTCTGTCAGAGCTGCCGTCATAGCAGAGCTATTCCTCCCACCATGAGGGCGATAGATGCTATCAGGCCCATAGCCAGAGTGTCGAGCGCCCCTTGGCTGCCAAATGCCAGTTGCATCGCGGCATTTGAAGAGAAAGTCGAGGCTACCGAGGTAGTTGAGACAGGTGTGGTGATGAGATCAAGGCTGACAGTGGAGAGATTGACCGACGATGTACTGCTGCTGGATAGCGAAGTCATCGTCGATGAGTTTGAAGTACTCGTCACATTGAGTGTCTCAGTCGTCGAGGTCCCATTGATGACGGTGGTCACAGTTGTGAGCGGTGTAGTGGAGGCATATGGATCGATACTAGCGAGGAATATGAGAAGCAGCTCAGGAGCACACCACTGTCAGCGAGGCGGATCCGCACCGGAATTCGCTACATGTGGCAGCATCTCAGAACTCACCTGCTAAAGCTGAAACTGAAGGGCTGCAGGGTCACCGACGAGCTTGAAGAGCTACTTCCTGAGGCTGTCGTAGAGGAAGCAGTAGAGGCCGAACCAGAGACAGAGGAGGTGCTCGAGGACTGCGCTCCAACATAAGCGACGAGCGCTATGAGAAGGAGCAAAGCGCTGTGGAATGTCCGCATGAGAGGAGGCCGTTTGTGGAGGTGGAAGAGATGAGATGGTGAATCGCAACGGCGCGTGATCGACAGTAGCTTCTTGTCTCTTGGAGAGGGCACGTAAAGGGTGCTTCTGGGTTGATAGTGGATTTGAGTTGCGGTAACTATTGGAAGGATGATGAGAGACACCGGTCGGGAGGAGGACCGATTGTGACGTCGCGGACTACCCGGATGAATAATTCCGATCGATCTCGCTTCCAGAGCCTCACGCGCCTTGTGGCCAGAAGCCTGCCTCCCTGCCTGCCTGCCTACTCTGCCCTCGTCCCACCCGCTCAACATGTCAAGCCAGTCCCACATACGGACTCCGCTTCTCTACAGTCCTTTGCTGTCGCAGAAGACGGGTGGACACAATGTATACCTCAAGCTGGAGTCGTTCCAGCCCTCGGGCTCTTTCAAGATCCGCGGCGTGGGCCGGTCTGTTCAAGCAGCCCACGCGAAGATAGGCGCCAAACTTCGAGTGATCACCTCCAGCGGCGGGAACGCAGGCCTAGCAGCGAGCACTGCTTCCAGGATCATTGGCGTTCCATGCACCGTCTACTGTCCTGAGACGACACCTGACCACATGGTCGAGCTTTTCAAAGCAGAGGGCGCCACCGTGGTGCGGCAGGGCAAAGCCTGGGACGATGCGAACGCAATGGCAGAAGCAGCTGTCGCCGAGGATCCTGACAACGCGGTGCTAGTCCACCCTTTCGCCGGCGAAGAGCTAGTCAAAGGCAACGCCACATTGATGGAGGAGGTCTACGAGCAGCTACGCAGTGAGCATGGGCTTGAGCCAGAGACGGAACTCGATCTTGTCAGCTGTGTGGTCGGTGGAGGTGGCCTGATCAACGGGGTCTTGACCGGCATCTTGGGCCAGGAAAGAAAGAGTCAGTCGATCTCATCGAGCCCATCAACCTTCCGCAGACCGACCGTGATCGCAACTCAGTGTTTTGGCGCCGACGCCTTCAGCCGGTCCTGGCTCCAGCACGAGCTCGTAACACTGCCAGCAATCAGCTCAAGAGCGACCTCAATGGGTGCAAAGCAATGCTCCGCCGCTGCCCTTGCCACCGCAGAAGAGTACGGTCGCGAACGATTGATCTCTCTGGTCACGGATGATGGACTGGCTGCCTCCTGTAGCTTCCAATTTGCTCAAGACCACCTCTTGCTAGTCGAAGTGTCTTGTGGGGCTGGCCTAGTACCGGCGTACTATTCGGATCGGCTGCCAATGCTACTCCAGGGCTCTGGAGACCGTAAGAAGAACATTGTCATCATCGTGTGCGGAGGTCGGAAGGACCGGATTCAGGACATCTTCGCGTACGGGGAGGAAGTGGCTACGGCCCGGTCTCTGCCGATGGACCTGAACGGCAAACGCGTCTAAGGCGGCAGGAGAGTGCGATGGCTCAATTGCCACGTACGCACACCGCGCATCGCACTCAGGCACCAACGTCGTGCTGGCAATGACGCCTGAGCACTGTTGGTTCTCTATCGCTTCTCCTCTGACCATCGCCACCATCGCTCCATGCCCCTCGAAGTGTACATCTCCCACCCGTAATGCACAATAACATATACTCCCTGCCATCTGAATCAGCTCCTAGCGTCCTTTCCACAATCTCCTGTCTGCCTTACGCGCTCGAGCATACATCCTTGGCTCGTACCTACCCTATCTGCAATTGTACTGCCTTTGGCACGCTGGTCGGCGTGGGTAATACTCGCTCTGCTAGCTCAGCCGCATAAACAGGGTAAGCTCACTTGGGTGCCGAGCTGTCGACGAGCATCGTCAGGCAACAGCAGTGCCTTGCTTGCATGACTAAAGTGACCCCCTTCTGTACCCTTGCGCATCATCTCACCTGGCCTCCACAGAAAACAACATAGTCCTTCGGGCGCTACTCGTCCGGGATACAGCTTATACGCGTTGTCTAATGAAGACGGTCAGTCAAGACACGACTGTCTCAGTCCCTCATCGCAACGGCTGAATCTCTTGGCGGATCCATCTGCTGAGCACTCGGCAGCTCTACACTCGTAGCAGATGCAGAAGTCTACGTTACTGTAGGATCTCAGGCGTCGCAATGGTGGCGAGCAAACCAGGGTGCAGACCACGCAGTATGGGCGACCTCCTCGGTCAAGCAATCGAAATCTTCTGGTCGTCGACAGATAGGAGATGTGCGCAGCGAGACTGAGGCCATGCACCTGCCACTGCAAGATTCTTCTCAGAGTGTGATGGCGGGCAGCAGAAGGTACTTGCTACTTACTGCCGTGGGTTCTCTTTGCCTTCCATACCGAGAGACTGGCTGTACGAAGCTGCCATCCTAGCAAATTCGCATAACGGTGCTGCGCTTGGGTCTTGTATCGTCGCGACTATGGAAAGTAAGCCCTATTGTATGCCCGGGGACACCGACGCGAGAGCCAGATACAAGTGGATGCCAGCAGCAAGCAGAGCGCCTCGATAGGGCCATAGAACGATGTCCTCGAGAAGAAGATGGCCATACAGATACCAGCGAAGGCAGGAGTTCATTCTCTGGACAAGATCAATTCGTGCTTCCGGGTCAATCACCTACCGACTACAATGCTCTTCCTGCTCGGATGGATTCTATGCGTCGTCGACGGCCTGCAACAGGACCGCACCTGCGAGAGCTAGAGGCAGACGCGAAAATGACGGTGCAGGGAGTACAAGGCACTCGCATCGTACAATTGCCGTCTCACTTTGCAATCCCATGGCACACTCACTACCGTGCTTCAGACGTCGACCGTCTTGCTCACCAAGCTCGCACAAACGCAGCAAGATTTCCAGCGCCCAGCGAGCCTTCTTTATTCGCGATCACCTGTCATAGCGATAGCATTCGCTGTCTCACACGGTGCACTCTGTCAGCATGATGGCAGGATCGAAAGATTGCTGTACAAGGTCTGGACATAATGTCGTACATTATCGTCCTGATGGTCTCTTCCTAAGCATTTCGAAAGTCAGCAGTCAAGAAGGAACGGAAGCACCGTCTCTTCTCTGGACTCTTCTTCTCTGGACTCTTAACAATGGTCTTGAGCCTCCTCCTGTAGTACCGGAGTACGCCATGAAGGCATACATCCAACGCGCTGAGCATACAACATGTTAAAGTGATCACGAGTGACATTACAAGTCGTCGAAAGAGGCAAGATATGCCTGCCGTACATCTCCTCACGCAAAATTTCGCTGCGCGGATCGATGTCTACATGGATACAAAGTCTCATCTGGCACGACATCGACACTGAGGCAAGCGAATCCCAAGTCGTCCCAGACCGACAAATCACTCATCTTGTCACCTTGAAATAGCAAAAGCCTTTCTTCTGATTTTTCTCGACGACGGCGTGCCAGAAGCAGTAAAGAGTACAAGAGAGAATAGCGTGAACACAGTGATCAGAGGGAAGGGTAGGTGAAGACGGAGCGCGATGTGTGAATCAAGTCATGAAAGTCGGCCTATCAGAAGACTGAGGAAACCATGCAGCCTGCCTACGGGTCAAAGCTGCTAGCTATATTTAGACAGTGCCAGATCCGACGTGGGCAGTGGCCGTAGTCTGACCGGTTGTGACGGACTGAGAGACGTCGATGTGTCCGGCCTTCATGTTGCCCGTTGCCTTTCGCTTGCTGTCGTAGTCTCGAATGGCAGCCTTGATGGCGTCCTCTGCCAGCATCGAGCAGTGGAGCTATAGTGGCGCGGATAGGAAATGGAGGTGAAGGAAAAAGGGTCAGCGAATCATTACCCATGGTCATTTCAGGCAAAGGTGCTATTGACTCACCTTGACGGGTGGCAGCGACAACTCCTGAGCGATCTCGGTGTTCTTAATCTTTCCAGCCTCCTCCAGAGTCATTCCCTTGACTCGCTCCGTCATGTAGCTGGAAGAAGCAATGGCGGATCCACAGCCAAAGGTCTTGAAACGAACGTCCTCGATAATACCGGCCTCGTTGACCTTGATGCTCAGCTTCATCACATCACCACAAGCCGGTGCACCGACAAGTCCGATGCCGACATTCTTCTCCGTCTTGAGGAAGGAACCGACATTTCGAGGGTTCTCGTACTGTGTGGCGCGAAAGTTGAAGAAGGTAGTAAGAGATGCAGAGATATCGGTCAGTACGCTGCAAAATTGAGACCCTTCACATCGCCATAGTGCAAGCTGCTTGAATACTCACGTGGTCAATGACCTTCTCGTGATAGAGTCTGTTCGAGCTGACGGTGGGTACAGCTGCGAGCTTAGAGGCCTGCGACAACGAAGGTCGCACCGATGTGGAGACGGCGGGTGTGGCAACAAGCCTCGAGGTTGAGGCACCAGCAGTGGCGGTAGCGGTACGGAGTGCGCTGCGAAGCATGATGACGTTGGCGTATGCTTGGTATATGTAGAAGTAGTGAGTAGTATAAGTGATCGCTGATGTACGATTGGTTGCGAGGGTAAGGAAATGAAACGAGGTGCAGGCAGATGCGAATGACCGATATGGGACTCAGTCCTCAATGGCCGCTAGAAGCCGATCGGCCGGTTTCAAACCCCGACGCCTCGGAACCGAATGCCCCAGGATCGCCTGCCTCGCTCGACCTCCGCCTAGAGCTGGTCTGTTCCACCCGAGGTTGTACGCTACTTGAGGCTTCGTTTCTGATCATCATCGTTCATCATGGCTGGAGGAGACTACCGTGAGTGTCCTTCCGGATCACACAAAGGAGCCAGGTAGACGATATTGAGGTAGATGTACCGGGCTGATCCAATTACTGCCCCTTGCACCTGTCTCTCACAGACCCCTTCAAGGTCGATCCCTCCATCGAAAGATGGCAGGAGATGGTGAGCACGCTGGCAGGAGGCGCGATGAGAGCCTCAACGACTGTGAACTGACCCACGTCTCCGTATTGTCCCACTTGATCTCGCTCCCTTAGCACAACTCCATGGTACGCACCGCCGAGAAGACTTGCCGACGCTTCCTCTAGACGTCTGTGTATCTATCCAATTCCTGACCTCCATCCCTCTTGCTCCTTGCCCGTGATCACAGTACACCCGCTTCCGTATGACCCCTTCCAAGACGCGCATGTTCATCCTCTGGGGTCTGACTGTGCCGCTAATCACTTACTGGGGAGCAAAGTACACAGATGTGAGTTCTGACGGACAGGGGCAGTAGAATCCTGCTTGGCCGACTGGCTAGCTGGCTGGACTGGTGTACTGGTATCAGCAGCAGCAGCAGCAGCGGGAAGGTAGAACGGGCATCAATCTAGAAGCAGCCAACAACGGATACCGGTACTGACACTCCCGCTCCCTTCACTCTGAACCGACCTAACCTACTCACAGAACCGCTGGGACTGGAGGGCTCGTGGCCGTGAGGACTCTCTCCTCCGCAAGCCGCCCCAGCCCGAGCAGTCAGATGAGGCCGATGAGTAGGTGCAGCTGTAGAAATCTACGGGTGGAGTCAAGAGAAGATGTATAGGGCTTGATCTGGAAGGCAGACTTGCGTCTACAATGATAATCAGATACATAACACGATTAGGAAGGTACCGCGACTTCTGTCTGCCTCTCAGTGGTACTGGGTGTGGGAATCGGTGAGGACGGGAAGCAAGAAACTGACGGGCGGGGAGCGAGCGACGAACGATCGAACGAATGATCTATTGCACACGGCTAGGCAGAGGTATCTTGTGGCAGGACAAGGACGGACAACGCAGGACCTTCCTGCTCGGCTTGAGCAGCGCCAGAGGCAATGGCTCGCATTGCCGCCGCTCCGAGGGTGGCTCCAGCGCTGCAGAGAGAGGAACGGGGTGCAAGAATGAAGCAAGAAAGAAATCGGTGTCAGTCGCGAGGGTTCGCCGATCCTATTGCCTAGTCAGCATAGCTCTCTACTCACCTAGCTCTGAAGCGGACATGGAGAGGCACTCCATACTGGCTCTCATTCAGTATCAGTCCCGCCTCCATCTCCTCCTTTGTCCTCTGCTGAAAGGCCCTCACCCTGGGGAGCATCCACGTCCCCTCCTGCCTCGGAACCAATCTCGTCGGCACACTTCGACTACCCCTCGCGGGTATACCGGGAATGGAAAGAGTGCGGTTCCCGATGATCCAGACGGGACTGTCGTCGATAAAGACGTTTACATCCATCTGACTCGAGGAAGGATTCACGACGACGAAGACCAGAGTGAAGGGTTGGAGGGTGTGCGTGACCGGGGGCGAGGCGACGAGAACCCTAGCGTTGAAATGAGGAGGGGCCAGGATCGGTAGTGGAAGTCTGCTGATGTTTTCAAAGAAGTCATGAGCAGCCCCTCCTTTACCGCCTTGCTCGAAACCCTCTGGCCGTGCCCTTGCCCAAGTGATGACGAGGTGGCCCGTTGGACCTCGATTTGACTCGGTGGAGCCCTTGAGATCTACCTCGACGAGCCACGAGAAGCCCCACCGATCGCCTTCCCGCCATTGCCCATCGAGCGTGAACTTGCGCACCTCGTCGCGCCGTCGAGCCGCTTCTTCGGTGTCAGACTTGGGCGCAACGAGTCGGGCACTGTGCTGTTGCTCGTCCTGGAGTGACACCACGACGTCGCTGATGGTGATCGCTTCCTTGCTGAGGACGCCGAAAGCAGCGTGAAGATTAGCAGTGGCTATCGTCTGGACCTGTTTGACAAGGGGTGACTTGGCGATCTCGTCGAAAGAGTCGTCCGCGAGGGAGGCCGCGGCTCCGCTGCTGCCATCACTCAATTGACTGCTGCCCCTAGACATGTCCTCACCACCTGGGCCATCGGCGCTTGCGCTACCCTTTCTCCACTCTGCACTGTACTCTGCTCTGAAGATCCTCTGGATGGGTATCGAAATGTCGTTGACGGTCTCACTGACGAGCTCTGAGCCTTCGCCCGCGCCCGTCGCAGCTTCGCTGTCTCCGTTCATTGCAGCTGAACCCGATCTGCTCTGCACAAAGATGGTCATGGACCTGACGCCACTGCGGTGTCTGCTACGAAGGAAGAAGCTAGTTCGAGCAGCTGCACCAGGAGCAATGCTACCGAAGGACAAGTCCTTAAGGCTACCGGAGAGGGTAGGCTGACCACCAATGCTCTGTCCTAGCTCATCCTGTGAGCCTGCGTAGGCCGGCTGAAGCATGACGTCGGCTGAGCAAACGAGCGGGTCGCGGTCCTCATTCGCGACGATAATCTCTACAACGACTGCTTCGTCAAGGAAGCCTACAGGGTGATGCTTGAGGTCTACAGAGAGCTTGTGCGAAGGAGCCTTGATGAAGCAAGAGGAAGCATCTGGGCGGTGCTCTAGGTGGACCCACTGCAGAGATTTGCCTCGCTTGGGCTTCGCGAGCCACAGTGGAGCCTCAGGTGATTGCAGCGGATCCCCGACAGCCACATTGAGCTGCAATACGTACGGAATCGGATGTCTTGCCTTCAGCTCTATGCTCGATATCCGCAACGTATCGCGAGATTTGGAAACGATGCGGCCACTGTAGGTCTTGCTGCATCCAGACGGCCAGACCAGATCGGCAGTGCTCGTCTCACACTGATCCGCATCTAGTGAGCCGACGTCGTCCAATGTCAGATGGCGTCCCTTTGCTGCGGAGACTTTGTCGCGGTGCTCTCTCCTGCAGACGACAGCACCTCCTTGATCGTTGAAGACGATTTCTTCGAAGCTTAGTGTAGGGCCGTCTGAGCCTTGCGGATTTTCTATGGTGATTTGGAAGGCTGCCGAAGTGCCAAAAGCTACTGCTTGCTCCTTGAAGACGACTCTGGCGACGAGTGGTCCTCGCGTTGCTTCGAACATGATCGGCGTGGGCTCTCGAGTAGCGTCCTCTGCGCCATTAGGCACAGAGTCGACGCCATGACTGACGAGGGAAGACCATCTCGAGACCACCGTGCCTCTCTCTGTGAGTGGTAACGAGGACATCGCAGCCATGGCAGTCAGCAACAGATGTGTCTCGCTGTGTAGGTCTTCGCATTGCTCTGCGCAAATGAGCGCTGACGTCAGGAGATGAGACAGCGGCAGGGGCCAATCATCTGCCTTGTACGTCCGGATGAGCCGTTGCAGGAAGCGCAGTGCCAGCTTCCACTGGCCAGTTTGGGCGTGCACAGATGCAATCTTGGCGGCGGCATAGCAAGAATGTCTCTGCTGATTGACAGCTCGAAATGCTTCGCGAGCTCGATCATACACCTATCGGATCAAGTTGAGAAGGACGAGGTCAGCTGGTCCGTTATGAATGCGCTTGAGCTGGCCTGGTAAGCATGCCTCACCTCGACGATCTGCGCAGCGTGATCCACTGTCTTCTCATGAATCAATGCCGCCGCCCCACCTTCCGACACTTCTCCTTTCTTTTCTAGCTCTCGCATTCGGTAGAACCTCTTCTGTCGTTCTTCGGCACACACAGCTGCCAGGTAGTAGAAGGCGCCAGGACCCTGAAGGACCCCGGCTGTTGTCGTGCCAGCCGCCATGGCAGCCTGGTTGGGGGACAGCAGTCCGTTAGGAGCAGCTCTCAGCGAAGGAAAGTCTTGTGTGTGATCTGCGATCTTGGGATGGAGGAGATACGATGGCAAGGGCGGGGCATGGAGAGGTAGTAGAAAGGGTGGTAGAGGAGAGCCGGATATTAGACGAGTGGCCTGGTCGAGCAGGTCACCCATTAGCCGATATCTAGTGGGAAGGAGGAAAAATGCCGTCAATGCCTGCTGATGCAGACTACATGTCGTTCTTCAGACTCACTGCTTGGACAGCCAGCTCCAAAATTCGAAGGTAGCATCTCCGATTCCCCAGCCCGAGCTCAGCTCGACGAAGCGAGCGACATGTTTTCGGAAGTGGGTCAAAGCAGCTTCACCATTGTCTCCGTACAGGTACAGTCTGCATATCCGCAATGACACGGTGTCGCAGAGAACCTTTGCTTCGGCCCATCGTTTTGTCCGTGGCGGGAGCAGCATCGTACTACCAAGCATACCTCGCTGCCCTGCTAAAAGATCGTACGCCTCTTGGTAGTGGGAGAGGGCTGACTCGTAGTCCCCATGAAACTCCGAGAACATGGCCAACTTGTATTCTGCTCTGGCATGCCAGCCTTCACGACTCAGTGGCGTTAGATCCACGGCTTTTCCTCCCGGGCGAGACGCTGCCACTGACTGGAGGATGGGCTGTACTACTGCAGGTGACGGAGGATAACGAGCTCGTTTCCGCCGTACGCGCCGAGCGTGCTCTCGATAGTAGTCTAGCGAATGCTCATACAGAGTGGTCTGCAGAGACGTGACGAAGTCTCCGAGCTCGCTCTGAGGGACCGGTGTGAGGACGAAGAGAGATGCTTTGGAGTCCAGACCTGAGGATCTTCGAATATAACTCAGTCGAGCCTCGAGTTGGGCATTCTCTGCGATCGCGGGAAGCCGGAGCTCAGTTAGCACACAGACCGCTTGGAAGGAGCGTTTGTATGATCTCATTGCTCACCTAGCATAGCTCTACTGGTCAGCAGTACTACCGTCAGCTTGATTCCCCTCTCCACCAGGCCCCTCTTTCTGTCCGAGATGAGCTTGATGAGCTCGTCATCCCTCGCCTTGAGTTCTTGGCCTGTAAGCCCTTTTCTCTTCCTCTGCTGACCCACTTCTGCGGAAGCATTTGGCTCTGCCGATGCTGCTGCCGCGTCGTCCTCAACATAGGGCTCCACGAGGCAGTGGAAGGCTACGAATACGGATGGTACGAGGTCGCGATGCTTGCGTGCCCAGATGGGAGCGACGAGGCCATCGGGAAAGAGGGGACTGCCTGGATGTAGAGGGGAGAGGGGAGACCGAGGCTGTAGCGCTGCCAACTGGGCCGCAGAGGTGGTCGTGCTATCGGGAGCTGCTATGGAGCGTGGACTGGGTCTTGTCTTGCGTGGAGGAAGGCGAACGGTCTGCGAAGAGGAGGGCGAGGTCAGACGGGCCTGGCTAGCGGAGGTCATCTTCCTCCTTGTAAGTACATACATGATCTACCATGACGGAGTGGAAGACTGCCGATCGCCCCCTAGCAGGATCCCAGACTGCATTGCGTCCCCTGGACAAGAAGACTTCTGCTAATTGCTCGCACAATTCCGGGAAGAAGTCGGTGGGCAGGGCGACCAGCGGCGACGAGGAGGGTCCAGCGACTGGCGCCGAGGGCTCCCTGGACGGGGATGAGGTAGCTTCCGAGTTGCCCTGCGGTTGCGAAGGTGAAGCGCCCGACCTTCCTGTCCTGCTGGAGGAGGACTCTGACCTTGCCAGAGGCGCGCTCCGCGGAGAGGGCTTGGTGAGGCCCGCAACGAGCATGGAGGCGTAGGCATGGTGTGTGAGCTCGGCCGGGTAGCTGTTCATGGCTCTGCCGTGGAGGTGAAGAGCACCTCAGTACACCTCGAAGGGCGTGGTACTAGAGGTGGTGGTGGGTATCCTGCGCCGCAACAGTGGCAGGCGGTGGTGACTGCCTGTGCGGGGGTGGTGGTGTTGGTGTGGCCTGGAGGTGGCCCAAGCTCTGGGCTGGGCCACGGCGGCGTCGTGGCCGCGCGCGTTGGGCGCCGCGCCCTGAATCCACTTCTTCGCCTCTGGTCGCTGCTACGAGGATCATCATCTCCTCCTCCCGCCGCCGCTGCTCGCCCTTCGTCGATGTCCAATGACCAGGGCAGCGCCTCTTCCCGGCGTAGTCATCCTCACCACCACTCCACCACTCCATCTTCCCACGCTACTCCTCGCGTCTCACATCAAGCACCCCCTCAAGGAGTCCTACCCTGCCCTCATTACTGAGCAATGGGCAGCTCACCTCGCTCACAACGGCATAGAGGCAGCGGCTGCTTCGTCTGAGCCCGTAGTATGGCTCAGAGGCGTACCCTCTTTTCCGCGAGCATCTCAAACGGAAGAAGATGCAAGCGATACAGAGGACGAGGACAGTCAGGACGATGACGAAGAAGGTGACAGCGATGCCGAGCTCGGCGAGGATCAAGAGGACGAAGACGGGAACGTTTGGCGAGGACTGAAGAAGGATATGGCCTCTGAGACGAGGGCAAAGACGATGGTCTCGGCCAATGCGCGAGGTACAGCAATTGCCAATTTGACTATCGGACAAGTCACCTACCTCGCACCAATACCTCTAGGCAGTGAGTCACCAACAGGCACCCAGACAGGCGCAGCTGCATTCACTTATTGATCACACCTCACGCCTTCCAACGTCACAGCCGATCCCCTCCTTCCTCTCTCCTTCCTCTATCACCTGCACTCTGTGTTGCTAATGTACTTCCCTGCTACATCAAGCTCAAGCACACTAGCCGCTTCGCCCAACGCCCCAACTCCGATTCCGGCCTCCGTCCTCTCTTCAAACTTCGACTTGGTGTACCAGCTCCTGCAAGAGATGCTAGACGATGGAAGACCCTTGACAGTCGAGTACAATAGTCTCAAGGGCATCGTTCGCGGTCGAGCCTGGTGGGAAGACATCATGGCTAGAATGGGAAGGTGAGTGAAGCGAGCCAGTCTCAGTCTCCTTCATGGCAGCAATGCTTTGCGTGATGAATAAAACCAACATCGCTGTGTTCTTTCCGACACGAGCTTTCTTCGCCGTATGGCCAGAAGCTCAAAGGTGACGATGACTATTCAATTGTCTTCTTTCCACTGAAACTTTGGGCATTGCAATGCCTTTCTCCTTACAACGTCGAGGCGATATCCTGAGCTGACCGGATCTGCTCTTTGCAACGCCTCGCAGCCTGTCTTCGTCAAACCCCGCCCCACTGCCCGAGATTTCTCCCCTCGCTTGGAGACCGGCACAAGTACGCTACAGTCGCAATGAAGTCTATGTAGACATTGTCGAATCGCTCAACGGCGTCATGGATCGCAAGGGCGAGCCACTGGGTGATCTGGGCCTGAATGTCAGCATCACTTGCAGGACGAAGCTTTCGGGTGAGTGACCATAGACGTAGAAAGAGACTTGAAGATGCACTCTAATGTGGACAGAATCATTCATCTCCCGCTTGCGCAGGCACCCCCGATATGGCCCTCTCTCTCCACCCGTCGCCAACAGCTCATCCCACTGCCATCGTCGGGCCTTCTCTTCATCCCTGTGTTCGAACCCGTCGCTGGACTCGTGAAGGCATACTCAGCTTCGTTCCACCAGACGGCGCATTCGAGCTAGCCCAATTCTCCGTACCTTACTCGAGCTCAGCACGGTCGGGCAAACTTGGCGCCAGTGCGTCCTCGTCCAGCAATGCTACAGGCTGGTCCAAAGATGTGCCCTTCACAGTCAAGACCAAACGGTCTGTTGTGAAGGAGTCGAAAGGTCGAGAGTGGACCTTTGAAATCACACTTTCGGCAAAGTCCGGCAGGTCCGGACCTACCTGTTCAGAAGGCGTCGAAGTCTCCTTCCATGTCACTCCGCGCGCGGGAGGCGAGCTCGACGCCAGTCTAGGCTCGCCCAACGTCGACGCTCGCGCCAGCGTGTCGAACCGGGCCGCTCTCTCCGGTGGACCAGGAGGAGCATCGTCCTACACCGGTCTTGGCGCAGACGACCCAGGCGTATGGCGCTTCGATGCCCGCGAAGGCCTGGTGCGATGGTCCATCCCTCGACTGGGCTCCTCGCCTTCCTCGTCGTCTGCCGCGTCAAGTAGCACTGCTGCTCCGTCGGCAGGCGCAGGTCCAACCGAGGTGACACTCAAGGGCACCATCACTGCCTCCTCGAGCACCTCTTCGGCATTGAGCAAGCCTTCGGCACTCCTCGTTGCCTTTTCCCTCCCATTGGGGCAACCATCTCTGTCTGGCGTGAGGGTGGCCAGCCTGCACATTACAGGAGTGGACTACAAGCCCTTCAAGGGAGTGAGGGGGGCTACGAGGGGTAGGATCGAGTGGCGCTGGTGAGCGTGATGCAGAGCACGCCCATCACTGTATTTGTATTTGTATCTTTTGCACACTTTCTGGAGAACCATGCCCAATTCTATACCCGTAGCGCTCGCTGCCTTTGCTCATAGCATCACAGAGAGAACCCTCGATTTCAATGGGTCGAAATTGCAAGTGGCCTAGACGCGGGTGACAGAGACAGCGTGGGCGAAAGCGCAAGGGACAGACAGAAGGAGAGTAGTGAAAGTGAAATAGAGTCTAGCAGCACCTGATTCACTCATCAGCACTTCGCCCCAATTCCTCGCTCCCTCCATCCATCTACCATTCCCTCTTCTCCTTCCCCTTGCACCTCTCCTCCCACTCCCGCCTCCCTCAAATTTCCGCCCAACCCCCACCCGCACCAGGACCACTGCTAACCCTTTCCCCCGTGACGACTGTGAGGAAGAAGACGACCAGATTTGCACCAGCTGCCATTGTGAAGCCCCTGTAGAGGCTCTTGACGCCTCCTAGTGTAGCATAAAGGGGTGTTTGGGGCGCGAGAATCTCTGAGCGGAGGAGGGAATGCTCCGGCGTGGCGGGCGCGGTGCCAGAAGGGACATCTTGTGCACGGGTACGGGCGTGCTGACGATGCTGCGGCTGCGGTCGTGCTCCCTCTTTCCCCTTGGGCGCTCTATCACTCTTGTGGTCATGATGTTGCGCGTGCTTCTCTTCCAAACGCGATAGTGGTTGAGGAATCTGCGAAGTCTCCTCTGTGAGGATTCGGTAGATGGCCTCTACTACGCCCGTGTACGGACGCGGACGAGTCTCAACGCAGCTACGGAGTCCTCGGGTGGGACCTAGACCGATACTGCTAGTGCTAGTGCCAACGCCGGTGGAGGAGCTGGAGAGACCAGCACCGCTGCGGAGCATGTTTGTGAAGGTCGAGGGAGCCCCTGCGGAGGCAGAGGAGGAGGAAGAGGAAGCTGAGTTTCCAGCTGCACCTGCACCTGCAGACTTCTTCGTAGGCGTCGAAGGCGCTGCTGCCCCGCCGCCTGCCGTTGAGAGGAGACCTTTATTTTTGCTGGCTCGACGCTGAATCTGCAGTCTCCTCCTGACCGTCTCAAAGGGCAGCGAGAGGAGCAGACTGGCCGTATTGATGCACAGCTCGGCGAAGGCATACGATACCGGCGAAGAGGTAGGCTCGACCCTGATGAAGCGCTCAATGAGAAGGGGCGACGCGAGGTTGAGGAAGGGTCGGATAGTCAGATCCAGCAGGGCGGGGAAGATGAGATGAGGGTGGCCGTACATCGTCGACCAGCCGCCCTCCTCGGCGCGAATCTTCCTGAGAGCATCCCAAGGTCCGGAGTACTTGCGGTGCCGGGTCAGGGTAGACTGTACGATCAGACGTGTCCTGATCAGGTCGATGGGGGACAGGATGAGGTGGGTGACTAGGTGGCTAGACACCAGTAGTGCCAGAGTGCGTTTTGGGTGAGGCACGTAGGGCAGCGGCAGCGTCGAGAGGGAATTACGGATGAAGGTCGCCGAGATGAAAGCAGAGACGACTGGCTGGATGCCCGATGCCAAGAGGTCATAGAGGAAGCTCGTGAAGGTACCTGTATGCCGCATGGGAGCCAAAGGGAGTGTCAGATGGACCCAGCCGGTGTGTCGACATGCTGCATTCTTCGGCCACTCACCTTTCCACAGTCCAGGCCAGCCTTCCTTTCCCCTAGCTACTGCCTTCATCATCTCCCATACACCTCCGCGTACGACGATGGGCATCACAAATTCTGGCCGAGCCCCAGACTCGCCGTCTCTGAGCGAGCGCCTCATGAGGTAGCCAGAGGCATCCGTCGCCGGAGCTTTGCCGCCTCTACGTTGCTTTCCCGACGTGGCTCTGGGACGTGATGAGCCAGACACATCACGGAAATATGCCTCTACGTCCGAGGGCGATGAGAGCTCCGCGTCCTGTCGAAGCGTGGAAATGAGGTCGTCTGTCTTCAGCTGACTGCTGCTAGCGGCCTTCGCCGAGGATAGATCCAGACTCACCTCTTCGTCTTCGTCTTCCTGGTCACTGTCAAGATGGTTGGCATCGCTTGCCCTCCTCCATTCTTCGAGCTCGGGCGCCATGTCCTGACTATCAAAGTCATCCTCGTCATCCTCATCATCTATCGCTGCCTCATCTCGAAAAGGGTCGCTGCTCCTCGACTTGCCTCTAGCAGCAGGGAGTCTCCTGCCTGACTGTCCTTGCAATGCTGCCTCTCTCGCGAGGTTCTCATAGACTTCATCTTTTGGCACCCACTGTACCTGCAAGAGAAGCTTGCCAACCTCAAAGGGCATCGCCATGCACGTGGAAGAGTACTGCAGCGCGAGGGCGAGGACGCTAGCCTTTGTCCACTCCGACAGGCCAGAGATGTCAGGTCCGCCAAGATCATCGTTGGTGGAAGCGTACCTGTTCGTGGTTGACGGACGAGGGATGGTGACAGTGGCCGACTTTGTGTGTGCCTTGCCAGCCGTGGAGGAGTTGGCGGCTGCGAGTCCTGCACCCGAATGGCCTGGGCGTGCCGATGGGGGCTGCTTTGCCTTTGGGGCAGAGGCGACAAAGGTATCCTCGCTTGGTTGGTAGTATGGTCGGAGTGGATGGGCCTCTCCGCCCGAAGAGGAAGAGGAAGATGAGGTGTTCATGATCGATGCTGTCCAACGAGCGTCGTCGTCGTCGTCGTGGAGGTGCGGGTAGCGACGTGGGGGGAGTAGTGGTGCTTTGAGGAGAGGCAGCCCAGAGCCAGAGGTGGGCGGAGTTGGAAAACTCTCCCCGGCTGTTGCCCCGTGCTCACGCAGCTCCACGCACACAACGGCTTCCCGCACGACACCATCACCTCGCCGCCAAAAGCATCTCGACCTGCGACCATATCCTACTATTGATCCACTCCTTCACCACACGTTCCTTCGCCCATCCTGTTCGCCACTCGCCGACTTCTTCACAAGATGTCTTCCGCTGTAAAATCCGACCCCAACTGCAGTGAGTGTCCTTCTTGGCCCATCTATTCTCGCCTAAGGCCGAAGTCCGGCGTCTGACCTCCTGCCCTACTACTTGCATCACAACCTCTCTCTCCCAGTTTTCTGCAAGATCATCGCAGGTCAAATCCCCTCAATGAAGCTCTACGACTCCGACAAGACCTACGCCTTCCTAGACATCGGTCCCATTGCCCCCCGTCACGCCCTCGTCATCCCGAAGTACCACGGCGCGAAGTTGCACGACATCCCCGACGAGCACCTTGCCGAAATCCTCCCCGTAGCACGAAAGATTGCTCTAGCAGCAGGGGCAGAGGATTACAACATCTTGCAGAATAACGGCAGGATTGCCCATCAGGTGGTGGATCATGTGCACTTTCACTTCATTCCGAAGCCGAGCGAGAAGGAGGGGTTGGGAGTGGGTTGGCCAACGACTAAGCCTGAGAAGGAGGAGTTGCAGAAGGTGAGTAGCCGCGGGGAAGGCTCGCAACGTCCGACGCAGACGAGGCGGAACTGCTCGACTGAACCTCCCTTCTTTCTACTTCCCTGTTTGCCAATAGATTTATGAGGAGCTCAAGCAGAAGCTTTGAGAGTGGTTCAGCAACCTGCTAACATTTGAGTGAATTACGGTGCAATCCATACCATAGCGCATCCTAATGGTTGACTGCTCTGCTTGTGTTGTGACCCGCCGTTGATGAGCAGGAGAGCAAAGACCACAACTGAGTGATGCGAGGAGAGACAGTATCTGTCAACGCACTGTGAGCAGGAGGAAGGGAAGAGAGCGCACACAACGTCTGGCCTTGGCAAGGTATTCTCTTCATTGGTAGCAGTCATCTCTGCGATTGGCTCAAGGGGTATCGGGTTTCAAGAGCTGGCTCCAGAAGACGCTACCTGCCTCCGCTATTCTCCCCCGCCTCTAATCTCTCCTTCCTCTTCTCCCCCTCACTCTCTCCGCATCTGCCTGATCAACCACGCCCCCAACCATGACTCCTCCATCATCATCCTCCATAGGCGAGGCGCGTGGTCGACTACTGCTTCGACCGCTCCTACGCAGTGCCTGAGCTAGAGCATCAGGCGCCCTCGATCGGCTTCGAGACGTGGAAGATCGAGTGGTGTTGGTATTAGTTGACTCCACAAGGGCCGGACTGCTTCGGTCCGAGGTGAAGGGCCCAGATCTACCCCGACTGCTGCTGGTGCTGCGATTTTCGCTGCCCCTCGTCGAGGAGACCGCATCGTTCGATGGACGTGAGAGGAGGGGAGGGCGACTGTGGCTCCTCTGACGCACAAAGCCAAACAGGTCGTCGTCCTCTCCCGCCCGCTGCTCAGCCCTGGACAGCGCCGCCATGCTACGCGAAGTAATTCTGTTCAAGCTCTGGCTTCGAGAGCTTGGATGAGATGGGCTGGCAATGGCAATGGGTCTCGATCGTGAAGATGCAACCGAAGGAGTCGTCGAGGTCCACCTGTTGTCAGATTCTTGCTCGAATCGTGCAATGGCGCGTGGGCGACGACCGCGATTTTCAATCGGAGATGCAGGAGGCAACGCTGGAGAGCCCGTCCCAGAGCGGTACACGATTGAAGCGTCAGCGTCGGCGTCTTCTGCATCTCGGTCGATGCTTCCACGATGTCGGCTGACACCGCGCGAGGAGGACCCGGTGCCTTCCTCTACCCCTTGGCGGCTTGCAGGGCGAGAACGGGTAAGGCTCGAATCGCGACGCTGTCTGCGTTGTACCGCGGTGTGGTCCATCTTTTCGAAGCTCAGCTCGTTCCTCCAACTCCTCTGTCGACCCCATTGGGGTCGCGTGGGAACCTCTGCATCTCCCCAGGCAACTTCCTCATGTACGTCGTGCAGCTGTCGTCGAGACTTGTTGGGAGTGCCGTCTCCCGCTTCCTGATGCGGCTCGAAGCGGTTGATGTGATCCGTTTCGCTGGGGTCGTACAGCCACTTGCACCTGACCAGCTGCTCCACTGTCCAACGCTGTGTCGGGTCTACCGCCAACAAACCACGGAGCACCTCTCGTGCAGCTGCTCGATCAGCGCTAGTGCCATCCCAGTCCTGATCTACTTCGCCATCCTCGTCTGACTCAGCATCGGCTTCCGCATCGGCAGCAGCTTGAGCCACAACGTCAATGTCGAAGCGGTTCAACTCTCCGGATTTGGTGGGCATTGATCCGACGACGGGTGCTTCGTGAGCAGAGGCGGTTCCGTGATGTAGAGGGGCATACCCCGTTCTCTGCGTAGCTTGTAGGGAGGGCAATGAAGCGCTGAGGTCTTCCATGAAGTGAACGCCATGGTTGCGTTGCGGTAAGTCCCTTGGACTGAATGTCAGCGAGCTCGCCAGATGTGAGTGATCTCCGCTGGAATGATGACTTGCAGATCTACTGCGGTGTCCCTGGTCATTATCCGACCTGGGCACATCCGAGAGAAGTCGCCTAGCCCTTCTCCAAAGCCGTGGCGGAAAGTCCCAATCCCCCTTTGCGATCAGCGCCTGAAGACGGGGCTCAAATGCATCATTGAACGGCAGCTTACCGCTCAGCAGGGCGTACACCATACAGCCTATAGCCCACATATCAGAGGCGAAAGGAGAAGGAACGTGCCTAGATTGTCCTGGGCTGGAGCTCGTGGAACCCTCAAGTGAGCCTTCTTGCCATCTTTCGGGAGGAGTATATGCTATGGACCCTCCTGCTAGTCCAGCAGTGATGTGGCCAGAGCTTCGAGCCTTGCTACGAGCTCTCGACTCCTCCGGGCCATCCTTTAACCAGGAAGCGGCCTTGTCGTGCAGAGACGACTGAGATTCGTCTTCTACGACTCTACGTGACAGACCAAAGTCTGCTAGACGCCAACACACCGAATCTTCGATCGCGTCTTCTTTCTCCGCAATGTCGGATGGCCTTGGAGCAGTCTTGTCACCTGTGAACCCTTGAGATGACCTCTTCGGCTGGCCGAGGACGTTCTCGAGCTTCAGATCACCATGCAGAACCTGAGCTCGATTGTGCAGGCAGAACAGACCCTCCGCTAGCTGTCTTGTGCACTCTCTCGCTGCCTTCAGGCTGACGCCTCGGCTGCGTGTTGAAAAGCTCAGTGCTCTTTGAAGCCCGGTCGAAGAGTGAGACAAGGTCCTTTGTACGCTGGAGGAAGAGCGAGGACCTGAGAAAGCTCCCCCAGTCGATACGACGCGATCTGCTCGCGAGCTCGAAGAGGGACCGAAGCTCGATCCGCCCCGAGATGCCGACGTGGCATCTGCGGACCTTTTCAGAGAAGTGCGTCGAGAGATGGATGATGCTGGACTGGATTCGACCCTTTTGCCGCCTTCCGATCGTATGAAGCTCATCAGATTGCCCTGATCGCAAAAGGGCATGACGAGCAGCTCCACTTCGTGCTTTTCGGAAGATGAAGCCATCGCGGTCATTCCAGTTGAAGCTCTTGGAGATATGACAGATTGTGTTGCCTTGTCCACTACCACTCTTTCATCATGAAGAAGTGGCAAGAGATTTGGATGCGCGGGGAGACGCCTCCAAATGGAAAGTTCTTCTCCGGTCGTGGCTCCAGGCTCATGGTATGAGACCTTGATCGCCACCTTGTGACGAGTGCCGATCTCATTGCCGGTGATTCTCGCTATTGAACCTTCTGTACTCATGTCCCATCCCTCTCTAATCGTAGAGAATCCTCCAAAGCCGACAAGCTTGCCTACCGCGTAACAGCGATCTGGACCAAAGCGATAACCCTCATCGTCCGGTCGGAGCTGACTCGTATCTAGGATTGTAGACGACGATGGCGTCAGAGCGCCTTTGTGGGCGAGAAACCCGGCTGCTGCGCTGACAGATCCCCCTTGCCAGCTGGCGGACAAGTCTGTGTTGATAGACTGCACACTCGGCGCTCTGGATCGATCGCCGGACTGACCAGGCCCGGGTTGCGATTGCTTGCCGAATGGCAGAGGCGTGTGGTTAGAGGACTCTCGCGAGTGAAGGGTTGAAGACGAATTTTTGCTAGAGAAGCTGCTCAAGAACTCGGCAGCTTGCGAGCGTGTGGTTGCACTCGAAGGCGACTGGGAGCGATCAGGCCCAGATATAGTGGAAGCAGGCGCGCTTTCCTTGGCAACATCGACGTCAAGTGAAAGACCATTTGGACGCTCTCTGCGCTCCCACCATTGGTGAGAGCGCTCGCTGGAAGCAGGCAGCCCTTCAACCTTGGAGGATGAGGCGGGGAGCGATGAGACGAGTGGTGTAGCTTTGCAGAGAACCCCAGCAAACTCGGACGAGCGCCTTCGCCGGCCCCTCTTCTCAGGCTGTTCGGACCCAGTTGACGCCGAAGATCTCTCATGAATTGTCGCTGGCTGCTGAGCACCGGTTCCTTGCTGAGAAGGAGGGCTGAGTCCTAGTCTCGTGGCGGCGTGGCTCAGCGGATCGAAGACGGTCCCCTTGGTCGACCGATGCGCAGAGGCTCGAAGTCCTGAGGGATTGAAGAGTGGAACGTCACCATCTTCGTCAGAGCTGGAGCTCGAATTATCGTTTTCGTTCGTTGGAGGGATAAGAGGTTGATGATGATGGCTAGGCAGACGCGTGGAGGAGAAGGAAGCCATACAAGGCCTCGCTAGACGTCGAGTCGGGCCAGCGAGTCTACCTTGATCTCACTCCCCTTTCTTTGGGCTCATATGCACGGGGATCTAGAGACCGATCTCGGAGGGCTGGGGAGACGGGCAAAAGGGGCGGATGGTGTGGGGAAAGGGGATGGGGGAGGAGGCCAAACGAGAGGACCCCACGTCTGAGTGAAATTAAGGCGCGTGCATGGACGGAAAGAGTGACAGGCCGGGCCGTCGGAAGCGCGAGTCTTAGCGCAATGGCATCTCCAGGCCAAGACAATCCCGTCTTCTCCAGATCACCTGACACAAAAAGCACATCAGGCAGAAGGCACGCGCAGGTCAGACTGACTCATGGTGTTGCACGCCCTCTTTTAGTGAATCGACAGGGTTCTCACCGCTCTTTCTATCGGAGGTGCCTGCGTCTGGGAGCGTCGCACACACACATGTACTCGTATTGCTTGCGACGCTCATTGTCCCCGCCTCTGTCAATCGATTCTTGTAGCGCAGGTCTGGACCATGAGCCGTGCGAAGCCATGGCGGGTTCCCCACTCCGTTGCGAGACCTCCAGCAGGCGCAGTCTAACTTCTGAGACCTCCTGCTCGTCTCTGTCCTCCAAATGCTTGTCGGTATGCCGACGAGTCCGGAACATCCGTCCGCCTGCTCCGCGGGACAGCCAAGACAAAGGATTTTTTATGAGTTGTGATTTCAAAGCGGTCGGTCACCTATTTGTCCGTGCACCGTTGAAAGTTACCGAGGCCTCGGATGCACTGTGTGGGAGGCAATGCTGCGAGGCGGCACGGCCGTGTCCAAACGGCACAAGTGTGTGGGTACCGAGGCTGCAGGAAAAATAGGCTTTGAGCCCGCGGGTCTACGTACGGAGCTGTGACATGGGTTGCCGAGCTCGGGCTGCGTGGGCTCGGACCGGCGCAAGATGCTGTGGCTCGCAAGGAGGGTTGTCACCTCGGCCTCGCTGTGCAGACAAAGCCGGGCAGAAAGCGCCGCCGCCTTACTCGTGTGCGCGGTGTCACGGCCGAGTAAGCGCTGGTGGGCCTAATTGATTGAGAGAGTGGCTGGCTGCCGTGCGTACGAATATAGTGGGACCTAGGTGGGCGCGTGCAGCACCATGCAAGCAGAGCAGAGCAGAGGACAGCAGCCTCAGGCTCCGCCCGCCGTGCCTTGCCCTCGCCGCCCTCTCTCAGTCCAGACGCCCTGAACCGGTACGTCGTACGAGGTGCTGATCGATCTCGCGGCCTTCCGTCAGACGTCCGTCAGGCACATTGCTCTCCCTCTCTCTCTCTCTCCTCGCAAGCCCAGACACACACTAACACACATCCATCATACACCAGCCACCCAGCCGGCCCACTTGGCCGCACACAAGGCTCACTCTCGCGGCCCGATTCGCACCTCGTGAGAGCAGGACGCGGTGTCCGCCGGCACAAGGCCTCTGTCAGCTTCACCAGTCGTTCTCCGCTCTCGCGCCCTCTCTCTCCGCCAACGCCGTCCGCCCTTTGACTCCCGCCCGCCCACCGGCCGCTTCCCTTTCCTCTCCTGCCTTGTCAGGGTGATCCTGTGAGTGTCAAGGTCCCATTGCTTCCTACTTCCCTCCTCCCACCCGTACCACTTGGACCTTTCTCGATCATCATTGCTCTGTCGCACCTCGCACGCACTCGTGCAAGCAGGTCCCACTTTCCGGCGCCTCACCTCGGCGTACCTGAACAGAGGCCTCGGCGCTAGATCCACCGGTTGTAGGACAGACAGGCCCCGACGCTGGACCTAAGTCTCGCGGCCCAGTGCTCTTGCCGCCTTGTTCCTCGTCCTCGCTGCCCGGCAAAGCAATTTGTTCCTGGACAGAAGACTGCCAGGGGTCCCCATCAAAGCATCCAGTGCGCCATACTTACTCATCATCCGACCTCTGACCCAACCACACCTTCTCCCCATTACCACCGCATTTCCCGGGCTCAATCCGGTCATTCTACTCCTCCCCTTCGGACCTGCTCTTACCACGACTGCATTCGCATCACATCCTTTCTCGATTGCCACAATCCTGCCCATCAACGGACGCTACTGCCTCCGCTGACTTGGTTCTGCCCGGTCTTCTGGCGATGCAGGACAAGCCTCACTTGCGAGCCGATCTATTCCCCACTCCTCCAACCTCCGACAACAATTCGGCTCGTCCATCACCAGACTCACTCCTTGAAGACTTCATCAACTTCGGTTCAGAAGACGAGGGAAGCGGCGAGCGACGAGTAAAGCAGCCGGACGTCACCTTAGCTCCTGTTGCCCACCCGAGTCACGTCAACGCTCGTCCCTTTCCGTCGCCCCCGCTCTCGCCACCTCGAGGATTGCAGTCCTTGCTGCCCCCCCAGACCGCTATCATGGGCACTCCTTCTGGGTCACCAGAGCGTAAGCATGCAGCCTCGCAGCAGTATCAGCAGACCGCACCGTATCAGCTGGGCAAAGCCCAGGCTGGGCCATCCAGTCAACCCTACCTGCATTCCCACACGCACAACGGCAGTCAGTCCTTTGCTGCTCCCTACGGTGGGGCCATGAGGGGCGGGCCTTCGAACGGCAATGGCAGCATCAGCTATGATGCAGTCCCGCAGAACCCAGTCTATCTTCCTCATCAGCAACACCAACAAGTAGCGCATCAAGGGTGGGCCACTCCCGGCGCCTCGGGTCATCCCAGCCCTGCCGCACCCGGACCCTCCTCTTATTTCGGCCAGCCCTTGACAGAAGCGTCCAGCGTACCACAATCGCCTATGGCTTCGTCCACAGTGACTACGCCTGGCCATGCTGCAGGAAACTCGATTCTTTCGCAGTCGCTTCAGATGGCAAGTGCGAGACAGCGCCAGATCCAACACAGTCTCGCTCAGCAGGGTCAGAGTCAAGACTGGTCCTCTCAGCAGCAGGGTTCGTTCAGCAGAGGTGGCAGCGGAATGGAGACTGGAACAGCTGCACCGGGTGTGCCGCCGCAAGCGCAGCAGTCCTTCGGAAGTGCCTTTGCCAATCCCTATCAAAGCTTTCCGGCAGGCAATGCATGGCCCGGTGCACCACCACAGCAACGATATCAGCTTTCGTCGGGCTCAGGTCCATCGACTCCTGTGAGCGCCCTTAGCGGAGGCCACAGTAGGGCTACCAGTGTGGTTCCCAACCTCAACGGACAGAGTCCTGCTGCACAGCCGTCGCCAATGGAAGGCAATCTGCATATCTCTCTAGACCAGGCTCGAAGGCAACAAGGCTTCTGGCCATACCAGTCGCAGCACACCACACCCATGACCCAGCAAGTGGCGCAAGCCGGTGAAGTCGGGCCTCGAACAGGCGAAGCTTTCCAATACCGGCAGCCACCTGACGCTCTGTTCTCACCAGAATTGCGCTCGCCGGATGACGTACCCACCTTCCTTGGAGCTGCATCTGCAAGTGAAGCAGGGCCTTTCAACTTTGCAACTGGTGGAGGCCCTTCCTCGCTGCCTCGAGGGGTCTCTGTACTACCGGACGTTCCTGCGACTTCTGCCCAGTCACACTTGACAGCTGGCCTTCAAGCGCCCATCAATGTTGCTGACCTCGACGAGGACGCAAGAGCAGCAAGTGGGGCAGAAGCTTCGGGAAGTGAGATGCTGTCGGCAGGCGGAACCGGTGGTGGCCGGGTACGAAGAGGCTCCACTGGGATCGGCGAGGCTGGCGAAGATGCGGAAGATGATCTGGACCCAGAAGCAATGGCAAAGAAGGATCCTCTGGCGACGCAGGTCTGGAGAATGTACGCGAAGCAGAAGAGTCAGCTCTCCAACGGAGCGAGGATGGAGAACATTACCTGGCGCATGATGGCGTTGACTCTGAGGAAGAAGAAGGAGCAGGAGCGCGCTCAGGCAGCTGCAGAGGCAGAAGCCCTTTCCCGGCAAACAGCAGCATCTGGGGCCGGAGACCCTTTCTCGGGCTCAAGTAGTGCGCAGGCTGGCGCTTCGACAACTGCCACGCAATCCACTTCAACATCGCCCGACTTGACTCACAGTGCAGCCTCTCATCCGAGCTCTCGGAGAAGTAGCGGGTCACAGGGCGAATCGGCAGGTGGATTCGCTCCTCCGAGTGCCATGAAGGGATCCACAGCTTTGTACGGTATGACAGCTCTGGACGAAGTGCCTAGCGGTTCAGGCCGCGCAAAGGGTAGAGCAAGGTTTGCCGAGGTATTTCATGAAGAAGAGGAGCGAGGCAGACGTGGGAGGAGTTCCAAGACGCCAGACTCTGGCCATGGGTGAGTGCAGTCCGAGTACATCGCTGAGAGATCCCCGTCTCACCATCTAATCTCCTGCCCTTCTTCTCGTCCCGCAGCTCTGCTCCAACGCCGGTACCTTCTGCTGCAGCCCCGGTCGAGATCATGGACTGGCGAGCCAAGAGCAAGAGTCGATCTCGCTCACGCTCAGTCAGCGCCATGGACTGGCGTGGCAGCAGCAGATCGAGGTCGCGCGCCCCAGCTGGAAGACTCGACACAATCAACGATAATTACTTTGACGAAGACACGCAAGCTGCTGGCTCCTTTGGTGAAGAAGGCCCAGATCTCGATCTGCTATCGCGTTCTGCTCCTACCTCTGCCTTCGATCTGACGAATTTCGCTGCATTCAATGATCGCTTTGACGAGCGCAACATTGAAGAGTTCTTCACTCTTGCATCCGGCCACGGAGCTGGTACTGACGCGGATACAATTGCAGCACACTCCAACGTCGCAACAGCTGCCAATAGCAACGCTGCCTCTCCCTTTACCACTTCAACCCATTCAACGCCTCCGGCCAATGCAAACAATCCGGTGCAGAAGGCAGAGTGGCTCAATGCTGTCAGACGAGCTGTCGAACGACCGCTATTCTCGGCGGAAGAAGCGGATGGCGGCAATGCGTCCGACGATGCATCTGCCTGGGCGGCCGGCTTACGCCACAGCAGCCGGGACATGTCTGCCATCGGTGCAGCAAATCCTTTCGGTCAGCCCATTTCAACGTTGGGAAGTATACCAGGAATCGCCGACTACGCTTCGGACCCATCCAACCGAGACTCTCAATATGGCTTTCTCCCTCGATTGGTCAGAAAGACCAGCTTCGATCACAACGTGCGTGAACGTAGCGCCTCTCGTGGACCTCGTCACAGAGCAGACACTCTCGACGCAGGAAATGACAAGAAGAGGTCCTTCAGGGATGATCCTTCGCCAGCACGTGCTGCTTTCGCCGTCCCACTCACAAGGGATCAGCGTATTGCGGCGGGCTTGTCAGGCAACCTGCCCGTCTTTGCTGCTTCACATTCGTCGAGTGAAAGAGCTGCCAATGCTGCTGCTGAGGACTTCGTATTCAGCGTAGCAAATTCTGGAGGCGGCGATAACAATTTCCAGGCTTATCTGAATGCTTTCAATGAGAGCGCGAAGGGTCAGATGCCATCACCTGTCCAAAGCCAAGTCATCAACGCCTTGACGTCGAACTGTAATTCCCCCGAGGCGATTGGAGGCAGCAATGTCAAGGGCCCGAGGAGCACAGACTCTGGAGCGCCTCTGCAAGTAAGCGACATCGGTAACCAGCTTCAGAACCAGCATCCGACCACACACACTCAAGGCAGGGCTGAAGGAAGCAGTGAAGCAGAAGGCGACTCGGGATCCTTGGACATGATCATGAGGATGCTATACAATCCTGCTGCAATGGCTGGACAACAACCTCAGTCATCAATCACTCACATCGACCCCAACCAGGTCTTTTCCCTTGGCGCCCACTCTGGAATCCCGCCCCAGACCGTCGCGGCACTGGGCGACGATGCTTCCAACTGGACCTACAGTCCAAGTAACAGCACAGGGTCAGGCAACGCTGATACTCCCCCTTTCTCATCGGCATTCCACAACTCGCCGCTTTCTGGTACCGGACCGGGAGCTCCTATTCTCCACTCTCGACAGCCTTCCTCGGACCTGCTTGCGGGCGCTACAGCAAAGGGTGCGCGATCTGCGGGACCCTCTCGGTCAAGTAGCATGTCTACTACGGTCTCTTCTCTTCCGTACGCACGCAACCCCGAGTCCAAAGCCGGAGACAGGAAGAGTCTGTCTAGGACTAGCAGCAGCACTGGCACGAGTGGCAACACCGCTCCCAGTGGCAAGAAGGCGTCTCGTACCTCGGACGCGCAGAGCATGGCCAACGCCGATCCGCCTACCGTATGTTCCAACTGTACGACGACGAAGACGCCCCTATGGCGTCGAGACCCTGATGGGAAGCCTCTGTGCAACGCTTGTGGTCTCTTCCTGAAGCTTCACGGGACCATCAGACCGCCCACCATGAAGAATGAGAACATCAAGAGAAGGAACCGTGGCAAAGAGTCGGCGGGCGCCAGTGGCCCTAGCAACGGGACAGTGAGCAAGTCAGCCTCGGCTCGCAGTAGCCTGAGCGCCGCCAGCGGTACCAATGCGGCGGGTGTCGCTGCTATGACCCCGGCGGATAACAAGGGGGACAAGAAGACTAGTAAATAGATAGACGTAGAGACTGCTTGTGGTGGTAGACTGCGAATGGCTGATGTCACGCGGCACAAGATCAACAGCATTTTGGACGCTGTGATACCCCCTTGTGCTCGCCACGCTATCACCACCACTACATAGATCATGACAAGTCGAGCGAAGATGCCATAGAGGTTCGCCATCGGAGTTGCTTGTAGGAGGACTGGGCTCTGTTGTACAGTATGAAGAGGGTTAGACACTGTGTTTGATGCTCCGTTCATTCATACCATCCAATTCTCTTTTCGCAACGACTCTTCTATTTGTGCCTGCTGCTTGCGACGGTGTGCCTAGGTAGGTGATGGGCAGAGAGTTTCGCAGGGCTGAGGGCTACCAAGCACTCCTGGCCAAGCAATGGCGACCCTCCGTTCCGATCTGCGCGGCGCAGCTCCAGCCTCCAGGAAGGATTGGTCGGCTCGGCACCATCTTGATCCGCTTTGCACCATCCACTAGCTCTCTCACCTCTCCTTTCTCCCACTTCCCGCCTTGCCCCTACTCCCTCGCTTGCAGTCATCATCGTTCACACACGATGGATGACTACGATGAGTTCGGAAACTACATTGGCGCCCTGAGCGATTCGGACGATGGCGATTCTGAGATCGCTGCCGATCTTGACGAGCCTGCTCCCTTGGAAGGCTTCGATGAGGGCGACGATGATGCCGATGAGCGCATGTCAGGGCTGGATGAAGAGGACGAGGAAAGGATCGACCCTTCTTCAGCTCTCATCCGCGTGGATGAGGCGCCTCAGAATGCCGTAGTGTTGCACGAGAACAAGAAGTACTACCCTTCGGCGGCAGAGACGTATGGAGAAGACGTGGAGACGCTCGTAATGGAAGAGGATGCGCAACCCCTTACGCAACCCATCATCGAGCCTGTCAAGACTAGGAGGTTTGCCATTGAGGAGGAAGGTTTGCCGGAGACCAGATTTGATCGAGAGTTTATGATGAACCTCATGAACTTCCCAGACATGGTCAGAAATGTTGTAGTAGCGGGTCATTTGCACTCGGGAAAGACGAGATTGATGGATATGCTGGTCGAGGAGACTCACAAGATGGAGATTGACATGGATAGGAATGTGAGTCATGAAGTCCCGAAGCCTCTCACGCGATCAGGGCTGACGATCCGTCCTTCGAAATTCCTCCTGTTAGACGCGCTACACTGACTCGCATCTGCTTGAGCGTGATCGAGGCATCAGCATCAAGTCTGCTCCCATGTCTTTGGTGCTCCCAACAACCAAGGGCAAATCATACCTTTGCAACTTGATTGATACCCCGGGTCACGTCAACTTCCAAGACGAGGTGGCAGCAGCTACTCGCCTGGCGGATGGTGTTGTCCTCGTAGTAGATGTCGTAGAGGGCGTCATGTGCGGGGCGGATGCCATCATCAAGCATGCCATCCGCCAGGGCTTGTCCATCGTTCTGGTGCTGAACAAGATCGACCGGTTGATCCTGGAATTGAAGCTACCTCCGGCCGAAGCCTACTTCAAGATCCGCAATGCGATCGACGAGGTCAACAATGCCATTGCTACGCATGACACGAATCCCGCTCGTAGAATCGGCCCAGAGAGGGGCAACGTCGTCTTTGCCTCTACGCAGTCCGGCTGGTCTTTCACCCTGCGCTCCTTTGCCAAGCTGTATGCTGACAGCTTCGGTGGCATCGATGTTGAAGCCTTCGCCAAGCGTCTGTGGGGCAACATCTACTACAACGAAGAATCAAGGAACTTCTCACGGAAAGCTGCAGACCCCGAGAGTAAGCGCAGCTTTGTTCACTTCATCCTGGAGCCGCTATATAAGCTCTATACACAGGTACTATCCAGTGACACAGATTCGCTAGCAGCGACATTGAGCAGCCTTGGTATTCAACTGAAGCCAGCCGTCTTCAAGATCGATGTGAGGCCATTGCTCAAGATCGTTCTGAATCACTTCTTTGGTCCTAGCACCGGCCTCATGGACGTCATTGCCGAGCACATTCCCTCGCCCAAAGCCGCGGCAGCCACCAAGATTGCCAGCTCATGGAGTGGGCCTTTGGACTCGTCACTGGCACAAAGCATGGGTCAGTGTGATGCAGACGGACCTCTTGTCATCCAGATCGCTAAGCTGTACCAGACGATCGATGCCCAAGACTTCCGCGCCTTCGGGCGAGTACTCAGCGGAACCGTCAGAGTCGGCGATCGGGTCAAGGTGCTGGGCGAAGGCTATACCCAAGACGATGAGGAGGATTTGGTGATGGCTACTGTGGAAGGGGTGTGGGTGAATGAGACGAGATACGTCGTGCCGTCTGAGGGAATTCCAGCTGGATCCCTGGCCCTCTTGGGTGGTATCGATGCCAACGTCAGTAAGACTGCGACTGTCGTGTCTCCCTCTATTCCAGCCGAGGAGCTCTATGTCTTCAAGCCGTTGGTTCATATGACTCAATCGGTCCTCAAGGTTGCAGTGGAACCGCTGAATCCCTCTGAATTACCAAAGATGCTGGACGGTCTGCGCAAGATCAACAAGTCATACCCTCTTGCCACTACCAAGGTCGAGGAGAGCGGTGAGCACATCATCCTAGGAACAGGAGAGCTATATCTGGACTGTGTGATGCACGATCTGCGCAAGCTCTTCAGCGAGATTGAGATCAAGGTTTCTGATCCCACTGTTCGGTTCGCCGAGACAGTCGTGGAAACGAGTGCGGTCAAGTGCTACGCTCAGACGCCAAACAAGCGCAACAAGCTCACGATCATTGCTGAGCCGCTGGAAAAGGGCATCGCTGAAGATATCGAGTCAGGTCGCCTGAACATCCATTTACCTCCTCGCGAGCTAGGCAAGGTCTTTGTGGAGAACTACGGGTGGGATTTGTTGGCAGCGAGGTCCATTTGGGCCTTTGGACCTGACGAAGGGGGACCCAATATTCTAGTGGACGATACACTGCCGGGAGAGGTGGACAAGAAGCTCCTCTACTCTGTGCGCGAATCGATCAAGCAAGGGTTCCAGTGGGCAACGCGGGAAGGTCCATTGAGCGATGAGCCGATCCGCAACGTCAAGTTGCGAATCCTCGACGCGGAACTGGCGTCTGAGCCGATTCACCGTGGTGGTGGTCAGATGATCCCTACGGCCAGACGGTGTATCTATGCTGCCATCCTGATGGCGACACCGCGACTGATGGAACCCATCTACTATGTCGAGGTGCAAGCTCCGGCAGACTGTGTCAGTGCCGTGTACACGGTCCTGGCCCGGAGGAGAGGACATGTGGTGCAGGATCTGCCAAAGGCCGGTACCCCACTGTTCACTGTCAAGGCGTACATTCCCGTCATCGACGCCAATGGCTTCGAGACTGATCTGCGGACCGTCACGCAGGGTCAAGCCTTTTGTCTCCAGACGTTTGACCACTGGAGCGTTGTTCCTGGAGACCCAACAGATACGACGATCAAGCTGCGACCGCTGGAGCCTGCGCCGCCCCTGGGTCTGGCGAGGGACTTTGTGCTAAAGACGAGGCGGAGAAAGGGTCTTAGTGACCAGATTGCTGTCTCGAGCTATCTGGACCAGGAGATGGTCGTTGCGCTGGCTGCTGGCGGGTACGACTTGAGCTAGGCATCTGACGCGGGGTGGGCAAAGGGCAAGGCTATTTTTGTCGCATTCTGTACTCTCCTTCTCTGATGGGCCACAATGTACTATATTCGAAGACATGATCTCTGTATGTGATCGACCAGGCTTGGCGCAGTGGGCCATGGCGAAGGGCACGAGGGCGGTGCGAGATGCCAAGAAGTACGGCGGTGGAGGCGACGTGGCTGACGCTTGCCGCCTCTGTCGCTTCTCTGCCTTTGCACCCTCGAGCGTCCCGGCCGTCGTCACCGGTGGGTCGGGGTTTGAATACGTTTGCAGATCGGGTCCCTTGGCTGCTGCTGCCTGGCCCGGCCTGCGTTGGCGAGGGACAGGAAGCACCGCTTGAAGATGCGGCAGCAACCAAGCGCCAAGGAAGCAGGACCACAGCCGAGGGGACCAACGCAGCCAAGGTACCACCCGCCAACAGCACCGATCATCCACATCCCACCCCCACAGCCTCACATCTACCCTGCACACCTTGCCTCTGCCTCCACCACTACCCTTCCTCCGCACACCTCGCACTTGATCTTCAGGCGCCTCTCTACTGCACCACCCAATACTCGTGCACACACACACACCACTACGCAGTAGCAAGAGAAGAAGATCTAGTCATGCGTGCGTATTTCACACCCACATGCAGACAAGAGGTTCATCGCCATTTCCTCGCTCCTCCCATGGCTAACGTGTCTGCCCATTTCCCCGCTCCCGACCACCCCCCGCAGCTGCCTTGGAGAATACGCCGCTTCTGGGAAGCAATGGAGTGAGTAGCCTCGTCAGCTCCATCTACTGAGTGGCAGAGCTATCTGCGCCATGACAGGAAATCTTGGCCATGAGAGCACGCTCAGCAATACCGAAACGCTGACACCCTTCTTCTCTGCCCTCTTCCTCCACCTCTCGCGGTCTCCAGGGAGCTTCGTCTGAGGGTCATCCCACCTTTCTATCCTCTTTCAGGTGGATCATCACTAGCTCATGGCTCAATCTCTTCTGCATCTTCATTCCGCTGGGAATCGTGGCTGAGAAGATGCAATGGGATGCCGTCTGGATCTTCTCATTGAACTTCCTAGCCATCGTGCCGTTGGCAAAGGTGAGCCGCCTCCATCATGCACATGCGTGCCAAGTCCATCATTAGTACAGCTCATTGACCACTGCATACCGCTCTGCTTGCCCTATTTCCAGCTCCTCGGCGATGCTACAGAGCAAGCAGCACTCAAGCTCGGCTCCACCCTTGGAGGTCTCCTCAATGCCACCTTTGGCAACGCAGTCGAGCTCATTGTCGGAGTCGTGGCTCTCTTCCAAGGCCAATTGCGAATTGTGCAGACTTCCCTCATCGGATCGATTCTGTCCAACATTCTCCTCGTCCTGGGCATGTCCTTCGCCTTTGGAGGAGTTCACTTCACCGAGAACACTTTTCAGCAGACGGCCGCTCAGGCCTCCGGCAGCATCATGATGCTCAGCGTCGTCGCCATCGCCCTTCCCGCCGCATATCAAGGAGGCGCAGTTGCCGAGCTCTTCGGCAAGGACCCTTCCACTCAGCCCGGCTCTACCGAGGCTGGTATCCTCTTCATCTCGCGAGGTACCTCCGTCGTGCTGCTTCTGGTCTACATGCTCTACCTCTTTTTCCAGCTCAAGTCACATGCTTTTCTCTACGAAGGTGAAGAGGGAGACCAAGAGGAGGAGGAGACACCCCAGATGACCCCACTTGCTGCCGTTGTGGCACTGGGTGTCATCACCGTCATCACCTCCTTCTCGGCAGACTACCTTGTGGGCGCCATCGACGAGACTGCCAATGAGTATGGTATCCCCAAGGCCTTCATCTCCACTATCCTCCTGCCCATCATCGGTAACGCCGCCGAGCACACAACGAGCTGCCTGATGGCCTACAAGGGCAAGATGGAGATTGCCATTGGTGTCTCGGTGGGATCGTCGATTCAGATTGCCATGGGTCTGCTGCCCACACTGATCATCGTTGCCTGGATCATTGGACAGCCGCTGACCCTCTACTTCCAGACCTTTGAAACTGTGAGTGCGAAGAGAGATGACCCGAGTTCGAATTCGACGCAAGTTCGATCGCTAATTCGACTGGACAATGTTTCTTCAATCGCCTTGTTCAGGTCGTCCTCGTGTCTGCTGTCATCTTGGTCAACTCGTTGATCCAAGACGGCCGAAGCAACTACATGGAAGGCATGATGCTCTTCAGTCTGTACGTTGTCGCTGCCCTCTGCTTCTGGGTTTCGTAGGACAAGCAAAGCAAAACGTATGATCTGGCTAGCATCTGCGGCTGCTGTAGTGCATACTCGATTTCTTCACTTCACCCACCTCACACGCCTTTTAAACTCATCAATCTGCCTCACACCGTTGCATCCTTTAGTCTTGTATGTTCATAGCTTTGAGAAACTCTGCCTGACCTAGCTAACATGAATCCGTAATTGAGCGATCCGTCGCCCCTCTACCGTCTCACTGCCACAATGCTACCCTGCTTGACCGCAACTTCTGATGATGTGAAGTAGTGAGCGCGGGCTGGTGGTTCAGACTGCAGATCCGTGCTGGAGTAGGCGAAATCGCGGCGTCTTGAGCCCGCGTGGCTGGGGGAAGTGCGTCATTGCTCCCTCGATTCACCGCCAGTCTCGAACGATTGGATCGGCTCTCGGAGAAATCGGACCGTGAATTGGGGGGAAAGAGTGGCGGGAAGCCCAGGAGCCACGAGCCAGAGGCCAAAGTCCCCCTTGTTACGCTCGCATCGCTCCTTCTCTTCGGTCTCGATCTGCTAGCCTTTCCTCTCTCTCTCTCTTCTTTCTTTCGTCTCCCTCGTCTTCCTCTTCCTCTAAGCTTGGGTACTCTGGTCCTGGTCGGCGCACTTGGCCGTGCCTTCCTCCTCTCTCCCTCTCTCTGTCTTTCATATCTGGCGACACCTTTCCTTCCTCGATCTCAGCATGCATTCCTCTACTTCTTCTTCCTCTTCCTCTCTCTCATCTACTGTGCGCTCTGCACCCCGCAAGGGCGGGAGTTCAAGTCGGATCCCAGCTCTGTGGCTCGCAGCAGCTGCATCCCTCCTCGTTCTCCTCTCGACAGCAACGAGCATCTCGGCGCACCCATCTCCATCTAATCCAAGCGAACTCTCCACTTCTCCTGTCAGCGAGCGTGCCACCTCCCAGTCCGTCTTCGGAGAGCTTCCCAATGCAGTGGATTACTACAACCCAGCCAATGGTGGTGGTCATATGCTGACTATCGTCCCGGAGCTAGACGTCGGGGAGCCGATCAATATCATCGTCAGCGGTCGCAGCTCGCGCTCGGTCCTCACCCCCGTAGGTTTCCTCCTCTGGGCCACTTCCATCAACTATGGTGTCTCCTGCCTCGGCTCCTCGGACATCGGCACAGTTCAGTCTGCCAATTTGGGTGATGGATTTGGTCCAAGACCTCAAGGAAGTGATGGTGAAGGTATCAATGGTGTGTTGCGATACAACTATGGCTCGCCCTACTTTGGCACTTGCAAAGAGACTTTTGATGGTGGAAGTCACATGCGCTGGTTCATCCAGAACGGCAGCGACGCCGATTCGTCGGCAATCTTCCTCGCGGCTTCTACCGAGCTTCCCCTGGCGTACGGACACGACATTGCACAGAATGGATACAACATCGGTCGAGATGAGATCGTGGGCAATGCGACGAACCCCGAGGGTACGTCGTGGGAGGGCAACACCTACAACACTACGGTCATTTGGGTCCCGGCGGGACTGCTGCTCAATGCCACGAGCGACGGAGTCAACCATCCCAACGTCGCATTGCCAGGACAGCCAGCACAGGACGGTAGGGTCGCCGTACTGACCATTACCCAGCTCGACGGGTCCGCGAGCCAGGTCGAGATTGCCAACGGTGCTCGACGTACTGGCCATGCGGGAGTCGCTCTGCTCTTCACACTCCTCGCCGCTGGATTGTTGTTGACAGCGTCACTATGAGCACAGCTCCAGACGACGTCCACCATCCCTCAAGTCGACCGAGCGCCCTCTCTTCCTGTACGCGCTTTTTCTTCGCCTTCTCTGTATACCATTGACCCGCACCCTGAGGGTCGTTCCCGATGCCTTGTTCTATCACACCTTACGCAAATTTTCCCATGTAGTCTCAGAATCCTCTCTTCATGTAGTCGTATACGAGTACGGACAAATCTATCATTATTATGACAAAAGAGCACGAGTCCAGACCTAGCCTTTGAAGAGGGCGCACTTGTTGAGAATTTTCTTGAGGGCCTGTGCAGAGAGTCGAGGGAATATAGGTGAGCCTCTTCCCTCTCGAAAGCGATCGTTGGCACTTTAGCCTCCTTCACTCACGGGTGGTTTCCGATTGGGTGCAATGGCGATGCACGTCGGGATATTATCCGGCTGCTCGATCCACATGGTGTGCACGGGAAATTCCTCCTCTTCCTCTTCACCTTGAGCACGATCGGCGCTGCGTATCCTCTCCTCTCGCCTCTTCTCCCACTCAGATCTAGCAGCGCTCAACCTCTCACTGAGCACCTCCAATCCTTCCTCCTCCTCCTCCTTCTTCCCTCCCTGCCCCTCTACTTGTCCACCACTCTTCTTCTGCTTCTTCTCCTTTCCAGGCCACTGCATCACAACCTTGTGCATTCCACCCTTGAGTCCCTCGGGGGAGAGGTACTCTCTTGTCTGAGGGTGATCGGCAGTTAGCGCGAGAATGGCACAGGCGGCATGCGCGCCTTGCGCTATGAGGGGGCCGGTGGACCAGCCTGCTTGGCTTGGGAGGGAGCGGGGCAGGATGAGCTGCATTACTAGTGGGGGAAGAGCAGAGGCAGAGGTGGAAGAGGAAGTGGAAGGGACACTGGAGGTGGGATTATGGGCGAGAGCTGATGAAGGTGGGGCCGCAGCGCCGGCGGAGGCCGAAGAGGAGGAGGAAGAGGTCATCCTGCTTTGGTCTGCGCTGTGAAGCTGGGTGACAGTGGGGAGAGGGCACAGCGAGCTGAAGTGGCTTCTACGAGGAATTGTTCGGTAAGGTAGCCTGAGCATGCATGCCGTGAAATCGATCAGGAGGGGGCTGGCGTCTGGATGCTCAAAGGGGTCCACAGATGATCAGAGTTGCACAGGATGTCAGTGCGTTTCCGACGGGAAGAAGTGGAACAGGACATCTGTGCATCTGTGCTCCCGCCCGGCGCGTTGCTCGGCTCTAAGCACGGCTTAGTGAGAGTCAGACCCCAGAAACATCCTCCAGCCATGGTAGACCGGGAGATCCCACCACGCAGAGCAGAGGTCTGCTTCCATCTTCTGCAAAGATCGTCTATCGCGAGGCTTGAAAGGCTTACTAGGGCAAGCAGTGACCCATGTGCGTCCCCCCAGGGCTGTCCGGGGCTCACCGGGGCCGGTGGCTGAGGCGCAGCCCAACGTTGCAGCCCCGCCGCGGGGGTGGAGCCAGGCGAGGCAAGGAAGATATCACCCCGGGGCGCCCAGGGCAGGGCAATCATATAAAGCTATTTCGACAAGTGACGGTCAGTGTCCCGGTTTCCCTCTGCAACACCAGTATTCTTCACATCCCTGTTCGCTCTTTCTTGCCGGAGGTGAGTTGCTGATCCTGCCCCATCTGTCCCCCTGCCGGTATCTCCGGTCACTGGTCCGGTCCGGTGCCGAGGGCCGCCGCCCCTCCACAGGTGCCCGCCTGACCCAACTGCTCAGAGGCTCCACATCTGCCTTTCTTCACACCCAACCTTCGCTGATCGCCCAAGTCTCCCTTTTCCCCCCCGTCGCTCATTCGCTTGCCAGAGTTCCATGTCGACTGCTCTCCGTAATACTTCTACTGTACGACTCAATACTCGCAAAGCTATTGCGCCCTGCACTCTCACAGCAACAAGCCTCTTTGCACCTCGTACTGCAATTGCTCTCCCCGCTGCCGGATCAACGCGATCTTCTTTCCAGACCAGCCGCCGTTTCACCACCACGCCAATTGCCAAGATGCCGCAGATGCCAAAGAACATCATCAAGAAGGGACAGGATGACCTCAAGTTGTCCAACAAGTCCCTTTTGCTGAACAAGGGGCTGATTAATGGAAAGTGGGTGGACTCCAAGAATGGCAAGACGCTCGAGGTGTACAACAAGTCTACCCTGGCTACCATCGGTAGCGTGCCCGACATGGGTCTCGAGGACGTAAAGGAGGCCATTGATGCCGCTTACGAAGCTGGCAAGAGTTGGAGGGCCAAGACGGCAAGGGAGAGGTCTGACCTCCTCTACGCTCTCTATGCCGAGCTCCAGGCAAATGCCGATGACCTGGCTAAGATCATCGTGGGCGAGAATGGAAAGTCGCTGACCGAGGCCAAGGGCGAAGTTGCCTACTCCAACTCCTTTATCCAATGGTTTGCTGCTGAAGCCCAGAGGACGTACGGACAAGTCATCCCCGCTCCTCTTCCCGGCGTTCGCAACGTGGTCATCAAGCAGCCCGTCGGTGTGGCGGGTCTGATTACGCCCTGGAATTTCCCAGCAGCGATGATCACCAGGAAGCTCGGTCCTGCCCTTGCCGCCGGGTGTACCGCGGTGATCAAGGTGCCAGCCGAGACGCCCTTCTCTGGTCTCGCCATTGCCCACCTTGCCGAGAAGGTGGGCGTGCCAAAGGGTGTCATCAACGTCGTCGCCTGTGCCAAGGGAGACAACGAAGCTGCTGTGGGCAAGGAGCTGTGTGAGAACCCCAAGGTCAAGAAGATCTCCTTTACCGGTTCCACTCGTGTCGGCAAGATTCTCATGTCGCAGTGCTCTGGCACGCTCAAGAAGATGAGCATGGAGCTCGGTGGAAACGCCCCCTTCGTTGTCTTTGAGGACGCCGATCTGGACAAGGCCGTGGATGGAGCCATTGCTTGCAAGTTCCGTGGTTCTGGTCAGACTTGCGTGTGTGCCAACCGGCTCTACGTCCACGAAAAGGTCTACGACGAATTTGCCAAGCGTCTCGCTGCCAAGGTGGATGCCTTTAAGCTGGGCAATGGACTGGACGAAGGTGTCACTCACGGTCCTCTTGTAAACCAGGCTGGACTCGAAAAGGTCGAGAAGCACGTAGACGACTCGGTCAAGGCTGGCGCCAAGATCCTCTTGGGCGGCAAGCGTGGAGAAGGCACCTTCTATGAACCCACCATTCTCACCGACCTCCCACACCACCCACCCACCGACTACGAAGAGACTTTCGGTCCCCTCGCCGCCCTTTACAAGTTTTCTTCAGAGGAAGAAGTGGTACGAATGTGCAATGATGTAGACGTAGGTCTAGCTGGTTACTTTTACTCCAAGGATGTAGGAAGGGTATGGAGGGTAGCCGAAGCACTCGAGACGGGAATGGTGGGAATCAATACTGGAATCCTTTCACAGGCACAGGTACCCTTTGGTGGAATCAAGGAGAGTGGATTTGGAAGGGAAGGAGGATCTTCCATCTCTGAGTTCATGGTCGATAAGCTCATGGTCTTTGGTCCCGTCTAATTTGTCAGCGGGCAAGTGGTGGAGTCGGGAAATGATTCCCTTAGCTGTCAATGCAACATAGGTCGTTCGCTGTTCGCTAGAGCTCGGTGCTCGTCTTAGGTTGACCAATTTCTCTCTCTCCCTTTCCACGTTGGCACATTGTCCTCGAGCCCATGTAGTGAACTACTTGCGTTGAATCCGAGTCTAGCCTTCATAGTGATGCATGCAGTCACGAGGAAAAGGGCGTCATCAGCGTCGTCGTCGTCGTCGTCGTCCTCCTCGTCAGGCATCGCCCCAATCGCACCTCGTCAAGGACAAAGTTTGACCTCTTCGCCTCTGTTGTGCTTGCTGTGCTCAGTAGTATACTTTCGTCTTTGCCCACCATATGCACTGTGTGCCCCGGCCCTAGACGAGAGACGCCTTTGCCAGGAGCGAGCGGCACGGCGCTATTTCGGCCCATGGTACCCAGTAGCGAGAAGCACAGCAGAGGCAAAGAAATTAAGATCGAACAGTGGCAGCCTTCGGTCATGTGCGGTGCAGGCTACAATGTGCAGGCCTGAGCGCTGGTCATCTGAAAGAGTGGCCGATCCTTAACGGTGCAATGGCACGAGGCTGTCTTACCGTCAACTGTACGAAAAGCTACGTATCACACAATCACTCACACAATCACTCTAGAGTTTGCTGTGAATGGGAGAATCGTAGTGGAAAAGTGCAGAAAAGAACAGTGGGAGATGAAAAGCCGCAAGGCGTCTGGTGACTGCGACGTCCCCTTTTGGCAGTAAAGAGAGATTGTATACAAGAATGGACGAATGGTGAGGATGCACCGAAAGGCAGCATCCCGACCCCTCCCACGACTCCACCCTTTCCCTTCCACGACCTGAAAACGCTAGCCCGCTGCTTAGTCGTTCTTGACCTTGCCGACGGTACCACGGATAAGACCGGTTCGGCGAGCGGCAATGAGACCAGCCTTCTGACCCGACGGTGCGAACCTGGAGACAGTCGAAGCGTGACCAATGTGCTGGTGGTTTCCTCCTCCGTGAGGGTGGTCCACGGGGTTCATGGCCACACCACGAGTCTTGGGCCAGCTGTTCCTCTTGACACGGAACTTGTGGTGGGCACGACCAGCCTTGAGCAGGGGCTTGTCAATTCGTCCACCACCAGCAACGATACCAACGGTAGCACGAGCAGTCGAGGGGACAGTCTTCTTGGCACCGGAGGGCATACGGATACGGGTGACCTTGCCGTCAGCGTCGTGGCCAATGATGGTGACGTAGTTGCCGGAGGTACGGGCGAGTGTTCCACGGTCACCGGCCTTCTCCTCGACGTTGCAGACAATGGTTCCCTCGGGCAGAGAGGAGAGGGGGAGGACGTTGCCGACGTTGAGAGCAGAGCGCTTACCACAGTAGACGAACTGACCAGTGTACATGCCCTCGGTGGCGATGAAGGTCTCAGTTCGGATCTTGTAGCGGTAAGGGTCCCTGAAGGCTACGAGGGCGAGGGGAGCACCACGACCGGCATCGTGGATGATCTCCTTGACGATGCCTCGGATGTAACCGTTGCGCTCGGCGTAGTCGTAGTTCCTCAGCTTAGCTGGGTTCTTGTTGAGGTGGGTGTGGGACCTGAAGATCCCGCCCGACTTTCTCTGAGAACGGATGACACGACCCCTGTAGATGATGGTGAGGAGCAGCAAGGGGAGAGAATCAGTATTGACTGTATGTCTTCCCGTGCTGTAGTGATGCCAGCGTCCCATTGCCCCATCTCCTGCACCGATTCGCTGTCCCTCGGAAGATCCCCCCGACCATGCTGTAATTCCAACATTGCCCGTCCAACCGCTCATGAGCCATGCAGCGCCCTCCATATCGCTTGGCCTCCGACAGGCACTTGTCACTCTGTGCAGAGGACATGGCCACGATGCATCCCTCTCGATGCCCCATTATCTCCTGGCATCTACCCTTCCGCATCACTGTGCCTCCCTTCTTCGCCCATCAATGCCGTCTCAAGATACCCACATTGTGCTATGAGGACAAGCAGAATGAGGGAAGTCGTCGAAGAGTGGATGAGGTCGTTATACGTCGGTAAAGGGGAGGATGAGGAAGGTGTGCAGGATTTCGAGATTGGATCAGAAGATGAGGATGTAGGAGCAAGCCGGGTAAAGGAAAGGGGATATGAAGAGGACGATACAGAAGAGGAGAAGAAGATGATCAGTAACCGTCTCCAACTGGGCTACGACGTCTTGTCTGCTTGAACTCACAATTATACTTTGGTGATAGGTTGGGGGATTGGTGGTAACGACGATGGGCGTGGGCAGCCTCAAATTCTCGTCCGCCTCTTCACCGCTCGCAACCGTAGCGTCCGCTGCAACTCCGCCGAGCGCATCACGTGCAACCCAGCCACCGCCCCCCTCGCACGCACGCACGCACGCACGCACGCAGGCGCACGCCCACCAGCCAGGAAGGAAGGCAGGGCAGGGCAAGGGCCATGCGCCACGCCATCCCTGTCCGACTCGGGCAAATTTCCTCCGACGATCTCCCTTCCCCATCCCAGCCAATGCCTTTCCAGTCGCGGTGGTAGCAAGACGGCGACGAAGCTTGCCTGTTCATGTGAGTAGTATGATGCCAACGTAGACGAGAGTCTGTAGATGCTACAGATACAGCAAAGAGGAAGGCCTCGATGGACTGTAGTGGCAGCCACCTCGATCGAGTCCCAGGGTAGGGCTCAGCCAAAGAGGGCTCGCAAATGATGATAACACCAACACATTACAAAGATCAAGCTCAACAGTCTAACCCAGAGATGGGGGTGACGACACAATTCTGCAATACTGATACGCTCTTGAGGACACAAGAGGGCAGGAAAGGAAGGGGCGACAGGCATCGGAGAGACACTGCCACGCTGGGCCCCTCAACCTCGGTACTGACTATCGTACGCGCTCCTCTGCACGCCGCCCTTCATTAGACTCGTCGCATCACACCCACCATCTCGACCACTCTTCCGCCTCTCCAAGATGATCATTCCCGTCCGTTGCTTCTCCTGCGGCAAGGTCATCGGTGACAAGTGGAACGCCTACTTGGCGCTTCTGCTCGGTGGCATGGAAGAAGGACCTGCATTGACCGAGTTGGGACTCAAGCGGTACTGCTGTAGGAGGATGGTCCTCACGCACGTTGATCTGATTGAGAAGCTGCTGCAATACAACAGTGAGTAGAGGCGACACAGACATTTGGCTCGCTTCGAAGTGGTCACTGACAATGGATACCTTCTCATCGTCCACATCAGTTCACGAGAGAAGGAACGTGTAAGCCAATTCTCTATCCGAACCTCCCTTCCGCACCCAACTCATCACGTCCCCATTGTGGCACGTTGTACATTATGTTTCGTTCCAACACAATACCATGACCTCTTGTAGACTACCACGGACGACTGAGATTGTGCCATGTTCACTATGCTTGTGTCACAGCATGAGAGTTGTTTGGATGTATGGCTTCAGCGGCTGCCGTAAAGATATATTTGGAACCAGAGTGACACACCCATACTTGGGCTCAACGAGCAATTGCGTTTAAAGGCCTCCTATCCCCTTTCATTCCCTTCTCTTCACCTTCCACCCCATCGACCCCCACCTGGTCCACCCTGGGCTCCTGCATATCCACCCCTGCCCCCAGGAGCTGTGCGGTACCCTGCCTCTTGAGGAGGAAGACCAGGAGCTTGAGACTGATACCCACCGTGTGCAAAGGATGGTGGAGGACCGGGGTGTTGCGGCATTTGAGGCTGTGCTTGCTGATGATAGTGCGATTGAGCGTGCGGACCTCCTTGCTGGTTGTAATTCGTTCCGGCATTCCAAGAGTTGGTAGGGTTAGCCATGGGCAAAACATTCACTCCTCCAACTCCTCCGCCGCCGCCGCTGTTCATGAGCAGCTGTTGCAGACCGTCTGAAGAGATGCCCAGTGACTCCAGGGAGGTGGCCGGTACACCCGCAGCCGAGGTCACGCTCCCTCCGGCAATCTGTCTCATCAATTGCTCAAGATCGATTGGTCCACTAGAAGAGGCCGGGGCGTGCCATGCTTCAGGCAGAGCAATGTCTTGAATGACGTGAGCGGGATCAGACGCACGAGCCTCATAGGGCTCTCCAGCGGAAGGTGGTACATCAGAGGGCTCTACATAGACGGCAGACAGGACGGACCGCTCCCGAGCTTCCAGTCTTCCAGACTCCTCGCTCTCCGTGCCTCTGACGGGGGAAGGATCGGGGCATACGACGTCTAACAGCAGCACCAATGTGGAGCGTAAAACGTCAGCACAGGGATCAGCTGTCACTTTGTCAAGGCTAGGGTGGACTCACCTAGTGGCTCATACCAGTCAAGCTCCTCTTCCAGCTCATACGCATGGGCAGCTTTCCGTAGCGCGCTACCTTCATCCGACTCAAGTCCGTGCAATCCTCGGTCCTCGATGGATGCATGCTGCGGTTGGGAGGGTTCAAAGAATGAGCAATTGCGCTGAGGAATTTCAGACTATCTCAGCCGCACAACTCACCACTTCCTCGTCAATGTCGACGATGCTTTCGAATACTCTGACCTCCAGTAGATTGTCGTCCCTCCATCTGACCTTCTTCTTCGGCTTTCCGGGAGCTATCGGAGCTGTTGCCTCTTGCTTCACAGTAGACGAAGGCTGTGCCGACTTGACTTTAGACGAAGGCGGACCTTTGAGTAGATCGCTGAACATGTCTTTGGAGCCAGTCGCACGCTTGGCGGTAGAGGTCGTCGTCTTGGCACTGGAGCCGGTCATCGAAGCCGGCTTGCGGGCAAGCCCGACTTTCTTGGGACCATCGCTGTCGTCATCGACATCTACAGCGAGGCGTTTGCCAGCGAGCTTCGTCGTTGACGGGGCTGGAACCTTCCTCGTTTTCTCTTTGCACTTCATGCACACTTGCTCGATTGTTTGGCCATGTGGTCCAGATGCTTTGACTCGCGTCGTAGAAGTCACGCCAGGCAGCAAGACCGTCTTGCAATTAGAGCAGACAGGTTTCAGATCAGCATCAAGACGAGTCACCGTCTTCTTCGCCATACCTTGCAGGTCACCAGCGCGCTGTTGGCCAGTACTTGCGGCCAGCTTATTGGCAGCGCCGGCAGAGAGGCCCGGAGGGTTCGCCAAGTGGTTCACTGCTGTAAGGTAGGCAGAAGACTGGGCTAGATTGCTCATTGTTTGCATAGGACCGGGCGCAGGGCCGGACGGGCCTCCGCTGGTGCTTACTACGGCGGCGGTGCCCTTGGACTTCTTGCTCGGTGGAGCCTCGGCACTACTTGTAGCGGCAGCTCTCTTGGCCTGGTTGGCGGCAGCCTGGTCCACTTGGGCGGAAGGCACGACCATGCGCTTCCATTGGTCTCTCAGCTCGATGGCCAAATCTCTTGCTTTGGGTGGAGCGTTCTTCACAACGACGTTGACGGCCTTCACCAGACAATTGCCAGTCTCATCGTCTACGAGGTGACCAAATAGGACGGGCATAGCGCTCAACAGTCTCAACAGTGAAAGGCGCGTCGGTCCCCACTCTGGGTAATCAATGGTGCTCCGTAGCCACGAAGCTAGCATACGCCGACCTCTGACATCGTCCAGCAGAGCACCCCAGAATGCATTATTGTCTGCTGCTCTGAGATCGGCAATCAAGCTCTTGCGGTCCTCCAAGCTCATACTTCGAGTCTGGTAGGTCGCCGCTGCACGAGATGTAGTAGCATTGGCCTCTAATAGGGAAAGGAGGGTCTGCGCTGCCTGTCGTGGATTGCTCTTAAAATAAGAGGGTCGAAGAACAGCGGCAAACGAATTCTGTGCAGCTTCATCAAAGCCCGGCTCAACAGGGGCAGGAGATGCGGGCGGTCGGCTGTCTGGAGGTGAAAGCGAGGGATCTGGTCCTACATCGATGTAGACGTCTGGAGCAGCATTGGTGGACTGCGTCTGAACGAACTCCGACGAGTGCGGAGGCCACGACGATTCAGGCGCAAGATGGTTTGCCGCTTCGCGTTCTTGGTGCAGCTGCGGCGGTGACAGGGACTGCCGTAACAGACCCGGTATATCTTGATAGGTGCGTGCTTGTACACTACCGGGCAATGCAGTTGTTGTCGCTTCGAGATCCACAGCCGCAGGTCTGATGAGGCCTCGAAAGTTAAAGGCGTCTCCGAGACTCATTGCTGTTTAGTAGGGGGACGTGGGAGCGAATTGAGGTGTCAGTGTGTTGTTTCCGAGTATCTCGCATCCATTGGCGTGCTGTCTGACCCGCCTTGGGTACTTCTCGGTCCGACATGACCTCTCCTGCCATTGATGATCTCTGACCATACCAGGTTTCGAGCGGGTCGGTGCTGTACCCGGGGACGGGTGGCAGATGGCCTGTGCATCGACCCACCAGCCACGTGGTGAACCCGACTCCGACCCGAACCCGGCAGGTGGGCTTGCTTGGGGGGCGATATCGGCCTGTGCCAAAGTGACATGACGGCCTGCCGAGGCGTGGTGTCTTTCCCTGTCTCCATAGAGAACGCTGAACAAAGTATACAATGTGTGCGTCGAACAGAGGCAATGACATTACAGAGAAGGTAGATCTAGCAAGAGGAGACGGGCCCTCCTCGAGAGACCCTATGAGCAGCAGCACAGGTCACAGCCACGATCTGTATTCCGGTGCCACGCGCTTGTTTCGGTCGCCCATTGGCCGTCGCAAACAGATCAGGTCAATACTAACCATGGGTATCGAAAGTAAGGGATCAAGGGAGATGATATCTGCGTGAGGAAGCTCGGCCTCCCGATCGTGCTTGCGAAGTCGGCCTATGTGCCCTGAGCTGAGTCGAGCAGTCAGCAACGCCGGGCTCAATGTCCACGGGTTGTTGCCCTTCGCCGACTCTGCCACCGCTTCTGCAGGTCAGGTATCTAGACGATTGTAGAAGCGACGGCAACAACGACGACTTGCAATCAGGGTCAGGGACAAGGGAATGCGGTGTGCAAAGGCGGAGCGGGGGCCGAGATGGTGTGGGTCAGGAGGGAGTGATGGAGATTGTCAGATTCTGGGATTTGAATCCAGTCGCGCGCGCAATGTGCGACGGGCGATTAGCAGCAGGCGTGTCTTGGTGCAAATCACTCTTTAAATTAGGCCACTGCTCCTTACAAAGGGGATTAGACCACCAACATCCCCGCATTTGATTAGAAGCACGAGCCACCAGACTCGGACTCACTACCATCCTCCTACTTCCGTCAGACGCAAGTAGTGCAGAAGAGCATTCCCGACAGGACAGGACAGGCAGTGCAACAGGTCATCACTCGGCTTGCCAACGATTGCTGCCAGGATGGACGGCTACAACTTCAATCCAACATCGGCCTGGTCGCAGACGGCGCAGTTCCTGCCTCAAGGGCATGGCTTTGAGTCCGCCGAGGTGTCTTCTGCTCGCCAACAGGTGCGTAGGCGATGTATGCTTTCTGAACAAAGACTCAGTCGTGCAACAAGGAACTGACCCAGAGCTTCGACGCGCCTCTTCTCTGACAGATGGTCAACGATTTGCAGCGAGCTACTGATGCCTTGCGCAATGCTGCCAACAGCTTCGAGAACTTCTCGAGGATCATCTCACGTACGAGCAATCCTACCGTCGCCCAGACCAATGGCCGCGCAAACGAGATTGCCAACTTCCTCCAGAACCACGGACATCTTCTGCAATCGACGTCTGCGGGCACTGGAGGCAGCCCTGTTCTAGCTGCCCAGGCATCGACGGCAGCACAGGCTGCACCTGTAGCAAGCGCACGCAGCACCTCTGTTCCCGCTGATGACGCCGAGGGGCAGGCAAAGAAGATCAGCAAGAGACAGAAGAAGCTCATGAAGCAGGCCAGAGATCCAGACGCGCCCAAGCGTCCTCCGAATGCCTACCTGCTCTTCCAGAACGAGGTTCGGGCTGATATGAAGGAAAGATTCCCTGAGCTAGCTTACCGAGATCTTCTAGGAAAGATTGCAGACGCGTGGAAGAGCTTGAGTGATGACGACAAGAAGGTCAGTAGCCGTACAGCATTTGCGTAGCGAAATAGGACGCTGACCTGGCTTCGTCATCTCTCAGGTGTATGAGGACAAGACGACCGAAGCGATGAAGAAGTGGGGCGATGACAAGAAGCACCATGAGGCAGGTCAGACCACTGTCAGGGAGTGAGTATCCTCGCATCCAGCACACAATCCGGCATCTGACCTCGTATTGATCACGTCTCTTGTACAATCACACCAGGGCGAGCGCCAGCAGTGATGAGATCAACTCCTCCGCCTATACGCTCCCTCAGGCAGTACCCCAAACACCTGTCGCTGCAAAGGCGGCATCGCCAGATGTCAGTGTGACCAAGGAGAAGAAGGATAAGAAGCGAAAGGACAAAGATAAGGATAAAGAGAGCGCTTCCGCAAAGAAGGAGAAGCGATCCAAGCAGTAGGGGATGGCTCGCAGAGCTGCCGATGATCGACTGCAAGGCAGAGCCAGGGTCCCGGGAATCTAACAAAGATCGATTGCATGTCTTGCTCCCCTCATTCTTTTCCGTGTGAGCGCCCATGTTTGGTGAAACGTCATGCGAGACCAGTCGCAAAAGAAAGGCAGCGGTCCGAATTAGCTCTCTGCAGCATCGATGCGCAACGATGCCGCTGGAATGTGTGCCCCCGCCGGCAGACGCACATCGAGGGATCTGGGTGGAAGGGCGTGCTAGACAGTCAAGCAACGTGCGGTACTTTTGGCATAAAATTGAGGCTTCGGAAGCTTCTCCTCTCGCGCGGATCCATTTGGGTGCGGATGTGCTGCAGGCGTCGGGATGTGCAAGGGGTCAGGGAAAGTGAGGGGGCGCGGGGCCAGGAATAGGGGGTTTCCGGCGTTTTACGCCGAGTGGCATTGGACCTCCGTGCGTGAGCTCGAAGAGAAAGCTCCCCTTTTTAGCAAGTAGCAAGGTCTAGCTCCGGCTGTCTGCCAGCTGTCGCTTGTCGGTTGGTAGCCGATGATGAATCACACTCGGTCTGCGTGGGTCCAGGGGTAGTAGTGAGCCACAAACTGCTAATGCACTGCCAGGGGACACGCGGGACAGAGATCCACAGAGGCACACCCTGGCGGAATCCTGGAGCGAGCGCGTGCTGTGGCGGACGAGAAACTCGATGGAGGTGCCTGTGTAAGCGCCCCTCTGACCCTCTCTGCCAGTGGTGGTAATCCTGTGCTTCGGAAATCAATTGATGCAGAGGACACCGTCGTGATCCAGTGCCTCTTCTCCGCGTGTGTGGGTGTGCGAAGATTTGAGGCGGAGGTTTGTGGGTCAGGCAGACAGCTAGACCGACAGAGTGGCAGACGGGCAGCCAGGCCTCAGACGCGGTAGTGGTGGGTGGGTGTTGTGTTTTGCGGTCGGCAGGAGCAAGGGAAGCCGGGCGTCGGCGCTCCGCGTAGGAAGCTCTGGGCCTCCCGGCATTTGAGCCGAGGATGGCAGCGGCCGTGGCGGCAGGCGGAGTATGAGGCTTGTGTTGCTCTCCAAGTGGGGCAGTAGACCAGTCTCACTCCCGAGGCACATACCACGCTCGGCCAGCCCCCTTCCAGCGGCGTTCGATCCTCGGCACACTGCTTGACGCTCAGTGGCCAAGGTGGTGTGTGTATCTCCTACCCGGCGGACTCCTGGTCGTCTTCACTGCCGAACCTCTACCCTTCAAATCCACCGACGTAAGCGCCTCCTTCCTTCTTTCCTCCCCCCCATATTCTCCATCACTCTCCTCCCCTCACACTTTACGGTCCTCACTCTCTTTCTTACTGCTCGTACATCACACTTGCAACTGTGTACTTCTTTGCTTGTCCTACCCTTTCCGTCTTCAGCCCCCCGTTCACGCTCCCCTTGCTCAACACCGCTTCCCACGGTATCTAGCACTCACTCTCCCACGACACTCCATCACCTAAGCTGCTCAACATGTTCACAAAGTCTCTCGTTGCCGCAGGAGCTTCTCTCCTTGCCGCCGTCTCCTCGGTCTCAGCCGCTGACAGCGCTGCTTCCTTCAGCTACGGAACGCCCAACCCTACTCGCGCTGGAGTCGTAGCCACCTCTACCAACGGCCCCACCAACCCCGACTCCCCCAAGCTCGGCACAGCCATCAACCAGAGTGAGTAGTGCAATTCTCCAACGGCGCGTAATGGCTCTACCAAAACCTTTGGAGAGACTATATTGCTCTTGCTCCGAGACTTTTCCATTTGCCACACGATTTTACTCACACACCACCACCCCTTTCGCCTTGCCACCTCCCCTCCTTCAGCCTCTGTTGCTCGTCTCCTTTCCGTCAACAGCATCGACGATTGGTGCACCTTCGCCTCCCCCAACGGCGAGAGCATTGCCGACGTCGAGGGCGAAGTCGTTGCATACTGTACTCAGGCCAGGAACAACGCTCGAGTCATCCCCGATGGTACCCTGACTGCTGTTCACTTCATCACCACTCCCCTCTACGTTCAAGTCATGGCTCTGGGAGACTTCACCAAGATTGGTCTCCAGGCCGGTGACGAGGGAGGTGAGCTTGACCCTCACGGTGCCACCGGACTCGGTAACCCAGTCGGCGGTAACGTCACCTCCAACATCTCTGGCTCTGACGTCTTCTACGAGGAGTGGATGAACTACGTTGCCTACAACGAGATTTGCATCCGTATCTGCATTGCCGGTACCTCCATTGCACCTACCGCTCTCGAGTGCCAGCACACTCTGGACGAGATGGGATGTGAATGGGTCATGCCTGGTAGCTACACCGACAACGTCTTCGAGTCTTGCGACGCTGATGCCGCCTGGCCCCCTGGACTCTTCTCCGTCGATGGAAGCACCTCCACCTTCCAGCAGTACTACTCGTCTGTCTACACTGACGGCAACGGTGGCAAGCACACTTTCGTCAACGGATCACCCGACCAGTCGACTCCTGCTGCTGCTTACTCCAAGCCTTCCTCTTCGTCGTGCACCACTATCTCGACGATCTCCAACGGCATCGCCTCTCTTGTCAGCGGCTCGTCTAGCAGCTCTTCGTCCTCTTCGTCCGCATCGTCTTCGATGAGCACCTCTACTTCCAAGGCGGCTGGTGCCGCCTCTTCTGGTTCTAGCGCAGCAGCCTCGGCTACCGCGTCTGCTGGCTCGGCTGCCTCGAGCTCTACCTCTGGCGCTTCTGGCCTCGCCGTGGGAGCCCTGGCCGCCTCGGTCGCCGGTCTCATTGCCGCTGCCGCCATGCTCTAAGTAGGGTCGCGTGCTTGTTCATGTCTCCTTCCTGCTTTCCTGTCCCCTCCCTGTTCCCAATACAGACAATGCCTTGATTGGAGTCGTGGCCTTCCTAGTCCAGTGCTCGACTTCCCTACTTTGCTTCTCCCCTGAACATATATTTCTGCTTCTCATGTCTCATCATCACTATCTCTTCGGCATTTCTGACATAGCAACGGAGGCTGCAGCTCCTTGGAGTTGTTTATACCATGCATGCATCTTTTTCCTTGTGCCAGTTCGTGATGGAGACGTACTCCGAAGATTCAGTCTTTGCAGGACCGCGGAAGGTGCGAAGAGGATGGGTGTACCCCTCGTGTGATGTGTCGAGGGCCCCTCTTCCAGGTTGCACGTTCGCTCGATAGAGATTGGCAGCAGGTTGCCGGTGGAAGGGGCCACTCGGCCGAAGCGAGGAGCGGAGGATGCGTGAGCTGCGCGTGGACACGACCTGAGACCAGGAATGAGTGGTGCTGAAAGCTCTCAGGTACCTTTGCTCGGCTGGCTGTCCTGTTCTTGGCTTGAAGATCATCTGTCAAGCAGCGTACCGAGAATGGTCGGAGGAATCAATGGCAAGGCACGTTGCTGCTGACTGCAAGCGAAGCTTCAATCCCCGGAAGCGAGATGGCACTATCCGGCCGTCGGCCGCCCTGATATTGCCTCCTGTTCCCCGGCCAGGGCCATGGCGATGCAGGTCCTCGGAGCGGCCCTGAACGGTGCCATTGCTGTTTTGAGAGGATATATAACGTCCAGCTGGGAGGACGAGAAGCTTCCTCTCCAGACGAATCACCAAGTATGTTGTCCTCGCTCAAACTCTTAGCAGCGTTGCCTCTCGCTGCCGTCCTGGCACAGGGAGGTGTACTGCCTAGAGCTTCCAAAGCCACAACAACGTCCACTGCTTCGGGTGCCGCCACTTCTTCCTCGTCCGGTCAGACCACCTTCTCGACCACCAGCGTTGGCCAGGAGGCCTTCGTCAACAAGGGTCTGGTAGGCTTCGGTCGCATCTCTGGAGACGCCTACGACTCTTACGGCGAGTCCCTCGGTGGGCTAGGATCGGCCATCTCTGTAGAGTCCTTCAGGAAAGCCGGCAAGAACCAGAACACCTATTCGGGCACGATTCGGATGCAGCCTGATCGTGGTCACAACCAGGGAGGCGCAGCAACTTCAGACTACCGTGCTCGATCCCAAGTCTTCTCCTTTACCTTTTCGCCACTGGCCGATAATGCCGCGGCTACTGGGAATGCAGCGAACCTTCAGTTCAAGTATGAGAGCTCCACGCTGTACCGCCTCAGCTCCAACTACACTACCGGCTTGAACCCGGATGCCGTCCGCACTCGCAGTGGAAAGGAGCCTCTGCCTCTTGCCACATACGACTACCACACCAGCTTCGACACGGAAGGACTAGTCGACATCGGTGACATCCTCATCTCGTCAGACGAGTACGGACCCTACATCTATGCCATCGAGAAGAGCAGCGGCACAGTCGTCGGCGTGCTCACTCCCCCTGATGCCATCATCCCCATGATCAATGGCTCGCCCAACTTCACTGCCAACTCCGATCCGACCACTGGCCGAGTCGCCAATCAAGGCTTCGAGGGTCTCTCTGTTTCAACTTCCAAAGGCGTCCTTTACGCGCTCCTTCAGTCAGGTACAGTCCAAGACGGTGGCTCCTCTGACACCTCTTCGCCCTACACCCGTCTGCTCGGCTACTCGTACGCAGGCCAGTCTCTTGCCCAAATCGCTGCAAACGGCTTCGAGCCCAAGCTTGTAGAGGAGTACGTTGTGAAGCTGCCCACGTCCAACAAGGGCAAGGCACGAGGCGCTTCCGAGCTCCACGTCGTCGGTGATGGCATCTTTGCCGTCCTCGCCCGAGACGGCAAGGGTTTGGGTAATGACCCACCCACGGATGCGTCTTCGTACAAGGAAGTTGGCCTGCTGACCACTGCCGGTGCCACGAACATTGCAGGGACCAAGTATGACTCGCCAGAAAATCCAGTAGCCCCCGGCGGTCAGCTCGTAGATGGCATCACCGCTGCCACGGTGCAGGACTGGCTCAGCCTCATCGACACCGCTCAGCTAGCCAAGTTTGGCATTCACAACGGCGGCACCCTGGACCAGAATTTGATCGCTAGTAAGCTGGAGAGTCTTGCCCTAGCCTCGGTAGGAGATTCAGCCTACCCCGACGACTACTTCCTCTTTGTCGTGTCGGACAATGACTTTATCACTCTGAACGGCAAGCAGGCTGGACAAGCGCAGGGGGGGAGTGGGCCTTATGTGCTCCAGGACTATCAGGACCCTTATGCGGTGGAGTACAAGCTGACGCAGGATACGCAGGCGTACGTTTATCGAGTCACTCTCCCTGGATACAAGGAACAGACGCCCAATTGAAGCCATGAGGCGGACAGACGGACGTGCAGATCAAAAATGAACTCTATGTAGTGTTAGCAGCATGCGAACAACCTCGAGCAAAATAATGCCATCGTCAATTTTCTCCTGCGCTCAAAGCGTGCCTCGTGTCCTTCCTGAGTGTGCGTATTCGAGGGTCCAAGGGGGTATAGATGATACAAAGTCGAATCCATGCATAGCAATCACGCTTCCTTGCTTCCAGCATCTCCTCACGTGCTCTTCGTCCCGCCAGCGGCCTGTTGCTGCTGCTGTGCCTGCTTGAGAAGGTCAAGGCAGAACTCGTCTGTGAGACAGTAATTGGGTGGCGGGCGAGAAATGACAGCATGAGCTCGACGATAGGGCTGAGAGTGATGAGAGGGTAGAAACTACTCACAATTGGTAGGCAGATGGTCTCTGAACATGCTTCGACAGAAGATGGGTCTGCAGATTGCAACGCGGAGAGGGCATATTGTCAGCTAACTCGCACCAGGCCACATTTGTCCTATGCTGACGACTCAACCACTCACTCCGAGAAGCGCCCAACAACGTCTTCGCAAGCGCGCAGGACGACGCGCCGAGCGGACATCGTCTTGCCCGTCTCATCACCCTGAGGGTCACCTGGTGCTTGTGCTGATGCATTGTCCTTGGCCTTGACGTAGACCTCGAAGCTCTCGACGAGGTACACTGTGCCAGGAGGATACAGCTTCTCATTCTGTGCATGCGCTCTTAACGTCTTGATAAGAGACCAGAGCCAGTCTTCGGAAGGGCCGTAGCTCTCTTCAGCCTTGGCGATCGGTCTACTTTGAGCCTCGCCCGCAGATGATCCCTGAGCACTTTCGTCTTGCTTGAGTGACATTTCGGTTGGGTCTGCTCTCGGAAACCTCTCTCTGACTGCAGTGGTGTCCGCTTCCTTTTCTCGCTCGCTGGCCGTGTGTCCCCTCTCAAATCTCTCCTTGTACAGCCCAACAGTCTTGCACAAGATCTCCGTCGAAGACCCTTTGCAAGCGGCAAGTAGTTCTGATATGTCCCTGAGGTCCAATACGGCTCCCATCGAAAGCATCGGGATACAGTCGAAGTGATGGATAACTGTCGTGACGAGACCGACCATCGATTTTGCCAAGATGGGGTCGGCAGTAGGGGGTGGTCCGTAGGCGAAGACGTGGATGGGCCTTCCAGGCGGAAGGCCGGAGCTGTGCGATGTGACAAAGGCGGTTCCGCTGATTGTGCAGGTCGTCAGTGCTTGAGCGTCCCCGGAACCCTGAGACAAGTTAGAAGAGCGGCAGGACCATAGAGCACCTACTAGTATAGCAATACCGCCACCCAGAGAATGCCCAACGACGACCAGACCATAGGTAGGGTGAGCCTCCAATGCCTGCCGCAAGACAGATGCCACTGTTCCCGTAGCGGCGGAGAGGCGATGAGCTGCAGCGTACATGCCGCGATGAACAAAGCCTTCTCCACAGCCTAGCTTGACATCCTGGTAGTCGGCTGTTAGGTCTACCAGGAGGTCCGACATGCCGAGAGTGCCCCTGCAGGCAAGCACAACGGCCTGACGCTCCCTATCGACGGCTACGAAGTTGACAATGGGCGCCATCTTTGAGCAGCGCAGGCTGACACCCACGTCGTCTGTGTAGCTAGACAGCAAGACGTCTTCGACGCTGATATTGGCGTGGTTCGCAAAAGCCCACTCATTGGCATGAGCTTGCTCGTTGTTTTCGAAGAGAAAAGACTCGCCTAGTCCCAGAAAATTGAGAAAGTTCGATCCATAGCTAGCAGAGGCATATCGTACGAAGTGTTGCAGATTATCAGCAAGAGGTCGAAAAGGAAATGGCATGAGCGCGTCTATGCCGTCCAAGTGAGTCGGGTGGGGCTGTGTAGGAGGCACCAACTCAGAGGCAACAGGAAGGGTCAAGGGCGTCTGAATTTCGGGGCTGACCCTGCTCCCGCTGGCCGTCGTTGCGTACTTGGAGTCTCTGGCGGCCCGACTTCGTTTTGGCGTAGTGGGGAGAGTGGTAGCCCCTACCTTTGGGGCAGCTGAGGAAAGGGAAGCATCGTCTTTGACTTGCTCTCGAAGCGCCGGTGACGATGCACGGAAAGAGCTCCGGAGGCGTCCTTCCGGGAACGGTATGGCGGCTCGCAGTGGAGTGGGACGGGAGACCTTGCGCGGCCCTTCACTAGATGCATTACCCATTGGTCGGGTGTCGGGTGTGGTGAAGACGGTGGTAGTATCCTTCTTCCAGTCCCTCCGGACCTTAATTGATGACTGGCTTCCCAGCTCGAGCAGACCGACTTCGGTTCTATGAACAGGAGGTGTGGAGCACGCGTCGGTACTTCCGAAGGAAGCCGTCGGACCGCCAGCGATGCAGGGCGTTGGTGGCCTCAATCCCTTCTCGACGACTTGCGTAACCTCGACGGTCTCTGTGACCTTGCAGCGAACGGAGACTATGGCACTAGCCACTCTGCGTACAGAATGCTTCCTTGCGGGGCTGTTCACATCGCCAGAGGGCGGAAGCAATCCCGTTATTGGTGATCTGACGATCTCGGGCGGATGTGACAGTGGCGGTCGGGAAGAGGCTGTTCCTGGCTTGTGCTTGACGGTGTCTGATGACGGCTCTGCAGTGCTGACGGACGTATTCGAGCCATCCTGGGCAGTGAAGGGCTGCGCGATGGGGCTGGCCGAAAATTGACCAGCCTGGCACTGTGTAGTGTCACTAGCAATGGGACGCAAGCCATCAAAGACGCGTACTTCTTGCTCCTGAAAAGGGGTCATAAGCATCAGCGGTAGCACAGCAGCTCTGCTTACTCCTGACAGAGGCTTCTTAGAAGTGGAAGTTTCGTTCTCGTCGCTTCGGCTAGCCAACACGGCACTGTTGATGGATGGCATACTCTGAAACTTGCTGGGACCCAGAAGCAGAGCCTTCCACCTCGCCGTCTCTTCAGCCCCGAGGACGGTACCGTCGAACAACGTCTTAGTGTTGAAATCGCGTGCAGTCCGCTTGTACGTCGCAGTCTGTACAAAGGCAAATGTAGTCATTGCTCGCGCAAACGTTGCGAACGTCGTGAGACCACCACCAGTAGCAGCACACTTGGTCTTTGAGAATTCGTGCTGAACTGTTGCTATGAAAGCAGCGAGGGCTCGAGACGTCTCATTGTCGCCGAAGAGTTCGTCGAATACCTTGATGCTTTCGTCGGCAATGCTGGCACTGACTCTGAATGAGCTTTGCATGAGGTTGATACTCGCCTGTACCAGGAACTCGACGAACGCTACATTCTGATGTATGATAGCGACTCCCCTGGCAGAATAACCCTCGACCATCGCTTTGGACTGGATGAAGGTTGCGTCAGTCTCTTCCTCCTCCTCAGAAGACGATGTGAGCCCGCTGCCAGACGAACGCGTGGTCCTGGTGACTGTAGCTGCCCCTACCAAGACCTTGCGTGTAAGATCGAGGGCAAAGCTCGTGGTGAATCTGACACTCTCTAAGCTGACATCGACGAGAAAGGAAGCAGCGCGAAGGGAGGCTCTAGCAGCGACTGCAACATCTGATACGGCTTCGGCAATGCGACTAGGAAGCAGCGTGGGCCCGCTGGCATAGTGGACGACGTCGGCAATGGAACTGCTTGAGTGATGTAAGTCTGGTCGGCGGTGCGTCAAAGAGGTGCTGAGCGGAGACCTACTCGGAGCAGCAGAAATGGACGGAAGGCATGCTTCAGCAGAGCTGAGCTGGACTGGAAGGGGCGTGTGAGGCATCATGTTACAAAGAGGTGGTATACTGAGCGTGAGGCGCGACGACGATCGGGACGGTATGAACAGGAAGAGGGATAGGAAGAAGAGGGACGATTACGAACGGAGGTGCTTCCAGAGCACCGCACAGAAAGAGAGTGGCGAAGAGAGAGCGTCATTCGGAGGCACAGGGAGGGACGAGGGGACCAACAGCGATATCGAGTCAGTGTTCGATGGATCGTCAAATGTACAGAACGCGGGTGGCCCAACACTACCCGGGAGCCACATCCGCTCGACTGTTGGTCTCTGCCGCGGGCCAACTGCACCGCTTTCCCACACCTCCGTCCCGCTCTCGCACCCCACATCCTTGGCTACTGCCTAATTCTGCCCGGCGGTGCGGTACGCTTGCCTCAGCAGTATTCGTCACCATTCACCAAAGCCAAGCTCGAGGTCACCGCAGTGGGGCTACACCCTCCTACTCTTACCCCCCGGGTACGGCATGTACAGCTGAGAGGTCACTACCATGAGATTTCGCTCCAAGAGCGAGCGAGATCGTGATCGCAGTAGCATTGGCAGTAACTTGAGCAGTACATTGAGCCTCTCCAGCACCTCCACGGCCGCAACGAGCAGGTATGTCGTCGAAGAACTTGCTCATGACAAGGGGCCTCATATGCTGACTGTTCTGTCTCTCGCCTCGGCCCACTTTGCCTCCCCAGCACACCACCACACTACCCTGCCTCACCGCCCATCATACCATGCCGCTCCTCATCGAATGCCGACAAGCAGGCTCGCTTCCAAGCGACCATCGCCCACCTCACCAAGATGCTGACGGCACAGCCACACGCGGAGGAGCTAGCAGTCAATTGGTATGGGCGCAGTAGGCAAGCCAGCTCTACTGTTTCTACACTGCCGATGGAGGACGGATTCAGTCCGAAACCACGAGCGCGGACTAGCTCGGTCCCCATGGACCACCCTCAGCAAACTGTCGGTCCACCCATCTCTCCGCGAGGGAGCAGCGTGGAACACCAAAGCCAGGCTGCTACAGCACCGCATTCTCCCCCTCCTCCAGGAGCGCCTTCGCCAGTACCGATGACAATGACGTTGCGAGACCTCAAGCGCCTGCTCGATTCGGAGAGGAGGGTCAGCGGAGGAGCAGGGCCAGACGTGGATGAGTCTGCGCCCTCGGCATCGTCGTCATCCAGCCATACGGACCACGGTCCAACGACTACGGAGCCACCGATGCAGAGGGGAATCCCAATGTGGATCGTGGTGCGGACACTGAAGGCTTCGTGGCATGCAGACGGCTCCTGGCCCATCCTCGCAGCCGATGAAGTCTATCCGCCTCCGGCACCACCAAAGTCTCCTACATCCAAGGACAAGGGCAAGGCTCGAGAAAAGCCGAGCAGACCGCACAAGGAAGTGCCTCGCTCGGTCCACAATTCGGATGTGATCCTGCGACCGCCCGGTACGACTTCCTTCCAAGTGCCCTTGCCTCCGCCGGATCTGATGCTCCCGGGAGCGAAAATGCCCAAGGCAGATCCAGGTATGGACGAGATTGCCAGGAGGTACAGGACCAGAGGCGTAGCTGTCGAAGAGGCGGAGAAACGCCTCTCTGTCCTGGACGAGCTCTCCCAGGGAGCCGATGAAGGATCCGAAGAGGGCGCAGAACGGCGATCTCGAACATCTTCCCCCCACCCTCCAGAGACTGAACATGGCACAAGCGGGCGGGATGAGGGAGAGGAGAGTGCAGCGAGAGTCGTGGTGATACCAGCCCCATCACAAGAAGGCTCAGACGGGCATAGAGCCGACGACGAAGGCGAGGGTGGAGGTGAAGGCGAGGGTAATGGAGGCGGGCTGGCCAACAGCAGGAGAACAGATCAGGACACTGCGTCTACTCAAGTAATGGTGTTGCCCGGATCTTTCGGGCCCGACTCACAGAGGCACGAAGAGATGGAGGACGGAGAGGCAGAGGCAGACACCACTATCGGTGCAGATCCGCAGGCACGCACAGCTGCAGAGCTTGGTGAGAGGGCAGAACCTCAGCCAGCCATCTATCAAGCAGAGCCACAGCAATTCATGGCAAGCCAGACGGCTCGGCAGCCGCCCGCACGACCGGCCCCGCTGCCTCCTGTCGCAGACAAGGCTCCTGCAGCACCCCCATCACGACCTCCTCCCCTACCCCCGCACCCGCGCCCGGTCGGGGAGGTGGTAGAGGCGCACATGATGTACGAGCCACTTACGGGTACGGGTACGGGTACGGAGCCGGAGCCGCCCACGTACTTTGCAGAAGGGGCAGAGACGAAGGGTGCGGTACAAAGTAGTGCGCCAGAGCTGCCGGAGAGGCCACAGGCGCCGGTTGCTAGCTTGCCGATGGAATCGCTCTTGCAGCGGTGAGGAGATGGAGAGGAGAACGAGGGAAGGGAATAGCGGTTGGAGCAGGAAGAGAGAGAGAGGGGGGTCAATGGGAGCACGCAACAATAGCAACAGTAGCAGGGTCTCTAACCGTCACACACACACACACACACACAGACACGCAATCGTCATCATAGCACTTCTCTTCTGCTCCATCTCTCCCTCATGTTGATCTCAACTCTCTTTACGTTGGCCAATTGCACTCTTTCACATCCACGCTCGCTCAGGTCCCCGTGTGCAGGCTCAAATGGTATCGAATTCAGTGTCATGGTGCAGGGAAGGCCACTTCCAGAAGCAGGAAACAGGAAAAGCAAGGTAAGGTAAGGGGTACAGCAGGAGAGGTGGCAAGCATCAGTGGCCCTAGCTTCCAGATGGGGGGTATGTAGCGATCAGGACTCTCAAGCGGAATCGAAGAAAGGTAGCAAAAGAGAGGTGCCTGCTTGATTGCGCGCCTTTGCTTGTTCAATCATCCTTTGGAGCTCGAGGCGAAGGTCCCCTCTCTGATCCGCGTGAGAAGAGTGCGCGGCTTGGACCCTTCGTGCGAAGAGGGGCTGCTCTTTGAGTTAGAGCTGGACTTGGAACTGGCATTGGTGTTGGTAGCGGCAGGGGTATTGGTACTGGTATCGTTGTTGGCTTGATTGGCTGTGGGCTTCGAAGGTCCAGAAGGAGGTGGAGACGATGACTGTGCAGAGGCTCCGTCCGTTTGAGGCGGATTCTGACCTCCTTCCTTGGCGTCTGTAGAGGTGTTTGAAGCCGATGCGGGCTGCTGGGAGTCAGAAGTAGAGGTAGGAGGGTCTGCTGCGCCTTCTGTCTTTCCATCTTGGGTAGGTCCACTTTGCTCATCCCCAGCATCTCCTTGGCAGCCCTTCTGTCCGCTCTCCGCCCCAGTCCGGCCAAGCATCTCGTTGATCCTCTCCTTCCTCTCAACCTTGTCCTCCTGCTCTCCTTCAGCCGAAGCAACAGCGCCTGGTCCAATCTTATCCTCCTGCCTGGTCCCATCCTCTCCCTCTGGTTTCTCCCCTTCCTGTTCTTCTCCCTCCTTCTTGTCCGACTTCTTCTTCTTGTTCTTCTTGCCGCTCGTCAATTTCCCATAGGCTTCCATGCCCCTCAACATCAATAGTGACTTGCTGAGGGTGACTTGATTGAGGTCCACTCCTTCTTGTTGCAAGAGCCAGACAAAGTGCCTAAAGTGGGCTGTTCCTGCTCGATAGTGCCCGCTGAGAGGACTCAAGCTGGTCAAGGTACCATTGTTGACTTTCAGCAGGCCAGCAGAGAGGACTCTACCGCCGTAGAGGAAGGAGGAGTGCTGGAATTTGCCCGTCTGCTTGATGCCGACGTAAAGTTCTCGGCGCGAGTTGAGGACATAGATCCAGGTGTTGGCCTGGACCGTCTTGCGGAGTAGGGCGTCCATGAAACCCTTTGAGGAGAGCATGCCTAGGTGCTTGTGCTTTTTGGGCTTGTCACCTCCGTAGTGCTGAGCAGCCTTCTGGACCTCTTCCTCCTCCTCAGGATCAGACGGGTCTGAAGAAGAGCTGGACCCAGAGAAGGAAGACGAGTCGTCCGAGGCGGCTTGTTGCCGCCTCTCTTCCTTCATACGACTCAGCTCCTCTTGCTCTTCCGGACCGAGTTCGACAATACCCCTACCGTGACCCAGATCGCGATGCTTGTTCTTGGCCGTGTCGACTGGCTTGCCGTTCCAACGCCAGTGGAGCTTGCCGTCCTTGATGTCAACGACGTAGTTCATCCTCTGATCGGCAGAGAGGTACTCAATGCATTCCTTTTCCAGCTGCTCGCGAGAGCAGTCGGGCAGATCAAGATCCTTGCCATCGCCTTCGTCGAGCCAGACAAAGAAGTTATCCTTGGTATCAGACTTGCTCCACTCGGCGTGGTAGGGTTTGAGGTTGGACCCATAGCGATGCTTGCGGTCTACCATTTCCAGCCAGTAGGTGGCCTCCATCGTCTTGCTGAGATCCTGAGCAGCGGCGCCACGAGTCCACCATTCGATCATCCGGAGACCCTTCTGATTGGGCTTGGCAATGCGATGCACATTGTCAATCTTGTCGTGGTCATAAGCGCCGGGCACATCGCCGAGCTTGCCATCCGAGTCCTCCTTTTCGGGCTTACCACCACCTGGCAAGCCATCCTGCTTATCATTGCCCTCTTCTCCCCTCTCGTGCAGCGAAGGTCCACCAGGAACAGGTCCATCAGACATGCTACCACTGGCAGGGTTGGACCCATCCTCCTTTGCGTTGCCCGGGCTCCCGGCGATTTGTCCGACTAGCAGACCTCCCCTCTTCCACTTGCCGGCAGCACCATCTCCATTGCCTCCCTTCTTGCCAGCTTGTTGGTCACGAGCATTGTCCAGCTGGAGTGACTTGAAGGCTTCGCCCCAGCGGGTATTGGCATCCAAGCCCATGCCTTCGAGCTCTCTACGTGTGCGGTATCCACGGAAATTGCGCTGGATCATACGAGCAGCTGCATCATCCCCTTGACCTTCCCCACCTTTCTCACCCTCACCCCCACCTCCACTGCTCTCAGTCTTCTTTGCATCATCTCCCGCTGAGTTCTCGGACTGCTCGGAGGGCCCAGCGTCTGTCTGCTTAGAAGAAGATGATTGTTCTTGACCTTGCTGAGCAGTAGCTCCCGAAGATTGGTCCTTGGCTGCCGCAGGAGACTCCTCCGCCATGACGCTGTGCTTTGCTTAGTAGATTGGACGCGAGCTACAAGAGGTTTTGCGGAGAGAAAGGGGCCGCGGTCTAGCTGCGAGTTGAGGTGCGATAAGGAATGGCTTGCGATCCCTTTCCGAGGAGAATGTACCCTTTCGAGGGCGATGGCTGGAGTGTCACTTGTGCTACAGCCTACAGTGAAATGCGAGCTAGGCAATCCGATCCCAAGTCGATGGGTCAACAGAGAAACAGTACAAGTATGGGGCAAGAATGACGGCTGACCGAGTGAGCATTTTGTACTCGAGCCTTAGCTGCTCTAATCTCCTTTTAGACCAAAGCAAAGCAAAGTGGGTAGGGACGTCATGCGCTCCCACCCCGCCCCGCCCCACCCGGCACCTCTTCGGCAGGGAAACACGGACAGGCGCAGGAACACACACACACCAGCCACGGACCCACAGGCAGCCAGCCACGACGCCCCGACGCACCACGCCCCCCCAAATGGGGCAGGAGACGACTGGACTGACTCAAGGCCACTCACACCGCACCGCACCGCACTGCACTTGGGCTCCACTTCACTCGTTTGAACAAATGCCACTTTGGGTTCGGGTGGAAGCGAGCGGACCGCCGGCCTGGAGGAAACGGCGAGACAGAAGCTCAGACCATGCGAGACTGGAAAATAAGAAGGAAAAAAAGAAGACTCGGGGCGGGATGGGGCGATCAGACGATGCAAAGATAGGATGGTATGCATGGTTCATATTGGATCATTATGCAGAAACATAGTCGAGTCACAAGAAACATTCGAGAACGGTGTCTATTCCTATCAAGGCTACTCTCTACTCCCTCCGGCCTAGGCATGAGTCCACTCCTCGCTATCCTGCTCCTGGTCCGTCTCCTCGAGCTTCTCCACTTCGTTTCCGTCCTCATCAACATCGCTCACTCGGGCTCGCTTGGGGGAGCGGGATCGGCCTCGGGATCCATCAGAGGCATTGGAATTGTGCGACTTGTCCGAGGGAGTGGGAGAGGCTGCTCGACTGACACTGTGCGCTTCGGTGGTGGCGGGTGCGGGAGACGGGCCGGCAGCGGGAGCGGCGGTGGGAGCGGCCTCTCGAGGTGTGTTGATAGTGCCTACCGGGATAGATCGAGTCGGGCTGGGTGTAGAGCGCCTCTTGGTGGTCTCGTCCGCAGCGGCATTCTGAGGTTTGGCCTGTTCGTCAGTGCTCTGGGGCTTGGTAGTCTGAGGCTGAGTCCTACCACAGGCGGAGCGCTTGCATCCAGATGGTCCCGCCTGTCCATCGGACTGAGCGTCCATCATTGCTCCGAAGAATGGTGTGACGAACTGCTGGAAGATGGCTGGAAGGAAATCCTCGAGAGAAGGCTCCGTGGCGGAACCAGTAGAGACTCCTTCTTCAGCCTTGCCCTTGCCCTTTGTGTCGGTAGTCTTGGCCTCAGTCGAAGTGGTCTCGGTAGCAGTTGGCTTTGCCTGGGTAGCCGAAGGCTGAGCTTCGGTGGCGGGGGTCTGATCTTGGGAAGTAGCGGGCTGAGCATCAGCGGCAGTGGGGACAGGTGCCCTGGTGGCGGTTCGAGAGTCGGTGGTCTCCTTGGTCTCGGCGGCCTCCTTAGTTGTGTCTTCGCCTTCCTCGCTGTCCAGCAGAGCACCAAGGAAAGGTCCGAGGAACTGCTGCAGACCGGGGGGCAAGAAGAGATCCTCGATGCCTACTTGCTGCTGCTTCTTGTGCTGCTGCTGAGCCTCTTGAGCCTTGTGAAGTGCAGCCTGTCGTGCTTGAAGCTGTACCTGATACTTCTGAGCGGCCTCTACTCGTCGCTGGTACTCTAGCTGAGCAGCTCGTTGCTGCTGCGCCTTGAAGCGTCGGATCTTCTCCTGACGTTCTGCCTCGTACTGAGCTTGAGCGATCTGTCTGGCAATGGCATTGGCCAGTCGTGCTTGTTCGTACTGAGCTCTCTGTCGCTCCTCTTCTGCTCGCTGCCGAAGAGCTCGCTCCCGCTCCTGCTGCCTGCGCTGCAGCATGTACTGGTGGCGGGCAAAGGCCTCTGCCTCGGCTTCAGCCTGAGCTCGTGCTCGTGCGACGGCTTCCTTGCGAGCTTGAGCCTGAATTTGTGCACTTCGTACAGCGTAGGTGAAGGGGTCAATGGCGGAGCCACTGGAGTAGCCGGAGTACCACTCAGCATCCTGGTCCCAAGGGGTAGCCCGTCGGAAGTGGGACGAGGACGAGGGGGAAGAGTAAGAGGTGGAGGGGTAGAGGTAGATGGCTGACATCGTGGTAGTGCGAAGGTGGTGGTGTAGAGGTGAGGGTGCTGTAGAGAGTAGTAGGACTGTTGTTGTGTTCTGATGAAAAGGTGGGAGGAAGACGTCGCCTCTCCTCGTAGCTTTTGTATCCACCCTGGTCAACTTTTTGTGCACGGGCCCGTCGGGTGTGGCTCTTTCCGTGATCGCCTGGATTTCGCCAGCATCGCCTCGAAGCCAATCGAAGATCGCTCCGACACAATCGGGGCGGGGGGCACTGGAGCAGTGTTCACGTGGCTCACCACACACGCGTCCCCGGAAAGCCACTTCCACACGACGCTCAGCCTCCAGCTTCTGGACAGCTCCACCGGCTTCTTCGCGATACGGGTGACGACACCGTGCTGGGCAGGGCAAGGAGCGCAGAGAATCAGCTGACAGAGTAAGCACTGCATTTCCGACAAACGCAGGCTGACCTTCTTGCGGAGTGCCATGCTGAGCCTCGAAAGCGGGCCACGCAATACATCCGCACATGGCGAACGTCTGAGAAGGTCTGAAGGCATGCTGTGCCACTGGACGCCGTGCTGGAGTATGTCTGCCACATTTTCCCGTTTCAGCCAGTGCAGCCACAGTTCGAACGTAGCCTGCGCTCGCCCGCTGTAGCTTGTACGCTATGACCACCATTATGGGATGCAATGACTTGCATTCATGGAGCTGTCTTACGAGACATCAAGTACATTCCCTTTCTCATATCCTTCGCTGCGGACCCATTGACTTCGCCTTGTCCTCTCTCCTCCTCTCTCGTTTGTTCCTGACTCCCGTCACGTAGCCTCATCGCAGAGGACTGAAGGGCAAAGGCTTCATGATCTGCGCATGCATCTTGTCAATCAGCTTGACCGTCTCACTGACAGTGTGGTTCCACGTCTCCACCTGCCAAGCTGCATCTCGCGTCTCCTTCCTCTTCTCCAGAGATGGGTAGTGCCAAACGTGGAAGACGGTGTGCAGTCCACCAATCTGGGTGAACCAGGCTCCGACGGGTTCGGTGTATCTCCTGCGAGCCTCGAGACCTTTACGCCAGTGCTGCTCCCACTCCAGGAGCTTGCCCGGTTGCAAGTGGTATGTGCGTAGCTCGTAGATGCCGCCGTCATTCTTGGCCTTGGCAGTCGGCCAAAATGCGAACTCTTGACAGATCCAATTGGAACGATGGCGAAGTGTGGGACGGATGGCCGCTGTAAACTCGTTGAGCAACGTAGAGTTTGCAAGAGCGGCATCGCTAGCGTCGTATCCAGCGTATCCATCGTACTCCCAAATATGGTCTGGGGGGGAAGGAGAGCCAGTAAGTGGGAGATCTGGAACCTTTCAATCACCCGCACAGGCCGCCCTTCTCACAGAATGTCTCTAGTTCGCCGACTGTGACCTCCCAACTTCCCTTCAGGCGAGCCTTGTATTGCTCATCGCCGAAGATCTTGGGGTAATACTCGGCACTGGAGAATGTCAAAATGACGGGCTGGTCAGGTTCACTTCCCACAGCCATCCAGACTGGCTATGTGTGCCGCAATGCTCACAGAACCTGCTTGTATTCCTCCACGCGGTCAGCCTTTACGTCATGTCCTGGACATAGTTGGAGAAGGAGAGGAGTACATCAGACTCTGTGCTTCTTTCCTGCTGATGCCAGGAGCAAACATGTGCTAGCTTACTTTGAATCTCGTGAATGTACTTCCCCCTTGCTACTGTGGCAGAATGACTCTGCGTTGTCAGGCCATCCGCTTGTGCTGATTCGGAACCTCGAAGCAGCGACTGCCATTCGGAGGCGATGGTCGGAGCAAATGAAACAAGGGAGCAACAATCGTCGGTGAGCCTTGTGCTCTTCTGACTGCACTTCTAGTAGGGAGTGCCTGCCCTCTGCAAGCACTCACGTTGAATAATCCCTGCTTCTTGTCCTGAGGGGGCTGATTCAGCGCTGGTCTCGAAGGGATAATGAGGGAGCGAGCTGCTGATGGAGTAGCGGCAAAGAGGGGAGCTCCCTTGGCAGCTGGCCTTGTCACCTGTGCGAGAAGCGATCGTGAGGAATTGCGCATCGACATTGCAGTGGTATGGTGATGGAGGCAGGGAAGACGGGTAAAGCAGCCAGACACGGAGAAGGAACGCAGGGATCAGGCAGCTCATGCGGGGCAAGCGGGGTCGGGTTCGCAGGCGGGCGGGCAGCGCGTCATTGCTCTGCTCAGGTCACCACAGCTTTCGGCTCGACGAGGGGTGGACACCTGGAGTCATGGTCGAGCACTAGAAAGCACCCGGAATGACAACTCTGCTTCACGACACACCGCGTAGCATCTACCCCGCATTTTGATCCTCTACTCAGACAGCGAAGGCAGGATGGCTCGAGGGCTGATGACCCTCTCTGGCTGCTGCCTGGCTGATGCCTATTTCGGGTCCACTCACGGGCCAAGTGCTGCAGCTCCACACTCGCGCCACGCTTCTCCACCTCGGCCATTCTTTGCCAAAGGCCGAGCGCGGTGGGCCTTGAGTCCGGCGCTCGGCTTTACGCTTCATTACCTTCGCCGTTTATAGGACCTGATCTTCCTCACCCAGAGTTCCTTCCTTTCTCACCTCAAAGTATCATTCTTACTTCAACTTACCTCAATCATCATGTCGGTCCCCACTCAAATGAAGTCGATGCGCACTCAGGCTGACCATAAGGTCGGCGTAGAGACGGTAGACGTACCCAAGCCTCAAGCCAACGAGGTACTGGTCCGCGTCAAGGCTGTCACCCTCAACCCTACCGACTGGAAGTCCGCCCGGATGTTGGCGGCGCCCGGAAACGGCGTTGGATGTGACGCCTACGGAGAAGTTGTTTCTGTCGGCTCAGACCTTGCTGTGCCGCTCAAGGTTGGTCAGCACGTAGCCTACTTCGAGATGGGCTCCTTCAATTCGCCACGCACCGGTACCTTCAGCGAGTACTCCCTCACTCAGTCTGACAACGCTATCATTGTGCCTGAAGGCTACGACCCATACGAGGCGGCATCGTGGGGTATCGGCGGTCTCACTGCTGTTCAGACTCTCTTCGACAAGCTAGCCATCAAGAATATCGACAACAAGATCAGCTCTCTGCCCAGCGTCTCCGCCGACTCACCTCAGCTGCTAGTCTGGGCCGCCTCAACTTCCGTCGGTCAATTCGCAGTGCAGCTCGGTCGCGTTGCCGGCTACCACGTCATTGCTACTGCCTCGGAGAAGAACTGGGACTACCTGAAGTCCCTCGGAGCTGCAGACCTGTACGACTACAAGGACGACAAGACCCCCGCTGCTATTCACGAAAAGTATCCCAAGCTAGGTCTGGCTCTCGACTGCTTCAGCGAAAAGGGATCTACAGTCGCCGTCGCCAAGTCGCTCGGCGAGGACGCACCAAAGGGTAGCAAGGTCTGCTGCATTTTGCCAGCCGACAAGGCCGCCAAGCAGATCCGACCCGATGTGGAGTTCATCACTTCCCTCGTCTACACCACCCTGGGTAGGGAATTCAAATTTGGCGGCTGGCCCGTCAGCAAGGAGGAACTAGCTGCAGACAAGAAGTTCATCAAGCCATGGGTCGCTGGTCAGGATTCTATTGCGCACAACTTGATGGCCAAGAAGCTCGTCAGGGGTAACAAGATCAAGAAGATGGATGGTGGTATTGATGCCATCGAGAAGGGCATGGACTTCCAGCAAAGTGGGCAGGTGTCAATGGAGAAGCTGGCATATGACATTGCTTGAACGGTAGTTGGAGGTGTTCAGAATAATATGATACGGGAATAAATGATAAATACTGAAGAAATCTACATTTCTACCGAGCAATCTTTTGGTATTGGCGCCTGCTGCTGATGCTTCGGGCCGGACGGGCCGGACTGTGGAAAGTCTCCCTCTTATCTCAGCTTTGATGCTTCTCGGACCACTGCTTCAATGTGACGTCGGCACATTCGCTGAGAACCCTGTGAGCCTGCACGACGTGAGCCTCTTGAGTCCATGGTGAGCCAGTGACAAAGCGGATGCAGAAGCCAACCTGGGGTAGAACCGTCTGAGTCAGGAGCAGCTCCGCCGAGCGAGTCTGAATCTGTTCCCAAAAGAGCTGATTGAGCTGATCCAGCTGCGAGGCTGACAGCTCCCCATTGGCTGCCTGCTTTCTGATGCGGAATACCCTCAAAGCAAAGGCGGGAGGAGCAACGAGCTCAAACTTAGGATCGTTCCTTAATTCTTCCTCGAAGCGATCGGCGAGCTTGATGTCCTTGCGTAGGTGTTCTCTGAAGCCCTTGAGACCGTAGGAGCGCAGAACAAACCAGAGCTTGAGGGAACGGAAGCGTCTGCCGAGGGGCATCTGCAGGTTGCGCATGTCCAGTACCGAGCCTGCGTCGCCATGCCGTGTTCGCAGGAACTCTGGCGTGAGTGTCAGAGCGTTGGAAAGGACGGTACGATCTCGGATCAGAAGTGGAGAGCAATCGAATTGGACGAGGCCCCACTGTAGTCGTGCGGAGTGGACGGAGTGTCAGCCGCGGCAGAAAAGACATCACGTTGCTCTCAGCTCATCGGTTCCTGACGTACCTTGTGATAATTGGTTGAGAAGCTGTCTACCAGCTGCAGAGCCTTCGGGTACAATTTCTCCCGCACCTCGGGCAGTGCCAACGCCACTCCAGCATACGCCGCATCGACATGGAGGAAGAGTGTTGGTCTCGTCTTTGCAACTTCGACAATCTCGTCGAGATTGTCAGTCGCTGCTGACGAAGTCGTCCCAAGACTGCAGACGAGCATAAAGGGGACCCGTCCCGCGGCCTCGTCCTCCCTCAAGGCAGCCTCAAGCGTCGCTCCACGAAGGGCGAAGCCGTCTTCGGCGGTGACTTCGAGTGCTCGGAAGTCGAGACCAAGGATGAGAGCAGCTTTTGCCCCGATCGAGTGGGTTTGCGTAGTACCATACATCACGAGTCGTGACGTAAGCTCACCACGCCACTTGGCGAGGGCACTAGCCGCTTCCAGTGTGGCATTCTCACCAACTACCGCTGCCTGGTGGGACGTCGAGTCTTCGGCGGCGACGGCAGCATCAGGATCGAGCTGTGACTGGTCATCTTGCGGCAGAGACGCAGCGTGAGTGCCGTCCTGAGCAGCTCCATTCGTCGCAGCTTTCATTTCCACCCCATCGGCAGCCGAAGGCGGGGGGTACTTTTCAGCCATCAGACTCAGCGCCTTCTCTCTGGCTCCGATAGCCACGGTGACGGCTACTTCACTGGCACTGCCAAGGATAATTCCACCACCCCTGCCCGAAGGACTCGTAGAGAGAAAGTCCTCGGAGAAGCCCAGCATCCTGGCGGCCCAGTCCAGGGTGATGATCTCTAGCTCTGTGACGGAAGGGGAGCAGGCCCAATTGAAGCCGGGGTTGGAGATCATGGCTGCATGCAGATCGGCCAGGCCACCTTCGAAGGTGGCGTTGCCGGGGTAGTAGGCATAGAAGCTGGGTGACTGCCAGTGCGTGATTCCTGGCATGATCTTGCTTTGATAGTCCGAAGAAATCAGGTCCCATGGCTCGCCATCCTCGGGGGCATGATCTGGTATCAGCTTCGACAGGAAACCTGGCTGCACTTGAGAGGCTACAGGCAGCTCATTCCGCTGTAGTTTCGCATAGTAGTCGCAAATGCTATCTACAGCAGCGTAGCCAGCCTTGCGAAAGCTGGTCAGTAGTCCGGCGGGAAGGAGAGGATAGTAGATGACACGTCAGGTGCTTTGTCCTGCACGTCAAGACAGCTGGTCTCCGTCTCATGTGCTGTCCTTACCCTTCGATGTCCATTGATACCGGTGTGATCTAGGTATGCTCTCGATAGAAGAGATACCCTGTGGCTATCGGCTTAGCGCGGCTATATCCCGGGGTCCTGATCTGCGAAGGTTGCTGCTGAGGTTGCCTGGGTCAGATTGACACTTTCGGCCCGACTCACATCTCTTTCCGCCGGAAGACCCGTGCAGGCGATCAGGCGGTCGGACCATGCGCCGCATGTTTGGACCCTTACGAAACCGCCACACCTTTCGTCAATAGGTTCGAGCAGCCTCATCTGCCAACACCATCTGCTCTCAACATGGCCTCTCAAGATACTGCCTCTCTGGCCACCTCCTCGTCCAAAGGTGCAGCAGGACAGAAGCATGTCGTCATCATCGGTGCTGGAGCCGGTGGAACTTGCCTGGCCGCTCGGTTGGGGAAGCTAGGTCACCGGGTGACTGTGGTAGAGAGGGTGGGTAGCAGGTACGAGAAAGCGCGTGGAGTGTAACCCCGTGACTTACAGACTTACGACATCTGTGTTCACAGAACACATTTGGAGGTGGGCGCTGCTCGCTTGTGACCCAGGGTGGCCATCGGTGGGATCAAGGTGAGATAGCGTGTGGGGAGACCTTGTCAGCACATCGCTTGTTTCGGATCATTGACCTTCCCGCCGCTGCGGTCTCTCTCTATCTCCTTTCTTTGCAAAGGTCCTTCGCTCTATCTCATGCCCGAAATCTTTGCTGCCGCTTTCGAGTTCCTGGATGAGAAAGTGGAAGATCATCTAACGCTCCACCGGTGCGATCCTGCCTACCGGATCCATTTTTCCGACGGCCGCTCCCTTGCGCTCTCATCAAATCTCACACAGATGGGCGAGATGCTCGAAAAGTTCGAGCGTCCGTTTGGTAACGAAGATCCGCTTGGCAGCTTCCTTGCCTTCCTCAAGGAAGCAGGCGAGAATTACGAAGAGTCGATCAAGCACGTCTTGACCAAGGACTGGAGCGCCTGGTGGAGCTTCTTCCGGCCCGAGCTCTACCCGATGCTATGGAAGACAGGAGCTCTGAGAATATATGATACCCTCTATCATCGGGCAAGTACTTACTTCAAGTCGGACCCTGTGCGGAGAGCTATGACCTTCAGCGCAATGTACATGGGCATGTCTCCCTTCGATGCTCCCGCCACCTACTCCCTACTCCAATATGCGGAGTACGCCAAAGGCATCTGGTACCCTATCGGAGGGTTTTACAAAGTCGTCGAGGCCTTCGAGACGATTGCAAAAAAGAAGTATGCAGTGGACTTCAAGTATGGCCAAGACGTGAAACGGATCGTGACCCAGGGAAGTCGTACAACCGGCATAGAGCTGGCGAGTGGAGAACAGATCAAGGCCGATGTGGTGGTGAGCAATGCCGATCTAGTCTGGACCTACAACAACCTCCTTCCCCCTTCCTCGTATGCTGGTACGCTCGCCAAGAAGGATCAGACATGTTCTTCGATTTCATTCTATTGGGGCATGTCCGAGGTTATTCCCGAGCTGGGAGGGCATAACATCTTCCTCGCGGACGCCTATCGCGAGTCCTTTGATGACATCTTCATCCGCGGCGACCTCCCTCAAGAGCCTTCATTCTATGTGAACGTCCCTTCCAGACTTGACCCGACAGCTGCTCCGTCCGGCAAGGACACTGTTGTCATCCTCGTCCCCTGTGGACCCCTGCCTCAGAAGGGAAAGGCAGGCCAGGAGAGGGGCCCTGAGACGCGAGAGGAGTTCGAGCAAGTCACACAGCGCGCTCGTCGGCAAGTCATCGAGACGCTTCAAAAGCGTTTGAAGCGGCCCGACTTCGGCAGTCTCATCGAACGTGAAGTGATCAATGACCCCTTTGACTGGAAAGAGAAGTTTGGCCTGTGGAGGGGTAGCATCCTCGGTCTCTCTCACACTATCCCACAGGTGTTGTGGTTCCGGCCCTCACCTCAGCACGCCAAATACTCAAATCTCTTCTTCGTTGGCGCTTCCACCCAGCCTGGGACTGGAGTACCAGTGGTCATCGCGGGATCAGGGGTCGTAGCTGAGAAGGTGGACAGGTACCTGAGGGGGCAGAGCGAAGGGTGGCTAAGCTGGGAAGCTCTCAGAGGCAGCATGGGGCTAGCGGTGGTAGTCCTTCTGGTCTTGATTGTTATCGGAATTCTTTCCGGAGGTGTGGCCATCGCGGCTGTAGTTGCCGGGTGAGTAGACTACCCACTGCGCCGCTTGCCGTGCGGGTCTCGCTGCTGACCACGCCCTCTCCTTCCTCCCTTCCCAGAGTCGCGCACTACTTTGGCTGGGTGGATGTACCCAACACAGTCTATGAGAAGCTGAAGTGAGAAGGGCTAACTCAACGTGTGGCTTACAAGCTGTTGCTATATACACTGTATTGATGATAGACTCAACCTGACTGTACTTTTGGCCGCTTCCGCCTGATCTGAGAGCCGGCCGCCCAGTCCGCTTTCCGCTCCACGTCTCCTCCCGTCCCAACTCGTTTGACCCATTCGTCTGACTGATCTCCTGTGGAAAGGATGAGTGGTGCTGAAGATCAGCAGCTGTCTGAGACGGTGAGTAGAGATAACAAAGAGTGTCTCTGAATGCTCTGCGTAAGGGATGTGTTGTAGGTGGAAAAGGCTACTGAGGCCGGTCTGTACCGAGCCATCACATCCTCCCGTAGGCAACCGTTCCTGCCTGATCAGCGTCGCTGACTCCTTTGCTGCTACACATCTCTTGGGAACGTACAGGACGAGTTGTATCAAGCTCTTCATCACCGCCTTGTAACCACTGGGGAATGGCACCGGTGAGTAAGACCGCGTGCTGACGGAGCCTGTTCAGCGTATGTGGGACTCAGATTGTTCGCTTACGACTGTCATTTACATCCGTTCTCACACATGTTGTCTTTTTTGTCTCTTCGTCACGGTCAACTCTCTGCCGACACCCACCTACTCCGTGCTTTGCTAGTCTCTCGATCCTTCTTGAGCAACAATTGCTGGACTCCAACTGGGCTGTGGATCTTTCGAATCACGCTGAAGCCAAGGCGAGAAAGATGCCGGAGCTGGACTTGGATGAGCTGGTCAAGAGCGTTCTGGATGAGGGCCAACGTGAGTAGTCTCCCCTTGAGTGGCAATGCATGAAGTCGAGGGCAAAGATTGGAGAGGTGCGATCGATGGAGAAAGCGTGAGCACGAGTCTGAATGTCTTCTTCGCCCTTATCTTCCTCCCCTTCACTGATTGATCGACGTTTGCGTATCTGGTATGTCACCTCGTACCATTGCTGAACTGCAGAATCAGTGCCATCTACGGTCAAGCGGAAGCTCATGGAGCAGATCAAAGACTTTCTGGATCGCAACGTAGAGGATGCCTGAGGCTGCCCAGACGCAGCTGGCGAGCGCTGCCCCTTCCCTTGCCTTTTCCCAGTCCTCGAGGCTTGTTATGACTCAGTGGTTGGTCCATCTGTAATCTATAGTATCTACTGTTATTTGTCTATGTCGGCCTCGCTTATCAGAGGACTCCATCTCCCCGCCTCGACCATGGTCACATTCCTGGTAGACTGTCGAGGCCTCCGGCGGCGGGCGGCTTCACGCGGGTGTCGGAGCTGTTGGCGCGGGCGGCATCGAAGTTGAATCTGTTGATCTTCCAGGGCGTCATCACTACCACCCAATTCACTCCAGCCTCATCATCCTCACCCATCCTCGTCCATAGCAGACTGCAAGATCATGCTCAGGACTGCCATTACCAATGCCCCCCGATCAAGTGGTGGCCTCTTGCGCCCCACTCGGTCGCTCGGGTCCCTCCGTGCCACGGCAGCAGCCCAACCACAGCAGCAGCCGATAGTCCCGCCCGTTCCTTCCCGCAACCTCGTGTCTTCCGTGCTCCTTTCCCGAGACGCCTACGATCGCCAGAACGTGAATCAGCTGAAGAGCGAACTGAAGACTAGAGGCCTCACCACTAGTGGTCGAAGGGCTGATCTCGTCATTCGTTTACTCAATGATGACGCACAGCGCAGCGGCTCTGGCCTCGTTCTGGACAACATCGCCGCCCAGGAGCCGAGATTGCGAAGGGGCAAGGCTTCTCTGGCTTCTCTGAGGGGCAAGGACGGCGGCAAGAATGGTACCCAGGCCTCATCGGCTACCCCTACCAACAAACTTGCCAATGACCCTTCCTCGACCTCATCTTCGGCTTCTAAGTCTTCAGCCCCGGCCGCCCCTACAAGCGCTACGCCGATGACGGAGGCTTCTCCCCCCACTTCCGCGGGCGCTCCCATCGTAGGCGAAGGCGCCACTATCTCTCCTCCCCCTGGTATCAAGCCTGGAGATACTGTGTCTCCATCGCTTCAAGTTATCGATGGAAAGGTTCAGGCGCCAGAGAAGCTGCCCTCCGCCAGTGGTCCGCCTGGTGTGCCCCCTCAGAAGGAGCCTGACCACCCAGAGACATTCAAGGTCAACATTCCGTATGAAGAGCTAGCAGAGCTGCCAGGACCTGATATCGTAAGTTGGCCATAGAATATTCTGAGGAGTCTGACCAGCTACTGATACTGAATTTGTACTTTGCCTCAATCACAGCCAATCGTAACGATGTACACCAACCGTGCCACGGAGTCAAACAGGGATAACGACCAGCCCGCACCCATCGTCAGTCCTAAGCTAGTGAGGGCAAGCGATGACGCAGAGATCTCTCACGCCCTCGAGATCGATCAGTCGAGCGAGATCGGCTCATCGGGAGCTTCCGGCTCGACATCGTCAGCTGCTCAATCGGCCAAGGAAGAGGTGAAGGGCGAGGCGGGCGATCTGCTAAAGAAGCTCGACGGACTCAAGGAGAGTGCAGCAGAAGTGACCAGCTCAGTTGTGCAGGACATCAAGAGCACCGTTGCCTCTACCGGAGTAGACTTATCCAAGGCGCAAGAGACAATCGCCAAGGCTGTGTCTTCTGACGGCAAAGCTGAGAAGAGGGAGGATGGCAAGAGGGCTCTGAACAGCGACGAGAAGCGGGGTCTGTACCTCCTTGGCGGTCTGGTCTTTGGTGGCTTCCTGGCTGGAGGTCTAGGAAAGCCTAAGAAGGAGAAGAAGGAGAAGAAGCACTAAGGGGGGCGAGACTGTAGCGGTTCAAAGGTGACGAGACGAAGGGTGATCAATGCTGCATTTGGGACCAAGCCGAGAACTGGCTCTGGAGAATGCAATGTTTAATGAATCTTGACTATGTGACACATCATACGCTGCCTACTGTCCGCCCGAGTATGGCCTTTGTGAGACCGATTGTCTTTGCCCCCATCCCTCCGCTCCACAAAGCCACAATGCCCGCGTCCCTCGACAGATGACTGTGATGATGATGATATAGAAGGGCCAGGTGACTGGAAGAGCTACCGAAACAATAAGCAACTCCAGTCTAAAAAGCCCTCACTGTGATTTCCTCTCGTGCAGATATTCTTTGTTGAGATGCAAAAAGGACCCAGTATACCACTTCCCCTCCCTATAGCAGCCGAGCCCTCCTTTTCAGGAGTAAAAAAGACTTGACCAGGAGGAAAAGAGTGTACTGGATCCCTCAGTCCGTCGAGGAAGTTGAGGACTGACACTCATGAGGTAGAAGCACTTTCTTTTGTTAAACAATGGAGAGAAGAAGAGGAAAGAGAGGCGTGAGCCTCGCCTTTGGCCGAGGCGTTTTGAGCAGGGCGGAGGCTGCGCGGTGACCTGCCCCCGCTTGGACTGCCGCCTGCCGAGGGCCTGGCAGGAAGACGAAGATCCAAAGGAAAGTGCAAGTCAAAAGTCGAGGTGATTGCGAGACGCTCCAACACCTGCCTCTACCCTGAGCCATACCCTTCCCCTATCGTCTACTATGGCTGCTACACGATCTCGTCAGCTGCTGCTGGACGTCTACTCCACCTTTCTCCAGGCAGACAAGGTGAGTAGACAGTGCAGCATCATGGCCTCCTCTGGATAAAAGTCTGATCTTGAGCTCCACCCTGGTTCACTGCCGGCGATTCTCCACAGTCCGCCTCATTGAACACTTCGACCGCCTTGCCTGCTCTGGCGAGCCAGATTGCTGAAGCTACTGGCAAGGCCAAGGAGCTCTTTGGACCCGATGACTCGAGCAAGAAGGATGTCGAGAGCTGGTTGAGCAAGATTGACGCTGGTCAGGAGGGCGATGTGCAGGTGAGTGTAATGGGCACGAGCTGCTAAGGTTACGGCCACCACAATCCTCGAAGATGTGTCTGACGCCTTGCAGATTGGCTGACGTCCTATAGCTCCCTCCTCCTCCTCGACCACGCCTACCTGCCCTTTACCAGTCCCTCGAGAAGCAGCTCGAGTCAAAGACATACCTTGCAGGAACAACGCCCACGGCAGCCGACATTGCCCTCCTCGGCGCCCTCTACCCCACCGTCTCCGCGGCCGGTCCTTCTGAGCAGTATGCCCACCCTTCCGTCTCCCGCTACATCTCCCACCTCTCTCACCTCTACTCCACTTCCGAGGTGAAACCTTGGGAGCCGGCCTACGAAGGTATGCCCGCCCTGCAGAGGAAGGACCCAGCTCAGGAGAAGAAGGAGAAGTCAAAGGCCAAGGCTGACGCGGCTAATGGAGCTAGCAAGGAAGCCAAGAAGGCCGGCAAGCCAGAGGTCAGCGCCGTAGCTGGCGCAGCTGCCGCTGCTGGAGCCACCAACAACAAGGGCGAGCAGCAACAGCAGAAGAAGGAGAAGAAGGAAAAGAAGGAAAAGGCTGCAGCTGCTGAGGGTCAGGAGGGAAAGAAGAAGGAGAAGCCTGCAAAGGGAGGAGGTGGTGGGGGAGCTGCAGCTGAGCCATCTGTTCCTAGCCCGGCCATGATTGATCTCAGGGTAGGCAAGATCGTCGACATTCAGAAGCACCCCGACGCTGACTCGTTGTATCTCGAGAAGGTGAGTCCGGAAGAGACGGTCAAAGCAGAGGGGACAAAAAGCTCATCAACCACGCTACATTCCCAGGTCGATTTCGGAGAGGCAGACGGACCACGAACCGTCCTTTCGGGGCTGGTGAACTTTGTGCCAATCGAGCAGATGAAGGACCGATGGGTGGTGGGCATCTGCAATCTCAAGCCTCAAGCAATGAGGGGCATCAAGTCTCACGCCATGCTCCTCTGTGCGACTGCTAAGGAGGGCAAAGATGGAGGCGTAGAGCCGGTCTACCCACCGGAAGGAAGCGCTGTTGGAGACCGGATCGAGGTGGAAGGGTACGAGGGCCAGGAGCCCTTGGAGCAGCTGAACCCGAAGAAGAAGGTGAGTTGCAAAGCATACACGAGCTGAAAGGGGGCCATGACCTGACGTGACCCTCCTCTTGTCCTCCATGCCCTGCAGATCTTCGAGGCGATCCAGCCAAATTACACCACAACGGATGCAAAGGAGGCTGCTTGGGTTGGGCCCTTGGTGGGAGCAACAGGGGAAGGAGCAGACCAGTCGAAACCAAGACTGCTCAGGACGGCAAAGGGAGTCTGCTATGCGGCCAACTTTGCTGGAGCTACCTTGTCATAGAGGTCCCAGGCAATGCACTACCACACTTCAGATCGAGCTCTTTAGACTTTGCGATTGACTTGAATGCGTGTGTGGTGCTCCTCTTGCTCCTTCGTTCTCCACTTGCCCTGCCCCTCGCTCCCCCACCATCTTGATTTGTCTCTGTCTCTTTCCTCCTCATCGTCCCATTTGGTCGCTTGCATCGGCATGTATGGTCCACTTGGTCATCCTCGCATCATGGGTCTCTTCTCCAACTTGGAGTGAAACCTCCCGACAATGGTTTTAGTGGCCTATCAATCCCCCTCCCAAAAAGAAGGAGGACCTTTTCAGTCTTCCCCTCAATCCTCCCTAATTCCAACGTCCCTCCCCCAAGGAAGCACGAGAGGAAGAAGAAACGTTGTCCCTTTTTTCATGGGAAGCAGAAAAATGCAACATGATCCCACGCCCTAGGCCCGACTGTCGGGAGGAACAGAGGTCCCGTCGACCTTTTCTTCCCCTGCGCGAAGCAGGAGAGAAAAGGGAGGAACCAGCTATTCTTCCTGGCAGCTGGGTTGGGAGTGGGCAGAGGTTGCGGGAGGAGAGGGGTATGGTTGTAGAAAGGAAAAAAGGGGAAAGAGGAGCTCACGTTGCTTGCAGCCTTTTTGGGCGGCGGCCTTCCGTCGGTCACAGACCGGACTGGCGGAGAGGGGGGGTTGCGCGGTGCGCTTGAGGGACAGAGAGAGACTAGGCGGATCGTCTTTCGATGGATAGTTACAATGGAGAGTCAGACCTTTTGACATACGATGGCGATCGAGCTGCTTCAGAGACAGAGAAGGTTGACTGTCATGTCCGTGAGGTGAAGATAGATACAAATTGGACCATGATGCGCTATATGCAGGGATTTTTCTCACCCGACTCCTCCTCATCACCTTACATCTTTTTGCTACCCTGATCACATCACCACACACTTTCCCTCACTACGTATGCCCAACTCGCTCAGTTCCTCCTTTTTCCTATCACTCTCATTCTCCTGCTCCTTTTCATTCACCTCATGCGGGAACCACATGCGAAGCATATTCACAGTCGCCTCGTCCATGTTGCGTCCGTCGGCCGACATGACAACGTCGGGAGCGCGACAGAGGGGGCAGTGTTTCTTTCCTGCCTTTTGAAGCTTGACTAGACAGCGGATGCAGAAGAGGTGGGAGCAGTCGAGGCGGATCGGGCGCCAGGCTAGACCGGTGCAGATGGCGCAGGAGTAGTCGTCTACGCTTGGCAGGATGGGTAGGAGAGTCGTGGTCAGGAGGGAGAGGAGGATGTGTGGGAGTGACTCGGAAAGCAGGCCAGTCGTAGATGACGGCAGCAACGCTGCTAGCGAAGGATGTGTACCGTAGGCTGGCGCAACAAGGGTGCCTGTCGACTCGGCCGGGAGGCCAGCACCACCCATCATTGCTGCCGCACCTCCCATGGCAGTTGTAAAGGCACGGGCTGCTTCCTGCTGTCGCACAAAGTCGCGCAGACCAGAGCTAGCAGTGAGAGCAGTACGCTTGTCGTGCTTCTTGAGAATCTTCCTCGCCGCCTCTACATTGACTCGCTGGAATTTCTTGACGTCCAGCAGCGCCAGGTTCAGCCGCAAGAAGTCTTCCACGGCAGACGCTGACTTTGAAGACTTCATCGATACCGTCAGGGCTTGTTGCATTGCCTCTTTAGACCTCGAGAGTTTGATCTTGCTGCCTCCGGGCGACGACGGCATGGCACTTTCAGCCAGCCAGCCTCGCTTGGCCAATTCTTGTGCGAATCGCTGCAGCCTTGCCTCTGACTCGTCAACGCTCAGCTCTCCACGATCCTTTTCTCGCTGCGATTCAAAGATCTGCATGTCCACCCAGAGCTGGAAGATTTCCCTCCACACGTAGAGATCATTCTTGGTTGCGTAAGGACTGGCGGCTCGAGCAACCGATGCACAAAGATCCTCCGTCGAGGTCACAAATGTGTCTTTCTGACTCTTTTGCAGCTCTGACAGCTTCGTCAGAGAGGCAGTCAATGTATCCAGGAATTCTGTATCGGCCGTGAGTGGGATGATGATCTCCCTGGTCCGCTTCATCCGAGGTTGCTGAGGCGCGCTGTCAGCGGAAGTGTCTTCATTGGCAACTGCTATAGGAGGAATGACCGCCGGCTGGTCTGTCGATGGACGACGCGAGCCAGGGAGAGAGGGCGGTAGCTCGGTGATACGGCCATCATCGTCGTCTCCTTCGTCGCTTGATCCGGCGGAATCCTCGCTCTCGTCGTCTGAATTGACTGGAGACTCGATGATCAGTTTGATGCGAGGGGTTGGATGCTCCGGTGTCCCTGCCAGCTCATACTCGGCCCTAGCCCGACGGCCGTCCTTTCCTTGGACCCACCTGCCTTGCTTGGAGCCTGGGACAGGCGATGAACCGTTCCCATTCTGTGCAGCAGTCCGTTGGACGTTGCCTGCTGCCTTCTGGGTTGCATCCCAGCCCAGCCCTTGCCTCTCCCTCCATGCATGGCCACCCCAATCGTGTCGCTCATCATCAGCTTCAGTCTCAAGAGCCTCTTCTGCGCCCGTCGCGCTCCCTTGTCTTTTGCCGGCGGAAGAAGGTCGACCAGGTGCGCTGTGACTGTTGCGACGTAGCTGTTCAAGATCCTTCTTGCCTAGCCGCCAGCTTGAGCTCGGCGAGGTGGAGGCTAGGTTGGCTTCGCCATCGTTAAGGTCGGCTGATGAATCTCTCTCGAATGTTGTATCCGCCTGTCTGGGTATGCCCAACATAGCCATAGGACTTGCACGGAACAGATGAGTACGGTCCTCATCGCTTACACCTAAATGCCTAGCCTTTTGCTGTGAAGGTCCGGCTGCACTCTCCTCCGATCCCTCTCTTGACCCAAGCTCTGCATTGAGTCCAACGGGGGATGGAGACCGCTTCGAGCGCTTCTTGCCCCTAGTGGATGCGTGAGGGTCCGACGGAGGAGCATGCAGGTGATGATGAGGATGAGAGATGGAAGAAAGCCATTCTCCAGCAGGCGAAGGTCGAACTGCCTGTTCTGTTGGGAGGAGAGCAGCTGGGGGCATGGCTTCGGCCGGGGTGAAGGGCGGAACATTCATTGCCTGCTCGACGCTCCTCCTTCTGGCTTCCTCCTCCTCCATCAGCGGACTGAGGGGGTCCACGAAGCCCGAAGGAGCTGGTCTTCCTGTGGAGAGCCGAGCGAGGCCGGCCACAAGGCTACTGCTGAGATCGTCTTGGCCCTCGGAATCAGATGTGTCATGGCTAGCATGGCTGCCCTCACTGCTTGCGCTACGATGCCTGTACCCAGGCCCAGTCTCGGATGCATTTGATCCAGAAGACGTTGGCCTCTTGCGCGACGATGTGCTCTTAGAGGTGGACTGAGCTGAAGCAGTACTATCGACGCTGGCCTGCGCCTGCTCCGGCGGCTCCAGCAAGTCTCGCAAGACGTCTGCGCTGAGCCCGAGTGACTCCAACTCAGCAACGACTCCATTGATGAGCTTTTTGAGCTCCTTGTACTCGAGACCCTTTTCCCTCCATTCCTTTGGAAAGGAGGGATCCGTCATGGTCTGAAGATACGTCTTGGAGAACTTCATGGTGGCGAGATTGGCAGGGTGGTGATGCTGTCTGTCAGATCACTAGCGAGCTGCTATGGTAAAATATAATCGGAGGCATCCGCAACCGGGTCCTGGGAGGATACAGTTCACAGAGAGACGCTCGGCCAGGCGATGTGAATCCTGAGCAGAGGTGAGCCTTGATCGTGTGAAGCGGGAGCAGCAGCGGAAGTAGCCAGAAGCCACAGTCGTGTGCCGAGATGCCGATGGGCAGATAGAGTCTGAGCTCACTAGGCTGGTAGTAGCTCTCGTGTATGGCGGAGATGGGTGAGAGAAAGCCCCGGTGCGAGAAGAGGACAGCTAAGATGGTAGCAAGGGGCTGGTATGACCAGGCAGCAAGGCAGACGTGGTTGAGCGAGCAAAGGTCTGGGGCTGAGGCATCAGCGGAAAGCGCCACGCCAGACGCAGAACGTTCGCTCACCTCGCGTGTCTGAATAGGCCCGGGACCGCTCACCACTTCGACAAGGCGCAGGCTTAGGCCAATGAGGACATGCAGCTAGACAGAGGGCCACTATTCTTTTCGACATGGCATGTTCATATCTGCAATGACAATGCGGTTGACATTGATGTCTTTGCCGCAGATGATGTTCAGGGCAAGGGAGGGCAAGCGGAGGCACGGGCAGACGCGAAGCCGATGTTGCCGCGCCGCGCCTGCGACAATCTAATCTCCACCCGCTCACCCCCGCGGCCAGCTCTAATTCCCCTGACCACCTCGATACTTCACAGCATCATCGCACCTCTCTGCTCACAGCTCACGATGATGGCAAAGCCGGCCAAAAAGATTGTAGGGCTAAGGCACAGCTTCCTCCTCCTCCTGCTGGTCGCACTTGCTTTGTCGACCAGTCTTCTCGCACCCTGTGCAGAGGCAAAGGAAGCGAGCCAGGATGAACCCTCGTACGACCCGAACAATGAAGGAATGATCGAGAAAGGTACCAGAGTCAGTAAGAGACCTCAGCGCTATTTCGTACTCCTGTATGAGTATACAATCGGGGTACTGAATCTCTCACGCTTGCTTCAAATCCTTTTCAGTACATTCAAAGACGCTTTATGTCGCGGACAGACGAAGAAATTACCGAGGGTCGCTTTTCTGCCGCCGCTGCTCTACACCCCATTTTTCATCACTCCATTACTATGCTCAAAGACATAGACAGTCCTGAGACACTTGAAGCCATCCTGCAAATGCCACCCCCACCTCCCAGAAGGGAAGGTGCTGATCGGGGTTTCCCCTGGTCGGTCAGCAGAGGCAAGGAGGGCGAGGAGCGCAAGGTGTGGGTCGTACTAGCGTGAGTACTGTTGCGGGGACCACAAAGCTTCGAAAGCCTAACAGCAACTGATGCTATCCGGCTCGACCCTCTGTCCGACCAGAACCGCTCCCGAAGCAGACGCATCGTCACGCATAATGGATACCCTCTACAACAAGACCGTCGGCTTCATCAAAGACGGACCGGACAGCGATGGAACTTTGCTTTCGAGCTTCCTCTCGACCGTCCAAGACACCTTTGCAGGCACAAGCCAGTACGCCACGGCCAGAGAAGACGATGAAGGACGGGATGAGGCTTCGAGCTCAGAGAAGCGTAGGCAAGAGAGAGCACAGGCCTCGCAACTCCACGCCAAAGACTACAACTTTGCCGTAGCGGACTTCACTCACGAGGCCGACTTGATGTGGCACTGGTGGATCTGGAAGTGAGTTAAGGCCACAGATATCAGTTGTGCGAGCTGCTGTCCCGAACTCACGCCTGACGACGCCTCTGCACCGACGATCTTTCATCATCCACAGAGTGCCTGTCATCCTCTTCATCACGCCCTCAACTTCTCCCGATCGGAGCTACGACATTCGCACCTGGAAGGTAGCGTTCACCAGTGGTCTCGACTCGGAGAAGATGCTTCACTACATCGGGTCAGATCTGTGGCTCAAACTGCTGCCCATCTGGGAGAGCTCTATGGCTCCGGGTGGCAGTCAGGCCCACCTGCCCCTACTAGTTGCCAGACCAGCTAACATGGTGTACGACAAGTTCTCCAAGTTGCCAAGCTGGCTCGTTGGTATCCTGTCGACAGCGCTAGGAGGGACCCTGATTCAACTCTTGCATAGCTTCAGTGGTGGAAAGAAAGACAAGTTGAAGGAGAAGAAGGAGGAGCTCAGGGCCAAAGTGGCTAAGAAAGAGGAAGGAAAGAGCTCTAGCGTCGCTGCTAGTACCTCGAAGGCGACTCAGAGGAAGTGAAAGGAGTCAATTGAGTCATGTCTGCTCCACTCGACACCATTCGATATGACACCACTTCATAGTCCTTTTCAATTGAGATGATCATGTGAATGGCCTCGAGGCTGCTTCTGACGTTCTCTGTGCCTCGGCGATCTCTCGTGTGTTTCCGCGGCGGAGATTGGATCGGCAGAGTCGTCAGCGGGTCAGCCATTCACGCGGGACGGCGCCCTGCAGTGGGGCGCAGGCAGCCACAGGCGGCGCCAAAGATGCTGTCACTGCCTGTCCATCCACTTTACCCTCCGTCAGTCAAGTCCCTCGTCGCTTAACGCCCTCGCCTGCTTTGAGCTGCTCAAACGCCGAGAGAGGCAAGTCTACTTCTCTCCTCCATCATCACTTCTCCTCGTCGCATCCTTACTCACTTGCAAGCCTTGTCTGATCCAGCCACTTCGACTCCACCTTGCCGCCTTGCTCTGGCGCAACGCAGCAACGTACCCCCGTGAGGTCACACATCCGGCCCAGCAGGGATCTTGCTAGCATGTCTGCCCCTTCCTCTTCCTCTACCTCCCACTCGAGGCCTGTACCGGCTCGCAAGAGCTCCACAAACAATCGACCAGTCGCATCGCAGGCGGGCTACGCTGCTCCTTCAGAAGTCACGTCATCTCTGGTACCCAATGGACAGCTCCTCGACTTTGATACTGCAGAAGTGACAGCCCTGCCTGATACACTGAACAAGTCAGCTGCCACGTCTTCCACCAGTAGTGGAGGGCAGGGCAACATGTTGTCCCCCGGCAGCGCATCAATCTCGTCGTCCAGCAATGGAGGTCATCTTATCAGCCGACCAAACTCGGCGAACGGCATGATCAGGGTCAAGGTGGACAAGTCGTCTCAAGAGGAGGAGGCCAGGCGGTCCATGTACTCTCATCCTCCACTAGAGGAAAATGATCTGATACCCACAGACAAGCTCTTCGCCCACCGAGGTGGAGCACCGCCCTATGGAAACTTCAACATCTTCAGAAGGGTTCGCTTCGGCATCACCCAACTCATTGCCAATACCCTCTCCTCTGGCTTCCTTATTCTTATTGTCATCTGGGCGCTATCTGTCCGTCTCCTAGCTCAGATCCCCAAACTCCTCTCCACTTCGCCTTCAAGTCAGCCGAGTTGGGATTGGGACGATGTACAGCGGTGGGGCAAAGAGGGTCTGGTCAAGGATGTGAATTACTATGCCAAGAGCTGTGGATTTGAGATCCGCAACGAGACGGTAGAAACTGCAGATGGTTACTACTTGAGATTGCATAGAGTCATCGATCCTCAGCAGGAGGGGCAAACCAAGAGCAATGGTAAAGGTGAGTGGGAGAACGGGAGAGACTGCGTTCCGCGTGAGCCGATGACTAATGATGAGACGTCGTCCACATGGCTGCCATCTCCTGCAGGCGGGTTCCCAGTCCTGATCATGCATGGGCTTTTCCAGTCCTCTGGGTCCTTCGTGACCTCAGAAGAGCGTAGTCTTGCCTTTTGGCTAGCAAGGCATGGAGGCTACCAAGTCTTCCTCGGCAACAATCGCGGCGTCTTCGACATGGGTCACAAGCGCCTCAGTCGCTCGGACCCTCGCTTTTGGGACTACAACATCCGCGAATTGGCAATCTACGATATCCCAGCACTAGTCGACTACGTCCGCAAAGAGACTGGCTATGACAAGATTGCTTACATTGGTCATTCTCAAGGCAATGGAAGCGCATTCATCTCGCTGTCAAAGGACATGGTCCCCGAGCTGGGAGAGAAGCTGAGCTACTTTGCCGCTCTGGCGCCTGCCGTCTTTGCCGGCCCATTGACCAGCTGCTTCCCATTCACATCGCTGGGTCACATGGAGTGGAAAGCTTGGAAGAGGGTCTTTGGCGTGCTAGACTTCATTCCGCTGATGAAACGTGAGTCGCAGAGAGGGACATCGTTGCCACGTGTGCTCGCATCTGACCATCCACCTGCCCTTCATCCTTTACGCTTCTGTGTCAGTCTCTTACGATTGGACACCAGCTTGGCCTTACGCTCTGCTAGGCTACCAGATGTTCGCCTTCCTCTTCGCCTGGACAGACGCCAATTGGCTTCTGCGAAGGAAGGCCAAGATGTTCCGCTTCACACCTCAGCCCGTCTCCTCTACCTCCATCTATTGGTGGGCAGGCAAAGACGGCTTTGCCTCTCGCGGCTGCATCCTCGATCCCAATGCCGAGCGCTGGTGGGACTCTCGTTTCCCACCCCTATCCGTCTTCAGTGGTGGCATGGACTTTCTCGTTCTGACGGATCCACTGGTGGAACGTCTAGAGAACGTAGAGGTGGATGTGCAGGTGTTGCGCTTCAAGAGGCAGGAAGAGGCAGAGCACTGCGATCACTTTTGGGCAGCAGAAGCAGTCGAGTGGTGTTTCCACGATATCCTAGAGGATATTGAGACGACGAGAACGCTTTACCCCGAGGAAGAGGCAGATGGGGGCAGGAGGAGGATTAGGACCGCTCCGCCTTTGCCGCCGTTGAGGGATGATGAGGATGGTAGTGAGGAGATGACGCTACGGGGGGACAGCGAGGCCTCTTCAAGCAAGCAGAAGGCCAGCTCTGTCAATCTCATGGACTAGACTGGGTAGCCCACCAGGAGCTAGAAAAGCAATGACTCCTACTCGCATCTTCGTTTGCACTTTCCCACATGCTGTTGTACATATCGTAGAACCCTCTTGTATTGCAATGCCAACATGCATAGATTGAACTGTACTTTCGTTGACTCGACTACTTGGAGGACAGAGGTAGAGTACTCTCTCATACCCTCGCGAAAGTGATCCTCATCCCCTTGACCTCCTCTCCCGCCTCCTCCCTCACCTGCGTCCCAACCTTTCGTCCATTGAGCCCCTCTCTTGCCCTACTCGCCAGCTCCGCCGAAGCAAACTCGACGAACGCAATAGCCTTTCCAGGGATCATCCTCACATCCTGCAAGCCTTCAAAGTCAACAAAGAGCGTCTCCAGCTCCTCTCGAGTAGCGCTATTGTCCTCTGGTAGGTTTTGGATAAAGAGGAGCGGGTTGGGAGGAAGGTACTCGTCGGGCAGTTGAGGGATTGCCCGTTTCACCGGAGGAGGCTGGGCACCATCCACCAGACCTGCTGCGCCCTCTTGTCCGTCTGCCTCGCCATCTCGCTTACGCTTGCCGCCAGCAATACCTGCTGGTACACCTTGCTTTTGCGCAGCGAGAGCAGCACTGATCTCTGCTTTGCGGGCACGCCGTGTGGACTTGTGCTCCTTGAAGGCGGGCGAGTTCCGCGGTGTGCGCTTGAGTACCACTGAATCGGAGGGAGTCTTGGCCAGAGCGCATTGCTAGGAGAGGGGAAACAATTGCAGGAGAGCAATAGAGGAGATGAGTGAACGAGAAAAGCGTCAGTAATGGCAGAGCTAGGATGGTCCGCGTTGCCGAGTCGGCCTACTGGGGCAAATGCCATGGCATGCGGGTCATGTTCCGGAGAGTACTAACCATTGCCTTGCCGTAGAGCGGGAATCCATTCACTTCCTTTGCTGCCTTTCCTGCAATTTCGCCATCAGAGAATGCCACGAATGCTTGGCCCCTCAGCCTGATGTTGGAGTGAGCTGTGATGGAGAGGACCTGGCCATAGGTGGAAAAGAGGGAGTGGAGCGACGTCTTGAGGATGGACAGCTTGACCTTCTCGTTGAGGTTGTTGATGTAGATTGTCGAGGAAGACGAGGCAGGAGCTGACGAAGGGCCAGCTGAAGAGACAGCTGTGGCCATTGTAGCGAGGCAATGGATGAGGATGAGGAGGATTGATTATACCGTCAAGATGGTGGTGAGAGGCGAAGAAGCGCAAGCACGGGCCGAGGGGCGGAAGGGCGCATCAGACCTCGCAGCTCGCACCTTTCCTCCCTGCAGACGATGAAGCTCCTCGACTACTCGAGTACACTGCTTCCTCGATGATGGAGTCAAGTACAAACGAGGACGGTCCTTCGTCTCACTACTCGCATCTCCTGGTAGGCACTTCCCTTACGCTTTCCACATTATCCGCCGCCCTCTCCCAGTCGTCCAAGAATAGGGTCCTACACATCGATCCAGCCGAGTACTATGGCAGCTACAATGCCTCGCTCACCTTGAGCCAGCTAGTGACAGAGCTACAACGTCGCAGTCACAGTGGGAAGGCCGACGCTGAGGGGACTCCGCTAGCCGGCATTACCTTCCCGTACTTTGCAGGCCCAGACGCAGCGGAAGCGTCATCGTCCCATACCCCAGCCTGCCTTGAAACCCTCGATCGTCATTACTCGATCTCCCTTTCGCCTGCTCTACAGCCCGCCGCTTCGCCTTCTCTCGACGTACTTGTACGCTCCCAAGTCGCCAGATATGCCACCTTTCGCCTACTGCAACGCACAGCCGTGTGGGACACCCAGCAAGGCATGCTCAAGACAGTCCCGGCTAGTAAAGAGGACGTCTTCAAGAGCGGCGAGCTCAGTCTCATCGAGAAGCGCAAGCTGATGAAGTTCCTTCAGTTCGCCGCTACATACAGTTCTTCTTCTACGGATGAGATGCCCTTCAAGACTTTTTTGGAGACAAAATTCACGCTACCGCCGCACCTTGTTACTGCGATCATGTACGGTATCGCGCTCGGCTCTTCGGAGACGGAGGCAATCAATGCTGCAATGGAGCGGCTGAAGGTCCACTTGACATCTGTGGGCAGGTACGGCAATTCTGCCTACCTTGTACCTCAATATGGAGGTGCGGGGGAGATTGCACAGGGTTACTGCCGCGCAGCAGCTGTACATGGTGCTACCTTTATCCTGGGCAAGGAGATCGAGAAGCTGACCGCCGAGCAACTGGAGGGCCCGTCAGGAGAAACAGACGTGTCTCGTTACCAGCTCAAGCTGAAAGACATCGACGAAATCTTCACAGCCGACTACGTGATAGGAGAGGACGACCTCGTACACTCCATGAAGGGGCCGCAAGCGACGACACCGCAGAGCGCAAGCACTTCAGACACTCAGCTGCTTCAAGGCATTCTGGTGCTCGACCGAAGCGTGCGGATACCGGCCCCAGCAGTGACGTCTAGTGCCACTTCATCTGGAGAAGGAGAAATGCGAAAGGAAGAGGAACCCCTGGAGACTGGTCTCATCGTCTTTCCTCCTGGGTCGCTCTCTCTGCAGGACGGGGCGTACAACGAAGCAGCAACCACTGCTCTGGTCCTTGGGGAAGGCACCTTTTGCTGTCCCAAGGGCCAATATGTAGTCCACCTCACTACGGAGATAAGAGGCCACGGCGATGAGAGCGAGGCTGGTAGCAAGGCTAAGGCCCTGCTTGCTGCTGCAAAAGCCAGGATACTGGAGCTTGCAGCCGACAGCCCAGTCGAGTGGGTTCCAAAGCGCGACGGACCGTCTGGTGCGGAGCCAAGCATCACCAGCGCCGAGCCCTTGATCGAGGCCTACTGGCTCGAGGACCTCCCAAGTAGCCCAGGCTTCCCACCGCCTTCCTCATCAAACCTCATCACGGTCCCACGCCACTTTCTCTGCTCGCCCTCCTCGCTTCCTCTGCCTACACTGCTGAACGCGAGCGCTTCCCAGTCCGCCCACCTCTTCTACACCACCCTGCAAGGCCTACAGCCTCCCTATCCCACTGCTGAGGCCTATCTCAGGAAGAAGCGCGGTGGAGCCAGGAGCGAGGCTGAGTACAGGGGAAGGGGAGGTGTTGGTCCCAGTGATGCGGAAGAAGAAGGCGATGCTGGCCAGGCTGAGGGGGTAGAGGAAGAAGAGAGCATGTTCTTCTTTCCGCCAAGCTTGGAGGATGCTGAAGGCGGAGAAGAGGACGATTAGACATGAAGGACAACTGCAAGAAGGAAGCCTCTTAGATGCAATATATACCCCCTTCTCAAGCGATAGCTTTCTGGGTGAGAGACATTGTAGTCATGGATTTGACCCCGCTATGGACCAGCGGCACGACAGGCGCCCACACCCCAGCCGTGCGTTCGCTCGCCACTACCCAGAAATTCCGCTCGTCCTGCTCCTCAAAAGAGAGCTGCAGCACAAACACCCATGTTTCCACCGGCGGATTGGAAGAGCCGATGCAGCAATCAGTCAAGCTCTAGATGACAAGCCGCAATGATAAAGGGCACTTGTGCATGGTGCGGGAAGCTCACTCCTCGCCTTCTCCGTTGTCGCTCTCTGGACATATCTTTCTGAGGACCCTCCGTCTCTTCCCTCTTTGATCCCCTGTCCCTCATCACCTCTCCTTCTCGTCCTTGCTTGCCCACGGATGCCCTCTTTGCCCTTCCCTCGGTGCCTTCCTCCTCTTTTACCGTACCCGCTATGACACCGAGACTCCTGCTCCTCGCCTCTCTCCTCCTTGCGGTCCCTACCTTCACCCTCACCCTGGCTGAGCGATGGGCCGTACCAGGCTTTCCCAACCCCCTGGTAGACCCCTTCTATGCCCAACCGAGCGACCTTTCCACCCTCTCACTTGGTCAAGTCATCGCCACGCGCCGCACCAACTCCACCTTCATCCCCTCCTCGGACAACCTAGACTATTCCTACCAAATCAAATTCCGCAGTCAAGACTCCCTCTCCCGACCCATTGCCGCCATCACTACTGTACTCGTACCGAGGAAGAAGAGTCGCACTTCTAGAGGACAGGCATCCTTGCTTAGCTTTCAGAATTTCGAGGATGCAGTCTCGCTGTCGTGCTCGCCTAGCTGGGCGTATGTAGCAGGCTCTGGCAGTAGAGCGGCTGGAGCGGCCAATCTCGAGGCACCAATTGTCAATGGATGGGCGTTGGACCAAGGTCACTACGTTGCAATCCCTGACCATCAAGGGTGAGCCGGAATGTGATGAGCATGGCAGCCTCAGGACAAGTCCAGGCTCGTCACTGGCCAGGCTCTAGTGACTGATTGCCGTGTCTTCTATTTTGACTCTATCCCTCCCCTGACAGCCCCACATCAGCGTTCGTGGCTGGGGTCAACGCCGGGCACATCATCTTCGACTCGATCCGCGCTGCCCTAACTCATGAGAACCTCTCCCTCACCAAGACTCAAATCGGCATGTATGGATACAGCGGCGGGGCCAATGCGGGCGTCTTTGCCTCTTCCCTCGCCGAAGCATATGCTCCAGAGCTGAACATCGTCGGCAATGCCATCGGCGGCACGCCCGTCTCTCCAACGGACACATTCTACATGCTCAATCGCGGTCCCTCCTCTGGTCTCGCCGGTGCCGGCTCACTCGGACTCGCTGCCGCCTACCCAGACGTGAAAGCCTTTGTGGATTCCGCCTTTACACCGCTAGGCAAAACGATCGCTGCTCGATTGAGATCAGACGGGACTTGTGTACCTCAGGTAAATACCCAATTCGGCTTCATCAACTTCTTCCAGCTAGTGTCTCCCCCACGGGATTACCTTCTAGAGCCTGTCGTGCGCAACGCCATGGCTCGCGAGACGCTTCTCCAGTCGCAAGCATCATACAAGGTACCAGTGCCGAAACATCCAATGTACATCTACCACGCCTTCTTTGATGAGGTGGTCCCCTTTACCAGCGCCCAGAAGTACGTCAAGCAACAGTGCCAGCGAGGAGCAGATGTACGATGGGTCGTCTTCCCTGCTGGACTGCACATCGGTGTAGAGATCATCGGCCTGCCTGCCGCAGTGGATTTCCTCGACAGGGCATTCAAGGGGACACTGCACCAGGTAATTTGCGGGACGGCTGTGCCCGAGATTAGACTGGGCAGTCGGCGGTCGATTGCTCTATTGGGGGAGAAGAGGGTGGCAGCACTCAAGAAGGCTAGTCACAAGGGGACATGGAGCTCTGAGATCGGAATGGAATGAAAAGGAGGTACGGGAGAGATAGAAGGAATATCATGTACATCTACCCAAGCTTAATCAGTGATACCCCCTATTGAGTCACCTCGCATCACAGATCTGACACGCGTGATCCACAAGACCTCATACCGTGGAACACTCCGTGAAAGGGAGAAAGAAATCTTGAGTGACATTTATAAAATTCACAAGCCCACATGAGAAACAAGTCAAGGTCCCATTCATCCAAATCCAAATTTGCACCCCCCCCTTCTTTTCCCTGCACGTCTACTTGTTGTGCTTTACGCTACTATGACGTAGGTGCTGAAGCCGAGAGGTTGGTAAGGTGCTGATAGAAGCTGACATGCGATGCCTGAGGTCCATTCTTGTAGACGAAGTCTGCCGCTAGCCAAGCGGCAAAGGCGCTCTTTGCATACGCCTCGGGAATCCGCTCAATGGCCGCCTCCAGTCCAATCTTCCTCTGCAGAACACCAGGGAAGACGTGGGAGAGGACGGCGTTCCTGATGGTGACATTTTGGAAGAGGTTGGTGCCCTCGAGCTCCTCGGAGAGGGAGTTGAGAGCGTCGGAGAGTTGACTTGAGATGAGGGAACGAGGTAGCGAAGTAGCTTGCGACTCGCGCCAGATGGCTTCGAACTCCTTGCGGGCATTTTGTGCAATGATGTTCTGTACATCGCGCACGTACCCAAGGTAGAACTTGGAAGGCTTGCCGTCCTTGAAGACCATTAGCTCCTGGTATTCCTCATCACTCAGACTGAGACCGCACAAGACCTCGAGAGAAGAGGAGGTGACTCCACCCTTGTTGGCACTCGCGTCTGGGTAGAGGATGACACCTCTTCGCTCCAGCTCTGTTCGTGCTTGCTTAGTGACGAAGAGGTTTGCACCTTCCACGACGTACTTGAAGTGGGGCTTGCCCTCTGCATCGAACAGCCTGTTGACGTTGCTGATGTTGATCGACTCGGGACGACCTCCGCAAGGAACGAAGAGGTCGGCCTTAAAGAGCAGATGGGCTTGGTTGCGGAATTGCACACCGTCGGGAATGATCTCTCCGCTAGGTAGCTTGACGTCATTCTCTTCCACCAAGACCCGGTAGCCACCCTTGCTCAATCGCGAGATGTCGAAGTCAGAGATCATCTTGCGTCCTCGCGCCAGGCGAGTCAGCTCTTCTCGGTCGAGACCCTGAGGGTCATGAATGACTCCACTGCCGTCGATGATAGCTACAGTCTTGTCTGTGCTGAGCAGGATCTCGTTCGAGCCCAAGTCACCATCTGGTCCACCAGTCTGGACCTTCGTCACCTCCTCTTCCTTTAGACCAAGCTTGCGCATGATGCCAGTGGTATATTGTCGTACAGACAAGCTGGTCATGCCCCAGACGTCATGAGGAATACCGCCCAATGTGGCAGCGGTCTTACCAGTGGTGAAGGACTTCCACCAGGGAGCTCCACGCTCCCTAGCATGGCCGGCAGCCCAGTCCATGCAGTCGGCTGTCCCCTCATCGGGACCAAGGAAGAGGATCTCCTCTTTGCCAACTAGATCGACGATCTTCTCCTTGACACCTGGAGACTGACCCTCGAGCAAGAGATCGATCAAAGAGTCACAGAACTTCTCGAAGCACAGACGCGGGTTGGCGTCCAGAGAGGGGAGGATAGCACCTTTGCTGCCTCCTTCGGGAAGATCCTTGTTCTTCTTCTGTTGTGTGAGTGCCAGATTGTAGACCTCATCGAAGAGACCTCGCTGATTGACCGAGTACAGCTCGCGGTTGCGACTACGGACGACTCGAATACCACCACGAGCAACGTCCTTGAAGCGAACGTGGAAACCACGGAAGTCGGATCCGACGACGAAGAAGATACCAAATGGTCTGACAGGGTACTCGGCCTCGGGCAAGAACTTTGCGTCGAGTCTAAAGCTGAGAGCGACCTTGGTAGGCGTGTAGAAGTTGCACTTCAGGACGGCCTTGTTGAACAAAAGAAGCGCCTCGAGGACCTGGAATTCGTGCTGGTTGACAGTCGTCTTCCTGATCCTGTCGTACATCTGCTCGTCAGTGAGGATTTCCTCCTTGACCAATCGCTGGTACGAGAGCGTGGGAATGAGGTCGTCATCATCGCCTCCCTTCGGGTAGTGGATAGCAGCAAAGTGAACGTAAAGCAGGCGTACCAGCTCAGGATATGACTGCAGGGTCTCTTGAATTGACTGGCGAGTGAAGGTCTCCTCCCTGAATCGCAACTTGATGTCATTCAGGATGGAGGCCTGCTGCAGATTCGTCTCGTCGAGGACATTGCGCAAGGCTTGGTAGGCCTGTCCGAGACGGTTGCAGAAGTGCTGTGCGAAGAGCCAGCCAACGTAGGCGTACGCTGCCTCTTGGACTGCGTAGGCCGACTCGGTTGCTTCAGCCTTGAAGAATGGGTTGTCTGGCAAGCAGTAGACCAGAGAGGCCTCTCGCGTGACCTGGTGGATCGAGTGCTCGATGGGTGGAGCCTTGGAGCCAGGGAGAGGATTGAGGTAGAGGGATACGATTGTGACATCATTGCTGAAGTGCTCGACGTACTTGCGGCTGGAGAATAGGCTGTAGTAGTGGTATAGCGAAGATAGAGCCGAAAAGAAGCCGTGCGTGGATCCCATGCGGTATCCGATGACGATGCGGTGTTCACGGGTACCCTCCACCTGGAAGACTTCGATCACTGGGCCCGTACGGCTGAGAGCTTCCGACATGACATCCTGATAGATCTCGAGGGTGTTGCTGCTCGCCTTGGACAGGAAGCCGGCGTCAGAGACTCGGCGGATATCGCTGTACTCGGGGGAGTCCGGGCTGGGAACCGGCTGTACGAAGTTGCACTTGGACAGGAAGTAGCATCGCAAGCGCTGTGGCAGCGAGGAGGAAACGTTGCCCTTGGATCGGTAGGTCTCGAGTCGCCAGGCTGAAGAAGTGGTAGACTTATCGATGTACTTTTCATCAATTACGCTCTCGTATCGAGGCTTAGCTCCCGAATCGGGGTCGCTCGCTCCTGGGGGACTGGAGTGGATGAAGACGGCGCCATTGGATGTGGCATGCTCCAGATCGATCTCCAGCGAGTCGGAGTGCTTGGTGTAGGCGAGGATCTTGGCTCCATAGAGAGAGATGATGTGATCGCAGATGGTGCTGACACTTTCCATGGCAAAGTACTGGTTGTCAATGCCAAGGTTGTCGTAGAACCAAGTGACTTCACCTTCTACGAGCTCTGCAGGAATGAAGCCGTTCTCCCTAATCTTGGCGATTGCCTGCTCTGCCTGCTCCTGCTTTCCAGCAAAGGTAGTTTCTAGGTAGCCGCTGCAGAGGAGAAGAGGGCGACCAGGCGGGGAGAGGAGGGTCAGTCAGTAAGTCAATCAGTCACGGCAGTATGCATTCCACACCTTCACTCTTTCAGGCCCCTCCGTAGCTCGAATGTACCTCGCTAGGTACTGCTCTATCAACACTCACTTTGCATTGGGTACCACGGGCGTGTGAGTGCCAGAGGCAGACTTGTGGACGGGCAGACCAAGGGAGTTCTTGAGTGCGGCCAAGCTGTTCAGCGGCGAGCCTGACCTGTTGGCCAGAGAGGCAGACGGAGACGACTGTGGTTTTGCCGTGGCAGCGTCCGTGCTCTCATCTTGGTGCTCGCTGGCGATGATGGGTGGTACAGAGGTCATGATGATAGACGTGGCTGTGATTGATACGCGATCAGATCACGGGAAGGTGGAGGGTGTGGTGATAGTGAATGTCCTACTGCTAGGATACACGTTCTGGCGTAAGTGTGAGTGCCCTTGGGTGCTCGCACTGGAAGGGTACGGAGGAGGGAATGGTCTTTGGACGGGACGACGGAAAGGGGGGCTGGCTGGTTTGCGACGTTGCTTATAAGCACAGCAAGGGCCAAGGGTTTGAGTTTGAGAACCAAACGAACAAAAGATCAACACGAGCCAACAAGGACCGGGAACATGACGCGGGATCCAGCAGCGGACGAGGTGCATGGCCACTCCACTCCGCTCCGTCTGCCCCATGACCCACTGATATCCCATCGGGCGAGGTGTGATGAGTGAGGACCCTACAGCCCCCTCCCACCCCACTCCAGGTGATAACTACCTCGGTCTTCGCCCGTCACCTCTCCTCCACCGTGCCGTCGTGCAGCCCAGGATTCGTCGGAGGTGCAAAGGCAAATTTCCCCTTGGGCGCAGGATCTCCGCACCTCTGGCCACGCGACGCCCGCCGCCCGAATGTTGCTTTCGGATCTGGTCTGGGGTACACGCAGCTTCCGCAAGCTTCCCCCTCTACCCACATCGAGCCGTAGAGCTTTCGTGAGCAGCGAGAGCCACGTACGACAACTACCCTTGTCAGCATCCTTGACACAGTCAGTCAATCGACGACCCCCACATGCGGGGAAAGGGGAGAGGCGTCGTAGGAATGCAGCCAAGAAGTGGGGTCCCATGACTCATTGCATCCCACAGGAGGGGAAGGAAGCGCAGGGGAGGTACAAGACAGAATCTGACAGTCCAACCGCGGGTCTCCATATGGGGTACACCCACCGCCCGGGTCCTTCTCTCTGCTTGTCTGACGAAGCCTCCTGAGTCTTGCCTCCACCAAAGCTGCACTTTTCGTGGGGCGCTTGTACCTGTACCTCGGTCGTGGCCTGGCGGGGCCTGTAGAGCTCCACTGAGACAGGAGAGCCTTGTTGCCCCGCATTCCGAAGTCCTGATACTCCCTTTGAAGGTCAGCTATCCTCTTCGACCCCTGAGTCGCACCATCTCGCAATCTTCTTCCCACCTCACAGTCCCCCTGATATGCCTCTTTGTCAGGCAGCACAGTCTCCTAGCGAGCGAGACACGTAGCAACGCTGTGCCTCTCATACGGCTCAAATGCTGCGTTCGATCACCTCGGATGCAAGTCAACTCTCAAGTGCATGGTACCGGTGTATGCTGTCTGTCTGCGACTCAGCCTTGCCAATGCTAGCCTGACTTTGACACCCAGGCTGACTCGCCCCTTGACATGTCAGCGCGACATCTACTCCCCCCGTCTATCTTGACAGGCAGACAGAGAACAAAGGGCGGAAACGACGCCGAGCGGGCGTGTCGGCGCAAATATCCTTGATCCGGCCACGCGACCTTGGGCGGCGGCTCAGGGCTGGGCAGCGCAGGCGAGGCAATCAGGCACAACGCCCGCCCGCCCGCCCGCCAGGCCACAATCGCGCCCAGATTCCATCGCCCGCCCACCCACTGGCCAGCCTCCCCTTCCGTCGAGGGCGATACTCAACTCACCCATCCTCCCTCGTCTCCACCATTGATAGGCAGCCCTTTCCTCTCCCTCTTTCCCCCTGCACCCTCTCGGCTCTAGTCGTATCCGCTCCTTCATCCTCCAATGGCCACCTCCCGAGGCGGAGATGGCGTTGGTGCCCACGATCCCACTCCTTCAACATCCTACGATACTTACTATAACAATGCCGCTCACCCGAACACCTTGCCCCCCAATGTGATCAACGCGTACAGCGGCAACTTTGAATACACTAGTCAGCCACAGCAACAACATCACCACCACCAATCGCAACAGCATCAGCAGCAATCGCACCTCCCTCCTCCACTCCCACCTGCGAATGAATACGATCAATCACACGAAGCTGCAATCTATGGCAGCACTGGGGTGGACGATGGGCCCGATGCAGACGCGACGGCAGAATACTCTCTCAACGGTCTCGTCGGAGATGGCCAACAGACCGATGCAATGTCTGCAGCAGAAGACGACGACGATGTCAATTCCACAAGAAAGAGGAACAAGGCCGGCAATGGTAGAGTGGCGAAGGCATGCCAACCTTGCAGCAGCAAGAAGAGGCGCTGCGATGGAGGTGAGCAACGACGGTAGCGGGCTCCGCTCTAGCGAGTCGCGGGCAGACCACTGACGCATGCTTCTTGCCCTCATCCTTCTATTATGCACTCGCAGCCCAACCAGAGTGCTCAGTCTGCAAGGTCCTGGGTACGCCCTGCTCCTACAATAATACTGGTCTCAAACGAGGTCCCCCCAAAGGATTTCGATCTGGGCCCAAGGAATCGGCCAAGGCCAAGCTATCTCGGGTTCTCGAGACAACCATCCGCGATCTCACCACTCAACTGGGAGTAGAGGAGGCAAAGCAAGAGATCATCCGCGTTAGTCGAGAACGCGGACTGGCTGATGTTGCGAATCTCCTGCCACCCACACTGGTGCAGCACCAACCCACCCCTTCGACCTCGGCAGAAGCAGGCCCATCTTCAACAAACGCCAACCAGCTCGGCGTTACAGAAAAGGCTATTGAAACTTCGATAGCTGCCGACCCAGATGCCTTCTTGAGCGTAAATGAAAGAGGCGATTTACTGCATCGTGGCTCAAGCAGCGGAATCCAGCTGCTGCGACGTAGCACAGCCGCTGGTTCGGGAGGCTCGCCCTCTTCACCTTCGACCAATTCTCCTACTACTCCGGGAGCACCGCTCGAGAGCAACCGTGGGGGTAGTTCCATCAACGACACCATCGTTGTTCCCATCTCTTCCCCGGTCACTACGCGTCTCCATGGTCCCTCCAGTCCACCAAATCAATTCGATCATCGACAAAGCGGGCCATCTGGCAGTTCCAATGATCTCGCTGCTACGGCAGCTGCCATCATCGATCCGTCTCTGAACGGAGGATCCAGCTACTTTGAGTCGCTGCAAGATCCTGTAGTCTCCCCCGAAGAATCTCACAAGCTGTTAGAGAATTACTGGCGTAGCTTCCATCCTTACTGGCCAATACTGTACAAGGCCGTCTTGGACGACATTCCTCATGACCAAGTCACTTCCCGCCTCGATGCTCTCCTTCTGAACGCTATCTATGCCATTGGCTCCTCTGGCAGGAGCTTCGGTGAATCAAAAGGCAACAACCCCCAATACGATGCCGCTCGGTACTCTGGGGAGATCTTCGCACAAGCAGCGGAGCGTCGTCTGTACGCATCCGGGCTCCGACCCACGGTCTCGGCTGTCCAGGCATGCGCCCTGCTTGCTATCTACGCTCACGGCAACGGTGACCTCAGCCGGAGCTGGGTCTTCTCTGGCATTGCCATTACAATGGCCACTGACCTGGGTCTCCATCGTTGGCCCTTCAGGATGGAGCTGTTGAACAACTCTGCTGAGCGTGAGACTCGAACACGCCTCATCTGGTCACTCTATATCCTAGACAAGATCCTCTGCTGCGAGATGGGAAGGAGTCCGCTTCTTCGGGTGGCCGAGATGGACCCTCCGTTGCTGTCCGAAGACGTGCCCGATGAGCATGAACATATGGATGGCTATCCCATGCGGATCGCCTCCTGCTTCAACGCAGCCAGCGGGCTCTTCGCCGTGATAGAGCACATACTGTCGCGTGTCCACAGCCTACGCCGTAAGGCTGTTCTCCGACGAGACGGCAGCTCGGACGAAACGCTCACTGAGCTTGACGGAGAATTGCAGAAGTGGAAGCAATCTCTTCCGCCTCATCTGCGCACTCCAGCAGATGGTTCACGGCCGAAGGTAGGTTTCCCGGGAGTGGTCTGGGCTCTGGGTGTATGGGAGGCTACGGCCACTATGCTTCTTCAGCGTCCCTTCATTCCTCAAGGTGTCGAAGGGGAGCCTCCAAGTCTCCACGAGGTCATGAACAATGCCAGCCATCGCAAGGCGATCGCTGCAGCGGATGAATTATGCCGCCTACTCAAATTTGATGTGGAAGAAAAGAAGAACGAGTACCCCACAAACTTGTATCCCTCAGACTATGCCTACTGTCTCTTCACAACGGCAGTGATGTACCTCTTCGATGCACGCATCAACGTATCTGGGGCAAGACGTAAGTTTGCCATTTGCCGCAACCAGATCAAGAAGCTATCCAGTCGCTGGCCGGCTGCGTCCGCTCACAGACAGCTGCTGGACGGCTTCACAGCGGTAGCGGATGACGCTCTCGGTCGACCTGGTCCCTTCTCGAGTCCAGTAGGCTCTCATCCACAGCCAGAGTACAATGCCGCCAACATCGAGTCTTGGGCCATCCAGACGGCGCAGACTGCTCAGGCCAGTCCTGTACAACATTCCGCCAACGGTCTTCAGCAACAGCAGGCACAGCAGGGAATCAAGCCCGAACAGGGATCGAATACAGGAGGACTCACGGAGGAACAACGTCAACAGCTGCTAGAGTTCTACATGGAGTCGTCTCACCGCTTCGGCTCGGGAGACCATTCGCCCTCGCGTCGACAGCTCGATCACTTCGCACCTGGCCTCTTCGATGTCGAGACGGCATTCTGGAATGAGTCTGCCGGGTCTTCAAGCTCGTTAACCAATGCTTTCCAGACGCCGCAAGTCATGGGTCCCCCGAGTGGACCGCATGGTGTAGGGTCCGGGCAGCACAATGTTCAGCAGCATGGCGGCCGACAGCAGCAAGGCTCTCTGCTGGCCGGGCAGCGACGCAGTGGTAAGAGCAGACGTGGACAGCAGCAGCATGGTGGACTAGCTATGCTAGCCGCTCTGGCTCCCGCTGTAGGCCATCAATCGCAGCAACAGCAGCAACACCCTCAGCAGCAGCAGCAACAACAACAACAGCAGCAGCAGCAGCAGCAGCAGCAGATGGGCAACGAAGGACTCGAAGGCGTACCTCTGCAAGGGCTTGCCCATTTGGCCGCTTTCCAACCCGTGCAACAACAGCTTCACGCAGCTCAACACCAGAGCTCGCCCTTTGCCTTCCCTCTTGACCCTGGGCAGCCGGCATGGACCGATCCGATCATGAGCGCCCTCGATCTTGGGCCCGCCTTTGCACACCACCAGCACCAACACTCCGGCGGATCCGGGGGAACAGGTGGCGGTCGTGGTGGGCAGTAACTCAGGCTCGGAGCCCGAATGTTGATGCGTTCCACGGTTGATCGAGGACTGGTTCGGCCAGCCATGGCTGTGTACTGTACTGTACAATAGGCGCTCGTGTATATGATTGTACGTCGCCCATTCTAGTCTTCCTCCCTCTCCCCCCTTCTCCCCCTCCTCCTTTCCATCTCCCTCGTCCCCATTCCCAAAATACTCTACGCTACTTCACTTGGAATCTTTCGCAAAAATTATGTCTCCCCCTTTTCCCCTCCCCTCCCTCCCCTCCCACTGGCTCCTCGTTCCCCCTACTTTACTTTACCTTACCTACGTACGTACCCAAATAGCTTCCCTTTCCCCTTTTCTTTTGTTCTATCGCTTGTACATTTACACTTACAGTTACCGCCCCCGCCCCTCCCAATCTCCACCCCCCACTTCACTTTATCCCGGTTTCGTCTTCAACACTCCTTTCTTTGTTTGTTCGTTCGTTGCTTTGTCCTCTAGCCCTCCTTCGTTTTACCTTTGGTAACAAGTAACAAGTAATTCCTATCTTTTTGTACAATTGTAGAAGATCCAACCCCCTTGCCTTGCCTTCAGCGCCTATTCACTTTAGTCACAGACAGTGATGAATGAAATTTCTGGATGTTTGTGGGAAGTCGACATCTATAGACTCTTGCACAGCGGGAAACAAGGAGAGGTGGTCACTGCTCTTCCGACGCTGCTGACGTCGCTGCTGCTGCTGCTCTCATCGCATCATGAGCGCTCAGAGTGCCATCGAGCGCATGGAGCTCCTCCCTCGCAACCGCCAAGAGCCATACTTGCAAATCTAGACTTGAGCCACTTTTCCCCTCCGCCTGACCCGGATCCCTACTCCCACCCTCCTCCTCCATCGCTTCTTGCCGCATACCAGCCCTAAGCTCCGCCTGATCCTTGGAGGGAGAGACGGAAGCGGAGGCAGATGAGGAAGAGAAGTCACCACTTTTTCCTCCATCTGCTTCGCTCCGGCGCTCTTTACGAAAAGGAGGCTTGCCTCGTGACATTCCGTGCGTGGGCAGCTTGCGCAGACCTGTTCGGACGGGAGGTCTGACAGTGCGGCCTGATTTGCGGAGAAGAGAGTCGTGATTGATGCCCTCGAGAGGGTGTTCCTGCTGTGCTTCATGTTGTTCCGAGGTGGGAAGAGGACCTTCTTGCGGTGGAGCTTCTGCTGGATGGGGCGCACTGGACGCTAGAGCTTTCGCCGCTTCAGCTCTGATACTTTGGGACTCTTTCAATGCTTGTGCTCCTGACTGCCCATCAAGCAGGAGGTTGAACCTTTGCGCAGAATGTAGCTTTATGAAGGTCTCCTCGTAAGTCTGAGCCCGCTTCAAATCCGGTTGTTGGCTGATGGGCTGAGATGCAATTCCTTCTTGGAGAGCTCTGAATACGAGTTCCTTTTGCGATGAAAAGACCAGTCCCTTGGAAGTGCCGACATCTGCTCTTGTGTTCTTCCCAGTTCCCGACATCAGTGATTGAAGGTTGGCCTCGTCTATGACTTTTGCCGCGTGCTCGTCTTTTTGCACCACGCCAGTGAAAGCAGCCCAGGCGCTGGCGCTGGCAAAGACGAACCTCTCTTGGATACCTCGGACAAGCACAGAAGGTTCCAAGGCTCCGATTTGACTAAGTCGGACGAGCTCTAGAAACAGACGGGCTGCAACCTCTGCTCGCCGGAGGCGGCTCTCTTGAGAGATTTGCAGTCGTCGAGGTTGCTCTGCCCAGGCGCCAAGGTTGCACAATCCCGCAAATACGATGTCTAGCGCCTCTCCAGCGTCATCTAAAGGCAACCTCGAGCCGCGACTCCGAAGTTGCTGAACGAGGTGGAGGTCTTCCAGATCACTGCGAGTAGTTTGACGCCGCTTCTGAACTACATAGGCTCCATTGAGCTCTGCAGCCTTGCCTTGCGTTTTCCAGGCGGACACGAAGAGATCGATGATTCTCCAGCATCGTTCCGATTGATAACCTCGGAACCTGTCTAGTGCGTCTCGCCATTCGTCTACCTTGTCGAGATCGAGATCCATGGACGCCCACTGATCTTCAGCCGAGCGTTGCAAGGCGTCCCAGAATGTCCCAGCAGAGACAGACGAGGCGGAGGGCCGCGAAGGGCGGACCGCTTCCTTTCCTCGTTTCTTCTTTCTGTGACTCGTGGAGGGCAGATGCCATGCCCACTCCCCCTTGCTCGCCTTTGATTGCGCATTGAGAATTCTCAGAAGCTCCCATACGCTGCCCGCACCACCCTCGATGAGCAGTCGTACGCCAGAAGTAAGAGGGTCTGCCTCACGTTCGTCCTCTTCCGTATCGCCCGACTGAGATCTTCTCGCGCGTAAACCTCTTCCATTCACTTCCCTCACCTCGGCAGTGATGGCGCTGAGAAGTGCTTCTGCGAAGCCCAGATGCGGTGTGTATTGGAGCAGCAATGCGAAGGCCGCGGCCACAGCTTGTGCCGGCACCTCGTCCGGTAGTATGTCCTCGGGCTCGCCTCGACGTTTCCTCTTGCGTCGGGGGCGGGCGAACTCGCCGCGGTCTGCTATCCGATCCGGCTTACAGCTGGCCAATACGAAGAGTTGTCGGAGAACTTCACTAGATGGAACTACCGTAGGCCCAAGGACCTGATCGAGGAAGGTCAGAGCCACTTGATCTGGGGGAGTGAAGGGGGCACAGGCCGCGTGAAAGTGAGCGACCAGCGAATGGGCTGCAGCGGGACTGCTCGACGTGCTCACATTGTCCTTCGTCTAGGCAGTCGACGACGAGCTGCTCTATGTTCCTCGGCAACACATGTACCTCGCGGTGGCGGCTGCTACCAGCTCCCGGCGTCTCCATCGTTCGTCAAGAAGAGGCGATGTGAGCAAAGGTGTTCACGGAGTGCAAGGTGTCTGTCTCTATGCACGGCAGTCACGGTGACTTTGTTGACGGAAAGGGCGGAGTTTGCTCTGGAGCAACTCAAAAGTCGAGGCTTCGCCCCGTCGAGGACCTCGTTAAGTATCATCCATCATCTGACAAATGCAACATCCAAGCTGCGGAGAGGCGCAATGCTGGGAGAGCTGCAGGAGGAACGTCAAAGCAAGGCTCCGCCTGCTGCAGACGAGCGTAGAGCAGCCAAGAAGCGACGCAAGGGAGACGCCGGACAATGGCACCTCGAAAGCACAAAGGCAGTCAAGTCTCTATCCGCGAGCGACTACGCTAAGCTCGTCCAGGACTGTCCTACCGGCCATCTGCTTGATGCTACCACGGAGGATACTCCTAGAGCCGGAGGTCGACGTAGCCTCAGAAGATGGCTGCCTCCCAGAGCTCATCGGCTCCCCTTCATGAGACATTTTGTCGAAGAGCTTCACGAGGACGTAGCCATCCTGCTCAACACCTTCGCCTCGCAATGGAAACAGATCAAGATGGCACTTGAGCGGCAAGACGAGCAGGCCGGCAGTAGCTCGGCTGCTAGAAGTCCCATGACATATGCTCGTGCATCAGAGCTGGCTCTCGCTGGGCCACTAGCCCTTTTCGTCTCCATATGGAAGCGCCTCGGCTGGCATGCCGTGCAGCTGCATTGGAGCGAGGAAGCGGAGACGAGGGCGCGCTTCTTTGAAGTGACCTCGCGAGCATTTCTCAATCCTTGCTCATTGCTGAGCGAATCATCGACTGAAGACGAGCTGCTTGCTGCAACTGCAGCAGTGTACGCCCTCTACCTCCTCCACACCTTGCAACCAAGCCCACCAGTCCCTATTCCCGGGCTGCAAAACTCCTACTACAGATGGGCGTTCCTGCCAGGGCAACGGGAAGATGCAAGCTGGAATCCTTATGCGGAGGCTGGAAGGCAAAGGATCAAGGTCGAGATTGATGTGCTGGAGAAGATGATGGCGCTTCCGCAAAAGGCCAGCGCTGCCTTGAGTATGTCAAGGCAGGCTTTAGATGATCTCCACGCACGTCTCAAATTGGCAAGAGACGACGACCGTCTCGACTTCTGCACCGATACTCGGTATGTCCTCCGCAAGCTTTGCGGCGAAGCAGCATCTGCGGATACTGCCTCCAGACATGAAGTCTCTGCATTTCACGTACTCCCGCACTCGAGTATACCCGGCATCCGCAATCCACCGCACCTGCCCTTTTTCGAGGACGTCAGTAGCGAGGCAAAGCAGAAGAAGGAAGGCAAGTGGGGAAATCTCAAGCCAAAAGCGGGGGCAGTGCACGATGTGGACACAGTTTCAACAGATCAGAGGCCCATCAATCTTTCTCGATCGGACAACCTCCTTATACGAGCGGCCGAGCAGCTCCGGCAGCCTCTGAATGCTTCCACGCTCCCTCCACTCGCTGCGCAGACGAGCGCTGCAGATCAGTCAACGTCCTACGACTTCGCTCAGAAGGACACAGCTACTGCCTGGGCTGGCTCTTGGATCGAAGTTCCCTTCCGAAGCAAGGAGTTACCGCGGCGGGCGAAATGGGAGGCCAGTCAGAGGGATGTGGAACGTCTCAGCCAATCCTACGAGCAGAGCAAGGCTGAAGTGGCAGGTTCGAGCTCACCGGCGAGCATGCTCAATATCGATCTCGTGAAGCTCATGAAGGGAGATACTGCCTGGAGTGGACGAAGTGTGGACGAACAGCTGCAGCAGATGAGAGATGTACCCCTCACTAGTGCCGAGAGCATCTTTGAAGAAGCGCGGAAATTGACGGGAGACACAATCCTTCGAGGGATGGCGAAGAAGGCCAATGGGACAACCACCCAGGTAAAGAAGTAGTTATTGTCAATACATTGCTGAGAGAAGAACAAGAGCACGATTAGAGATTGCGATGACGAGTGCGATGGTCCCCTGATTGCGACTGTGATCAGACGCCAGTACATTGTGACCAGGTAAGAAGGTTCCTATCCCGACCTAAAGACCTCCATATTCCCTTACCCCTAAGCCCTTCCTACCCTGTTCAGCTGAAACATCTTTCCAATCAACCACATACGCATCCAAGCCGGAAGGTAGAAGAGAAGCTTTACCATCAGACTACGACTGCCACCGACAAAGTAGACGGGCGCGTAGGCAGGGAGAGCGACTTTGGATATAATCTCCCAGGCAAAATCTTCCGCTGGGGTCGGGGCTGGCCTTCCGACTTGAGAGTAGTTGGCTCGATCTGAGAATGAAGAGTGATGAAGTGGGTGTAGGAGTCAGCATTCCGCGCATCATTTGGGATCATCAAGGCTGGGTCATGGGTGGAACTCACATTTGACCATGTCCTGTACCGAGGCGTAATTGCTATCCTTTGCCAATACGATGCCTTGCGCTCCCCTCTCTCCAAAGCTACTCTTGATTGCTCCAGGCGAGACGATGCTGACCTGAACTCCAAATCCTGCGAGCTCCATCCTGAGCGCCTCACTGTAAGAATGTACCGCTGCTTTACTTGAGCAATACGCCGCGGCATAAGGGAGAGGGACAAGACCGACTGTACTGCCAATATTGATGATGCGGCCGGAACGACGGGATATCATATGACGTGAGACGGCCGATGTGATTCTGATTAGGCCGAAGTAGTTGACTTCCATTGTGGAGCGGTAGCGATCCAAGTCTACCTCGACTGTCGGGCCTACGGCTGTGTTTGTGCCGGCGTTGTTCACAAGAATGTCGATTCGGCCTACTTGGGCAAGGATACTTTCGACGCATTCATTGGTGGAGGCGTCATCCGTTACATCTAGCTGTACCCTCTCGATTTGAGGCGGCAAGTCACGGAGTGTCTCAACGTCACGAGCAGTCGCAAAGACGTGGTAGTGGGTACATTCTTGATACTTTGCGAATTGAATGGCGAGGGCTCTTCCAATGCCGGAGGAACAGCCGGTGATGACTACGACTGGACGCTCATCGGGCCTTGTGATCGTTGCCATGATGGTGATGGGATGGAAACGAGGGGCGGTAGAGGAACTTGGTGGGTGGTGAGGAAGGTCTGGGGTAGCCTGACCCAAAAGCGCCTGGCCTGGCCTGTTCCGCTTTGATTGTGGAGAAGCGGGTTCGGGATGTGCGTCGGCTGAAAGTGTCCGCCTGTCCGACGGCGTCGTCTGATTCAGGTCGAAGCCTCAGACGCAGACAGCCTCGACGCCTCTGCGCCACGCTCAGCCCGGAAGCGCGAGACGCGTTCATTTCCAAATTGACGCACAGGCAGGCGTAGACCAGAGCAGCCCGAGGCCAACAATCCTTCCAGAGACGCTAGAAGACAGCCTACGCACTCACCTCCTACGACGCTCATCCCAACACATACCGCCACCGATGACAGAAGCAGAACAGACGAAGGCCGAACCCGAGGTCAAGCAAGAAGGCAAAGTCGAAGCTCCTGCAGCTGCCGAATCCTCCGTCTCGCCTCGTCAGACCCTCGATGAAGCGCACAGGTACATGGCTCTCAAGCAGTGGGAGAAGGCAGCCGATCAATATGCAGTAGCTCTTGAAGCATTGTGAGTGATGGTAGCATCAGACCACTATCCTAGAGAGCACTTGCTGATGATTGTCTCATATCGCACTCCTGAACTCTCTTGTTCTTAGGAGCGAGCAACACTCGGAAGACGCACCCGTGCTCGCACCTGTTCTTCACCGCTACGGCAGATGTCTGCTGGAGCACGCCATAGCTACCTCCGGCGCACTTGGGGGAGGAGGCGGAGCAGCAGGAGCGAGCGAAGCGCCGCTGCCCAAGCGCAAAGCCGAATCGGCAGATGGTGAGTAGCAGCTCAATGACCAGGAAGAAGCCGAATCAAGCTGATCAGGTCAGTCCCATTCTTGTGCTCAGCTTCCTCGTCAAAGCCTGCAGACCCTAGATTCAGCTTTGGAGGTGATGCAGAAGACGAGGAAGAAGACGAGGAGGAACAGGAGGGTCAAGAGGAGGACGGAGAAGATGCAGATGACCTTTCCACTGCATTCTCAGTCCTGGATCTGGCGAGGATCATCTATCAGAAGCTACTCAAAGGCGAGAGCGAGGACGAAAAAGCAGAAGATGTCGAGGCTTCGCTGGAGACTTTAGACGGACAGAAGTGGGACCACCTCAAGATCAAGACTGAGTTGGCCGAAGTGCTCAATGACCTGGGTGATGTGGGACTCGAGTCCGGTGAGTGAGATAGGCTGAGCGCCGCGGCTGAAGATCTCGTGATATTGAAGCTCTCTCATCTATCCCTTCCGTTGCACAGAAAACTTCTCCCAAGCATCATCAGACTACGAGTCGAGCCTGTTGATCATCTCGCCCATGCTACACCCGCACTCCCGCCGCCTAGCCGACGCATACCTTCGCCTTGGTCTCGCACTCGAGTTCCATCCCGAACCTGAACGCCAGTCCACTGCCTCGAAATTCGTTCAATCTGCTGCAAATGCTCTGAAGACGCGTCTCGAGGCTCTGCAGAGTCGTCAGGGTCTGCTGGCCAAAGGTGATGAAGCCGAAGCCCGAGCCCAAGCCGCTGCCGTCAAGGCTCGCGAGGAGAAGGCGCTGGCCGAGAGTCGGGAAGCCTCAGAAGCTGGCGCGGACAGCAAAGGCAAGGGAAAGGGCAAGCAGGTAGAGAGATTCGCCGAAAAGGACGACGTGGCCGAAATGGACGAAGTGAAGGTGGAGAAAGAGCTCAAAGATGTGGAAGAAATGATCGCAGAGCTGAATGCCAAGGTGAGCAAAGGATTCAAGACTCTACGGCACGTCAATGAATGGCATTTGACAGATTCCCATCCCTCTCCCATCTGCTTTCCAGCTCGAGGAATACAACAATCCTCAAAATGGTGCACCTTCACAAAGTGGGGCAGGCTCATCCGGGGCTTCTGCTGGTGGTGTAGCTATTCCAGAATCAGCAAAGCTGGCCCTCCAGCAAGCCATCAACGACGCTTTCCTTGGAGCCTCCACCAACTCCCTGTCTGGAGCTCCAGCCAGCGATAAGCCTGTCACGGACATCACTGGCATGGTCAAGCGAAAGAAGCGAGCAGCCGAAGAAGGGTCCGAAGGCAAGGGCAAGAGCGTTGAGAGCGCTGTAGAGGCAGCTGGTACTGCCGTCTCAGCCCCTTCAGCGCCGATTGAGGAGCCGCAAAGCAAAAGGGCAAAGGTCGAGGACGCTGAGGAGGCTTAGACGTGGCGTGGGAAGTAACGGTGGCCAGATCGGCCTGGTGAAGCTTGTTAAGCCAGGGCCGCCTGCGCCTACACACACACACATGTCCGCCGAGGGCAGAAAACACATATTCCATCCATCCAGGTCCGACGTTGTATGGGTCCCATGTGTGATCAAGTGTCTCTTCGCTGCTGTCCCCAATCTTGCCTTTTCGCCTTTGCCCCGCTGATCGGAGGTGATGGTAGGTCAGGCCCTAGTCTACTTCGGGTGTCTGATTGCCTCGACTGCAGGGGCAGCCACGGCCATGTCTTGCTTGGGCCCTGGTGCGCGGCGCCTGCCTTTTGCCTTCTTGCCCTTGCCGGATTCGGTCCCCGCGGGTTTCACGCCTCGGCTGTCGGGGGACGGATTGGGTGTACTCGGGGTGAAGCTTGTCCCCCGTCTGACCTGACATTGATTGCACTTGGATGTCACTCCACCCACTCGCTTCAACCCACTATCTAATCGCAACCCCACCGCCCCCCTTCCACCTCAGCTCACCCAGGAAATCAGGACAACAGGCGCCCATCCCACGTTATCCGCCGCCAGCCTCCCCCTCTTCCTCGCTCCGCTTTGCTCCCGTCCCTCTGCAGGGCCCACGCGTGCCAAGTCCTATCATACCCGCTGCGACCTCACCGCCCTCATCTTGCAGCAAGTCACCGGCCCTGCCCCCCCCTTCCGAACCTTCTTGCAGACGCCCCTCCCAACCTCCAGCGGCAGCACACGTCTGCATGGCCACTCCTTCCTCGTCGTCTCCCCTCACCACTCTGCCCTCTTACGACGACCCCTCTGCTGCAGCCCGCGTAGAAGTCGTCAATGATGAGGCAGGACCCAGTGTTCTCCCTACTGCCCCTCTAGAGGAGCTCAGGGAACCTACATCAGACGAAGCGGGTCCCGCCAATGTCGGGCCAGACTCTTTCTTCGCCCAGAGCGAGCACGAACCCACCTCACTCACAGATACAGGTACGACAGTAGCAGCAGCAGCAGCCTCGCATCCTTATCCCTCCCGGCAAGAAGATGACGCAGGCGATCCCCCTCTTTCTTCTGATCCTCAATCGTCGATTCCAGCCGAGGGGGAAGAAACTTACCGGCCAGCTACAAGTCCGCGCCCTCCTTCTCCCCTTCCCTCTTTGGATACGTCACAAGCGCAAGCTTCTTCCTCTAATCAGCAAATAGGACCATCATCTACTGATCCCATAAGGACGCCCTTGCCGCCAGATGCTGAACCTCCTCAAGAGCCTCAACCACCACATGCCGAACTGTCAGAGGGCACGGACGATGCTCCGGCAGTGGAAGGGCAACAGAGTACAGCGTCGCAACTACCCGAGGTGGATGCGGCTGAAGCAGATGCTCCGACGATGGTCTCTGATCAGATGGAAAAAAAGGAAGTCACGAACATACCAGAGAGGGAAGGTGGTCTACCGGCAGCGGATCCTTTGCTCGAGTCTGGGACAACGCAGGAGCCCAGCATGGAGCCTGCAGCAGCGGACGTTCAGGCTTCAACACAACTACAAAGTAGCAGCGAAACAGCGCCCGAGATCATCCCAGCCGATTCGACTAGCGAGGTTGCAGCTGTTGTTGCAGGCGGAAGCGAAGATAATCACGGCGGTGAGGAAGCGGCGCAAGATGTAACAACTGAAGAACTTGCGAGTAGCGCAGAAGATCAGCAAAGCCTTCCGAACCTATCAGAGGCGACTCTTGCAACACAAGAGGTAACCTTGCCGGCATCTGAAGCCGGTGAGTCAGCAGCTGTAGAGGTTGATCAACAAGCAACTTCGGATGCAGTGGAGCCATCAGTGATAGAGACAGATGCAGAGCGGCAGATCGCCCCGCCCTCGGTCTCTGCAGCGGAGGATCTACCACTGCTGGAGAGCAATGCGACAGAGGAGGCGTCCGGCCACGCAGCGGCCACCGCGGATGCTACGGCCGTAGAACCTACCGCATCGTCTCAATCACTGCCAGAAGCAGGCCAAGATTCCAAGGCATCTGTTACCGTCGAGCCTGTGACTGAGGCCGTCCCTACAGAAGCCACAGCTCAATTTGCTTCGCAGGCAGCAGATGAAGAAGCCACAGCCGCAATCCCTGCAATTTCTGAAGACTCGGCTGCTGCCGCTGCCGCCTTACCATCGACAATATCCGGTACAAGCGATGGGTCGGTGAAGCCGAGCGAGGACGTCAGAGCGGCGGTGACATCAGAGTCGAGCCAGACAAAGACAGCTCAAGGAGGAGGTGAATCGACAGATTCCACAGAACCGACCAAGCAGGCTGCCGAATCGCAATCCGCTGCCACGCAGAAGGAAGCACCGACTTCGTCCGAAAACAAGACCCCCTCGAAAGAGGAAGCTCGCGTTTCCCTAGTGCTTTCCGTCAATCAAGAGCTCATCAGGCTTTGCGTTGATCTACAGGACAAGAGCGCTTCTGCCTCTGCCCCGCCCGAGACGATGCTCCGTGATATCTCACATCGCCTGCAGACCAATCTGGCTTTCCTCGCCAGCATGGCGGACAAGGGGCGCAAGGCAAATGCTGAGACGGTCAACTTGGCTATCCCGCGGCTTGACATGTTCCCTCATGCCTCCTACCGGAGTGATCTAGAGAAGCTCTCGCCGAATTCAACTCTACCGAAGCTGTATACCCAGATGGCTCAAGCCTTTGCGGGCCTGACTCGGCCCGTTGCGCCCGGCTTCGGGGGAGGACCACCGTCTGCCGCTGCTGGCTCTACTGCGAACTCACCCGGCCCGGAGCGCAAGCGCAGCCGCGATGAGAGCATTGAAGGTGCACGCAAGAAGCCCGCGCTACCCAATGGGCATCATCTCCCGAGGAGCAGTGCGTCTCCTGCCCCCAATGCTGGTGTAGGGTTTGCCAATCCCTTCGCTAATGGTACTCCGCCTTTGGCCACACCGCCTATCAGGGGCAGTCCGGGGTCAGTTGGCTCAATGTCTCACCCTCAACAGTCTGCAATTGCGACACCTGCTCGCCAGTCTAACGCTGAGCAACAACCTGCCGTCTCTCCCAGCAACCAGCTCCCTCCGGGAATGTCACCACAACAAGCTCAAGTGCTGATGCAAGCCTTTGGGCCTACTGCCCTGAGCACCTTCTCCTTTCTGCAGAGCTACCTCAGGAGCCCGCAATGCAAGCCGCAATTCGCTGCTCTACCACTTGCGGTCCAGATGCAACAAATTGCGGGGCTTGCTGCACAACAGAAGCAGCGGCTCGCAATGGCTGCTTCACAGCAGCAGCAGCAGCAGCAGCAACAGCCGCCAAATCAGCAGCTCACCGACTCGCCCATTGGACAACAGCAGATGCAGCACAACGCTCCTGGTACCACACCTTTTGGAGATTCTCGTCGGCAAGCTCCATTCCATGCCTCGTCAGCTTCTCCTTCGCAGAGTCACGCTCGCGCCTCGCCTGGAGGAGGCTTCATGCCACCCCCGCCACATCCTCAAAGTATGGGCATGCCTAACGGGATTGGTCATCATCCTGGTCAAGCTCAGGCACAGGCGCAAGCGCAAAGACAAGCCTCGGCAGATTTGGGGAGGAGCTCGCCAGCTTCGATGGGACGCGGTGGTGGGGGTGGAGGTGGGGGAACAAATGCCTCTAGCCCAGCTTCCATGCTGCGACAGTCATTCGGAGCCGGAGGAGCGCAGACCCCACCACCGCCCGCGACTGGTCACACTCATGTCTTCAACCCTTTTGCAGCCACTGGTCATTCTGACGGACAAGGGGCTGGAGGTCATGCGGGCAGCATGGCTGGCTCGATGCTACCGCCCAATGGTGGCATGAGCTACAATGGTGGAGCTGGTGGGCCGAACTTGAACACCAATGCCGCAATGATGATGGCAATGGCCCAGCAGCAGCAGCAGCAAGGCATGCCCGGGTACCCGGGAGGCATGAACCCGCAAGCTTTTCTCGCACAACAGCAGCAGCAGGGACGTCAAGCTCCCCCCGGCCAAAACGGGCAGGGAGGAAGCGAAGGTCTCTCCACCTACCAGCAACTGGCGCAATTCCTCAGCCAATCACAGCAGCACCAACAAGCAGCCATGACTCAACATCACCTCGGTGCAAATGCCATGGGACCTCCGGGTGGCAATACTCCGGGTGGCGGCGCGGGCGGTTATGCTGCCCTGAATGGAGGCAGTGCCGGCCTTGGTTCCGGTATGGGAATAAATGGCTCTGCCTCGGCTGGCTTCGACTCGCTACCGCCTCATATGCAGCAGTTCCTCGCTCAGCAACAGCAGATGCAGCAGCAGCAGCAGCAACAACAACACAGTGGCACTGCAAACGGCAATGGCAACGGGGGTATTGGCGCAGGCGGCGCTGGTGGTGGTGTGAACAATTGGTCTGGAGCCAATGCCAGTGCCAACCCAGCTGCTTTAATGCAGAGCCAAGAGAATCCACAGGGCTACTACCCAAATGGCACCTCCTTTGATCCCTCAAGCATGCTTTCTGGCGGACAACAACAGCAGCAGCAGCAGCAATATGGCGGCGGTGGCGGTAGTGGAGGCGCAGGTGGGATCAATCCACAGGCATTGAGCGGGGCAATGAGAGGTGGACAGGGACAGGCATGGTCCCAACAGACGCTTTGGGGCGATGGAGGAGCAGCGGCGGGGAGTAGTGGAAATGGAGGAGGTTGAAGGGCGTAGGACGCCTCATTGGATCACAGAATCAAAGCAAAAGTAAGGCAGACAGCACCTCGCACGCATCTAGTGCCATTATCCCCTCCTCCCCTCCCCTTCTCTGCCACGACTGGAGACGAACACCCTCCCCCTCCCTCCTCTACTCCCCTTCTTCGTCTTCTGATCTTTTCTCTTCCTCGTGTAACAATAATTTACCCATCAATTGACAAGTGGCAGGATGCCTTGAAAATTCGTGCTATGCTACAATGTATATCGAATACCGTAGGGTACTCTACTGCTACCTTCTAACCTCGTTGTCCCTAGAGGATGAAGAGGATCTTGCAGGCACCAACCAGGCCTTGATCTTCTTGACGATCCCTTCGCCGAGGAAGGGAGTCACATCGTCCTTTGCGCCCCTCTGCCTCGGTCGGCCATCCTCATCTGCCAGGCCCTTGTTGACAATACCGTCCTCGCCATCCCCTCCCCCACTGCCAGTCCGCTCGAGGGCGCTCCCCTCATTGTCAGCCTTGGAGAAGAGACTGCCCAGTCCCCATCCCTTTCTCCCTCCCGCAGACCCATTGACATTATCATCCTCGATTGGATTTCCCCAAATATCAAAAGTCGCACTAGAGGGTGAGCCAAAAGCTCCAGCTGGAGCAAATGCACTTTCACTACCCTTTCTAGCCTTTCTACCAGTCATTTCCTCCCACGTCTCTTCTAAACCTTGTGCAATAACTTGAATGCTTTGATCGTAACACTTTTGCAATTCTTCTTCTCTGGTGAGCATTCCCCTTCTAGCAGAAGGAGGACAGAGGAAATTATGGCGCTTGAGGGTATTGTTCATGTCCTTGATCGACTCTTCGTGGTAGCCACGCTCGATGGATTGCCATTCCCCTCCGTCGCGAAAAGATTTGGCGAGGGAGAGAAAGTAGGACCGTCGCTGCTCGTCTGTTCCTGAGGTGCCGGTGCCAGGTCCGTCGCTGGAGGAGAGGGCGCCTGATTGGGTAAGGGCTCGAACAGCCTTGCGCGAGTAGGAATCGACGATCTTATTGCGGAACTGATCCAAGTGGGTGTAGAATGTGTGGTTGAGCTCGACCCAGGGAGGAGAAGCGCCTTGTCGTTTGACCATCCTGTTCATGAGAAACTCCTCTTTGCCAATGTAGGGGTTGCGCTCTTCGATGTCCTGCAGGAGAGGTTTACCTCTCAGCTTGTTCTCCTTGAAGAAGCCAGCAGCTCGAGCCGCCTCTATCCGCTCGTCTGCTATGGAAGTCCAACGTCGTACGGACATTCCGCCTCCACGCCCTCCTCCGCCTCCGCCGGGAGCTCGACTTGAGTCCACCGAGTCAGGAAGATTGCGGCTCATCGTCGTGGAGAAGCCGCCTTCGTGCTGGTCCTCTTCCTCGCCTTCCAACCTCCGCCTCTCTCTAGACCTGGCCGACTCGGCCTCAATCTCTGCTTGGAACAGCTCGATCTCTGTTGCGGTGAGCTTGCGGGTGCGATACTGCAGCGCGCCATACTTGGCTCCATACACCCTTCCAGCCTTTTCGAAGCGACGAATTCCTTCCCGAACAGCTCTCATCGCCTTTGCATCGTCCAGTGGAAGAGAAGCAGGATTCACACCCAGGTCCTTGAGACGCTGCGAGGTCGACTTCATAGAACTGCCAGAAGCGCCGGCCTGCAGCAGCTTACCATAATACACCGCAGGGCTGCCAGAGCCTTCGGCGCCTTCGCCTCCTCTCGTTCCAGCATGGGCGGGGCGGATATATTGAGCTGCCCACGGTTTCCCTTCAGGCGTCTTTGGCAGAAAACGCCCATCTTCGAACGTACCCAGCGCTGGAACGTGCACCTCGGCCGTGACAGACGAAGAATCCGTCGGCGAGGGGCCAAGGGAGGAGGTCGATGGCTGGCGCGGCGGCGGAGCATCCGCTGCAACTGCCGCCTGAGCTGCTCCGACTTGTTCCGCCTGAGCAAGAGACTCAGCAACGACTTGACTGACTGCTTCTTGTGCCAGAGCAGGTGTTGTCGGTGGAGGTGGCGGCGCTGCTTTGGCGAAAGGTCTAGGCGGCGGTGGTGTAGCTGGGGGCGTGTACCTCTCCTCAAGAGCTTTGATCATGCGAGCCTGCAAAGAATTTGGATCGAGCTCGCCTTCTTCTCCTTGAGTCACAGCGCTCCCAGCCTGGTCATCGCGCTGCTGGAGGCGAGCTGACGACCGTAAGGCTCGAGAAGTGTGGCGAGTCGAGGTCGTTGCCACTTGCCGAAATGTGGCAATGGCAGCGCGAGACGTGCTTGCCGCTGCGAGGGAGTGTGGTATCCGCGGCATCAGGAGTGGAATGGGGAAGAGTAGGAAGGGAAGAAGAGGAGGTAGAGCGAAAAGGGTCCCAAGCAGTGTGCAGGTAGATGGTAGGAAGGATGCCTTTGAGTACAGCGTCTCCACCCAAATCATTGGGAAGCCGGGCCCTTTCGGATAAATTGCCCGCCGAGGTCCGAAGCTTGACGTGCGCCCAAGCCACCATCGGGGGCGGAACGTGTTAGGGGTCGATGGGCACCTCCTTCTTACCATTGTATCATACCATCATCCCCTTCTCAAGTCTTCGACCTGATCTCTGTGCCCGTGCCATTGACTGTACATGCGATGCCGTGAGCGAAATCATCCTCAGACGCTCCCTGTGACCCCGCCACCGAAGGGTGATACCCTGTTGCGGCTACTTCGCAACATTACTCGCGTCCGAGCAATAACGCGCCAATCAAGATGCCTCGTCTGACCAAAACCAAGGCCAAGGAGACTGGCAGCGCCGTCTCCTCGAACAGAAGCTCTGTCTCGGGAGCCTCGCATCTCAAAGGCGATGCTGCCCACGAGGCATCATCGTCATCCCCGAGCTCGGCCGGTCCCCTCACCAAGGCGGCACTAGAGGTCGTCCGCCAGATGCTGCTATATCTAGACCCTGCCGCCGCTTCGCTGCTGCCCGTTGATGAGATGTCGGCCACTCGCAGTCTCCACGTGCCAATACCGATCTCTGAATGGAATGTCCTCTACAGCACCCCTGCTTCATCTGCACCTTCCGGCTCGAAAGACACCTCATTCAAGCCTTCCATTCAAGTCCTGTCATATCCGACTTCCGAGCAAAACCTCTTCTGCGTTCGAAGTGTCCTGCCTGACATTTCAGCGCGGCAATTCTGGACTTTGATGGCCGAGAGTGGCAACAGGCATTTGTGGGACACCACTACCCAAGAGGGAGGCAATCACCGCTTCTTTTCTTCCGAGCTGCCATCCGAATCACCGGAGCATACCCTTGCCCACAGTCTGGCAGCTAGGTTAGAGTACCTGAGATTCGGCTCCATCTTCATGGTCGCCAAACCTCGTGATATGGTGCTTCTATCTGCCGATGTGAGACTGCCCCCCACCAGCGCATCAGCCCTGCGACTCGTGTCCGCTTGCAGGAGTGAAGTCGATCCTGCTAAGCCCCCCGTGAAAGGGTACACCAGGTACGACCTGGGCGTCGGAGGCTTCATGGTTGAGGAGTTGGGGACTGATGGGACTACCTCGACTGCAAGGACAGGCAAAGCCTGTCAAGTGACCCAACTCTCCAATCTTGGGTCCGCTGCCTCGTGGGTCCCGGCTTCTGTCGTGAAAATGGTAGCACAGACAATGGTGCCCAGATCGGTTGCACTTATCTCGAAAGCTGCCATTTCAATCACCGTACCGGAGCCCCTTCGGACAGGAGTCGTCCCAGACGATGTAGATCCCAAAGAGGAGATCGTACACAAGGGAAGGGAGCGATGGAGCAAGGCGAGAATATTGCCCAGCCAGGTCGGTGAAGGCATTCTGGGTCGGAGCAGACCAGAGCCGCAATCTACGAAGCCTGGGAGGCCTACGCAAGGGTCTTCCCAGGACGAGCTCCCGGAAACTTCTGTTGCGGCAGCCGCATCGACGACTGATGTGCCCACACCCACTCCACCTGCGGCTCCTGAATCCATGTCCACACCCTTAGCCGATACTAGACACATCTCCGTTGTCGAAGATCCTGCAGGCGCAAGACCGCCTCTACAGAAGAGCCACGCGACTGCGAGATCTTCAGCCTCGCCTTCGACTGACAATACGGCGACGACTGAGCTTTGTAGCACGAGGAGAAGTAGCAGCACTCAGAGCGGCTCGACTCTTGCTTCAAGGGTATCGCTGGCAGAATCAGATGGTGCGAATTTTGATACAGAAGTCACTGCCTCTTCACAAGATACATCTATGGCGGAGAGTCGGAATCTCTCTGTTGCCTCCAAGGCGAGCCAAGAGCGCTTGCGCCTCCGAAACGGGGATGAGGTTGGTCAACGCCTGAATCGCATCTCGATGGCCTTGCAAGCCAAGTGCAGTGAAGAGCAAGACATGAGCTTCAGTCCGCCCACCCCAGCAGCGAGCCATCTGAGAGGAAGCATAGCTATCACTGAAAGTCCTGAAGGGCAAACGGCTCATTCGAGATCTGCGAATGGCGACGACCAGGACGAGGTCAATGAGCTGGTAGCAGAGGCCCTCTCTATCTCTCTCAGCTCTCCTCAATTGCAGTCTCACTTTGCTGCCTACTCTCCGGATCGGTCCACCACTCGGCAACTATCGCCCTCCCTTCTTCGCTCTCCAGGAGCTAGAGAAGCGAGAAGAGAGGCATCTGAGCTCAGCGCTATCCTGCTTGCTGGGTCCGACGCTCTCATCTCTGCACTTGCCCCTGGAGCTAGAGAAAGGCTTCCCGATGGTGACAGTGGGGCAATGACACAAGCTGGACCTCTACGCAGAGAATCTTGCTTCTCTTCGCCTACAAGAGGCCGTGAGAGACCGGTTACACTCTCCAATGCATCTAGGTCGTCCGCAGCCACATCGCGTTCTTCGGCTGTGACCCGCAGGAAGAAGAGTGTCCGTCCAGCATTGGCGAGCTCCGCCTCCTTCTCTCGTGCTATTACGCAGACAACTTCCGCGCACGCCCTTCATTTTCCCGGCTCGCAGGACACGAGTCTAGAAGAAGGTGGGCGAGACGTGGCTATGACTTCCTGGAAGAATGCACTCAATTCGACGCCCTACGCCCTAGAGCTGGGGAAGATGGCCATGCTTTGGACAAGCGAGGCGTCTCAGGCCGGCAAGTCTCCTTCTCCGGGCAGGGGCGCTGAAGAAGCTGCGCCTCTGCCCTCTTTGCCCTCCTCGCTGCACGGAGCTTCACCTGCAGTAAGAGCTCTACGATCTGCCTCTGGTTTTGGCAGCGGGAGGCTCAGACCACCAACCCCGGGAAGGTCCTTCTCTTCTCCTGCGCACCAGACTGCTTTCGCCTTCTCATCCACTCCCACTGCCTCCTCCTCGCGAATCAACTGTCAGAGCAGTCTTGAGACAGGTGACTCGCTGAGACCTTCTGTGCGTATACCTGCTCCGGAGAGCGAGAGGCGCAAGGCTTCCAGGGAGAATTACAAGGATAACCCAAAGTTGATGACGAGTCCTGTACTCGGATGATTCTCTTCTCTCTTTCGTAAGAGAGGTCGAGCAATGGTTTTTTCGGGTTGTCTTGTCCCGTCGTGAAGGGCAGGCAAGAGAGGACAATTCCTGCACAAAATGATACCCCCAGCTACGTCCACTGATTGTCAATAGTGCTCCATAGGAACGGCAAAGATGAGATCTGATCTGATATTGATGATGCACGTGACAGAGACGATGATGTAGGCAGCGTGATATGATACAACAGTACAAGCTAGTCCTCTCGGGGACCTCCATGCCCTTCGAGACCACTGAGATCCCATCATCCCACCCAGCCTTCGTGCTCACGTTCACTCATCCTCCTCAGCCTGCTCCACCTCTCCCTTCCACGCCCGTGCAAACTCCTCGATGCCTCTGCCATTGGAGACGTCTACCACATCTCGGGGAATCATGTTGCTCGCGTACGTGGGGAAACTTTGTGAAGATTGGGCCTGTGAAGTGAGAAGGCGCAAAGGTGGGAGGAGACGATGTCGCCGTCTTTGTACTGCTGAGGCTGATGACGCTGAAGCTGAGCTTGAATCATTCATCTGGAGTGACGCAGGAGCAGGATTCGAAGTTGGAGACCAAGGACGATAGTGCGTTGTTGGCGGTCGACCATCGGTGTAGATACGGATGAAGGGCTCCCCACGTGGATCGGGTGGACCGTCATCCTCGTCAGAGGAGGAGATTCCAGTGTCTTCATCTTCTTCTCCTTCACCCTCATCCCTGAACTCGTCCTCGTCCTCGGTAGACGACCTCTGGACGGCAGACGCTCGCCCGTTCAACAGCACTGCGCTACTCGGATGATCACGCTTCCAAGCTCTCGTAGCTAGAGCTTCAAGCTCGTCCCAATCCCAGGAGAGAGCGTCAGTCCGTGGCAGGTAGGGGTTCACATCCATCAGGAAGACCCTCGATCGATCGCGGGTGAAGTAGGCATCCCAGATATAGTCTTGTAGGCCCTCTCCTGCACCTCCTGTTGAACCGGATTCATCACTCGCCGCGCTGCCACCTTGCTTTCCGATGACCCCTTTGAGATTCTCATGCCAGAAATTGAGTAGCTTTAGCCGGATGTCTCTACTCGTAGAGTCCGCTTGTAGGAAGTCGTAGTATGTGCCATCTCTTTGGCAGATTGCCACAAATTGTCCAGCTCTTACAAAGCATCGAAATTCGTGAGAGGGAGCAACGACAAAGTGCCGCTTCAGGACGAGATTGAGCTTGAGGTCATTGGTCGAGGCGACAGGGGCAATCTGAGCTGTAGCGAGCTGCAGACTCTCCACCTCTTCCACCAAATCATCTTGTCCTTGACCTCCTGCTTCAGAACTATTCACACCGTTGATCTCATCCCTCTGCAGCAGATCTTTGCCCACGAAATCGCTCGACTTGAGTAGCAAGTACACATCAGCTGGTGTGGTACACTTGAGCGTCTGACCAGGCAGGATCCAAGCGGCATCCCGAGGAGCAGACCAGTCCAGCTTCGGAAACACTTCCCCGTCGTATTTGTTTATGACCTGCCGGATCCGCTCGTCCAAGACGGAGAAGTCTCGAGGCTGCAGATCTTCCGAGCTCGAAGAGGAGGCATCGTCCCGCTCTCCATCTGCGTCTTCTACCTCTTCTTCGTCCTCTTCCTCTTCACCTCCCACGACACCTGCACCGCTACCACGAGGGAGGATCAGCCCATCCTCTTCGAGCCACTCGAAGAAGTCTGGTTGGATTGTGGAGACGTCGAGAATCGTGGCTTTTGGTGAGACCTTGCGCAGTGGCGGGTACCAGGATGAGAAGCGGCAGGCGGAGAGAGAGGCTGCGACGGGCGTCAGTGGCGGGAGAGGGTGCGAAGACGCCGAGGAAGAAGCTGAAGATGACGATGTGGTCATTGTGGAAGTTGGGACCGGCATGATGGTGATGCCCAACGGTCAAGAAGAAGTGACAAGTGGTAGAGGAAGCGCTCCAAAGATTTATCCCCGAGTCAGCAGGTGGAGCTTCTCCGCCTTTCCGCCTTTTGCAGAAGCAGCGACAGCAACGTCTTCTTCTTCGGCCGAGTAGAGAAGAGCAGCAAAGCACACCAGATCATAGCAAGACTAGAGCAACAGCAGCCGCAGCAGTAGCAAGAGCAGTAGCAATAGCAGTCACGCTCGAAGAGAAGCATGCCAGTCGATGCTCCGCCGCAAGCTCTCATCAATCATGGCCGGTTGCTGCTTCTGACGCAGTACTCTTCCCGCCTGCCACCCCGCTCACCGCGCTTCCTCTGGCCTCCGCCTCGGCTTCTCTTGCATATCCAGCCTTTTCTGGCAGCTGATCTGCTCGGCTTAGACGACGACGGGGAAGAGACAGGTGATGCGACGCACCGAGCTGAGGTGGCATATCAGAAGAGCTTTCTCAAGGAGCTCATCAAACGGATTGAGGAAGCTATACAAAGGGCAATCGAGGATGGAGCGGAGCGGGATGACTGGGTGAGTGTGCTCCTACACACCGATTAGATGGGTTCGAGGATGCTCATAAGTTCTGCATTTACCTCTGCACAGGAAGTGGAAGATCTCTTGTTGTCTCACTATGCCGACCTCATGGCAATGCCGTCTACTTCTTCGGGCGCTGCTGTCGGTGGCAGCGACCCAATGGAGAGTCTTTCAGCTGCTCTGCCGTATACCAATCATTCCACCCCTTTGGAACGACATCTCTCCTACTACTACCCATTGCGGCATCCCCAAGAACACGGAGCACACAAAGATTTGATATCTGGCTGGGATCAAGTACATCTCTACGAGTCATCAGCTCTGGTCGGAGCAGGGACCACCGCTCTCAAGACGTGGGAGGCCTCGCTCCGGCTAGCTTCACACGTCCTCTGCAACAAATCCGAATTCACTGCGCCTGGTGCAAGGGTTTTGGAGCTGGGAAGTGGGACGGGCTTGCTGAGCGTTGTGGTTGCGGCTGTTCAGAGAGAGGCAGGCAAAGGTGGCAGACTGTGTGCCACAGACTTGCCAAGCATTGTGAGGGGGAAGTTGAAGAAGACTTTCGAGCATAGTGAGTAGCCCCAGCAAAGTACCGTTCCGGGGAGTCCCTGCAGCTCATCTCCACATACTCCTTGACCCCCCAGACGATGTGACCACATCAACCACAGCAGACACAGACGTCCAACTGCTCGATCTAGACTGGGTGGAGCTCGAGCATGAAGTCAAGGAGGGCAAAAGCCAAGACGACCCGTCCTCAGCCAGCAATGGTCAAGCATCGCCTACTCAAGCCCTGGCGGCCTTCGCCCCAAATCTGATTTTAGGCGCAGACATCATCTTTGATCCTTCCATCATCAGCCCTTTAGTGACCACTATCAAATGTGCCCTGGAAGCTGGAGCAGCAAAGAGTAGGGCACCTTCTCCTCAGGCTCTCGTCGCCAGCACGGTGCGCAATGTGTCGACTTACTCCCGCTTCCTGGCATTGCTCGACGCGGCCGGTCTAGTGTCTGAAGAGGTCGAATTGCAGAGGTGTGTGGTCGAAGCGCCAACCTACGGCCAGCTACCAGAACGGACGCCTCCCATCGTGGCTTTCTCATCAGGTCACGACGAGCAACGTGAGGGTACCGTCAAGGGTCTGAGGATCCGCCTGCCCTCATAGGACGCGACGATTCGGCACAAAAACGGGACAAAGGCAGGCGGACCGGCACGCGTCTCTCGCGCCTTGACTTCGCGGGGCGTCCACTTTACACGACACCAGGTTCAAACTCCGTTCGTGTCGCGACTGGAATTGCTTCCCCTTTAGAAGAAGGGGCCTTCCTGGTTCTCTTGCTGCTCTTCCCTGCATCCCATAGCCATCACCGACCTTATATCCTCCCCTGTCCTTTCCTGTAGCACTTGTTTCGTCTCTTCTCATTGTCTCCACATCATACCCAAGCCCACAAGTCAACGACGTCCTTGTCTGCATCACCTCACCTACGCTCGTTGTGCCGGACTACTCGCTTCCCCGATTCACGACACACCTTCCTGCCTCTGCGACCTTTGACGAGATGGGAGCCCCCCATGAGCAGCACAGCTCAAGGCCTGCTGCAGTTCCAGTTGTGCTACGCGCTGCAGAAAGCTCCAGCAAGAGATATATCACAGTACTGCCGCCCACACTGGATGTGAGTAGAGCGTCACCCGGGCCTTCATCTCCTCCGTTTCGCCTGCTGCACGCGTCCCACGAAGGCAATGTCTGACTCTTCCCTTTCCTCTTCTTCTTTGCTCTCATACAGGCTCTACTGCTCAAGGCTCGCTCCCTGTTTCCAGTTCCACCCGGCAACACGCCCTACATCACACTGGACCAAGATGAACAGACGGTGATCCTGGAAGACGCCCTACCCTTCCTACGCGAACGCGAGGTCCTCGTCTTCCGATGGAGTCCAGACACTCCACGCAAATCTCACGGGAAAAGCGTCAAGTGGGACAGCAGTGTTGCCGATGCTCAGAAGAGTGCAGGTAGCTCGACTCCCTCCAGCTCCAGCTCGCGTTCCAACAGGGCTGGAGCGCCGACTTCGACAGCTGATGCACAAGCTGCGGGACCGTCCTCTATTGCCGGAGGATCCACAAGGTCAGCATCGACTTCATCGACCACATCAAGTCCACAGACGCAGCTTACACAGGCTCAGCAACATCGCGCTGCTCACGCGCGACGCGTTCTAGAGGAACAAAGGCGAATTCAGGAAGAGGAGCAAGCAGAAGCCGCTCGTCAGAAGGCAGAGGAGGAGGAAGAGAGACGGCTCGCTGAAGAAGTAGGAGCTGAAGAGCGACGAAAAGCTGAACAGGCCAGGAAGGATGAGGAGGAGAGGGCTGCCGAGGAGGCGAAGAGGAAAGAAGAGGAAGCATTGGCTCAGCGGGCTCGACTCGCCGAACAGCAGGAGCAAGAGCGCTTAGCGGCTGAGCAGCAGGTGAAGGAGATGGAGCAGAGCTCTGATCAACAGACGGGCGAAGCTCACAGCTTTGGAGCTGCGACGCCTTCACGACAGCAAGAGCAATCTCTCGACACAAGGGTACTCTCGCCCACTGATCTCGAAGCATCGGGATCGAGCCCTCCTCCATACTCCTCTCCACGTAAGCCTGCTCTCGAGCGCGAGGTCACGCCAACAATTCAAGACGACAACGACGAGGACCACATTCAGTCATCCCCTCTAGTGGCTAGCCCGACTCGGGAGGTGCACGCCGCTGTCGCCAAGGCTTCGATGAGTCCTCACGGAGACAAGCTCGTCGCTGGCAGGAGTCCCGTTAGCGTTAGATGCATCGAGGACGAGGGTGCGGAACAAGAGACTACAGTCCACGACATCGTGATGCAAGACAGTGTCAGGGAGGAGCAGGCGCAATGCGGTGTCGAGCCCATCTCCCTCACCACCGAAACCAGCGTAGCCGCAGATATGGCCACGGGGACACCCGCCGACGAGCCTGCAGTGGCTGTAGATGCTCCCATGGACTCGACTGTTGCACAGGGCAAGGCCGAAGAGCTCACTAACAAGTCATTGCCCGCTTCCCCTGTCCAGGATGCAGCACGAGCACAGGTGGTAGAGCAGACTGATGCAGTATACAAAACAATGCGGTCCGTTGTGGACAACCTCCGCAATCACCCCGGCAACACTGCCTTTAGGGATCCGATGCCGCTCGACTACGCCTCCTTTGCCGAGTCGAGTCCTGACGGACGAGGACCGATCGATTTGTACATCATCCTCTCCCGGATCACCAAGCGAGAGTACGGTGCCAGCGACGCTTCGCCCGGCCCTCTCGAGGCCTTCACCTCGGACCTGAAGAGGATGTGGTCTCTGGCCCGCTCGTTCTATGGACCAAAGTCGCCACAGGGCCAATGTGCTGCCCTCTTGGAACGATTCGCAGAGGTAGTCATTGCTGAGTGGAAGCTTAGACCAGCACATGCTATCAAGTCGACTCCGACGCACGATGCCGCCGGACGAGGTGTCGCAAACGTGTCTGGAGGCAAGAACAGCAAGTCTGGCAAACATGGTGGTGCAGCTGATGACAAGGAGGCCGCTAGGAGGAAGGCTGCAGCGCTCATGGCATCCTGGAACAGCAGCATTGGCGCTGCTGCCATGGGGGCCAGTCCCACCTCGCGAGGAGAGAAGCGGGGTATCAATGGTGGCGACGAAGATGTCTTCAACTCTCGGCTGGCTGGCGGTAGGGCCCTGCCTTTCCAGCGGAGACCTGCGAAGCAGCAGCGCACCAATAGCTCGTCAGGGGAGAAGGCGGTAGACATGATGGCCTTCCACCGAGCTATTATGGGCGAGAAGGCGCCTCTCCCTGGCAATGTCGCTACAGCTGTGCCAGTTGCTGTGCCGGTTGAAGTCGTTGTACCTCGCAGCGAGAGGCAGCAAATCGCCCCTGTTGAGGAGGAGGCTGAGAAGGAGAACACCTCCCCAATTCCTAGCCCCATTGCACCAGCAAGCAAGGAGATGATCGTCGAAGAGCAAGCAAGGGACGAGGAGCAAGAAGTCGCGCCTATCGTTGTGGCAGATGACACTGTCGAAAGGTCAGTCTCCGACAACACTACCTCTCCTTCCTCTCTACCTTCTTCAATCATCGACTCTTCTTCTTCCTCGTCGACCGAGGCATCTACCTCCGCTGCTACTACTGACTCGAGTCCGGACCTTCTCTCTGCGGCTCCCTCTTCTGCTACCGTCGACGAAGTCACCATCGCTTCATCTCGACCACAAAGGAGGCGCAACCCTACTCGATCTTCAGGCATCATCGAATCGCCGCGTCCACTCGTCGTGGGCAAGTCAACGGTGACGGACAAGGCGAACAAGAGGACTCGAAGGGGGGCTCAAATGGAGGTACAGGAGGTGCAAGAAGCGGCTGCACAGCCCGCTGTTGCCGATGGGCCCTCTGAGGTCGTTGCAGTTACCGTGGAGCAGGAGTCAAACGCGATGGAAGTCGATGTCGTTGCCCCTACAGAGGCGGAGATGTCCGCCCCGCTCGAGGCTCAAGAGGTCCTGACAATGGCAGCAGAGTGTGAGCAAGTTCCTCAAGCATCCCAAGCAGCCGCAGCAGAGCCCGATTCCCTGGCGGTCGCAGAAGTAGAAGCGGCAATCGCAGCAGCGACGGCGACGGCGACGGAGGTGGAGGCGAAGACGGAACCGGTGGCAGTGTCAGCAGCGGCAGCTACACACCGTAGACCTCGTAGGACGTTTAGTGGATTGGCAGCAAGTATCACTGGCGCTGGAGCGGCCTTTATCTCTAGTGCGACGGCTGCTTTCGCTAATTAGGCCGTGCGAGGGGGCGAGCCAAGGGGCATTAGTGGCATCAGAAAGAACCAAGGCATGGGAGAAAGGGGGAAAGAGAAAAGAGAGAAGCATTGATGATACTCGCTGTAGCTATTGATACATACAATCTAGTCAACCTCATTCATCACAATCAACACGCCCGTCTGTCTGTCCGTCTATCCCACCCATCAGCCGCATCTGACCCAAAGCCTATCCCTCCATTCCCTTCCCTGAATCCTGCTACTGCCGCTCCTCAATCCTACCCAGCAAGACCTGCATCCTCTTTCCCAAGTCGGGTTGCCCGCCTTTGCGACTCTGCGCTCTCGATCCGCCTTTTGTAGTCGAGTTCCACATCTCCTGGCGCTTCTTGCGCGCCTCGACCGCTTCTTCCCTGGTGCGATGGGGTCGGGGAGCTGGGGAGGCTGGAGCAGACGTTGGCGCTGAGGAGGGATTCGACTGCCCAGTGCTGAGAGGATGACGAGCAGTGGAGGTTTCTCCAGGTCTCGCGCGTCTGCGATCACCTCCCCTTCTGCCCTCAGCGTCAGAAGGAGTAGGCGCAGGACCCGCCCGATCCCTTCTCCTCGCCCTCGGATCCTCTCCTTCTCGCCTCCTTGCAGAATCAATTGACGGTCCCCGCTCTTCTTCTGTTTCCTCTTCTTCTCTGGCAAATCGACCCAGGTCTGGCTTCTGGAAGAAGGGGGAGGGAGCGGTGCGCGAAGAAGGGCCAGCGCGTGATCGTCTCGGGGCTGATGATTGCTGTCCCTCGTTATCTTCTTCGTCGTCTTCTTCACCGTCGTTGACTTTGTCATTGGCGCGTCCTTTGCCTTTGCTGTCTGCAAATTCGTCTTCCCCTGCAATGGACTTGAAGAAGCGCTTCTTTGTCTTGGCATTGGCGATTAGGTTGGCCTTGATCTTCTTGGCTGTTGGCGTCAGGAGAAGGCATCGGTGCCGCGAGCGTCTGGTCAGCTTGGCTAGTATGAGTCAAACTCTTCACACAGCAGAAGGGTTCAACTCACCTTTGCCCAAGTAAGCACCATCAGGAGCGTGCGAAGGCCCGACCTTGAAGCCGCCCCTACCACCCCCTCTACCTCCGCCTCTTCCTCCCGGGCCACCACCTCTTGCGCCACCACGACCTCCACCATTGCCGCTACCGTGAGAGGGCGTGAATGGCTTGTGTGTCTTGTGTTTAACCACCGACCTCTTTGACTTGTCGAAGCCGGCCATTGTGATCCTTGTGAGCGCGGACGAGGGTAGGGATTGATGGATGGGTAGCCCCGTTCCCCACTTCTTGTCGGGACGGAAACGGCGTTGGGAATTTAATTTTTCACGCCAGACGGAAAGGCGCGAGATGAGACGCAGGGCGCTGCACACCTCAAGTGGAGACACCCGCCCGGCCAGGCCTGGGCCAAGGAGAGACCAACACCTTCCCACGCCCAGAGGCCAGTCACTGAGGATACCATACCACTTCCAGTATACCCGCCAACAAGGCCCCGCAGTAGAGCTCGAGCTGAAGCTAAGCTGAGCTGGGCTGATCCCCGATACCACTCAGCCATTCTCCTACCTCACCACGAAGCCATGTCGCGTCCTCTCGCCTCTCCCTCGGCCTCGTTCCGGTACGGCAACCGCTCCGCGTACCCTCTCCCGCCGCGACGCGCCTCGTCCTACGCCTCCCCCACCACACCCGGTGGCAGTGCTCCTCGCGGCCAACCCCCGTCAGGTCCTCGGATCCTCGCCGCAGGAAAGGGGTCAGAATCTTTCGAGACACTCTCGGACTTCGTCCTTTCACTGCCTCACCCGCGATACTGGCCTTCGCTGCTGCTGAATTACTTTGTCCTGGACCCGCTTCGCATTCTCACCACGACGCTCCTAGCCCTCATCACCTCCCCACGCACACATCGAGTAGTCTTGCGGTTGAGTGTCCTCTTTGCTCTCTTTTGGACCTCGCTAATCCTCGCCATCTTTGCCTACATAGGCTTCTATCGGGTATGGGTACCCGATGTGGGCAGGTTGGATCAGGTGCACCTCGAGTATGGCAAGAGGGGTGGAGAGATGCCTTCTGCGCTGGTGCACTTGGGAAATTGGAGGGGAGCACAGGGAATAGGAGGGGAAGAGTGGTTTGCCGAAGAGCAGGAGTACGATGTCAGTGTGGAGCTGCTCGTACCTATTAGCACGGCTAACCTCGATCTAGGTGAGTAGGGGCTATCAAGTGTAGTGGGCAAGCGAGGGGCAAGTACCTCTGACCTCTGCCCTCCTCTCCTTTGCGATCCAAGGCAACTTTATGGTCTCCCTCACACTCTTGACCTCGGACAACGTCACACTCTTTCATTCCGCCAAGCCCACCATCCTGCGCCCTACAACGCCTCCGCTGCGCTTCCTCACTCAATTCGCCTCGCAAGTTTCCTCCAGACCCTCCATCGCCTCCTCTCCCGGGATGGGCGGCGTCGGAGCAGGTCCTGGCTCTTTCATGCTCCCACTCCCCTTCACTTCACCCTCCTTGGAGCTCATGACCGTCCGTCTCTTCGATCGAGTCGTACTACACCCCAGTCCGGGCTCCATCCCCTTCTCGGATCCGGCGGGGAGTCCCATACGGGGAGGAGCGCGGAGACGCATCTCAAAAGCCCTCGTGCGGGTCGGCAGGGACGATTCGGACAAATACTGGGTCTACGGCGGCGGTCACGGTGTAGGCGGAGTAGTCATGGGCGGCAATCCACTCAGTGAAGGACTGCAAGGTGGATTGGGTCAAGGCATGGTCCTCGCAACTCAGAACGGCGGGGCTTTCAGGAGCAGAGGAGAATTACAGACCGTCGGTGTTGGTCTACGCTTTGATGCTCGACTGACGGGTTTGAGGTACCTCCTCTACACGTATCCTATTCTTTCCTTTCTCCTCTTCACCTCTCTCTTCCTCGCCTTTGAGCTCATCTCGGCCCTCACACTCTGGACCATTGCCGCCGTCTACACATCGTCACTTCCAGGCTTGGGAGTCGACCTTGGTCCGGACAATCAGTTTGTTCCCTATCGCGATGGAGCAGACTTGGGAGGTGCAGACTACGGCTCAGCAGACGACCAAGACGAGGATGACGGGTCTTCTACTCCTCGCAGGCGAGGCAGAGCGGGAGCTACACCCGAGACGATCACTGCGACGCCTACGACTACTTCGAATGTCGATGAAGACGAGAATGGGGACGGGGACGAGGAGTCTGCTTCTTGGGAGGAAGAAGACACGGAGACGGAGCAAGGCTCCTCTACGGGCCCGGCGCAACTGCGCTCTCGGGCCTCGTTGAGAGACAGGGACGCCGAAGAGCGAAGGGAGGTGCAGTTGGCTGCAGAGGAAGAGGCGCGCAGGACGGGTAGACTCATGACTGCCGTCGCCGGCGGTGGTGAAGGTGGTGGTGGTGGTGGTGCTCGACCTGGAGGTGGAGACGATGACCTCCTTTCCCCAACTTACCGTCGCGTCCTTGGTCGGCTGGACGAAGAGACCGAGGAGGAGACGGACGATGTAGCCTCTGTATCGAGCGGCATGGGCAGTACGCTTTCCTCTTCTGGCACTGGTGCCGGCGCTGGCACCAGTCAACGAAGGGGACCTGCTGCTACTGCTGCTACTGCGAGACAAGGTGGTGCAGAGGAACAGGGAGAAGAGGGAAGTTCTTCCACCCCTGGAGGGTCAAGCGGGCGCATGGGTGAGGGCGAGGGTGACGATGAGTGGGAGGACGAAGGCGGGCAAGGAGAGGAGACGGTTCTGATCGAAAGTGGGAGGGAAGGAGAGCAGACCACCAGGGAGGGGCAAGAAATTCGGAGGCGTAAAGCTTTCGAGGAGGAAGACGACGAGGGCGGTGATGGGACAAGCACCATTGGTGGAGTGAGTAGACAAGGACAGAGCGTCGAGGAGACTCCTCTGGCGTGAGTACTGACTGATCGACCCTTTGATCTCCTCTGCCTACAGTCCGCAACGGATCCCTCCATTGCCTCTGGCTCACGCAGGAGCTTCGGCGCAACCACACAAGCCTCGACCTCTACTCGCCAGACGGGCACGACGGGTGGTGCAAGAGGTGGCGGGTCCGACTATTGAGCCATCCTGTTCTCTCTTTCTATCCCTCGAAAGTAGTCGTCATCGTCATGTTCTGTCGTCATTGTCGCCTAAGCACACCTACACACACGGCCCTGTTGGTTTTACAGATGTATGAATGTGACATTATACCAGGAAAAGGAAACAGAATGGAAGGCAAGAGAGGTGATTGCAGGTGCAGGTGCAGAGCGGTATCAGGGCAGATGTGGCTACTTCCTCTCGTAGAGATGGAGAGGTCACTGCCTCTGTTGAATACCACTCATTCTTGAGCTTGGTTGTACGAGCAGAGTGGCGTGAGATCCTACCTCTGTCCCTAGGCTGTCTCGGGCGCCAGTCCCCTCCCGATCATCTCATCGCCTAGCGTCCGGATCTATATAGCGCCATCTCCTCTCACCTCCGTCCCGCGACTGGCACGTCCTGATGTGGACCTACTCCACCACTAACACCACGTTGCTGAGCCGCTTGTTGTCCGCCTCCATTGCCATTGCTGCTCACTCCACCACCACCGCCGCTGGTCGATGTGAGTCCAGCTCCAACATTGACCTGCATCTGCTCTGCCACACGCTCCTGCCAACGATGCAGGACGGCGACTTCGTGTACGGGAAACCCAAAGATGCGAGGCTTATATCGTTCTACACCCTTGTGAATTGGTGGGCCACTCATCGCTGACGAGGCTGCTGCAGATCCGCTAGATGGTTGGTTCGAGTGTTGCGAGGGAGAAGGCAGGACGCCGCCTGCAGCCTGTTGTCCGCTTGCTGTCCCCGCGGCAGGCCCCATACTGCTACCGGCTGGCGAGAGGACCATGTTGCTGCCATTGTTGCGCTCAGCAGATGCCGAACCCTGCGATCGCTGATCTACGCTCATCGGTGACGCTTCGCCGCCATCTTCTTCCACTGCCAAGACGCCTCCACCGCCTTCGCCTGTACCTGACCGAGATCTTGGTGCCGACCGAGCGCCAGATGGCCCTGCTGCAGCGCCGTGTTGCTGTTGTTGCTGATTGGAGTGGTTGCTTGGAGGTGGGAGGAGGAAGGGTGATTGGGATGATGGAGACTTCGAGGGAAGCATGTGGGGGTATACCATGAACTAGAGGGCAAATGAAGTATGGGGAAGTCTGATCAGTGGCAGCTCGCCTAATGGCTTGCTTCAGTAGGACTCACTAGAAGATGGGGGAAGCTGCTACCGAAGAAGGCTCCATCGATTGTGCCATGCCTGGACGATTTGGGACTGTAGATGTCCTCGCAACGTGGACAGAAGAGCTTGACGGCTTTTTGAAACGGCAGATCCGACAGGCCGAGGGGCAGTAGTGGCTGGGAGTAACAGAGGACTCGTGGACATCTTCCAAAGTCGGACCTCTTATACTTCTCAAGCTATCGGTCGAGGTGAGAGGGAAGGTCAGACGTTGCGCTTGATCGATGTCGCGCGTGGTTGAGACTCACCATCTTTGCTAGTCCCCTACTCGTAATGATGTATCTGGCGTGTACCAATCCATACAACAACCTCCCCTGTGCCTCAATGTGATCCCTCGTCTCCTGATCCATCTCCTCCTCCATTGCATCAGTGACTAGATCTAGCGCTTGCGGGTAGTGTTGGACCTCTGCATTGAGACCAGTGAGGTTGAACCGATCGAGAATGTAGTCTTCATCGACTTCGCAGAAGTACTCGTTGCCTTTTGCGGAAAGGAACCATGATACCCATGTTGATGTCGCATAGGAGGAAGCGGAGGAGAGATCGTCCACTGGCAGGCAGGAAATAGATCGGTACGCGATACTCAGCGACAAGCTCGCATACGATGTCTCTACTCTACGTCTCTACTCACTCATCCTGGGCGACTCTCTCTGAGCGTGAGAGCTTGAAAGACTATATGCGAGCTGCTGAGGGCAGTTCCCTTTGATGATGGTTGGCAGTCAGTTGGGTTGTGCGAGGAAGCATATTGTCCAAACGGAAGGGCAACAGCGTCGGACGGTGGAAGCGCGCGGTGAAATTGAAACAAGCCACCAACGACGTCCTTCCCGAGGGGAGATAGATCCGTACCACTTCCATCAGCTTACCTCGAAGAGCGATCAGCAGCTGCCGGCCAAGTACAGCTAGCATCAATCACTCCAGTCAGCTCATTTACAGTTCACTGCGCCATGTCGAGGCTCCTGCGCGGCTCCCTCCGTACCGCACCCGGACCAGGAGGAGCAGGCTCCATCGGCCACTTCACACAACCCTGTCGGAAGATCGTCCTCAACTACTGCCAACACTCGCCCGCCTCCAAGGGAGTCAGGGATTGGCTCAGCTTCGGTCTCAGGAACGATTGGCAAAGGATAGGAGCTCAAAACGGCGTGAGCGTGGTGGGCGAAAAGGGTCCGCTGGACGCTGCGAAGAGTTGGCCTCAGATTGAGTGGGTGATCCAGGAGGGAAAGAGGGGGACGGAGCCTACCGTCACGGCATACTATGGTGAGTGGGCAAGCCTGGGCCTGCCAAGGGAGCTCGTGCTCCCATCTGAGGCATGAGAAGTAGCAGAAGCTGCGTTGGCGTGCGACACTGGGATTTACACCTCTGCCGCCTCTCCTTGTCCCCTTCCCTCCAAAGTTAATTCGCGGACAAAGACAATTCCCCTACACATGCTCTCGGCGACAGCTCTACCGCCGAAGCTGCACCTGCTAGTCTCATCAACTGGACGCAAGCTGGCAGGATCCCAGTCGAGGCAAGGCCACAACACGAGCGAGGCAAGGAATTACAAGAAGAGGGTGGTGGAGAGTGTCCGAGGTGCTGAGCCTGTCAGAGGTCACTGGAGTGGATTCGGAGCTAGTGGAAGCTAAATCTCATAGCCCAAATCAAAAGCAAAAGTGTACTGGTGTTGCTGACGCCGCGTTGCATTGTATTATATATGACAAACTTCCACCAAAGCTTGAGGCGTGAGATAGCGCCTGACCTACTTCTCCGATTGCTTCTGGACGATCGTGTAAAAGATCCCATACTCGATTCGCTTCTCCCTCGAGCTGCTCTCTTATCGTTGGCGTGCGGCTTAGTTGAGCTTGACACTCTCCTTGCCCCACTCCTCCATCGGCTTGCCCTTGATCACCTTCTCCCCCTCTTCATCGAACTCGACATTCTCAGCATGACCTATTGCCTTGCCAATGAACTTTGTGTGAGAGCCAAAGGCGAGCAGAGCATCACTGACTGGATGACGGATCTCGACGCGGGTCATGGCGAGATTGCGACCTGAGGGCGTGGAAGCAGGGAGAGAAACGAGGACGAAGGACGCAGGAGACCGATACGGATAAGGAGACGGATACCGGTGAGCCTCCTTGCTCCCTCCTCCTTCGTCCAGGCCAGACTCGCAGACTCACCCATCGTCACCACCTCTCCCCTCACCAGAATCTCATCTCCCTCACCCCCCGCCGCCTTGGCAAAGGTAGTACTAATATCCAAGCTCACACCCGTGCTATACATGCCCTTTGTTGCAAGCGCCAAACTCCCACATGTATCCATCAACGTGCAAACAAACCCTCCATGAGCCGATCCAAGTCTATTGAGATTATGTTTTTGAATAGGTAAAGAGGCGAGAAAAAGTCCGGGGCGAGCGGAGAGGAGGGTGAAGGAAGGGAGAAAGGTAGAGGTGTCGTGCCCCCCGGCGGTGAGAAAGGCGGATATCACGCGATTTGTGAAGTGGAAGCAGGGAGAGGAGGAGGAGAGTTGCGAGCGGAGAGAGGCGGTGGGGAGGGAGAGAGTAGGAGGAGGCATGGCTGCTGCTCTGTAGCTAGCACAATCGATTACGAGCCGTGCTGTATGTCGAGGGAGCTGGAAGGTACGCTGCTGGGAAGAAGGTAGGCCGGTAGCCCGCCGGATAGGCCGTTGCGGGGTCGCAGCTCCGCCTTCCGTCTTTGCCGCCCTCCCCACACCTTCCCACAACTGACAAGGACAGACGACGGGCGCGAACGGTATCCATTACGTATACACACCGTTGAAGGACATGAAAGCCGACAGTAGACATGGACAGGAAAGAGAACATAACGGACAAGGTCATTCGAAAAGTGGTATCGTGTCTCTCACTAGGAGGGGTATCTGGGCACAGAGTACGCGTTTCCGTTTCCGCGTTGCTGTGGCTGTTGCTGTTGCTGGTGAGGATACGAATAAGGAGGCTGCTGGCCGCCCTCGTTGTACTCGTCATTGTCTTCCACACCGCCATAGGCTGACTGATATTGGTCTCGCTGGGCATATCGCGAGTCTTCGAGATGAGGCTGGTGGTGGTAATTGGGCTCTGGATAGCCGCTGAACTGTGCCGAGGGCTGCTCACGCTGCGACTGCGCAGATTCGTCGTACTCGTGACTATGCGGGGCAGACTGCCCTGCCACGTACGGAGGTACGATCTCGTGATCATCTACGTCGGCGTCCTGCACCGCTGAATATCTCTTCCTGATAGACAAGGGCTCCACAGCTGGTGAGGCAGTCTCATGTCGAGGAGGCACCGCTTTGGGGAATTCAGATGACGGTGTAGAAGGAAGTGTAGCAGTTTGGCTGGTGGAAGGAACTCGATTGAAGCCTTTGCGGAAGGCGGCTGCAGTCATCTTGCGACCAGATTCGGCTGGCTCATAGCGGGCGGACGGCGCGGTTGGAGCATGCTCAGATCCAGGAGCAAACGCTGCGAAGCTGGACACAGAGCCACTACCGTATCGGTTTCCTGAGGCAGTGGGTACTCCTGGCGATGTAGGCCGACGGGCAGCTGCTTGGATCGCCCTCGTTGAGCCGACTGCAGCAAAGTACGGATCCTCTTCGACTTCCCCGCCCGGTGTTGCTGGCTCACCCACAATGGGCGAGGCGACTCGCAGGGGCGGTAAGCTGGGGGCGGCGCTGGTATAGGCAGCGGCGGAAGAACTGTGTTGAGGAGCCAGTGGTTGTGCGGGAGGAGATGTCGGTCTCGAAATGGGTTGCTGAGCACCCTCTCCTACAGCAGCACTTCGTTGACTCTGCCCACCCAGAGACTCGTCTTGATCCTCCTCGTTGCTCTGTGCTGCAAGACGAGCAACGGCGCTTGAGATCGAAAAGTTGTCTCCACTCTGTCTGGCTGTAGATTGAGGCACTCCCGTTGCTGCCTCGTCAGACCGAGTCCGGTCATCGAGGTTATGGTCGCGGAGCGCTTCCGGCTGAGCAGGGTGTCCTGTAGCAGAGTTGTTGTTAACTTCTTGCGCAGAGCGGAAAGATAGATTATCCTGCTCCTGCGCCCACGGCTGACTTGTCTGGTGCGACGCATAGATTGGCGTACCAGAATAGTCGGCAGCGGCACTGTAGGTACCCCCTCCACCTGTGTAGGCATCCTCTGCACTCCTCTGTGTACCGTCCTGGTCATACTGCCCGTACGCATCGTGAGCATTGCGTGCGTCTTGCTCTCCAGCTGTAGGATATCCACTGTCGAGGTGGCTAAGATTTGGGCGAGGACGGCCTGCAGACTGCCCCGAGGGCGCAAAACCAACATCGGAAATGCAGCGGTTGGCTTCAGCAAGCAGTTGGTCCGTTCTTGCGTGGCCAGTATAGTGCTTCCTAGTTACGCCTGGCGCCGTAGTGTCCAGGGGAATCTCCTCGATCATCATCTTGCCGATCTCGGCCACAATCGTCACTTTCTCAGCGAATTCGAGCAGACCACCGCACTTGATGCCCATCGCTTCCCTTGCTGTCCTCCTCTTGAAGTCGCCAATGGCGAGGTCCTCTGTCACCACCTCAGTCGTGAGAGACTGCATTTCGCCTCGGTATTCCTTGAGGGCAGCCGTTGTCTTGGCCAATTCCTTGTTCTCCGGACCCATCTTCGACAGCTTCTTCTCCACACTCTCAATCTTGGAGGCTAGAGCTCGCTTTTTCGACTTGAGACTCGCCAGGCCCTCTTCACGACTACGTACTGATTTGAAGTGCAGACGCAGTGTAGATAGATGAGAATTCAGGCGCTCCTGTGCGCCCATGTAATGGTCGAAGAGCAAGGACAATTTGGAGAGCACATCCTGTCGGTGTGTGAAAAGACAGTGGAGTGGGTTTCCAGCATAATTTCAGCAGGGGTCAGTCGTCCGTTTCCGAGATTCTGAGGTTCCCATTGCGTAACTACTGCCTTCAGTCGAAGAGGACTCACACTTAATTCTTCTCCCTCGCCTTCGCCCCATGCCTTGAGAGCGTCTCCATTGGCATGCCAAGCCTGTGCAGCATCGCCGTTTTCCTTGATGAAGGTCTTCTCGGATACAATGACGTTCTGCAGTGTCTTGAGGTCTCTGTTGCCCAGCACCGGAATGATGGACGTATGGGCTATTTGCTGCTTGGTCTTGCGTAACATCGTGGCAGTCGTAAAGGAGAGCCGTCGTAGCTGATAGGCGTCGTTTGGCAGCTCAGCTGGTGATCCAGTCTTCGGCTTTGTTCAAAGTCCTTTCGAGTGATATGTCAGTCTCAGGAAAGGACGGTGTACCGCTTTCTTTAGTATGCGGAAAGGACGACAGGACGATCAGGGAAGGCGAGGCGCAGGTCGCCGAGAGAATCCTGCGTCTCCGGAGATGCGGGCCACCGAAGGCTGTGTCGCTGTGCCAAGTGTGGAGCATCGGATCGGAACCGCGAAAGATGAGTCGGTCGGAGCGTGAATGGCGCATGTGCAAGTCCCTTCAAGAAGGATTGATACATCGAGATGGCATTACGCCACCAGCTCTTCATGGGTGCTCAGCAGCAGCAATGGTCATCAACAGCAACTCCTAGGCGGTGTGTGTGTGCGTATCGACTGTTGACAGGATGGACTTAGGTTTGGCGTGGCAGCCATGATGGGCTCGGACAAATAGAGTGTCCTGCTGGCAAAGTCTGCATCACCCGTCCAGCGATCAAGAGGATGACACTGATGCAGCCATGAGGGACACGTCACCGGCACTCGAGGTCCGATCGGACACGGACGATGCCTCTCAAGCTTGGTCCCCAATTCTATCGTGCTCTCTACCGGCCCTCCTCCCTCTCAGACCACTTTCTCGCTACTCTCGCCTCCTTACCACTGCTACCTGCTAGTACTGCCGCCCCTCTTGGTCAAAGCTTGCACCCATTCCGTCTTCTTGCACCTGTCTTGCTCAGGCCAGGGCCATGCCCTTCCAAGCTGATCAGCGGTTCCCGCTTCGACAGCGTCACCAATCTTGCGTCTTGCCGTGCGAACAAGCGTCCTTGATGGCCAGACGCTCAATCGACGACGCGACGGACAGCCAACCGAGCTCCAAGCCCACTTCAGATGCACCACAGTGGCCATTCAAGTACAATCAAGGCATTCTTGCAGGAATAGGTGTCTCTTCTGCACTCAGTGTACTGCTTATCATAGGACTCTGCGTCTTCGTCTGTCGCAAGATCCGCCGCCGACGCGAGAGGCAGCGACTAGCCTCATCAAGCGTCTTGCCAATCTATGCTACTTCGGAGAAGGTCGAACAGCACATAGCTAGATGCGATGGACCTCGTCGTGCATCACGATTTCTGAATTGGCCAGCATGCCCTTTGCTCTGCTGGAATCTTCGCTACCGCTTCCGAAGCCATGCATGCTCGCAGGCTCAGACTCAGGGGGAGCTCTTCTCGTCGCTTAGCCAAGAGGAGCGAGGCCCAGAGGCTGCCATAATACAAGCTCATACCTTCAAGTTGCCGGAGCTGAGTCACCGCATCCCCAGCTGTGATGGTGAAGAAGACGGCACGGAAGGCCTGGGCGACTCGTTCAGCTTTGATACTATCCCGACACCTCTGACTGTCGAATTTGCCCTCCCTCCCGGCGCCAACGTCCCCGTCTCTTCACCACCCGAGCCCTGCATCCTACAAGACGCATCTGCAGAGATTCCTTTCCCACCAGCTTGCGAGACGACTTGCTCTGGCCGATCGGATACTACACCTCTGTCAGAGGATCATTTGCCGCCGCGAGCGTCCCTAGCGTCAGATGTCGATCCTTCCTTCATCGGCGGCAACGCTTCAAAGTGGGACACTATGCCCATTCCTGGACCACATCTCCGACCACCTTCCGCTCTTGGTACCTTTCCCTGGCATATCAGGTCGCCTCGTCCCACTCTTGCTCACCCTTTACCTCAGCTCAAGGGGCATAGCCGCCAGCAGACTCTGCCAGAGTCGCCAGAGATCGAGCCACCCAACGACGACGAAGGCAATCCACCTCCCAGCACAGAAGACATTGCGCGACCCGACGCAGTCTACTCCAAGTGGCAGCGTCTGACGCAGAGGACAGACCGTAGCAGTACGGTTCAAGAGCGAAGGACTTCAAGGAGGCGAAGCTGGTCCTGGTGGGAGCGAGGCTCACCTCTGCGAGTGTACAGCTCAGAAGCCCCTCTGTCTCTCTTCCGGGGTCAATCTGGCGACGAGAACTCTCAAGCCGCCCCACATCCCCCAACATCAATCTTGCAGTCAGCGACAGTTGGAGCACAGACGATGGTTCAGTCCTCCCGAGTCCATTTTCACTCCGAGGTAGTCCGCGAGAGCCTCACCATCGAAGCTCGCGAGGCACCCCGAGCCGAAGCACCCAAAAGTCCATACGTCTTCTGGCGCGATGAAGACGGTGACGTCTCGATCCCGATCGAGCTTGCGACCGATGGCCGTACTCGAAGCTCCTCTATCGGATCCAAATTCGTCGAGCAATTCAATGACTCTGCTTCTGCTGGTGGCATGCAGGGCATCGGCGAGCTCGTCAGGAATTCGAGCGTGCGCTCTGGCAGGAGGGCTTCAGTTGGAAGTTTGGTAAGCCCGGGCCAGGAGGAAGTGATCGATGGGCCTCAGGCTGGGGATTGGCTCGAAGCCGTTAGCCGTATGGGATGCTCTGAGACTGGCCATGGCCGCCCAGCCCGAGTACAAGCCGAGGATGTCCCAGATAAAGGCGTGGTGGCGTCTGCCGGTAAGGCAGTACACGAGGCCGCCCCCTAGTCTGAGCCCGGCCGAGGCTCTCCACAGCAGGGCCGTCAGGCGCTGATAAATCACGCTTCTCGAAGCTATTGAAAGCTTCTCACCATCACAATTATGATCTCTATACCCTCTTCACGTTGACAAAATACCAATGGACCCCACGTAAGCTGCTAATCAATTCTCGAATCTCTCTTCTCCTTGTCTACTGGCCTGGCGCCATACGCTCTTCAACTTCTTCGGCTCCCCTTCCCTTATCACCTTCACCTTCGCGATCGATTCTTCAGACCTGCGTACCTGTAACCCCTTACTCTACTCGTCACCCTTGTTCTCATTCCGTCTCTTATACCTGTACGTTCACTTTTGGAAGGAGCTGTAATGCGAATGGTACAGTAGTCACACATTGGTAAGCTGCAAGCATCAGCTCGCTTGTGGACGGGATGAGGTAAATGAATGACAATGAGGATGAGGATGAATGGAATTTGAGCTACGGTTTCTCTAATGAGGTGGTATGAGACATGGTCCTCTACGCTCCCCTTTCCCCCGCGTCGGAAACCTGAGAAAAAGACTCCCGTCAGGTCGCAGGGCTGACTCTGCATCTTTGTGATATACTCGACAAAGTCGCCCTTCTATCCCTAGATGTCACTGCTCTTCTACTCTGTCTTGTTATTTGCAGCAGGCGCAGCCGAAGGAGCTGGGGCAGGAGCGCTAGGAGCAGTCGAGGCAGAGGCTGCTCCGCCACCTGCTCCTCCTGCACCTGCACTACCAGCAGCGGCATCAGCTCCCGAACCCGCTCCACTGCCCGCATTGCCCCCACCTCGTCCACCACCTCGACCACCCCTGCCTCCCCGGCCACCACTACCTCCGCGTCCACCACGTCCACCGCGTCCTCCTTCCTTTCCGCCTCGGGTTGCAGGTGCGCCAGAGGAGAGCCCTTCGTCACCGGAGGACTTGACGCCAGGGGTATCGGTAGGAAGAGGAGTGGCAGCCGCTGCTGCCGTCGTCGCAGCGGCGGCGGCCGGGGGTGCAGCACTAGGTCGTGGAGTGGCAGCGTGCTGCTCGCGATCCTTGTGGTACTCCTTTTCCCTACCCTCCTTTCTCTGTCCTTGACCACCGCCCTTTTTGAGAGTCTGTGCACTACTCTCGTTTCCACTCGTGACCACTTCCGCTCCCGACGTCTCGCTGGCGTGCAGCGCGGCAGGACCGCCTTTGCCCTTCTTCGCCGCACGGGGCTTCTTCGGCTTGCCATCTGGCCCGCTTGCATTACCGGGCGTCTTGACACCCTCGACAGGAGTCTGAGGCGCCGTGACAGGCTTGTCCCACTCTTTGTCTGCCTGCGACTGCTGCTGCGACTGCGACTGCTTCTTGACACCGCTGTCCTTGGCTTCGGTATCTGTGCTAGGCGCAGAGCCATTTGGGAAGGAGCCATTGCCTCGACCGGCACCACCAGCTCGTCCTCCACGACCATGATGCTCACCGCGATGGTGTGGGAATGGACTCTGCTGCTGCTGTTGCTGCTGTTGTGGCTGTTGCTGGTATGCTTTGGGTCCTACTGGGGGACTCTTCAGATTGGCAAGGGGCGCAGCAGCCGGGCCTGTAGGCGGCGAGCGGACAGCTGAAGCAGAAGGGGCGGAAGGAGCTGTCCGGACTGCCTCGACACGTCCGGCTGCGAAGGGAGCGCTTCTGGCTGCAGACGCAGTAGATGCGTTTGCTGGGACACGGGCTACTGGCGGCTGAGACGAGACCGGGGTCGCGGAGGATGCAGCAGGTGGCGTAGGTTGAGATTTCACTGCTGCTGAGTGAGCAGCAGGCTGAGTCGCGACTGCAGCCGTACCGCCGGCGATGCTACCGCTAGCCTGTCGGAACGCAAAGTTGAAGCCAGAGGAGTAGGTTTCTGCGCCCAACCTTCCCCCAGCAATGTCAAAGACCAATGATCCATGAGCTGCGTCTGGCAGATTCCAGTTCCATGTGTTCTTCCAGGCGTACTCTTCGCTGACTGCTCCTGTTGCAGTGGATAGTGATGGGACGCGATTGGTCACAGCGAGTGCATGGTCAAGCAAGATGCGTTGCTGAGGATCGACAGCCTCCTCAACCTGGACCTTGACTCCATCCCAGACTTCGCCGAAGGCAGTCTTGGCGCTGACCATCTTGTTTCGGTAGTTCTGCGAGTCGTGCTGGACACCAAACTCATTGTAGGAGATGCCATAGCGGAAATGCAGCCCAGCTGAAATGGTGAAGTCGGCCTTCAGAGCGACGGCAAGCTGTGCCAGCAAGCCTTCCCGACCGGGAGAAACATGCGATATTAGGACCCGAGTCTCGCTGGGGTCGAAGGTCTGAGTCGTCATAACAGAGGGAGGAAGGGTCAGCGGCATGGGACGGAAGAGTGCGGAAACGCGCCTACTGTGCTCACCTTTTGTGCGGTATCCACGAGTTCACCGATCTGCAGCATAGTGGTCCACATTAATCCCTGGCCTCCAGCGATGGTTGCAGCTCCATCGCCATTGTCAAATAGCTTGTGCAAGACAACTGCACCTCCTAGTCCAAACAGCCGCAGACGAATGTCCCCCACATGGATGGATCTAGTAGTGGCCTCGTCGAGCACTTGCAGATTGGGAATCTGATAACTTCCTGCCCTTATGCGCTCTAGGACTGCCACATCTTCACATGCGCCCCAGACGGTGAATACGGGAACGTTGAGTTGCAATCTGCCGTCGAGTAGCAGAGGGAATTCGGAGAGGAGTGGAATGCTGCTGTTGCTGATCTGGCTGCGCAAGTTTGTCGTTGGGTAATTTGTGCCACCAAGAGGCGCTCCGCGAGGCTGGTCTGCCGCTAGAAGCTTATTCCTTTGGTCGTTTGAGATGAGGCCGGAGTATTGGACGAGATGTCGCAACGTCTTGTCGCTGATGCGATCGAGGCTATCGGAGCTGTAGAAGCCAAAGTCGCCTGTGTGGATGATGGCTTGGGCCCTGTATTTGACAGCGAGATCGTTCAATGTCTTGAGATTACCTTTGAAGTAGATTACAGTCGAGGGCGTGATGGAGAGGCAGAGGCATGTGAGCACAGGAGAGTCATTCAAGTTGAGGGGAGTGTGAGCCATGCCACTCACCTCTCACGTCCGCTACGCATAGGATCCTACCCCCGCCTCCCTCGATGACTAGCGGCGAGTCAGACGTAGCTCCTGTCTGTGAAGGAGCCCCACCGCTGCGCTGGACTGCGCCTCCTCCACCAATGACAGAGGCGCTCTGTTGCTGCTGTTGTTGTTGCTGTGTACGAGGTACAGTCGCTGGTGACGATGAAGTGTTGCCCTTGTAGCCCGAGGCGTTGGACCCAAAGTTGGCAGGAGGGGCATTCGAATGTGGGCGACGGGATTGAAAGGCGCACATCGTCGTGATGGTATGTGGCGCGTGTCAGTCTCTTCGACTGTGAGAGGATGAGAGGATGACTCTTCTGTTCTCTCTCTTGTACTGCGCTGAGAGGTCGTCTATGGAATGAGTATATGCGCACGAGCTGATGGTCAGGGTATGGGATGGGATGATCTGAGATGGCTGGGACGATCAAAGTGTGACTTGACTTTGCCTTTGGTGACGATGGACGCCTGGTCTGGCCGCCCTGCGCTCGGGTCAAGTGAGCGGGGACAGACAGGGAAATGCGGGAAGAGAGGAGCGCGCACACGCACAAGTCACTCACTCACTCACTCACCACTGCACACTTCTAGAGGACCTTCTCGTAGCGCACCACCACCAGGAGCATCTTCTTGGAGCTCGCCACTGCGCACAGTCTACGCCTGTCTACACCTTCCACACCACGAGACAAGAGCATATAGTTACAAGGTAGAGCGCGTCTCATCGTACCATCACATTCACAGCAGCACTTTCCATCAATGGGAAAGAAAAAGGGCGGCAAGAAGGCGGGCGGAGAATTCTGGTGAGCTGGAGCAGAACAAAGTACCCACAGGCGCTCCTTTACTGACACAGACTATGCACTTGATCTACTCCCTCAACGTGCAGGGACGAAGGTGGTGAAGTGCTTCCCACAAATGGCAACGGCGGTGGCGATGACGATGACGTGCCCGTTGCAAAGGCCAAGAACGCCTTTGCCAACATGCAGATTGACGAGGGTGGCGATGACACCAATGCTGCGTCCGCGTCTACGCCCAAGGCTGAAGAAGAGGAAGAGGACTATGGAGGCCTCATGAGCGCCATCAAGAAGAGCAACGCTAGCGGAAAGAAGGGCAAGAAGGCTAAGAAGCAGAAGGAGGAGATTGACTGGGATGCTATCCAAGACGAGATTGCCGAGGCACATGGCGAAGAAAGGGACGGCGGTGACGCAGCTGCCAAGGCGCCTGTTGAAGCTTCCGCTGCAGATGAATTCCCAGAGGACGACAAGCAGTCAAAGCAGAAGAATGGCGACAAGGCCACACCCACACCTGCAGCGGACGATGACGATGACGACGGCAAGGATGATGATGGCACTCCCAGGATACTGTCAAAGAAGGAAAAGGAGAAGCTAAAGAAGGAGAAGGAGAAGGCCAAGAAGAAGGCACAGGCTGCCGCCAAGAAGGCTCAAGCCGGAGGAGGCGAGGCCAAGGAAGAAGAAGCATCGAAAGCAGACAAGGCTGATGAGCCAGCAGCGCCGGCCCCTACGGATACCGCTGCCGATGGCGAGGACGATGACGAGGAGGGAGAAGAAGGTGGAACTGCAGCAGACAAGAAGAAGAAAAAGAAAAAGAAGAAGGCTGCTGCTGCTACACCTGCTCCCGCCCCTACAGCTGCCGCCGGAGGCAAGAAGCCTAGCGCTGCACTAGCCGCTCTTCAAGCTCGAATGGCTGCTCAGAAGAAGGCAGAAGAGGAAGCCCGCTTGGCCGAGGAAGAGGCCCGTAGAGCCGAAGAAGAGGCCGAGAGGAAGGAAAAGGAGGAGGCTGAAGCCAAGGAGGCTGAGAGGCAAAGGAGGAAGGAGAAGGAGAAGGCCAAGCGAGAACAGCTCCGCAAAGAGGGGAAGCTCTTGACCCCTAAGCAGAAGGCTGAGAAGGCCGCTGCCGAGGCTCGTATGCAAGCCATGATCAAGAGTGGTCAGATCAAGGTGGAAGGCCTCGAAGCGCGGAACCAAGACGGTGGTGCCGAGTCGAGCAAGAAGTCGAAGGTGATAGACTCGCGCAAGAAGAAGAAGCAGCAGCCCTCTGGTCCCAAGAGCATCATCGAGCCAGCCATCGCAAAGGGTGATGATGCCGTCGAGACTGCCGCTGAGGCAACACCCGAGGCCCCTGTGGCGGTGCAGCAGGAAGAGGCGCCGGCTGAAGCTGCTGTGGCAGAATCCACCGAGGATGTCAAGGATAGCTGGGACGCTGGTTCAGATGTTCAAGACGACTGGGACGCTGAAAGTCAGGGCGAGGAGGAGCAAGCAGAGCAAGCAGAAAAGGAGAAGCCTGCTCCTGCGGCTGCAAAGCCCAGCGCTGCAGCCACCACGAACGGCAGCGGCGCAGCTCAATCAAAGGCAAAGGCCGCGGACGCCGATGAAGAGGAGGATTCGGAAGAAGACTCTGGCTCTGATGACGACGATGATGACTCGTCTGAGGAGGACTCCTCCAGTGAAGATGAGATGACTGCAGTCGAGCGTCAAGCTGCTGCGAAAAGGGCACTTGCTGCTCAGCGACGCGAGGAAGCTCACAAGGCAGCCTTGGCAGCTCGGAACAAGGACGACTTGCGGTCACCCATTTGTTGTATCCTGGGTCACGTCGACACTGGTAAGACCAAGTTGTTGGACAAGATTCGTCAGACTAATGTGCAAGAAGGAGAAGCCGGAGGTATCACCCAACAAATTGGTGCCACCTACTTCCCCGTGGAGACACTCAAGCAGAAGATTGCCCCCATCGACCCCGAGGGTAAGCAACAGTTCAAGGCGCCCGGACTGCTGGTCATCGACACCCCTGGACACGAGTCTTTTACCAACCTCCGAACCCGTGGTAGCTCGCTCTGCAACATTGCTATCTTGGTCGTCGATATCATGCACGGTCTCGAGCCCCAGACTTTGGAGTCGATTCGCTTGCTCAGAGACAAGAAGACACCCTTCATCGTTGCCCTCAACAAGGTCGACCGACTGTACGGCTGGAAGGCCACGCCCGACGGAGGCTTCAGGGCTTCGCTCGCCAAGCAAGATCGCGCAACGAGGAATGAGTTTGAAGATCGAGCACAAAAGACAATGGTTGCTTTTGCAGAGCAGGGTCTGAACTCGTGCCTCTACTACGACAACAAGAACTTTGCCAAGAACGTCTCGCTTGTACCTACGTCAGCTCATACCGGTGAGGGTATCCCTGATATGCTCCAGTTGCTCGTCAGTCTTACTCAAGAGAGGATGAGCGAAAGACTGATGTATCTTTCGGAGCTCGAGTGCACAGTCCTTGAGGTCAAGGTCATCGAGGGTCTTGGTACTACCATCGACGTTGTGCTATCCAATGGTACGATGAAGGAGGGCGACAAGATTGTTGTCTGTGGTCTCAATGGGCCCATTGTGACGCAGGTCCGAGCACTCCTGACACCGCAACCGATGAAGGAGATGCGTATCAAGGGAGCCTACGTGCACCACAAGATGGTCAAGGCTGCTTTGGGAGTCAAGATCTCAGCGCCGGACCTCGAAAAGGCCATTGCTGGAAGTCGACTGCTCGTCTGCGGTCCCGATGACGATGAGGAGGACTTGAAGGAGGAGGTCATGTCTGATCTGTCGAACTTGATGGACTCTGTCGAGAAGTCTGGCAAGGGTGTTCAGGTGCAAGCAAGTACGCTGGGTTCTCTCGAGGCTCTTTTGGAGTTCCTGCGAGTGAGCAAGATTCCCGTCAGTGGCATCAACATCGGTCCCGTCTACAAGAAGGACGTCATGAGGGCTTCGACGATTCTGGACAAGGCCAAGGAGCTGGCATGTATTCTCTGCTTCGATGTGGCGGTGGACAAGGAGGCGGAGCGGTTAGCAGAGGAGATGGGTGTGCGCCTCTTCAAGGCGGACATCATCTACCACCTCTTCGACGCCTTTACAGCCTACCACGCCGAGGTCATGGAGCAAAAGAAGAAGGCAGCAGCACCAACGGCCGTCTGGCCCTGTCGACTGAAGATCCTTGCCTGCTTTGCCAGGAGAGACCCCATCATTATCGGTGCTGAGCTCATGGACAATGTTGACTTGCGAATTGGCACACCTCTATGCGCCATCAAGAACAAGGAGGTAGTGTACATCGGCAAGGTGACCTCACTCGAGGTGAATCACAAGTCCATGCAGGTCGTCTCAAAGAAGGAAGCCGGAGCAGGAGTGGCGGTCAAGATTGAATGTGCAGTGTATGAGACGCCCAAGATGTATGGAAGGCACTTTGATGACAAGGACGAGCTGTACTCGATGATCTCGAGGAGTTCCATCGATACACTCAAGGAACACTTTTGGCCACAGGTGTCGTTGGAGCAGAAGAAGCTTATCAAGCAGCTCAAACCTATGTTCAACATCCCTTGAGCGAGCGAAGCGTGGGCGACAGGCTGGCGAGTGTCGTCTTGGAGATTGCGGTCAGCATGGCGTTTCGATGGAGGAGAGACGATGTTGGCCCGATCGACGTGTTGTCGCATGCAGCACAGTACACTTTTGTATCATTCGAATTCCATCATGGAAGTTTAGATTTGGCTATGCATGTGACGAGTGGAGTGACAAGAGACACACTTAGTGTCCAGTGACCAAGAACGCTCAGCTCTCCCTCTTTTGGCATGAGAGGCGAGCGCTGCTCATGTACGAAGTGCTTGTCCCAAGATCGCTGCTGTCGTTATTCTTCTGCTCCAAGAACAAAGACAGGCGGCTGTTCTCTGAAAGAAGCGCATCTGTATGATTTCCGGCAGACGAGTGGAAAGCTCAGGGTCAGAAGACTTACCAGGGAAGCACGATGGTGTTGGAAAGGTCGTGGCCAAGAGTTGGTCAGTAGCCTATCGACGACCTGAAGGTGGTCATGTCGGGGATAGACAGACTGGGTAACGGTGTAAGGGAATGAGAGATGGCCACGAGCATCTAGACTGTACCCGATTCTACGATTTCGAAGCCTCTGAACGATCTCACACTGTCAAAGTGATGCAGGTCTACATTCTTTCCATGACTCTATGTGCAAGAAATGAATTTCGTTGCAAAGTTTTGATCAAGGCTGTGTCTGCCTCTGCTCATCCTCAAATTGTCATCTACATCTCAGGCATCATGCCACCTCCTTCACCGCCATCTCCACCATCCATGTTCTGTACACCAGGTCCACCACCCCCTCCAGGCTCCCTCCTTCTCCTAGCAGAGACGACGTCATCGACCCTCAATAGCAAGCTGGCACTCTCAATTGCCGTCTTGAGCGTCTGCATCTTCACCGCTGCACTCTCGTACAAGCCGTACTCGTCCATGTCGACGATGCCGCCCTTTTCTCCATCTACACCAAAGGAGTGCTCGCCATTGGCGTGCTTGGCTCGCAGTTGTGTCAGGACCTTGATGGCAGATGATGTACCGCAATTCTGGATCAGTGTCCGCGGGATGACTTCCATTGCCTCCGCAACCGCCTTGACAGCTCCGACCTCGATACCCTCCATCTCCTTTGCCAGATTGGTCAAGGCGACGGAGATTGCCATCTCTGTTGCGCCTCCTCCAGGAGCCAGAAGAGGGTTGAAGACGACGTTCCTTGCTACTGCCATGGCATCAGCGAGGTTCCGGTCAATCTCGTGCAGAATGTCCTTGGAGGGTCCTCGTAGCAGAATCGTGCAGGCCTTGGGCTCCTTGCACTTCTCGAGGAAGGTAAAGTACTCGTCTCCCAGCTTCTCGATGTGGAAGAGACCGCACTTGGTTCCGATGTCTGCATCACGCAAGTCATCGACCCTGTTGATGATGGTAGCTCCAGTGGCTCGAGCAATCCTGTTGTTGTCCGTCTTCCTCACGCGACGGATAGCAGTGATGTTCTGCTTCATCAGGAAATGCTGTGCGAGATCTGCAAAGCGCAATTGAAGAACAGCATAGGGTCAGACAAACGTCATGTAACGCCGGCCCTGCTTTCGAGGTCTGTCCCTCTACTCACCTGAAACACCCTTCTCTGTAAACACCAGATCCGGCTTGAACTCAATGATCTTGTCACAGATCAGCTTGATCTGCTCCTCCTCAATCTCCAATATCCTGTTCCAGTCAGTCTCATTTGTGATCTCAATGTTCGTCTGCGACTCTCCCTTCTTGTACTCCAGCGGGCAGTCTAGTAGCAGGATACGTGGGTTCTCGATCCTCCTTCGCATCTTGGGGTGTGTCACGTCCTTGTTGAGCATGACTCCGTCCAAGACCGTCGAGGACTCGATCTCACCACCTGGAATCTTCTCTACTCGAGCATACCGCTTCAGGTCCACTGTCCTGGCGCCTGGGCCACTGCTTCCGCTGCCACCTGACTGAGCATCAATCGTGGCCACCGTTCGCACTGCCTTGAGAGCAAGAGAGCACATGAGATCGCTCCAGCGAGAGACGAATTTTGTTCCGATCGAGGTCTTGATTAGAGCCAGCATCTCCTTCTCGTCTTCCACATTGACTGGCTTCGAGATGGATTCGATGACCGAAAGGCCCTCTGCGAGAGCCTTCTTGAATGCAGAGATGATGACAACAGGGTGGATACCTCGCTCCAGGCAGGGCAGGGATTGAGCCAGGATCTCACCAGCTGTGACAAATGCGAAGCAGCAGGGCGTGGAACCAGGGTGAGCTCCTGCGTATGACCTCCCAGCTCAAGACGCTCATCTGCACTCACCAAGGATGATGACGCTAGTGGTACCGTCTCCTACTTCCTCGTCTTGTGTCCTGCTCAGCTCGATCATGCTCTTCGCTGCTGGGTGGGCTACCTCAATCTCTCTCAAGATAGCGTTTCCATCGTTCGTGAGCAGAATACCTCCCATAGGGTCCAGAATCATCTTGAGCATTGCCTTCGGGCCCAGGCAGGTACGGATCACATCTGAGACCGTCTGTCGGGGAGAGGGACGCAAGGATTGCGTGTCAGTAATGACTCCACTAATGGCGCAGGCATAATCGAATTTGCGATCAGCCTAGCCTGTCTGACACGGCCTGGCAGGCTAACGCACCTTTGCAGCTGAGATGTTGCTCAACTGGGCCTTCCTGCCCGATTGCCTCTCCGGTGCCGAGTTCATGACAAAGACGGGCTGTTGGCCTGCCATGATGGGAGAGATGAGGAGGAGTCCGAGGGTGTGTAGAAGGGAAGGAGTGGGGAAGGGAAGCCGACGATGTTCTAATTCGAAGGCGCTTTGGTGATGGTCTCTGCGAGCGTAGGCCACGCCAGGAAGAATCGGAGGGAAGGAAAGGCAGGAAGACGCTGCGCGCGGACTCCAACACACGCACACGCCACGCACCCACGCCTCGAGGAACAAGATACTCACGATGGTGACGCTACTATGTATTGACAAGGGGAAACTGATATAGACATTCACTGGGCTGATTCAAAGCGGCAGCTAGCATGGTATCAAATAGGCATGTGTATATCGCGACGGCAGCCTTCCTGACCTTCTATTCGCGGCCTGGCAGATCACTGATACCCAACTTCTCGGCAAGGCGATCAGCAATGTCATCATGCACCAGCCTGAAGATTCGGAGCTGTCGCTTGACGATTTCTTCGTTTTGTACAGCACCTAGCGCGCCAGCAGCATTATTGATGAATCTGTCCTTGGCAGCCTTGTTGAAGACTCGCACCCATAAGGCCCTTGGCTGCTCCGTGTCCAAGACAGGGTCAAAGGTGGTCAGGAAGTTGTTGATCTCAGCAGCTTCCAGCTGTCGCTGTTCGTCTGTAAGGACCGACGCCGCTTTGACACTGTTGTACTGAATGGGTCGAAGCGTCGAAGGGTAGTTTGGACGGTTGCCCTGATTGCCATTGACGGTCATGAAGCCATCTCTCTGGAAATTGGCACCAGAATTTATGGGAGCGTTGACGGGGATCTGAGAGTTATTGACTCCCAATCGGTAGCGCTGTGCATCAGGGTACGCAAAGAGGCGGCTTTGCAAAACCGGGTCAGCCGAAGGCTCGATGCCAGGCACGAGGTGCGAGGGAGCGAAAGCAAGCTGCTCAATCTCGGCAAAGTAGTTGAGGGGATTCCTGTCGAGGACGAGCTTGCCAATCGTTCGTCGGGGATACTGGCTGAGCGGCCAGACCTTGGTAACATCAAAGACAGAGTGCTCGAAATTGGCGGCCTGTCGCTCGGTCATCGTCTGGACGGAAATGGTCCAGGTAGTGGATTTGCCATCCTCGATGCGCTGGAAGAGTTCTTGTGTCAAAACATCTGGATTACTGCCAGCGAGGGCATCGGCTTCTTCTTGAGTGTAGTGCTTGACACCCTGGTCAGAGATGACGTGAATCTTGACAAAGTGCCACTTGCCAGCAGCGTTGACGAATTTGAAAGTGTGACCACTGTAGCCGTTTTGCATGGCAAGGGAGCGTGGAATACCGCGATCGCCCATCATGATCATCATCTGATGGACACTCTCCGGGTTGGAAGAAAAGTAGTCCCACACGTTCAAAGGGGATCGCAAGTGCGTTTGTGGATCTCGCCTCGCGGCATGGTTGAAATTGGGGAACTGATCAAGGCAAGAAGAAAGTAGAGGTCAGCATTCGGTCCCTATCTGCGCAGAGGAAGCACCGCACAACTCACCTTGGCTGGATCTCGCAGGGAAAAGATGGGCGAGGAATTAAAGACCCAATCCAGTATGCCCTGAGAAGTGCGAATCTTGATGGCGAAGCCTCGAAGGTCCCTCACCGTGTCCGCGGAGCCTGACTCTCCGACGTTGGTGGAGAATCGTACAGTCACAGGTGACTTGGTGCCCTCTTTGAGGAAGTCGGCACAGCAGAGGGACGAAATATCGGCAGTACTCTCGAAGTAGCCGTGAGCCCCTGCACCCTTGGCGTGAACCACTCGCTCGGGGATCCTCTCGCGGTTGAAGTGGGAAAGGGACTCGATGAGGTGGAAGTCCTGGAGGAGCAGGCGGCCGCCAACGGGATTGTTGCCATCTCGAAGTTGCTGACTGCTATAGGGCTCGGTGTGAGGAGCGCCGTTAGTAGTGACGTACTGAATGTCAGGCGAAAGAGGTGAGTCAGCCAGATCGTATACAGTGCTCGCTGCCCAGAAAAGTCTCACCTGAATCTCCTCGACTGCTCCTGCGGTGCTAAGGCCCTCGGCTGAGGACATTGTGGCGGTTCTATGCTGATCGTGGTATCAATGAAGTAATGCTGTGGTATAGAATCAGGTCTTTCGAGGGATCCTGGTCAGCTGGAGGGGAGCTTTTAAGTCTTGAAGCTGAGTAGCAGTTCAGACGGAGACGGACGTGCAAGGGGCGTCATCGTTGGTATTGCGGTGCTAGGTACCGCTCAGCATCACTTCGGGCCGACGGAGCGCGTCTAGCCGGACGCAGCGGACCGTCCTACTGCGAACACAGCATGGTGTGATGGTCTGTTTGACAAGGGATTGCTAATCCCATTGCTGCGAAGCCTCTGCGCCTGCAACCCTGGGGAGTACCGATGTCAGGGCAGCTCACTTAGTCATGTGGGCCGATAGTGTCCTCATTGCCGTTGACAAATGTCCGAGGAGCCGAGTAGCGCGCCCACGAGGCGTCGGGGTCGGCGACGAAGACCCTGAACTACACCTTGCTGCATTTGCCTCCTAAGATGGCAGGATCTCCCTCTGGTAACGCCGCACGCTCTGCCATCTTGCGGCTGATCATCGGGAGCGTTGTACGCTGCAGCGTGCGGGCGGAGTCGTGGCTGGGCGTAGAGTGGACTGGAGCGTGTGATAGCAGTGCCTCTCGATCGCGATCGGTGTGTGTAAGTGTTTCAGACTCCTCTTGCCTCCCCGCCTTCCTCTTGTGCTGCACCTGCCCTGCGTTGGGTGGTGTGGCTGCCCTGTCTGCCTGTCTGCCTGTCTGCCTGCCTGCCTGTCTGCCCGCCCTACCTGCCCTGCCCTGTCTGCCCGCCCTTTGCTATCTCTGCCCTTCTTTAGCCTCCACTGTACCGGTCCCCACTCCGTCACTCCGCTTGCGTGCGCGGTGCCTCGCCTACCTGATGCTAATCTCGACTGGACTTGGCCCCATAGATCTTGGCATCTAGCGCCTTCCTCTTCCTCCCACTACTATCATTCTCTTCCTCGCCCTCGCATCCACACCCCTCAGCGTACCACCATGAGCGAACACGGACACCACGAACGAGGCCGAGACGCTGCCAAAGTTCCTACGGGCAGGGGAGGAGCTGGGAACGTGAGTGGCCGATACTCAGAGCGCAAGCACAAAACAGGGCTTCCAGGATCACCCGAAGCGGGAAGGCACGCGACCGGGTCGACTGGGGGATTGTCAGCAGCCAGGTGATCAAGCTGGCAATTGTGATCCGTTGCGCTATATGCGCTACTGCGATCATCAATCAAGTCGGACTGCCTGAGACCAGGGAGACGGCAGCAGTAGGCCGGCGATCGCCTTGCGTTACAGCTACCTCCTCCCGGCTCAAGGCGGCATCCGCTCTGTCGCCTCGCTCGGCAGCGATAAGATCCACGTTAGAGGCGCTTCTTGCACTGCGTTCGACCCACTGACAACATAATTCTCGCCCCACACCTCACAGATGATTAGATCCCCTTCTCGAGGACGACCGGCCCCAGAGGCAGGCGAGGTGGCCGCTCAGAAGGCCTACGCTGAGAAGCATCACACCCTCTTGTCTGGACGAGGAGGCGCTGGTAACCAGCGAAGCCCGAGCAGAGACCCCTTGGACCGAGCTCGAGCCAGGGAGGCCGAGAAGCACGAGAAGGAGCTCCGAGCAGCTGCTATCCAGCACGACGAACACAACCCCCACGGAACCGGTCGTGGTGGTGCCGGCAACGTCACCAGGGAGCATTCTGCTGATGCTCGAGGACGAGAGAACGGCGGGGTAGGAGCAGTGAGTCATGACGAGGCATTCTCTGCACAGAGATCCAGTTCTTCTGAAGCTGCATACCGCTTCTATCACTCCCACCCCAACAGGCGCTTCGCAGTCTCTCCCGATCACGCTCTCGTGACGCTCGCAACTCGCCTAGACACACCGATGCTACTGCAGAGCCTAGTCTGGCGTCTGTCGACGAGACAGCCAGCTCCCACACTGAAAGCACGCAACACGATCATAAGCAAGGCGTCTTTGGCAAGCTTGCCTCGCACTTGCCTGGTCACCACCAGAAATGATGTTTTGAGTAGAAGAAGGGCCTTCTCTTTGATATAAGAGAGGCCTCTGGCCGATTGCCGATTCCAGCCTCTTGCAAGTCGCAAGCAAGGTTCCCGATGTAGAGTGCCCCGGCGTATGCGACCATTGGTCTTGTTTCGAGTATCCATTATTGTTTTTTTCCGAAGAGGGCACGGTCAGAGGAAGGGGTTGAAGTGAGCATCAATATCTGTCGAGTGCCCTATGATACCTCCTTCAATTTCATAGTGGAGACCCAGTGACCGAATGACCGTCTCGAATCCTGAACTCTTTCTTGCTTTCCGATGCGATTCGCCCAGTCCGCACAAACACGGAAATCAGTCCGCCCCGGCCGCCTGGTCGCGCTTGAGTGTTCGCATGAGTCTCACCCTGCGTCCATCAACCTACATCATTTGATTCGCCAGAGCTCCCCTTGCCATCGCCGAGTCCAAGCGGCAGAGCCTGACTTTCGTCACTTGGACTTACCTCGTTGTCCTTGGCCATTTCATACGGAGGGACCAGTCGAGTCCTCCATTGCGTTACGAGGATGGCCATCACTCTCGACCCGTCCAAGCCTCCCTTGGCGACCATTGGACGTGCCTTGACATTGGTCCAGGTCATCTTTTACCTGCCCTTGACGCTCGATGTTGGTGGTCCAGATGCATTCCTTGCCCTCTCTGCCTCTCTAGCATCCTACTACTGGTGTCTCTCCTCTTTGCGTCTGCTCACTAGGAAGACTCGCCTGCAGTGGATTGGGACGCTCTTTGCCTCCTTCCAATTCCTAGTCGTACCGAGCTGCCTGGCAATCTGCTGGGCCGTATACTGTCCTCCAGAGAAGAATTACTTCTTTGTGAGATGGGCAAGATCTGCCTCGGCTGGAGGGGGCTTGCTAGCCAACCATGGATCTACGACAGGCGAAGGACTCTTGCGGAATCATGATGCTAGTGTTGGAGGATACCATCCCGCGACACCTCCACACCTAGCAGCCATCATGCAAGCGATCACACCAATCCTGAAGAGCCGCAACACGCATCCGTATCTTGAGGGGTTATTCGACTTCACTAGCGCATCCATCCTCTATCTGGCTCGCAAAGTTCCGACGTGGTGGGGCACTCTGCTTCGTACCTCAAGCCCTGTCTTCAGTCTGTTGGAAGGGTCTGCAACGCTCCTGGTCATTCAGGTGCTGGGCACAGGCTGTCGCTATATCATTGCGACCTCCCTCACTACCCCGGCTTCGTCATTGGCGGATCCCGATGGCTCTCCACTACAAGAAGGCAGTGATGGCAACGCTCGGTCGAAAGCCGCCCGCCCCACCTCGCGTTACAGGCCGCTCTCCTTCCTGGCCTCCATCGGCATCCGGGGCGCCGAAGCCTGGCAACTGTTCTTCCTACTGGCATCTGCCATCATCTATGTCATCTCGGGTTGGTCCCTGTACCTCTCCTTTGAAGGAGTCGCAGCTCGAGGAGGCGGTGCTAGTCTGATGATGGGCGTTAGCGTAGCCAGTGTTGCCTGGCTGACTGCCATTGCATTTGGACTAGGGAAGGGCAACGTCATCGAGACTTCACTAATAGTAAGTGACGATGCTCTTTCACGGCGCGTTACACGTATGTCCTCTAACCTCGACTTCTTGTCCCTCCCACTCTTTCCACACTAGGCTGCATACACAGCTTGGAATATCTTTGCGCTCTCCTCGTCCCCCTCCCCTTCCTTCCTCTCAGATCCCATCGCCCTAGTCCGATCCTTCAAAGGCCAAGTCGCATCCTCCTCTACATCCTTCCCCTTTGATCAACTTCTCTTCCTCTCACCTGAGCGACTTGCGACGCTGCCAGGCTATCTTCCTGTGAAGCACTACCTTGAGAACAGTGAAGTCGTCGCTGATTCTCTGACTCTCATCCGGGTGACCTTTGGACAAAGCTTGACCTTCCTGAGCGCGCTGGCAAGTGCTCTTCCTGCCAGTGTCGTAGTCAGCCTGGTCTATCGTTTGAGTGAGTGTCCAACGTAATGGTCCCTTCCCACGCCGCAAAGTGGTCGACTGACTGGATTCCCTTTCACCTACGTGCCTCACAGTGGTTCTCTACGCTGCTTCACGTATTCTGCCCTTCCTGTGCGGCCCGTCAGCAAGGAGAAGCAGACAAGAGCAGTGGCCCCCTCGGAAGCACCGCCAGCATCATCACAGCTCAAGGCGGAGCTCTCCCAGCAGCAGGCATAGCGATTCTTCTTCCTCCTCGTCGTCATCGGGCTCGTCCACGACCACCTTCTCCTCATCGTCAAGTGCCGGCGGCAGTGTGAGCAGCAGCGCAGAAAGCGATTTCGATCAAGAAGTTGACGGTGTAGAGACGGAGCGAAGGGAGAAGAAGGCCAGGCGGCGTTCAGCTGGAGAGGATGGCTCTAGGCGGTCATCCTCGAGGAGTGGTCGACGGAGCACTCCCAAGCAAAATTCCGACGCAGAAACAGAGCCATTTGGCTCCTTTATCAGTGTCATCATCTCCTATGCTCGCCTCATCCTGATTGCGGTGTACTCACACTTGCTGCTCCTGGACCAGTCCCATCAGGCCATGTGGCGCTTCTCGACCGTCAGCGTCACGTTGGGCCTCTGGACGATGGAGCTGCTCCTCGGCGGCAGTAACGACGAGATGGAATTTGCCAGCGCGGCTTCTTGGGGCCGAGGGAGGTAGACCAGGTCCAGATGTTTTCCTGAGGTTGTATTATACCGTTGTCACCGATCGTTCCGCTTGATGTCAATTGCTAAGATCCTGCCAGGAGTCACCCGAACGTGGTCCGACTGTAGAATGTTGCTCCACCCTCAGAGCCCCTTTCCGTGTCCGCTGCACTTTGTTTGGCCCCGCCAGGCACATCAGATCACATCTTGACCAGGGTACCACTCGCCCAAGTTGCTGAGGTGCCCCAACGACGATGGCGCCTGCGCCTGCCCTCTTGCAGTCCATCACCATTCCACGCACAGAGACTCGCTCCACCCCGTCGCCCGCCTTCACAGTCTACGCCATCCTCGTCACCTTGCCCGTGCGCAACTGGACCGTCTACCGGCGCTACTCGGAGTTTCTCGCTCTGCACCAGTCCTTTGGGGATCGTCCACCTCCAGTCCCTTTCCCACCTAAGCACGTTGCCAAGAGTACACTCAAAGTCTTTACGGCTGGTCTGAGCGGGTTGTTGGGAGGTGGGAACGAAGAGGAGATACAGAGGGAGAGAAAGGAAGGACTAGAGCGGTACCTCAAGACTATCGTGGCTTCACCTGAGGCTACATGGAGGGAGACGGATGCCTTCAAAGACTTTATAGAGCTGCCTAGGTCTACACCTTTATCAGTCCCTTCGGGATCTGGTAGCGCTTCTAACGGCGGAGTTGCGAGCAGAGGAGGCACGACAGGAACCACATCATACCGCCAGCAGTCGCACGCAGTCCACGGTTCCTACGTCCCACCCTCCGCCTCTAGCTACTCGACCACTCGGCGGCTCGGTCGTCCTGCACCCGCACAAGAGACTGATGAGACCCGCCCCCTCGATGATGCCTCTCTCCTCGCTTCTCAGCAATCTCAATTTGACCGCCAGGACGCCCAGCTAGACTCGCTGGCGGCTATCCTACGTAGACAGAAGCAGATGGGAATGGCCATCAATCAGGAGCTGGTGGAGCAGAATGAGTTGCTAGATACATTGGATGGAGAGGTGCAAAATACACAGAGCAAGATGAAGAAGAATGAGAGTCAGATTAGGAGGCTGGGATGAGAAGCGTGAATGGCGTCTCTCAGCACCTATACCGTCGGGGAACTTCAAGGCGTCTTGCCCATACGAGGACGCCCCTTCTTCTTCGAGTGAGTCAGAGTTCTCCCCTCGCGCTGCCCCCTGTGCTTCTTCCCATCGGATCAGGCCCTGGGCAAAGCAGCCTTTCGCCCTTCCGCAAGTCTCCTACCATACTGTGATAGAGCAGACTTTCGGGGCAAAAGATCTGGGGACGATGCAAATCACTCCGAGTCACGAGCACTGCGAGCATGCCTCGCCGCCAGTGTATGATAGTCGACGCTCGGGACAAGGTCGGCGGGAGTACGAGGGCTCTACACCGAGCCTCCACGGTCGGAGGAGTAATCGCAAAGAGCTTTGAAACTTGGGGCTACTAAGTGCAGGCTCGACGTTGCAATGTCCAATCATCGCTGCACACTGCAGTAGCAGCGCCATCAAAATCCTTAGTCCTGACGATCAAAGAGGCCCAGTGTATCTGATATTTGCTCAGAAAGATCTTCCACCGGAATTATCATGAGCTCAAGCGCCTTGCGCAAGTGTCTGACAACCCTCTTCGGTACGGGGCGGTTTCCTGATCTTGTGACTGTAGCGGCATTGCTTATCCCGCGCTAGCGTCTTCGTAGACAGGGCCAGGCCTGACATTGTGAAGAACTCGAGGGCGGCTGAGTGGGGGACATTGTGGGTCTTTAAAGCATCAGTACATTTCTGAATGAATTGAAAGCGTCTAGTCTTAGTATTACTGCGTCTCTGTATCTCTATCTCGGCAGTGCGGGAGAGGAGGAGCACGGCCCACCGCTCCAGGACGGACATGCGCCTGACGGGACAAGACAAACTCCACAAGGCGACGGAATCCGAGCCTCAGCGCCAATCTGGAGATGCTCTCCTCGGATCGATTCAGTCCCTCAATCGCCCATCCTTTCTCACCATTAGCACGGAATCAAGGACTGATACTTTCGATACAACCTCTGTCGCATCTTGGTTCTGCACATAAGAACAGCTCATCATGTCTTCGAACAAGCCCTACATCGTGTAAGTGCCTACCGAGACCACTCTGACCCTTTCACAACCACACCATTAATCTTCGAGTCTTGCCTATCTCCTCTGAACCCTCTCCCCTCGACCTCCTTCTTTCTCCCTCTCAACAGCATCTTCAAGCAGTCCGCCTCATCAGGCGATATTGATTCCCATATCAAGGAAGTCGAGTCGCAGGGCGGCAAGATCAAGCAGCGCTTCGATAGTGAAATCATGAAGGGATTCGCGGCCACGATGCCTCAGGATCATGCACAGGCGCTTACTGCTAAGAGCGGTGGGGAACACATGTGAGTATGGGACTGAAAGGAAGGGTGAGACGAAGAGGATGGGTGGTACAGCATAGCAGACGGGAGTTGTTCTGACTGAAACTCCAACACCTGTCCCGATTCGTGATAGCGATTATGTTGAGCCCGACTCAGAGGTGTCGACTCAGTAGATCTCTCGAAATATACTGATGAACTACCATGAGTGAAGACTGTAAAAGAACGTGTACACTCGTTGCTACGGGGGCCAGATTAGCGTATGCTTGTCTCTGAGATCTGCAGCAAACGTTGACCATTTCCGTCAAGAGGACTCCAGGAAGGTACCTCCTCAGAGCGTCAAGACTGATGCGCCATGAGAGCACAAGGAAAGTAGAGCAGACTCCAATAAGTGGCCCTTTCCAGTGTCTGGAAGTCACAGATGCGGGATAGTATTCCGACTCCTCTGTGACACTTCTACAATTGCGACTCTCCTACCTGCCTCTACCTCCACCACCTCCGCCCCGGCCTCCTCTTTGTGGTCCACCTCCCCTTCCACCAGGACCGCCGCCCCTACCGCCTCTTGATCCGCCCCTGTCGCCGCCTCCGTGACCTCCCCTCTGTCCACCACCGCCGCCGCCTCCTTGACGCGCCCTCCGCTCTTGCTCCTCCTGTTGCCGCACTGTGTCGATGGTAGAGTCTGCTAGCCTGACGTACTTGATCTACAGGGAGAAGGGATGGCGAGTAGCGTGTCAATCAGATAGTCACAGAGCCGCTCAGAAGCCAGATGATGAGGCTCCGGTCCTTCCTTGGCCCGCTGCAAGGCTTGTCAAAGGAGTCCTCTGGAGCTGATGGCCCTGCCACTTCCAGATAGACATGAACAGCCTAGCATACCGCCTCTGCAGCTCCCCAATCTCCTCATGGAGTAGTCCCTCTATATTCTCCGCTCCAGTAGGACTCCTTATGCTTCCATCTCCTCATGCGCCTCAACACCTCTCCCTCTATACTCACTGTAGCTCCCTTGATATAGCACTCTGGCAGCTTCCAGAATTCCTCTCCAGTGCTGCTAGTCTGATACACTTCTCTCAATGTCAAGTTCATAAAGTTGTCGCAGGCAATCAGCAGGCCGTTGAACGTCTCGCCCGATTTGAGCTCCACGAGCTGTGCAGAGCAAGGGAGGTAGACGGAGGAGACAGAGGATGGTCAGCTATCGCTCGAAAGGAGAGAGTGCTGACGCTGAGCTGACTACTTACCAAGCCCTTGCCTCTTGCGGCATTGACGAGAACAAGAGGCAACTGAAGTGAAGAAGGGAAGAGCATAAAGCCGGATCAGCGTGCGAGTCGGTCAAAGAGCGCCGGATAGTTCTCCTGAAGATGCTCACCATCGCCTACTCTACTGCAATGGTGAGGCGAATACCGTAGACCGCGAATCTGAGATGGAGTGTAGGAACAGATTGTATTTGGAGCCTGGTTTGCGCCTGATCGACTGGTGCAAGAGGAGAATGCGTAGGTAGAAGGTCGGGAAGGAATGGACTGTATCCACCTCGGACGGAAAGAAGACGTGAGTGGACGGACGTCCATTTTGCGCGCTCTACGAGTGCTTCTCAAGACCATTGCCTCCCTGCCATCTGCTGAGCTTTGAGCGCTGCAAGTTTCAAACCACCAGTAGGGAGAGGCACTAGAACCAACCGACCTAAGCATGGCATCCCTTCGCCCTTTGACTCGCCCTGTAAGTAGCTTGCCCAGGCCATGGGCGGCGAAGCAGCTCGGTCAGCCTGCGAACTCCTCCACCCTCTTCCGCAACTCCTCAACGCTTCCTCGCCGGTCAGCTTCAGCCGCAAGCTCAAGCTCAGGGAAGGCCTCTGCTCGAGCCACTAGAGCAGGTGTGGCCTTCTCCCTGATCCTCACCTTGGCCGTAGGTGCCTACTCGCTACACCGCTTCCCACTTCATCTAGAAGCTGCACCTCACTCTCAGCATGCAGCCGCATCGCTCCTTCCTCCCAGCCAGACCTCCCAGGAGGAGGACTTTCACATCGACTCCGCCACTTCTCAGAAGCTGCCGAGAAGAATAGCGTCGCCTGCCTCTTTTGCTTTGGTGAATGGCAGCGGCAAGGACGATTCGCTCGTTCTTCTCGCGTCGGGAGTACGCACCGTCTCCTTCTTACGTGTACAGGTGTACGTTGCCGCCCTTTATGTGCTCGAGCGGCCATTTGAGGACTTTATGAGAGGCCAGGGGAAGGCGAGTGGAAGTAGTGGAGAAAGCCTAGAGCAGACAATGAGGCAGGCTTTGGAAGCGGGAGTGCCTATGGTGCTCAAGATTGTGCCCGTCAAGAATACCGACTTTGCTCATCTCCGAGACGGTTTCACGGTGAGTGCCAGTCTCCTCGACTGGTCTTCCAAATGTGAGCATAGCTGACAATGTTCCTCTTCGCTACGTCCCCCGACTTTCTGTCTCTAGCGAGCTGTCCAGCTACGCCAAAAGTACCTGCGCAAGACCCCTACCCCACCGAGCGAAGAGCAAGAAGAGTCCCTCTCCCTCTCTCTGCAGCGCCTCAAGGAGTGCTTTCCCAAGGCTTCCCTCAAGAAGGGCGAGCACCTGGATCTCGTCTTCCAACCCAGCCGCGTTACTGCTCCTTCTGCCGGCGCAGTGGGCGGGAAAGGTGTGGATCTGACCTTTGAGCACGACAAGGTAGTGCTGGGGACTGTTCAGTACGATACTAGAGGTGGGAATATGGACGTTGCTCGACTGTTGTTTCAGGCTTACGTGGCAGACAAGGATCCAGTCTCAGAAGTGGTGAGTAGGAAAGGTGGAGCAGTATGATTGCGTTGGCGAGATATGCTGACGGTCAAGTGCTTATTCATTGTGTCACCGTCATCAGTTCAAGAAGGCGGTATCGCAGAAGATCTTCCCACCTTCGCAATGATTCGCATCATGCCCCTGTACCATGTTCATCATACCCAATCATAGCCACTACCAATTCCACCACTCTTTTTGCATTCACGTCAAAGAGATGTCTGCTTTCCTACTATCCATCAGACTTCATTGAGGCCCCCCTCCACCTTCGAAAAGGTGGGAGGAAACTCTGGGCCAGATAGCGAAAGGAATCGTTGAACCAGTCGATGCTGGAGTTCATCTGCGCCTCAATATGAATCGACCATTGCGTGGAGTGTCATGCAAGGTCGGGATTAAGATGGGCGTGTGATGGTGATTGGGGGAACGGGGGATGATGGAGGAAGGGCAAGGGGTAGAGAGTGACCTGACCGAGTCGTTCACGCTCAGGCTCCAGCGAATGCGACTTGGGGTATCATTGATGCGTAGTATACTAGGATCTCTCACCTGTCAAACTCCTTTTGCCCCTCCCTAGCAGACTTCTTCAGGCGGTACATCCTGATCATCCGTTCCCTCTCCTCTCTGAGCTCCTTTTCTCTCCTCAGCCCACCCACAGGCACGGTAGCTTGCTTCTTGATAGGTTCAGGCATTTGCCCCTTGGTGACTGTTCTTTCGCCCTTGGCTGCTCTGATCAGTCTGGCAGCCTCGTCTGGATCTTGACCCTGGATGGCAGCAGAGACCTTGGCTTTTCTAGCTCTTGCCTCGATGGATTCGCCACGAGGTAGCTTGGTGAATCGAGGCGGAGCTTGCGCAACGTCGTTGACCCTTCGTACTTGAGAGGCCTTTGCAAAGTCCAGCTCTCGCCCTCCGCTCTGACCTTGCAGCTCTTCCCTGGCTCGTTTCAAATCCTTGGACGAAGGTTGTGACTCCTCAATTTCCTTCGCCTTCTGGGCTCTCGTCTGTCTCGAGGTCCCACTACCTTCTCCTTCTTCATCGTCTTCTTCCCCTCCTTTTTTGCGATCCAGCTCGGATCGCTTCCTCTTCTTTTCTCTCCTGGCTTCTGTCCTAGCAGTAGCAGCAACGACGCCCGCCATAGTCTGCTCAACTCTCCTGTTGAAGTCACCAAGCTTCTCTCCAGGCCGGATGCGCAGCTCATCTGCAGGAGAGACTGCCGCCTTGGCAGGGCGTGCCTTTGCTTTACCTTTGCCCTTGACGGACGAGGAAGAGGAAGGGTCATCGGATGGGACGTATGTACCTTCCTTGATGGCTTTCCGACGAGCATTGTACTCAGCCTGCACCTTGCCGGCGTTCAAGATCCGCATCGCATTCTTGGGCAAACCAGTCATATGAACATCTTTGCTCGCTTTGGGAGGGACGAGATCGTTACCTCTAGAGAGCAGATCCGCAGAAGCAAAAGTCGGAAGGAGAGTCGTCAGCCAAGGGGCGCAACAATACGACCTGTGGCCTTGTATGCTCACCTCTCGTCGCGCTTGGCCACCCTCACCGATCGCTTTGCTCGTTTGTGAGGCATTGTATGCGGCCGGAAGAAAGGGCGGGAAGAAGGGCAAAGCATGAAATTCTCGCCTTGCCTTTGTTTGACTTTGGCCGTGCAGCCCCAGCCAGCCACTGCGCGAAGAGACGCGGGCCTCACTTCTTCCGAAAGACGGAAAGAGGAGCGGCACAGTCAGTCAGCCAAGGCCACTCCGTATCCTCTGCTGCAATCACCATGCTCGGCCTGACATCGACAAGGACTGTCGCTCGGCGGACAATACGTGTGGTGGGCTCGAGAGAGAGCGGTATGGCCCAAGTGGCTATGGTGAAGCCATTCTCCTCGCTTTCCTGCGGACTGCAAGCCAGTCAGAGGATACTGCCGTGCGCCAGGCGTCTGGCAGCGAGTCCGTCAGCTAGCCTTTCTCTAGCCCCGCTTCATCCTCGACGTCACCTCTTCACAAGTCCCTTGCGATGGAACACAACTGCAGAGAAGCCAGCTGAGACTCCCCAGCCGGAAGTCCTGGCGACATATACAGGCCCAATGGCCGCTACCTTCTACCGGCTGAAGCTCTTCTCCCTTGGATCCCTCACCCTCGCTTCGGCATTCACCCCCGTCTTCCTCCTAGCCGCCAGCGATCTCTCCCTCGCTGGTCGTCTCGGCCTCTCGGCCACTGCCATCGTCACCTCGGTAGTCAGCACGGCGCTCGTAGCTTGGATTGGCAAGCCTTACGTGGGGAGGATGAGTCTGATGCCTGCTCCTGCAGACGGGAAAGGGCAAGAGCCTATCATCGAGGCATATACAATCACCTGGAGGATAAGGACTCTGCAGACTAGGATCTACCAGCCGAGCTTGATCCGACCTACGTCGAGACCCTTTGCCTCTTGGGAGCTGCCCGAGAACCCGGGAGGCGTCTTCCACTTGCCGCAAAGCTCCAGCGGGGATGGGAGCGGAGCGAACGAGGACAGAATCCTAGTGTCAGAAACCTTTGACGCGAAGAGTGGCAAAGTAGTGGGCAAGTGGTGGGCAGAGAGGGTCGCAGGGACAGCAAGCAACAGTGGGAAGGGAGCACAAGGAGAGTTCAAGGAAGAGGCACGGTGTTTCGCAGAGGGCAAGCCGGTGAGGCATTTCCAGGTCCATGAAGAGCTGCTTGGCGAGGAGTGGAGGATATTGGGATGAGCGAGCAATAAAGCACTCAGAAGATCAAGCTTCGCACCTCTCTGACGACCTGACGATGTGCCACGATTCGATGTCAAGATAGTGATCTCTCATTATTGTACAGATGCCCCCATCTTCAGATAATGCCCTTGTTCATATACGCCTCCCTCACCCTGCCGACCTTCTTCCAGTCCACCACTTCCCAGAACCTTGCCAGGTAGTTCTCCTTGCCCCAGATGCCCCAGTCAGGCAGCCAGGCATGCTCGTGGACGCTCAAGCAGAGGAGAGGGTGTAGTGTGGTACCCGTCACGTACGGGTCCCCATTGTCCCTCATCGACTTTGCTGAGCTCTGCGGCTTCAGAGCTCCGCTACTCTCAGCAAAGAGCGAGCCGGAAGAAGAGGTGGCGGTTCCATCGGGCGACGAAGTGGCAGCGCTGCTCTCAATGTCTGGCAGGCCTCTTTGCTGGCGGTTCTGCACGAGCACGGTACCAGCGCCGTATGTTGGCACGATTCCCACCTTCCCTTGCCCATCCACTACAAGCCATACCCATCCGCTGGACGACATGCCCAGAGCAGCAGCTGAGAATGCTGACTTGAATTCTGTGACGGACCCGAAATGGTCGTCTAGCGCGCCCTTGAGGGGACCATCTGGTTGCGGTGGAGAGCGATCTTGCCAAGATTCGTCGCTGAGATCCTGGGAAGCTTGTGGATCGGGAGACTGAATCGGAGCAGACATACGGGATAGGGAGGGAAGATTAGTAAGTGGCCTCGACTAGCAGCAACGCTTCGGGCTCTTCCTGAAACTCACAAGGTGGCTGAGGAAGAAGGCATTGTTCAGTGCTTGAGATGCGTAGTTGAAGGCCATGATCTGCTCCGGCTTCTGGGAGCTCTGAATGACAGTGTCAATCAGCGTCGAGGACTCCAATTGAGTGCCTGGTTATCGCAGTGCGGAGGGGTCGCCGGAGTGAGCTTCTCACCCCACAAGGTCCGTGTCCGCTGCAGCTCTCTCATGCTTACCTCGTACCTCCGCATTCAGCCTCTCGAGCAGTCCCTTTTGCCATCCATTCCAAAGCGTGTCCACCGTGCCCTTGGACAGGAACGGCATGCATCCCCTCTGTAGCGCCTCGGGAGCCGGAGGGAGGTAATGAAGCTCTCTCCTCTGCGAAGGCGCAGCTGAGGCGAGACGAGATGACGAAGAGGATGCAAAATTCCGTAACGAAGCACGAGCAGCTCCTGTACGGAGGGTGGTGGGGAGAGCCATGATGTTGGAGGTGATCCTTGGACGAGAAGGATTGGTGAGAGGATCATCAGCATCACCAAAGGCGCCTGCCTCGAGGAAGATCTGTCATGCGCGCTGAAAATCCCGACGCCCATCGGAAAGGGCAGCGGGAAAGTTGAAGCTGCTGCTCCTCCAAGGCACAGCTTCTTCCTCCTCCAATACCACCATTAGGACTGCATACATCGTCATGGCGAGCAAAAGACCCGAGTACGTGATTGAGCACATGGAGGAGGATGACCCTGATGCTCCCAGTGTCTTCCCGGAGTGGGCCCTGCTCGAGGTGAGTCGGCAGCCGAGATTGCTCAAGGGGCCCAGCTACAGGTCTACTAACGACAGTTCATTCACGGCTTCATGCATCCCACAGTATCGTCACATGCTTTCGCTGGTAGGGGCAGGAAGTACTGTCCACTTCACTTCACTGTCTTCAGCTTCTCTAGACTCTCTCCGTGAGGCCCTCTCGAGCTCTTCCTCTACCAACCCTCCTCGAGCTGCATTCGAGCTACACACCGCTTCTATTACAACGCTGGCTGAGAAGCAGGGCATCCCCCTCTCATCCATCTGTCTGCTAGACCCAAGGGCACAGTACTGCCTCCATGCTTCCGACGCTGGGAAGTACCCGGCCCCCTCTGTATCCGAAGAATCTCAGGAAGGACAGGCAGGAGGACCTTTTACGCATTTTCTCTATGGTGGGATTCTAGGAGATGACCCACCCCGAGATCGTACTTCTTCCCTCCGGGCTCTCGGATTCCCCGGAAGGCACCTGGGCAAGGTACAAATGACCACAGATACCGCTCTCGGCGTGACGAAGAGGATTGTAGAAGACGGAAAGGGTATGGGTGATCAGGAAGGGGTGCGAGGCGAAGGTCCCGAGGGAGCTTTGCAGTGGATGGAGTTCCCTGAGCTAAAGTTCGGCAAGGGAGAGTCAGTGAGTATGCCGCCACCCATGTTCAACAGCTAGCGCAACCCAGCCGGGGTATTCATCTGACCCAAGTCCATCACCCTTTCTCTCTGGCAGGTCTCCATGCCCTTCCGCTACATGACAGACGAGACCGCTAAGGGATCAGAGCCTCAGCCGCTGATGCCCCCTGGCATGCGGGAACACATCAGGAAGGACTTGGATCGCAGCTTCGAGTTCTGAATGCAGATGTTTGATGATGCTTGGGTATAATACAGATTGCTTTGCCCTTTCGTAGAGTTTTGCCTTGCTCGCCCGACCTTCACTCCTGTTCCATCTGTGCTAATTGCTCCATCAGCTTCTGCTCCTCCAGCTGCAGTGCCTGAATCTCGTGCTCGGCCGAAATATTGGCTACCTCCAACTGCAGACCTCTGGAGATGAGCTCCGTCCATTTCCTTTCCAGCGCAGAGATCGTCTCCCCCGCTGTAGTCTGCTCCTGTCGACGCTTGCGGTTCAGGGTCGTCGTCTGGGCGAGGAGCGCTTCGGTCGCTTGCTCGTATTGCTTGGCAAAAGCTTCTTGCTGAAAATTATGCAAACGCCAGTGATTTGCTGTTGAGGTCATACAGAAGAAGTATAAGTCTCATGTTCGCCCAGCCGGATGGATTCTGTTGCGCCCTTGCGGCCAGAGCGTACTCACCTCCATACCGCTTCAGCAGCTCAAGGTTCGTCAATCTTCCCTCCTGATGCATCAATTGCGTCGCAGCATTGTCTACCGCCTTGGTCCACTCTTCTTCTGAAGCCTTGAGACCTGCTTGTGGAGCTGGCAGCTGGAAGCGCAACGTATCAATGGCCTTGAGAGGTTCGCCCTTCCCAGCCCTCTCTACTTCTGCGAGAAGCTCCGGCCGTGACTGGAACAGAGCGGTGAGAGGGATGAAGGCATCGGTCAGATCGGCGATCGCGCACAAGCAGCGCGAGTAGAGACCGAGACTCACCTGGAACACCTCTAGGGGCGGTGGAAGCCTACTGTCATCCACCTTCGGAGTCTTGCCGAGCTCGTTCTGAATCTCCCTCTCTACTCTACTCTGCAGCCCGGGTTGGGTCTCGATTTCCCGGTCAAAGTACGGCAGGGCGTCGTTGAGAGGCAGGTCGGAGGTGTATGAATGGTACGACGAGCCATTGGCTTGGCGCAGCTGTAAAGCTGACGAAAACGCGACCGAGGAGGACATGGTGAACGAGGACGAGGGACAGCCGAGACAGTATTGATGAGGTCGGAAGGATCGTACGGACGGGAGTGCAGGCTCAGATTGTGGCTTTGACTGACCGGACTGGCTCACCGCGCGTTGCTGCCTGGGGACGCCCCACTCCCGCTTAACAATGAGGCGCCTACCATCATCATCACCATCATCCCACCTCTCCAGCACCGCTCGTCCGTCTTCGTCACCATGTCGCTAGCTAGGACAGTCCGAATCATCAGAGAGGCCGGCGTAAGTGTCTGATTAGGCAGATGATGGGGCGCCTTGCAACGAAACATTTGCTGACTTGGAGATTGCCCCTGCTGACGAAAGTTCGCCCGCTACTGGCGCAATCTCAACGTGCTGGGAGATGCCAAGGGTGGCAAGCTCGTAGGAGAGGACTCGATTGGCAACAAGTACTACGAGGACCCGGATGAGATCCCAGGTCGTCATCGATGGGTGGAATTCAAGTCGGCTGACTTCAACGCCAGTCAGTGTGAGCCCGCATGGCACGCATGGCTGAAGCATATCCAGACAGAGCCGCCTACAACAAACCCAAGGATGCAGAACAAGCATACATGGGAGTCGGTGAGTACAAGAAAGCTAAGGGCAGGCTTGCTCAAAGATTGTCAAGTCAGAAGAAGGAGGGCGGAGAAGATGGACGGAAAGGTTTCAGGGCGCAATTATCGCTCTCGTTGGGTGATGAAGCGGAAGAGATGGGAACCGTCTACTGCCTCCCACACCTGAATAATTGGCTGATACATTTGGTCTCTCATCCTCGCAGGCTCCGCAAGAGAATCTGACAGGAACGCGAGGGATGTTCAAGACGTACTCGACGACGAAGAGGAAAGTGGTGAGTAGTAATGTGGACCCTCTACCCCAGTCTGTACTGGTCCTGACCCGCGCCCTGTTCGGAACTCCTCTTCCTCCGTCTCAGCACCCTTGGGAGCCAAGTGTCGCCCCCCGATCGTAGAGGCAGCAGAGTCCCTGTCTTACCAGAGTAGCGCAATGTCCATACCTTGAGCGCACATTTTGTTGGTTTCAGACTAATCTCTTTGGACTCAGACCCGTGACCTTCGAAAAGCAGATGCAACGAAGGAGAGCAGTGGCGGACGGGGAGGCAGCGGCGATCAAGCTGGGCAAACTTGGACACCCATGCCTATCGCACCGTAGCTACCTTCTCCGCTTTGTCCGCGGTCAAGGGGCCATGCGCCTTGGTTTCCCACTCCTTCGGTATTGAGGTGCAGCAGGTCTGGTTTCATCGACAGGTGATGCTTTGTACTTGGTCTACTGAGTCCACCGAGGTAGGTAAGGTCACGTACATGCAGCCGAGTTTCTCTATCATCTGGACGTGCGGAGCTAGGTGGGGAACATCCGGGGAGCCTGGCTATGCCGAGGAGCCTCAGTGCGTCCCGTCGCCGCTTGGCTGTCCCTCGGCCACGGAGCCGCAACTTGCTGCTCTGCAGTGATGGATCGCTTCCTCTCACAACTCAATTTGCTCCTTGAGGAGGCCCTTTCGTTCCATCTTTCGTCCTTCCATGACCCTTCGACTCAAGCATTGAGTTCTTCCTCCCCTCTTCTCGACGTGGCTGCACCATCGATACGAAGATCCTCTGTGGCCCGTTCGCACCATGTACGCCTTTTCCTCTCTGGTCATTGCCACTCTAGGCCTCTTCGCTAACGCGACCTTCGCTTTGCCTGCTTCCTTCATCGCGGCAAAGGCTTCCTCCTCTTCTAGCCTCCCGACCAAGAAGTCCCTCTACGTCGATGGCAAGCACATTCCCGGCATCAGCAAGATGACCGGAGACCTCGGCGCTTCCTATGCTGGTCTTTTGCCGGTCACTCCCGATGCCAGTGACAATGACAAATTGTGAGCATCAAGTGCTCGACACCTCTGGCGTGAGCCTAGGACGTGCGCTGAACCCTGTCTGCTCTCCTCTCTTCCACTACCAGCTTCTTCTGGTACTGGCCCACAGATCGCACTGCTGGAAAGGACGACGTCGTCATCTGGCTCAACGGTGGACCCGGATGTAGCAGTCTGGAAGGCGTCTTTGGCGAGAATGGACCCATGACACTCACAGAGCCAACCAAGGACGTCTACAAGGCGACGAGAAACCCTTACTCCTGGCATCACCTGAGCCATGTCCTATACGTTGAGCAGCCGGTGTCCGTGGGCCTGGGAAGCGGCACGCCGGGCATCGTCGATGAAGTGGGAGTCGCCACAGAGTTCTACGGCTTCCTTCAGAATTTCTACAAAACGTTTCCAGAATTGAAGTCGAAGAAGCTATGGCTGACCGGCGAGAGCTACGCAGGTGAGATCTGCGAGTCGTTACGAGGATCGACATTCCAGACGCTGACCGACCATCGTCCTACTTTTCTCTCAGGCATGTACATCCCTTACATGGCCGACTACATCTACCAGCAGAATGATACCCTCAATCTCCAGGGCTTTGCCGTCAGTGACCCTTCTATTGGCAACACAATGTTCGGACAGGACGTTCCTGCTTTAGCGTTTGCCAGGGCCAATCAAAAGACTCTCAAGCTCAACAGAACACAAATGACTGCTCTTGAGGAGGCTGCTGAAAAGAATGGGGTCACCAACTTCCTGCGAGACCATCTTGTCTTCCCACCCAGGGCCAAGATCTATGCACCACAGCAGCTCCAGCCCGGCTCTCTTTTCAACGACCTATGGCACTACTCTACGGTCCAGAACCCGTGCATTTCCGTCTACTACATCGATGACCAGTGCCCTGCCGATCTCGATCCGTTAGGGTTCCCCCTCGACTCGACCACGGGCGCTTCGACCCGCAACTTCATCAATCGTACACCTGGCTTCAAGAAGTACGTTCATGCTGATCCAAAGACGTCGTGGGTGGAGTGCACAACCAACAACGTCTTTGCCGGTAACGGCGAAGACAATTCGCTTGCCCCAGCCGACTCGGAGCTGTTGGGCCGCGTGATCAACAAGAACCAGCGTACGGTCATTCAGCATGGACTCAGGGACATGGTCCTCATGGCCAACGGCACCCTGCTGGCCATCCAGAATACGACTTGGTCAGATGCCGGCAGCGGAGGCACTTCAAGTGCGCTGCAGGGCTTCCAGGACAATTTCTTTGCCAGAACGGGCAACTTGAAGGTCAATGGCAAGAGCACCGGTCAGTACATTACCGAGAGGGGCTTGACCTTTGCCACGGTCGACAAGGCGGGCCATATGGTGCCTACCTTCACCCCAGCCACCGCTTACAAGCTTCAAAAGTACCTCTTGGGTCAGATTGCCGAGACTGACCTGGGAACATAAGCACGAGCATGATCACGATTGCGCGCACCCAGACTTCATTCGCAAGTATTTCAACATCGATCGTCAGCACAGAAGCCCTCATGTCATATCCGCAACCATGGAAGCTCCCGCATCATTTGTCATGTAAATTCCTTGCATCATTACGGACCTCTTATCGTCTTTTCGGCGACCCTTCTCTCGCATCAGGGCCGTGGCCCCTGAGCACGCTCTCAGAACCACTCAATGTACTTCATAGCTTCTGCAATGTTTTCATCCATCCATTTATAGACTTCACCCCTGTACCGTTTGAGAACAGAGATCTCCATAGATATGTCGGAGACAAAGGGCCGGATTGCGGCCTTGGGGTATGTGCATTACGCTGTGCTCCGTCCTGAGTTCATTAGTCCCTTTCCTTGTCCCATCTGACCACACTCATAAGTTCCGTGTGTCCTTGACCATCCGTCTTGCTTCTATCAATACTTCGCTCCATAGCCAGGTGCGGGCTGCGAGTACCCTCCAGCATGTCCATGTGCCGGCGGCGGCGGTCCCTGATGATAAGGTCCCTGCGAGTACCCAGGTCCATACGCCCCTCCTCCAGCAGCGGGAGGAGCTCCCTGCGGAGGCACATGTCCCTGCTGCGCGTACCGCCCGGGCCTGTTATCCTCGTTCTTGGCGATGATGTACCATGCATGAATCACGCCGGGAATCCAGGCCAGGAGCCAGAGGATGATGTTGATCCAGAAGGCGTTGCTGCAGCCTGTTGGAGAGGTAAGAGGGGAAAGAGAGGTGAGTCAGAAGCGTAATCGGTTAGGCAGGGCGGGACAGGGTCCCTGGCTTGTTGAAAGACGCACCGCGCTTGATGAATACAGGTACTGGAGGGACGAAGATGGCTAGAAAGTAGAGGAGAACGTCCGAATTCGATGAGCTGTAGGATGGGTCAGAGAGTGAGAAAGATGAAGGGTATCAGTACGAAGCGGCCATGTACGTCTGATGAAGGGCGAGGCGAGATGGAGACGTGAACTTACACTTGCTTAGGCATGATGTGACTAGAGTATGAAGACGAGCGAAAGAGGTCGTAGGGTATGAATTGGTATGGTAGTATCGACGGTTCAGGAGGCAAAAGGTAGGCGCCTTTCAGCTTCTTGTACTGTTGGGAGCAGTCGTCTTTTGCGGAAGTGGGCGTGGCGGTGGTGGCTGTGCATGGCCTTGCAGCGCCTGTGCTGCAGTGCCGCTCCAGCGTCACTGAGGCGTCGGAAGCCATGTGGAGTTCAACACTCGCGCTTTCGCAGCCCTTCCGGACATCTAGAAGTCAGTTCTAAGTGGTACTACACTCGTCTTGTTGGGCTGCAGCGCCATCTTCTGCTACCCGTTCGCCATCTCAGGTAGCATGGACGAGTCTCTCGCTGGGCCGAGCTCGTCGGGGCATGTCGATGGTGCTGCATCTTCGTCCACCACTTCCGCACCCTCACCTTCTCCTCTCCCACCTGAGATTTGGTCCCTCGTAATCTATCACCTGGCGCGCTCCACGCCCCTCTATCCAGACGTAGTTCCTTCGCTCTCAGCCCTCACTCGAGTCAACAAGGAGCTCTCCCACTTTGCTACTCCGTACCTATACGCTCGCCCACGGCTGGATCAGAGGTGGAAGGAGGTAGTCTTTTGGACTACCATTCTAGCGCACCCAGAGAGGTGGTGGGACGTGCGGTCCTTCCTCTTGGGTGAGCGCCAGTGGGATCCATTCGGGGAAGATATGCCTATGTGGATAAGAGGAGGCAGATCCGGCCGTCCACAGAGGCCTACACCGAAGCTAGATCAGCTAGGTGAAGGTATCGCATCCGCCGGGAAGAGGCGGAGGGGAGGGGTACAAGACCAAGGTCTGGCAACGCAGGCTGCATCTGGATCAGCTGGCTCGAGCTCTACGTCCCCTTGGTCCAAGTATCTCCCCTCTCCTCCCACTAATCTGCAATGGGCGCAGGCCTTCCAAGTCCCTCCTTCGTCCCTCTACCTACCCATTGGGGCCGGGCCGGATCCGCTGCTGCTCGAGGAAGTGGCCTGGTGGGAAAAGGGCATGGTGGGCGGGCTCCTGAACGGTCATGCCTATTCGACTAGGCCAGTGGGCAAGTGGTGTGAGCAGGTGGAGCGCCAGAGGGAGGAAAGGAAAGTGAGAGAAAAGGCCAGAGAAGTCGAGGATGTGGATTTAGGTAGAGGGCCAGGCTCTCTTGCAGCCAGCGCTCGGACTGTGCCCGCAAGCGAAAGCCAGAGTGGGAGCAACAGTGGTGGATCAGGGCGGATAGCGCCGACGGACCTCAGCGAGGAGGATGTTTGGGCTGCCGCGGAAGTCTTTGCAGCAAGCGCAACGGTGGTTGCCCCTCCAGCCGCAGAGAAGACCAGCACTACTAGCTCGTCTGACAGGACTGCTTCAATAGCTCTCCCTTCTTCAGTGGACCAAACACAGAAAGCGGAGTCAGTCCCGATCCCACCCTCCTCGGTTGCACCCGTCAGCAACTCTACCTTTGCGAACAATGCCTGGGCCCTCCCCGCGACCTTCCCGAGTACACAAACTCGCCGCTTGCCTTGGCGGTACCGCCTGATCACTGGCTCCCTCGACCCGACATTACCCAAGCTCTTTCATGCCCTCGACACCCTCACACACATCGAGCTCACCCTCTACCCTGGCACTCTCCTCGACCACGATCTTCTAGAGCACCAACTTCGTCTCCTCCTAGATCCGGCGCATATGCCTTTACTCAGAGAGCTTCTCGTCTTTGTAGGTCACGATGCCGTATCAAGCGGCAGTCGACTCGCCAGACTTACCCATGCAAAGACGGTCAAGTTGGCGGTGGATAGAGTAGACGATAGGAGATGCAAGTGTATCACTGCACGCAGGACATTTGGGACGGCAGGCTGCAAGGGCAGTGAGAAGGATGTCAAGAAGGACATCATCGAAGGATGGCTGCAGGCTACACAAGGAGAGCACGAAATCGTATGCAGCGACGTAGACGATGGGCAGGAGGATCCTGTTGTATCGGCTGGCACGCCTTGGATCAATGGCTGGCTAGCGCGGGATGTGAACGGCACGAATGACCCCATTGAGGAGTAATGGGCAGCTTTGATGCGATGCTTGTAAATATCGTGCCTCTTCACGCCTCTTGACGACCTCTGCCAAGCGTTATAATAGCAACCGCGTCTGTGTGCTTATTGTGAGAAGAGGTAGCTTGCAGCGCTCCAGCCTTGGCGTGACATCTTGCTTCCGTTCCGGTACTGATCTCGATCTGCCCTGCAAGAACAGACACGCGATGACGTACCCGCGCGAGCTGCCAGCCCCGGTCCACACTTCTTCTTTTCCTTTCGGCCTCGGGTCAGCTTCGTACCAACCAGAACAACAGCAACACCTTCAATTCACTCTCACACTAAGCACCAACACTCTTTACAATATGTCGGACAAGTCTCACACCCTTATGCACATGTAAGTTGCTTGATCTCAACGAGCTCGATGCTCCCCTCAGCCGAGAACATCGCCTGCTCACACTTTCTGCACCTCTCCACCTTCCTTCCCGCCTCGCTTTCGCCTTCGCCATTGCCTTTTTCAGGTCGAGTGCCGACCAGCACAACCACGGCGGTCCCGAGCCCGAGGAGAAGCGACCTTCTCACGAGCAGGGTGTTGAGAACTCTCACCAGAACCTCGACGCCAAGGACGAAAAGTCCATTGCTAACAAGCTGGACCAAGCTTCCAAGCAGGAGAAGAGGGAGAAGAAGGCTGAGCAGGAGGACAACAGCATGCCTACTGACGCTGCCCGAAACGTGAGTACTGCTGCAATGCAAACATGAGTAGGGAAGTGGGATGGTCGGCAACTTCTAGTTGGAGGAGAGTGCGGGTGTATCCGTCCCGCAAGGGTCGGAGCAATCGGGACCTGCATGAAGCAAGAAGCGGCGTGGTAGATTTCCGTGTTCACTGTACTGACCGTACTCTCCTTCTACTACTCTCCTACAGCACGGCAACGAGCCCTCCAAGGGTGCCAAGATCGACGAGCAGATCGAGCTCGAGGAGCAGGCTGAGCTCAGGAAGAAGGGTATTCAGCCGTAAAAGCTCGGAATTTGAGCAAAGGCAGTAGTGTGATGCGATGTGACGTACTTTATTCTTCGGTGGTTTCGGTATGGAAATGCACAATCATGAAAATGTATTAACATCATTGCAAGATATCTCGCACGGCGTGAGTGACAGCGAGCATGCGGAGGGCGAAGGCCACGAGCGGGCAAGCAAGCCCATTCATTCAATCGATAATGCTGCAACGTCTGCCGTCAGATCGCCCCGATCGGTGCTATTTCGGTCGGCGGTTTTGCTCTGTCTCCCCATCAAGACCTCATTCACCCGCAGCAGATGCGATCGTGAAGGATTGGCCTGTGGTATAGACCCAACCACCCACTGCAGCCTTCTCCTGACATCGTCCTTGGTCAGACTTTGCTTCTGATGTTCGACCTCTTCGAGTGTTCGCAGAGGCGGTTGAGTCGGAGAGTTGTAGTAGAGCGAGAGTATGGCAATGAGTACAGAGAGGCAGAGATCCTTTTGTGTAGAGTCGACAATGAGGATCCGAGGGCTAGAGGTGGACGAAGCGCTGCCGATGAAGACTACTTGAACGAAGGTTAAGATGCTAGGAAGCTCTTCTTGCAGGACACGGAGGCCCTTCTTGCCCTGTGGGATTCTTCTCCGTAGTAGGAGCGCCTCTTTTGGTTCACACGTCTTCTCGTGGGTCACCGGGTCATCACTGCTCTGCTCGGCATCGCAGTGAATGATCAGATCGAAGAATGCCTTCTCCTTGGCTGTGAAGGCGTACGTGGGTTGTCTCCGACCGCAGAAGAGTCCCGTCGCACCTATAGCTACGTCGCACACGGATCCGGAGGACGCCTCTGCATCATCCACCTTAGGCGTCTGGTTGTCTTCCGCTTCTATCAACTTTGACGACCTGACCACTTCCTCTATCACTCTCGGTAGGTCTTGCCGCGTCGATTGAAGCAGTCTCTGGTGATTTACCCGGTCCCAGAAGAGCTCTGGGGTCAGACCAAACGACCAAAGCTCCTCGTCATCACCACTGCCTTGTGTGTAGTAGTAGGTGCCAGTGGGGTCTGGCGTGGGCAGATCGACTCGCCGCGAGGCAGAGAGGACAACGACTGGGTGACAGTCATCTGCGAAGCTATACCGCTCGAGAGCTGCAACGATGTCTTGCTCCAAAACCGCCGTGATCGTCTGGACCTGCTCAGAAGACACTGGTCGGGTAAGAAAGAACGGTACCAAAGGGCGAGTCAAGTGAGGGACAGGCAAGTCCGAAGCCTGAAATAAATCGCGCTTTCCACATCAGCTTCTGAGGGTTTTGATGTTCCCTTGCGCTGACTGGATGCGACGGCGACTCACCAAGACAGCTTCGACCCACGCGCCTATCCTCGCCTCTATCTGTGCGTGCTCACTGGGCGGGACTTGGTGTGCAGGCGTCCTCAAGAAGCTCTGGTGGCTAGTATTGACATCCTTGAATGGCTGTTGGTGCTTCGCAGAAGCAGGAATCTGAATTCCCGTGGACTGAGCCGGGGAACTGTACCGCCGCCTTGAAGCCTCATTCAAGACGGCACACCAAATGGGAATCGTCTTGCTGAGGGCATCTGGAAGCGACTGTTGGCGGACACAGGATCAGTTTGGGTTTGACTCCTTGGCTGTTGAAGTGCGCGAGCCAAGCCACCGTCTCGTGGACATACCTTGCCCCTCCGTGTGGAGTCGGTGATGATGACACCGCCTCGCTGTTGAATCAGCCGCACGACGTCAAGATTGGGCCTCTTGAGACTGACTGAGGGGGCGAAGAGGGCGAGTCGGATGTAAAAGCTTAGCGTCTGCATTGAAGGTGCTACATCTGGCACACTCACAGCTCCATTCGCCGGCGTGGCCATCGGTCGACTTGAAGTAGCAATAGGTACTCGCTCTCGAGATCTGCGGAAGTTCGGGGCTGAGGTACCACGCTCCGCACCGCAGATTCGCTTTTAAGGGGTCACACTGATCAGGCCTTGTACAATACGATCTGCTAGTGACCGCGCTCTTGGAAGCTCACCGATGATGGGAAGCTCAGGCAGCGCCTCGGCCACTCGGAGTACCCATTGAGAGTCTTCTGCGATGCTACGCAGGCGATTCCAAGGATCCCGCTCGAGCTTTCTTACGACTTTGCGATCATCGCTGCGGAGCAGTGAAGCATAGAGACTCCCCGATGAGGCGCTCTCATCCTGGGTCATTCAGGCAGACGTCCCACCCTCGAGGTCTCCCTTTTCCAGCTTGTCTGACTTGATGCTGGGTGAGTGCGTATGCGGTGCTCGGCCTCGGACATGTCAGTCCAGAGCTTCTTCCGCTTCCGTGCCCGGGCCGCCTTGGCTGTGCGTGCACCCACCCACCCACGCCCGCTCCGCCGCCCGCCAGCCAGGCAAGCGGTGACGCCGCCATTCACCGCCTCGGCCTTCCTTCCTCAGCTTCCCTTGTCCTCCCCACTCACCATACAACCCTTACGACCATCTCCTTCACGGTCGTCGACGCTGACATCAGACAGTGTCACGCACCTCACCACGCTACTGTCGACCCTCTTTGACGTCTTCCAGCTGATTACATCACACAGCGAGTGGACTCACAGAGGTCTCCACAATCGTCATGTACCCTACGGGCGGCGGCCAGCAATGGGGCCAACCCGGACAACAGCAGGGCGGCTACCAGCAACCTCAGCAGACTGGCTACATGCAGTCTCAGCCGACGGGATATCCCCAGCAGGGTGGATACATGCAAGCTCAGCAGACTGGTTACCCTCAACAGCAGCAACGCCCAATGCAGCCTGGAATGGGCATGGCCCCTCAGCAGACAGGCTTCATGGGACAGCAGCCTACCGGGATGATGGGCGGCATGGGTATGGGAAGACCCATGGGCGTACCCTCACCTGGTATGCTCGGTCCTGGCGGAAGCGGTCAGATGATGCCCCAAGGCGGGCAGCAGCGCTTCCTCTCCCCCAACACTGGCATGATGCCTCAACAGACTGGCATGATGATGCCTCAGCACACCGCTATGCCAATGGGAATGAGCAACATGAACATGCGATCGCCGCAACCGACTGGATTCATGGGCTCACAACCCACCGGTTTCATGGGTCCTCAGCCCACGGGCTTCATGGGTGCCCAGCCAACTGGCATGCCCATGGACCCTAGGCTGCAGTTGATGAGCACTCAATTTCTGCCAGCCATGCAACCATTCAGCGGTGCGCCGACCGCTTCCAACATGAATTTCTCTAATGCCAGCATGCAGCCCTCCAACTTCCAGTCATCCATTCAGAACCTCTCTCAGCAACAGCAAGGCAGTCGAGAGCCGAAGATCCCGTGGGCTTTGAGCAAGGAGGAGCGGAAGTCCTACGACTCCATCTTTCGCGCGTGGGATCAACAGGCAACCGGCTTCATCTCTGGGGACGTCGCTCGTGAAGTCTTTGGCCAATCTGGCATCGACCGGGACAGTCTGATGCAAATCTGGCACCTCTCTGATACCGAGAATCGGGGCAAGCTGAATCAGGCGGAGTTCCACGTAGCCATGGGTCTGATCTATCGAGCGCTCAACGGAAACGATGTTCCTTCAGAATTACCCCCCGATCTGGTGCCCCCGTCCGCCAAGCAACTGAACGAGTCTGTCGACTTCTTGAAGGACTTGCTGAAACGAGATACCACCGTCCGCACATCTACCGGGCTCAACCTTCCGGAAGCTGGCTCAAATCGAAATGCGAGCTACTCCAAGTCACATTCCCTCTACCAGAATCCTGTAGCGCCCAAGCAAGATGCCACGGCCTACAAGCACGAAGACACGAGCGATACTGGATACCGCTCGAGCTCTCGTCACCTCGACCGTAATACTGTTCGCTTCAAGGGTGAAAGCAAGGCTGACGACTTATCCGAGATGAAGCGACAGCTGGAGAATACTCAACGCATGCTTGATTCGCGTGACGACGAAGACAACGAGGACGAACGCGAAATTGAGAAGGAGATGGAAGATCTCCGATTCCGGATCCGTCGCATCCAGGACGACATCGACTACTACAACAGGAGGGGCGGCCGCGACGCCGCAGATCAGCGTCGCAAGGCAGAGCGAGAGCTCATGCAGCTCATGCACGAGAGGCTGCCTCAACTGGAGAGACGTCTAGAGGAGAAGGACAAGAAGAAGAGGGACAAGAAGCTCGACGAGAGCCGCGCTCGGGACTTGCGTAATCAGGAGGGGAACCGCCGAGGCGCGTCGTCTACCTATGACTCCGATCGTGAGCGAGATCGCTACGATTCCTCAAGGAGCAATGGAGAGTACCTGCGCGGCAGCTACGAGCGCAGCGACGATCGGGACCGCGAGCGTTCGCGAGATCGATATGACGATGATCGGAACAGGGACTACGATCCAAGTCAGCGTCGAGACAGAGACCGCAACGACCGTGTTCGCAGTCCACCTCCGGCACCGGCGTCCCCCGCTCAGAACTCCAGAGCTGCTCCAGCACCTCCTGCTGCTGCTGCTGCCCCTGCCTTGAGCCCCGCACCGACCCCTGCAGCAGCTGCCACTCCCGCTGCAGGACCTCCCAAGAACATGACTCCCGAAGAGAGGCAAGCTTGGATCCGATCGGAGGCTCAGAGGAGGATCAGCGAGAGGATGCAGGCTCTCGGTGCATCAGCGCCACCCTCCACTGCGACAGACTCGTCTGTAGAGGACCGTCTCCGAGCAGAAAGAGCAGAAGCTGACGCTCGGGCCGCCGCTGCTGATCAAGAATCAGCTGCTCGGGAGCAGGCACGGAGGGCTAGGCTCGAAGAGCAGAAGCTCGCCAAGGACAAGACAGCTGTCAATACTGTCAAGAGCGAATTGGCAGAAGCAGCCAAAGGCCCGGATGCGCCACCGGCTCCCGTACTCCAGGCCGCGAGGGAGCAGATCGATGAAGACGAGCAGATGATCCGACGAAGGGAGGAAGTCCTTGCCAAGGAGAAATCCCAGCGCGAGGCTCGCTTCAAGAAATTACAGGAGGAGGAAGAGGAGGCTCAAAGGCAAGAAGAGCTGTTCAAGGAGAGGCAAGGCAAATTCTCCGGCAAGACGTCGCAACCTGCTACCCCTAGCGCTCTGCCTCCGCCATCAAGAAAGAAAGCCGGCGGTCCACCTCCGCCTCCTCCGACCCGTTCTCGCGCTGCACCGACCCCTGCAGCGGCGGCAGTTCCCCCACCTCCCCAGGCACCTCCTGCTGTCTCTCCACCTGCTACCTCTACGCCCATGGCGTCCACACCTTCCGCTGCACCCTCTGGCGGTCCAAGTAGCACCAATCCTTTCCACCGATTGCAAGGCGGTGGCGTAGCTTCTCCTGCCGCTGCAGGAGCTCCAGGGGGCACCAATCCCTTCTTCCGCGGTGGAAATGATGCTGGTGCAGTAGGATCATCGAAGCCTTCGCCGGCTGCTGTCAATGCTAATCTGCCTCCAGCATCTCGACCTGCGGCAAAGTCAGTCCCATCGGCAGCCCCTGCAGCAAGAGGTCCCAGCGGTCCTCGTCCACCACCGCCATCTCATGATGACGACTGGGGGGACTCAGACAAGGAAGAAGAGGATGACGATGACGACGACGGACCTGGCTCGACCACCCGAGCTACTCGGCAAAATCTCGCTCAAGCACTCTTCAGCGGTCTCGTCCCAAGTGGAGGCGGCAGTAGTGGTCGCTCCACGCCGACGCCAACGAACGCCGCCCCTTCGTCTGCCCCACCTGCCCCACCTGCAGCCCCTCCAGCTCCTCAGGCACCGCCGGCCCCTTCGGCTCCACCAGCACCCGCAGCACCAGCGGCCCCTCCGGCCCCTCCTGGAGCCTTCCCTTCTCCTGCCGCTGCTCCCTCTGTCCCTGCCGGGCCAGTAGATCGAGGTGCGCTCCTTGGCCAGATTGCTGGAGGACTAAAGCTCAAAAAGGCAGTCACGCGAGATGCCAGTGGACCTCCTGTCAGCGGCAAAGTCATTGGCGACGCGGCTCCACCCGTACAAAAGTACGTGCCTCCTCCCAGCCCACCCCCTGCTCCATCTAGCGATGATCCATCCGCAGCCGATGATAGCTTCGCTTCGAGGAATCCCAACCGGCAGAGTGTCGACTGGGCAAATAATCTTGCCGCCGACCAAATGAACGGTGGTCCGCCTCGCGCCGCCTTCGTTCCCGATGAGCCATCGCTGCGAGAGGAAGAGGAGAGTGACGATGATCAAGCCGGCCCAGAGAGCCTCGATGGGCCTTCGCTGGCTCATCGCGCGGCTCCAGGCCTCGACACCTCCACGGCTCACGGCTCCTTGAGCATGGACACTCCCGCTGCCCTGGAAGGGGACGCTGCCGCTGACGCGCTTGACGACTTCGACACTAGTCGCACAATACGCGTTCGGACCCTGTATCCTTATGCGGGGCAGCGAGATGAGGACCTTTCTTTCGAAGAGAATGCTCTCGTCCTTGCTCATCCTGGAAAGGATGTGAGCAGTGATTGGATGTACGGTACACTCCTGACCGGAGGAGCTGGGAAGAAGGGTCTCTTTCCGAAGGCTTACGCAGCCGAGTTGACCAATGGTAAGTAGGACGCGCACCGGTGCATGTCATGGAACAGCAGTGGTTCACATGCCTGACAACGCCTCTCTTGCCAATCCAACAGCTGTTCATGCTCGTGCTCTGTACGACTTCGCTGGCGGCTCGATAGACGAGGCGAGCTTCTCAGAAGGGGACGAGCTCAAGGTGGTAGATCAAGAGGATGCAAGCTGGTGGAAAGTCGAGCACGGAGACAGCATCAAGATCGCTCCTGCAACTTACCTCGAGATCATCGGTTAGTAGACAATTCAACCTTGTCAGATTGGGAACGCGAAGTGCAAGCAACGTATGGCAACTCGTGGGCAACGGCCGAAGATCCTGGTCGGCACTGTTGCCTCTCTGCGATGCTGGTATGCCCGCTCCACCTATCCAGCGTCCTGAGGAGTACAGTGCTGAGCCTCCCTTTCCCTTCCTGTCCCACACCTACATCACACATGTACCACGAATAATCGTCAAAAATCATCTTGTCTGCGCTTCGCTTGTCGAACTCTCTATCGCCAATACACAACATTCCTTTCCTACACCATTGCTTCTGTGGACTTCTTAGCTGGCACTCATGGATACGGACATACGCAGTCCACGCAGCCACAGAGCAAAGCTGAACCCAACAGCCGGGACCTCTCCACTGCCGACGCTGTCAGTGCATCATCTCAACGGTGAGTGGGGAGATCGTTGCGTGGACTGCTCAGCGGGCTGAAATTCTGACGTCTTCGTCGTGGCATACTCAATTGCTTTGGGGGCATCATTGACGTCACTAGGCTCGATAGTGCGTCTCAGCCATCCTCAGCTGAGAATGCTCAGAGCCGGGGGGTGTCACAGCAGACTGGCAATGGCGGTCCCCCAGCTGCGAATTACGGAAGAGATGCAGAAGACTCGCAAGACGAAGATGATTACGATTCCGACTCCACTACTGGCTGGAGTTCCAGCAGTGATGAAGACAACGACGACCCTAACGACACTCCGAGCAGTGAGGTAGAAGGGCAGGAGGAGGAGGAGGAAACAGAAGAAGCCCATGAAGCCCGAGCTGCAGAGCGCATGAGGGTGCTAGAGGCAGCTGGTCTACTTGTGAAGAGCGGTCAAGGCCAAGGTCCACCGCCCCCTCCCGGTGCCAGGCCTGCTGAGAATCTCTTGCTGCGACGCAAGGCGACTGTGCGACGCGGCCCAAGACCCGAGGCGCCTGCCCGTAAACGGACAGCGAAGAAGGCCGCCAAGCCAGAGAGGCCTCTTCCTGCTCCACCAACTCCCGCTCGTGATGCTCCTGAGCCTGAGCGACACCGTGAAGAGCAAATGGAAGATGCCTACGATCGTTTCACGAAGCTTCAGAGCGAGATGAACAACATGAGGGTGTCCTTCTCAGCGCAGTCTAGTGCAGGCTCAGCCTCTGGAAGTCACGACCAACCCTTTGTGGCTCCTGCGTCAGTTGAGTCCCTCAGGGTCACGACACCTCCTCCGAGATCGGGTACTGGGACCCCCGCAGGCGATACTCACCCATCTGAGACTACCCCTGAGTCTCGTTCAGGTGGCCGGTTTTCTTCGTTTGCCTCATCTCTACGCTCAAAAGCAGGTCAGCTCACCGCAAGTCAGCCGGAGAGGAGGGCTACTCCGGTCATCTCTGGTCCTATGAGCAACGTCACCGAGAATGCAGATCAGCCCATGCGAACACCTTCGTCTTCATCCTCTGCGCCCCCACCGCCATCTGCAACTAGCTCGACATGGGGCAGCTTCGTAGGCAGTGAAGCTCTCGCGACCCTACCCGACAAGGAGCGCAAGCGGCAAGAAGCCATCTTCGAGCTCTGTCAGACCGAGGCCACACACGTACGCGACCTTCAGACCATCATCGAAGTCTTTTACAACTCCATCGAGGAGCAGAAGTTGCTCGATGACAAGGCTAGGATGGTCATCTTTGCCAATATCGAAGATGTCATGATTGCTTCAGTCTCCTTCCTCAGCGATCTTGAAGAGCGACAGAGGACCTCTCGACTTTACGTTGACCACATCGGAGACATTTTGTCTCGACATATTCCTGCTATGAGAGTATAGTGAGTGAAGTGGAGCAGAAGAGAGCCAACCCTCATGCAGTCTCCGCGACCTTGGCTGATCGACCGCTTTTACCTCTTTTACCTCTCTCACTCTCCCAGCCTGCCTTACTGCACCAACCAGACTACCGCCTCCCAGATCCTGCAAGCGGAACGAGCGCGGAACCAGCCCCTCGACAATCTCCTGGGCCGCCTCCGCGCCGGCCAAGGACGAGGTCTCGATCTGGCTTCCTACCTTTTAACGCCCATGCAACGCATGACCCGATACCCTCTGCTGATTGGCCAGATCCTCAAATATACCGAAGCAGACCATGCAGACTGGGAAGCACTGAAGAGGGCCAATACGATCGCCGAAGGCATCCTGGCTAGTACGAACGAGCGGATCCGTGAAAATGAGAGTCGCGAGAGACTGAGACTGCTAAGCCAGACGCTCTACGTAGGCGACGAGGCGCGCATCGACCTGACCAAGCCCACACGGTTCATGGGTGATCGTCGGATCCTCAAGGAGGAGGTGCTGGGCAAGGCCAAGTCCAAGTCGGGACGCAAGTTGACCCTCATCCTCTGCAATGACCTGCTGCTCATCCTCACCGGTCCGCACCTGTATCGCATGCCTGCTCCCCTCGAGGAGATCGTAGTCAAGGAGGCCTCTAGTGGGATCAAGAGTCGCGCAGAGGGAACCTTTCAGATTGTTATTGGTGGGACGGAGAAGATTGGGCTGAGATGTTCATCGGTTAGGGCTTGTCATTACTGGATGAGGTCCATCGAAGAGGCACGCAGCGAGTGTTTGGCTGCTGCTATGGCAAGTCAGGCTGATTCGAGGCAGCAGAGGCGACGCTCTAGCAAATTGGCTTAGGCTGAACAATGCACATGGGTGACGCATCGTGGCATGGCCCCATCTGATCACTGATCATCAAGTCTTGTCTCGCATTGAGCCACAACATACCTTGCAATACCATAACCTCTTTTCACTATGCGCATGCCTCCAATACTCAGTGCAGCTCTTGAGATCACTCAATGGCCGCACAAGAATCTAAGATAGCTTCGAATGTTTGGCTGAGGGTAAGAAGCGGATAGGACAGTACGGGCCGATGGTCTAAAAGTACACAATGTGATAAGGAGCGCTTTGCGCTTGATGTGGCACGAGGGAGTGCTCCTGGCTGTCGATCTATCCGCTCAAGGATCAAGGACAGATTAGAGTCTACCGCTGCTACCTCTGCTGACTCGATCCTCCCTTGGCTTTTCCGCACATGTCTGCCGCTGCTTGCAAGAGCAAGGGCTCATAAAACCACAGCGAGCCCTCTTACAAAGCCTTCATTCGATCAATGCTTCCCACCGAAGACCGTTCCCGCCTCTTCCCTCCTCGGATCATCAATCGGCTTGCCAATCTTGAGCTCCAGGCCAAAGACGGACCGTTTGGCCGCAGGACGATGTCCAGCGATGAACCCTCCGGGGATCTCTGCTCGGCAGACGGGACAGATGCCCACGAGAGGGTTGATCTTGGGAGGTGGAGCGCCACTTGCTGTAGTGGGAGTCTCGTTGCCTGCATTCTCGTTGCTGCCGTTGGTCGGAGGGTTCTGCCCACCTACAATGTTTCCGGAACCGTCTCGCAGCGGAGCATGCGCCTCGCCGCCTCCTCCGCCTCCCAGACCCAATGCGTTGCCAATTGCTCCACCAATACCTCCTCCCATCCTTTGCAGAGTGGAGAGGGAGGTGAAAGCGGCCATCTGATCCCTGAGGGCATCTTGTTTCTGCTTGGCGGGGACTTGTAGCGCTTCAAAGAGGCACTCGGAGCAGAAGACGTGGCCACAAGGAGTAGAGACTACGTGCGGGAATGGCGCACAGAAGCAGATGGGACAGGTGTACTTGCTCAAGAGGGGATGCGCTACTGGTGGGGGTTTGGTTCTTGGCGGAGAGACTTGTACTCTGCGTAGACCAGGTGGCGGAGGTGGCGAAGGCGCCAAGTCTAAGTCTGCTGCTATTTGCGAGGCTGCTCTCAAGGCAGCGCTCCCCTCCTCCACCAAGCTATCGTCCAAGATTTCGATCGGAGGAGGTCGCCGTACTACCCTTTCGACGTGGATAGAGGAATCCGGGTCTGAGTACGCCCCAGATGGAGTCGAGGGGCCATTGGGTCGCGATGCCAGGTTCTGCCGAGCTACACGGCGAGGCGAAAGCGGCCGTCCTGGCAGCCTGCTGCTACTGGGTCCGCTGGCAGTGCCGATGATCTCTGCCGGCGGTACAACAACAGAAGCCATGACAGCATCCTCGTCCGACTCATCGCTGCTGTCGATGACGATGGCATCGTGTATTTGACTGGGTCGAGTTGGAGGTGGTCTGCGAGCTCTCGGCCGAGCGCTGGAGCGAGAAGAAGAGCCAGAAGCAATTGGAGCTGGACTCGCTGAGGGAGGCGGGTATGAGGCTGCTGGCGGTGGCGTCTGTATGGCACTGGTGCTATTGCGACTTGCGCTTGGAGAGGTGGTTCGCGAGCCTAAGGATGTGACAGCAGCGCTCTGTGGCAAGACGATCCTGGGCCTCTTTGCTACTCTGCGCGAAGACGTCGGTGGCTCTGAAGACTGGGTCTCGGATTCGGTGTGACTGACCTCGTCCTCGGTCTCGCTGGACAACGACCTCTGCCTTCGATTGCGAGGGGGAGTCGAAGCATGAGGTACGCCTGGCTGTATGCGGTCTCGAGTGATGCTGCTGCTGCTAGTGGAGGCATCTGCATTGAGGGACGGATCAACGGGTGGTGTGGTACCTGACATGTCGATGGTAGGTGAGAGATGAGGTCCGGACGATGGAGATCCTTTGCGGATGAGTGGTCTGGCAAGTGTGTTGTGGGTAGCCGCCAAGGTGGCGACCCAAAGTGTGGCAGATGGGTTGTGGTGACCTCAGTCTCCTTGTACAATGGCGACTTGAAGCGATGAGTATGCCAGTGGTGAGAGCGAGACCTTCATGGTCGAGGAGTGGGCTGAATGGTGAGTTTGTTGAAGGCTGAGCTATAGAGTGTTGCTCGCAATGGTTGATGGAGATGGTCAAGATGTTGGTACCATCAACACACAAAGAGTGGTGGACAGACTCCGTGGGTCATCCCTGTGGCTGCTGCCTTGGTTGTATGAGTGATCCTGGTGCCCTTCCGTCGTCGGAGATTGAAGTCGATGGTCGTGTGTGGATGTGTGTGCGTGTTGCGCGCTGCGTCTGTTCCTCTGGGCGACGCAAGTAAAGTGGGTGGGACCAATCCTTCTGATGCCTTCTGCCCCGGATACCATCGACATCATCACCCTGTCCTCACCACCGCCTCTACCCCACGACACAGCCTCTTCCATCTCTTCACGATGGCACAGCTGTTTCAGAAGGACCCTCGCACAGGAGGTCTCTTCATCGGAGGACAGCGACTCGTCGGCGCAGAAATCAGGAATCAGAATGTCCTCGCCGCACAGCAGATTGCCAATGTAGTCAAGTCCTCACTCGGACCAGTAGGACTTGATAAGATGCTCGTCGATGACATTGGAGACGTCACCATTTCAAATGACGGAGCTACCATCCTTTCCCTGCTCGAGGTGGACCAGCCCGCTGGGAGAATATTGGTGGAGTTGGCTCAGCAGCAAGACAAGGAGGTGGGCGATGGAACCACTAGCGTCGTCATCATTGCCGCTGAGCTTCTCCGAAGGGCAAATGATTTAGTCAAGAACAAGATCCATCCCACAACGATCATCACTGGTTACCGACTGGCGTGCAGGGAGGCTTGCAAGTACATGCAGGACCAACTTGCCATCAAGGTGGACCAGCTTGGCAAGGAGTGCTTGATCAACATCGCTAAGACTTCCATGTCAAGCAAGGTCATCGGCAGTGATGACGACTTCTTCTCCCAATTGGCAGTCGATGCGATGCTGGCAGTCAAGACGGTCAACCCTCGAGGCGAGACAAAGTACCCGGTCAAGGCAGTCAACATTCTCAAGGCACACGGCAAATCCGCTCGCGAGTCCATGTTCATTAATGGGTACGCCCTCAACTGCACAGTAGCATCGCAGGCCATGAAGACACGGATCAAGGGCGCCAAGATTGCTCTGCTCGACATCAATCTACACAAGCAGCGGATGCACATGGGCGTCCACATTACCATTGATGACCCAGAGCAGTTGGAGAAGATCCGCAAGAGGGAGAGCGACATTGTCATTGAGAGGGTGCGCAAGATCATCGCTGCTGGTGCAAATGTCATCCTAACAACAAAGGGGATCGACGACTTGTGTCTCAAGGAGCTGGTCGAGGCGGGTGCAATGGGTGTGAGGAGATGTCGAAAGGAGGATCTGAGGAGGATCGCAAAGGCCACAGGAGGACAGCTGGTCAGCTCGCTTGCCAACCTCGAAGGTGATGAGACATTTGAAGCTTCCAGTCTCGGACACGCAGACGAGGTGTCGCAAGAGAGGATCAGCGATGACGAGCTCATCCTTGTGCGAGGTACAAAGACGGTCAGCAGCTCCTCGATTGTGCTGCGAGGTGCTAATGACTACCTGCTGGATGAGATGGAGCGAGCGCTCCACGATACCCTCTCGGTGATCAAGCGTACCCTCGAATCGGGTTCGGTAGTGCCAGGAGGAGGAGCCGTGGAAGCTGCTTTGAGCATCTACCTCGAAAACTTCGCCACCACCTTGGGCTCCAGAGAGCAGCTGGCCATTGCCGAATTTGCTCAGGCCCTTCTGGTCATCCCAAAGACCTTGGCAGTGAATGCCGCAAAGGACTCAACGGAGCTCGTAGCCAAGCTACGCGCCTACCACAATGCTGCTCAATCCGCCTCTGCCGGCGATCCAAAGAAGGCGCTGAGACTCTATGGACTAGACTTGCTCAATGGACAGGTCAGGGATAATGTCAGGGCGGGCGTGTTGGAACCGACGGTGAGCAAGGTGAGGAGTCTGAAGAGTGCACTCGAGGCGGCTACTTCGCTGTTGAGGATCGATGCTAGTATCACACTGCCACCGCCGCAAGAGCAGGAGGATCCGCATGCTCACATGTGAGGAGAGAAAAAGGTGGGCGGAAGGAGTCTGTTCAACTCGTAGCTAGCTGTATTCCTTAAGCTTCTTCTATGCGAGAGGGAAGAGCATGATTGAGGCAGCGACTTCTTGAATAGAAAATTACATTGTAACCTCAATTCACTTCTGCTTCAGTAGACTTTTGTGATTGACTTGTACATTGGAGAGCAAATGACGCGCAGCGAGCGAGGCGAGGCGAGGCGAGCGATGCACTACGCAGAACGAAGAGGCAGACGAAGGACAGAAGAGAGGCTTTACTGGCACTAGCAAGACAAGGACAGGACGAGACGAGACGAGACGAGACGACGCGTGAAAGAGAGAAAGAGAGGAAGAGAGGGGGGGTGAGACGATATAAGACATAGTGGGGGTTGGAACGATGGAACATGACAAACGAGGACGAGGAGCAGGAGCAGGAGCAGGGGCAGGGTCAAAGAGAGGAGGTGCTAACGTGTGTTTAGACAAAAGGAGGTGTACGAGCTGAGGTATAAGAGAGAGAAAGAGAAGGTTGGGAGGGAGAAGAGACTCTGAGATACAGTGGCGGTGGTACGCCGCAGAAGGACCGGGCAGGGCTGGGACAAGGGAGGAACTGATGGTGTGCAGAGAGAAGGAGGCAGGTGAAAGACACGTAGATGCCATAGACCGAGACCTGCTCGTGCGAGAAGAGAGACAGAGAGAGAGAGATTTCCACGCCGCGTTGTGCTGATGAGAGCACTTCATCGTCTTCGATACTCGTCTTCGGAATGGGTGAGGATGGGGCTCCTATCCTCTACGAGCCCGTCTGAGCCTCTTCTTCCAACGATACCGCTAGTGACTGTACGGCGCGGGTCTGGACTGGCGTATTGCCCTGCGTACGAGTGCACGTGGGGGTGTTGTTGATGGTGATAGGGATACTTGCTCTGGTTCGAGTAGTGCTGATCGTGGTGCTGATGAGGCTGTCCGTATTGGAGGTGTCGCTCTCGCTCCGCTAGCGAACTCATACCTCCCGCGCTAGCAGGAGCCGATGTGCTCATTTGCGGCGCCAAGATCCTTCTCCTGGCATTGATGAACCAGTTGGAGACTTGACTGATACTGAGACCAGTCTGCATGCATAGGCGCCTCTTCTCGTCCTCATTTGGGTATGGGTGCGAAGCGTGCTCCATCAGCCAGGTCTTGAGTCGCTCGGTGACGTCCTTGGGCAACTTGCCTCTTCGACGAGGGATAGCCGAGGAGCCTTGACCAGAAGATCCGCCGTCAAGACCGTCGGCACCATTCTTCATGCTGGCATGCGAGTGGTGTTGATGGTGGAGCAAAGGTGGAGAGTGCAGCGACGGCGATTGTGGGTAGGACTGCTGGTATTGTGCGCCATTCATCTGAGGTGGATGATTGTGCTCCGGAGAATATGAAGGGGCTCTTCGGAAGGGGTGATATCGGGCGTGAGCGCCAGACGAGCTGGACACTGGCGTTGGCCCTGCAGATGAGGGAGACGAGTTCCACGGAGGAGATTGTTGACGAGGCGACCAGCTGTACTGAGGCGATGGCTGGTCATACGTCGGGTTCGTTGCTGCAGAGATGAGATAGAAAGGGTAAGAACAATGGCATCAGCATTGCACGTCAGATTTGAATGCGGGCGTGAAGACAGCCTTACCTCGTCGGATATGTTGGCTTGTACCAGTGCTCCTGCCTGGGTCGTCAATCGGCAACCAGCCCGAAGTAAGTCCACGACCTTCCTCAGTAGCTGATGGCGTGGTGGTCTTCGCTGCGTAGGGGTGACCATCCCGTGTCTCTGGGGATGGCTCAGAGAGGGCTGTGAACTTGCCGGCGTAGCGAGCGCTTTGCACCGAGGGTCGCTCGAGGTCCGAAGGTGATGGCAGCACGGGCCGGTCTCGACTGTCGTAAAATGATGCTTTTCCAGATGATAGACTCAGGCGCTCATTGAGTTCGGCAAAGCTTGGCAGACGCATGGGTGCAGGTCGGAATGGTGCCGAGGAGAGACTCATTTTGGAGGGTGAGCTACTTGTGGTCATGTCCTCTACGTGTGGGCTTGGTGGTGAATGGGGAGAGAAAGAAGAAGAGGAAGAAGAGTCGTTGGTGGCCAAACGCCGTGGGTGGTTTCCGCGATGCTGATGAGGGTAGAAGGGGCCGTATTGAACGTGGCGGGGGGAGGCTTCGTACTTGTCGATAACGATGCTGGACGCGTGCTGGGGAGGAGAACGCATCGACGGGTCTGTGATCGGGTGAGACAGATTGTTTGTGACGATAAGAGAGCGCTTGCGCTGTTCCTCTGATAAGACCTAGTTCTGTGAGGTCCGGTTGACGAGATGAGACTAGTAGAGGTAAGGGGGAAGGGGTAGGGGAGGTGAGGGGATGTAGGAGGGGGGCAGAAGTATGTCAGGAACCTGGACTGCTGCGACGATGACCCCGAAGACACATCGCAATTCTCGAGGTCGAGCCTCAAGACAGAGAGCGGTGCCAAGTCAGTCCGGCTGGGCTGCTACTAGGCACCAGTCTAAAGTGATCGGAAGGCGTTGGGCAAAGAGTGTTGGTCCTTCGATCTTCGTGGACAGGACCCTTTGCCTTGCCCTTGCGATACTGGTGCATGGGCTGCTCCGACGAGCCACGCGTCGTGCTTCTTGCCCGGCCCAATTAGGCTTGGTTGCCTGCATTCGGTCATTGCAAATTCCCTGCAAAGAGATGCTAATCATTCAGGTTGGCGGACTTACCTGTGGATGCTAGCAATTGTGCTGAGAGAGAAGTGCGGGCAGGGCAGCGCCACGTATGATGATGCTCCGAGAGGGTCACAAAGATGTTCAGAGTCGCCGGTTGCTTGGAGGTCAAGATCCGAGTTCGAAGTCGGTGCGCGGTGTATTGAGCTGGGGAAGCTGGAGAGCGTAGAGGACACACTATAGTCAAATAGTTGTGTTGGTACTACTGCTGATGCTGATGATGAATGGCAGCGAAGGATTGATTATCCGGAAGTCTGAGGGGAGGTCGCTTTGTTCCGAGGTGTTGGCTGTCTGCCGGATTGAAGGCAGGCAGAATAGTTGTCGGACAGACGGCAAACGATGAACAAACAACGGCGGAGCCAGAGGGCGGTGAGAAGGCCGAGAGATTGGGAATGATCAGGGCCAGGAGGCTTGTCCGGGGCAAGAAGGTCAGGCCAGCTGTGGCGTACGAGGAACGAAGGTAGGCGGGGTTGCCAAGGGCTTGTGTGGGTGCTCGTGTACAATGATCGATGAACACGGTGCGTCGGCGTCGGCCTCCGGATCAAACGAATAAAAGGGAGACGAGGTGTCGAGCTTGGCCTGTCTTGGCTTGGCTTGAGTGGGACACGGGGGTAGAGTGAGGCGGTGCCTGTCCCTCGTGGTTGCTGGGTGCGGCGAGGTGATAGCTCGGCGCCCGCGAACTCGTCAGGTACAGATTGAATTGGCTCGAATCGTCCTTGTTTGCTAGAGTGTTTTCAAGTACGAAGAACGTCGTTTCACGTCGTTTGTCGCCGAAGGATTGATTGAAGCGGACGGGTCAAGAGTGAGAGCAACGAAGGCGATACCAAACGGCTAGGCTGTGCCTGGGATGCGCAGTACGTCAAAGTGGAAGAGGGGTCTGCAAGGACAGGGTATCCCGAATTGGTGGTAATGGTGATAAGGGAAGGGGATGAAGGGAGGAGTGGGAACCGGCAAACAAGGATGAAGGCGAGGACGTGGGGGAGGGGGGAGGAATGGCAGGGGAGCAGGGATCGGGGGAGGCCGAGGAGCGGAGGGGGTGGGGAGGAATTCCCGCTACAAGCAAATGCGCCTTCCTCGTTCCCTGTCACTGGTCAAGCGTGAGCCCGTAAAGGCGAAGTCGGAGTGACGACGGCAGGCAGGCGAAGTCTGCAGCAGGCGGACAAGGGCGTCCCAGGAGCCTCTCCCAAGTGCATGAATGGTGTGAGATTGACTGCGTGAGACCGAGCGGGGGGCAGAGCCATGTGCCCTATCAGACTGGATGATGCGCCTCTGCTCCTTTCCCTCGGATCCTGGGCGAGCGTTGCAAAGGTTCTGGGGAAATCGCATCAAGATCAAAGCGCCTTGGAGAAGGGCCAACAGAGGCAGCTCAAGGCAGACGAGGCGAGCAGGGGATTTTGGGCATGTGAGGCCGAGCGGCTTCTATCACTCGAGACGCAAGGGGAGAAACAGGCGAGGCTGCAGATTGGCTGCCAGGACCGATTCAGGGAGAGATTGGCAACGCTGCCTGTCCAAGTTGGCCTCCGACGGTCGATTGCCACCCGATGCTGAGCGCCTCGCTGAAGAGGGCAAAGCACTGGGTCACTGGTGGTCCCATCACCGGCGATACACCCCTGTCAGGTTTGCTTCCCTCGCAGCTCAGCCACCCATTAATCTGGCTCTGACTCTCCCTCTAGGCGAATTTCTGCCCGGCGGATGAGATCCCACCCTTGATTTGGAAGGCAGATCAGCAGAGGCCCCAGCTTCGTTCCCAAGGTCGCAGCCTGATGCCTCGTCTCGGCTGCAGGCGACGGAGTTGATAGTCCAGAGGTGGCACATCAGCTGCCGGGCGATCAGAGCGGAGATTCAGATCGCCTCCATCATGGCTAAGACCGAGGGAGCGTGAGGCCCTGGGCGGAATTACAAGATAAAACGCGAGGGAATTGGTACCTGACGCAGAAAGGTGTCTAGATTCGCGTGACTCCGTACTGGACTCCGCCATTCAATCCGCGATTGCTTGTCCGACCCTGACGCCTTTACGGTCCGTCGAGACGAGGGTGAGGCATTCGCCTGAAAAGCATGAGTGCGACAGCATGAATTGAACCGAGCGTGAGCGTGAGCATGCGCATGAATTCGCAAACGTTGTTTGTGACGCATCCCATCCCACGCTGATGGATGATGCCAGTCCCCTGCCGAAGTGGGACTGGGACCTTGTAGTGTAGTGAAAGATAACCTTGCTGCACAGTAAACACTCCCATGCTCAGTAGCGTGACTCCTCGTCTCCGTCACAGCTCGACGCCCATGCTCCACCCTCGGCTCAGGGAGAACACATTCCCACTTGCTGACTTCGGCGCCCGTTGTATCCGCATGGCATTCCCGCGCTGTTCAGCTCTGGACAGCTCCCCTGAATTCCTTGCGATCTGCCGCGGCCCCGCGCTTGATGTTGTCAGGAGTCTATGAAGCCGGCGGACTTCAGTCGACGTCAGTCAGTGTCTATCAAGCCTCCTCGGCTAGGGCTCTGGTGCTTCCACCGTGTGTTACGGCGTCTGGCCTGCCTCCTTGCTGGGCAAGCGGCAGTATCCTGACAGTCAACTCCGCAAAGTGGCGCGCGGTCCGAGGTTGAAGGTGGGGGGACCCTCCTCTCCGGCGCGCATGGGCAAGGCGAAGTTGGGGAGGACGGACGCACCGCTCAACCTCGTTCGTGGGAAGGTGGGCGGCATGCGTCTTTGCACGCTGGCCGGTCCTTGCAGTGCGAGGATGGCGAGCTCGCAGAAGTTTCGACCCTCGAGCCGAGTATCAGCCAGTGTAGCAACACGGTGGCAACCGATCGGCCATCACCTTCTGATGTCATCCCTATGGTCTGACATCTGTTTCCATCCGACGTCAGGAGGAGAAGACGTCTTGTTGCTTCCTTTTGTTCTTTTTTGACTGAGGGGGCATCGGCCCAGTATACCGCTTCCCGACGTCTGAACGCTGTCCTCTTGGGCAGGCTTCCGTAGCTTTGGTTCGACACGTACCGAGGTCTCATCCAGGGCAACTCTCGGCCTCGAGCGGAGTAGCCGAGGGAGCGGAGAAGGGTAAGGTGAAACCGCTGTTGCCAGAAGGCCCGATGGCGGCCAGAAAGCCTGTTGGGTTGCAGATCGCGTGGCGGAAGCGCGAGCAAACAGATCCAGCCTCGTTCCCAGGCGCAGTCGGAGCTCACCAGCGCCTTATTGTGACCTCTCTCACAGGCATTGGAGCTGCCGAGCTTTGCGAGGTCACACCTACTTCCTTGTCTCAGAGGTCTGGGCGTGGAATCTCGAGTGGACAGCGTCAACCTCGTCAATGCCTGGGAAGCCAAACCAAACAGAGTGACACGTCAACCTCGTCTGCGATGAAGTCCTGGCCCTGCTTCTGTGATGGCATTGTTTGGAACGTCGTGAGCAATTTCATCCTGTCTTTGAGCTATCTCATTTTGTGCATGCCGTGGTGACATGACCCCTTGCGTGACCCAATCTGACAGAGATAGGCCTGCAGACTTTAGTCCCGCAAGGCCACCAGCGTGTGCCTCACTCCGTCAACAAGACTTTCCAGATACCCCACCAGTTCCCCCGCTCCCACCCGGAGTCCTCTTTCTGAATCTGAATCGGAGGCCCGCCGACCTGCGTGCGAACGCTTTCGCTGAGATCGGCGATTGCCTCGTCCACTAGCGACTCGAGCTCTGTCGCTTCAAAGAGGTGATAGTCTGAAGATGGATCGTGGGGATCGTGGGAAGGCAAAGCAAAGCGGAAAGATGCTCAGCACAGACTCTTCACGGTCGGATCTGCCTTCCAGTAGCTGATGGTACGTACACCTTTGATAGACCTGCTCATCTTTGCTCCCCGCAACAACGTTCCCAATGCTGTTTGTTTGGTCCGTCGGCGGAGTCTTGAGAACCCACGGCACCAGAACATCTCTGCCTTCCTTAGCTGCTGGCGCTGCTGCTTCTGATCCCTCTACACTCCCTTCGCCGCCCCGCCGTTCCCGGTCTTGCTCGTCAAATTTGCGTCTCTCCTGACCTTTCTGTTCAAGAGCCCAGACGTACACGAGGAACCTGCCCCTGCCACCACTGTCTGTATGTTCGCCAACGCTCGCTGGTCGTATCAGTCTGATCAATTCCGAGATAGACTCCTTCCGGCGCTGGCGAGTTGAGAGATGATGTATTGTGGCTATTGAGATGGCGTAGTCCTGAGGGTTTGTGACGGGCAGAAGGGAAAGCCATCAGCAAATGATGTAGCATACCTATGTGAAGCTCGATGGGGGCTCACAAATGATCTACTTCGAAAGCCAGTGCTAAGAGCATCTCCTACTGCCACTTCGTTGACCGGCTTTCGAGTGGCAGGTGCTGTCTCTTCGTCTTCCCGTGCGATTTCGATCTGCTTCCCTTTGCCTTTGCCGTTTGTCGAGCTCATCTTCTGCAACGACTGGGTGCGCGCGAATTCGAGGAGCTCAGAGGACCGATCTACGCCGATGGTCATACAGTCCTCCTGGCCTGGCCCATCTCCGCTCGATGGCCCGTGGAGGAGATTTCGCAAATGAAGGTACTTGCCATTGCCGCACCCGACGTCAATACCGATTGATCCCGGCGGAAGAGATGCCAAGAAGTTTGTGACGAGTGGCCAAGGCTTATACCGTGTCGCAGAGAAATGCGAAGCGATTGAGTTGTACACGCTGACAGGTAGGGGAGAGGTGCACAGCCTTAGGTTCGAAGAGCATCGGGTGCGCCAGCGGACTCTGACCGTACTCACTCGTGGACATTCTCCAGCTCCCACTTCTCCGCGTCGAAGTCCTCTCTGGCTGTTGAGCTCGATCCTACATGCTCTGACCCGCCATGCCGATCTGCCTTGCCTCCTAGGGTCGCCGGTGTTGGATCGGACCTCTTCGGTGCAGTAGGCGCCATGGTGACCATACAGAAGGGACATCGACGGAAAGGAAGAGTCAGTGATTCCAATTTTCTCTTTCCGTCACCCGCCCGCGGCAAATCTATTTCGTGTCAGCTGTGGAGGAGTCATTCTTGTCAGTATTTTACATTACTTGATCTGGTACCTTGAGCCTCGTCCTTGCATATCGCCCTCATCCTACAACTCGAGAGTCATGGACACTCATTCCCACGCAGCCGTCGTGGGAGCCGGTCCAGTAGGCTGTCTCACAGCTCTGTCACTCGCAGCTAGAGGATTCACCGTCTCCATCTACGAACGGCGGCCGGATCCACGCCATCATCAGATCGGCTCGGGCTCAAGGGACAATGCTTCAGCGCCTCGCAGTATCAACCTCGCTATCTCGGCGCGTGGACTCAAAGCTTTGAGCTCCGTGAACGTCGAGACAGACCGCAATATGGCAGACGTTGTGCTGAGTCATGCTGTGCCAATGAGGGCGAGGATGATTCACACCAAAGATGAAGGTCAAGGTGTCAAGCAGATGAGCCAAGCTTACGGGCTTAATGGAGAGGTCAGGTTGAGACTTTGAGAAATACAGACTTGAAAGCTTGATCAGCTCACTCTCACCTTCATACACCTGCCTCTCCCTCTTGTAGTGCATCAACTCAGTATCCCGCACGCTGCTTAATGACCTGCTCCTGGATCAAGCGAGCGCCCACCCTGCCGTTTCCCTACATTTCAACTGCAAGCTGAGGAGTGTCGACCTGCAAGCGCGAGAGAAAGATCCTCAGGCAGAAGGCGAGTGTCATCTGAACTTCGAAAGCTGGGAAGGCAGCGGTCCTGCTTCCCGCTACTCGGCCCTGGTAGTAGGCTGCGATGGCATCAACTCAATAGTGCGGAGCACCATTGCTCGTTTGACCCCCGTCAACTTTCAGCAAGAGTACATCGACTCTTCCTACTTAGAATTGCGAATCCCACCCAAGATCGAAGATGGTGCCGCCACATTCGCTCTGGACCCCAACCATCTTCACATCTGGCCGCGCCATTCATTCATGCTCATCGCTCTTGCCAATCTGGACAAGAGCTTCACATCCACCTTATTCGCCCCTCAAGCCATCATCGGGAGATTAACCTCGCGGGGGGCTATCTTGGAGTTCTTCGCAAACGAGTTCCCCGATGCGCTGAAGCTCATGGGAGACGAAGATGTAGTAGCGACGCTCTTGCCTCGACAAGGCAAGGGCAGTCCCCTTTCAAGCGTTAAGTGCTACCCTTACCACTACAAAGGGCGGGCGGTCTTCCTTGGCGATGCTGCTCATGCCATGCTACCCTTCTATGGTCAGGGTCTCAACTGCGGGTTCGAAGACGTCGGCTTTCTGACGAATCTCATCGACAAGCATGGTGTTCGCGGTGATCCTGGCCAGTCAGTGGGGTCGGGGAAGTCTGTCCAAGGCGAGAAAGAGGAGAATGCTTGGGACAGATACTCGCCTCTGCTAGCCCAAGCTTTCACGGAATACTCAAAGGAGCGTCACCCCGACCTGATCGCCATCAGCTACCTGGCAACGCAAAACTATCACGAGATGTCCTCGCGAGTCGTCTCTCCACTCTACCTCATTCGCAAGTCACTCGACGGACTGCTTATGAAGACGTTGCCCAAGGGCTGGTGGATCTCACTGTACAGCATGGTGACGTTCAGCCCAGAGATTGGGTACGCTGAGGCGAAGAAGAGAGAAGCCCGGCAGAGCGTCATCATCGAGAGAGTCCTGGTTGCCTCTGGACTTGCTGCGATGACTGGACTGGGGCTGGCGGGCAGATGGCTGCTCAAGAACAGACGAGATCTCTGGTAGAGGTGCAGTCGAGCTGCTTGGTGGACCCTTCAATATGACATTGCACTATACCTTGTCAACCCTAGCGACGTAAGATGACCTCCACCTCACTCCCACTGACTCGTACGTCTCCATTTCACCCGTCGTGTCCTTTGCATCTGATGGAAACGCTGTCAGGTTGAGTCGCACTGTTACGTTGTATGCCGTTGGGCCGATAGAGGGCTCGTCAAAATCGAACTGTGAGGCAGAAAGCACGAACGGGACAAGACATGGTCAGCCGGCAGTCGTGTGTATCTATCCTCAGCAGCTCTACCTCACTCACCCTCGTAATGACGGTGCCCGTCCGATCACCATACCACCACGCCTCGCTCAGCTCCTTGAGCGTCTTTGCCCCCTCGGCTTGCATCGCCTCTTTCCCTTCTGTCATGAGCTTTGCAGTGACATCGAAGAAGCCATCTGCAGAGTAAGTGATGACCTCTGCCCCGTCTGCATCCTCCCAGGGCGATTGTGGAGGTGTAAAGGATGTGAGGGAGGAGTTGAGACCGGTGAGGTGGGAGGCGCTCGTGCTGACGATGCGGTTTGAGAAGATGCTGCTCGGAGGTAGAGAGGTTGAGGAGATCAGGAAATTTTGCATCATCTCGTCATCCTTCCGATCGCACTCACCACTTCTGCTTGAACTGAAAGTCGCGCTGCTCGTCCTTGCACTTTGGATGCCTGACGTAAGGAATCTCCAATTTGGCCTCTTGGAAGTTCATCCCAATGATGCTAGGCCCAGCTCCCTTCTGGGAGCCGAACTGGAGCACAACGAGGTGCTTCTCTTCGCTACTGCCTTCGTTGGGAGGAAAGTGGCATGCGGAGAGGACCGATGTGGGGATGGGCAGTAGGACGGATGGCGTCAGGTCACGCAGGCTTGGAGGGAGAAGAGATTGGACAACCGTCTTTGGTAGAAGCAGAGGCACTGTGAGGACATCATACGTTCCGTTGAGGGCCATTGTGGCGAGCTGAGGAGCTGTGATGATATGTATGGATCAGAGAGGGAGGCAAGAGTAGCCAACTGCTGACAATATTGTTTCACAGCAATCCGTTCAGGGACACTTCCGCTCGCACGGACGATGCGAGGCTTGACTTTCAATTCCGTTCCTTCCGTTCCTTGCTTCCTTCTCGCCTTCCTGTCCCGACTGTCGATGTATACCCTCGCACATCGACATCACCACAATGGCAGCTCCCAAGCGCAAAGAGAAGCCGCTCAACTCGCTCATAGCAGGAACCATCTCCGGCGCAGTGGAAGGATTTGGTGAGTGTTCCTGTCAGGCCGCCAAGCTCTGCGATATCCAGGAGACGCACTCCTCTAACCGCACTTCCTCTTCTTATCCTCTCACTCTGACCTTCCCAACAGCTACCTATCCAACCGAATTCGTCAAGACCCGAGCGCAATTTGCTGTTGCCTCAGGTTCCAAGCCTCCAGGTCCCATTGAGATTGTGCGGACGACCCTGGCGCAGAATGGGGTGCGAGGGCTGTACTCTGGTTGCTCTGCACTGGTCGTGGGAAATGCTGCAAAGGCCGGGGTGCGCTTCTTGAGCTATGACAGTATCAAGCTGGCCGTGGCGGATAAGACGGTGAGCTGAGGAGAGCGGCCGAGGCACTCTGAGAAAGTGTGAGCTCGTGTGGCAGTCTTGGCTCACAGCAACCAACATCTTCTTCCTGCTCCATTCAGACTGGTCAACTTTCCCTGCCCCGCTCCATCCTGGCCGGCTTCATCGCCGGCATCTCCGAGGGCCTCTTTGCCGTCACCCCCTCTGAAGCAATTAAGACGCGCCTCATCGAGGATGGCCGCAAGCCTAAAGCCGAGCGGCGCTACCATGGTCTCTTCAGCGGCTCGGCTCAAATCCTTCGCGAGGAAGGTCTAGCAGGAGTGTACAGGGGACTGGGACCAACGATGATCCGGCAAGGAGCCAATTCGGCAGTCAGACTTACGACGTACTCTACGCTGCGCGGTATTGCTACAAAGGACGGACGGAAGACATCTAGCGTAGAGACGTTTGGCATGGGAGCCATTGCGGGCATCGTGACAGTGTACTGCACCATGCCCCTAGACGTGGTCAAGACGCGAATGCAGTCTGCCGAGGCAAGCAAGAACTACACGGGAACACTCAATTGCGCCGTGACGATGTTCAAGAATGAGGGGCTGAGGAGGTTCTGGAAGGGTACCACACCGAGGCTCACACGGCTGATCCTGTCGGGTGGAATCGTGTTCACCATCTATGAGAACACCCTGGCACTGCTTGACAAGACGGAGCAGGTCGCAAAGGAGAAGGTGGCAGAGGTCAAGACGCACTCGTGAGCTTCGGGGAGTGTGGTGCAAACTTTTAGACAGACAGACTTCTATCGCATTTTGGCAATTTCACGAGATCGCTGCGACGTGGGTAATGCGGTGAACGTGGGGGTAGACGAGGAGGGAATGGAAGCGGTGGACCCGACGGAAGTTGCGCGGCACAGGCGTAGTATGAGAGAGTGCAACCTCTTCGAATCGCTCCTGCTCTTCGCTTTGAGGGCGAGTCTATGGAGTCTATTGCGGCTGGTGGGAATGGACTGTAGCGTCTAGCTAGGAGGTGCAACAGAGACGTTGAGATCGTGAAGCTTGCCGGTGGAGATGTCGTGGACCCATCTGATATAGAGCAAGAAAGCGGCGCATATTGTCAGCTTGAGAGCAATCGATCTGGCCCTTTTCCTCTCGCTTTCTACTCACCCATGCAGCCTGACCTTCTTGCACACCTTTCCAGGGACCAGTGTGCTCTCTCCCGTCGTCCAATTCCTCTGAATCACCTCGCTCGCCTTGAGGTTCTCCAACTGCTTCTTGACATTTTCGGTGGTGAGCTTCTTGACGAAAGCGGGTGGGCTGAGCTCTTCTGTAGCCTCCTGCTTGATCTGGTAGGCGTGCTTGGTCAATGGGACGAGGTAGCGGCCAAGCGAGGAGGAGGCTGTCTCGGCCGGGGGCCCCGAGGAGGCGCCGGCAATGGCTGCACTGACACCACCGCAGGAGGTGTGGCCAACGATGATCACTGGTAGGGGCAAGGAGTCAGGAGAGGCAGCAGCATAGCGTCAGGAAGTGACACCCTGATCCAGGTATCCTCGGGCAACTCACCATCCTCTACACCGAGAGCTTCGATGGCAAAGGTGAGCGCGGCGGCAGCGCTGTCATCCTTTTCATTCCACTGATTGGCTACATTCCTGATGGTGAAGATCTCTCCAGGGTACGTCTGGCATACGGAGCCCTCTGGCACTCGCGAGTCGGAGCAGCCAATCCAGCACACCGTGGGCTTCTGACCCTTGGAAAGGGTTTTCAGCAGCTCGCGATGGTCACGCTCGAGACCCGTTGCGAACTTCTGGTTGCGCTCCAGAAGACTGGTGAGGACATCGCTGAGCAGAGGGTTGACCTCACCCATGCTATCGGAGAAGTCAAAGTTGACATCGGAGGTCGGGAAGGGCATCTTGGAGGGTGATGAGGTGGAGAAGGGGGCAGAGCGTTGGTGGGTGGTGGTGATAGTAGTTGTGGTAGAAGTTGTTGGGGTAACGCGGGCCAGACGATTGGACGATGCGAAGATGTGTCGAGGTCTTGCAAGCTGGAAGAGGGATGGTGTGGTGGCCCGAGGGAGGGTGCTGAGCATGGGTTTGGGTAAAAGCAGAGGGGAAAGGGTAGGAGGGAAGGGTGACGTCGAGGGCGTTGGTTATCAGAAGCTTGGAACTCGGTGAGGGTGAGGAGTGCCAGTGTCCTTGGGGCGGCCTTTGGTGCTGCACACTGGTGCTGCACTGACCCTTTGCTCCCTTGGCTTGGCTCCCGACTGTCGTGCGCTTGGCGGCGATTTGAATTCCTTGCCCTTATCGCCTTCGCAGCAAAGATCACACCGCGATCCACTCCACTCGCGTCGGAGTTGCAGCACTCGATCGATCGCGCCAGCCCTTTTCCGCCGGAGCCTTTTTTGTATTCTGCTCAACGCTCATTGCACTCGCGCACCTTCCTACCTCACCCACTGTTTCTACACCTTGGCCATTCATCATGTCCTCTTATTCACATTCTGAGACGGGTAGTGGAGACGAGAGACCTTCCAGTCGCGGATCCTGGGACTCTTTTGCCTCAGACGAGTACGTGGGCAGTGCCGATTACCGCCGAGACAACCTTAGGGCGAAGGCAATCTTCGTCCATGGAATGCAACACACTCAGTGTCCACCTCGCATTCGCGCCTTCATCGACTTGCTGACACGCAATCTCGATATCGAGGCCATCAGAGCGGTTGACGTGGAAGCCGTTTCCGCTTTGGTCATCTGTCCGCAGCGAGACACTGCCGCCGCCCTCGCCAGCCAAGTGCGAAAGTATCGCTACGAGAACAAGGCAGAATGGATGAAATTCCACGAGCTCATTTTTGCTGCCTTAGCTCACCCCTCTATCGCCCGATGCGAGAAGCAGACATTTGACGTCGAACTAGGGCCCAGCAGCGACCGTGTCCGGTACCTCGCGCCGCCGAAGCCAGACCTTGTCTTTGGGCTCGCCTGTCCCGATTACCTACACCGAGCGCCATCCTCTTGTCTCGATCACTTGTTCCTGGTTGCGATCAGGGAGCGCGGCATCCAGGCCTTCCCCGTCGTGTCTAAGAATTACACAGGTCCGGCCTTTCCTTGCGTTCTATTCGAGGCCGCGACGAACTTCGATAGACTGATGACCGCGGAGAATCGAGCAGCTCATGGCGCTGCCAAGGCACTGGCATTGATGCAATCCCTCAGAGAGAGCTACTACCACACGGTCGGTACACACATCTCTGCTCCTTTGCCTATGGTCGTGATCTGCTCACAGGGCGATGTATACGAGGTCTTCATCGCTTTTGTCCTTCAGAAAGAGGAAGTAACAGTCTCCACACATCCATATGCAGCCTTCCTCGACATACCTTATTCCAAGCCTGGAGTGCACCTGGTCAAAATCTGGTTGGGAAATGTTGACTCCACAAAGATGGTCTATCAATTGCAGTTGCTCCTACAAAGGCTACTGCATTGGATTTTGCAGGTATGGCGGCCCACCATAATGAGCATGCTGGAAACCATCAAGGCCAGTATGTCACACAGCGAAAGTCTAAGGTACGCATAGTCCGCATCGTCTTCCCGTCCATTGCCATCTCGCGTCGAGCCACCAAACTCCGCCCTACTTCCGTCCAAGGCTCGCTTACACACTCTGCACGCGTGAGGCCATCGGAACGGAACCTTGGCCATGTCAGGTACCACTCAAGATGTCAGGGACCACTCACGATGTCAGCGTCACGTGGGTGGTGCCTGACCGCGGTCGCCCTCGTGGTAGCAACGAGTCACTCTTCTCTTCTTCATCTCTGCCACGCTCTTCGTCTAAGAAGGCCTTTCGTAGCTTACCACTGCCGTTGTCACCATACTGTACTTTTCCTTCCATGCCACTACTTCTGCAAGTCCCATGATAGCATACGTCCCCATACCATTCATCGTGTCACTGACGCATCCCTCTTTCCTACCTTACGAGCCTCTCCCGACCCCTCCATGACGCCAGTACACCAACTCTACGACCCTAGCCTGTCTAAAGTCCTCAGAACCGCGCTCTGACATTGTACATCAGCTTACAGACCTTCAAGACGTAACTACAGGCCATTCTCAGCCTTGTGTGCAAACCTGGCTACAGTCATGGCTCTCATCACGGCTGCAGCCATCCCTCGGGTCACACTATCATTGGCACTGGCCCAATGGAGCCATGGCGTATGGACAGATTACTGCCGAGGACGCAAGGTCCCTTCAGTCGATACCTACAGCGACGTACTGTCACGATGCTAAGGGCCGCTTGCCCGAAGATCCTTCATCGACACCCTGACATGCAAGCTTGGAAGGCAAGCACTCCACACTGGGTGAGATACCCTCTTCATCTCTAGTCAACAACCCATGAACAGGCAGTTTCGCTCTCCTCCGACGGCACAAGAGGCAACATCCACAGCAATGCGCTTGGTAACGACGGACTACGATACGCATGTGCTAAGCGTAGCCGCTCTTCGCTTTTCCCTAAGGACTGGCGATCAGAGGCACCCCTCTCAAAACACCTATGAGAAGAAGTACAGCCAAGCTGGTGCCCGTACTTCAAAGTAGCCTTGCATCCCTGCGGCCTCCCGTTGTACCTAAGTCCCTCTTCACTCAAGTCCTCTGGCCGAGGCATGACTGCCGGCAGAGCTCCTTCGGGCGTCTCAAGAGGATCCACTAGCGGCGCTCACGCCTCTCGCCCATCCTCTCATCCATCCAGTAATGCCTTCCGCGCCTCATCCACGCCGAGTGGCCATCCGAAGACGTTCAATTACCGTCGAGACAACCTGACGTCGGCGTCGATCTACATCCACGTCCTCCAGGAAAGACAATTGCCGTTTGAGATTCGAGCCTTTGTCCACGCCATCAGTCACGACATCGAGACCGATGCCCTCGCGGCGGCGCATGCGCCGACACTCCCGTGGCGAGATTCTGTGGTCGCCTTGGCGGGCCAGGTGGCACAGTATACTCTGGAGCACGAGTCGACTTGGATGGAGTTCAATCGCCGCGTATTTAGCATCCTCGAAAACGAATTGCTAAAACGCTGTCAAGACATCCAATTCAATGTCCAGGTAGGTCCAACCGCCCACCGCCGGCATACCCTGGCGACGCCCACTCCCGACCTCGCCTTTGGGCTCCCAACAACCAGGGAGGATGAATCCCGTGGAGGTCTTGCCAGAGACTTCCTGTTGTGTATCCCCGAGCGCTTTGGCATTCGTCCATTCCCATCTACCTCACCCAATACGCCGGACCTCGTCTTTCCTTGCATCATCTTTGAGGCCAAGTCAGAGCTCGGAAGCATCTACGAGGCGCAAAATTAGGCAGCCCATGGAGCTGCCAAGGCCCTGGCTATGGTGTGGACTCTCGTAGACCGTCACAGACAGTCACTGACTGCCCAAGCCAGCCTCCCACGGAGTCTGCCAGTGGTGGTGATGTGCTCCCAAGGAGGGTGGCTCGACGTCTATTCGAAGCAAGAGAGGCAGATCTGTCTCAGCCACTCAGTATATCGCCCATGCCCTTGTATCTAGTACTCTTGATAGCAGACGTCTGTTCCTCTACAAGAGATCAAGTCTAAGTCCACTCGCGATATACCCAGCGCACCAGAGCACAGCATGTACTACAGCAAAATTTTGTCTTCCCTGCCAAATGTTTTCTGCCACAACTACTCAATCGACTGAGCTCCTTTACCAAGAGCGCAATACAATGTTCTTATCCCCATGATCTCAAGTCTTCCACTTGATCATGACAGGCCTAAATGAGGCTCGCTAGATGAGCTCCTAGCCCTATGACTCGCGTAGCTCTTGTAGTTGTACAGACGCCGATTCAGACTCCGTCCGGACCTGCTGCCCCCGCCCCGTCCATTGCACGCGAAGCTTTGCCCATCCGGAAGAATCCAATCCCTCACTAGCACGACCGCATCATCCAGACTACCTGTTTGTCTCCTAGCTCTCCCAACACCTCTAGCCTTCGATTCGTAAAGCCTTCGTCACCACTCCCTGCCTTCCCATTCCAGTCGCCTGACCTCACTGCATGGCCTCTTCTTCCACCGGCGCCGGCGCCGCGCCGGGGCCTGCCTCGCCTACTGCTACCTTCACCAAGCCGGCTCCGGCTCCCCTCTCCCTTGCCGAGTCCTTTGTCATGGGAGCTCTAGCAGCGTGTACAGCAGTTACGGTGACAAATCCATTCGAAGTGGTCAAGACGAGGATGCAGCTGTATGGAGAGCTGGGCACAAAGGGAGGCTATCAGTCGCCCTTTAAGGTTTTTGGAGAGACGGTCAAGCACGAAGGTGTGAGGGGGATTCAGAGGGGGTTGGGACCAGCATACGTATACCAGATCTTGTTGAATGGATCTAGGCTTGGATTCTATGAGCCGTTCAGGGTGGGATTCAATCGGCTTGCTGGCAAATCTAAGACGGAGGTGTGGGCGATTGGAAGTCTTGCGGCAGGTGCAAGCTCTGGAGTGGTAGGAGGTAAGTAGGAGGCAAGTCCGTAGGCCAAGGAGGTACAGCGACTGACAGCATGACGATTCCACCTTTGATTCTCAATAGCTGTCCTGGGTAATCCCTTTTTCCTGGTCAAGGCTCGGTTGCAGGCCTACTCCCCGCACCTGGACCCTGCCTCTGCAAGACACAAGTACACAAGTACCTTCAATGGTCTCTCTACGATTGTGAAAGCAGAAGGCGCTCGTGGTCTCACACGTGGCTGGACAGCAGCCGTTCTCCGTACAGCAATGGGATCTACTGCTCAGCTTCCCGCCTACAATCTGGCCAAGAGCTACCTGTCCAACCTCAAGCCAGAGGATACCTTCACATACAATCCTGCTCTGTACCTAGCAGGTAAGCCAAATAGCTTCTGGACCTACCTCGCCTCGTCCATCTTCTCTGGTCTCTGCGTCTGCGCGGTGATGCAGCCAGCTGATACGGCTCTGACTAGGATGTACAACCAACCTGTGCGGATCGATGAGAAGACGGGCAGGACAGTAGGCACTCTGTACAAGGGTCCATTGCACTGCTTGTACCTCACTGCCAAGGCCGAGGGACCACTGGCGTGGTACAAGGGCACGACGGCGCACCTGGCAAGGATAGCACCGCACACCGTGCTGACATTGGTGATGAATGAAGCCTATTCGAGGTGGTACCTGCAAGCGACGAGGGGTTGAAGTAGGGGTGGCAGGAGTTGCTCAGGGGTCGAAGATGGCAAGGAAGATTGCGAAGCTGAATAGGGCGGAATCCCACGAAGGAAGGTGCCCTCTAGGCGTTTCTTTCGGGTGCAGCAGGGTGGCAAGGCTGTAGCACACGGCAGATCGTCGAGCTGGGAAGCTCACTGGCATCTCTGAGAGTTGAGCATGACCTCATTTGCGCCCATGTGGACGAAGCATGAAAGAGAGATTCATTCGTCTAGCTGTAGGAATCATCAAAAGGCATCGCATCACCACCAATACGCGTCAATCTATTCTCTCTACATTGCCCATTTGGCTTGACGTGACGAGGTGCATTCCTTGGCCCCCGTTTAAACTTTTTGGCCGAGGAGGTGCTGCACGCAGAGGCGAGGCGGGGCGGTGGCCGTGGCTTTTCACTGTCGAGGTGCCCGAGTTTGGCCTCGAGCCACCCAGTCGTCGATGCCATCCGCGCCATCATCCATATCCCCTCTCCTCCTTGATCCTCTGCCCCTATCGCATTCATTCCTTTCCTCTCATCACCGTTCCTACCCTCCTTGTCTCTGCACGTGTCTCTCCGCCCCCATATCCATTCATCGCAGCAGGCAGATACCCCCCCTTCCCTCGCCCAGTGGCGAAATCTCCGCTCAGCCGCCCCTCGATTGCTGCGTTTCTGGTACCCTCGCAGTCATACGCCATTCATCTTGGCCCACCTCCCTCATCCTCTGCTCTCCTACCTCATCGCACTGTCCTTGCCCCCCTGATCTAATCAGATTAGCCCTTCTGCCCCATTCCCGCTACCCTTTCCCCTCCAGAGGCAGTAGAGCACAGGACTAGACTAGCGTTGTTGCCCCTCCCTCTCTTTCTCTCCTCTGGCCCGTCTCCTCCCTCCCCGGCCCACTTTAAGGGATCACGCGTTCCTCTTTAACAGCAGAACAGGCCTCTCCAACCTCTTCCAGACTTTCTTCTCCATCTATTCTACTGGATCATACTCAGCACGATAGCTTGCGCTCTCACCCGCTCTTAGCACCCATAGACGGCAAGTCAGTCTCTTCATCAATATCCACCACCACATCATCTCTACCATGCCCTGCCCATTTGCACGCTACGCTCCAGCTGCAGCGCTCGCTCTCACACCCGAGCAGCTTGCCGCCCACTACTCGTCGCATGCTTCACACCATCACCACGATGCCTCTCACGCCTCTTCTTCATCGCAATACCCCTTGCTCTCTGAGCACCTCAAGCACGCGACCGCAAAGGCTCACCGCGAGGTCGAGTCTAGCGCTGGTGTCAGGAAGCTCATGGGATTCGGCAAGGGCGGCAGTGTAGACGAAGATGACGGCAAGGTCTTTGGTCGACTGGACTACGTCAGATGGATGATCATGCTCGGTTGCATCTATGCTGCTCTCGAGTCTCCTCTCCTCTCGCAAGATGCTGCGCAGGCGCCGATGCTTGCTCCTCTCCTCGAAGCGGTGCTTCCTGATCAGAACGTAGCCTCAACGTCAACGTCGACATCTGTTCGCCTCCTACCCCACCTCCTCCGCCTCCCGGCCATTCTGCGCGACGTGCACGTTCATCTGCAAATTCTGGCAAGGAGTAGTGGCAACGAGGAGGGCGCTGGTCTCGACTGGGCCGAGCTAGTCGAAGAATCCAACGAGCAGATCCAGGCTGGAGATAGGGACATCTACGACGAGCTTGCGAGGTGCTTGAGCATCACGTCCCAACCATCTCTCATCGCAGCCGCACTGCCGTCCTCTTCTTCCTCTTCGCCAGAACTCACAACGCAGCATCTTCGTCTACTCTCACCGACCGAAGCAGAGTCCTCTCTAGTATACGTCAAGCGCTTGCAAGCCCTGCCTCATGCCAGCGGTGATCTCCTCCTCTCACACGCCTACGTGCGATATCTCGGCGACCTTTCAGGAGGACAGCACATCCGCAAGCGCGTCGAGAAGCTGTTTCCCCTCGACGACGACGCTCGCTCCGCCACCACACCAGCCGGCTACGAGTTCTACGACTTCCCAAGGAGCGAGGAGAATGACCAGGAGAGTGACGCGGCATGGCACCGTCGACTGAAAGACGCCTTCCGTGTCGCCATGGACAGTAGTATCGCTTCGGCCATTGCCTCGAGCGAGGTCTTCAACAGCCCCGGGTCAGCATCTCACTCTACCATCTCCCGCGTGCTCTTCAGGAGGTCAGCAGAGACGTCTCATGACCAGCTCGTCACACGGCTCCTCTCCGCGCAAGGCTCAGAAGCCTCCCTGGCATTCGAGCTGAACAAGGACCTCTTCGAAGGCCTGATCGGAGCACGACCCGTCGCCATTCTAGGAGCCATCCCGACTACATTGCAGCAGCAGCAGCAAGCACAGCGACCAACACCCTATACTGCCACGTCCGACTTTTCCCTCTCGAGTAGCTCCGCCTCGAGTGTCATGGGCGATGAGACGGATACGGACTTCTCTGCCTCCTCTTACTCTTCGGAAGACGAGTCCGCTGGTAGGAAGGGCGGGGAGGCGTACTCCCTCCTAGAGAAGCACATCAATCTCGCTCTCCACGCGTCCTCCTCCTCTCCCTCTGGCTCGGCATCCGGAGCAGCCCTACCGTCCGTCATCTTCGCCTCCGCTTCCACCACCGGAAAGACGAAAGTCTCATCTGGCTGCCCGGTCACCCGGGCAAAGAATGCAATCGCCGCCGCTTCGCCACTGATCGCCACGGCGCTCCTCGTGGGCGGGTCAGTCGTGCTGCTGAGGGCAGCTTTGTCTACTTGAGCTGAGCTGAGCTGAGCTAGTGAGGACTGGCGGGGGAAAGGGCTGGCCTTTGCCTCGTTTTCACTCGAAGTCGTCCTTCATCTTTCCTTCCTATACACACTCCTTCTGGATTCTGGATCCGCCACCCGTCACACGTCACGTCACCTTTTCCCCTTTCCCTCTCACCTTTGCCGCCTCCTCCTCCTCCTTCTCAGCCCATCCTCCTCACCGGATCCAGCAAGTAGACTTCCGGCGCGTATACAGATTCTTCTCCTTCTCCTTCTCTTTTATCCTTTCTCCTCTTCCTTCCTATCTGCACTTACCCCCAATTTTGTTTCTGTTATGTAGACACTGTATCATTTCTCCATCTCCCCGCTACTAGCCAGCTGCTAGCCAGCTGCCCGCATCCAGCTGCCAGCTGCTACTGCTTACCCTTTTACAGCAGCAGCAGCAGCAGCGGAACACTCCTTTCTAATGTATATGCTTTGTACGCGTACGCGATACGCGGGAGCGAATATCCGAACATCCGCACGTGATGCACGTGACTGAAGACGAGGAGCTGTGAATGTGTGAATGTGTGAATGTGTGTGTATGGGAATGCTTGGACGAGATGAGATGAGATGAGACGAGACATGATAGGATGACTATAAAGGAACAACACTGGACGCCGGACGCCAGACGTCGGTCGTCGGTCGTGAGCTTGAAACCAGTATAAGGAAGCTCGACGACCCTCTCCCTCTCTCTCCCTCCCTCCCTCTCTCCCTCCCTTAGGCCATCCCAATGTCCGCCGCACCCAGACTGCTTCTCCTCCTGCGAACATTTCGTCCCATTCGGGCCGCGGTACTCGTAGCTGTAGAGCTAGTAGGAGGTCGAGAGGAGGAGGAGGATACACCTCCTCTCCCCGTTGTTGCTTCCACTCCCATTCTTCCGCCAACTCCTGCTCCCGCTCCTCCGGTCTTGGTAAGAGACGCTCCTCCCCTCCCAACCCCGACTGCAGCAACCGCGGGTGCGAATTCACCCTGCACTACATCCGGACTGGGTCTAGCGCGCTTCAAGTTGGCACGTGCAGCGAGCATGGCAGCATTGCCACTGTTGGAGACTGGGACTGTGCTGGTGGACTTGAGACTGTTAGCAGGGCCGTTGCTCAAGCCTCCATTTCCACTTCCTGAAGCTGAAGAGGAAGAGGAATTGCCATTGGCATTGGCATTTGCGCCACTTCGACTAGTCTTGCGCAACGTATTGGTCAGACGATCAGAGGGTGCTTCACCTCTTGTTGTGCTGCTCGGCGCGGTGCGAGTGGTGGCAGTGGTAGTGGGTCTTACGCGAGAGGAGCTTGTACCATTCGTGGTAGTCGGCCGACTCGCAGCTGCGTTGGAACCACTAGTGGAGCGGCTGGCACTCGTTGTTCGTGATGCACTGGGTCGAACAGAGGTCGAGGGCATAGCTGTACCTGCTGTTGTACTCGAAACACCCATCGACCTGCCTGCACTCATCACCGGCGCGCGGATCTTGGCAGGACTGATCGAGTTGTTCGACGAAGGCGTGCGGCCAAAGGTGCGAAGGGACGGTCGTGTGGTCGTCGTCTTGTCCTCGGAGGGGTTGATGCCGAGCACGCCGAGGACCTCTGCGTCGGACTGTTGAGAGCTGGAAGGCAGCACTGCCTTGCTAGAAGTCGTGCCGTGGTCTGCTGCATTTGTCGACCACTGTCCACCGGCATTTTGAGGCTGTGGTGAAGAGCGAGGAGTGGGCTTGAGGTTGTAGGCCGCCTTGACTTGGGGCGAAGCGGCAAAGGAGGGAACACGGTTGGCTCTAGGGGTGCCAAGGGGCGAGTCGATTTCTTCGCGTGCAGAAGGAGAGGCTTCAGATCGCGATCGCTCGTGAGCCGGACGCACGACGGTGACCGATCGAGCGGGGCTGGCTATGATCTTCACGGAGCCAACGACGTCTTGACTTGCGTCCTCCTTCTCTCCTGGCGTCCGTCTCTCAGGTGTTGCGTTGTTCAGCCGCTGAGCCTCAGCGAGTACACGACTTGCAGTCGTCGTCGAAGTCGGTGTGCGAGCCTGATCTTCTGTCGCTGCCGTCTTTGGGCTGCGCGGAGGCGAGACAGTACCGGCAATCTTCTCCCAACTGTCGCGCAGCGAAGTCACACCGAGTCCACCTGGGGAGCCGGGTGTGGACTTGTCCTTCTCCGCATGCTTCAGAGAGCTCAGGGACTCCTCGCTGTGAGATCGTGGTAGCTCGTTGACAGAGCTTGAGGGCTGCAAGGTGGCAGAGCAAAGACGGCTGCTTGGTGCTTGCACAACGTTCGCAGGACGCTTACGAGAGGGACTGGGGCTCTTCCTAGGTTGTCCAACGCACGGTACGGGCTTGACGGCTGGAGCTGCTGTAGCTGGGATGACACGCGGAAGCTTCCTTGCCTGTGGCGTGACAGGGTCAGGAGATACTAGTCGATCTGCTCCATGACGACTATCATCAAGACCTTCCTCTGAGTGCCTCTTAAGTCGGCGCACCGCGCTCTCTACCGGCACACCCTTTGCAGCCATCTGCGCTCGCTCCGCCTCGATGATCTTCTTCGCTTGAGCCACAGCGTGATCCTTGACGCTCCATCTGATCCACTGGGCAAAGTTTTGGTACATGAAGTGTTGCTGCGGTCCCACTACGCAACCTGGCCTCATGATCCTCATGAAGCCAATGACTTCTGATGCGCTGAATCCATACCTCCAGATGAGGTAGGCGCCAATCAGCACACCTGTGCGACCCAGTCCGGCTTTGCAGTGAACTGCAATTGAACCTCCTCGCTGGATGACCTTGTGAGCCCGACGGATGAAGTCTCTCAAGATCTCTTCTGAGGGATTGGACCCGTCATCAAAGTACATGTCTACATGCTGGATACCAGCCTCCTCGAAGATGTCCTTGTCGTACAGAGGATTATTAAGACGTACCACGAGCTGAACATTGCGCTCCTTGAAGTACCTTACGGTATTTGTGATAACTTTCGGTAGCTTCCTACCCATCCTTGAGCCAGCTGCCGGCAACAGACCTCCATTCGCCTTGATCTCAGCTACGTACTCGCGGTCATTCGGACTGGCGAATGCGAGGAAGCTGGGTGTGATCCAGTTCCAATCTCCGTTCTGCACTTGTTCGTAATGCTCATACTCTTCGAGGCTGAACGTGGACAGGTCCAGCAACTTCTCCTCGATGGCACGGTGAACTCCGTAGAGGATGTCCTGTATTGTGAGATAGTAGTCAGCTCTTCCATAGCCAGCATCTCTGAAAGGCCTGAATTCCAGCTGACTGAAAGGATGGAAGGCATCGGCTGGCTCAATGTGATCGATGATCATCGAGTACATGGCTGCCAGGAGGGATCCGTTGGCCTTTCGACAGGGGTTGCTAGAGGTGTAGAATACAAATGCCCGATCTGCCAAGCTTGGATCGTTGAGTAGCTGGTGGGTGTGCATGCAGAAACGGTAGAAGAGGCCCACATTGAGTGGTCCCCAGTCCTCAAAGAAGCTGAGGTAGACGAGGTCTTCATCGATGTTGAACCAATGGTACTTGTCAGGGTACTCTGGGGCGGACTCTCCAGGACGCAGCTGCCGACTGGGAGGCTCGAAGAGAGCTGAAGCACAACCGTCACCTTGATTGAGATAGTCTGGATTGGGTAGCGTATCGGCGAAATAGGTGAAGTAGAGGCGGTGCGAAACATAGATGAGCCCCTGCTCGGGAGCCAAGGCAGGCTCAGAAGCGGTGCCGGCCTGCGAGCCTTGGGTGCTAGCTAATCCGAGATCCTCTTCGACCTCACAAGCCTCTCCATCAGCATCACTGTCGAGGAAATCGGAGTCGTCGGGACAGGTAACCAATTGTTGTTGTTGTTGTTGCTGCCAGTTCTGTGGCGCAGAAGATGAGGAGCCGGTAGCCGATTGGGAGGACGATGGCCCATATCTGGCCAAGTCGACCGCTCTTGGGCTGTGTGCGAGCATTGCGGTGTCGTCTAGTGTGAAGCCGGGAAGGGAGGGGTTATGCTGGGTAATGAGAGGACGTGGGTATGTATGCTGTTTGTATGCTGAGTGGACTGGGGTAGTCCGATCTATGCTTTGGATGTGACCGTGACCTTGGGCGGGGAGATGACGAAGGGGCAGCCGATTGCCTCTCGCCTATCTCTCTATGCCCTTTGCGATGCCCACGACTGAAGCTGGCAGTGGTGAGGAGCTGATGGTGTATGATCGAATCGGTGTGTGTGTGTACCAAGACGATGTTCGCCCCGCCTACTTTCCCCCCCTCGGTTGCTTCCACTTCAAGAAACAACACTCGGAGATTTCCAACTCCGCCTCCCGGTGCTTCACGCGACCCAGCCGACGGCTGCGAGTAGGCCAAGGTAAGTATCGCGGACGAGAGAGGCGGCAATGCATCGTCGTCATCATCAGCAACCACTCAGGCACGATATTGGTCACTTTAACTTCTACCATCCGCCGCACCATTGCTCTAGAACGCGTCAACGTTGCTCGTCACGTCAGAAGATCTGGCGGGGCTCACAAGGTGGGCTGTGCACAGGAGCCAAGCCCTCATCACTTTTCCAGCCCCTTATGCCCCGGAGCTCTTTCGCTTGTCCCTTCGGAAGGTAACAGTATGGATGAGAGTACGACAGACAGAAGGCAAGACGAGAAGAAGGACTGCTGACTGGAGATTGTTGAAGCAGGCGTGGGATGAGGTGGGCGAGGCAGCGCGATCCCGCCATGTAGACAGTCACATTCAGACCCCCCATCGAGCAAGACAGTGCGGCGAATGCCATCTCAAATCCTCCAAGACGCATATGCGACACTGCTTGTCTCACTCTTGTCGTAGTCTTCCCGATATCCGATGGTAGAAGAGATGAGATTAATGTAGATCTGACCCCGAGAGACAACCTTCCATGAAGTCCCATTCTCTCCATCTCGCTTCTTACTGGGTCAACATCTGACATCCCGACGTTGCCCTTTCATCCTGCAACAGTCGCCTACTTGAGTCCGAGGAAGGACTTGAGGGGCTCCCAGCCAAGGCTCAACTGCAAAAGGTGGAAGGAAGCAGGAAGAGGAAGGTCATGGTCAGTAGCGTATTCTCTCGCCTCGTGTCGCTTCAAGGGTCTTCCCTCCTCCTCATTTCGCTCGCGAAGTTTCTCTGCCCCCTTTTGTCGTGCGCTGCAGCTGCGAGACACTCACGTTGTAAGCACCGGCACCCAGGGCAACGGCGACGGTAGCAATGGTACCGACCGGTCGACCAACACCAAGAGTGTCAGCAGCTCGGATTCCAATTTCAGCATGAGCGACACGGGCTACGAGGAGCGTAGTGTAAGCGGCATGGGCGAGGTAAGTGGGTGCACCGTTGAGTTCAGCGAGGAAGATGAGGAAGAAGGCAAAGGGAGTTCCCTCGGTGAAGTTTCCGTGGGCTCGAACGGCACGCTGCAGAGCCTCCTCATTCTCGGCATCCTTGGGAGAAGCCTTGTGCTTGGGGTGACGGACCGAGCCAGCCTCACCCGTGCCGAGCATGACACCCGACTTGAGACGGTAAGAGACGACGTTGGCGGTCAGGTAGGAGTAGTAGCCTGCAAAGAGGGCAGAGTGGGCCAGAGAGGCCGGGCTGAGAGGCAGAACATGGGAGTGAGAGGCAGAGAACAGCAAAGAGTGTCAGTCTCGTACTTCAGCGGCTCAAGGTCGTTGCGGGCGGGAAGTGTGGAGGTGTCTGAGAGCGAGGCGAGACCCTCCCGGCGGGCTAGGCCAGCCTGCAAAGGAGGAGTACCAAGGAACGCTCAACTGACCTGAGTACGAAAAGAGGCATTGTGTATGAGTTCTTCTTTGGTTGAAGTGAGGGTATTGAGTCTTGATTGAACAAAAAAGATGTGAGTGATGGTTGGAAAGTCAAAGGCAATGGCGGACGAGGGTTCTGGTGCTGCTGCTGCTGCGTGCGTGCCTGTCCTGCCTTAGGGTCATCCAACCCATTTCTCTCGGCCGCCCGCCCGCTCGCCCTGCCTCGGCCTGGACCCGCCAGCGGAATTGCGTCACTCGCACCACGCTCACGCCCGCTCACACCCACACACGCCAGCCTCCACGCGCATCTCCTTCCCCTCTTCCGGCTCGGCTCGGCTCGGCTGAAGTTGAAGCTGCAGCTCCGGCTTATGGGACCAAAGGGGAGGGGGACGGGGGAGGGGCACTGGTAAGCTGGTGTTGTCGCATATCGCTCACCGTGCTCAGAGAGTCAAGCCAGGCCAAATCAAGTCAAGGCAGTCTACAGAATACGCATAGAATGGATAGGATCTTGACAATTCCATGTACGCACGAGAGGGAGAGGGAGAGAGGCAATCGACGCAATAAAGACAGCAGCGCCTGCAAGAAAGGGACACCCTCTTTCCTTCAACAGTGTGCTGGGCAATGAATGAAACTCATCGTCTCTGATCTAAAACTTGCACCATGGCAATATTGCCTCTGACTTGCCAGCACACCGCTAGTGCCGCTCGCTCGATCATCCTCTCATGTTCCTCAATTTGCTCGCAAATCCACCGCCTCCACCGCTCCCGCTCCCGCCTCCACCGCTGTTCCCTGTTTGGGGAGCAGGCTCGTAATTACCAAAGGCACTCTGTGATCTCACAGACGTTAGGCCACTCGAGGAAGTAGAGCTGAACACCCTCGGCCTCTCAAAGAGGTTCATACTCTTTCTCGGCTTTGACTCGTCGTCCATTCCCGTCTCGAGGGCATTGGTGCTCGCACGATGACGCAGAGGAGGTGTACCTCCACCCTCGTCAATAGCCTCGCCATAGTATGCGCCACTGTTGGCCAGTCCGCTATTGCTGCTGAAGCTGGTGGGGAGAGCCGAAGAGGTGCGCCTCTTGGCCTTTGTGGACGAGCTGTCGTTGTTGGAGTTGCTGAAGCCAAAGGGAAGCCTCAGCAGCTTGCTCTTGCGGTTGTCATCCTTGACCCCTCGCGTGGACATCTGGTTGCCCTCATCCTGCATCTCTTCCCGCTCCTCAGGATTGTAGTCACCGCCATTGGGAGTACCTCGGCGAGGTGTAGTCAAAGGCCCAAAGAGCCCTCTGGTGTTGTTCTGCTGTTGCCGTGGCAAGCTTGCAGGACTCGACACTTGCCTCATGCTGAAGCCAGCCTCATCTGTGCGCCGAGGGCTTCGATCGGGCCGGCCAGGCACTACACTGTTCAGGCTCATGACGCTGGGACGCCGGCTATCGCGCTCACCATCTTCGTACCCACCTCCTCCCCCTGGCGAAAGCAGCTGTTGCTGTGCACCTGGACCCTGTCCACCTGGCATCGAGCCGACGGGGGCTTGCTTGCGATGAAGTTGGCGCTGGGGTTGCGGACCAGAGCTGGTAGTCGTCGTGTTCGCCACGCTCATCATCGAGGGCGTACGACTGCTGCCAGGCGTTTCGGCAGCAGCACCTCCATTCGAGTACATGGCAGAGCCTTGGCTGCTGTATCTAGGATCGGCGCTTTGCATTGAAGCCGGACCGCCGGGGCCGGGATATGGACCTCCCGCACTGAATTGTGGGCCAACCCCGGCAAAGTAGCTGTTGGATGGGCCGCGACGATGAGTACCAACCAATGGAGACGTCGCCCTCTCTTCGGGCGTAAAGCGGGACTGCTTCCTCTCCGGTGGCAATGGCGATTGGAATGGTCCCATATCGAAGCGATTGCGCGAATTGGAGGACATTGGAGGCTGCATGTACAGCTCTCGAGGAGACTCGACTGAGTCTGCTCCGCCCAGCAGAGAGCTAGTGGAGCGTCGGGCTCTACTCAAGAGGCCGGCGATGCCTGGGGGTGGCGCAAGCGCATCATCGGCCGAGACTGACGTGCGACGAGCTCGTTGACTGTTCGAGTCTTCGGAGCGTCCGTCCAGAGGTGGGCTCGACAGACCGTTGCCTGCTTGGCCTCCTCCAGCGAGCTTGTTCATAAAACGCTTGAAGCCCCCCTTCTCCTTGCCTGTGCTGGGAGTCTTGGTGTCGCGCTTCTTCTGCTTGAAGTAGCCACCGTCATCTCTAGATGTGTCTCCAATGGGAGGGGAGCGGAGACCATCCGGCCGAATTGTATCCTGACGGTATGGACCCGAAGGGTCTATTGGGCTCATTTCGCCATCTCCAGGGAAGCCAAAGTAGGCCTCTGGAGACTGCGCTGGCTTACTGAGCTGCGAGGGAGAATGCATGGGAAGAGCGCTCCCGTGACCGGCCCGATGGTCGGCTTGATTCGAGCTAGCCATCGCCAGGTGCATATCAAGCATCGAGCCACTGGGCGCCAGGGAGAGCTGGGAGACTGTACTGGCACCGAATCCTTTCGGGGTACCTAGTGATCCAGATGCAAAGGCAGCGTTCGGAGGCGCCAAGCTTTCCGGAGTGGAAGGAATTGCAGGAGAGAGCATTGAGCCGGGCACGCCACGCAAATCGGAAGCGCTAGCGGTTCGACCAGGAGTGGAGAAGCCTCCTGGGCGTCTGGGCAGAACAGAAGCCATTGTTTGACTGCCGGGGACTGATGCGGAGCCAGGAACAGGCATCGCAGAACCCGCCATGTTGCGAATGGAGGGCGATGTCGATCCAGCATTCCTTCTCCTCGCTTCTCGGGCCAATGCCACGTCCTTTTCCCTCATGGTCTTCTCCTCGGGCCTCAAGTCTTCGTCACCAACGAGCTTCGCGGCTCTTTGCGGCATCAGAAGCGGCACGCTGCGATTCTTCGACATGCTCTTCTTTGGAATCGCGGCAGTTTCTGGGCTTCTGCGGCCACCGCCCCCTTCTGTTGACGTCGCCACTGACTCGCTCACAGAAGCATTGCCAGGCGCAGTGACGGATCGATCTCTGCGACCCGCACCCGGACCGCCGTGCGAGCGATTCCATTCGTCTTGAAGCAGCTTCTGTTCGATGGCGATGTACTTCGCCTGCACAGCAAGGAATTGTTGCAGAGTCCTCCAGCGATGAGAGGAAGCGGGAGGATTCATCTGAGTATGCAGCTTGAGCCGCTCGGCGGTGAGGGCATCGTGCTTGCCCACTCTCTTGACGCGAATCTTGGTACCAGTGCCCAAAGAGGTATTTCGAGACGGTCCCTCTCTGCTCGCAGCATCAGTACTACTGTGACCGGCGGCGCTCAAATCGTCGCCTGTCCCTGCAGAGCCCGAGTTCGGCCCAGTGCCAGTACCGCCCCGCTCCGACTGATTCCTCTGACCCTCTTCCCTCTCGATTCGCAATGCTTCATCGAAGTCTCGGTCACTCTCCCGCTCCCACAATCCGGGTCCCAAGACATCGACGTCAATCATGTCCTCGTCTCGCATCATGCATTCCAGACAGACTTCTGGGTCGTTGACGCTCCTACGTACTCCATCAGGTCCAATGAGACCAGAGAGGAGGCCATCAGGTCGTTGCTGCAACTCGAAGGGTGGCACAAGACTTCGCTGAGGAAGCATCCCAAGGTACTGCCGACCCGGCGTGGCTCCTTGCGACGGCGAAGGGAACATAGGGTAAGGACCATTGACACCGCTTGCCACATCGGCCCCACCCATGGCCCCCATGGTCATGTTGATAGCTCCTACGGAGCGTCGCTGGTCCCTTGCTTGCTGTTTTTGCAGCTGCTGGGTACTCATTGCGCCACTATTCGGTTTGGCACTCGGCGCGAACGCTTTGAGAGCCGCTGGCTCTCCACCGAGCTCTCGGCTTGCCTCTTGTCCAGCATTGCCATTGTCTCCAGTAGAGACCATCTGCAAAGGCTTGAGCTGCCCTCGTAGAGTACTCCTCCTAGCATTGTTTTTCGTAGAGCGCTTTTGCTTTTGCTTCATCCTCGCTCGCTCCCACTCAGCTCGAGCCTCGACCTCTCCCTCCGGAGGTGGACTGGGCTCTCTCGAAGGGGTGTCCACACTTGACACGGATTCAGCCCTCCCGCTAGGCTCTGCAGAGTCATGTCCAGGTCCTTCCACCAGAGCCGCTCTCGGCAGAAGCCCGGCTGTGGACGATCTTTGCATCCGCATGTCCTCCGGAGAGGGCGGAGAAGTGCTGACCAGCGCACCCGCTGCGGTGACATTGTGTGCTCCGATACCAGGACCAACGATGGAGGGCTTCAGAGCTGGCGATCCGAAGTTCGAGTCTGCAAGAGGTCTTCTGCGATAGTCTGACACAGGCGACGTCTGTGGAGGGATCTCTGGATCCGGAGCAGCATCTCTGGGCAAAGTCGGCGGGGCAACGTCGAGCGCCAATTCCGGCCGCCGACTCAGCGGGGCTTGTGCGTACGAGCCGCTGATTTTGGGAGGGGTCGGTGGTGGGGCACCTGCTGGGATTCCGTTGCCTTTGTCAGGCACAGCTGGGCCTACTGTTGTTGACTCGACTGAGGCCGGATAAGTGGGTGAGATTGGCGTTGATGGCTGAATTTCTGACTCGCGAGCGGCTGAGGGAACGGGAGGTTGTTCTTTGTTGCCAATAGACAATCGCGGAGACGGCTTCGCGCCGTTCATTGCTAGAGCAGGCTGTTCTCTACCGAGCTGTCCGGGAGCTCCAATCGATGATGGTCGGGAAGCATTGGAGCCTTGACCAGGCTGCTTGAGCTCCCACTCCTCAAAGCGTGAGCCAGTCGAAGGAGAGGCGCTTGTCTGACCTAGAGCAGCAGCGCCTCCCACAGGCTTGCGCTCTGGTCCCGCTTGTCTGGCTCTTGTGGTAGGCGGAGGTAGCACCGATGGCACGATGAGAGGACTGTTCTTGGCACTTGCGAATTGTTCGTCGATAACACTACTAGGTGGCGTAGGCCGGGTGAGCGGCTTCGTCTCCACCAATGGAGACGAAGTGGATCTTACGTGGCTCACTTGAAAGCCCCATGAGCCAGGAACAGCTCTCTCTGTCGAGCTTGCATACCCTAACGGAGAGCTTCCAGCGGGCCGACGCGAATCGTCGGTAGACTTTACTTCTTCGAACCTATCACCGGAGACAGCGCCTGCAATGCCTCTTCCTCGCGCGTCTCGCAATCCATCAGCACTAGGAGCACTATCTAGCCCGCTAGCAGCCGTCTGAAACGAGTGACGGGAGGCTCTCCTGGCATCGCGGTTTACGCTCTCATTTGTAAAGTGGGTTCCATAGCTATCACCACCCGGAGTCACTGCTCCCGAACGTTGTCCTCTGTCTGTTACCCCCGCATCATCTTGAGCGCCGAGAGTAGTGTCGTAGCTATTCCCGCCTTGACGACCCGAGGCAGGGAGCACAGGGAGGGGAGCATAAGCGTCGGCAGACGATCCGAAGTGCGGTATTTGGGAGAGGCTCCAGCCTGACAGTGCCGGAGCTTGTCTCGACTGTTGTTGGCCTTCCATTCGGTAAGGGGCCCTGGGAGTAGAACCTGTCGTGGAAGAGCCGGCTGGATCCGGTGTCTGAACCCCAGTCACATGAGACATTAAATTGCCGCTAGAGCGCCTCGAGTGCGTTGAGAAAGGTGTTGCAGCGCCAGGCGGCGGGCCAGAGACTGAAAATGGTCGAAAAGGGGAATGTGGATCAGCGATACTTCCTCCATGCGAGAGACTCGTGAGGGGGAGCAGGTTTGTTTCAACTCACAAGACGTCTGTGGTGTTACTCTACGTGAGGCCACCGGAGATGCGGCAGGTGATGCGGAGCCCATTTTACTGCTCTGGCCATTGTTGATCACCATGAAAGATGACCTTGGGCTCGACGGCATGCTCGAGGATGGATTTGCTTGTGCTTGAGGAGGCTGAACTGCCTTATCGAGACCCGATGAGCTGGGTCGACTGCCAGGCTCACGACGGAAGGGCTGGGAAGGACCCGAACCTGAGTTGGCTGAAGCGCCCCAGTCACCGGAGCGAGTCCAATCTGAAGAGTTCCTGTAGGACGTCGATTCTTGTGCATTACCATTGGGGTCGAAGCTCGAAATAGGGCGCGCACGCGGCGAAGGGTCAGCCATATTCAAGCTGGACCTTTCCGCGAAGCAGAGTGGGGAGATGATGATTTGATCTCGAAGGCGCGATAGAGGAGCAAAGTCACGGCAATCGGCCTTGTTTGATGTTCTTGAGAAGGTCGATGGGATAAAGGCCTGGTGCAGAGAGCATGCGCTATTCAAGACAGCATCGAGGCCGTGTTGCTGGAGTCGTCTCTTGCTGGGCCCACCACCACCAGTGGGGCCTCTGCTGTTGGTGCCTCCACTGAAGCGGCAATCTCCTCGTCACGCTCAGAGAAAGGTGACGACTGGGGGATAGACTTCCTCGAGGTCGCCAAAGTGCAAGGAAGAGAGATGACTAGGCCGCGGAGCCTGGCGAGGATGTCAGGTGAGATGATAGCGATCAGAAGGACGGACAGCAACGAGCGTCTGTCTGCCTGGCCGGGCAAGCGATGGTCTGACCGTCGGTGCTGAAGCGTGGCTGTGGGGTCTTCCGCCTCGCCGCCTGCTCCCCCGCGCGTCCTATTTTCTGGACTGGCGGCGAGTTTTGAACGCCGACGTCAGCTGCCGCCCCCAGGCCCAGCCCATGGTTCACTGAAACAGCGAGCGGGTCAAGAGGATACAAGGCATCCAAGGGGTCAATCGTCAATAGGTCTAGCATTGCTTTCGTCGAGACTGAGCTATATACATATGAGAGGCTCGCAGGGATCCCTGACCGTCCTCTCCTTCTATCGCGGACCTCCACGTCCCTCAATCTACCAGCTGGAAAGAGACGGTCACAAAGCTTGGCTCTTCATTGCGATGTCGCAACGTGTACCTGATGGGCATTCCATTAGGACCAAAGAACTTGGTCAGGCCAAGCTTGACTGGTCCGAGCGAGAGACTGAGTGTATTGAAGTCAAAGGCGTCGGTGAAGAAGGAGGCTCCGTAGACGATGTCGGGGTCGTACTCGAAGTTCTTGCGGTTCTCCTCCGAAGTGAAATACTTGCGGCGCTTGGGAACCGACAGGGAGTGGGTAGTGAAGATGAAAGCATTGTCCTCCACCATGTCGGTACCTGGTTCGCTAAAGCGCCAAGGACCAAGTTGATCGTCCAGCTTGCTGGACCACTTCGAGTGGCTGTCGGAGCTCAGCCGAGCCTTGCGGTTCAGGTCATCAGCCAGCCGGAAGTCATCACTTTTCAGGCCGTCGGAGGCTGCAGCCTTCTGGGCTTCCGTACGAACCTGAGTGGTGATGCGCTGTAGCGGAGGCATGGCAGCGGAGGGAGGCGACGACCTCGTGTCGTCCCTAGTGCTAGTTGCACTGTCCACTTCGAGTGGGGCTGGCGATACCGCTCTTCTTTCAGGAGACTCCAAGATATCTTGTCCAGTAGCCTCGGGAGCCGTCACGAAGTAATCGTGTTTAACAGCAGCCTCGTCATCGGCCAGAGGACTGACATCACCATCTTGGCTCTGCTCGCCGACGGCTCCTTGAGGTGGTGTCTCAGGGTCATCCCAGCGCATGTTCGACAGCTTGCCCCTGAAGTTCGTTCCAAGTCTTTTCAAAGTAGGATGATCAGAGGCAATGCCATGCTGTACATCACCAGCGTGAGTGCCACTCTCGGTGCTCATGGCTGAGTCTGTGCGCTCAGGCTTGCGCAGTTCCTGAGGCAAGCGCCGATGATGCTCTAACTTGGCGTGGTGAGCTTCCAGTAGAGCTCTTACGCGTGGCTCGTCCTTGAACCCGACGAAACGCCAGTACTTCTTCAAGACCCTCTCTTCCTTCGCTGCTCCGCCGCCAAAGGCATTGCCAACGCCACTGAGCCATCCCTTCTTCTTGGCCGGCTTGGCGTCCGCGGTGGACTGGCGGCTGACGCTAGCGTTCCTGCTCAGACCTTCTCGGGGCACAATATCTTGGGTCTCATCATCGTCGTCTTGCCCGGCTAGTAGCGCTGAATGCCCGTCGCCACCTTTTTCAGGATTGGACACCGTGGGAGTGATCGAATGTCCTCCCTGACTGCCTCCCGTAGGAGTGCCGCTCTTGTCCGTATGCCGTAGCACAACCACTGCATCATGGGCGCGAGAGGGTGCGGGCCAGGCGCAGAGTACGTTCATACAAGCACAGTATGGAGACATGATGTATGGCCTTCCAGATGGAGGCTTCTCTTCGTAGAAGGTGCAGGGATCAATGTAGCGAGCGACTCGCATACCAGCGTTGAAGGGCGCTCGTGGAAAATCCATGAAGCGATCAAAGTCAGTACCAAAGTGGACATCGTCTCCAGTATACCGCTGCTTGAAGCGACCTTCGATCTGAATGCAGAACCTACGAGAGCGGTCTATGAAGGGAGGGTAGGAAATGGCGGCCAGAGCAACAGGAATGTCAATACCGGGGGCCTACTGCCTTTCCTTTCGCTACGAGCAGCCTCACCTCGAAAGTACTCTCTTCCGTCCTCTCCCTCCTTGGCGCCAGGAGCATCGAGGATCCGGACGACCACCCTGCCAACAAAGTAATCTGTATCGATCTCATGGGGTCTGCTGATGTCATTAACCCTGCATGGCTCCATGTGCTTGTAGTCGGGACCGACTTTGACTTCTAGATGGGGCATCTTGAGGTATAGCTATTGCAACGAGGTGAAAGGGTATGGAGATAGGTAGCGAAGCTGAGATGTCTGCTTTTATGGATTGAGGTGATTCGTGTCGTCTAAAAAGCAGAGAATGATGGCCGTTTGTGCTGAAGAGCAGAGGTGGGGTATCTGGAGAGTGGCTGTACTCCTGAGTGCAATGTCCAGGGGGAAGGATTGCTCTGGGGCACAAATTGCTAAAGGCTTGCTGCCAATGCTGCAGGGGAACAGTGATGTCACCGACGTCTATCGGATCGGGCAAGAATCTTGGTGGAGAGGGGCTGCCGATAAGAAGGTGTGGTCTCAAGATCGGTACGGGTGCTTATGAGCTAGCTCTTCTAGGAGGGCTGTAGAGGGGTCCAGAGGGGTCCGGTGTATGCTGCTCTAGGGTGTCTAGGGGCGATGCCTGCAGCTGCTGGTCTAATGCCGAGAAGGAAGGACTGGTCGCGGCTGGAGAAGGAGATCTAAGCAGGGCCGTGAGGGGAAGGCCGGAGCGAGAAGGCGAATCTACCGAAACAAGATCGTTGCGGGGATCGGATAAAGAGGGGCCAGGGAAGAGGATCGGGGAAAAGAGGCAGTGTGGAGAAACGGCAGCCGCGAGACTCGAATCCTCCGACTGGACCCTGGCTGGTTGAAAAAAAGGCCCCAACACGGATGCCGATGCGGGATGGGTCAGTTTTCACAACTTCACAAGTGGGTGTATGCAAACATCATAGCAATGGCAATGGCAAAATGAATGGTATTGTAGATGACGACTATCCTCGACTTTCTTCTATCGCACGGGTCTGTCGCATCTGGCATCGTTGTGACTATTGGTGGATGAGGTTGAGGCAGTCAGCTTCTCCGTCGGACATCTCTAAGCGCACTTCTGACAGCTCCAGTATACTCACGTCTCCTGGCAAGTGCCCATCCCACAGAGTCTCTCCCCACATCTAGAGCAGTCGGCGCTGCCACTTTGGCCGCAGATGGAACAGAAGAGAGGCTTGCTTTCGTAGACCACCAGGGGACCACCGCTTCCACCGCCACCGCCGCCACCGGGATCCCCCACTGCCTGGCCTTGGCGATGCCGTGACTTGTCGATGGTTGCTGAAGCTTGCTCGTAATTGAAAGGTGACTTGCTGTACACTTCATCTGATGCCTGGTAAAAGCCAACACGCCGAGAAGCGTAGCGTCAGCGCGATGCTCATGTCATTCCACCTTGCCTTTTTTCTTTGCAACCACTCACAGCGTCTTCCAACAGGCTGTGGAAGCCCTTCCTGTACACTAGCAATCGCCGAACTGTAGCGCTCTGCTTGTGCTGCTTTGTGCCACTGCCTTCTGCATCTGCTCCTCCAGTCAAAGCTAGTAGAGCCGAATTGGGTATCGAAAATGCCTCGCCGTCATTTCGCGAGGACTCAGCTGTGCCAGGCCTTAAGGACACGGCAGCATCACGGTAGTTGGTCCGCTGCAAGTGGTACCAAAATCAAAGGACGGCAATACTGCATCAGCAGGGATACATTTTCTGGCGCTATGGTCTGCCAGAAGACTCACCTCCAGCTCGTGAAGCCTCTTCTGGATCTTGCGGCGCTTTGCTGACCTTTCCCGCTCCTCCTTCTCCTGCCGTTCTTCATCGAGGAGTTGCCTTTCTCTGACAGTCAAGGGTCGGAGGGAACCACCAACGCCTCTACCCTCTGCCGTGGAGGAAGCTCCGTTTTGCCCTCCAGTCCTCAAAGTGCTATATGGATCGCCAGAGGACTGCAGCGCGATGGCAGCATTGGCCAGACCAGAAGCCTTGCGCTGGGAGCGCGATCGGGCGGGAGGCATGGAAAGCAGCTGTCCTCAGAATGGGGACAATGTTCTCACTCTCGAGGCTGTACAAGCTTGCGGGGGTGCGGAGAGGCTTGGACGCTGCACGCTACCCCACAAGTCGCGGTGCGGGTAGTGGAGCGAGGTCCGGAGACCGAGAAGGAATGTCTTGTGGAGGGACTCCCCCCTTTGTTCAGAGGAGGTATGGCCCTCGGACAGAGAGTAGAGGTGGAGGAGGGGAAGATTCAAGGTTCACACATCTGGCGGAGTCTCCTTGTCGGGTGCCAATCACAAGTGAAAGGGCGGATAAGAGGGATGCTTGCAGCGATGAGGAATGAATGGTACTGTCGTTGCGAGGAAGCAGCCTCGGCAGGCGGAGACTGGGCGGGGGTTGAAAATCTCCGGCGCACGAGGTGCAGAAGCAGGACGCGACGACGAGACGAGAACAACACTGACACTGGGCTCTGAATCAGGGCACTGATCACGCCCAACCAACACCTCTGTCTTTCGTGGTGAAGCGAGATTCATCGACGAGGACTCGGTGTGCCTCTTGAGGTCAGTACGGCGATGGCTTGCAAGGTGATAGTTCGCTGATTCATCGAGGGCATCTGTGTATGTGCGCCCTCGGCCTGCTTGGGAGTGATGCGAAGCGGGGTGTGCAAGTGTGGCGCACGCAACATGTCACATTTTCGCGGTGTGTGTGCCTTCCATCTACGCATTCCCCCTGCAAGCCGCCTTTCTCCTCTCGCTTGGCGGCTGCCACCCTCTGCCTCGGCCTTGCGTCTGGACAGTCGACTGCCTATACACAGAAGATTCCCTAGCAGCGGATGCACAACAACCCCGCCCGCAGACGCTGCACCCGAGGAGACATCTCATTGCTCCACTGCTCGTCGTCATCGTCGTCCCTCGACTCCCCTCCTCCTCCGGCGGCTCCGTGCTGGGTGTGCGTGTGTATGTACGTGAGTGCGTGTGCGTGCCTGTCCGTCCAGTCTATTCGCCTGCCCGCTCCGCCTATCCGGTCCGCCCTGCCAGTCAGTCCGCGTTAGACTGTTTTTGGAGATGTTGCGTATTCTCACCTTGCCCTTGCCCTGAAACGCCCTCGCTTCCTCCCTCTCATCACTATCACCATTACCATCACATCCCTTTTCCACCCCCTGCCCTCGTGCGCTCCTTGCGGCCCTTATCCCCTTCTTGACGCTCTCCTTGCGTTCCTTTGACCGTTCCTGGACCCGATTCCCCGCAACCTGCACCCTTTACGCCTCTGTTTCATCACACGCCGACCACTACACTTCCGCTTTACGGAATCGCAAAACAAGTAACGAGCAAAAGCATAGCACATACTCTGGCAGGCCACTCTTCCTCCAGCAGCTTCCCCTTCGTGGATCACTCTATCATCCTCATCACACCGATCAACACGCCGGCATCTGCTCATCAATTGCCTTCTCCTGTGCACCACCTCATCCATCCCTCCTCCCACCGACGATCCTTGATTCCATACCAGCAATCAAACGGCCTTCGAAAGCTAGACGTCTTCTCGCTTTTCCCACACGGCCCAGATCAGAAGAGCAGATAGGATCCATCGAAAACCAATCACAGGGTATTCCGATACACCCCATTCGATCCGTGACGAAACACCATCGTCAAACGCACCCAGAGCACTGCTTCCTACTTGCAGGAGGCAGCCCATACCCTCCCTTTCTCTCTCTAACGCGCCTTTGAGCCACTCTTCGAGCTGAAGCACCGCAATTGCCGTCTTGGAAGCACCACCTCTTCGCCGCCAGATTCGCGCCTGCCTCGCCCCCCTGCCTCATTCGACGCAGTGCCTTCTGGCCTACGCAACTCACAGAAACACCACGTCAAACTTCCTTGCCCAAGACGATCTTGATCATCACGTTGCATTCCAAGGCATCTCGACTCGCCTCTACACTTGCCTGACGAGTCTTGGCCCAACGCGCCTCGCACCTTTATCCCCTCGTCCTCTCTGCCGACTCGCGGCTCGAATCTACCACAAGCATCCCCTTCCTACAACGTCGTCTCCATGGCGCATCACGCGGAACAATACGTGAGTGTAAACTGCAGACGTTTCAGACGCGATCATGTTCGTGAAGCAGTAGCGATGAAAGGTTGCGGAGGAGAGGAGTGCGCACCCCGAGGCAGTCAATCTTCCCGTAGGCCTTGGCCTGGGCATTGACCAGGTGTGGGCTCGCTTGAGGATGGGCTGCTATCTCTCGACGGGGATGTCGCGGAGTCTCGCCGAAGAGTGCGACTTCCAGATGTCGGTGCAGTCTCCGGGACGTGATCCTTCCCACGGGAATGTCTTGGAAGACAGAGAGAGAGACAGGCGTGTGAGACTATCTCATGTCTTGCGTTGCTCTTCTCCCTCGGCCGAAAGCACACTTGTGCCTGTTGGGCTGGTGGATTCGCCTGCCTGCCTGCCTGCCTGCCCTGTTATGGTGTGGCAGCCTGCCCGCGTCTGCACGAGTCGGTCCGCGGTGAATTGAATCGCAGCGGCTGCGTGTGGCGTGCGACGAGTCCGAAGGGGGCTGCTGCCGCCTCTGGCTCGCGTCCTTGCAGTGCCAGGCCCAGAGCTTAACGGGGCAAAGGCAGTGGGGACTCGGCAGAGGGGAATAGCAAGTGACAGCATCAGACAGACCGCCACGCAAGGCAAGGAGCATTGCCAATGCACCATGCATCCAATACCTCCTTTGCTCGTGGCGCGACGGCCCGGCAAGCATCCCCTACACGCCAAGTAGAGTTGCGGTCTTCCATGACCCGCCTGGAGCGTGCAGCATCCTGGCCCCGCCTTGCACCTCTTCTCTCCTCGCCCTCCCTCGACTGAGGTACGTCTGGGCTGCGAATAGCCGAGATAACCACATAGCAGTGGCACTCCGCTCCATTCCCCGATCACAACTTCCTTCCAAAGCTTCCGACCCTGGAGGCCTGCCCTGGCCGCTACCCCGGTCGGGGCGGGGCGAGCGAGCCAGCCTCACCGTCTTTCGGGCCACCGGGCTAGGGTTGGTTTACCACAGGACATCGATGCCCTACACACCATCGTCAGACTGCCATTGCACCTATACCTCCTACACTATTCCATCATTATCGTCGTCGTCGTTGTCATCGCTCCTACCTCTCCTCGTTCCCCTCATCGTCTTTACCTCTAGCACTTGCTGACCGAGCCTCTTCGCTTTGCTTCATCTCTCCTGCCTCTACCTCTACCACTGCATTCCTACCTCGTCTTCCACCTCACTTTGGACATCTTAGCCGGGCTCGACTGCCATCGGAAGGCCTCTCAACGTCAAGAACGGCATGCCGCCCTCGAGGAGTGGAGAACGCCTTCATTCCGGTGGTGAAACATCAGTTGCGTCCAACTACTCTACCACATCTGCCTCTTCTTCGACTGCCGCAAACGGCCGCACAAAGGCATCTAGGGTACCGACAGGGAACAAGTTCGTCGAAGGAAAGCCAAGTCATCAACAGGGGGGTGCATTGGCAAGGAAAGCTCTGGGAGACGTGAGCAATTTGGACAAGGTGAGTCAGACGACGCGAACATTGGCGCGCGAAGAACAGCCCCGACGTCCGAGCGTGTTACTCAATCCTGCTCCACCTGCACCGTTTGGCTCGTCCAGGCGTCAGCTTCGGCTGCACACATGCGAGCTACCTCTCACAATGGCCACTATGACGATGCCGCCTATAAGCATAAGCCTGTTGCAGGTGCTCGGCGTGATGTTGTGGCAGTGACCAAACCCATCCGAGCCTCTGTCTCCTCATCACACTTGGAAGCGACTAGCACAAGCAACGCGGCTGCCTCAGCTACGGCGAGGCCAGCGGGAGCCAAGAGGGTCAGGGCCGAGGAGCCTTCCACCTCAGCGGCTTCTTCCCAAGCCGTGCAACAGTCGTCAGCATACCCATCAGGTGCTGTCGCCGTGGCTGCTTCAATGGAAGTCGACCCTTACTTTTCTTCCCGGAGCAAAGGTGCCAATGCCCGCCATGATATCACAGACGATGAAGATATGAGCGGTGCCGAGGGAGAGGAGGACGATGAGGAGTACTCGAGCTCGGAAGAGCTTTCAGAAAGCAGCAGCTCGACAGGAGGTCACCACGACCACCACCAGTCCCATAACGTACACATCGATGATGCGGCTAGCATCACCTCTGCCGAGGACGACAGTGACGCAGCTCTGGATCTCAACCTGGACCCCGAGGGCCTCGTGACGCTACCACCACACCTTGAGAAGGAGGCGTGCCGAAGGGTGACAGCGATCAGCCATTCCTACGAGCAAGCCGTCGTCCTTCCTCAGATGGCTCGATCCGCTGCCGAACGGCAACAGGCTCTTGCTGCCGGAGAGATCGCAGCTGACATTGCTGCTCACGACGATGAGCTTGCTCAGATGGGCCTCGACCCGGAAGAGGTGCGGGACACCAGCATGGTCGCCGAGTACGCCAAGGAGATCTTTTCCTACATGGCTCGCTGCGAGATGGAGACACTACCCAACCCTCATTACATCTCCTACCAAAACGAGATCCAATGGCACATGAGGGCTACACTTGTCGACTGGCTGCTACAGGTACACATGCGCTACCACATGCTTCCGGAGACTCTCTGGATTGCCGTCAACATCGTCGACCGTTTCCTCAGCGTCCGTGTGGTGAGCTTGGCCAAGCTCCAGCTCGTCGGCGTGACCGCCATGTTCATTGCCGCCAAGTACGAGGAGATTGTCGCTCCTAGCGTCGACGAGTTCGTCTTCATGACCGAAGGTGGCTACTCCAAGGACGAGATCTTCAAGGGAGAGCGCATCATCCTGTCCACCCTTGATTTCAAGGTGTCGAGCTACTGCTCGCCTTACTCTTGGGTGAGGAAGATCTCCAAGGCTGATGACTACGACATTCAGGTCCGAACTCTGGCTAAGTTCCTCATGGAGGTCACACTCCTCGACCACCGCTTCCTTCGAGCAAAGCCAAGTCTGATCGCCGCCATCGGCATGTTCCTGAGCAAGAAGATGCTCAATGGCCAGTGGGATGAAGGCTTCATCTACTACTCTGGCTTCTGCGAGGAGCAGCTCATCCCTGGTGCCAACCTCCTGCTAGAGAAGCTTGCAGACCCTAGCTTTGGCGACCACTTTGTTTGCAGGAAGTACGCGAACCGCAAGTTCCTCAAGGCTAGCATCTTCGCTAGAGACTGGGCAAGGCGGAACAGCCCAGCAGCAGCACCCGTCGCCACCACGAGCGCATCGTCCTCGTCATCGTCGGGCGTCAACGTACCCCAGCATTCGCAAGAAGGCACATTCGCCTAGAGCAGGGCGAGAGACATCTTCGCCGTGCACCTCATACATTGCTCCGCTCTCGACTGCACTTCGCCATTTCCATTACGCACATGCATTTCACCGCACCGCACCGCATTCGACGCAACCTGCACAGCACTCTATCCACTAGGCATGCAACGACAACGACACGACCCCACAATGACGACGGCGGCTACGCCAGCGATGCCAATACCAACGTGCTCTTAGGCCTTGGAACATCTTGGCCCTATTTATCTTTCTCCCTGGACGAACGGCCTCTGCTGCTACTGAGATGATGAGATGAATGCCTGCCTGCCACGCACTGCATTCAGACTTTGCTCGCACTGCGTCTTCGTACCTTCTACTGCACCATTTCGAGGTCCACACACACACACGCACTTCACAGCTCAACATTGGCTTTCTTTTCTCCCTCTGTTCTCTCTCTCTCTCTCTGGCACACAATCAAAGACCAAGGATACCCAAGAATTCCCCAACTTCATTCTTCTCGACTCTGTTTAAGGGCTTCGGCCCTTCAATTTTCAATTTTCGGCTTCAATCTTCATTCTTGCTCGCGCATCATTATCACCATTACCACCTTTATCATCATCATCATTCTCATCATCATCATCATCATCAACAATACGAAGCGGCCCCCTTCTTCCCTCCCCTTTCTCCCTCTTTGCACCATCTCATCATTCTCTTCTCCTGAATTTTTTCAACCTCAATATCCAATTCTTGTCTTTTTCCCTTTCGTTTTCGTTTTCGTTTTCGTTTTTTCTTTCTGTTTTCTTTCTGTTCTTTTGTTCTTTTGTTGGTTGTTCTTGCACCCACACTGTCCTCTAATAGCCAATAGCCAATCGTCAATCGCCACTAGCCACTAGCCACTAGCCACTAGCCGTAGCCAATCCCCTCGCTCACTCGCTCCCTCGCTCTGCACATCTTCTTTCATTTATTCGCTCGTTTGTCCGTTCGAGCACCGCACCGTACACAGACATCCATCGTTCGAGGACCTCCTTGAGCAGCATACCACTTTCTTCTTACTTCTTTCGGCAGAGTGAAACCGAAGGGGGTTTCTTTCGACTTCTTGTACGGCTCTTTGGGGTCTTCCATGCCTCACCAGAGACAGGTTCTTGCTCCATCTTCTGTCCATTCAGCTAGTGTAGTAGTGCAGATGCGCTTGGTCCTTCATTCATTATTCACTCATTCATCTCATGCTCATTCACATTTACTTGCTCATGTATGCAGCCGTCAGAAGCGACACGTAGTCGTCAGAGATGCCTCTCTGCTTGCTTGTACCTTGTTCCTCTCTCCTTAATGTGACTGTGGATCAGCCTTTTTACGCCTGTAGAGGATGTGGGCGAGCGGATGAGCCATTGGAAGGATACGAGCAGAGGGCGCACGCAGCTCCACGTAGGCTGCGAGAGTGCACAGCGGGATAATGCTAGATGAGTCGATGCAGTAGTGGTGCGCATGTGTGTGTACAAAGTTGAAGGGTATCGAGCATTCCTAGACAAGGGGCCAGCAGTTCATGCGCGCCCCTTACGTCTGCACTTCTGTCCCTCCCCTCTCCTCCTCAAGGAGCCAAGAACTCGCGATTCATCCACTTCTGCCATCTTGCTCCGCCCATCAAAGGCCCCTTTGGTGTAGTGTCACGTCCCTGATCAGCATCGTCCTCACGCGCCCGCACGCCCAGCTCAGCACCCCTGACGAGCTGCAAAAGCAGCCCCCTCGCCTCATCCTGCACCCGCCTCGACTCAAGAACCGCCCTGTCCTTTTTCCTCAAACCCTTGATCAGACCCTTGATCTCCTTTGCCTCCCTCTGCTTCTTCTCACGCTGCGCTTCCGTCAGCCTCTTTGCACCCATCTGCTCCGAGTGCAGTAGCTCGCGCTGCACTCTTGCAAAGCGCTCCTCGAGCAGAGCAGCCTCTTGCGTCACCTGCACCCGCTCGAAACTGCGCATCGGTCGCTGACCGTCCCATGGTAGGACGCGCTCGTCGGCAGCGCCGGCTGCTCGATTGGATGACACAGGCCCACGTACCGGACGAGCTATGGTGCTGAGGGGCATTAGTAGGCGTTGGGAACCAGCAATTGGAGCACGACCTGTACTGTCTGTCTCTGCTGCGGTCCCTTCTGCGAGGAGACTGGCGGCGAGCGTCTGCGATTCGGATTGAGCAGCGCCTAGGGCAGCACGGCTTTGACGTGCGGCATGGCTGTTGCTGCCTCCGGTCAAACGTGGATTCCGCTTGGACAGCATAACAGTATTTGGCGATAAGTGGTGGTAGGTGAGCGAGGCGAGGTTGTCCAGGATGCGACGAGCAAAGGGCTTTTGAGGGACGTGATGGAGAGGTTGGAAAGCGGTCGTGGGCGATATCGGCTGGGAGTCGAGCAGCTCCGCTTCCCGAGTCAAGGACGGGTCCTTCTCAGCTGCTGCCAAGAACAGGAGCAGAGTTGCCTCCACTGGAATGAGTTTCGCATCAGGAAGCAGCGGCACGATCAGTGAGTGCAATCACTTCAAGACACCTGGGTCTTGCAACCCCACCTCCGTGACTCACGATTGCTCACCTCTCTTTTCGAGATCTCCGACAGAGCCTGAGGCAGCCGCCGCTACAAAGTCGTCTCTCATGAGTCTGTGCAGATTGCTACGAGCTGGCCTGTCAAGAGTCGTATGCCGTCTGATGGCGCGCGATAGATGTCGGTACAAATGTAGCCGAGCTCGGCTGTCCACGTCTAGAGCTGGCCCACTCTTGGTAGCATATCCACGACTTTTTGAAGGGCTCAGAGCACCTCCTGTCGCTTCCCGGACAGCTGATGTGGACGCGGAAAGCGATTGTCTGTTGCCGAACGCCTTGCCTTGCTGCGGCGTCTGTTTTGGTCGCAGTTGCCGTTTGGATAAGCGTTCTGACTGCTGTGTAAGCTGTTCATCCGGCACGTGCAACTTCCAAGGTTGCTCAGATAGTTCTTTGTATGATACCTTGTAACCATTTCCCTCTTTTCGACCTCTCGGTTTCGGCATGGCCTTCTCTTTTGATTCGTACAACTCTACGAAGGGAGTATAGAATCTAGCGCCTATGCTTTCGGGTATGGGGACATCGCCATCCATGAGCTGGCGCGCTGTCCTCTCCATCAAGATAGCCTCAGGTACTGGCGAAGCGTCCGCTGACATTCGTAGACAGGTGGATGAGACGCCGGCGGGCTGGCCGACGCTGAAAGAGACGATCTGCTGCCCAGCAGTGGGAGCAGTGGCCAGTGCCCAGGGAGGTGGCGGTGTATTGATAGACGCTCCGCCCTCCTTGACCACGTCCGATACTACTGTGTCACCCAAAGCAGAAGCAGCTCCTAATGCACTGAGTGTAGTCGCGGGTATTGTTCGATGGAATTGCCCCACGCTGACTGCTCGTGCCAGGCAGTCCACTTCCTCGCCCCGAACCTCAGTGGAGCCGGTCGTCCGGTAAGTTGCCCGCGGATGTAGGAGACACACCTTGGGGGCGGCCGAGCCGGGGAAGTAGAGCCCCGACAATGAGGAGTCGAGACTTGAAGCCGCCTTCCGCAACGCCTCGATTCTCTGCATCAGACCAAGATCCGCATCGAGAGAAGCTGGATGCGAGGTGAGTTGGTCGAAGTCGACGCTCATGTCACTTGCCCTGACGAAGATGACTGGAAGACCAGCATCTACGACGGATATTTCGACAGCTTCTGTGCCTAGCATGACTGTGTCCTTGGCCCTCGATGTGGGCAGGAGCGTGCCCTGAAGTTGAGTCTCGATGACAGTGGAAGCATGCTTGCCGGGTACACCTGCGATAGTAGCCTCGCCTACGGCATCAGCGAACCACCACTTGTTGTTATCGGGATGACGCGAAACAGCCACGGATGCCAACACTCGGTTTCCAGACTCGGCTTGTAGAATCCTCACGGGGCACATGAAGCGAGCCTGTGGATCTTGTGGGTCCACGCCCGCGGCCATGGCTCGCTCATTCACCACCGTCGTGTCTACAGTCCGAGTGTTGATGCTCTGTTGTGCTACCGCAGCGACAAGATTGCCGCATGTGCTTCCCCAGTCTATCTTTGTACCGTTGATAGGCACCTGACCGAACCTGTAGACTAGGTCCCAGCCAGTCACTGGGTGCGCGGCGCTGGTGGGTGTGTTGTCCTCCGACCAGGGCACACCTGGGAAGCGATTGCCAGCTGATCTGGCCACACTGACGCCTCCCCTACCAGGTGCGTTGATGATGGCTACCTTTGAGAGGGACGAGGCACCCCCTCCGAGACCATCGATCTGACGGCCATCGGGGTCCGGGGAGCCCATGGCGGCACAGATGATGGCATCGCGCGTCTCCTGTGTGAAGGGTGCGAGGCGAGAGGCAAGGAAGATGAGACCTTTGCTGGTGCCTCCTCTCCAAAGAGTGGCCCGTATGCCCCTCTGTAGAGCTTGCGACTGGCTCATCACAGTCGTAGCGTAGAGCCGGGCGAGTGTATGCGCTTGGCAGTGATGGTTGGAGCTGTGAGCCCTTCTTCCCGTCGGAAAGGCGGCAGGCAAAGGCGGCTCTGCGTCCTTGTGTGCGGGCCAAGCAGTGGAAATGCGCGGTGGGTCCGTCGTCCGTCGTGCGCCTGGCTGTCCGCTCCTCCGCCCCGAGACTGGCTGCCATTGGTCATCGCCCAGACGCCGACAGGAACATCCCATCGTACAGCTCCTCCAATCATCCCGTACTCGCCCCTTGCCGCTCCTCCTTCTTGCTCACGACGACGATGCTCGCTCAGTCAGTCTCGTTGGCCGCCAGGTCTGTGGCCCGTCCCGCCGCTCTGCGGGTCGCCTCGACTTCCCTTGCGCCCGCGGCCATGGCTGCCTCTACACGACTACTCTCCTCGTCGGCAAAGGCCGCTGTGGCCAAGCAGGGAGTTGCTGGAGACAAAGGTGGGTACAACATTTGCAATAGTCACAAAGATCTTTGCCGCTAACCTCTATCTACGCTGCTCTCTTTTGCTTGCCGCTTCTCAGTCAACTCCTTCTCTCCTTACCCCGAGTCGGCCGGTGCCAACCCTCTGGACTCGTATGGCGAGATCGCAGCCAGCCTGCACGACTATGGAGCTTACATCACCTCGTGTCTCCCCAAGTTCATCCAGCAATTCTCTGTAGTCAAGGACGAGCTCACACTCTACATCCATCCCTCGGCCGTTGTGCCAGTCCTGTCCTTCTTGCGAGACCACACACAAACCCAGTACAGGGCCCTCATGGACGTTTCAGGAGCCGACTACCCCACCCGATCCCAGCGATTTGAAGTCGTATACCATCTGCTGAGCGTCAAGTTCAACTCGCGCATTCGAGTGAAGACGTACGCCGATGAGGTCACACCCGTCCCTAGCGCTACTGGGTTGTTCCGGGCGGCCGATTGGTACGAGAGGGAGATCTGGGATCTGTATGGTGTGTTCTTCCTTGGTCACCCCGATTTGCGTAGGATCATGACCGACTATGGATTCGAGGGCCACCCTTTGCGAAAGGTGAGCAAGCGTCGAACATATAACACTTGCACGAATTCCTGATTCATAATCTGACCTCCTGCTTCGCGTCTTGTCTCCACAGGACTTCCCTCTCACTGGATACTCGGAGGTCAGGTGGAGCGAAGAGAAGAAGCGTGTCGTGACAGAACCGTTGCAATTGACTCAGGTGAGTAGGCAGTGCAGGTGGGAGACTCGAAAAAGAGGAAGCATCGATCTGACGTCCCTATGCTATCTCTTGTCCCCACCAGGCATTCCGAAACTTTGAATCGAACAGTCCGTGGGAGCAGGTGGGAGAGGGAGAGGTGAGGCGACCCAAGAACCTTACATTGACTCCTCCCAAGCCGAAGGAAGAGCCAAAGAAGTGAGCTCGCTCCTCGGGCCACTTTGTAGAGGATCTCAGAAGCAAATATATCAGTTTTCACAGCGCGTGACGCAGAGTTAGTATGCTCTTGTGATGAGATTGATAGTATGAGGAATGATACAGATACGGAATATTGAAGGTACAACACAATACAATGCCCACTATCGACGATTGACGATCCTGCGAGGAGAGCTACTAACTGCTCGAGAGAACGCTCAGGCAACGCTCACATCCTCTCCCATTTCCTTTAGCTCCAACACCTGCTCCACCTTTGCCTCTACCTGCTCCCACACCTCGTCTGCCGAGTCCCAATCGGCAGAAATCTCGAGTATGTTACCCCTGTTGCGGAAATGCTTCACGAGGGGTAGTACGGCAGAGGACCCCTTGTCCCAGTCTTGCGGGGAGGAGGAGTCGCCTGGCAAGGGTGGGGAGATATTAGGTCAATGAGCAGCTCCGCGCAGAAGTTAGGAGACTCGATGCGACTCACCTGCTCGCTCGGCGTACTTCTCCTTTGGAAGATCAAAGTACAGCACCACAAAGATGGGACACGTCTCCTTCTCGATCTTCTGCGCCTCCTCGAGCGTGGCTGGATACCCATCTAGGACCAGCAATGTCTCCTTTTCCCCATTCTTGTCCGCACGCTTCTGCACTTCCTTGTGCACCTGGTCCACACTGCTGACTCCACTGATCACCTCGAAGCCTTCGAAGCGTTTCGGGAGACGAGCTGCTTGCGTGGACTTGCCCGAGGAGCCCACACCGACGAGGCAGATGAGGGTCACCTGGTCAAGGCCATACGCTGGCTTTCCGCCTGCTCCTCGTGCTTGATTCCCACTCTTCTTCTCCCCTTGCTGAGCTCCTTCACAGTGAATCGTGTCTCTGAGTAATGGAAAGACGATCATCCCAAAGCCTAGACCGAGACCGAGGGAGATGGAGTACACGATGCTACACCATCCTCCTTTTGGCGGGGCGTGTGCATTGAATTTCAGCTTTGGGCGCCAAGCTCGTGAAGAGGTTCCAGAAGACGAAGAAGAGGAGGAAGAGGAAGATGCTGCAGAGGACTTTGAGGAGCTACGAGAGGGAGGTGGCTGGCGGGAAGAGCCGCCCGGCAGGTTTAGAGAAGCAGAAGAGGAGGACTTGACCACTCCGTGGCTCCGGATCACCGAGATCTTCGGAGGAGTCGATGCGGAGAAGCGCGTATGCGCCGCCTTTGCGCCGCCTGCACCTGCCCCTGTGCCAGCGCCTGAGCCTACACTGACAGGAGGTGTAGGAGGTCTGAAGACGGTCGTCGAGGAAGTCGAAGGTGTAGGGTACGAGGAGGAGTAGGAGTAAAAGGACGAGGACGAGGCAGGTACACTCCCCTCCCGCAGTGTCCTCACGCTGCTGCCCCCTGCCAGACGAGCGCTACTCCCAGCTACGCCTACGCTGGCGAAACGCGAACCTGATGCTCGAGCAAAGGACATCCTGAAGGACCTGCAAGAGATGGCAGAAGAGCAAATGGGGTGCGCCCTGAAGGTCAAAGATGGGACGAAGAACAAGACATGGTAGGACAAAGGTAGGGCTCCAGATGAGGCAAGCAAAAATTTCGGCCGTGCGGGGGAGGCAAGAGGCGACGCGGGGAAATCGACGTCATCGGCCAAAGGGGGTCGTGTGGCCCAGGAGTCCGCTCAGAAGGTCAGGCTGCAAGAGCGTGGGAACATGGGTATACATTGCAAGTTAGGTTCAACAACACCACAAGGGAGGGCCAAGCCAAGTGGAGAAGGCCATAGTCCTTTGCCGAGCTTGCTTGCCTTCACACATCCTTCTTGAGCTCTGCAGTCAAGTCCTGGCCCTCCGGTACCTCTTCCCGCTCCGCCTCTTCACTGCCTCGCCGGCTGACAGGAGCGCTAGCAGCCGTCAGAGGGACAGCAGGTGTGGAGGCACCATTCGTAGTAACACCTGAGGCCACGCCTGAGCCGTGCTGGGCGTCCAGAGCCGAACTGACTTCGCGCGCCGCGTCCAGCTCGCGTTGAAGCGCCTGTAGCTCCTTTTCGAACCGACGGCCCCACACTTCGACGTAGTACGACGCCTGAGGGAGCAAATGTGGGAGAATGTCAGCCAACGCTACTCTCTTATTGCCGAACTCGGGCCTTCCCGATGACTCACCCCGTTCCAGACGCTCATAGTCAATATGAAGATGCTGTAACACAGGTAGGAAGAGGGTGAACATCAGACACTGTGAGCATCGTATATCTCCACCTCGACGCCTTGCGTGCTCACAGAAAGACCGCTGAGGCTCTGGCAGAGCGATAGAACAGCAGGGGTGCTGGCAAAGTGCATACGATGCTATACGTGAGCTGCAGCGCCATGAAGGCGGGTTCTCGCAGCGGAGCAGGCACTTTTCCAAGGAGGTTGGCCACAGCGCCTTTGCCTTTGCTGAGTGTCGAGTAGGAGTTGATCCTCTCCCCCGATGCAATTTTCTTTCCTTTTCCAATTCCGATGAAGATGTAGTAGACCCACTGCCAGACAGCGTAGAAGACAAGATTGAAGAGAAAGGCAGTCCATCCGTTGAGTTTTGTGAGATTCTTCATGGCCGGATAGCGAGCTTCGGCGTAGTCGCGTGGCATGAAATGGCGGATCGTGGTGAACACGAAGGGCGGGTAGAGATGGATGAAGGTCGAGGTGACCTTCTCGATGGAGTGAAAGACGAGACTATTCCGCCAGGTCACTACGCTCCATGCCAGTGGCCCATGAGCTGCGCAGTAGACGACGGTGAAGAGGAAGGGCGAGTCGGGTACAATCCATAGATAGGTGAGGACGGCCACGTTCGCTGCGTAGCAGAAGTCGAACAGAAAGTAGTGCCACTTGAGCCGTGTATAGCTATAGATGCGCAGCGGCAGGAATAGTGAACACTGTAGAGTGTATACGAAGGGTACCCACTCCGGTCGGAAGGCGAAGATGAGGGAGCTAGCAACGAGATTCATGACCCCGATGAGGAAGGAGACCTTGTCTCGTAGCCGGACGGTCTTTGCATCCGTCCATCGCGTCTGGAGTCGATCGACTCGTTCAGACACCTACAATCGCCAAAAGAAGTAGCGGACATCGTCAATTTCGATTAAATAGACCACGCAACCACGGCAGCAGCTTCCACTCACTTTGCTGCGCAGCCGCTTCAGCTCTTTCTCCATGCTCTTGATCTCTTGTTTGCTCCTTGCTCGCTTGACCAAGTCCTCTCTTCTCAGCCTGGCCCGCACCTTCACATCGTTCACGTACGGTCGCACTCTGCGCTCTGCCCAATCCAGGCGCGGATTGACATAGGTCTCGAGAAGATCCGCTAGTGGCATCCCTGATGGGGCAGATAGTAGTAGGTCTGGCCCATCAAGAACCTCTGCGGAAGAGTAGGCAGAGCCATAGCTATTGGCGCGACTGAGTGTGGGCGGAGTGGGCCGATAAGACCCAGACGAGGAAGACTCCGGGCTCATGGCGGTCAGGGGGGCTATGAAAAGAGTATTGATGGCAGGATGGCAGGATGGATGTTGCACCAGATGCAGCCGCCGTGATGGTCGAGTGGAGAGGAGCTGCAGCCTTTGACTTCCCGCGCGTGTCGGGGCCACTTCCGTTGGGTGATGGTTGATGGTCCTGGTGATGGTCTCTACCCACTACAATACACCACACCAATCGCAAGCTTGGCTGCCAAAGGACGCTCGACGATGGCTTGATGAGACTATCAGAGTCTGCTCGCTTCCCTTTCCCTCACAGTGATGGCTTCTTCGTCGTCATCAGCTGCCTCCAGCAGCGTGGGCATCACTTATACCTCGACGGCCGACTTTGTAGACTCGCCCCTGTGCTCCCACTTTCTCGCCTCCCTGTCGTCCCAGCTACCGCTACGAAATGTTCCATATGCCAGCACCAGCGCTAGTGCGGGTAGTGCCAGCTCTATCACAAGTCTCAACGTACGGCTGGACCCGTTTGCAGACTACCTGCTCAAAGCCAAGCACAAGCCCGAGACCAGACACCTGGTCCAAGCCAATCTTCTGGAGAGGCCTTTCGTCCACCTCTTCATCGTAGCCACTACAGACAGCGATGCTTATCGGACGCACATACGGTCAGAGATCCGGTCCTGGCTCAATGCACTCAAAGATACACCCAGTCTGAGCGCCGTATCAAAGAGCAGCGCCGCAGAAGAAGGAGCTCATGCAGTCAAAGACAAAGATGAGGATGGGATGCCCGAGTACTTGATCGTCTATGTGACGCCGCCTGCTGGCTATATTCCCCCGATACCTGGGAGGTCAGCATCCCCGGGCTACTTTGGAGCCCCAGCGTCGACCGCCTCGCCGACAGGAACTCCAGGCACGCCGAAGAGTCCTGAGGTCGCCGCCCCGGCGCCCAAGACTGGCATGGGAAGGTTCCTAAGTTCGGCCAGTAGCACCTCGAGTAAAGATGCCACAGGAGGCGTACTAGACAAGTTGCGTACCGACTTCGGAGGTGGTAAGAAGGCAGACAGGTGTGTACCGACGTGTTGAGCTCCATCAGCCAACTTCCGAAACGATACTGAACGAGACGCTCTCCCGTTCAGGCTCATCCATATATCTCGGCTGCCGCCTCCCTCAGGCTCCGGCGGGCCTCCTGCCCAGTCCATCGACCCTACAATCTTCTCGGATTTGCTGACGTCTTTCAAGTCCTCCATCTCCGCTGTCCTTGCCGCGTCTGTGAGAGGGCAGCAAGAAGAGAGTGCCAAGCTCAAGTCACTGAGAAAGGTCCGCGGTTGGAACCCGGTGGGTGTCTTCGGCAAGCTCGAATGCCTGGGCAATACGTTCGAGAGCGTCGGTCTGTTTGACGAGGCCTTGTCCTGCTTCGAAGAACTTGACCTGCTCTACAAGGACTGTTTGCGGGAAGGAGAACTCACCTTCTTTCCCTCAATTACGCCAACCTCATTGAGTCAAGGTGAGGACTCACAATCGATTCTGCTACCGACCGCAAAGCCATATCGGGAGATGATTCTACACAACGGCGCTAGTCTCTGGGACCTCAAGATTTACCTACTCTCACGGCGGCTGACCCTACTCAGCAAGACTGGGCGAGGACTAGCCATCATGAAGGAGACCATTCACTGGATTGCCGAGGTTACTGTGTTGGTCAAGGACGAGGACCTTCCTCCCCACTGCCTCTCGGCTTTCATCTTCTCGGTCTGCCTCGATATTCTACATCACTGCATGCTGCTGTTTCTGTCGCCCTCGGGCGTCCTCGCAACACCCACTCCTCCTACCTCGATTGACGGGGCACTGACGTCCTCTCAAGACAAATTCGACCAATTGCCCGCGTCCTTCCATTCTGCAAGCTCAGATTTACTACTACTCGCTGTGCGGCAGCTGGAGAGAATGGGTACCAGATTCGGGTATCTCGCCCCGGTCCAGCCCTTCGTCGAAGGTGTTGAGCTTCATACTCTCTCCAAGACTCGAGAGATGACGGGCATCACAAAGCCAGAGCTGATAGCGGCTGTCGAGGACGAGGCTCACTTCGATGCATTCTATATCAAGACTGCAGAGCGCACATTACAGGGGCTCATCAAGGGGAATCGCGAAAGGCAACGAAGAGACTTGAGGGCTAGGCTTGTTGGGCTTCATATGTAAGTACTGATGTGACTCGACGTTTTGAAAAGGAAGCTGACCAGCTTCTTTTCTTTTGTATGATAGGCAACGCGGCAAGTTCGAGGAATCCCACCGCATGTATACCATTCTCCTCGAGGAGCACGCAGAACACAGTGGCAAGTGGAATAGTCTCGAGAGGATACTGCTTCAAAGGCAGCTCGAATGCCATTCCAAGCTCGACATGCCGAAGAGCAGACAGTGGGTTGCCGCTGTCGTCAGTCTCTTACGGTGTATGCCAGCCCATTCGATTCGCCCTGGAGAGGACCACACAGACAAGGCTATCGATACACCCGACCCGTGGAGCAGCGAGTCCGCCTTGTTCGAGATGCTAAGGGTAGCTTCCCTCTCCTTCGAAAAGGAGGTTCCGGTATCGGGATTTGCGAAGCTCTCTGTCATACCTGCAAAGCACAGAGCGCTCAAGCTAGATCGCCAGGATGGGGCTACTCTAGCTGTCGCCGTCTTCTCATCACTCCGATGCGAGCTTGCTGTCGAAGATGTCAGGCTATGCTTGAGCGGTGGCAAGTCGCACAGGGAGCAATTCTGGCTGACCAGCGGCAAGACCACAATTCGCCCTGGGCGCAACGAACTCATGCTTCGGACATTCTCGTATGCTCCTGGCCGCTACGTCCTCGATGTCAGTCAGATCCGTTTTGGCCGAATTGTCTATCAATATGTTGCGCCAAAGAACCTCGCTGCCAATGGCGCCATTTCAACCTCGTCCTCATCTTCGAGCGCGGCCGATCCAATGGTCCTCACGATTCCTCAAGACGGCCAGGCAATTGACGCATTGCTCGATCAGCCGAGAAGAATAGCTCTGGATCAACCGCGATGTGCAGACCTGATCATCAAGACCGGCAGAAACACCTTAGAGAAAGCAGTGATACGCTTGACTCACCTCGCAGACGGCAGGCCCTTCATGGGTTTTGGTGCCGGGGATATCTTGGAAGAGGATCCTGACATCGGCATTGAGTCGACCGAAGACGGTCTTGGCATCGAGCTCAAGAACATTAAAGCCGGACAAGTGTTGACGCTGCGCTTCCCTCTCGATGAGACGCCCCCGTCTGATGGCTCCGCAATGCCTCTTGTCGTCGACTTTGAGTATCTGAACCCACCGGTGAAGTCCGATGATCCAAAGCAGATCCAGCCAAAGCGGAGCTTCCGCAAACGTCTTGACCTTCACACTGCTTTGCCCCTTGGTGTTAATGTGCAAGACTTCTTCAAGCATGGGTCTCTCCTGAGCAAATTCTCCATTAGTACTGGCAGCGCTGGCACATTGAGGCTGAGGGAGGCTTCCTTGCGGCATGCAGACGAAGAGGAGAGAACAACTGAGGACGGCTACCAGATCATTGTACCCGGAGGAGTTCGACCGACTGTCATCACACCGAGACAACCGGCAGCATACGTCTTCAAGCTGAGACGTGCTCGGAGTCAGAAGAGTGGTCAACCGAAGGGGCCGCCAGCGACTGGCAACTTGAGGCTGAGGCTCACCTACCGAACCCTCCACGAGGATGCTCGAATGCTGATCCTACGCATCCTTCGAAGAGTCATCTCAGCTTCGAGCTCTACCCCTCTACCCCAAGGGACTCAGCCCCTCCTCGAACAAGCCATCACGAGTGTGCTGGACGATCGGATAGACATTCCAGTGTACGCACTCACTGGGGCAATCCGCCTCGTACAGCCTGCCGATGTCAAGATGTGGCACGGGTTCTGCGAGGGCTGGGGTCTTCTTCGTGCTTCTGTCACGACGAAGCAGGTGGTCAAGATTGTGCAGCAGACGCTCAAGGAGGCGACTCTCTGTGGGCCAGAGAACACGATGGCGGACGATGGCGACGAGGGTGTAGAAACAAATTGGCGTGTGCTGGAGATCCCAGTCGAGGTGCCGAAGATGGACATCGTCAATCGTGTCACGCTCAAGCTGGATCAGGCCCCCTCGTCGATGCCACATGTGGTAGGTAAGCCCATCGGGGTCACCATTTCCATCAAGAGCACTTTTACCTGGGGCGCTCGCCAAGTGAGTGACGGGGCGAGCACATCCGTGCAAGAGAGCGGAGCGCCAGTCTCCCCCTCTGCAAGTCTTGCCCCCGCAAGTCTGGGTGTAAAGGGCAAGGGTGCGCGTTCAGCCGCTGCCTCGTCCATAGGAGACTTCGAGACCGACGCAGGCTCCGTCTTCCAAGACGCTGCGTCGGATGTCACTGCTACTGGTGAAGGCAAGCCCAATGCCAATTCTTCTTCGATGAATGGAGCAGATCGCAAAGCCACGCAGCGGATGTGCTACGAGGTGCAAGCCGACTTTGAGAATTGGCTCGTCAGCGGAGATAAGCGATCAGTATGGGATGTGGAGCTCCCTACGAGTCGTGCTGGGCAGGACAAGGACAAGGAGGAGCAGCACTTCAGAGTTACCTTGGTCCCACTCAGGTCAGGCTCACTGACGATGCCGACCGTCGCCGTGTGGCCTCTGCCCACAGGTCCGCAGACAATCTCTTCGTCCTTTGCCCATCGTCTACCAGGTCAGCAGGAGGGTGGTGCGGAGGTGGACCGGGAGGCAAGTCGTCGCTTGCCTAGCTGCGAGACGTACGTTGGGAATGTGGCACAGAGGGTGGAAGTGTACCCTAGTATGGGCAGGGGAGGAGGGGAGACTTTCTGGGTACCCGAGGGGTGAGGAAGAGAGAGCTGAGCGGCAGAGCTTCGAACTCTTACTGGAATGGACATGAAATCATACAACCTGCCTATGCCTGTGCGTGTGACTGAATGCAATGTATATGAGAGGAGGCCCAGTCGCAATCTTTGGAAGTCTACATCTCCTGCTCAATTGTCTACCAGTCGCCCGACGATGTTGTACCTCTTGGTGTAGTAAGCGACCTGATGATGAGAAGAAGCATGGGCGTCAGTCTTCCCTCTCCTCTCCTCCACCTGTATTCCTCTGTTCACCATCCACTCACCCAGTCATCCAAGACCTTCAAGTGCTTCTCATCCAACTCGGAGTAGTCCGCAATTGCATCCTCTGGCTTCAAGCTACTCAATCCCAATCCTTTACTTCCATCTTTTCCAGCAAATATGTGGTATCCTTTTCCAGGGAGATACATTTCCCTCTTTGCAGAAACGTCAAAGATTTGACCCTTGATGCAGACATAGACGGGTTTGGAATCGTCGGATCCGTCGTATTGGGCGAGTTCGCTGGAGGTAAAGGGGTCGTCCTTTGGTGGATGGGTGGGAGAGGTGGTGGGTTGCATCATCTTGGGCGTGTGGTGACGTGTGGTGGATGGTGACGAGTACGGCGCAACGATGGACGATGATCGTCGCCCATCTTTGCTCATCGCCCGCCTGCCCGAGGCCGAGGCCGTGGAGCGTGGCTTGGTCTCGCTGGGGCCACCCAGGGCCAAGGCGCGTCTCTCAAAGTCGCTGCACGTCCTTCCTGTACTTCCGCGGTTGGCCCCTACCAGTACTGACAAGAGGATACCACCACTGCCATACTCACCTTGGGCGATCACATGGTAGAGGCTGCGTAGATCATCTCTCTCTCTCCTCCAGAAGGGACACGTCCTCAAGCGAAGCGAGGTGCAACCCAACCCAGCGCAGCCATGGCCCTGCGTTCACCACCAACCGCCTCACTCCTCTCAAGCCTGTCCGCCTCACTACTCGTCCCCCTCTCCCTCTCCCTCCTCGCCCTTCCCGCCCTCTTCCGACTGCACTGGCTCCCTCTTAATGTCATCCCTTCAAGTCATGCTCTGCTTCATTTTGATGAGACGTTACAAGGATTGCTGCCCACAATCGGCTTCGCGGTACTCACCTTCTTTGGCACACTTGTGGTAGTGGGCGCTTGTAGGGAGACCTTCCAGCAAAGGGGCTTCTCGGGGAGGGACTTGCTCAAGCCAGGATCGACGCACAAGGTGTGAGTGTAGACGTGAATGACAGAGGGCTAGCGTCTCAAGAGCGAGTCCAGTCAAGCTGACTTCCAGTCTCCTACCTTTTCCTCCTCCTCCAGCCCGGAATCGCAAGGCCTCCCAGCATGCTGCGTCTACCTCCTGGCACTCTTCTGCTTCATCCCTTTTCGATACTACCTAGGGTCAGAAGGCAAGGAACAGTCACCGCAGACGACAAGTGAGAATGGAGGCTGGTCGGGTGATATGACTGGACGTCAAGGGTTCCCGCATCACGAGGTCAGTAGAGGAGGGTGGAGGCAGTAATGAGGTAGCAATGCCGATGGAACTAATCTTACATTGCGTCAACCGCCTTTCGACCCCTCGCAGCTAGCAACGTACCTCTCTGCGCTGCTGTCCCTGCTCAGCTCACTCATCCTGGGCTTCTGCGACGACGTCTTCGATATCCGCTGGCGCTTCAAGATGCCTATCCCTATCATCTCCTCCATCCCCATGCTTCTAGTCTACTACGCCGGCCGGGGCGGTACAGGGCTCGTCGTACCCGGCTGGCCAGGTTGGTTGCGCACCGCCGTTGGCTCTCGCGTGGTGGATCTCGGTCTCTTCTACTACGTGTACATGGCTCTCCTGTCCGTCTTCTGTACACACTCCATCAATATCCTCGCGGGCATCAACGGAGTAGAGGTAGGCCAAGCACTGATCATCGCCTTTAGTCTATGTCTAAACGATGCGCTCTACCTACCCTTCACCTCTGCCCTCCTCTCCAAAGAGAAGACTGCCGACATCTACTGGCTCTCCTCTGTCAATCCCATCCAAAATGAGCTAGTAGGGCGACACCTCTTCTCCCTCAGTCTTATGCTGCCCCTAGTGGGGACCTGCGCAGGCCTACTAGCCTGGAATCGTCACCCCTCCCTCGTCTTCGTAGGCGATACCTTTTGCTATTTCGCAGGTCAAGCCCTAGCCTGCGCCGGTGTACTGGGACACTTTTCCAAGACCCTCCTACTGTTCTTCCTTCCGCAAGTGTTCAATTTCCTACTCAGCTGTCCACAACTCTTTGGATTCGTGCCATGTCCAAGACATCGTGTCCCTGGCGTGCACGCGGAGACGGGCGGGCTGTACCCCTCTGTTGCTGTCTTTTCCAGCAGGAAGAGGATAGGAACACTTGGGACAGGGATGCTGCTGATCCTCGAGGGACTGGGGTTGGTAAAGTTGTTCAGAGAGGGGGAAATGCGGAAAGTGGAAACGCGGTTAGCGTCAGAGGGCAAAGGGTTCCGTCAGGGAAAGGGACAGGGACAGGAGCAAGGGAAAGGGCAAGGGCAAGGCAGTCGTCGTATCGTGGGCACCACGAACCTCACTCTTCTCAACTCCCTCTTAGTGCTCAAAGGTGCTCGTACACCACTCGAGCACGTACTAAATGAGTTGCGCAAGAGCGAAGTCGCCACCTCTAGCACCAGCACCACCACCTCCTCCTCCTCCTCCCCCGGCGGCAGTCAAGTTGCTCTCCTGCCTATCCCTCCCCCCTCCTCCTCGGCCACTGGAAATGGTAGCGTGCACATCGACGAGCCCCGTCTCTGGCGATTGGCAATGGGTACTCAGCTAGCGGGGAGCGCGCTGGCGTTTGCGGTGCGGTATTGGGCTGCGGCAATTGTTTTTCCGGATCAATGAGGAGGAGTTCGAGAGAGGGAAGGGGGGAGGGGAGCAGGAGAGGGAGGGAAGAAGAGGGTGAGGGGCAAAACAGGGGGTATGGGCAGTCGCGGCGGTTGAACATACGAAGCTTCAATACGAACAGGGACAGATTGCGTGTGTGTGAAAATGTGTGTGCGTTCAATTGATTTGGATTGACTGAGTAGAGGAGTGGATGAAACCCTCGACGCGCTCGTGAGCGCTGCGGTGCAAGCAAGAGGGGGTTTGGAAGCAGAGAAAGACCTGGCATCGCATCGTATTCACCCCATGAGCAACTCCGCATCCTGTCATTGTCCCCCTTGCTCCTCATCGTCATAGTCCGCTCCTACTACCAACTCGGCTCGCCCCCTCTTGCTCTACTTTCTCTTCCCACCCTTCTTGACCACTTGCTGAAACCCATTCTGTCCCTTTGCAGAAGCAGCAGACGTTCCTCCAGTCATGGAAGAAGCATTCGTCGGACTGCGATTCCCCAAAGAAGATGTTCCTCCTGCTCCTCCTCCACCATTTCCATTGAGCGCTCCTCCGCCTGCCATCTTTCTTCCACCTGCTGTGCCAGTGCTACTTCCAGCACTGCCACCAGCACCAGCACCAGCACCAGCACCTACGTCTCCCCTAAATCCGGCATCCATCTTCCTCTTTGCTACAAAGTCATTTGCGACTCTGCGTCCATCGAGTGTAGAGCTATTGGCGTAGATGGAGTCGGCAATGATCTCTACTACGTCCTGCGATGGGTCCAAGGGGAAGGAGAGGAGCATCTCGATGAAGTCGTCCACTTTGACATTGAGACCCTTGAGCTGCTCGTGGCAGTAGCGGATGAATTCGGGAGAGGGAGCTGCGGGACTAGAATTGGAAGGGGAAGGGGCGGCAGCGGCATTCTTGCGAGTCGCGGGAGGCTTGGCGGGGATAGAAGAGGGAGTGCTGATGCCATTGGTGGATGAAGCGGGGGCGGTACCAGAGGCACCCCAAGCTCCAGCTACGCCGGGAATCTTGACCGAGCTGGCCGTCTTCTTGCCGGAAGCTCCAACGATTGTAGGACGTGCAGGAATAGAAGCTGGCGTAGGCGCAGCAGCGGTAGCGGTAGGCGCAGGCGTGCTAGCCTTGCCTCCAGCTCCAACTACGCTCCATCCGCTGGCAGCAGCAGCAGCGGCAGAGGTAGGTGCGGCAGTCTGGCGTGTAGCCGACTCCAGGTAAGCCTTTCGAGCAGCGGCATTCTGTGCCTGCTTGAGCTGCTGAGCGTTCTGAGCTCGCTTGCGCTCCTCTTCCTGAATCTCAGTGAGCGTCTTCTTGGGAGTACCTGCAGCTTTGCCAGCAGCCGTGTCGGTCCAAGCTGCAGGCTGCTGAGCAGCCGCGGCAGTGGAAGCAGCAGCGTCGGCCTTTGCAGTAGCCGAAGATGGAATGCTGGCCAGTCCCCAACTCATCGTCGAAGGCAGAGCGCTAGAGTCAGAGCCCGTATTGGCACTGTTTGCTCGACGTTGAGCGGCTGCTGCCCTCTCAGCGGCTCGCCGCGCCTCGGCTTGACGAGCCTCAGCTTCCTGAATCTCTCGCAAGCTCTTGGCAGCATTCTCTGACCCTTTGTCCTGATTTTGAGTAGATGCCTGCTGAGCCCAGGGAGCGGCTTTGGCAGGAGCAGGAGTACCACTGTTACCACTTTGCGCAGAACCTGAAAGGAAGCTGCTGAGGGGAGCTTCAGATCCGGCTTGAGCAGTGGCCGTACCTGCCTTTCGGAACTGGTCAGCTCCAACAACCCTGACGTTGCCGCCAGCGGCGCTGCGAATGGCAGCAGTAGAGCCAGTCTGGGGCGAGGGTGCAGCAGCGGACTTGCCGGCTCCTCGTGCCTGTTGGAAGTCATTGTCTTGCATCCCAACAGACTGGGTCATATCGGGCTCAGTGGCAAACTCGACGGCAGAGGGTGATTGAGGCCACTCATGCTCGGGAGCAGGATCTTCAGGTTGCGGGGTAGCTGGGCGCAGCGCAGGCGCAGGCGCAGGCGCTGCGACTGCTGGCTGCTCTTCTGGACTCTTGCTCTTGCTTTCAGGAACAGTGGCCTTGGTCTGTACCACGGGGCTTCGAGATCGAACAGGAGTGCCAATTGGTTGAACTTCACTAGCTGCAGCTCCGGCATCAGCACCAGTGCCCCATGGAGCCGTCTGCTGACTGTCAGCTGCACGCGCCTCTGTCGCATTCTCGGCTGGCTGAGCCCAGAGCGTTTGATTGCCTGCCCAAGGCTGCTGCTGCTGCTGTTGCTGCTGAGGTGCAGGTGACCAGCCGCCAACGAATGGGTCAATCGCGGGGAACTCGCCGAAGCTCAGTCCACGGGCACCACCAGCAGGGGCTGATTGCTGCATCTGTTGAGACTGCTGCTCGCGCTGGCGATGTTCTTCCATCTCCCTGTGTCTGATCATGGCAAGATATTCCTCTTGCTGCCGCAGCTTGGCATCAAATCCACCGTCACCACCTGCAGCACCACCGAGCGACCCAGCATAGGGCAAGAAGGGTGAGCTACCGAAAGCGCCACCGGCTGTGTCAAAGGGCGAAGAGATGTAACCTGGATGCTGCTGCTGCTGCTGCTGCTGGGGCGCTGCTGCTTGCCAAGATCCATCTCCATTCCAACCGTTGTTACTCTGCTGTGGTGACTTGTGTCCTAGAAAGGGCGACGATCCGCCAGCGTGCAGAGATGAAAGCAGCTCATTGACTTGCTGAGGACGAGGTGGCGATGGGCGACTCATTGAAGGAGGCGGGACCAAGAACGGCTGCGGGTTGTGCCCACCAGCGGCAATGACATCGATGAGGCGATGGAACTCCGGCTCCTCTTCTGCTCGAATCATGAGGTCGTCGTTGAAATAGCTTTGTTGATACCAGTCCTGCATCAGAGCTGCGGAGAACGGCCCTTGTACCTGGCCAGAAGGATCTCGATATAGCCAATTCTGAGTCTCCGCAGACCAAGGCGCAGTAGTGGCTGGTGGCTGTATTTGCTGTTGGGAAGGCGTGGAATTGGTGGCTGACTCCTGGCTAACCTTGAGAGCACCTAGAGCCGATGAAGCGTCCTCGACACGCACATCCTCCTTGGTCGCTGCCTCTTCCACCACTGGCTGCTCCCCATTCACACCGGTACCAGAGGCAGAGCTGGACGAAGGGCGCCATCCTTCCGATGCTGGGTGACTGGCCATTCGCTCGCGCTAGAAGGTCGGAGAGTGATGGCTGTCGGTCAGTGTCTGAACATGCAGGGTCTTAACGATCATCAAAGGTCCTACTCACCTTTCTCTCATACGCTGCAAATTTGCCAAAGCCTGCACTGCCGTCAGCAGGAGGCCCAATGGGACCTTCTCCTGGGGCCCTCTCACGTCTCCTCGCACTCGACCAAGATGCCGAGGCGGGGGTTCCAGCCGACCTCGACCCACCCTGATCCCCTGCTTCAGGCGGAGATGTCAGACCTTCCAAGCTTGGCTTCTCCTTGAACCCAGAAGAAGAGACTTCTCCTGGCTCAGAAGCGTCTGCTGAGGACGAGAGATTTCTGTTGCCCCCTCTTCTCTCCCATAACGTCTCCTCCTCGACTGGGGCAGAAGGTAGTGATGGCGCTGGCGGTGCCGCTGCTCCAGTTGTACCTGACGTAGAATGCTTGCGAGGCTCCCCACTGGCCAGCCTTACATCCCCACTTTCCTTGCGTCTACGCTCCGGAGGCACCACACCCGACAACACTCCGCCTTGAATTCCACTGAAACGTTCGCGAGGGAGGGTAGGTGAAGGAGCCGTCGCACCGCCAAAATGACCGCTGCTGTTTGCTCGCTGGAAGAGACCGGGACGATGTTGATCAGCCTCACGATCTCGAGACACCGATGTACCACGAGCATTGAGACCCCGTGGTGGTTCCGAAGCAGGCATTGCAGGAGACATCATTGCGTTTGCTTCGTGTGTACTGAGCGAGCGCCTTGAGTTCGAATCCCGTTCTCGTTCTCGCTCGGGGAACAGCTGAGGTGAAAAGGAGGCAAAATAGAGAGGGTCAGCCTCGAGGACTTTGACGAGTGCGAGCTCACCGGACACGTTTGCGACTACATGCGTCGTATCTTGACTTACCTTCCTTCTCCCTTGCGATCCACCACCAGTACCAGAGCTGGGAGCAGCAGTGCTGGCATCTCCTCCACCCGCGCCACCAGCCGCCTCACTAGTTGGGCTCAAAGCTCCTCTAGATCCTTCCTTTGACGAATACAAGCTCAGTAGCTGTTGATGGTGATGAAGTGCAGCAGCAGCCGCCGCACTACTACTGCCATTAGTAGCACTTGGCCCAGTCCCTCCAGGCGTAGAGGTACTACGATCAGCCCCAGCCCCACCGGCAGCGGCTGCCGCAAAAGAGAAGCTTCCAGGTGAAGGAGCTGCCGTGGGGGTACTGACTGGTGTGGGTACACCACCTGAAGAATGAGACTGCATTGCTCCCAAACCTGGTACGTGATTACGACGAGAGCTGAGAGAAGGAGCGGCGCCAGTAGTGGGTGTAGTAGCAGAGGGGGTCTGCTGTTGCTGCTGTTGCTGTCCACCATTGGACTGCTTTGATGCATTTGAAGGTCCCTTTCGCATCCATTCTGGTCCGAATTGAAGGGAAGAGGTAGTCATTGTATATGAGAGCGGTGGTGTTAAAGGCGAGTTGCAATGTTTGCAAGAAGTGAACGGAGCGGGATGAGCTTGGACGTGAGTCTAAAAAAGAAGGGCAAGGCTGCTGATGGCCAGTGGTACAGGACGATAATGCCGATGGTGATGTATTTGCGGTAGCGAAGAACGATGTGAACTTCCAGCTGATACTGATTGTGTGTCTTTTGAGAGGTTGAGCGATGCTACTTTGGCAAAGGGGAGGTGATCTTTGAGAAGCAGTGGGAAGAGATGATGAGAGGAAAAGAGGAAGATTCAAAAAAAGTCCATGCGTGGCCGCCCTCTTCAGCCGCTTGACTCTCCCTCGCCTCCCCCACCCGTCGCTGTCCACTTGTGCCTATGCACCTGCGAGATACCCACAGCGTATTGCTACTCACCTCTCACTGAAGTGCTTGTCTGCCAAAGATGTGCAGTGTGAAGCTCAATGGAGAATGATGACTTACCATCAGCTTGTCTCAGAGCAACCACGACGCGCGGCTAGAGCGGTCAGTACACGCCCATTGGCCAGAGCGCGGAGCAGGCAGCAGGAAGTGAGTGAGTGGCCTGCCCCACGAGCGCCAGTGCGTCCCCGTCTCGGCGCCAAAGGCATCGATCCAGACAGGTCAATCTTCTGGCACAGCCCGCTTCTCGTGCTCTACCCCTAGGCGAGCTGTTCGATCTGATCTGACCAAGGTGTAGTAGAGCAATCAAATTGCTACTCCGTTGGGCAGCTCAAGGACGAGACTGTGCAAGCAAATGCCGAGAATAGGGAGATACGCGACGAGCACACTACACGCATCAGAAAGGCAAAGACAAAGGCAAGGGCGGCGAGAAAATGATTCGGGATGAATTTCAGATTTGGTAACAAAGGTGGCTAGGGCGAGCCAGCTGCTGCGTCGAGTCGCCGAGCCTACAAATGGTGAAAGGGGTTGAGGGGTGGGGAAAAGAGGGCCTAGATGGCGTGATTGAGGACCCCTGGGGACAGAGGACGGAGAGGAGTGGGGATGGGAGGCCGAAGGCGTGTATCTGCTATCTGGTGAATAGAGGAGGGGATCTTGCATTTGCTGGTACTTGAAGGCGCAAGTGATAGTCGTATCAGTAGATTGACGTCCAAGCAATCGCAGTAGACGCCGACGCGTGGTAGCCTGCAGAGGAGTCTTCGGTGCACCACTCCCAACGCGTGTCGCCCACACTGTTCTACGATCCGCTACCGCCAGGCGTGCCCTCCTCGAGACCCTTGTGTGCAGCCAGCTCCGAGAGCACTGTCGGGTCCATGGGAATTGTCGATTTCCTTCTCACATGTGGGCTCTCCTTACCGCCGACAGCGTTCCTCGCCGTCTCTGGGAACCTCTTCATGTCGTCAATGGCATCTTGTTGGCTCCCACGCGAAGCGGCGCTCCCTGCCCCCGATTCGTCCATTGCGCCTCCTTCGGCATCGTCTGCCTCTTCGAAGGAGCCTACCGACATGTCCCCATTTGACTGCTCGGTAGCCAGCGCTCCTGCCTCTGGGTCCAGGAAATTGCCGCCAGCAGTGAGGTCGCCAAGGGAGTCCAAGGAGTCTGTATCGGACATCGTCTCGGCGCGAGGCGGAGCAGCTTCGTCCTCTAGCAACGTCTTGGGTGGGGCAGCTCCGATGATCTTGCTTTGTGCCAAGGCGCTCTCGCGTAGCCTCCTCCACGCCTCATCCCGATCACGAAGCTTTTGCCGATCTGTCTGCCGTTGCTGTTTGAAGTCATTTGTGCACACATCGAATAGACCCGGATTGATCTCCATGAACAGCTTCAAAGCATTGTAGATCAAACCGTGAATGGTCCTGTTCCAGTGTGCCTTGGAGTTCTGATATAGTGCCGGGAAGACAATGGGCAACACCACCTGGATGTTCTCGCCCATTAGATTCACAATATACTCATTGTTCCAGAAGTAAAGAGCACGCTCTGCTACCTGGAAGTGCTGAGAGTTGATGCATCGCTGCAGTTGCTGGAAGAGAGGCACCTCGATCTTGACAAATTCCGTAGGCTCAATGACGTCGAGGATTTCCTCCACCTCGTTCAGGAACATGACCTCCTTGGGAGAGTTTACCTTTGGCCAATACCGTAGCAGACCAAGCAGTACCTCTTCTGTGAGAGCAGAGTCTTTTTCGAGGAACTGGACTACGCAGTATGCGAGTTGCGGGTGGTAAAGGGCCAAGCTCTTGACCTTGTGGAGGGGGATGAGGACTCTTGTCAGGAACGTCTTGTGCTCTTCTTTGAGTGGCAGAGCAAATCCATTGATGATCGATCCGAGGATCTCAAGGAGCTCAGCAATACCATTGTGCCTTTCTGACTCGTAGATGAATTGGAAGAACACATTGTTCATGGAGCGACGGATGAATGCTCGCAGGTTAAGGAACTTGCCATAGATACGATGCAGAGTCGTCTTGAGGAAATCTCTTTCGCGAGGGTCTTCGCTGTCGAAAAGTTCTAGCAGTTGCAGAACAAAGTGCTGATCGATGTACTTCTTTGCCATGTTTGTGTTGAAGTCTGGGCTCTCTACGAACCTCAGGAAGAATTCATAGACAATCTGCAAATGCGGCCATGCCAGCTCCAGAACCGGCTCGTCCTCTTCAGGGTCAAAAGCGTCGCCCTGAGGGTTGACGGGGGGTGGTATCGATCGGAACAGGTTGGTAGCGAACATATTGACCACCTCGGGGTAGATCTGCTCGGTAATGACCCCTCGTTGACTTGTGATGTAGTCCAGCATCTCATGCAACGTCTGAGCCTTGATCTGCTTGCCCTTGAGATCGGAGCTAGCGTCGTTGAAGTCGAAGACGACACCACACTGCCTCAATTTCCTCACAAACAGCTCTGGTCGATCCGCCGGCACGACTTCGTTGAAGTTGGGAAGCTTTTCCAACTCGACTTTTTCTGTGACGTGGAAGCGAGAACTCCTTTGCTTCCTGGGCGGTGTCTTGGCATTGATGGGAATAGTGTCTTTGGGTCCTTGACGCAGTCGATTCAGTGAGCCCGCCTTGGGAGGGTTGGCGGTTTCTGTGGTAGTGAGACCAGGAGCAGTCTGCACGCCTATGCCACCCGCACCCATGGTTTGAGGCTGAGCATGCAGACCACCAGCAGCGGCAATGTTGGCGCTGGCTGGCGGAAGTGAAGTGGAAGGCGAGCCTTGCGAGGCATCGTGAGAGATCGTGTCCGAGACGAATACCACGGGCGGTGCTGGGGAAGTCTTGTCGGCCAATGGTTGAGCACCTCTTCTTTCTGGAGTGCTGTTTGTCCCACTGCCCGCTGCCGTGGCGCTACTCCTATTGGGCTGTGCACTGGTTCCACTGCTGCCTGCCAGTGATGTGCTAGATGATGCTGGGGAAGAGGCGTTGCCTCCTGATGAAGACTTGAGTGAGCCGGAAAAGGCCGGATTCGAGGGGACCGAGCCCCCCTTTGACGAAGCTGGTCCGCTACCCGACTTGCCGTTCGTATCGCTCGACTTCGACCGAGACAGGTTCTGCAAGGGGTGTGAGAAAGCGACGTGGGGTAGAGGTCAGCGACGAGTCTCTTCGATCGGCGCACCTAACATCAGCTGGCACTGGAGCTGGTCTTGAGAAGAGGCACGTCCCGTGACCATGCCGCCTCCTTCTTCTCCTTCTGTCATGACCCGTCCCTGGTCCCTGATACGACATCGACGGGCTTCTCCCTGACCATTGACCACGATGCCCATCTGATTGACCACTCACCATTGCCTTTTTAAGGCCCTTCATGATGACTGCGTGTCTGGGTAGCCTCCCTTGCGAATACGATAGTAGAGGAAGAGGGAGGGTATGAAAGCTGGCCCAGCGATAGCTTTGAGGGCTATCGAGTCTAGGGGACGTGGGCAGTCAGACAAGAAGGCTGGACTCTCTGCGTCTGAGTAGGGTCCGATGCGACGAGGGACTGCAGAACAGATGAACCTCGGAGCGGGAGGGGTGACTATGCAGAGATGTTCTGCCTGTGCGGCGTATAAAGGGGGCGCGTTGCTGACAACGATGTCAGCTCTTCAAAAAGAGAGGGGGACGCGCTTGGCCGATGTGCGAGGTGCGCTGGGTGATGGTATCCGTGGGAAGGTTGAAGAGGAGTTGAGGAATACCGTGGGGCGCGTGGTGGTGGAGCTCTGAGTCAGCGCTGTAGGAAAAGGAGAAGGGGGAGGGGGGGGAAGACAGGGTCGTGTGCGAGGGAGTGTGTGGGATCTGTTGACGTTGACGTATGAGTGATTGAATGACCCTGACGTGGTTGGTAGGACCGTGGAGTGAAGGTAGGATGTGAGGGCACACGGGTCAGAGGGAGGGGCGATGGTGGGGAGGAGGTGTTGTGCGGGCGAGGAGTGATTGGCGTGGGTGGCTCTGGTGGCTGGCCTGCTGCCCGGTGCCTCGGCTACGCCTTGCCTCCGCCCACCACCCAGGCCTGGCCGTGGCGCGCCGGGCGGGGCGGAGCAGAGGGCCACGGGTGCTGGCAGGAAGGACAAGCAACCAATGCACACTCTCACACACACAGAGCAGCCAGGCAGGCAGGCAGGCAGGTCATAGCATGGCCATCGGCGTACGTGCCTCTTGCGGGAATGCTGGCGCGTACCGCAGAATGAGAACAAGAGGACAGTGCAGCGCAGTCACTCGAGGTCATCAGGGGATCTCGCCTTGCACGTCGTCCGTCCAGCTGGCGGTCCCGCGGCGCCTCTTGTCCCTTTGGTAGCCGCCCGCGTGTGTAGTGTCTGCGCCTCGGAACCGCGACGGAAGCAGGCAGGCAGCGCCCCTCTTTGCTGTTTGTTGCAGCGGGGGGGGGGGAGCCACACACCCAAGTCGACTCCAGCCAGCATATATTCCAACCAACACCCCAACCCATCTCTTGTCTTACATCGCACTGCCAGAAGAGTCAGAGCGTGTACCAGCAGGATGACCCTTTCCATCTGGGTCCCCGTAGGCTACATTGGCGCCCTCGTCCTCTCCCTCTCCCTCTTCTCCTCGGTGTATCGAAAGCGCTCTGCCCGCAACGCCGCCAAGGGGTCCGAGGAACCATGGCACCCAGAGGGACATCCTGAGCGAGACGTGTATCAGAGTCTCATCGCCGCTTCCACTTCGGGAGTAGAGCTGCCAGATCACCTTCTCAAGGCTGCTTTGCTCAACAGAGCCATGACGGATGTGAAGCGCATCATTCAGATGAGAGACGACAAGCAGGCTCTCGCCGTGCTCCTCCAAAAGGGCAGCGTGGGGGATGCCACAATGACCAGATTCGCCCTCGCAGAAAAGGAGCTAGAGGCAGAGATCCTCGATGTAGTCAGTGAAGCCAATACTTTCAGGGAAGGATGGGGCCAGCTCATCTTCCCTACTGCATCGGAAATGGTCACACACAAGAAGCACAAGGAAGCCTACTACTCGATTCCCGAGGAGAGGAACAAGCAGATTGCGTTACTCAAAGCACAGAACAAGCCTATTCCGAAACCAACCATCGAACTGCCCCCATTGTTTACACCGCCAGGGACACAGGTGAAAGTGCATGCACAACAGCCACCACAGGGACAGGGACAAGGTCCTCCAGGAGCAGTAGGACCGGCAGGGGTACCTCTCCCCCCAGGCATGTCGCCTGCTCAAATGCAGCAGATCATTCAAGCGCAGAGGGCCGCCAGGAGTCAACAATTGGGTCAAGCACCACCAGGGCAAGGGAACGCTGCAGCTGCTGTAGGGCCTCAACCCCATGGTCCACCACGGCCGCCTACTGGACCTGCTGCTGAAAAGACGAATGGAGGAATGTCGACTCCGCCCGTGGTAAAGTCGGGAGAGGGAGACGCAACAGGTACACCAGCGGCGACAGCGACAATAGCAACAGCAAGCGCTCCACCCCTCACACCTTCATCAAAGGGCAACAGTAACAGTACCACTAACGGCTCTGCTACTGCTCCTTCAACTCCAGCAGCAGGAGAAGACTCAACAGCAGCCATCGGCTCAGAGTCTTTTGACTCGACGCTGGACGACGATGATGATGATGACGAGGGTGGTGATTCGGGAGAAGAGGGTTCAGCGCCTGCAGGTACGGCTAGTCCGGGCGGAGGCGGAGGAGGAGGAGGAGGAGCCAATCGGGCCCAGAGGCGGCAGAATAAGAAGAAGCAAAAGAAGGGTGGGAAAAAGTGAGCAAGCCACAGGCACGGTAGAGATGCGGACGGGCAGGGGTGGATGTTTGAAAGTGGATAGGGGTTAGAGAAAGAGATGATTCAGCCAGGCAGAGCTGAAGTGGAATGAAGTCACAGGTCAGGAAGAGGCAATCCTGCCAGCTTTCTGTTACCTCCTCGCACTAGCATGTCTCTCTCTCTCTCTCCTTACTCTCCTCCTGTAACCCCACCCCCTCCCCTTCCTCATGAACCTTTCTCCTTCTGCATCCTCCCACACCCCAAACTCACAAAATTTCATACATTTTCACTTTCAGTCCATTGCAAAAGTTCTTCTTCTTCTTCTTCGATGATCACTTCCATTTCCACTTCATTAGCAACTCACCCCCCATCCCTCCTCATATCGTCTGATCTGAGCGAAAGTGCGAGAGAAAATGACGGAGTAGACGCGACTGGACGCAGACTAGACTAGATTAGACTAGACGCGACTGGACGCAGACGCAGACGCAGACGCAGACGCAGAACCAAGAAGCGCAAAGAGGCCAAGGAGCGGTAAGCAGTCTACTTTTGGTACGATACATTGGACAAAAGGGACGTGTGGGTGAGGTGACATGGCGTAGGCCGGGCAAGACGGACAAGTGGATTAGGGAGAGCACGAAACGGCTCTTTTTAATGTAGAGCAGGAGAGCATCTTCAATGAGCAACGGCGGCTCCAGGTGGACCTCCAGCACCATTGGGCACAGCAGAAGGAGCTCCTGCCATGAGCCTCTGTCCTGCCGCTAGGCCTCCCGCACCATTGCCCACCCCTGCACCGCCACCCCCAGTCGGCCCACCCGCCTTTGCTTCCTCCTCGAGTAAATCGCACAATGCGCTGACCACCGCGTCTACCTGATCCTGGTTGATTCCGCCCACCCCGCCGGCAATCAAGCGACGGTAGGCTGCCATTGTCTTTCCTGTTCCTTGCTCCCTGGCTGTACTGATGAACTTTTCTAGGAGCTCTCCCCGCTCCTGCTTGAGCTTGGCAACCTCTTCGCGCAACTTTTCCAGATCTGCATCCACGTCCGAGGAAGAAGTTGGTGCAAGGAGCGTCTTGGATAGCGAAGTGGAACTGTCATTCGCGTCGCTCGTCTCGAGGAGCTCCCCTTCGGATAGTCCAGCATCACGGCGAGCGCGCTTGACACCGTCCTGGACAATCTTCCAATCTGCTTCCATTTCCTCGCGTGAGCGCTTCTGCAGACCCACTCGCAGAGCACGCTCCACGTCGTCCTGCGCTCGCTGCTCGGCTTCCGAGGCGGCGGCTTGCGCAATGAGTCCGTCGTACGTCTTTGTGCCTTCGGCAATCTCGCCCTGGATCTGCAGGAGCAGACCCTGCGCTTGTGAGAGACGCTTCTCTACTGTAGACACCTCGGAGTCATAGCTGTCTGCGAGAGAATGCAGCAGATTAGTCATGAGAGCTACAGCTCGCCCACCTGCGCGCTGGCCTGCTTCGCTGGTGTGGAGCGTTGAGGAAGAGGCCAGAGCTGGTGTACCGTCTGCACCTCGAGTCGGGCTCGCTCTAAACCTCTCATCTTCGACGATGTAGTCTTCTGCATTCTTGTTCTCCTTGTTACGGATCTTGGGGTCGGCGCCGTGCTCTAGTAGCAGGCGAGTCAGACGCTTAGACCGAGCTCGAGCTGCCATTGTCAAAGGCGTCTCACCTTCGTCGTCACGGAAGTTGAGGATGTCAGCCAGTTGCGAGCCATACTCTGCCAGTCGATTGATCATAGTTTCCATGTAGTACCTGGCGGCATTCGCCTTGTTCCGGCTCAGCGCCAGATCAACGACGTGATGGAAGACGGTCCTGTCGTTGCGGTCGATATTCAGGATACTGCGATGCAGCAGCTCAAAGAGCTCAGGGAACTTGCGCAGGTCGTAGTTGTTGGAGAACATGGCCGCCCGCATCAGAGCGGTCTGACCGTTTGCATTGACGCGGAAGACGTCTGCTCCTGCAGAGAGAAGAAGCTTCACGACTCGGACCCTGCCCATCGCACAAGCCCAATGCAAGGCAGTGTGCTCATCGTCGTCAATACTCATATTAGCGTCAAAGTCCGCTGGTGGGTTGATGAGCAGCGAGGGTACTGTAGTGCTCTCGGAGATGAAGTAGTCCAGAATTAGTTCGGAATACCTTGCAGCCGAGTCTTGTCCATTCTGATCGTAAATTTCGACTCCATAGGCGTCCGTGTAACCATTGAGGCCTCTGTCATCAAAGACATCTGGCACCTGACCGCGTTCGCGTGTGATGATGGGGCTAGGGGTGCGGGAAGAGCTACTGACGTCGGAGAGGGCAGGGCTTATGCTACGCTCGGTCCCATCTCCCATGCCTGATCCAAGGGAGCCTGAGTCTATGCTAGTCCCACGTCGAGCCCGCTCTAGAACCGGGTTGGGCTTTTTGCTTCTGCTCGAGGCGGCTACGATGTGCTTCGGCGCGGGTGGAGGTGACTCGGCAGAGGGAACGTATGAAGTCAGAGGGTCGAAGAGGTTGGACATGTTGTAGTTCCTGGCCAGCTCAATAGCAGCCGGGAGCGGGATCCATGTACCTGAGAAAGACAGTAAGGAAGTTGCTTTCAACATCCATTGCTGCTGATGTCTGCTGCTAAAGCTCGTCCCGCCTACTCACCTTGGTACTTTCCGTAGCCTCCCTGCACCTTCTCATGGTCTCCCTTTTGGACATCTCGTTCCAGAACGCGTGTCCTCTGAGGCTTGTCCAGTCCGACGACCTTGAGAATGTGTGTAGCATTGATCCATCCATCTGCCCTCCTTCTCATCACCGCGACCTGTGGGTGTGGCCAAAGTAGGAGGAATGACGTGGTGATAAAGCAGTGCAGGCGAGGGACTGAGTTAGTATCAGAGGGTAGGGCTGTGATAGTGGAGCAAGGTCAGTGCGTGTCCTACTCACACCCTTGATGATGCATTCGTATACTGGCACACCACTATAGGTAGCCTATGGGAAGAGGATGTGAGGGACACGAGGTGCGGCGCGCGGGTCAGTACGAGGGGGGAAAGATACGCCGGAGTGGAGCTGATGCAGGAAGACTCACCTTGAAGATCATGCCTTCCTTCTTTGCGGCAGCCATGGCTGTCTATGGTCTGAGCCAGCTAGGGCTATGTAGCTATCGTGTTAGTGGAGAGGTGCACCACGGCGGCAGTGATGAGCAGCAAGGAGTGTAGTGCGAAGAGTGCAGACTGAGGCGACGTGAAGGATGTGGGGGGGATGACTTGGTAGCAGGTGGGTGAGCGGGGCCCAGTCAGTCAGTCAGTCCCTGCGTGGAGCGTGTGAGTGAGAGCAACGCGCAAAAGCCAAATGGACGTCGCCTCGCGTCGGCTGAGCCTCAATCTTCCACGCCTGCTCGCCTTCCGATCCGACTTACCCCACTCCAACCTACAGAGATATACACAAGCTCACAGCCCGCTGTTGTACTCTATACCACTTGCGCTGCAGTGATTCCCCCCACCTCTCTTGTCTTCGCCTGGTTGATGACACCGAGGTAACATTACCATCCAGCGTCCCGCTCCAATGTCCACTTCGGCAAGCTCGACGCTCGAGCGGCAGAATGACGATGTCCTCGAGGGGCTCCTAGGCAAGGTCAAGCAATTGGTAAGTCACTGCTCAGCTCGTGTGGGAGAGGTCAGAGCTGCGATTGAGGAGAGGTCAAGAGCTCATAGCCTCTTCTCATACTCCCTACTATGCCACGCATAGCGAGGCGTTACCACGGACATCTACGACGATGCGGAAGCCCAGCGTGGCATCTTAGACAATACCGTGAGTCACGCCTTTTCTCCCGTCCTCCTCCCCTCAAAGAGTGTCCAAGGCCTAGTACTGACAGGAACAGCTTCCTTGAACACGTCTCACAACTCTCCCTCTGCAAAGTCACACCTCTTCGACGTCTTCGGCAACCGTCTGCGAGCAACTTCGAATCGCTTCTCACATACCATCGTCCAAGGCTCAAGACACAATCGCCTCACACTGTACATCGTCGGAGGATTCGTCGCACTCTTCATCCTCTACCGGCTCCTCTTCTAATGAGCTCAGACGCAGCTCGCAGACCGAATCGGTCGTGGGGCCGATAGTCGGATGCGGAGATGGACGGAAATGTACTAATAGGAGCATCCGTGGCATTGCGAAATGGTATATACACTAGTAATGAAGCGGCACTTTAAAGGGGAGGAGATGAACCTCCCATTGGGCTGTCTACGAGGTTGCGGCTGCGGCCGCTGCCGCTGCTGCCGCCAAAGCCTCCATGTCCAAGACTCTCAACTCCTCCTCTCTCATCCTCCTCCAATTCTCAAGCCAGCCCATGACCCTTTTGCTCCCTTCGGCTCCATCAATGTCCCTCATCACTTTGCCCCATACGGCATATCCGTCCAGCATGCCCTGGATGCACGATGCGAGCTGGTGCGTGGGCGAGAGGTTCAAAGAGGCAAGAAAGGTCAGGACATCGGGGGGAGGCGTTGGACCTGCCTCGCTATTGAAGCTAGTGCCATCCACTCCTGTTACGCCTTGCGATGGATCGGTCGAAGAGGGAGATCGAAGAGAGGCTGCGCCGAATGAGCTCGAGGCAAGTCCGGGCAGTCCCTTGGCGGGGTAGGGGGTGGAAGATGCGGGAGTATTACGACCAAGAGGGTTACCGCTGCTGCTAGGCTCCCGCGAGAGAGGCGCTCCCGGCCGAGGTGGCAGGTGACCTGGCCTGGGAGGTAGGCCATGAGGGAGCCTAGAGTTCCCTGACTGCGTAGCGTAAGGACTGCTGGAATGGGATGAAGTGATTCCCGGTCTGCCAAAGCTCGACGTGGAAGCTGTTGCAGCATTCTTCGCCGCACTGCTTGCTTCTGGTGTCGACTCGTCCAGCTTAACCTTCTTGGCCGAATGCTCTTCCTCCATCTCCTTGCGCTTGACTTCTTCCGCCCACAATTTCCTTCTCTCTTCCATCCGCTTGACGCTGGCCAGCATCTTCTCTCTGCTGGTCTCATGCAGGACCAAGGCGAGGTAGAGAGCTGAGAGGGCCAGTACGTATGGAGGATACAGAAGGTGGAGCGGAGAATGCCGATACGTGTCGTTGAGCAAGAACCTGCAGATATTAAGGTATGTCGTCGCAGATCAGCTCCTTGTCCCGCTTCTTGGTTCAACACCGCGACAGACTCACCATGCCATCTGAACCACACCATCGTCGATCTCCTCTGCTCTTGCAACCGGCAGACCATAATCGCCAGCAGTCATTGCCTTTCTTGCCGCTGCCTCCTCTGCTTTTGCTCTGTCCTGCTCCTCTGAGACACCTCCTTTTCCCACGTCAGCCTGGCTTAGCGAGGCCATGTCAAAGTTCGGTTGACCAAGTTTGCTAGAGCCTACGCCTAAAGCTTCAGCTTGCGCTCCTAGTCCAGCTTGTCCCCGAGAGCCCAGTGTTGCGCCTCCCTTTGCCGCCTTGGTCTTCGCCTCTGCCTCCGACTTCTCTAGCGCAGTCTTACCCGCTGCACCGACAATGGCCATCAAGGGCCGGTAAGGGTGATGCAGTATCAGATGATAATCTAGGTCTCGCAGGAGGTAGAACTCCATCTCTGCCAACCCTGTGGCGGAAGTGGGGAAGGATGAGTGGCCGTACTCTGTCCAGGCGCGGGCAGCCTCAACGATGACGCTTCTGACGTGAAGAGGCGTCTCTTCAACCTTGGAGGCCACGTAGAGACAGGCAGTCGCTACCATGCACGGGTCCGTGTTGCAGTAGGCGTTAGGAGGGACAGAGTAGAAGCGATGGAAGAAGACTGTGGCTGTCGCTGTGACTCTTTGGCGTAGTCCGAATCGCTTGGCTAGTTGAGAGATCGCTGATTGAACGAGAGCAAGACCGGCAGCGTGAGTCTGTAGTGCTTCTCTGAATGATTCTCCACAGACGAGCTATACTCACCATTGGCCATCCATATGGTGACTGCTGCCACCCGCTCCTCGCTGCCGGCATACCGGATATCCTCGAGGCGCGAGAGCTTGAGCTCGTATGGGCTCAGTAGCCAGTGGTTCCTGCCGGAGATGACGATGGCATCGTCAGACGTGCGCCCGTCTGAGCCAGGTTCCCACATCCTCCATACTCACGCCTGCGATGACCTCCAATAGTCTGCGGCCATCGTCTCTCCTCTTGGTCGACGTCGCTGGTGGGGGTGTTGGGAGGAGGTGTCTTGTGCATCTCGGCGTCTGTGCTCATGTCCGCCTTTCCGTCTGAGCCGGGCGCATTCCACTTCCGTCTGCGAACGAGATTCCTGGGTGCACCACCCTGCTTCCCGTACAACGAACCACACCGCAAATAGAGTCTGTAAGCGTCCCTCAGCCTGTCGGCGGTCATGTCATCGTCTCAAGGAGGCCCGTCCGGGTCCACCAAGATCTCCTTTGGCTTCAAGAAGACTTCCCTGCCCGCTCAGACGAGTGTAGCGAATCCCCTCCTCGCTTCCAAGCCGAAGCCGCCCGCCTTCTCCTCCCTAGAAGACGAGGAGGACGATGACCAAGGCAACGCTGCAGCGTCATCTTCCTCTGTCAGCAGCGCCTTCTCCCAGCCAAAGAAGAAGTCCAACAACGCTCCAACAGGACTAGCCCACTCAGCTCCCGCCTCCAAGGTCTCGCGGCAAAAGGCAGCGCAAGCCGAGCAGCTCGACTCCTCGGTGTACGACTACGACAACGTCTTCGACTCTCTCAAATCCGTGCAACGCTCCCAAGCCGAGGCACGGCAGGCAGAGCGGGCTAAGCGAGACCCGAAGTATATCGAGGGGATGCTGGACAGTGTCAAGGAGAGGAACAAGCTGCTGTTGAGGGCGCAGGCAAAGAAGATTCAGAGGGAGAGGGAGGCAGAGGGTGAAGAATTTCAGGAGGGGGAGGAGTTTGTCACGGATGCGTATAGGGAGCAACAGGAGGAGCTGAGGAAGGTGGAAGAGGCTGAAAAGGCCGAGGAGGGTGAGTAAGCAGCGTCAGGGCCCCTAAAGTGGCGGCAATGTCTGACACGTTGACCCCCTCCCGCACTTTGATCTGCAGAGAAGCAAGCAAAGAACAAGAAGGGACTTTCCTCCTTTTACAAGGACATGATGGCCTCAAAGGAAGCCGAACACGAAGCAGCCGTGGCAGCAGCAGCGGCAGCGGCAGAAGCTGCTGCCCGGACATCTACATCCGAGGCTCCCGGTTCGATGCAAGGCGGTCAAGCTGCGAATACCGATGCCCCCTCTGGGAGTCTGAGCGAGCAAGACCGACAAGCACGTCTGGCCAAGGAGGCGAGCAAGAGAGGTCTCAATGCCCAGCTCAACGACGAAGGAGAGCTCGTAGATCAACGCAGCGTCCTCTCTGCGGGCCTCAACGTCCTCGGCCGCGACAAGAAGGGCTCCTCTCGGGATGATGCCCAGTCCTCTTCATCGTCCCTTCACTCTCGGCACTACTCGTCCTCCAATGGCCGGGGTTCAGCAAGAGACGGAGCGGCCGAAGCGCGCCGCCTCCGGGAAGAAGCACGAGAGCGGGCCAGTCGACAAGTCGAGGAACAGATCCTCGAGGTGGAAGCGCAGAGGGAGGAGGAGAGGGCCAAGGAGGAAGAGCAACGCAAGAGGAGCTTAATTGGGGAGAGGAGAAATGATGAGAGTAAGATTGCGGAGGCGAAGAAGAGGATGGAGGAGAGGAGGTTGAAGAAGAGGAAGTTGGAGGAGGAGGAGATGGGGACGTAAGTAGCGACAAATGAGTGGTCGGCCGGTACTGTGTGGCGGACGGCATACATTGATTAAAGTAGAGATTGCTTCTATATTGTTGTAAATTTGGTTTCCTAGGAGCATTGTTGTTAAAGCACCTCCATCAAAGCATTTTTTTCCTTGGACCTCCATCAATTCCGCACCCCCCTGCCCTGCCTCTGATGATCCGCCTCTGCATACCTCAATACAAAGTTGACAATGGTAGCCGAGAGGAGTGCCGCGCACAAGATGGAAGGTCCGAGTGCATCAAAGTAGACGTTTGAGCTCTCCTTTGCCCTAATCTTCAGAGCGCGCCACATGTACAGTACACCAGAATAGGCAATGCAGCAGAGGGCCACGATTGTGAAAAAGGAGGCGGCGACGAGACCGGACCTGTCCCCTGGAGTGCTAAAGTTGAGAAGACCGACAGCGAGTGCGGAGAGGAAGACGGAGAACTCGAGCCACTTGAGGAAAGTACGCTCATTGGCAAAGTAGACCTTGGGCTCTACGCGGACGGGAATGGAGATCTTGGTCCCTACAGGAGCCCTGAAGGTAGATACGTACTCGACGTTGGCAGGAGGTCCCGATCCAGAGCCACGAGGCTCTTCTTCATCACGACCTTCCAGAGCACGGCGGGCGCGCTCGTCTTCCTCCTCCTCGGCAGTCTGCTCGGGCTCGTCTCGCGAGTAGCGACCCCGGAAGATGTTCTTGAGGTTCGCTGGAGCCAGCTTGGAGAAGTAGGTCTTGTCGAATGCGGTAGATGTTGACAAGATCTGGTCCCTGCCGACGGGCTTGTTGCCAGCATCTCGCTCCCGCTTTTGACGCTCAGTGAGTTGAGCAGCTCCAGCGATGCCAGACTGTCCAGACGCCAAGAGACTGGTGGCAGCATTGATGGTGTTGTCCGTCTTTCCATCTGACTCACGCTGCTTGGCAAGCTCTGCCTGGCGCTTGCGGATGTTAGCCTCTCGCTGTTCGCGAACCTCACGGATCTGGGGATCATGAGGCGTGAAACCCAGATTCATCGCTGGGTGAGCGTCGTCCGCCACGCCATGCTCGCGCTCATCGTCGTCTGCTCCGTCGAATTCGTCTTCTGAGACGGGCTCGTGGTATGGAGCTTCAGACTCTGAGCCCCGAGTGCCAGGAGTGCCAGGGCGCGAGGAGTCCGAAGCATATGCCGATACAGGTCGCCCGATCTGCAGATTGCGCGTGGGCTCTTTGCGGATATCGATGTCCATCTGAGGCAACCAGAAGGGGACCAGGTCGACTCGGTTGGCAAGCAGGGTAGCGCAGCCGTGGATGAACTTGGAGAACTTGGGCACCGCCTCGACGAGATGACTAGCAACGAGCTCCCTCACCCACTCCGGCGGTTCCTGTCCCATTTGCGTCTGCAGCTTCACCTCCAAGACACCGTATGGGAACCTCTCAATGTCCTCCTTCGGCAATTGGTCAAAGGGAAAGTCGATGCCAATGTCCATCCGACGCCAATTATCGCCGGCCCGAGCTCGGTTGTCCCAGTTGTCCTCACGCACCAGAGATAGCTCGGTGTCAAGGGAGATGCGCACTCGAGCATCACCGGGCAGCTGGAACGCAGTACGGTTGTAGAACGACCGCATCACCGGCTGCAACTGCTGAGTCTGCACGCTGTACTGGACCTCATTGGCCAGCTGAATCATCGAGTCGATGTCTTTGTCGCTCTTCTTGCCCTTCTTGCGTAGCTCCTCGAACGTCTCGGCCATGCGGTACTCTCCCCTCATGTAGGCATTGACGTTCTCTTCCTTGATGGGAAAGCGAGCCTTGACAGACTTTTCGCCAGTCCAGTCCTCTCTGTGCGTCTTGCGCTCGACGAAGATCTGCTTGTTTCCCATGCCACCGTACCATCTCAGCCGGATCGCTTCTGCCCCCTCGGTCTTCTCCAGTCTTCCGAGGTAGAGCTCGAGGTCCTCATTGTCATAGTAGATGGAAGTGATTGCGCTGTCCTCAGGTTGGTACTCCTTGTCCGGGTTGAACACCAGGACAGGCAGGTGCTTGAGAATGACGAGCTTCAATGGCACGATGTTGTCAGGATGCACCCAGTACTTCGTGGTCTGTCTCACAAAGGCAGATTGGGAGCCACCGGCACTTGCGTCACCCTGAATGGGGTGACCTCGTGTCCGCACCAAGTCAAAGAGCTTGGACAGCTTGACGATGAGCTGATCGTAATTCTCCTTGTAGAAGGGACGAGCGCTAAGATAGTGCTGCACAAACTCCTTGCGCAGAAGGCGGTCCGTCTGCTTGTCGTGCTTCTTGACAATCTTGTGGAACCCAGTGTAGTTGAGCTTTGTGAAGAGGGCTAGGTCGTGGACGTCGGCAATGATGACCGCCAAGCGCTCCTCAAGGTCGAGGAAGCGCTCCTCGTAGGCGTCAGTGTCATCTGTGTCGCTATCGAATTCGTCGTCTGATCCGACATTGTCGACCGCATGTACGTGCCGCCGTCCGTTGTGAGGCGGCCTCAAGCTGCCTTGACCCTCTCCGTCGGACTCTTCACCGTTCTGACCATCGGCATCGGTGCGTAGAGTCGAGGATGAATTGTTATGCGAGGATACCAGCAGGTGCACTTCCGACTGAGCTTGCTTGATTCGGTCCGTCAGCTCTTGCACCTGCGACGTGCATCGGAAGGGAGATCCATGTCAGTGAGCTGTCATTCCGCATAGCCAAACAGGCACAAGAAGGTGCAGCCATGGGTCGCTGAGAAGCTCTGTCCTGCAGCAAATGTGACCCTTGGGACTCACCTTTAGCTTCTGGAAGTCGTAGACCTTATCGAGCTCCTCTCTGAGCAGGGCCACGAATTCGTCTTCATCCTTATCGGTCCAACTCCCACCGTTGTTGGCAATTCTCTTCTTAATCTCCTTCTTGAGCTCGGAATAACGAAGGTACTTTGACGACCACTCGGAGTAGAGGGAGGTCTTGATGGTGCGCCCGAACTTCATAGCGACAGTGGGGTGGGACGAGGAGATTCAAGGGCTTCCGGATGAATAGAATAAGTTGTGAAAGGAGCCCGGCGGAGCGATACAGCTTGGTGACCCAGCCAATGTCCGGACGGCTGTATGTAGAGGAGGAATGCTCCGGGCCGTGAAGTTGCGGGAATAGAGCGAAGAAAGAGAAGGGTGAGTATGATGAGAATGCGTGCGAAGGAGCGAGGATAAAGGTAACGAGGGGGCAAGCAGTGGAGCGAGCGTGCCAGGAAAGGCCCGGCGTCTGGGTTCAGGGGGGCGGGGCGCTTCTGCTGCAGCGAGGAAAGGAGGAGGAGGAGGAGGAGGAGCGGTGGGCGGGCGTCAAGCTGAGGGCGTCTGTCCCATTCACTCGTCCGGACGTCGTCGGAGATTGAGGCAGCAGTGAGCAGGCCGAGGTGAGTGGTAGCTGCGAGGAGCGGCAGTAGACGCTGCTTGACCAAGAGGACGACGACGAGCAAGGACAAGGACAAGCAGACAGGCGCCTACCCCGGGCGAGAGCACGTTGCCTCGTCGTCAAATTGCTCCCTTCTCGCAGGCGGACATTCAATTTCCTGGTTCGATCGAGGCTGACATCGGAACGGAGGCAGATGGGCCACATGGCACGAGATTCCTATTCAAGCGCCCTCTTTCCGTCGACGCTCCGACCACCAAGCAGTGAATCGCGACTGGCCCGCGCCCCCTGTCACTCTCTCGCGGCATACATCCCACCACTTCGCCCCCCTCTCATGCTCACTTGACATCCGCAATGGCGCCGTCTGTGCTGCCATTCGATGTCCTCCGAGATGTCAAGGCCACAACGTCGTGGAGGGTGGGAACAGATGGCCCGTCTGCCTCCAAGGCGCAATCACACGTCGTGCCTGGTACCTACCTCCAGGCAGACGAGCGAGGAGTTCCGCAGACGTCATTGACGACAATCGCAGCCTCTTCTCCATCTCTCACGAGCAGACATGAGCAAGTGGATTCTGATGTCTCCCCGTATCAAGAAGGCTGGTCCCCCGCCTCCTCGTCCTCGACTGGATTCGGCAATGTTCCCAATGCTTCGCCAATGTCACACAATCGTGGGAGTAGCGCTTCATTCTCCTCCCTCGGTCGCTCTGATGCGAGTCAACCAGGTAATCGACTCAGCGCGAGCTCACGTCACAGCTGGCGTTCCTCTTCGTCACGCTTTGACGGCTCCCAGCGGGCGTCCAGCAGCTCGCTAGCGTGGGACATCGGTTGCATTCGTGGTATTGCTAGGCAGGCAGAGTCACAGGAACGAGGCGAGGATAGCAGCGTAGGCCTCGGAATACACTCAATGGATGAGGAGTTACCGCGCGAGTGTGGATCAGATCATCTGCAGAATCATCCGAGCTCTTTGGACCGGAGGAAGACCATCAAAGCCCGAGCCCTTCCTGCACAGCCCAGCGCTGACGTCCTCGCCATCCTTTCTCCGCGGCTGAAACAACATCGCAACAGCCCTTCCACGAGACCCAGCTCACGCGGGCGAAGTGCTTCCGATGCTACTGGACGTCCCAACGCCTCGAACTTCCTACCTGCGAGAGGTCTCATTAGCAACAGCGTTCCCTCGCTCGATGCCGAAATCAGCAGATTTGAGTATCCCTTTTGGGCTCAATCCTGTGATGAAAGAGAAAGCCTGGTAAGCCTGTCGAGCCCGTGGCTACCGAGTACTCCGGAACACTTTCAGTTTGATGAGTTTCATCATGAGTCGAATGTTTCCGGGACAGACCCGCCTTTTGCCCATCGAGACAATGGGCCAGTGGCGGAATCGCAAAAGTGGAACCTCTCTGTTGACGACGGCAAATCGTCAGGTGCACTTTCTAGGCGTAGGAAGCTAAGTCAATTCGTGCGTCGCACAAATAGCGATGGTCCCCAGACTTCAACAATGGCAGCAGCTGCCGCTCGTGGCACCTGGGGAATTGTGACCAGGAATCGGCAGACAAGAGGGGCAACCTCTGACGCCGCATCATGTCACCCTACAGAGAGCAGAGCGAGCGCCTCCTCGCAGAGAAGAAGCTCTGATCATGGACAGATCTCAGGTGTCAGCTCGTCAAGAGCCTCGTTGCGTCACCCTCATGATTCCCTGGACTCGCATGGCCATGATCGGACCTCAGCCTCGCGACGCTCGTCTCAAATCCGCTCGGACCTCTCGTCAATTCTCGACCCGACCTTCTCGCTGTCTTCGCTGTCTATCCCAGAGGAAGTTCCGCAACACCAGACCCACTGCTTCACACCGGGAAGTCAAATCCTCGACGGTCGAGAAGGTATGGCATGGACAGACCGAGAAGAGCTTGGCAGATCGCCAACGGCATATCTGGAACGAAGAGAGGGAGCAAGGGCAAGCTGGCAAGACGATTCGACGCGATTCTTGCATGATGTTTGGCACCAATCTACGATGATGGCGGCGGTCAAAGTGTTGAAGCAGTGGAAGAAGAAGGCAAGACTTCTGGACAGGCGGACTTCGGCAGACCAGACATCTACTGATCGGCCTCAGATCTCCTCGCCGAGACCGCTATCGCAACAAAGGCCAGCATATGGATTGACAAACCCGCGCAGTCGATCTGAAGATCTCCTCACGACTCAGTCTCGGATCGCTAATGCAACACCAGCCACCTTCCACAATCGATGGCTGCCTGATAGCACAGTGCCATTGGCTAATGAGCTTGCCGGCTCATCTTCACACCGTCTGATAAGCTCCGTCGAGTCTTCCGCTGCTCGAGGAACTTCAGACTCTATCGATGCTAAGATGGCGCGTCGGCGGATCCTCACCGCATCGCAGCGCGCGAGCTTCTCAATGACAGGCGATGACCGTCATATCGTTCCGCAGCCTCTCATCCCGCCTACCGCATCGCATCTTGAGAGTCTATTGAGCTCCACAGCTGTTCGACAACACGCTGCTGGCTTGCCCTCCGGTGGCTCCAGCTACAACGGCTACGCGGGGGGCGACGGTGGTGGCTTCTCAAATTCTGGCGGTGACCATCACGGAGGCCGTAAGAACCATGCAGGCGGAGAGAGTGGTGGAGGCGGAAGAGGTCAAGCGCCGGGAGGCAGCGGTGGTGGAGGTGGTGGAGGAGGAGGCGGGAGGCAGCCCAACAGCGGAGGCATGACAAGAGGCTCGGGCGGCAGCCAAGCTTCACAGGACGTCAAGAATCTCTTCAAAAGGCTGGAACTAGTCGGCAGAGGCGCCTATGGTGCCGTGTATCGAGGTCAGCATATTCCCACTGGGAATGCAGTGGCTCTCAAGGTCGTCAATCTAGATACTCCTGATGACGACGTCAGCGACATCCAGAAAGAGGTCGCGGTGTTGAGCCAGCTGAGAGAGGCGGAGTCGAAGAATGTCGTGAGATACTGGGGCTGCTGGCTCAAGGGTCCAGAGCTGTGGATAGTCATGGACTATGCCGAGGGAGGAAGTATTCGGACATTGGTGAGTTGAGGAAGTGGTTCGAAGAGGTGCATGAGCAGCATCCTTGCAATACTGATGCGTCTCCTTCATCCCAATCATAGATGCGAGGTGGTCCGATAGTGGAGCAGCATGCGGTGGTCATTGTTCGTGAGACCTTGATTGCTCTAGCGTATCTGCACAAGTCCGGTATCATCCATCGTGACATCAAAGCAGCGAACATCCTCCTCACCAATGCGGGCAAGATCTTGCTTTGCGACTTTGGTGTGGCAGCCTCGCTGGTATCATCAGCCTCAAAAAGGACGACGTTCGTCGGGACACCTTATTGGATGGCACCCGAGGTGATCACAACCGGTAAATCGTACGATCAGTCTGCCGACATTTGGAGCTTGGGTATCACTATCTACGAGATGGTGATGGGCAATCCACCTCTGGCCGAGATAGAGCAGATGAGAGCGATCATGCTTATACCCAAGAATAAGCCCCCACGATTGCCCCTCGAAGGCAAGTTCTCCCCGCTGATGAGAGACTTTGTGGCCACCTGCCTAAACGAAGAGGCCAAAGAGCGGCCCAATGCAGAGGAGTTGAGCAAGCACAAGTGGATCAAGGGGAGCGCCAAGACCGGTCCGGCTGTATTGAAGGAGCTGATCACTGCCTATACTGCCTGGACCAAGACTGGTGGTATGAGGATGAGTCTCCTTGGCGCAGAAGCCGCGGATTTGGATGCCAACAACAGGAACTCGTTTGTCTTTGACAATCACGATGGCACCGATGATTGGGAGTTTGGCACGTTCAAAGGCGATGCAGCACCAGCACTGAACATCAAAGATGTGCCTGGGACTGCACCAGCGGCGAGAGATCCTGTGACTGCTCCGAGAAGGGACCATCCGTTGCTGCGCCTCTTTCAGCCTGACGGCCCAGAACTGGACGATGCGCCGGCCATCAACAGTTCACAGCCACTTGGGAGGGCCGGCGTTCTTGCCAACCTCGACCCCAAAGAGATTCGTCCAGCGCCTTTGCCTCCGACTGTACAGCAACGACAGCAGCAGAGCGATGACAACAAGCGCTTGGCGGATGTAGATGCTCAGAAGAGACTGTCAGACAGCCCTCTCTTGCCTCCAGTCGCTCCATTTGCTGCAGGTGCGCCCAGACCTACAACTCCTACGAGTGCAGATAAACCCACATTCGCTGGTATGGGAGCTTCTCCCTTTCGCTTCGGCACGCCGACCAACAGTGTCCCTGTGGTGGCACAAGATGAGCCGTCTCCGCGACAGGTGCCGGTATCGTTGCCCACTACGGGTGAGGCTGTGAACACAGCGCGCCATAGCCTGGACAAGAAAGCGGGGCCTTCTGCCATCTCTGACACACCAATCAGACGACAGCGGGGTCGTACCCTTGGCAGCAGTGACGCGAGCGAAGACATGGCGGGTAAGCTGTCGGGCTCTCCGATCGAATCCCCTACTCACTTCGGCCGCTTCCAGACGCATCACCAACGTGCGCCAAGCAGCGTATCTCTCACCTCGGGTCACAGCAAGCTGAATTCTGGCGATTCCACACTCTTGGTCTCCACTCCTTCCAATTCGGCGTTCAACTATGGGCAGCCAATGCCGGAAGGTCCAGCTCGTCCGTGGATGTCAAAGACGAGAATGAGGAGCGGTAGTACTGGTTCGCAATTCAGCGATCACGGCGACTTTCTTGCCGGATCGTTCAGAAATGCAGCAACGACGCAAGCGTGGGCGACTCCTCCCGTGGGGAGCTCTTCTTCAGCGGCACTGTCTAGCTCTTCGGCAGGACCTGGAGCTCGACAGCCGACGGTGCCTTCGCTGTTGGGACTTCGTGCCCGTAGCGGAAGTCGATCTAGGGCCGGACCCGGTGGAGATATCGGCATGCCACCCGTCCCCGTGCCCGTTTTGACTGCAACTCAGGCCAATGGTAGGGCAATGCAACCTCCTGCGCCTGCGAAGGATCACCTCGCCCGATTGCCCATGAAAATGGACCCTGAGCTTACTGGCGAGCTTCTCCCTCCGCCACCGATGCCGACACCTGCGTCAACCGGAGGCTCAGCCACAACTTCGAGTGCGGCTATGAATGGCAATGGCGCAAATGGCGCAACTTCAGTAGCAACCTTATCCAACCCATACGGCATGCGGGCGAGAAAGGGCAGCGGAAGCATGCGACCTTCGCCTCTGGGCCTAGGCAGCTCCGTCCACCTGCGTAGGCAACACGGTGGGTCCGACCCTACTCTACCGCCGGGCCCCTCCTCGCCCCTCCTGTCGGCTTCCCCACAGCGATTGCCAAATGGGGTCAGTATGGTCGACAGGCAGGCAATGGCGGCAGCGCAGGCGGCGGCAGCGGTAGCTGGAGGTATCTTTGCCTCGTCTGGCGGCAGCGGCGGCGGTGGCGGTGGCCCGCCCATCAGACCCTTGGATTTGGCGGGGATGCAAGGACGGGAGACGGTTCATGCCGAGCTGGCACGTACGGTGGACGATTTGGGCGCATGGCTGGATGCGCTTGCGGCTACCCTTGCTCAGCCCAATGTCCTGTACTAGTGGATCAGAAGTCGCTTTCTTCCTCTGCGGCCTCTTCATAGCAGGTCCTCGCCCCCCTATCACCCGACTTCTCCCTGCATCAACCCTCCTGTTCCACCCCTCCCCTTGCACCTGTCACAGGACGCTGTCAGTATGCCAGTCAGTATGTCTTGACGATGTGGATGAATGCCAATACTTTGTACATTTGAGCAACGCGGTTAGATGATAGAAGTCCTGATACAAGTACACGGCCTACAATGAGACCTGGGTGGGAGGGGAGCCGAGTGGAGTTGCAGTCGCGATCTTGACTTGAGATGGATGTGACGAGGAAGCTCCTTCGAGGTCAATTGTCGGAGGATGGATCGGATCTTAGTCGATCAGTCCTACGAGACGCATCAAGCGACTTCACGAATGCCAAGACGCTCCCTATCCTCCTCGATGAGTCTTCCAGTGACCTTGACGGCGTACATTCCCGGCGAGCGTTTCTCTATTCAGGCGAATGAAGAGTGGGAGGGATGGAGGGGGACATATATCAGCGCGCTGCTCGCTCAGGCCCGTAGAAGTCCTCCTATCTCTATTATGAGCTAGACTACTGACCGATTCGCTGCCATTTCGCGACCCAGCTCTCATCTGGCTTGGTCATGGCAATCATCCCGTCAAAGACAGCCGTGGTGCATTGGGCAACTCTACGTCCATCTTGTTGCATCTATAAAGGCGGCAGAGAGGAGAGGAGGGAGCGTCAGGATATCGCAGAAGCAGCCAGGTAGTCCACGATTCTTGAGACGTTGCCATACCGACTGACTCACATCCAGTCGATCTCCACAATTTGGGCATCCATACTGGACAAAGTCTCTAGCGGATTGGACAAAGTTGCAGCCGAGGCAGGCGCGCCATTGTTTCTACAAGGGAACAATGGAAGAGTGGTCAGAGAGAGGTCGCCTCCTTTCTTTGGAAAAAGTAAAATGAGAGGGACTGGGGCTGTCTCACCTTCTCGCCTCGAGCCATCTTGGGTCAGTCGATCGTTAGGAATAGTGGTAGTACAGGATGGTAATTGGGGATGTGAGTCTAGATTGGTCCTAGAAGCTGCCTGACCCCAGAGATCGGATCGGAAGACATCGCGCGGCTTGGCTTGGCTTGCCTCGCGGACGGAAGTGGGCGGGAGAGCAACACACACACACACAGACGCACACACGCTGGGATTCAAGCACGGCCTTCCTTCCCGCATACCGATAGCGCTGCCTCTGTCCTTCTTGAAAGCCTCCTCATCACCTCCTCCTCCTCACTTTGCGAAGATGACATTCACACCGGACAGCGAACTGGAGCTCATCTTTGATGCTAAGCTCATCCCACAGAGCGTAAAAGAGCAGCTGCCGGAGGACTTGCATGTGAGAAAGCTCGTTCGGCTAGCTCGTGCCAAGAGAAGGAGGACTACGCTCCTGACTTATTCACATCTCTACTCAACCTTTTCCCACAGATCCGACCTCTAGCCTCAGACGACTACACCCGCGGGCATCTCACAGTTCTCTCCGTGCTAACAAAAGCTCCCGATGTGGGTCTCACCTCCTGGCAAGAGCAATTTCGTCTCCTCTCCTCCATCCCCAATACCTACTACCCGCTCGTCATCGTGTCCCGCTCGACCGATCAAATCGTCGCAATGGGCACGCTAGTCATGGAGCTCAAGTTCCTCAGAGGCAATGCAAAGGCGGGACATGTAGAGGATATCGTTGTGAGCAGTCAAGCTCAGGGGAGGGGATTGGGGAAGAAGGTCATTCAGGCCTTGACGGGGATTAGTGAGAGTCTAGGGGCTTACAAGGTCATTCTGGATTGTAGCGAAGAGAATGCTCGTGAGTTGGGAAGGAATGGAAGAGAACAGAAGTGCGCACTGGAAGTCATGGCACTTCATCAGATTTCGATGCTGATACACTGTCTGTCTCATGTCCTCCTCCGATCAGCATTCTACGAGAAGTGTGGCTACAAACACGCAGGGGTGGAGATGGTGAGTAATTTGACACGTTTTCTTATACGGTCGAGATACTGATTGCTTTCTTCGTCGCGTCATCCGCCAGGCCAAGTACGCTTCGTAGCAATGTAGCAATAAGAGCAGGTCCAGGCAATGCATTGATTGAGTCCTTTAATGTCCCTCATCACTAGCATTATCTCACTTCTTTGTTCTCGTTTGCGTTCCTCTGAAGCTGCGTCCCCTTGTTTTCTCTTTCCCATTTCTCTCCTTCGCCAGCCACCTTACCAGATGTAGCACCTGTCCTTCTCTGGGGTGAACATCTTGTCGCCAGCTTTGCATCCAAACGCCTTGTAGAAGGCCGGCGAGTTGGTCACCACTCCATTCACCCTGAACGGGTTGGGGGAATGCGGGTCGGTACGGATCCTCTTCAGAGCCTCCTGAGGTCGCAGGTTGCGCGCATAAGCGATACCATAGGAGATGAAGAAGAGTTGCTCACGGCTGTACTGCTCCAAACCTGGCAGCAGGCGATTGCGCGCTCGTATCTCCTTTGTGTCCTTCTCCAGCAGTGTCTGCCATGCTCGGTAGGATTGGGCAACTCCGCCTCCATCTGCAACATCCTCTCCAATTGTAAGCTTGGAATTGAGAGGCAGCATGCGCCCTGTGCCGTCATCGAGGGAGTAGTTGCCATATTGGTCCATGAGGCACTGCTGCCTCTTGTAGAACTCAATCGTGGTGTCATTGGTCCACCAGTCCCTAAGGTACCCATGCTCGTCGTAAAGACGTCCTGCTGGGTCCACGCTGTGAGTCAGCTCATGACCTGCAACGGAACCCAGCGCTCCGTATTGAATGTAGTCCGGCGTGGCAACATCGAAGTAGGGTGGTTGCAGAATACCAGCGGGGAAGGCAATCTCATTTCCTCCAGGGTTATAGTAAGCATTGACTTCGGCGGGGAACATGTCCCATCGCAGGACGTTCAGCACGCGACCAGCCTGAGCCAGGTTCTTTTGGTTCAAGATAGTCGCACTACGGAAGCGGTTGCCGAAGTAGTCGAACTTTTTGACATCGATTTGGCTATAGTACGCTTCGATGGACGCTGCCGAAGTCGTGTTTGGGTACTCGGGGTATCCCACCTTGATGCGAATGTTGTCAGCCTTGACTTCGGCCGCACGCCTGGTCTTGGGGTCCAGCCAGTCAAGCTCAGGCAGTCGATCCTTGAAGGCAGAGATGATCGTGTCAATGATCTCGATGACTTTGTTCCTCGCAGTAGGAGGGAAGGCTTGTTGGACATAGTAGCGCCCAGCCATGAACCCGAGCGCTTCGTTGAGAGCGTTCAGGCAGACTGTAGCCCTGTCTTCCTTTGCGTCGAAAGCAACGCCCTTGAGTCTCCGGTCGAGAGCCTCTGCGGGAGCTCTCAGGGAAGCCTTGGGTCCAAGATTCAGCCCGTATGTACGAACAATAGTCCAGGTGAGGTAGGCCTCGAGCACCTCGTCGCTCGTTTGAGAGATCAACTCGCCAGTCTTTCGCAGGAAGTCGGGAGAGTGTACGAGGACATTGTGAGGTACCTTGACCGTAAGAGCACTGAGATACATCGGCCAGTCGACAGCGTTGCTCGTGTATGCGAGCTTGTTGACGGGAATCGGATTGTAGATGCTGAGAGGATCGGCGAGGACGTCTCCATCAGGCGTCGCCCTTGAAATCTCTCGCTCAAATGCGACGACCTTTCGGGCAAGGCTGCGATGCTTCTTGGAGCTGTCGCCGAAAGACACGTCAGCATCGAGACCCTTCTTCTTCTTCTTGTCCTCTTTCGCTACAGCGACAAGGGTGGCTTCGATCACCTCATTGTAGAACTTGATCTCATCCTCGTCTTCGTAGTACGCCTTGTCTGGGAAGCCAAGCCCGCCCGTGGTGACCCAGATGGTCCCCTCTGTAGGGTCTTCCACCGGGTCACCATCGACGTTGATCCCCCAGAATGCGGGCACGGCGTGAGCGTGCGCCCACGACAGGACTGAAGTCAATGCCTTTTGTCGTCCATTGCGTGGAGGAGGGGGACCTGGCTTATCAGTAGGTGGGTGGGGCTGTGGAGCTCGGAGCGGAATCTGATTCGGGGGTACCGGGGACGATGCACCAGGAGGCGGGGTAAGAGGTCCAGTAGGATGTTGCTGAGCAACAACACTTGATGGGCTGAGAGCAACAAGCTCTTCTGCCAGATGCGCTGAGTCCTCGCCGTACAAGAGGTCGCGTGCATGCTGGATCAGCACCATCATCTGACGCGAACCCTTCTCGTCCTGAGTGGTCGTGTCGATGCAGGTGTCGTAGAAGGTCTTGAGCTTGGCGAGGTTACGATTGTCGACGTTCGCCTCCTCACTACTCTGTGATTCGAGGGCGGCAGCTTCTTCTTGATTGGGAGCGCCAGCGAGGAGATCACGGACGATCTGAGCGTTTCGGGCCGCAACGAATTGACCTGCACCAAAGAGTCCAGCATCGTCGGGGATCTGGTGATCGAGGCTGGCCAGCCATCCTCCGGCAGCGAAGTGATAGAAGTCATCGCATGGGTCAACAGAGCTATCTATGCTCTGGATCACAGATGCTGACGCAAGGACACATTCGGTCGTGAGACAGGCCGCTGAGCTGTCGTGTCCCTCACTGGGATCTCCACGTTGAGGTGGGCCTTGGTGTGAGAGGCGGCTCTGTGCTCCAGCGAAGAGGCCGATGAAGATGGCAGCAATCTGGCAGAAGGACGAAGGGCATTCACGAAGTGGTCAACAACAGGTCATTATTTTATGGGACTCATTGGCGCCAGGACTCACCAGAAGCAGAAGGAGGGCTAGGGCCAAGAGAAGTCGCTCCGTCGCGCCTAGCTTCTCAGGCTCCGCCAATGGGCCAAAGGCGGCAGCGAGGCGAGAACGGAGCCTCTGGTGCCAATTCTGCTGAGCTTGTCCATCTGATTGTTGGCCGAGGAGAGGACGAGACTCGTCCACTTCGTCGGCCGAGGGGCGGCCATAGTCTTGCGAAGAAGCCATACTGCCGTGGGTAATACGACGCGGGCGGGAGTGGTGGGTGGAGCGCTTGAAGCGTTGCTCTCGAGTCTGGCATGCCAATCGAGTCCGGCCAGCGGAGATTGAATCTCGCCGCGCGGTCGCCTCGCGGATGCCAACTCGCTACCATCCGTCGTCGTCGAGACCTTCTCCCCTGGCATCGCATCTTACCATTGCTGCTTCCTCATCCACCCACGCCCACATCTCTTCATCTCATCTTGACCTGCATCCTAGCTTCTCTACAGACCGGACTTCACGCACTCTCATATACATACCATCATGGACGGCGAAGAGTTAGTACAGCCCGCAAGCAATCGCAGCGCCCCGATGGCAACAGCAACCTCCCACTGACCTCTTCGCATCCTTGCTCTCATCGCGGCTCAGTCTCATCGACTACGAGGAGGAGATCGCTCCGACAACTACGGCTACCAACGGAGCTGCTGCTACTGGAGATGGAGCAGCGGCAACTGCTGACGGCGACGCGAACAAGAAGGCGAGCATCATTCCCGAGTCATTTCTAAGTTTGGGAGAGATTTAGTTTCGTCGTGGCCGATCGCTATTCGTTTCCCGCGACACCAGTCATGCTGTCGGGTTGCTTCGACATCATTACGGCATCGGCTTGCATCCGTCTTCTGGTCGGATCTGGGTCACATCCATGCCGTCGGACATGCGAACGGTCTGAAGTCACTGTCTAGCTACAGCTCAATGCAATCAGGGACGCGTCGAAAGCTCAGCAGTTCTGGTAGACGACCTTCTGGTTGATACAGGCAAGCCATGAATCAGCTCTCCGCACAGACAGTCTTCAGCGCGTCGCCGGGTACAGGCGATCTGTGCAGGTGGTTCGCCACACCTCGAGACACCTGCGAAGCTCTGCTGAGCTACGAGCATGTATGCTTACTGTCAGCTCGAGCACGACCCTGAATTAAGGTCAGCAACTTCTCCCCACACGCATACGACGAATGGTCGTCTGTGTGCTCAATGGGTGGTCACGGCTGCAAGTACAGTGCCTCTGCTTTTGGCGGGGCTGTGCGGTCTTGGCTAGCAAGGGGACTCAACAAAGCCAGAGGGCCAGGCTCTGTCTGCAGGCGACTCATTCAGCGATATCTTGAACAGGCTCTTTGCTCGTCTGCTCCGTCTCACAACGCGACAACGTTTCTTACACCTTCCACCTCTGCCCTTCATCTCCGTCTCCCGTCCTCCCTCTCGTCGCAAACATATTCGGTGAACACCTGTCACCTTCTGGTCATCCGCACATACTCTGTCCCTTTCCCATTCCAACTCCACAGGGATCCTACGTCGGTATCCACTCCACCGGTTTCCGAGACTTCCTCCTCAAGCCTGAGCTGCTGCGCGCTATCAGCGATCTAGGTTTCGAGCACCCTTCTGAAGGTGAGTGCACGAAGAGATTGAAAGGCTAGCTTGGCAGATTTGCACTACGGACGACTTACTCATTTACTTATCTCCGATCCATCTCTGCAGTTCAACAAGAATGCATTCCTCAGTCCATCCTTGGTATGGACGTTCTGTGTCAGGCCAAGTCTGGTATGGGAAAGACTGCCGTCTTTGTGCTTGCTACTCTTCAGCAGATTGAAGTAGTGGATGGCGAAGTTTCTGTCATCATCTTGTGCCACACTCGAGAACTGGCTTTCCAAATCCGCAACGAGTACGCCAGGTTCTCAAAGTACATGCCCGAGGTACGCACCTCTGTCTTCTTCGGCGGTACACCCGTTGCTCAGGACCAGGCTATCCTCAAGGACAAGGCAAAGTGCCCTCACATCATCGTTGGTACACCTGGTCGACTCAACGCTCTCGTGCGCGATAAGAGCATGAAGATGAGCGGTGTCAAGCACTTCATTCTCGACGAGTGTGACAAGATGCTGGAGCAGATCGGTGAGTGATAGTGGTGTTCAGAAGATAGTAGCGAGCCCATGCTGACGTTCTCACCGCTCTGACACCTACTCATCCCAAAGACATGCGCCGCGATGTTCAGGAGATCTTCCGCGCTACTCCCCACCACAAGCAGGTGATGATGTTCTCGGCTACCCTATCGAAGGAGGTCCGGCCCACTTGCAAGAAGTTCATGCAGAACGTGAGTGATGCTCCACCGGCTACAAGATCTGAGTGTCTGCGAGCCCGGGTCTGTGCGCTTGCTCACCACTTGTTCCTCTTCCCTCACAGCCGCTGGAGATCTACGTCGACGACGAGACCAAGCTGACTCTGCACGGTCTGCAACAGCACTTTGTTCGCCTTACAGAGGCTGAGAAGAACCGTAAGCTCAACGACCTTCTCGACTCCCTAGAGTTCAACCAAGTCATCATCTTCGTCAAGTCCGTCACTCGAGCCAACGAGCTGGACAAGCTGCTCCGCGAATGCAACTTCCCCAGTATCTGCATTCACGGTGGTCTGCCTCAGGAGGAGCGTATCAAGAGGTACACTGCCTTCAAGCAGTTCGAGAAGCGAATCCTGGTGGCCACTGACATCTTTGGTCGTGGTATCGATGTGGAGCGAGTCAATGTCTCTATCAGCTACGACTGCCCCTCGGATGCCGACTCGTACCTGCACCGAGCCGGCCGAGCTGGCCGATTCGGAACCAAGGGTCTGTCGATCATCTTTGTCTCCTCGGATGGTGATGACGAGGTCCTCAAGTCGATTCAGTCGCGCTTCGAAATTGCCGTACCAGAGCTGCCAGAGAGCATCTCGGCAGACTCGTACATGTCGTCGGCTTGAGCTTCAGGTTTGAGGCAGGCCGGGCGCGGCGCTGCTCTGCATCAGGTTCCGTTTGCGCAATAGGCTCACAACAAGGAACAAATGCTTTAGTGGACTGAGTGGCAGGACTGGAACAACAGCGCGAGCAATTTAGTAGCGTGGAAAATCCAAGCTTCTTGCTTGTAAGGCCCTCCTTGTCGTCACGTGTCTCTTGCAGCAGTTCGCAATCAAACAGTCTGCCTCATATCGCGCGCCCTCGAACAGCAGAGTGTCTGTCAGTGACGTGCGATGTTGCTCAGTGACTCCTCGCAATGGGCTGACATGTGGCTGTCATAGTAGCACCTTGAGCCCAGTGTTCGTTGCAGTATGAGTAGACTCAATGGATAGTCCGAGCTCATTACTAATCCTAGGCGGAGACGGCATGTGTGGGGTGCATCGGCGATGAGGCGACGCGACTTCTGGGTAGGCGAGAGAGCACAGTAAGAGTGAGGGCTTGCTGCCCGCCGGCCCGCCTGGTTTCGCTTGCCTCGGAGAACTCACTCCTCTTCCGCCGGTCGTGCAAGGGTCGATTGAGGCGATATTTTCCCTCGATTTTAGCGGATTGCTCCCCCGTACTATTGGAGGGGACCTGAGCAGCCTCTCGCTCGTTAAGCTGACGTCCATTCATCCAGACTTATTGTCGCTCTTGGAAGAGAAGGATCAGAGGACCTGATATTGCCGTGGTCTCATCGGAGCAAGGCGGCCCATTTCCGTCTCCGCTCTTACCCTTTGCCTCCCGCTCAGCCTCGGGCGTCGGTCCGTCGCCGCAAGTCCGTGGGATACAGCTCTTTTCCGTTTTACCCTCTTTCCCCCGCTGCTGCTTTCTTTGCGAGGGTAGATGAGATATCTCGGTTGTGAACAAGATGTTTCTGGCTGTGCATCTGGTATAGGCAATTGTCTGCGATCATGCCAGGTAGGGGGTAGGCAAGGCAAGGGGTCGCCCATCGTGGAGATTGCAGCGCAAGACAGGGAACCTCGCTTAGTGGTTCCCGTTGCAGCGGGGGAGAAGACTGTGCCCGATTCGACGCCTCTCGACGCCACTTGAGGGGTGCACATGCACCTCTGCAGGCCAACGACAAGAGGCAGATTGGTCCCATAGTCGAGTAGAAGGACGGCTTCTGCTCCAATTGGGTGAAGTGGCACCACTGCCCAAGCGTCGATAGTGTGTCATGAAGATTCACCGTCAGCCCCCGTGATTGCTGCGACCATTCGGTACGAGTGTTCCCCTGCGTGTCGCCAAAGCAATCCATCTGTCGCGTCTTTGCACCGCCCGACCAAGTGTAGGAGATCTGAAGAGCAACTCAGAAAGAAAGAGGCAGGAGAGGGAGGAGGTGAGCATAGCATAGTCGATGAGCGAGCGAGGGAGGGATATTAACCAGGGACGCGCGCCGGGCCAAGTGGTGCCGAGGGTCCAGTTGCCTGCTCGCCCGCCCGCCCGCCCGCGTGCTGCTCCGCTCCGCCTCGCCTGGCCTTGGGTGTGGGTCTAAATACTTTGCCGCCGGGGGAAAGGAGGCGCGCCCGACCTGCCACCCTCCTCCGATCCTGTCTGCCTGATCTCCACCACTTGCTCCCTCCGTTCCTTGCGACATCGACGCATCTTCCCTTTCTACCTCCCACTACCTATGATCTGCCCTCCGTAGACGCATCCGCTTCCTGTACTGCACGTGTCTAGCATACTTTCAGTATACTCGCCCAGGCTCAACCTTTGTCTCCTCGGAACGCCTTGGAATTAACCGAGCGGTCCAGGCGCAGCCCTACGCGGACTTCCCCTTGCCAAGCGCCAAGCGTTCTCATCGGATACCAGCTTCATTCCTGATACTGCCTCGGTCTCATCTCCTATCGCCGGCCCATTGCAAGCCTCTGTACCTGTCCCACTCTTCCGTCCCTTTAGATAATCTGCTGAACCCTCGATGATGATACCTGGAGGTCAGGGCAGCCTCCAAGGCATTGGGCGGCCTGCTTCTGGTCAGACGGCTCGCAACGGGCAGATGGGGCCCGAAAGTAGCCCTGCAGGATCGGGAGGAAAATACACTTGCCCCAATTGCTCAAAGTCCTTTGCAAGAGGTGAGTCGAAGTCGTCGATTAGAGAGTATGTCTTCCTGGGCAGATCCACTTACCCTATCAGGCGCTACTTCTCAGATGACCTGCTCAGGCGGCATTTGGCTAGAGAGGCTAGAGCAATGGCTCAGCCTCAGGTAGACCGACAAAAGAGTTGTCAGGAATGCGCTCGGAGCAAGGCAAGGTGTGATTTGGAGGTACCTTCGGTAAGTCCGTGAAGACTGCTCAGCTCGGGTGGGTCTAGAGATACTGAAAATCTGCTCTTGATTCCACTCCACAATAGTGTGGTCGATGTCGAAGCCGGAACAAACACTGTACCTACGGAGCTCGTTCGGGCAACCCCAATGTTAGGAGGCACAGGGAGTCAATAGCCCCAACGGGCAACATGGCTGGTATGAACATTGCCGGAGGGTCTACGTACGGTGGGGGCTGGGGGAGCGGAGAGAGCTCATACCAAGGATCAGAAGGTCCTCCCGACAGCAGACCGCAGATGGTTTCTACCGATGACTCCAGTAGCGAGAGCAGCTTTGGCTGGTCCGATCCAAACACAAGTCAGAACAATAACATGTCCGGCAACTCGTACCTTCCACAACGCACCTACAGTACCGCTTCTATGTCTAGCATCGCTTCGCATAACGCAGCGCCTCCCCTACCCCAGCCACATTCTCAGCATCCGCAACATTACGGGCAATACCAGCTGGACACGAACCCTGCTGTCACCCCCACTACATACATGAGGCATGCTTTGGAGCAATCGTATGGCGGAATGAGTTCCATGGGAGCGCGGCCCACGGCCAACTTGCTCATGACGGATCTCGATCGGAATGCGCCCGGGCTCAAGGCGGAAGAAGGAGAAGAGACGCCGGTGGGAAGGCTCATTGGCTCTTTCGGGGCCGGGTCTGCACCTTTGGATGCCAGCAGAAACTTTCAAAGGATGGTCACCTCGCCCGGCGGTGGAATCTCAGGCGGCCATCCTGAGATGTGGAACAACGTCGCCGCTCCTGCGCTACCGAATCAGCAGCACTATGTCTCGCAGACCGGTGAAAGAATGGGACCACCTTCGTTGCCATTCAGCAACGCACGAAACGTGCCCAACTTGCTCAGTCCCAGTAGAGGACCCGACCGACAACGCCCTCAGCCTCACAAGCTGCTGACGGGAGCCAACATGCCTCAGCCGCCTCGGCCCGACCTGGGTGGCGCTGGCGCTCATATTCTCAGTGGTAGGCCTCTCTTCAGTGCCATCATGGACCTCTCCGGATGGCTGGAAGAGCCAGTCGTGCCCTCGCCCCTCTATCCCTCTGGACCGAGTCTGGCAAGTCTTGGACTGGGAGCTGTCCCTGGCCTGGCTTCCGCAATGCCGAACTCCGATCAGCCATCGATGGCGCTGGACTCTCCCATGGGTGGGTCTTCTGAAGCCGGCATGCAGCAAGGGCAAAAGGAGCCGCAGCAGCTCCCCCAGCCTTCCACTATGCCAGCTTCGCGCTACTGGTGGGCCAATCCTCCCTCTCAGATGGATGTTGCCTTGATGCAGAGTGTGGCTCAGGCCACTGCTACGCACTTGTCCCACTACCCGCATCTGATGGTCCTGCCTGACCCCTCGAGTCCCGTTCCGCCAACCGTTCACCGACCTTGGATGGCTTACGTCAGGGGAGACCTACCAGCGTCGTTGGCGATCGCTCGCGTGGTCTTGGCTGGGTATGCAGTCCGACTTCCCGCCAGTGAACACATCGTCTGGGAGTCGGTAGCTAGGGAGACTCGCCGGTTGATTCAGAGCCACGAGGCCATTTGCAATCACAGCAGCAATCTGGATGTGCTAGGTGCAACAGAGGCCCTCTTCCTCTACTGTATTTTGCTGCTGATGTGCACTGACCCTGGTGCTAGCCCCTATGTGGACATGTCGCTTACCAACACGGCCTTTTTCGCCCTCTCCCAACTGGCGAAGACTCTCTCTGTCCGCTTGCAGATGGCGCAGCAAGAAAGGGCCAGGCGCAAGTCAATGGGAGAGGACGGTCCCGAGGAAGGTCAAGGCACACAGCAGCAGCAGAAGCAGCACTGGCTCTCCTGGGGTTTCGAGGAGACGATGCGTCGTACTCTTTGGGCCTCGTATGCTATCCTGGTCCTGCAACGCTTCCGAGACGGAGCTGTTCTCTCCGAAGGTCATCTCGCCGGTCTGGACCTCATCCTCGACATCCAGTTGCCAGCCATTGCAGCTGAATTTGAGGCAGCGAGTGAAGAAGAGTGGAGACAAGTCCGCAAGCAGGCCCTCGCCAGTCTGTCCGAGAAGAGCGGAGAGGCCGGCTCTTCAAGTGGGGAAGCTGGTAGCACACCATCTGGACAAGGAAACAGCAACGGTGGACTTGGAGCAAACGAGGAGAAGCCAATGACCTTTTCCGACCTCACCTTCCGAGATCTCATACGCTATCGGCCCGTACCCGAGGCCAGGAGGAACAGCAGTGGTGCTGCGAGTGAAGCCGGCGGTGCCGGAACCGGCGCCTCTGGAGCTGGTGCGGGCAACGATGGGGCCAAGAGAGGCAGCACGGCCTCGAGCACCAGTGGCGGGGCAGGTGCAGGCACGACGACGACTGCTTCTTCCAACAGACCTTCCTCATCACCCCCTCCACCACCAAAGGCTTTGCTGGAGTACTTTGAGCGACACGACGCCTTTGTCGCAACGGTTCTGTCGATTGCCTTTTGTCTTGATTCGGGATTGAGCGTTTAAGTGTCGTGTCGATTGCAAAGGATCTTCGTTGACTGGCATACATACTTAGTAAAAGGGGCAGGGTGGGAGAGACAGAGAGAGAGGGGGCAATGGCTGTGCAAGAGAGGGAGTCGGAAAGAAGGGCCAAGCAAGCTCAAAGCTCCATCTGTAGCAATCGTTTAGATACCATCGTCGTCACCTTCTTCTCCCAAAAGATTGCGTCATCACTAATTCCTTCTTCAATTTATCGACCAAGCCACCAAGAAGGCAGTGTGAGATCCAAATCTGCCTGAGATATATCAAATGCTTTTGATTTCTGACCCTCTTCTCCAGTACATGTATACCTCCCATCTTCTACGCAGTTGACACTCTTACTCGTACGCCATCCGACATGCCTCTTCAAAGAGTGCCCTCACATCATCCGTAGCTCCCTCTACACTACCGGTAGGGTTGTACTGTCCAACGAAGACGGCCGAGAGCGTCTCCTGGATAGTAGCAAAGTCCCTGTTGAATTGTCGTAGGTAGGCAAGATACCATTCGCGTGCCCACCACGCCTTCCATTCCAATTCCTCGACTTCTTCATCCACTTCGGCTCCCTCCTCTCCTTCTTCATCACCACCACCTGCAGCAGTAGCGGCTGCCGACGAAGCAAGAGTGCTGGTGCGCCGATAGTGGTCTGCGAGTCCTTTGAAGGCGCCAGCGAGGACTTTACGTTGCTCGGACAAGATCGACTCGAGGGCCGACTTGGTCTCTTCAACGGTCTGACGCTTCTCCTCTTCTTCCTTCTTCTTCTTGGCAGGGTCGTCGGCGGCATTCTTGTCAGCCGCTGCACCGCTAGGAGATGCAGCACTTGGGACAGCGCCCAGATCGGGTCGGCGGGGAAGGGAAGCAGAGGTTGGGAAGGAGAAGGGCACCTTGGGGACCGGAGTGCTAGCAGTAGCAGGTGCAGAACCATCTTCGGTAGTCTCCGCAGCTGCTGCAGCTGCCGCTTCCTTTCTCTCGGCCTCTTCAGCTTCCTCTCGCTGTAGTCTAGCCAATCTCCTGCGGACTTGTCCCACACGGCCATTGACCTTTTCGATTGTCAGACGAATGATCTCGAACCAATCGAAGTTGGACCAGTCCCTGGTGTACTGTCCGCCAGGGAGAGCGATGAGCTTGCTGAAGGAGCCAGGAGCGGCGTCTCCGCTCGTGGAGAGGATGGTGCGAGGCAGACTCTCGGCGGTGGGTGGGTCAAAAACAAAGGCAATGACATCTGCTGGCTCCACAATGCGATATTGCATCAGCTTGTCTAGAACGATCATCACCCACTGTGGAGATCTGGCCCAGAAGCGAGTAGTGGAAGTTAGGATGGCCAGTCTCATCGAAGGTGTGGACGAGAGCTGACGCAGAAGAGCATGATAGCGCTCGACGATATTGAGGAAGTGGGAGAAACTTCGCGATCCGATGTGAAGCACCACCTGCGTCATAATGTCCCTCACGATGATGTCTGCTTGGGCCTCTGTTGAGACTTTGCCGCTGGTCATCGGATCGTCCTCGTCTGGGAAAGTCGAGTCGGCTGCAATGAGGTCTCGCTTGAGAGATTCCAACTCGGCTAAAACCACAGGAGCTGTAGCTCGAGCTCGAAGAGAGTTGTTCAGAGCAGTGGCTCGAGCATGGTAGGGGTGTTCTAAGAAGCATGAGAAGGGCAGAATCTGCGTCAATTGCGTCCTTCGATGGAAGATCCTGGCCTCTCGGCTGTCGCAGCTCACCTGGGCTCTCATATGTGAAACACGGGGTGGGCTCTTCAGGCTTCAGTACACCCTCCTGAATCTCCTCTGGCAATGTTCCTTTGATGCGATCGTAGTACGCGAGCCTGATCTCTAGCTCGGCAACTCTTCTAGCAAATGCCTTGGCGGGATGGGAGTGCGTCGACCTCATGTCTGGGATCCACTCCTTCCAGCCCCAGGAGAAGTTGAAGTTGCTGAGATGCGCACTGAACCATTCTGCGAATCTCTTGAGGACTTCTGAGGAGACACGGCCAGTCCTCGACGCGCCATAGATACGACGGACGGTCCTGCCGATGGCGGGAGCCAGAGTCTGCGGGCTAAGAGTAGTGATCTCTCTGAGCAGAGAGTGGTAGTATAGCGGAACGTGTGGAGCTTGGGGTAGCAGCAGCGACGCGGACAGGATACACTGCAGAGCAAAAGGAGCGTAGTGTGTCAGTGAGCACTGCACATGATCTCAACTCGAGACGTCGATCACTCACCTCTACAATAACATCGTCGATGGTCCAACCTCCTTGAGGATCCTGTGGATCGGCAGTCACCCATTCAATGTCCTCTGCGTCTCCGAACAGTCCCGTATCGGGACTGACGGCTTTGCCAGCAAAGGTTCCCTTTCTCAACCACTTGGCGATGCTGAAAAGAATACGTGCGCACTCTTTCCTGTTGACCTCGTACAAGTCGATGATCTCGTTGACGAGGGAACGCAGTACAACAGCCGAAGGAGTCCCGACGAGGGGCGTAGACTCGACGAACCACCGAGCAAAGACGGCCGTCTTCTCGGGACCAGCTCCAGCTCGCTTCACTTCTTCGTCAGCCTTCTCTAGAGTCACTCCCTTCTTGCGGCCCCGAGACTTCGATGGCTTTCCGTCCTTAAGGTAGTCGCCGCCGAAGCTGAACCCTTCAGAGTCATCTTCCTCGGGAGGGACCAGCACTTCAGGCAGCGCAATCTGGTACTGATCTGAAGACATCTCTCCTCGACCGCGGAGGAGGTCTCGTGAGATAGAAACGATGGCTGGCGGTAGCAGGTCCGTTGCGGCAGGTAAAAAAGCAGGAGCCTTGTACTGTCGAGAGCGCAGCAACAGCAGCGCTTCAACGGCTTGCTCGAAGCCCTCTTCGTGTAGCGGGTCCTTGTCTGCCTCTTCGCCGGTGGATGGGGCCCAGGCACGTCTGAGACTAGTCTCACCTCTCCTGCCCTTCGCATATGCTTCGACTGCCTCGACCATGCCATTGACTTCTTGCAGCGCTGCGTCGTCTATTTGCAGAGCATTCGAGTCATCATCAGAGGCTAGTAGGTCCGGCCGGATGAGGTCGGAGCCAGATCGACACAGGACTTCAATGATACACATTGCTGCGCGATCTCCACGGTCCACTGTGACGCCTGGCTCGTTCAGTACCATCGAGAAGGCCGAGAGAAGAGTTCGCATCGAGGAGGGAGTGACGATGCCCAGAGGCGCCAGAGAAGCGAAGAAGTTGAGCTAGAGGAGAGCAAATCAGTAAGACGTTGTCAGTCTCTTGATTCGACGCTGCAGCCTACAGGTTCACTCACTGAGAGTCGCACATTCCTCCACAGCCTCGAGTGCAAGTGTGAGCGGAAGGCCTTGACGAGATCTTTGCCGATCTTCACGCCCAAGCTCTCTGGAATTTCCTGAGAGCTGCCGGACATCGCATTGTCCCCATCTTCGGCCCTCGATGACCTCTGTCCTTCGGGTGAGATGATCAGGAAGCCGAGGAGGGCAGCTACGAGGGGCGTCTTATGGGGCTGCTCTGTGACCATGACGCGGAAGGCCTTGAGGATCATCTGCTCTTGTGCATTGCCCTTTCGCCCCTCTTCCTCGATCCACTTCTTGATGGTGAAGAGGTCGCTCTGAGGGAAGAAGTCCTCTCCATTGTCCGTCTCTCCCATCTTGTAGATCCTCTCTCGTACCCTGCGAGCTCTCTCCTCGTCTGCCCTCTGTCTGTCTTCTTGCATAGATCCAGAGCTCGCCATACCGCCTCCTCCTCCCCATCCGCCACCTCCGCCTCTACTTTGACGGCCTCTACCTCTTCCTCTGCCGCCGCCTCGGCCGCCTCCTCCACCATAGGGTGAGCCTTGCTGATACTGCTGGTACTGCTGCTGCTGGTAGCCGTTGTTCATCGGGGTCTGGGGCAGTCCAGCCTGTTGGCCGACGCTGTACAGCGAATACGGGTCGCCACCTGACGGGTCCATGATGACAAGAGAGAAAGCGGCGGAGTCCCTACTGCTGCGATACGATCCTTGGCGGCAAAGGGTGTTGGCGTGATGGTAGCCATGCCATCTACACCCGAGCGGGCTGGCGGGCGTGGGATCTTCCTGCTTGCGCGCGTGCGGATCCGCTCCCTCGCCTCTCCACCCAAGTCGCCGCCTACGATCCATCACGGCCTGCTGCACCTCCCTACCATCCCACCCTTCGTCTTGGTCGCCTCCTCTCTTGTTGCCTGCTGGATATCAGATACACATTGGTACCTTTGTAGCCTAGCAAGACAGTAGTCCAGCGTCTCCGTCCGTCCATCTCAAGATGGGGTACCTCACCACCTACCTCGCCGCCTACGGCACAGTCTCCCTGCCCACCCTCCTCCTCATCCTCTACTTCACCGACAACTTCCACCCCTTTCGCTTCCTCCGCGAGTCTTCTCCGTATGCATGGGCTATGACTGGTATCGGACTCTGCATCGGCATGTCCGTATCGGGTGCGGCTTGGGGAATCTACATTACCGGCGCTTCCATCCTAGGAGCTGGTGTGAGGGCGCCTAGGATTACCACAAAGAACTTGATCAGTATCATCTTCTGCGAGGTCACTGCCATCTATGGAGTCATCATTTCCATTGTCTTCAGTGCAAAGATCAATGGTAGTCTGGGAGAGGAGGGATTGTGGACAAGAGACAACTACTTCACAGGTGAGTCGTTGTTGTATTGTGGCAGAGGCGAGCTGCGACCCTACACCGATAGCATAGCTCAAGTTGTGCTTCCCTCTTATCCGTACAGGGCACCTCATCTTCTGGGGAGGCATCACAACTGGACTCTGTAACCTCATCGGAGGAGCTTCCGTCGGTATCACAGGAGCTAATGCAGCAGTAGCAGACGCAGCAGACGGCCAGCTCTTCATCAAGAGTGAGTGCAAGGAGCTCGTCGAGTGAAGGCACAGTGCAGATGGCTGATCCTCTTCTTTGCCTCATCTTCTGTTGCATATTCCATTCAGTCCTCATTGTTGAGGTGAGCCCTGTACAAATCACTGCATCCAGCTTCTCAGTGTGCTCACAGCTCCCTCCTAACTCTTCTTGCGCCGACAGATCTTCTCGAGTATTATCCCTATGTTCGGCCTTATCGTGGCACTCTTGATGGTACGTTCACCTGGTTCGTCAAAAGCCAAATTTACAATACTGACATTGCAGCGTCTGACTCTATTCTTCACAGACGGCCAGCACAAAGGAGTTTGCATAGAGGGACACATCAAAGGAACGAGGGACGGGCCGGCCCCAGCAGCGGAGCAGGCGGACGTCAGGGCCGTAGCGGTATGCGATCAAGCTGAAAGACAGTACCACGCTTCGTGTTCGCCGGATTGATGATTCTCGCGATTAATAATATTGGATCACCAACATATCATTCAGTGCCATTGAGCGAGAAGCGACACTCCGCCTTGGATCAGACATTCCCGGCCTCTTGCCACCAAATATCCCAAGCACCCTGCCATTCCAGCCCTCCGCTGGCCCCGCCGAGCCCACTGGGACCCCAGCGATCCTCAAAGACTTCGTGACCGCCTCCGATGAGGATGTCATGCACGTGGTATGCTGTTCTTGAGAAGTGCAAAGAAAGACTCCTCTGCCCTTCTCCCGCAAAGAGCTGGGCAAGGCGCCAGAGTGTGCGTTGTGCCTCGTCTACGTGCAGAGCAGGGGACTGAGTGAGAGCCAGGGGAGACGTTGCAGATGAGTCGAGATGTGACGAGCCGAGCGTAGCGGCCAAGGTGTCCAGACTGTGGTCCTCCTGAGAAGGGCTCAGGAATTCGACCCAGCGCTGAGCGAGGTGAGCATTCACTGCTTGAAGAGAGAGCAGGTAGTGCTGTGCAAGGTGGCGAGACGTGGGGATAAGCTTGTCAGCATCTTAGCGATTGAACGAACTCGACAGCCTCACAGTACTTACCTTGACAGCCTCGACGGTCTTCCTCTCCCTCTCAGCATGTCTGCCGATCCTCTCGTAAGTCTCCCTCATTTCAGGCCTTAGCACTCCCCTCTTCTCATCGTACGTCTCCGTCAATTCCTCCGCAAAGCTGAGCAGAGCCTCCTTGATGTCTTGGTGCTTCTCACAGTCGTCCTCCTTCGCTGTGTCGCTGCGATGGGCAATGAGCGCATTGCTCCTGCTAAAGAGCGCTGGAGCTTGCACAGCAAAGAGCTTCCGTCGAGTTGCGAGACGGTTGTCTCCGTCCTGACGGTCGAGATCGCAAAGAGGACAAGCGCAGACGAAGCCGTGCTTGGAGAGCGTCGCTTGTCGAGACTACACCGATGCAGTTGTGGAGAATCTGTGTCAGTGTGATTGCGAAACTCCTCTTATTCTGTAGAGTATACCGGACTCACCTGATAGTCAACACCTCCCCTGACATACTCGTGACCAATCTCTTCGCCCTCTTTCAGATCTCGCAAGGCTTTCGTCACCACGACATCGCCGAGGAAGACAGAGGAGACGTTCGGCAGACAGGAATGATTCAGGATAGCTGGAAGAGGATGGGGCTGTGTTGATCTCGAGAAGGCGCTGGGCGGGTCTTGTGCCAGCTTGCGGCGCAGAGCTCGAGGTAGAGTGCTCATCGGCTGGCTACCGTTGCTCTGCACTGGACCTGCTTGAGATTGGCCGTCTTCCGCTGTCTCTCCTGAGGCAGAGCCCCGCTGTACCACTCCAGGACCAAAGGCGTTGTGCCTCAATACTTCATCGACGTAGAGGGAGTTGATGCCTCCTTCTGGCCCCAGCCTGTCTGGACGGAGGCCTTCGTAGACCTCTTTTGCTCCTACTCTGGCTGCGGCCTTCTTGAAGCGGCCTGTCTCCACCCAGCGACTGTCCCGCGTACCAGGTCCAGCAGTCAGACCTAAGATTTCCTGCGTGAGCTCTGGCCGGTCAATCATCTGATGGATGAGCTTGGTGGTAGCGAGAATCTGCGTGGTGGTGCTAATGACACCATTCTGGAAATCACAGCGGATGATGGGACAGTATTCGTCCAACTGCTCGTCAGAAGGGTAGGAGGATCCTCGTGACTTTGCCATGAGCAGTGGCTCACCAGCCGAGACCGAGCAAGTTGTGACCAGACCTCGACCGGCATTGGGTATTTGAGCGACTTTGAGAGCAGGAGAGAGCCAATCTGCAGCGGGTATGCGAGGCTTTGCAGAGCTAAGATGAGACCGATATATGGTTGCCACAGTCGAGCCTGCGCTCGAAGGACCTGCTTCTGCTTCCGCCCTGCGTTGGCGAGCCTGAGAAAGCTTGTCGAGTAAGGTCGACGGTACCGACGAACCCATTCCCGATGTCGCCTGCTCTAGTACCCGCTCAGCTTCCACCCAGGCGCCCATTGCTAAGAGGATGTCACCTTCCAACTCAGCTTCTTGGTGGGGTGACCGACTCGCATTCGTCCCGGAGGGATGAGGCTTCCCTGTGAGGCCGGCCGACAACTCGCGCCAGGCTGCTCCGGGCCTGCCGTCCTTCAAAAGGCGGTGTGCCAGTGACAGTGTGTCTTTGCTGGCGCTGTCAGAAGACGTGTGGTCCTTCTCCCAGCGAGCTCGGGACAGCGGGCCGTCTTGCAACCACGCTGGCTGTAATGTCGATGTCTCAGCGCTGGTCTCTGGGCTGAGAGGCTTTGTGGTGGCAGTACTCGAGGATGCTGTCTTCAAGGCCGCCTTCTTCGCACCCTTTCCTCCAGCTTTGGCAGGCTCGGGCTCTTTGATCCACTGCAAAGACTCCATGTATGGCGCCTTCCAGCTATGAAGTGCGTGTCCAGAACCTTCCCCTGCGCCCTGTAGCAGTACAACATCGGTCGGTGTATCTATCCGCAGGCCTGGACCACTGAGATTTCCTGCTGCTCTGAGCGAATGGTTCGAGCTGATGTATGGTTCCTTGATGATCAGCAACGTACCTTGTGGGAGAAGCGCAGATGCTTCTTCGCTTGACATGCGGGGGTTTGTGGTGAAGTGCAGTATTGACGCGGGCATAGAGAAACCAAATGGAGCTGGAAGGGTGACCAGGAAAGTAGCGCCGACGTATATGGACAGACTTGAAGCGACTCGTACTACGAGGTACTTCCCTTGCATTCTCCTACCCACTTGCAGATCTTCCACTTTTGTGATTGGCGCCAGACTGCTCAGCTCAGCCTCCGATGCATAGCTGGGACCGCCGCTGAAGATGACTTTGGGACAATAGCCGCCATAGATGGTATTGAGCTTCTGCGACTGCCGCAAAGATGACTCGTGGCGTAAGGTGAGGAAATGCAGTGGAGTGGCCTTCGGTAACGACTGAGGGGAGGATTGCAGAGCTTCTTCTGCCTGATATGCGGCTCGCAGCTTCGAGATCTCGCTCTTGAATATTTTGATCATCTCGACGATGGCATCTTCGATCAGCTCCCGATCCATTCCGAAGCCAGTGGAGCCCAGCACATCGTCCGCATCTTCACTTGCTTCAGCAGCCGCATCCTTGTCGTAGGACCCAAGACTGAGAACCCTGGCTAGGTCACGGGCTTCTTGCTCTTCTGCTTCTGGCGATGCAGAATTCGAGAGTAATTGCAAGAGCTGAGAGGGACTTGGGGGTAGCAAGGACAGTGAGTGCAAGGAGGTGAGCAGAGCATCCATGCTCGCTTCGAGTGCTCCCTGTGGTGCTGGTAGCCGGCACCAGTCAGTGTGTGGTGGTAGTCTTCAGGATCTTCTTGCGGAAGTGGGCAAAATCGAGCATGAGCGGAGCTTGAAGTCCTTGTTTCCGGTGCTCGAGTCCTTTCCGCTTCTGATCGGCAGATACGAGCTGCCAGGCAACGATACCCGGTCAGGCTGCCTGCCTTCTAACGTCGGATGCCCAGCGGCGGCAAGCGCTCAGCAGTAGTAGAAGCGCTCCCTCGCTCTTCCCTTCCTCTGGCGCGGCCACAACCAAATACGCCACCAAGGTCTCCCGTCAAGCGAGTCTCTACAAAGGGGTTCCCCACGCGTTTCGGAGGAGGAGATGACAGTCTCTCCGTCGTACAGGACTTTGAGGATGTCTTGGTCGGTGGCGCCATCAGCGGTCAGGCGTTGTCTGAAAGCCAGAGGAGACAACCAGGCATCGCAAAGAGCATGAAGACCAAGGCCCAGTCGAAGACAGTCAGCAAGAGGAGAAAGAAGGAATCCCCCAGCGAGGCACCTCCTCGAGGGACCAAGACTGGCGTCCCTCCTATTGATGGAGAGGCAGTGCTTATGGCATCAGCGGTAGACCATCATGTCCCTCTCGCTCCAGATCGAGCGCTCGAGACGCGTGCGAAGAATCCTTCGGGCAGCGATGAGATTCAGAAGAGTCCGGATTCACCACTAGAGCCCCTCGAAGTGCAGGGTCAAGCCGCCCACACTTTGACTGGTCTCGTCAGACCTCCTTCGCCTGTCTTTGCTCCTCCTGTTGCTCATACATCTCCGATTGAGACACCTATACCACATGGACGGTACTCCTTGCGTCGACGGATCCTTGCTCCCGAGACGCCCGTCGACTCTTCACGCTCTGACAGGCCCCCACAAACGCCCTCTCGACCCAGAGTCGGATTGCAAGTGGAATCTACGGGGAGCAAAAAGGCGAGGCAGAGTCTTCCATTAGTACACGCCGGAGAAGATACAGCTGGAGATCGTATTGCTGACGCGGCTCTACGTGAAGGCTCCACTTCTCCCCGATCCCCTCTGCTGGAGAGAACGGATGAGAGTCGGCTGGCTGTGTCCCAACCAAGTGAGCGGAGGAGTGTTTCATCCACCAAAGCCCAGGACGAAACGTATCCCAGGCAGCCCGTACAATCTCGGTGCGACTCAACGCCCACGGCCTCTCAGGACTCTCTACACTGCATCATCTACTGCTGGCACCGCGACAGCCAGACCTCTTCTCAGATACATGGCCAGTCTTTCTCTCAATCACATTCACAAAGTCAAGCCCTCTCTGCATCTCAGCAATCGCAATGGCAGTATCTCTCGCAGCCCCAAGCTCTCTCCCAGCAGAGCATCAATGGAGCAACGCATGACGGTGAACGGGGCGTGGGCTTCTTCGAGGGCATGGAGGAGCAGCCATGGGTGCGTGTTGGCGTAGATCAACTCGTGGAGCTGAGTAAAAGCAGAGGTGAAGAAAGAGACAACGCTAGAGTCTATCGGGTGGCCAAGGAACCACCTACCAGGCAGCAGGTTGCTGAATATTGCGACTGGGGAGCGCAAGGGTCGGTCAGATGAGGCGCTGAGATCTGATGTATACCAGCTTAACGATATCATACGCCTTCTATTCAATGTGTTGGCTGCTGTCTCAGCCCAGTCTCCTTGAACATCAGGAAACGGATATATCAGTTCAACTCTCGTACGCGCAAGGAGTGCTCGACAGTAGACAGAGCCGCAAGCGGCTAGAGATACCGAATTAGGATCGGCTGAGTTGAGTTGAGGCGTTGCAGAAGTGGGGACAGGTATGGGAAGGAGGACGGATTGAATTTGAGGCGCGACGCAGCTTCGTGTTTGAGGGTCGTCGGATCTAGAAGAATGCTTCGAGTCCGAGGGCTTGGAGATGGCAGCTGAGCCAGACCGCTCCAGGCGACAGAATCAAGATGGTCCTTCGTCCTCCTCGAGCTGCATCTGCTCCAGAGCGGCCCTCATTGCCAGTGCATAGAAGAACTTTTCCCTCGGACACTACGCAGGCTCTGTATTCAGTCTCGAAAGAAGACATGGCGATGTGTGACAGCAGTTGTATTGAAGTGATCAGTTTTGCTGAGGACAGATCTTGAGTCTTCCGACAGCGTTGGTGACATGGTCAATGTGCTACGACATACGGTCGGTGTGAAAGTATCAGGCACGGCCGTTGGTGCCCTGAAGCGTAGGCATCGGAGCGGAAGGGAGAGCACAATTGCACGGTGTCGGCGGAGCGCTCATGAGTCTCGTGTGCCTGGCATTGCCCGAGCGCAGTGGCCTGCGGTCAGGGCAGACCATTCGTCCTGACCGAGACGGTTCCCCCTTTTTTCACCGCTTGTCCAGTCGACTCGCTTCTCACCTCCTCTGCCTACATTACCATTCCCCATCACTACTAATCGACGTTTGTCATGCCCGTACCTCGCACTACCGTATCGATAGCTTTTCGTACTGTCGCACACCCTCCTAGCATAGTCGCCAACGCAAGGTGCGATCGCTACGCAGGTGAGTTCTGCGCGATGGCATCGGCTATCGGCACACACTCATCCATAGCTGCCCTTCTCTACCGTTTCTTGTGCGTAGCTCTCCACCAACTCAAACTCCTAGCTTCCCCCATCCTCTAATGTCACCCGTAAGTACAGTGCAGTCCCTCTTTGCTCCACTGCCTGCCTCGTAAGGTCTCCGCTCATTCGGCTTCATTTCTTCTCTCACCCCACCTAGATACGCTCCTCGCCTCACACTCAACGCATCATCTCACTGTGCCGGGCTCTCACGCACCATGTCGAAGAGACAGCTGCTGCCTCAGCAAGCACTATGAATCACGAGGTCGACTCACAGGATCTAGAGTTCATCTTTGCCGCCAAGTGGCTTACGAGTCAAGATCCAGAGCCTTTGGATGAGCGAGGGTGCTACCGACACACCTGCCTCAGCAACGACGACAGAGGACCTACCCCGAGCTCCTCGCAGACATGCTCCGCATCATACGTGAGCGCTGCGAGTTTTGGGCCCTGCCCTGTTCGATCTGCCGTGCAACTCACGACAGCAGGAACCGGGGCCTCCGCTGCGTGAGTACAGTAGCTATCACCACACCACCACCGCTGCTCCTAGCTCAGGGCCTCTCGCCTTTCATCGCACCACGCCAGTGCTTTTTCGTAGCGCCCGTTGCTGACTGTGTCTTTCCATACTCTCGTTGCTAGATGGATCACATCTGTCTAGGACCGGGATGCGAGGACGAGTTTGCTTCTGCAAGGGACCTCCACGAGCAGTGGCTCGGCACATCCCCAGGGACTCGGTCCGGTGCTTGTGGGCAGGCGGCTCACACATCTCAACGACCGGCTACAGTCTCGTCAGGGACATTCTGACGCACACTGGTAAGTAAAGCAAGGGCCGAAGCTACGACTGCGTGGGTTGCTGACAGGCGCGCTTGGCTTGCCTTGCTTTCACAGGTCACCGCCCATACCCCTGTCTGTCTGCTGGTTGCGAGGAGGATTTTACCCAGAGCCACACCCGCACCACTCATATGGCTGCAAGACATGGTGTGAACGCTGGAGAGGAGTATCCCTGCAGCTTCCCCGGGTGCACTCGCACCTTTCGGTCTGCAGACTCCCGAAGGTCTCATGAACGAGGAAGTCATCGTCCCGCTGCTGCCGTTGCCTGTCGTGTTTGTGGCCGAGAACGGCCGAACCGCAACCAGGCCAATCGCTGTGTGAGTCGAGTTCGTACAACCCCTCTTCGTGAGCATCGGAACTGACTGGCACGGCGCCTCTTCCCTTGTCATCTTGTCACCATCGTTTCTCAGGCGCGCCGTGACCTTGCTACCTTCACCTGTCTCTGCGGGAACGTCTTTGCAAGCCGATACGAGCTGCAGAGACACATTGCTGCTCGCAACGGCAGCGGTCCGCGTCAACATGGTCAGACTGATCGATGAAGGGTTTCTCCGCTAGCGACGTATGCTATAGATGTGAAAGGACTTCTCTGTGTCAGCCGTCTCTCGCGCTCTTGAATGACTACCGTCGATTACCTAGCCAGTGTGCAACGGGGGTGCGTCTATATCGACCTCTGAGGCTGTGGATGCCAGGCCCGGTGCAGCTGGAAGTGGCATACTTGCTCTCCCTTCAATTTCATATCAGCATTTGATACAAGGGCATGTCCGTAGCTTCGATCTCCTGTCTCAAGAATGGGCCAAGAAGGGGCTGAGGTGGCGGACAGGCTCTCCACTTCAAGGCGGCTCACCAGCCGGAGCGTCACCATGCGGGCGACGGAAGGCAGTCTCCCTGCACAGCGGAAGGGTGCAACCACGTCTCGTGCTCTGCCGACTGCACATCGCCCGCAAGACTGCGAAGGGGGAGTGAGACTGATTGAGGATTTATGGCTCGTAGAAAAGCACTGGCGAATCGTGACATCTTCGTGTATAATCTGAATCAGCCTTTCGTGGACAAACTGTTCGATGGAGATCTGAATGGTGAGCTTCGAAGAGCGTCTTTCTGCCTAGCGGTGGACTTCTGCCGAAAGACCCAATGTAGGAAAGAAGACATTTGTCTGGCCGTGAGCAGACGCATGTCTCGGGCGCGCAAGTCTATATCATTGCCATTGACATTGCGAATGCTGTTCTGTTCAGTCTCTCAGAGCAGCGCTATTACAGGGACAACGACGGAGCTTTGCATTCTCCCGCCGTTGAATCCTCTGAGAGAAGTGTACTGCTAAACGTCGAGCCCTACTCTATCTATACTGCTTTGGCTTCTTCAACTTCTACTTCACATTCAACTTCCGAGAGATGGATTTGAGATCTAGATCCAGGAGCTTTGATATGTACTTGCCGATCTGTGAGAAAAGGGTGTAGAGGGAATGATCAGATGGAGGCTCGGGAAGAGCTCGTTTTCGGAGCGATGCCTTGACTTACATCAGTGTTCTCGATGATGCCATGTAGCCCTTCACCCAGAGCTGCTCCTCCATGCGTAAAGACTGGAATGTCCACTCCGGTATGACCGCTCGTTGTCCAGCCGATATTTGCTCTGCGACTGGCGACGTCAACGATTGCCTTTCTGCACTCGTCATCATTGTCGATGGGCGGTACAACCATTGATCTCGACGAGGGGAGACATTCAAGGACTCGACTGATCTCCCCTTCAGTGATCTCCCCACCGCTTGTCCCGGCTCCGAAACCGAGCCCACCTTCTGGTCCCAAAATATGACCCACGACGAATTGACGAAGAGATCTTGCCCCAGGTCCAGTGCGGTAGTACTCCAATAGCTTTGCAGAAAGCACATCTCCAGAGTGTTGCACGCCGGTGAGCCTTTCAGGGTACCACAGGTACTCTGGGTAATCATTTCCGATTTGCCTTCCCAGTGTCAGCCCGCCAGTCTCATGATCCGATGTAGAGATCAAAATGGTCTTCTCGCCCTTTGCATTGAGTTCGTCGACCAACTGCATCACCCTCCCTGCAGCTTCTTGGTACGCAATGGCCTCTCGGCCCATGCAGGCCGGATCGTTTTGATGCTGGCATAGATCGATCTGCGATCCTTCGATCATGAGCATAAATCCTTTGCGCTGAGACTTCTTCGAAGCTGAAGCCTTGCTTCGAGCGTTGTCTGCTAGAAGCGTTATAGCTTGCTCAGCTAGCTGCGATAGAGTTGGGAAGGCGGCCCGCCCTTTCGAGTCTGATGGAACATCGATCACGTATGGGGTGTTCGAGGATGTCAGGAGTGAGAGGAAGGGAAGCTCTCCAGACTGGCCCTGCAGGTCGTAAGAGGTATTGAACGATGTCGCGCTAGTCGCTATCTTTTGTTCGCCATGAGGTCCCTTTACTTCAGCCGCGCCCTTATCGCTGCTGGGAGGCTCGCGGACGTCCCAGCCTTGCTGCCTCGCTTCTGAGATGAGATCCCTATTGTCAGTACGACAAGACTCAGGATGGCTGCTGGGATAGAACCAGCAGCCTCCACCTCCAATGGCGAGGTCAATAGTCCGCTCTCCGCCTTCATACGGCTTCTCTAGCATCTGTGCAGCAATGGCGGATTCGAGTGCTCTCGAAGAGGCATGGGCAAAGAATGCCGCTGGCGTAGCATCGGTCAATCGAGATGTGACGACTACACCAGTAAGGTAGCCCTTTTCCTTTGCAGCCTCAAAAACGGTTCCACATGGCGTGCCTGCCGAGTCGACTCCGATGGCGCCATTGTAGCTCTTGAGCCCACAGGAAAAGGCAGTTGCGCCGGCTGCACTGTCCGTGATGAGAGAGTCTGAAGATCGAGATCTGTGACTTCCAACCAAGGCCTTGTCCAGAGGGAAGCCCCAGTTGAAAGGTGGAACGCCATCAGGATTGTCACTTGAGTTGCGATGCAGAGTTTGATAGAAGGTACGAGCAAACGTATGAGAAGCTGGGCCATATCCGTCACTAATCATCATGATGACATTGGTCGGGCCATCGTCTGCGGCATCAGAAGAGCTGTGCTTGCCTCGCCAGCATTTGGAGTAGGCGACCCGAGGAAGATGCGCAGCGGGTACTTGCAGACTGACGGCATATAGAGCGATGGCAGTGAGCACAAGGGTAAGCAAGATCCTAAAAGCCCGGCCAGTCTTGCGAGGCTCTCGCACGATGTGAGTGGTTGGCTGCGGAAGGGATGAGGACGACTTCTCTCGTTCGCCCCACGGAGCGAGTTGCCGATACACTGGAGGCATGTTGTAGCTACTGACAGGGGTTGGATCTGGGCAATGGTGCGAGGCAAAGGCAAAGAAGGGTCCGCACCCAGATTGTCTGCCCCTCTGCCTCCATCCGATCGAATGCGGCCCGATTGCTCCGCTCCGCTTCCGCTCCTCCACACGGCGAGTTGGCGTGACCATTTTGCGCAATGCTTTCCAGTGCTTCTTCTAGGTCTACCAGTGACTCCACGCGCCTACACTTGAGCTCTTAAGCCAAGGATGACTTCTCTGCCAACGACTACCACTGCTTGGCGCCTGCAGACGAGGGGCTCGCCCGCAACGGAGCTCAAGCTCGACAAGGATGTGCCCATTCCCGAGCTGAAGCCAGGACAGGCCCTTGTGGCAATCGAGCAGGCCGGCATCAATCCAGGTGCGTGGAAAGATGATAGGGAGTATGCAAGGTCATCACGAGAAACTGTTGCTCACGCACCTGCCGACGTTGACTTCCACAGTGGACTGGAAGATCGCCTCCGTTCTCCCCGGCATCGTCCAGAATTTGCCCCGCACAATGGGCTCTGACTTTGTCGGTCGTGTCCTTTCCGTCAAGGCGCCTACAGCCTCAGCTCCTGATGATGCCTTCCTGCCCGAAGTGGGACAGAAGGTCTATGGTATGGTTCATGCCGCAAGCTTTCGAGGGAGACAGGGAAGTCTGTGCGAGCACACTGTTGTACCCATCGAGGGGCTGGCGCCACTCCCACCTAATCGGCTCAGCTCGGAGCAGGCTGCTGGATTGGGCGTTGTCGGCCTGACTGCTGTGAGGATGGAGAGCTTTGCAAAGAAGGGAGATCGAGTGTTGCTCCTCGGTGCCTCCACTGGGATTGGTGTGCTTCTAGCCGCTATGCTCAAAAGCCCACTGGTGGGCGTCAGTCATCTCGTCGCCACAGCGTCTGGACAAAAGATAGGGGAGTTAAGGGAGCGCGGCCACATCGACGAGTTCGTTGACTACCGAAAGGAGAAGAATGTGGAGGACGTGCTCAAGGAAAGGTACGCTGCAGCTTCTCCAGCTGCATTCGATGTCATCCTGGACTGTGTCGGGTCCTCCGCCACCCAGATGCGTTGCGCGGAATTTCTCAAGAAGGGAGGTACATACTTCAATACTGGTGCGTCCTCGATTGAAGCAGACAATCTATTCTGGTCGGTCATAGCGTTCCTCAAGAACGCGATCCAGACCAATATTCTTCCGGTCTGGCTCGGAGGAGCTTCAGGTGTCATTCAGGGCGGTCCATTGCTCAGCCGAAGGCAAGATTGGGACAGATTGAACAGCTTCATCGAGGGAGGATACCTCGATCCGAAGACTGATTCGGCCTTCTCCTACAACGAAGCTTCAAAGGCGTACGAGAGGCTGATGACCGGAAGAGCGTTCGGCAAGGTCGTTGTAAAGGTCAAGGAAGATGTGGAGTAAGAGGGGGCTTCGAGGGGTGTATGACTTCTCAGGCATCGTCAGTAATACTGTGTTTTACCGCACCTCGTGTACTCTACCGTAAGGCGTCTCGCTCATTGCAGCCTCGTAGTCATGCAATACAGGCCCTGCCAACGTAATAAGCATACTAGTGCAACGCAGGCAGGCAGAGATAGCAGCTCATCAGCTCAAAGTCGCTCTTCAGTTCAATTCGTGAGTAAAATGTCATTGGGATATAGTCTGATCTCTACAATGCCAAGCTGTGGACGAAGAAAGGCAAAGTGTCAGCTCAATGCTCTTATCCGCAATTCGCATCTACAACATTGCATTTTGACTCACTAGTCCCGGATCTCGCCCTCTGTGAGCTTTCTAAAGACGGGCATCGTCTTTTCATTCTCTCCCCCTCCCACTTTTGCCGTTGTGCTTGTGCCAATGATCCCAATCTCCACGGTCTTCTCTGTCATTTGCCCCTCGAACGACTCCTTCAGTGTGAGAATGGATGTGTGAATGGCATCTTCGAGGGAAAGCTCAGAAGAGTATCTAATGACGGGAGTTACGCAGATGAGTCAGCGTAGGATCATCGGCCTGAGATCAATCTGCCACCACTCACCTCTTCTCCAAGAAGACCTTTCCATTCACACCGCTCTTGCCGATTGCGCTGGCCTTCCACATGAAGAAGCTCCCACTGGGGTCAATCTGGTACAGCGAAGGTCCTCGATGCGAGTCGTAGCCTGCCACTAGTAGTGACACGCCAAACGGACGTACTCCTCTGCAAGGGAGCAGTAGGACAAGCGAAGCCAAATCTGTCAGAAGGGAAGAGCAATGACACCAGATTTTCATCTGACCAGTGCACTCACCCCCTCTGTGTTGCCTCCTGCATGATCGCGGCTACCTCCTGCACCAGCACTCTTGTGGGCGGGTACTCTCCATAGATCTTCCAGTATGCCTGTGCGCTCTTCCTCGCCCTTGCAACCAGGACCCTGAAGTCTGGTCCCATTCCTGAGTAGACCATGCCAATGTTAGGACAGATGATGGCGAGCTTCTCTAGTCCGGTGGTGTCCACTAGTGGCGAAGGCGGCGACTTCTCTACTGCCAGGACGATTGCATTCGTGGCTGTCGGAAGCATGGAAGAAGAAGAAGAGGAAGGCATCAGCATCGGCCTAGGTAGCTCACAGGCTAGGCGACGGAGGATCTCACCCTTGATTCCCAGACATGTGGCTCCCGAATTGACTGCTGCTAGGGCGTGTTCGATTTGTACGAGCTACGGGGTGTCAGGGATCATACAGCGGAAGATAGAGATCAGCGCTGAGGGTTCTGCGGGGGCCTAGCTTGTCGCGGCTTGCCTGCTGCTGCTCACCTTTCCACTTGGCGAGAAGGTTGTAAGGGAGAAGCTGTGAGAGGTAGGTGAATGGTTGGGTCAATATCTTCGGCGACGGCTGGATCAAGTGAGGTCATCACCGTCCCTCACCTGTAAGCTCCTTCACCACGTCCTGCCATGGTTGTCTGGGGTGAGGATGAGGTGGTGGTGGTGGTGGTGGGTGAGAATCTGATGGGAAGCCAAGAAGGTCTACGGGAAGCGGTGATGGTCCGGGGCTGACGACGCCTGGCGTGTGTGGTGGGTGCGCCTGTGCTGAGTGGAGTTGGGACTCAGCGCGCGCCAGGGCCAAGGCGGGGGCTCAGGCTCAGGCTCAGGCCAGGCTGGCTGGCCCTGGCTGTGGCTGTGGGCGTGTGTTGGATGCGTCTCACCCTCACATCGACCACTGATCGTACACTTCCCACTCTACCCTGACTGTAACGCTGAGCTCCATACCTTCTCACAACTTTACTCGACGGAGCAGCATATAAGACCCTTGTGAAGTGCTCATCTGCTCATCTGCTGTATCCAACAAGGCGATCCTCACCACACAAGCAGCAGCTGGCCCTTGCGCACGACTCTTTCCCATTCCGGCCGCTTCATCGCATCTAATCGACTTCGAGGATTGCGCTAGATCAACATGGCGATGGACACAGGGCTCATCACTTTGGTCAACAAGGTCAGTTCCGTCCACATACAGGCTCACTTCCACGGCTCCGCTTCTGTGGACCACGCAGCTGACATATCCACCTTGCTCCCTATGGCATGCTTCCTGTTCCTCTAGCTGCAAGATGCTTTCACCAATGTAAGTCATTGGAGCCACGGCATATCATCTCCTGTTCAAGCCGTTGTTTGACATACGCCTCTGTGCCATTTCTATTCCCTCAGGTTGGCATCCAAAACCCAATCGATTTGCCCCAGATCACCGTATTGGGCAGTCAATCTTCCGGAAAGTCATCAGTCCTAGAGAACATCGTCGGCAGGGACTTCTTGCCACGAGGTACGGGTATCGTTACCCGTCGACCTCTCGTGCTGCAGCTTATCAATCGTCCCGCTGCAGGAGCCAAAGGTGGGGTGCAGAACGGCGACACACCCACACCAGGAGCAGAGGGGAACCAGACCAATCCGCACGAGTGGGGAGAATTCTTGCATCTGCCCGGAGAGAAGTTCCACGACTTTCAGAAGATTAGAGAGGAGATTGTGAGAGACACCGAGCTTAAGACTGGAAAGAATGCTGGTATCTCCCCTCAGCCGATCAACCTGAGAATCTACTCGCCTAACGTCCTGACGCTGACACTAGTGGATCTGCCAGGTCTTACAAAGGTGAGTATGCGAGGGAGAGGTCTCAGTAAGCAGTGGACCTCGCTCACAGCCCTTGACGTTCTCACCCTTGGTTTCCTTACAGGTCCCCGTCGGTGATCAACCCCGAGACATCGAGCGGCAGATTCGAGACATGGTCCTCAAATTCATCTCGAAGCCCAATGCAGTCATCCTCGCTGTGACAGCGGCCAATACCGATTTGGCAAACAGTGATGGTCTGAAGATGGCGAGAGAGGTAGACCCAGACGGAAACAGGACAGTGGGTGTGTTGACAAAGGTCGACCTCATGTGAGTAGTGAACGCTCGATGAGGCAGGTGGGTGAGAAGAAGAAGCTGACAGTCCCCGCGTACATTCCACATCTACGCGCAGGGACCAAGGTACCGATGTTGTGGACATCTTGGCAGGTCGAGTCATTCCGCTGCGTTTGGGCTACGTTCCCGTTGTGAACCGAGGGCAGAGAGACATTGACCAGAAGAAGGCAGTCAGCGCAGCATTGGAGGCGGAGAAGTCCTTCTTCGAGAACCATCCTAGCTACAAGAGCAAGGCGACATATTGCGGAACACCCTTCTTGGCCAGGAAGCTCAACACGATTTTGATGCACCACATCAGGAACACTTTGCCGGACATCAAGTCGAAGATTGGTTCTCAACTCGCCAAGTACCAACAAGAACTGCAAAGTCTCGGTGGACCACTTGGAGAGGCCAACAGTGGCAACATTGTCCTGACTATCATCACCGAATTCTGCAACGAGTTCCGTACAGTGATCGACGGTAACTCTAATGACTTGTCCGTCAACGAGCTTGCAGGAGGCGCCAGGATCAGCTTCGTCTTCCACGAGCTCTTTGCAAATGGAGTCAAGGCCATCGATCCCTTTGACTCTGTCAAGGAGGCTGATATCCGAACCATTCTTTACAACTCCAGCGGTTCGTCTCCTGCTCTGTTCGTCGGCACCACTGCCTTTGAGGTCATTGTCAAGCAGCAGATCAAGCGACTGGAGGAGCCAAGTCTCAAGTGTGTCGGCCTCGTCTACGACGAATTGGTCAGGATCTTGAGCCAACTGTTGAACAAGAACCAGTCTTTCCGCCGCTTCCCTGCCCTCCGCGAACGATTCAACACCGTCGTCATACAGTTCTTCAAGCGCTGTCTGGCTCCCACGACCAAGCTGGTGACGGACATTGTTGCTTCTGAAGCCTGCTACCTCAACACTGGCCACCCCGACTTCATCTCAGGACACCGAGCCATGGCTATCGTCAATGAGCGTATGCACCCACCCGAGAAGCCTCCCACAGACGCTCGTCGAAAGGAACTTGCCATCAACAATGACAAGGATCTGGATGTGACCGTTAAGAATGAGCAGGGCTTCTTCGGGTCTTTCTTTTCGGGCTCAAAGCAGCAGCAGCAGAACAAGGCTCGTCAGGCACTCATGGAATCGCCCCCTACAAGCCTGCGAGCCAGTGGACAGCTGACCGATCGGGAGACGATGGAAGTGGAAGTTATCAAGCTCTTGATCACTTCGTACTACAACATCACTAAGCGGACAGTCATCGACATGATCCCCAAGGCTACGATGCTTCACCTCGTCACAGAGGCAAAGGCTTCGCTGCAGCGTGAGCTCCTGCAGGAGCTGTATGCCAAGCCAGACGCGCTGAGCGAGGTCATGCGGGAGAGCGATCATGTCGTCACGCGCAGAAAGGAGTGTGTGAAGATGGTAAGTCAAAAGGGGGAAAGACGGTGTTTCTTCGCTCTCATCGCTGACAATTGCCCTTGCCGTCTCCCCACAGATCAGCGCGCTGGAGAAGGCATCGGAAATTATCGCAACAGTGTAGACGTAGGCGCTGATGGGGGGACGCGAGGGGTCGTAATTACATACGCCTTGGAGATGAATTTCGATTGTCGGCAGGCGTTCTCGACCCTACTCACGACTGCTGCTGCCTCACGATCGGGAGAGGATCCCCCAAAGGATCGTACCCACTACCGCTCCTATACTGGTAGCGACGGCCACCTCGAGCCTGCGCTCCTTTTCTGCCTCTGTCCGAGGCGAGTGGAGGAAGCGCGTGCGCCTCTTGACCATCGACAGGACGTCCTTTTCGGCCTCGACCTCGGCCTCGACTGGCCCAAGTGCGTCCGTAGTGCTTCTTTCTACCTCTCCGCCGCCCCTCTGCTTCTCGGCCACACCAGCCACTGCGAGCAACCCAGACTGACCCGTCTTGATCTCCTGCAGCTCTTCGGACAAGCCTTGCACGCTCTTGTCGAACCGATGGATGACTCCTTCCAGAGCAAGTCTGCCTTGCTCTTCTCCCTTGATGAGACGCGACTCAAAGGTCTCGGCTAGCTTGCGGCGCTTGTAGGGTTCCACGAGGAGGATGGCTAGGGCAAAGATGAACACTGAATGAGGCGAAGGGGCGAGGCGGTCAGCGGACCGCCGATCGAGACTGTCAAAAGTCTAGCGGATCATTGGCGACTCACCGTTGAGACCGACCACTGCTAGCTGTGTGTAGCTGCTGACGTTTCGCACTCGGTCGCTCCAGATCTGTTCATCGTGATACCGCTCCAGGGTCCTCTTGACTACCTCATCCCAAGCCTTGCCCACCTCCCTCTCCGCCGCATCAAACTCCTCCCTTGCTACTTCCTCTTCCCTTGCCTCTCCATGCTCCGCTCTCAACAACGACGTATACTTGATCAAATCCTCATCAGACCACGACGCCTTGCGTGAGAGGAGGTCATTGATCGTCTTTTGGGATGTGCTCCTCCGGGTAACTGCCTGCACGTAGCGGCTCTTGGCTTCATTCTGGGCGGTACGCAGGGCTTCAAGACGCTGTTCTGAGTCAATCACCCGCTTCTTGGCCGACTCGATTTGGTCGTAGCCGCTGTAGATGTTCCACTTGTCCCCTAGGCGGGTCAGCTCGGAGCGGAGCTTGGGCGCGAGGGTGGTGCGATGAGATGCTATAGAGCTGGAGAGGCGTTGCCAGTGCGGGGCGAAGGCATTCTTGAGGTTATGCTGCCGAGCTGAAGATGAAGCAGACGAAGAGGAGGAGGAAGATGGTGAACGAGGAGCAGCAGAGAAAGTCGGCGAGCTCGAGGGTCCTGCGCCTGCGTCTTGCGAAGAGGCTGGAGGCGAGTCGCCTGATTTCTGCTGGGAGTAGAACCGTCCTTGAAGAGCTCTAGAAGGGAGACGCGGTGGGCGCAGGATCGGGTTGGAGCTCAATCTGCTGGTCGGTATCCGCACTGCAGAGGACAAGGATCTTGCAGCGCTCATACTACCCGCTGAAGCGACTCGTGGCGACCAAGGAGGACAGGAAGGAGTGGCATCGATATCCCTGCCAAAGTGTTGGACTTGGTCCGAGCTGCGCGCTTCTCGGCTTCCGCCGAAAGTCACCTCGACTCCTTCCCGGTCACCGGGGCTCCTGACCTTCTTCCTACCTCACAGCACTTCCGTAGCATTCATCTGTCCAGCTTCCTCGAGACATCTAGCAGCCATGCCAGCTATGCCACCAATGCAAGTCCATCAGGCTCCTGGTCAGGGCCAGATGATCCCGCAGGCCCCCTCCGTATGGCAGAAGCGTGAGTACCAAGCATCTCTACTAGAACGCCACTTTCCTCTCAAAGGCTCACATGACCTTTGCTTTCAATTCCCCTGTATGCAGTTCAAATGGGAGCAATGATGGGAGCAGGGGTAGGACTGTCTATTGGGTTCATCGGTGGCGCATTCCAGATTCTGAGGGCAGGACCGGGACCCAAGGGAGCGCTGGCCACCATGAGCCAATTCATGGGTACTAGTGCTGCGACATTTGCGTGAGTTCGCGGGGCAGAGGCGGCTTCTGACTTCTTCTTCTTCTTCGAAGAAAGCAGAGGATTCTGACTCTGCCATTCTAAAATTCCTCGTCTGCAGCTTCTTCCTCTCGATAGGATCGGTTATCCGTTCAGACGCCAGTCTCTCGCCCGTCGAGGAGGCAAGGTGGAGGCAGGCCTACCAGCAAGGCTCTCTGAGGGTGCTGGCTGACCAGAGGAGGCAGACGCTGCACTGAGATACCGGGTCTGAGCGGGAGCGAGGCGCCCGACGGCAGCGCTGCTGGGCAGAGACTGGGCACTCAATGGCGTTCTGATCCCAGCAAAGGCGCTGATCTAGTGTTTTCCAGATCACTGTGCTGTGTCGCAGTCGCAAAATGTACATGTATTTTACAAAAAGGCAAGAACAGTGACACAAAGAAAGGGGTCCTTCTCATAGCCAATCAGGCTTGTGTTCTGGGTCAATGCGTACCGACGACAGGTCGAAGACTTCGATGAACTGTATCGTCACACGGGAAATGTATCGGGGATTGTCCTCGTCAGTGACCCTTGCCTTGCGCCACGAAGGCTCTTCTGGTCCCATCACTCACCTCCTCATCTACAGCCTTTGTGCCTGCGAACCTTGCATACTCTTCGAAGATGCTGGTATGACTCCAGCCCTGCAACCGGCGGATGAGACCAGTGATGACGCCTACCCTGGCTTTGCCCTTGTTGCAGTGAATCAGCAAGGGGTAATTGCGCTTGTCTAATGCCTGAGACAATGCTTCGGCAACGATGTCTGACTCCACTGCAAAAGGCGAAAACAAGGAAGAGAAAGAAGTGAGGTCAGCCTATAGCTCGCTTCGGCCGCTACGAGCCCTTCCCTTTGCTAATTCGAGTCTCCCGTGAACAGCTCACTCACTCTCGCCAAACGGTTCCTTGTTTACGCTGATCCGGAAGTGCAGCACCTTGATACCCTCTTCTGCAGCAAAGCTTGAGATCTTTGACCGATAGTCGTCTGTAGCGACGTACATGATCGTCTTGAGCCTGAGCCGACGCAGGAACTCGTAATTGCGTTCATTTGGATGCCCGGAGCGGGAAATGCCGAAGGTGACATTTTGAAAGTTCAATGGTGGAACCAGGAGAGCAGGGGATGAGGGGGAAGCCGCAGACTTGGTAGTGGGAAGCGAGATAGCATCTTCTTTCTTAGCAGACTGTGCATCCGATGATGTCTCGATTGACTTGCCGGCAGCAGTCTGGTGAGCCGCGGGAGTACTACGCAGCTTAAGGAACCCCGGCAGCTCGGCGCTTTGCGAAGACAAGTGGGCCAGAGCGGTCGCCATATCGAATGATCGCCCGCTGCCGAGCAGCGATGATCAAGACGGTGCAGTAGATGAAGGGACCAGATGCCTCGTCAGCTCGTTGTGAGGTTCTGGACGGAAGTATGGAAGGCAGGTGTGCGGGAAGAGGTGCAGCGAGTCCAACACCTCCACGCTGCGCTTCCGCACACATACGCCCTTCTGCCTCTTCCCTATTCCTACCAAATCCCGATCAGCCCGAGCATGGCGGTAGTAACACCGATGAGCTGAATACATCGTCGGCAGAGAAGGGTCCTACTGTCGTGGAACTCGCAAGCGATCATGCAGAGCTCTGCCAGGCCGACTCCAGCGGCCATCATCCCTCTTGCGGATCTCCTCCCGGGCCACGTAGGATGCAAGATCCGCACTGCCGGCGTGTGAGCTGCAAAGACATCTACCCACGGCGTGACAGCTCGAATGACTGCTGACTTGCAAATCTCTACCTCGCCATTACAGGACGCTAGCATATGATACAGCCTCGCAGCTGGGCCTGATCTCTCATCGTAAGACGACTCTTCTCGTGGACTTTGGCCTGATCGCGCCAACGACCTTTGAACTCAAGACCAAGGTGATGGTCATGGGAGACCTTGAGCCATCACAGGTAAGCACGGCATTTTGGGAGACGGGGCAAAACCGCTCGATGGAGCCGGTGGACTGACTTTGTCTCTACTCTTCTTCTACATCGCACATTAGGATGCCTTGCCTACATCGCTCAAATTTCCTTTGCCCAAGATCCCAGCCACTTGGCAGGTAGCTCCAATGCCAGGTCTTGTGTTGAGAGCCACGATACTGCGACCTTGCCACAGCCTGGACCTCGATGTGTGGGAGGAAGCTGCCAGAAGGGAAAGCGCAGCCAGATGGTCAGAAGTACAGGACGTACGAGGGCAGAGGTGGGCTGACAGATGATAGGGAAGCAGATCAAAGGCAGGGCTCAAGAGACGAAGGATTCACGTTTTCAGATGTCATCTGTGCAGCATCTCGCAGATAATGTATTGGTATCACATTTCATTCCCATTTTCATCACAGTGCTTCGCCTAGCCCTGAGCCGGCTGCGTGTTGGGATTCGTCAGACCTCCTGGAACATCTCTTGGCCCAGCGACTTGGCCACACCCTCCCTCTCCAGCGCATTTCCGAACTGACTCGTCTTCCACCCATCCCTGAATGATCGGCTTCAGTTGGGTGCCCAGGTCGTGGCACTCGAAGCGCACCTCCCTGATTAGCTTGGGACCATTTGAGTGGGCTGCAAAATTGGGGCAATACCATCGCATCGCATCTGCACAGGGAGGGAGGTCAAGCAAAGTCTTCGTTCAGTATGTAACAAGGGCGCCAATGGATGGGGTCCCACGGAACTCACCCTCGCCACCCTCTGGTCTAGTCCTCTCCACGACGAGCCCGATGGTGTTCTCGAAGCGACAGGGTGAGTGAGGAGTGTTCGCAGGCAGCATGAACATCTCGCCCTCTCCGATGACAATATCCCTCAACTTTCCATCATCGATGACCTTGAGGACCATGGCTCCTTGCACCTGGTAGAAGAACTCCTCGGTAGGCTGATGGAAGGCGAGGATAACGAAGAGTCAGATTGCCTGCCGCTATCATGAATGGCGGCACAGTATCACGGACAATCTTGCAATGATGTGCCTACGTCGCTTCGCGTCTTTCACCATGGCTTGCTTCAAGACTTACCTGATAGTGGTAGTCACTGCGAGCATTTGGGCCACCAACCACCATGACTGTATAGTCTTCCGTCTTGAAGAGGCAGTAGTTGCCGACGGGCGGCTTGAGCAGATGCCTGTTCTCTTCAAGCCATTTGGGAAAGTTGATCGGAGGGGAAAGCATATCTGTGGGTATCTGCTTGCTTGGCTGACTCGAGCGAATGACTAAGGGAGTATATTCTAGTGATTGCGGAAGGCGGTCACAAGTTGCCGAGATCAGATTTCTGAGTCGCCATCTCCACATTGGCTGCCACTTCCGTTCCGCTCGCGTCTTCAGCCGTCCGTTGGCTTGGCCCTCGCTTGACACCTTCTTCTGGCCAGCTACTCCTAGAGGCCGACCTTGCTACCTCACCAATTGCACCTCACACGATGGCAGTCCTTTCACTCTTGGTACAGCTCTTTCCAAGGCCCACAACTCTGTGGCCCCAGAACGGGGAAGATGTCTACAAGCTCTGCCAGCTCGCCTTCCTGAGCACGCCTCTTGCGCTTCCTTTCCTCAACGCAGTCCAAGCTCCCTTTGGCCGATTCTCGGCGCCGTCCCGCTTCAATGTCAATGGCAACCTGGGCTGGTTCCTCATGGAGATCGTATCGCCGGTCACATTTCTCGTCTCCTTTCTCTCTCAGCCTCTCGACTCCGTGGAGTCGGATGAAAGTAGCGGCAGTACCCTGGTGGTAGTCGCCAAGAGTCTAGTGTCTCCGAGCCTGTCGCGTCTGTCCGAGATCCCCGTCGCGAACAAGCTACTAGCGACGCTGTTCGTCATTCACTACTTCAATCGGGCGGTATTGAATCCTCTGAGAGCACCGCGTCGATCGCCCATGCATCTAAGCGTACCCATCGCTGCCGTCTTAGTCAACCTCGTCAATGGTTTCCTCATGGGAAGCTGGCTCGGCGGAAGGAGCCCAGCTCTCTTGATCCCCTCCGCCGCTCTGGATTTGAGCAGGAAGACCAGGGCTACACAGAAATTCAAGTCAATTGCCTCTCGGCTTGGCAATCGTCCTCCTACCATTTCCGCTCCCGGACTGCTGCCTCAGGACTCGTCTACTGTCCTGACGCATCCCCTTTTCCTGCTCGGCGTGGCAGGATGGGCCATTGGCTTCGCCTCGAATGTCTACCACGACGAGATCCTACTTGACCTTAGGCGTCCCAAGGCAGACAGGGTGACAAAGGTGATGAGAGAGGACGCAGAGAAGGACGAGGCAGCCGACTCTAAGTCGCCGTCTCCCAAGTACGGTATCCCGAAAGGGGGCCTCTATAAGTTTGTCAGCTATCCTAATTACCTTAGCGAATGTGAGTTTTCGCCGCTCAAGTCAATCCGTGGTCTATCCCTTGTCCTGCTCCTGACATGTCAGACCACTCTCCTTTGCCAACTCACCAGGGCTCGAATGGTTCTCATTTGCCATTGCTGCTTACTCCCTCACACCAATCTCTCCCTACTGCACACAACAATTGCGGGACCGCTTCCCTCTTTACCCAGGCGAAATCATGCCCATCTCTCTACCCTTCCCTCCACTGCTTACTTTTGCCCGCGTACTCATCTTCCTTACCTCGCCTCCAGCGCTGTTCCTATTCATGGAGATCCCTCCGATGATCGCTCGCGCCGTCAGCGGTCACGACTGGTACCAGAAGAAGTTTGGCGTCGAGGGAGATGGCAAAGGCGGAAAGTACCCCAAGGAAAGGAAAGCTGTCATTCCTGGGCTTCTGTAAATTTGTAGAGCTTCGGCTGCTTGCACGACGGTTAAGCCACGGCAGCAACCCGATGTCAATACATGCTGCATACCACTACGTATCTGGAGGTCATCTACAATTTGCTATCCCTCTTGCTCTCGCTCGACCCCAACTGGATCTCCTCTGCCCCCTCGACCACCTCGCTTAGTGCATTGACGGCTTCTACCGTCCACAGTGCTCCTTCCTCCGAGGTGATCCACCTTAGCCCCTTTTCGTTTTCAGCTCCTTGCTGAATCGATGTCTCGGCCTTCATCAGACCCCATACGTGCGATGTGACTTGCGGACCAACCCCGCCTTGAGCTCGAAGGGCGGCAATAGCTACGAGTGACGTCCTGAGTCTCCCCACCTCCCACGCTGGCTCGCTCTCCCCCTTCCGGAAGGTGTGGGGTGGAGAGAAGAGCGGTCCGTATTCCCCCTCGAGGATGAAGACGGGTAGATCCGGGTGTGAGTGTCCGAGGATCTTGATGAGCTTGTCCGAGTGCGGTTGATAAATGTCATCCCAGAGGGAATAGGCGGCTTCCTTTACCGAGGGGAGCTCGGAAGGGGTGATTTGCCGACGTGGTTCTGTGGTGAGAGAGGAGGAGAGCTCTTGATCTTCGTCAACGGCCTTGCGAAGAGCTGCGAGGTTGTTGATGACCTGAGAAAGAACAGTCAATCTGACTATCGTTAGCAAAGATTGTGCCTCGCGCCTCCGTACGCTTGCCCTGTCTATGCTCACCTTTGGAATGCCCACGAAGCCGATGCACTTCAGTCCAACCTCCCTCATCAGAAGGGCTCGGTCCCCACGTTGACTCAAGCTGAGAGAGGACGTTGAAGAACCTTCATTACCTGAGGCAAAGCGGTGTAGACTTGCTAATGAGGAGGGCGAGTTGAGAGTGACCATAGTCGCCGTCTGCAGAGGCCCGGGGATAAGCAGGGAAAGCGTCAGCACACTAGTGCGCTCCGAAATGTTAGACTACGTGTACTCACTGCGATACTAAGCCACTCTCCCCAGCCTACTCCCTTCTGCTCTGCTTCGCCCTTGACCTTTCGGAACACATTTAGGAGCTTCTCCGATGGGGCTGGCGGAGTAGGTCCAGCTGCTCTACCTGCTGGGATAGTAGCACCCTTGCGCAATGCTGCAGGCCTGGCTGGATACAGGGGCGATGCCAGCATCGACTTGAGAGCTGGGGGCAGTGACTTTCCCTTTGACATGGCGACGAGAGAAGTGAGTGGAAGTGAAGTGTCAAGAGCGACGTAGACAGGAGAGTGAGGCCAATTGAGGCGGTCCCAGAAGAAGTGTGTGTGTCAGTGAAGTCGCTGCCGTCGTTGCCGGTGAGCGCCTGAGTGGAGGGAGGCCATGGCTGCAGGCGACTCAACAGACCGGCACGGCACGGCAACTGGCGCATAAGCCGACGATCACTCGCTCCCGGAATCCGGGGTCGATGTATCTCTTCCGCCTTGCCTTCCCCGCAAAAACACTGCACGACCCTGTCCTTGCAACAACTTTGCTAACTCGCAATCATGCCGAAAGACGCAGCACCAGATGTCATGCCCTCATTGGTCAACACTGACCTCTTCAGCGTAAAGGGAAAGGTCGCAGTTGTCACAGGAGGAGCCACCGGATTGGGCCTGATGATGGCTGCAGCCTTTGTGCAAAACGGAGCAAAAGGTAAGTCCACCCACCAGACAAGCCTTCCTTGGTGATTGATTGGAGCAGCACTGAAACCTGTCTACCACTCTGCATACTCTTGGCTTCCAGTCTACATCGCCTCGCGAAAGCTTGAGGACTTGAAGAAGGTCGCCGAGAAGCTGAATGCCACTAGCCCCAACAAGGGTAGCGGCCCAGCTTGCATCCCTGTCCAGGCCGACATTGGCTCCAAAGCGGGCTGCGATGCTCTAGCAAAGCACATCAAGGACAATGAGACGGAGTTGGACATCCTGGTCAACAATTCGGGTCTCACCTGGGGTGCACCTATGGACGACTTTCCCGAGGACAAGGGATGGGACAAGACTTTCCACTTGAACGTCAAGAGTCAGTTCTACCTGACTGTAGCGTGAGTAGCAGATTTCAGTGGTTCTCGTTGTGCGTGCCAAACACCTGACTCTAGATATTCCCTCTACAGGCTGCTGCCTCTGCTGGAGAAGAACAAGTCAAACACTAGTGAGTCGCATCGAGTACCGAGTATCTCGGCGTGAACCTCGCTTATCGTTCCAACCTGCACTTTCCGTTGCCTTCTCTAGAGCCCGCTTCGGTGATCAATATTGCCTCGACCGCCGCTTTTGTTCCTGTAGCAGAGTCAGGCCTCTCTGCGCCGGGCCATGGTACTTGGAGTTGTGAGTTGGACAGCGAGAGACGAGAGCCTCTAAAGATGATGCCTGGCTGACTCGCACGCCTCTCTCACAATCGATCGCATCTTCAGACCAACCGTCAAAGGCCGCATCCGTCCATCTCACACGTACACTAGCCACGTCTCTCGCAGAGCGCTTCATCCTAGTTAATGCCATCTGCCCAGGCGTCTTTCCGAGCCGCATGACCGCCTTTGCCCTCAGCGAGAACAAGGAGGCATTGGAGAGCATCCAGCCCACTGGTGAGTATAAGGCGGAGTGAGATCGAACGAGAATACGACATCGACGCTCAACGTCTGTGAATTCAATCCTGTGACAGGCCGAATCGGAACACCGGAGGACATCGGCGGTCTTGCCGTCTTCCTATCGTCCCGAGCTGGCTCACACGTCACTGGGACGGCTACCGTGATTGACGGAGGTAACTCGCTGCAGTTCATGCCGCGGCTGTAGTGAGAGAAGGGAGAGGAAGCCGGATACAACGGGAGCATGGCATGGGGGTCCCTCACGGCATTGTTTTCATCCTGTGCTCAATTCGTTCGGTCACTTTCACTTTATTCTGTTTGTGGAATGGATATATGTAATTGCTCCAGTGACGACTTCCCGAACTATCAGTGCTTCTGACTCAATCCGAAGCAACAGTCTTGAGCTGAGCGAAACACGAGGCAAGATGAATGCAGACGTTAGCACACCGCTCCTTTCGCCACGCCACTCTGCCTCGCAACTCACCTGCAGCCCGTGAATACCCCCGATGATGTCCTTCAAACACTCATTCACCATCCTATGCTGCTTGACGGTGTTCAGTCCTTGGAACTCCTTGGAAGCGACAACAATTGCATAGAAGGATCCACAGCCACCAGAAACGTCCTGCACCTGGAGATGAGAGGGGTTGAAGCGCTTCGAGAGTAGAGCATGAATGTCTGCCTCGCCGGATGACATCTCCTGTTGCGAAGCAGAAGCCTCCCCTTCTTGATGTGCCGACGCAGAGGAATGAAAGAGGCGCGGTGTGCTTCGTAGCGATTGATTTGTCATCGTCGAGACAGACCCCGAGGGAGCGAGCGACCTCGAGGTGAAGGTGGAGGGAGCATTGAAGACGAGGCTGAAGCTGCGACGAGGTGCCGCCGAGGTAGTGAAGAGTCTTCGAGTCGACGAGGATGACACTGAGCGTAGCACGCTTCCCATGGAGTGACTTGCAGAGATCATGATGGCTCAGTGGCTTGTATCGATGAGGGATGAGTAGGAACGAATGGAAGAAGTCTCAAGGGATGATTTATTTCCGGTCCGCTTGATTCTCTTTCCGTATCCATGACGCAGCCGAGCCCCGACCACTTCTTCCGAACTCCTTCTTCCTGTCCTGCAGCACTCAAACACTCAAACATTACGATGGCTCTGCTGAACAGATCCTACAAGGTGCTCAGCACAGCGCTTCCGGCTGTCTCATCAGCATCACAGCATCGCTCAATTGTCACGGTGGCTAGGACCTCTCTTCCGCTCGCCTCCCCCCCTTCCTCCTGTGCAGCCCGCCAGCCTTCGCTCGCGAGGTACAAGAGCAAGAAGTCCAAGGCATCCTTCGCAACAGAGATCAATGACCCAGGACAGCATGATTTCGAGGCTGCGAGCGACAGGCCGGTGATGAACACCAAGGGCAAGGGCGGAAAGGCAGCAAAGACGTCTTCGCCTCGAGGCGCAAAATCGAAGAGAGGTGGACCGGAACAGGCAGAGGCAGAGGATGATGGAAACTACAAATACAACACTAGGGACAATGACATGCCCGGAGAGAATTACGATGAAAAGGCTTTGACAGCTAACATGCAAAGAGCCGTCCAGAGATGCAAGGAGACGGCTACACAGATGGTAGGGATGCACGGCAGGGCGGATCCAGGTGAGTATAGTGATGGCAACGGGAGGAGGGGCCTGCGGGCGTCGGGCCCAGCGCTGTTGTGGCTCAACAAAGCTGAAGTCTATGCTGTCTCTTTTCCAGGCCTTCTGGACTCGGTGAAGGTGGCCTATCCCTCTGATCCAAATGCCACATATCCCCTTCGAGAGTTCGCCAGTGTTGGAACTCGGGACGGTGCACTGCTGGTAACCTGCTACGACAAGGACGTGAGTACAAAGGAGCTGGCAGAGGCGTCTTTGGAGCGATTTGACCTCTCACACTTTGCAAACTCAATACAACAGATGGTCAAGCACGTCGAACGGGCGATTCATCTCGCCAACCTCGGACTTACCCCACAGACCATGGGAAGTGGAGATGAGGGCATCTTGAAGATTCCAATTCCCAGGTGAGTTGCGAGTGATCAGGTGCTTGAGCCGGCTGTCTTTGGCTGAACATCTGCCCTTTTCACCCAGACCCACTGCCGAGACGCGTACTCAGTTGCTGAAGGACGTGAATCGCATCTGCGAGAATGCACGAGTCTCCATTCGCGCCGCCCGGCATACTGCCCAGAAGCAGATCAAGCGCGATACTGACAGCAAGATCGTTGGAACCTCGGAAGCGGCAAAGGAGCAAAAGAAGATGGATGAGGAGGCCAAGGCACGGCAGAAGGAGGTCGAAGACTTCTACAATGGGCTCAAGAGGAAGATTGAGAGTGAGAGGGACACATGAGGACAAGGGTAGCATTGCGAGACGTGTGTCATGATAGGGTACAATGCATACGCTTCTCGACACTCTGGAGCAACATTGCGGTCATGGACGATCAGATCAGGACCGAAGCGTCAGAGCGCAATCGTCCTCGAAGACGCCAGCACGCTTTGTCCCCCTGAACCACGCGCAACGGTATTCACGCTTTCAGGTGCCTAATGTGATCGAAGCGTCAGATAGACGGCGAACTTCAAGATCGGTCAATATGCTTGGCAATGTAGCGCTTCGATCGCTTCATGCACCTCATTCGACGCCCTCTTCCATGCACGATTCCATCCCTGCGATCGGCGACCATTGAGTCGTTCAGCATCGATGAGGTCAGTGCGGAGGACAGCCCCTCACCCTGAAGAGGACGAGATCTCAATGACGCCAAAGCGCGGCCTCTGTGGGGTGATATGAGCCATGCGAGGGCTAGACCTGACCCAGGTATGAGTAGGCCGGGGCCTTTCCTTGCTGCAGAGAAGGCCTATTGACACGCGTGCATGACTGGGCTGGGGTACATGTCGTGGCTTCCGCCCCTTGAAGTCGCCGCCGATCGTCGGAAATGATATTGTATCCATGCGGGATACTCCCCTGATTTCGAGCCACACGACAACCTTCGCCTTCCGCAACGGTAGGTGTGAGCCCCGTCCTCATAGCATCTCTCGGCTAGTGGCTTGACGGCTACAAATACCAAGCAGCGAGAGACGCTCATCGTCAGCTTGATCACCATCCACCCATACAAATCACTAATATCAATTCCGCCTGCGCACCCAGCCCGTCACCGACCACTCCAATTGAGCTAGCCTGGCGTCACGCTCCCATCCTCCAGATCAATACCGTCAACCACAATGCCTGCCAGCACCTGCCCCTCACAGTGGCTTCTATGCGCTTCATTGCCCTCCTTCCAAAGCCAAGGCTGTAGTCCAGCGTCTCTGACATCTCACCAAAGACCTTATCTGCCCCATCTGCCAGCCTTCCTGCCGCCAAAGTTCACGCCATCAGGCTCTCTATGTCAACTACCGCCCGTGCTCTCCACTTGTGAGCTCTTTCCCTCATGCCCCAGGAGGCGCCGCCGTTCTTCTCGGCGATCGCGGAGCCGTAGATTTTCCCCGAGCCTCGCGGGCGTCATTGAGGACAGCGAGGAGGAGGAAGACTTCGCAAGAGAGGCTGGCCTTTCATCGGGTAGAGGAAGCGATTCGAGCTGCACCAGCTCGACAGAGAGCTTCCCTCTGAGGCGACAGGATTCGCCGGGCGCTTGAGCTTGGTCTCACCCCAACAACCAACAAAGTTCGATGTGTTGGTACAGATGTCGTTAATCGCAAAGCATACACGTCGGTGGGAAACCCTCTGGCTCCCTCTATCTACATATTTACCCCTAATACTTCAGCCGTGTTGAGTAGTCCTTTGGACTGACTACGAGACCTCGACCTTTTGATGCTCCCCTGTATACTACCTCGACAATATCAATCAACTCTTGCTTGTTCTCGATGGCCCAATTGATCTTGTTGTTGTTTCCTGTGCCAAGGTCGACCATGATATGCTTGTTCCGGTAGAAGAACATGACCGCACAGGGGTCGTACAGCTCGTACATCTGGGAAAGGGGCAAAGGGAGGACGGTCAGCGACGAAAGCGAAGCTCATTCGGCTTAGATACTGCACCACTTCTCACCTTGTTGAAGTCTGGCACCTCTGTGATGTCGCAGAGGTAGACGACTGCGAAGTTCTTGAGCTTCTCAGCGATTCCGTAGAGGGTCTCATCCATCTTCATGCATACAGGATCGTAGTCGTGTCCAAAGCGGATGACGACGACGCGATCTTCTTCGGCCAGGATGGCTTGATCCACATGCCAGCCCGAAGGCAGGTGGGGGAGGAAGTACGACATGGCGCAGCGAGTACCACTGGTGTTAAGATGGCAAGGGACTGAGGGCAAGGTGGCACGGAAGGGGCATCGTGGTCAAATCTGAGCCCTTTCCGCCTCGAGCTCGCGCGATGAGCCAACTTCTTCTCATCCTCTCCGCCTATCCACCACTCTAGGACAATCATCGTACCGTTCAAAGGGGATCATCGCGAGCAGCTACGTAGCTCTTCCTCCCTCTACGCAGGCTCAACATGCATGCTCCTCTCGCACGCTCTTTGGTGGCAAGCACATCGTTCCGCACAGCTGGCAGAGTCGCAGCTGCCACTCCCGCCGTTGCCGCTTCCTTTTCTACTGCCCTTCCTCGCTTTACACGACATGAGTCTACCGAATCACCGGCGAGGGCACATCGTTCGCCCAGGTCAACATCAGAGAGAGAACCTATGAGTGATGAACCAACGAACTCGTCGAGCCAATTTCGAGCGAATCCGGCAGAAGATCACCTGAATATACTTCGTGACATTGCCTCTGGATCCCAGGCTGGCTCTGCAGGGACACCACAATACGGCGCAGACGCAAATGCGGGATCACGTAGCAGTCATCCTCTGCCAGGCTCGTCATCTAGCCCTGCTTCCTCTCCGATCCCAGGTACTCCCGCGGTGCCGCTAGCACCAGGAGGCTATGGCTACACGCCTGCCAATTTGCCGACCAAGTCGGACGAGATCCTCGAATCCTTCATCAATCATTTGCAGAGAGATGGCAGAAAGTCCCTGGCCACAACCCAGGTCCTGGGAATGATGAAGTATCTCTCCATTGCGCTCAACTCGGATCCTCTTCCCGCCCTTACACATGCCATTGAACTGGCAAGTCCAATGGTCAAGATCCAAACGAGGAAACAGGGAGCCAAGAATACCCCTGTGCCGACTGCTCTCACTACGAGGCAAATGAGGCGGAAGGCCATTGTGGGCATCATCAATGCCAGCAAGAAGAGGAATGACAGGGAGATTGAGAGGAGGCTAGCAAAAGAGGTCTTGGGGATTCTGGAAGGCAACAGCGAGACATTGCGGAAGAAGGAAGAGGTTCATAGGGATGCTGTGAGGAACAGGAGTAATTTGGGAGTGAGAGTGTGAGACCATCGCTACTGTGCAGCAGCACTGGCCGCGCCATTGCTGTGACAGTCTCTCAATGACAATATAGCCGAGACTTGATTACCAGATGAGACAGTGAGACAGTGAAGGAGAGACAACATGTGAGAGAAGTGCGGTACAATCGAGAAGAGGCGATGGATTTGATCTAGCTTTGAAAGACGAGGGCAAGGACACGGCGTAATCTCCCAAGCGTAGCCCCCGAGGCTATGCGCCGAGAGACTTCCACAAACGCTGCACGAATCAGTGCTTCCTGAAATCGATGGAGAGATCCAGGCACATCAGGTCTGCGTCCTCGGCGGTGAATGCATTGAGATGGACATTGAACTTGGCGGGCGGGATCTCTCGTGGCAGCTCCACGGTGTGAGTCACCTCGTGCTCGCCATCTTCGACCGGGCATTGTAGAGAGACGTTGTTGGCCCTTGCTTCTTCGCAGATGTCGATCCTGCGTGAAAGTAGCTTAATGAGACCCAGCTTGACGACAACGTCAGCGTATGCCCCTTCCTACGGGAGACAAAGGTGAGAAGTAAAAAGGGGTGAGATAAGACTGAAATGGGTGTGCTCACCGGGACCGCTCGCTACAGCTGAGCCGTGCGGCCTGTCACCATCTACAACTCACTTCCAATCTACCCTTGAGGGTGCCCTTTGCAGTAACGGTCATGTTCTTTCCTGCCTGAGGCGGGTCTGGGCTGACCTCGATCGACTTGATCTGTACAGGGTCCGAGGAGTCGCCACAGGTAGCCCACACCCATCCACCGCTGCCGCCATCATCCGGTGTGCGAGGCGGTGGCCAGACAGAGTTGGTGGCCTTGCTGATGGAAACAGATGAGAGACGCTCAGCCTCTGCCTCGAGAACATCCACAAAGTCAGGCTCGCGATGAGAGCTGGAGACGGACTCGGCCTGCTGGTGACCCAGGACCAATTGATAGGGGGCGGCGAGCGAGGCCGTTGCAGCAAGGGAAACGGTGGCTGCAAATAGGGCAGCTGATGTGAAGCGCATGATGGGCGGAAGGTGTAGGGAGGCAGGTCTAGTATAGGATGTACGATTGTGGGGACAAGGGAGACGAGTGAGGAGGGGGGAGCGGATGACTGGAGGGGCGGAGGCGGGGTCGAGGCAGCTGACGGGACCGTCGACCAAAGCGGAGGTGAGCGGGGGCCTGGCGGGCGCTGGGCGTGGCGCAGGTCCAGTCGGGGCGCCTCGGCTGCGTCATCTCAGCCAAAGGGTCCTCCACCGGCTCCTCGGCGCAATCTTGATCGACTTCTTCCTGCCAATTTCTCTCCACACCACATCACGCTTCCTATCGTAAAACTCCCCTCCCCCTAATTCACCATGGCCGCACAGTTTGGAACTCATCGTGAGACTGGAGATGCCAACAGGAGGCAAGCTCAGTACCACGCCGCCTTTACTGGAGGACTCAAAGGCGCGGGGGGTGGTTTCGCAGCCGCCGTGCCCACCGCCTACGTTCTCAATCGCTCCTGGGCACCTTTCCGAGGTCTCACTCTGCCATTGAAGGCTTTCTTCGTCACCATGGTCACTGTCGCTTCGGGAGTCATCACTGCCGACAAGGCTGGTCTTGCATTCGAGGTGAGCGCTGCCGTCTTTTGCGCCGAGCTTGAAGTGTGAGGCTGATCCCTCGCCACATGCTCACCTTCCGGCAATCTCTCTTGCCCTTTCCATAGCGAGCTGGCTACTCTGATGCCGGAGCAAAGCTGCAAAGATCTTCTCGGACTCATGAGGAGCAAGAGTGGGACGATCTCTCCACCAGCGACAAGATGTTGACATGGACAAAGGAGAACAAATTCAGCGTAGTTGCAGGCTCGTGAGTGCGGAGCATGGGTAGCCGTAGCCGATTCACTTTACTGACGCTAGCTTAACAAACCTTCCCTTCTTCTCTCAGCTGGGTCGCCTCGCTGTGTGGATCCTTTGCCTACATCCAAACGCAGCCAATGTCGTTTGCGCAGAAGCTGGTGCAAGCCCGTGTGTATGCCCAGGGTCTGACTCTGGCCTCGCTAGTCGGCATGGCGGCCATTACCTCTATCCCTTCGGCAGGCGATAGGCTCATCGAGGAGCACGCTCACGCAGGTGATCACAGCTGGAGGGACATGATTCAAGACGACGGCTCGGACGACAAGGATCAGTCGGCCAAGAAGTCACAGCAGAAGCCGAAGCAGTCATCACAGCCAAAGAAGCAAGGCAATGGAGACACAAAGAAGGAGGATTAGTTATGTAGGGAATGTTTTTTTCTTCTTGTACACTGTTGTCTCCACCACCACATCATGAACCCTTTTATTATAGACCACCTCTCCTCAATACGATGCGACCCTTTGTCCTGTCTTGACTCGCGTGGCAGATTCTTCCTGCAGCCGCGAAGAATCCGGCGCTCGGCGCTTTCCGCTCGTCTCGCACAGGCTCCACACCTTGAGCCAAGCATCGGCTCCAGAAACGCTTCCGTCCGCACCACACGATCCATTCGTACGCCCCCGCTCATCGCCCAGTATGGGCGCTCTTCTCTCTATACCGCTCCTGTCGGGAGGTCTTGTCTCGGGCCTCTTCACCTCTTGCATCACAGGTTTGGCCTTCTTCTGCACTTCCACTGCCGCATCTGCCTTCTTCAAGGCGTGCAACTGCCAGTCCTCCATTGCCACTCGTGTGGGCTTTGCACTTATCTTCTGTCTTGATGCTGCATTAGCATGGCTCTCGCTCAACCGCTATATCATGGACAAGCTCGAGTCTTGGACATGGAACTGGCTCAAGATGGACTGCGAGACCGACAAGAACCGTTGTTACGGCGTCCTTGCTGTGCACAGGATCACATTTGCGCTAGCCCTTTTCCACTTCATCCTTGGCATGAGCCTCATCGGCGTCAAGGATACTCGAGACAAGAGGTCATCCATTCAGAATGGCTGGTGGGGACCCAAGATTCTAGGATGGTTCGCCCTTGTCGTCCTGACCTTCTTCATTCCCAATGGCTTCTTTGCATTCTGGGCCAATTGGGTGGCCCTCCTGCTTGCTACCGTCTTCATCCTCGTTGGTCTCGTCCTCCTCGTCGACTTTGCTCACTCGTGGAGTGAGACGTGTCTTGACAGGTGGGAGGAGACTGACTCCAACTTTTGGAAGTTCACACTGATTGCCTCGACTGGAGGCATGTATGTGCTGGTCCTGGTCGGCACGATTCTTCTATACGTCTTCTTCACTGGCTCAGGTTGCGGTCTCAACACGTCCATCGTCACCGTCAACTTCATCTTCGCAATTGCTTTGACAGGGCTCTGCATCTCTCCAGCTGTACAAGAGGCGAACCCGCGCTCAGGTCTGGCTCAGTCAAGCATGGTGGCAGCATACTGCACGTACCTGATTGCCTCTGCCGTCATGAACCGTGACAATGAAGCATGCAATCCCATCACGCGTGGCCGAGGCGGACCAGCCAAGACGACGACGGTGGCATTTGGAGCTATCTTCACCTTCCTAGCTATCGCTTACTCGACTTCCAGGGCAGCTACGCAATCAGGCAAGCTGGTAGGCAAGGGGGCTGGCAGGAAGAGCGGCCCCATTGCACTGGGAGATGGGCGGCCTTCTGGCTATGGCCCTCTTGCAACCGACGATGGTGGCGAGTCGGGTACGATCACACAGCAGCCTACAAAGAAGGACTCTCTGAGGATCCAAGCCCTCATGGCCGCTGTCGAGGCTGGTGCAATCCCCGCCAGTGCCCTGGATGAGGGCGACGATGATGACGATGACGAAGAGGATGGATCTGGCAATGCGGGCGAAGACGACGAGAGGAATGGTACGAGGTACAATTATTCTTGGTTCCACTTTGTCTTTGCCATTGCCGCTTGCTATACCGCAATGCTGCTGACTGATTGGTGCGTCATGCACTGGACCCCTTTGCTCACAGTGCTGCATTCAATGCTGACTGACCATGTGTCTTCCACCCCTGTCTTCCTTCATCAGGCGCTACGTCAGGCTAGGAGACGCTTCCCCAGACCCAGCAGAAGATGGCGCTCCGGTCGTCTTCATTGGCCGCTCGGTGACTGCAATGTGGATGAGGATAGTGTCCTCGTGGGTCTGTGTGCTCATCTATGGTTGGAGTCTCGTTGCGCCTGTGCTACTCCCAGATCGATTTGGTCTCGATTAGCTGGACGGCTAGCCTGTGACTGCCACGCCTCGCCCAGCTTCATGCTTCTTGTATGAAATTCATGCTTCTTCTGTACATAGTGTATATGCCTCTCTGTGTGTGTGTGTGCTTGCTCGCCTGTCCAGTGTCTGCCGAGGATATCACGAGCCAGAGGTGACTCCGCTCAGACGGAGAGACTGCTCCTCTGCCGCCGATGACGTTGTGGTGCGACGCGGGGTATAGAACCTCGACGCAAGTTTGCTGCGTCGAGAAGTCGGCGAGACTGGCGTGGTGCCTGCCTCGTGGCTCTCTCCGCTTCCCCAGACAGGACGTGTGTGGGTGTGGGTGCATGCGCCCCCCGCCTAGAAGCCCGGCACTGACAAGCAGGCGACGGGTGGGTGCGGCCTATGGCTTTTCGCCTCGTCTGGCGGCGCAGCACTCCCTCCCAACCCCACATCCATCCTTCACTCTAGGCTCCATCCGTATCCATCCTTCGTATTCATATTCGCATTCGTCCTTCAACCTCTCGTCTTCTTCCTCAGAATACCCTTCTCGCCACTCTTGTCTCTTTGCGACACATACAGAGACCTCCTTTGGCAGCGTTTTCTGCATTCTACTCGGCTTGCTCTTCACGAAACTCAAAGGGCACTTGGTAACGCCTCTTCGTTCTTCGCCACTACCTCGAAGAGCACCGTCGTCCACCCCTCGATACCCACACCGTACCCGGACGTACCCAACATCTTCATTCGCCATGCTACGCCGCTTCCTTGCCACCCTTGCCCTCCTGGCGGCTCTCATCCTCTCAGCCACGCCCACATCCGCTCAAATCTACCCCACATCCTCCGAGGACCCCCTCAGCGGCTCAGTCTTCTCCACGTCGTCCTTTGCCCCCAGTGTCACCTTTACCCCCGATGCCACCTATGCAAGTGCCAATCCCGCCGTAGCTACGTCAATCGTGGGAGTGGGACCGTCTCTGTCGACGGACACCTACACATACGCGTATTCCAAACCCACTACCACAATTCAGGGCACAGATCTGAGCGCCGTGTATGCTAGCTTGGCAGCGAATTCGTCGCCGACGGCAGCAACGAGTGATCTGAATCCCAACCCGACAAATCTGCAGGTGAGTCTCGGCGGTAGAGGTCCAGAGCGACCTCGCCAGCGTGGGTTCGAAGGATGGCAGGCTGATCATTTCACCCCTTTCTCGTTTATGCAACGCCACACAGATCGTACCTGGCACTACGAATGCTGCAGGTGTATCACGTAGCCAGTTGGGATCCGCAACCGCGGCTCTGATGGTGCTGGGCAGCCTGCTAGCAGGTGTCTTGGGCGGAATGGGCATTATTTTCCTCTAGAGGAGCCACTCCTGCGGCTGGGGAGACGCGGGCCCTTGCGCATCCATACCCTTTCTTTCCTCGCCCCTTGCCCTGCTTCACTGAGTATGTGGCCGCTGTTTGCCCCTTTGTACCGCATCTTCTCTATGTGCGCCTGTGTATAACATATCATTACTTATCAACCGTATTCGTTCAACTGCGGGTCGTTGTACCGTTCATGCGTTCGACGAGCGCCTACCCGATCGTTTACAATCTCTGAGAAGCGCTTTGCATTCAGGCACTGAGATGGGTCTTGGTTTGAGTGAAGTCATATGTTACACAGTAGAGGGAGATTTGATGTCGAAGAGCGCAGGACAGTGGCAGTCTAAAGGTCCTGAGCCGTCTACAATCCAATTGGAATTCGGCGAGCCGCGTGGAGGCGATCAGAGCTGCAAGGAAAGGTGGAAAGGAGACCAGATTGCGAGAAGGACGTCAGACATGAGGCCCATCGACACAGGTGGTAGGATGGCAGTCGATGCGATACTTACCACAAAACGCATAAAGGCAAGCAACAGAGCTCCAGCACCCGTGGCTACACCGACGAGGTATTGCCTAGCAGCAGGGCAAGCAGGTTCAGACGTCAATGGTCTAGTCTGTCTTTACTACCCTCGTCCTCGGCGCTGTCCTACTCACAAGACGTTGAATTTGGCACTCTGAATGCTTGTCCTCAGTCCAGCAATCTCACTCTCGATCCTCGTGTCCACCTCCTTGATCTTCAAGGCGTGTACGCTGCTCTCATCCCTAATCCTTCCCTTTTCGAGGTTCAGATCCAGCCGCACCCCAGCCGTGGTTCGAGTGACTTCCTCGCGCAGACGCTGCTTGAGCTTCTCTACATCGGCCATCAGACGCTCGTTCTCCGTCTTCATCATTGCAAAGTCGTTGCGTTCTAAGAGCTGAATCTCCGACTTCAAGCGGGCAAAGTCGACCTGCCAAGACGAAGGGGTGGGCAGTGGTGGCGGCAGAAGCTATCGTCAGTGAGGCTGCTATGACAAGTACTCCAGCTTGTGTCTACCCTCCTCTTCGGTTGGCTGCTCACCTTCTGGGCATACCGCCACTTCTCCCCTTCTTCCCTGCCCACGCATCCCTTCTCCAGTTGCCTCAGACTTTCGGAGACGACGTCGTTCAGCGCAGCCACCAGAGCGTCCGCTTGCGACCTCGGCATACCTGACGACTCGAGCCGAGTCATGAGACTGTGGGTATCAAAGTGGTGGTCGGCATGCGCTTGCCGAAGGATAGGTGAAGTGCTCAGCTGACGTGGGACCGAGAGCGAAGTGGGGTACGGTGGTAGGGGCCGGATCGTCCTGCTTCTGGCGGATGGCAAGAGGCGGACAGAGGAAGAGGAAGCTAGCGAGACGGCGCTTGTGAGACGGTGTGCCGGGCGAAGAGGAGTCGAGACCATTGCGAGCGCCATGACGGACGGTGTGTGGCGGGAGGGAGGAGGAAAGGAGGAGCGGATACTTCAGGCGTTGAGATGAGTGGAGTCCAACACGCTGCTGCGAGACAATCACGGAAGCGGAAAGGCAGGCGGGGAGCCTGGCAGCGAGGAGCACGACGTGAGGCCTTTCTTTGCAAGGCAAGCAAGTATAGTGGGACAAGATCGAGCATATGAGTTGCCAAGTCTATACAAGGGGCGCTACAGTGACATGAGTGCTTGCGTTGTGGTCTACAATCTCAACTTGCTCCGGCAAGATGCTCAATCGCATTCAACGAGGCTGTGAGTGTGGGGTGCGGAGAGCGGGTTCAGATAAGATCAGAGATACGTATTCCTTCACCTGGCGCTGCCTCCAGCGACTTACTGATATGAGGGAGCATCGAGCTTCTCCTCTCCCTTGAGGAAGGGAATAGCAACCACGAAGATGTACTCAATGGTCTTGCCTCCAACCTTCCGGACGAGCTCGCCTGCTGCACCAGCGGATCCACCGGTTGCGATGAGGTCGTCCACGACGATGATGTTAGCTGGCTTGCCAGATGTGGAGAGGATGGGCTTGGAGGGCAGCTCAAAGACATCCTGGCAGAGCGAGGGCGGCGCAAGGTCAATCTCAATCTCAATCTCAGTCTCGTCGTGTTTGTGTAAAGAGACAGACGCGGAACGTCCCTCTGCTGTATGCTTCCACTCACAGTACCGTATTCCTTGACGTACTCCGCCTGGACGTTCTCTCCCGGCAGCTTGCCCCTCTTCCTGACAGGAAGGAAAGCAGCTCCTAGCCTCTGAGCTAGCTGAGGTCCGAAGAGGAACCCACGAGCGTCCAAACCAACGATGGCATCGATCTTGACACTCTTCTTCTCTGCATCGGGCACGCCCTCACGCAGCTTGGGCAGAGTGACGGTGAAGATGTGGTGCAGGATGTGGCTGATGAGAGACTCAAAGGCCAGAGGGTCTCGCAGGACGGGGAGGATGTCGCAGAAGTTGACTCCAGGCTTGGGGAAGTCAGGGTGGTACTCTGGTAGCGGAATAGGCACCGTGCGGGAAAGAGGTCGGATCAGTAAAGAGTCGTTAGACTTGCCGCGCGAGGGCTACTCACCAAAGAGAGTCTCGAGATATTTGACGTCTGCCATTGTAAGTGAGTGAAGGTATTAGGGTATTGCTGGGGATACGATATCAGGAGCGGGCGATGCAAAGATAGATAGATATAGGATTCACTTGCGGGGCTCGGAGGGAAAAAGGTCTGCTTCCGAAGATCCGAGGAGGAGAAGCAGCAGTCTCAGTCGGCCCGCGGCAGACAAGTGCCGTGTGCCTGGAAAATCCTACGCCCTCTTGGTGCACTTCCTTCCTGGCTGCGTCTCACCGAGACCCAAACCATTGAGAACGGGCAACCATGGCAAAGCCGGAGTCAGCAGACAGAGGCGAAGGTCCGAGTCAAACTCCTAGTAAGCGACGTGAGTCTCGAACGAGCACAGCTCCAGATCCTCTGCAGACGACCCCTTGCTGACCATGTTTCGATCTTGCCTCAATGTAGCCAGCAAAGGCGGCGAAGAAAAGTCGAGGAGGGCATCGGCGCCCAGAGATGGCAAAGCAAAGACACATCATAATGGCCGTCCAAGGCCTCCCTTCTCCGGCTCGTCTAGTAAGCAGCCTGGCGAGGTCGGCGCCAGCAAGATCAAGGCTGCCTTGCGCCAGACCAAGCGTCTTCTTGCCAAGGTGAGACAAGTGCGCCTTTCACGAGGCCTGACTACCGACGCTGACCGCGCCCATGACCCCTCCTCTTTCTGTACCAGGACAAGCTGTCTTCGGATGTGAGGCAGGAAGCGGAGCGCCGTCTCGCCTCGTTGGAGTCAGATCTGGCTAGAAAGGAGTCGAGCGAAAAGGAGAGGAAGAATGCAGAGAGGTACCACAAGGTCCGCTTCTTTGAGCGACAGAAACTGGTCAGACAAATCAAGAAGGTGAAGAAGGAAATGGCTGAGCAGCCCGAAAAGAAACGGAAGAAGCTCGAAGCAGAATTAAGGGAGAAAAGAGTCCTGCTCAATTACGTTTTGGTGAGTCTCGAAACGGATGCCATCTACGGGAGGGCCCTCACAAAGGATGAACAAAATACACTCAGGAATCTCGTTAGTCTTACAATTCCATGGAGAGAACGCGTAACCATTCAATTACTATCTGAAATACAGGGAGCAGGGGGAGGGTCATTGCTCGTTACTATTGATCTTGACACATGCTGACTCCATGACTTCTCCTCTGCGCCGATCCTTAGCACTATCCTACGGCAGTCAAGTACGTCGCCCTCTTCCCGAGCTCTGGAGAATCTCCGCTCGTCAAGCCAGCAGAGGGCGCTCCTGACTCGGAACAATCCAGGCGGGCACGTCAGACTCATGAAAGCGCAATGGCAGTCCGTCAGAAGGTCGAAGCTGGTATGAACGACGGCAGCCTTTCCCAGGAGCCGGAGATGGAACTGGAGAGGAGAGCTTCGGAGGAGACTAGCAACAGTGTTACGAAGAGATTGCGGCTGGACATGAACGAAAGCAAGGATGCCGAGAGTGAGGTCAGGGAGAAGAAGCGCAAGAGGGGGCAGGCAGGCGCGCTGCAGAGCGGAATGGTTCCGGCAGGCGGGAGCGGCGGCATCGAGGGTGATGACTTCTTCGCGACGGGCAGCGACGATGAGTAGCCTATACGGGCGGCGTGGACAGCGGAGGGAGCTTGGGTGTAGCAAGCTACAATGCGCTAGGCGTGATCACATCATCTGTACAATCATTCAATTCATTCCCAAAAGTCATCTACGCGCTCCCGTGCCCGAGGCGACCAGAACGCGACACGAACTAACATTTCAGGTTTCAGATCTGACACAGCATGACGGAAGCATTTTCGACGAGCCTCAAATGCCTCCTGGCCAACCCAATCCCTTCTGACGGCCCTTCCTTGTCTACCACTACCACCTTTTGACGACCTACTGTATCTTTGCCATCCGCAATCGCTCTTACAAGCATACACGATGAGACTGACTCCTGTTGCTGTGTCCCGAGCTCGCGCTAGGCTAGTGCAGTGCTTTTTCAAAAGACCCTCGTCTGAGCTCTCCCCTGAGCACCAGGAAGAGCTTCGCCAGCGCCGTCAGGTAGACCACTCCCAGCAGCGCTGGTTCTGGCGTGATCTAGACGATCTCAGCACCATTCCCATGGTGGTGGAGACCTCCAATGCCCCCGACGCCTCGACGTCTCGCGTGACCTTCGCGGCTTCCCTCTCTGACCCGTCCGACGCTAGACGCCGACGCGCCAACTGTGACCCCACTCCTGCCTACTCTCCTCCCGACCCATCTCCTCCCTACGCCATCGAATACGACGGATGGAGTGCCGAGGGACTAGGAGACTGTCTTTACGACACACTCAAGCTCTTGGATGAAGTCTACCACCTGAACCTGGCTCTCTTGCCCCCCACGGCTTTGAGGCGCGCCATCGAGCCCCTCTACCCTCGAAGTCCCCTGCCTCTGCAGAATGAAGCAACCGTCGCTGTTCCTCTGGAAGGACAGTGCATCTCAGACATGCTGCACTACCTATGGGACAAGGCCCTAAACCACAGGGACCTCATGATCAAGGAGCAGAACTCACTGCGAGTAACGGAGTACCCCACCATGGAGCAAGCCCGAGATCGGAACCTGAACGCCGCCATGAAGCAAATCGAAGATGAAGCCGTCTTCTTCATCCACCTCGTTTCTCCGAAATTGTTGAGGTGCACTAGGGCTCAATACTGGCAGATGATCTCCGATGACATCGAGAGCACAATGCCGAGCCGTGGCCAGCGTGCGTCCGTGTCTGTTCATACCGGTCTGCGAGCTTATACAGCCAGTACCATCCCTTGAAAAGGTGAGTGCAGTGACACAGCACCAACCAGTATGATCCATTACTGACGCTCGTGTAGGCAAATTGCACCAACTAGATCCGCAACCCCTCTCAGGACCTTGGCCTGTCCAGCGTTGAAGGAGCGAATGACGCCTGTGGTTGTGCCCAGAGCTCCGAATCCAGTGCTAGCGTCTTGCTGCACAGCATCCCACCTATTGCATCCATCCATGTCTCTTCTGCATCCTTGTTCATACGTGTCGCTATATCCATGTATCTTGTCAATGTGCCTTGCTATCCACTTGTAATTGTATCGACTTCAGTCATTGCAATGTTGTAGCTGACTGCTAAGCTGCGAAGCTGTCCGTCACTGGCCCTCTGTCTGCCTGGCCTTGGCTGCCTGTCTGCCTGGTCTCACGTCGGGTGCGCGCGAAGTCGGCGTCGGTCGGAGGCGGGGCCAAGCGACACGGCAGGATCACGATGGGCAGCTGGGATCTTCTCGTCTTGCCATACTCAAACCCGCCAGCCATCATCCTCGTCGGTATCCATCATCGGCAACACCGCAACTTCTACGACATAAGCTCCTTTGAAGCAACTCTACCTCGTGGCATTACCTCTCTTTTCTGAAGCCGACCGGACCCGCCGAGCCCATCCTCTTCTCCTCTCCGTCTCCCCTTCACTTTCCGCACTCAGAGAATCATGAGCCCTTCGCCAGTGGTCAACGTGAGCATCACAAGAGGGACATGAGATTGGCAATACTTTGTCAAAGGCTCAAGGCTGCTGCTACAAGCCTGAGCTAGTCTCCAAAGGGGCTTTAGCCGAGGCTCGGCCAATCAGGAAGCTATAAACTCACCTCGCACCTACTCCTTCCCTACCCATCAGGTTGTGCGCTATTCGGCCCTCGTAGGCGGCATCGGCTACGGAATCCTGCATCGCAGGACTCTTCAAGGAGTCGAGGACAAGAACTTTGCACAGGCAGAGTGGAAGAGGAAGGAGAACCTGATCAAGGAGGCAAAGGAGGCGTACAAGAACCGACTGGTGCAGAATGTTGCCGCGATGCAGAGTGATGGTGAGTATGCTGCTCGGTGGAGAGAGACCGCGACAATCAACGGGCATGAGAAGGTCAGAGCGAGGCTGTCAAGGTGTCGTCAGCGTAGCAGGTCATGTCAGCCAATTCTGCGATGCCCAGGCTTGCTCGAAGCGCTCGGATTTGCGGCTGGGCACCGGCAGCGCGTACGAAGGAGTCTCCGCGAGGCACTCTTCGCATCAAATGGGGTGGACGAGCGATAACAAGGGAGGTCGTGCACGCCATCAAGAAAGGTACATTGCAAATGCACGTCGCAAGGCTGGCGGCAGAGGGCAGGAAGAAAGCTTCTGCATGTTCCCAAGGCGGGGGACAGAGACCAGACATATGAGTACAAGCGGTGCCAACCGAGCACTCTCTGCAGGATCGCTTGCTGCTACCCCTGGGCGATCTCGCACTTAATCCCCTCATCTGACCTTGATGCTGACGTTCTCCTTCTTTCTCTCTCCGCTCTCAGTCGTTTCAGACCCGGACTCGCCGAACTTTGACCTAGAGAAGCTGATCAACTCGTTGGATCACTAGATGGCCGATGGGGAGAATCGAGACTGGAAAGGGAGGCGACCTCAGTCCTCTTCAAACGCATTGGATACAGGTGTGAGGAGTGCTGTTGTGCAGAGCCTGTCTGCAGATGGATATTCAGGGTCATGGGCAACAAAAGAGTCCTGGTCAATGTATCTCCAAGTCATCGCCGTCTTCGTTCGAGCCTGTCTCGATGAGAGGGGCAATCAGCGCTTGTGACAAGCTCGCGGCAGGGAAAGCGAATCTCATCGCACCAGGCCTACTCTGTCACGGCTCTTGCCGCATGTCGAAGACATACACTATTCAGCTATGAGCGGTAAGGATAGTTGTTGGGTATATTGCGATTGCGAGTGACACAGCAGCTGGTGCAGGGCAGTCCACTGCTCTGTCAGCCCCAAACCTCTCACTCTTGTTCACGACCTGACTGCCTCGTTCACCCCAGTCTTGCCCTCCTGCGCCGGGCCGCCCCCGATGTACTTCTGCCTGTCCCCGTCTGACCAGACTGCTGCAGCTTGAGAAGTTCTCGATTGCGCCGAACGAGCATCACTAGAGAGCCAAGTCCTAGGAGGATGAGGATGAGCTGTGCGGAGGAGAAGTGGGGCAATTCGGAGAGCAGAGGATGACGTCGTCAGAGCATGGTCAGATACAGCGGAGAGGCCGGGTCGCAACTCACCACGAATTCAAAGTAGTCACGCGTCTCTGAGGATATGACTTTGCCGCATGCCTCCCACCCCTGAAACTCTAGATCTGCCGGCGGGGGAGGCTTTACAGCCCTTTCCATCGCTGCTGCTACAGCGCTGATGCCCTGTTCCTCCCCCACGCCAGCTCGGCTCGTGACATTCTGCTTTTGAGACTCCAGGGAGTCACGCCGGCTAGAATTCGCCTTGCAGGATACAAGTCGACGATTCCCATAGGGTCTGCAGAAGGGATGATTCCTCGTTTGCGGCGGGCAGGGTTCGCAGGCGGAGAGAGACCGGCAGGAGAAGAGACCGCTGGAAAAGTCGTACGCGGTGGGATCTGCTGACCCGCCTGTGCCGCTTGTACTCGAAGACGCAGAAGCCAAGGGCCCCCAAGTAGCATCCACTCCTGCTCTCGCTGGCGATCCAGCTCCAACATCCGGGGTAGCGGCTACCAACTTCCACACCTCGGGACCCAGTGCGGTCGTATCCATCCCATTGGGGCTGCCAAAGACGGGCACGCCGCGATGGCGCCCGTGGTCGTTGATGGCCAGCTCTTCTGACCAGCTCAATCCGCTGTACTCGGTATCCGGTCGCCAGCCGGTACCCGTAACAAGCTTGCGAAGGGAGAAGAGACTCATTAGGGGCGAGAAGGGGAGGGAACGATGACAGAGGAGAGAAGCATGCGCGAGACAGGCAAAAGGTCGATGAACCGGCGGTCTCGCTTTCGGAAGTGGAGAGGCGAGGCGAGGCGAGGCGAGGCGAGAGCAACACACAGATGACAGTCAGACCTCTGAAGAAGACACTGGATGAGAACAATGCCGTATAGTGGCATGCTGATTTATGATTTGTGGCAACGTGCAAAGTAGTAGCAACATTGGGGATGTGAAATGACTGTGGGGTGCAGACATTTGACGAAAGATTCGATGACATTGCACCGTGTATGCATATGGGTCTATGTACAAATGAGACGATCTCATCTCAGAAACCCCTCTTGGTCAGGGCCTCTTTCGTCGCCTCGTACACGACGAACTGTGAAGGCCGAGCAAGAGCACAATGGGTGTATGGATTAGCTGGCCGGGGTTTGAGGCGGAGGTCCACTCTCCTAAGGCGCTGTACTCACAAGGGAAGCATTGACGGGGATCGCTCTCATCACGGTCGCTCCTACACCTCTCCAGAAGGCTCTCACACCGCCTTCTCTCCAGATCTCCTTCGTCGCAGCGACTACACTGCCTCGCCCGAGGCTCCAACCCGCCTCTCCATCGATGCGATTCGAAGCCTGTACCCTCGTCTTGATGCAGTCGATTGGAAAAGTAGAGACCCAGGCCAGAACGCCCGCCAGAGCTCCGGAGCATGCTAACTCCAGGTTCGAAAGCTGAGGCGGCTGTGAGGAAGGATATGGCGTAGCGTCGTGCAGAGAGAGGAGCATCCGATTGAAGACCTCGTAGCAGAGAAAGTAAGGACCGTAACCCAGGTCTCGCAGACATGTGGCCCCTAGGCCGCGGTAGAGCCCTGCAAGCCTCCTCTTCGCCCACAGCTGCTTGATGATTGTCAAGGTCTGTGGCTTGGCGCCCTTCGTAGAGCAGTCCAGCTGCTCGCGGATCTTGATGAGTTCAATGGGAGTGGTGAGGAGCGAAGATATCACTCCACTCGCACATCCTGCCAGAAAGATCTGTCCTAATGTAGCACCACCGCCGGCCTCGCTTCCGCCTTGGTAGCGTAGGACGAGGCCGTAGGAGCCAAAGATGCAGGCGTTCATCGCTGCTACGCCCAAGAGGGGAGACGTAACGCCCTTGAAGAGCCCAAAGAACTTCTCCTCACGGACAATGATCTGTAGAGCATCGGTAGCTGAACGATAGTACCGTGTGGGCGCTACGGAAATGATCGATGCTCCGTACGATGGGACAGGAGCCGCTGCTCCACTCCGTGGAGCCACTGCAGCAGCATTCAAGAGAGGGGTGGTGGAGGTTGAGGCCGCAACCGGGGTCGCATGTCCAGCTTGTAGGCTGAATTGTGGGGTGGCCTGAGCTTGCAGTCTAGTCTTGATGGTGTCAAATGGCTGTCCCACTAGTAGCGAGGCTATGCCTGAGAGTGACGGGATTGGGGGTCAATCCCAGCAATGTATCTTCGATACCGAGCCTTGTCATTACTCACCTCCAGCGGTGCCGGCAAGAAAGTCGACGGCAGCCGAAGGGGTCGCATTGTCGCCCATGCTACTCTTGCCTCCAACCCGAGTCTATGGAACGGTAGCAGCAACACTCGGACGTTTGGACACCTCGCTACGATGGTAGAGACAATGAGCAATACCTCCAGTAAAGAAGGCTTCTCGGTGGTGGCCCCCGCTCCTGCCTCCCTTTCCGCAAATGCCGGTGCGCTCGCTCCCAATGGCAGTGACATCTTCTCACCTTCCCGCACCAGCGCTAGGTTGAATCTCTCCGCATCTTTACCGCAAAGCAGAGCTCGTCAACATGGTCAGTAGTATGAAAAAGGGCTATGGGTCGTTCTGTTGTCTCCATCTGACTGTTGTCTTGGATTCAATCTCACCTAGGCCAAAGGAGCATCCAAGCGGATCTCCTCGCAGAACGCCTCCTCCCTCACGCTCCTCTTCCGAGGCTTCCTCATCACCAATCTCCTTCAGATTCTCTCCCTCACTCTCCTCACCCCGGGCTACCGTCGTCGCTCCTCTTCGTACAAGTGGGACATCATCAAGTATGTCCTGACCGAGGCCATTGCTGCTGGTCTGGGGTTGGTGATGAGGGACATGGCCAAGAAGGGGGATGATCTTAGCGCGGAAGGATTGACGGCACTCATGTGGGACGTCGTCTTTGTGACTTGGGCAGTGCATGTTGGTACGGCACTGATCTGGAGGAGGTTCTGGTGGCTGTATGCCGTGGTGAGTATCACATACCTAAGGGCCGTAAGGAAGCGTAGAGCTCTGAGCTGGCGCTGATCGACTTTCGCACCCTTGTGCCGCCGTTTCACAGATTCCCCTCTACTCAACGTATCTGGCATACTCGAAGCTCATCGTCCCCTTCCTGTTCCGAGGCGCAGATCCAATCGCCTCCTTATTCTCGGCCGTCACAGGTCGTGCAGCGCCTCGAAATGCAGGCCCAGCTCAGGGCACCGGGGAGGAGAAGACCGAAACCCTCAGCAAGAGGCAGCAGAAGCTGGCAGCTCGGGCTGATCGCGGAGACGCTCGAGTGCAGAGGAGGGAGGTGAAACGGGGCTAGATCAGGGCATGGAGAAGTCTTCAGTGCACCAAGGACAGTATAGGAATGATGAAACGATGTTACAAATGGTTATAGACGTATATGCGTGCGAGAGGAACTGGAGGTTCTCTGAACCATGTCTATGCAGCAACAGGGGCCGGTCCTGCCAATGCTCCGTTGGACTGCTCCTCAGTCTGCTCAGCCCTGCCCTCTCCTCCCTCCATGGTCAGATTGCCAACTTCGCCATTCCTCCTCTCCTGCCGCTCGTTCAGAACCCTTTGCAGGTCCCCCATGACGTACGTCTGCCAGTCCTCCTTGCACCTCTTGAGATCGATCTTGCCCTTGTAGTGATCAACCTCTGACATCTCTTCCAATGTCTTGCACTTGGCGATGGACTCCTTGACCTTGATGATCTGGTCCTTCTTCAGTCCTTTGCTAGAGTTCCAGTCTAGGACGTTGAGGCAATACTTGGTGTTGCCGATGTGGTTGTCCAGCATAACGGCGTACTTGAGCCACTTGGGCACAATCTCGTCCACAACGGAAGCGGGAGCCTCGGGCGAGAAGCACGATGGATTCTTCTCGGGACCTCGGGCAAGCATAGACGAGGTGACGTTGGCATTCTTCATGATAGTCTGGGCCTCGTGGAAATCCCACGAGTCGCCATTGTGGCAGACTGGCATCTTGCCACCCGTCTCTTCCCTGACTGTGTCGACGACTTCGTTGATGCGCTCCAGCAGAGCCTTCTCTCGAGGCCGCATTTCCTTGGTGCGGCAGTGGATGGTGATCGCATCGACTGCCCCAGTACGACAGATCATTCTCACGAGGTTCTTCGTAGCCTCCTCTGTGGGCAAAAGCCTGATCTTGCACGTCACAGCAACGTGCGGAGGCGCAGCCCTTCGCATGGCTCTTAGGATATCGCAAAGTAGATCTGGTCGAGGCAGAAGGCCAGCGCCCATGCCTCCCGTGGTTGAGAAGTTCTTTGGACAGCCACAGTTGAGATCGACGCCCGCCACATCGTCGTGCTCTGTCACCATCTTGACGGTATCGTATGCCCAGGCAGGCGTAGCGCATCCCAGCTGAAAGATGAGGTAGGGCCTTTCGATGGGATGAGTAGAGAAGACAGATTTGCTGTCCTTCATGTAGTGAATAGCCCCCGTAGATTTGTCGACGATTCTCTCGGCTCCCATCAGGGCCCGATCTACAATCTCCGGGCCCCACACCAGATCAGCTCCGTACTCCAAGCTGAGGAGGCGAGTGGGCAGTGCGCCAATGCGTACCATTGGAGCCAGGAATAGGCCCTTGCGGTAGTTTAGAATGGAAGTGGATTTGGGAAGCTCTGCGGGGAATGTCGCTGGATCATACGATGATTCCAGGCCCGCAGGTATCCTCTTCAGCCGAGCTTCGTGAGGAAGAGGTGGCTCCACTGCCTGCGGGGGATGACGGGAGGAGCTAATAGGTCCACTGTCGACGTGAGCATCAGCTGCGACCGCATCATCCACAAGCTTGCTGGAGCTGGCGGTCGCATTGTCACTGTTGGTCTCGGTGGCATTGTCGTGGGTGAGACGAGCCCTCTTGAAGGGGGACTGACCGTGAGCAGGCGGTTCTTGCAGGGAGGATGAGGCGTGGCTGAGTGGCTGATGGGGAGGCGCAGGTGCGGTGTGGACGCTCATGGCGGGCAAATGAGCTCGGAGAGGAGTGGCCACTACTGTACGGCTGGACAAGGGCAATTTGACAGCTTGCGATAGGAATGACGATATCCTCTGAGCAGACAAGCGCATACGGACGCGTACGCGGCGCTGGCAGGTACGAGGTGGGGTGAAGCGTGGTAGTCTACCATGACCTGCATTCAACAGTGTTGCGCAGATTTCACTTTTTCAGATCCGCTCCGATGTTCGGCGATTCCTTCCTGGCCCGCGGGAAGGAAAGGGAGTCAAGGCGGGCCAAGGCGCACCACCACCCACGACTGCAGAGTCCACATTACCGCCTTTCTTCTCGACTTCTCCCTCACTTCACACCATCTCCAGCAGCCAACACTACCAACATCATGCTCGCTCGATCACTCGTACAAGGAGCTCGGGCCGCCCGAGCCTCCTCCTCCCTCACTGCCACCGCCTCTGCTCGACCGTCAACCGCGCTGCGCCTGGCACGGACAGCCCCTGCATCGACCTGGGCTCACGTAAAGGCCGGACCACCTGATCCGATTCTGGGTGTGACAGAGGCCTTCAAGAAGGACACTGATTCCAGGAAGATCAACTTGGGAGTAGGAGCCTACCGTGACGAAAATGGAAAGCCGTACGTGCTTCCCTCGGTCAGGAAGGTGAGTACACAGAACGCCGATCCAGGTCCTCCTATGCTGCATCCGACTTTCCCGATGGCAAACGAAGCTCACGCCCGTGGCTCCCAACCCTTCCCGCGACTAGGCTGAGGAGCTTGTCATTTCAGCCAAGGGAGACAAGGAATATCTCCCCATCACTGGTCTAGCAGACTTCACCAAGAACGCAGCTATCCTTGCCTATGGAAAGGACTCGCCAGCCATCAAGGAGGGCAGGGTTGCCATTACCCAGTCCATTTCGGGCACCGGTGCTCTGCGTATCGGAGGCGAATTCCTCAAGAAGCACTACACAAAGTCGAACAAGATTTTCCTTCCCACCCCTTCGTGGGGCAACCACACACCCATCTTCAAGGACTCGGGCCTGGAGGTCAACCAGTACCGATACTATGACAAGAACACCGTTGGTCTCGACCTCAAAGGAATGCTAGAGGACATCAAGGTGAGTCGCAGGCTATGCAAGGAGATTGGTAGGGGTAATGGTAGACTGAACTGACGTCGTTCTCCTTCTTGCTACAGAGTGCTCCCGAGGGCTCGATTGTCCTTCTGCACGCCTGTGCTCACAACCCTACTGGTGTTGACCCGACCCAGGAGGACTGGAAGGAGATCTCCAAGGTCGTCAAGGAGAAGGGCCACTTCCCTTTCTTCGACATGGCTTACCAGGGCTTTGCCTCTGGCGACGTTGACCGTGATGCCTTTGCCGTCCGATACTTTATCTCCGAGGGCCACCAGATTGCTCTCAGCCAGAGTTTCGCAAAGGCGAGTCGCTAGTCGAAGATCGAGTAGGTTTTTTTCCCTTGACCTTGTAGGCTGACACAAGTGCGATCTTACCCCTCTTGCAGAACATGGGCCTGTATGGAGAGCGAGTTGGAGCTTTCTCTCTTGTGACTGGCTCGCAGGAAGAGACCGCACGGGTCGACTCTCAGGTCAAGATTGTCGTGCGCCCGCTCTACTCAAACCCTCCTGCTCATGGAGCTCGCATCGCTGGCTCCATCCTGGCTGACGATGCCCTGTACCAACAGTGGCTGACCGAGGTCAAGGGTATGGCCGACCGCATCAACGGCATGCGCGCCACGCTAAAGAAGCTCCTGGTCGAGGACCTGGGCAACAAGAACAACTGGGACCACATCACCAACCAAATTGGCATGTTCGCCTTCCTGGGTATCTCGCCCGAAGCCGTCGAGAAGCTGAAGAATGAGCACCATGTATACCTCACCAAGGACGGCCGAATTTCAGTGGCAGGTATCACCGACCACAACGTCAGGCACCTTGCAGAGTCCCTCCACAAGGTGACCTCGTAGACGCAAGAGCTTAGTTGAGCTAGAAGTGCTCAGAAGACATCAGTGTGATACCTCGTTCCCTTGTGTACAAGTCCAAATGGAACAGTTTCGCGTGCTGCTGTGAAATGTATTGCTTTTTGCCGGAAGTGGCGTTTCGGAAGCTCCACTTGGCGTGCGTGCGTGCGTGTGCGCTCAGTGCTGTCACTTTCACCCCGAGGCTTCCGATTTTCCATTCTGCCACTCCTTTCACCCTACCCTCCCTGCCTCCGCTTCCCACTCACTAACCATGAGAGCCTCATCAGTCATTCCTCATCTCCTGTTATTGGTCCTCGTGGCTACGCTGGCAGCTGCCAAGACCGTCGTCGACCTCACTGACACCAAGAGATTCGAAGCCAGTGTGGGCAGAGACCGCCCTGCCCTCGTAGAATTCTTTGCACCATGGTGTGGCCACTGCAAGAAGCTCGAGCCCAAATTCGCTGCCGCTGCCGCCGCGTTTGCACACCAGCCTGGCAAGGTCCTCATTGCCAAGGTGGATGCCGACAAGAACAAGGATCTTGGCCGAAAATACGATATCAAGGGGTACCCTACCCTGCTCTTCTTCCCTGCAAACTCTGACAACTTTGAAGTATACAAGGGACCCCGGGAAACAGATGCCATGGTTCAATTCATAAATGAAAAGACTGGCGCTACTGGAAAGCTGACTGGCGATGGCAGTGGCTCGCCACCGCAGGCCAAGGAGGCCGCAAAGCCAGTGACAGTAGACGCTGTGCAGCTCACCTCCGGCAACTTCGATAGGATCGTCATGCAGGAAGACAAGGATGTCTTGGTGGAGTTCTACGCCCCATGGTGTGGTCACTGTAAGAACCTTGCTCCGGTCTACAATGCAGTAGCCAAGGTGTACGAAAATGATGATACAGTGAGTGTCTAGTGTGTGGCGAGTCGGAATTCGCACGCATATGTCCAAGAGCTCACATTCAGACTGCTGCTTGCCCGTCCTCTCAGGTGGTCATTGCTCAAATGGATGCCGACGAAGGGGCCAACCGACCCATCGCCCAGCGATACGACGTCAAGTCTTTCCCCACCATCAAGTTCTTCCCCAAGGGCAGCAACAAGCAGGCGCAGGATTACGACGGAGGCCGAACCGAGACGAACTTCATTCAGTGGATCAACTCAAAGTGTGGGCTGTACCGTGTCGCAGGCGGTGCCTTGAGCGACCTTGCCGGGCGCCTTCCCTCACTCGACTCGCTGGCCTCGCGATTCTACTCGACCGAAGCCGAGACGGATCGCTCAAAGATCGTCGAGGACGCTAGGGCCTTCCTCGCTCAGGCAAAGGTGGGCACCAACTCCAGTGCCGAGAAGAATGCCGCTGCCGACTACTACATTCGTATCATGGACAAGCTTGTAGAGGACAAGAAGTACGTGGAGAAGGAGACGGCCAGGCTGAAGAAGATCATGGGCAAGCACCTCGATGGTACTTCGCTGCTGGAGGGCAAGAAGGTTGACTCGATCAAGAAGAGAATGAACGTCCTCTCTGCCTTTGTGAAGAGGCAGCTGAGCGACCGGGTGCCTGGTGGAGCTGCAGAGGTGCCCAGGGATGAATTGTAGAGAAGAACTAATTGCAGGGCCGGAGAGGAAAAGTATGCGACATGTCAAAGGAAGGCTGCTACGCATGCAATCTGATACATCGTCGTGCCCAATGCTGCGTGTGCTAATCGACTTTGTCTGCCATTGTTCACCGTCGTGCGAACAACTTCATCCATGTGTCTCTTATTTGTAGACTGCTCCTGGCTGAGTGAGTATGCTCGCGCCTCCGATCTCGGTCTCGGCCGACGGCGCATTGTGGCGGAGCCCCGGAACAGGAACGGCTTCCCCGGACGTCCGAATCTCAGCTTCAGGACTGATTCCTGATGCTGTTCACTCGTCTCTGTATCCTGTTCCTTGATTGCTCCATCCCTCCTTCATCTGCCTGGACTGTACTAATCATGAGCTCACACTTGTCCAGTACAGGGCTATCGCGAGCTGCTCAGGTACGTACCTCGCCGGAAGAAACACTCGCCTAGGCAGAATCTTTGAATGCTCACCTCTCCCTTCTCACCTCTTCCGCTCGTCTTTGCACCATTGCCCTTCCTTTGAGGCAGACAGCTCGCCGGCGGCTCACGCCCAACTGTCTTGCACTAGCGGTAACACTTCCCTCGACCTCTCACTTCCGGACGGCAGGATGGCCTCCTCTTGTGCCTGCCTCGCAGTCTCGTCCTCTCTCGACCTCACCACCGGCCCAGACACCAGGTCCGCGTTCCGCACTCACGATGGCCCTCCTGGTCGGCGTGGTAGGAGCGGGGGCTTACGCCGTTGGCTCTCTCTATCCGCCAGCATTCGTAACCATGGTCAAGCCTAGGGAGGCGCCTGCCGCACCGCATGCCAGCTCTGAGGAAGGCATAGCTCACACAGCTCAGATTGAAAAGCAGCTCATGGAGCTACCGTTGGTGCGGCATCTCCTCTCTGCTGGCGATGGTGGAAAGGGTGGCGAAAATGCTAGCGGTCGTGTCGAGGGGCGCCCATCGGATAGCATAGGTGTGCTCTCTGGCAGCAATCCCAGTACACAGAGCCCGTCTCTGGAGACCTCTCCCTCGAGCTCGACCGCGGAGCCATACTACATTGCCTCGAGACCATACCGCCGCTTCCCTCCTTCAAAGCTTCTTCACTCCCTCACAGCCGGAACCCTTCGCGGACCCGGTCGCTTCGCAGTCCCTCCTCTGATCGTTGCCAAGACCAAGGCGGGTGCAGCGGCCGAGGGCGGGCACGAGGGGGACGCCTATGCCTTTGTTCACCTCGGTCGTTCCCTCTGTGGTCATGACGGGATCATCCACGGCGGTCTCCTGGCTACCATCTGCGACGAGGCCTTTGCCCGGACTGCCTTCTTCTCCCTGCCTTCCAAGGTAGGGGTGACGGCCCGCCTAGAGCTGGACTATCGTGCTCCGACCTATGCCGATCAATTCGTGGTGATTCAGACGAGCTTGGTCGAGAATCGGGGAAGGAAAGCAGTCGTGCAGGGCGAGATCAGGGACATGAATGGCAAGCTCCTCGTCTCAGGGAAGGCCATCTTCGTGGAGCCCAAGTTTGCAAAGTTCCTGGATACGAGCCTCGTCAAGGACGCAATGGACACTCATGACTGAGAGGTGCGAGGGATTGCCCGCGTGCGAGGCGCAAGCGCTGTGGTAGACGTTGCGGCGAATTCATCTGGTCGACGTGCCGCTGTACTCTAGAGTCACTCAACACAATAGACCCTACAGCCATCATCAGGGGCTCAATGATACGAGACAGTCTATCTGAGTGACGAGGTGACATGGTGTACGGATGAGGGTGACTCATGGTGACGTAGGTCCGGACTGTGAATTCTGTCCCAACTTCCCTCGACTACTCCCGACCTAACGCCTGACGTCCGCCGATGGGCCAGAGCTTCTGAAATGTGTCCTTGTGGAAGAAGACCAGCGCCGCTCGCTTGTGCGGTAGATCGATGGGCTACAGAGCGAGGCCGCAAGGAACAGCGTCAGAGAACGTATCATCCGGGTACTGGCGCATCCTCACTTCCTAGCTCACTCACCTTTTCCACGACTCCTCCACACTCGCATTCGTAGTCAACCATCTTCTGATTCTTGATGTTGGGCTCTGAGACGACCAGATTGCACCGCTCTTCCAGAGCAAAGGCAAGCTGGCGAATATGAGAGTGACAGGGAGGTGGAAGGTCGAAGATCAGCCAGGCTGCGCGGTCGGAGGGTCCATTCGTTGCCGATACATAGACTCACGTAGACGGCACTGCCCATCCAAGCCCGTACCCTGTCGGGGCCCCTGAACCTGTTCTCTCCGACTAGGGCGTGGAATCCAAGAGTGAATTGAGGATAGTCATAGAAGTCTCGTATCGAAGAGGTCTGGAGATGTTCCTATCAGCATTGGTCATGCAGCTCTACAACCTCCTGCTCCCATCACTCACCTTGGCCCAATAGAGCTCCACGTATCCCCACGGCTCTCCGAGCTCCTCTATAGAGTCTGACCAGTAGCCTACAAGACCCAGTGAGTCATCCTTGTCCTGCACCTCGGCGAGAAATTTGCGCTGCTCCTCTTCGCTCCAGGCCTGGTTCCACCAGGCAGAGACTCGTTCGTCGCTCTGCCATCGCGTAAAGAGCTTCAGGTGACTCGAGGACGAGCCTGAGGCGGCAATCTCAGGACTGAGGGAGATGGGGACGTAGTGAAGTACATTGGGCGAAGGCAGCCAGTCTATTCTCCGTGAGAAAAGGGGGCTCTTGGTCGGTTGGGAAGCATCGTGGTAGAGGGACGGGCGGGCGGAGGGGTCTTGCTCGCGGGATTTGCGCCAATGAGGTAGAAGCTCATCAATTACCGCAGTCGAGGCAATGTGGCTCTGCGAAAAGGTGGTGCTGGACCTCGCGGGACTCTGAGAGGGCTTTCTGAGAGGGACAGGCTGAATGGAGCGTGCAGACAAGCTGGCTGGGACAGAGGCTGGAGGTGGTGCAGGTAGGCTGGCGGAGGCTGACATGACCTCGCAGGTCCCGCAGGGGACAGACGAAAGAGGAGGACGAGTCAAGAGTGGGGATGTCGATTGAGATTGCGAGAGGAGGAGGAAGGGGAAGTAGGTGCTCCTTGTCTACGAGGCCTGGGAACTGCTTCTCCTTTTGATGAGCAATCAACCCCGCACCTCGCTTCCAATTGCGGGAAGCCAGAATCTGCCGAAGAAGGGGCATTGGGCAACTGATTTTTCCCAGAGGCTTCTGCAGGCAGATGCGCCAATCAGAACAGGGACCAAGCGCACACAGCCTTGCGGCAGAATACGCAAGCAACAGACTGATGATCTCAATCCCTTGACCAACAACGACCTAGTATCTGATCTGCGATCAAGCATGTCGCGATTCATCTCGGGCCTTCAGAAGGTCCTGAAGTCGGATCATGGGCAAGGCAGCAGCCAGCAAGGAGGTGGTCCTGGCCCGGCCCCCTCCACTTCCACCTCCTCACAGCCCGCCCATCCTCCCAGTCTAGGGCAAGGCGGCAAGGTCTCTGTAGGCTATTTCCCCAACTGGGGCATCTACGATCGTGGCTTCAAGCCGCAACATATCCAGGTCACCTCTCTCACCCATCTGTTGTACTGCTTTGCCGACACTCGGCCCGAATCAGGTGAGGTGTTCCTCAATGACGCCTGGGCCGATGAGCAGATCCACTACGATGGTGACTCGTGGGACGAAGACCAGTCAAGGACACTCTTTGGCAACCTAAAGGCTATCTACGCCCTCAAGAAGCCAAACAGACATCTTAAAGTCCTGCTCTCCATCGGCGGGTGGACCTTCTCCTCGCACTTTGCACCCGTAGCAACGGACCAAGCTAAGCGTGGGAACTTTGTGAACACGGCAGTGACCATCGTCAGGGACTACGGCTTGGACGGACTGGACATTGATTGGGAGTATCCCGCCAACGACAGGGAAGCAAGAGCCTACGCGGATCTGCTGAGGGAGCTCAGAGGCGGGCTGGACACCCTGGGCCGGGAGCTACAAGTCGAGAGGCCCTTCCAGCTGACCATTGCTGCGCCTGCTGGGCAAGAGCAGGCACAGAAGCTGCACATCGCAGAGATGGATCGCTACCTCACTTACTGGAACCTCATGACGTACGACATGGCCGGCTCGTGGGACAAGGTGGCTGGTCATCAGGCACCCCTGTTCAGTGCGAACCCAGGAGCTCCTTCGGTAGATTCGGCAGTTCAATTCTACCTGCGGGCGGGTGTGGCGCCTCAGAAGATCGTAATGGGCTTACCCCTGTACGGGCGCGCATTCGAGCACACGGATGGTCCCGGCAGGCCGTTCCGTGGAGTGGGCAAAGGAAGCTGGGAGGAAGGGACGTGGGACTACAAGTCACTACCGTTGCCCGGATCGAACGAGACGTACGAGCAAGGCATCGTCGCTGCGGGATGCTACGACCATCACAAGAAGAAGTTTGTCAGCTACGACAACATCGATAGCGCAATGGTCAAGAAGCGGGTAAGTGGCCAGAAGAGAGCGCGGGAGTTGATATCGACGGCGAAACGAATCGTTCACATCTGCTGTATTGCTTCGCCTCCAGTACATCGAGGAGCACAGTCTGGCGGGTGCAATGTATTGGGAGCTCACTAGCGACCATCCTCAGAGCTCGGACAAGAGCATCATCTCCCGAATGGCCAGAGAGGTGAGTCGTCGCAGAGACGCTAGTCACCTACGAACACGGCGTTGCTAACAGCTGGTGTACCGCCATCTCACCCTCGCTGCACAGTTCGGCAGCTTGGACGCCACGCCAAATCATCTCAGGTACCCTACCAGCAAGTGGGACAACCTTCGTGAGGGGAGAATCTGAGGCGCAGTCGTGACGAGGCTGACGGCACAATCTGTACATTGCAGTTCAGAGGCGGTATATATATATATTCTACTAGACAGCTGATGTACTTTCAAACTGCGTGAAGCCTTGCATCTATGTCGCGTCCCTTGCTTATGCTTCCCTTTGAAGTACGAGCATACAGCTCTCAAGGATGTCCACTGCCTGGTCCACTTGCTCCTTGGTGACGATCAAGCTCGGCACAATTCTCACCGCATCGCTTCCGGCAGACAGGACAATCAGTCCCCTTTCCCTAGCGAGCTTGACAACCTTTCCTGCATGACTCGGCTCTCTCATGCTCAGTCCCACCAGCAAGCCCTTTCCTCGAGGCGAAGGCTTCTCGGGGGTGTGCACCACCAGGTCTGGGAAGTGATCCCGGAGCGTCTCTAGCCGCGTAAAGAGGTGTGCAGATGAGGCAGTCATGCTCTCCTTGAGCTGCGGGTCCGACAGCCTGCCGAGGACGTGATGGGCAATGCGGGATGCCAGGGGCCCACCTCCGAAAGTGGTGCCGTGGTCGCCGACTGTGATGGCGTCGGCTACCTTCTTGTTCATCAGAACTGCACCAATGGGGAACCCATTGGCCAGCGGCTTGGCCATTGTGATCAAGTCGGGATGAGCGTCGACTGGGAACTCGGAGTGACACCAAAGGGTACCCGACCGGAAGAGGCCACATTGGATCTCGTCATAGATGAGCAGCGCTCCGACTTCGTTGCAGCGCTTACGGAGCGCCTGCAGCCACTCTAGGGAGGCAGGGAAGATTCCGCCTTCTCCCTGTACGGGCTCTACGATGACTCCAGCAGTCTTTTCGTTGACGAGGTCATTCAGACCATCGAAGGAATTGTATTGTCCCGAATGCACATCTCCGATGAGGGGTGCAAAGGGAGCCTGGTACTTGGGATTGGGCGTCATTGCAAGAGCTCCCATGGTCCGTCCGTGGAAGGCATTGGTGAATGATACGAGGCCCGCCTTCTCACCTGGCGCCTTGTTCGCCGAGATCATGGCATGCTTGCGGGCGAATTTCAGCGCAGCTGACAGAGGAAGAGGGCCAAAGACTGTAAGCCGAGCACTAGGGAAGCACGCTTGCTGAACGATTCCACTCACCCTCGTTGGCCTCTGTCCCTGAGTTGGCCAGGAAGACCTTCAACTCGTCCTTTGCGCCAGCGCCCTTCGCCATTCCCAGTCCTCCATGCTCTTGCGTCAGCTTGACCATTCTGTCTGCCAGCTCTCCACTCCATTCGTTGTGGTAGAGATTCGATGAATGCACGAGCCTATCCGCCTGCTCACGCGCAATCTGTGCAATCTGGGAATCAGCATGCCCCAAGCTGTTCACTGCAATGCCAGAGGAAAAGTCGAGATATTTCCACTCTCCCTGTCCCTCGTTCTTGGCAGGGTCCACTTTGCCCCATAGATCGAGGCCTTTGCCTCTGGTGAGAAGGACCGTGGGCCGAGCGTACGTGGCTAGAGTGGAGGCGTCGAAGCGGGCAAGGGTCTTGCCGACTTCAGAGTCCGGTGAGGCGCTCGAGTCGGGATGGGTGACGGAAAGGTACGAAGAGCAAGGCTATGAGAGAGAATGAGACGTAGCCTGTCAGTACTCAGTGCACCTCATTACACGTCGCAACTTGACAGCGACACTCACGCCTGAAGCTGCTGTAGCTAGGTACCTTCGCGGACGGGAGATAAGGGGCGCGAGCGACTTGGACGCCGAGGCCGACGTTGAAGCGACGGACGCTGACGTCCGAGTAGCAGCAGCTAGCATGGTAATGGAAGGTGGCTTCGAGATATCAGAGCGGAGGGCAGGGAGAAGAACGAAACGAGGGCTGGATCTGGGTATGAGTCAGGAAGGAGGACGAGCAGGAAGGATTGACACTCTGTGCAGCCGGGCAACAGATTCGGCCGGGGTCGGAGTCTGAAGCACTTTGAGGCTGCTCCACTCCTTGGGTGCCTCGGCGGACAGGGCCAAAAGTTTGGATCTTCGCGCCGGCTGTACGGTATCCTACTTCTTCTGGCGCTCATACGGCAATGCCCATGATGCTGCCGACATGACGAGCCTACTGAATCTACCCCCCGAGGTGCGTAGGCAGAGATGGAGTCTAGAAGAGATTCTTGTTGGGCTCAGCTCACTTAGCTGCTACTGCTACTGTCCCTCCACCTCTGCAGATCATCCATACTATCCTTGTGTACTCACGCGCAGGCTCCTCTCTCAACCTATGCTGCCGCTCTCTGCACGCCATTCTGCGGTCAATCCCGAACATCGTACGAGCTCGGTATCTTCTCGCTTCTTGGCACGATGACTACGAGCTCTACCCGACGGACAACAGCATGGCTCCTCCTAAATTTGTACCGGTACGGCCAAAGAAGATCTTGGACGACTGTACGCCGGCATATGTCTTGGAGTACTGTCTGAGGTTTCCCATTTGCAACGTCGTGGTTTTGAGCTTTGTACAAGATCAAGTCCTCAAGCTCTCCGTCTTTGGAAACTATCGCCTAGCTCATGAACAGGTGTCGATGCTGAGTACGCGGGCCTGCTCTCGGCTGGGCAAGCGGCGGAGAAGTGAGGATGAGGAAGATGCGGAAAAGGCACTTCAGGAGGATCGTAGGCACGACGATGACGATCGCTTACCTGACCCCTCAGCTACAGAAAAGACCTTCTTGCCTGTCTCGGAGCTTCCCAAGAGGCTGTTCAAGAGTTTCGAGGCCCAGTCCACCACCTATCCCGAAGGCCAAAATATTAGCATTGAAGATGATGCGTATGCTCCACTACGGCGGCATCTTCTCTCATTCGGTCCTCTCACGGATTTTCCGCCCCTAGCAGACCTGCTACTACTGCTACGAATACTCCTCTTGCACCCCGACTCCACACATTCGACCACGGGACAATACGCGACGCAGGCAGTGAAATCTCATTCCGGCTACCCCCTCACAAAGGCCGTGTTTTCCAAGTCCATCTCTCTCGTTGCCCTACTCGTGGCTACTGGAGCTGACGTCACTGCCAAAGGGAAGCTGCCCCTGGTGGTAGCAGGAAGGAGCAATTGGGTAGAGGGATTGAAGTTGATGGTTGAGCGGGACGAAGAGGAGCTAAAGAGGAGACGGGATGCTCTTGGTGCTATCACGGCCTGGCTCCTCGACTGCTCCACCGCTACGATTCGTGGCGAGCAGAGCCGAGAAGACGCTGCAAGCCCATCTTCTACCACCAACTCAAGCAAGGTCACCACATCGAAGACGAAACGTCGTCGTTTGAGCGACCGAGTCCCCCTTGAACCCCGTCTTCTTTACGAAGCTGTCAAGGCAGAAGCGGTGCAGGTGACAGACTACCTGATGAACCAGAAGGGAGTCGCACCAGATATGAAGACCATTCGTGCCCTCGATCGACTGTCCGCCAAAGGGAGAGCGGCTTAGTGAAGGGTGGCTTGCTATCTGTCCCGTGCCTCTTCACTGCCAGTCAATGCCTCGTGCGCTAGCTATTATGTACCATATCACGGCCTCACGGGCGCCTTTCCCACCTGCACAACACACAATATACCACGACCTTTCTTTTCTGACGTCTTCCCTTGTCTTAAGTAAATCCATACACACGACGCGTTTGGATAGGAACACCCTTTCACACAAGTAGCGCAGCAGCAACAGTCGTTGGCAAACGTAACTGAATTTGGTGCTGCAGCAGGTACAGAGAGAACTAATTGCGGGCCAGAACGAGAGATGGTGGAGGAGGAATCGTGTCCGAATGGTGAGGTGGATAAGTCGTCTAAGTTGCGGTCACTGACGGGGATTCCAGCTGCCCCTGCCTCGTCAGCCGCTTTGCCCACCCCGAATATCAGATCTGATCTCCTTTGGCCCCTCCTTCTTGACATTCAACGTCAACGTCTCTCGGACTAGTAACGCTGCTTCTGTTTACCACACCATCGAGCTCATGTCGGCCCTGATCCTGTTGTAGTCCAGCAGACCCTCTACCTGTCCCGTTGCTGCAATGCTGATGTCCTGATCCCACAGGTACTTCTGAGCGACACGCTTGATGTCAGCAGGGGTAATAGCCTCCAGTGCAGTCTCAATCTCCTGAGGTGTCTTCCTCTTGCCCGCAGTAACCATTTGTCGACCAATGTCCTCGGCAATGGCAGTAGAGCCATCCAGACCCAGCAGCAAGCTTGCCTTGAGCTGGCTCTTGGCCCTCTCTACCTCACCCTCAGTGGGGGCAGTGCTCATTCGCTGCCACTCGCGCAGGGTGAAGTGCACAAGGTCATCCAGCTGGCTGAAGTTCTCGCTGACCATGTATACACCCCAAAGGCCGGTGTCCGAGTAAGACGTCGAGAAGTGCATGAAGCTGTTGGCTAGGTTGTTCGACGAGACAATGTGGCTCAATCGAGAGGAGAGGAGAGGAGAAGATCCAAGGGAGCGGTCCCAGTTGCCCATGATGGACTGCATTACGAGCATGGGGAAGTAGTCTGGTGACGACCAGCTGACACCCTCCACAGCAATGGCGACGTTGCATGTGGGCATGGTGTCGTCACGAACACGGACCTCAGAGCCAATAAACTTGGTCTTGGAACCAGCGCGTCCGGTCGAAAGCGGGTTTTGCGAGACGGGAAGGTCGGAGAAGTGCTTCTCGGCAAGCTTCACGAGCTCCTCGTGCTCAACACCTCCAGCACCAACCAGCACCATCCTGTCAGCGCTGTAGTTGGTCTTGATGTACTCGGCAAGGTCTTGCTGCTTGATGGACAGGATGTTAGCCTTGGGGCCAAGGATGGTCCGTCCAAGGGGCTGACCTACAGGATGGAAGAGATCGGTTAAAACGAGTCAGCCCAGTCGGCGTTTCTCGGCCGCCCCCACTAATCCGGTGCGACTCACCCTGGAAAGCAACGGCGTGCAGGTGGTCAAAGACGACTTCTTCGTTCTGCTTGTCCACCTCCTCCTGCTCCCTCAGAATCACATCCCTCTCCCGCTCAATTGCCGACGTCTCCAGCTTGGAGTTCTGCAGAATATCGGAGATGATGTCGACGGCCTTGTCCACGTCCTTGCGGAACGTCTTTGCGTAGTAGACGGTCTGTTCACGCGATGTGTAGGCGTTCAGGTGAGCTCCGAGGTTCTCGACCTCAAGCTCAAGAGAGTGCTGCGAGCGGCGTCCAGTACCTAGAGTGAGTATGGTGATCGGAGTGAGAAGTGTATGAGAAGGCGGGAGCGATCAAAGGTCAGCCCCCATGCTGCTGCGAACATCTCCTTCACCGTCCACACGCTGCGCTTCTCACCCTTGAAAGCCATGTGTTCCAGGAAGTGAGCAGTTCCGTTGGTTCGGTCAGTCTCGGCGCGAGAGCCAGCGTCAATCCAAGTACCGATCGTAGCAGTCTGAGCGGCGGGGTTTGACTCGGTGGCTACGACCAAGCCATTGGGAAGAGTGGTGGTTTGGGTAGCGGGCTGCGAGAAAGAACAACAAACGTCAGCTTCGTGTGCCATGGACGACAAGAGCTCTCTTCTACCCTCGACAGAGAATGCCTCTCAGCATCGTACTGCTGAAGCGTTTCCCTTCCCCTCTTGTGTCCATCGCACCTGCATCACCTCCCATGGATACGGCATCGCTGTGTAGTGCGACTCACAGATCGTCCGACGGCAGTAGCAAGGGATCGGGGCAGGGTCAAAGAAGGTCGAGCGGCGATCTTGGAGGCTGACCTGGGAGCAGCTGCTCCTTGCCTCAGGGCATTGGAGAGGAGGTGGCGAGCCGACATTGTCCGATGCAGGGCTACGCGAGGTACGGAGGGTGAGAGTGTATGCGGTAGGTGAGGGGTGAGAAGGAGTGATGGAAGTCCACTGGGCGGCGTATCCTTGGTGGCTCGCTGCTGCCTGCCTGCCCGCCCGGCTGGTGTGCCCGCGTGTGCCTCTGTGGACGGCCTGATTGCAAACGGCTCCTGCCACCGCGCGCTGCCTCGGGTGCTTTCGCTCCTGAGCCACTCAGTCCGTCCGTCTGTCCGTCATCCCGTCGCATTCGCCCTTGCCTGTTTGATCCTACCACTTGATCTTTGCAGAGATTCTTTGGGGATCCTCAAGGCGAGGAATATCAGAGCCGAGCCTCTTGCAAGAGTACGCAGCCGCCAACTTGATCGAAGTAGTTCCCGTTGGATGGACATGGACGGTGGCATGGTAGCGGTGGCTTCCGGCTCCACCCCGCCTGTCGAGTCGCTAAGGCGCGGGACAAGGAATCGCCAGCCCACGAGGAAAGCAGAAGCGCTTGTTGTCGAGGCTAACGAAGCCAAAAGGGCTGGGAGCGCATCAAGGGAGAGCGTGCGACGCTCACTATCCCAGGCTCCCGAGGCGCAGGACCAGAAGGGCTCCAGCGCATCGGAAGAGGAGGCTGATTCTGACGGAGAGGATGAGGAAGACGAGGACGGACTCACAGGTGACGAGCGCTACTGTATATGCCGCGGCAAAGATGATGGCTCACCAATGGTCTGGTGTGGTGGATGTGATGAATGGTGAGTCGTCTCATTGGCTGACGATGGACGGGTCGGCTCCACATAGCTGATGCATTATCCTCGATGCCTTCTTTACGCGTCTGCTTTCACTAGGTACCATTTCGGCTGCGTGGGAATTACACAAGAGGTAGCAGAGAAGCTGGCAGAGTATATGTGTCAGTCGTGCTACAAGTCTACAGGTCGTGTTTCCAAAAGTGAGTACACCAAAGGAAAGCTGATTCGGGTGGGCGAAAGGGTCCATATGCGCCCCATCATCTCGATGGCACAATGTGTTCGTGCGGTCACCGCTGGCAATGCATTGCATCTTCGTGTCGAGTCGAACCTACCGTTGTTGTCGCTACCTTGCGATACTGCTTGGGAAGCAAGTCTGTCTTTGTCCCGGTCGCCTCTCCTTGCTGCATCGTCTGCATCGCCCTGTTCCCCTTCTGCTTGCTCTGCCCTTGCTCAGAAAGCTATCACCTCCTGCTCGGACGGCCTGCGATGCTGCAGCTCACAACGTTTCGTCCAGCTCGTTGGTGGTGTGGAGCACGTCAGCAAGCCACGCAGCCGCAGACCGGTTCGAAGTGGAATGGCCAGGCATGTCTGCATGTCCGCCAAGAGGCATCGTCTCCGCTTTCGATTCGACACGCGTCGTGAGAGATGGCAGAATGCATTGCAGCATGTCGAAATGGCAGAGTAGAGAGGGGCAACACGTTCTTAAAAGCCTCGACGGCGATGGCAGAACCCCGAGACCCGCTCAGCGCTCAACCTAGCGACTATGGTAGAAGCAAATTCACTGACTGTTCCTCCCTTTGCATTTTGCCCTCGAATCCTTTCCCCCTCAGACCTTGACGGAAGTGTATCGGAAATTTCACGAAAGGACGTCGACGCGGCCGTTGCCAAGGGATCGAAGCGCAAGCCCTCCGTATCTGCCGCGCACGAAGTCGACAGCAAGAAGCGAAAGCCGTCGCTACCGTCGGCGAGCGGCAGCCACGTCAAGAAGACTGGCTCAAGTGCTGGTGCCAAATCGCCTCCTCTGACCAAGAGTGCCCAGCAGTCCATCGTTCCTGCTTCGCCAACGTCTTCATCCTCCACTGCCACCCAAAATGATGCAGTCCGTGCCCACGTAGTGTCTCGGTTCGCCACCATCCTTGGCCCCATTTTTGCAATGGCCGTCGATGCTGAAGCTGTTGACAATAGCGATCAGATGGCCAAGGAGTATGCGAAGCAGCTGGAGCAGGGAATTTTCGAGGGCTTCGCCGAGTCTGTCGGTAGTAGCAGCGGATCGAAGCGGGTGGCAGTGGCTGGGAAGGGGTACAAGGATCGATTCCGCACATTAGACTTCAGTCTCCGTGACAAGGGCAATGATGATCTCCACGCTCGCATCACCTCCAATGAGCTCACGGCAAAGGAGCTGGCAACGCTGCCGAGTGAACAATTGGCCAATGCATCCATCAGAGCCAGAACTGAAAAGGCGAGACAAGACAGTCTGCACCAGAGCATCTTGAAGCAACAACTTGGCAGCGGACCGTTGAGGAAGATGACGCACAAAGGAGAGGTGATCATCGAGCACGAGGACGCAGGACCTCTTAATGAATCGTTTTCGAGGGTGTCGAGGATGCATTCGCCAGCGCCGAAGCAGGAAGGTGATAAAGAAGGCAAACAGACCGCGTCCGTGCGAAAGGAAGGCGAACGGGCTGGACCACCCTCCCCAACCTCCTCGGAGGACAGCAAGACGGCGGGAAGCCCAATCGCAGCAAAGGCAACGGCGATGCTCCCTCGATCGTCCTCTGCTGGTAGTAGGCAGCGGACAACGTCCCAACCGACCAACTTCGACTTTTCCAATGTTTGGTCTTCAACCGCTCAACAAGGCAGCTCTGATCAGAAGGTCGCCGAGACCAAGGATGGCAAAGGTGAAGATGGTGATGACGAAGTCGCCGCGGCAGGCGGAGAGGCGCAAGAAGAGTACGAGCCTGCCAAGGCATCCGACGACTTCATCGACAACTTCCTGCAAGGCATTTCGTCCCCTCAATTGGCCGCAAAGAGTTTGCCGGCTTCAGCTGCTGTAGAGCCGACCTCTACGACTCCGACCTCGACTCCTCCTCCTCCAGAGTCTCCTATCCTTTGGCGAGGAGCCATCCATATGCCTGACGAAGCCACCATTAGTGGTACGGTCCGCCAAGTTGCCGGCACTCCTCTTCCTCTCGGTCCAGAAGTGACATCGCAGCTTTTCCCATCGTTGTGCTCCGTCATTCAGGGCCGACTGCCCACCAAGACGGCAAGTGACTATCTTCTTCAATCCCGTGTCGCTTCCCGCACAGAGTTGATTGTATTGTCGATGCAAAAGTCCTTTGAGGAAGAGGCGTGCAAGGCTGCTCCACAGCCGACTCCCTCCACCGAGGCTACTCACAATGCCTCCTTCGACCAGATGATCAATTACTTGAGCAGAAGAGGGAGATATGGTGTGATCCTGCCGGCAGCTAGTGCCAGAGGTCATGTGATCAAAGACTTTTACGTTGCGCCATTGCCCAAAGATAGCCCTCTTCCGCCATGGCTGGGATTGATGAAGCCTCGGGAATTCGTTGGCAAGGAGAACAGCAGAGAGGAAGATCTGATGCTCCTCGTAGCCGTCGTATTCAAGGGCACACTGACCAACATGCGACCCAAGGCAGCCGGTCTACCACCTGCGCTCCCCGTCGATTTCGCTGCGCCTCCTGCGGCAGGATTGGCTGGTCTGCTCAGCGGCGGGTCATCGGCTCTCCAAGACTTACTCAAGGCAGTGGGTGGAGGCGGATCAGCCGTAGTCGGCGCGGTGCCTCCTGCGTCCTCCTCTTCCTCTTCCACTCCCACTCTTCCAGCGTCAGACCCAAGATCTCGACGCCAGCTGCGCGTCCCAAGCGGTGACTCATCCAGTGGATCCGGCGCAGAACAGGGTCAGGCAGCAAACGTTGCGGCTGTTCTGAATGCCCTCGAGTCGACTTCAGATCTCATGCCATCCGAGACGTCAGCATTGGCACAAGTACCCTCGGTGGATATTCAGAATGTCTTGGAGGGTAATCCAGGGCTACTGAGCTCACTATTGCAATCTCTCGGCGCTGGTGGTACTCCGTCCTCTGTTCCTTCCGCGAGTGAGCCTGCAGCGACTAATGGCAACGCAGCGAGGCCACCGGGTCCACCGCCCGGCCCTCCTCCCGGCCCGCCCCCTACTGCCCCCGTCATCGCAATGAATCCTTATGCGGCAGGTCCAGGTCCATATGGAGATGCTGGGGCCTCACAATGGGAGCAGAGGCAAGGCATGGCTCCTCCTCACTATGATCCGTACGGTCAGCAGCAGCCCCAGCAAGACCCATACGCGCCGATGCTGCCTGGCTGGGGGCCACAGCAGGCACCACCGACTTTGACTCAGACTGGCCCTCCGGGATGGCCGCCTCAGCGCTCTCCTCTGCCTCCACCGCCTGGCCCCCCGCCCCAACAACCACCACAGCAGCACGGTTCGGCTTTTACTGGACCGATGAGGGGCGATGGACCGCCGATCCGAGGAGGCAGCTTTGGCAAAGGCAATCAAAAGAGGCGAAGGAGGAGAAGCAGGAGTTGAGCGGGGGGAAATCGGAGATCATCTACCTGTCGTGTGTGTGTCATTGAGCGTTTCACGTCCTTGTTCAAGTCGAGTCGTTCAGTTCGAGTCGTATTGCATTACAACCTCCGTCTATTAGGCTTCTGAAAGATCAAATATTGATGGTTATTCACAAGAATGCTAGTGCTGAGAATGAGGTGGCGTGTACCTTGGCATCGCTGCTCGTGACCTTCTAGGCTACCACTTGGTAGTAGGGTCAGCCAGGAAGGCCTCGTAGTCTTCCCGATTGAAGAAGCTCAACTCGGCTTCGTTTTCTGAGTGAGCAGTAGCGATGGCAGCGATGAGCAAAGAGCAGCGTACATATAAAGTCTCATTGTCTACTCACCTAGCCCCGCGTCCGCCAATGTCCGTCCCTTGTCTGCATCTAACAGCCATTCGGGATGGTCTAGATTGATGATGAGATTGGTAGTCTTGGAGCCGTGAGCTCTAGTGTAGATCTTGATGGTGTCTAGCTTCGTAGCGTAGGATCTAAAGGCCTTGAAGGAGGGTGTTGATGCTACCTCTACACGGGCGAGGATGGGAGAGGGGAGAGAGGGGTGGTCAGAGACTGTGCCTCGTCGTGTGCCTGCCGTTTCGCCCTCACTTACCCTTGCGGCATTTCTCCTCTAGCTCCTCTATTGTGACTGAAGTGAGGTCGATGTGGGGGATGACGAGGGCCTTCATAGAACGGTATGCGAAGCTCTTGATGATGCGCACAGTGATGACTGCATCGGTCAGAGGTCTGGCCGTGTTGGTCTCTGGGTTCTCCGTCTCATCATGGAGCCTAGGCCGGAATGGATGGAATCCACCGGGAGCAATGGTGTCTAGTTGCTCCTGAGCATCGTCTGCTACCGTCGTCGATGCGGCGGTGTCCATTCGATGTGATGACGTTGGCCGATGAGGAGGAAGGGGAGGAGGAGTAGACTACCGGGATGAGAAGTTGGCTACCGACGGAAAGGGGCGAGATTTTAGACTCACGCCCCCTGGACGCACGCCTCGCGGCCTTGACCCTGGCCTGAGGCGCGACCAGTGGCTGGGCTGGGCTGCACTGTGGATCGGGCCTCTGCGCGCGCCACGGTGTGTGTGTGTGGCCTCGCCGGCAAACTGCATCGTCGTCACTGGAGGATCCTCGTCACCATCTCCTCACCCAACGAATCCCACCCCTTTGCTTGCCTCTTTGCTGCTTTCATCCCTTGGTACCCTTACCACCTCACAAGCGTACGAAACACACAAACACCTCCCCTCGAGACACAGAGAGAACTTTGCTCTGCGTTTATGAATATTCAGAACCTCTCCAGCTACGGTGAGTAAAGCGCACCACAGACCTCGGAAGCAAGGTGGCAAAGCACCGAGCACGCTACTGACCAGTGACGTCGTTCCTTTACGCCCCTCCTCGCTCCACATCAGACCCCTTCGCGGACACTGGCGAAGACCACGTCGCTGCTGTCGATGCTGACTCTGACGAGAAGAAGCAAGCAAAGACTCAGGAACGATACGTCCACATTCGAATCCAGCAGCGAAACGGTAGGAAGACTCTGACCACTCTCCAAGGATTGCCAAAGGGTGGGTAGAGGAGGGGCGTGGCAAAAGTAGTAGCGACAGCGGCAGCAGCGTTTCTCACACCTCTACGATGTCCTTTTCTTCCCCTGCCACAGGTTATGACCTCAAGAAGCTCTTGAAGGCTTTCAAGAAGGAATTCGCTTGCAACGGCACCCTGGTCGACGACGAAGAGCTGGGACAGGTCATTCAGCTTCAAGGTGACCAGCGACAGAAGGTCAGCAGCTTCCTGTGAGTAGCCGCACGAGTTGGCAGGCGGGGAAGCGGAACAGTGGAGCATCCTGAAAATGACCTCTATCCTCACAAACCGCCACCCCCTACAGTATCGAAGACGGCATCCCCAAGCAGGACGTCAAGGTCCACGGTTTCTAGATCCATTCTGCGACTCTAGCTCCCTCTCCCCACCTCCCCTCTCTCTCCCACGATGTGGCACGATTCGACTTCCCCTTCCCCTTCCCCTTTATGTCTAGCCTCCTCTTCCTCTTCTACCTCTACCTCTCTCCAATGCTCGTCTCATCGACATGGCGCACTTCGACTGCCTCGGCTGCCAAGGAAACCTCGCAAGTCTTACTACGATCAAGAAGAGCTCCTGTACTGTGACACAGACGAGGAGGTACAGGGACACGGAGAACAGGAGGATTCGCCGCCTCTTGCCCCTCTCTGTGCAGATGCGGAGACGGTCATTTGGCGTGACCGGAAATTCGGTATGACTAGCGCTGGTATTAGAGCTGGATGGGCAAGGAGGAAAAGGAGGGGAGTGGAGAAGGAGGACGACGACGAGTACAGACAGCAGGGTTCCCCGAGGGGGGTGTGAATGGTAGCTCTGTGCCTATTCTGCGTTTGCGGGAAGCGCAGATCGCGACGAGAGTCGCTACCCCCTGTCTCAATCCGATCAATCACTGCCCCCAACCCTCCACAGCTCTATTGCCACCCAATACAATACAAGCTCCATCATGCCTATCGTTGACCGCGTGAAGGGTACAGATGAATTCTTCGCTAAGGCGCGAGGGGCTTTTCCGCCTTGACACTTGCAGTGATGATGGACGCTTCGGAGGGGCCAACAGACTGTTCAACGACTCTTGTGGACCGGCGGCGCGTTGCGAGATCTGAGCCGTGGTGCCTCCCTGTGACGGAGGTGCTCGGATCCCCCCCCCCCCCGGCCCCCCTAAGTCGGCCCCCCCCACCCCCCCCCCCCACAAACCCCCCCCCCCCCCCCCCCCCCCCCCCCTTGTCCTTGGTGAAAGTTCGTTGCCCAACCGATCGGAGAGGGGTGATAACTCCGGAAGCAAGCTAAAGGAAGAAGAAGCGAGGAGAGAAACATTGGCAGCCCCTAAGTAGGGAATCTGGGTGATACGAAGCGAGTACATCGCCTGAATCATGTCACCAGCCCCCCCTGTCTTTAGCCGATGCTACGATCCAAGTCACGTCGGCTAGGGGATGGCAGGTCCTTCTGGGTATGCTCGGAGGGGTTGCGGAGCTCCCTTTGCCCCTGGTGCCAGCTCTAGGGGCGTGTCTACACGATCACGCAAGCTAATGACCATCTTGATAGCACGGCAGAAAAGACATAAAGGGGGCCGGGAGTGGTGTCTCTTCCCATCGTCTTTTCGTCCATCCAATCCACTCTTCAGCTCCAGCTCCACTCCACTCACAATCACAGGGCCGATCACAGTCTTTACCACTCTCCTTTTACTCTCACCACACACCACCAACTACCCTCTCAAACTTATCATGCAGCTCCAACTCTCCTTTCTCGCTCTCGCCGCCTTTGTCGGTGCTGCAGCCGCTACGGCTTCTTTGCCTGACACGGGGTCCGTCGCCAAGGGCGCCCCAGCTATCCCCAGCACTGACTCTCTGCCCAAGCTGGACTCTCTTGCCAGCTTGGACAAGGTCTCTCCGCTGCTCCAGAGTCGTTCTGGTCCCGTCCAGATTCGGGCCTCGCTCATGCAGGGTCAGAACACCCTCTCGGAGCTCGAGAGCCAGCTGTCCAGTCTCGGCTCCATCTCCGAGCGATCCGCCGTGTCTGAAGCCCAAGCGGCCGTCGAGGATGCCATGACCGAGTACGGCTCGGCTCTCGGAGCTGGCTTGAAGCGATCGACGGACGTAAAGACGTCCCTCAAGGCTGCAGCCAAGAAGGCCAAGGTGGCCTTTGCCAAGGCGCGAAAGGCTCTGGACTCTGCCGATGAAGAGGCCAAGTCCAAGACTCACAAGGGCGCCAAGAAGACGGGACGAACCGAATTGGTCAAGTACATTGACGCTGCCGAGAAAGCCCTCGATGACGCCGAAGAGGCCTTCAAGGCCGCCTTTGGCACCTCCTTCGACGGCACTACCGACAAGCGCGATGGTCTGCTGCTCAACAACGTCGACGCCTTTGCCGACCAGACCAATGCGGCCAAGGACAATCCCACTGATGAGACTGGCATCGAGCTGCCTCCTCTGTCTGAGCTCCTGGGCCGAGATGGTCTGCTGGTCAACAATGTGGCCGTCTTGGGCCACCAAAAGAACACAAAGGGCAACTCGAACAAGATGGAGCTCCTGGACCTGGTCAATGCTCCCCATGTGCCCTTGGCCGCCCGCGACGGTGTGCTTGGCAACAATGTCAATCTCGGTGGTAAGCAGGCCAACAGCAGAAAGGGCTCCAACTCCAAGGGCACTCTGATCAAGTCACCCGATCTGGCCGCCCTCCTGCCTCGCGCAGGTGCTATCCTCAACAACATCAACCTCCTCGGCGAGCAGACGCACCACAGAGAGAAGAGCTCGGCTGATCAAAAGGTCATTGGACGAGCCCTCACTGGCGCTGTCGAGGTCGCCGACATTGAGCTGATTGGCTCCGACGGCTCGCTGCTCTAGATGTACGCCAGGCAAAGGCGCGCTGAAATGGGGGCAGGCTCGAGGTGCTGGCTCTTGAGCCATTGTTCCCTATCGTGCTGCCCTTCCACCCATTCTATCTTCCCCACTCTGTCCCGCTTGTACCTACCCCCCATTCCTCGCTTCGTCTTTCTACCCTTGGCACTTCCAGCTGTATACCCTTTTCAGGCGTTCTCGGACTGTGCCTGCTTGACCTTCGGTGACTGTGTTGCCCATTGATTCACAACGACCCTTACAGCCCACCCTTTGCACATGTGAGCCAAAGATCGTCTCCCAACGAGTGCAGATTATCCACCACTACTCCCTTGCCGGCCTTTTTGATATCCTCTGTCCCTAACTTCAGCCTTCCAATGGCCAGGGCATTCTCCTTTCCTTGGGCCGTCACTATCACCGGAGCGTCCTTTTCCAGTGCAGCGGAGGCTTCGGGTAGTTGGCCGCCGGCAGAGAGGAGGCCGGGAGCCATGATGTTGGCGCCGGAGAGGATGAATCGGATTGCGCCTCGGTCTACTCGGATTGTGGGGAGAAGGAAAGGGTCTGAGGGCAAGAGATGCAGCGAGCGGAATGAGGTGATCAGGAGGCCATCTACTGTGCCCTCTGGAGTGAGGGGTCTCTGTCCTCTCTGAAGATGACTACCCACATTGATGAGCGAGGTGTAATGTCGGGCAATATGGACCATCGAAGTGCTGGAAGAAGAGGGGCGTGCCATGAAGGACCAGGAAGGAGACGTGCTCTCGACTGCAGCGGGAGATGGGAGGGAGCGGGAATGCGTTAGACACTAGCGGAGGCATGACTCGCCCTACGCCTCTCACTACCGCAGGCATGGCTCGCTCGACTCCTCCCAACACCGCCCACCTACTCACCTGAACTTGACCAATGTAATGTCCTCCTTCTTTGGCCAGATCTTCTCGAGCAGCACTCCCTCGTCCTTTGCTAGCGAATCGGGGTATTGCTCCAGCAGCTTGTTGCGCATGCCCCTCTGCACCGACGACTTGACTGCTGTAGACGACGAGACATCTCCCTTGGCCGGGGAAAAGGCCTTGAACAGTGACATGGAGGAAGTCTGGTGGTGGTCTGGATACACAGAGTGCCGAGGTGTGGCCACTGCCTTTAGGAATCTCTCAGCTCCACCAGCCTCCGTTCCGGTTTCGTACCCCGCCCAGCACAAAAAACAGGTCGCCAGTCAGGACGCCCAGGGACCAAAACAAAAAAGAAATTGCGAATGCCTTCTACCAGAATCGAACTAGTGACCTCATCATGGCGTAATTGATCATTCAATTACTAGTGATGCGCTATGCCACTTAGCCAAGAAGGCATTTGTTGCTTCGATGTTGAACATCGTTGAATTGCGGTATAGTTACCAGCTGGTATGCTGCGACTGGCCGTCTCCGCCCTCCGCGTGCGTGTCTTCCGCCTTCCGGCGCGCGCGGGACGGATCCACCGGGACTCTGAGCCGGTCATCTATCGACCTGGACGGACTCACCGGTACGAGTTGCAGGCCGATATTGCAGTTCGCAAAGGTAGGCGGTTCTCGGTACTGGGTGAGACTCAGATACAGCAGCAGTCTCGCCGCATAGCATTTGTCTATGGCTCTGCTACGGGCTAAGGAGAAGAGCTCTCTTGACTTGACCTCAGTCGAGGCTCCCATTAGCAAGATGACGCACAATATGGCGCGAGCCTGTACGCAGATCCCTTTTGCCCCTCGTCTGCTGACATGTGACTCCAACGCTGCGACAGTTTAAGCCCAGGAGATCTTCTATGCCATGGCGCCAGCTTTTCCGTCGCCGCCGACTTTTCCTAAAGTACTTGTCTTCTCGCGACACGAGACCGAAGCTGTGCACATACACCAGCATCGCATACTGATGTAGACACGAGCGAAGCAAGTCAAAAGAGGATCACAGCACAGGTGACAGGATGTAGTAGCCAAGCGGTTCGGAACGAAGGCGAGGGCGCAACGGTACAACAACATCTCAAACGCAAAGAGGTCTACCCTCCTCGACGATGACAGTCTCGGCTTGCAAGCTTCGCTACAAGTTCTCACACTTGCAATTGAAGCGAGCGCAATCGAATGTGAAAACAGGGAGAGAGAAAGAGACCGTGGTATTGAAGGCTATTGTACTACATGGAGTTACTCCACCTCTCGATGCCCCTCTCCGTTTCTGGCCGAGTGTCTGCGCAGCTCTGTCTTGAGAGCGTGGTATGTACTACATGGAGTTACTCCACCTCTCGATGGCCCTCTCCCTTTCTCGCCACATGTCTGCGCAGCTCTGTCTTTAGAGCGAGACATCGAAGGCTATTATACAACATCGATCACTCCACCTCCCCATGCCCCCCTCCCCGCCTCGCCACATGCCGGCGCAGCTCTGTCCTGCCGACAGCTCTGTGGCCGCACAGGCAGGCGAACTTGCCCTCCGCCTTGTACCCCTACGCAAAGGGGTGAGCAGGTGCGAGGGAAGGCTGTAGCAGTCAGTAAGTTGTTGACGGTGGTGCGTCCCAGGGTACTCACGCAGCGAAGCACCGAGTTCCTGCTCTTGTGCTGTCCAGGGCGGCAGGTCAAGCAGGGGAAGATGCGGGCCCCGGAGTGCTTGTTGGCCACGTGGGCCCGCAGAGACTCCCTTGAGGCGTATACCCTCTCGCACCCTGCTACCGTGCAGGGGAACTCCTCGTGTCTATGTCGTGTCTCTACGTGTTGACGCAGATTGAACGACTGCGAGTAGGCAGCCCCGCAGCCCGTGACCTTGCAGACGTGCGGCTTGTAGCCTGTGGTCAGAGAGAGAGGAGGCGTACACCCTCTCGCAATCTGCTACCGTGCAAGGGAAGTTGTTGCGTCCATGTTTGCTTTCCACGTGCTGCCTCAGATTAAAAGACTGCGAGTAGGAGGCCTCGCCGCCGGTGACCTTGCAGACGTGCGGCTTGTAGTCTATGGTCAGGGAGAGAGGAGGCGTATACCCTCCCGCACCCTCTCACCGTGCAGGGGAATTCGCTGTCGGCATGCTTTGATTCCTTGTGCTGCTTGAGGTTAAAGGACTGCGAGTAGGCGGCCTCGCAGCCGGGGACATTACATACATGCGGCTTGTAGCCTATGGTCAGGGAGAGAGGTGCATATAGGCAGCAGAGGGTAGGAAGGTGCATATACGAAGCGTCAGATGAGTGATGGTGAGCAGCACCTCAGGCTCGATGCAGCTACTTACCGGTATGTGTCAATAAGTGAGTTTGAAGACTACTTCTGGTGCTTGCGATATGGTGACAATCTCCCCAGGTGCAATTGAGAGCGCCATCGGGGAGGTGCTGTGCTACAAAGTGCGCTTGGAGCTGGGAAGGCGTTGGAAAGTCCTCCTCACAAGAGGGTCCCATGCAGAATTTGACCATCTGCGAGGCGAGGAGCGACAACAGTGAGGAGGAAGGATGAGAGGTAAGGGAGAGGGTGGATAAGAGGTGGTCAGCAATGTTACTAGAAGGGGAGGACCAGGGCTCGAAGCAGTGAGGGAACGAGGCAGTGTACTCACATCGTCGTCGTCGTCGTCGTTGTTGTTGTTGTTGTGGCGATGGTTGGTGGGTGACTGGAGGTAAAGCTCTCGTCGAAGAGACTTGAGAACGGCTGACCCTTCCAGCGTTTGAGCACCTCTACCAGGAACCTGTCGTCCAGGGCATCCGTCCGAAACAGGTTGACCCCACGGGAGACGATCCGCGAGTTCCTGAGGGTGTGGTGACCTTGAGGATCCAGGCGATCGACTGAGGCGTTGCTGAGAGCAACTTCCAGACCAGTCACGTCCCGGAAGCTGTAAGGCGAAAGCATGACCTTGAGGAGCTCGCCCGCAATCTCCTCGTGAGTCATGTCATTCCTCACTACCCTGGGCCTTGCCGTCTGCCGGACGCGGTCGCGGCCCTCCTCCCAAGCTGCCAGACGCGCCTCGCCGCCAGTCTGGATGGCCTCCAAGGAATTGAAGAGACCTGTCGCCACGCGCCGGGCAGCCTGAACCCATTCAGCCTCGTAGGAGCTCTTGCCGTTGAAGACAGAGACCAGGAAGCGGCCTCGTACTTCTGGCATGGGCGCTTGGGCCAGCCACCGCAGATTGTCCTGCCACACCGGGACGTCGAGGTTACTCCTCAGAAGCTGACATGCAACGCAGACTATCCGGGCATTAGACCAAGAGTAGTGCCTGGCGACGGGGTGCTCTTGTAGCTCTTTGCTGGACTCCTCCTCCTCGCAGACAGAAGGGTCTCCGGCAACAGTAGTACATCTAGGTGGTGAGCAGCATGAGAGTAGGGGAGGAAGTGATCAGCAATCGGCGCTAAGAGCGACTGGCCTTGTACGATGAAGTGAGAGAGGCAGTGAACTCACGCTTCTTGAGAGCAGCAGTGGTGCTATTGCAGTAGGTACAACGACTCATTGCCCAGAAGCAGTAGCGGTGGTGTCGCAGTAGGTACGGTAAGTCAAGCGAGGAGAACCGCGAGGCATGCAGCGCACACAAGTCGTATATTACTCCAAGTGTACGAGCCGCCGGCAAGAATCCTGTCGGGCGAGAGGTTGGTAAACCATCTCAGGCTGTAGTCGAAGGGCGTCTCCGAAGCCCACGCCAGCTTTGTTGCAGTCATCGTCCTCTGGCAGGACTGGCACTCCTTGCTGAGCTGCCACCTTGCCAGAATGTATGCCTCGATGTTGGCTCTAACCTCGTGATAGTCGAGGAAGGCCGGAGACCCGTGAGGCGGAATTGCCATGAGATGGCGCTCTCGGAGAGCAGCCGACTTAGACATCTCGAAGATGGACGTATCCGCTCTAGGAGCACCCGCTCTGAAGTGAGATTGACCAGGCACGGAGCATGAGAAGTCCAGGATCTTGGGCTCGTGAGTGCCTTCATGTGATGAGAACGCACATTGTGAAGACATCCAATCGGCGAAGAGGAATGGCTTAGTCCTCTCTAGAGCAGAAGCCTCATGTGTTAGCCATCGGGCCTTGCACGTGCTCTGGGGTGTTGCTGTGATAGTCAGAGGTGTACTGGTAGACGGTGTTGAGATCTGGATAACGAGATGTATGCACTTCAAACGTGAGCGAAGATTCGCTGTGGCTATCATCCTCGTAGTGTGGTGACTGACCTTTGGCAAAGCGAGAACAGCGCTCAGCAGGCATATAGACGGCCTCTATAGCTTCAATTAGTGTTACGTAGTGTCTTAGACCTGTGAGCCTTGGAAGAGTGCTGTGAAAGGGTTATGAATCGAGTGGCACACATCAGTGAGACGCCGCTGTCGGTGTCATGTCATCGTCGCATACTCACCGAAGTCGTATCAATGTCAGTACCAGCAAGGTGTACGACAGTATGAAGGGGAGGGCTATCGATGTTGTGCCTTGAGGTGAGTGAGTAGATGTATACGTGTACGGTGTTGATTGTCGACGTGAGGTCCAAATATGATGTGAGGACGAGGGAGTAGTGCGAGTAGTTGTGGGTGCGAGTAGTTGTGGGTGCGAGTAGCTGTGGGATGTGTGAGTGGTAAGAGTGGGTGTGGAGTGGAAGTGGTAGTCGAGTGGTGAGAGTGGTGGAGATATAAGGTATGGAAAGGAAGTCAAAAAAGAACGAACTCTGGCCGTGCTTATGTAGTTGAAAAAAGTGAGGACCGTCGCAGTCAGGGCAGGGCAGACGAGGTCGTTCCTGACCGCAAACCATTGCGGCCAGCAACTGCGCCTGCGGAGGTCTCGGGTTTGCCCTTGCCAGGCACCGACGGAGGCGGACTTCCGGGGCGCCGAAAGCTCCGTGAGCCGCTGTGGGCATCCATGAACGTCCTTGAGCAGAGACCAGTCTCGTCCGCTATTCCCTATGGCCGCTCAGAGGCAGTGCTTCAGGGCAGGTGGGGATGAGAGGAGCGCCAGCAATAGTGCTGCTAGTATGTAGTCGCATGCTGGCTCGCCCCATCGATCTAGTCCAGTCAAGGAATGACAAGTGGAGTGTGGATTTGGTCCCCCTCGAGAGATAGGCTGAGCTCAAGTGGGTGGGTGGGCTGATTTCAATAGAGAGCTTCCGATGGCTCTCTCAGACCCGATGAGGTCAAGGGGACAGGGATTGTGTGGTCAGCCGTGAACGTCAATGGTTGGCTGGCGAGGCGTTTGCAGAGAGTAAAGTACTCTGTCGAGGATGTCCTGTAAGTTTCGTCAATTAATCTGAGTGATGAGCCATCGAGTGGCTCCTATGGGCGAACTTGAATCGAGCGGACATCCACTCTGCTCAACATCGAAGCAACAAAAGCCTTCTTGGCTAAGACAGATTCTTAATTCTGGCAGCTCTACGATACTCTCCAGACGTAATGGAGTGCTGGCCTGCACTTGCAGCTGGCAGGCTCGAACGGTCTCAGGAAGTCAGACCGTTGAGCTTGCGGTCTCTTGCTTTGAGACTGACGAGAAAAGGTAGTGCGGAACAGCCAAGCGCACTCGAATTGTGACAAGTCTAGAGGTGTGCTTCGCGCTCGGAATGCTTTCAGCGCTTCCTACTTCATAGAACATGTTTGACACCCAAGACCTGTCTCGCTTTGGCGTCTTGCTCTGATCGTCATCGTGCTCAGGTGTCCCCGCAGCTGATAGTACGCATTGCATGGTGCAAGAAGCTTCTACCCTACAGTACGCCTCGCGTGCGTGCGTGCGGGCATTTCAGCGGGGACCCTGCGCCGCACAGGCGAGGTTCAGCCGCCCGCAAGAAAAAATGCAGGGACGAGGGAGGCGCCGCACACGGGCGCTTCTGCCCGCGGTGCCGAGAGCCAAAGCACTTCTCGCGCCCCACGTCGGCCACCGGATCGGTACTGATCATCTTCCCTTCCCGTTCCCCTGCCGACCCCTACACGGACCAAGCGTCCTCCCTCTCCTCGCTCATCGTATCTCCTCACTCGTCGGCAGTCAGACGATCAGCGACGTCAGAGCTCTGCCGAGTTGTCTAACCGTTCCGTTCGAGCGAGATCTGGAAGATTGAGTCTCGCTCCCGCAAGCCCAATACCCCCTTTGTCCTCTCCCACCAATCTCAACTACACTTGCCCTCCAAACAGCCGCAAGTGTCCCCTATCTGAGTCGCTCGACATTGGCAAATCTCAGGGTACATTAGCCTCCACGGCTACCCCTACAATCTGCCGCTATTTCGCCTTGCTACTGCTCGCGTTCGCTCCTAGGCGCCATCGCTTCACCCCATAGGCGCCATCGATCCTACGCTCTTTACTTCACTCCCGTCGTCCTTGTAGTCGGACGTCTGGCTTCTCTTGCTGGTCGTAAGCAACCATCACTCTCCTCGACAGGCCCGATTGGCGATTACTCCATCGCCTGTGAGAGGTGTTACTCACGCATACGAAACAACGCGTCTCCGCCTCCTTTATCATGGTAGGACTCAAAGACTTCAGGCGTTCGCTGAACAAGGATCGGACATCAGGCGGCAAACCGGGAAACAATGGCCTTGGCGGATCGGCTCAAGGTGGCTTCACGCAGGTCACGTCTGGTCCTCCCACTACCTTTACCAATGTCAAGAGTGCAGTCTCTCTGCAGCCTCCGAAGATGGTCATCAAAGCCATTCAGGACTACAAGTCTCGTGCCCCACAAGAGCTGTCCTTCACTAGTGGAGACTTCTTTCATGTCATCAGCGAGCCAACTGGGCAGAACGCCGATTGGCTGGAAGCCTGCAACCCCATCACCAACGCCAGAGGTCTCGTGCCTGCTGCCTGCTTCGAAGTGCTCTCCAGACAAGCTAGACCAGGACAGGGAGGTTCTCCAATGGCAGCGGGCGGGTCGTCTGGAGGTGCTAGCGTTATGAGTACGGTGGGAAGAGGCCCTGCGAACATGACACCGCAAGGATCACAACAGCAGCAGATAAAGACACCTGCCCAAAGAGCAGCTGGCGCAGCGATGACAGCCAAGGGCGGTGGAGGGCTGTACGCAATGGTCAGATACGACTTTACTGCCGAGCGAGACGATGAGCTAGGCGCTGCTGCAGGAGAGCCCATCATCGTCATTGCTCAATCGAACTTCGAGTGGTTCGTTGCAAAGCCGATCGGTAGGCTGGGTGGGCCAGGGCTAATCCCTGTCGCCTTTGTGGAGATCAAGGATCTAGCTTCGGGAAAAGCCATCGAGAACGTAGAGGAGCTCATCTCCTCGGGCGTGATACCCACGGTAGAGGAATGGAAGAAGATGACCGCAGACTACAAGAAGAACACAATACCCCTGGGGAGATTTGACTTTGGAGGCAGCAATGGAGACTCCGCGCCGGGTTCTAGCAGCGGTGGCCAGGCAAGTCAATTTGCCTCGAGTAGCATGAATGGTTCGACCAGCGGATCGCAACAAAGAGGCATGCCGGAGAATGACGAGGGTCCCTCGCCTCGCCTACCGGAAAAGGACTTTCCGTGGACACAGCAGGGATCCTCTCAGCAGGGAGAAGGGTTATCTCAGGGTCAACAGTACCAGAATCTTCAGTCGGAGACTGGTGTTGCGCAGGGCGGTCTGCCGCCAGGAATGCCGCCAGGAGAACCTTTGCCCGTTGGCCTCATCACTCACGCTACCGTGGACTCTTTCCATTACGAGCAAGGCGACTACTGGTTCCGAATTCAAGTCGCCCATATTGCTGGCGTACATTCGTCAGCTCCTCCTCCTTCGAGTGCGCCACGTGCTGCTGAAGGAGAGGAGCGGGAACTGATCCTTTACCGGCTCTACGAGGATTTCTACGATTTCCAAATAGCACTATTGGATCACTTTTCCGTCGAAGCTGGCCGCCAGATCGATGAGAATGGCAAGCAGAGCAAGCGAATTCTTCCTCTGATGCCTGGACCTCTAGAGCAGGTGGATGACTATATCACTGCTCAACGGCGAGGTGATCTCGACCAGTACATTGCAGAGCTCTGCGCTCTACCAGAGTACATCCTTCGTTCCGAGATCGTTCGGCTCTTCTTTGAGCCGAGGCCAGGAGACCACTGCACTACGCACCCCCCTCGCGTTGGGGCAGGTATGACAAGCCTTCCGTCTACGAGCTCTAAGAAGGGTACGCTTCTGACCAGTCCGACAGAAGACAGCTACCTCACGACAGGTAGCCAATACCCTGGCTACGGTGATCAAGAAGGTGTCGAGGAGATGCGCTCGCCGAATCCAGAAGCTGCAGGTTTCAGTAACGGAACATCCAAGTATTCTGAAGACTCGGCCGTGGGAGCACATGCCAGGAATGCCAGCCAATCGACGAATGGCAGTCGGGCAATGGGCGGCAACGGTCCTTCTCGTAGCTACTCTTCCTCTCAGAGCTCTCAGTCACAGCAATCCGCCGGCTACGGTGACCTGCCCACTCGATTCGAAAGCCTCAATACTGGAGCGGGACAGTCGCAAAGGAACAGTCTTGGCTCCGGTCGAGCACCATCAGGCTATGGCGGCAATGCTCCTCTCGCGCCTTCATCTTCTGGCTCGCATTTGGCTTCCAAGCTACAGCCTCCTTCCACTGGAATGAGCAGAGACAACTCTCAGCATACCATGGCTTCGCGGGATTCTAGAGGCTCGCGCAACAGCCTCACAGGCGCCAGCAGAGGAGCATTGGGACCTCCAGAAGCGGCAACAGCAAATTCTGCACCGACCAGTAGTGGCGGTGGTGCATCCGCGCCGTCCTTTATCAAGATCAAGATCTTCTCCCGCACTTCGGACGATCTAGTGGCCATTCGTGTACCCCCGACTGTGACGTACGACTCGCTGATGGAAAAAGTCAGAGCTCGTCTAGGTCCAGAAGTCGGCGTGTTGAGATACCCTGAGGCGAGTGCTACCCCTGGAGCTCCCATGGTGCGAATGCACGATGATGAAGACCTCAAGGAGTGGCTTGCCAGCGGTCTCAAGCTCAACTTGTACGCCGACAAGAATTAGCGACATCGATTCCACCCCTCTGCCCCTCGGCAATACCACGTTCCCGTTGTATCTACTTTGCTCCAACTTTTGGCCTAGTCTAACCCCCTTTCCCTTCTTCGAGAAGCCCCTCTTTCCGCCTGTCCGTCTCGCCTCGTATTGTCACACTCTGCTCCGGTATTTCCCCTCACAATCTCCGTCCACCTGTCTTGTTGTAGTGAAGCTGCACTTTTTTGCTCAATCGTACAGTAATTCAAGGTAGCGTCGCCCGTCTCAGTCCTTAAAGCAGCGAATGCATGAGCCAGCGAGCGAGTGTCATGACTTGGATGGGATGTGTTTAGATTAGCCTATTGTACAAATGTGTGTAAGTCGCGCCTTCCTTGTCTGCGATGCAGTCTACTCTATTCTACCGCTTCCTCCTCTTCCCCGCATCTTCCTCTCCAGATCTCTTGTTTCCATTTCCACTCCCACTGACACTACTCTTCTCCTTCCTCTTCTTACCATCCTTTCCACCGCCGCTTGCCTTGACCTCTTTGCGCTGAAGCTGCATGGCCATCCACCTCTCCAGCACCTGCCTATTCTCCCGCAAGACTTGCTTCTCTCCCTCGCGCACCACACGTGCATTCCTCGCATTGAGCGATGCAGGAGCCTCTCCTTTCTGACTCGAAGTAGTAGCAGAGGGGTACATTTCCTCTCGCAAATCACAGGAAACGCGCAAGAGCTCCGCAACGTCCAGGCTCATCTTGCCCTTGGGCACTTTGCCCTTCTCTTCGTACTTTGCGCACCACTCGTCGTCGTCCATCAAGAGGGAGCGGCAGAGCGACTGGAGCTCCTCGTCCTCGAAGAAGTTGCAGCGACCCTCCTCAATGGCAGTGGAGAGGTCCTCGTCCGATAGAGCTTCGATTTGACTCGGGAGCGGCCCGCGTGGGGTAGGCGGAAAGACGTACGAGAGGACGTAGGACTCTTCTAGGCCGGCATTGGCTATGCAGTGCTCCACACGCTTCGTCAATGCTTGCCTGCGCGTCTCTAGCGGTGTTGACTGGTCGTTGCTTTGTAGTTTGAGAGCACCCTCAACCAGCAGCTTGGCACTCAGCTCAATTTCGTCTGCTCCATTGATCAAATCTACATGTCCGTAACGCCTGAGGAGATCCGAGTTCGGAGGGTCGCCATAGGTATTCAAGATCTGCTCGCCGCGCTTGATCGAGCAGACTGCTCTCATAGAGAGTGAGGTAGGGGTATAGAACAGTCGAGCCTGCAGTGAGACGGGCGGGAAGAGTCAGTCAGCGAGCTCATTGGTGAGCGGTGGATATTCTTCCGTACTACGACTCACATTCTCAGAGTCGTACGACGCATTCAGCATGTCTGCCATGGGGACCATGGAGATGTCCCCAGTGTCTTCTTTTTCCTCCTCGTCATCTTCGTCATCACTATCCTCCGAGTCTCCCGCACCCGCTTCGGCGCTCTCGTCCATATCGACCATCCTGCCCTCATTGACCTCCTTGGTTCCTTCGCGCTTGACATGGAAGCTCCGGCTGAGGATTCTCGACCCTTGAATGTGGAAGCGCTCTAAGCTGTAGAGCTTTTGGAGTTCGCCATCCACCTGCGCCTCGGTGTAAGCGTCTCCGCCAGGAAAGAAGATTCCAGGTCTGGCTTTGATGAAGGGTATCACATTAGCGCGATACTCTTCATCCGCCTCATCTTTGCCTATCCGCTCCGGAATACTCGTGCCCTGCAGCTCAGCCAAGTCTTGCTGAGGCCAGAACATGGGCAGGTGAGAGAAGTCGGTTGGCATCACGGAGAAGTAAGAGGCCCAAAGTGCGTTGGTGGAAGATTTCGAGGAGCTCGCGTTGGAGGAGGAGGAGGAAGAGATCTGGACGGAGGCCCACATGAGAGAGAGGATCAGGGGCGTCCACCCTGTGAGCTCTTCCCATCTCTTTGAACCCTCTGTCCGCCAAGTCTGCTGGCTCTCGGGCTCATCGAGGGACATATCATTGTCTCCCTTGGCCTCATCGCCGCCCTCCTGGGCCGCACCCTCGCTTCCTGTACCTCTCTCCTGCTGCCTACACAGATTGCCTAGCTCGCAAGTGGTTGTGTTGAAGAGGATTTCTCTTGGTATGCTGAAGAGCTCCTTTCCTTCTTCTATGTCGTTGTTCGCGACACAACAGTTGCCCTGAGATTCAAGGCTTGTCAGAGAGATGAGGGGAGAGAATGTCCCACCGGCCTGGAGGAAGGAAGCGAGGAAAGCTCGCGTTGCTCCGTCTTGGATCAGCTCGGCTTGGAGACCAGACCCGGGAGGCGGTACAGACGCCTCATCTCCGAATGTATGCGGTAGAGAAGGCGACATCCTGGCTCTTCTTCCACTACTGAACTGTAATGGACTTGTGACAAGAATGTAAAGGAGAGGCAGGGTCCTTCCCTCCCCCGGACAGGAAGAAGTGCAGCCACACACCAACGGACTGAGACCAAATTTGGCGCGCAACCAGGCTTCACCCCTCGGCTCCTTTCCGTCAGTGACTGGACAGCATTGGTACGCAAGGTCACTCACACCACTCACCATACATCTCGCAGTGATGGACTTTCTCAAGGCAGAGATCGCAAATAAGAAGCGCAAGCTAGAGTCAGGGGGTCAAGCGTCGCCTGCCAGCGACAGGCACGGAGAAGCCTCCACCTCCAAGTCGGCCTCGCCTGCCGCTTCTCCTGCACCCAACAAGTACCTACGGAGGGGGGAAGTGGAGCGGCAGAGGTTGAGGGAGCAAGAGGAAGAGCAGCGGAGGGTGAGGGAAGAGAACAGGAGGGCGAGACAAGGCGCTGGGAATAGTCAAGGTGATGCAGATAGAGCTAGGAAGGTCGGTGTGAGTCTTGGCGGCCTGCAACACAAAGGCATTCGCACACATATGGCGGGGCAAGCACTGACACTCCGGCACGATTCTTCCACCCCTATGCAGTCTCCAGCAGCGAATGGAAACGAAGATGAATCATCGACCGTATCTACCTCGGCAGCGGCTCTGAAAGCAGCCCACCAAGCAATAGCGGATGCCCAGCAAGAAGCAGACTCAGCCGCCACCTCTACAAGTGTGCCTCACACATTTAACATCTCCCCACAAGAAGCTACACGTCGTCTGAGAGCCAAGGGCGAACCCATTAGGCTCTTTGGAGAGACAGACAAGGAGACGCGGCTGAGACTTCGAGCTCTGGAGCTCATCGAGGAGAGGGGGGAGCGCTTTGGTCAAAATGACTTTATGCGGGCCTTGGCGGGTGCTGAGTCTGGTGTGAGCTTGGAACAGCTCGAGAGGGAGAGGGTGCAGAGGGAGAAGGAGGTCAAGGCTGCCAAAGAGGGAGGGGACAAGGACGATGCCAAGGAGGGAGAGGAAGAAGGCGATGGCGGGAAAAAGAGCTCGCGGAGAACGGGCGAGGGGATTGGCATGGAGTCCTTGCTGGATCTTGGTCTGATCAGAAAGGACATGATGAAGGTCTACCCTATCATCTACTACACGCTGAAAGGCTTGCTCGAGGAGTGGGGAAAGAGCCTCGCAGATCGACCCAGTAAGTCCTCGTGGCAGCAGAGTCACTCTGCCATCTTCTTGCTGACCGCTCCTGCTCATCCCTCTTACACTCCCTGCAGTCGAAGTGAAGATGACAACAGCAGGCAAGACGGCCTCTGCCATCCAAGTGCAGTCCTCCGAGTACCTCAAACCCCTCTTCAAGTCCCTCCGCAATCGTTCTCTCCCACCAGACGTCCTGATGCGCATTGCTGAGATCGTACACTTTGTGCAAAAGAGGGAGTATAGACATGCGAATGATAGCTACCTGCAGTTGAGCATCGGCAATGCCCCGTGGCCCATTGGTGTCACGATGGTCGGCATTCACGAGAGGAGTGGACGAGAGAAGATCTTCGCAAGTAACGTGGCGCATGGTGAGTTGAGAGGGCGGGAAAAGGAGAGAGATGGAGCAGCAAATATTATGCGGTATACTCATCACTGCCTTCTACCCAAACCTACCATAGTGCTCAACGACGAAGTCAGCAGAAAGTACATTCAGTCTCTGAAAAGACTCATGACCTTTGCCCAGACGAAGGTGAGTAATCGTGAGGGCTCAAGGGATAAAAAAACAATCGCGAGTCCTCCTTGCTCATGACCTCCCTCACATGCCTCCTTCCTTTTGCAGTACCCTCCCTCGGACGTAAGCATGCTCATGGGCTGAGCACAGCGTCGTGTACCATCTTTGCTCTCTGTCACCTTGTATTACGAAAATTATCACGATCACTATCAGTCGCCTGCTGGTTTGACTTGTCTGCGCGGATGATGCAATGTCGCTAATGCTTTTTGTCTCACAAGACTGACAGTCACGACTCTCAATACCTCCTTTCTGCTCCACCAGCCCCACCACTGCTGCGATACCTCTCTGCTTCAGGTGACCTCGATGTCCCACCAGGACTTCTCCTCCTACCAGAAGTTCCGCTCCGCGAACTTGAATCCTCTGGTAACCTGGCCGAGCGCGAAGAGTAGCGATCCCTCCCATCTCGATCCCTTTCCCTGTCCCTCTCGCTCCGGTCCCCCCTGTCAGAGCGGTCCCTCGGCTCTGGCGAACGATCGCGGTAGTCCCGACCTTCTCTCCGGTCCCGCCTCTCCCGCTCGCGTCTCTCCCTATCTCCATCCCTCTCTCTGTCCCTCTCTCGATCTCTCTCTCGACTACGATCCGAGTCTGGTGCGTGGCCCGATGACTCGCCATAATTGAGCGAGGGGGCAGGAGCTGGATAACCGTAGGTGCTGCTGGGGTTGGAAGCGCCAGGAGGGCCATACGATGGTCTTCCTCCGTAGCCACCACTGCTACCGTTCATTCCGCTAGCCGCGCGAGGACCAAGGCCAGGCGGAGGGGGAGCAGAAGATCCATAGCCATTGCCAGCCGGTCCGCTTGGAGGCGCTCCGTGACCATTAGTTGGGCCTCGAGCGCCAACGCCCCGAGCCATGAGCGTCCTTGGGTCTTCTCCCCGAGCTCTCCGTTCGTCAAACTCGGTGATGATCTCTCGCAGTCTCAGGTAACCAAGATGCATCTGTAAAAGACAGGAACAGGACCGAGGTCAGTCTCTGTGTTGCATTCTGCTTTAGCACTTGTCCACTTCACACTCACCCTTCCACCAAAGTGATCTGCCAGTCGTCGATCCGAGTCCAGGATGGACAAGTAGGCTCCACAGACGTCGCATACCCTGAGCTTCTGGTGTCCACTAGCTCCAGCGCTGTCACTGAGGATTTGCAGATCCCTCTCCCTCTCTGCCTTCTCCGCCCTCAGGGCTTCAGCCCTTTGCAGCTCCTTGAGCGACTCTTCCACCTCTCCTTGTTCTCCCAATCGTTCCACTTCTGCCATGGCATTGTTCATGGCCGTCTCGATTTCTGAGATGTCGTGCATCAGATTTGTGAATTTGGCCGTCTCCTCTGGCGTTTGGTCAATGCGGCGCTTGTTTGCTGCAATCTTGCGGTCAATATCAGCCATGAAGATGCGGATATTGTCCTCGTACTCTGCCTCGAATTGAGGATGTTCTTCTCCCTTCTGAAGAGCAGCCTTGAATTCATCCTTCAGACGAGCAGTGTGTGACTTTGGACATGTGCCCAGATCCACCTTTGTGTTGCTGAAGAGGTCGTGCGGACATGTTCCGCAAAGGAAGTTGCGGCAGACTTTGGCGTCTGTGAAGTGGAGTTGCTCAGTGGTGAGGCCCATGGCTACGGAGGTAGTGGAAGAGGGAAATGGTCAGAAACCTCGCTCTGCTCTCGATGCACGGCGTCTTTGGTCGCCTCGCTCTGTCGGCTATGATATTCACCCTCGGGGCCCATGAGCTTCTCCAGCTGGATCCTCTGAATCTCTGACTTGCGCCCCATCGTGACGGGGTATGGTAGCGCTCAGAGTAATTCCCCTACCTGGAAAACGAAGTTGCCGCCGCCTGCTTTGACAGTCTTGAGGTCTTTCTTGCGTCGGCTCAACGCTGGTGACTTTGCCTCGCCAGAGCTCAATGTAAAAGGAAGCTCTGCGATTCCTAGCAGAAGCAGCTCCTCTCCTGCAGAGAGATGGCTGGGCACCTACGGAGCAATACGAACTGCGCAGGCACAATGATCAGGGCTCGAGAAGGGGGAGAGTAAGAGGAAGTCGTAAAGACCGAGGTGAGGACCTCGCTCGTCTGTGTAGGAAGATGAGCAGGAAGACGCTTCCTACCTGTGCATCCGAGGAAGCGATCGAGCCACTGCCATGGACACTCGACCGCTCGGTCTTCCTCGTCTCCGTTCCGACCGTGGGCTCACAGCGCGCGCCTGCCTGCCTGCCTGCCTTGGCTTGCCTGCTTGCTCGGCGTCGGGGCGGGAGGCGTGGCTGGTTGACGGTCCTGTCCGATGTTCGGCCCATCCTTCGTAAGACGCCCTTCCCGCTCACCAATACCCACTTCTGCCAATACCTCCTTCACCCCTTGAGCATCACCTCTCCCCTTTTACATCCTCAAACATGTCAGACGAGGGAAAGTCATTCACGCTGCAGAGTGAGCATCGATGGACAGAGCCAGAGCAGGTCATCAGAGCTGAGGAAGATTGCAGGCGCAGAGGAGGGCAAAGAACGGCCTGGGGGTGGCACCGTACAGCGAGCCGCGTGGGGAGAATGGAGAAGCTCTAAGGGGGGCAATGAGATCAGAACTGGCGCCAAAGTGAGCAACGAGCCAGGGTGACTGACCTTACAGCCTTGCTTTCCCGATCATAGCCGCATCGTTCGATGCTCGGTTCCCCAACCAGGTGAGTGTGGTGTAAGACCAAATGTCGCTTCTGATCTCTCGCATCTCACGACTCACCCCTTTTATCCTTCTCTATCCAGAACCAAACAAAGCACTGCTGGCAAAAGTGAGCTCGTTGTGCCAACGCCATGCTGGGTTACGAGAAGCTCCCCTGCTGACCTGTCTTGACCTTTGTTTCGTCTTTCCTGCGATTAGCTACGTTGATTACTTCAAGTGCATCAACGCCAAGGGAGAGGAGTTTGCACCTTGCAAGCAGTTCTACCGAGCGTACCACTCGTTGTGCCCCAGTGAGTAGCAGATTTCAGAGCGAGGGGGAAATGTCCTTATTTTCCGTTACTTAATGATTTGCCTTCTTCTCCTTGCTCTCTCTTATAGACGAATGGGTGAGTCAAGAGATTGGCGAACGCTCAGAGCTCCTACCAGGTGCCTGAATTGACCCTGACCTCCCATGCTCTCCCTTCCTACACCCCCATCAGATCGCCAAGTGGGACGAGCAACGCGAGAACGATGCCTTCCCTCACTCCCTCGACCCGTAGATGCTCTATTGAGCTGACCGAAATTCAAGTCAGATAGTAATGAGAGGATCGGAGTAGATGGCTGTGGAAAGGGGCATCTACTATTCTGCAGGTGTAGATTGGGAGCGCACCCATCATCAATCGCAATCTTCCGCATATCTCAAAACGGCTCTCAAGGCCAGTCTGACGCTGCGGGATGTCATTGAGAAAATTCCCAAGGGAGAACGAGCCAGGAGCACAACAGGTACAAAGTATGTCATGGCAAGGAAGATGTACAGAGCAGAAGGAGGAGAGGCACTTTGAATCGGGAGATATGTGCAGGGAAAGACCTGTCCCCCTTCACCTCCGAGGATTGACCCGAGGCGTGGTGAGCGGAGGCACGCCATACGGTCCCAGAGGCCTTGGATCTCTCCTCACTGGCGAAACAGGAGCAGGCGCTGCTGGCGCCACCTTTGGCTTATCCGGCTGGGCGGGTGTATTGGCAGCAGGGGCTGCCGCTGGCGCTGGCGGAGGAGGCGCTGTTGCAGCAGCAGGCTTTGGTTCGATGGGCTTGACCTGACCAGCCTCCTTTGCGTGGGCTAGCCAGGCGTCTCGCATTGCTTGAGCACTGCCCGCGAACTACACGGCAGGGATGGATGGCGAGGAAAGAGCGAGTCAGCGACAGCAACCGGTTGAGCCCGTGCGTCGAGACGGTTTTTTTTTTTTTTTTTTTTTTCTACTTACTGAGTTCGCCATGGCTCCCCTGAACTGTTTAAGGTGGTCGTCGATACTGCTCTTGACCAAGTCCCGCGACATGGCAGCAAGTGTGGCTAGAAGAGCCTCGTGCTGACGACTCGTGGCTTCGATGATGCCCTGAGCAAGAGCAGCCACTGCTTGATCGCTAGCAGTCCTCTTTGCGGCCTCTTCCAGCCGCACTTCATTCAGTGCGGCAACGAGTGCTTCAATAGCCGTCTTGGGGTCGAGGATCTGCGCCTTTTGCGCTTCCACTTGTTCTTGGCGTACTTTCTCAGCCGCGAGCTGCAAGGCGGGAGTATGAGGCAGAGGCAGCCGGCGTCGTGCATTAGCAGCTGCGATTACACTCAAAGCTTGCACGCTCCACTCACCATTTCAGCCAGAGCATTGATGATCGCAGCGGAATGCTGTTGCTGAAGTGCCGTCATCTGCTCTTCTCGGGCCCTCTCTGCCGCTAGCCTTGCCGCCTCCTTCTCTGCCTCTCTCCTCTCCGCCTCGGCCTGCTTCAGCTTCTCCTGCTCCTCTTTGGCCTTGTGGTGCTTGAGCAGCTCTTCGATTGCAGTGGCCAAGACGGCCCCCCCTACTGCACCCATCGCGCCATGCTTGAGCGCATCTGCAAACTTGTGGGTGCCGCTGCTAGGTGCGTCTGCGTCTTCGTGGCGTCCGAGATCATGGAGCGCCTCTGTAAAGTGCCCTTCCTTCAGAGCTTGTAGAGCTTCTGTAAGCTTGCCTTCTTTGATGGCATCGAGAGCTTCGTTGGCGTGCGAGAGAGCCACAGGTACAGCTGCAACGGCAGCAGCACCAGCAGCAGCTGCCATCGCAGCCTCGGCAAACCCGACATGTGCCGCGTCGCCAGCGGTAGCCGCGCCGCCCACATTCTCAGCTGCCCCGCTCGGACCTGTAGCGGCCTCGGGCTTGTCCTTTCTGAGCTTGCTGAGGAGGTGTAACACCTCGTCGTACTTTCCTTCTTTCAAGGCATGTATGATCTCCTTTCCGTGCGCAAGTGACTCGAAGACTTTTGCAGCCTTGGGTCCGGCCATCTTCTCGATCACATTTTCGACTAAGCCTGCCGCCTCTCCCTCTTGCTGACCCTCATTGTTGGTTTGAACCGCTCCTACCTCGCCCTCTTGCTGATCGCCGGCTTCATGTTCTACCTTCTTCTCATGGTGGAAGATCTTCATCAAGGCAGCCAAAGCCGCCATGCCAGCCCCAGTCTTGGCCGCTTCTCTCACAATCTTTCTGATCTTTCCAGGATTCTTCTTGGCAGCGGCGTCGCCCAATTCTGATACAGCTTGCTCGGACAGAGGTGGTTCTGCTTCCTCGGCTGCAACGGCGTCGGCCGGGTTGACAGATCCTACATGACTCACCACCTCGTCGTGAGCGGCGTGCAAGGCGTGTACTCTTGCTGCATCGGCCTCTACGCCTGTCAGGCCCTCTCTATCGACGTCTTCGTCTACAGGAGCAACGGCGCCTGGAGGAGCCTTGAAGGGCCAAGATGCTGCAGGTGCTTCGTCTGCTGCCACAGTCTGAGGAGGAACACGGAATGGCCACTGGCCGTCCTGTGCTGCATTGGGAGCAGCTTGGCCGCTATGTTGTTGCCGCGTTGCGGAATCTACGACTGCATCGCGAGCTGCATTGACGTCGACGGATAGCTTCGATACTGCATCCGACAAAGTCTTCAGCTCCTTTTGCCGCTCCACCACGTCTTTTTCCAGCCACTCGTTGAGCTGGTTCAAGTAGCGAGCTATATCGTTCTGCTGCCGCTGTTGGCCCTGTCGAGCTTCCTCCATCTCCTTGAGGGCAGCTTGTAGAGCAATGAGCTCTGGATAGACCTTCGCCTGTAGATCGATCTCGACGACATCTTCCTTTGCTGCTTCACCTGCCACGGAGGGTGCTCTTGACACGTCCTTCGCAGGGACGGGCGGTTGATCCACCTCAGGATCTCCTCTGTTGCTGGTGACCTCTGGTGCGTCCTCCACAGTTGCAGCACGTGCCAGGATGGAACCTGAACGCTCCCCATCCTTCTCAAGCGCCTGTCTCACTCTTCTCCGCTCCTCCACCGCAGCTTGCATATCAAGTGTCGAAGGCGCAGCGTCATCTCCGGGCGCGACAATGTCACGCTCCTGCCAAACCGAAAGAGTCTCCAGTCCGTCAGGGTTGGCGATGCTCAGAGACTTTTGCGAATGGAGGGATCCCGTCTGGGTCTCTCTCAAAGTGTTGACGGGTGTGGCAGGAACACCATTTGCAGACGACCAATCCTTGGGCGGGAGAGTAAGCGCCGAGGCTCTACTCGCCTGCGAGGCAGGTCTCGAGACTCGAGCGGCTGTATCGGGGTAAGCGGTTGCATAGTCACTCAGAGCGACCGAGGCAGCGCTTGCGGGTCTCTTCGAGCTGAAGGCCTCATCGATAATCTGTGACGGTGCGCGGATGGAGCGTGCAGCTTCGTCAACACCAGCGATGCTCTGCGTCCGCGCTCTGTCCAGTAGCTCGTCAACAACGGACGCAATATGCTTGAGCTCGGCAGCAGATTCTGCCTCTTGATCTCGTGTGGCCGAGCCCTTTTCAGAGCGCTCAGACACCTCTTGCACAAGCTCCATGACGCGGTCCAGCTTTTCTTGTAGCTTGAGAAAGGAAGCGTCGCTGAGATCTGATCGACTTGGCAAGACGGGAGCACTATCGCTGAGCCGCTTGGCTAGTCCTCCGTCGCTGTGGCCCCCCGCTGATGAACCCTTCTGAACAGCTTCAATCTTGTCGCGCAGCTGGGAGAGGGACTCTTCGATGGCTCGGTCTCGTGAAGCTTGCGAGCGCCTCTCCTCATCCAGATAGCGGAGGACCTGGCTCACCTCCTCTTTGTTTGTGACAGGAGCGGCAATCTCTCGACTAGCGGCCGGACTGATGACTCTTCTCGATGAGGATGCTGCTGCGCGCTCGGCCTGGGTCGTAGTCTCTTCCACGACCGTCGACATGCGCTTGGCACTCTGCGAGACGACCGGACTAGGAGCAGCAGATGGGATCTGGGGCTGTACTGGTGGGCTTGGCGCATCTTGCACGACAGTCTTTCTCAGTGTGTCCTCCATGACAGAATCTCTAAAGACCTGAGCTGGTGTCTTGACGGCCGAGGTAACCTTCAGAACCTCTGGCGGCACAATCTGTCCGACTCGTATCTGGAGCGGCAGAACCCCTGCCGGGGGTGATCGATGTAAGCTTGTCAAGCGCTCAGGCAGCTCGACTCGCTCGTCAACTTCGCTTCGTGGTGGCCGTTGACTAGCAGAATCATCTGGGCACAGCTCATCACCGCCACCGAGTGTCAAAGCGCTTCCAGAAGGAAACCGTATCGAGATGTTGTCACTTGGGCGAGGGGATGCCGAGGGATATCGAGGGGCCACAAGAGCATCTGCACCTCCCCTCTCTCTCTTTCGAGCGGGCGGAAGAGGCCGACCTTGGCTGACAGGCGTCAGGGGCAGAGATCGATCTCTGGACGGCTCTGCAACGTATAGCAGACTACCCATAACCGGCCGTAGCGATTGAGCCTGTACACCCGCCTTGACTTGAGTCGCAAATGTCTTGGAGACGCTCTGAATTTGACCAAACTCTCCACTGACGGTGCCAGGATAGGGAGACAAGCTCGGATTCGTAGATGGCACCCGGCCCTGACTTTCGCGACCTTGCACAGAAGGCGCCGCCCAAGCCGCACCTATGCGCTGCAGCTGGGGATCCGAGGAGTGTGTCTGCTGGCCTTGCGAACGAGGCGACCTTGGAGACGTCTGCTTACTGGCTGATGGTGAGCGCGAGCGCGATCGAGTTGCGATTCTGGGAGACTGTTGCATCAGTGGCGTGGCTATAGGCGTTGAGGGTGAATGGCCAGTACGAGCCTCTGACAGGACATCTCGAGACGCGGCTACCCACTGAGCCCTTTCACGGATGCTGTCGACTGCCATCCGCTCTACTCCGTCCTCAAAGACGAATTGAAAAGGCTTCATACTAGCCAAGCCTTGCCCTCGAGCGGTCTGTAATGTGTCACCCTCTGTGGTACCCGAATGATCAACACTCGGTAAAGAGTGCACCTCTCGACACTTGCTGAGGTCCAAGACTATATTTTGGCGCCCACCTCCGCGAGGAATCCAGCTGAGTGCGAGAGAAGAGGGGAAGAGTAGCGCTTGTGCCCTCACCCATTCAGACTCTGGGCGATGAACATCGTAGTACCAGATCCGTCCTTCTTGTCGAGCCTTTGCAGCAGCGCCGACATCAAGCTCAGCCGTACCCCCGGTAGATCGATAGGAGAGCGACTGTGGACGGCTGACTCGACGTACCGGCGAGCTACTGAGCTCTCTGACCGGCGAACCGGGTCTGGGCGGCTCGGGGAGGAGATCTGCGATTGGGAGGGACAGACTGACCTGGCTACTTGGAGTTCGGGCCAATCGTTGCCCACCTTCTCCTCCGGGACCGGGACTGCTTTTGGTTCGAGAGTGGGCCAGAGCGCGAGGACGCGAAGACGTTGGGCTGCTGCCTCGCTCGTAGCCAGACGATGGACGACTCTTCGAGGTAGCTGCCTCATTGTGTGGCTCTCTCGATTGACCTTGCGGCCCTCGGGGATTCGTCAAAGCTCTTGCTGAGGGACTCGCCTTGCCAGCAGGACTGACGCTTCCCTGACTGGGCACTGGCGATGTGCCACATTGGTCAGAAGGTCGAAGAAGGCGAGGCCCTTTCACTGCTGAAGCGGAGTGAGCTGCATTGGTCTCGTTACGTCTGAAAGTCAACGGTCCCTCACTTCTAGAGCCTGGCTCAGCGGCGCTTTGCTCAAACATGGCTATGAGCTGCTTGGCTTTCGTAGGAGAAGAAGGCAGCGGGCGGACAGACTCTACAGGAGATTTTGCTTGCTGGCTTGCCTCTCCAACTGCTAGCGATGGGAAGAGACTGGTCGCCATAGTCTCATCTGTACCAGTCCTGGCTTCGAAGTGATGGCCCCCGCCTCGCGCCACTGGGTGACCACTCGACGCAGACGACCGGGTCCGTGCCGATGAGGCCAGTGAAGACGATGTACTTGAGCCATGCTTTGTATTGGTAGAAGGGATTGACATGTGCGTCGTCTCTGCTGCCGATACTGACGATGGAGTGCCCATCGACTCGAGAGCAGCCAAGACAGCTCTCTCTTCTTGCGCGATCTCGTCCTCACTCTCGGTCGCCGACTCATCGGATGACTCCCACGGGTTGATGAGCGCTACGAAGGGAGAGTCTCCAGATTCCGAGGGAGTTCCTGGGAGAACTCGTAGAGTCAAGCTGACTTCAGCGCAAGAGTCGTCGGGATGATCTGGGTGATGCTCGTCGGCACTGGAATCTTCGAGAGGGGCCTGTTGAGGCCGGTCAGAGGCGATGCTGTCCAATGGGGAAACCACAGCCGGGTCGATGCGCACAGGCGGGCTTGCTGGAGTCTCGGCAGCCTTCTGTGTGAAAGCGCTCTTGTTGCTCACCGCCTGAAGAGCCGCGGTTCGTAGTGCAGGAGGGCCGTTGGCGTGACTCCTGGGTCTCGGATGCCGTGCAGTGGGCGCCAGTGCCTGCGGCAGTATTAAGAACTCAGAAGAGACTGCATTGGCGGAATGTCTCAGGGCAACCTCTCGAGCGTGGGAGAGAGGCGTAGTGGTGGATACAGACTCCCCCTTGCTGGACTGTGAGCGCGTGGTGGAAAGGTCGGAGCCCAGGATGCGAGCCATGGCGTAGTCGTGCGTCGAGGGAGAGCAGTAGGGGTCAAGACATTGAGAGGTGAGGATGGGTGAGATAGCGGTTGATGTGAGAAGTAGATGTATGCTCAGCCAGTCTAGCTTTTCCGTGCCCCTGTCGCCCTGGCGTTGATTGCTTGTTGTTTGCTGCCGCCCTTGCGGCACGGCACCTCTTACGCGTCGATATTCTGCCCGCGTCCGCACGTTCAGAGCCCACCACACGCTCATCGAGCATCGCTCAGGCCACGCTTACCGTTGAGACAAATGGTCAGATCTGCCAGAAAGGAAATCTCTCGTTATAAGCGACGCTGCCTTCAGTCTCTCACCAGGTGTGTGTGTATCCAATGGATTGCGTGTATGTGACGTAGTGCTACAAGACAGGTCTGGAACGAGTCGAACGTTGGGAGGTACAAGAGAATGGCCCAGAGTCAATGGCGCATGAGCTTTCCCTAGATGGATACACCAGTGTGCTGGCAAGAGATGTTAACCTGCCCGCCGACATCCGAGAGCGGTGATTGTGTGCGTGTAGAGGCAGTGTAGCTTCCACTGTCAGTTCACTATGAGGCTTCCCGTAGAGTCGCACTCGAAGAGACCCATGCAGCAGTTTTCCTCGTCCTGCGGCTTGATTGCTGATCTTCCTTGGATCGGCATGGATCCACCGCCCGCGCTCGTCGTCGCCGATGTCAGTTCGCGCGTAGCACCCCGTCCAGCACAGGATCCCATTGTCCTGCCGTTCTGCTTGTCCGAGGAGCCAGCATCATTGCGTCTGTTGGCGGAACCAAGGATGGGATGCTGTTGCTGTTGCTGCAACTGTGGCTGCTGGTAGTGATAAGGCTGTCGAGGATGAGTATGCTGCGATGCAGGGCCCAGCTGATCGGTGCTATGGCCTGTTCGAGCTTCCTCCTGTACCCCCATCTGGCTGGGATACTGATACGTCGACCATTGGGTGACGGCCCACTCACCCCCGTGCGACGATGCCCTCGTCAGCTCGTGCTGATAAGAGGGTCTCGAAGGATACAGCTGCTGTCCACTGCTTCCAAGCGACGGGGCGACGTTCGCCATGGCGTACGGACTGTACCTAGGCGAGGTAGCAGAGGTAGCCGAGGTGGGCGTGTAGGAATAGCTCCTCTGAGATTGATAGGGCGTCGAGCCTGCTTGCGTAGATGGTGGGCCCATTCTTGTTAAGTCATTGTAGCTGGATGGATAGTATGCAGCAGAAGAAGAGGTGGACAAGGAGGAGTTGCCATCCACGCCTGGTGGCGGACCTACGACCAGGCCATAGGAAGACTGCAGGTTGAGGACCTGTTGCTCGAGTGAAGCCACAGTCTGCTGAAGCTCTGCGTTGCGCTGCGTCGTATGCAAGCAACTGTCACAATGAGTCTCGCCAGTGGCGGTGTCAGAGGTCGACGAATTGATGGTGCCTAGGTCATTCTGAGGACCCCGAACCTTGCGTTTGAGGTCGATGAGTTCTGCAGCTTGTCGCTTCACCGTCGCCTCAAGCTCGACGAGGTGAGCAGCCTTGCGTTCTCTGAAGGCTCTCTGTGTCTGAAGCTGACGACTAGGCTCCAAGGAGAGATTGGGCTTACGACCTCGAGTCATAAGAGGTAGCACGAGCTGTTCGGGACGAATCGTTAAGATGCGGCGGGTGGGAGTGAGTGGTGGCGGAGGCCAATGATCGAGTGAGCAGTGCTTGCTCAGGTGGCAGTGAGCTGCCGTGAAATCTGATGTTATTGCACGTTCATGGAGAGGATCGCAGCGGCAGTGAATAGGATGAAGAGAGTAATAGTAAGGATGGACAGTGGCAAGAAGTCCTTATGTAGCCTATTCGTGGGAATATTCTGGAGGAGATTGGCGGAAGGGTCCTGGGTGAAGAGGAGGTCGCACTGGTGCGGAAGAGATCGCGAGAAATGAGGGGCGTGGGGAGGGGAGATGAAGACAGTCTAAAGATGAAGTTACGAGGCGCCGTTGAAAGGCGTCGAAGCTGTCAAGTGCGGACTTGGGCGAGATGAAGCCTCGGCCAAGAGGGTGACGATGAGAGGGTGGATCACGGGGTGGGGCGGGGGGGGGGAGGCTCACCGCACGCCAGATCTCGTGTCTGTCTGAGCCGAGCAGCAAAGGAAGCCCAGGGCCGAAAGGCCGAGAATCTGGACGCCGGCCGTGGCGCTTAGGGACAGGAGGCGTTCCCACAAGGCACCTCGACGCAGCAGCAGATGCCGGCGGCGGCGTCACAATCAGCTCGACACTGGGACGTGCGAGCAATCGAAGACGGCAGATGAAACAGGTCTGGCAGAGGGCCCAGGCAGCTCCAAGCCCTCGAAGGAGATCAACAGCCAGCGATCAATCACTTCGATGATGGCTGGTGGGCTCCGATTTAAGACGCGCACAGAGCACAGTCGTCCCAATCGGCACTCTCGGCAGCCGCCATCGGTCTTCCTCTCCCACACTTCCTGATCACACTCGCACACATGAAGCGGCCCATTGTGGTACATTAAGATTTGCCAGCCTGCGTCTTACTCTTCTTCGATTTCCGCTCGGCCCAACAAACCGTCGAGCCGCTCCAACAGCCCATCTAGCTTACTCTCCAGACCGTCGGCTGCCCCGTTTGCCGCGTCCAGCTGAGCAAGCAGATCCTGAAGATCTTCTACATTGTCCATAGCAGCTTCATCCGCAACATCTTCCTCTTCATCTGCAGCCTCTTCGGAACGATGTGATAGCACTGCGTGGCTACCGTTCCCGTTCACCAGTCCGCGAGGGGTTCCATCGCCGGACACTTTGGTCTGCGCAGCGACAAGCGGCGCGACAAGAGCGCGATGATCATCCTGAAGGGAGCTAAGCATAGAAAGCATGTCCATCCCCTCGTCTTGAGCCTGTCGTTGTGAGCGTTGTGAGGTCGGCTTCGGGTCTCCATCGACGAGCGACACTGCCGTCCTGGGAGCGCCTGATTCGGAAGGCTGCGGTTTCTCTAGCGTTGGCGTGTCCAGATGATCAAAGTGCGCATGAGCTTGGTTAGCGGCGCCACTCTGCATATCTACGTCTGCGACGCTCCGTGACAGCTCTTGTGGCTGGGCTCTGCCGTTGACTTGCGCAGATGCGTTCCCAAGGGGCACTGGGAGGCCCCCCACTGGATCGTCTAGGTGTTTGATCCAGGCCCCAATCGCACCCAGATAGCCCTCATGTCTCAAGAAGAAAGCCCTCTTGGTGCCCTTTGACCAGAAGCGGATAGCATAACTGAGCGTAGAGATTGTCGCTTGATGACCCCGAATGAAGCAGCCACCAAAGTAGATTCGATCCAATTCGTACTTTTCAGCCGTCATGTGCGCAATTTGACCAATGTTGTTCGAGACTGCATACAGTAGAGATTTGCAGATATCCTGAGGGGAGAACTTCTTCTTACGACCTTCAGCTCCGCCCGAGCCACGAGCATCTCGGCGAAACACCTTGCCAAAGGACGACGCGATGGTCGACGACTTGAGGCCAAAGGCATTCAGAGCATTGGAATTGCCATAGACGTCTGATACCAGCATATCGACTGTAGAATTGTCCCCCTGTTCAGAGAGTTCGAGCATTTCTGCGCGGCCAAGAGAGACTATCAGCCTCTCCGCTTGAGCCCCTGGTGATCCTCTTTCTTCTACTCACCATCAAAGCTCTCGGCATCTGTCAACATGCTCAGTAGTCCCCACAATGTCCCTCCTCCCAAGCTCGTTCCGCTGACTCGCTCGAACTTGCCATAGTCGTCAACCTTGATGATACTGACTCCTGAACCAATGTTAACCAGAAGGCAAGGCAGTTTCGGCGTCGGATTCGACTCGAACATGGGCGCATAAAGGGGAGGGTTCGGCGATGGTCTGGGAAGGGGCTCATCTTGGCCAGGCGAAGAGGTCGGCGGTTGAGAGGGATCGGCTCTGCCAAGGCTCTTGTCAGGCAGAGGGCTGTGAAGGGCCGAGACCAGCTCATCACTGTACCAAAACACCTCGTCAGGTATCAATGTAATGAAGTTCAGACCCGTTATGAGACAGCCCATTTCATCTTCGCGCTGAACCTCAATGCCCAGCTCTGTCTCGAAGAGCTCGTAGTACATGTGAGCACCACCGCCGGTAGCCATGAGCTTGACCGCCTTTCTCATCTCTTGGATGGTGACATTGTTTGCTTTGGCCGAAGATTCGATCAGCTCTCGAAGAAAGTCAACGCAAGACTCGATGTCAGACGTCTCGAATTTGATAAAATTTAGTCTTCCTCCAGGTATATTCGGCGGCAAAGACCTCTGCTTCAAGAGCGAAGACCTCATCGCCCTCATGGCGGAATCCTGATGATGCGGTATCCTCGCATGGTCGCTGAGAATCGCCGAAGGGGTAAGAGTCCCACTCGGCTGCGAATGGTTGGGATAGTCTGGCGACCTAGGTGGAGGCGGACGACTTCCCCCAGTGGATGATTGACGAGAGCGGGGGCCAGTGCCGCTTCCACTTGCGACAGCAGCAGAGTGGCCCAGGTAGGAGGAGGAAAGAGAAGAGCTCGAGGTGGAAGGAGCCAGATGAGGAGTCGAGGTCGGGGGAACCGCTACTGATTCTGCAGGAGTCGCATCATTTGACGAGTGTCTAGATCGAGTAAAGTATACCACTTTGGCCAGTGACCCGCCGACATCTACTGCAATGTGGGACACGAATTCGACGTGATTCGGGAGGTAGATGTCTCTGCTGTCCCTCTGGTCAGGGTGTGATGCATCGTCATCGTCGAGGATCTTTGCATCTGTAGTGTCTACATTTACCGGGAGTGGGACCGGAGCTTGCGGCGTGGAAGAAGAAGACATGGAAGGATGCTGAACGGAGAGTGGCGAGGTCTGAGCCTGTGAGCAAACCACCTCTCAGAACGAGACCCGGAAACACCTCGGGCGATGGTGAAGTGCCCTTGGCTTTAGGATTGAGGAGTTCGAGTGAGGAGGGAAGAGAAAGGTCAGCTTAGGACGCAGCTGATTCGTGTACGGAGTGCGGAGAGGCCGTCTGAAAGTCTGTGCGGCTTTAGGGGGGCGGAGACAGTGTGGGGCAGCAGCAGTGCAGTTCGGAGCCGAAGGGTGCACCAGCGATCGGACCACCTCCGTCTGGGAAGGATACAGCCGCCTCTCACCTGCCCAGCACCAACGCCTCACAGGAAAGATCAGCCGGAGAGCCGCATCACCATGCTCTTTGGATTCACACTGTTATGCCTGGTGGGCGCAGTGCTCACAGCAGCGGCTGAGCCCAAGTCGTATACACTCTTCCATCGCCTTTACTCGCCCACCTCCCCTTCGGCTTCCTCGAGCTGGTCCACCAGGGGAAGCATCGAGGTTGGCTTCGATGGCCCCTTTGCTACCACTGCTGATCTACAGTCTGTCGAGAAGCTGTCGACTTTCATTGAGAGTCATTCAGTCCAGAAGGATGCAGACTCGCTCTACCAGGTCGCCCTGGTTCAGGGCTCACAAGAAGCGAGCGCATTGCCCAAGAGCGTCATTGGTTTTCCAGGACAGGTAGTGGCTGTGAGAGCTGTGAGTAGACTGTGAAAGACCCGCCGGTGGTCCGATATGAGAGCTCTGACATGACCGTTCTGTCCTCCATAGTGTCTTCTTGATGCCCTCATCCCCGGCTCTTACGCCTTTGATGTTCTGGGCCTCACACTCTCTTCCAACTCAAGTAAAGCCTTTGTGCACTCCTTCAACTACGACGTTGTTGGCATCACAAGGGGCGCCGATGGCTGCCCGAGGCTGCCCATCCCAAGAAAGGGAGGCAGTGCTGGCAGCAAGGAAGTCGTGACAAAGGTCAGCCTTGGAGCACCGGAAGTGGTCGAGGCGCCCAGGCTCAGGACTCCCCCCAGGCCCAGGGCTGACGGAGCTACAGGTGCGGAGCCACCGCCGAAGGAAAAGAGCTTCCTGGAGAAGTACTGGTACTGTGAGTATACGTAATGGTCGCGTGATCTTGATGCGAACAAAGACTGATCATGCAATCTCCTCGGACCTATCAGACATTCTGCCTGTACTGGTCCTGCTGGCACTTCCTTCCGATGGAGGTGGTGGAGGAGAAGCTCCTCCCGCTTCTGCTGGAGCTCGGAGAATTAGATAGACTGAGGAGAGATGGGGAAGGTCCACTGTGTAGAGCATTCGTGACAAATAGAAAGGCTTCTCAACTATCGCACCATTGTCTGCCTGTTACCACTGACGTCCCTCACTTCTCATAATTGTAGCGCACATGCTCAGGCGGCGCACTTCATGCTGCATTTCTCCCTGTGGTTCCTCAAAACATGTGATTGTATTGAGGTGCTGGATCAGTGCCGCTCGGGCAAGACATATGGTGTACAATGGGAGGTCAAACAAAAGCTAGTGAAACAAGTGCCGAATAGATCGTCGGACAAGTTTACTTGGCGTATGACCAGACACCGCGGAGGACTGTTGCAATGCGGCAGAGGAGAGTAGGGTGGTATGGTCAGCGAAGGTGTCCCGGCGGTTAGAGCATCTAGATTGGAAGCGGACGCCTAGTTTGCAAGTCGACTCTTTCCCAACGTCACGAGGAGGACGAGCGCAGTGCGTTCCTAACCCTTCACCACCCGCACCTCCCCACATCTCTTCCCCAGCTCATCCAGCACTTCCCATCATCCTCTGATAGACGAGGTATTTCGAACCGATCTGACACTCAATAGTCCACTGAAAAGGACCACCGAGTTCTTAAACGGCACTCCCTCGCATGGAGAGTTCATCTCCGCGTCCATAGAAAAACGTCTGGCAGGAAGGGAGCCGAAGCCCCCTCGCCTGTCCATAGTTTGGAATCCTGCTCATCGATGTGGAAGTGAGCATCAAAGGCAGACTGTCTGGAGCGGTTTGTTTGTCCGAAGATAGGCTTGCTGAATGCTCTTCGGAGCAGTGTGCTAGCAGCGTCCTCTCTCGGGACATTGCTGCGTTGTCCCGTCCCAGCTTCTCCAAAGCCTGCCGTCTTTCTTCACTGCTGCTCCCAAACACTAGGAATCATCTGCGCAAAGGATACTCACGACCCTCCTTGGTAGCCAGCCTGTTGAGCGAGTCGTCTCCCTCTCCAGCTCGTCGCACGTAACCGGACAGAGGGAAGATGGTCGAGGATCCCTGGATCAGTCGGCCGTTCTCGTCGACGTCACCGACGGCGATCTGAACCGAGGCGTGGTCCTTGGACTCGATGATTCGGCCAGTGGCAGCGCACTTTCGTGGCACGTAGAGGTCGACGAGGTCACCCTAAGAGGAGAAGAGATAGGGAGGATATGTCAGCCCCTCACATTTCAATGATTACTGGCTGTGGAGTGACTCAATCAAATCCAGACTTCCAGCGGTCTGCTTGCACATCTCTTTCCCCCGTAGTGAAATCGTCGTGGCTAGTCCCATCACTGCCTTCTTTGCTACCACTCCTTCGCTAGGTGCCTCTTCCCCAGCTCCGATGCCACCCGACGCTCCATCCATCGTCTTTGACCATCTGTAATCTTCTGATATTCACGTTAACGTTCTCCATTGTGTATGACGAGGTTGTGTGGGTGTTGTGTAAGGTTGATGTGAGGTGTGCTACGTGGTGAGATCCGTGTGAGAAGGCGAGGGAGGGGCGCCTGGCAAGTTTTCGCGCCCGAGGGAGTTGCTCCGGCTGCGCCATGTCCAGTGCTTACGTAAACGCGCATTGGCCGCCGACTGTGCGAGGCCCAGTCTCATTCCGTTCCGATCGGCCGGCGCCCCCAGCGGAGTCAGAAACCGTAATCTGATGGGGGACTTGCCAGGTTACGCCTCGCTTCGAGTCAGTTTGTGCTGCCCGAGCCCCCCGGCCCTCCTCCTGTCCCGCTTCATCCGCTTTCCCACCTTTGCCTCTATACCCACATTGTATTCCAAGATGATCTCAACATACAACAATCCCTACTATTTTGCCTCTTCACCCACCTCAGCCAGCCTAGACCGCACCTCTGGCTCAGCCTCGGCTTCGCACTCGGCCTCGCATTCCAGCTCTTCCGGCAAGCGGCCCAGCAGCGAGCGTGGTGCTTCGATTAGCTCCTTGGGCTCCAGCTCGGGCGAAGAGGATGTGACTGAGGAAGAAGGAAGTCCAGATATCGAAGATATCCTGAGTCCACCCAGATCCATGAGCGGAGCTAGACAAGCCGGTATGGGGCCAGGTTCACGACTCACAAAGCCAAGCTCCCCAGCTGGCGGGCTTGCAAGGGCACTAGCACGCACCGATCGGCCACCACGTATCGACGACCTCTTCGCGGAGCTTCCCTCTGCAGGAACATCCTCGATGGGGGCACACAATAACAAGCGTCGAAGAGTGTGCGCTGAACCAAATTGCTGCCAGAAGGGTCTACGAGGCGAGGCGAGTTCGAAAGTTGCCGCGGCTGGCGCTGCAGCTTTGGCTGTTCGAGAGCAAGAGGTCAGCAAGACTTTTCAGGACCTCTTTTGGAAGAGGCAGATGTGGCTCATGGAACATCGCGATGCAGATGGGGAGAGCCATTGCTCTGACGAGTCCTCTGATGAGGCAGATTCGGCTCAGAATGAGGCACAGGATGCGGATAAACAAGGAAAGATGGGAACAGAGGGCCATTCGAAGCGGCGACAGGGCAAGAAGAGGTCTCGCAGCCGCCACGACGATGTTCTTCGTACAGCTGGCGCAGGCCTCCCTCTCGCACGAGTCAAGAGGGCAATGAAGAGCGCTGACGAAGAGATCAAGGTGAGTCCGCTGGATCGGTCGCAGCAGCTTCCGAATCTCTCTCGCTTGATCTGACCGGTCCTCCCTCCACTGTGCCTGGACAGATGATCTCTCATGAGTCGCCATCGCTCCTCTCGAGGCTGTGTACGGTTCTCATCTCTGACATCTCGGTACGAGCAGGTCGCAGTGCTCTGACCAATGGCAGGAGGACGATCACCTGTAATGATCTCCGAGAGGTGACAGTTGGAAAGGGCGAAGGAGCCGGCGACGAGTGGGAATTTCTGAGGGACTGCGTAGAGGGCGAGGGCAGAGTCGAGTGAGATGCATTCGAAGTATCGCTGTGTGTACACCTTTGCCCTGTCAATGTCATGCTCATTGGGACCAAGCCCGAAGATTCCCAGTGGATATAGCTTACTGTCTCAGAAGACCCACCCCACTTCGGGCTCAAGGCCGAATGTGTCCCAAAACTGCCTTCCATCGAGCGCTTTACTCTTTCCCCCACTCATCTCGAACATCACCTCGGCGCTGCGAGGGAGTGCCCTGGCTGGACTGCCGGGCTCGCTCAGAAGCTCGCGGACGATCCTAGGAGCCGGTCCTTGAGGAGCGTGATCCCTGCCCGCTTCGCCTGCTGTGCCGAATTGCGCTGCGAGATCCCAGATGTCGCTGAGATGGAGGAGAAGGCCATCGAAGACCATTGATGGTCAGCGATGCACTCTTGATCTGCTCGTTGCGCCCACCATTCAACTCACTAGATCCTGCCATTGGTCAGGATCCACCTCTTGTCCACTGCCTTTTCGATGCCTCCATGCGCAGCAACGATTCCCCTAGCCACGTCCCTCCCATGAATCAAATGCACACTTGCCAAGCCCCTGTACGCATCCTTGTTGTCGGGCAAGCGAGACATGTAGTTCCTGACGGAGCGTCCGTGACCCCAGAGGCCACAGAGAAGGAGAACCGTCGTGCCGATGGGCTTCGAGCGGATCTTGTTCGAGGGGCAAGAGTAGGACAGTAGCTCGTTCTCTGCCAAGGCTCGAGGGAGAGGCATCACTTCCGAGGAATTGTCCGTCCAGGGCGAAGGACGAGGCTTTGGCTTGTGGTCGTGGTGATGCTTCTTCTTCTTCTTGTGGGACGAGTCCGTAGCCGTCTCCTCGGTAAAGGTTGGTCCATTGTCGTAGACGCCCGTACTGCCAAGCAAGATGAATTTGGTGTCTAAATCCTCGATACTCCTCAGCCTCGGTTTCTCGTCCACCGTTTGCTGCGCTTGCTTCTCAACCCTACTGGTCAAATAGCCCCTGATCAAACGCTCGACTGCCTTCTCATCGTAGAATGGAAAGATGATGAGGACCGTCTTTGCATCCGGCAAGATCTTGTACGCCTCTGCATCGTCGCTTTCTGGATCAAAGGTCCATGGGATGGTACCATTTCCCCCCGCACGAGTGGTGGAAATGCAGCGCAGGCCGGCTTCGGCAGCATGGGGGAGGACGAAGGAGCCAGTCCAGCCTGAGCCGAGGCAGAGGAGGTCTACCTCGGTAGGGAAGGCGAGGTGAGAAGAGGAGGAAGACGAGGGTAATTCGCCCAGCAGGGCGGTCAGAGATGGGAGGCAGTCGAAGAGCGACATGCTATGGTGTGAAGACGGTGACGGCAAGGGTGAGATGAATCACTCCAGGAAAGTGCGTGAGGTAAAAAGCTGACCACTCATGGCTCAAAGCTCGGTGGGGCGCAGAATGTGGAGAAGGAGGGCGAGGCAACGGAAGAGGGCTTTGCGAAACCGTTGCCCCCACGTCGCGTTGCGCGCTCGGCAGATCGGTTTATCCACTTCCGTCGCAGACGCCGGCGACTGCTCACTCCTACCCATCTCTCCATACTTCACCATTCTTGAAAGTCAAATTTGGCTCGATTAACACGCATTGAAACTTCATCAGTACGCGCAAAAGGGCCTCCTCTATCCATGGGTGCGGTTTATTTGCCCTTTTGTACCGAGTTTCAAGGGTCGAGCTACTGAGCGACTGAAATGAGCCTGTTCATCCCCTCCAAACGCAGCACACCGAAATTCCCACTCTTCCAAGGCTGCCCAGGGCAAGAAGAAGGCTCCTAATCGTAGTTCAGAACTTGTTAATGAGGTGTGTGAAAGAAGGGCCCAAACAGACGCATTTTGAGCAAGTTCAATGCTGAGCAACTTTGCTCTCTCGTACATTGCAGCTTGACGCAAGAGAAGAATTGGGCCGTAGGACCGGCAACTCCACCAGGGTGGCTAGGGAGGCAGAAGACGCAGTTGGTATGTGTCATACAGGGTCCCTCCTTGCTTCAGACGTTGATGCCGCCGCCATCCAATCACAGGAAGACCATTTGAAGTCGAGATTGCCATGACCATTCAACCAATGGTGAAGCAGACAACTCCCCAAGGTTTAGTCAAGGACAAGAAGCTCAAACACTATAGACACTTTGTCAGATTCAAGCCACTGGTGTCCTACCTGAACTTCACTATCGCTATTGCCAAGGGCATTGATCCAGCGACCGGCACACCCGAGGAAGACTATAAGACGGCGCAGCCTCATTTCTGCATACCAAGGTCCAAACGTTTCGACCAGTATATTGCCATCAATTCGCAACAGGACTACGAATACTTCCTCGATGCTCTCAAGAGTAGTAAATGGGTGAATGCCCGCGGTCAGTGGGAGGTCTGGAGGGCGCCAGAGGTTGCACCGAGCGCAGATGATAGTGACGTTGAAGTAGTGTCAGTGAGTCGACCCAGCTCTCCTACTAAGCCGCAGGCAGCCAAGAAGTCTAGGCAGCCTGCCGTTACACCTCTAGAACGCAGTCTACCCCTAGACGACACGATCCCTGAGGTCAATGAGCTCACTCGCAAGTGGCCAGTCTGTACGCACCCTTTGTGCAGAGGTGCGAGGAAGCGCCTCCATTGCTATATCGATGAGAATGCTCATCATTACCCTCTGCCAGATTATGTCATCGAGAGATGGGCTCTAGATATCAGGATGCCAGGCTCACGCTACACAACCACCAATCCACCTTCTCATGTCCTCGACGACCTCCCCATACCGCGCTTTGTCCCTCCAAGGAAGGATGCCACTCGCCATCGCTCACGCCCTAGTATTGCCAGCAGTGCGCAAAGTGCTAGAGAGTCTACGCCAAGCATTGTGTGCGACGAAGAGCTGAGCAGCTGGCCATCTTCTATGACAAGCAGCCACTCTACTTCTGATACTAGGCGCAGCTTGGCAGACATCACCAACTTAGCAGATAGTCGACGTATAGTCAGCGACGGCGCGTTGGGCTCTCAGGCTGCTGCTGCTGCAATGCAGCCCAGAGCCACCAAAGATAACCTTACAGGTCCATACATGAGCTGTCTCGACCTATCCAGGGAGGGCCATATGTGGCAAGACGACGATCTACTCATCAAATTAGCTAATGTGTCTATCTTTGACATGCACACCCTAGCCGACATCTGGCACTGCGACAAGCTGCCACAACTCCACTTTGGTCTCGTCGATTGCTCTCGCATTGAACAGATGCTGCGAGCTTGGCATGCAATCCCTGACGCAGCTCCTAATGAGGCTCAGACCCTGAAAGCGCAGCGCATGAGGATGATAGCGCCAGACAAGAAGGAAATGCAGCGAATGGCGGGCTTGCTGCGTGAGCCAACCCCGCCTACGGCTGCGGCGGCTCAAAACCATCCCTTGGAAGATAGCCAGCAAACCTGAACCATCCCTGGACGTCTGCAGAAGTGATAGACCTTGCTGCGAGCACAATCTGCTGCTCAAAGCCCTGCTGTGGCAGAAAGCCAGTGCCTCGCATTCTGGTCTTGATCTTATTGAAGCATTTCTCTATAGGGTTGAAGTCTGGGCTGTAGGGTGGCAGATACTCAATGCGACAGTCTGCGTATGGGTATGACTCAGTGTGTAGTGCTTTAGTGCGTTAGTACGCCGTTGCCAGACTGGTACGGCACTCCGCGTCGCGTGAATCACGCGACGCGGAGTGCCGTACGATAGCGGCGTTCGCAGCACTCACCCTTGCTAGCCACTAGCTCTAGCACCTCTGACACCTTGTGTATGCTAGCATTGTCACAGACGATGACACTATTGTCGTCAGGATAGGGCCGCATCCTTGGCAGAAGCACATGCTTCAGATAGTAGAGGAAAACGTCGCCATTGATGCTACCTGATTTCATGTAGTAAGCAAAGCACCTCTTCTTCAGTGAGCATGCTGGCAAGAAGCTTAGACGGCGCCCACGCTGGAATGGCTGCCTTAGAAATGCTAAAGTATTCCTTCTAGACCTTGCGCGAGTGCGATTGCAGACCCTGAAGTCGAAGGCTGACTCGTCTACGAAGACCAGATGCCTCGCCTCATATTGGCTCATCCTGATGCGAAACGCGATACGCTTGGCGTCGTCTCGGCTGGTAGCAAAGCAGTTTGCGACCTTGCGAGTAAGACCCATGCGCCTGAGCTCCCTACAGATGAGTGCTTCATGAAATTGCTCGAACCCTAGCCTGACCAGCTCATAAGCAAGCTCGGCCAGGTAGAGGTCACTCTGCAGCCTAACCAGCAAGCGTAGATAGTGTCTTGCAAGAGTAGTCATCTTGCGAGGCCGCCCTCCCTTGCTGTGGCGATTTTGAGGCGGTAGCGATCCTTGGTGAATGAGCCAGAGCGATCTGATACGCCTGGCAGATCTCCTTGAAAAGGCGCCGATCTCGACACAGTCATTTAGAGTGATTTGCTCCCTATCTACGAGCCGCATGAGCGCTATTTTCAGCTGACGTGATATAGTGCGTCCAGGCATGTCAGCGAGGGCTTTTACAGGGTGCTAGGAGCTGATTTGACCGGGTTATCGTCGGAGGGAGGTGAGGAGGCGGAGGAAGAGGTGGTATTTGGGGGCAGCGGCTCTACTCTGCCAAAATTGGGTCGATTGCTGCGATGAAAGTCGGAACGGATAGCTGGGGAGGAGCACTACCGCCAGAAATGGCGATACTAGTGGCGTGAGAGCAAAAGACGGAGTGGCAGATAGAATAGGGTGGTAGCATGGCATGCGGAGAGGCAAAAAGTGACTTCCACAATAGGAACCACCTTTGCTTTGGCGGGCGGCGCGCGCCAACGGAAAGGGCAACGGTTTTGCAAAGCCCTCAAAGAGCCAAGATGCGGGGAAAGTGATGCGATGCTGCGAGAGACGAATGATAATGCTACATCCACGCCGACACAACAGGTCTGGACTCCTCTTCCAGTGGCCTTACCCTCTCCTTCTCACCTCCTCCCAGATTTGCCACTTCTCCTTCTCGCGTCTGACCCTGGCCTCCTCTTCCTTCTTCCGCTGCTCCTTTTCGCTCTCCACCCTTCTTGCCTCCCTCTCCGACAGACGATGTCGATCGGCCTGCTCCTGCCGGGTCAGCTCGGCCTGGTAGGACTTCTGGAAGTCCAAATATCTACGCTCTGCGCGGCTGAGCTTCTTGTCGTGAGCCTCGAGGTAATTCTCTGGCTCTCCTTGCTCTGCATCGACGAACGCAGGCGTCGAAGGAGAAGACGGTTCGTCCTCTACAATGGGCTGACTGACGCCATGATCCCTCTCCTCGTTGCCGACAACCTCCTGGCCCTCGCCTTTGTTGATGCTCTTCTTCGAGCTGAGCTTGCGAGGTCCAAGTCCCAGCCTCGGCGCGAGTATGGAGGCTGGCTCTGCGCGAGGCCCCTCCTTCTCACTGGTCGGAGCACCACTCTCGCGACCCTCAGCTTTCGGCACACTACTCTTGGAGCTCTGCCGACGAGTACCGAAGCCGAGTCCAGGAGCGGCCAAACGGGAGAATCTCCCTTCCTTCTTACTACTCTTGCTGACCGCACTTTCGCCTCCTGTGCTCACCATGCGCGAGTGTGGTGGCCTCGTGGGCCCGCCTGACTCTTGCACAAGAGGAGGGACTGAGCCCATCTCATCATCTTCGTCTCGAGGTATAGGAGGGAGAGGAGCGTCTACAAATGGGTATTCCATCTCGTCAGCAGCGGACGGTTGATTTTGCCCTCGACGGCTGATGACACTAAAGTCTGCCGGCTTCGTAGAGTAAGGCGGGGTGGCAGCGTTCGAAGGAGATCGACCGCCGGCGGAGACTTGGGAGAAGTAGCTTCTCGAGGGCTCTTCCTCTGCCTCCTCTTGCGCAGAGGTAGGAGGAACTGGGCTGACATGTGCGTTGGACGGCAGATCACGCTTTGAGGGCAACTCTCTCTGCTCGATCGCCTGGGCCGTATGACTGCTGCCGTTGGTCTTGCCACTAGTCCCATTGTGACCATTGGAAGCGAGACTCTCGTTCAGAGCAGCGCGAGCTGCCGCCGCTCTCCTTTCGGCAGCTTCGACGGCAGCTCTGGCCGGATCAGCTGGCTGTTCTCCATTGCCTCCCACTGCATTTCCCTTTGAAAGACGCTCGGAGCTCTTCTTCCTAGTTGTGCTTTTACGTATTTCGCTCCTCCCATTCTCAGTAGAGCTGCCGTGAGATGCGGCCCTCTGCTTGCCCCGAGCTTTCACCTCCCCTGATGCCGCCGTGAAGCCTGTGAATGCTTTTGCATTGCCGTATTCGGCGATGCTAGCCATTGGACTATGGCCACTGTCACCCGTGGCGTTCCCACTTTGACCAGGGGCGCTGCTGGATCCCTTCCCTATGGATCCCTGTACGCCAGGTCCAATGACGAGGGCGCCAGAAGGCATTGCTTCCTGGCCTGCAGGGCCTCCAGAGCCGAAGACCTGCTGCATTGCGCTAGAGCTAGTGGCACCAGTTGATGCATTACCTGCTCCTTTCGAGTCTTGATTGAAGTAGCTGTACGAGCCGCCCGTCGACGCGCGCTGAGCACTTGGTCTCCGCCCTGGATTCTGACTAGAAGCGGGTGTGATGGATGGGCTGGGAATGTTGGCCGGAGAAGTCGGGGCTGGAGACGCTGTAGTGCTAGCAGGCAGTAGGGGAGAGATCAAAGCTCGGGCGCCTCCGGCTTGCTGCGAATCCTTCTTGTTGTAAGAGCTCGAACGTTTCGTTTTGATATCAGCCGGCCTGTACTGTGCTGCAGCGGGTATAGCCGCAGGTGGTTCGACGCCAGCGCCGAGACCCAGAGGTCTCGATGGACCCGATGTGGCTGGATTACTTGAGGCCTTGGCTCTGCGAATTTCGGCAGCGGTCATGCCGAAGTTGTTCTGCCCACCTTTTGAAGTTCCCTCCTGACCTCCGCCTACAGTGACCACGCGGTATCCCTTGGAGTAATCACGATATTGCCTAGCATGGTAGTTGGCGTTGGGCTGAGCCTGTACACTCGAACTGTGCGAGGACGGCTCGGCAGCTCTCTTGATGTTGGCTTGGGAATACGAAGGAGGCGCAGACAGGGTACCTGCCCGAGTGAGAGCGCCAGGAGGAAGGGAATAAGTGTGGTCTTTGGGCAGCTTGGGCAGGTGTAGATCTGGAAGTGCAAAGGCTGGCTTTATCCGAATGCTGCGAGCGTAGAGCAAGGTCGAGTACGTCAGCTGTCTGTCTATGCGGTCAAGACTTCCTAATTATGACTCACAGCACTTCATCCCCGCTCTCGAGCAGACCACAATCAGAGTCATCAGCCAGCTCGAACCCCTCCATCTCATCATCTATTCCTTCGCCAATTCTGTTTCTCGTCTCTGGCGCAATGAGTACATTTTGCCTCAGCTCCAGAGCGATCATTTCGCTCCTCCAGCCATGAATGGTCATCAGCTTGAGATTCTCCGACTCGGTCATTGGAGCCGTGGAGGACTTGAGGGAGACCTCGCCTGTGAGGAGACGCAGCACAGAGAGCTTGAGGGTGGAGCCAATCGTAGCCGAAGCAGGCGGTATGGGGTGTGGACATGTGAAGAAGGGAAGGGGCGACTTGGTCCGCAGCTGGATCGAAGGGGCCAGACCACCGCCGGGCAAAGAGGCGGACACGTTGGCCATTGAGTAGGAAGCATCATTACTGCCAGAAGAGGTCCCACTTGCTCCACCCGCACTCGAAGACACGCCGGGAGCGGCCATCTACTCGTTCTGAAGACCTAGTATGCTGGCCCGACTGACAGTCAATGGCGCCGGATATGCTGGAGTGGTGGCCTCGCGACAGTATTATGCCGATGCGGAAGAAAGGAAGAGTGGAGCAGCGACCGGGCCCTGCGGAACAGAGATCCCGGAGCCAGGAAGATGAGCGAAGGCGGGAAGAGTGGTACGCGCAGACTGTGGCCCAGGGTGTCGTACTGCCGTCTAGCTTTGCAATGAGAGGAGGGGGGAGGAGGAAGGATATGAGGTCGGTGAGCTCGTCGATGCTGGTCCAGTTCGATTTCGAGGCTCGGGCCGAATACAAGTATGGTGAGAGTAAGGGCGAAGGCTAGGCTGAGCTTGGCCTCGCAGCCTTGGCCCCAGCCTTTGTCGTTGCTGCCGGAAGGAGAAGTGCGCCTCTGGGACTTTGGCCCTGGGTCGACCTTCGTCACTCTGCATGACCAGCGCCCAGAAGTAAAGACAACTCCGCACCACCTTCACCGACCACTGCGACACGGCGAGGCTCGCCAGAGCTTTCTTACCAACGATGGATGATCACAAGAACGGTCTTCTATTCAACAGAGCGGACAAACAATGGGCGAGAGAGAAGAGAGTGATGCATGGAGATACAGTCAGATACTCTGACTTCTGGTGATAACAGGATCCGTGGCCAGTGTAGCAGCAGCCGCGTGATTGTTCTTTTAGTCTACATCCATCTCCGGGATTTCCTCCTCAACCTTTGCCTCGCCATCAGCAGCCTTCTCCTCTGCGGCCTCCTCCTTCTTGGGCGGTGCATCTTGCTGCGATGGCGCAGGGGGTGCCTTTGGCTTCAGCTTGCTCATGATGGGAGTGCAGACGTACAGCACATCGTCGCGCTGCTTTGCCATGTCAGCAGCCGTCACCTTGGGGTTGACATTCTTCGGCAGCTCACCCTGCTTGTACAGGATGTCGTCCAGCCACTTGGCCACGGTAGCGCACTTCTCAATGACCTTTTGCTTGTCTGCGTCGCTGATGTGGGAGTACTTCTCATCACCGCCCTGAGCCTGCTCAAGGAACTTGTTGATCGTCTCGCGAAGGGCAGAGGCAGCCTTGGGACGAGCGTCATTCTCCTGGAATCGCTTGATGATGGGGCCACCAATCTTCTGCAGCTTCTCAATTCTTTCGACGTAAGCCGACTTTGTGGCATCCTCACCGTCGTCACTGTACAGCCACTCCTCCTCGGCATTGAGGGCAGCTAGGTACTTCTCCTTCTCCTCTGGCTGAACATAAGGGCGCAGAGTCGAGTCGAGCTTGCTTCGCTGGTCGTAGATCATCTCCTCGAGGGCGTTCTTGCGGTCAGCAGTGTCGATGACAAGCTTGTCATTGGAGTACATCTCGCCTTCTGCCTCCTTCAGCTCGGTGAGGATAGAGGGGTCCTTCTTGCCCAGGCCAGACACAACGGGCAGGCTGCTCTTGTCCTTTCGCTGCAGCTTCTTCACTTTTTGCTTGATTGTCTTCGGGGCCTCGCCATCGGCGCCATCTGTCTGCATGGCATCCGGGTTGGCAACCTCCTCCTCCTTCTCTACCTCCTCGACAACGTAGGCCTCCTCGAAGTTGAGGATGCTGTGCAGATTCAGCCTCGTCTTGACCTTGACAATGGAGTGGTCACCATTGGCAGTGGGCTGGACACCCTTGACTGTGAATTGGCCGAGGAAGGGGTTGATGCCCTTGGGCAGTTGCTCTGGGTTGGCATAGTGAGCTTCCAGAGTGAAGGGCTCCTTGCGGTAGAAGGTGAGAATCTTGGTAGAGGGAACGGGGTTGTTGGGCTGGAAGACGAGCAGCTCAGTCTCTTCATCGACGTCGGCCTTCTCCCAGGTGACCTTGATGGGATAGCTGGTGACGTCGTGAACGGCAAAGTCTCGCACACGGAAGACAGGCGAGAGGGTAGCGCAGGCGAGTGTAGCACCTCGGGCCACGGCCTCGTCCTGGTTCGAGGTGAAGGACAGAACCTTGCCGTTGAAGAACGCAGAGACACGCTCCTTGAGAGCGGGCACACGCGAGCTGCCACCAACCATCTCAACGGAGTAGATGTCGTCCTTTGCCAGACCAGCCTGCGAGAGGGCAGACTCCAGAGGAGCAGTGATGCGCTCAAGCAGGGGAGCCATGAGCTGCTCGAACTCCTCACGCTTGAGCTGCGACGAGGCATCAATGTCCTCCATCAAAGACTCAACATTGAGGGGAGCAATGGCGTTGGCGGAGAGCACCTTCTTGAGCCTCTCACAGCCGGCGGCAAGTCGGAAGATGGCCTTTTGGCTGGACATGACGTCGACCTTGTACTTGCCCTTGAATTCCTCGGCAAAGTGCTTGAGCAGAGCCAGGTCCATGTCACGACCACCGAAATGCCTGTCGGAAGCAGTACCGAGAACAGTGAGCTGACCCTTTGAAAAGGCAACGACGGCGACCTGGTAGCTGGAGTGACCGAAGTCACAGAAGACGACGTTCCTCGGGTTCTCTGGCTCAGGCAGGTCGGTCTTGGTGATACCGTAGCCGAGGGCGGTAGCAGTGGTGTCGTTCATCAGTCGCAGGGGGTTGAGGCCAGCCACCTCGGCAGCATCCAGCATTGCCCTACGCTGAGGGTCAGTGAACCACTGAGGTACAGAGAGCACGACGTCGCTGACACCAGCGCCTCCGAGCTCCTTGCTGGCAGTATCCCTGAGCTTACCGAGGTAAGCTCCCATGAGCTGAGTGGCAGAAAAGGTTCGCTCCTCGTTTGCGAAGCGGACCTTGACGCCAACCTCGCCCTTTGTGTCGACGAGCTCGGCATTGATGAACTTCTTCTCGTACTCCTGGATGTCCGAGTCCTGGAATGTGCGGCCGATGAGACGCTTGAGTGATCCGACGGTGTTCTTGAAGTTGGAAGTCTGCATCGTGGCGGCAGCCTCTCCGATGGCACGGCTCTTCTGACCGAAGGAGATCAGCGATCTGGAAGAAGATGGGCGGGGGAGAGAGGTACAGGGTATAGTCAGTACTCAGCTGCAAGACATTGATCTTTGGTCACCATGCCTACTCACGGAGTCTGACGATTCGAGACCTCATTTGCCAAAACGTCTACTCCACGCTGACGGGCAGCTCCGATCTTGGAGCTGGAGTTTCCCACGTCGATTCCGATGACGGAAGCCATGATGGTGGGGTGTGATGGGGAGGAGGCGGGGGGAACGGGGTGATGTATAAGTCTAGTGGTGGTCTAAAAGGAAAAGGGGGTATCTATGTCCTCTCCTGTGATGAATGGTGAGGAAGGGGAAGGTGGGTGGGTGTGCGAGCGGGTGTGACTTGTGCTAGAACGTCTGCTCGAGTGTATGCGCCTGTGCCCAATTTCTCGGTGAAAAGGAAGGAGGTGCTAGTAACTTCGCGGTGGAATTCTGCGCGCACAAGATCAAGACAACCTCGTGGCGCATGAAGCTCAGGCTCAGCTCCACTTGCCCCACCAACTCCCGTTCCGTCGACGCTTGCCCCGCTCCCGCCATACCCACTCCAGTTCCACACACATCGGGCCAAGGGAGCCTCGCCCTCATCCCACCTGACAGTAGCACATCCTCTGTACCCATACAACAGTCATGGCTTCAACCTCGCCCTACCACCTTGCCCGGCCCATTCACCTCATCAAGTCACCCGCCGTATCCGTCCCTCCGCCCCTCACGTTCCCCACCGACTTACACCCGCTCCCGCCAGATCTGCACGCCTACTTCGTCTACCCCTTCTCCCTCGAGGCCTACGTGACGGATCCCAACAATCCAAATTCTTCCACCATCGAGGAGCTACATAAGCGGCATGTGCAGTATCTGGAATGGAGAAAAGGGGAGAAGGAGAGGGTAGAGAAGGAGAGGATGAGGAGGGTGGCGCCGGGGTGGGACAGGGCGTCAGGACCGCTGCAGCCCAAGAGGGTGTCGCTGCTAGCCTCCAGTGACGGCGGCGGAGCGGCTTCTCAAGGAGCCTCTGGTGCTAGTACAATTGCCGGTAGCTCTACAGACGCCACAGACCCACAGTCTCCCCCTTCGCAACAGATGGACGCGATGCAAGAGCTCGTCGAACATCTCACCAAGCTCGATGCGGCTGCTGAAGAGAGGCAAAAGCAGCAGGGTCAAGACGATGCATTGATATGATCTCGAAAACCTAGCTAGACAGACATACGACCAAGCCCCGACCGCCTACACTATACCCCAGAGCCCGACTTGAGCATAAGTAGGGCTTTGTCACGCCGAGGCACTTCTCACGACACAGCTAAGACACATGCATGCAGGCAATGTCATTCGTCCAGTTCATAAGAGTACACATAAGGATCAGTGGTGGTAAGAAAGAAAGAAAGAAGGGAAATGCCACGTCTTGAAGTGGGAGAGCAGTTGCAATATGCACAGCCTTGCCCGTGATTTGTTGGACTGATTGTAGACCCTATTCTCCCCGTTTCCCTCGAACACAATGACCCAATGTTGTACCGATCTTCCTCTTCATCTCAAATTCCAAATTGTACGCTTTACTTCTTTCCTCGTTGCTCGCGAGCAGTCTCGGCAGCCACGTATCCTTGACCTCCAAGGAGACCCAGCACACCCACCGTCACGGCGCTGACCAGCCTTCGGTCCCAGGCCTTGGGGTTGTTGCGCTCACGGTAGGCAAAGTAGCCTAGACCACCAAGGAGAGCAACATTGATGGCTCCCAGCAGGGTTCCCCAGGCCTTGGGGTCGCTGCTGAGCTGACCCCATCCTTCTTGCACCTGCGCAGAGACCTCCCTTGCCCTCTTGGACAGCTTCTTTTCTGCCTTCTTGGCGTCCTCTGTCAGCTTGGGCGCCTCCTTCTCGGCCCACTCCCTTGCACTCTTGGCCTGCTTGTCTGCGTAGGCCTTTGCATTCTTGGCCTCCTTTTCGGCAAAGGCCTTTCCATCCCTGATCTTCTCATCAGTCGTGGTGCTCTCGGCGTACTCCTTGGCCTTTTGGGCCTCCTTTGAAGCGTAAGCCTTGCCTTGCTCATACTTTTCCTGAGCAAAGGCCTTGCCGTCTTGGATCTTTTGTTCGGTCGAGGTGCTGTCCATGTACTCCTTTGCCTTCGAGGCCTCCTTTTCGGCGTATGCCTTTGTCTCGGCGTATTTCTCGTCGGCAGTGTTGGCAGCCTTCTTTGCATTCTTCTCGAGCTCCTCGGCCTTCTGTTCGTCCTCTGACTTCTTGGAGCCAGACTTCTTATCGTCCTTCTTGGTCTCAGTCTTCTTCGAGTCTGCCTTCTTGCTGTCCGATGACTTCTTGTCCTCGGCCTTGTGTGCCTCTGCCACCCGCTTGTCGTGCGCGTCTCGCTTCACATTTGCATCGTGTGCCGCCTCCTCGTCGATCTTGCGCTGGTGGTCAGCAGCATCTCGCTCGGCCCGTTCTGATTGCTCGGCGCTGTCGGTCCTGAGATTCTCTAGATTTGACTCGTGAGGTACAACATTGATCTAGCCAGCGGAAGGAGGGAGATGTGGGCGTGCAGTGTTTCCAAGTTAGCTTCGCGTACCGCGGAACCACGCCAAAGATTCAACGACTCCTGCTGTCAAGTTCACAATTGCTACTCACCGATCCAGAGTCTACATCCACGCTGTTTTGCTGAACGCCCTCTGAGCCGGGGAGGCTGCCCTCGAGCCACTCCTGGCTGGGCTTGGCTCCTCCACCCTCACTGTTGTGTGCTGCGATGGATGCGTAGGACATGGCTGAAGGTCTTTGTGTAAGAGAAAGTGATGTGAAGCTGATGTACGGTGCAAGGTAAGGAAAGGTAAGAAGGGAGCAAGGTTGGCCAAGGCAGAAGGGTCCTTGAGATGGTCGCTGCTGCACAAGGCGGGCGGTGCGGGTGTCCTTTTGGCCGGGAGGGAGCCACGCCGTCATCTTCTCACTTGGCTCTCCGCCCTGCCCCGCGCTTGCAGCTTGGGCCAGACCCAGTGACGTAGCTCCCGCCCGAGCAGGGGCCTCCGGATTTACATGAGTCACACGCAGAGCACCCACGCTCGAAACACACACAATACAATCAGGGCCACAATCAGGGCCATCAGCGCTCATTTGAGGAGGAGAGCTGCAGCTCCGAAACATGACCTTTGCATTCGCTAGACAAAGCTTGGCGCATCTTACACCTATTGGCCCCCCTAGACTGCTAAAGAGCATGTCCAGCGCGTCCACACGCTCCCTGCACTCCTCACAAGGTCGTAGCACCGAGATGAGCAAGGCGTCCTCGGCGGCAGACATCTTTGGTGCAGACGATTTCGACGTGGATCGCTACCTGTCCAACAGACCGCGTTTTCCCCCGCACATCTTCTCTTTCATTAAGTCGTACCTGTCTACCTCGCAGGCAAATGCTGCACCTTTTCCTGGCACCCTCTTGGACCTTGGCTGCGGTCCGGGCTTTTCATCTTTTCCCTTGCTCGACCATCCCAGCTTTGATAAGCTCATTGGGATCGACACGGGCAAGGGAATGGTACGTATCGCTCCACAAGCATACGAGGCATGGCTCTCGAGCCTCCCCAGTGGCTCGCAGCAGAGGCAGAACCTCCAGGGCAAGCCAGTCTCCTTCTCCGTCGCCTCTTCCAGCGACCTTTCCGAGGTCGTGCAGGACAATAGCGTCAACCTCGCCATTGCCGCTACTGCTGCGCACTGGTTCGACCCTGGACCTACTTGGGCCGAGCTGAGTCGCGCACTCAAGCCAGGCGGCGCCGTGGTGTGGTTCACGTACGGGGAGAACTACCTCCCGCGTCACCCGACGCTGCAAGGGGACATCTACCATTTTATGCAGGGCGACTCAAAGGCGGGCGACTCCATCGGCCCTTATTTCCCGCAGCCTGGCCGGTCCTACCTGACGAACCTGCTCCAGCAGGTGCCCTTCCCACACGAGGTCCGGCCTGCCCTGCCGAGCACATTGAGAGAGCAGTGGGACGTCTCCTCGGCTACACGCAAGCTGCACCCGCTAGCAGGAGAGGGGTACGCCGATCTCTCCTGGACCACCGCTCCTGACGCACACGCCCTCCCGGCGGAAGCAGAGCCCTTCCGCCTGGAGCAGGTCATGTCTTGGGAGCGGTATGAGTCGTACATCCGCTCCGCCTCGGCGTACCATGCTTATATGCGGGAGCACGCCGAGGAAAAGGAGGGGCCGGAGGATGTGGTAGGTAGATTTGTGCGCAGCTTGAGGGGTAAGGTAGACGAGGAGCGGAAGAGGAGCATCGGCACAGAGGAGGCGCTGGACGAGGCACACGTAAGAGTAGCGTGGCCGTTGGGTTTGATGGCAATTAAGAAGAAGGCAAAGGCAACGTAACATCGCGCCGCCGCCGGGTGAACAGCTTGCCAAGGTGGTGAACCGTGCGACAGCTTGCTCGCTTAGTCCCACGCTGACCCGCCTCCGTCAGCCCAAGCCGAATCGTCTCCGCCGAACAAGGCACCGCCTGGTGCTGGCGTTACAAACGGCAATGAAGCCTTCTCTCCAGTGTCGCTTGGGCCGCCTTCGCGCTTCGCAACTTTGCCAGACGACCTCTTGACCTCGACGATGCCTGCTACGGACGTCTGAGCACGAGAGCCCTTCTGGCGTTTCTCCTGGTCATTGGTAGCAGTGACTTGCGGCTGACCGGGCGACTCCGCAGTCGCACTTCCCGTGGTCAGAGCGTCCCAAGCGACACGAGGCTGCTTTTCCTTCTTTTCTTTCTTCATCTTCTCAGCTCCGTTTGCTTTCTTTGCAGTCTGCTCGCTGTGCGGAGCCACGTCTGCCCCAGACTCTTCCTTGGTGCGTTTCTGCTTCTTCGCCGACCCGACTTTACCAGATCTTGCATCTATCTTGCCTTTAATCTGATCCTGAGCCTTGGGCTTGCCACTCTCCGCTCTGACCTTCGCGCTGTCCTTTGGGAGCTTCTGCTGCCCCTTCTCTGGCCTCGCATCTTCGTCATTTGTGTCGACCCCAGCAGAATTCCACATGTCCTTCTTCTTGCCCCTCTTTGCCCTCTTGCGCTTCCCTTGTCGAGGTTGATCCACGATTTCCCTCTTGCCAGTCTCCTCGTCCGAGGCGACACCGGCGTCTGAATCGTCCTCCGGAGGGGGCGGACCCGCTCTGGCCAGCATGCGATCATCATCGGTTGAGCGACTAACAGATGGAAGGCCACGACCATCCCTCTTGCGCTTCTTGTCACCCTGCGCTGAGGCAGCCTGAGCCTCTGGAGTGACCGCCCCTCCATCGGATTGAGCTGGCCCCCTCTTTGGCCACTGAGCTGGCCCGCTCTCAGCGCCAGCTGGCGGCTTGCCGCCTTTCTCTCCCTTCTTGGTCTTCTCTACCAGCCTTTGATTGTCCAAAACGGTCAGACCAGGCAGGGCCGCCTTGACTTTTGACCGATAATCGTCCTCGTCCTCTACGTCAGCATTGCCTGCCAGAGTCAGGCTCTTGAGCGCTCTCAGCCGTTTGCCTTCGGCTGTGTCTGATGAGGCAGAGAGGAGGGTTGCCGAGACATTGTCCCAAGTCAAGTTGCAATGGCCTACATCCAGCAGGTCCAGACCTCTCCCTTCGCCTGACGCGCCTCTGCCCCAATTGTTGATATGGTCCGGCAATCGGGAAAGCCGCGAATTGTGCGACAGCCTTACTTCACGCAAGGCGGAACACATCGTGAAGTCAGGCAAGGAACCTGCGGGCTCGGCCTCGTCGTCTTCATCTTCGCCGACTGCGTCTCCAAGGCTGTTGTGGCTGATCGACAATTTTGCCAATTGAGGCAAGTTCGCAGGGAGCGAGGCGGGCAGAGAGCCGATTTCATTGTGGCTCAGTACCAGCGTGTTGAGGTTGGGCAGGTAAGGGATCGCCTCGAGAGCTTTGGAATCCAGACGATTTTGAGTAAGGATGAGAGCTCGCAGCTCGGAAAGATTCATGAGAGTGGCCTTTGGCGGTAGCAACCTTAGTGAGCAGGAAGACAAGTTGAGCACAAAGAGGGACTTGACCGTCTCGAGGCCCTGGAAGGCAGCTCGTGAAGAGGACGTTGAGCCCTGACCGAGTGTAGGATTACCGGCAAGATTGAGCCAAGTGAGGGACTCGGCGAGGGTCTTGCCCTCTGTGGCTTTGCCCTTTCCCTTTTGCTTCTTTCTGTCTCTCTCGGCGAGCAATTGTGCCATTTCAAGGAAGCGCAACGTCTCTAGTCCGCGTTTGTTACCAGCCTCGAGGGCTTCTTCATCGTCATCGAGAGGTGTCCCGGGCTGCATATAGCTAAGATCGAGCTTGTGAAGGTTGCTGAACTTGCTCAATGTCGAAGCCAGAGTGGGTATAGGGGGCAGTGGATTGGAAGCAAGCGCTAGTGATGTCCGCTCAAATATGGACACCTCTGCTTCGGACTCGTCGTCGTCGTCTTCACTGTCGTCTGCCGGGGTTGGGACAGAAGTCACTGTAGGGGCAGGCGGACGAGACGGGCCACCCTTTTGCCTTCCTCGGCCACGAGCCATCCTTCCCCTATTCGGAGACAGTCTCCCTTGACCCCGAGGTGCGGACGAGGAAGAGAAGGACATTGTTGAAGCGTCTGTGCAAGACCACCTCCAGAACTTCGAGGGGGATACGGAAGCAGCAGAAGGAAAGAGCGCCCGTCGCGCCAAAATTTCTGGGCCCACGACGCCTGGGCCAAGCCACGCGCTCGGGCTGAGCCAGTCCAACTCCACTCGCGCCGGCCAAGACAAGTCGTAGCTTCCGATCGTCTCGTCGCATCAGGTCCCCTTCCCTACGGCTGCGCTACTTTCGACATCGAGAGACTGCCGAAGCGCCTTCTTGCCAGCAGACGTTGGTCGGAGAGATGCCTTCAGACTCGTACAACTTCAAGCCAGGAGGATCCCTGAAGTTCAAGGGTGGGGACACGGTCAGCGGGAAGAGCAAGAAGTGAGTAGTCCATCCCGAAAGCCTTCTCAGCCAATACAGACGAGAAGAAGATTGCTCAACGCATTCCCATTCGCACGTCTCCCATTTCGCCCTCGCAGGAAAAAGTCCAAGTCATCTTCTCATGCCACTTCCTCTTCTCTAGCCAAGGGGTCAGCACATCATGACGGCGCTCCTTCTTCTTCGAAGCTCACAGAGGAGGAGGAGATGCATCGCTTAGTCAAGCGGCAGGCGGAGCAGGAGGAAGAAGATGACGAGGATTTCGACGAGGGCATCCGGTCTAGGTCAGAGGGAAGCAGCAGAGCGCAAGGCTCGTCCTCTACTGGTAGCAAGGCGGGGAGCGGCGGTAGTGGCGCCAGAAAGACGACAGAGGCGGAGAAGCGCTTCGAAGAGGTACAGAAGAAGCGAGTGAGTAGAGAGGTTGGAAGGCCGTATGAGTCATTGTAGGAGCACACGTCGACAGCTGAACGAAAGACTCACTCACTCACTCCCTGCTGCTTTGGCCCCTTCAGAGGCAAGAAAAGATCCGCAAAGAAGCAGGCATGTCGCACAAGGAAAAGGTCGCCGAATTCAACAAGTACCTCGAGAACCTCAGCGAGCACCACGACTTGCCCAAGGTCGGGCCGGGCTAACCCGACTTACACCCCCAGACTCAATTCAATATATTTCGCGTTCCCCAAAATTGGTCAACCTCACCTCGCATTGTATTGACAAGTACGGAACCGTGACGCCCAGATGAATGACGCTTTCGCCTCAGGTGCTCACCCGGCCTTTCTGACCACTTCGCTCCAGAAGCTCATCTCACTCTGGATCCTCTGCAGAGAGATGCTCCCCGGCCCCTTTTCTAAGCTCACCTTGACTCTCGCGCCCACACCGGCTTTCAAGCGCCTCGCAGCTGCTTCGCCTCCTGCAGACTTTCTCATCTCTACCGACTTCTTGTCCAGGAGCTTTTCCAGGGCATTGCGTAGGCGAAGCAGCGAGGAGAAGAGCATCAAAGAGGACGAGGACTCTTCATCTGTTGATGATTGCACTGTCGAGGTCGAAGCAGAGAGCGGATGAAGGCTGCCGCCGCCATTGCTTGGACGATTGACGCCAGCGCCAAGGGTCTCGGGCAGCCTTGCCACATGCGTCAACTGAGCCACCTGAGAGTAGAGGCTGCCATACCTTGTCGCAATCAGCAGCAGCCCCTCTTCTGTCACAGACGTCGACCTTCCGCCCGACAAGGTGGCAGAAGCAGAGTTCATCCATCCCTGCATCATCTTGTAGCCCCCTGCAGCAGCACCGCCGCCACTGCTTCCGCTACTGGGCTCCTCGCCCGCCAGACGCAGCACAGCTTCGATTTCGTCTTGAAATCTTCGTTGAAAGAGTGGCCAGGCTTCCATCTTGAATTGCAGCAGAGGTCCCGTAAGGACACTGGCAGCGCCTCTGACGGAGCTCAGGTCGAGTAGATGATCCGTTAACTGTATCATACACAGCAATGACATCAGGGGCAGAGGCGTCGTCGAAGTGAGCAGAGAACGTGAGAAGGCCAGCCATGTGCCCGTCACTGGCTCGAAGATCTTCTTGAAAATTTCGTCTGCGGCTCCCCGACCCTTGAGTGCGGACTGCTCAGCCTTTGACAGTTGGACCAAGTCGCCCTTGTGATGCTCATCGTCTCCATCCTCGTCATCGAATGTTGGTGTCGAGGCCTCGGAGATGACGCCGAGGCCTGCAGACTCGCGCAAGTGCAGCGGAAGCTGACCACCTGCTACTGATGCAGAGTCAGAGGGTGCAGGGCCGTCGTCATCCTGTGTCCTGAAAGTGTCGCCTTCCTCCCACTCGGTGATGGGTGTGGGAGGTATGCTACCCGTCGGGCTCATTATACCTTCACTTCCAGCCGCCCTTGAGCTCCTACGCGCAGAGCTGTGTCGCCCTGTGACTTGATGGTGGCGCTGCGAGGAGACCAGAGTCTCAAAGTATCTTACGATGAAGGTGTACTCCGAGCAAGCATTGTCGAAGAAGACGAGGGCGAGGGAGCGATAGAGAGCTTCGGGCGGCTCCTTCTGCGAAACAAAACCGACAGTCTGGCGGTCAGAGCTTTGCTCTCTGCGTTCAGATTAATGCTCTACTCACGTGTGCTGCGTCATCTCCCATGTACCCCAGGGTCACTCCTGGTCCGGCGACCTTGGCATACTCTAGCCTAGAAGGGTCCGTCATCCAGACGTCTTTATCACTCTTTGCTCCGCCGAAAAGTCCCCCTCCCACGTCTGCGATGCCACCCTCGCCTCCGGAATCGGCGAAGCCTCTCTTTCCGACTTGCGTGAGAGACCTAGCATATCTCCGGAATCCAGTTTCAAAATACAATCGTGCGGCTGACACGTAAGCACGTTGTACATCTATCGCGACTCGAGGCATTTGTCTCGCAAGAAAGGCATAGAGGGGTTGATGGTGGGGGAGGAGAATGGAAGTCTGAAGCACCTGTAGGTTGGTAGAGACGGATAATTTGAGGAGGTTGAAGGGAGACACGAGATAAGCTCGGATCTTGGAGGCAGCCTGTGTCGAGAGCGGAGAGAAGTCTAGCTGAGCTGGGCTCACTACAGCGGTAAAAGTGTGAATCCGCATCTACCTACCATTACTTTGGTCGCCTCTACCACTTCTCTGGCCTCGTGCAGCGCCTTGAAGCTGCTCTCCTCGTCGCTGGGCGGCTTTGCCTCGTAAGCCGAAGACGTCCTTTGAGTCAATGTGAACCGCCTTGCGCTCCTGGCTCCCGGACCAGCAGCGGACGTAGGCGTTACAGCAGCAAGCTGGTCGAGTGGCTTCCTGGTGGCCTCTAGCGACCTCTCCAGCTCCCTCACAGCCTCTACCCATGACCTGTCCGGCTCCGTCTCAAAGATCTTCTCTACGACTCTTGGGTCAAGAACCAGTCCTCCCTTGAGCATCCTCTCGAGTGGAGCTTGTAATGCCCTCTTCACCTTGAGCTCCTCTTCAATCCTCTTACTCTTCTCCTCGAGGCTTGAGATCTGCGATGAGACTAGCCCAAGGTCGTTCGAAAAGGTAGTGAGGAAGACGGAGAGGTGATCGAGGGAGGATATGGAAGACTCCAGCTCGGCATCGAGGGAGAGAAGGGTGGGTGCATGTGAGAGGAACACTTCTCTTTGGTCCACTTTTGCCCGCTCGGAGTCTTGCAGGGCAGCATCGACGAGTGTCCTGAGGTCGTTGAACTTTGAGGAGGACAGCAGTGCTTGGATATCGGCTGTCGCGGCAGCCAGGTCGTGTGCTGGGAATAAGAGGTGTTGGTTCGGGAACCGCTCAGCTTCCAGCGACCGCATGTCTAAGCTGGAGGGCATACTCACCATCATCAGCAGAGGCCAGCGCCCCCCTCCCGGCATTAAAGGAAGATGACGGAGAGAGTGATGAGGTCGAGGCACGTGGCACTCCCTCTTCTATGCCATTGGCCATGGCAGTGGTCATGGTGACATTGGCGGAAGGGGTTAGTCTAGGGTACCACGGAAAGAGCAACTCGCAATTGCTCGCGGGCCACCACGACTCCTTCCTTCCGTCCCGCTCGCGTCGGGAAGGCGAAAGACACACATGCGGAGGGTACAGATCGTCGCTCGCAGCACGCTCTCAACTCTGTGTACTACAATCCAACGTCACTCAACGTCGATGCAAGGAATGCTCCTTGGCCTGAGAGGGCATTGTAGTAAGAGTGATCAATGCTGGCACACTGACGATCATATTGCTTAGTTCTTCAAATGACAAGAACGACCAGCTTCTGACGCGCTATTGCGCCCCTCTTGGCCTCAATGCTGCTCTCTGTCGCTCCCGCTCGACCCTTCCGAAGAATACGAGCTCGAAGAATCCAGCTGGCCTTGGTACAGCCTCTTTGCCGTGGAGAGTAGTGGCAGTATGCCACGATGGCATCCAGGCGAAGAAGACCGGCTGATGCCTCAGGCACCGTCGCACGTCCACGTCGACCCGCAGCAAGTCCGCGTCCGGCGGTGCCTGGTAAGGGCAAGTCCGCGGTCTCCGACGCAGTTGCTGACCGCAATGGTTTGCGGGCAGAGCGGACGAGGTCGCTCCTGCCCTGATCTGCCCTGACCTGCCTCTAACCGCCAAGGTCCTCGCTCTTCGCAACTACAAAAGCCCTGCCAGAGCTCGTCAAATTGTGGATTTCCCCACTATATCTTACCATTCCACCACTGCACCACCCCCACATTGCAACCAGCGCTCAGCACCATCCCCTCGCTATCGGTCTCACTTCACTCACCATCGTAGATTACCATACATCGATCAATCCCTTCACCTAAAGACGCAACATCGCCAGTCCTCGCCTTCATGCCGTCGCACAAACACTGGGACTGACACTGGCATGACATGAGTGAGTTCGCGACAACCTGAAGCCGACAGCGACGCCTACTGATGTGTACCACTTCACCAATCTCTTTCACGGCACTCTACCACAAGGTCTCAATCTACCGCAACGTATCACCTTTCGTAGAAGCTACAGAGGCCGTCACTATGCCTGCTCAGCACTTCCTCGCGTCGACAAAGGTGAGTACCAACGAGGATGGCAACGACAGCGAGCAGTCATTTCTTCCTCGCGTTCTGAGAGTCTCACATACACTCTGACCGCTTCGTCCATCTCTCCTCCACGCACGCCACCCCCTGCCCTCTCAGAGGCATCGTCATGGAACCACTACCACATTCACCTCACACTATGTACAATCTGGTTGTTTACAGCGCCAGCGCCGCGCAGAGCAGAGCCTCATACAGGAGCAATCCTGAGGATGCTCCGCCCACCGCGGCAAGGCTTGCTGAGCTTGCAAAGCTCTACAAAGCCCAGAGGGAGGAGGAAGAGGGCAGGGCGAGGGAGAAGGAGAGCGAGAGGGACCCTCGGGCAAGCCTTCGTCGCTGAAACGCAAAGCCTCTACGCAACCGGCTGGGCAGGACTTGCCTGCTCGCAAAGCAGCAGCTGCAAAGGCCGCAAAAGAGGTCGCAAAGCTGCGCACAGAGCTGGCAAGGGCCGAGAAGGATCTGGCAGCCAGACCTTCTCACCGGGGACTGTTGGCGGAGAGGGACCGGGTGGCAGCCCTGTTGGAGGCTGCGCAGAAGTGAGTTCCATGGTCTGCGTCCAATAAGCCTGCCGGGCGCATCTACTGACAGAGGATCTCCCACAATCATTCACAGAGAGGGGAGAGGGGCGGGACAGGCTTCGACAACGGCTCAAACGCCGCAAAGCCTGGCGAGGGATGAGTGGGTGTACATCCTGGAGAAGCGGGCTGCGGAGCGCCTCAAGGAGCCAAAAGTCAAGGACAAAGTCAAGGACAAGGTCAAGGACGCTGTTCCCTTCGACCCTCTGGAGCGCCAGAAGCTGGGCAAGCGGCTTCCTCTACGCTTTCGACTCTCCCTTCACTTTGGTCGGATCTCAAGGCCAAAGACGATCTCTACGAAGACGAAAACCTCTTGGGGGGCGGGCCGGAAGCGGTTTGACTACAACAGGCCTGTCGAATTGATCACCCCTCAGCATTTTGAGCCCACACGCCTCGCCTGCCGACAGATGCACTAGTGAATGTTCACCTTCTCTTCTGTCGTCTACACACCGCCTTCCATTAAGCAACGGCGAAGCTGTAGAGGATCTCCCGTACTTTCACCTGTATCTACGATCACACAATACTGTCATCTTTCTTACTTGTCTCGCAGGCAGCGTCGTCGCATGTCCTCAGTCACACCAGTTGAAAGACATTCGTATCGAACTCTGATAAATCATTTAAATCGTAGCTGTTTATTGCACAGTGGGACATATGATAGAGAATTCGATAGCTTCCTCCTCAGCACTACATAATCCACCCTTCTCCTGCTAACATTCACAGCCCGTGCCTTGCCTCTCATACCTTCCGATTTCGCAAAGCAGTCTTGTTGCTATGAGCTGCCTTTGCTTCTTTCTTTAGCCGAGAAGGGGAGCGTTCTCTCCCTCAGCAGTGGCGCGCCTTCCCTTGATGATTGCAAACAAGCTCCTCAGCACAGCCACGAGCGAGAGCAAGAAGAAGACGAGTGCGCTCCAGTGAATGAAGCGGTTTGCGTTTCCAGGAGTCTGGTGTTGGAAGATGGCGAGGAGAGCCAAGGAGATGACGGCTCCCGAGGCAATGTCGCCCTCGCCGTAGAGGGCGTAACCTGCGCTGGTACCCTCTAGGAAGAGCAGACCGAGGAAGACGAGGATGTCGCTCACAATTCCAGGCTTGGAGCTGTGAGCATCCTTACCAAAGGCGGCGAAACCAGCAACAACGGCTAGGACGACGGAGAGACCGTGCCAGAGGGAGAAGGGGAGGTGGATGACCAGAGTGTCAAGGAGGTTCTTGCTCTTGTGGCCCGTCTTGAGTGTGTGGAAGATGGTGCTAACAGTTCCAGCAATCATCAGCATGACCAAGAAAGCCAGAATAGCCCAGATCCTATCCGTCTTGGAGTGGTGAGAGCCCATGGAGCTCAAGGTGGCGTAGACGGAGTTGAGCAGTGCGAGAATGGGGAATCTCCAGCCCACACCTTCAATCACGGGCTGGTATCCAGCTGGGTGGAATTGGTAGATGATGAAACCGAGGAGGAGGAAGTGGATGAGACCCCAGATACCAAACAGCCAGCTGTCGGGAGTGATGAAAGTCTCTTGGGCACCAGTACCCCATTTGGCTGCGTTGGGTCCCAGGGCTCCGTAACCGTTTGCACTGAGGAAGATGAGGTAGACTACGACATTGGCAGCCTTGAGCGGCAGACCATCTTTCCAGTTTGCCATCTTGTTGGTAGGAGGTGGACGGGGAATGAGATAGAGGGGAAGAAGGACGATGGTTGAAGGTAGAGACAGCGAGCACACTTACGCTGCCTTGCTCTTTATAGACACGCCAGCCACTCTGATACTTTTTCCCGTGGCTTGAGCGTGGACCCCTGCTGGGTGATGACGTCGCGGCTCAGCCTAAATTCAGACCACAGCCGAAGCGCAGGCGCGGGGCCACACGCGCCAGACCGCCGCGTCTGCTGACCCCGCCTTGCCTCCTTGGCACACGTCAAACGTCAGGTTGCCCCTTTCGGACATCTGCAGCGGTACCGCCGATGGTATGGGGGCATGGAGCTACGGACATGATGGCAAGCGCAGAGTTGCGATTCATAGTATCCACCGCGATCTGCAAAAGGGCCCGAAGCGGGTCATCGAGGGTACAAAGGATCGGAGACTGAGGTCGCTGCTGGCATCCCCCAATCCTTCGGTCAATATTCAATCATTCGCGATACTCAGGAGAATACAGGAGCCTCAGACTGGTTCACGTCGAGCGCAATCAGGTCTCGAGGGGGCAGCTCTGTCGAGCCAGGAGCTGGAGCGGGGGCGGGGGCAGGTGAGGATCCAGGCGTAGGCGCAAACGCTTCTGGCTGCCCTTCCCCTTCCTGCTTCTTACCTTCTTGGCTTTTCTTGTGGATGAGCCATGCTAGGACGCCCAAGCCCGCCGTCGCCAGACCCGAGCCGCCCATCACGACCTTGTGCTTGGTGGAGAGACGATCATTGAAGATCTGGAGCGTATCCCTGTGCGACCTGGTGAGCCTTGCATCCAGGACTTCGTCGGTGGGCTCTTCTTCAGGAATCGAACGCTTGGTCATCGTAAGCGACAAAGGCATTTGCAGCTGGGATTCTTTGGGCGCTACGTAGGCGCGAGGGGGCAGCGTCGTTGATGGGGGAGTTGGGCCAAGGTCAGGAGCTGGGGCAGAAGCTGGTGCCGGCGGAATGGCTTTGCCCTGCTCCTCTGCACCTTGCTTCTTGCTCTCGTTGGCTTTCTTATGGATCTGCCAGCCCAATATGCCCAATCCACCAGTCGCCAATGCAGAGCCGCCTAGTTGGAGCCTGTCCTTTGTAGAGAAACGCTGATTGAGCTCCCCAAGTGCACGCCAATGAGACCTGCTAAGTCTCACGTTCAAGACTTCACCCTCGTCGCGAGGGGATAGCGTTGGCGCAGGTGATGGTGCTGGACCAGGAGCTGGAGCTGGGGAAGAGGGTGATCCTGGCACCGGTCCAGACTGTGGGTCTCCGGGACTCCAGTTCTGCTCTTCCTGCTTCTTCTTCTTCTTCATACCCTCAATGAGCTTCCATAAGACCAGACCGAGTCCGGCAGTACCAGCTGCGCCTACGGCATAGCCGAATTTTGTCCTCGTACTGATGTTGTCGTTCATCACTCTCGCAGCTGCCCGGTGTGTTGGGGTGAAGCGACCCTCGAGATAGACTTCATCACCTGCCTCTTTGGTCGTCACTATGTTGACCTTGCCTCCCCGTGACTCAGAGCTACGCTCTTGCTCTGCCGGATAAAGCTTGCGGCGTGGATGTACGGAGCTTTGCTGCAGGTCTTCGTCCGGCGTGGGCAGAGGCTTGGCCTTTTGACGAGACCTTGCCTCTCGGTACAGCCCCCATCCGCCTCCCAAGGCCGCAACCCCTCCGCCGAGCGCCAGGCCCAATTTGGCGTACGGGTTGATCCGAGGCAAGACATCGTACGTGTCATCGTCGTAAGCCCACGCTCTTCGCTCGAAAGCTGACGGAGACCGCTTCTTCTCAGCACTGCCAGAGCGGTCCCAGGCTCCATTCTCGCTTGCCTCTTCAAGGCCGCGCCTGTTCTGCCGTCCGGGCCTGTTGAAGCCGGGTGGTAAGTGCTGCTCTTCCGGGTCTCGGACAGGCTGTGGGTTCTGTTGAACCGGCGGTGGCTGCTTCTTCCGCGCCGCCTCGATCTCTTGATTTGCCTTTTTCTGATCCCTGAGGTATTTTTTCAAGAGCTGCTGCGCCATGAAGCCCACGCCGGCAATTCCAAGCCCTCCGACAACGTAATGCCATATCTTGGGTGACCAACGAGCTTCCTGTAACTCATCGTCACCGTCGTCATCCTCGGATTCCAAAGAACGAGGGGCCAAAGATGGTGCGTCCTCTGCGAGTTTGACCGGCGAGGGAGCTGGCGCAGGCGCAGGAGCTGCAGCCGCTTTCTGCCTCTTCTTCCTGGCGTGTGCTTCAGCTATGGCCCGATAGATGGTGTAGCCACTACCAGCCGTGATGAGAGCAGACAAGCCTCCGAAGACCGCGTTAGGGTGCTTTTGAGCAGTCTGGACAATGTAGATGAGTGGATTGGCGCGTCTGTGCAGATTCTCGGTAGGGTCGATGTACTCGTCCCTCCCATCAAGCTCATTCAGTACGCGGGTGGCCTCTTCCATATTTCCACGGTCTTCTGCCTTTGCATCACTGCGACTGAGCAGTGTTGTGCTGTCATCCGTACCCTTGTGGGGGGCAGGTGCGTCTTTTGGAGCAGGAGCGGGTGCGGGTGCGGGCGCAGGTGCGGGACCATGGTGATGACGAGAAGCTGCAGCAGCGGCTGCTGCTGCTTTCTCCCTCTTTTGTCTTTCCTTCTCCTCGGCTATACTCAACCCGAATCTGAGGCCAGCGAGAGTCGTAAAAAGGCTTCCCAACGTACCGTACACTACCATGGGATGCTTATTGACCATTTGACCAACGTAGAGTACAGGATTGACGCGGGGCCGCAACGGCAGACTCTCGATAGGATCGACGTCGTTGTCCCTTCGTTCCAGCTCAGTGAGCAAGTGTGTGCGTCTGCTATCACGACGAGCTTTGTCGGTCTGGTCAGCCCGAAGTAGCAATATCGTACTCCCTTCCGCACGCTTGCGTGGCGGAGGCACCTTACTGGGTGCAGGCGCAGGCGCAGGGCCCAGGAGAGGAAAACAAGCAGGGGTTGCGGCAGCGCCTTTTTCGCATTTGTGTTTGTTCTTCGGCTCAAATACACTTGATCCAAACGTGAGGCCAGCGGCAGCCGTTATGAGGGAGCCTAGGGTACCATAGACCACGTAGGGATGCTTGTTGACAAGCTTACCAACATAGAGCAGAGGGTTGACGCGTCGCTGCAGAGCCTCAGTGCCTTCAGTGTATAATTCACTTCGTTCAAAATTGATCAGCAGGTGAGATTTTCCGGTGTCAGAGGGAGAGTGGCTCTCTATCAAATTTGCCTGATGTGATGTCTTGTTCTGGCGACCTTGACCGCGGGCACCAGTGCCTGTAGAGTGGCTGCCATTGCTTTCTCTCTGGTAAGGACCTTCCTTGGGTTGCATCCCAGCCTCATACAGCGGCACCGGTGCTGCGATTGCATTTTGCGAGACCAGAACAAAGACAAGTGCCGTCAGAGACACCCTCATGGCCGACCGAAGTGAGCTTCAGCGACCGGAGCAAATGTGCTATTGCTGCCGCTGCTGCTCGCGAGGCCTTCGTTCGGGTATACAGAGGCCAGCTCTGATATGTCACGCCAACCTCTTAAGGCTGATAAACAGCGGTCTGGAGAGCGTGAGAGTTCCGAGCAGAAGGGAATTGTGAGAATGAGATTGAGCGCTCGCAGTCTCGAGAATGAAGAGCCTTGCATACTATATAGACTGCCTGGCAAAGTAGGCCGCATAAGATTCGGTCGCAATAACGCAAGAGTCCCTCGTTGCCTTCTTGCAATCTTCATAACGCATTTGCTCTCACAATTGTTGTCTACAGTGTCCGGGCTACACAGCGCCGGAGTGAGCATCATGGTCCGGGTCGATGCGTCGTGAAAGGTTTTGCGGTTGCCTCGCATGAGTGCTAGAGATCAAATCAATCGCGCCAGAATACGCGCAACCCAGGAGCTTTGCTCCGTTGATGGGAGCAGCAGACCTCTCTACGAAGAGCCTCCGCACATGTACGAGTTCATTTGAAGCCGATGAGAAGTGCAAGCGAGATTTGAAAGCATCCGCAATGTCTTGATCCGAGTCATCTTGCGCTTGGAAATGGGCATCGTGAAGCAAGGAGAGCGCTCAATGCCATTGCTTCCTTTGCCGCCCATTGAATCAACTTCGGAAGGTAAGCGAGGTGCCCTTGCAAGCATCTCGTTGTTTGCTTCCAGGCCGTGAAGAGCCTCAGGAAGTAGCTCAGTAATGACTACAGAGCGGACCAAGATCGTAACGTTGGAGTCTGCGGCAATCAGTCAAAGAAGTAGTCACATCACCGCAAAGCAGCTCGGCTGAGCACTTGACCTCTCTGTCTTCGACTAGTCGAGCCATGATCAACCTGCTTCCTTATCAGCACACACATCACCATGCCTCATCGTCAGCAGCGACCTAGCTCTCCCCTGCCCTGCCTCTCCTCCCTCTTGCTCACCGCGTCCGCTCGGCGACTTTTGGGGCGACTTTTTTTAGATTCTGGGCAGCACAAGTGCCTCCACTCCATTCCGCCTCTGCGTGTGTGAGACTTTTCGACTTCTTCCTACCCGCTCGACCCGCTCAACATCACCCACCACACTACCTTACAAGCTAAACAGAAGAAGCATGGTCTACACACTCAGTCAGTACTCACCTACCCCTCCGAGAGGTCCTGTGATTCTCGCATTCCTGTCTGAGCGTACGCTGACCCTTGACCCCGATCTGATTCCTGCTTGGCAGTCTGTCATGCGGAAGTCAAGCCTGGTTGCGAAGAGAAGATGAAGGCAAAGCTCATCGAGGCGGCCGCCATCTACAAGAAGGACAGAGAGACGATTGACTGGTGAGTCCAGCAGAACCTCACTTTCACCCTTCTGGTACCTCTCATACTGAGTTTCCTGCTTCTCGCCCGAATTTCGTTCGTCCCCTTCTCTTCCTTCTTTCAGGCTCGTACACCAAGACACCTCCAACCCCCTCAAATTCTCCATCGTAGAGCGCTTCGAGCACGAGTCTTCTCAAAAGTACCATTTGGAGAACCCTTACTGGGCTACATTCAACCCGGCCGTGGAGCCTTGGTTGGCGAAGCCTATTGAGATTGGGAGGTATGAGGAATTGTGAGGTGAGGTGAGGTGGCGCTCGTTGAGGGGCGGGCTGTAAAGGGAAAGGGGGAGAGTGGGAGGAGGAGAAGAGGTGGACGTGCGGGCGCAAGATGGTAAGAGATATAATGGGGAGATGCATGGTGAAGATTGCAAGGAGGATCACGGACACTTGCTCAAGTGCTACAAGTCTACATCACAATCTGCATAGTCATAAGAAAGCATGACATGCTCCGACCAGTCGTCTTTGGACCTGCCCGGTCTGCACCTCAGTCTCTCCTCCTCTGATAACCGTGATCCCTCGGCATCCCGCCTCCGGCTCCTCCTCTGCCATTCGCACCGCTCCTGAATCCATCACTTACACCGCCCTTCAAGTGCGGAGGGGTTCCCCTTCTAATGTACTCCTCTCTGATTTGCCTCCTCTCACTGTTCTCATATGGAGCAGCCCTGCTAGCCGGAGGGGGGCTGGAACGTCTCGTCGAGCGAGGCGGAGAAGGACTGCGTCTCCTCGAAGAAGTGTATCCACCGCGCCTCGGCGGGGATCTCGACCTCGACCTCGATCTCGAGAAGGAGCGAGACCTCGAGATGGGAGAGCGAGCCCTACGAGGAGGCGATCGACTGTCCCTCCTGGTGTACCCTGGGGACCGACCATTGCCGCTCCTGCGCGGAGGGGAGGGCGATCGTGAAATTGGCGAGCGAGAGAAACGACGCGGCGGTGGACCGCCACGCCTATCATCGTACCGTGACCTGCCATCACCGGCCCTGCGCGGCGGCGAGGGAGATCTCGAGATCGGCGAGCGTGAGCGACTTGGAGTGTAAGAGGGTGATCGACCTCGTCGGCGAGGAGGAGGCGAACGAGAATCACCTCTGTCAGGACTGAAAGCATCCCTTCTCGCTCTCCTGGGCGGCGATCGTGACCGCGATCGCGACCTCGAGCGGCTGGAGTAGCTGCCTGAAGAGCTGCTGAGTACGCTTGACGAGTCCGAGTCAGAGAGACTGGAGGAAGAGTCCGAGTCGCTAGAAGAATCTGCCCCGCCTGCAGCCTCCAGTGCAGCCTGTCTCTGCTGCTGTAGTAGCAGCGGCACGTTCTTCAGATGCTCTCTCATGCCCTCTGTCAAAGCTCCCAGTCCGATACTCGTGAAGAAGTTAACGCTGAATCGTGTGTGCTTGGGATTATCCCTGGGGAAGATGTTGACATAGCATGGCTGCATCGTCTCATCATTGAAGCGCTTGACGAGCTCTTTCATGCCAAGGATCTCGAGCATCTCTTGGAAGAGAATCTTGGTGAAGATCCTGGAGGAAGAGGTAGTGTCGTCTTCATTCATGTGAATGATCTCAAAGCTGGCCCACGATATAGAGTCGGTACCAAGCAGTGTGCCAAAGAAGCGAGCAATGTTGCGCAACCTGTTCGTCTCGTATCTGTGAATACCATCGTAATACGTCCTGAAGCATTCTTCGAACAGGCCCGACCACCGGCGATTCAACTTGGACATCCTCTCGCCAATGTGACCATAGAATTTCGAAAAGGTCCTCTCTTGCGAACAGCACTCGATGATCATGTTGCAAAGCTCTCCTTCCTGACCCTCAGGGATGTTGAGCTTGAGCAGCTTGTGCGTCGCTTCCTCGAACAATGCTGAGCTCATGATGGTGAGGTAGATTGTTCTCCGCAGATTGACTAGGTTCGTCTCAGTCTTGTCTTGAATGTCGAGCTGCATTTGAGCGTCCTGTCCGCCTTCATCGTCAGAGTCGTCCTCTGAGTCCGCTTCCGAGCCGGAGCCAGACTCTTCGTCAGAGCTCCCCTCACCAAGGATCTCGGCTTTGATAGCTTTGTACTGCTCCTCGTGCTCGACAAAGTCGGCGTCCACCTTGAACATGTTCAATCCTTCTTCGACCTTGAGCTCATCGTCCAGCCCGATCTTGTGAGTGATCTGATCCTCCTCTTCGACTAGATCTAGCCCCTCTGCCACAATCGGATTGTCCTTGTACTTTTCCCTCCTCACCTGCGAAAGCACCTCGATCATGTACTGAACGCGTTTGGAGATGCTGCCTTCGTACAGGACTGCTCTGAAGCGGTCGTAGATCGAGTTGTTCGCCTTAGGGGACTCTTCGGCAAGGAATGCGCCCACCTCCCGCATGAAGGCGACTGCGATTTCCACAGAATCATCCGTAGGCTTCTCAAGCAGCAGGACCAGGATCTCGAGGGCTAGAATCTCGTGCGCGACGCGCTGATTGACCAGATGGGCAATGAATGTAGCTGTTGCGGCACATACTGTCTTGTCGTTTCTCTTGAAGGACCGACGGAACTGCGATACGAGTCGAACGACAAGCAGCTCGCCCACCATGGGAAGCTTGGTGTTGACGATGGCAACAAGGGAGGCAAAGACCGGGGTAAAGGGCAGAGATAGAGACTGAGCCTTCATGATTGCTCGGCAGAAGAGACCTCTTCCTCTGATGAGATTGGCTCCGCCAAAGAGCTCTGGGACGATGTGCTTGATATTGTCGGCCGCCACCTTGTTCACCAGACCGGTGACACTCTTCTTCAATGCGTCCCAACTCATCCTTTGGAATTCTTTTGATCCAGCATCGGCAGCCTGGGCCTCAGCCATGAGAGCTCTGAGGCGAGCTGGGGGGATGTATGCTCCTCCAGCCCTGGTCCCAGAGAGCTTGGAGAGCTCGATCCTTAAAGCTGCTCCTGTCTCTGCCGTTCTCGTGGGAGCTTCATTGACTTGCGCCTTGCTTTTCGCTGAGGAACTTGTCTCTGGCGCCATCTTAGAGCCATTGCTCTCCTTTCCATTGGGAGCCGGGGAGACTGAGCGACGCCTTCGAGCCGGTGGGGGAGAGCGAGAGGACGAGTCGGATGCTGATGATGATGATGACGGCCTGGAGTGACGATGTGACCTAAAAGAGAACAGAAGGTGTCAATCGGGGTCAGTAGCGGCTTCGGGCCTGGTTGTGATATCGTCTGATCTCGCGAACTCACCTCTTCCTCTTTGTAGCGGATGGCCCTTCCGGAGAAGGTGACCGCGAGATCGACCCGTCTCTTGCTGGAGACTCCATCTCGACGGCAGAAGGCATGCCGGGAGAAGAGACTGAGCTGCTGCGTCAGCTACACGGAGGCTACGCCAGGGATTGAGCAGGAGATATAGCTTGCGATGCTACTGGACTCTGGAGGAGGAGGGCGAGGTGGAAGGATGGAAGGGATGATGGCCACAGGAGGAGATGAGCCTAGGCTGAGGAAATATTGGCGAGGTGCGCGTCTGGGGGAGTCGAGACCAACCAACTGGGCCTGTGCTTTCTGCCCAAGGGTCCTATTTGGATTCACACCATTCTTCACTCCTTGCCGTCGAACGTCAAACCTCCTTGTCCTCAGCATTACATACCAAGACTACAGCAGGGTACAGCAAACCTTTGTCTGCCATCATCTCCAGGAGCATTCGCTTCCCACAACGCCTCTGTCTCGCTCATCTGGCCTCCCACCATTGTCTGGCTGCAACCCCTGGCGCCTGGACTATATTTAGATCTCCAGGGTCTGGTCTGGACATCTCGGACGAGGTAGTCGTCAGGTCGATGATCCCAACATCCAAAAGGGAGAGACAAGACTAGCATCCATACGTCTTTGCTACCCTTTCGCGCCCAAAGCGAGGCGTGACGCAAGTCATTGCTGAGCGGCGGCCAGGTTGTTCCTTCAGCTACTGGGCTCGACATGGTCACACGGCCTTCCTGGAGGGACCTCTCCAGCGCTGCCGTGGTCAACCTGGTTAGGCAGCCCTGGACCATACAATTCCTTCGCACCATTGCTTGCTTGATTGTATGGACCGTAGAGCTCGGTCTCTTCTATCCTAGCAGCTCCAGGTGTCGCAGCGTCTTAGGGCCAGAGGCATCTAGCGCTCCTATACAGGTGAGAGCATCAGCATCCTAGCAGCGCAGCTCCGTAGCAGATCTTGACTGACGCACCGTGTACCTCGCAGATACTGATCATGGCAGATCCTCAGATCATCACCACCATACCACATCCCTCTTACCCCGGCATATTGAGCTTCATCTTCTATCCTCTCATCTCCCTATTCGCCGACAGGTATCTCAACCGAGCCTGGAGAGCTCTGCGGGCGCCAAAAGGGGGCGTCGAGGATTGGACCGCAACGGTCTGGCTGGGAGATCTTACTGATACTGGAAGACAGTACTATCTGGACCAAGGGTGAGTTCAACATGAGCCCTGCAAAACAAAGACCATTTAGAGACTAACACAGAGCTGCGTGCTGTCCTCCCCCTTTTCAGCCTGGGTAACTTGTACGACCGCTTTGCTCGTATATTTCCCGAAGACCGGATAGGTGGCTGGAATCGAAGCTACTATATACCGGGGAATCATGACGCAGCTATAAGACCTCATGATGCCTGGCGGGACCGCTGGTATCGCGACGGGATGACCCGTGACTACACAAGATGGAAGTTTCTGAAACGCTTTGGTACGAATGTATGGGATGCAGGGTACGACGCCGACCCGATATACCCCCCAGCTTCGGCCCCAGAACTACAGAAAAAGAAGAAGCCAGTGAAGATCTCACGCTACAATACCAAGTGGGACCGCAAGTCACGGGAATCCACCAGCGCTAGGGTTCCCATTGTGGTTGCTCAGCCCGGTGATTTACCACCCAAGAAGGTCGCTGAGCTGATCCTCCTGGATGCGACTGACCTTGTCAGCCTACAACGATGGCACATAGACCCAAACAAGGGTCCAGCACACGGTAGACCGAACGAGGAATCGAATTGGCTGATCGGCGCGAGCTGGTTCTTCGTCGAAGCGATGTCAAAAGGTGAGCGAGACATTGCTTCACCGCTACCGTAAGAGGGACGTGTCTGACCTGTCTCTCCTCCTCATACCCTACAGATCGTGATCCTTCGGTACCTCGGATATTGTTCACACATATCCCACTCTGGCGCGAGGAGTCAAATACCCGAGATGCCTGCAATCTTCCAGACGTAGCGACCTTTCCTCCAGGCGTGATGCCGTCCATCAATCCGCAGCTGTCGAGGCAGTCTAGCTCCTCCATCAAGATGGGTACCGATGCAGAAGGTACCTATGAGAACATGATCGGCAAAGAGTGGTCGCGCTTCATTCTCGAGAAGCTCCAACCAAGCGTCGTCTTCAGCGGTGATGATCATGATCACTGTCACCACCTCCATCAGCGCGCAGGCAGTGGGGCCGGAGGGGCCTCGTGGGACGTACCAGAGCTGACCGTCAATGCTATGTCACTCACCTCTGGCGTGAACACGCCCGGATACGCAAGGTTGAGCATTTGGCCAGAGCCTCCTGCACCGGCTCCGGGTAGCGTTGGTGTATCTACAACTAAGAGCAGTACAGGTCAGACCAAGGTCTCCTACGCGGCCTGCACCCTCCCCCGCCAAGTGGAGAATTGGGCAACCATCTATCCCCTCCTCGTTGTCCTCGTTGCTATCTACCTCCCTCTGCACCGGCACTGGTTCCAGCGCGGCCAGATGGGCGCAAAGTCCCACGGCGGCAGAGGTCTGAGCGAAGCAGGGAGCAGCACGATCTGGGATGCTGGGGAGCACCTTCCCATGCAACAGACCCAAACACAGACGCAGACGCAGCGACGTAGTCAGCAGTACTCTCCACGCAGACGTTCTTCGAATGATTCTCAACTACTGGAAGAGGTTGAGGCGATGCGTGTCGATGCAAAAAGTCAAGAAGAAGCAACGGCTTTCCTTGCGCCCTCTGGCTCTAGCTCTGCATCTGGCGCGAGAGGCAGAAGAGGTTCCTCCCCTTCCTCCCCGGGCTGGAGGACAGGCTCAGGCTCAGGCAACAGCGGCGCTGGCGGAGTAAGCAAAAGTCGTCTGCCACCCGGAGTGGCACAATGGTGGAGAGACTTCAGAGATGTGGCCTGGGTGCCTGTACTCTATTGGTTACTCTTGATGCTCTTTGGCTTCTGAGAACAAAAGGGTCAAGGGTTGAGGGCTGGTGGGTTCAAGGAGGCGATTGCAGGATTGGGCTAACTGCGCGGAGCGTTTGGCAGAGGAGGCGAAAACATAGTACAATACAGGAGCATTGAAAGGAGACAGGGAGAAGGAGAAGGCTTGAAAATGCCTTGGCGGAGCGAACCGTTGATGACCTTGTCTTGTGATGCTCTTGCAGTCACAACCCTCTACTTTTATAAATATCTTCTTCTTCGTCTCATCGCGCTCGATCGATCCAATCAGCACGGAGGGCAGCGTGCCGAGACTGGCAAATGGTAACGCTTTGATCTCATTGAAATTGTGCCTTGTCCGGCCTATCGTCTACGTACTCCCACCTTTGCTCTTTTTCGGGTCCTCTGTTCCTCTTTGCTCATTTCTACTTGACTTGAACTCGAACATAAGGCACCTCTACATCCTCTCCATCGGCATCATCGCACATCATCTCTACAATCTGGTACCTGGCATGGGGTGGGATATCCTTCCTGCTCACCGTCTCGATGAGCTCAGACATCTTCATGCTGAGCCTATCCTGACCCTTTTTAGGCGGCATGAACCCAGAGTAGAGCATCGACACACCCGAGGAGAGCATAGTCACTTCTAGCCCGTACTCATTCAAGAAGTGAGCATTGAACTCCTTCAATGTAGGATTGCCGGGGACGTCGAAGCGCGACCAGAGGGTCCATTCTTCCTCCGTCGACTTTGCCGAGTTCTTGAACTTGAACTTTTGGGCTGCAATCGGCTCCGAAAAGGCCATGAAGGGCAGGGCAATGTTCACAAAGGAATTCTTGTACTGCTCAATGTCCTTCTTCTCGTCTACGAGCTTGTAAAGCTCCAAGCATACCAGACCCGTAGCCATCGAAGTCGTTGTAGCAATGGCGGGAATGATCTTTCCCGCGATACCCTTTGTCTTGTGGCGGTCAGCAGGTGCGATGCTGTAGTTGATGGCTCGCAAATTGGAGGCGGCAGTGATGTAGTCGATGTGGTGGTTCGAGTCGTCGTCCTTCTCAAACTCAATCGGATTGAGTCTAAAGCCGGCAAGGGAGCCTGGGCTTGGCAGACTTGATACGACTTCGGTGAGATCGCCAGAGTCTCCATCATTGTTGTTCGAGGGAGCCGCCTCGTTCTCATTCACCTGAATCTTGACATTCGACTTTGGCGTAAACTCTGGCACAATGACGTGGTTCAGCACCTTCTTGAAGACGGCCATGTCGGTCTCGCCACGAAGACCATAGTTGAAGGCGTGCAGGTTGGCGCCCGAGACAATGTACTCCATGTGGATTGGGTCCTCTGCATTGAAGGTGATTGGCTTTGGGGCTCGCTTGGGTCCTGACCAGAATGGCTGACCCGAGGAAGTGACGGCGTCCTCTGGTAGCGAGAAGAGAAGTTGACGGATGTTGTTATTGTAATTCTCTTCGAACTTCAGCCGTGCCCAAACGATGCAGGCCTCGAATGTCAGAGGCCGCTGCTCCACGAGGAACTCCTTGATCTGCTCAATCTGCTCCTTGTGGCTGCCTCCGCTCTTGAGCGTCGTCTCAAGGTAGTCGGGCTGTGTAAGGTACTGGTTGACATTCTCTGCTGGTTTGACAAAGTAGTCATCAAACTGCTCCCGTCCCCATTGAATTGTGTGCTCAATCTGATTGGGGAAGTTCTTGAGTGTGCAGACCGGAATGGACTTCTCGGGAGGGTCCTGAGATGACGAGTACGACTCGGTAAGATGGGGTACCACAACCTGCGTGTTGGCCTTTGTTCCCAGGGTACCCGACTCAAGCAAAGGCTTCTGGTAGTAAACACACCTCCTGTCCATGTACTGCCGAGCTTGCACATTGTCGAGAGCATTAGTGACACCAGTGAGCTTCTCAAAGAATTCGTCGCCATAAGTGCCCTCGGTCTCAGGTCCCACTCGGTCTTGGTGACTGTGGATCTTGCCCTTGAGGTCGGGGTTCATCTCCGCCACTGCTGCTGCTGCTGTGTCGGCCTTGAAACCTCCGACGTCCTTGGGCCTGAAGAGGAACTGCCTGTTCAGATTGCTCTTCTCAATCTGATCCATATCTGTCACATCGATTGCTCCATTGGGACCACTGGCAATTCCCATCATGCTCCAATTCTTCAGCATCTCGCACCCGATGGCTCCTGAGCCAACCAGGAACTGCCTGACGTTGGTCAGCTTCTCTTGGAAGGCCTTGCCGAATACCGCAACTTGACCATCGTAGCGAGAGCCTTGGGGAGCAAACTCGGACTCAGGGAGCTTCTCGATGCCCGTGGGGAGTGACTCGAGCGAGTCTACGTAGAGATGCTGGACGAGGGGATGGAACTTGCCACTGCAGGCCTTGAGCGCTTCTTGAGCCACGAAACCTCCAATGAAGGCGACCATGGGTGACAGATCACCCCTAGCCTGGAAAGATAGCTCTTGTACCACCTTCTTGGCCAGTTCTCCGTCTTCTCCAGCAGCCGTGAAGAGCTTCTCTGCGTGTGCTACAACTTGCTCAGCATCTTGAGCATTACGAGGGCGCGGGAGCTGGCCATTTTGCTCCCAGAAGGAGTGGAGAGCTTGCCATCCTGCATGTAGGGATGCGGGCCGGTCCCACTTGGCAAAGTCTGAGATGAGGTGCTCTGGCTTGGGGATGCTGTCCTTTAGCGACTTGAATTGAATCTTCTTGGGCATCTTGACCTGAGTGAAGATACCGCCCTTCTTGTAGGTACCCGCTGACGAGGTATCGCCGATGGTGAATGTGTAAGGGCCCTTGACTGACACCTTACGAGGCTCGCAACCATTTAGAGCCTCCATGCCCTGCACCTCAGAAAAGGTCACATAGTCTCCGTCCTCCAGGCCGTGCCTCGTCTCATCCAAAGTCGTGACCATGCCCTCGCTGTCGCTGTCAACCGACACGATCATTCCGCTGAGAGGCTGCTCGCCTGTTGGGTCGGTACAGATGAAGTCATCTCCAAAGTCGTTGAAGACTGAGCCAAAGAGACCTCGGACATCGGCGGCGATGAAGTAGGTATTGGTCCTCCGGCTGATTTCATTGATCTGAATCTGCTGCTTGAGGGGCGCATCGGTCAGAACAATGACCTGATACCTGGACAGTACCTCTTCGGTCAGCTGAGGCTCCTCGACCACTCTGACGGGTACATAGCTGTTCAGCTCAGCTAGCCTAGGCGCGGTAGCCTGTGCACGGGAGAGGGGAGCGCCTCCGGGGCCTGCAGAGAGATCCTGAGGACGGAGGAAGAATTGGGTTCCGAGGTCGCTGGTCTGCACAGGAGCTGGGTCCCAGATGTTGACTGACTTGACACCTGCTAGCGCAATGTTCTTGGCTGAAGGAGACGAAAAGGTATTGGACAGGCCAGGGTAAGACACTGTCTCACCTTTTCCCGAGAAAGGGGGTGCACGGTCTCAGGGCTACTCACCAATCTCAACACCCAGACCCTTCATACCGGCAATGAGGATGTTGCTCGATGCCATCCTCTTCATTGCGTCATGACCGAGAACGTAGAGCTGTCGCCTGGAAGAAGAGCGGCAGAAGCATCGAAGGATATCAGCTTGGCTCGGTGGTGACAATGGTCGCCACTGTCTGCCCATCGGCGGTGACTGTATGCTACTCACGAGTACAAGCCCTCATCGATCTTGGACTCATCAGCCTTGAGATCTGCTGGTGTCGTCTGCATCTTGTCTCTCGATGAAAGGTGACGAGCAGGGGTGCAGACTGGGAATTGGTAGTGAGTGATGGAAAGGTCACTTTGGACGTTGGTAGCCTGAACATAAGACACACCACCCACCCACCAGCCAGGCTCAACTCAGCGCGCGTGGCCCAGGCGGGTGGAGGGGCGATGCAAGGCACTGGCAGTCACTCACTCACTCGAAGAAGCAATCGACTGCAACAGAAGGACCATCACTCACAGACGACGACGACCTTCTTTAGTAGACTTCCCATCTTGCCGTCATCACCATCACATACAACTGCCACCATGAGTCTCCCCATCCGTAGCAGCCTACGTAGCGCACGTATCTCTCGTCGCTCCCTCCCTGCTCTGTCCAGCGCCAAGGTAGCCACTGCACCACGCGCCCTGGCTCCCTCTGCTGCTCTCCCCGCCTTCACCACACCCTCCGCAACTCTCTCCTCCACCCGCCTCTTTAGTAGCACCCCCGCCACTTTTCGCGAAAAGAAGGATAAGTCCTGGGTGCAGCAAGGCGAGGTCCCTTACCCCGAGCTCAAGTCCCACACCGAAACACCGGACGAGTCCCTCCTACTCCTCGACGTGCGCGAGCCAAGTGAGACCGCCCAGGGCATGATTCCATCTGCTGTCAACGTGCCACTGAGCGAATTTGGACCTGCTTTCCTCAACAAGGAAGGGGGAGGTGACTTTGAGAAGAAGTACGCCTTTGCTAGGCCGGAATTTGACAAGAAGATTGTGGTGTACTGTAGGAGTGGAAAGAGGAGTGAGCAGGCTAGGACCGAACTGGAGAAGGCTGGTTGGTGGAAGTGAGTAGAGAAGAGAGCACGAGGCTGCGAAGAGGGATCAGAGAGCTATGTCTGATGGGTTGAGAGTCTTCCCCTGATCTCGTCTCGTCCACAGCGTACGAAACTACACGGGCTCCTGGCTGGACTGGACAGCTCAAGAGAAGCAGAGGGGCAACAACGACGACTGAAGAAAGAAATGGGAGCAGTAGGACATGACACAGTAGACGGAAAGCGCAGCAGAATTGGGGTGTCAATGGAACAGAGACGTCGAAATAGATGTCTATCATTATGCAAGCAACAAGTGCAAAGATGGTACAGAAACGTAGCAGGACATTCCGAAGACGAAGAAGGACGACCGTGATGCAGCTGTCGCACAGCTCACCCCCCGCCTATGCTATCCCACGAGCCTCGGGACGTCGATCAGACCAAATCCCTGTCGGGAGCTTTGCTCTGCCTCCCATGGCTCTCTGCATCCATCAGGGATCCAGCCAACTCAGAAGGCGGCGCAGAGGCAGTGCTGCCCGCCCTACCTCCGTCGAGTCTCCTGAAACCCTTGTAGCGAGCAGAGCTGTCAGGTGGGAGGTCCTTGTCAGCTCCCCTCTCATAGCCCGAGGCAAAGTAGGTTCCCGGCGTGCCGCCCTGACCCAGAGTGAGCAAATTATCGGAAGACGTCGTGCGCGAGCCGCCGTGGAGGCTGCCAGCCGAGGAACGCGCTCGAGAACGAGTGCCAGTGACGAAGGGTGTCCCAGACGTGGAATGAGACCAACCTAGACGGGTAGGCGAGGGGGCTCGAGAGCGCGAGATGGTCTGAGGATAGTCGTGATGAAAGCCGCTGGCGAATTGGTGCGACTGACGGCGGGACCGACCGAGGAGGGCATGAGCTGCCTCATCGGCCTTGTTTTGATCCTTCTTGTCCATCAGTGCTACCTCGAAATCAGACACGGGGGCGTGACTTCCCTCTATGGCATGCGGGTGAAGAGCGGAGGAAAGAGAAAAGCCCTTGGCTACTGCCCAGCTGACGATGTAGCCTACGATGCGGCGCTCAAGAGCATAGACGAGGGAGGCAAAGGGGATGGTCCCTTCGATGGTCTCTCGCAGGCCCCACGAGTCTTCATGACGGACAATGTGGCCCTCGTCGTTGAACTCAAGACGGCTCATCAATCGTAGGTTGATAGTGCAGAGATTCTTCAGGACAGCTCGCGGATGAAAGAGACCCCAGAGAAGACTACCAAATGTGCTTCGACCCAGACCTGGCGATGCCCAGTGCGGGGCATTGGCGCCGTGGGGCATCTTGAACAGGGAGACGTTGCCGCCGCCGCCTTCTTCTGTAGACGCAAAGGCGGTATTGGCAGCTAGGATGGGTTTGTCATCTTCGTCTCCGTTGATGCTCTGAGCAGGGTGAGCGCTGGATGTGAACGGTCGCATGTAGGAACTGCTAGCCTCGCCTGGCGTGTGAGGTCGTGATGCTCCTCCTCCCCAGAGGCTGCTCATGCTAAAGGGTGTCCGCGGGCTGTGAGGTTGATGGTGATGAGCTGGACCAAATGTTGATGCACCAGGCGTCCTATAGTCGGCAAATGGATGGGGTGTGATAGCACTCTGAGGAGGGTTCAGCGAGTGCCCAGGCGTCTGAACACCCGATGGCCGGTCTGACCTGTGACCATCCGTCGCGCCGCCCTGAACGGGTGTTGAAGTCGCCAGATGCGACGAGGACGAGCCGAAGATGGAAGGAAAGATTGTGACCGATAGTGTCTGATCGATGATTCCAGCACGCGTGCCATCAAATTCAAAGTCACTGCAAATGATGTCTCGAAGCTCCGAGGTGACATCCAGGCCAGGTAGAGCAAAGGCCATGATGAACTGATTGGCCACCTGTTCACGGCCGACTGCCGACAGCAATGGGCTCTCAAAGACTGTTTGAAGACATGAGGCAGTGGTCAGTGGGCTTCTGAATGAGAAAACCATCTTGGGAGACGGGCAAGCAACTACTCACCAGCATCGGGATCGTAATACCTCCACACCATCTCTCGAACTTCTTCAGGGCTCCGCTTGCCACCATAGAGTGTGGAGTGTAAGCCGAGCAAGATGTCTGTGAGGGTGCTAGGGCTGGGCAGACCACCTCCCATGCCTCCCCAAGGGTTTTGGTCGGGAGCAGGCCAATCTTGAGGTCCTTGCGCAGAAGTGGCCAAGGCAAGCTGAGAGGGATGGCTGGGCAGGTAGGAGCCCCCACTGTGTGTCACTGCCATGGGCTGGCCACCCTTTGTGGGACCAGGCGTCATGGCAGTTGCGGTGCTTGTATTCCTGCTATGACCTCCACCGCCTCTATGGGTGCTGCCCGGTGTCCTTGGGGCTGCTGAACCGCCTTGGGAGCCATGGAGAGCGGAAATGGAGCCAGAAAAGTAACCATCCGAGGCCGGCCCTGGCTGACGAGGATGGTGGTGTACCGACCGTGTAGTCTGCTGCTCTTTGCGGTTCTCATCGCTGCTCCCCGTAGAGCCGCTGGATCTTTTGGGAATCTCAATCGACATGTCTGCATTGAGATCATCGCCTGGGAAGGGAATGCCGTGACCGGACATGGTGAAGTTGTGAGAGATGAAGCAGGCTGGTGTTGTGTATGGGGCCTTCTATGCCAGAGGGAGGGTGGTAGGATGGGGTATAGCCGCTGGTACTTAGGAGGTGGAGCAACAGCGATTGTAGTGCGGGGGTGGCGCTAAGACAGACTGAGCGAGCGGGCTTTTGAGACGAGTGAGGAGGAGGGGTGCGTCAAGGAATGTGGGGAAACAAGATTCGGAGGATCCAAGTTGAGATGTTGATGAAGGTGGTGAAGTCGGGTGTCTGGATCCGCCATGCGATCCTGGATGGTGAGCTGGGCGGTGAATCGTCAGCGGGGAGACCCTTGTTGCCCGTTCGTCGCCCGCTTGCCCGCCTTTCACAGATCCATCCACTGAAGCGTGGAGGGGCGGGCGGCGGTGCGCGTGTGGCTGCGACGCGTGCGGAATCCGCCGCGTTGACATTTGGCCTGGCGCAAGTGGATCCCTCTCGCCAAGCCGACGATCAGAAATCCCCACAAATGTAGGACAAGTGGTACTTGCAAGAGGTCGATCTCGAGAGCCCTAGTGATTGCAAGGTGCGTCGAGGCTGCTACCTTTCCCGGCTCCGAGAATCTTCGACCACCCGCTCCCGTGCACGGCAGCCGGCAGTGAGATCTCACAGACAGCGGGCATTTGGTCTGCTAGGCGAGACAGATCCACCCGGAGACATGAGAGGTCTTTGCATGTGGCACTTGCTGAAGCCTCGCCTCTGCGCTGCCCGGGCCTTGCTGTGATCATTCTTACCCAATGAGGAAATGCAGACTCTAAGACAAGCATTGTCATCGGCGACTATTGGCGGCCATTGCGGCACGGTACGCGATGGAGCTGTCACACCCATCCATTCCCCCTCCCTTCAGCCCCGGGTTGCCTCGCACACCTTGGCGTCGGCATTGCGAGTCTGACCTATCGGTCACTGACCAGGAGGACAGTCGTCCAGTACGACCGGGATCTGCCTTTTGTTCGGAGCAAAAGAAGCTCGACAGCAGGCTCATGCACCTGGGCGAAATGAGGCGTGCAGTGGCTGCGTAGATGTTACTCCCGCGCCAAGGCATGTCCATACCCTGGCGCGAGACCAGCGGCGCAGACTACGAGCGGCTTTTAGATTCTACCAACTCCTACGCACCTCAAACAGACGTGCATGCCTTGACCCCTTTGCCGGCTATGCTGACGGTGAACCTTGAGAACATCCACCTTTGATTGTATAAAGATGGCGAGGCAGACTCGGTGTCCTTTTGTCGCCATTTTCCCCTCAGCGTCTACCATCCCCTTGTCACTCACCTTCGCGTGTCCTTGCGCCCTCAACACTCCCCTCCCCAAGCCAGCCTCGAGGCGATTGCTGTGCAGTCTCCCCGTACCCACATTCTTTACCAAAGTCACATTCTCTCACCCACTACCGTGGACACCCACTTTCGAAGCAGGTTCTTCGAAAGCAGGTATCCTATCGACTAGCATACACCCCTTCATCCCACCCTCACATCCCTCGTCATGCGTCTCATTCCAATCGTGCTGGCTGCTGTAGCCACTAGCATCGCCTCAACTTCTGCATACCCATCCGCTCCTGCTGCATCTCAACCAGAGCAGGTGGAGGCTAGGACCTTGTCCAATGGCAAGCACGCCGAAGTCTTGTACCACCGTCGTGGCCACCGCTCTCTTGGCGGCCTCTTCTCGCTCAACAGGCGTTCCGACAGTACTTCCGCTGCTGTGCTACCACAGCGACCGGAGCGAAAGCAACCCAGTCAGCTCTCTTCCCTCCAGAAGCAGGAGCTCAAGAAGGTGTCGAACGGCAGGAGCGCAATCATTGTCCAAGGTTCCTCGTCGTACGCCGTCGACACGTCCGACAGCTCAAACACCGCACGAAGCATCGAGGACGTGGTCGACGAAGTAGATGAGCCCGAGGAAGAGCAGCCTGCTGCACCTGTCATGTCAGTTAAGCGAAAGCGTGCCGCAACGTGCATCAAGAAGACAGCGTCATCGACTTCGACCAAGAAATCCACCTCAATTTGCACCACGACTTCGACCAAGAAGACGACAACCACATCCTCAACTTCGACGAAGAAGACCACCACGACCACCAAGGCTGCGTCTACATCGACAAAGAAGACGACCACCACCTCTTCGACCAAGACTACTGCGACTGCCGCCGTCACCAGCGTGGCTGCCAGCACTGGCCCTATGATCATGGGTGGTTACTGGCCATCGTGGGCTGAAATGACACCCGAAGACATCGACTGGAATCTCTTTGACCTCATGGCCTTCGCATTTGCTACCCCTACGACGTCGGGAGGTGTGTCCATTGACAGTGGTGACGCGGCGCTGCTCAAGCGTCTCGTTACTGCTGGTCACAACGGAGGCGCCAAGGTCATCGTCTCCCTCGGAGGTTGGGACAACGGTCAGGGTTTCAGTCCTTCTGTGTCCACTGCAACTCTGCGACAGACCTTTGCTACTAGTATTCTGAACTTTATGAACACGTACAACCTCGATGGAGTCGACTTGGACTGGGAGTACCCCAACTCTGCCTACGCCACCAACTACAACTCTGCCGATGCTGCCAACTTCCAGACTTTCCTGCAGACTCTTCGAGCCACCCTTGGCGCGGACGCCATCATCACTGCCGCCGTCTCCGATGAGACCTGGATCTCCAGCACGGGAGGAACTGTCTCAAACGTCGCTCGTGCTGCTGGCGCCCTCTCGTACATCATGATCATGAACTACGACGTCTGGGGAGAGTCTTCCACCCCCGGTCCCAATGCTCCCCTTGCTGATCTCTGTGGCAACAGCACTCAGCCCAGCGCCAATGCCGAAGCCGCCGTGAAGCAGTGGTACGCCGCTGGTATGCCCAAGAAGAAGATGCTCCTCGGTGTGCCTTACTACGGTTACGTTCAGGCCTCGACCAAGACTTCGCTCATCCAACGATCCCTCCTCGACGAGCCTGAAACCGAAGCCCAGAGGCGAGCTGTACAGAACCGTGCTCTTGGTGGTAGGCCCAGGAGATCCGATGATCCTCGCCTTGCGCAGCCCGAGTCTGAGCTGGAGAAGCGCAAGACCTCTCTGACCACTGGACAGATGAATTTCAACGAAATCTTTGCCAATGGTGCCATCAAGCGAGGAACTGGTAGCAGCACCGGAACTTACGTCGCCGGCTCTGGCTGGACCAAGTACTGGGACGACTGCTCGGACACACCTTTCCTCTCCAGTGGAAACCAGGTCATCACCTACGATGACCCTGCTTCTCTGTACGACAAGGCCTACTTTGCCCGCCAGTCTGGTCTCGGTGGTACTAGCATGTGGTCCGTTGATGGAGATACCGAGTACTGGAACCTCACCCTGGCCATGAGGTCCGGTATGGGAATCTAAGCTACTTCGCAGGCGCTGTATATAGAAGCCGCTCGAGAACCTCATTTTGTCCTCTTTCCTCTTGGTGATCGGTGCTGTGTATGCTTTCCTCAGGCTGTACATAGTCGCTCGTACCGTTCTTCCTCCCTTTCAATAGCATAACATTGCCATCGTTGGCTCTGACCTTCCCTTCACATTCGTCTGATGCAGTGGGATGCTTCTCGTCTCCCTGTGAATTTGCGCCCTTGTACATTGACTCATCGTCAGAACGCTAGCCGACCAGATTAGAGCTTTTCAGCCGCTCTCCTTTTCTTCATAATCCGGTCGCTCTCTGTCCCCTCTGGACCGTCTACCGCTGGCCCTCTCTCGAACCAATGTTCAAAGAAGGCCTCGAGTGCATCAAACTCGCCTTGCAAGGAAGGGTCCTCGCGATGCACAGAGTGGAGGCGTAGCTGCGTCTGCTCATGCCCTTCTCGCCCATCAAGCGACGTTGCAATGTGAGGCAAGCGACGGTGCATGAATCGCCTGCCGGGATCGAATAGACCGGTAGTGATTGTGGACGGACGACCCTGATGGCTCTGATCGTCAGCGGCTATCTTGCGTTCTTCCCACCTCTTCGTAGCAAGTCCAGCCGTCAGTAAGTCGTCAAAGACGGCGGCTATGGGATCTCGTCGCCTCAGCGAATTGATGAAAGTGCTGATCCCGCCATCGAGGTCGGTGACCCCCTCTGTCCTCGAAGAGAAGACCAGGACTGGTGGGTATCCCTTCTTGTCCCGATGCAGGTCGTCCAATATCTTTTCCATCGGAACCTGCTCCCTCAAGACCTCTCCTAGCCTACCGGCACTCCGTAGCGCCCTGTAGAAACCCCTTCTTTCTTTGCCTTCTCTGTAGCCAGGCTCGCTCCGCCGCCTCGAAGCGGAAGAGTAGAAGCGAGATCGCCACCATGGCTCACTTCCTCTTCTCGCAGCTCCCAAAGCATGACTATCCCTCAGAGAGCGGTCTAGTGCATTGACAATGGCAAGATCAGGACGACCCAAGCGCGCAAGAAGAGCCTCATGATCGGCAGTGAGTGCTATGGGCGAGCCGACCTCAGCGTCTCGAGACTGCAGCTCGACTCCTCCTCCTACAGCACACACAGCGAGCGGTGCCGGGCTGAAACTTGCAGCAGCCCTCAGCGCTAGGTAGCTTCCAGCGATACCCGCTCCCAATACACATGCCCGAGTAGGGTCTAGTCCCCGCCCTTGCTGTAGCAGTGCAAAGTTCTGATTCAAGGTATGCGCGCCCGTATCCGCTTCAGACGCGGGGGAGGCAGACACGATGGACCAGTTGAGACGGGTGATCACCTCCGTCACAGACGGAGATGAAGCGCGAGTATTGGAGGCGCTAGCTTTGCTACTGGCGCTAATGTTGGAGCTGCCGACATAGGAAGGCTCTTCGGCCTTGGCAATGAAGTCCCACAGCGCCTGAAGGTCTTCCAGCATCTCTCCTACGCCCACTTCCGGAGCGAGGCGGTAGTCCCCAACGACCAGGGGCCAGCCCTTCTTCTCACACAGCTCCAGCAGCCATACGGGTACATCCCTGCGAGAGCCAGAAAAGAAGGGGTTGCTAAAGGCAGAATGGACGTAGAGGACGAAAGGGGAGGGAGGTGGGAAGGACGAGGAGGATGACGTGGAAGAGGGAGCGTGGAGAAATGGGTACAGGTCTAGCTTGAGGTCCAGTGAGGAACCTCGCCGAGCAAAAGGAAGGGTGAGCCGCTCCCCTGACATGGTAGAGAGGACCGACATGGTGGGCGCCGAGCAAACTGGAGCCTACAGGCGGCGCGAGATGATGACTTGGTACGATCGAATTGTGGGGTAAAGACGGAAAGGGCGGCAATCTGAAAGCAGCCCACACTCCACATCCCACGCACAGTCGTACATGCCCAGTCGATCGGTTATACGGAGCGAGTATCATGCGATGTATTGCAAATGTGTACGATACAGAGAAGCAGTCCGTGTCACGTACGCCTACTTGCCGTTGCCACAATCACAATTCCAGCAGCTGGGTACGGTAGGAAGATTTGATCATCAGATGGGTGATTGCAGAATGTCGTCCTTGCGCCTGCAAGAGACACTCACTCGGGATCTTTGCTGATCCAGGTCTTGACTCTGCGCTTGCCATCTTTCCAGCAAGCATCGGGCTGGCCAGGCGGTGACCGCTGAGGGCACTTCTTCTTGGGCTCTTCCTTCTTGGGCTCCTCTTTCTTGGGCTCCACCTTTTTAGGCTCTTGCGGAGTCGGCGCTGGCGCCGGCGCTGGAGCTGGAGGGGGCTTGTAGTGCTATAGGATGATGGAAAAGAAATATACAGAACTGTTAGGTGACAGGCATGAAAGCTCCCGGCCCTGAACGGACTCACTTACCTTGAGCTGCTCGAGGTACTTCTTGACGATCTTGGTGATCTCATCGTCTCCGGACTTCTCGTCCTTCTTTCCATCCTTCTTCTCGTCCTTCTTGTCACCTCCATCTTTCTTCTCATCCTTCTTCTCGTCTTTCTTCTCTCCACCATTCTTCTTGTTGTCACCGTTCTTGTTATCTCCATTTTTGTTGTCGCCGTTCTTATTGTCACCACCCTTCTTGTCGTCCTGCTTGTCTTCTCCGCTCTTCTTGTCCTCCTTTTTCGGCTGCCCAGAAGGAGGAGCAGGAGGAGCAGGTCGAGCAGGCGATTCGGGAGTGAGCATGGCTGCGCCAGCTGCCATGATACCCCTGGCGATGCGATCCATGATGCCGCCAGAGGAGCCAAAGAGGCCAAGGGCCTTGACAAAGATGAAGACTAGGAGGGTGCAGACGATGAGGGGAGCTGGATCGGTGCGACATAGAGCGACCTGAAGAACCAATTGGACTGTTAACAGTGTGAGAGATGCGACCAGGCCTGCCCCTGCGAAAGACAGGGTCTGTATATCCATGCATGTCGGCGCTTGCTTGCTGTTGTCTCCCATCTTTGCAGACGATGAGGGTTGCAGGTGATCTTGAGGAGTTGTACGGAGAGGAAGCTGCAGTACAGAATTGGGACCGGAAACAGGAAACTCGCAAAAGTGGAACAAGGGCATGCAAGCCTTTTGCTGTCACGATTCAGGGCCGCCGGGGCGGGTGCGTGGACTGCAGGTCAACATTCCATTTTATAGCCGTAGTAGCGCACAACTGAAGAGAAGGGGTAGGCAGAGTCAGCACAAAGAACGACAGTACATTGTGGCGAAGTTCGCGACCTCCTCCCCTCTCGTTCCCATCGTGAGTCAGTGTAACTATGACAAAGTTGCTTCCTCGCACGAGCAGATTGGTAAGTCCGCAAGGCTAGCTGATTTAAAAGGATAGTTTTCATCTTTCGGACGGGGAATGGGTTTCTCTGCAATTCCAGAGCCATCGGAACTGAACAGAGTGAGACTTACTGTTTGTCACCTTGTGAAGGTAAGGAGGATCGCTCTTCTATGAGGCCATTCCTTGATCCGGGAGACGCTCCACAGCGTAGCGGCGTTTCGACACGTACATGAGAGGGATACCCTAGGTCGAAATGAACGAGGCGAGACCGGAAAAGCATGTCAGCGCTATTGTGCAAGAAGAGACGGCTAGCATGACGAGGGTCAAACCCCACTGCTACTACGAGGTACACTCACAGGTACCTTTCTGACGCGCCGTCTGAGCTCTCTATCACACGTGGCTACCATGTAGCACTTGTGCGTTGATATTCTGTCGATGATGCAGTCGTCCGCGTAGGTTCCCTTGTGACTGCAAGGCAACCTCTCAAACCTGGGATCCCTAGCCACCCGCAGCGCGATTCTGTACTTGGGGCCCAGCTTCTCAAGCTCGGCCAAGACGCAGTCGGTGATGCATGGGATGCTCTTGGCGTAGAGACAGTCCATCATGCCTTGCACCAGCTCGATCTTGTTCTGCAGCGAGAAGTTGATGAAGTTGGTGTCCACCAGGATGCGGTAGGGCGGTCCGAGAGCAGTATTGTGCTGAAAGAACAAGGATGAAGCTGCTGTCTCTACGTGTCGGACCTTCTTGGCCTCTTCTGCTGCCTTCTTTGCGTCTGCTTTGACCTGGTTCTCCTTGCTGTGCGAAGGGAGAGTAGATGAAGATGTGTGAGTCCAAGGCACTACTGGCGAACAGGGACTCCCGCTGCGACCTGTCTCCTCTGGTACACCACTCACAGACGCTGGTCGTTGGGATTGATCAGACGCTTGACCGCGCCGAACTTCTTGATTTGCTTCCTCTTTGTCATCTTCGAAAGACGAAGGGTGAAGCTGAGGTGGGAGTTTATGAAGAGGTGACCATCTGGTGAGGTGAGGTGAGGGAAGATCCCCTGCAAAAAAGACGGCAGGGTAGATTAAATTCCTTTTGGCCTGCCTGTCAAAATCTCTCGCGCAGAGTTGGGCCGCCGCCGCCCATGCAGCCCAGCCTCGACGCCCCCTGCCGCCGCCGCCATCCACGCTGCCCATCCGTAGAGCAGACGCGGATACCGCCAACGTCTCCTGTCTCGCCACTTGCAGCTGAGCATCCCTCCTCTGCCTCATCCATCATGGACGACCCAGCAGAGATTGCCGCATTGTGCCAAGAGTACGCCTCCTCCCTGGACAATGTGCCGCACGAGGTCTCACACATCCTCAAGGAGATTCAGCACAAGGACTCCAAAGTGCAGGACCTGCTTCCCAAGATCTCCCTACGAGAGTCGCAACTAAGGGAGCTCCTCAACAAGGGCTCCCCCGGAGCGCCCGTCTCGGCTGGAGGTATTGCTGGAGGTTCGGCCAATGGCATCAACACGGCGGGTGCAGGTGCACTCTTGACTGAGCAGGACAAGGTCAGGGCCGAGAAGTTGATGGAGAGAATCAAGCTCGACTACCGTAGGGCAGATGAGTGGTCTGCTCACAAGGAGGTCCTCTCCCTCAGACTGTGGAGGATCATCCATGCTCACAAGCTAAGGCTTGAAGAGGTCTTTACAAAGATTGCGCCTGGCGTCATGAATACCGCCGAGAGCAACGTCGCCGCCTCGTCGCATTCTTTGGGTCCTCTGCCAGGCTCGGCTGCAGCGGGCGGAGCAGCAGGAGGGTCTATACTAAGTGCAATCGCGTCTGCCTTTGGCGTGGGAACAAGTGCGGGTGGTATGGGCATGCCGACACTCTCGAATGGCGACATCACTGGCTCCAGCGGATCAGGCATGAAGCGCAAAGCACCGACGCACATCTCCCTTGCCCCCCTCACCTCTTCACCGCTAGGCTCAGCGCTGAGTACTCGACCGGCCAATGCAACGCCCTCGGGTGGTCGAATTGGCGCCAGAGCTCTCTCTTCTGAACGTGGTACCCCTTCCGCTGCGCTGGGCTCGCCGAGTGGGTACGGCTCTCTCGACTCGCCCTCGAGGGGTGGAATGCAATCACCTGCAACCTACGGTAGCTCAGCAGGTCGTCCTCGCAAGTCTGGTGGTCTGCAAAAGTCACGACTCGGAGCCAGCTCTTCTGGCCTGGCAAACGTCTTTTCGGCCAACAAGGACTCTTCTCACGACGAGGACCTCTCTCTGACGAATGCCTATGAGCTCGATGAACATGGTGCGAACGAAGGTGAAGACGAAAAGGACGAGAACCTGTACTGCTTCTGTCAGAAGGTGTCTTATGGCGAGATGATTGGGTGCGATTCGGACGAGTGCAAGTTCGAGTGGTTCCACTTGGACTGTGTTGGTCTCAGCAAACCTCTGCCGCAGGTTTGGTACTGCTCTGATTGCCAGTCTAGGATGAAGCTCAAGGACAGCAGCGGAACCGTCAAGAAGGAAGGAAGCGTGGGGGCCGATAGCACGGGTACAAAGCAGAGTGGTGCCAACAAGAGGAGGAAGAAGGCGTAGCCAGGCCTGCCTTATGCACTTTGTGGGCTTCCAGCAATGCTACTTGTCAATACTCGTATACCTTTATCATGCATTGCTATTATGATGAACCCATGGATCTAACGATGATACAGGGTCGGTAGCGGCGGTCGACGGGATCTTTGTTCGATGTCATTCGCGTCTACAACTTGGCCCCCTCGCGTCGAGGCGAATCTTTCCAAGAATCGTGCACCATCTGCATCGCCGCATCATACACCTCCGTCTTCTTCTGAGCCGTAGGAGTGCCTGACTTAGCAAACTTGTCAAAGGCATGTCCTTCGCCAGTGATCTTGTGGAAGCGTGCATCAGGGTGTCCTTCCTTGACCAGCTTCTCAATGAACTTCTCCCCGTCGTGATACAGTGTGTCACCAGTAGCGCACATCACCCATACGTGCGGCGGGAACTTCTTTGTGTCCTGCTCCACAGGCGAGACGGTAGGATCCGCCCTGTCCGTGCCAGCAACGAGGTAGCACCTGTCGAAGAACTTGCTCACGGCAGGAGGGATAGCAGCAGAGTGCTTCTCTGGAGCCTCCTTGCGGTAGCGAGAGACTTGGAAGTCCGTGGGAGGATAGAAGGAGATGCATGCCGTAAGGTGGTCGCCGTGCAGGCCGGCAACACAGAGGGCAAGATTGGCGCCCGCTGAGAAGCCGCCGACGGAGGCGCGAGAGATATCATACTTGCTGTCTTGAGTCAGCGCCCAAAGTATGCACTGTCACAACAGGAGTTTGAGTTAGCATAAGAGCTCCTCATTCGCCGTCCTGTAGCGCCTCGTGAGCTCCAATCCACCATCCCTCGCGCTACTCACATCTTCAGCATCTTGCATCTGCGCGGGAGCCGGATGCTCAGGAGCCTTCCTGTAGTCACAATCTATCACCACACACTCCAGCCTCTTTGCCATCTCACCACAGAACTCTGCATCTGAGCCCAGGGAAGGAATGACAAAACCAGATCCGTGAAGGTTGAGATGGACGGGTAGCTTCTTGCCTTGTGGAGCGTCCTTGGGGGTATAGATGTGAACCTTGATCGACCGACCAGGCTGCCGCGAAGGGATGGAAGTCTTGACCTTTTCTACTTCTTTGGGCACTTTCTGAAAGAAGAGTTCCGCTATAGGACTCAGTCCACCAATGACGGTACGAATGGCCAAGGCGAAGGCTTTGAGCCGGATGTACTCGATTGACCAGGCATGGACTTGCAGGGGGGCAGAGGACGGCGCTCGCCGAGCCCCAGCCACTGAGTTGTTGGCAGTGTCAGACATCCGGATACAATGAAAAAGGAGGTAGATGTCAAGATAAGAAAGAAGGCAACCTTCAGCGAAGAAGTGCTCGCTTGGACATATTTTTGTCGCGTCACCGTAATCCGACGGAAGCGGCAACTCCAATCCGCTCGTGAGAGAAATCAAGTGGAGCAAGGGCAGCAGACTTGTTCCGGCTCGGGTCGCGAGTAGCCGATAAGGATGTCATGGAGTGATATGAACAAGTGGAAAGCAGAACGACAGGAGATGTATCACGGCAACGTGGAACAAGAGTATAATCACAACAGTCCTGCCCTCCTCATATTGCTCATCAAGCGCTGCTCTTCAGGCGAGAGGTGCTCGCCCTCCTCTTCTTCCGCGCCATCTTCTTGCTCCTCGTCCATGCCCACGGCGGGGTAAGCGAGTGTCCCGGCCCTCGGAGGAGCGCCCCAGATGGAAGTGGAGACACCACCGGCTGCAGTTACAGGACGAGGACTTGTTGCACTCGCCGGACCTGCAGATCCCGCCCCGGCTGCTGCCCCTGGGTAGATGACCCAATCCTCTCCGGTTCCAGTACTCCTGCCGGCGTTTCTGTAGGCTGGTGGGCCCATGACAGTCCTCAGACGGTGAATGAATCCAATCGGAGCATTGCTCTCTTCGGTCGCCTCCGGGGCCTGGCCGCCGTTCTCGGCCGCGCGAGTGCTCTCCTGCTCCCTCCTAGAGGCAGCAATGAGTGCTCGTCCCCATCGGTGGATCCGGAAGTAGGATAGGACCGAGGACAGTAGGATGAGCCATCCAATGATCATGAGAGCGTAAGCAAGCCATTCGCTTGTATCAGTGTTCAGCTCGCCTGAAGTGTTCCCTCCGTTTGAGCCAAACGCTGTCACTGTTTCACCATCGGCAGAGGCAGTGGCATTCGCCGCATTCCCTGCATTGATAGCTCTGCTGTTACCAAACCAGTCTGTGGATGGAGACGGGTCGGCCCCATTGTTGTTGCCGTTTCCGCTTCCGCTTCCACCTGTATTGCCATCGTTGCCCTCCTCCAGTTGCAAAGCTCTCGTCCGTAGATAGAAGCCGTACTGAAGGAGCGTGATTCCTAGGCCAGCTCGAGAGCCGCATCGAGCAGCGTGGGTGGTGTGCAGAAGATAAGTCAGGAGGAACCCGACGAATTGGAAGCACACTGAGACGAGGAGATTCCAAGCAAAGCCAAAGACATTACCGATCGGCAAGCCTTCCAGAATGAGATCTTCCAAGTCTCCGACGTTGCCACCGCCGGGAGTCCATCCCAGACCACCAGGAGCAATTGTGGTCTCCCAGTAGCCAGGGGCAGCGTCGGCAGCTGCTATCTCGTAAGTGGGCGGGAGGACGTCGTCGGCCAAATCATCGTCCTCTCCACGGTCCTCAGAGCCTCCATTGTTTGCCCGCCGTCTGCGGGTCTCTGGCTTAGCATTGAGATTGGCAAAGACACCATCTTGACCGAGACCTCCACCCATAACTCGCCGTCTTGGGTTTTGCTCGCCGTTGGCCTCCGCCTGGGCAAGGCTCGAGTATGCTGCGCCCGGAACCCGCATTCCTACAAAGCGCCCAAAGCGGCCGAGATAGAGCCGGGCTCTTGCCATGCCACTAGCATCCGAAGATGCCTGAAATGAGCTGCTGGAGGGTGCAGAGGAATTCAAGGCGGTACGACTAGTACTAGCGTCGCCTCCTGCACCGTAGGGAGAAGCCGATGTCGCATTCGAAGCATTAATGGCGGTGGAGGAGGAGCGAGACCGGTTGGCGCCAAAGTGAGAAGGCCTCTCGAAGTCGTATCCACGCTGTGATGTACCACTGATGGTCCTGCTTAGATTGGCCGGACGTTGAGATCGTGACGAATTGAGGTGAGCAGTAGCATCATCCAGACTGTCTTCTCCGTCGTCGTTATCTCCCCCAGACGCCCCCAGAGGATCATGAACGCTGTTCTGCGACGGTGTCGGCCGGGTAGGCTCTTCTCCCATGGCGTCACCAGCGTCGAAGAAGACGTCCGATGTAGCATTGCCGTTTTGAGAGGCTTCGCGAGACTCAGTGGCGTCATAGCCGGGAGGACCGTCGGCTGCTCTGGAGGCAAAGGCGTGATCTTCCTCACCAAAAGCAGCATCGAGCTCAGCTCGCCGGGCCATCGACGAACCGCGAGCAGCACCGTATGATGAAGAAGAGGGAGTGATCATGTTTGATGCTGTTACGTGTGGTAGGTGTGCTGATGGGGATGCTACGTATGACTCGAGCGCCCGGATGGATCGTCGGGGGAGATAGCAAGCGAGGGGAAGTGCGATCTGAGTTGACTTGGTGGCGGCGCGAGGCTGAGGGGCGCCAGGCCAATCTGGCCGGCACTCGTGAGTCTAGTGAGGACGGCAATTGCTGGAAGGGTAGCCTGGAGGAGAAGGATAGGAGAAGATGTTACTGGGTGGTGATACGGTCGAGGTTAGTGGGGGCAGTGGTGACGGAAGCTGCTGCCGGCGCTTAGCCTCCGCCACGGCTCGCCTTGCATTGCCTTTGCCCTGCCTGCCGGCTCTGCCAGTCCAGTGATCGGAACGGAGCCCCCGACGGAAAGAATTTTGGTCCCAAGGGCGCTCCTCGCCTCGCCCTCACTTCTTCTCGTCACCCTCTATCATCACTCACCACCAACATGGCCGACGTCAGAGCAGAGATCGAGGAGCGTTTCGCTCCAAAGCTGCTCTCGAAAGATTCGCGCGCCTCCTACCAGTCCAAATTCGCATCGTCGCAGCCGTACAAGCATGCAGTCGTCGACGCCCTGATCTCTGACGAGCTTCTTCGCAAGGCCCGCGAGGAGATTGTAGAGGAGCTGCGATTCGCCGAAAAGGAGACTGATATCTACAAAGTCAACCAGACCGGAGACCTCGCCAACCTCGATGGCCTGCCAGAGACGGAGGCAGAGAGACTGAAATATCTGCTCAAGGTCCGAGACGCCATTTACTCGCCAGAGTTCAGACAGTGGCTCCAGGATGTCACAGGCTGTGGCCCTCTGAGCGCCAAGAAGAAGGATATGAGCATCAACGACTACCGACAGGGATGTCACTTGCTCAATCACGACGACGTCATCGCAACCAGGAGGGTCTCATACATTCTTTATCTTCCCGACCCAGCTCAGCCTTGGCAGCCCCAGTGGGGAGGAGCATTGGAGCTGTACCCCGTCAAGCCGAGCGAAGGAGAAGGTCACGCTCGACAGCCCGAAAACATCCCGAGCGTCGTGATCCCGCCAAAATGGAACCAGTACACGTTCTTCACCGTGCAGCCTGGCCACTCTTTCCACTCTGTGGAGGAGGTGGCTCACCCCACTGCTTCGCGCTTGTCAATCTCTGGATGGTTCCATCGCCCGCAGCCTGACGAGGAAGGGTTCGATCCAGCGGATGAAGAACGAGAGGAGAAGGAGCGAAAGGACCATGCTAGTGCTGAGGGCCTATCGTCGAAGAAATTCGCTGCTTCTTACACCTCCTACCCAGAGGATGCTGAGCCGCCCCTTCCTGGCTCGCAAATGACTCAAGCAGACGTCAATTTCCTGCGACCCTTCCTCAACCCCGCATATTTGTCACCCAAGACGCAGGGCCAGCTGTTCGAGCAGTTCGGAGACGAATCACACATCCTCCTCTCCGATGTCTTTAACAGCAAGGTCGCTGCTGCGCTCGAAAAGGGGCTGAAGAGCATGGATGACAAGGATGGATTCCGGTGGTGGAAGAAAGGAAAGGGCGAGGAGGGGATCGTCATTCCAGCTCAAGAGACGGGCGTAGACAGCGATTGGTCCATTGTCGGGCCACCACACCGTCAACGCTTCTTGTCGCTCCGAGCATCAAAGCCAGCAGATGCAGCTCTCGCTTCCAATCCTAGCATACCAGCCACTCTCCCTCTGGATTCACCTGCTGAGCTGTTGGACATCATTCGCACTTCAGTGCTACCCTCTTCGGCTTTCCGACACTTCCTGGCCAACATCACCCAGCTGGTACCCATCTCTCACCGGCCTTTCGAGGCTAGGCGCTTCCGACCTGGACTGGATTACAGTCTCGCCCGGGCGGACGAAGAGGCAGTCCTCGACGTCTGCTTTGGTCTGACTCCAGATGTGGGCCGCATCGCTCTCGATGCCGCTGGCGGTACTGGCGGACCCAAAGGCCTGGCGGGTAAGGGTTCAAAAGCAAAGAAGTCCGCCAAAGCAGGTCCATCGCAGCTGACAAAGAAGCAGGCAAAGGAGATTGCAGGCAAATGGGAGAGCGGTGAGATCGGGGGCTGGTCGTGCTACATGGCTCCCGACGAGGAGGACGTCGATGCTACCGGGGAGGTGTACAGGCAGGCTGGCGGCAGCAAGTCGAAAGCTCAGGCTGAGACAGAAGCAGCCGCTGCCATCATCGCCGAGGACGAAGGCAAGGTCGTGACTACAAACGGCGAGGGAAGCAGCAAGCCGTCGCTACAAAGGAAGAACGTGAAGGAGTTCGATCAACAATACGTCGTTCTGGGTATCTCGGCCCCTCAGTCCTCTTCGGCGCCATCGGACAAGGAGCTACACGACGCCATCTCCCAAGCCCTTCTGACACTCCACGGAAACGTTGGCGGCTCCTTCCACTTCGATGTTCTGTCTATCAAGCCATCTACCTCTGACTCTACTAGCAGCGAGAAGCAGGAGTGGGAGGCTCTCCTGAGAGTCGCCTCTGAGCACTTGCAGGCCCTACTGTCGGCTCTAGCTGCGTCTCTCACCATTTCTTCGACTGTTTCGTACCGAACTTCTGTCCTCCAGAGCGGACCCAGCTACTCGATCAGCAACGGAGGCTCGAGTGGATCAAAGTGGCTCAACGAGCTGAGCGAACCCAGCGGCAAAGGCATGGACGAAGATGAGGAAGAAGTCGTCAATGGCGATGTCGCTGAGGAGGCCGATGGAGCTGCAGAGAAGGATGAAGACGCCGAGGAAGACGAGGAGATGGAAGACGAAGATTTTGAGGACGAGGAGGACGAGGACTTTGATGGTGTTCTGCTCAACCTCACGCCATCTTTTAATACGCTCTCAGTAGCGCTCAGGGACGAAGGCGTCCTGCACTTTGTCAAGTACCTCAGTGCTGCTGCTGGAGGCAGTCGATGGGACATCATCGGCGAATGGGCCGTGGGTGCGGTAGAGGCAGACGAGGACGACGCAGAAATGGCTTCATAGAAGTGCAGTCTAACATCTGCTCGTGTATTGGTTGCAAGATATAAATACAAAACTTCGTCTGGCGAGGGCCACAACATACTAGTACATGAAGAAGCAGAGCGATCATGACGCTGGAAAATTCTCAGGATAATGAGTGTTCAGAATGATGGGTCCCGTTCAAGAAGGAAATTGTTGGGAGAGGTATAGACTGAGGGGGCACCTCGCGAGATCCGGCCAGCAGATCAGCGAAAGAGCACTCTGATGCGATCCACTAGCTATGCCGAGCCCGTCAGCATCATGTCCTCGTCAATTTCCTCCGTCGGTGTCACCGTCCGCGGGACAGAGTCGGCCAAGGAAGGTGCTTCGGAGCCATGACGGCTGAGCGTGCCTGGCCGACGAAGACCATTCGCGGGGAAGGCGGAGTGAGTGGGACTCGGCATGGGAGAGCCGCCGATGACGATTCGTGGGATGCTGAGTGTGGAGCCGGCCGTGCTGTGGTTGTTGACGAGGGGAGGTCTCTGAGGATAGGAGCTGGGTGCTAGGTGTGATGTGGGTTCTGCCCTCGAAAGTGAGAGATTGGGCGATCTAGACATCGATTGGTATTGTGCTGGTGTAGCGTCGGCCCCTACGCGTGCGTCAACTTGACCGAGGTGCTCGACGGAGATCGATAGTGCGGTCTGCTGCCGCTCAAGTGTCGGCGGCTGAATCCAGTGCGGGCTTTGGGTCCATTGCACGTCGCTGATATCCAGCTCGATGTCGTCTCCCTTGCTCGATGTCGTGGCGTAGCTCTGACCACGCGAATGCGCTCGGCTGCCTTCTGTAGGCCTTTGTTTCGTCTCGGAAAAGACTGCAGGGTTGCCTTTCCTATGGCGGGCAGCAAGGATCCACAGGCTCTTGAAGCGAGACTCCCTAGGCTGCTGTGATGACCGAGGGCTTTGCGCCGACGAGGCTCGTTGGATGCGACGATAGCGGACGTAGAGGGCGATTGCTGCCGTGAGGACGGCGGCAACGCTGATGGTAGTCAGAACGATGCCTGTCACCGAGAAGCTGCCTTTCTTCTGTGGAGGATGTAGCACGGACATTATGTGTGCTCTTCAATGTCGGAAGCGAGGACGTGATAATGGTCGGAGGAGCCAGTCCTGCTGACTTGAGTGTCTCACTCTGAGTCCTATATAGCAGCTAGCAGGTAACGTGGATATGCAATACAGAAGGAGATCTCGTCCATATCTGGTTTGAGCCTGCACTCTCGTCGATTGGCTCAAAGTATTCCCCCCTTGTTGTATATCCGCCGTCATCGTCGAGAGAGTGCTTTCTGAAGCTCGCTGCTCGATGATGGCCTCGCCGAGAGAAAGCTAGACAAACGCCACACTTCGGCTGAATTTCATCGACGGGACTACACACCCAGTGTCTGCCGACAGGGATGGTGACTGATCGATCCTGAAGCAGACCCAGGGTGTATGACAGCTCGCCCAGTCCTGCTCCGCCGGCACGTTGACCGAAGGTCGTCTGGGCAGTCTGAGACACGCCTGCCGCCTCCTTGCTTCTGGATTGTCACCGCGACGCGTCGCACCGCCCGCCCGCACTCTTGGTTGGACCCTTGGCGCCACAAGCTGCAAGGGGCGCCCTTGGTATCCCTTCCCACGGTCAGTGTGGAATGCTGTCATGCTCACTCAGCACCGTAGAGATGACAGTCAGCAGCAGCAATCGAGTTCCGACGGACAAGGGAGAACAGAAGCCGACATGATCGTTTTTGGCAGCCTCGGCCTCAACGGAACGGCTGGAAGGGGGAGCACAATCAGTGGGAGATGGACGAGGTCACGTCACCTCCACCAGGGTCATCAACCGCGTCTGGACGCCTTGGTTGTGCACTGCTTGAGAAGTGAAGTGGAAGAAGACAGAGTCCAAGGTGTTGGTGTTGGGTACCATCTTGCCCGCTCCAGGCGACGTTGCAGACGAGCATGCTTGAAGTCAAGCTCCACAGCCATCGCACGCGCAGGGCCATCCATCATCACTCACCGCCTCGGCAGACAGACGCGCCCTTTCCGTCGAAGCGGTGCTTAAGCTTCCGATGATCTTCTTGGTGTGGTACGCTCACCTGCCTTCGTCCCTCCTCTTGACCATCAGCTCTGAACCTCGCAGCTCATCAATGCCATGAGCTGGGGCGAAGAGCGCCGGATACGCTCCTTCCCTTCAACAGCATCACAGTATGAAACTCTCCATCCACGTTCATCGCAGCATCCTTTCTCAGAGGCATTCCCGCCGCCATACCGAGTCCTCCTTCTCATCTCCTTTGGGATCTTCTGCTGGGGTCTGAACATTCAGGTACTCAACAGACTTGGCATAGATACAGACGACGTCCTTTCGCCTGGCCAGGGTAGCGATCGCTCTCATCCCAACAGCAGCAGCAACGAGCTTCCACTGCACCAGACGGACAGTGCTCCAAACCAGCGAAGGCGAGCCCATGCTGCGCCTGCAGCAGCTCCCACGTCCTTGCGAGCTCACAAGAGCATCTACGGCTTGTCCGCGACCCTTGCAGTCTGGACAATAGCAAATTGGCTGCTGTTCAGGCATTATGTCACCCAACAGGGAGGTGACCCAGCGGGAAGGCATGCGCAAGCGTTCCAAGGCGTAGCTATCCTGGCCGTCTTTGTAGCCGGAGTGTGGCCCGGCAACGTCATATGGAGATCCGTTAGGAAACGTTTCGGACAGTGAGTAGTGGTCGAGATTCATTCACAAGGAGAATCCTTGGCTCATTGCAGTTCCCCCTTCCCTCCTCTCGCAGATCTCTCCTCTCCCTCATCCTCCCAGCTCCCCTCCTTCTCAATTCGCCGACCTTTCCGTCCATCCTCTTGGCAGACGTCCTGACCTCTTTCGCCAAGGTCTTCGGTGATGTATGGCTGACGGCATGCTTTCTGGTCCCGCGCAAAGAGCACCACACTTGGTGGAACGGCCGAGGAAGCTGGGTCGTACCGCTGCTGGTCAGCCTGCCCTATGCTATTCGCCTGATACAGTGTCTGGCAGAGTATCAGCACACAGGTGCGAGGAAACGGCCCGGTGGTGGCAGTCATAGTGTCAAATCGAAGAGACCCCTGGCAAATGCTCTGAAGTATGCCAGCGCCTTCCCAGTCATCTGGATCAGTGCTAGTCAGAGTTCGAGAGCGGGAGGGGTGCCCAGCGAACAGAATAGCAACGGACTTTGGTTTGCCTGGTAAGTACCGTATACATATTTCGAGCACGGAAGCTGGTCTATGTCTAGCGGGAGGCTCACACTCCCTACCATGCCCCGTAGGCTCTTGTCCATCCTCATCAACTCGCTCTTCTCTTACTGGTGGGACGTGACTAATGACTGGGGTCTCGAAGGCCTCAAGCCATCTACTTGGTCATCCCTTACAGCGTCCACAGCGGTCCTGTTCGGCTCGACAAGGCACCATCCTGCACGCCCAGTGCATAGAAGAGGTCTGAGTACGTGGCCAGCAGCCCGTGGAGCTGCGTCAGCACACGATGACGACGCTGATGGGGAGGACGACAAGTTGCTTGGCAGCAACGGCCTAAAGGGAACAGATGCAGATGGCTCGGCAAACCATCGTCCTGGCCCACTTTCGACGAGAATCCTGCGTCCGTCTTCTGCTGCAGCCACAGATGTCCCCTCGACGGCAATGTTGTTCCCTCCCACGGTCTATCACCTTGCGATTCTCCTGGACCTGGTTCTACGGTTCACTTGGTCCCTCAAGCTCTCCCCCCACCTCGCCCAGCTCGTAGAGCTGGAATCCGGCGTCTTTGTTCTGGAAGTGGCCGAGATTGCTCGAAGATGTGGTTGGGTCTTTCTCAGGGTAGAGTGGGAAGTCGTCAAGAGAAAGAGAGCGGGCTGGCTGCTGAAGGAGAGGCGGACAGAAGAGAACTTGGAGATGAGCTCTGCAGTGAGAGGAGGCCCCGCAGAAGGCGATGCTCTGTGACGCGCCATACCCAATCTCTATGCAGCAACACTTTCTTTGCTTAGATATGGTGATGTGATTGCACTCGTGCCTCATGCAACGACTCAATCGTTCATGCCTTCGCCTTCTTGCACAGATGCAAAGTTGAGCGTTTCGATCTTGCCCTTGCCCTTGGACTCTGTCTCCAGCAGGTCATTGAGCACTCTCAACGCTCCCGGATCAATCTCGGCAATCAGCTCCCACTCCTCTGACCAGTCCTCCTCTTCGACCTTTTCCACATTCTCAATGACCTTGTCCTTCAGCCTCTTGCCCTCTTTGCTAGGCAAGGTGAGACGGATCCTCATCCGTGCGCGCTCCAGGGGTAGGACATTGTTGGACTGCAAAAGCTTTATCACATCCAAAGCTTGTGACTTGGCTGCCTTGCCCGTCTTGACGCTGTAGTGTACTTCGGTCATGGCCTTTTCGATCACCCCTACCGTGTAGGGCCGCTTATTCGATGGATCCACACAGCGTGATGAGACTTGGGTTGCGATGTCACGCCAGAGATTGGTCAGCTCGGCGCTGCGCTCCTTCTCGCCTACTTGTAGCTCGCCCTTCTTCAGGATCTATGAGAGGTAGCAGAGAGTACTCGAGTTAGCTTTCCACAGATCCGCACGCATATATCTCTTCCAATTACTCACCTCGAGCGTGATCTTCTCCCGATCTGTGGTGTTGAAGGCCTTCTGCAAATCCTCCTGAGGCGCCACTTGTCCCTTTGAGACGTTCACAAAGACGTTTTGAATCTGTACCACCTCATCCAAATCCTTCTCACTGTAGCATAGAATGGCGAAAACGTTTCGTCAGTATGCTGGGCATTCTATCCCCCCACGCTCCGGCGAGCCAGACTCACACGCCTGTCCTCCACTCGCGAACCTTGTTCTTGTAGCAAGCAATCTCGAAGCGCTTCCCGCCCTTCTTGAGTCTCACGACGGACACATTTGTCAGCTTGATCTGGTTGGCCGCTACCGAAGCAATGGGGATTGAAAGAGGGTAGAGATCTGTCAGATCTGGCCTCGATGCTGCTGCATTATGCACGGCGGGCGACTAGGGCAGCAAGCTCACTCACGTTGATTGATACTACGACATCGCCAGACCGAATCAGTAAAAGGAAGACCTCCAGGCATTGTCAGGCGCAGACACCTTACACTCAGATCTCACTCAACCTCCCTTTACTTACGGCATCTTGCTTGACTGGGGTACGAAGAGGATGGTATATGCAGTACGATCACAGAGTGCAGCCGAGACACCTCCATCGGAAAGGAGAGAAAATCCGCCGGAAACTCGGCTGCTCCACTTGTCGACTCGACTCGCTCGCCCGTGGGTAGGCGATACGATTGGAAACTACACAATGGTCTCAATGGGAATTTGGTGGGGTTTCAGGGCTCTCAACACAAGACGTGCTAAGGTTGGATCACTGCTTGCATCACACTATTCTGTTAAGTGCGGCTATGAAGGTACCATTATCTGTGACGATCCGCAATTTAGACTTCGACACTGGGCCAGACGGTAGTTCCTGTTGCTTTATACATGGTCTCACATCGGCTAGTCCAACTGCCGTTCTCTCGCCCTCATCCTTCACTTGTTTGACCGCTTTCAATCGCTACTGCATCGTCCATATTGCTGCTTTCCTTCCTCACTCAGAAGATAAGGGGGAACATGACCTTTCGGCGAGGGTACTCCTTGCCGAATTCCTTCTTGTAATTCTTGTGCTTCTTGACCGCCCAGATGACCATCTGTCCTACGGAGACTGCTGAGAAGAGGGCAGCAGCGGGGGAGAGGGTCAAGAAGGTGAAGGCCAGCCAGGCGACAGTCTCAAAGAAGTAGTTGGGGCAGGACTGTGGAAAGGCCAAGAGGGTCAGTATCGTCGCATAGCCATATGTCGGACGCCCGCAGCACGCGCTTGAGACTTACGACGTATTCGAAAGCAAAGCCTCGTGGGATCTTCCTCTCACGGCCACCCTCGCTTCGAAGATTCCGCAGGATCACATGGCATCGGAAGTTGGCCAACTCAGCCATGGTCCATATTACGGCGCAGGCAGTCAGGTAGAAGGCGCTGGTCTGGGTGCTTCCCTGGAGAGCCTTGGCTCCGTAGGCGGGTCGGTAGATCGAGGCGGCGAGGAAGATACCAGACAAGATCCAGTAATGTGCCGAGTTCTTGAAGACATTGAAGAGGGGCATCGTACCGGAGGAGAAGCGGTGGACAAACACCGTCTCGTATTCACGCTTGAGATAGTGAGCGACCACGAGGGCAATTGCGACGATTTGTACGTCCGAGACTTCGTAAGAGCCATAGTACTTCTGCGAGGCTAGAAAGAAGAGCGGGTGAATGAAGATGGGACCAAAGTACTCGACGAGGAACACTGTTCGCCAGCCAATTTGAGGTCCCAGATCCTTGACGTAGAGATCATCGCCGCTCTTCGCACCGCTCTTGGCCTTATCATCGAGCAGAGGCTTCTTGTCGCCCGTGGTGATCCGCTGCCTCTCTTTCGTGAGCTTGGGGACTTGGGCGTGGATAGCCTTCTTGATCTCGAGAAGAGTTGGCTCAGATGAGAAGCTCAGAGTGAGCGGGTATGGCGAAGAGGTGGCATTGTTCGCAGCGGGTAGATTACGATTGTGCACCTTGAGCGTAAAGGACGACATGATAGACGCTCTTGTCGAATGAGAAGGATGCCAAGATAGCAATCTCACAGAGGTCCGAGCGAAGGTTCCAAGACGTGGCCCCACGTCAGGAAGGTCCGGGAGCCCTTCCGTTCCGAGCTCCGCGACATTCTTCCCGCCCAAAAATTTCGAAGCTCAATAGGTGCTCAGCGATCCTCACTACCTCGCCACTCTTGACCTGGTATCCACAAGACGGCGACACAGAGTTCACTTTATTCATCCGCCACAGACAGCTGCTACGCCTCCTCACTACCACCGCCAACCTCACACGTATCGCTGCGATGGCAAAGTCTATCCGCTCAAAGTCGAAGCTCGGCTCCCGCAACGTCAAGCGATACAACCCAAAGTCAGACTATGCCGTGGTGCAGGCTGCGCGTCTGCATCAGACCGCCTCAAGACTCGCTGCAAAGAACAAGCACGGCAGGACAGTAGCTGAAGAAGAGGCAGACGAGGTGGAAGGGATCGAGGGAGATGAGAAGATGCTTGAGGAAGAGCAACAAGAAGGGGCCCAGCCAGGAGATGCCGCTGAAACAAAAGGTTGGTATCGAGAGCAGCTCAGTGCAAGCAAGGACAGGTACAGCGATGCAGGACAGAGGGATGTGCATTTCTTCGACGATGTCTCGTACGCCCTTTTGGGCCTCTGCGATCCGTCAGAATTGAGCGTGAGCATGTTTGATGAGAGCGATGCGCCTTCTGACTCCGAGTCGGATGCTGGGCTCGCTATACAGCAGAGCGCCACAGCATCCCTCGAGAAGTTGGGATGGCTGCTGAAGGGGAACGATCAGGGCCAGTCATGAGTTCCACGTTTCCACTTCTCTACGCCCATCACTTGAGCCTGCGCTGACATTATCACCCATATGCTCTCTGCTCTCCCGGCACGCCCATTTTACGCTACCAGTAGACGGAGAGGCTGGTGGAGACAAGAAGGTTTCGACTTCGGGAAATAGGGAATCTAGGAGGGAGACCTGGAGGGCAGCAAAGGGCTGGAAGCCCAGGAAAGGCAGCAAGAATGGAGGAAAGCCGAAGAGGAGGAGGTAGAGGAGGCCAACATTCCACTGAGATACACAGAGTGAGGTTCAATCATGCTCTAACATAGTCTCTCAAATTCGCGACACTACACTGGCGGCCTCGTCATCATCCCGGCGATCAAAAACGCTCCTGGAACAGCTCACCAGCTCGGCACGCTCCGCACTTTGACGCTGCCCCGCGCCATCAACATACGAGTCTGCATTACATACCTACATCTTTTCCCCTCTGTTTGTACTTGTATCGATTGTCATCCGTTTTCATGAGCTCTCTCAATCATCATGACTAGTCAACTCGCCAACATGTGCCTCTCTATGTGTGGACCGGTGTGAGCCTGTGCTCCCACGCGCGAGCGGTGCCGGCCTGGAACGGAAGTGGTGGAGAAGAAGTTGCCCGATGTTGCCGCCCGACGCTCGTTGCCTCCCTCCATACCCACATACATCTTGCCTCGTTTGCTCGCTCGCTCGCTCGCTCACGCTCTCTTCATCATGCTGCGAACAATTGTTAGAAGAGCCAAGGCTCAAAGTGCACGACAGCCGGCAATCCGGTTCCCAGATCGCAAGGCGCCTCACCGTGAGTTGGACTGGAGGAGAGGAGTCTCGTGCCACAGTGATCCATCAGCCCAACTCTACTCCATCCTACCTAACACTCTGTGACCCTTCCTCTCTCTCTCATGCTCGAACCTTGCTTTTCTCAATTCTACAGAGAAATCCGAGACCCACCCTCATCCAGCCGCACCAGCAGAGATCGCCGACGACTTCCCCAAGTTCCAAAAGACGCTCGAGTCAGGTCCACACTTTGACGCCAATAAGCTGCAGCCCTTTGAGCTTGCTGCCAAGGAGTTCCAGGTTGGTATGAGAAAGGAGGACATGGAGGCGCAGAAGAGGGGAGGGTCGTCGGCTCCTTCTGAGGGTGGAGTTGATGGAGCTGCTGGAGGATCGAGGTCGGGACAGGGAGCAAAGGAGGCTGGATCTGGGTCTGGCGGACCGAAGTCAGGGCAGAGTGAGGTCAAGGAGGGAACAGTGGAAGATCTGCATGACCTACCGCCGAGATTCTGGAAGACTTCGACACTTGTGATGGATGAGGTAGAAATGGAGGCAGTCATGGTGAGTGTGTAGACATGGGGACGTCTGATGCCCGTGGAGCGAGACACTGACCCCTCTCCCGCTTCGTTCATTGCTGACTCGTCTTGCAGAGCGGAGGAGCTTCATTGTCACAGCGAGCTTGATGGTCAAACTTTTCAATGCTATAATCCCACCTAGCTTCATGGAGCGTACTTGACAGGTACAGCGGCTATGTAGTGACGAGCTCGCCCAAGTTGGTGTACATTCAGTCGCCGCCTCAGACCCCTTTCTCCCCTACGCAGAGTCAGCCGCTCCTCATTTCTGAGCAATCTCAGTAGCTTGCCTCTTGTAGCTCAGCAAGTCCCTCTTCAATTTGTCCACGTGCATTCTGACGATCTTCTCAATCTCCCTCTCAGTGACATCGCCGCCCCTCTCGTGCTTGAGTCTTATAGCCTTGCATTCCTCTGCCTTGAAGACTCTCCCAAGGGTCTGGTATTCCCAGTGAGTAAGCGAATGCAGCAGTACGGCGCGATTTGCGCAGAAGGAACCGCAGAGAAATACGTGCAACCTGCCTTTTTGCGATGAGCGACGCTTGAAAGTGATGCTAGGGTCTTTGGCGCTTCTGTGCTCCACGACGTCTTCGGCATCTGGGGAGAGGTAGCGGCGTAGAGAAATGGTCAGCCGGGGTAGTGAATGATGTCGCTATGATACAATGACTCACTGGAGCTCATGTCCGAACTCATCAGATCCTCCTCCTCCGTGTCGAGGAACTCTAGCGTATCGCGATTATAGAGCCTACCACCGAAGCTCAGCTCTGAGTCACACTTCTGCTTCGAGCGGTGGCAAGCGCTACATCCTCGATGATCCTGTACTTCGCTAGAGAATAGCAGTCTTCTTTCCAGGTTCGGGTAGTGCCTCAGGTACCAAGTAAATTGGCGACGCATCGCCGAAGAGGACAGCAATCGTCGCGAGTCTTCCACATGTTGTTGGAGCTGCTGTCGAGCTCTGCGCAGCTCTTCCTGCCGCGACCGGGGCAGCTGGGTGACTGTACTCAAGATCTTCATCGTGATCCAGCGCAGGTACTCTCCACAAGCCTCGCTAAAGTCGAGCTTTCGTCCGAGAACACTTCCAAGGCTCAGTGGAGAGCGCTGACGGGCTGTAGGCAAAGGGGCTTTCTTTTTGACAACTCTGCCGCTCTCATGGATGATCTCGTCGTCACCTACAACGAAGCCCGAAGAACTGGAGCTACTGCCGCTGCTACTCGATACTGACGATGCGCTACTGTCGCCATCCGCTGACTGCGACTCGTCATCAGCATCAGAATCCACGACGATACCCTTGCGAGCTTGCTGTAGCTTCTTTAAGTGTGAGGCAAAATCTTTGCGGGTTGAGGGAGCAGTGGACCTAGCGAATGCATCGGCATTGATGTTGGATCGAAGGTCGTCCACCTCGCCTCCCTGGTGCTTGTGAGTTTTGGAACTTGAGCTTGCCTTCGTCTGTCTTTCTGGCTCTCGCTCTTTGTCTCGCTTCTTTTTCTGCTTCTTCTTCGCCTTCAATGCTACACGCTCGCGCTCCATTTCTTCCTCCCTTTCGCGCTTCTTCCTCTGCAGCTTCTTCTCCTTGATCTTGCGCTCTCTTTCAGCACGTTCCTCATCATCATCACTGCTGGTGACTATTTGACCACCATCCTCTGGTGCTTTCCTCTTGCCTTTACCATTGCTCTTTTGAGCTACCGCCTCAGGTCGCGGATCCTTGATGGGCGACGCAGGTTCGTGAGCCCAATCTTTTTCCTGCAGCTCGATTCCTTGCAGACGACGACCAGAGGTTGTTCCCGCTGAACTGCTCTCTGCCGTTCCCGTGGGCTCATCGGATGCACTGAAGAGGCTGCCATAGCTTGCATTGCGAGAAGCGGGGCCGCCGGGTGTGTGAACGGACTGCTCTGCCAGGGGCGCCCCTGGTCGAGCGGCTGTCGATGGTCCTGGTGTAGCTGCGACAGCGCTGTCGGGTACACTGACTTGCGACGGTGAGATTGATACTGCAGGCCGGGCACGGGGGGGGCGTCTTCTGACCGAGAGGAAGTGTTCCGAGAACGCGAAGGTCGGGAGCGGCTGACGCTGCTCTGGTGTCATTGTCTGCCAGTGGACTGTCGGCGTCGAGGCCTCCTTCCCGTAACTCCAGCCAGTCTGGTTGCGCACTCAGTACAGGGACCGTCGCAGAACGTTTGGATCCCACTCCTGGCCCTTCGCCCTGCTCAGCGGTCAGAGCTGGGGCGACGTTCGTGCTGACTTGCTTCTTTTGCCGCGCCTTTCCAGAATGGCTCAATAGCAGCTTGCGTCTCCATCTCTTCACATGCTCCTCATGAGCTCCATGCTGACCTTTCCAATCTTCGAGCTCAATCTCGAAATCGACTGCCGAGTCCAGCTGCTCTTGTGTAAGGGGCTGGTAGCGTAAGAGCTGATCATCTTCCGAAAGCGCAATGGGCGTCGCCTTTGACCGGTCCTTCGACGAGGAGGCTCGGCCGCGACCCGCAGCTTTCGGTTTCTTTGAAGCAGACATGCCTCAAAGATGACCTCAAAAGAGGGTGAGGTGGCCAGTGGATGGCACAGATGAGAATGGCGATGGGTCGTCGTCTACGATGAACAGGACTGACCAGACTAGCAGCGCCTGTGCGTCTGTCCGTCGGTGTGTGCCTCCGCGATTGATTGGGTCGACGGAAAGAGGATCGCCGGACTTTGAAATCTCGCTTCGGGAGCAGCGACGCAGGGACAATTTTTTGGCGGCGAGGAATTCTTCCTGGCTGGCGTCACTCATACGCAGCCAGACGACCTTGCAAGGATCGTCGTGGGCCCAAATTCCACCCTTTACACATCCTCTTCCAGCTCAAGATGTCGTCCCTGCCGCAGCAGAGGCGCATAGAGGCACGGCCGTCCGCCCTCAGCCTCGATCTGGGCGACAGCTGCTCACGTCTGCTGGCTGACCCAGCCGCGGCGCTTGCAGTGCCCCCTACCGCCCGCGCCGTGCTCGAGCAATGGGTCAGCGGTCAAGGCTCTAGTCACAAGAAGCCGCAGAAGCTGTTGCAATGTCTTTCAAGTCTCCTCATCATTCGCAAGCTCACAATCGCTGTCGCAGCTCATTTCAGACCACTTCTGCTTGATCTTGCAGCAAGGCTGCTCCCCGTTGCAGAGGCTGATTCGTGGCAAGATGAGCGCCGTCTTGCCATTCTGTATGCCTTCGCCAACCTTCTAGCTCCGTTTCCCGAGATTTACCCGTGAGTACTATTGCCATTGTGGAATTGCCAACAGCTGCTCGCAATCATCATGTAACATGACTGACGGCGTCTGCTCTGCTGTTGCACTACTCAGGATCGTATCACACTTTCTGGCGCTCCTTGCCTCCCGTGGAGACTCCATCGGCGATGAGCTCGAAGCTCTTCCCCAAGCAGGCACTGACTTGGCTCTTCTGTCGATGGCCCGACTCTGCATTGCGTCTCGACCTTTGGCTGCCCAACTTCGAGTTCAGATGCCTGCCAAGGTTTTGCACTCCATCTACACACGGCCGAAACAGTGGAGTCCTGCTTCTCGGTTGATTGCCATTAAGATTCAGGCGATGATGGAGGGCTTGCCAGAGAGGTCGCGTCAGGAGCTGGAGCGGGCATTCGTTGGCCAGCCCTCGGCGCCCTATCCAGTTCACGTGAGCAGTAAGACTGCTGCTGCTGCTGTGGAGATGGACCTAGACAGCGGTATGGGCGAGTTCGAGATCAAGATCTTCGACGATGGCACATTTTTGGAGTCAGTTGACGCTTGGGTGCTGGCGCTTGCCGAGAGGGATCGTCAGAATAAAGTCCGGAAGATGGCTCGCGCAATCGAGGGTCTGTTGATCTTCCACCAGACTGAGGAAGCTTGGATCAAGTCAACAAATCTGATCACATCTGTCAACGATGTCGCCGGTGTTCTGGTGTTCCTCTCAGGACACACAAGCGAAGCAGGCCGGCATCAAGCGCCCAGAGACGCTTTCTTTGTGTTGACCCCCAGTCACGCACCGACTCTGAATAGCGTGGCTCAAGGCCTCGTGAGGCGACTACCGATTCTCTTGTCTGGTCCTCCATCTTCGGGCAAAACCTCTCTGCTGGATCACCTTGGCTCTACTCTACACCCGAAGAAGAAATCTGGAGAGTCCCAGATTGTCACGCTGCAGTTGGGCGACCACTCCTCTCTGGATGCCAAATCCTTGATAGGTACCTACACCTCATCTGCTCGCAATCCTGGGACCTTCGAGTGGGTGGAGGGCGCACTGACGAGAGCAGTACGCGACGGGAAGTGGCTGGTGTTGGAAGACATTGATAAAGCTAGCGGTGAAATTCTGAGCGTCATCAAGCCCCTCGTAGAAGCCTTCGGGCCATCAAAGCGGCTAGGAGCTTCGGCTGAGCTGGATCTGGGAGCCAAGGGAAAGATCGTGGCAGGCCCGAATTTCGCCCTCTTTGCCGTACGGTCCGTCAATCCCAGCCGTAGCAGGGATGGCTCTGTTGTGTTCTCTCCCCCTGCATTCATCGGCGCCAGTCATTGGACCGAGGTAACGTGTCCAGCCCCCGGCGAAGAGGACATTACCCACATCCTCCAGGAACTATATCCGCGACTTTGCCAAGGCAAGCAGGGTGAACACCTTTTGGCGAAACTCATCAACGCCTGGAGAGCACTTCAAGCCTCTTCCGCCTCCAGTCAAGCTCAACAAGTGCCGGCCAGCAGTCGACGTCAGCCAACTTTGAGAGATCTTATGAAGTGGTGTCGTCGAGTGGAGACCCTCCTTGTGGAGAGCTCGATGACAAACGCGTCTCTGCTCGACGATCAGCGACACATGGAGCGGCTCTTCGTTGAAGCAGCAGAGGTCTTCCTTGGCGCCTACCACATCACCACCTCGCCAGCAATTGATGCATTCTTCAAGACTAGCGCAGAGGCTCTTGGGATGGCACTTGGCTTGACTGCCGATCGTGCTTGGTGGCTGCTACAAGGCCGTACCCCGGACCTGACTCTAAAAGGCAACCTCGACGCATTGGACTCGGCAACATCAGTCGCAAAGCTGAAGATGGGCCGAGTGGAACTGCTGAGACAGCCGAAAGCACACAGCAGCACATCCTCTGCCGTAGTCCCATCTTCTCGAAGCTTTGCTCTCACAAGACCTGCGGCCGTTCTCCTTGAGAGAGTCGCTGCCAGTATTGTCCTGTCAGAGCCAGTCTTGCTTGTGGGAGAGACCGGTACTGGAAAGACGACGTCGGTCCAACACCTTGCTTCTCTGCTTGGCCAACCAATGGTGGCTTTGAATCTCTCCCAGCAGACGGAAGCTGCTGACCTGCTAGGCTCCTACAAGCCTCTGGAACCTCGGCTGCCAGCTATGGAGATCCACAACGTCTGGTTCGATTTGTTTGAGAGGACGTTCTCTGCAAAGAGAAACGCTCGTTTCGTCGAGCTAGAGCGCAAAGCATTGCAGACCGGAAAGTGGGCTCGTCTGGCCACCTTGTGGAAGGAAAGCATTCGCATGGCCGATGAACGTCGCGCCCGGAAGCTCAAGCTGCTCGACGAGGTCAAGGAACAGACCGACGCAGCGCCCCCACCTGTGTCGACGAGCCGCACCACCAAGAAGCGGAAGACGGCGCGAGGCCACACGCCAGTCTCTCCCGACGCCAATGCGACCGAAGAAGCCGAAAGAGCAGCCGAGGACTCTTTGGATCGTCTCTGGCAATCCTTCAGTGCTTCAGTATCGAACTTTGCAGTACAACATGCTTCGCGGAAGAGGAACTTTGTCTTCTCGTTCATCGAAGGTCCGCTCGTCAAAGCGATTCAAGAGGGCTCATGGGTCCTCTTGGACGAGATCAACCTGGCTGCGTCAGAGACACTCGACTCTCTGGCTAGTCTGCTGCAGTCCTCTACTAGCAGCATTACGCTTTTCGAGAAAGGAGACATCGAGCCGATCAAGCGCCACCCCAGTTTTCGACTGTTCGCTTGCATGAACCCTGCCACCGACGTCGGCAAGAAGGACCTCCCTGCGAGCCTTAGAAGTAGATTCACTGAGCTATACGTCCAAAGTCCTGATTCCGACCGTGAGGCACTGATTGCCATCGTCGAGAAGTACATCGGTCACCTGACCGCAGGCGATCGGAGTGCTTTGCTCGACGTAGCCGAGTGCTATGCGGAGATTCGTCGACTGTCCAGTGAGCATCTTCTGGCAGATGGCGCAAATCAGCGGCCTCACTTCTCTATTCGTACTCTCTCACGAGCGCTTACCTTTGCTTCCGATCAAGCTGGGACCTACGGGTTGAGGAGGGCGCTGTGGGAGGGATTCACCATGGCCTTCACCATGCTGCTGGACGACAAAAGCGCCACAATAGTTCGCGACTTGCTCAGTCGACAGATTTTGTCACGAGCTCGCAATGCCAATGCTGCAGCATCTTTTGTGCCCGCCAGGCCAAAGAAGAGTGGCATGTCCGAAGATGACTTTATCCAGATTGGCCCATTCTGGCTGCAAACTGGTCCCGAGCCTCTCGATCCTGCCACCGACTACATTCTGACCGCCTCGGTGCAAGCAAAGCTCATCGGTCTCGCCCGAGCCATTCTAGCTCGCAAAAGCCCTGTGCTGATTCAGGGTCCAACCTCAGCAGGAAAGACCAGTGCCGTAGAGTACCTTGCACGACGGACTGGGCATAGATTTGTCCGTATCAACAATCACGAGCACACCGATGTCCAAGAGTACCTTGGCTCATACGCCTCCGATCCAGACACTGGACGTCTCGTCTTCCATGAAGGCCTCCTAGTCCAGGCGCTGCGTCGAGGAGATTGGATCGTCTTGGACGAGCTCAACTTGGCACCAACTGACGTTCTCGAAGCTCTCAACCGACTGTTAGATGACAACAGGGAGCTCGTGATCCCCGAGACAGGAGAGGTGGTCAAGCCGCACCCTCGCTTCATGCTCTTTGCGACGCAGAACCCTCCTGGTATCTATGCAGGGCGCAAAGTCCTCAGTAGAGCTTTCCGCAATCGATTCCTCGAGGTTCACTTTGATGATGTGCCTCGCGCCGAGCTCGAGAAGATTTTGTCGGAGCGATGCAGAATCCCCCTCAGCTATGCTGGAAAGGTCGTCGCCGTCTTCGTCGAGTTGCAAAAGCGGAGGCAAGCAGGCAGAGTGTTCGACAGCAACCAAGCTTTTGTCACTTTGCGTGATCTGTTCCGATGGGGTCAACGAGAAGCCCAGGGCTACCAGCAACTAGCTGAAGACGGTTATATGCTCATCGCAGAGCGAGCTAGGCGCTCTGACGATAAGCTCGTAGTCAAGGAGGTCATCGAGGAGGTCATGAAAGTCCGCATTGACGAGGAAGCCATCTATGATGTTCGAGGAGCTGGCAAAGAAAGCGTTGCCTCTCGCGTAGGGGGCTTGCCACGATTGCAGGCCATGCTAGACGCTTCCGAAGCATGTGGCATCGTCTGGACAAGGGCAATGCAGCGGCTGCTGTACCTCGTTGCTACCTGCTTGAGGTATGACGAGCCAGTTCTGCTGGTCGGCGAGACCGGCTCCGGCAAGACGTCCGTCTGCGGTGTCCTCGCGCAAGCTTTGGGCCGTCAGCTGCATACCGTCAATTGTCATCAGAATACCGACACTGCCGATCTTCTAGGTGGCCAGAGACCGATCCGTAACCGGACCTCGCTGCTGGCCAAGGCTCGAATGGAGGCAGAGCGCCTCTTGTCGGACCTCGGACAAGCCGATATATCCACTCCTGGCGAGGAAGTCGACCTTGCATCAATTTCTTCGGCATTGACCCTGGCACTTGCTGCCTTACCCGTGGAAGATCCGCGCAAAGCGCAAGGTCAGGCGGCTCTGCAGCAGATCAACCAGGCCAGTGCCCTGTTCGAGTGGCGCGACGGTCCTCTTGTGGATGCCATGAGAGCCGGAGATCATCTCTTGCTCGACGAAATGTCCTTGGCGGACGACAGTGTGCTCGAGCGCCTGAACAGTGTTCTAGAGCCGGGTCGTACACTCGTTCTAGCTGAACGCAGTGGTGCATCTACAGACTCAAGCGAGCCTCTCAATGCCATTCAGATCAGGGCCAAAGACGGCTTTCAGATCATCGCAACCATGAATCCTGGAGGCGATTACGGCAAGAAAGAGCTCAGCCCTGCCCTTCGCAATCGATTCACCGAAATCTGGGTACCACAGGTCGAAGACAGGCGCGATATTTTGCAGATCTTCGACACTCAATGGCGAGACGAATCGCTCAGCGTGTGGGGTCCGGAGATCCTAAATTTCGCCGAGTGGTTCACCCGTCAGATCGGGGGAGACAGTAATGCAGGTGATCGAGCTGGCATCGGACTGCGAGACTACATCTCCTGGGTAGCTTTCATCAACGCTACAGCCGCTGGCTCTGCGCCTATCCTCGATGGCAGTGATGCCTACGCGCACGGCGCCTTGCTCACTTTCGTTGACGGTATTGGCGCTCTTACTGCTACCTCTGCCATGACTACCCTTGGCCTCCGAGAGCTCAGAGAAAGGTGCTTGAAGAAGCTACAAGAGCTCTGCGGAGAGCGAATGTCACTATCTGCAGCGGGAGACGCCGATCTCGTGCCGAGCAACGACCAGCAAAGATTCGCGATAGGTCCATTTGCTATCAGTAGAGGACCAGTCGAGTTACCCGACGGTGAAGACGAATTCAGCTTTCGAGCCAGTACGACGGCAAAGAACGCAGTCAAAGTGCTCCGCGCCTTGTACGTCCCCACCAAGTCGATCCTGCTCGAGGGCAGTCCAGGAGCTGGCAAGACAAGCCTGGTCGGCGCACTGGCCAAAGCCTCTGGCAACTATCTGACTCGAATCAATCTTTCTGATCAGACGGAGCTCATCGATTTGTTCGGTGCAGATCTCCCTGTGGAAGGTGGAGGCCCAGGAGAGTTTGCATGGAAGGATGCTGCCTTCCTCCGAGCGATGGAGCGCGGCGAATGGGTGCTCCTAGACGAGATGAACCTCGCCTCTCAGAGCGTGCTAGAGGGCCTAAACTCTTGCTTGGACCATCGAGGTTCGGTCTATATTCCTGAACTCGGACGCTCCTTTGGAAAGCATCCCAACTTCCGTCTCTTTGCTGCCCAGAATCCTCATCAACAAGGTGGAGGCCGTAAAGGCTTGCCAAAGTCTTTCCTCAATCGTTTCACGAAGGTGTACGTTGATGAGCTTCAAGCTGAGGACATTTTGACGATTTGTTCCCACCTCTACCCAGGCTTTCCAATGTCCGACCTGGAAAGGATGATTGCGTTCAACGCTCGTCTGCACGAAGAAGTCATGGTCAAGCACAGCCTAGGTCGCCAAGGGTCGCCTTGGGAATTCAATCTGCGGGATCTTCTGCGCTGGTTGACGCTGATTCACTCGGACTTGGGGCTCAACTGGGCCCACCGACCTGCCGAACACCTGGCATCACTTTACATTCACCGTTTCCGTAATCTAGCCGACCGACGAGCCGCAGGCGCTATCTATTCGGATGTCTTTGGAACTGAATACGACGTCGACCATCGTCCGTGGCCAATGCTTACTCCCCACCACGTACAATTTGGACATGTCCTCCTCGATCGCAAAGCCACAATCCCTTCGTCGTTGCAACAGCAATTTGCACTTCTCCAGAGGCAGTTGCCAGCTCTAGAGTCGCTGGCAGATTGTGTCCGCCTGCAGTGGTTGTCCATAGTGGTCGGACCAGCTGGTTGCGGAAAGACGAGCCTTGTTCGATTGCTGGCATCGCTGACCGGGCGGAAGCTACAGGAGATGCGGATGAACAGTGGTGTGGATACCATGGACGTCCTCGGAACATTTGAGCAGCTGGACCCCCACCGGAATCTCCGACATTTGGTAGACAAAGCAAAAGAAGCTCTCGATGCCCACCATCTCACAGCCTTGCGCTCTTCGTCGGAGGCAACCATGGCGTCTTGGAACGCCGCGAAAATCTCGAACGCTACTTGTTTGCAACTTTTGGCCCAGTCGACAGCGGCGCAAGAGGACCTTGCATCCTCAATCAAGCAATCTGCAGTTGACATCGACACCCTTGCAAATAGCGAACACGTTCAAGACCTTGCCCATATCGCTGCAGCTCTGAAAATGGAAGCCTCGGCTGCTCAGTCCAGCAGTGCAGCCGGCCGCTTCGAGTGGAACGACGGTCCTCTGCTCAAGGCCATGCAGGAAGGGACCTGGCTGCTCCTTGATGATGCCAACCTTTGTTCTGCGTCTGTCTTGGATCGTCTGAACTCGCTGTTTGAGCCTGGTGGCTCCTTGATCTTGAGCGAGCGTGGCGTCGTCGATGGCGAGATCGAGACTATTCGACCCCACCCTGACTTCCGACTCTTCATGGCCTTGGATCCTCAGCATGGAGAGCTCAGTCGAGCGATGCGCAATAGAGGTCTCGAAGTATATCTCGCTAGTCGCGACGGAAGTGCGGAATCTGCCTCTCGTGATGCTCAGCGTCTCGCAAGCTTGGATTCTTTCGGTCCTCTCATGTCCCTGTCGTCAGACTCTAGCATCTGGGACCTCGAGGAGACCAACTTGGGTCGAGCGGACCACGCAACCCAGCTGATGAAGAGCGAGAGCTTCTCTGAGGCAGGGGTTGAGCGCTTCCTCACAAGCTACCTACCGGTGCTTCAAGTGCATTTGGCATCTCGAGCGGCGTCTTCGCCTCGGAATGCCGTCTTCGCTAGCATGGCCACACTGCTACAGGACGATGCTACACAGCAGATCATAAGCAAAGGACACAGCGCATGGGGGACCAGTCATGCGGTTGCAGCCGCCTTTGTGCAAGAGCAAGCGAATGATCTAGGCCACAATCCCAATCTTTGGGACGGGGGCCTTGAGACCGCTCAAGTCACACGATCGGCTTTGTCACTGCTGTGCGATGCGCTGCTCATTCAGAAGTCCTTGCACAGTGTAGCAATCGAGGCGGGGCATCTCAAGCAAGCAGAAGGTGCAAGTGTGCTGCAACGATCCGCCCGGTACGCTGCTCAAAGATCCGGCCAAGACAATGTTGACGAGGATCAAAGTGTCCGTCTGCTCTACCCCTTCCTCCAAGCCATCGCAGTTTCCGCCCAAACAGCAGCAAGATCCATTGACGATGCTGAGACAATGAGAATACACCAGGCCATCTCTGATCGTGGCTTGTATCTGCTCAATGTAGCGGCCCGGCCACTCTTTGACTTTTCCGCCATTCAGATCGTCATGGGTGACATCTGCACCTTCCTGACACAGCTCAAGGGCACGGGCACGCAGCTCCTGGACTTGGCCACGGCTCTCTACCACAGAGTTGCTCTTACTTCTGGCTTCGCAATGAAGCAGATCTGGGAGCTGTCGATGCCCCCCGTCGCTTTCCCCGAAGCTCAGGAATCTTCACGAGTTTTGCTCGAGCTATTGAGCGCAATCGAGTCGCAGCGCTCCAACAAGCAGCTTATCGCAACTGCCATTGACGTTGTCGCCACATTGCAACTGCCTGAACATTTGTGGACCACATCACAGAGAGATGACGTCTCGTCTCTTGCACAAGACATTATCAAGCGGCTGCGTGAAGTCGTCGCTCAAGGCGGAAAGCAACCTCGAGGGACAATCTCAAAGGCCAAGATTACGACTTGGGAGGTCCAGTGCCTCGCTGCTCTGGAGCTGCAGACCCGGGGGCTTCGCGCCAGCCCGCTGCTGCCCGTCATCTCGTCCGAGGGCTTGAAAGAGATTGTTGACGCTTCTGCATATCCTTTGCGGGCCGCTGTGACAATTCGTCAGCTAGGCTGGCAAGCCGGACGCGCAGACATGCAGTCTGACATCGTTGCCACGTCAACGGATGGCTTCTTCGATTGGGTGGCTCCCCTCGCCGAGGATGGACCTGGCTGCGAGGAGCTATTCCGACCATTCTTGTTGAAGCATGCTCTCTTCCCGTCGCCTGCATCACGTATCACCTTGAGCGAGCTGCTAGTCTACCGCCAACAGTGTGCACGCTTGGGTCGGCTGACGTCCCTCCTGAGGCCTGCTACTTCGAAGTCGCGTGGCAGTAGTCTCTTGCAGGAGCTCGCTGACTTTGTCGCCGTTCTGATCAGAGCTCTCGAACCAGGACCAGAAAGTGCAACAGCCGATGATCGAACGTCTGCGGCGCAAAGTGCAATCCAGAAGGCGAAAGACAGTATCCGACTTCATATGAGGTCGCTAGACCGCTTTGACGCTGAGTCAGACTTCGAGCTCTTGACTCGGCTTGGTCAATGCTGCATCTCGATCGCGCTCGAGGTCCTTGCCTTGTACCTTCCAAACGTGGCCATCGACCCTCTCAGCTCGCTGCGAACCCGCGAGTGGATGGCACAGGACCAGATCTCGTCTCGGGATGAGCAGGTGCGCATTGCACGCTATGCAGAGGAATTGCTGACTGGCAACAGCACCAGCCCCATGATCGGATTCCTAGGCCGTCGTCTGGATGATTCACTTGCCGAGCAGCGCACTGTTGTGTCCAAGAGTGCAGTCTCTCGGCAGCCTGATCTGGCCATGTTGACTCGCTTCTTTGGCGACGTGCATTCTTTCACAAGGCAGATGCTAGACCCAGCTAAGCTCCAGGATCTCACTGGACAGTTGGAGAATGCATGCAATGATCAGAGCGTAGCTCGCGAGCACAGTCTTCAGGCCTCGCTGCAGAGCTTCCGCAGCCGGCTGGAATCCGAGTATCAAGCCCTTTCAGACCTATGCGCTCCCCTCGCGACTGTCACTAGCATGCTTCAGATTGGCTTCCGTTCCCTGCTTGTTAGCTCACTGCAAGCTCGAGCACCTCCTGCAAAGAAACGCAACGAAGGCATCTTGGACGCTCTCGTCAAATTTCCATCCACGTACTCATCCGAGCACTTTGCACAGATGGAATTGCCCATCAAAGTAAAGGCTGGAGCCAGTGGATCATCGTCTCAAACCTCGCTTGCTGTGCCTATGCTCCTGACAGTGCTTGCTGGCTTGAGTCAGGACATTGCAGATGGCAAGGCTCCCAATGCCATCCTGCGCTTGCTCAGCCGCTCCTACGATCAGCTCTTCTTCGTCTGGACACTGGACAAAGAGGAAGAGAGGCAAGCTGCACAGGCTGAAGCTTCCTTGTTCAAGTCCCGAGATCTCGATATCGAGGACAAGGATGACCCCGAGGTGCAAGAAGCAGAGTTCAGGAGCATGTTCCCAGACTACTCCGAGGATGTCCTGGACAGCACTGCAAGCGGCACCGCGAATGGCGCCGCCAGCAAGACTCACAATGCCTATCTGAGGCCGGAGCATTTGTTGCGGCTGCACAAACTTCACCTTGCCATGTTCTCGCAACAGAAGAGCACGCGTCGAACATCAGAGTCTCGAATCTTCCGCCAGATGCGAACCGATCTCGCTCGACCGTTGCTCATCAGCTCGTACGACAGCTTGACGGAGAAACTTGACCAGTCAGGCGAAGCTTTCCAGCTGTCTCTGTTGCATAGTGAGGCGGGGCTTGACGCCAGCGACGCCAGCGTCCCCAACTTTTACCTCGATGCGAATGTCGCAGAGACAAGTAAGGGCACGGAGATTGTGCTCGGAATGAGGGACAGACTTGACGAGCTGGTCAAAGAGTGGCCGGATCAGATGATCCCGCAGCACATCCGCGATCGCTGTGACGCCATCTTGCGTCTCGACTCTGCGAGCCCAGTCGCCAAGATCCTCGCCGCACTCGAGCAGCTGTTTACACATACAGATGATTGGGAGGGCTACGCCAACTCTAGCAACTCACTCGAGAAGCACCGTGAAAAGATTCGCAAACAGATTTCAGACTGGCGTCTTCTTGAGCTCCATAGCTGGGCAAAGCTGCTGGACACTCAAGCAGAGCAGCACACTGCTTCTGTTAGCGAGTGGTGGTTCCGCCTCTTTGAGGTTGCTGTGCGAGGTATGCAAGCTGCTATGGCAGAATCCGAGCAGAAAGGCAACGAGCACCTGAGCTCTCTCGTCGGTCTTCTGGACCAGTTCATCCGCTCCAGTGACTTTGGACAATATGAGGCTCGATTGGACTTGGTCTCCTCCTTTGGCAGCTACTTGGAGTTGCTGACGCAGCATGCTCCCGCCTCTGAAACCCACGGACTCGACAAAGTCTCAAGGGTTCTACAGAATGTAAGCGCTTTCTACTCACAATTCAAGGGCAGCATCAATGAGCTCTACAGCAAGCAAAGAGCCAAGATCGAAAAGGAGATTCGAGACTTCATCCAACTCACACGCTGGAAGGACATCAACATTCTCTCCCTGCGAGTAAGTGCCCAAAAGACACACAGGAAGCTTCACAAGTGCGTTCGTAATTTCCGTACCATTCTCCGTCAACCAGTCGACCCAATCTTGGCAGGTTTCTCCGAGAGCAGAGTGGACGTCTCGCAGCCCTCTAGCAATCAGGTCAGTCACCGCCGCATTCCTCTACCTCTCGTAGACAGCGACAAAGCGCGTGCGGTCTTTGCATCTCACGAGGGCTACCGCATGAGCGCAGATGGCGTTCAACGCCCCCAGCACCTGCAGAATCTGGGGCGCACATTTGAGACTCTGCACCAGATTGCGGGCAAGGACTTGTCGGAAGCTTTGTGCGCCGTGCATGTTGACGGCCTGCAAGAGCTGGCGACTGCGATCATCGAACAGTCTCGAGCTCTTGCCCAAGCAACGCCTGCTTTGGCAAAAGAAGACAATCTCAAGGTGATTAAGAACTTGACAAACCGTAAGCGCAAAGCCTGGACAGATTTGCTGCGAGAGATGAAACGCATTGGTCTCTCGCCCTTTGTGAGCCCCGACATTGTCTCGCGCAATCAGGATGCGTCGTTCGTCTACGGTCAGAAGGTCCTTGACCCTCACGCGGATGATGAAGGCGCAAGCGATGTCAACGTATACTTCTACCGACTCTTGACTGGATTACCAAGGATGCGAGATTCTCTCCAGGCTGCTCAGGGCGACCTGCCCATGTCGGAGCTTCAGAGGGGCGCGTCCTACTGTGAGCACGCCATGAGCATCGTCTTCCAGGAGCGAGAGAGGCTAGCGGGCTTGCTGGCCTCGAAAACGCGCTTGAACGCGCTCGCAGCTAGACTGCTCAAGGTCACCGAGCTTCACGGTAATGACATGGAAGTAAAGAGATGCCCGAACGGCACTCTGCAGGCGGTCGAAGGGCTGACGTGGACGCTGCACCGCGTGGTAGCTACATTGTTAGAAATTGACGTTGAAGCTGTCAAGCACGCGGCCGTTTCCTCACTGAGCAGCAGAGGCATCGAAGCTTTCCGTCAAGAGCTGTCGCAGGAGCGCGTAGAGGCAGCAAGACTTGCAAAGCGAGTGTCAGAGCTGGTCGAAGATCTACACAGCTGTCATGCAGCCTTCTGGACTACAGAGGAGGAGGCGGTGGTCTCTGTGGCTGCTGCCTTGTTACCTCGCCTGGCCGACAGACTGGCAGCTGGTGAGCATGCCATCCCGGCCCTCGCAGCTCTTTGCGTCCCTACGTACGGCTGGTTGCGGAAGGTCAGCATGGAGACATCAGAAGCACTGAGCGCATCAATCAAGCAAATGAATGGAGGCACTGGTTCTGAGCGAGTCAATAGCACAGACTCTGTCATCACTTCCATTCTCCTCATTGCTCAAGAGGTTCGAAAGCTCCCTGCTTCACTCTCCAGCGACAAGGATGCCGAAGATCTGGCAGACAAAGCGATCGTATCTGATCTTCGAAGCTTGAGGACAGCCGAGCGCACATTGCGCCTCCCCGAGGTTATGGAGCAGGTTTCCGCGTCGCTGTCCGGCAATGAGCCACTCGTCGAGTTGGCTCGTATTGCTCCGTTCGTGGCAGTGTACGCTCAAGTTGTGTCTGCTCATATCGACTCTTCTTCGCGATGGCTACGGAGTTTCTCGAAGCTCAACCACATCATGACCAACACCGTCACTTCACTCTGCAATAAAGGCTTCTGCAAACCTCCCGAGCAAGATGACTCCAAGGAGGCAGATGCAGCCGGCGAGGGCAAAGAGCTCGAAGGCGGTACCGGTCTCGGAGATGGTACTGGTGCTCAGGATATCACCGATCAGATGGATGAAAATGAGACGATCGAAGAGCTTCAGAAGAATGAAGATGAGGAGAATGGCGACGCAGGCGACGAAACTCAACGCGAAAAGGGTGCTCGGGAAGCTGAAGACGACTTTGGGGGCGACCTTGAAGAAGTCAGTGCAAACGGCGACGACCAGGATGACGGAGAGGAAGAGCAAGACGGTCAGCAAGAAGAACCCGACGATCACGTTGGTGACGTTGATCCGCTCGACCCCAATGCGGTCGATGAGAAGATCTGGAGCGGAGAGAAAGACAAAGAAGACCAGAAAGGCGAGTCAAAGGATGAGACGTCAAAGGATCTCGATGGTCCGGATGAGGAGAATGCCGACTCTGCGCCTAAGCAAGAGGGTGGCAAGGAGGACGACAAGTCTCGAGGTGAGAGCGCCAACGACAAGCAGAAGAAGCAAGGCGAAGAGGATCAGGCACCTCAAGATGAAGCCAATCAAGAAGACTCCCAAGAAGTGGAAGGCAACGAAGAGGGAGAAAAGCAAGAGGAAGGTGACGGTGAGATAGAAGCGGAAGAGGATGCCGGTCAAGAGCAGCAAGGCGCAGGTCGAAAGATGGACGACAACATCAACGAGGGAGACAATCTGGACATTGACGATGAGTTGAAGATGTCGGACGATGAAGGCGGAGCGAATGCCTCTGACGTGGAGGACGATCTTGGAGACATCGATCTCGATGACGAGGCCGAACCCGGCGAAGACGACAAGGGGGAGCAAGAGGAGGGCCAAGAATTACCCTTCGATGCCCAAGAAGAGTTCGAAAAGTCCGAAGCGGAGCCAAAAGGAGGACAAGATGCTGAACCATCCGAAGCAGAGGTAGCCAAAAATGAGGGAGAGGAGGCCATGGAAGAGGACGACGAGGATGGCGACGATGGCACTGAAAGACAAGAGGGTGCCGATGGGCTCGATCACGCCGATACCGACGGACAACTCGACGAAGGCGCCGATCCTCTGCCGGACGACGACATGGCCACCGATACGCAAGCTGCTGGCGATATCTCGGCTAGTGCTAACCAATCACAAGGTGCTCGTGGGCGGCAAGGACGCCAGGCAGCCAACGACTCTCGTCCTGATGCACCCGAAGGCCAAGCCGAAGCTGACAATGAGGCTGTCGAACAAGACGATGACGCAACTGCACCCAAGGACAAGCCCTCCACCTCTGCTGCTGGACAAAAGGCGACGGAGGAAGGGGAGGCCAGTGAGCAGCAGCAAGATGACGCTGAAAAGGAAGCCAATCCGGTCAGGAGTCTGGGCGATGCGTTGAAGCAATTCCGTCGCAATCTGGACTCGATCGCCGAAGCGAAGCCGGATAGGGACGCCGACGAGACGAGGCCCACCGAGGAGAAAAAGGCAGACGGCGAGGGAATGCCTGAAGAAGGTGAAGTTGAGCACATTGCCGATGACGAAGATGCAGAGATGCAAGCTCTTGGAGCTGCTGATGAAGAGGAGGCAACGCAGAGACTCGCAGAGAGTCGCATTGAAGACGACACCCAAGCGTCTGACCTGCGGCCTACTGGCGACGATGCCGATGGAGACCATGATATGCAAGATGATGTTTCCCGCCTCGAGCAAGCCCCTCTTCCTGACTTTGATCAGGAGGAAGCTCGTCGTCAGCAGTCGTCCACTGAGCAGAGGCAGAAGCAAGAGCAGTCCAGCAAAGCTCTGCTGCCCTCTGACATCGAGAAGCAAGCGGAGCAAGACGCTCGACGACAGGCTGGTGTGGATGAACAGCGCCAAGAGGCAAGCAACGAGGAGGGGATGCTCGATCATGTTGATGGCGAGTACGAAGAGGAGCTCATTGATCCCGTCTCAGATGAAGCCCGTCAGCTAGCAGACCACGATGTTGAAGAAGAGTTGGCTGCGTTCCGCTCTCTCGAAGCGGACGAGCGAGCCGAGAAGGCTGCCGAACTCTGGCGATCGTACTCGACGATGACCTCCGATTTGGCCTTTGCTCTCTGCGAACAGCTCAGACTGATCCTGACACCTACCTTGGCCGCAAGACTGAACGGTGACTTCCGCACCGGAAAGCGACTCAACATGCGCAAGATTGTGCCCTTCATCGCTTCCGATTTCGCCAAGGACAAGATCTGGCTGAGACGTACGAAGCCGTCCAAGCGGGAGTACCAAGTTCTGCTAGCCCTCGATGACAGTCGAAGCATGGCCGAAAACCGAAGTGTGCATTTGGCCTACCAGACTCTAGCACTCGTCAGCGGTGCTCTCGGTCGCCTGGAGGTGGGCGATATCAGCATCTGCCGATTCGGAGAGAAGGTGCAGACCTTGCATCCCTTTGGTAAAGGCACCTTTGGAGACGAAAGCGGTGGTCAGATCCTCAATCAGCTTTCGTTCGAGCAGAAAGGCACGAACATGGTGCGGCTGGTGGAGCACACCCTCAACTCTCTTCAAGAGGCCCGAAACACTAGAGGCAGCTCTAGTGGGTCATCTGCAGCGGAACTCTGGCAGTTGGAAATCATCATCTCAGATGGGGTCTGCCAGGATCATGAGCGACTGCGATCCCTCTTGCGTCGCGCTAACGAGCAGCGTGTGATGATCGTCTTTGTCATTGTCGACTCTCTGGCAAGTGGCAGCGGTGGAGGCGGTCAAAGCAGCAAGGCAAAGCAGGGTGCGGCGGCCAACTCGATCCTGTCCATGTCGTCGGTGAGGTACGAGACCGACCCTGCCACGGGTCGCATGGAGCTCAAGATGGATCGTTACTTGGACAGCTTCCCCTTTAGCTACTACGTTGTGCTGCGAGAGGCAGAGGCATTGCCAGAGGTCTTGTCCACTACTCTCCGACAGTGGGCGGAGAAGATCAGGGAGGCGGAGTGAGAAGATGTAGTAAAGAGCGAGGGGAGGCCGTAGACTGTCAAGACGAAACGTAGAATTAGCATCAATTGTTACCATTGCTTTGTACCTTGTATGTGTGTGTATGGCCTTGAGCACCATTGCCTCGCCTCTGCGCGGGTGGAGCCGTGGCCGTGGCCCGGGAGCCGAGGAAGACGCCGCCTTGGCCTCTATTGCTTTCTTCCTACGCCTCTTCTCCATCTGCCTTTACATCTCTTTACAACCACTGCCTCTTCCCAAAGGTGAGTATCGATGGTCAGCAGAGTGCATTGCTCGTAGTGCTTGATGTCCTTCCCACGCTTGTCCCTGACCCACGCAGCTCCATGCTCTTCACCCGCTTTCCCTGCCGCGTCTCTTCTTCCCTTCGCCCCGTTCTCTCGCACGACGCCTTTCATCCACACCACTTTGCCCTCGCACCTCGCCCTCATCTTCGGCCTGCAAGTCTTCGTCATATCAGCTTCACACCAGCAATCATGAGCTCTGCCACTCCTTACCAGATCGTCAGCACCGACAAGGCTCCGGCCGCCATTGGAGCCTACAGCCAGGCTACTGTCCACAATGGAGTCATCTACTGCTCCGGCTGTGAGTTGCAGCGGTGGAGGGGGAGAACAGTCAGCGAAAGCTCACTCTGATACATGATCTCTTTTCCCCTGTCTTGTTTCTCTGCAGCTGTGCCCTTCGACCCCAAGACGATGGAGCTGGTCAAGGGAGAGATCGAGGCCGAGGTGACTCAGGCCATGCAGAACATGCTGGCCATCGTCGCAGCTGCTGGAGGAGACAAGGGCTCCATCCTCAAGACGACTGTCTTTGTCAAGGACATCGGTCTGTTTGGCAGGATCAACGCCGTCTACGAGCAGGTGAGTCCACAATGCAGTCACCGAGGATCAGAAGAAGAAGGAGAACAGCGCGTAGAGGACTCACTCACACCATGCGCATGTCACCCAAATTCCTTCCCGCCAGATCCTCTCGCCCTACAAGCCCGCCCGTTCGCTGGTTGAGGCTGCCAGGCTACCAAGAGACGTCAACTTTGAGATTGAGTGCATCGCTGCTGTCAAGGCCTGATTGGCCCCTGTAGCCGCTCTCCCTCTTCTTTTCTTCCCTCCCCTTCTTATCGCCCAAGAAGTGGTACCGGCGATATCCGCGTCGGGGTGGAATCAAAACTCAGCCTCGGCTCTGACGCCTGGCTTGTCTCCGCCAAGAGTGACACCGAGGGCTGATTATCATTATCGTGAATCTCCTGACTTCGTAGTCTCCCCTGTTTCATCGCCCCCTCGATCGTCCACCATCTCCCCTCATTCGCCATGTCAGCCGACGCCCAGTCCCCTTATGCCGTCGCTCGTGCGCTGATCGATGCCGCCCACGCCAAAGACCCTGCCTACCTCGCCCGCACAACCACTTCCGAAGACGCCTCATCCGACGCTAGTGATATCAACCACCAGGATGAGCTCTCCTACGCCGACGGGGTCGAGTCATGGGCCATCAAGCTCCTAGAGAGCAATCCTGCCAAGTCTTCTCTTCTCTCTTCTGGCCCTGGTGGACTAGAGCTGGTGAAGCTCGCAGCGCGGTGTCAGCATCTGGAGCGCTTCCTCACTCCCCGCTCCTCATACCCCGAAGGTAAAGCGGGCTACTTCAAATGGCGTCGCTCCCTGTATGTAATTCAGGCAAATCGAGCTGCTGAACTCTTGCAACAGGCAGGTGTTAGTACAGAAGAGCAAGAGTTGGTCAAGAAGTGGGTTAGTAAGACGGATTTGCAGCCGGGGAAAGATGCTGGGGATCCGGGTACACAGCTCTTGGAGGACGCGGCAGTACTCGTCTTCTTGGCGGATCAGCTGGAGGACTTTGCAGAGAAGCACGAGGACTATACAAAAGAAAAGATGATTACCATTCTTTCAAAGTGAGTAGAGGCATACCATGTCCCGCCTGCTTGGAGGTCATTTGCTCACGCCGCACTGCCTCGCCTCGCGCTGCTGTGATAGGACCTGGAAGAAGCTCTCGCCTCACGGAAAGGCTGCAGCAGCCGCGATTCCGCTCGAGGAGGGATTGAAGAAGATGGTAGCAGAGGCAGTGGGCGAGATCGATAAACAGACTGCAGCTGCAAAGGAGTAGATGAAGGCTGGCAGTTGCCTGTAGATTCGTATTCATTGTTGTACAGTAATTAGACGATCCAAGACCATGACCGACTGACTGACTGCCTCCTGCCTGGCGCCCCTCGGCCACTGCTCGGCGTATTTCGCCTTTTGTCCCACTTCCGCTCCCGATGAGAAGATCCGCACCCACCTTTGCTACTTTTCTTGCATCTTCTCACTAAGCTCCTCTTACGTTCAGCATGGCTGCCCAACTTCCTCGTCTGAAATCGGCAGCAGAAGCAGAAGCCTACCTTCAATCTGTCGCCGCTGCTTCATCCTCCTCCTCGTCATCCTCGACTCGCGCAGACGAGGCCTCTTCTAGCAACCTCGCAGCATCATCCTCATCTACCGCTCCCACATCCCCGCCCTCCGTCTTCGGCACCCGCCTATTCCGTGAAGGCGTCGACGACCCCAAAGCATTCAATGCCTGGGACCACGTTGAACCTCCACCCGAGTACCTCTCCACGATCCGCTCCCTCCTAGCAACCCAAGCCCTCACCCGAATCCCAACTTCAGAAGCTGAATCCCTCTACCATTCCCAAGGCAAACCAGCTGAATACTGGGATCACTTTTACTCGCAGCATGAGCACAAGTTCTTTAAAGATCGTAAATGGCTCGGTTCCGAATTTCCTGAACTCTTGGAGTGCACGGCGGAGGGTGCTGGGAGAAAGAGGGTACTAGAGGTGGGTTGCGGAGCGGGGAATACTGTTTTCCCACTTTTGGAAAAGAATCGAAATGCGCAACTGGAGATGTACGCTTGTGATTACTCGAGCGAGGCAGTTCAGGTAGTGAGGTCAAATGCGCTCTACAAGGATCCACCGGTGGGAAAGTGCGAGGCATTCGTGTGGGATTTGAGCTCGCCAGAGGGGATTCCTCCCGAGGTCAATGTAGGAGAAGGAGGCGAGGATGGGTTGGACTTGATCTGCCTCATCTTCTGCTTGTCGGCACTACATCCTCGAGAGTGGGCACAGGCGGCGCTCAACCTCAAGCGGCTCCTCAAACCTGGTGGGTTGATCTTAGTGAGGGATTACGCGAGGTATGACCTGCCTCAATTGAGGTTCAGAAAGGGAAGGATGCTGGACGATAATTTTTACGTCAGGGGAGACGGCACCAGAGGTGAGTTGAGCAGGTGAATATACGTCGTACACGGAATGTATGGCTGAATTGTCCCTTATGTTTCCACATTCTACCAGTCTACTTCTTCACCCCCGAGGAGCTACGCGAGATCTTCAATGCCGGCCCTGCTCCCTCTCCTCACGCTCCCTCAGCACCCACAACAGAAGACGAAGCCCCCTCGGCCGCCGAAGAAGCAACCAGCAATGGCACAATTCCCGTTCCACCCACAGAAGCAGTCGATGCCCAACCAATCTCGCAGGAGCCCGAAGGAATCTTCGATTTCGATACGCTACAGATGGCGCTGGATCGACGGATGTTGGTGAATCGCAAAGAGGACAAGAAGATGTATCGCAATTGGATTCAGACCAAGTTGCGCAAGCGGTGAGAGAATTTAAGGGCAGGCTCACTGGTGCCTCCTTGCGGTGGAAAGGTCGGCTCGCTTTGCTTTGATCGTTCGACTGTTTCACATCCTGTACTTATATGTCCACACATAGAATCAATTGTCACTCCTTGATCAGATCGAAAGGCATGGTGGTGTGAATAAGCGTTGATGATCGTTGGCCCTATAGATACAGTGTATGTGACGGTGATGCGAATGCTCACGAGTGCTCGAAAGTGTACGAGTTGAACGGCTTCCAAGCGCCGCTACTCGGAGGAGCCGATGGTGAAAGCGAGGCCTCTTGCTCCTGACCATCGTCCTCCGCCATTCCTTCGCCATCGCCCTTCTCCTCCTCCTCCTCCTCCTCCTCCTCCTCCACGTAGGAGCTCTCCCAGCTTTCTTCCTGCTCCTGCCGCCGCCTCTCCGCTTCTTCTCGCTCCTGTTGCTCTTGTCTCTCAAGCTCCTCCATCTGCCGCACCCGCTTTCCCCACCAAGACTCGCCACTCCCTTCTTCAGCATCACCTTCAGCGACATCCTCCTGCGACGCTACCGACTCCGCCTCCGCTGCCGCTTCCGCAGCTGCTGCTGCCGCCGCGGCCGCCAGTGCCTCTCTCTGTCTGCGAATGCTTTCAGCTCGCCGTTGCGCGATACCTTCCTCGATCTTACGCTGCTCTTCCTCCCGCTCCCACTCTTGCTTCTTCTCTTCCAGTCGCTTGAAGAGAGCAAAGAGTCCGTCCCCTGCTCCATTTACGGGCGGCCTGCGTCTTGCGAGAAGGGAAGAGGAACGACTGACAAAGGTCGAAGATGGCATCTGCGTCGCCGGAGGTAAGGCCATACCTCCGCCATCGATGCTAGAGCCGAATGAAGAGGCAGGAGGCAACAGTGCTTGTGTGAACCTCTCTTCCGCCAGACGCTGGTCAGCCGGAAAGGGAAAGATCTCCTCGTTCATCTCGGTCAGAATGTCCCCGGTGTCTTCATCGATTTCAACGTTCCTCGAACTTGGGGAAAGAGACGGGACCTGGATGTCGTCAAAGTCCTCTAGCAATTCTTGCGCTCGTTCCGCAATCTCGCATCGGACGTTGGAGTGCGATTTCAGCAGTGACTCTGGTCCACCGAACCTTCTCTTCTTGCGGCTAGTGCCAGCGTTGCCTCCTTGACCCCAGTCGCCGGCTAGCTCGGCTAAAGTGAGTCTACTGCCTTTTCTCTTGGGATCGGTTGCTTTGACGCAAAGCATTCTCCACACATCGTCATCCTTTGTGTTGCAGAGCTTCAAGCCGCTTTCCTCGATTGTCCTCAGGAATGTAGTCTTGGCCGCCTCTGCCTGCTCGAATTCGAGCCTCTCCAGCTGCTCCAGTCGCACCATCTCCTGCTGAAGTATGTCTTCGACATTGCCAGGGGTGAGCGATCTTGCCAATGCGCAATAGGAGATGTGCCTGCGTCTGGTCGGCGGCGCCTGCTTTGGAGGAAACTCATGGGCCGGATTGCACAGAGGACATGTGCGCAGGGAGCTGAAGACGAAATTCGGTATGCTGGACACGTCGACAGGGAGCGGCTTCGGCCCCTTGACTACCTTCGGCTTCGGCAACTCCTCGGCGGCAGGCTTCGGTGACTTGACGGCTCCTGGCGTCCTGGGATTTTGAGATGGTTTTGTAATTTTCGCAGCCTTCGGCGTCTTCGCTTTTGCTTTTCCCTTTGCTTTGCTCGGTGTTTGGTTGCTGCAGACAGAAAAGGGCGCTTGTAAGCCTCAAGTATCGGTCTCCACTGAAAATGGAGATGTACTCACCTGCTCGGCTTTTTGCGTTCTCGTACTGCTTCGCTCTGACCGTCGACGGAACTGTCAGCATCCGTGTCGGAAAAGGTGATGGAATCGTCGTATGTGGCGATTGGTCCCGCACTGACCATACCGGCGGGTCTCATCGCCGTGCTTTCGTCGTGAGGCCTGCGAGGCCGGCTATCTTCGCTCTCGAAGGAGTCATTGTCCTCGATTTCTATCTTCGGGAGCTGGTGGGCTACTCTTGTGCTATTCTGCGAGCTGGACATTGTCAAAAGGCTGCGAGACTGGACGCCTGCCGCTTCAGATTCGACTTTGACCAGCCTGCTCCTTGCAAAGGCCTGCGAAGAGGGCTCTCCCTTTATGCGCTGCAAGTCGAGAGGAGCCGCCTGCCTCGCATCTTGCTGAGATGGCGGACCAAAGCTGGTTTCTGAGGATGAGGCGAAGGGAGCTGCTGCAGCCACTTCTGTACGCCGTTGTTGCGGTCGAATGGACTTTGGACTGGTGGCAGGGGCCTTGAATGAGTCGAGATGATGCTTGAAGCGAATGACATGTAGCTCTTCCTCATCTTCTTCTTCTGCCTTGAGTGCTTGAGGGTTGGGGACACCGTCCGCTGGCTCAGCGTCGTGCACCCTCTTGCGTACGGGGCGAGCACGACCTCCGCGGGCCGTCCCAGTGCCTTTGCCACGAGAGCTGCTCGTGGGATCATCGATGGCGATGAAGACGGGAGAATTTTCCTCGTCGGAGGAGATACTGATGGCTCTAGCACTTTGTGAGTGCTGCTGGGCCTGCTTGCCAGTCTGTCTCTGTGACAGCTGAGAAAAGACGACCTCGACACTTCGGCAGGACGAGGAAGACTGGCTATTGCTGGGAGAGAGAGTGGGGATCTGAGCGCGTGGAGACATCATGATGGGAGCTTGGGGATGTACAAAGGTGCAGGAGAGTCCATCGAGGGAGCTAGTCTTCCGAATCAAGGTCACCTCATTTCGTCGTGCTCTCCAGTATGGCTCTTTGGTATGCAGGGCGAGGTGATGGCGGCTGCCTTGGTCAATCTCCGTGTGGTGGTCTGGCCGGCACGGAAGTAAGGGAGCGGAAGCCAGGGAGCGGAAGGCGGAGTTTGAAGCAGAGGCGCATGGACGCGTCGGGATGCGGGGACCCCCATCAGACTCAAGACGCCTGGAAAGGGAAGCGATGCTCTTGCCTCCCCACCATTACATTCCCACATACTCGAAGCACATTTCACCCATTCACACCACCAAACCAATCTCAAAATGCCGCCCAAGAAGTCTGGATCCGGAAAGAAGAAGGCACCCACCGCATACAACGTGAGTACAACCTACCTAGAAAGAGCATCAAGACGCGCTCCGCTCTGTTGACACGTCCAGACGCTCTCTACCACCTTGCTCCGCTCATGGCTCGTTCTACACCCCTCTAGCTCTACATGAAGACCCAGCTGGAGAAGCTGAAGAAGTCTGAGCCCAACTTGGACCACAAGGAGCGCTTCAAGAAGGTCGCCGCCAGCTGGGCCAAGGACCCTTCGTGAGCATCTAGAGCTGAATCAGACGCGTGTTCAATCCGAGTAACAGCTGACCCTCCCGCGACCCTGACCTCGCTACCTTCACAGCAACCCCAAGAACAAGAAGTAGGCGAGGTCCGTGGTTGAGCACAATATGATACCAGTGATTTCTGCCTCGATAATGGGTGAGTCCTCTCGACGCGCTGCTGCCCAGTCGAGGAGAAGTCCCTGAAGACGTGCTCCTCACAAGCGAACACGGAGCTATCACGTGGACGAGGGGCCTCGTGACGTCTCTTGGATAGTCTGCTGACCATCTACCGTCTTCCATCTCCGCGTTTCACGAACAGTCTGTACCATGGCAATCTTGTAGCGAAGTAGTAGTCCTGTCATTGCGTGTCTTTCTCTGCTCCACGCTTCCTGTCTTTACCTTGTTTTGGATCTGAACCATCCTCTGGCCGCCGTCCGTACGAGTTTTGAAGGAGTGAGAGTCCGACGACTCTGAGCACATCGTCTGTCTCGTCTCACTCACAGCATTGCGACCAGGTGTGCTTGTATGGTAGCACCCCACGCGTTGCCTTCTGGTGGAGCGTGCGGAGTGGCCCCTGCACTGCATTCGCCGGGGATTGATCGGGGCGGCGTGAATGTGTGGATACGGACGACATACGCATCTTGATAGCGGGCGTGACAAGTCGAGCTCCATCGCTTCTACTTTCTGTTGCACCTCAAAGAGGTCAAGAGCATGTAGAACCGGACAAAGAAGCGTGTAGTATCTTCATTTGCCGTATTCTGCTGCTGTCTAGCCTCACAGAAGGCTCTATGCTCAGAGCCAGAACACGCATCTTGTTCCCACTCTCACTCCTCGCACATTCCCATTGAAGAAGCATCCGCCAGGTATACGTGAAGAGGGTAGCTTCTTCTCTCACATCCATCGACCGTCAGTATGAGATCGATCATCAGCAAAGTGCGCACCGGCTCCTTTTACCCTTGGGCGCGTGGGGGGAAGCTGCCTTCCTCTCTCCCACCTGCGTCTCGCGGGCGGGGGCGGCAGGTCTGTGCAGAGGGCTGGGTCTGTGCGCTTTCCGGCTCTGATCCTTGTCGCACAGCAGCAGCCATCACTCGTCTTTGTTATCTTGTCAAGCCCATCATTGATACTCGTCCCAAGTCCAGTCCAGCCTCCAGCGCCTATGGTTCGTGAACGTCAGACGTCATCTCCGTAGCAGCGCTTCGCATGTCATGCTGCGCGGTACCAGCTGTCTTGCCTGTCAGAAGGGCAAACGCAAATGCGTCCGTTCCAGCTACGATGATCCTCGGGGCTCTCCAGGGCCGTCTGACACCTCAGACACTTGCGACAGATGTCAGAGACTCGGCCTCAGCTGCTCTCTCGTCTCTCGGCAGCAATACACCTCCTCTCCTTCTTCATCGGGAACACCGGCCGCTCGCAGGACCTCGGACGGGGGAGTCACGGCTGCAGAGACGGAGATGGGGGGCCAGGTAGTTGGACCTAGGAGCGGACAGGGTAGGACGAGCGTCTTTTCTCTCGCAATGGCGGGATATCCAACAGTGCTCAACCAGACTCAGCCAGATCGCAAGGGCGATGGTGCTGGGGCCTCTTACACACTAGCCGAACTTCGTACTTGCCTAGGCGAAGTGGGGATCCGGAAGATTTCAGATTGGTGAGTAGCTGTGAGGATATACTTTGGGAAGCTATTTGTGTCCCAGCATCTGTAAAGGTAGCCGACATTTGATGCGATGCAACTCCCTCATCTCTCTAGGGTCGCAAATAATCTCATTCCCTTGTGGCCATTGTTGCCTACGCCTGAACAGCTACAGAATCGGCGTCTGTTGCCCTCCACTCTTCCGATCGAAAACGAATCTGCAGCTCGGCTACTGGAGATAGTGCAATACATTGCCGCTGCTCGTCACTTCGAGCACACCCTCGAGGATGAGTCGCTTACATACCCCGCCTGGGAGGGCGTCCTGCACATCTTCAAAACGGCCCTTGCCGAAGTTGTACTTTCCGGCGTCAACTCCTGGGATGCCTGTCTTGCTCTTCAGGTGGTGTCTGTCTTTCGTATGAGAGAACTGAAAGGTTTTGAAGATATGCCTTTCTCTCTCCTCCACTCTGCTCAGTGGGCAGCGGACAATTGGCGGTCAGGTGGTAGGCTGCAGAAAAGCGCAACACCGACTGTGGCGAGCCATAAATCCCCCTGGTTCGACATCTTATGGGCATGCAGCTCCTCGTGGCAGTTGTCCTTCTGCCTCGGAACCGCTGAGGGACAGAATCTAGTGGAGCCTCAGACTATGCCAACAGAGGTTGATATTGAGATGCTCTCGTCACAATGTCTCCTCGCCACTGCCCTCTTGGCATCAGATCGACATGCAGAACGGAGATTCCACGGCCTACAGCTCGTCTTATTGCGAGGATCTATACTACCACCGGTCAGAAGCATTTGGACAGCACTGCACGGCGATAACAGCGACTCCTCAACACTAGGCTGGGCTCTCTCTACCTGGAAGAAGGAGGAAGAAAGGTTGATGAGTGACACATCTTTGGGTGAGTAGACCTTCTCTCTTCTGGCAAGCTCCGTACCGGAGAATGCTCACTCTGTCCTCTACCCCTCTCATATAACCAATACAGGTCTGACGGGTCACAGTGAGCCGACTGATTTGATCTTGACAGAGATCAAGTTGGTCGGTGTCGTCGTCGAGGGGCGAATCCTTCGCGCTATGGCGAGCCGACATGCCCAAGCGGTCAAGTTCTTCGAACGAGTGTCCGAGATCGGTGCAAGCGCAGCTCAGGCGCGCATGCTCACTCTCTGTCTTCCCTCCTCGGACGCATCTTCGGCCTTTTCTGCAGCTCAAGAGCTCCTAGGCACAGCAGCTCGACCGCTCGCACAGCCGTCAGTATCCACTGTTCCTCACGATCTGCGAATGCCACCGGAGATGACCCTGGGCTGCCTCTTCTCCGCTGCCTCTGTACTCCTTGACCTGCACGTCCCGATGCTCAGATTGTCGTACATCACAAAAGACACAAGTGCCGCTTCGGCAATGCAGATTCACTTCGCTTGGCAGCTGCTCTGCGGCTGCATGTTGGATGAAGAGCGATCAGGAGTCGATTTTGATATAGCCGCACGCTGTAGATCGATTGCGGCAGCAGCACCCCCTCCAGGCTTGGGCGACTGGGAAACAGGCGGAATACTGTGAGGGCGAGGGCACCGCCCATGGCTACTATGGAAGACAAGGAGGGAGGGTATCGGGAACTGAATCATCCTTTAGGCGACTTCCCTCCGTCTACGCTAGGGGCCACTGCTGTCTCTACATCTGCGTCGGAGTCAGCATCAGCTTGATGACTCTTGCTGGGTGCAGCCATTGCCGTCGCTAGGAGACAAGCACAAGTGCACCACTCCATTGCAGTTGCCAGCACGGCTTCTTTGATGACAAAGGAAGTCTCAAAGCTACCTCCATAGGCGCCGCTGTAGATGTAGGGTCCAGCGAACTAAGGGGGATTGCGGTCGGTGATGTATGTCAGCAAAGGTCACCAAACTTGGGCTTGCACACGGCAAGACTTACGTTGATCATACTGTCGACTGCTTGGGCCAGGCCAAAGGCACCTCGGACTACGATGAACGGGCAAGCGGCCACCAGTATCGTAATCTCCGTCCTCAATTTAGACGAGACCCTCTTGGACCTGGTGAATGCGTCGTGGCCTAGTGCCGTCACCGCAAATATGGTGATGGCGAGAAATATGCCCTGACCGACACCTCTCAAGGCCTTGGAAGATTGGATGAGGGGCGCATCCGTCTCCCATGCTTCAACGATCTTGTCTCTGTCCATGGCAAGGGGAAGCAGACCACCGACGATGACCAGTGCATTGGCAGCGCCTAGCATCTGCGCAGCGCAATCGGAGGGGGACGGGGGAGGGGCAATGGGTCAGGCGAAATGAAAGGATAGTATGCTTCGTCGCGCTCCTGGGCTACGTACCAAGTCAAGAATAAATTCGGGCGACTGGGACGCTTCCTTGTAGCTGAGCTTGAGGTAGCTCTTGTCTGACTTGCCGTGGACCCATGAGTGACCGAAGGATCGTCTTTGCCAAGAGATCAATTGTCGCAGGATACAGAGGACTAGTGTGAGGTAGCCCTGCGGCGCAGTAGAGCATGTCGGGAAGGATCGAACATCAGTACAAGATCGGACTTGAAAGTCCGTCTGACAATTCTGTGCCTTACCTCGGCAGAGAGCGTGATGAAAGCCTTTAACAGTGCCAGTCCTGTAGATGAAGCCACTCCATACTGGTCCAGGGCGATCCCGACGCTCTGGGCGCCGAGACGTACGACGACGTGGAAGAGGAGAAAGGCCCAGCGACTTTTGAAGCTGGAGCGTTGGGCCGCAAAGCCTGCAACGAGGCAGATGAAGACGATGCCTGAACAGTGGGGTAAGTGGTGAGGGGGGGCGTGGTTGGTACATCGAGATGAGCTCTACGGTCGTGCTGCTTGTGCCTACACATGGGCTGACTTACTGTACAGGACCAAGAAGACAGTCGAGGTAATACCGAATGGGTGCAGTGCCATGGTGGAAAAATTGAGTAGGGTGCTTGCTGTGTGCTCGACTTGATGACTCAAACCCTCCCTCCGTTGTGCCTCCGACCCCCCCTCTTCTATATCTCCCATTGAGCAATGGGACGAGCAATGGTACCGCCGTCCCCGCTCATGCGTCCGCTCGGCCCTAGTGCCTAAAGGTGCGTACCGCCGGAGGAGGAAGGCTATTTCCATCACCATCTTGCCCCTGCACAGACCTGCTCCTCCGCTCCCGCTCCCGCCCTCGCTTCCGAGCCGAGCCCAGCCGAGCCCGAGGGTAAATCGAGAGGGACGCCCAGTCTGGCCTCCGTTCCGTCTTTGCCCCCCGCTCCGATTGTGGTGAACGCGCTTCCGCGTGCCTCGAGGGGAGTCTGTGCATGGGCGCGTGCGGGGGAAATGATGCTCAGTCTATCTCGGCCGATGATCGGCGAAGCGGCTTACGACGTTCCGATAGCAGTCCTCCTCAAGCCAGCAGCACATCTTCCTTCCCTTTACGGCTCCATCTTCCTCATCGCAGCTCAGACAAAAGATGCTCGCTCGCATCGTAGCCGCACTGGCATTAGCAGCTACCGCTGTAACAGCCTCTCAGATCCCCTTCGTGTCCTACACAGATGGCAGCGCCAACAGCTTTGCCGCCTCGGCATTCCCAGGGGAGCCTGCCTATATGCAGCCCACTGTCAACATCGAGCTGCCCTTTGACCCGCTAGCCCACGCCTTTGCCGGTGGTCTCAAGCCTCACGAGCTCGTTGCTGCTCAGAATGGGAGCTACGCCCGTCTCACCCACCGAGATTTCCCACAGATGAGCATTCGTATCAAGAAGCACGGCGGTAGTGGTAATGTTGCAGGCAAGGCCCATGCTGCAGATCTCGACCCGGAGGCCTTTTGCGACCCTACTGTGACCTCCTGGACGGGCTATATCGACCTCATAGACGGCAAATCTCTCTTCTTCTACTTCTTCGAGTCTCGCTCCTCACCCGAGGAAGACCCGCTAGTCTTCTGGACCAATGGTGGACCGGGAGCCTCCAGCGCCTTTGGTCTCTTCATGGAGCATGGTCCCTGTCGGGTTTCCAGCCCGGAGAGGCAAGAGGGTCCACCCATCAATGGCACGACGCACTTCGACTACTCTTGGAACACCCGCGCAAACATGATCTACGTTGAGCAGCCCGCCGGTGTTGGATACTCCTACGTGCGCTTTGGTGAGGGCACCTGGGACGCGGAACAGGCTGGGAGGGACATCTACTCCTTCTTCCGAATCTTCTTCTCTGCTTTTGAGCAGTTCAGGTCGAATGACTTTTACCTTGCTGGAGAGTCTTACGGCGGAAGATACATCCCACGCTTCGCGGCGGAGATGGTAGACCAGGATGCTGCGCTCCTCGCTGCGGCCAAGAAGGCTGGTAAGGAGCCCGAGGCGGGAACGATCATGGATCTCAAGGGAATCCTGATCGGAAACGGCGTGGCACAGTGGAGTATAACCTACGAATCATACTACGATATGGCCTGTACTCAGCTCTCGGGCAATGGCGTACCCCGTCTGTCCCTGCTGGAGTGCGGAGAGATGAAGGCTTGGACCAAGCGCTGCAAGCGCGACGTGGCCCAATACTGCGAGGACGAATACTCTGCCGAGAACTGTGAAGCTGCTCGAAGCGTCTGCTCCGATAAGCTCGAGGAGGTGTGGACCTCAAGGTACAACCCGTACGATGTGACCGACGACTGTAAAGCGGGCATAGAGGTGCTGTGCTATGCAGAGACGGACTGGATTGCCGCTTACCTCGATCGAGACGATGTAAGATCGCTAGTGGGCGCTGCTCCTCGGAGCCAGGTGAGTGCCAGTTCTCTCTTCTCTGCTCTCTGTTCCGTAACATCGCTGATAAACAGTTCCTCCACTGTACCTCCCCTTGACAGACCGGCACGTACAAGATCGCCTCGAAGGAAGTCGCCTCGCGCTTCTTCAAATGCCAAGACGTCCTCCGTGGTTCCTACAATTACATTGCTGGTCTCTTAGATCGAAACATTCCCGTTCTAGTCCTGAGCGGGAATGCCGACTTTGTGTGCAATACCCTCAGCACCATTCGATACCTCGACACGATCGTCTATCCAGGAGCGGTACAGCTGCAGAAGAACCTTAGGGAGTGGAAAGTGGATGGAAAGAGGGTGGGATTGACTGCCAAGGGAGGAAACTTGAGTGAGTACCCTCGCTGTGCTCCGATGAGGAATTCTTCTCTCTTTTGCTGACGGCTGAATCGTATCGCTGTGCCCCCTCCCGCAGCATACGCGACCATCGACGGTGCACCTCACCTGGTGCCCTACAAGGTAGAGCACGCCATTCCCGCCCTTGCCCTCTTCAACCGCTGGCTCGCCGGAGATAAGATCTGATCGAGGGCAAGCCAGCCAGCCAGCCACTTTGGCAGCTCTCGAAACAGACGATCGGCGATCCGCGTTCGGCGGTCAGGAGAGGGAGTAGGAAGGGAGGTAGGACGGATGAAGCAATTCAAGGATAGATTAGGAACAGCATTGTCGATGAGGAGAAATCAGGACCAATTGCACACAGTCTTTGATCATGCTTCCAGGGTGGGAATCGCTGATTGCTACTGGCTAGATGTTGAATGCTGCTGGTATTGACACAAATGGAGGAAGAACCTACTTGGACGTACTTCTGCACATGCACGTGCACGTGCAGATGCGACTGTAATGATCCTCAAAGGAAAACGAAAACGAAAGTGAAATGAATCGAAACGAATGCGAATGCGAAGAGTAAAAGCAGAAGAAAAGGCTATAGCAACAAGGTGTGATATGCAAGAAAGGAGAGAGAGAGACCATGTGAAAGGGGGGCAATCATGAAGGTGTTGAGAACAGAGCATGACGTCGTGGAGTGTAGTAGTCCGATGGTGTGGTGTGGTGTGGTGTAGTGTACGCGACGGGGGAAAAGTGATGATACATGGGGGTTCGTTTGCTTTTGTTTTGTCGCAGGATGCGGAGCGCACATGAATGCTGAGCTTCCGTCCCCCTGCTTGTGTGACGATTGGTAGCAATCGAAGCGCGATGCTGCTGATGATGTGCGCTTGTGCTCTTGCGGCTTTACTGGTCCATCTCCATCTCCTTGACCTCGATGAGCCTCTCAAGGTCTTTACAGACCATGTCCATCGTCGGCCTCTTTCTCGGGTCCGTATCCCACATCCTATTGAGCAGCTTGACAATCTCCTCTCCAAATTGCGCTGCAATCTTATCTGTAGGGGGTCTCTTACCCTCTTTACCCACCTCTTCATAGATGACAAAGTCGTTCATGCCTTCAAAAGGGTAGCTCTTGTAGTCCTCGTACCACTGTAGAGTCTCCCAAAAAGTCATGGCAGCGGACCATACGTCGACTTTTTCATTGTACTGTGGCTGGCGACACCACAGCTCTACTGCCTGCCAGTTGATCGTGCCCACTACGCTCTTCATCTTGGAGCGCTGTGAGGTCTTGACACGCGCTAGGCCAAAGTCGTTGATCTTGCACGAGCGCTCGCGTGTTACGAGAACATTGGACGACTTCACGTCGCGGTGAACAATCGAGTGCATGTGGAGATACTCGAGGCCCTTGGCGGTTTCGAGGAGCATTCTAAAGATCTGCAAGTCAGGGGGTGGCTTGACATTGCGCACATAGTCCCATAGGTCTCCATTTGAGCAGAGCTCCGAGACAATCATGCAGGGAATGCCAGTCTTGGCAGTGTCCTCTGGGATACTGACCCCAATGAAGCGGACGATGTTCTCGTGCTTGAGATCTCGCAACAGGCCGAGCTCCTTGATGTCCATCTCTGTGAGCTTCTCCCTGATGTCGGCAATGGCCACCTTGTTGCGACGCTTGCCGACCTTCCAAATCCCGACAAAGACGTCCTTGAAGCCACCAGATCCGATGCGCGAGAGCTTTTCGAGCTGACGAGCTGGTATCTCCTTGTCAGTGAGATTGAGGGACTCGAGGTCAAGACCATTGAGTTCATCAACATTCTCTGGCCCAGCGCTGACGGCACCTGCGTTACGATCAGACAAAGGCGGGGTCGGAGGCTTGGTCTTGACTGCCTTGACCTTGCCGCCTCCAGCTTGTGCCTTCTTGGGAGGCGAGACAGGTTTGAGGGGCTGCACAGAAGAGCCTAGGGCTTCTGAAGCGTCGTGCACCTGCACAGTACCCTTGATTCGGACCTTGCCGTTGCGCAGACGACGCATCTTGGAGGGGCTGGGGGCAGAAGGGCCGTAGTCGTCCGCCACCTCTTCGTCATCCGGCACATCGGTGATGTCGGATTCATCATGCTGATCTTCCTCTCGCTCCGTAGCTTCGCCTTGCTCGTCGTCTTCGTCTCCATCGTCTCTTTCGTCATCTCCGTTGATGGCTTCGCCGTCCGTCTGACTTGAGGTGGGGAAGGCTTGTTCTCCATCGTCTCCTGCTGAGTCGTCGTCGTCATGAGCTTCTTCCCTTGACTCATGCCCACCGGTCATATCCTCGTCGTCCGAATCGACCTGCAGATTCTGTCGAGCCACAGTCTTTGCACGCCTTTGCTTGGTCTTGCGCCGAGGAGGCACAGCAGGGACAGAGTCGACCCAATCTTCATCCATCTTCTCGTCGGGTGGCGAGGGAGCCTTGAGACTCCTACCGAGGGCCAGAGACTTGGACGACTTCATTTTGCGAAGTTTGTTCTTCACTGGAGACGGGTCAGGCAGCGCAGGTGCGGCCCTCTTGACGCCCGCCATTGGACCCCGCATACGAGTACGTGCTCGTGCAGGAGAGGATGCTGCAAATTGCATAGATCTTGCGTTCCTCAATCGATTGACCAAGGGCGTTGCTGATGTCTGAGGGTCTTCGTCTGTGCGATAGTTGCCAGTGGCGCGCTGAGGACTGATGACTCGGGACGGCCGAACTCCCTTGATCTTTCGGCCGCTTCCAGCGGATTTTGCTGATGATGACAGACCGGCGAAAACATCCTCGAGGCGAGGCTGGCGGAGAGGCTTGCGCTTGCGGCTAGCAGCCGTACCTGCAAGGCCTTCTGCCTCAGTCTCTTCCCCTCCACCTTCATGGCCAGCTTCATCGCCCTGGCTCTCATCACTCTCGTCGGTATAGTCTGCTGACTGGCTAGAGACAGATCGCTTGGACATACCGCTGGCTTGCCTCCTATTCTTGAACGAGCCCGACGCAGCACGAGACGATTCGTACCGGCGGCGGGGGTCTCTTTGTCCGATCAAGGTCTCGATCAGCTGAGCCCGGGTCAAGCCATCAGAGGGTACACCAGCTTGACGAGCAAGGGCTACGAGTCTATCTTTTCGAAGACGCTCGAGCTGGGTAGCTGGCGCTAGAGTCAAAAGCAAGTAGTCTGTAAAGGGTGGGCCAAAGTAGAAGGTCAGTACAGGTATGCCCACATCACTTTGATCAGCGCATACTGACCTTCGTTAGCTCGGCTTTCTTCGTCCTCTGCATCACTGCTAACATCCTCATCGTACTCGGCGTGTTCGTCGTTGCGGGGTTTCGAGCTACTTGGCTGTCGCGAGAGCCTCCTCCGGTCCACTACAGTTGTGTCTGCCAGTGTTTCAGGGCTGAGACTTGCATCTCGACCGCTACTGGTCCCTCTGGCCTGTCTCGGCCTCGTGGGCGAAGAGGTGGCGGAGTGGCTCTCGATGGCAAGAGCTCGCAACTCACGCCGTAGACTTAGACTCGACTTGGATGTCCTACGAGAGATGTGGGAGCCTGAGCTGTCTTCAGAGCCAGAAATCGAGCGAAGGGACGATGTAGAATCGTGGGACAGCGGAGCGCTGACCGAAGCTGGCTCCTTGGCAGTCCTGTACGATACGGCACGGGAGGAAACTCCACTGCTACCTCGTGTCCTCGGAAGGCTCGGTCGCTTGCGCTTCACGCCCGCGCTCGAAGCGACAGACCCACCTGCCTCATCGAGGCCGAGGTCCAGCGGTGACTCAATGGTAGCAGCCGCTGCTGCCGCTGCCGCTGAGCGAGTTCGAGAGCTGGCAGCTCGTTGGTGGCTAGGGCGGGAGAAGAAGGACGACGATGAAGCTGTTGTAGAAGCCATTGGCTCACGAAGTCGCTGCCCAAGGGGGCGCTTCCTGCTAAGGGTCTTAAGGGAAGGCTTTCCTTGCTGCTCAGCAGGGCTCTCTTGTGACTGGCTCCTCTTGGTCTGTCTTCGATTCTGGCTATTGCTGGTGATGCTATTGTCGATGTTGCGTTCAGTGTTCCTCCTCCTGCTGCTGCTGCTGCTTGTTCCGCTTCCTCCAAAGATGGATCGGCGGGCTGCCCCAAGGTTCAGCAGGTCGAAGTTGGAGGATAGGATCTCGGATCGCATGATTTAGGCTCACACGACCTTCCAAGAACCGTAAGCTGCAGCTCAAGTCCTTGTATGCTATGAGGCTGGTGTGCCGGTGGTCGGTCGCTGAGCTGAGCTCTGGGCGAACAGACGGAAGTGCGGTGGGCGGGGAATGCTGTCACAGGCTTGGATATTGTCCGAAGGTGGTGAGGTGAGGGGTCAATGCTGTCGTCTTCGACGGGAGAGACTAGCAGGGACACATTGGGAGGGTACGCCGCTGTCAAGGGTGGTAGAAGCAGACGATGTCGGGCGTGAGGGCGCGGTGAGGAGGAGGAGGGCTTCCAGGAAAACAAGGCTGGTGGTGCGCCTTGCTTCTCGTAAGGGAACCGCCCGGCGTCGGACGTAGAGGCGTGTCTCCGCCTGTCCCACTCTCCACTCGCCCTACCAGCGTAGAGTCTGGGAGCGGAGTTGCAATCCCACGGCGCGTCGCGCGGTCAACAACCACCTTTAAGCTCAACCCCGGACGTGTCGGCAAATGGGCGTGCCAACAGGCGAGAGTAGAATGGCACACAGATGGTAGATTAGAGGCACACAATGATTGCTCTTCATTATTTCCCAAGGGTGAGAAGGCAAGACACAACACGACAATTGGCAATCCGAAACCTCCCTTACGCCCACTTCAGAGTCCAACCCTTGTTCAGATCTCCTGACAGACCAGTCACGTTGAGCATCTGCTTACCCGCCTCGTACTTGTAATCTACCGTCTTACCAGAGAAGCTCACGTTCTGAGGCCTTGAGCCGACTCCTAGAATGATAGCCGTCGATAGCTTCTGCGTTATGTCATAGTCTCCAGAAGAGTCCCCTTTCAGCACACCTTTGCTGGCCTTGAAGCTCAGCTCTCGGCTAGGCGTTGGCGGCATGGAGATGCCGTCGTCAACATAAAAGTCCCCCTCTGCGTCGTCATTCTTGTTGAGATTGACGAGCAGACCATAGGGTCCGTCGGCAGACTCCTGCGTGGAGTACTTCGGCTCCGCATGGGTGAGCATAACCGATCCAGGCCTGATGTGGGCATTGATGGTCCCCAGTGGAGCAGAGATGCTGACGTTCGTGTTGGCAGGTACATCGAGAGCCTCGTAGCTGAAGACGCTACGCCATTTGCCACCAGCTTCGGGGAAGTATGCCTTGACAGAGCTCACGTTGGGCTCGAAGACGGGCGATACCAGCAGCGAAGGTCCGAAGAGAACCTGCGACTGCGCATCGGAGGTGTCTGCGTAGGTCTCGGGGAATTCGTACCACAAGGCCCTGACCGCCGGGGTGCCATCGAGGGAAGCTCGAGCCATGACAGAGTAGTAGTACGCCAAGAGCTCATTGCGCTTGTAATTGGCAATGCGAGTGGCATTAGTCGTCGAGCTCCATCGGAAAGGCTCCTGAGCGAGGGCCTTTATGGTATTGTGGTTCCGGTAGAAGGGTGCTAGCATCGCCGATGCCACCTGCCACCTCAGTGCCAGCTCTTCCCCTGCGTTTCTATTGAAGCCAACCGTATCTGGGCCGACCATAGGAATACCAAAGATCTGGAACTGTAGGATGCCCTGCATTGAGCGCCAGAAGTAGCTCCAGGTCGAGTAATTGTCTCCTAGCCAGTGGTGCGTGTACTTGCCTGCTCCAGGGTGTGTGGACCTGGCCACGAGGAAGGGCCTCTCTTTGGGCTTGAGTTCGCGGAAGGCGTTGAAGGTCGTCTTTGTCTCGAGCGTTCCAAAGAGGTTGTGCACGTCGTAGAATTTGTTCTTATTGTCCAGGCTGTCCATTGCTGCCGTCTTCTGGTCGAGGTTATCAACGAGGCTGAATGGAGTGGTATAGATTGCATTGTGTATTGCGTAGGGAGGGACGGCGAGGTACCTCTGTGATGCATTGGCGTAGCTCCAGTCAGGGACAGAGTAGAAGTGGTCGCTGGAATTGTGAGACTCTGCGGCGCGAGAGACAAGGGTTGTGCTGGGTGGCACTTCGACTTCCATCGACCTCTTGGCGACGGTCGTGTACCCCTGAGTGTAGGTCAGATGGCCATCTACGGTGATGTTGCCGCTGTCGCCGAAGGTTGCGTTGTCGTAGCCTTCAGGCCAGCCATACACTGTGGTAGGGACGCTGTAGTCGGCAATGATATTACCCTGACTGCCGCAGGAGCCGACGCAGAAGCTCGAAGGCTCGGACATATCAAGCCAGGCACCGGAGAGGTCTACCACTTGTGTAAAGTTGCGGAGAGACTCTGTCCACCAGTCTTGGGTGTTATCAGCAGTCCACGAAGGGAAGTAAGCGTTCCCTGGCCACACCTGGCCGATGTAGTCGGTCCCATTGGCATTCTTGAGGAACGTGTCCAGTTGCGCGCCGGTCTCAGCTGGATAGTAATGCGCGGTGTTGTTCGGTGGGTTGGCGCCAACAGCTGCATCTACGATTGGGATGTAGTGCTGATGGTGTTTGCTCAGATAGTCTGTCAGCAGCTTGTAATCGCTCGCAGAGAAGTTCTGGGGATCGGTTGTCCAGTCACGGAACTGGTGCATATAGTCGATGTCATTCCACTGCACCTCCAGGGGTATGTCGTGCTCCCTCATGGACTTGGCAATGCCCAGGGTCTCATTGGCGCTCGAATAGCCCCACCTGCAAAGGTGGAAGCCGAGTGACCACCTCGGAACCATGATCGGCGTGCCTATAAAGGAGACGTACTGCGAGATCGCCGTCATGGGGCTGTTTTTGCCAGTCTGGTTCTCAGCTCTCGTGCTCACGACAGTGTCCTCCGTCACGTCAGACTGGGATGACGAATCAGCGTCACCAGAGAAGAATCTAAAATCGAGGGTACCCCCGATCGCACGGGTTTGAATGACACCCTCTCTCAGCAAGACGTCCATACCAGCTGTGTTCTGGTAGTAGACGGCGTGCGTATTGATAGAGGAAGAGTTGTCCTCAGAGCGCACTTCGATCCAGCTGGGGTGATAGCCGTACATGTTAGAGTCGACGGGGTCTCCAGCGTCTAGGGTGAAGAAGGGCTGGAGTGTTGCCTTGTTGTCGCGTCTGAAACTGCCACTTATGTACTCGCCCAAGCCATAGATGTTGGCGTCTTTGGGGAGGGCGCTGGACAGCTGCAGGTACTGGTTCTCGAAGATCATGGGATGGGACGGCATCTTTGTGGAGTTGTGCTTGCCATCAGACAGTCCATCGAGGTCCATCGGAGTATCGAAGGTCGGAATATTCTCTGGTCTAGTATCGAAGATGATGTCACCGTTTGACTTGCGAGTGACCCAGAAAGCCCAAGGAGTCTTGCTGCCGGTGTGATGGAACTCGAGGTGACTCTCTTCTGCGGTGGAATTGCCGTCCGTGGCGGGATCATCGCCGGGCCGATCGAAGACGACGCCGCTTGGCAATTGGTACTGTTCGCGAGCAGAGTCGTACACATGGACGTGTAGCTGCTCGGGCTTCTCGAAGACGACGGCAAGCGTAAGGTTGTCGATGTCTACACCGTAGGCATTGCAGGCTTCGCCCGCGAGGCTGAGGGTAGCAGTGAAGCCGCCCTTCTCCTTTCGAGGTTCGCCGACAAGCTGATAGCCAGGACAAGCGGAAGTATTGAAGGAGGGCTTGATTCCATGGCTGGCACGCCTCTCCAGAAGTTGATCTGCGGGAGCAGGAGCAGCAAGGGCAAGCCCTGCTGCTAGTGCAAGTGCTTGTAATTGTCTGCTGAGCATCTTGCGTGGGGGAGGAGGAGGAGAAGGAAGCACTCAGGGCCCTCACATCGATCTCTCTATATGTATGACTCCATCGGAGAGATTCTGTTGAGGCATACACGGGTGTGGGTTCGTGTCAAGGCCAGGTATTCTTCTGCGACACCTGCCAGGAAATTTGGGGGAAAAAAGGGATGGAGCTGACGCATACATGGGGTCCTTCCTCACTCCTCGCAGCTTCCGCGGGTGAGGCAAGACGTGAGAAGTTTGATCGAAGAGCGAATGGGGGCACCAATGGGGGGCGAGACGTAAGCGAAGCATTGCAGTTGAGCAGAGGGAGGCAGTGTGGAGGCGCTGTGTGGGGGCCAATGCGGGGAAGAAGTCAAGCAGAGGAGGGGCTGCAGTTGCTGCAGCAAAGGAAGGAAAATCTCGCCGAGATGAGCCACAACCGGCGACTTGGCCCGCACCCAGCAAAAGTTCCGGGCGCAGCGCAGCGCAAGAATTCATCCGTCCTGCCTGCATGCGAGAGCCCCGTACAGCACGAGGAAGATCATGGAGAAGGAGAATTGCGAAGTGAGGAGACTTACCGCTGCCCGATCAAGGCCGAAAAGGCAACTGATCGTCTTGGGACCCCACCAGACGTCACCCTGGCCACAGAGACTAGAGAGGTATTGCTGACGTTGCGAGTTTTCTGGGACTGTTGTTACACGTTTCGACGACTAAAAGGTACATCATCATCATCGGCTGAATTGGAGGGCCAGACAGGCAGTCCTGCCCGCCCACTACATTATGCTCAACCACCGCACTATGCTCACCCATGTCTACGCACTGACCCACACTAGGTAGCCCTCGGGCACCAGCCCTTCCTTTCCGTCCCCTTCCCTGATGCCCACGGCCCAGCCGCCATCAACTGAAGCCACAACTCTCACACGATCGCCCGTACTGACCGAGAGCTCGTGCTCAGACTCGGCACCAAAGTCGTAGATGACTTCGTACAGCCCTGGCTGCGTACCTGGCTCACCCTCCTCGACCTCTGCATCGTACTGCTCTTGACCGCTGCCACCAGATCCTCTCCTCCCGTGGTCACCTTCGAACTCCTCCTCGTCCTCGTCGTAGCTGACGCCGGGTCCCCAGTCGTCGCCTGCACCGCCCCTCCACCGTCCTTGATTGCCCAAGCTCACTCCACTACTATCAGCGTCGCTCTCGTCCCAGTCTTCTTCTCTGGGCTTCCTGTGTATAAAGGGATGGCCCTTCGAGGTAGGAGCGCCCAAGCTCACATCCCTGGCGCCCACATGTCGAGGATCTGCCTCGGGGAAAGCAAAGTCCTTGACCTTGATCGGTACAAATGCCGCGCCTTCAAAGCTTGCCGGACGGACATCGCTGCTTGGTGCTAGAGTATGTTGTTCCTCTTCGAAAAGGTGAGACGAGGCAGAACCTTGCGACTCGTGCCCTCGATGTCTCGGAGAATGTGGTCTGCGAGAATTTGCCGAAGAAGCCTCTCCTGCAGATGAGCTTGATCGGCACATAGTATCCGTCGACCGCCCCTGCTCTGAGCGCTGGAGCAAGCTACCCGAGGCGACCGACTGCTGGCTCTGCTCGCCTGACGAGAGTGCAGTGGGCGGTTGAGTCGAGTCTGAGCTCGCTTCAGTTCCCGCGGGATCATCAGCCTTGAAGGTTCCCACAGCTGCACTCGTGGGGCCACCTGCCGCGTTCACGGTCTGTAAGAGGTGCAAATCCGGCGGAGCATCAGTATATGCTTCTCGCCGGGCCAAGAGCTCTGCTATCCTGCCCCTGTGATCGCAGACGGGCAACCGCGCCATCCGTCTCGCATCCTCGAGCGGTCCACACACTTCACTTTCGCTGGACGGTCCGACTCACCTTGGACCCTCCAGGATGTACAGGCGCCGAATGTGAGACTTCCTCGGCGTCTCTTGTAGCAGAACCTTCTCCCACTTCTATACTACCGCGTCTGACCTTGAGGGTAGAGCCAGATAGGGCAGCCAAGACAGATCTCTCCCCTTCCGGAGGCGGCAGTAGTGCGCCCGAGGGCGTAGGGTATTCCTCCATCTGTCCGGCAGTCTCTGGGGCCGGGAGCAAAGGACCGCCTTCACTGCTCCTTCTGCTCTGATTCTGATTCTTCTGTTCACTTGCCGTTGCACTGGACGCTTCTCCCGGAGCAGCTTCGATATGTGCATCGCTGAGCATGTTTGTTGCATCAGTCTGCTGTGACGCGGCCGAGCTCTCGTCTGAGCCGGTATGAGTCGATGACGATGCGTCGGAAGCAGAAGCAGTGCCCTCGGTAGGTGAGGTGTGTTGCTCAGATTTAGCCTCAGACAAGGGCGCGTGCTTGTCTTGTGAGATCGAAAGTCGCTCTGCCTTAGAAGCCAAAGAGGTTGGCGTACTGTGTGACGATGTGGATGGCACTGAGGCCATTGCGGTACTCAGGCCAACGGTATTAGATGAGGAATGGGGATGGGTATACGAGGTACGGAGAGACGATGACAGAAAGCGAAAGGGACGGGTGCGCGGTAAAGACAGAGACTACAGAGATGGTAGAGTAGAGTACGAGCATTGAGGAGCGTTGTCGCTCGGCAGACGACCATCGCCGTCGCGACTTGGCGGAGCGGAGCGCGGAGCGGAGCAACAACGGACTGTCGGAAAGAGAGTGGCGGCGCAGCAGGCACTCACTCGCTCGCCCGCTCCATCTATGGCTTAGTCTTAGTCTTACCACCCACCCACCTACCGCCTCCACTGCCATACTCGAGGCTCATTCTGCATCCGCTCGGCACGGATCATGGCCGCAAACATCGCTGCGGGAGAGACCCTCCATGCAGCCGTGTCATACCAGAAGCTTGCAGGCACATTAGCCTTGACCGATGCAGCACTCTCTTGGACCCCCTCTTCCTCTTCGTCGTCCTCCGCCAGCACTCTGTCCATCCCGCTGAGCACAATCTCAGGGCTGAGCGTGTCGAAGACGGGAGCGGCCAAGGTCTCACTTCAGATTGCACTGTATGAGGATGGCGCAGCAGCCGCTGGCATTGCCAAAGGCAAAGTTCTCTTTACCTTTACTGGAGGAATCAATAATGATCAAGCTCAGGCCGAGCAGGAGCGGGAGGAGTACAAGACAGCTCTGATCGAGGTCGTGGGCGAGAACCGTGCCAGGGTAGAGAAGAGCGGGGCTGGGAAGGAGAGTGACACTTCGCGGCTGCCCGCTGCTGGTACCGGCTCTACTGGTCCCTCGGCAGTCGCAGGTAGTAGTGCTGCTAGGCTTCAGGCCCGTACTGAATCGCCAGCGACTGCTCCTGCCACTCCGAGGGCCGCTGTCGACGATGAGGCTGCTGAGCTTCGGTTACGCTACTCCTTACTACGAGCAAATCCATCTCTGCAAGCCCTACACAAGCAAACGGTCATGACCGGCCTGATCCCAGATGCCGAATTTTGGGCACACCCTACCAGGCAGTCGCTGCTCCGAGCGGCTCGTCAAGCGGCCAGCCAACGCAAAGGTCGCAATGCTCGCATAGTCGACCCACGCTTTCAGTCGGACAACGATGGCAATCTCAGGCTGGAGATTACCGATGACGATCGCAGGGATCTCCTCGATCAGAATGAGATATTGAGGCTGGCTCACAAAGAGAACGTCCCGAGCAAGGTAAGCCTTTAGTGCTCGGCGACTACGAGGCTGGCGCGGACCCACAACTTGACTGACTCGCAAAACATTCTTACTCCTCCGCATCCTCCAGCTTGATGAGGCCTCTTTCTGGCAGCGATACTTTGCTTCGTCACTATACCACGAACTAAGGACATCCAGCAGGTCTGCCTCCTTGCTCAACAACTCTCGCGCTACTGGAGGAGGTCCAGTCTCGCGCTCTGCCATCGTCCAACCAGACGAAATCTTCGACAGCTACCTGCCTCTCGTGCAAGCAAAGTACGTCGATACGCTCGAACCCCCGGCTCGAGAGGGAGGCCAACAAGAAGCACAGAACCGTCTCATTGACCTTGGTGCCACGGAAGGCGATCACAACGAGCGAGGAAACGAAAAGGACTGGACAATGAGGGGCGGAGCAGAACGTGGTGCACTGCCGCTAGTGAGACGCTTCAACGAACACTCTGAGAGAGTGCTCAGCTCGTCCCTCGGCAAAGCTGACGCATCGACGAATCCATCTCTAAGTGGAGAGACCCTCGAGGCTGAACAGGTTGGCGGAGCTCGTCGCAGCAAGCGAGCCAGGACAGAGGGCGAGAGGGGAGTAGAGCTCGAGGATCAGATCCACTCTGCGCATGCACAGCGGTACGAAGAAGAGATTGTCATCGAAGATCTAGAAGAGAGGCGCGAGAGGATCGCTGTACCCTTGGAACTGACCATCGGTGAAGACGGTCAGGGCCGCAATCGGACACGCACAAAGAGGGGAGGGGAGAGCCGACAGCCTGAGCAAGAGAGGCCGCGGGCCAGCAAGAGCCAAGTACTGAAGGACGTGTCCATTTCCCTGGCCGAGATGCCCAGCAACGGCACCATCACCCTCTCCTTCTTAACGGTGCGACAGTCGAGCACACAAAAGGGCTTGTCTCTGCTGGTGGAAGACGAGTTACGAACGCTTCTCCTCGCACGTAAGGACAGGGGCTACTTCGACCTTCAGGATTTGCCCGATCATCTGAGAAAGAAGACGATGGACATCCATGGCACCACGACTGAAGTCTTGAGGCACTTTTGGAATGCGGTCAGTCCGCCAGACGAAGATGACAAGATGATGAAGCTGGAAGAAGGCGAAGGTGAGTCAGCGCGGCGAGATCGAGGTTGGGTGATCCAGGGCGTGATCCTGACTCTTCGATTGCTGCCACTTCTCTTGTCTGCTCAGCTCCTCCCGTACCTCCCACCCCTGCAGAGAGGGAAGAAAAGGCGAAGCGTATGATTGCCATCTTGACCAAAGTGCCCGGTCAGATCGATGAGCTCTTGCATCAGTCTGGCGGTGGACCCGACGAGGACAAGATTGCTTCGGTGAGTAATGCAACTTGCCTCTGATGGCGGGTCTGTTCGTCGGGTGAATCGCTTCGATCGCTGAACCCTCCGCCTTCTTTGTACAGGCACTGGCTATTACATTGGACGCTTCGAAGAGGGCCGTCCTTGTAGGGCAGCAGCTGTATAGCGATTGATGCGTAGACTGGAGATTGTGGGTCTATGTACTGGTAGTCTGCACTTGTCGTCTCATGCGCGACGGTCAAGCATAACCCTCACGCTATTCTGCTATCTCGTCTGACCATGTGTGACGTGCCATCGTCGGTCACCCTGCCTTGCCTCACAACCGACCCTGCCCTCTCCCAATTGGATGTGTCCAATCTTGCGCTCCCACTAGTCAATCTCGGCTGCGTGACGTCTGCCCGCCATGGACTCGTCTATCTGCTTGTCCCCGCACGCACGGTCCTACTGGTAGCCCAAGCTCGGCAATAGGATAGACCGGAGTCCGATGATCTGGTCTAGCCCAATGGTGGTTCCCAGTCCCAGTCCCAGTCGCATTCGCACTCGCACACGCGCTCACACACACGCCCTCCTTCGGCTTGGAAAGAGCGACGGAGGGTTGCGAGGATCGGGTGCGAGACGTGGGGATCAAGCAGGGCCATGGAAGCCAGAGGGAGGGAGAGAGAGGCGTGTGTGAACCTCGCTTTCAGCAGCTACTGAGCTGGAGCGGGGCGGGGGGCAGGCGGCGAGCGGAGCTGAAAGCAAATGGAGGGCGGCGGTGCCACTTGTCGAGTGCGGGGTAGGGAAGCGAGGCTGCGTCATCGGTGAGGTGGACAAGAAGAGACAGACAGCTTCTTCTGCTTCACTCACGCCCAGCAGACAGACAGGCAGACAGGCAAGGAAGGTGGTAATGCACCATGGCAAGGGCAGCGTCGAAGCAGAGGCAGAGACGCGGGCGTGGCATGGCAGCAGCGATTAGACTTGATTCCCTCCCATGGCTGCAGCACCCGAGACAGTGGAGGCAGCACTCAACTCGACTCGGCTTTGGTCCGGCAAAGGTGCCTGGCTGCTCCCCATTCTCACGTCACTCCTCCCTCCTTCCCCCTCTTCTTCCACCTCGAGCTATCCGTTTACATTGATTGTTCGCTACCAGTTCACACTTTCTTCAAAACATACCCAAGAGGTGACAGAGTAGTCTGACCCTCCTATCGCAACCACACCCCTCGCCCAATACTTCTCGCCGCACCCTTCCATCTCGCGCGCACGCTCACCTCTAGTCACGATCTGCAATCATGTCGGCCGTTGGTGGAACAGGCTTCTTGGAGAAGTTGAGCAGAGTCGCCGGTGTCAATCAGCCTACCCACTCTCGCTTCGGTTTCAAGGTGAGCTAGACCAGCTCGCAGTAGCATGATGGGAGGAGATTCGTTGGGAGAGGATTAGCATCGCTCACTCCATTGTCCCACCGGGCCTCTTCTCCCCTCTCACAGCTCCCTGAAGACCCCATTATCGCAACGTTCAAGTCTCTGGGTTTCCGAGTCGCCGAATATGATCTTCCTCCCTACCCCCTCCAGGCTGCCGGGATCATCGGCCTGCGCATGATGGCCTTCATGCTCAGCAGTACCGTCCTAGCCTACTTCCTCTACCACTACGTCGCCAAGCGCTCCTATGTCCTCAACTACGGCTGCATCGGCGCCATGGCCGGTATCCTCCTTCTATGGCCTGAAGTCGTAGGCCGATCAGGCGTCATGCTTCTGGACTTCTGGAGGCCAGCACTGGGTTTCCGATCTGCTCTCCTCGTGTGGGACATCTTCCACATCCGTACCCGCGAAGAGGTCAACAGCTGGAATCCCGCCAGGTTCTTCTGCCATCTCTGGGCCTTCCCCAAGGAGGAGCAGGAGATCGTCGAGAGGGCCGAGAAGGAAGGTTTCACCCGAAATGCGCGTATTGAGAACCTAAAGGGAATGCCAAAGGTGCTCGTCGAGGGTGGTCTGCTGCTCATGACCCTCTATTTCATCCCCCCTGTGGAGCTGACCGTCGGCATGAGCCGCATCGCCTACCACGCCTACTGTGACACTCTTGGTCTTTCCATCCTCATGGCCTTGGCTCTCTTCGGAGATGGTCTGCTCAAGTCCATGGGTGTCATCACCAACGTTGAAATGGCCGACATGTTTGAGAACCCCCTCGGGACAACCAACATTCGTCTCTTCTGGTCCCACTGGAATCGTGCTATCGCCTCTGTCCTACACCGCGTCGTCTTTGGAGGCGGCAAGAGGGCTCAGTCGACTAGGAAGACCAGCAAGAATCTCCGTGTACAGGAGCTACAGGCAGCACGAAAGCACTATGACAACCTTTCCGAGACTGAAGTGGAGACTAGCAAGACGGACGATGAGGATGAGGGCAAGAACGGTACGAAGCGTGCTCGAGCTAATGGACTCAAGCCTATGACTCCCACCAAGGCAGACGGCAAGGGCGCTACTCCCAACGGTGGTCAGCAGCAGCAGCCACCACGCAAGAAGGGTCCCTTCTATCCCAAGGCCATTGCAGCCATTGCCACGTTTGCCATGTCCGGCATCTTCCACGAGCACATCACCCGCAACACCCTCGGTTTCGCCAATGGTGAAAACTTCGTCTTCTTTGTCCTGAATGGAGTCGCGACCGTCGTCTCAACTTGGTTCCGAAGAACCTACCCGGAAGCCAATGCCAAGATTCCAACATTCGTATCGGTAATCATGCTCCATACCTTCTTCTTTGCCATTGTACCCCTGTTCTGCTCCCCCTTTATCCGTTCGGGATTCTTTACACAGATGGACTCGCTCAAGTATGAACTACTGCCATTTGCACCTAGGCCAAGGGGGTCGTTCATCTACCTCTTTGGAAGCTAGGCAACCACACTCGGAGCAAAGGGAAAGAGAGAGAGGGAGAGGGAGGGAGGGAGAGACGCGGGCAGGTATGCGAGGGTCAACCGCTCCTTGTTGGGACCCTCCTTCACAGTCAATTCAGCTCATCCCTGTAAGACTACTTCTTTCCCCTTTCCTGTTTCCTCCCTCTCTCTCTCTCCCCCTCACATTCCCGTTCACCTTTTCTCATGTCCAGAAAAAGAACCCCCCCTCGTCGTACCCTTTTAATTCTACCCAAATTTCGAACCGTCCTGTCCTGTCCTGGTCTTTCTCAACCCCACCTACTCGAGTGCAAGTGCAAGTACGAGTGCGAGTGCGAGTGCGAGTGCGCATACTTGTTCCTTCTACTCGTACTCTAGCGCACACTTCTACGTATTGCAAAAATCCCAAACGTGATTTTCTACTGGCTGGGTGACGATGCTTGCTGACTACAGTAGCAGTCGTGAGAATGGGGGGGGAGGGATTCAATTGGTGTGGTATCGACGAATTACAGGGCACTCATGATTATACATCTACGATTACGCTTCAATCGAGTCTCGTTCCCTTCTACCTGCCGCGAGCCGCGAGCCTGATCGTCATCCCATTGCTTGCGCGGATGGTACGTCCTGCATACAGTCTGATCTCCTAGATTCGCTTACATGCTCGATCGCTCGCTCCACCGCTCATGGTGCGGAGAGGGCCAGGACCATAAAGTCCTCGTAGCTCAATTGTGCCCATCCATTGCGATTCTGCCCAACCCCATTGCAAATTTGGAAGGTAGATCAAGTCAGCAGGTAGGTTCACTCCAAGACTCCTCGGCTCGGTGCCGCTACCTCGTTCGATTCACTCACCGGGTCATGCTTCTGGAATCCCTCTGTGAGCGCCTTGACCACGCAACAGCACCGTACAAAGCGGTCAAAGGTCACGCCGCTTCCTACTCTAGCTCCACCTGGGGGTTGACGAGAAGAAGAGGGAGGAGTGACTTGGAGAGTTAAGTCACCGGATCAAATCAAGGAGGATCCGGAGGGAGTAGAAGTGGGAAGTGGGAATGCGGAGGGGAAGGGTTTGTCCATAAGCACGCTCCGTCAGCCGATCCGATCTGCTCCACTTCGGCCTCGGCATCGGGAGGTGGATGGGAGGCCCGCCCCGTACAAGATACTCACTGTACTTTTGGGTGACAATTGTCAGCAGACGCGGGCTGAGGCCGAAGCCAAAGGACTGGAGTGCATTGCCGAGCTCGTTTTGGTCGATGGAGCCTGCGGACGCGGGGGACAGAGATCAGATCAAGTCAGCTCAGTACTCGGGCCATGGAGTACAGCCTCGTCATTGCACACGTACCACTGCGATCCGAGTCGAACTTCTGGAAGATGCCACGCCATGTTTGCACGTACTCGAAGAGACCTGTGGGGGGATGCGAAAGGCCGCTCACTCAGAGCAATTCCAGCTGACAGCCCGATTCGTCGAAGAAGACTCACCGACGAATTCGTTGAATGTGACCTCTCCCGAGCGATCCGTATCGAAGATAGCTGGAGGATTGGAAGAGAGATGATCAGCCTGATAGCCTCAGAGGTCATAAAGAGCAACTCAACTCACTCATGAGCATCTTGACCGTGTCCTAAGAGGGTGGGCGAGTACCATCAAGGAATTTGTCAGTTGCCTACGAGGCGCTTGCAATGCGACTTTCTTGACGCTACCATCACTTACCAGATCAAATGTGGTATTGTCGGCATTCACCAATGCAGACTGCAGCTCTACAGGGCTGATGCGACCGGATCGGTCGCCATCTACGGCGATGAACCACCTAGCGCCGGGATCAAGTGGCCAGATAGGTGAGCCTGGACCTTACTTCGACGAGACATCTCATCACAGATACTCACTGCCACAATTGGAGATCAGCTCCAGGAGGAGGCCCTGTAGCGTCATTGAAAGCCTGGGGTCTCTGTGGCTGGCCATAACCCCCACCAGGTGGACCCCCAGGTCCGCCACCACCGCCTCCGTATCCACCAGCTCCATATCCACCAGCTCCATACCCGCCTCCTTGCTGCTGCTGAGGGGGAGGAGGGGGACGAGCTCCGTATCCTCCCTGACCTTGTGAAGCTCCATACCCTCCGGCTCCGTACCCGCCCTGCTGATAGGGGTGCTGAGGAGGCGGCGGAGGTCCTCCGGCAGGAGGACCACCGTAACCCCCACTGCCGTACCCTCCGCTTCCGTACCCTCCTCCTCCACCACCACCGCCGCCGCCGCCAGTGGAGCCATACCCGCCACTACCTGGACCGTAGGAATACTGCTGCGACATGCTTGCTTGTGTGCTTGGTTGCGTGTGCGAACGATTAAATGTGCAAATTGGATTATTGAGACTGGAAGGAGAGGGAGCAGGAGTTGTGTGGTACTCTACCCTGGCTTTCAGCTCTGGGCTGCACTGCACGCACGACGAGACGGAAACGCAGGTGGAGACGATCGCATCAGGCTGTGCGCACCTGATATTACGTAAGCGACGAGATTGCCGGAAGTGACGGACAGGGGACGCACACGGCATCCTGGATCGTTCGCTCGAACAGCACGCGGAATCTGGCAGTCATCATTGCATTGGGCACGACAATGACACTCAGATGAGGAAAAGGCAGGCTACAAAAGACGTCTAACGACTCGTACACTTAGTCCTTGTTGAACTGGACCTTGTCGTTGTTCTCGGGGTGCTTCTCCTCGTAGATGTCGTACTTGAAGTCATCACTCTGGTCGCAGACACGCTTGTGGGGCTGTTGCAGGGCAGCCTTCTCCAGCGAGTCGACCTCCTCCTTGGTCAGTTGGACCAGCTTGGAGTTGTTGGCAATGCGGGAAGGAGTAACACTCTTGGGCAGAGGGTTGCAGCCTCGGGCCACCTGCCACGAGATCAGGATGTTGGCACCCTCAACGTTGTGCTTCTTTGCCAGCTCGTCAATCTCCTTGAGCGAGGCGTGCGAGGCTCCAGTCGATCCCAGGGGCGAGTAAGCCTGGGGCAGGATGTCGTTCTTGTGCAGCCAAGCAACGAGCTCGGGCTGGGGGCAGGTGAAGGAAAGCTCGACCTGGTCGGCAACGGGCTTGATCCTGGCATCCTTGAGGAGGAGCCTGGTGCGGCGGATGTTGAAGTTGGAGATACCGATGCTCCTGACAAGTCCGTCATCTACGGCCTTCTCAAGCTCCCTCCAGGTGGGCACAACATTGTCAGAGAGGTCCTTGTCCACGACCTTCTTTCCGTCAGAGTCGTACTTGTAGTCCTGAGGGATCTGGCCCTCAGGGACGGGGTCAGTGGCAGCAGCCAGAGGCCAGTGCATCAGGTACAGGTCAAGGTACTCGATGCCGAGGTTCTTCAGGGTGTCCTTGAGAGCCAAGCGGACGTGCTCGGGCTTGTGGTGGAACTATGAGGTGGGGAGGAGAGAGAGCAGAGAGGGTATATTTGTCAGGCGACCCCTCTTTGCGAATATCGAAGCTGCAAATATAGCGCAGACTGCTACTCACCTCAAAGAGCTTAGAGGTGATGAAGAGCTCCTCTCGGGGCACACCACCGAGCTTGATACCCTCTCCGACCTCGTGCTCATTGCCTATGATGGGGAAGCAGTCAGGAAGAATACTGATCAGCCATCTGAACGAGCGCTTTTGAGTACTGCTGTCTTCCCCTTTCCCGTATACTCACGGTAAGCCCATGCACAGTCGATGTGCCTGTAGCCAGACTTGATTGCGGAGGCGACAGCATCACGGACCTGTCCGGGGCTGTAGAGAAGACGGCAAAGGTAGGAAGGTAGAGGCTTTCGGGTCAGCGGGAGCTCCGGTGGCGCTTGCTAGGCTGCAGTCTGGAGACCTCAGGCAGGGTGCGCTACTCACGGAGATTGCCAGGTACCCTACAAGCAGAGACACAGACGAGAAGGAGGAGCACAAAGAAAAGGCACAGATCAGCACGAGCGCCTAACAGGGCGGTGTACACAGCACACACATGGCTCGCAAGCGATACTCACGAGACCAACGGAAGGGATCTTCTTGCCGTTGTTGAAGGTAAAGTGGGTAGGGAGCGACATTGTGTGAAGGTATTTGTGTGTGGTTAGAGACAAATGTGAGGAAACGATGTATGTGGAAGGAAGGAGACCGGCAAAGTCAATTTCGTCTTTGAAGAGGGTGACTAAATACCGGGAAAGTCGAACTTGTGTGCTTTGCTCGGACCCTTCTTCTTCTTCACCCTTCGCTGGCCCTGGCCTGGGTGAGTGTGCGTTGTGGGCGTGTGTCTATGGCTACGTGTGGCTGCAGCGTGTGTGCCGATGCGCTCTTCTTCCCAAGTCTGCCTCGGCCATCTTGCCTGTCGTCATCGCCCCGCCTCTGCTCTCAGGCCAAGGCCATCCCCACAGCCTGGCCCCCCGCTCCACTCCCGCACGGCCATCTAAGTCCGACGGCTCCACGCAGGCCTTCTCTGGCTCGGCAATCTAGTTTCCCGAAGAGCAGGCTCCGGGATAGCCACTCCCCCCAAGTCGAGAATAGCGAGAGGGGTCAGCAGTCAGCAGGAGACCGCCGGTGGCCGGCGTCGGCGCAAGCGCCAAGCGCCGTACAGCACTTGCGAGATCTCAAGCCATGGCCCGTAGCTTTGTTGCTCCGCAGAGTTCCAATCACGATGGTGGTGGGGGGAAAGTCGAAGGAGCAATCATGCGGATATATATATATGTACATTCTGGGGATTACTGATAGCACACGGGAAAATGCCCTGAGATCTAATGCGCCTTGCCAGGCACTCCCGTTCCCACGCCCTCATAGTTTGTTGGCAAAGGAATTATCCACCTTGGTATGTGTGCCCACTGCCGTCTTTTTCACTCTGCCTCCCTCTGGTCCCTCGAGCAACCAAAAGTCGGCAGTGATTACGGCAATTCTGCTGCCGATGGAAAGGACGCTGCACTCGACTTCGAACCAGGAATCGAGGGGTACGGCGGCTAGATAGACTACCGAGAGGGATGATGTGACGCCCAGAAAGGCCCAGGGCGTCGTCGGCTCCGTGTCTGCTATATGTAGGTAGATCTGGATGTCCACGTGTGAAATGAGCAGCGAGAGAGAGAGAGAGAGAACGAACGGTTGAGGAAGAGTGCAAGCGAGGCATAGGATGAATGCAGTCAGTTCAGCCTCGTCTTTCCGATTTCAGCCACACTCTGGGCCCCCGCTTGAGTGGCACCCCCACTTACGGCTACGCTAGTGAGATTGTCCACCAGAGTGGCTACGCAGCCGCCGTGCATACTGCCAATCTCATTCATCATGTACTGCTCTGCCTTCATGCGAAACACCATCCTGCCATGGAACTTGCTCTTCTGAACATCCTCTGGTGATGCCTCTTTGCCATTCTTGTCTAGCCGCTCTGCCGAGATAAGCTTGACGGTGGGGGATGTAGCATGACGTGAGAAGCCCGGGTAGGATGCAGAGGGGAGGGTGGAGAGGAGGTCGTTGGCGAGGACTTTCGCGTCTTCTAGCGGCAAGGGAGGTTTTGGGGCTGGCATTGCGGCGAGTGTCGAGGTGGATCGTGAAGAACGTATGTGGTGTACGGATGTTCCTGAGGCTGGCTGGCTGGCTGGCTGTACTCCCAGCCTGGGTGGTAGGCCGTGGAATCAAAGTAGCGACCTAACCCCGGTCTGCCGCCCTTTCCGTCGGGCCGGTGCCATCGGGGCCGGAGCGCGAGGCAGGAACGGAGGCGGGGCGTGGAGGAGGCGATGTGCTTCTTTCACGCTTCCAGGGTGGCCTGCAGCTGCAGCAATCGGAACCCACGATGGTCCTCGGCTGCCCCTCGCCGCGTACCCAGTCTGCACCCTGACCATCCTCCGCCTTGCAGCCGAAGGGCAGACAGACAGACAGACAGACAGACAGAGAGGAGCCCCGCCAGGAGGAGCCACTCCACCAATCGCTCCCGAAGCTCCTACCCCGCACTCCCCCTCGGCCTCAGCTCCCCTGCCCTGTTGCCCATCGTGGAGGGCCATCACAGGGCGAGCGGTATATCTCTTCTGATTCCTCCTCCTCCTCCTCCTCCTCAATCTCCTCCATCTGCTCTGTCCTCCCCGCCTCCTGTCCACCCTACCCGTGCACGACGCTTCCACTTCTTTGCCGGACAGGGCCCTCATCAATCCTCGTCACGAAAGCACAGTCACCAAGACAAGATGCCACAGAGGAGCTACAGCCAACACGAGGGGATGAAGATCGAAGAGGATGACATTGTTCATGCCGGATATGTGCTCAAGAAGAAGAGGAAGAAGATGCAAGGTAGGTGGAGATGAGGAGTGGACATAGCAGCGTGTGTCAGACGCAGCGCAGCAGTTGCTCATAATCTATGACTTGGCTCCTCGCTGCTGCTCCCAGGCTATGCCAAGCGCTTCCTCATCCTCACCAAACAGGGCAACCTCACCTACGCCGTGAGCAGGGACAAGCCCATTCGAGATTCCATCAATGTCCCCAATGCCAGCGTCACCAGCAGCAAGAGGAATGGTACTCTACACGTAGACAGCGGCCAGGCCGTCTTTCGTGAGTGTGGCCGTAGAGCCCAGGCGCCAGCCAATCGAGCCCACTCCTGACGCAGAGGCCTCCCCTTCTAATTCCCTGCACAGATCTCAAGATGCTGAGCGCTGCAGACTTTGACCTCTGGCACAGTCACTTGCGCTCCTTCATTCCAGAGCAGTCTTTCGGTTCTGACCAAAAGATCTACGTCTCATCAAACGGCGGCTCAGACGTCTCTCCAGTCGACCTCTCTCCCGTCTTTAATTCCTGCATCACCGTCGGGAAGCTCGTACAAGAGGTGCAGGCTCAAGTAGGCAATTTCAAAAAGGCCAGTCAGAGCAGCGGCGGTATCGTCGAGAGCATGACCAACCTGGGTCGACCGAGCAAGAGCGACGAGGCCCTCGAAGCCCTCTCCAATGTTGCCGAGCAGCTGGCAGCGGAGCACGCCAACCTGACCTTTGCGCTGCAGAGCCGTATCCCAAAGACGAAGGCGCAGCGATCGATGAAGGGCATGCATTCCGACTTGTCCGCTTCGAGCCTCAGCATCAACTCGTTCCAGTCCAACGGCACTGGTGAAGGCATCTTCTTCGATGCCGATGCTGCTGATGGGTCCATGAACGAAGATGAAGCACAGGATGAATCCCAAACTGGTTCATCTGATGGAGTCGACGAAGACGACTCGGAGGAGTCCGACCGTGAGGACGACGGAAAGCCAGTGCAGGGCGAAGGCAAGACGAAGCCTTCTTCTGATCAGGTTCAGTACCGCAAGCAGCTGCCAAGCAAGGTCTCGGGTGAAGAGACTTCTCTCTTCTCCATGCTCAAGAAGAATGCTGGCAAAGACCTCTCCACCATCTCTTTCCCCGTATCCTTCAACTGCCCCCTCTCCCTCCTCCAGGCTGCCTGCGAAGAGATGGAGTATGCTCCTGATCTTCTCGAGCGAGCCAGCGAGACAAAGGATTGGGTGGAGCGCATCTGTCTCGTTACCGCATTTGCAGTGAGCAGCTACTCCTCGACGAAGCTGCGAGCCAGTCGCAAGCCTTTCAATCCCCTACTGGGTGAAACGTTCGAGTGCGTAAGAGAAGACAAGCACCTTCGCTTCATTGCCGAAAAGGTGGTGCACCAGCCACCCATCGTCGCCTCGTACGCCGAGGGCAACGGCTGGCACCTGAGTGCTTGGAGCGCAGTGAAGAACAAGTTCTGGGGTAAATCCATGGAATTGATCCCCGAGGGTCAATCTCGACTGGAATTCGATGACGGCGATGCCTTTACCTTCAACAAGCCCAGCTCCTTTATGCGAAACCTCCTGGCGGGCAACAAGTACCTCGAGCACGTTGGAGAGTTGACCGTGACCAATGCCAACACGGGTCAAAAGGCCGTCGTGGAGTTCAAGGAGGGCAACATGTGGGGCTCTACTGGCTCTCGCAACGCAGTGCAAGGAGACGTATACGACGAGAATGGCAAGAAGGTCACTGGACTCAAGGGCAAATGGTCGGACAATTTCGCCCGTCAAAAGGACAAGGAAAACTATCAGGTGCTTTGGGAAGCGGCAGAAATGCCTCCTTCGGCAGAAGACTACTATGGTTTCACCTACTTTGCCATGAGCCTCAATGAACTCACCGATGACGCTAAGCCTTTCCTTCCCCCAACCGATACGCGTCTACGACCTGACCAACGAGCCTTTGAAGAAGGTGATGTAGACAAGGCAGAACAGACGAAGCAATCCCTCGAAGGTTCTCAACGGGAGAGGAGGAAAAAGATGGAAAGTAAGAAACAAAAGCATGAACCTAGATGGTTCCATGAGGCTAAAGGAGAAGAACCAGAGTGGAAGTATGGAGGGAAAATGGGAGAGTACTTTGCAAAGAGGAAGGAAATTGAAGAGGGCGCAGAGGGGAAAAAGGCTTGGAAGGGGGTGCCAGACCTTTTCAATGAGTAAGAGTAAGAGTGAGAATGAGGAGGAGGAGGAGGAAGAGGGAACGTGTAAGAGGGCTGAAGAGTCCAAGGAAAGGTGGGTGAGGCCTATTTGCCTGTATCCATGTCCATGTCCGCGTCCGTGTCTATGTGCTTTCGTCTTCTTGTGCGAATCTAAACAATCTTGTCCTACCCTTATTCAATCTGCCACCGCCTAGACTAGCTCCCTTGAGACTGACAGTGCTGCATCTTGGCCACAATCGGACCTAGGTACACAACAGGGAACAAAAGGAGCGCGAAAAGAGTAAACGTGACATCTATTGGCAAGACTCCCCCCCCCCCCCCCCCCCCCCCCCCCTTCAGGAGTGGAGTGGCGGGGCGAGAGAGACAAAGGACCGTGATTCGAATGGAACATGACGAGAGAGAAGCTGACTTGAAGGAGATGTGGGCTACGGGTGTAGTGGTGCTAAAGGAAGCCAGGTAATGTTCAGGAGAGTGGAATGCTACATAGGAGGTGGAACAGATGATTACTTGGGAAAGAGGCGGAAGTGGGATCAGGTTGTATGTAGTGTGTAGTGTAAGGGACCATCAAGCCGTACTGCTGAGGGACGTAGCGAGCCGAACGAGTGGACGCTACAAGGGATGAGCCCGGCTCAATCCCTCCCAGTAACCTTTGTCCAAAGCCCAGAAAGAGAGTCGGTGATGGACGCTCCGCCATTAGCGTGCGAATGTGTGTGGGATCGCGGATGAATGTTGCCCGGTCCAGCAAGGCCGAGGACCCTTCCAGCTTTGGAGGATCCAAAGCTCCCAGAGTGACCGCGAGAGTAAGTCCCGCTAGCGGTTCTGCTCCTGCGTGCTCCAGGCCCTTGCTCTCTACGATCGTCAAAGCCCGGAAGAGACTCCTCGTCGGTATCTGCGCCGTCCATCGAGCCCCGCGACCCGGGCCGACCATCGCTGTCTGCGTCGTCTTCAAAGGGGGCCTCCTGATCGGCCCCACTCCTCTTGCTGCTGCGAGAAGAGAAGCCAGCAATCGCACCGCGCATCCTCACGGGAGGAAGCTCGTCATCGTCTTCGTCGTCACCATCGTCTTCGAGCCTCCTACGGCCCATGAGCGATCTCGAGCCAGAGCGCAGAGGACCCTCTTCTCCCTCCAGTCGCACACGACCCGCACCAGGCGTGGCTTCTTCCAGAGGCTCAGCACCGCTCCTCCGCTTCAGAACGACGGGGACGAGGACGGCAATGGAGACGCCTCCGAGAAGTAGGGCGTTGCGGAAGGTAAAGAGCTTGAAGTCGGCGGGGGAGGTCATCTCGTCGAGCTTCTCGCCGATGGTAGTGTGAATGACGGAGACGGCGAAGATGCCGAGGAAGGTGGAGAGCCAGAAGAGGGGGAGCTTGATGCCGAGATGAGGCGCGAGAATATTCACTGTGAGACGACAGGACGAGAGGTGGGGTCAGCAAGAGTAGCGCCGGTTTCAGATCTGTACACTTTGCAACTCACCAATGTTGTGTGGAGGCAAAGGCATCATCCTGATGACAATCATGTACGACAGCATGTCACCACTTTGACGATCTAGTACTGCCTTCCAGCCGTCTACTCTGGCTTTCCAAGATGGAACAGCCAGCAATACCTGCCCAAGGAACTTGGAAATGAGGTAGCAAATCGTGGCTCCCGTTGCCACTGATGCGCATACGATGGGGAGAGCCAGAGGGACGCCCCACATGGCTCCGGCGAGGATGGACATGTACATTGAGCCGGGGATGGAGAAGGCTTGGAGACTGAGGAGAAGGGTCGTACAAGGTAAGACATTGGGGTCAGCCATCCATAGAAAGTGGAGGGGTGGCGGACATTGGGGCATACTCACAACATGTATACAATGATCCAGCAGAGCATCACTCTCCCAAAGTTCTCGTCCTTGTACCGCTGCAAGATGGCATTGAGTGCCTTGAGCTGATCGAAATTCTTTGGGATATGGAAATTGGCCTTGTCCTCACTGATGAGACCGAAAGGGAGGCAGTGATAGTCTGCGTAAGAACATTTCCACATGGCATAGTGGTCCCCCACGTAGCAGCGGCCCCTCCACGGTAACACTCACTCATCGATGTCGGGCAAAGCAAGCCAAAGTGTTCCACCCGCCACACCCGCGCACACGACAAAGAGTATGGCCAGCTTAGCAAGTGCCCTGACGATTGTCCTCCTCCTCTCGATGCTAGTGAGCTTGGTCTGCTCTGCGTACCCTCCCAGACCACTCTCCCCTCCATCACTCGGCCTGATATGAATCACCCTATGCTCTCCATCCTCATCCTCTTCCTCATCCGATCCAGCCCCATTCCGGATAGTCCTGAGTGTATGCGCCGAAAAGGCCGAAGCACCATCGTCTGCCATTTCCTCAGGGGGCGGCTCGCTGTGTGAGCCAAAAGGGTTTGTGGAGCGAGACCCGGTAGAGGAGGCAAAGGAGGCGATGCTTCCCTCTGAAGAGTTGTGGGAATGCGAGGAGGAATCTATGCTTGTGCGATCTGGCCGGGATGAGGAGGAGGGGGGGGGAGGAGGACGCTGTGTTGAGGTGTTGGGGGGCATGCTTATGAGCTAAGTGTGGTTGGGGGGATCTCGCAGTGGACCTCCACAGAGAGGGGTTGGGAACAGTAGCTCGAAAAGACTGTGTTTCAGGACTGCGGTGGTGACCTTGTGAGCTCTTGATATGCGTCGATGGATGGATGGAGGTTGAGAGCAGTTGCAAAGGTAGCCGCTCCAGTGTGTGTGTGTGTACTTAGCACGGGGAGTGAGTGGCACACACATGCGGGGTCCTCGGGTCAATTGCACTCCTGGTGCGGAATGACCAAGGGACCCGGGCGGGGACCTGAGACGAGCCCAAAGCTCCGTTCCGCTTCCGCTTCCGTCGCCCTTCACGGCGAGGCGACATCTCGGGTTGCGTCCTTCTCGAGGGCCAACCAACACTCTGGCGATACCTTGACCCTCAAGATGGCAGCAGCAGCAGTTCAGCCAGGTCAGGCACAAGGCGCACCTGAACCCTCCGCAGCTTCGCAATCACCTCTGCGAGCACACCACGAGCTCCTGGTCTCGCGCCAATTCACCCTGCAGCTTGAGCTCCTCTCCTCCCTATCCTCACCCTCCTACATCCACCATCTCACCCTCGCTGCCTCTCCAACCACACCCGCACCTCTCTCAGACCCTGCCTTTATCCGCTATCTAGCCCACCTACACACAATCTGGTCTCGCCCCGAATATGCACGATATGTACATTACCCCAATGGACTCTACTTTTGCCGATTGCTGGTCAGCTCGGCTGCATTCAGGGACATGGTTGCCAGGCAGGGGCACGAGTGGGAGGGAATGACGGCACAGAGGCTGATACAGCATTGGGAGACGTGGAGGCGAGAAGACGATGAGGAAGAGGGAGGAAATGGCCTCTAAGGAGCCACAGCACAGGGGGCAACACCCCACGACAACGAGGCTCGCAGCAACAGGTGGGGCTTCAGGGCTCACATCAATTCTCACCAGCAATCACGACCAAGAGACAGAATGACAAGTGACATTGCAAGGCATACGGATGGTTAGGGTGTGCTTGTATTCAGTCGAAGGTGACCTTGGTACCGGCCTCACCAGTGGTATCAATACCCACTTTACCCCTCTGCGCATTCGCCAGGGCCGCTCCCGGCTTGGCCCTCCTTGTATAGCCTCCCTTGGCTCCACCCTCCCTCTCTCGACGAGCACGTCGCTCCGCCTGGTTCTCCTTGTGGTTCGGATTGGTCGACACCACACCCAAATCCACGCCAGCAGAAGCTGCCGTCTCCTCTCCAGCTGCCTGAGCAGCAGGAGCTGCAGCAGCTCTAGCTCTGAGCTTGTCAGCTCGAGGACCACCGGTCCGCTCGCGCCTCTCGGGCTTATGACCCAGACTCTCACGCGAGCTAGGCCACTTGCCTCGACCGCCTCCTCCGCCAGCAGTACCAGTGCGCTGAGTCTTGGGTGCTCCTCTACGCACGGCGTCTGCTCCTGCAAACTCGAGGGTGAGCTCTCGTCCATCAAGTCGGTAGTTGTGGGGGTCAATGAGAGAGGCAGTGGAGTAGACTGGTGTAAAGAAGTCGACGAATGCGAATCTGTTAATGGACAGGGAAGAAGGCAAGGGGCGAAGAACGTCAATCACCAGTACATACTTGCCTATTTACCAATCGCACTAGACTCACCCTTTGCACTTTCCAGTGTCTTCGAATGTGCCCATGCGCACCTTTCGCACTCCAGCTCCTCGCGGGGTAGCTTCCTCCTCGTCCTCCTGCTCTTCATCAGATGACGACGAAGAACAGCTCGAGGAATCGTCGTCGCCATCAGAAGATGCTGCATCAACCTTGGCCTTGTCCTCGTCCTCGTCCTCGTCCTCATCACTGTCGCTGTCACTGCCGCTCTCTGTCCCCGACTTGAGTGCTTTGGCAGCGTCCCTCTCTGCCCTCCTCTTCTTGGCCTCCAGGGAATCCGCCTTGCGCTTCTCCCTCTTCTCCTCCCTCTTCCTCTCCTTGACACTCTTAGTCCAGCTTTCCCTCGCCTTTGCACTCCTTTCAAAGAGCTCCAGCAGTCCCTCTTGAGTAGAATTGAAGCTGAGATTGCCAACGAAGAGCGTCGGACCAGCAGGGTGCTTCTGGCCTCGGAGAATCTTCTGCGCCGTCTTGGTCAGACCCGTCTTTCCTCCTCCGGGCGTGATAACGGGTGGGCCAGCTGGGGAAGCTTCGTCTGGGGTGGGCCCGGCACCAGCGCCGGTACTGGCTGCCACATTGCCTGCTGAGGGTGTGGCCTGAGCAAGTGCTGCCATTGCAGGGTTCAGAGCTGGCCGGCCGGTATAGTCTGTTGCTGACTTGATGAGAAGACGGCGGCCTTCGAGGTGGTCTTCCGAAAGGGTCACGCCTGCCTGTACAGCCTCGGCTGTCGGCAGGTCAACGTATGCGAACCTACAATGGGGTGGAGGTGAGACAGAGCAAGCGTGAGGCTTGATGAATCGCAGCGCACTCTTACTTGGCTGCTTTACTCACCCTCTGTTCTGCTCAAACTTCTTAACGCCCTTCGGCATATGCACTCGACTGATACCCTGCAATCCCTTTTCTTCCAGCCAGCTCTGCAGCCTCTGAGCATTAGTCATGAAGCTCAAATTACCGATCCAGATGGCGTAAGGGGATCGTTCCGGCAGTGCCTCCCTCTTCTCTGCAGCGCTGCCATCTTCTGCTGAGCCTGGTGCTGGGAGGAGACCCTTCTTCTCCAGTCGACGCCGCTTGCGCTGCTCCTTGTGGGAGAGAGCTTCTACCTCGCCCTCCTGCTCTCCCTCTGCTGCCGGCGCTGTTGCGTCTTCGCTCGCAATACCGTCTGCCTGTATAGCTGTCTCATCATTGTCGTTCTTCCTCTTGATGGCCTTTGAGTGTGCTTCTGCGCTGGCCGCTGACGTCGATTGCACTACAGTCTCTGCTGCCCCTCCCTCTGCCCGCTTCTTCTTCTCGGCCTGCTTGGCTAGGCGGCGCTCCTTGTTGGTCAGACCATCGGGCCCGACGATACGAGGCGGGGCTGCTGCGGAAGAGCTCGAGGTACCTGCGTCGGCCTGCTGTACTTCATTCGTCTGGCTCATTGTGGGGAGATGAGGCTGTCCAGCTGGTTGCTGATGGTCATGGATTCAAGGTGAAGGGGCTCCTGCTCCAGTCGTTGGCTTCGCTTCGCGGCACACGCTGGGCAAAAATTTCCACACGGAAGCAGCAGCGTGTGCGGGGCAGCAGCTGAAATTTGAGTGGCCGAGGGGATTTCGCATCGGCTCTGGTCTACCCGCTTGCCTGCTCACTCACTGTACGGAGACCACAGACAGCAAATCACAAGGGCTCTGTTTTGAGGTCATCGTTGTTCCCCCCCTCCTCTCTTCCTCGGTCATGTCTTTCAACTCCACCACCTTCCTCACCACGCAGGGATGGGAGGGAGCCGGGGTACCCTTGGACGGAAAAGGAGGTAAAGGCCTCAAGAAGCCACTGGCCATCCCTCAGAAGAGAGGACTCAAGGGACTGGGAAAGGAGAGGGATCGAGCCGTAGAGTGGTGGGACTGTCTCTTTGAGGTAAGTGATTAGGGAGACGCCTCTATGGGACACTTGTTCTGCAGACGGGGCTGACGTATGAACGTGTGGGTCCCTATCGTTGCTACAGACAAGCGCAAAGACCCTCAATATCGGAACAGGCTCGAGCAGCAAGCTCAACTCACCCTCTGCTACAACATCGGCAACAGCATCATCTTCAGCCTCTCCCGCCCCATCCCCAGCTCCATCACCCCTCCCACTGCCACCCGCATCCCTCCCTCCCGGTCCTAGCCCACTAGCCTCCTCATCGAGGATGTCCATGCAGAGTGCTGCGAAGCGCGAGTATGCCCGCAGGGTACTAATGAGCTCGTTCGTCAGGGGAAGACCGGAGCTTCACCCCAAGCCCAAGTCGGACGAAGAGAAGAAGGAAGCTCCAACATCTCCATCCAAGGCTGATCAGGCTGCTGAGGGTAAGAAGATCGAGGCTGTGGTCGACGAGTGCGGGAGAGCGATTGCTCCTCCCAAGCCCAGCGAGGGGGACGAGGGGGAGCGGATAGCCGAATCTTCGTCCAAGAAGGAGCCGAGGCAGGGTAAAGAGAAGAGGGAAAGAAAAGACAGGAAGGACAAGTCAAAGTCTAGCTCGAAGAGCAGGAAAAAGGATGAAGACGAGGAGAAGAGCAGAAAGCGCAAGAGGAAGAGCGAGAAGGAAGAGAGTCGCTCCACGTCTCAAGAAGGGGACGAGGTTGTCTCTAGCAAAAGAAAAAGGTCAGACGATGAGCGGCAAGCTGCGAAGAGTGAGAAGAAGAAGGGCAAGAAGGAGCAGCAGGACAAGTCGTCGTCTAGCTCGAGAGAGCCTTCAGTACTCAGTGGGACGGAGAAGGAGAAGTTGAGCAAGGAGCAGCGCAAGCTAGAAAAGGCAGAGAAGAAGGCGAGGAAGGAGGCTCGGGCTGCCAAGAAGGCAAAGCGGGCAGCCGAGAAGGATTCGGCATCTTGAGACGTCTTGAGAGGGTTTCTTTGCCAATCTGTACTTTTACAATATCATTCAGGCAACGAATATACAATTGCATTTATACAGGCAGCGTCAAGACGCTACCCCAGCACCGCCACATCCGCTCCACTGCTCTAGTCTGTACGGCCATCCCATCAGTACCACTGCTACTACTGCCCTGTGCAGTAACGGCAATCGTCTCCAGATCCCTCACATCGTCCAAGAAGTCCGTCAGACGAGAATCTGATCTAGCTCTGCCCTTGGTCTGACTCTTGCCCTTGTTCTGCCGATGACGAAGGCGGGATTGCTTCTTGCCTCCTCCTCCATGCGGCAGGATCTCATGAGCGACTCTGCGTAGATCTGCCAATTCTAGGAGCAAAAGACCATACGCCTTGTCCGACATGCCCTCGCCGGCATGTGTGGGTGAGGAGGTGCCTCTGGTGAGCAGACGATCCACTCTGCGCATTGCAGCCCACGCCCGCTCCTTTTCCCTTCCGTCGTCTCGCATCTCTCTCCCGCGGACAATCCACTTGGCTCCCCTGAAGCCAAGCCAGAGGATCCCCATGGCGGGAGCGATTCCCACGGCCCCGAAGAGGAGAGCCTGAGACTTGAGCAGGTGGTCGATGCCGCTCATGGCGACGGCCAAGTCGTACTTTGCCTTCTGCACTTGAATCAGAAGGAGGCGGGGGAGAGAGCCCATGGTCAGGGCCTTGAAGGGAGACTTGAGCTGATCCTCGTAGGCGCGCATCACCACGTCCAGGTCGCCCTCCCGAACTTTGCGGCGCAGCTCCTCTGCTCGTGCTGCGTCTTGGGCGGAGATTTGGCCCTTGTCGACTGCGTAGGTTGTCACCATCCTTTCGAGACTCTGCAGTGAATCCAAAGCGAGAGACTGTCATGTCAGTACTGCGCCCATTAGGATCTTCTAACGGGTCGGACTCACCTCCAGGTCTGCTTTTCGTCCTTCCTTGGTGACGATGCCGCCATCATCTGCAACGTCGCCACCCTTAATCGTGTTCAACAAGTCCATGACAGGGTCCACGACCCAATTGTAGAAGAAGCCCTTGATTGTCTCCTTGCCGTCGGCAATGGCCTCTGCAATCGCCTGTCTATTGCGGGAGGCTAGGCGAAGACCGAAGAACATTAGCGTGGGCCAAAGAACCAGTCGAGGCCAGAGCATGGCGAGTCGCGACGGTGGGGAAAGGCCAATTGGTGCGGCTACTGTGACGATGGGGTACTCCAAGGCTGGGGCGTTCTCCAGAACGTGGGCTAGTGCCTCGTACACTTGCACAGAAGAGGAAGCTTCAAAGCGAGGCTGAGGCGTAGCAGTGTCAGTGAGCAGTACGTCCTGCAATTTGCTCACAAGCAGTTGCACTTCTTCGTCTGCACTCTGAGCCGTGACCTCTTCTTGGCTCTTTGACAAGGCAAGCGCGGTAGATGCAAGTGCGCCGAGCTTCTTTGCGACCTGATTCCTCCTCTTTCGGAGCAGTTTCTGCTTTGTATTCGCTTCATGCAGGGTAAGAGTCAAGGGTGACAGACCCTTGGCTTTGCGCAACAGGACCAGAGGGCCAGCCAGAGCCTTGCCTCCAAGCTTTTGTCCATTGCCCTTGCCCAGCGAGGAAGCAGTGACTACCTCGTCAGACGCTTCTCGCTCGTCGTCTTCCCTCTGCTTGATGGCGTGCGGCCAAAGAGCTCCCACGACGACGTCTGGCGTCTTGCGCAGCTGGCGAATCGTCGCGACGATCGTTTCGCGATTGATTGGCGGCGGTGGAGCTGAAGACGAGTCGGCAGCGGATCGTGCTCCATTCTTAAGTACACGGTAAGCCTCTTGCGCCAAAAGGTTCAGGCGTGCGGGTAATGTCTGGAGGAGGTAGAGGGCGGTGGCCGACGAGCTGTCCTCGACTCCACTCCAGTACCAGCTGGACTCTTGCAGCCTACCTGCCTCTTCGAAGAGGTTGTTGAGTGCGAGCGCATACGCTGCGTAGGTCACGCGAATCACCTGCGCCGAGTCTGACAAGGGAGAAGCCTGTGCGGTCTGCGCTTCTTGCAACGCTCTGAGCACGCTCAAGAGCTCGTCGCGAGACGGAATTGATTTGGCTTCTATGATGGAGGCGGGTACGCCAGATGGTGTTCGAAGTCCACTGTTGCCTGAGTCACCCTCACCGTCGCTGCCATCGCCGTGGCTGGTACTCTGGGCTGCTGCGAGCTCTCGGCGGAAGCGATGCTTGGACTCAAGCGCCTGGCGCTGCTCCGCATCGAGGTCGTCCACCCTCCTCGACGTCGATGCGAACCAGTCCAGGGCGAGCGACTCAGCAGACTCGGCCATGGTCCTCACTCGTAGATTGAGCTACAGCAGGGTATGATGTATCGAAGGCGGGTCACGCTGCCAAGAGTCGAGGCGAGCGTAGCTGCACCTCATGTCCGATCTGGGGACGTGCCTCCGTTCCGACTTCCTATCCCCGCGGGCGATTCACACGCTACGCGCTGTCTCCACATTTTGCGTGCGGGTGGAGTCGCTCGGGCAAAGGAAGGCACTGAGCCTGTTTTGCAGCACTCCTTCCTCTGATAGTACCATCCTCCGTATACATCGCTACCCTCTACAGCTACGTATAGTTGACCTTCTTCCCAAGACTATCACTATCTCGCTATGCTTCGCACAGGACTTGCCCGATCTGCCGCTCTCGTAGCCCCTCAGCGAGCCTCGACCCTCGCTGCAGGATCCAGGCTCAAGCACACCCTGCCCAAGCTCCCGTACGAGTACAATGTGAGTCGCAGATGGAAGGCTCTGAGACAGAGCAGTCTCACATAGCTACATAGAACTACACCTGGTACTGACCAACGTATGGCCCGCCGCACTTCGGTGATTCACAGGCCCTGGAGCCCCACATCTCTGCTCAGATCATGGAGCTGCACCACTCCAAGCACCACAACACCTACGTCACTAACCTCAACAATGCCGAGGAGACCCTCAACAACGCTCTCGCCAAGAACGATGTTAAGGGTACCATTGCATCGCAATCTGCCATCAAGTTCAACGGAGGTGGTGAGTTTAACATGCTGATCCTATCGATGATGGCAGCGCTCTAACTCACTTGTCGTTGCCCTACCCTAATAGGCCACGTCAACCACTCTCTTTTCTGGCTGAACCTTGCCCCTCCCAAGGACGGCGGAGGTGAGCTGCCAAATGGTCAGCTCAAGGCTGCAATTGAGAAGCAGTACGGCGATCTGGAGGCTCTCAAGAAGGTAAGCCAAAGATGAGCTGTGAGCCCAATCACCTGACATACATGCTCACCAAATAACTCACCCCCCATTGTACTACAGAAAATGAACGCTCAGGCTCTTGCCATTCAAGGTAGCGGTTGGGCGTGGCTCGGCTACGACCCTTCGACGTCCACTCTGGACATCATCACCACCAAGGACCAGGACCCTCTGCTGTCCCACGTACCCCTCATTGGTATCGACATGTGGGAGCACGGCTTCTACCTTCAGCACCTGAACAACAAGGCTGCTTACCTCGAGGAGATTTGGAAGGTCATCAACTGGAACACTGCAGAGGAGAGGCTGAAGCAGGCCAAGTGAAGTGAGGTGGACGGACATTGGGTATACAAGGGGAACAGACATTAGGAAGTGTAAAAGGGTGAATTAGTACCTAATGAGACCAAACGACAGCTGCATCACACGATTTCAATCTATGTGATGGCCTCTCAGAACATTGAAGTGCAGAATCACCCCGTGGGGCGCAGTATGACCCTCTGCACTCTTGGACTACGTGATGAATATTGAATCTAATGGTATTGAAAATGTCCGTTGATCGTTTCCGATGGGGTGGGTGAGGGGAGAAGGATGGGGAATGTGGAACGCAACGAAGCGAGCTGAATATATGTACAGTACATGAGGTGGGAGAAAAAGGCAAAAGGAAAGCTAGAAGGGGGAGTCTACCGAGCACTCGGGTGGGGGGAAGAAAAGAAAACGCACCACACAGTCTACAGGAACAGCAAAGGGAATGCCACCTTTGCTGTCCATGCTCGACCTCTTTGTGGGGGCCAGATTTCACCGGCGCCGCTCTCAAAGAGGAAAGGGTGGGAGAGTAAGAGGTATGCTGAGGAGCACGACGTTCTTAGGAGCTGCCTGCCTTGACGGCGAGATTGTCGGCGGTGACGTGCTTTTGGGCAAAGTAAACACCCACGCCTACGCAGATTCCAAAGATGATGGCTACGAGAAAGGCGCTAGCGATGATAATCCAGCACTTTCTCGCACTCTTCTTTGACACTACGGGTGGGGAAACTTTTTCAGAAAAGCGCGAGTAAGACTCGGAGTGCATTCCCGCCTGCAAAGCAGCTTCGCGACGGATAATGTACTTCTCCCTTGCGGCTAGGGCGGGAGTGTGCGCACTCTCGCTCAACTGCTTGGTAGTGCTGGGCGGACGTTCGCCGTAGTATCCTGGACCCGATTGGTGTGAAGAGGAGGAGGAAGCGTAGGAGGCAAACTTGGCGTGGGGTGGGGCATTGGGCTGGGTGTAGGGGAGACTCAAGCTCTCCTGACTGTCCACTCGGCTGTACTTTCCAGGCGACTGGTGGATAGTGTAGGGGCCGTGGAGCTGACCATTGGAAGGCTGGCCAGCGGAAGGTTGGCTGTAACCTTGATGGTATGTGCTGCTAGGTGTTGAGGCATAGGCGTTGTGGCCATTGGCGCTGGTTTGATAAGGGCCTGTCATGTCGAAGGTGGGGTTGACTCCTGTGACGTTAGCACCGGGTGTCCCTCTTGAACTGGATACTCTTGTCTGTGCATACTCACCAGACTGCTGCTGCTGCTGCTGTGATGCGGGGTTCGGTACCTGACCGTATTGATTGGCTGGTGAAGCGTAGGCTGCCATCGAGGCGATCTATGCGGATTGCAGTGCAATGGTTTGAGTGTAAAGAGTGCTGCTCGGAGGCGATGAAGAGAAGTTGGCAAGTGTAGAAAGCGGAGGAGATCAAGTGGAAACGAGTGCAAGGAGAAAGAGAGGGGAGAGTCGAAAGGCAAGTTGGTAGACAGGAAAGAAGGGAGTGAGGGGGTGGTGGGCCAAAGGGGTGGGAAAGGCTGCGAGACTCAAAAGCCGCACGATGCCAGGGTGATGGGCCAAGAACTATTGGAACATCTCGCTTCGACCGGCCGAGAACTTTGTCGCGCTTCTTGTGCAACACCTCGCTCGCCTCTGCTGTGATTCTACCCAAAGACGCCGTCTGGCAGTGGGAGACTCGATCGGTTCTCCAAAGATGTGCTGTGCATGCGTCATACCCGTAGCGTTTGACATGGCCGGCTAGAGGGCGATGCGTAGAAGATGCACGAGGCTGACAGGCTGATCTCGGCGTCGGAGATTGTGCGGGCATGGTATGGGAGTGCAGCAGCAGACGAGGGGCCAAGGATTGATGGCTCTGCGCACTTGGAAGCTTCCTTTCGATGTTTATCGAACGGCGACTTGCAGCGGACACCGCCCAGGGAGCACTACAGCAGTGACATGCGCCACATCGACCTTTGGCATAGATGTTCTTCCGCCTGCCGCTGACGTCGCCCGAGTTCCGACTCCGCCCTGAGACTTGCGTCTTGCCTGGCCCTCTGCTCGCCCACGGAACAGACTCGGCGATTGCAGACAGCAGCCCCTAGACCTAGATCGGAACCGACGGAAGAGGAGCTGGCCGTGATCCGCCCTGGCATGCAAACAAGCCGATGCTGTCAAGGATCTCAAGTCGCTCCCGAACCCCGGCGGCACTAGCGAGGGCGGAAAACATCCGGTCAGTTTCGCAACAGCTGCACGGGTAACGATGTGTATTGTACAGTGAGGGCACCCTGACCACTAGGACCCTTGCAGCCTCGCACGACCCTTCTTCCACACCCTCTCGTGTGGCTTTAATCGAGCTTTTGCCAGCTTTTCCGCCTCCTTCAGAATCCCAATGACCCGGCGTCCGTCTCTTGGCATACCTCTTTCGAAAAAGGAGCGGGACACAGCCCGCAAGATGCTCGCCTCGAAGCGCAGAAAGTGTCTGGCATCAGCTCCATCATCTCCAGATGGGGGCGAGGCCCTGGACGATGGGTCCGAGCGGGTGTCGCCGCTCTTGTGAGTATCAAGAAAAATTCCACAACGGACCAAGAGCTCGCGCAACATGTCCAGCCCTGCTACAGAGGGTCCCTTGTCCCACCGGAGAAGAGCGAGCAGGATGATATTACGAGTGATTAGGTCCGAGGGCAGAGCGAGACGGACCTGCAGGTCGTCCATTTCCCGAAGAAATCCCTCTAGCTGTGCAGTCGCAAGGAAGACGGGCACGCTAGGGCCTGTGGAGAGGGCAAAGATGTCTAGAAAGCCCCTGAGCAGCGTGTTGAGGACGGCAGTCTCAAAATGAGAGGACTTGTCCTCCAACTGAGCCGATCTGGCACGTCGGGAATCGACGATGAGCTTCTCGGCTAGCCTCTTTGCGCCGTTCCAACCTTGACTCTTGAGGAAAGTCTTGATCACAGCGATTTGAGCTGAATGGCGAAAGATAGACAGCGACGTGGAGCGTGTGCGCTCGATTGTGAAGGCTCGTCGACGTCTTAGGCCTCTCAGGTCGCGAATGACAAGGTTGACTGAACCAGTGAGGGCATGGCTGCGCATTCTAGCCTCGTACAAACGTACCCAAGAGGCAGGTGAGGTCTCTCCTGGCCTTGCCAGAGCCAAAGCTTCTTGCCAGATCTTGTTCTGAAATGGCATCGATCCGACTGGAGGTGGAGGATTCAGCTTCAGACCCGAACCAACGGCTTCGCCCTCGCCAAAGCGCTCCAACAGTAGCTCATAGCATCGTAGACTGCGTCCCTCCGCTGGTATCAAGTCCAAGAAATCAACAGCTTGACGAAACTGACCTCGTCCCATCAAGTGATGCAGAACGAGCTCTACTGTGTGAACGGGCAGATATGGCGACCAAGGGCGTTCCATCTCGTCTGCTCTGAGCTCGCGGGGAACTGGCGACCGCAGGCGGTGAAATCCAGAAGGAGCTCGAACGCCATCAGCAGACTGCTCTTGAGCGGCACTTATGCTTGCCACATATTGACAATGAAAAGCATGATCTCGTGCAGTGGCTACAAGAGCATTCAGTGCCGTGCTCGAGGCATATTCCGCTAGAAGTACCGTGAAGTATGACAGGGCGGACTCGACGAATGCTCCAGAGTGACTCTCTTCAGATATTGCCTCTTTCACTACGCCGAGCTTACCACCCACCAGTAGCGTCTGCACTGCCGTGCCCCATTGTTGGAGAATGGCCTGGAGCTGGTGCTTGTCTTTCGCCGATGAACCCGTCTGGGAGAGTTGCCTTGCCATACTCCTCAGCGGCCATGTCGTGCGTCGCAGCAACCATCGTACCTGCGCCCCTCTGAGTCTTCTGTCGACAACCACTTCAGATGTGAATCGGAGGAGTTCAGGCTCCTTAGATCTCAGCAGGTCTCGGCACAGGGCAAAGAGCGCTCGAGACGCCCGGACTTTGTGCTCGCCCGCGCTAGCAAGACAGCCGAGGGAGCGTTGATATACAGTGGTGAGAAGGGAGGCCCGCTCTTCAGTCCATCCACCGCTGAGCGTCACTACCTTTGCAATCGATGACAGTAGGATCAATGCCGCTTCGTCAGAGGTGATGCTGGGCAGCAGCGATTCCACCGCTTCGATGGCGGAGGAAACGGAAGCCTCATCGTGGTCGCTATGTAAGAGGACACGCGCGATGTCTTCCTGTTGACTTCTTGCTAATCCAGCGGCTGAGGTTTCGGCTTCTCCTTCGGTATATGCAAAGGATGGTTCAGGTGATGTAGAAGGAGAAAAGAAAGATTGAGGAAAGAATCGAGACGGTCCGGCTTGGGGAGGCCGCTGCACGCTCACTGCTTGCAGACGATCTCTCTGCTGGCCAGGCAAAGTCTCATAGATGGAGTATTCGTATGCCGGTGGTTCCTCGCAATGCCATGGGGTATCCAGAGTCGCATGCCGGGAATTGCTGGTAGCTGCCGCGCTGCTTGCAAGTGCACGGCGGCGAGACACCGAAGAGGATGAGGAGCGCGCCGGTCCAGCGCAAGGTATTGATCTCACTGTAGAGCTGCTGGCCGCTATTGTTGATTGGACCGCTCGTCTAGCCGCCTGGCTAACGGCGGTGGACGGATAAGTGCCGAAGATAGACATAACATGCTGATGCACGGCCGACTACAGGGATGAGGAGGCCGTGGTGGTCATGGCGTCTGATCTGCGTATCACTGTCGCTCTCGCTCGTGCCGTCGGAAGGAGTGAGTGAGCTGGTCGGGACTTGAAACTCGGACCCGAGCGCGCATCCCCGTTCCTGCTGCAAAACCGCAGATCTCGCCCGCCGGAGAAGACTTCTCTCCTCTTGACTCCATCAACCCCATTTTCAAGTACGCCTGTGAGTAGCGCGCCATGCGAAGGGAGACCTTCTTGGAGGGCCAGCATGAATGCAATACTGACCCTTTGTCAATACACAACTGTGGACGTAGTAAACTTCCCCTGTGACCGTCTTTAGTAACGAGTCCATCGGTGGCTACTTATTTGCTCAACTTCACACATCCTCGCCCTCACCTCTTCGAACAAACAACAAAATGGGTGGTACTCGTGCTCAAAAGGAGATCTGGTTCACCAAGCTCAGTGAATGCTTGGAGACCTACCCCTCCATCTTCATCGTCAACGTTGACAATGTCGGATCTCAGCAGATGCACCAGATCCGACATGCTCTGCGAGGCAAGGGTACCGTCTTGATGGGAAAGAACACCATGGTCCGACGTGCTCTTCGTCAGCTCGTCGCTGAGAAGCCCCAGTACGAGAAGCTCACTCCTCTCGTCAGGGGCAACATCGGATTCGTCTTCACCTCCGGAGACCTCAAGGACATCCGAGACCTCATCCTCGCCAACCGAGTTGCTGCCCCCGCCCGTGCCGGTGCTTACGCCCCAGCAGACGTCATCGTCAAGGCAGGCAACACCGGTATGGAGCCCGGAAAGACTTCCTTCTTCCAGGCTCTTGGTATCCCCACCAAGATCGCCCGTGGTACCATTGAAATCGTCTCCGACGTCAAGGTCGTCACCGCTGGCTCTCGAGTTGGTTCTTCCGAGGCCATGCTGCTCAACATGCTGAACATCTCGCCCTTCACCTACGGTATGAGCGTCGTCCAGATCTACGACCAGGGTCAGACCTTTGCCTCTGATGTTCTGGACGTTTCTGAGGACACCATCCTCGAGCGATTCATGCTGGGTATCAAGCAGATGGCTTGCCTGTCTCTCGGTCTCAACTACCCCACCATCGCCTCCGTCAGCCACGTTCTTGTCAACTCTTACAAGAACCTCATCGCTGTCTCTTTGGCCACCGAGTACGAGTTCGAGGGATCTGCTAAGGTGAGTTTGCGCGCGAGAAAGTTGGAGAAGCACATTAAGGTCGATGGCACAGACGAGCCCACACAGAGGGTTGGAAGGGAAGAGCCGTGGAGAGCAGCCAAACGATTACAAAAAATCACAAATCACACTGAAAATTCGGATGGACCGAAAGGTCGAGGACCGATTCGCAATATATTCACACTGGCTGATGGCTCAGGATCGAGGGAGAGGGAGCGGAAAGGCTTTGCTGAGATAGGCGATTGGCATTGTTTCGTCCGTCCATTGCCCAAGCTTATTGCTGACATGCGTTCTCCTCTTTCCTCTTTGACGCTTATAGGCTAAGGAATACCTCGCCAACCCCGAGGCCTTCGCTGCCGCTGCCCCCGTTGCCGCCGCTGCTTCTGCTGACGCCCCAGCTGCTGCCGCCGAGGCCGCCCCTGAGGAGGAGAAGGAGGAGTCTGACGACGACATGGGCTTCGGTCTCTTCGACTAAGCGTTTCGCTCGCTTCGTCTTTCCCTTCTTCTGTCCGACTGCAGTGGCGACTTCTCCCCCTCGTCATTGTACCTTCTCGTTGTGTCACGATCTGCAATTTGCATGGAGTCTCACAGCACCTACGCTTCTCCGCCTGAGCTGTGTTCCCTTTTGATGCTGATGAACGGTAGAGCAGTGCTAGAGTCGCTCGAACAGAAGTCGTGAAGATCGTTACATGTGCAGTGCCGCTGACGAAGAGCAGTGAAGAGGGCAAGCTTACATGCAATGGTGCGTTCTTACTCAGCCCAGTATGCCCTTGCTCCTGGTCTGTACAGCTGCCTCCAGGGCCCTCTCTGCCCTCTCAGCTCTTGCCTCTGAGGTTTTCAGAGCCCCGGATAGCTTGTCCAGAAGCTGCTGAGCATCCTCCAGATCCTCCCTTATCTGTGCGAGCTCTCCTGACTCTGCCCCACCTGCTGGCTGCTGCATCTCCTGCTTCTCTCCTTCATCGAGCCCAAGCTTTCGGCTTAACAGTTCGCCCAGCTCCTCGTTCTCCTTTTGCAGCTCGCTCACTTTTCTCAATAAGCGCACACCGAGGACGGGAGCTGGACCAAGCGAGTCTTCTGTCTCTTTTGAAGCCTCGCTTGTCGTTGCTTCGGCTGTGGAACTTGTATCGTCTTTACCAGTCGAAGTCGTGCTGTCTTTGCTACCGAGGCTCGCCTCTGCGCTAATACTTCTCCAACTCTCCGCAGGTCGAAAGGCAAGAGCTTCCACTCTCATCTGCATTGCGTCCTCTCGGGCCTTGTACGCTTCGATGACAGCCAGTAAGGAAGAGAGGTACTGGCGAGTCTCGTCTGCCTCGTCTGGCTCCTTGCCGTCCGTTGCGGCAGGCAAGCTGTTGTCGTGCTCTGCAGAGCTCGATGCTCGACACAAGGTGGGATGTTCGGTTGGTCTCAGATCGGCAAGGCTCGGGGGACGTTGCGGTTCCGCAGGTAGAGCGGGCAGTGGTGGAAGTTTACCTAGCAATTGCTGGCCCATACTGAGGCTGCTTTTGCTCAAAGGCTTCCCTGAGACTACGCCAGAGGATACAGCTGCACTAGTGTCGCCCTCAACCCCAGCTCCAATGGATGATCTCGGCGACTGGCGCAACGCAGCTCCTCCTGATGGTTCAAAGGTAGGCTTGGCCGGCAGCTTGCTCATTCCGATGCCGGCACCGAGTGGGACAGGTGCTGCACCATGTTGTGGGGTAGACATGCCACTGCTGCCTCCGCTCGACTGATGGTAGGCCGAAGGTCCATCACTACCGACGGCGCTGCTGTAAGCGGAATTCGATCCAGACCCTGAAACTCTCGAGTAAGAATGTCTGGGCTGTCTCTGGTTGTGGGGTCCACCAGGCGTCGATATTGAGGGATAATGCTGCCAGCTCATAGGCGGAGCAGCTGATCGGCCAGGACCTCCTACGCTCTGAGCAGCGTAATATTGACCTTGGCCGGGTGCAAATGCCGCCGGCTGTGGTTGCTGCCCGGGTTGTCGCATCTGATAGTGAGACTGCTGACTGGCCGCGAAGCCTGGCTGGGTCTGATGTCCATACTGGGGTTGATGAAAAGGCTGCTGGTGGTCAGCATGCGGGTATCGTCGCTGCTGGTATGGCGCAGGCGCTATGTACTGGTAGCCACCGTGCAAGCCTTGCTGCTGATCGTGAGGATATGGCGGTTGCCCTCCATTGTCCCATTGAGCGATCGGTACTTGTTGCGCAGGATAGTAGGGCTGATAAACGCCCTGATCTCGGTCCATTCCGATTGTCGGACCGTGCAACCGAGCTAAGAAATGATCTGCAGCTCTCACAAGCCCTAGCAGTCACCAGGCTGTGCTCGTATGCCCTCTTCAGAGCCGAGAGGACGGGAAGCTAGCCGTGGAGGAGGCTGTCCGTAAGGGTATTGTCGGGACTGGCAGGAGTCATTCGTCTACGCCAGCGCAGATATGATGGCGCCCTGCCAAATGCCAAATTCTTGTCCTCCTTCTTTGTCTGCGTCGGTACACAGACTTCAAGCCGAATGCTGAGTCGTATGAGCGAGGAAGAAGCGAGGGAGGATACCATTGATCAGTAAGGAGGCAGCGGTGACTTGAGCCGAGGCATCTGCACCCACTTCCGGTTTCCGCACCAGCCGCCATCTGAGCCAAAGTACATCCAGACCTTCTTGCTCATATCATCCTTCACAACTTCACATATACCTCGGACGCATTCCATTGGCATCGCTGTGTCGTCGTGTGCAAGCTCGAATCGACTGCTCAAGGAGCGACCCAGTAACACAGCCACTTGCGACGGCGCTGAGCAGCAGTACGGGTCACCATGTCAGACTTCGCGAAGGACGCTCTCTCACTCGAGGAGACAAAGTGAGTATCATTCCATCATCGCAGCGAACATCGACGCGAGGCACCCAGAGAGCTGACGTCTGCCTCGTGCCCATTTGCCCAACCACAGTCGTCTCCGTATCTCCCTCGGTCTCAAACCTCTGAGCGATGACTCTGCTTCCGAGACCAAGACGAAGAGTGGCGAAGGGGCAGAGCCTGCTCAGCCAGCCAAGGACAAAGACGAGATTGCAGAGGACAATTACCGAAGTCGGAGAGAAGCTGAGGCAAAGCAGAAGGAAGATGAGGAGATTCGAGCCAGGATCGCCAAGTGAGTCGCTGTGGGAAGGAAGAATTGTACTCGATGGCTCCGGCTGACTGGTTGCCTGGCCCCCTCACTTGCCCCTCTACAGAGCTCGGAACCAGCGTGATCTCAGAAGACAGCTACGAGGTCCGACACTCGGAGATGCTGACCCAGCCGAGTCCAGCAGCTCAGCTGATCCCAAAAGTACCGCAAAGTGGCTCAAGCAGGCTCAAAAGCGGGCCAAAGAGAATGCCGCCAAGCGAGCCAAGGAGGAGGAGGAGCAAGAAGCAGCGGTACGAGCTACGTACGGCGAGGCCGACCTCGCTGGACTGAGAGTCGCCCATGACGTAGACGACTTCGACCTTCAGGCAGGCGAGGAGGGCAAGGTCCTGACGCTCAGGGATAGCAGAATTCTAGATGGCGGCGAGGACGAGCTGATGGATGCCGAGCTGGAGCAGAAGGAGCTAGACCGCATCAATGACGAGAGAAAGAAGGGACCGAAGCAATACACAGGCCTCGATGATGATGAGGTCGAAAGCGCTGCCTATGGCCGGAAGAAGGGAGTTCTCAGCAAGTACGATGCTGACATCCCTGGCTCAGGCATGCGAGAGTCCGATGGAGGCGGCTTCACACTTGGTGGTCCTTCCGAAACCAGCGAGGAAAGGAGAGAAGCTAAGCGCAGGGAGATGGAGGAAGAGGCGAGGAGAAAGAATCGCACCCTCCTCAGCCTAGACTATACCAGTGAGTAGTCGTGAAGTCCTCTAGGCCCTTGGCTGCCCCTCTGACGTTTTCGTCATGCTCCGTATGCAGAAAATCAAGAGGTCTCAGACTACCTTGCGCCAGGAGACATTGGCTTCAAAAAGTCAAAGGTGAGTCCAAACGGATCTACTGCTCGTGCGAAGAAGCGTAGACAGGACTGAACAACGGCTCCTCTGGTTGTCCGCCGCTTCTGACACATAGATCCCTACCCCTTTTTCCTTACCTTGTCATCCGCCCGTGATGATGCAACATCTTCATCGATACCTCTGTTGATGACCCCACAGACTAAGAAGAAGAAAAGACCTGCAGCTTCTCGCATCAAGCTGGAGGACGACGAGGCAGAGGAAGGCAATGCGGCGGGAGATGTTGACATGGCCCAGCCTGTACAACACACTCGCCGTCAAGCTGAAGAGCGCGACAACCTCATAGACGACGACGAACTCGCAGTCTCGCTCGCTAAGGCTCGCCGGGCTAAAGCCAAAAAGGCTGTCAGCAAGATTACGCCAGAGGAGATCGCCAAGAATCTGGCTGCTCAACGAGAAGCCGAGGAGAAAGAAGCTGCAGAGCGTGAACCAGGCGGCAGTCTGAATGGCCTGCGCAACAGTCAAGACTTCGGAGCTGGTATCGCGGGAGCGCAAGAGACTAATGGCGGTTTGACCTTCGACGAGACTTCCGAATTTATCAGAAGCGTAGGTCAAAGGCAAGAGCTGGAGCCAACTGTCAGGCGCGTGAAGCAGGAGACACCAGCTGAGTCATTCCAGAACGGCACTCATATCAAAGAAGAGCCGCAGGAGCCATCACTGAGCGCTGCTGTCGACGCAGATAGCTTGCTTGCCGTCGGTCCCGCCGAAGACGGGGAGGTCAAGGATGAAGAGATGGACGAAGACGACTTCTCGTCGTCGCCTCCTCTGGACAACCGCTCTCCGGACCCTGCGTCGTTGGGTATCGGGACATCCGCCGAGCCGAATGTCTCGGGTGGAATGGCCGGCACCCTGAATCTGCTGAGATCACAAGGCCTGCTCGATGCCGTCACGCCAGAGCAACGTCAACGGGAGGCAAGCCAGCGCGAGTACGACCTCTGGAAGGCGCGTCGACTGGCGGAGCAAGCTGTGCAGGAAGAGGAGCGTCGAATGAACAAGCTCCAGGGTAGCGCCAAGGACCAGGCTACGCGTGAGCACGAGAACAAGCTGCGTGAGCTGGAGGACGCGCGCCGAGCTGAGGCGAGGTTCAAGGACTACAAGCCCGACGTAGATATCAAGTACCACGATCAGTACGGTAGGGTGCTCGACAAGCACGAGGCCTGGAAACTACTCAGTCATACCTTCCACGGCAAAGCTCCAGGGAAAGCCAAGCAGGAGAAGTATAAGCAAAAGGTCATGGACGAGAGGAAGAGGGAGAGGATGGCGGCTGGCGAGACGCAGGACATGAGCAAGGCATTCAGAGAGAGGCAGCAGCGTGAAGGTCAGGCTCACATGGTTCTGAGTGTCGGTGCAAAGGGCAATGCCCCTCAGGACTTTGCCAATCACCTTGGACCCAACCTTGTTCAGGCGAGAAATGCCGCTGCATCTGGCAGTGGCTCAAAGGCAAGCAAGGGCAAGTCTACAGCAGTGGCAGCCGGGACCAGCACCGATGGACGTGGCCTTTCGCAGGAGCGAGGCGGTCTAGTCTCCGTCATGTCGGAGAGCTTTTCGCCCATGCCCTCTTCCTCGAGCACGCCTTTGCCCTCCAACGGCCCGCGCATGAGACCGGCCTTCCAGCCCATTGCGGCTACCTCCTCTCCTGCACCTGAAGGAGCCAGCCCTGCGCCCGGAGCGGCTGAGCAAAGTGGTGCGCCGGGTGGCCTCGGCTTCGGCGGTGGCTTCAAATTGGCCTTTGGCGGCGCTGGCGCTCAAGGCAAGCGCAAGGCTGAGGAGCAGGGTCATCGATGATGAAAATGTAGTATAATTGTGCTTTTCTGTGCAATGGACCGGTGACACTGTGAAGCCCTATCTACGTGTGGATTGCGACCCTATGTTGAAAGCCTGTCTGTTGCTCCTGGATTCGAAACAGGCACTCTATCCAATCGGGCTATGATCTCCTGTGTACCCAACCTCTGACGTGCTGACAATTTCAGACAGCCTACGAGGACGTCTTGTACCACCTCAGCGCGCTCTCGGACGTCCTTTGGGACCCCGCCCTTCTCCCCTGCAGTAAGTACCCTTGTGAAGGTGGGCAGCCGTTCTTGTAGAGCTCGAGGCATGGCAGGGGCCGGCGCACGAGTGAATGGCAGGCGAGCCAGAGGGGGATGGAAGTGGACAGCTTCCTGTGATAGCATGGGGGAAAGGAGGGGATGCAATTAGTATTAACATGTTAGCGATCGCGAGCGGCGAGCGGCGAGTCGCCGTCTTCACTCACGGGCCACAAGTCTTCTCGGTCTCCCTCTGGTAGGCCCAGCAGGGTGAAGATGTCCGCTGCGAGTACAATGTCGCCGCGACCTTCCTTGAAGAGTGTCTGCCGCCTGTAAGACTTCTTACTTCTCTGAATGGTGAACCGCGGCCGTGAGACTACCTCGGCGCTCTCATCATTAACGCCATCATCATAGTCATCGTCATCTGCTAGGCTCGGTCCGGAGGGCCAGAGACATTGCCTTTCGAGGTCCCTCTCCATCCGCTCGTCTTCATCTTCCGATCGCTCAAACGCATTTTCGTCTTCGTCGACGAGATGCACGCCCGACTGTGCCTCGCCCTCGTCTGCATCCGAACTGACCTCTCCGAGCACCTCAGCCACCACGCATGCCACCTCCCACACGTCCACGGCCGCTCCATCGTAACCTCCCGTGGGCGAGAAGAGCAACTCGGGTGGGGTATAGGGGTGTGTAGAGGTGGAGGAAGTAGACGGTCGCTCCTTCTTTGACGAGCTGACAAAAGCGGTTCCAAAGTCACAAAGCCTTATTGAAATAGATGCAGGATCATCGTTGGTGGGGTTGCCAGAGAGGAGGATATTTCCTGGCTTGACGTCTCGATGGTAGATGCCATTGCTGTGCAGGAAATCAAGGGCGGAGAAGAGCTGGAGCGCCAGATGATGGGCGAAGGTATGCCTTTGAGAGTCCGATAGTGCAAGAATGCTCTCTACGCAAGTATTTGCCTCCTCGAAAAGGAAAGTTGCCAGCGTTGTAGGATAGCGGGGGAAGTAGAGACGCTGAATGGTAGTGAAGTCATCTGGCACCTCTTCTTCGTCATGGAGTAAGGCGACGACCTGGGAGAGTCAAGGAGCATCAGGAGGCAGAACATAAGCTATCACTGGATTACCTGCTACTCACAAGATCTCTTCTCTGATCAGCTGACCCTCGCAACCTCTTCAGGATGTCGATCTCGCGCAAGATATCGTGGGGTCTCGGCTGTTCGTCCAGGTCTACACACTTGACGAGCAGACCATGGCGCAGCGGCGCTGCTCCTAGATGTTGCAACTCAACATCCAGATATTTCCTCTCTGCGCTCCTTTCTTGCTGCCACTTGTCAAGGTCGAAGGTATAGATCTGCGAGGTAAGTCCGCGAGTGAGGTAGTCAAGCGCTCGCGGCTTGTGGGTCGCTGCGATCAGAGAGTCTGGGAGCGAGTAGGAGCTCGAAGCGCCAGATGCTGATGAAGAGCCCGCTGAGGTCTCTATGTGCGCCATCATGGGTCTCAGTGAGCTGCTCAATGCCCCGACTCAGTCCTCTGGCATTTCATCTGCTCCAAAGGCGGAAGCAAGGCGAGATGTGCATCGTCAGTCCTGTACCATCGGAAGTACGGAACGGGTTCTGACACGCGTCTTTCAAACTCAGAACAACACCCTCACCCGCCTCCGCCAAGGAGTGTCAGGGGCAGCGGGGCGCGGCAACACCAAAACCGCCCTCGACGTCTCTCGTCATCCTTGATCAGCTACCACTGCTCTCCCCGCTCCCCTTGCCCCTCTCATCTCTCATTGACGCCCAACATGTCGTCCTTCTTCGGTCTTTCCAAAACCCGCACCTTCAAGCCAAAGCGCAACATCCCCGAGGGCACAAAGCAGTACCAGCTCAAGCGGTACGCCGAGGCCACCCTCGGCTCAGGCAACCTCCGAGCAGCCGTCCTCCTCCCTGAGGGCGAAGACCTCGATGAGTGGCTTGCAGTGAACACAGTCGACTTTTTCAACCACCTCAATATGCTCTATGGAACTATCACGGAGTTCTGCACACCTGCCTCGTGCCCTTCTATGAGTGCTGGCCCGCGATACGAGTATCATTGGTTGGACCCGGCTGATCCGAAGTACAAGAAGGCGACTAGATTGAGCGCGCCGGACTATGTGGACTGTTTGATGGCATGGACACAGGCACTATTGGACGATGCAGAGATCTTCCCCAGCAAAGTCGGTCAGTACACGAGCGCTGATGCACTGCAACGGGCTTAGAGGAGCTATTGTGCTGATGCTAGTATCTGCTCTTCCCTCGCACAGGTGTCCCATTCCCGCCTAACTTCCAGTCGACGGTCAAGTCGATCCTCAGGAGGCTGTTCAGAGTGTATGCGCACATCTACAACCACCACTTTGCCCACATCTGCGCCCTCAGCGTTGAAGGTGAATCAGACATTGCCTCAAAACTCTCTCCTCCTTCCGCAGGACCTCTGGCTAACCCTTTCCCCTGTCTTTTCATTTTCACAGCCCACCTGAACACATCCTACCGCCACTTCCTTCTCTTTGTGAGCGAATTCGATCTCATCGACCCAAAGGAGCTAGCACCTCTTGTAGAGCTCAACGAGGCTATTCTCGAGGAGAGGGACAACGCTTCGGCCTCTTCGCCCGCTGCGCAGGCAACTCTTCCGGCTGCTGGAAGGACGGCTGTTGCTGCTTGATGAACAGATGAGAAGGCTCTTGGATTTGCCTGCTTCGGACATCTCTCCTTCCTCCATCAAGACCAGGACCCTTTTCTCTTTTGACCTGACAACTCTACAGACTCTTTTCTGCTGCAAGACGTGCAACGTCCAGCCGTCTTTGCCGTATATGCATTTCGCTTTCTTTGTACAAAATCTTTTGGCTTTCAGACATACATTACCATCTTCCATACCCCCTGTCTGGTGTTGCGGCTGGTCCCTCTGGCCCTCTGTCCATCTACGATTGATCTATGTCCCTTGCTCTACTTCTACGTTCACCCTCCCTCTAGCGCCCCGCCCCAGCTTCAGAGTCCCACACGTCGAATCTTTTCATCAAGGGAAGTCCCTCAACGTCTCCTGCACCCTCAGCACAGTCGCCTTGCGCATACGAGCCACCTCGTCCTTGACATCCTTGAAGACCTTTTCCCTAGTGCCCTTGCCGCCCTTTTGCGCATCCAGGGCATTCTCCAGCGTTCTGACGAGAGAGGTGAGCCCGTCATCCCCTTCAGATGCACCATCTTCCTCCGAACTCTGGTGAGGCTCAATGGAGAGCGTGAGGGGACGAGCTTGCTTCAGTGTGGTCACGCGCTCGTTCAAGGCTGTACGAAGCATGTCGAGTCCCTCTTTCAGGGCAGCAGGTGAGACGGTCTTCCCTTCACCCTTCGAAGATGAAGATGAACCGTCGTTCAAAAAGTGCCAGTAGAGGAGGTAGAGGTCGAGTAGAATTCCGACATTGTACTGCTCTTGCCATGGTAGCATGTTGCAATGAGACGCTTGCACTTCTTCTAGTAGAGCTTGCAGAGCCTCTTGGCCTTGTGCAGCAGAGCCAGACGCAAAGGCTTCGACGATGCCATTAGCGTACGACTCGAGAGTGTACCAGTCCTGTGCGGGTGCTGAGCTCGGGTCCTTCAGACCCTCGGGAATGGCGACGCCGGGACCATCGGCGAGCACAGCGAGGTAGCGTGCTTGTCTCCGGATGAAGAGGGCAGTGTCGTGAAGGCCAAAGATGTGATCTCGGGAGGTCAGGTCAACAAATGAATCGAGTGCCTTGTTGCAGAACGACGGGAGGATGGCATCGTCCCATTGCTGCAGCAGCCCTTCCTTCAAGACCTGCTCAGCCTCCTGGAGGACCGCAGCTGCTGCTTTCTGCCTCCCCTCCCGGTTCTTCGCTATTTGTGACAACTGCCGAGCTCTCTCCAGCTGGATGAGCTGCCTCTGAGTGGACCGCTCCATCCTGTGCTCAAACTCCATAAACTCCCTCACGCTCGAGTAGTTGCCGCGCTCAAAGGCAGTCATAACCATCCTGAGCTGCTCCCCCTCCACCTCGCCATAGAGATTGCTCGCTTCGCGTCTCCATTGACTGACAGGGGCCCCTTCCTCAGACGAGCCACCCTCGAGGGACCGTCCAACCCAGAGCCAGCCGAGGGACTCGTTTTGAATCCCGCGAATCTTCAGGTCCGTCCAGAGCTTACGCGCTTCCCTCTGACATCCGAGCATGAGATAGATGCGGAGACAGAGGACTTTCAGGGCGTACGAGGCAGGAGTAGCATTGGCTGCGTGGGTCAGGATGGAAGCCAAGTGGATGAGCACACTCGAATGCTCGCCGCCTTGATCCGCGAGGATCAGCTGTGCTGCAATGAGGACAAAGTCGGTTCCGGCTCTTGGGACAGTCTTGGGCACTTTTGCGGAGATTGGCAGTGATGCATAGAAGGCCTTGAGAAGCTGTTCAATCTGTTCGTCTACGTCTGTGCCTCCCTCTGACGACGGAGATGTCAGCCGGACGCGAATCTTTGCGGCGTTCAAAGATTTGATGACATCTTCTTCTGTAGCAAATGTGGGATCAGAAGAGGAGGAGGAAGAAGGATCGAAGAATCTGATGTTCTCGCTTGCCGCGAGCTTGTCAGCTTCTTCCGGTTGCAGGGCGTCTAGGAAAGGCAGCAGGTCCTCATAGCAACAGAGCTTACTGCCAAAAGTGTCGTAGTAAGACTCTATGAGATCGACGAAAGCTCCCGATTGAAGAAGCTTTGCCTTTTTGCGCAGCTCATGGTGAAGGGCCAGGCGGAGGAGAGGATAGTCCCTCCTCTTGCCATCCTTCGCTGCTAGCTCATCAGCCATCTTCGTGGCCCGGTCAATCACGTCGAAATCGCGTTCCGCCAGGCCCGTAACGCCTTCGATCCACTTCTCGATTGTCATCCAATTCCGATCACCTTCTTGGATGAGGTTTCTCGATTCCTCTTCCAGCTTCACCCAGTCTGCCGTTTGCTTGAGTAGATCCAGTTTCAACTGCCCCAGCCCCAAGCTCTTCTTTGCTATGTGCGAGCCAGGCTCATTAAGGAGTAGCTGCAGAGCATCCTGCCGCTTCTTCGTTCTCTCGTCATCCTTTGTCAGCTTGTCGGCTTGGGCGAGCAAGACGCTGATGTACAGCTCGATGTCCTCGTGGCTCTGCTCGTCGAACTTGCCTTCCTCTGCCGAGACGTGCTTCTGAATCATCCTCTCGGCCAGTGCAAGAGCCAATGCAGCCCCTTGGGCTTGGGGCGTCTCGACTGAGAGCAGCAGGTAGGCCTGCATTGACCACCAAAAGTAACGATTCCGGGCCGAGCTACAGTCTGGGTTGCCCAGCGTTGTTTGCTTTCCGTTCTTCTTAGACTGTACAGCACTGACGGGTCCACCAAAGGCCTTGTGCATTCTGGTGCCCAATTGCTGGGCTCTCAAGTATTCCTTTGACCCTATCAGCGCTTCAAACGCCTTGACAGAAACGTCGTGATCGTCTGGCCGCGCCTTGCTCGCCGTGTCTAGAAGGTCAGCTGCCTTAGCTCTCCGCCCTGTCCGACTGAGGACAAAGGTCAATGGTGTGAGGACAGACTGATCGCAGGCGGCTGGGTTCATGTGGGCTAGGACGGCTTCCACCTCTGCGATCGCCTCTGATTCGCTTCTTGAGCGGTAAAGTGCCAGAGCCTTGAGAGCTCTAGCTAAGGTATGGGACGAGGCGGCGCTATTGTTGCGAAGGACGTGGTCTGCTTGCTGCACCGCCTGCCTCGGGTTGCCGCCATCGAGGGCAACGTAGATGGCCTGGCACTGCTGCTGCTGCAGGAGCGCAGATAGGGCCGCAGCCTTGTTTGGCGCCATCTGTGCTTTGCGAGAAATGAGGTATAGAGGGTGTGATAAGAAGCGTTACGGATTTGATAAGAAGCGTTACGGCTAAGGAAGCACCATCGGAAGAAGTCCTTGGTGCCTCGCTCCCCCGTTCCGTGCTGCTTTCCGTCTGGACTCTCGAGGGCTTTGCGAAATCGGTGCCTGAGCAACGCGCAACGCGCCCGGGAGATCGGTTTAACCACTTCCGTTGCGAACCTCCGGCGACTCTCCCTCCTACCCATACCTCCATACTTCACCACTATGCCAAGTCAAATTTGGCTCGATTAACACACCTTGAAACTTCATCAGTACGTGTAGAAAGGGCTACTTTACCCATGGGTGCGTTTTTGTGGCCCCTCAATACTAAGTTTTGGGGTCCGAGATACTGAGTGACTGAAATGAGCGTTTTCACCATCTCCAAACACAGCACCCCCAACTTCAGGCCCTGGCAAAGCCTCTAGCGCCAAGAAAAGGGGCCCACGTGATGGTGCTGCTCTAGTTCGAGACGTGTGTAAAAGGGCAGCTTGGGGCGTTGCGTTTTGAGCGACTTCTATGCTGACCGAGTTTGGCTTCTCCTATCCTACAGCTTGACTCGTGGGACAAAGATGGCCGTACGACCAGCACAAGCCTGAGGGCGGCTAGGGACGCAGCAGAAGCTGAAGGTAAGTGTCAAGCATGGTCTCAGCTAGCGTCCAAAGCTAAATTTGCGTCGATTCAATCACAGGGAGGCCCTCTGAAGTGCTCATCAACCTCACCATCCAGCGATACCAGATGGTGACGACCACGCGTGGAAATCACCGCGAAGTCAAGCTCAAACCCCAGAAATCCTTCTTCAGATTCAACCCAGTGATCATCTACACCAACTTTGCGCTTCAAATTGCCAGAACTGTGTACCCCGAGTCCCCTACGCCTTTGCAGGACTACAGGGACGCCGAACCTCAATTCTACGTGCCCAGATCCGCCCACTTTGGCGACTATTACCCCATCAAAACTGATGACGACTATGCGAACTTCCTTCGGGCACTCAAGGCCATCAAATGGGAGGGTGCAAGATGTCTGTGGGAGATCCGCCCGGAGGAGGAAGAGCCTGCAGACGCTGCCAACGCCTCGGAGGACAGTGATGTAGAGGTAGTGTCGGTGAGTCGCTCGAGCTCGCCTACTAAGTCGCGATCGGCCTCTCCTACCAAGGCGCCGTCTGCCAAGAGGCAGAAGAAGGCTGCTGTCACACCCCTTGAGCGCAGGCTGCCATTGGACGATACGCTGCCTGAGCTAGGAGAGATCTGTCGCAAGTGGCCAACTTGCGATAGGCAGCACTGCAGAGGTGCGCGATTGCGACTCCACTGCTACGTCGACGACCGTGGCGATCACCACCCTATTCAGGACCACCTTCTCGAGAGGTGGGCCCTTGAAATGAGGATGCCAGGCTCGCACTACACTGCTAGCAAGCCTCCTCCTACAGTCTTGGATGAGCTGCCTGTTTCGCGCTACATACCCAGCACCCCAAGCGCTGCTACAAGCACTCCCAGAAGCACGATGCTAGACCTCGAGGACTCTGGAGACTGGCCATCAACTCCGGCAAGCCGCAACCCTGCCTCCGTCTTCACAAGAAGTCTTGCAGATATTACCAATGTGGCAGGCAGCAGACGTGTTGTCAGCGATAGCGCTGCTGCTGCTGCTGCCTCGCCGCCTCCAGAGGTCAAAGTTGCCTTGTCAGGCCCATACATGAGTTGCCTCTGCCTATCGCGAGAGAAGTACATGTGGCAAGATGACGATCTGCTGGTGAAATTAGCTAAAGCATCGATTTTTGACATGCACACGCTACATGACATGTGGTATCGCGACAAGCTGCAACAGCTGGGCTTTGGCTTAGTAGATTGCTCCAGGGTCAAGCAGCTACTCACGGCCTGGGACGACATACCAGAAGCAGCGCCGGATGAGGCTCAAAGCATCCGGGCACGTAGAATGGATGCGATTGGTGCCGACAAGAAGAAGATGCAACAGATGGCTGGCCTGCTGCCTGTGTCGCCTACTCTGGGTCATCCTCAGGCTCTGGCGGCAGCTCAACAGACCATGGAGGATAGCCAGCGAACCTAAACCATCCTTGCACGTCTGAGAAAGTAATACCCCTGGCAGCTAGCATGATTTGCTGTTCAAAGCCCTGTTGCGGCAGAAAGCCTGTGCCACGCATGCGTGTCTTGATCTTGTTAAAGCACTTCTCTATAGGGTTGAAATCAGGGCTGTATGGTGGCAGATATTCGATACGACAACCTGAGCAATGAGCAGAGCAAAGTGTGTTAGCCTAGAGTGCCAGACGGCAGGTTGCGAGTGTGTCGCAACGCTCGCAAACTGCCGTACCATCTGCAGCGTCGGCAGCACTCACCGCGGCTATGCACCAACTCCTCGACACCTGGCACCTTGTGAATGCTAGCATTGTCACATACAATCACACTGTTGCGCCTTGGATAAGGCCGCATCTTAGGCAGGAGGACATGCTCTAAATAGTAGAGGAAAACATCCCCGTTGATGCTGCCAGCCTTCATGAAGAAGGCAAAGCACTTCTTGCGCAGAGAGCATGCTGGCATGAAGCTCAGACGTCGTCCTCGCTGAAAAGGCTGCCTGAGATATGCTAAAGTATTCCTTCTAGACCTTGCGCGAGTGCGATTGCAGACCCTGTAGTCAAAGGCAGATTCGTCTACGAATACCAGCTGCTCAGGGTGGTAAATCCGCATCCTAACGCGATACGCGACTCGTTTTGCGTCGTCCCGGCTGGTAGCATAGCAGTTTGCGACCTTGCGAGTGAGGGCCATGCGTCTGAGCTCCCTACAGATGAGTGGGAGGCTGAAGCGGTCGAATCCTAGCCTCATGAGTTCAAACTGTAGCTCTGCCAGGTACAGGTCCCTCTGCAGCGTCACAAGCAAGCGAAGGTAGTATTTGGCCTTGGTGTTCATCTTGCGGGGTCTTCCTGCCCTTGATATGCTGTTTTGAGGCGGTAAGGCGCAGTCTCGAAGGAGCCATTGCGCTCGGAGGCGCCTGCCAGTCCTGTAAGAGAAAGCGCCAGCGACGACGAGCTGCTCAATTGTGACCAGGCGGCTGTCCACAAGCCTCATTGCAACTTCCTTCAGCCTGGTGGGTATCAGGTGTCCTGGCATGCTAGCTAAGGTCTTTATGGAGTGCCAGCAACAGTTTTGAGGGCGCAATTCGAGATCTCGTGTGGCAGAGTGGAAGAAGAGGTGGTACTTGGCGGCAGCGACTTTGCTCGCCCAATATTGGGTCGATTGCTGCGTGAAAAGGTGGAGGAGATAGCTGAGAACGAGCACTACCGCCAGATATGGCGATACTAGCGGTGCGAGAGCAAAGGGCAGAGTGGCAGGCGCAGAGGTGGTGATGGTGTGGTATTTTAGGACGAAAAAGGAACGACTAAACACGAATTCATCCGAAGTTGGCGGGGCGCGCGCGCCAAGTTCGGATGGCACCGATTTCGCAAAGCCCTCTCACGCGGCGTCTGCACTCCACACGTCAAGGCAGATTCCTCTCCGCATCTCTTGGCGGGCGGAAGCGGCGGCTCCTCCTTGACATCAGAGTCCCGCCTGGTGGTCACCTCTGCCCTCCTCCTTTCGTCCCCCTCGCTCCTGACCAGCCCATCGCCTCAGATGGCGACGATATCTCCCCTCAATATCCACCACAAGCCAGCGACTGCAACAGACAAGTCTCACCACCTGCCCAACAACCGGGGCTTTGTCAATCCCTGGCCCTCATGGGTCAAACCCTCCCTAGCAGAGATCTGGTCTGGGCTGACATGGGGATCGAGTAGCGCCGACGATGACACTGAAGAGAGCAGTGACGTTGGAGAAGCGGGGAGCTCTGCCACCACAGACTTCGATGTCGTGGAGCCCGACTTTGGCGCATCCGGGGAGAAGCATCCTGGCAGGGTACGAACGTGGTGGCTCGGACATGCTGGTGTGCTGGTAGAGTTCCCGGGGGCAGATGGCCAGGAACCACTGCGGATCCTCTTCGATCCGATCTTCTCACAAAGGTGAAAATCCGGGTGAAGAGGATGTAATCACTCAGCAATCTAGCCAGATGTGCAGATGGGCTGACCCTTCCTCCTCCATCCCCTCCGTAGATGTTCGCCAAGCCAGTACTGGGGTCCAACACGCTTCTACAAGGCTCCCTGTAAAGTCTCGGACTTGCCACCAATCCATATCGTACTCATTTCGCACAACCACTACGACCATCTAGACGCCAATACTATATCCGAGCTCTGGAAGGCCAACAAGGATCACCTGCGCTTTGTCTTGCCCCTAGGCAACCGAGATTGGATGGAGTCACTTCTGGGCCCAGAGTGTGGACCGCGGATGTGGATTGCTGATTGGTGGGACGAAGCTGAGTTCTGGTCTCCGAATGGAGGGAAGGACAATTTGGACATGGCTATCAGGCTTGGTCAAGAGAAGAAGAGGAAGGGGGAGCTCCTCTCCTCTTCCTCGTCATTGACGCTCGGCGATCACGATGAGAGTGACGATGAGGCAAGGCCACGGAATAAAGACTACCTACGCATCGTCTGCACACCAGCTCAACATGGCTCGGGTCGTTTTGCCTACGATACAGGTTCCTCTCTCTGGGCCTCGTACAATGTCTTCTTCCACCCCGCCTCAAGTCCCGAGAACCCCTTCCACCTCTTCTTCGGAGGCGACACAGGCTACCGTCTGCGTCCGCCCCCGCCCGCGCTGCCCTTTCCTCCCTGCCCCGCCTTTCTAGAAATGCACGAGAAGCTAGGAGACCCCGACTTGCTTCTCCTACCCATCTCCATCGGCTCCACACACTCCTACATTAAGAGCTGGGACCCCATTGGAATCGTTCCAAAGGTCGACGGAGGATTAATGGCTCAGAATCACCTCGACGAGTGGGAGGCCCTGGACGTCGCTCGGATCCTCAGCGGACAAAGTCTTGGCGATAGGGAGTTCAAGGAGCAGTATGTCGCACAGCAGAGTCGGGCTGATCACAGTATAGACCGCAAAGAGTGGGCTCTGAGGGGTGAGAGGAAACAAAAGGCGGCAATTACGACCAAGCGACCTCTGGCCGTGGCTATCCACTTTGGCACCTTCTCCCCGCCTGCAGAGGCGCTGGGCAATCTCGCTGCCCTGCGCAAGGCGTGTGGATTTCACAGCTGGAGGTACGCTCGCTCTTACGACCCTGAAGAAGGGACTGACGCACAGAGCAATGGGACCTTCCTTGTGCTCAATCATGGAGGACGGACAGATGTGGCCATGCCTACTCGGAAACGATAATCATCAAGATGGGAAAAGGTGATTGCGCTGCATCTATATTGCATTGTGACGAGGAGGTACAGGGACCCGAAAGAGGATTCGCATCTAGGTCGACCGTAGAGTTGTGTTGTCCATTCCATCTCACTTGCTTTGTAATGTTCTTTGCTTGCTCCTGTCCCCTCTCTCGCCCATCATAATCAATGAACCTTTGGATACCCTTACCGCTGCAGGACCTGCTGGCTACTTGACCCGGTCTAGAACACCTCCAACAAGCCGCTGAAGAGCAGCTTTCGCCTCTGAGTCTGGGATGACATCGAGCGCCTTTGAAGCTTCGTCGGCGTGATGCCGGGCGAACTCAGCGGTTCGAGCCAGCCCTTGCGATTTGTGAACAGCGAGCAGTGTCTGTCGGCGAAGCGAGTAATGAGAGTCAGCGTCACTTGTCTTCCTGACACGCTGTGCGACCACTTCGCTTGTACTCACCCTCTCCACGTCTCCCTCGCCCTCAAACTTGCGCTCCACCATCTCCTTCAGCCTCTCTTCTGGTCCAGGGAATTCCTGCCAGGCATACAAGACAGGAGCTGTAGCCAGACCTAACCGCAGGTCCGCACCGAGAGAAGGCTTGCCGAATGAGACGGATGTGGACTTGAAGTCCAACAGGTCGTCTACTAGCTGGAAGGCGATGCCTAGGTTTCGTCCGTAGGTATATGCTGCATCTCGTACCCTGGCCGAATGGACCATTTGTTCTTCTTGCTCCTGCGCGCTGATACCTCCTGCTCCCTGTGATGCCCTCCACTGATTCAAGGCGCCCTCTCCGTGACCACCAAGAATTGTTGCAGCTCGAGCAGACTTGGCCATTAGACTGGCTGTCTTGAGGTACGTCTTCTGCAGGTACGAGGTGAAGTGCTCCGGAGTGGGTCCCGGGAATTGAGAAGTCGCAGCAGAGAGGTCTTGAGGTGGTGTCCAGAAGCTCGTCAGGCCTGAGCCATGGAGCGCTCCCACGTCAACTCCCTTCATCTGCATCACCTCTCCCTCGACCAGATTAGCAATGACGGTTGCTAGCAGTTCCACCACTTCATTGTCCCTCAGCCTTGCCAGGGCCACGGAGGCCCTGCCTAGCAGGAAGTCACCGCCAAGGATGGAGAGCTTGTTGCCAAAGGTCGAAGGTGAAGAGGGAGCACCTCTCCGTAGTGCCGACTCGTCGATGACGTCGTCGTGAAGAAGGGAGGCAACATGGATCATTTCGGCAATCTCCGCCAGACGTCTCTGTGTTGGGAGAATGACCGAGGAGGAACTGCTCGCAGATGCGGAAGAAACCTCCCCACTGAGATTCGGATTGTAATCATTCAGGATACTCTTGGGGCTCAGAGGCTCGTCCACACCAGTCAGATCCATCTCCTCATGCCTCGTCGTCCCATGGCCGAAGATCGGCGAGGTGCCATTGGTAGCTGCGCTCATGAGCAGGATGATCAGCGGCCGAATATGCTTGCCTTCCGCCTGAAAATAGTACTTTGCTACAGAGTCGAGAGACGGGTGACCAGCTCCAAGGAGATTCATAATGTTGGACCGCAGAGAGTCCAGGTCATCGGAGATGAGAGGTATGGCATCGAAGGGTGAAGCGGACTTGGAGGAAGAAGAAGTGGCAGCAGACGATGCAGTGCTTGCGCTACTGCTCTCGCCCTGAGGCATCTGAGGAGGGGGCTTCACCAAAGATTGGGCAGCTGTGACTGCGGCTGCCCATGCCGATTGATTCCTGATCTGAGGGAGTGGTGATATCAGCGCCTGGCTGATACCCTCCGACCGAGATAATTCCGACCGAGCTGACTTGAGACATTCGCTCCTTGCGACCCTGGATGGCCCACTGGCCGACCCAAGGAGGCGCCTAGCGGCCGCCGCCGTCTGTCTTGAAGCCCTCATATCCGCTTCAAGTGTGTCAGACTGGGAGGGAGGAGGCTCTACTGTACGGTTGCAGGTTGCTCTGAATGTGTAAAGTGGAGAAGAGGCCGGTATGGGGTCCGAGGCACTTCTTCTCCCCCTCGCACCGCCGGATTACGAGTCTGCCCGCCTTCCGTTCCGGCCTCACTCGCGCAGCCTTGCATGGCAGATGATCGGCTACTAGACAAGACTGCCTTCTAGGACTCGTCTGTCCACTCCTTTACATCTTGGCCAGCTCCCCGGTGATCTGACAGCTGAGCTTCTGATCCATTCGCCCAGCATGTCATCTACAGAGAAATCGCGCTCTCAATCGCGCATCCTATTCGTCAAGAATATCAACTATACCACTACTGGTGCAGACTTGTACGAGCTCTTTGGCAAGTATGGCGCCATCCGACAGATTCGGATAGGGGACGGAGCCAAGACCAAGGGTACTGCATTTGTAGCATTCGAGGAGATGGTGGATGCAAAGAATGCGCTGGATCATCTGAACGGATACCATCTGCAGGAGAGGTACATCGTTGGTGAGTATAGCGAGCGCGGATGGATGTACACTTAGGTGGCTCAAAGAGCGTAGAGGCGGTCACTCACTCACTTCTTGTCATATTCTCTACTCGCGCAGTGCTGTATCATGTCCCATCGAGACAGGCTGCAAAAGCGGATCTGGCAAAGAGAGAAGCCGATCTGGAGGCGCTGAAGCAGAGACACAACATCGGCGATGCTGACTGAGCCGAAGCACGGACGAGAATCACAAGCAAAGCAAGCAAGCAGGCAAGGCATCCTCACATCTGTACTACCACCACACCTTTGTAATATGATACCACTCGACTCAAGCTACATACATCGAGGTCTGCATCGCTACAGTGACCCGCTCAGTCGTCTCCCCAGTCATCATCAGCCGGAGCCCTCTTCCTCGCTGCAGTATCCTCCATCTCCTCCTCCGCATCCCTGTCCTTGGCTTTGCTGAAGACATTGTTCATCAGCTCGTCGTCCCTCTCCTTGGCCGTCATCATCCTCTGCGTCGGGGCCTTTGCCAACGAAGAGACTGTCGTCTCCGGAGGAGGTGCTTGAGAGAGCGGTGTCATGCCAATCGGGTGGAGATCGATATGAGGCAGCTCTGACATCTTGACTGGGGCGCGCTCGCTCCACCATTCTGACGCCGAGACGACAGGCGTCTCAACATCGCGGGTGGCAGGGAACACGTCATCTTGGAAGAAATCTTTCCTCTTCCTCTCGACCTTCCAACTGACGATCTGAATCTCTTGCGTCCGCGAAAGTCGGTAGCTCAGGCCGACTTCTACTGCCTTCACGTCGCAGTAGCGCTTCGGAAGGAAGCTGATACCCAGCTGAGGCGTCGAGTGCTGGAAGGCTGGCAAGGCCTTGAAGAGGGGAGCAGCTACTCCAAATTTGGGCTTGGGAGGGTCTAACGAAACCTGCAGGACAGAGATCGATCTCTCCCCCTTTGACCAGAGGTAGAGGAGTTGCGCATCGGCGTCGTAGTGGGGGAAGAGGATTGCTGGGCTCGTGTCGAGTGCTAATCTGCCCTTTTCTGAGATGGTAATCGAATCTGGTCCTCGAGACAGCTTGAAAAGCTTCACTTGCCTGGTAGAGCCAGCCATGTGGCCGACGGTGACCAGGTGCTCTTCGTCGATCCAACAGATCTTGAACGGCCGAGAGGAGTCGTGCGCTGCAATCTCGGCTTGGACCTGTGTCCGCGGATCCCATAGGACCAATCTTCGGTCAGAGCGTGCGAAGGCGATGAGAGATCCATCGAGAGACCACTCCGCTTCTGCTACACCGGCCGCCAGCTCAGAGAGGATCTTGGCCTCTGCAGCAGCAGTGTCCAGAATCGCTAGGCCATCGGCGCCGGCTACGACGAGGACGTCAGAGGCAATAGGATTGAACGAGACTTTGCAACCTCTCCCAAGATCTGGCAGCGGCAGCGTGAAAGTTGGACTGCTGACAATTGTCTGCGAGTACTCGTCTGTCGGCTTGCTGACTGCTTGACCAGCCTGGAGTCGAGGCGCCTCAGGAAGGAGCCACATCTTGAGCCCGTCCTCGCCGATGGTAGCTACTCGTCGAGGATTGAAGATGTCTGCCTCAAAGTCAGCGATGTTGTTGGCTGTCTCGACCCAGCTGATCGCCTGAGCTTCGGGAAGTCGGCCTTCTCGCATTACCTGATGGAAGGCCAGGCGACCGCCGGCTCCAGAGAGAGGATAGAGAAGATGTAACGGGGTGACCAGAAAGGCCCGCGCAGAAGGAGAAGTGGAAGTGTCGAAAGCGGGTATCGAGGAGAAGGCGGGCAGAAGAGGAGTAGACCCTGTCAGTGTGGTTCTAGACCAGCTCGACGTTGACGGCGTCCCAAGAGGCTTCGAAGAGACGGTCTTCGTAGGCGTGGCAATTGGTTGTGTTGAGCTAGCAGGAGGACTTCTTGATGCTTCAGTATTCGAGGCAAGCCGTGTCGGCGGTGGCAGACTGGAAGGTTTCACTGATGTCGCTGCCGGAGCTTCGGGTCGTGATGTAGCCTCTTGGGCCGCTGCGGGCACTTCCGATGTCGCTATAGTAGGATCTCCGCTTGACACGTTAGAGTTGGGACCGTTCGTAGGCGGGGCTGATGCCGCTGCCTGTACTTCAGAGCGTCCGTTCGGCAGGGCATCATTAGACTGATCCGCTCTGCGGCCCGTCTCTCCAGCGGACGGAGGGCCTGCAGAGGGGATACCATGCTGACTGCCTCTCACTGCTATCCACTCACTCCTCCGTGCGGGATCCACGCTGACCTTTCGAAGCTGCCCGTCGTGTCCTTCTAGCCACTGTTGCGGCTCCAACGCTGGCGCGCCGGCCGCTGTATCTGGGTAGAGATGCGGATGGAAATCGATGAGTTGTCTCTGGGGGATTTCAATGCGTACAGGAACCACCTCGCCGCTCGAGCTGAGGACGTAGAGACGGTTGATCTCGGCTTGCATGACGTCTAGACCCGTAGGGGGGAGTAAGGCAGCGTTGCCAAAGGTCGTCCGAGGTGGCAGGGGAAAGGCGCCTTGTGGGAATTTCTGATTGTCGTCGAGCTCGATCCATCGCAGCGTCACGTCACCCTTTGACCCGAGAAAGACGAGGTTTCGGTCATAATCTACCGTAAGCGTTAGTGGGTGGGATGCGGTGTCGAGGGTGATGACTTGGAGCGAGCGGGAGAGGTCACTAGCCGCGTAGACCCGTAGCTCGCGTTGGCGCGAAGGGTTCAGAGTAGATGCCAAGACATACTTCGAGGTCACCGCTAGCCTCATTGGCTTGGGGACACCAAAGGGGGCTGGAGTGGAGGACAAGGCCGCCTTGTCTGGCTGTCGGGGATCGTACAGCTTGACAGTACCATCCGCCAGGGCAGCATAGACCTTCTTTCCATCGGTGCTCCACGCCAGGTCATGAACAAATTTACCTCCAGCCTTTGACCCCACCTCGACCTTGATACTCAGACTTGGCTCTTCGATTTCGCCCTTCTGCATGCTCCAGACACAAATGACAGCGCTTGAAGGAGCAGCCGTGAGCAGCAAGCGAGCATGAGGGTGCCATCGTACCAGCACTGGCCCATTAGCCTCCGGATGCTTCCGCTCCTTATCTGCAGCAGGTAGTGCGGAAGCGTCTGATCGGCTCAGCAATGAGATGGTCCCATCTTCCCTGCCTACTGCAACGTGCCCGCCAGTGAAGGGCGCAGCTTCTAGATCCGCCGCACTCGCTGGCAGGTTGACTGTCTCGACTTTGTTCCCATATTTGCCCGCATGATCATCACCGACTTTGAGAATGACCAGTGTACCCGGTGTTGTTCCACGGGCGATGACCAGAGAGTCTTCGACGAGTGCAATGGCTCTGCCCGCTTCGGAAGGAGCGACTGGGACCTCGGAGTAGCTCGGCAGAGGCTTAGCCGCCAGATTGCGCCATGGCGACAGAGCTGCAAAGCGCGAGGCCATGAAGGGGGGACAGTAAAGGCGAGAGGGGTCTACCAGCTACAGCGACGAAGTTGGCAGACGACGACAGACCAATCAGCGCAAAGGACGAGTAGAGGAGGATGAGGCTCGGCGGTGTGCGGTGTGCGGTGGTGGGTAGGGCCTTGTCTCCAGCAGGGTGCCACTTCCGCCGCGTGCCAGAAGCGAGGCGCCAGGCGACGCACACCGCCCAGCCGCCACGCCAGACGCAGGAGCCAACAAGCCACTGCCGCCGGGAGCAGCGGACCACGAAACGTCAAGAGCAGCCGGCGTCGAGGGCCAATGGTGGACCCTCACCTTTACTTTCCACATTGACCATACCGCGACTTGTACCTGTCCTCCTCCTCCTCAGAGCCCTCTTCAGCGTCATCGGATCTGGCCTCGCGATTGCTCTGATAGGAGGCGAGCGGCCAGTCGCGCTCTATACCCCCTCCTTCCCTTCCCTCCCTCTGAAGATGGCCGATACGAGCAGCGATGGCACTCTAACAGCCAGAGGCGGCAGCCATCCTCTGCGGCCCTCTTCCCCGTCTAGCCGATACCAGCTTCCGGCATCTACTCAGTATACCCAAACGCAACACGATGCCTCGAGGCACATACCTACGTTACACACGCCTACTTCCTCGTCCTCTTCTCCAACCCCTTCGGCCGCACCTGAGACTCGCTCTCATCCAGAAGCAGCGGAAATGCCACGGCAGCCCACATCGTCTGCCTCTTCGCTCACAAGTAATTATTCCCAATCCAGCTACTTGCAATATCAACCTCGCAGCCCTACTTCCCCTCAGTCAACGCCGATGCCATCGGATGCCTTCTACTACAGCACAAGCCGAAGGTCAAGCGTATCCCCGGCCGCCTCTCGTAGACCTAGCGCTAGAGATCTCCACGCACGCTCTGCCTCGCAGACCGAAGAACCAAGTGGTAGCAGACGCCATGCAGGCTCTGCCGCGCCCCTTCATCTCGCTGACGCTGCCAGTGGATTCTTTGAACCTCACTACTACCCAGCCGGGCAGTCAGGAGCACCAATGGCATCCAGCTCTGCCGCTTCCCCGTCTCCTCTCATGAGACGCCGGCCGTCGCTGACAACACCACGTACCCATGCCCTTGAGTTGATCAACGCATCAACGTCGTCAAGAACGCGCTCAGCAACCAGACTCTCCGACCGCAACTTCCAAGGGCGGGATGTCGAAATTCCCGATCGGGACCCAAGCTCCTCGAATACAGTGCCCAGAGGCGAGGTGCCAGTCTCGCCATCTGTAGCTCCTGCAGCTCTCAACTCACCCGTAAGTAGCCGGCTCGGGTACGGTATACCAGAAGAATTGCAATCGCCGACAAAGAAGAAGAGCAACAGCCTCATGGCATTGCCTGAGGTGCCTCGCCGCAACAGTAGCGTGTCACACAAAGGGCCCTCACACGAGCGACCGATGGATAGCAGTAATGCTCCTCCAATCACCTCCCCTCTACGGAGTCCTCTGCCCCTGACGAATCGTACACCTCTACCACAGCCTCCGATGTCTGTACCACGATCTTCCTCGGACTCTTCAGATTACGGATCAGACGCCGACCTTACGGAGAACCTTGATATAGGCGGCGACGCCGAACATGTTGCCTCGCAAGAGCAATCCTCCAGTCTAGAAGACAGAGGCCTATCGCAAGCCCTTCAGCTAGGACTCGGCCCTCCAACTCTCCAGAGACCGCAGAGACACGAAGCGGGCAGTGTTAGCGGTGTCAAATCTTCTGCAGCCGCAGCCGACCATGGTGCTGAGATGTCCACGGCTGATGATCCCAGGAGTCTCGTATTAGACAGCGCCCGATCGGCTCCGACAGAAGTGTCTCCTGATCGCGACGTTCCGGACCGTGGTCCAGCTCCTGTGCCAGAAGAGACCGCTCAGGAAGAACCCGTCCTCACAGGCCCTCCGTTACCGATGCCGATAAAATACGTCGAAGGTACGGCCCTTTCCTCCGAAACGGAATCTAGCGACGCCAGTCATTACAGTTCCTCGCCAATGCCTGCTACAGGCGAGTCAATAACCGAGAGCGAGGCAGCTTTGGAAGCAGCTTTGCTCAAGGCTGCTGAAGCCGAGGATCCGAACCGACCACGAACGCTAAAGGAGGCGCGAGAGCTGGCAAAGGCTCGCGCAAAGGCGCGCCAGATGTCGGAAGCCGGTGAGATGCGGCAACGATCTACGGACACCAAGCATACCATCGCTACCTCCGTATCCCGCATCTCAGAGCAGGATCAGGCCAGGGTGACTCCCACCTCTATCACTGGCAGTAATCTCCACACACAGAGCGGTGATGATGCGGATGAAGCACAGGCTGCTCCAAGTACATCTGCGGACTTCCCCGCTGCAGATGCCCGCACTCCTGATGCTTTGGCCGACCAGATCCGGACTATGGACGATCTCCAGGCAGCGGTGGGCGATGTCTTGCAAAGCATGAGCTTCGGCAGCGACCCACCTGACGCAGCTCAGCCTATGGTTGGCGGTAGGCAGCATGAAAGCGTAGCCTCCGAATTATTACCTCTGAAAATGAGCTCCAGAAGTGGCCATCCCTCTAGGGAAGCGATGCCCAGCGGTGTGGGCAATGAGGATGACGAAGCTGCGCCACGCTCCAGCATCGGATCTTCCATTTCTTCGCCACATGGATATGTCACTCCCGCTCAACAGATGATGGAGCTGCCGACTTTCGACTCTGTTGGAACTATCCAAGCTGCAGCAGACTCGAACGATCAAGCCGTCCTCTCAGAGGAAAAACAAGAGCCGAAAGAAGTACTTCGTACGCCTTCGACCCCTTCGGTCAAGCGTCATCCGTCCGACCAGGAAGACGTCGCTTCGACCAGTGGTTTCGCGACTCCCATGATGCCCTCATCTCAACCTGCTCCGAATGAGTTGCGACAGAAAGCAAGTAGCTATTTTCCCGCCGCCTCTCCTGCTTCTGCTTCAAACAATGCCTCGTATCCCCTTGCGCCTCTTGTGCAAAAGCGATCCTCAAGCCAGCAGATCAATGCTACAACCAAATTGGGCATTCCAGGTCGAACGATTCCGATGCCCGCCGCATTCAACGCTGCCGCTATCTACTCCGACAGGAGGAAATTGCCGCCTTGGGAGCGGGCCAGAGGCTATGCGCAATGCGTCAACGACCTGTCGAACATGTCCAGTGGCCTGACTCTCTGGATGGAAGCCGCCCAAAGGCGGCCTGTAGTGTCTGGCCCAGCTATGAAGAGAGCTACTGAGCTGACTGGTACCCAAGGTGGTCAGGTGGGACTGTTCGCACGGTATCCTAGCGAGCTTGGTGCCAACGGTCCCCACCCACGAGATGCCTCAGGTGCCAGTGCTCGATCCGACATGACGTTCCCTATGCGCGGAGACGGAGGCAAGGCGAGAGACGTGACAGACATGCCCCTTGATCGTACCCCTGCTGATGCTATGCCAGGAGCCGTGCCTTCTAATATACCCTATCCAGCTCTGGCCCGCAATCAGCCCCTCATGCAAGATGCAACGTCTCAAGACTCGAACAGCGCTGCGTCTGCCAAAACCATTTGGTCTCAGCCATCATATGTTGCGCCTCCGTCTGCATATACTAGCAGAGCGGACCTTCGACAGCAGACGTCTACAACTCCATCAGACTACTCTTCCCACAGCATCTCATCATCGGGATCATCAGGTCGGACAGGCTTCTTTGCGTTGGGCCGGCGCAATTCGAAGCGCGGTCCTCATCCTGGGCCGATTGGTATGCTGACAGCGAGTGGCTCTACAGCCTCTGTCACTGGTCCAAGATTGCCTCGGACGGGCGGCGGTGGAACGACGGCGGCCTTGGGACGAGTGATCGGGTACCCAGGCAGCTCAGCTGCGGACACCTCGCCATTGAGCATCAGTAGCCCCACTTCTGCTGCGCCCCGCATGTTGGACAACGCCTTGCCGATCTCGCCACCAAGCTCAACATACACTGGCGCATCTCAGGTGCCTATGTATCCAGGAAGTGCACAAGGCCGGACCACGGAGCCGGGCCCCATGGGGCCTCGGACTCAAGCACTGCGAAGCGCTGTGAGCACGAGAAGCTTCAGCAACGGCAGCATCAGCTCCCAAGCACAGCAACAGCCGACTTGGCAACAGGCTCCTCCTGCATCCCAACGACGGTTGGAGCAAGTTGAGCCGGTAGAGTTCACAAGAGCGCTGCGTTCCCTGAGAGATGTTCTGCCTGACGCCGACGAGGAAATCCTCCGAGGCTACCTCCGCAGAGCGGGCGGGAGGGACGAAGTCAAAGCCATCGGAGACTATCTCAGTGACCAACGAGCCGGTCGTTTGAGGGCTTGAGCTCTAGAGAGGGCGGAACTGTTGTCAAACTTGTGGCTCACTAGAGCATTGTATTGCGCTGATCTGATTCTGCACTACTCGTTATCTGCTGTTCGCTACGTTCGTTGTCTCTTTGTCACAGCATCCATTGTAAGGAATCGCCTCTACGCATTGTGCACTCTACATCTGGCCTGCGCCTAGAACTGGAGACTGGAGTGACCGGCCAGCCCCGCGCCCCCGCGCTCTGGGTGCGCCACGCCACTTTTCTCCGGACCTCGTTGCCTTCGATGGCCCTCTACTCCGCTCGGGGCAGACGCCTGACGACCCTGAACCACATCCCCCCCGCTTGCTCCTCTCCCTTTGCCGACCAGACTAGTACATAGATCACTCTACTCTTCTCTATCCTTTGAGCACTACCGAGCCGATACTCATCCTTCAGTACATCACACCTCGTCGTGTCAGACGGACTTGCAAACTTCTTCCGGATCTCAACATCAGGAACGGACAGCTGCCCTCGGTCAAAACCCCGGCTTCTTCAGTCTCCTTCCCTTCTTCTTCTCCTCTCTCCTTCTTCTCCTCTCTTCCGGAGCCCACTTTACCTCACCACCGACTCGTGTCTTCTTGATCTTCTATCGATATGAGCGCAAACGGAGCAGCTGCCAGTAGTGGTCTGCCCAGGATCTTGATTCCCGGTGGAGCTGGCTACATTGGAAGTCATGTGGTTCTCTCTGTCCTGCTCACCCGCAGGTACAGGGTCACTGGTGAGTCAGATTGCCATACAGATGCTGCCTTGTGAAGCATGCAGCGCGAGTCTTGTATGCTACGCGTCGACGCATTCTGTTCTGGGAGCTTCGCCACGAGCATAGAGACGGCCGAACGAAGGGCTCCAAGCGCCTAAGGCTGGGTACAGTTCTGACACATTCTGCCCTATTCTCCGCTGCCAGTGATCGACAATTACCACAACTCCTTCCCCACTGCCATTGAGCGGGTAGAGAAGATCGCGCTGGACGAGCTGCCAGCCGATGCTACTGCCGAGCAAAGAGAGGCTTGCAAGGTGGACGTCATCAAGGGTGACCTGCGAGACCGAGACGTCTTCTCCAAGGCTTTCGCAAAGTACTCGGGAAGCGATGCCATCTACGCTACCATCCTCGTGGCCGCCCTCAAGGCTGTCGGAGAGTCCGGAGAAATCCCAATCGAGTGAGTCCGGAGAGGTTGCGAAGGCGCAGGTAGCCCTTTTGACTCATTGCTCACCTGCTTACGCTCACCTGTGACTTTGCTCCAGCTACTATGATGTTAACATTGGTGGTCTCGTCAACCTCCTTCGCGCCATGAGGGAGTCTGGCTCTACCCGTCTCGTCTACTCGTCTTCTGCAACCGTCTACGGAACTCCAGAGGTGATTCCCATTCCCGAGACCTCCCCCCTACAAGCTGAGAGCGTGTATGGAAGGACCAAGCAGATGAGCGAGATCATCATCAAGGACATTTGTGATGCTTACCCGGACTTCCGGGCTATCAGTCTTCGCTACTTCAAGTGAGTACCTGCCGACATCTCTCCTTGACCCGAAAGCGGCAGCGGCGCCGTCAGCACATCGCCCGCAAAGTATCCCGTGACTGCCGGGCCCCAGGTCTTGAACCCCGAAGGTCCGGGAGGGACAATGAAGCGGGCGGAAGAATGGCTTCTCTCCGAGGGAAGAAGCGGAAGAACCGTTAAAGGCGGCAATTGCTTGCTAGATAGCAACTTCTGCCGCACAGCCTTTGCTTTAGCGACTCATGGCAGTGGACGTGCTGATCTGACGACTGTCTTTCTTTCATTGCCCCCCCGTAGCCCTGCTGGAGCTCACCCCTCTGGACTCATCGGTGAAGACCCTCGAGGCAAGCCCGGAAATCTTCTGCCTCTGCTCTCGCAGATGGCTGTCGGAAAGTACCGCGAGCCTGGACTGAAGGTCTTCGGCAACAACTACCCAACTCCGGATGGAAGTAAGTCACAGCGTGCTTGCGAGCGGACAATACTACCTCTGACCGGCATCTGACGCACTGTACTTCACACTCCCCTTCAGCTTGTGTTCGAGACTACATCCACGTCATGGACCTTTCTGGAGGTCACGTGAATGCTCTTGATGCCCTGGACAACGATGCTCGTTTCCAGAATCTCCCTTCTGCGGGCAAGTACCGAGCGTACAACCTTGGCAAGGGCAAGGGCATGAGTGTGTTGCAGATGATCGAGGCCATGAAGAAGGTCACTGGGTGAGTTGTACCGCCAAAGCTGGTAGAAGGGCTCCCCAGAAGTAGCTGACCATCTCTTCTTCTCTTCACCACAGCTACGGCTACCCCTACGAGATTGTCGGTCGCCGAGCTGGAGACGTGCCGGACCTTACCGCCGACCCTGCCTTGGCAGAGAAGGAGCTGGGCTTCAAGGCAAAGTATTCGCTCGACGAGATGTCTCGTGATCTGTGGAACTGGCAGAGCAACAACCCCGAGGGCTACGGCGGTCAATAGATGTAGAATGGTTCACCGGGTTGCAAGAGAGAGACGAGTGAAGGGAACATCCGGGTAGACTGTATCTGGGCCATATCCTCTGGCCCGCCGCCATTCTCTTCGACGCAGGAACAATCTTCACTGTGCCTCTCTTTCGAATCCTCCGTGTTCCTTCTAATACTATTTGCCTTTGCCGCACGGTCGTCTGTCATCATCGTTGCATTCCAGTGTGGACTCTCCGGAGAAGTTGGGTGCAGCGCGTCCAGATGCCGTTCCGACCCCGCGTTGCCCGGTGCGGAAGCGAGGCGAGTGCAGGTCGCCGTCTGATGTGTGGACCCCAGACACCAGCTTCGCGCTCTGGCTCCTCTTGACCATCTTCCTACGGCGCTAGCATCGTAGCTTTCGTAGCTTTCTCTTCCGTAAGCCCTTCACACATCTTCACGATCCTCGCCATGGATCAGACGTCCGATCGCAGGTTGCGCATAGCCTTCATCCACCCTGATCTGGGTATTGGTACGTTCCCTCTTGCTCGGTGGAAGTGGACAGCACTTCGAGCTGTGCTGCGATGATGTATCCCGTTCCATGGTCTGACCTTCCTTCACCTCTCATCTGCTCTTCTGCTTGCCAATGAACCTGCTCTCGCGGCTCATATAGGCGGTGCTGAGAGACTCATTGTAGATGCGGCAGTAGGACTGCAGAGGCGGGGTCATGAAGTGGAGATCTTCACTTCTTACCATGATCCGAAGCATTGCTTTGAGCCGACGAGGGACGGTGAGTACTGACTGAAGGTATCTGTAGATCCCAGAAAGTGATATAGCAGGAGGTTTCTCATGCTGACCGCTCTTCCTTCCCATTGATGCGATGGTAGGCACCCTGCTGGTGCATCACATGAAGACACTGTTTCCCCGCTCAATAGCGGGCAGCTTCCACTCCATTTGCGCCATCATTCAGCAGCTCTCTCTCGTTCTACAGCTTCTCTTCTCACTCTTGATTTTTCAATCTCCTGGTACCTTCCCACGATGGACCTATAGCCTCCTCAGCAGCTGCCCGCCCGTTGCGTCCTTCGATGTGGTATTCATGGACCAGCAGGCGTTTGGAGTTCCTTGGATCAAGCTTCTCGGAGGGACGAGGGTCGTCTTCTACTGCCACTTTCCCGACAAGGATATCAGTAACAGTATAGCCAAGCAGCGTGCGATTGCTCGTGGACAATCTGGACCTAGCGCGATCAGGAAGCTTTATAGGCTGCCGCTGGACCTCATCGAGGAGGCGACCATGGGTGAGCGACATCTCGGTGAAGCAGTGACTTAAGTAGGTTCGAAGTCAGGCTGACGTATCTCTCCCCCTCTACAGACTACTCGGATAAGATCTGCGTCAACTCAGAGTTCACTCAGAAGCACTTTGTCAAATCGTTCTTCCGTCTACGGAGAAACCCTCGGGTGCTGTACCCCGGCATCGACACATCGACCTACGATGCCGACAAGGTGACGGCGGTCTTGAGGAAATTCAAAGGAGAGATTGGCGAGTCTTCGGCTGTCCAGAAGGCCGTTGAGGAGGTGGTGACTGCGAGCGATCGTCCAACATTGATTTCCATCAACCGCTTCGAAGCCAAGAAGAACGTAGGTCTAGCCCTGCAGGCCTTTGCCGGGGCTCAGAAGGAGCTCGCAGGTCAAGGCGTCGACATTAGCTCGCATCGGCTGGTCATTGCAGGTGGCTACGACAGGAGGGTACAGGATAACATTGCCACCTTGAGCGAGCTGCAGAAGCAGGCCACGCAACTGGGACTCTCGCACACTACCCTCTTCTTCACTACTCAACCAGGTCAGAAGGACCCAGACCTCGCAGGCCTCAAGTCTGTCAGCGTGATCTTCCTCCCAAGCCTTCCAGGTGCGCTGCTGAACACCCTCCTGCTGAACCCCTCTGTACAAGCCCTCTTGTACACTCCCACCGATGAGCACTTTGGCATCGTGCCCCTCGAAGCAATGGCCTGCGGTCTCCCCGTCCTGGCGACCAACACTGGCGGACCCATGGAGAGCATCGTAGATGCCGTCTGGGACTCCACCTCAAGCAGCTTCACCAACCTCGAGACGGGAACAGGTCTACTCCGCCATCCCTCTGCAACCGTCTGGACCGGGGCTCTTGTGTGTCTCCTCTCTGCGCCTGCTACAGATCGTGCCAAGATGGGGGAAACGGCAAAGAGTAGAGTCAAGGAACGATTCTCTCTCGAGGCCATGACTTCTGCGCTGGAAAAGGTCTTGACTGAAGCCGAGGCAAAGGGGACTGTGAGAGGAGATGAGGGCTTCTACCAGATGGCCAGCTTCGTTGGAGCGCTCGTGGTGATGATGTCTGCGTGAGTAGCCAGTGATGTGATGTAGGGCACAGAAGACATGCGCTCAAGCCGTGACGAACAAACACACTGAACTCGACTTGTTTTTTGCATTTGCAGATGGATCTATATGCGCTACAAGTACGGGCCGTCCCTACGAGGCTGATGCGCCCAATGGCGACTGGAGGAGAAGTGATCGAGGCGAGGGACGGGGAGCGCTGCAGGTCAAGAGGAGTGAGAGGGAGATGCGGCTCCACCCGCTACGGATGTTTCGTCGCCGTGTTCCATGCATGCTCTCCTATCTCAACATGTGCTGCAATGCATCAGATCACACAAGTACCATAGGCTCAGGCTCTGTCAGATTTGTCAACGAGAAAGGTAGTCTGACTCACTTCAGTGCAAGCAGCGGCAGACACACAAGGGTAAGATCAAGGGATAATATCATTGGCTGAACTTGCAGCGGCCGTCCGCATCGGCGGCAAGAAAGTAGAATGCCTCGCACGCTCAGAAAATACAAGGGAGGAAAATCGGGGGCGAGCGAGCGAGCGAGCGAGCAAGCAAGCAAGACGTGGACGGGAAGCGTAGAGTGCAGAGACGGACCTTGTTGAGTAGAAAAGAGGCAGGGCGTAAGATACGAGAAGAGATGGAGCTGGACAAGATGATGATGACGAGCGGGTGAGAAAGGGAAAGCAGATAGAGTCCATGTGGGGGGAGAGGGGGAGGGAAAAGAAGGGGAAGAAACGTGAAGGGGGAGAAATGTGATTTCCTTCTTCTACTGGCCGTCTGTGGTCAGGATCCGTCGTCTAGTTCTCAGAGTCTTGCAGCCTCTTCTTGAGCAAGCTGGCAGAGTCGATGCCGAGACTGCGGTCGTCCAGACTTCTCCTCTCATTGTAGCTTGAACCAGAAGTGCTGGGGTTGGTCCATGTGTCAGTCTGGAAAGTGCCGCACCCATTGGCTCCTGAGAGCGAGGACAGGAAGTCGACGTTGCTTTCAGTGCTGGAAGAGGGAATGGGCAGGATACCAGCCTGGATGAGAGTGATACCGCTGTAGAGCATTTGCAGCTCATTTGGCAGAGAGAGAATCTGCGTAGTCGAGTTCATCACCTTGCCCGACCAGAAGATCGAACCGCCAGACCATGCGTATCCGGCCAGCTGGATGTTGGTCCACTGCTGAGTCCAGCTATCACTGTACACACCGTTGATCGAAGACCACTCGGTGATGAGCATAGGGACAGGGTAGCCAACAGCGCCCTGGATAATGTCGCACGCATTGTCCTTCATGTACGATTCCGAATTGTTCTGGGGAGTGAACCAACCCGGGTATGGGTGGTCTTCGTAACCAAGGTAGTTCGGGTTCTTGCCTGTTGCGAAGCTTCGCCAGTGGTTGGCAGGAGTACCAGAACCACTCCAGAATCCGTGGTGGAAGAGCATGGGAATCTCAGCCTCGAGACAGATCTGGTAAGCCGTCTCGTAGTAGTTCTCCAAAGTGTCCCAGTTGGCCGATGCCTCCGAAGAAGAGAAGCTGTAGTGACTTGGTCGGGGCTCATTGACAACACCGATGGAACTGACAGTGGAGGCATACTCGCTGGCTTTGATGTAGGCAATGGTGGCATTGAGAGTCTGGTATGACAGTTGTTGATTGGTGTCCGTGAACCACTCGACCTTGGAAGTATTGTGGCCGGAGGCTTGATCACCATTTTGGGATCCTGGCATACCGTGCAGGTCAATGGAAGCGTACATGCCACGAGCATTGAGCCAGCCCAGCATCTTTGTCAGCTGATCTGTCTGACCAGACATGGCGAGATAGGGCTCTCCAGACGCAGCAGGGATGAAGGCCCAGTATCCAACGGGGATGCGGACGTGGTTCATGCCGGCGGACTTGAAGGTGTCGAGCTCCTCCTCGGTAATCCAGGAGTTCCAGTGCTCTGTCAGAACGCTGGCAGCGTCGCTGCCAAGGTTCTCGGTCAGAGTCCACTCATCCCAAGCGTCGGAGCCACCGGTTTGAACCATCCAGTCCTCGTCCATCCATCTCTCGATGACAAGCCAGTTGCCCAGCGAGACACCGTACATCTTGTTGTTAGAGTCAGTCAGGTTCCACTTTGCGAGCGTTGTGGGGGCCGTGCTAGTAGCTGCTGCAGCTGCGCCCGAGCTGGTGGCTGTACCGGTAGAGCCACTGCTGGAACCACTGCTAGAGCTGCCACCGCTGCCTGCCCTATCCGAACCTGAGGTATCACTAGAGCTGTTGTCATTGGACATCGACAGTCCGACACCGAGACCAACACCGAGAGCAATGGCGAGCACAATGGCACCACCTACAAGACCGGCAAGGAGCTTGTGGCGAGCAAGCCAGCTGCCACCACCAGCGCCCTGTTAGGTGGGGTGAAAGTACAGCGCATATAAGGGGTAGCAGAGGGCGGCATGAGGGCAGGCATGGGGTGAAAAGGAGGGAGTGGAGCGATGGTCGGTCAGCATATCGTCACAGAGACAGTACGTCGCTTGGTGATGCCATCAATATCACGGCTGACTCACAGCGAACTTCTCCTGCTGGTAAGCACCCTCCTCTGGTGTCTGTGTTCCATCCGAGTTAGAGTGGCGCTTGACCATTCTGACGGGGCAGTATTAGATGTGTATGAAACTTGCAACGATTGCGAGAGCAGAAATGCAACAGTAACGACGGGTAGGTCACTAAAGCTACAGAAAGATGAAGGGAGTAAAGAGGGAGGAGGGGAGGAGGACGAGCGTGGCAACGAGGTTGGGGGGTGAGGGAGAGAGGGAACCAAGCAGTAGAAGTAGGTAAGGTGAGGAGAGAAGGGAGAGAATGAGGAATGCCAAGAGTGACGGCAAAAGATAGAGGCAAGGTGAGAAGTGGGGAAATAAAACCGACGGTAGATGAAGAGTCGGAGGTAGGACAGCGGCGGAGGTAGGCGTGAGGGAGCAGTGGTAGGTAAGAGTGTGTGTGTGTGAGTGTGTGTCCAGCGGGTCCCCCCGTGCGCCTTCAGTCAAAGTAGAATTCCACAGCGCGCCACACCAGCAGCAGCCTGGGCGAAGTGGATGTATCCCCTGAGGTGCCTCTGCCCTTGCGGGTGCGGAAACATTGTTTTGAGGAGATGGCCTCCTCTGCTCTTGCACCTCTGTCGCTTCTGTCCGTCGGGGATTCCTCGCCTAAAGGGGGCCGTAGGGGAGCACTGGTGGTGCCGAATGCCAGGCCTACGTCGGGGCTCCTTGGCCCTCGTCGGCGGCTGGATCTGAACCTCGTCTCGCCAAGGCCAAGCCAACGGGCCGCGCTGAGTCAGGGTCTTGGTCGCAGTCTACCAGTGTTCAAGGGCGGGCGTGTGTGCCTGTGTGTATTTGATGCAGAGGCGCAGGCGTGCATCCCTTGGCCCACGCCTCGCTCCCCTGACTCAGGCATGGCAAGGCGGGATGCGAAAGCCAGCCCTCCCCCAATCACACCCACCCCTGTCGGCCCCTTTACCCGACGACGGGACAGGCCGGACCCCCACCACCCACCAACCCCTTGGATCAAGGTACATCGTCTTCCATGTCAATGCCAAATCAACACAACGACGGGAGTAGCTGATGACCTAGATGACCTGAATTGAGTGACACAGACCATCGCATGGGTAAGGCCTTTTCCTCTCGCTTGCGTCTTCGGCTACGGTTTCACCGTTCCTGTGATGGCTATAGATTGCCTTGGTGTGATCGGTAGTGCCTCTTCCCCTCCATTCCAGACGGTGTGATGAGGCGTCCAAGGTGGGAAAAATGCCGCGACCCCTTCCTTCGGACTGCACCACCTTCACGCTTTCGCCAAGTGCATCGAAGGACCCACGACGCTGCGCGCCTCTTTCGAGAACATCTATTGCCCGAATGCTTCTCTTGACTTTGCACAAACACTGCCATCACACTTGTGCAGCCAATGTCATGACATATGCACCCGCAATCAGCAGCGGCACTCAACAGCCGTGGATGATGTCCGCTGCCCTCCAACGCCTCGGATTCGCGAGGCTCTTTCTTGGGCTGTGATTCCCGCCCACATCGCCGACGCGTCCTTTGGCCAATGCGAAAAAAAAAAGCTCACACTCTACTGCAGTCCGCCCTTCGAACGCCAAGAGAATCCCCTGACTGCCTAGCCTTCTGAGACGCAAGCTGTGCATACATGCCAGAAGTGGCCCAAAATGAGGCTCACTATCCTGTCGAAGAATCTCCCAGGCCAATCAGAAGAGCAGTTCCTGCATGAGTTCCACACTGTTCACGCACAGCAGACGGGCGCAACCGCTGCTAATACGGGAATCCTGCACGAGTATATTCAGGGCTTTGCACCTGCTCTGCGTCGGGAGAGGCCCGACCTCCGCCTGCCCTTGCCCAAAGGTCCTGTAGAAATGTTCAGCTCCGCCCAATTGACCTGGCCTTCTACCGGTGTGATGCGGGGCCTTTTCGGGTCCAGCGTGTATCAGAACGAGGCTGGCGCACACGTCTTTGCCGAGCCGAATCGAGTGTACGTCACCGACAATCTCGAGGAAGAGGACATTCAGGTCAGGCAATCAGGTCAGGTCCGGCTACTGTGTCTGCTGTCCCCAGCTTCTGATGAAGCATTCCGTGCCAGCTGGGATAAGCACCGGGACTTGGTACGCTCGCTGCCTATTCAGCCGAAGCTGTACCAGCGACACCTCTCGCTGTGTCTGACACGGGGGGAGACTGCAAGTCTCTTCAAGAACACCCCTTTCGACATCGGACACGGCAACATCATCGATGGCGGACTGGAAGAGTTCCTCTTTGACTCTGTTGATGAGCTAGGATCGTTCCTCGCCGTCTCGTTTGAGAAGCTGCGAGAGTCCTACAGCAGCTTTGTCAAGCAGGACGCGAGTTCAGCATACGTGTTTGATCAGAAGATGGTATATGCTAGTCGACAGCGAGGCATCTATCAGCTCGTCGTGGGCGCCGTGGTGGGCACAGTCTTCTCTCTCAAGGGCTCTCTGGGCATCTGAAAGCTTGTATTTTCCTGTTTCGATGTTGTCTCTCTTATTACTGATAATACAAGGGTCACAGGCTGTCATTGAATGTCCATGGCGTATGGCGCAGGTTCAACACATTGAGAGTGGAGAGCCGCCGACGCCCAACAAGCTGACTCAGTGAGTCCACTTCGAGGTAGTCCGCTCTGAAGAAGGCATCCGAGGCTCGATGGGGTCTGTCAAGTTCTGGTCAGGCTGATGAGGGGCACACGCTTGAGACAGACGACGATGACGATCGACAGTGAATGCTTAATGTAGATTAGATGAGATTGAGACTGAGTTATTGTCCTGGGCCGTCTACGTAAGAAGGGCCCGCAAGGAGAAGCGTCTAGTGCAGAGCATGCTAGAGCGGGTAGTCCACTAAGCAGAAGGCGGTGGGTGTAAGAAGAAATGATTATACAAATGGTGAGGTACATGAAGAGTAAGGGAATATTGAGGACCGAGAAGAAGGAGAAGTTTGTCCATGGGGGTTTACAAAACGAGAGCGGCAAGCACTGCTGATATAGCCAGCGAGGCCACAGCGCAGAGAGACTGGTCCAGGCCGAGGGCTGACATGGCGCCGTTGGTGCTGCTGGTGGTGCCTTCACTTTGCGATGCTTCAGTAGCGGACATCGTTGATGATGTCGGCTGAGCTCCGTTGCTGCTCTGAGTACCTGTCGTCATTGAGGTGCCGGTTGAGCTGCTGGTGCTACTTGAGCTAGAACTGGAGGTGGCGCTCACTTGGTTGGCCAGAAGCATCCCCGTCTGCCCCGTTGTCGGCGTAGAGGCATTGAGGCCATTGGCATACCAAGCCTTGGCCTGATCAAAGTTGCCAATGGGCTCAGGGGTCCAGCCATTTTCGCGAAGAGTGGGGTAGTACCCTTGGAAGAGAGAAAGAGAAGGGGCCTCAATCTCGTGCTCTAGGAGGATGATGCCTGGGCTCTTACTTCCAGTGACGTGAGTCTTGATGTATGACGCGACAGACTCGTACGAAGCCCCGATTGTGTTGTCTGGTGGGCACTCAGTCTTATAGTCGGCGCCGAGGCACCAGTCGTTTGAGTCTGCGACCCAGAGGACACACTGTAGCCCAAGGACTTCCTCAGCGATGGCGCGCACCCGATTGTCGACGTCTCCCTGAGGTGGCCTCCACAGGTTGGGGATCTTTCCTGAACGGTCGTAGATGATTTGCATAGTCCAGGCGAGCTCGCCGAGCACCTGCTCATTGGTCAGAGCCGTCTGGAGGCTGTGCGACCAAGTGTGCACTGCCATCTGCTGATCCATCTGAGCGAGCTGATCAAATGCGTCTTGATGCGTTGCGATGTTGGTGCCAATGAGAAAGTGAGTGGCTGACTGGTTCTGCGATTGCAAATACTTGTATAGGTTCACACTCTGTCCAACGGGCCCATCGTCAAAGTCGACACCCCACACACCCTCAGGTGCGTCTGCAATGTCATTCGGGCCGACAATCTTGCTGTTGGTCCAGGATCCAATCTGCTTGTCAGAATAGCCACTGGGGTAGACGATGCCGCCGCTGGAGGTCACCGTAGAGGAGGGGATATTGGGGATCTTGCCATTGCTGATAGCTTCATTGAGAGCGTCCGTCCAAGCTTGAGGCAGCAAGCTCGGTGAAGGTACTGCGTACGCCGTCGGATAAGTCCTGTTTGGGTTCTGCTGCCGCTTGACTACAGTCTCCTTGTGCGGATTCTCGAAGAGATGACGCTTGGGATGCAAGTGTGCAGGGATGGCTGCTGATGCCTGGGGAACGAGGGAGAGGGTAGCAAGCAGAGCTAGAAGGAGGGAGAGCTTCATACTCGTCATGCTGGAGAAGGAGCACTGCAAGGTAATGGCAGGACGGCGACAGGGTGAATGGGGCAGGAGATTCTACGACGATTATATACTGGCTAGAGTCTACGGAGAAGGGAAGTAGAGAGAGATAGGGGGAGGCAGAGGGGCATTCTAGGAAAGGGGCGAAGCGGGGGCACCGTCGGCGGAAGTTCGAGGTACTACCGTCGATCTAAGCGAGTTCTGACTGCACAATGGCATAGATTGCACATGGAGCCCGCATATTTCTGGTAAGGCCCAGGCAAGAGGAAATTTGTTCGGGGCCCACACACCTTGGACATCGGGTCAATACTGCCCGGTCCTCCCCTTCCCGCCGGCTGGCTGAGAATGGGAGTGCTGAGTTTGCCCTCTCTAGCAAGCCATCGGGCCAAGGTTCGCGGAGGTCTCCCGAGATGTTCGGTTCAATGGCGCCCGCCATGCTCGCGCCGTTAGTCGGAATCTCTTCCCGCTACAGAGCGTTGCTTCTGCGTCGGGGCTTGGCGGAATGGAGTCTCGGTCACTTCGCTTAGGATCGCGTCGGTGCAGTTCCGAGGTCGAGGTAGATGCAACCGTCAACAACTGCCTCAGCTCGCCCCTATCGCCGTCGTCATCGTCACCTCGGCCGATCCTTGGCAGCGCCAAAGGATGTTGGATATAGAACGCGTTGTCGCAGCGGATCTCCTCGATGGACGAGTGCCTCGCCCTGCTTGTAAAGTGATTGTTCGGACTTGCACCCCTCACTGACGCAAGTCGCGCGTCGGAGGAATAGTCTTTAGTGCCTGGTCCTTGCTCCGTTGCGAATGAGGACTGGACATCCTCATCCGGAAGGGCGATGATTGCTCTTTCGTGGCTCGACAGTCACTTTTACGCAGGCAATTGCGTACCATGAGGGGGCAGGCGCGCCAACTATAGTCAAGTCCACGTGAGGGCAGAGTGGCTCGTGTCCTTCCGTTCCTTGCGAGCTTTCGAGACGGAACGGGACTCGGAAAGACGCGTTCGCCTAGGAAAGTTCCCAGCTTCCACCATTCAGGGCGACCGCACTCTAAGAACTCTTCTCCCTACCTCCATCACATATCACACCGTTGCCGCTCTTCTGTCAGCTCTCTCACAGATGCGTGACTCGGCTCATTACCTGCGTCAATAGGTATCACAACCTGAAGGCGCCTACGACAGAATCGCCACCGCCAATGGGCTCTCATCCACGCTTGTCCTTGTCTGTGGAGGCGCCTCCCTACGCGTCTCAGCGATACCCTCGTACAGCTGCTGTGACTACCTCAAAGCCCATCAGTAGAGTCTCACATATTCGCCAGACTGATGACAGGCGTATGACGGGCGTACAGGGTGGGGCCAACAGGAGCGGCGGTACCCCAGCCAACCGGCGGGTCCAGACCCAGCTGCCGCATTACTTCTCATCACCCGCCACGTCTGCATCGACCCCACGCTCTACTGCAGCGGCGCCGTCATCGTCATCGGCATCCGCTGATGATCACATCAGGGGCGGAACGAACTATCCAGCAGACGTTGCTGGCAGTGGACCATCTCGGAATTCCAAGAGGAGGCGTACCTCACCTGACGCCAGTATGCTCGGGAAGGCGCCCCCATCCACCCTCAAGGCGCCCAGGCCCAGTACTCAGAACGCTGTGCAATCTGCCTGCGAAAGCGTTTCGAGCAACGAGCTGGAGGAAGAAGAGGCCTGGATGAGGAGAGCTCGTGTCCTCACTGGGCGTCATGAGGAAAACCCTGCTGTGATTTCGTCTTCCCCGCGTCGTCAGAAGGAGACCTCCGACGAAGCTAGTAAGAACAAGCAAGCTTCAGCGTCTGCCGCCCCTCGACGTCCTCATACGGCTCAGGCAGGCGAAGCGGTCCGGGCGGTTGTCCCACCTCGATCGCCTGCTCAGCGTGCTGCCGTCAAGGAGCCCTCCTCGCCATTTCAAGAGACGCCGTGGCTACACGATTCCCTGTCCGAACTCTCCATGCTACCCTGGGAGAGGGACGCAGCTCTCAAGCTGCCTCAATATCGCACCTCGGCTGGGTCGAAACCCACGGAGAGGGATCTGCAGATCAAGCGCAACATGGAACAGGCAATTGCCCAGAAAGCTCAGCAGGAGGCCATCGCCCGAAGTCTGGGTCTTACCGTTGGAAGATGGTCAAATGCAGATACAACTCGGTCAGGACCTGCTTCGCCCAGACCGGCAGCGCGGACTCCGGCTCGAGGCTCGAGACCGGAGAAAGAAGTAGTGGATGTTGCGTCTGGCGCAGCTTTGCCACCTCCAGCTGACAGCGAAAACGAACTGCCCTACCGCAAGCGTCCCATCACACCAATGATGACTCCACAGCTGTTTTCAAAACGGGCCCCTCTCTTGCCTCGCTCTATTCCCAACAGCAGTAAGGAGCAGTCACGGCCGGCTCTGTCCGACGCGGGATTGAGCGGCGATGAAGATCAGGAGCGTCCCGGTCACTTGGCCACCCCCAGCATTCGCCACCCTCAAGTGTCTGCCGGGGTGCCTCGCTCCAAGGACGTATTGCCCGCCACTCCGACCCCGGAGCTCCCTGCCATTCGATCTCCCCGATCGAAGCGCAAAGTCTACGCACTCGAGACGCAAGACGGCGCTCCCCTTCCGACCCCTTTCGACATCCGAGCTGCCGGTATCCGGAGACTGCCGAACAAGTTGCACTCCGGGAGCCGTGGCCCCGCGACTCCTCGCGTGCACGAGGAGGAGGCCGCCCAAAGACAGACGACGCTCGATCGGCGTGGCTCTTCAACAAGGCAGCGTTCAGGGCAGAGCGACCGTGACGCTTCAACTCCTCGAAAGCTTCGCGACCATCTACTTTCGGTGAACCGCTTGAGTCCTCGTAGCAACTCGAAGAAGAGAGCCCGCGAGGCTCGTCTGGAGGAATCCTCTTCTGACGTTGAGATGGGAGGGGGCGGGTACGCGGCAGACTCTTCCTCACCTCTGCAGTCCCCGGGCGAGACCCAAATGCTTGGGGGTGACTATGACGATGAGGCAGATGAAACTGTACTGCCGACGAGAGCGATCGATCAATCGCTGCGGGGCACGCATGTCCCGCCTGAGAGCGGCAGCAGAAGGAGCAGCGAGAAGGAGGATGAAGCCGTGGAAGAGACACAGCCGCTGCCGTTCCTTGACGCCGACGATACCTCAGATGACGATGAGGAGGATCTCTTAGTATCGCGTCCGCCGCCGAACAAGGGCACCGGATCATCTCGAAGAGTTGACGCTCAAGCGGTACCTTTCCTTCAGCGAGCAACACAGAAACCGACAGGCTGGGCCACTGTCAACGCCGCCTGGGAAGGGCTCAACCTCAATGACACAAGGCGCGTGCAAACGGGCGATCGGGAGCAACAGCAACCTACGCTTGGTCACTATGGCTTCGACGAGTCTACACGTGCCAAACGTTCTGCTGCTAGACCTCTGAAACTTTCGCTCCCAAATGCGCCCGAATTGAGCTTCGACCATCCTCTCAGTCGAGATGTGACTGATCATTTGACCGATGATGAGGACGCTGAGGATGCGAGGGATGCGGACGATTCGGGTTTCGTCGATGGATTGCGGGACGCAAAGGAGGGCCAAGGACTGTCGAGCGCAAGTAAAGGAGCGAGAGGAACACCGACTTATCGTGACACATCCATCCTGGCTTGGTCGAAGGAAGTTGTGCCAGACAGTCAAGCTACACAGCCTTTAGCGTGGGATGAAGAGGATGACAGTGGCAAGAAGAGCCACAAAAGCCCTCGTTCAGACACACAAGATACTTCGAACACCGAGGATGAGGCTGTACTCCCGATGGATGTGCTCAAAAGGATGAGAACGAAGATGACCGAATGGCCTCAGGGTGGCATCGATCGGAGGCGAGGGATTCGCAGCAGCTCCCACGCGGCGGCGAACAACATTGCAGCTACCTCGGTCATGAGTGAAGGTGGAGAAAGCGGCGACTCGGACGGTTGGGTACCAGACATGCCTTCGCAAATGGAGAGTTTCTTTGAAAGGCTATGAATCAGGCTTGGAGACGTAGGGCGGCACGTATGGGCGGCCACATTTATCTCTGTTGTACTATATCTTCATTACGCTTCCTATGTCATTGTTGCATCTCATGGAAGTGTACGAGTCGTACGAGGAGTGGCCTCGCGTATTTCCGGACGTGATAAATTGGCTGTCTCAGATCTGCGAGGAAGGTCATCGGCTGTGCTGGTGACCCACGAGGGGAGATGGTGGGTGGCCAGGCGGATGATGAAAAGTGCGCCGGCGTATGGGTCCTTGGTTCTGTTCTTGTGCCCGATTCTCGCCTGGCTTCCATCTGGCCAAGTGGGCCAGCCACGGCAGAAGGGCCTTGCGCCTGGCCCCGAGGTCCGCCAGGCGCGGGGCAGACTGACGTGGGCGGCAGCCGTGGACCCTTTCGAAGACGGACGACGACGAACGAGAAGTCGGCCGAGCGGGTGCATCCGCTGAAGATGCGCCGCACGCTGCCCCACCTGTGAATGGGTGCACCTCGAGTCTCTTGCCGCCCATTGACGGATCCTTCTTCACACCTTTACATCTTCTCCTTCTCAAACGCTACTGGTCAGCTCACCTCCTACTGCTTCTGTCACACTGAAAGCATCCACTCCCTCACCAGTCATCAAAATTACCTTCCGGGCCGACAATTGGCCCCTCTACCCTTTCCGTAGCGCCCCCCGCACGTTCGGCTGGAGCTTATTCTCCTTGACCCTCCCTCACGCCGTCGCATCCCTCGTCAGGCACGGATGGGGCTGATAGCTTAGCACTCCAACGTTCTACACAGTACAACTCCCACAGGCAGTACACACAGTAAGCTTACTTGTTGAGAGGCATGCCTGGCCATCCTCTCGCTGCTCCGGACGGTCCCTCGTCTCATTCCTCTTCGTCTTCGTCTCCAGCAGGAGCACTATCAAAGCCGATCAAGTCCGATAGCTCTGGCTTGAGGTCCACGCCTCAGAGCGCTACTTCGTCTCGAAGGACCCCTCCCAATGCCTCGTCCTCGACGTACAAGGCTTCGAGCAGAAGCGCTGAGGAAACCCGACCTCTAGGATCGCCATCTCCCATCGGCCGGCGTGTCTCTCCATCCTCATCAGATCAGCCTTCCAGCAATCTCTCCAGTAGTCGCAGTCAGCCTCGCGAGGCTTCGCAGACCGCTTCTTCCTCTTCCTCGTCCTCGTCCCCTTCCTACTCGCCCTTGTCGCAGGTGAGGAATTCTAGGGCCTCGTCGCATAGCAACTCGCGCCAGGCACCTCCCCTTTCAGCAGCTGCTCTTGGAGATGTGCGGCCTTCTGCGCGGAGCGGGGCTCCTCTAGGCCCAATCGCGAGCAGCAGCAACTCGGGAGACCCTCATCGCAGTCACTCAGTCCGTTCCCAGCTGTCTGAAGGAGCTAATACAGACGGGGGCTATTCATCCTCAGGGAGGGACAGTCTACGTACCGCCTCCATCTCTCGTAGAACGAGCAGAAGTGGGAGAGCTGCTCTGCTCACCAAAGATGGAGGCGAGTCGACGATAAGTAGCCTCGGAAGGAGTGGTAGCTCCGCAAGCACGGTACCTACGAGTCCTGGACTCGAGCCTTTACCTCCAGTACCGCCTGCAAAATTGGCAATGAACGACGACGCCCACTCAATCGTCGCGCAAGTGGCAGAGGTGCCGACGACTACACCTCCTGAGCTTGAAGACATGGAACATCCTTACGCTATTCGCCGCTCTCGGTCCCGCACTCTGACTGAGGAACCTCTTCCATTAGCTACGCAGGGGGCTGCGTTGCCGACGATTTATTCCGTAGGGGATGTCATTCACAAAGAGGCCGAACCGGTAGGGTACAATGACAGGCAAATGAGTCAAACGTCTCGCTGGAATAAGCCGTTGCCGTCGCCGGGTAGTCAAGGAACCGATAGGACGCCATCCGAGCGAGGAGAGTCAGACGGAGCTTCTGCAGGGCTTGGTGGTAGACCGCCCTCGCGCAGCGCATTGCGTTCAGCGATCAGTCAAGGAACGAAGTACCTCAGACGAAGCTCAGCTGGGACGAAAAAGACGAGCATGAGCGAAGATCAGGAGGGTCGTCAACTCGCTCATACTCGAGCAGCAAGCTTCAATGGCGGGCAGGCTCCCACTGAGCTCAAGTTTGCGCCTCCAGCCCGGTCGCATTCCCCTTTCCTGTTTCGACGAAAGTCGAAATCAAATCTAGCAGCAGCAGCAGCCGGAGGTCCCTCGGCCCCTCCTCTTCCCGATCTAAAGGCCTCCCCTATCAGAGCCGGCTTTCCCGTGTCTCAGTCTGGCCGCAGACCAAGTGACGATCCATCGCTGTCTGTGACAACAGCTTCACCCTCCAGGGAAGGTCCTGCAGCGCCTCTGTCGCCTCTTTCTTCTCTCTCCGCGAGACAGAGTGGAGATTGGGTGGCCTCACCCGTTCGAGACGAAGCGTACTTGCACGAAGAATCTGGGCATCGCAAACCAGCTTCTCTCTCTCGAGCCGTGGACAAGAGCCCGAGGGCTTCTCCCTCATCCAGGCCATCGTTCCTCCACAGTCGCTCAAGTACTATGAGTGAGCTGCAGTCCTTGTCGGAGGGTGGTGAAGGCCCCGAGGCCGCCAGGGAAAGCTGGGCGTACGGATCGTCATCAGAAAATGGGGCTCCGGCATTGAGTGGGTTGTCACCAGCGCTGAGCGTGAGCATGAGACCGCGGCAGTCGAGGTGGTCACGCGTCATGGGCAAAAGTGATCATGGTGCATCGATGCCAAGTCATGAGAGCAGTCCGCGTTTATCGCTAGCTGTCCCCGACAAGCAGTCATACAGTGGTTCTCCAAGAAGTCAGCTTCCACAGGGCCGCTCTGGCGCAGAAGTGAGGAGCCCCAACAGCACTCGATCAGGCAGTGATACCACATCGATCCTGAGGCGCTCGCCTATACCCTCGATTGCATCCTCTACTGGGTCCCGGCAGACCACGACCATTCGCAAAGGCACAAAGCAGTCGAGTGCTGAGGGAATCACGGCCAGCACAGGATGGGACGCTAGCTCCGATCACTTTGGCGCCAAGAGGACATCTGAGACACCCGAAGTTCATACGGCGCTGTCGGACCGTGAGGAGACGAGGGCATCTACTCCTCTTTCACCTGCCACCATAGGCATGTGGTCTTCAGCTGTTGCTTCGGAACTCGATCTGACAGAGCAGCGAAAGAGTGACGAGAGAGATTCCCGGCAGGGCCGAGATGGTGGGGAACCGGAACGCTTGGAGGCATTGTCAGACCCAAACAGCGAAGACATGTCTCAGTATCACGATGCACTGTCTTCGCCGGACTCTGGCGAGCTGACGTCTTCGCGTCGTGGGAGCGCCACAAAGAGATCTGAAGCCCGAGGCCTGACTGTTGTCCCCATTGGCGGCGCCACTCAGACCCCTTCTAAATCTCGCTCTACCACGAGCTCGCTTGGGAGGACGCTGAGTACAATCTTCGACCCGAGACCCAGCCTTCAGGGCAGGATACCTACGTCCTCTGGGCCCCCGGGTATGTATGTTCAACCCAAGATGGACAGCGGACGGGGTCGATCAAGCACGCAGAGCAGCTCTCAAGAATCGACTGCATCAACGACCTCAACCAGGCGCTCTGGCTCGACACAAGACAATGGCACTTCCATGGGGCCACCTCTCCACCCGAGCACGGCAAGGAAAGCCTTGAACGGTGGTGCAAGCGCGGGCAGTTCAAGTAACGCAAAAGGAGCAAGTGCTGGCGAGCGGCGAAGCCCGACTCGCGAAAGACGGCCTTCGGCTGGATCTGCACGCATGGTCGGCCTGAGCAAGGCAGATTCGGCCAAGCGATCGACCGACACCACTCAGATCGTGACAGGACACCAGGAAGCGGTAGCTAGCCGACAACGAGCAGCAGAGATCGCCAAGCAGCGAGCACAAGGAGGCCCGACTCCTTTGCCCCCTCCAAAGGCCCCGGCTTCGATAACGAAAGCCCCGCAGCCGGCAGGTGCATCGAACGGGTCGACAACGGCCGTTGGAGCGCAGTCAAACACATCGGCCCTCGGTCGTCTCCGCAAGAGATCCTTGACATCCCTCTCTGCTGTGCGGGCAGGTGCTGCAGCAAGCTCGACTGCGAAGACACTCACTGCTTCGGAGAATGGCACCGACTCGAGGTTGACGAGCGAAGTCGCGTTCCCGACTGCCGCAGGTCCGAGCCGAGTAGCCACTACTGGAGAGCCTGTGAAGAGCAAAGCAACGCCTCCGAGCACATCGACCGCTTCCGCAAAGAAGATGATCCGATCGGCGTCTGCAATGGACGCTTCTGACGCAAGCAAAGGCCGATGGGACGAGAGCGCAGGAAGGCAACGCTTGACCAAGAGTCGCCACAGTCAGCAGATGAAGGAAATGAACGACAGAGACTTCATGAATTTGCTCGAGACTGCTCGGCGCGAACACAAGGAGAACGCAGCCAACAATATACAGTCAGCGTCTAAGGCCATTTCGAAGCCACCTACACCGGCAAAATCTGCCGATCGGACGACCTCGACTGGCGCAAAAGCTGAATTGGGTCCGCCTCGTCCTACTTTGCATCGACGAACGTCCAGCGCAGATGGGAGACTCGGCGGAGATTTCCCTTCGAACGATGGCAACGGTGTCCAAGCGCTAAATGTGGAGATTGAGCCAAAGGAGCAACAAGAGGCTCCCACGCCATCACCTCTCGGTAGCGCGGTTCGCCTCTTTGAGGTAGGCCATGCTAGTGGCAAAACGACGGACGTCTTTACCAACGACGAAGAGTGGAAGCGTGAAGTGCGCGCTCTGTTCGTCATCCGAGAGCTCCTCAATACTGAGCAGTCTTACGCGAGGCATCTCGAGACTCTCTTGGCAGCAGTACGCAGGAAAGCCACGGCGACGTCAACCTCACCGGCGGCTTCGCACTCGCGTCGCAAGTCTTCCACCTCACTGCTGGGCGCTGATTTGACCATGTCTGCTTCGTCCGCTCTCGTCTCGAGGACTTCTTCCAGTGTCGCCTCGGATCGACATCTGCCATTGATGAGGAATCTCTTGCCTCAATTGATCGCGCTCAGTCGCAGTCTTGCTGCCCGCATCGATGCCAACCCTACGGCTGCGGGAGTGGGTAGTGCCTTTCTGTCCATCGCTCGGCAGCTGGAGGCTACCTTTGTGGCATGGAGCATGGCTGCTCAGGACATTATGAAGAGTCTGAGCATCACTCAAGGTCCAAAGGGTAAGCCAAAGGACCGTCTCTTCCTGGACCCTGCCATCGATACCGATAGCTCTGTGTTCAAGGTATCTGCTGCCGAGGGCATCAGTGAGACTTCTGGGGACGCTGCAGTCAACAATGGTCTTGGCATCACTGGGCGCCCTAATACCCCTCCCGGTCGCCATGCGAGGTCGATCAGCTACAGCTCCCCGTCCAGCCCCGCGTCTCAGGCATTGAAGTATCGAGGCCGCTCCTTCTCGGCAGAACAGACATTGCACGCCCCAGTCGGGCGGCGCAGCAAGCCCGAGAGCTCCATGAGCACAGTCGGCGAGGTGGGTCTCGCATCCTCACCTACCGAGATCGAAGATAATCCTTTTCTCGAAGAGAGCCCCGAGCCTGCTCCAGCGAACGTACAGCCCCCGTCTCGACCAGTCTCCCCTTGGGGCTTTGCAGCCAGCACGAAGAGATCTCTTGCAGCCGTCAAGCGCAAGCAGTCCTCGGACACGATCACCGGAGGCGGCTGGCTCTCAAGACGTCAGAGCTTCTCGACCGATGCGGCATCGATCGGGGCTTTATCACGCGGTGGGTCTCGCTCCGGCACCTCAACGCCTTTCCAGCCCCTCGCCCCGTCCACTTCACCAGAACAGCCCTCCTCCGTCGTAGGCAGCGCCAGTGGTATTAGTACTGGAGGCGGTGGCGGAGGCGGGTATGGCGGCTCCACAGTGCGAGCCCTCTCGGCACTGGACGTGGCGATCATGCCTATGCAGCGACCTCCGCGCTACCTCTTGCTCTTGGCTGATCTGGTCAAGCATACTGCCCCTGATTCCGAGAGCCACGCGGTTGTTGCGAGGAGCTTGGAGGTGATGAAGATTATTGCGAAGAAGTGCGATGAGGCCTCGCCTACGAGGTAGATTAGTCGAGGGGAGGCGGCAGTGCTGGTAGCAACTGGATGAGAAGCGGGTAGGCTATTCAGGCGCTCACTTTCGAGCTTCATCCACATTCACATACACGCATCTCAACACAACGGACAAGCTTCTCACCCTTTCTCTTCTTTCCCCATCTCCCTTTACCCGCTTCGCACTCCACACACTCACATTTTCAAGCGCAGAGCGCCCAAAAAAAATGTATCTATACCTACCTCTCTGTCTGTCTGTCTGTCTGTCTGTCTGTCTGTCTGTCTGTCTGTCTGTCTGTCTGTCTGTCTGTCTGTCTGTCT